ACTGAACCCTGTATCACTTCTGCCGCTTCGCAGAACCTCAACGACCCACTATTGGGTTCTATTGAAGCTGTTCGCCATCCTCTCTCCACCTTGATCAACCTTGTTCGTGCCTACCAAGCTGCAGATGGATTACAAGGTGCATTGGGCATTCAGCAGAGTTACTACCCTCTCTACACTCCGGTTATGAGCTTGAGCTCAGCTGCTGCTAACCACGCTGTCGCTTCACCTAACGATGTCGTGGCCTACGTAAGTGCGCTTAATACTCTTGTTGGAGGTATCAGTACTTTGATGAACAAATTGAATGAGAAAGCCAACATTTCCAGGGGGTTGGTGCTGGCTCTATCGTTGTTGCCGATATTACCTCCCTAGCGAACCCTGCTTCGGCGATTGAATCGAATCTCTTCACGGCTATTCCCTATAATGCACCATGTGATCAGGTAACAGTAGCACAATCTGTGGCCAGCGAGTTTTCATCTGTGTTTGCGGAGGCTGCTAAGGCCTACAAGATCAGTAGTGGAATTCCAAGTTTCCCTGCTGCCCCTACTAGCTGTGCTGTTTACTGCTAAGGGTATTAGATTGCTCTATGCAGACGATGTTTCATCAGCAGATGCTGATAAGAGTGTAATACACTTATCCAGTCTTAAACTATGTTGCACATTGAAATCAGCACACACAGTGTTATATTAGACAGGTGTGGATGTTTTTGGAATACTTCTGACATTTATGTTTCTGGTATAGCGTATTTGACACGAGGGCCGGTATCAAACTGCAAGCTTTAAAGCTGCCGGCTGGCGATCTGCCGGAGATCGAGCTTCTTGAATTCAATCTTTCGCAGCTGTGTTTCACCTTTTGAAATAGGTTTTGTCAAACGGCTGGTTTCTGGTGCTTGATCAATCTCAAAACCAGAGATAAAACACTTGCCTAATTAGATACTTTTAGCAGGTTATGCTCATTCAACCGATATAAAACCACCAAGGCACCCCATTGATCAGTCAGAGTAAAGACCGATAGAGAACTTTGTCCGGTTTTAAATGCGCACTGAACTTAGCTGGACGGTGGTAGCACGTCTCGTCGGACAATTCACACGTTCAGAGGGTTCGTAACATGCTGCGTTTATTGATTTATCTCATTAATTAAAATCTACTTCGAAACTCTCTAAGAAGTTGTAAGTCTTTACGTGGCCGAGGGCTAAACACACTCGCCGTTGTCTATGGGAATATTGAAGCGTCGTTGACACGACTTAGTAACAATGCTAATACTCGGTTTGACTGGGGGGATTGCAACAGGCAAAAGTACAGTATCAAAACGACTGAGGGATCATTATCAAATCCCAGTTATAGATGCAGATGTTGTTGCTCGAGAGGTTGTCGAGCCCGGTACACCTGCTTATCGCGGTATAGTGGATTACTTTGAAAGCATTACCCCTCACCTGCTTAACGAGGATAAAACGCTCAACCGAGGTGCCTTGGGACGGACTGTTTTCGAAAATGAACAGCACAGAAAAAAACTGAACTCAATCGTTCATCCAGCTGTACGTAAATCAATGGCATTACAGGTGTTGAAAGCCTGGCTGACAGGCCACTCAATTTGTGTTCTTGATGTGCCGCTTCTATTTGAATCAAAGCTGGACAGGTTCTGTGGTACAACTATCGTCGTTTCTTGTGATGATGACAAGCAACTGAAGCGGCTTCTTTTACGGGATAAAGAGCTCACAGAGACCGATGCGAAGAACCGGATGGCGAGTCAAATGAGAGTTCGAGATAAAGCTAAGCTTGCAGACATTGTTATTGACAACAATGGGACCATAGATGAACTTTACTTGCAGGTCGACGAAGCAATCAACAAGGTTAGGCCTTCAAAAATCAAGACGCTTCTTACTCTATTACCGCCCATCGGACTACTGTTTGCGGCAATCTCTTATTTTTCGCGTTAAATATTCAAAAGTTAGTAGAAAACGTTGAACTTTGATCACTGCGAAATCGTTCAATTCAATTGAGCATTGCAATATAAGGTTTCTTCCAATGCGCTCTTATCAGTCGCAGAAAATTGATCATGCGATGCATCAAAGGTTACACACACTCATCAATCTGCGGTGTCGTTTTCCAGAGAATCGAACTCCAGAGAATGCGAACATACACAATGGGTTGCGGGTTACTTGATAAATAATTGATTCCGATAAATAAATACTATTTGAAGGGTGCTTGAATAGAAACGGGGGCAAATAGTGCTGCCACCCTAAAACTAAAAAAAGAGGTATGGGCGTGGCAGCGATGCGAAAGGAATGCCGACAATAAAGCAAGACAGACAAATTGGATTCAAACAAAAGATCAAAAGAGAGTCTGGGTGTCTTACAGCCCGCCGCCGGATCGATCAACGGTCACAAGGAGGTCCTTGGAATTGCGAGGCACGGCTGGACGATAGCAGAACCAGCGGACGGCGAAGAAAGAGGCAACAGTGGCGGTGGCGGCACCAGCTGCGATAGTACTACCGTGGTTGACAAGTGGGCGGAACATAGGCAGAGACATGACAATTGTTTTCTTATATGGGATTTTAGTGGTGTGATGCGGGCGTTTATATATTACTTTTGGGACCATATTTGTTGGGAAATCTTCCTGCAGCGCAATATGCAACGCTGACGCCAGCGAGCATAGGGGCCTTCTATTACGTGGGGCACGTGATCGGGATCAAACAAAAGTTTCACGAGGTCACGGGATTTTAAAGTCGGCCGTGATGATAGATTCAGTTTTCATTAGACAAGAGGTGGCTTATTGAAAATCGAAATTTTAGAACCTATTTTCGGCGACCCCTCGACTAAATGTCGGAGCCCCAGTATGCCGGTGCACGGCTTTCGATAGGTACCATGGTATTAATGACGTCACATGTCTTACTTTTTGATCTCTGTGTTCTGGAAGATTGCGAAGATACAGGGCGCTTTCTTTAGCTACAGCGAAACCTGGCAAATTCTGAAAGCTCTGGAAATCTTGCTACAAATACACAGTGTCTAAAATAGAAATGTTAGTTCACTTGGCACCGCTTTGTATAGAACTTCGCCGAACCCTGCAGCGTCCCGCATGGACAGTGGCCACTTTTTTTCCACATTGGTTAATAAGAAACTGCAATGGCTAGTTTTATTGAAATTTTTTCCAAATTAGGGTTAATTCAAAATAGATTCGTGTATTTAGGGCGCTCATTATAACTTAATTGCACTGCTCAACGAAAGGGAGGGGCCACGTGACTATACCCCGGGGTTAGTTGGGACCGTTGTAGTCGTGTGACATTTGGCCACCCCACGTCTTCCACTAGAAACTCCCAATCGTCAGAACCTTCACGATGATTAGTAAAAACAGACTAAGACGCGCCTACATGCTAAAGAGTCGGCCCGCATCTCATCCGTGATTCCGGTCTTTGATTGCAACTGCGAGTACGAACCGTCCGGGTGATACCGCTGCCTATTTTCTGCTGATTCAAACATGGCACATTTTGAATGCACACAAACTGATCAGGCCTACCTGATGCCTGAATCAACGAGATGTTACACTATGATCTGTACCGTGACAAAGCGGATCCAATGGTATGAGTAATGTCATAATATGGAAATGTAGGTCTACAAGTACAGTGTGGGTAGGGGCTCCCGAAAGTAAACAAATAAACTCTCCGTCGAATGATAAGCTCAGATGCAGAATATATCCGCGCGGGGCGAGAGAAAGATCAAACGAGCCCTAATAAAGCACGGCAACCCTTTGTACCAAACACCGTATTGAGTCCTCTTCAAGCAAGCCGCTTGAATCAACGTCAGGGGGCCTATCCCGCGAAGGGCCGTATCGCATTTGAACTCGGTCCAAACTCATATTCAGAGATAGGCAAACAATGGAATCTGTCTGATTTTGAAATTGGGCGTAAATTGGGTCGCGGAAAGTTCGGCAGAGTGTTCTGTGTTAAGGAAAAGCAGACGGGATACATTTGCGCCTTGAAATGCATGAACAAGACTGAGCTGGTGGAGTACCGGGTTGAAAACCAATTTCAACGTGAGATTGAAATCCAATCTAACCTTCTGCATCCAAACATTTTACGTCTCTATGGCTACTTTCACGACGCTAAACGTGTGTATTTGATTGTGGAGTATGCTGTAAAGGGTGAGCTGTATAAGCACCTTCAGGCGGCTGGCCGCTTCGATGAAGTCAAAGCTTCGAAATATATTTATCAAATGGCAGATGCATTACAATATCTGCACAAAAAGAACATCATCCATCGAGATATCAAACCAGAAAATATTCTGGTCGACAGCAACGGAGACATAAAAATCTCAGACTTTGGATGGAGCGTTCATTCAGCCTCTAGACGCGCAACCATGTGTGGAACTCTTGATTACTTGCCGCCTGAGATGGTTGAGCGTAAAACCCACGACTCTCGAGTGGACATTTGGTCGCTGGGTATCTTGACTTATGAGCTACTTGTGGGCACGCCTCCTTTTGAAGAGGCTGGACAGGAAGAAACCTACAGACGCATCTGTAAAGTTGATCTGAAGGTTCCATCGTTTGTACCCAGAGACGCGGTGGATCTCATTGAGAAACTCCTCAGACATGATCCGCATGAGCGTATGGAATTGCGACGAGTCGCTAGCCATCCTTGGATTGTGCGAAACAAGCCCTTCTGGGCTATGGCTAAGTAAATAAATATCATGAGAAATGGAAACTGAACTCATCTTCGTCGAGATTGTGATTTGTGGATTCGCGGTCACTATCGGCGAGAAGAGAATCATTCTCCAAAATGCTGTTGTCTAACCCACTACTGCCAGCCTTAACTAGACTGACAGAGCCCATCTTGACCGGGGCGTTGCGTTTGAAAGCCTTAAAGTTCGGCCCATCATTCCAAGTCTGACTGGGTGTGATATCTGTGACCTGAGGAACCTCATCCACTGCTATACAATTTTCGACAAGCACAAGATTTGCCAATTCAGGGGTGCTGGGTATTGACAGTGGTTCTTCTTCGTAGTCTTCTGTATCGACATCAATTGGCCTGGCAAGACGTTTACTCGGCAAGGGCAAGTGGACGATTTGACGCTTTGGTATGGACTTGGACGGTACGACGGGTTCTGGGTCACTCACATAAGCTGGTGCCGGGGGAAGCTGAGTTTCTAACTCCTTGGAATCGTTTAGATCGTTCACAACTCTGGCACTTTTAGCATCGAACTGCCCGAACAAGACGTTCGCAAGTGGCTCGACTCGTTTTCGTTTTTGACTAGGTGGTGAATGCTCAAACAACGTATTTGCGACTGGCACGATTCGTTTTAGGGGTTGGCTGGCTTGGGTTGGCTGCGATTGCGTCATGAACGTTAGCATGTCCACAGCTCTTTTTGGCTTGCGAGCCCTTGACCCCATAACTTTGATCGGTGTTTTGTCTCTAATAGAGACTAAAAAAGCAGAAGGGTCAACCATGTTTCCCAAATTTTCAGCTTTGGCTTTTAATTCTTCTCTTGGGGGCTCGATCACCAACATGCCTTTTTGCCATGGGTCAGATTTGAACACGCATTTACCTCCTGCTTGCTTAATTATTGGTTCCAATGCATCATACTGGCCCTTGTCGAGAATATAAAATGTGTAATTGGCAAGGCAAGATTTTCTGGTTTCATCAGGGGCGAATTTCGGATCCGCAAGGAAGTCCAGAGGCTGTGGGAACTTGGCAAAATCAACCTCCATCTCATCAGCTGCATCTGCAATTGCTTGAGAAAATTGGAGTGAAACAACCGGAAGACCTTTAGCCAGAGCGTACAGCAGCTTTGTTGAAGTCTTGGCGGCTTTCAGGAAAAATTTCGTAGATGGAACGATGTCAGACACGACTTTTATATCCATAGGCTCCACTAACGAAACGCATTTGTTGAAATCCTCAGTTTCGCTTGTAGAAGCCGAAAAAGTGATGGTCTGAGGGGCCCATTCCAGAACAACTTTTGACCTTGTACCCACCAACAAAGTAGCGATCTCAGAGCCTGTGGGAACCATCGCCGGAGAATTGGGCTCAAGAACAACTGAATTAAGCTGTGAACCAAAGCGCGAACCCAAATCTGTGACTGTAACGCGCGACTTGATCGAAACTTGACCTGCAGACATTGGCTGTGTTTTAGCGATAGAGATTGTGATATGGCTCCGCGATACAGACGGCTCCTTAATCACAATGTCGCTCTCACTTTTGGAGGATCTGCCAACTGTATAGGTCTTTCCTGGTTTGAGCCATTTGCGACGTAAACCATCGATATTTGCGATCCACATGACAAATCCGACGAAGCGATATTAGAAAAAAAAAGGTAATTAAACTATACATATTTAGGCAAAAGTTAATTGAACGCCAAGGTGGAATCCTTCGCGCGTCACATCACCATGATGAGTTTTTAAAGGCACAACATAGAGCATTTCACAAGTAGCAGCGTCAGTGTTGTAAGTTAAGCCGACTGCTGCGGAAACAACAGGAGACGATTTGGCGAGATTGTTGAGATTATCTTGGAAAGTTTTACCACAGTTGCTTTGCAAGGAACCGGTGCTCAGCAAAGCGGTCAAACGCAGAGGTGAAAAAGGCTTTCCGGGCACTTTAGCAGTGAGAGTACCTCTGCCCTGGTAAAAGGCCTGGCCGCCAATGAAATCTTGGCCGTCTTTGGGACCCATTGAATTGAGGGCAACGCCATAGACATCTTTGACACCTCCGAGAACAAAATTGTCAAAGATTCTAGCTTCACCCTTCATGAATCCAGCAGAAACCCCGAAATCAGCGACCAGAGCGCCACTCTTACAGAGCTTCTCGAACACATTGAAAGAGCCAAAAATCTTGGTATAGGCCGAGTCACCAGGCTTTCCAGCAAACTCTGTGACGGCATTCAGTTTGTAGTTGCTACCGATATGTTGAAGGCCGGCCAGCGCGGATACTTTTACAGAATTGGCACCTGCAGCCGCCCGAACGGTATCGGAAGCGGCGTCGCCCATTGAATGAACATGGCGGGAGACGGCTTCGATACCAAGATCGGCAGTTAAGGACTTGGACAAATTGCTGGTAATTTTAGCTGACAATCCATGAGATGCCAAAGCATAGCCGCCCCATGGCCTATCCTGATTGAAAAAGAACCCCTGGACAGCCAACTTGGATGCACCCAGTGGCATCGGCACCGAGGTGGTAACTGAGCCAGAACCCAAAGCGGCAGGGTTCGAATAAACACGACCAGCAAGCTCGACCTGCTCACCAAAGCCCAATCGGTTGTGGAAAATCTGCTGGCCAGAGAGCCCAGCAATATCATTGTTTGAGACAAACTGGAAAACGGTAGGTGAGACAGGCTGCGTGTTTGAAAGGATAACTTGCGTTTTCACGGCGCGAGGCACCACATTTGTCGAGCTTTCGGCTGTGTCGAGGCGATAGCGAACGTCACCGAGCACAGACAGGCTGTGAGCCACAGGGTCCAGGCGCTCGTAGAGCTCGTAAAGAGTTGTTGCCGTTAACAGTGGCTGAACTCTCCGCGAAAGAACTGCATCACGGAACTGTGCGCCATTAACAACCTCGACTGTGTTGATAATCGGCTCTTGCGAGTGAGCTTCAATGTCCATTGATTGGTTAGGTCAGCGAGCGCACCGGAAAGTTATATCGCACTTTACGGGTAATCCAGTGGCCTCTATCGTGCAATGCAGTGGTTGAAGCAATGGGGGAATGTCGAGGAGATCGAAATTTTGCCGCAGTTTATACTTGGGGAAGACGATTGGCGGCTGCAGCAAAATGTCATTGGATTCTCTGCTATCTATTTATACAGCTTGCACCACACGTATCGCGAATTATGGGCGTCAATTCGGGAACTTTCGCAAAACGAGCAAAACCAGATCTCGCTGGTGGCCCTATTAGCAACTACTGAGCACCTGACTGCCGTCAACGTTCGCAAGGAGCTTGTGGAGGCTGGAATCGTTACCCCGGCTGACGAGCTGCACACCCTAGATATCCTGCTTGGGTCACCATTGGTCAAACATTCCAAAAGCCCCATGCTGTGGTTTCATCGAACGTGGTTGCTTGAAAAGTATCCTGAACTTGTTGAATTGGAACACGAGCTAAGAATCGTCTCAAAGGCAGCGCACCATCACCCGAAAAACTATTATGCATGGTCCTATGCCCGCCGTTTGGTCCGCGATAGTAACCGAGAACGAATCAGTCAATGGGCCTGGGAACTGTGCTGTGCAAATGTCAGTGACGTGTCGATGTGGTCGTTTCTGGCCGCAGTCGATGCATCCAGAGCGAGCCAGGCTAGGCAGATGGACGAGAAATGGCCGCACGAATCCATCAAAATGTACCTTCGACTAGTTGGAGAAGATGTATATATATAGCATTTAAATTGTTTCCTCAGCATCGACAAACTCATCATCCTCAGCCGGCTCACTTGAGGTCGAACCGCTCGCCAGATTAGCCACCTTCTCAGAAACAGGTTTTGAAAAGTCTTCGGGGAATTTGTCGCCGGGAAGAATGGGGACATATTTTCTGAGCAGCTCACCACGTTTCTCTGGAGGGGTCTTTTTGAGAAGCTCGTCTATGCCAATGATGTATTGTAGGTTGCCGTCTATAGGTTTGAAAAGACGATCGTGGTGCTCGGGAATGATGCCGTGGGACCGCTCAGACCGTAATGCACGCTGCTCGTCTTCAATCTTGGCCTTTTCAGTAGTAGCAGTATTATGGTCGCGATTTCCCAAAGCATCAGTGACATGGCGCCATAGTCTGCGACTCTCATGTTCACCCTGTTCTGAGATGGGTCGGACCTTGGGCGGGACACCTCGGTCCTTTGTTGCGTCGAAAAAGACTTCTGATTTGCCTGTACGGAGGTCCTTAATGTTCAAAACTTCGTTCCATTTACCCGTAATCTCATAAAGCGTCTGACCGTTTTTCGTAATAGTGCCCTCGACGGCATGCCAAGTTCCCGAAATGAACCCCTTGACCTTAAACTCGATATCAAGCTTCATGCCGGTTTTTTTGCACTCAACGATAGCGTGGTCACCCATTTCCAACTTGAGCGAGCCCAGCAGGATGTTCCGAGCGTAAATGTTGGGCTGTGTGATCGAGTAAGCCTCATCGTGGTTCTCAAACATCAGATAGCCGATACCCTCCATAATTGAGGCGGCAGAGTTACCCAAGAAGCGGCTGTAAGGTAGTAACAAACCATCCGCGCGAATGCCATGCTCGGGGATAATGTAAAAGTAAGAACTCTTAGGGGGGTGGTGGCTTGTCTGTTCGGCAACGTAGTAGGCCTGAGTTCCGTCCTCCAAATCCCACCAGCAGCTGAAGTACTCACCAAGAATGGGATTAAGAGGTTTCTTCACTGCCTTGGGGGCGATGTGCCAGCCAGCCATGTACCAGCGCACCACCTCCACGAAGCGGGCCTCTGGAGTTGAGGCCTCTGCGGCCCGGATAAGCTCCTGGGGATGCTGCATAAGGTTTGTGATGCGCTCTAGCATGGACTTGCGCTCCAGAATGAACGTAGGCAGGGTGATACGCGACAAATCTGCACCCGGCCGCAGCTGGGTGATGATAGCAAGAATGATGTTGCGGTTGCCGTCGTCAACCTCGTCGACATCGTCAATATTGTCGTAGTTCTCCTGCTCATTGTGATGAGAGTGTGACTTTTTGTCGTGTCCTTTCAAAAATGACCGCATCTTGATTCCAAGCTCTCAAATTTCCTGCTTTAATCCGACTCTTCTTTCTAAGAGTTGAAAGGTGAGGACGGATGACGGGACTGAAGCTTAGGCATACTAATCGCTGCCCCCTCCCCCCCTCGTCTAGGGTTTGGTTAGGCAAGGGGGGTTTTGGGAGACAGGCCGATGTGCAGAAACGGCTTTTTCTATGTTTGCCCTGCGGCAAATATATTGCGAGATTTTTTTGGTTGTAGTGTTTAAAATAGCTACTGAATTTAATGCTCCAGAATCGAGAGAGAGCCGGTAATGACGACATTTTCCAGCACCGAGCCATTGGGAACATGGATCTTGTTTCCCTCCTCGCACACCACGATAACCGTTCCCTTGAGCTCGACGTTGCGGCCAAAGAAGACATTACCGGTCACTGTGAGGTGATCGAGTTCGAGGATCTTGGGGATCTGCGGGAACCGTTCTTGGAAATTGCTGACCTTCTTGAAGTGAGGGCCGAGCTTGATCAAGGGTGCACCTCCGAACCGGCGGGGATCAATCGACAGAGATCCGTGATCTAAAGTGTACAAATCGCTCTTGACCACGAGCAGATCAGAGCAGGTCTTGACGGGCAAGAAGCGGGTACGGGGAACATTAATACCGCGCGAGTTACGGAAGTAGCGGATTGCAGCACCCACTGCAGTCTCGAGCTGCAGCACGTTTGTTTCATGGCCGCCGTGGCTGATTGACTTGGGGTTTACAATGATCTCCATCTCGAGCTCGTTGTTCTCGAGAATGCGCTTCATGGCACGCAGATCGATCCACAGATTATTGGTGTTGAAGTACTTGAACTTCTTGATCGACTTGAAGTCCTCCACGTGCTCCTTGGGCACCTGGGCAATTTCAAGCAGCTCAACTTTGCCATTGTGGTCAATCAACGTACCACCCTTGACATCGGCACGGGTTTTGTCTGTCAGCTCCATAATGTACTCGCTTCCGCTCTCGACCATGTGCTTGAGAATCTCAGTGTCCACGGTGGCCCCGAGGTTATCACCGTTGGATACAAACAGAACCTCTTTGCCTTGTTCGAGAAGCTCATCGAGAATACCGGTACGCAAAACGCTCTCGTACAGATCACCGTGACCGGGAGGGTACCACGAATCGACCGGATCGCTGGGCGAGTCGGGCAGAGGCAGCAGCGTGTCCCGGTTGATGCGGGGGAACCGCGACTGATTGAAGGTCCTGATATCGATGTTTCGGCCACGGTACTTTTCAATGATAGTGCTAGTATCATCGTCAGTGTTGAAAGAGTTCATGAGAATGAACGGAACATTGGTGCCATGCTCCGAGTTGAGATACTCGATCTGGCGCACCATGAGATCCAAGAATGTCTTGCCGTCGCGGACTTCGATAATGGACTTGGGACCGACGCAGCCCATGGATGTGCCGAGGCCACCGTTCAGCTTGAGCACGGCCAACTTGTCCAAGTACTTGGCGCCGTCCCGAGCCGAATTCTTGACAAGCTCGCCGTACTGCACGACCTGCTCGGGTTTGGGCGTAGCAACAGTGTCCCAATCGAGTTTATCGCCGCTCACGGTGGACAGCAGATAGCGTTGGTACATCGAGAAGAAGTTGTCCATTTCAAACTCGAAGCTGTCCCGCTCCTTCTTGTCCTCAATTTGGTCCGCAAGTCGATTCAGAGCATTGCGCATCTGGGCGGCTGCAATGTTGGTGGATGCCTTGTCCAGAGCCAGGGTACTTGCTTTCTTCTGACGAGCCATTCCGATAAATTGATCTTTTTTCCTAGAGGAGTTGAAAAAATAACACTTTCCCGCAAACTACTGAGGGGTTATAAGGTAAATGTCCAAAACATGCGGTGGACATTTTTTGGGAGCAATCGCGCGGTCGAGCGGTACCCTTACCCACATTTCCCGGTTCAGGCGGTGGGGTGGTGGGTGATTAAAGTTTCGAAACTGACGGGGAAACTTCAGGGTAAGTGCCCCAAAAAAACTTATAAATCCCCTGGCCGATTTAGGTAGCGGTTTCTTTACTCCAATTTCTGCCCCACTTCGCTTGTGTTCGTAGGATGATGGGTTCTGGTGACGGAGTAGAGAAAGCCCTGCGAAAAGTTTCTAGATTTGATACTTCTTGAACCGGACGCAGGGATCGTGGAATGTGCTCTTGAAGTGCTCAATATTTAATAGTATTTGGCGTGGGCGCATAAACTACATTTCGTGCTTTTCAATAATACATAATAATCAACAGAAAAAGTGATACAGACGCCCGAAGATGTTCTTCTGAGCAATCATAGCTTTCTCTTCGGCAATCTCTGCCCGCAGCTGCTCACGGTCGGCAACGCGAACACCCGTCGTGACGTCGATGTCCTTGACGCGAACATAGCTCCAGTGGCGGGTCCAGAGCTTGTGGGCAACAAACAACGCGAGGATGATGAAGAACGACAGGTAAGCCTGGAAGAAGTTGTAGGCATCCGCGCTCTTGGTGGGGAAAAGTGACACCCAGAACTGAACGATGAGAACAAACACAACGAAAAGGAACCCAACGAGGCCGCCCCATTTACCGAGAGGCGCAACATACTCAAGCTCGTCGAGGCCGATGCCGTTGTGCTCAAGGGCCATCCGGTGGCGGAAGAAGCACAGGTTGATAGACCCCCAGGTCATGAGCCCAGAGAGACCGGCCAAAGAAGACAGCCAGTTGAAGGCCTTGGAGAAGTTGGGGGCGGCGACAACGAAGCCAATTAGACCTACCAGAAACACGAGGCCGACAGCCAACACCGGGCGACCTTTGCGGTCGATCCACAAGAAGAAACGCGGAGCCTGGCCCTGAGCAGCCAGTGACACAATGGTACGCGAAGAACCAAAGACAGCCGCATTACCAACAGACAACAGAGATAGCAGAATAACAGTGTTGAAAACGCTAGGCAGACCGCTGATACCAGCGTGCTGGATAGCAATGACGAATGGAGACGCAGAGCCGTCCTTGGCAGTTCCCAAGCGGGGCTCGGTGTAAGGAACAAGTAGGCCGACCAACGTCAAAGAAACAACGTAGAAAATAAGAATACGCCAGAAAACCTGCTTGGTAGCCTTGGGCAGGGCCTTATGAGCAGCCTTGGTCTCTGCAGCAGCCAGACCGGCGAACTCGGTGCCCGAGAAGGCATAAGCGGCTGATACAAATACCTTAAACACACCTTTCGCACCATGAGAAAAGGCTCCTGGATCTCCCCAGTACTTACCACCAATATACTGGTGGTTTGGTCCACCACCGCAGACAAGGACAATGCCCAGGATAATGAAACCAACCACGGCAATCACCTTGATCGCCGACATGACGACCTCGACTTCACCGTAGCCGCGAACGCCAAACAAATTGACGAAAACAATAACAGAGTAAAACAGTGCAACCCAAGCGGCTTTGTTCACGTTTGTAGCGCCGTTGTCGTCACCTTTCCAGAAATCAATTGTTACAGCCGCGGCAACCATCTCAGTGGGCAAGTTCAGCGTCCAGTGGATAATATAGGTCCAGCCTACGGCGAAACCCCAACTGTAATCAAGGAAACGAGTATTGTATGCAGAGAACACACCGTTTACTGGGTATCGGACACCCATTTCACCGAGAGCAGACATGGTCAGGTACATGAGAACACCGACCAGGCAGTAAGAAATCAGAATGGCAGCTGGACCACCTTGGACTAGAGCGTTACCGGAACCCACAAAAAGACCAGCACCGATAGAGCCACCAATAGCAATCATCTGCAAATGGCGATTCGACAGCGAGTGCCTGAGGGGGATTTTGGTAGTCGCGGCGATAGCACGCTGCTGCGGAGTGAGGTCCTCATCATCATCGACAATGCCAACTGGGCGGAAGCTGTCAATAAAACTGCTGAACAGGTTCCCCTTTGTCTCTTCCTCGGAGCCCTCATAAACCGAAGTCTGCTCCTCGACCTTGGACACGACAGGAGTCTTTTTTTCGAAATCTGACGACATAAAATTAAATATGGGGCCTCAGATAAGCGTTCAAAAGCGATCGAAGTAACAGAGAAGGTGTATTAATAAAAAAAAACCTGATCGAGGCCAGTAAAGGCGCGGGGAAAACTGCAGGATTTTTTCCCCCATTTTCGCATCGATCCTGCCGTCTTCATGCAGAAGGTTCAGGGTATGCCCTAACGATGATCGTATCACCTGGTTGTTGAATGAGCTGCCACGGCCGTAGCACGCTGCAGCACGTCAGCTTATGCTACGGAATTCGTGGGGAATCAGTACTAAAAAAATTCCACGTTTTATGCTGGCTAGTTGCTTCAAACCAGGGTCCGTAAAACTGGGACGGCTTTCGAAATTTGAGGAGGGCAAGGGGAATGCATAAATTTTGAGACGGGATCTGCTGAATTACCGTTTGGACAGAAAAGATGTCATTGCCAAACGCGGCGATTGAACGGCGGGCTAAGCTTTTAGTACTGGTTGGATATATCCAGACACTCCGGCAGCGAAAGTTTTTTTTTGATTTGCACTCGTCTTCGCAAATTATCCCCCACACGCGCACGTAGATTCCCTCTGGGTTCGAGGTGCGCTGAATCACCTGCAGTTTGCATCGGCACTTGCACATCAGGAGGTCATGGGCAGAGCGTATTCCAGTCAGGTGAGTTCGAGAGGACACGGTTAAAACACGGTTACTGTGTTTTTGTACATGATTGAAAGGATTTCGGTTTTTTTCTGGCTGGTATGGCTTTTATCCGGGCTGTTTTTGTCCTTCTGTTCATGTCCTTTTGTTAGGGTTCGGGTGAGTCTTGCGGGGCCCGCACTCACACGACATAGACATCACGCATGTACAAGAATTTACACCAGGAGATAGCCGAACCGGCTTTTTTGAGGTGCAGAGTAAATCTTAAGCTCTACAGACTTCCACTGACCCGGCGGTCTCTCGGGCACTCGGCCAAATAGTTTCTCCGTCTCCTGTAAGGGCACGCACTATTCTTCAACATCAAGTCATAAAACCACACCCACAGTCTTGGCTGCGTCAATATTGTTCGATTATGCTTACTTTTTTTACTGCTCCGGCTATTGGCGCTGGAAAGAGTTTAAACAGGCATTATCGCACAGATATGGGAGGTGGACTATGGAGTCGTCTATAGGCTAGCTGTAAAAAAAAATAAAGAAAGTACATCGCCTTTGCTAACGCGATCAGTCGCTATCGTCCAAAAACCGCAGTGTAGCATCCAAAAAGCCCTTAGGGTTCTCAGAAATTACCCAGTGCCCAGCTTCGATATCGACCACCGTGAATCTGGGGAAAAGGTCGCCCATAAGAGGAAGAGCCTCGTCAGGCACGAACCTCGATTTAGTTCCTCTGATCAACAGAGTTGGGCCTGAGTAGCGATATTTTCCGGGCAAGTAGTCAAACTCTGATACATAACCAAGCGATTTGCCGAGAATATCCAGCGGGATCTGGGACGCGTACTCACCGTCGTCATTTTTCTTGAAATTCGCAAGCAGAAACTGCTGGATTGGTAGTTCCGGAGCGTACTTGGCCATGATTTCAGCAGCCTCTTTCTGGCTGTGTGGGCGGGCCCGATCCACCGCTTGCATGCCCTGGACATACCGCGGGAACTCCGAGCCAAGCGCAGTTGACAAAGGACTGTTGTCGACAGGAACGAGTTTGGACACGAGATTTGGTTCTTTCAAAGCAACCGCCATGGCTGCCCGGGCGCCCATGGAGTGACCGATCAGGATTGGCCTGTGAATGTCGAGGTCTGCAATAAATCTAGTCACGTCGGCAGCCATAGCGTCATATGTATGCACTTTAACGTGTGGAGACTCGCCATGGTTGCGCATGTCGGGGCAATATACCTTGCAGTTCAGCTCACGAGCCAAAACTCGCGAAACGGATCGGTTGTTTGTCTTCGTGCCAAAGAGTCCGTGAAGAAACACAATCGGGGCACCCATAGTCTCTCCCCGCGGCTCCCACAGATCGTACGCCAGTGGAACAGTCTCAATGTGTGTGGAATATAGTCTCAGCCCAGGCAGAACCGAGCTGATTCTCGTCGACCCGGTTCGCAGCATTTTGGTTCGTCAGCACTGAAACCTTTGACGGGGATAACCGAGGATGGACGAAACAGCCTCGACAGGAGCGGTCGCCAATTGGGCTGCCACGAGAGAAGAAGTTATAGAAATGGTGGCCAAGATCATCAAGACCGATTTCGACCCGGCTGAGCCGTTCAAGGATCCGCTCACGGGCACCGTTCGCACGGTCGACCAGCTGAGGCTGGACTTCTGCCAAGCGCTCTATGGGTTTGAGTCTGCTCCGTTCACAGTGCAGCGAATCGCAGAGCTGACCCTGGAGCCTACAAAGCATTTTGGAAGAAAAGATGTTATCAAGTATTTACATGCGCTTCTACACAATGTCCATGTGACGTCCACAGTGAACGACTTTGACGCAGAAGAAGATATAGACCACGAATCCGAGCGTGGGGTTGTGCTCTCTGACATCGAGTGGACGTCTTCGTAGTTTAGAGATTAATTTAATTATTGCTGTCCGCTGAGGACAGACACAATATCATCCTTGGGCCGAGGAGCCAGATCAGGGCGATTCCACTCAGCCGGGAACTCGTGCTGAGGGTACAGGCTGCGGCGGCGTGCCCGACGTTCGTTGGCAGCCCGGGGATCAAGCGGCACGTCCTCGAAAGTGTCTGATGGGTCCTGGGCGGTCTGCACAAGTCGCGAGTACACGTAACCAAGGTAGCGCTTATTCTGGGCCTGTTCGGGGAAGCGGTCGCTTGAAATCTTGATCTCGTTCCGGTCCGGGTCGTATCTGGGGCCCGCAAGCAGCTTGAGTTTGTGCAGCTGCTTCTCACCCAGACCAGTAGAGTCAGGAGAGAAGGTCAACACTACTTTACGTTCAGCCGGGTGCGATTCGCCAACAAACGTGTAGTGCTTGAACTTGAGATTCTCGTTTTTGGCCGGTCGCCGATACTCCGTAGCGAACTCAGAGAGCTGGGGCAGAGTGTACGCGGCAAGACGCACAAATTCACGGTATGTGCGGTGCTCTTCGAGCTGCAGGTGACCAGCCGAGGGCAAATCATCAAACTCAAACGGCCGGTTGAACTCGGCGCCTGTGGGAGTCGCAAACATCGCGATATCCGCTGCATCAACGAGCATCTTCTCAGCAGCACTCACAGCCTTCTTTGCATGCATACCGGGCTGGACGCCGTCGTAAACCTGCTTAATGAGTTGCTTGGGCACACCGAGTTCGCGAGCAGCTGCCTGCAACTGCGCAAAGTCCTCGGCAGACTTCTTGTAGGTCTTGTCGGCCTCCATACGCTCGAAACTCTTCTTCAGGATATCCTTGGCTCGCGAAGAGTACTGGCGAGCAAACCGACGCATTTCTATTCGTTATATTTCCTTGCGAAAATTGGTTTGGTGCGGGTTTTTTCAGGATGACAGTGGGTGATTTGGTAATTTTTCATCTTTTGTCATGCTGGGGATGATAAGATTTGCCGCGAGGAGAGCGGCGATTTGTCCGTCTCGCGCGGGGATTTTGAGCCAGAACGTTCGCTCCGCATCGTCCAAGGCCGCTGATGGAGTTGCTGACTTTTTGGCGTCGGTCAACGGCAAGCCAGAGGGCCGCGAACAGGCTGACAGCGAGGCCAAGGCTTGGCTTGAAGCCATGAAAGAACTACGGGATGAGTTCCGCCCCGATAACGAGCCATACAAGCCCAGCAAAGTTTTTGCACCCGAGGGATCTCGCGACTATAATATTCTCATCGATGCGGCCAACAAAGAGGCCGAGACGTTCGAGCCTACGCTTGCCCAGATCGCTCAGTTCGAGGCACTCAAAGACAAAGCTATTGCCCCCATGATGGATGAAACAATGGAGTACTTGGTTGGTGTCATCACTCGCCATGGGAAAAAGGCTCGGGCCCGCCGATATCTTAGCGAGGCTCTTTACTTGGTCTACTTGCAGACTCGCCAGGACCCCGTCAAGCAGCTGAAGCATGTTCTTGAGAAAATGGGCCCACTCATCCGCATGAAACGCTTTTCAGATGGTGGTGCCCGCGCAGAGCTTGTACCGCTGCCTCTTTCAGAGCGCCAAAGAATGCGTCAAGCTTGGGACTGGATCCTCGAGGCCTCAGACCGACGCCAAAGCCGCTCTTTCTCCGTTCGGTTGTCCGAGGAGATTTTATCTGCTATTCAGGGCAAGAGTCCTGGATTCGAGAAGAAGGTCACCGTGCACAAGACGGCCATCACCAACCGTGCTTATATCTCGCTCTTGAAATAACCAACATATAAAGAGTATTGTAAATAATCAAAATAACATTTATAGCACAAAGTTTAGGGAGACGAAGGGGCGTCCTTGTCCTTCTTCTTCTTGCGTTTCTTCTCACCCTCACCCTTGCGTTTCTTTTCAGAAGCTTCAGCTTTGGGTTTCTTCTCCGGGCTAGCTGGGGGTTCCTCCTCAGCATCGGACGCAGCAGCGGCGGCAGCCGGCGCGTCTGTGGGCGTGTCGGCAGATGGCCCGTCTTCTTGACTGGCCTGTTTACCCTCATAGGCTTCGCGAAGTTTATTGTACTTGGAAACAGCCTTGGCGTGATCATCTTCCAACGTCTTCTTGTGTTTAGGATCGAGCTGTGTCCATTTCTCGTGAACCATCTCATTAAGCTCAGACATTGTCAAAGGATCCTCCTTGTTGGCCTCACGTGTCCGGCGAATCTCGCGTTTGACCTCGTTACCAAACACAAGATAAGCGGGGAGAGGGCGTTTTGGCGCATTGGGGTCCTTCACCTTGGTGACCCGTTTGCGCTTCTTGGGCTCGGCAGCCGCATCGACGGCAGTCGGAGAGTCCGCGGCTGCCTTGACAGCCTGAGCATCGGCCAAGGCGGCAGCCGCCGCATTGATAGGCGCAGCAAGCGAATCATTCAGGCCAGCCGCCTCAATTTTATCGCTACCGACAAGATTCACGAATTCCACGATAGCATAGGACGCGTCTTGGGCGGCTTTAGACAGCGAAAATAGCGAGCTCACGAGCTGGAATTAGTATTTGGGTTGGACAATGAAAATCGACGGTAGTGATGAAAAAATACACAAACAATAGTGTATAATGTCGAATCCTTAGGCGGTTCCTTCCTCTGGGTTGGTCCGGAGTCTCACTTAATTCATTACTAGGTCTGGTCTTGAACTTACCGCGTCTTTGGCACCCTTCAGGTCTGTAGTAGTCATTTGGTAGACAAGGGAAAATTCTTAGGGCGCTTAGTGATATAAAGCAACTCAACTAAAACGAGAAATAGGGTTTCACTTACTCTCTGTCAGCAAGGCCAGAATGCTGACTGAAACATTCCAGCGCCGGCCATCCTGGGAAAGCGCTTTTAGGAAAGGCTCATGGGTTCGTAGTAGTAATTGGCAGTAGGTGGTAATCTTTCAATGTTTTTTCCATTTAGGGAATGTTTCAAGATGTTGCCAAAAAAACGGGTGCTGGTTCTTGGGCGTCCATAAGACGTGTCTCCTTCTGGCTCACTAATGTCCTGAATGCTTTTATGAAACAAGTACAAGTTCCATCCAGCTTGAGTTGAGCAAGGCGACAGTCTATAAACTAACTTTTTTTTTTCTTTTTTTACAATGGAGTATGGGTTCGAGTCTCCTCGTCAGATAGACTAGACAGTCCTTCTCCTCGGAAACACGTGCAACGAAATTGTTCGTTTTGCCCAAGCTCGGTTCATACAAATTACTAGATTTTTATTCACGTGAAGAAATTAAACGGCCAAGCAGGTTTACCGGGTTTCAAAGTCCATACCCCGCCTCCAGTCTCGGCATCTGGGGTGCATTGCATGTAGAAAGCCTAACGTCCAACTGTGTTTTCCGGTTGCCCTAAAGATCTTGAGACATTAGCCATCGAACACAAGCAGGCGTGCCTCTAAACTAGTGTATATAGGCGTACTATATAATGAAACTTTTGTTCAGAGAGTTCATGGCCTGCATTTACTGGCGAATGTATGAAGGTCTATCACATGTGCTTGAAAAATACGCACAAATGAGCTCATGGTGGCTCTGCCCCTCATCGAGTATGCGTAAGCCGTGGGCTGATTTGATCCCAAGAGGTCAGGGTAGGGCACGGTAGTGCGCTCGAACTTGCCGAGCAATCTTTTGCGTATGCCGAAGCGGCCAAATTGCGGGGCAACAGAGTCAATTAATCGGAACAATAACGAAGCTGTGCCAGTGCATACCTCCAGTTTCACACGAGCGTATCAGCTAGGAAATATCGGTTGCGGGACCCAACCGCAAATTTCGGCGCCTCGGCATTGTCGCAGGCTTATGCATGGAAGACACCGTTATATAAGTTTGCGGGGCCCCCGGACTCCATTTTCTCTAAATTAACATTGCCACATTCGCACAAAAAACAAATTCAGACATGAAGGCTAACAACACAGCTAGCCTTTTGAAAGATGGCAAGGAATTGAACACCTTCACGAGACCAGCAAGCGACATGCAAGCTGAGCGTGACCGCACCTCGTTCCCCGTCCGTGAAATGACACATTTCTTCAACAATGGCAAGGAGAACACTGAATTCCTTGAGAAGCTGTTTGAGCGTATCCAGCGCGACCCTGCCTTCAACAATAAAGACTTTTACGACCTCGACTACAAGCCGCTTCGCCAGCGGACTTTTGAGCAAATCGGCCGTATGTGGTCGTACCTCGATGAGCTGGGAGCCGATTCGCCCCTAGCTCGCCGTTTCCTGTCTCCATTCGGCATGATCAACCCTAGTGCTCAGACCCGTGTTAGTGTTCACTATGGTTTGTTCGTCTCCGCCTTGCGCGGCCAGGGTACTGACAAGCAGTACGAGTTCTGGAAGAGCCAGGGCTGCCTCAGCCTCAACCGCTTCTATGGCTGCTTCGGTATGACTGAATTGGGACATGGCTCCAACGTTGCTGAGCTTGAGACCACTGCTACCTTCGACAGGGCTACTGATGAGTTCATCATCCACACCCCCAACACCGCCGCAACAAAGTGGTGGATCGGTGGTGCTGCTCACTCTTCTAACCACACCGTCTGCTTTGCTCGCCTGATTGTTGACGGAAAGGACTACGGTGTGCGCAACTTTGTCGTGCCCTTGCGTGATCCTGAGTCCCACAATCTGTTGCCGGGCATCGCTGTTGGCGATATCGGCAAGAAAATGGGCCGTGATGGTATCGACAATGGCTGGATCCAGTTCTCAAACGTCCGCATCCCCCGTACCTACATGCTGATGCGCTACTCTCAGGTCACTCCTGAAGGCAAGGTTATCGAGCCTCCGTTGGCTCAGCTCACCTACGGTGCTTTGATTAACGGTCGTGTCGCTATGGCCTATGACTCTTGGGTGTGGGCTCGCCGCTTCCTTACCATTGCCCTTCGTTACGCTGCTGTCCGTCGCCAGTTCTCTTCCACCGAGGGCCGTGAGGAGTCCAAGCTGCTTGACTACGTGTTGCACCAGCGCCGCTTGATTCCTCTGTTGGCTCAGGCTATCGGTATTGAGGCTGCTGCTACTGAGCTCTACCGCCTGTTCGACGAAGTCACCCACCACCAGGCTTCTTTGGATACTTCCGACCGCAAGGCGGTGAGCGACATGGTTGATAAGACCAAGGAGCTGTTCTCTCTTTCGGCAGGTCTCAAGGCATTCTCGACCTGGGCCACCGTTGACACTATTGATGAGTGTCGCCAGGCTTGTGGCGGTCTCGGTTACTTGAGTGCCACTGGCTTCGGTCAGGGCTTTGACGACTGGGTTGTCAACTGTACCTGGGAAGGCGACAACAACGTTTTGTGTCTCTCCGCTGGCCGGTCTTTGATCCAGAGTGGTTGCAAGGTTTTGGACGGCAAGCACGTCACCGGTGCCGCTGATTACCTGGGTAGAATCAAGACACTGCGCGGCAAGTCTCTTGCTTCCGGCGATCTCCGTGACCCCAAGGTCTTGGTTGGGGCTTGGGAGTCTGTCGCCGCCCAGGCTGTCATGGATGCCGCTGAAGCCTACAAGAAGCTGCGTGCTCGGGGCGTTTCTGACAAGGCCGCCTTTGAGGAGCTGTCTATTGACCGCTTCAACATTGCGCGCCTCCACACCCGCTGCTTCCAGATCAAGGCCCTGTTCCGCAAGATCGCCAACGCGAACCCTTCTATCCAGAAGGTCCTGACGAACGTTGGTCTTCTTTTCGCGCTGTGGTCTATTGAGAAGAACGGATCGCCCTTCCTGCAGTACGGATTCTTGACCAGCGACGACATGAACAAGGTTATTGACCTCGTAACGTTCTACTGTGGTGAAGTCCGCGACCAGGTCATTGGCATTACTGACTCGTTCAATATCAGCGACTTCTTCCTGAACTCGCCTATTGGCAACTACGACGGCAATGCCTACGAGAACCTCATGGACAGCGTAACCGAGCGCAATGTTCCGGGTACTCCGTGCCCATACCAGGACGCTATGAACGCATTCTTCAAGCGCACTCCCTATGAGCAACCCAGGCTCGATGAGATTTAATAAGAAAACGAAGTGAGGGAGGGCGACGAGTCCCTCGAATATCTATTTTAGTTTCGAACTACTGTTAACAGAAATAAGCTTTATAACAATTTTGAGCAAGTTCTGGCCCGCCACCTGTGGGGAGCTTATATGACGCGTGCTAACTGTTAGAGCCTCATGCAGAAACCCTGCATTCGGTACGAGGGGTACCGCAGCATACGTTTACGCGAGAGACACCTTGACGTATTCAGGGTCCCTGGGTGGCAGAGACATGCCAACCCGGACGTCCCGGTGATACTGGCTGCCCCCCAAAAATGGTCAAATTTTTATGCGGAATCCACTAAAAATAGGTTTTGGCCGCCTGTTGTGTGCTCCCGATGGCTTCTGCCAATCTTTTTCCTCTGCGCATCCGATCGGCTACGGCAGCTGACGCATTTTAGGATCCCGGAAATAGTTTATTTTTAAACTACGAGTGGGCGGTTATTACCAAAAACCCTGGTGTGCGTGGAAACTGTTGGTGACGCAAGTTGAAGTGTTTTCTGAAATATCTGGCCTTAATTTTCGTATTACTTTCTACTCGTCGATGATTGGAGGCAAATCGAACATTCCTTCAAACGGCACTGCTAGAGAAAATCCATAAGCGTTTAAACCTAACTCAAACCCTTACCGCCGATTTCTTGTCTGTTGGTGGCAGGGGCCCCCCACCCCTGCGTGAGTGCAAATCCGGCTTACGCAGCACAAGAGAAAAATCTCGGAGGGGGGCGCGTTCTATTATTCACTCTCCTTATTACAGCACTAGTTTTTGTTGCTTTTCGTAAAACCACCCTACGATTGCTAACAGACAGTACTAGTCAACAAAGAGTGCTTCTTTCGTCATTAATCACTTGACACAACCGCTGTTAACGTTTGACCCAATGGTGGACGACCAGGACAATCTGATCCCGCTCCAGGACAGACACCGGCCGCACAAGGGGAAATTGGGCCTTATCAAGGCTTTCCGGCAAAAGAGCTGGAGTCGTGGTCTTCGAACTAAAAAGGGCGAGCGTGTGTTGTTTTACATGGTGATTGCAGTCGGTATCACCACTCTAGCCTTCAAGCTAGCGACCTTGGGGCTCCACATTGCTTTATACAGCACATCGGTATTCAGTGATTCTATTCCGCTCACAACGCCACGAGCATGGTACGGCTTGACCGGTGTCAGCATTGGCATTGTCCTTGTTAACTCGCTCTTCTCTGTGTGGAAGCACGCCAGATTACGCAAGTTCATCAAGCAATCGGAGTCGGCTTCCCTTGAAAAGGGATTACCAGTGGACGCAAAGATCTTGCCTCCGAAAGCGACTCTATTCCAAAATATTGGCATTCTTTCCTGCACAGTTCTGAACTTGTTCATGCTGGTCACCACGATTGCTTTGCTAGTCGATTCGTCGTCACGAATGTTGGAAAATGATTACACGGCAGTTTCGCTGGCACTGGAGGTCTTGGAGAGTTTTGCCGCTGGACTGAGCGCTATTTTCACCATTTTGGATATCATGTACCTGTGTTGGACGGTGTTTATGTTTTCGCAGAGCATTCTGCTCGTCGTGTCGATCCTCAACTTTGTCATTGCAGTCTTGACGGTCTTTATCAATGACCTGACTCGTGCTTTGGTCAATTACAATAACGACGAGAATCCTTACTCCATTTTCGATGACGATAATGGTACAAGTTTCAATGTAAACGTCCATGCATTCAGCCATTACCGTGTGTATCCTATGTTTGCTCTTGTTGAAGGCGCTGTTGGATTAATGGGCGTCGGCATATGTCTTGTCGTTGGTGCTAGCAATCGGTTGACCGTCACACTCGCGGATCTGATGCGGTTTTTCGTGCTCTGTTCCATCGTGTCCAGTATCCTTAATGTCGTTTGGTTCGCAATGTCTTGTGCAAATACCGGGCTTCAGACAAACAACCCCTACATGCACGAAGCTATTATTGCAAACCCGGTGTTGTCCTCTGTTGGTTTCTGTCTTTTAATTATTGGTATTCTTACCTGTGCACACCTACAAGCTCAACCACCTAATAAATTACGGGTTCAACCGTATCGCCTGGATAGTTTGACTCCTCAAAAGCTGCGGGCCTGGGAAGCGCTGATTGATCAGTACAGTCGATCTATTCCAGGTGCCGCGTCCGGTAAACAAGCACTGGACCTTATGCAGGCATATGTCAAGTCACCCATGGACGGCATGGATTGCGTAGTCCTCCGCGTTTACGACGAGGAAGTTCGAGACCGAGAACAGGAAAAGTCATACGAAAAAGTTCGTGCGTGGCAACAGCTTGATACTCAGTCGCTTTTTGAAGATAACGATGGGGTGGCCGATGTATTAACTCTTGTGCCTAGCGATGGGTCTCCCGCCGCGGGCGAGAAAAAGATGTCAAAGAATGCAGCTAAGCGGGCTGCTCACAAAGCGGCTAAAAAGCAGGCAAAGGGTAACAAGCGTGATAGTATCAATTATCCTATCACTGCTGCACAGAACACCAACGAGCTACAGGCCGATCTCGAGTTCAGAGCAGAGCTGATGGCAACAGAGGCTTTGGTTATGCTCACTCAGATTCACGAGTATGACTTGACTGCTCCCATCAATGGACGGATGGGAAAGTGGCTGCTCAAGACACTGGGTGTCGAGAGTTGGTCGAAGCTGCTGGTAGTCCGCATGGGTCTTCTTGCTACCCATTGGCCATTCAGACAAGCCATTTTTTATACAGCGCCTACGAAGCGACCAAACGCGCGGTCTGCGGCTGTCTTGCAGGCAATCGCCGAATGGAATATCAAGCGGCCTCGTGCAGAACGGTGCACTATGCTACTTGACCCTGTCCCAGCTTACAATGGATCAGAACAAAGCATCCAACCTTCAGGTTGGCTCCCCACCTATGTCCCACCTTCGCATGTTGTTGATCTCCGAAAGTTCAAAGGAAAGCAGCTAACTGATTACTTGAAGGCCATCAAGTACCGCAACCAGGCTGTTGCGTTCAATAAAGCCAACGGCGAAGTTGTGGAAACTAGCGATTTCTCGTATGAAAATTGTTCAATTGTCATGAACTTGTGGCACAAGATTGCTGAAAAGCGCACTAGTGAGGGATACACGGCAGTGCTCAAAGACCCCAATGTGGACTTCTTGATGAGCTTGGGTGACAGCGAAAACAATCGCAACTCTTATCGCAAGCTCTTGTTCTTGAAGGTCGATGGCGAGGTCATCGCATCTGCTGTATTGTTCTTCCTAGGCGATACTATCACGTCGGATATCCAAGGACTCGACCACGAAAAGGCTCGCCAGTTCAAAGCTTACTTTGTGATGATGCAGGAAACAATCGCAATTGCCCTGCGTGATAACATTTCCTTTGTCGATTTTGGCCCTACCACTGGTAAGGCCAAGATGGATATCGGAAGCAGAGAAATCCCGCTCAAGGGTGCTATTTATGCGCAGCAGCCCCTATCCACGATGGTTCAGTTGTTTGCTGATCAAGTTCACAGCGGCTAGTTCAATCCAAATCCGACTCATGTTCAGCTGCTTTATATTTACTTGTTTTTATGGTCTTCATTCATATATATATATATATATATATACACATATTTTACGTAGAATGTGATCTTACTCGGTGAATATGCACGGCCTCTTCGACAACTTCTTCGACGGTTTCGAAATGCAGCGAGTTGTAGCCTTGTTCGGGGACCTCGTCGATTGATTCTTGTCGATTGATGACCACGAATGAATAAAATACTAGCGCTGCTCCAACAAAATACAAGCTGGATCCAAAGCGGTGATATAGCGCCATTTCTCCAAGTATCGAGAGAGGTATGGTTGCGCTGAGCCCGACGGTGACCACCAATGGGCTTGTTAACAGCATTGCCAGAACCCAGCAAATGTCCGACACAAATATGACGACACCATTGAGCCCGATCAAGATCCAGTCTCGGGAATTGGGTGGGAGGGCAAATGGCTCTACGCCGATATAATCAAGCAGAATCAAAAACGGCCACAGCCCAACGATGCTGAACAGTCCCACAAAGCCAAAAAACAGCTTGGTGTTGAGGTTGCTTTCATTGCCTACCCGGTACTTAAGGAGCGTGGTATAGACGCCGTACAGGAAGGCACTGCCAAGGGCGAGTAAATTCCCAAGCAGGGCATTGTCTGGGGAGGTTTCCTGCTTGCCGTCTTCGCTGGAAACTAGAACGATTCCGACAATCAGCATAGTGAGGGGCCAAAGCTTCGCCAGCGAGAACTTCTCCACCCCACACCATGAGCCGATGATGAGAGTAAAAAACGAGGATGTGCAGGAAATAATTGTTGCCGATTGGACGGTGGTGTAGACATATGACGCATTATTCAGTAAATTCGCCATATACCACAGCAGGCAGAATTGAGAACTGAGGGTGGCCGTTTTGCGAGTGGAAAACTGACTGGTCGTCTGGTCATGCGGGTCTTTTTTCTTGGCTCGCAGCGCCGCAGGAAGGTACGCTACCATCAGTCCTGTGTTCAAATAGGTAATAAATGCTGGCTTGTGGTAATCTTGACCAATGGCATTAACAAAAAACCCACTGGCTACCCATAGTACAACCACTAGTCCCAGTAGAGATAGGCCTAACGCCCATCGACGGTTCTCCATATAGTCAGCAACTTCGGACATTTCTTATCAGTGCAGTTATATTATGTTCATGCTAAGGGATGATTAAAAAAAAACCAACAAAAATAATTTAGAAACTCCAGCGATCACCAGCAACTGCTGTTGTTTCGGTCGTGGCCAGCGCCAACTCTTGAATTGAGTCTGTTCGGGTTTTCACCAGTTCTTCGGCGTTCGGGTGAGCCCGCACTCGGCTCAGGGCACTTTGGGCTAACGAGTAGTCTTTGAGTCGCATAGCTGCATCGAACAGTCCTACAGCTGCTGCTCCGGACTTGTCTGTAACAAGGGCCAATGCCAACCAGTGTTTTGCCAAAGCCGCTTCTCCAAAGTAGTTGAGCAGCAGCATGCCTAGAGGAACGAATGCATCGCTGAGCCCGTGAAATGCGGCCATTTCCAGGTGGGCCCTTGATGCTTCACGATTGGCTTCACGGAGCTGTGCAAGGAAAAAGTGGCAGTCGGCAACTTGGCGAGAATCCGCTGCATGTTGGCAAGCTTCTGAAAAGGCCGACAGGGCTCTGCTCAAATCTCCCTGTTTGAAGGATAAATGTCCAATATTTCTCCAGCACTCTGTTTGTAGCCTGTTGTCTTCTAGTCCATCGTCCACTGCAAGTTGGTAGAATTTTGTAGCTTGAGCGAGTTGACCCAATTTGTAGGCCAAGTCGCCAGAGATTTTGTATGCAAGAGGGAATTTGCGGTCCATTAACTTTTTCAACAGATCAGAGCCATCTTTCCAGTCCTGTTCGGTGGCTGATTTCTCGCTTAAACGAGCGCCGCATAACAGGGCAATAGCCGCTCGATCCCCCATTTCAGCCGCCGTTTCCAGCAACGCCATCTCGGCCTCGACAGCCAGTCTGCTCACTGTGGACTCTCGCCGCCTCCATGTTTCTAATGCTCTTTTCAAAGTCACTAAATCGCTAGCGTTCACGCCTTTCGGTAGCCGGGTCTCTGCCAAACACGAGGCAACCGCCTGCGATGCCTTGTTGTAGCTAATGGGAAGCTTGAGCTCGTAGAAATACTTGCGTAGCACCCGTTTGGGTATCCCTGCGATCATCTTGCACCAGCTTGCGGGAAATTATCACCTGTCGTTTTCCCCAACCTCTAAGCGGTTGACTAAAAGCCCCCTGCCAGCCAGTCATCAGACAGTCACAGCAACAACAATGTCGGACTTTTCTCATGCGGTTATTGGGGGAGGCGTTGTAGGGTTGGCAATTGCTTCCAGACTAGCTCGGCGATATGGGCCTCGGGTCATTTTGCTTGAAAAAAACGCCGAGACCGGCCAAGAAACAAGCTCCCGCAATTCAGAGGTCATTCATGCTGGTATCTACCACCCGGCCGATTCTTTGCGAACCAAACTGTGTATAAGGGGCCGCGAACTGACGTACGCATTGGCCAAGAAGCGCAATCTCCCGGTCAAGAATTGCGGCAAGTGGGTGATCGCGCAAGATGAAGAGCAACTGGCTGTTTTGGAGGTAATGAAGAAGCGCTCCGAGGTCACAGGTGTTCCTTTGAACTGGCTAGACCTTGACAAGGCCAAAGAATTGGAACCCGCCATCATTGCTCGCAAGGCTATCCTTGAGTCACCCACGACGGGTATCATGTCTGCTCATGCGTTCATGGATTACCACATTGCCAAAATCCAGTCCTATGATGGTGAGCTAGTCACCCACACAAAGGTAACTGGAGTAAGCAAAGAGGCTGAAGGCTACAAGCTGACCTGTGAGACGCCCGATGGCATCACAGAAATCACTGCCGACGCGGTAGTCAACTCGGCTGGGTTGTATGCCGCCGATGTCTCAAACATGCTCTTGCCTAAAGATCGACAATTGAAGGCATACTATGGCAAAGGATCCTACTTCAGCTACGCTCCTAGCCAGCCCAAGGTCAGTCGGCTTATCTACCCTACCCCTATCTCATCGGTGGCTTTGGGTACTCATTTGACTATTGATCTTGCCGGTCAGTTGAGATTCGGTCCCGATCTTGAGTGGGTTAGTTCACCTACTGACTTACAGGCAAGCACTCAAAACCTTGAGCAGGCTAAGAAGGACATTGCCGAGTACATTGATCTCGACCTCGATGCGCTTACCCCAGACTATGCTGGAATCCGTCCTAAAACAACTGACTCACAAGAGTTCCAGGACTTTACAATTCGTCAGGAGAAAGGTTTCCCTGGGTTTATCAATCTTTTGAACGTCGAAAGCCCCGGGCTGACTTCTAGTATGGCCATTGCCGAGTACGTCGAGGATCTGGTAGCTTGATTCATAACGCCAGCGCTATGACTTTTTAGGCAGCTCTGTAGTTCGCGTAGGTGCCGGTGCGTCGCGGAAATATGCTGCCAACAACGCCTCGTCCGTAGTAACTCGCTTTATAGGGTCCATAATAATCATTGAGCACATAAGATCTAACGCGGCGTCTGACGCTGCAGAAAATAGCTCCTGTAGCTGCTGTCGGGTCGGAGCTGGGTGTCTTGGGGTTGAAAACTTGCGGTATTCTGGGAGGGCATCGACTCCTTTCCATTGAGAAGGCAACGGGGTGCCCAACGCTTTAAAAGTGATTTCTAGTTGCTCCTCGTCAGTTTGGCCAGCCAAATAGGGGACTCGGAGCATCAATTCGGCAAAAATTATGCCTAAGGACCACACATCGACCGCACCCGTGTAGTGACGGGCGCCCATAAGCAGTTCAGGCGCACGGTACCATCGAGTAACCACGGTCGGCGTCATTCGTTCGTACGGAGTGAGAGCCATGGCCCTTGCCAGACCGAAATCAGCAATTTTGAGTTGCCCATCGGGTGCCAACAGCATATTATTAGGTTTTAGATCACGATGCAGCACAAAGTTCCGATGGCAATGGTGCACACCACGCAGCATCATTAGCAACCAGGATTTCATATCTGCCTCAGAAAAGACGACAGAGCGGTCCCGGATAAGCATTTCCAGATCGCTGGGCAGAAATTCAAGCACCAGGTTAATGTTGCCGTCGGCTACAAAGACGTCCAACAGCTCAATCACGTTTGGATGGCGCATCTCTTGAAGGAACTTAATCTCGCGAATGGCCGTCATGTCCAGCCCGTTTTTGAATTCATTAACCTTGATCATCTTGACCGCAACCTTTCGGTCTGTCTCGGCCTGTCGACCAACATATACAATAGCAAACGTACCCTCTCCAACTTTTTTGTCTTTGGTGTACATGCTTACCTGAAATAGTTGAAACAATCCTATATAGTTATATCAAGCTTGGTCACCGAGCAAGGTGTAAATCGGAGCCTTGAGGACCTCACGTCCCTTGAGGAACAGCAGTTCAAGCAGAAACACGTACTCAATCGTGATACCGCCGGCCTGCTCGACAAGGCTTCCAGCGGCAGCAGCAGATCCACCGGTAGCGATAATGTCGTCAACAATTATGACCTTCTGGCCCTTGGCAATGGCGTCCTTCTGCATAACAAAGTCGTCCTCGCCGTACTCCTTGATGTAGCGAGCTTCGTAAGTCTCACCAGGAAGCTTGCCCTTCTTGCGCACCGGAACAAAGGGAAGCCCCAGCTGCAGAGCCAAAGTAGGACCAAACAAGAACCCACGAGCGTCCAGCCCAACAATCACGTCGGGCTTCTCCTTGCTGGACTCAATATGGATTTTGAGGGCGTCGATTAGCATCTGGAACGTCTTGGGCGACCGGAAAATCGGCATGATATCCTCGAAAAGGACTCCCGGTGTAGGAAAGTCCTTGTACTGGCGCAATGCCGCCTTCAATACAGACTGGATCTCAGAGAGCTCGGTCATGTCAGATGGTAAACGCAACCGGCGATCTCTGATTATTCACGGCTGCACCTCTTGGGGTTAGACATAAACTCATTGGGGAACCTGCAGAACCGATTTCTGAGATGTTCCGCAAACGACCCCGGGTAAGTAAATCTCAAGAAACCTCTTTAGGCCTGCCTCCGACAGAAACCGTTGTTGCTGCGCACTCAATTGAATTCGCCACACAGCATTTTGAACCGGTATCCCGGTCGTCTACCGGGGAAACAATTGTGCAATCGCAGCAAGGAGTTCAAATTGGCTCTTTTGAGGCAAATTCAACACAATGCTTACGCCGTTTACAGGTCAATGTGACCTCTGCTGGGGATGATGATCCTCCCGAACAAGAAGCTGGCAGCAAGGGGCCATCTGGGGACCCCACTCCCGCCACCACTACCAACAGTCCACGTTCTCAGACCTGGTACAGTTGGGCATTGTCACGGAAATCAAACGACTCTCAAATTGAGCCCCAAAGTGAGTCGAACGAGTCGTCGCAAGCCCCTGAAGATATCGTTAAAGGCAAAGACACAGAGGGCAGTTCCTGGGCATTTTGGTCAAAAAGAAATTATACAGGAAACCAAGATGAAGGAGAGTTGGCAATTACTGGAACAGATAGCGCCCAGCACCCTAAACATGCCACTGTTGTCGAACACAAGCCCCTAAAGTCGTCGAAAAAGTCTCGGCCAAGTTTGGTGATCCCCCCCTACGTTTCGAGCTTGGAGTGGCAAAGTCCAAAAAACCGAATATTCTCTTCGCTGGCAAGATGGGGGTTGGGGCCGCATCAGCAGAAAGTGTATCGTACCAAGCCCCCTGCAGTCAAACGTGTAGTGGTGGTCGGTGTCCATGGATACTTTCCAGCCCGCATGACCCGAGCGATTCTTGGTGAACCGACTGGCACTTCTATCAAATTTGCACACGAAGCCGCTGCTGAGCTCGAATTGTGGGCTGCAGAGCACAATTACCAACTGGAAATTGAGAAAATTGCATTAGAAGGTGAGGGCAAAATCGATCATCGGGTATCGTCGCTCTATCTTTTGCTTTTAAACTGGCAAGATCATCTCCAAAATGCAGACCTTGTGTTCTTTGCAGCACATTCTCAGGGCACTGTGGTTACAACGCACTTGATTGCCAGACTATTTACTGATAAGTTGTTGAAACCAAACCAAAGAGTTGGGTTCTTGGGCATGGCAGGCACATGCTTGGGACCCGTACCTGGTATGGATCAAACCCTAGTCGGTAAAGCCATCACTCGAATTGAAAATGATAGTCTCCAAGAGCTGTTCCAGTTACAAAATCCGCACTCAACGTTGAGTAAAGCATTCATGGCTTCTTTAAGCAGTATTCTCAGTCAAGGTGTCAAAATCACTCTGGTAGGCGCAACAGATGATCAGCTTGTGCCGTTATTCTCGGCACTGTGTACCAGCGTCAGCCATCCAAACTTACTGAGAGGCGCTTACCTCGATGGAGAGGACGTTGCTCCCGAAGTTATTGCACCACTCCTTGAGCTAGCAATTATGGCTTTAAATCGTGGCCAGTCAGATGCCGGTGTCATTGTAGAGTTGTCAAGTGCTTTATCAGGCGCTCTGACAGGCAAGGGCCATTCAAAGCTCTACTCAAACAATCTTGTCTACCGATTGGGTATCGAAGCAACTCTAGAAACGTCCACCTGCACAGCCGTGCCTCCAGTCATCGACGAAAACTTTGTCCCACCCCGGAGCAATCCATACGTTCTGCCCTGGGCTCTTCATGACCTGTTCACCCAGCTTGAGAATCAGCCAGAGTTTACGCATACTATCGATCGACTCAAACAAGAATATGCTTCCTGGAAGCCCGAGGCCAAAAACCTCAAAGATTTAAAGTATCGAATGGGTGCTTTGAAGCGAGCTAAATTATAATTGTCTATACATCTTTTAATGCGCTAGAAATCAAGTTGCGCAAATTCTGAATGGCTTTCGGAACCGCAGGAACTCGGGGTCGTTGCAATGGTCGTTCAACGGGCCGTTCGTTTGTTGGCCTTTTATGTCGTAGAGATGGGACATCCAGTACATCAACAGTCCGTTTGACTGGTTTTTTAGGCTTGAACAAAAGAGGCGACGGCGGCCGTATGGGTTTGGGGGGCTCTTCGACCACCGCTGGTGAAGGCGGGGTAGACGAAGTGCGCGACCTGGACCGAAACAATTGGCTGAGGTGCGTTTCGTCTATAGTTGTCGGCTGGTTTTGACGAACACGTCGCGGACGGGTCTGTCTTATCATAGCCTCTGCTTCCAAAGCTTCCTGTAGTCGTCTCTTTCGGCTTACAACTGATGTTGCCTCTTTTCGTAGCATTTTAAGCGTCTTTTTCACCAGACTTCGTCGGTATAGCCGCTCAGCTCTGGCCAGGAGCGAGATATCATTATGCGTACTTTCTTGGACCACTGCCAGCAGCAGATCAAGAGCATTTGATGCGACCTGGGAAACAAAAGTATCGCGTTGTTTCTTTCGTAGTTGGTGAGCTGCTGCCATAGCCATCGCTCTTTCATTTTCAGCTTTTCGTGCTGCAGCAGCGCGTTCGGCTTCTTCTTTTGCTGCAGCGGCCTTTTGAGCCGATCTCTCGGCGTCTGCCTTAGCGGCTGCTGCCCTTTCGGCCTGTGCGACTGCTTGTTGTCGTTCAGCTTCAGCTTTGGCCTTTTCAAGGTCTCTTTTCTGCTGCAACTTTAGCTTTAAAGCTTTTTGGTGTTCTTGAATCACAATTTGATGGATGGGCTCTTTGGCTATCAACTTGTCAATGAACTGCCTAATCTCATAGTCTGTTGGGCCGATCTTTCGTGCTTGCACGCCAGGGAACGCCAGAACATCAAACGACAGTCGCTCACTGATGAATCTTTCGCAGGGCTGAGCCATCGCTTTTTTGCTCTCTGGCTCTTTAAACCCCTCTAGCAGCACAAACTCTCCTTCAGTTTTGAGATCATAGTATGACCTAAAGGCCTCAGAACCTCCTTGGTCAAACCCAAGAAGCTCTTCAAATCGTTGAAGAGAGTATTTCCGTAGCGTACGGTGGTGTAATGATCGATAAAGTGCCTGGATTCCAGCGAGCCGTATGGAAACAAAATGGGTTTCAGCAAGACATTGGAATAGCACAGGAACATCCGGTGAACGGACACGTTTGAAAAAAGAAGCAATCAAAGCCTGCCGAGTACCTGATGCTGCTAAAGCACGCAGTTCCAACGCCAACAGTACAAATGGATGTTGAGCAACATGGGGCGGAAGAGTTGTTACCATATAATCCATTTCGGGGTCGCGGAGGTGGCTCAGTAACTGGTATGCACGAAATTCAGGCTCGTTGGGGTTTGTTATGCCATTTTTTTGGCTCTCCTTGTATAGGTGGTCCAAAGTTTGCAGAGCTTTGTTTAACTGCTCGATCTCCTGCTGGCTACTGTAATCACCAGGATCTCCAGCCATAATGTGCAACGTCAACAAGTGAATCCTGACAATGACCTCGTTGCAAATCACGGCCTCGGGGCCAACGTAGTGCTGGTAAGTAAAGTCCTGGCGAATCGACCGGGTTCGATCCCATAGGAACGACTGGCTTTTAGGCAGTTGTGGAACGATTTCTTGCACCAAATACCCAAGAGTTTCCATTAAAACACGCGGAGGACGTACATCGCTAGGCAAAGCCGGCGGCTGACCAGCTGCCGGACGACTGAAAGCCTTGACTGCCCTGCGAGCGGTAACCAAGCCGTCTGGTTCGCGTTCAAGGGCCTTGATATCGTTCTCATAAATACGCCTGACACGCTCAAAAATCGGGCACATGGTCTGACATGTACCAATAAATACAATGGCGTCCGAAAGCGCCTTTCTTGTGTCCAAACGGTCGACGAGTCCTCTTGACTCCATTTCACGACGCTCGTCTTCGCGCATCTGCTGAAACTTTGTGATCAGGTCCTTTATGGCGCCTGGAGACGTGCCAATCTGGTTCTCGAGCTGTAATAGTTTGGCCTGGTTGCCAGCGTCCCATGGATCAACCTTCTCCTCAAGGTAAAAGAATGAAGGTGGAGGCTTTAGTAGGTATTTTGAGTCCCTGGGACGTGGATAACTTCTATTCTGGAACCCTGGTCGTCCCAGACCTAGAATTTGCTGTACATCCGTCACCACGCCGCGCGAGTTACTGGTTTGTTTCTGGTTCTGAAACGGGTTTCCATCCGGTTTCGCCCGCGGCCGACGGGACCGGGGCCGGCGATTTTGCGAATCAGCCATCACACAATCAGACTATCCACGCAGATTGTTTTTGGGCCCTTCCAATGCAATGTCGCCAAGTGTGGCCCTACTGAGTTCGACAGAAGAAAAGACCCGATTACGTACAGGATCAGGCTTGTCATTCACCTGTCACAATGGAAAAGACGTCTCAGTCCACGCCAGCCAAGCCCGGCAGCCTTCCTCCGGTTGAGTTCGCCGAGGATGCTCAGAAATTTATTTCTCGCTGCACCAAGCCCGACAAGACTGAGTATTTCAAGATCGTTCGCGCCGTGGGTGCTGGTTTTCTCATGATGGGGGCCATTGGATACGCCGTCAAGCTCGTGCACATCCCCATCCGCCACCTCATCACTGTTTAAGTGACCAGGACCTTTTAATCAAATAGAAAACTAAAACCCAAGCCTCGTTTTTCCATACCTCTGCCCGCAAAAACACCCACCCGCGTCGCGCCTTGACCTACCTCACACCCCTCTACGTCAGCACTTATGAGCCTCTCTGCCCCCCTTAGACGCCCTTCTGAGTCAGCTGGAGGTTCTCGTTTTCAGTTGTAAATCGTTTTGAAAATGGCTGAGGAGCATGCAGTTGCTGAGCCTGTTGTTGAGGACATTGGAGAGTCCAAGTCCGAGTCCCCTGTTGAGGAGGCTCCCGGAAACAATGCCGCATCTGAGTTCATTGCCGAGCTTACCGGCAAAGAGGTCATTGTGAAGCTGACGTCGTCTATTGAATACCACGGCCTACTCCAGGCTGTTGACGGTTTTATGAACATTACTTTGCAGAACACAAGAGAAGTGTATGACGGCAAGCTGGTTTCTGAGTTTGGCGATGTATTTCTTCGTGGATCCATGGTGGCCTATATTGCGGCCGCTTGATGGCTTTGGGCACTACAATTTGCGGAACTGGCAGGCCAACCGTGTCGATTGTGTCGAATCCAACAAAATAATACGCTGTAAGTTTTAATTAGAGGGTTTTCTACTTCAACTTGAGATTAATAATTTTTATATTTTTTTCCCATGGCAGACCAGAAATCAGAGTTTGCCAGTCTCGTAGAGCATATTTTGCCGCCAGTACCAGCTCAAGAGTCCAATGGGCCAAGCGCAGAATCCGGACTAGATGCTATTGATCGGGCTCTGGAAGAGGACGAGCAAGAGTCAAGTGAAAGCGGATCAGAGAACTCCAGTGACAGTAAATCAGACGAGTCCAGTGACAGTGATTCGGATGCCGGTGAGTTTTTGGCCCCGCCTGACAGCCCCGACGAGATACCAAGAACAAAAAACGAAGTGGACGAAGCAATTCCTGTGTTACCGGAGGGCTTTGCAATGACTGAAGAAACGAGAATCGAGCCTATCGGGGCGATTCTGAGTGTGGGCGACAGATCAGTCGTCATTAGAGCCGAAACATCCGGAGAATACAGGATTCTCGCCGAAGGTACGGTCTTTTGTCTTCTGGATCGCACTGTCTTAGGTCCTTTGTTCGAAACGTTTGGTCCGGTAGAGCATCCTTTTTATGTGGTCAAGTTCGCAACCGAAGAGGAAACAGCTGGTTTGAAAGAACAAATTGGGCAGCAGGTCTGCTACATTGTACCCTCTTCTAACTATATCTTTACTGAAACACTCAAATCAAAGGGTTCAGATGCCAGTAACTTCCACGACGAAGAAGTCCCATTAGAGGAGCAAGAATTCAGTGACGACGAACAGGAAGCACTTGCAAAGCAATCAAAAAAGAAACGAAAGAGAAAGCCTACCAGCCAGCCTCCAGCAAGGAACTCGCCACCTGCTCAGGAAAGTTCAGCAAATACGTTTGTCTCGCACCCGTTCACCCCCCAAAGCTTTCCCGTTCAAAACCCGATTGCTGCTCAACAAGCTGCTCAATGGTACTACTACCATGCTTTAGCCCAAGCGCAGGCGCAGGCCCAAGCACAAAATCAGAACACAAGAGACCCAAGGGTCCCACGGGGCGGTCCTCCAGGTGCCGCGCCTCCTTATTAAATAACCGATGTAGCGTCTTTTAAAGCCTCTGACGGGAAATTCGCAAGCTTGGCAGTGAGTATGCCCTGTGAATCACTGCAGATGCCAGGAAATAGTCTGTATCGGAATCGGCTCGGCTGCAGAAGGTCTAAATCGGCTTGAAGACACGACAAGGAGTCGACGGATCCATATTTGCCCAATAAATCATAAATATCTTGCCCAAAATGTGTGGCAAATAGTGCACGACAACGATTGCGTTCGTACATATGCTTGATGGTAGCATAGGCAATAGCTAACCCATCTCGACCAGACGTACCTCTGCCAACCTCATCAAGAATTGCTAGTGACCTTGATGTGGCATTATGCAAAATGTTGGCCGTTTCCAGCATTTCCATCATAAACGTGCTTCGCCCGCGATACAAATCATCGCCAGCACCGACTCGACAGAAAATACGATCCACCAGACCAATTGTAGCTCGTTTGGCAGGAACGAAGCATCCAATATGTGCTAGTAATGCAATGACTGCATTTTGGCGAATATATGTAGACTTTCCTCCCATATTAGGTCCCGTTACCATGCAAATGGGCTTGTCAATAGTCAACAAACAGCTATTTTCAACAAAATTGCTACCGCCAAGCTGCAAGCCAACTTCTACCATGATATGCCTGCCATCAACAATATCCAGGACCGGCTCTTCCACGATGTTTGGCCTTACCAGACCATTTTCTTTTGCCAGTTCTGCAAACGATAAAATGACATCAACTTCGTCCAGTACACTGAAAAACTCTCGAATCTCTTCAACATTTGCTAGAACTTTTTCCCGAAGGTTGTTGAGAACTCGAGCCTCCTCACGTTCAAGTCGAACCTTGAATTCGTCTCTATCTGTACCCAGCTGATTCCATTCTTCGTCGAACAGGGATGTAGTACGTTTCGTCCGGGCAATAACTTTCTCATGTGGTACATCCAACGGTCCATCCTGCTTCAAATGAACGTGGTATCTATATTGTGGTGACCATCTCAATGCCACTTTTGATGCCATACCATACTCCTCTGCGACCCGCTCTTGTATTTGTTTTTTTCGGGCAGGAAATGCAGTCTGGGACTGGTAGAGCTCCTTCAATCTCTCACTCACAGTTTCGAAAAGTACTGGAGAGTACGACTGGCGAACTGTTTCATGAGAATCAACGCTCGGTTGTTCCTCGTCAGTAGGAACTGCGATCAATGCATCAATATTAACAGACTCATTGATGGTTTTAGCTACCATCAGCGGTTTGACGAGCGATTTTTCTAGCTTTTCAATCCAACCGTTCAGATTTTCTGCCTCTTTTTGCGCTTTCAATGCTTCAAGAACCCGCAACCCTGTGTCAACAGCTTGGGCGTACAAGGTCAAATCAATTGGGTCAAATTTTCGCAAACTCAACTTTTGAACAACTCTTTTTCCATCTGGAATTCCTTGCAGAAAAGTTTTCAGATGGTGGCTCAGCGTATCGTTAGACAAAAAGTAACTGACATGGTCTTGGCGATGTTCAATTTTCTCAACGTCTTGCAAGGGCTCGGCTAACCAAGAAGCAAGTAATCTCGCTCCCGAAATGCTGTTCGTACGTCTTATGATGCTGTAAAGTGACCCTCGTCTGGACTCTCCCATATCTGTAGAGAAAAGTTCGAGAGCTGTCCTTGACCTGGAGTCGACTTGCAGTACTTCGCCGCTAACGTACTCTACAGGCTCCTGGTATCTCATGTGGCCACCGGGGATTGTTTCATCAATATATGATAATAACGATCCGCAGGCAATGGCAGCCCGAGGTCCCATTTGGTGTGCTGCCCTTGAAACCGAACCGGGCGTTGAACTGAAGCGGTTGGCATATTGCAAATTCAAATCGTCTCGGCCGCTAAATTTGTGAAACGTTATGGGACATCGTTTTAGATCCACAAATTCCAAAGTTTTGACATATTTTTGAAGGCCAGAATCGATCAAAATCTCTTTGGGTTCTAGCCGACTGAGGTCGTTCGGCAGAGCGGCTAGAGTTGTATTTTGGTAGAAAACATCACCGGCAGCAATATCCATCCATGCGATACTCACTTCTGAAGCTGGATCTGGCTTTTCGGACTGTATTTGGGCGGTCGTGAACTGAATTGCCGCCAAGAAATTATTCTGAGCAGAGTCCACAAACGACTCAGCCAAAAGCGTTCCGGGACTGAGAATACGAGAAATAGGGCGCTTTTCAGCTTCCGATTGAGCAGTGAACACCTTTTGTGGGTCTTGCTGTAGTAATACTACGGTCTTTTTGTGATTTTTCACCAACTGCTTGGTATATCGCTCAAGCTGCGGCAAAGGAAATCCCGCCATATTCACGAAAGGATACTCTTTCCGGGGGCTTTGTTGCTTTTTGCGGGCCAGCTTCAGATTCAGCTTTGGGGCATATTCAATTGCGTGCTCAAAGTACATCTCGTAGAAACTGCCCACTTGCGTAAGGACAACAGCGTCCGGATACGACTTCATGACCTGCACAATGTACTCCAGCATATTCGACGGAGGGTCCTGTTCGGTTCTAGGAGGTGCCATTTGACCTTCGGTCTTCAACGAAATCGGCACGAGCTTTTCTCCGGGCGGAACCCATTTCGATCCAAGCTCTGCTAACGTTAGCTTTCGAGCCAGACGACTAAGAGTTGTCCGCATAGAGAAAACTGTCAGCCAGGGGGGGTATTGAATAACAGATATTTTGTTATATAAATTAAGAAAAAATTATTATGGCCACAACAGGAAAGAGCGCTGAAATTGATTAATTCAAATAGCCTTTGCAATTTGCCGCACCGCATAAACATACGATACGGTCGACGCCCTCCTCGCGTTCGAATTTGTAGTCATAGGTAAGTTCTTCGTTAGCTTGGACATCTCGCATAGCATAAATAACGATGCGTTTGGTACCTTCGACCTTGATGACTTTGGCCATGCAAGACGGGTCGCAGCTGTGGTTGATAAAGCGGGCTATACCGCCGCGCTTAGTAGCGTCAATGACCGTTTGATCATCGATTCGGAATAAATACGAAGAGCCGATACCCGAACGAACATAGTTCCGTTCCCGCAGATCTGCAAGTGGTGCACGAATAACCTCGCCCACGTATTCGATGATCATTTCGTTTCTCTCGATCTTGTCAACCGCATACAAGCCCCAATTGTGAATAGCCGACCGGGCAAATTTGACGGGTTTTCGTCGCTTTAGTAGCTGGTTCATATCCAAAATGCTAGTTTCAACACTGAGCGCTTGTTTTTGACTATTGAGGTCTTGGGCGAGTCGACGGCTGGCCATACGAGAATGACGGTCTGTTGATTTGGTAACTGCAGTGTCGTGGGGGCTGTCTCGTTGAACAGAGTCAATAGGGTCTTTTAATCTCCGGCGATGAGGAAGGTATGATGACTTGATGGTGCTGGGGATGGGTGCGTAGCCCCTTAATCGCCAAGCTGTGGGGGCAGGAGCTTTCCACTCGGGTACAAGCATGTCCTGAGGAATCTCACCCACTGGCTTGTGCTGGTTTTGGAATGTTTCTTCTTTTCTGTAGTGTATTGACGCCCATACCAGGGCTTTTTGGTAATTTTCCTCCAAAAATTCGGCATGTTTTGTTCCCAAGGCGGCTTCTAAATATTGCCAATCTTCATCATCTTTGATAAAGCTTTGTAAATCGCTAAATTGGAGGGGCCGGTCCGGCAGTGACATTTTAGCTGTGGGCCTTTTACCGAATACAGTATTACTTTTTGTTTCGATTGGTGGTGCAGCCGTTTCGCGCTCAGGTTGCACTGCATCCTCCATGTCAACATCGGAGGATATGACTTCGATCTTTTTGCCTTCAAAGATCTCATGAGGGTCACTCAATGACTCGTCGTCGGCTCCTGTGTCACTAGCAATATCTTCATCACTCTCAAGTTCCTCAATGGTGAGTTTCCGGCGTTTGATGGGCGTGGTTCTTTCCCCGATATTCCTCTTTTTGAAATGAAGCTTTTTGAAGTCAATGGATGTCTGAGTAACTAACGGTGCAGTGTCTTCAGCAGGTGTTAGACCGTTCGAGAGAGCGGCATGCTCCACTCTGGGGACGGCTGGAGACGGCGTTCTCCGTTCCAAATGCTGGTACTTGGAGGGTACTAAGGAGCCCATGATCGATTTTAAAACAACCCGGCGTCTAATATCCTCGACTAGACGGGATTCTAGCTCAGCCAATATTTGTTTAGAGGCCTCGACCACCGGGTCAGTGCGTTCGCGACGGCGGTATTCAAGGTACAGTGGCTTTTTGATCCGTCGCAGACGGCTTTTATGTGCAAATTCAAGGCATCTTCTAGCCTTTCCAGGTGATATAAATGTAACATGGAATCCTTGAGAGGGATGGTAGATGATTTCCTTGACGTATAAGTCTCGTAGAGCATCAGCCAAGTCCCGGTAAGCGACTTCGGTATTATGCAAACGCGTTTTCACCAGCAAATATTCATTATATCCGACTTTCCGGTCCAGCCATTGGTCGTAAGTCTCGTTTGGTGGTGGTGCGGACAGCTCGCGCAGCTGTGACTGTCGTTCCCGCTCTTTGCGGGCTTGTTCTCTTTGAATGCGTTCCTTTTCTAGACGACGTACCTCTTCAAGTTCTTTATTTTTAGTTTCGACGATTTTTGCAACGAGTTTCCGCTGAAACGACATGTCTTCGTCAAATGCGACTGAAGGATACTCGCCATTGATTCGCAGCCTTTGCCCCGCCACAAGCGAACTAGCCAGTTTATTAGCGAGCCCCAAATCTCCGGCGAACCTTATCCTGCACATGCCCAAAGACATGGCGGTATCTGGGTGAACCACGAGCTCACATGCATCGAGCTTGCCAAGAAGCTGCAGTTCAGAGGATATCTGGCCAACAGTGGTGAGTGTGGACATGTTGTAAAGTAAAACATACGTCGGTGGCTTTGGTCCAATCCAATTTTTATCAATAACTAGCGACGGGACGGGCAGTGGGCGCTGAGGGACCTTGCGGACTCCGCGTGGTCGCGGGTCTGCTTGATTGAGGCGCGGGTCAACGGCGCGCCCCCCACCCGGCTTGATCTTCACATACACAGGGATTTTCCCCTTCTTGACACTCGCCAGGATCGGATCATAGACACATTTGAAGTCTCTTGTATCCATAATTCAAACCCCAACTACGGGAACGCGGGTGGTTAGGTAAGAAACGAACTCGGAGTACACAGAAATTTTGGGGTGAGCATCTACTTTGTACGGATATGTTTAAGGGGCCCGGTTGAGTGCATGAAATTGTCACCGTAGCTCTTGACAACGAACTTGCGCTTGTTTGGCTTCTGGATGTAGAAGTCCCAGCCCTGGTTTGTGGCGAAGCGGACGGCGTCGTTCTTGGAGCGGAACTTCATGGTCAGGCTCTGCATGTAATCACCGCTGGAAGCGTATCCGATGGTGTGGTCTTCCCAGCGATTGGCTCTGTCGACAATATCAAAGTCAATGCGCCAGCCCTGGGTGTTGTGAATGCCAGACTGGGTAGCGTAGGGAGCTTCCTGGTAGATACGGGCTACTCGGTTCTCGACCAAATCTGCAGGCGCTCCAGACAGCTCTGCCACGTCGAGACTAGCGTCCTTGGGTTTAATGGTGAGGGTGTTATCCTTTGCCGCTGCCATACGGGCGGTACTGAAGCCGAAACGGCCACTAATACGTGCTCCTTGGCTCACCGCTCGGGATAGATTGAACATTGGAGATGACAAACCTGATTGGAAGTTTGCTGACTGGTCAAGTGCTAGCAGGTTATGTACATGAAGGTCTATAGAGCGTTAAGCATATCAGGTACTGAGACGAATTTTTCGCGGGGTTTTCCGTAGCTTTTGCCGCGGTCGATTTCCTGACGGTCGATTTCTAGCCAGTCGTTCCAGCTCACCGCGTAGGGTAAGTCGAGATCATCTGCGCCGGGCAGCTTGGTATTGGCGACGCTTTCTAAATAGGAAACAACCTCATCTCCAACTGAGAACGCGTCCATCATTGTTGAAGCAATTACCCCTGTGGGTCCTGTTTTGAGCCAGCCTGCTGCGAAGGCTCCAGGGACTCCTGTGACGTGACCACGGTGGTTCTCAAGGATGCCCTTGTCTTTTATGAATGTCATTCCGGCCTCTTTCATTCCGGGCAGCTCAACCGACTTGTATCCAATCGAGAGAACAGCAAGGTCGGTGGGGGTGGTCACGCTCTTCTCAGTCGGCACCACGTCAGACTTGCTTCCTGGGGCAAACGTGTTGATTGTCCATTCAATTGACTGTAACAAGTCGCCTTCACCCTTGAACTCGCTGGGACTTTGCATAAAGTCAAGCGACCAAGTGCGCTGGGCAGATGGGCTCGTAGACCCTTTCAGCAGGAGCTCCATCTTGCGCTTTTCCGCCCGGCCAAGGGGCTTTGCAAGCTCAATGTACTCTGTTAAGTTGACAATGGGGTCCAATTGCACTTGGGGTTCGACCAGCAGCTCGCGCAACTCTTTAGTTGTAAACGCAGACTGAACTGGACCACGACGGCCGACAATATGTACCTTTTTCACCGTAGATTTCGTCAGAGCTGCAATGGCATGTTCTGGCATATCAGTGCTGCGTAAATCATCTGGCTGTCGCAAGAGAACCCGGGCCACGTCCAGGGCCACATTACCATTGCCCACAATTGACACGTCCTCGGTCCGATCAAGCGTAAACTTCAAACCCTGTTTTGCAGGCTCTCCGTTGTACCAGCCAACGAAATCACGAGCCGAAATAACTCCCGGTAGCTGGCTTCCTGGTACGTTGAGGCCCCTAGAGGTCTCGGCGCCATACGCAAAGACCACAGCGTGGTAGTTCTGGAGTAGCTGAGACACAGAAACATCTTTTCCGACCGTCGTGTTTCCATAAAACCGGAAATGAGGCGACCCTGCCACCTCTGCAAAGCGTTCTTGACAGTTGCGCACTTCTGGGTGATCGGGGGCAACGCCAAACCGAGTGAGTCCATATGGAACGGGCAGAGCCTCAAACAGATCTACATGGACAGCTCGCTTCTTTAGAATCCGTAAAATCGTGTAAAACCCCGCAGGTCCCGACCCCACAACGGCAACCCTGTTCATGTCAAAAGCCCACGCGCTAAGCTATGTGTAATCATGGCGTCATTAGATTCTGGGTCGAAGAAGTTCAAAACACAGAACCTCAACAGCCTATTTCTAGCTGAGTCCGAGGCTAAAGACGAGCCGAAAGAGAAGAATAATCCTGGTCCTGCATACCAACGCCGCACATCGCTGGCGACTGCGCGTGGAACCTATCGCTTGACCGCAATGAAAGAGGACACCAAAGACAACAGCTGGGTCGACGATAAAACGCCTGAGCCGGGCGCTAAGCCGGGAACAGCATCGCCAGCGGCGCACTCCACCAATCCCACAACCAGTCCGGCAAGTGGTGCTGCTCCGTCTCATTCCAAATCAGATCCACTCCAACCGCGCTCCAGAAGCCAGTCTCCTCCTGCTTCCTCAGCGGAGAAGAGTACCGCTGCTTCTTCAGGGTTCGAAATGGGTAATGAACCTTTCAATTGGGATGAGGAGGATGATAACTGGCAACCCCCTACAGTTAGTAGTGCGCAAGTCATTTCACAAGTATCTGGCGCAGCTCCCTCACCCTCTCCAAAGGTGAAATCCCCGGAACCTGCTCCGTGGTTACAAAAAAAACCGTCGACATCTGCACACAAGTCCTTGCAAGAGCGAATCGCTGAGCTCAAGATGGGCAAATCGAGTAATGCCCCTGCGCACCCTAGGCATGGGGGCCACGGGGATCACCGCCATATCTATCCAACCTATGCTCACCCTCCACAGTTATCACACTCTCAACCTCCAGGAGTTGATAGCTTGAGTCGGTTCCGTATCCGCGGCGATCCAGCAGAGCTTGATGCCCATCACCCTCCCCGGTTCGGCAGACATGGTCATCATGATGAATTCGCTCACCATGGTAGGTCTGATCGTGGATACAGAGATCCACTAGATGAAATCGATAGCTGGAGACGTCCAGCACGTGAACCTCCTACGAGCGACGGTCTAGCGCCCTGGGCTCGGTTTCGCCCTAGTCCCTCTGGCCCTGGACCATCTGGCGGCCCTTCCGCGGCATCTGCTGGCCCTGCTCCAGCTGCTACCCCTTCTACGCCGGCTGTGTCCACTGTGCCTACGGCATCTGCTACCCGTGAGCAAGCACCTGCTCCTGCTGCGGCCTCTGCTGCTACTGTAACACGCACTACAGAAACCAACGCTCCGGCCCCTGCATCTACTTCTGGACCTGCTCCAGTTGCTCCCTGGGCGTTTATGCGTAAGAAGGAACAAGAAGAGGTCATGAGAGATGCGCGACTGAGGTTACAAGCTCGTAAGGATGCCGAGGAAGCGGAAAGAAAAGAAAGAGCTGCCCGTTTGCAAGCACGCCTTGATGAGCTCGCTCTAAAAAAGGCTAAAAAAGAGGCCCAAGAGCAAAAAGAAGCTGCCGCTCTGGAGAGAAAGCGCATGGAAGAGGAACGCAGAGCGAGAAGTGCTAAATTGGAACAAGAATTCGCCGAAAAGTTGCGCATCGAAAATGAAAAAGCCGCTAGGAAACTCCACCAAAGTCACGAGCACCCAAATCGGATTCAAAACAAACGGGCTGTGCCCAAAGGAAATCTCACCGAGCCGCTGCCACCCCGAGAAGATATCCCGCCGTTCCTACGCCAGTTCCTGCGTGGTGCCCCCGAACCTGGCCCTGGGTTTGGTGGGTTCGATAGAAGTCGCCTGAGTGAAAGTAATTTGCCCGCCGACTTGCCGCTGTATGAAAGCTATTTGGAAGATTTGAGCTTTGGGACTTGGCCCGAACCAGACAAGGAAGCTACAAGTGAACCAGAAACAGAAGAGGCCCCCATTGTTAATTTGCCAAAGTTACAAAGGTTCACTTTTACGATGTTTAAAAAAGACGTGCGGCCACTAGCTGTAGATAGCTTCATGCTCTCGTCCTCGAACTGCGTCGTCTCCGCGCACACCATGATCGGTGTGCCAGGTAACGACTTGATGCGAGACAATAGAGTAACGTTTCTGCCCGTTGAGCCGCTTTCTAAACTGGCCCGTAGACGTCGTGGTTATTAGCTTTTTATAGTTCGAAAACAAAACAAGAAAAACAAAAAAAAAAAAAGAAAAACTCAATTTACAACCCCTTGGCAGAGGAGGTATTCTCGTAGCCGGCTGCCCCATAAGCTTATCTAAGATTTCCAATACAGACAACGCGGGAATCCCTAGAACGGCCTTGAATTTTGTTCGTGGTTGAGTGAACACCAGTGGTAGTTGTACATTGTGTCAAACCCCCAGCTACTGCATTTCAATTTTCACTTGCTCTAACCATGGCTGACGTTCATGGTGTAGGCCCAGCGGGCTCCGACTATTCGGTGGCCCCCAGCGATGGGCTTGCAAACGATACAATTCAAATGAGCGCGTATGCTAAGAACCACTGTAAAAACTGTCAGCTACCGCTGGTAGAAGGTGGGCGTGCATACGAGCTCGGTGGCTACCGGTGGCACGTTGAGTGCTTTCGCTGCTCGATCTGTTCTAGCCAGATGGATGCCGATACAAACATGTTAGTACTAGGTAACGGCACGCTTGTTTGTCACAATTGTTCTTACTTTTGTGCTATATGCCAGAAAAAAATTGAGGATTTGGCGATTTTAACTAACGACCAGGCGTTCTGTGCGGACTGTTTCGTTTGCCGGAATTGTCAACGCCGAATTGATGATCTAAAGTATGCACGCACCTCTCAGGGAATATTTTGTATGAGTTGCCACAACGCTCTAATGATGCGGAAACAACGCAAAGCCGCTGCCGCCGCTGCTGCCGCCGCTGCCCCTGTTGCAGCCGACCCTTCAAGCAGCTCCGCAGCAGCCTCTCCTGCGATTAATAGTAGCACGTCTCGCTCCTCATCTTCAACTCAGCACCGTCTGAGCTCATTATCAAGTCGCGACAAGGAACTGCCCATTCTTCCTCCCAGTACAAGTCGCACCACCAGTAACGATCGCCCCCCCACTCTACGAACCCAAAGCGATACCGCACCTGCTGGCCGCCAAGTCAGATCACAACTTCCACCTCCTGTCACTCCGCAGCAACCCAAAGCATCTCACAGACACACTCGCTCAGTAGGAGAGGGGACATTTACTGGACCCACCGAGGCTGCTTCACAGGAGGTTCCCCCTGAAATCACTGCAACAAGCCCTCCAATCGGAGTTTCGGAATCATTTGCAGCAGAACTAGATACGCTAGGAACGAAAGATTGGGGTTTAGAAATGCCTGTCGCTCCCGAACCTGTATTGCCCTCTACGGTCCTTGGTGTGCCCATTCAACTCGAAAGTCCACCGTCTCGCTCACCCAACAGATCTCCTGGTAAACAAGCTCCCATCACAGATCGGAGCTCTCCAACACAATCAGACGGTTCAATTTATTCACCTAGAGCAGTGGCCCCCGACTCCCCCTCTCCGACACGACCGATGCGCTCACCCACTCGATCACCAAATCGCTCACCTACGCGTCCAGTGATTGACGATGTACCACTTCTTGCCACTCCTAATGGTGAGCGCCTACCTAAGGCCTGGACCCAAGATACTCCAGCCGGCGTCACCGCAGCTGCCCCTAGCCCATCCGCTTTTGCGGCAATCGAGCGCACCCCCCACTCGGTTTCCAGCGGCCAAAGTACTCTGCAGGAAAGCAACCATGAACTAGAGACCCAGCGAGAAGAATTGGCAGTACCGTTCCGGTCAAGCAGAAGGGCAGCATCGCCGAATCGTCTTGTGGAATCTACTTCGTCAATATCGATTGCCGCATCGCTTTCACCCCGCAATTGGCCCCGGACTGGAGCAGAAATGCCTGCAGCAGATGACAGTAATGATATTGATCCTAGTGGTCTTATGCAGGCTCTTATTCGTTCCCGCGAACGCATTAGCGAGCTCGAGCACCTTCTGGAACGGGAGCTTCAAACCAGCAAACTTGCTGCCGTGGAAGAGGATCCCGCAGAATTGTCACGACATATTTTTGAACGAAGGCAAACACTTGCAGGACTTGAAGCTCAACAAAAAGTGGCCAGTGAGGAACTGCGGGCAACACGAGCCGGTACAGATGCCGAAGAATTCTTATCTGCCCTCACCAAACATAAAACCGAACTTTTGGGGGAGATTGAATCGTTAACTACAGAAAGAGACTCTTTGAGGGCGCAGGTGGCTGAGCTTGTCGCTAAACGTGATCAAGCGCTGGAAGAATCCTCGATTCTCAACACGAAAAATAGTCAATTGGTCGATATGAACAATGAACTCCTCAAGCAAACGCTTGAAAAGTTTGGGCCCAATACGCTATGGGGTAGTAGTCTTTCGGTTAGCAGCGGCCCATCGTCGTCTACCGCCGCGAATGCAATGTCCCCAGTTCCTTCACGAGAGCGCAAGCAGCGAGTCAAACGCAAGGAGATCGCCGCACCTGAAGCAGAGTACGGTGTGCCTTACAGTGGAACAACAGGCAGTCAAGAGCGGTTGGTTGACAACACACCGAAAAGCCCGCAATCGGCCCGGTATCCTGGTGGCGATAATAATCTGGTCACAGTTCTTGACGCTCCTACTCAAAAGCAGCGGAAGAACCTGTGGCCATTCCGGCGTCCAGGTAAGGGACTGACTAGAGTGTTCGCTCAAGAAGTGACTGTCGGAGATGTTGATTCACAAGCAGTCACGGTTTTGTCCGGCAGCTCGGGCCCCACGTTGCCGTCGTCTTCTTCAGCCCTGACTTCATCAACCGTTGGCCCTGCCCCTGGTGGACAGCCAATGCTTGGAGAACTCCTCGAAGCACGGTGTGCAATGGATCAAACACCAGTACCAAAAATAGTCACAAGGTGTCTTAATGAAGTGGAAAAACGAGGGTTGGACACGGAGGGCATTTATCGCAAGTCGGGATCGAAGCTGCAGATTGATCAAATCCTTGGCTACTTTGAATCGAACTCCGAGCTTTTGGAAAGTGACCTAGGAAAAGATATCACTGCGGTGACTTCTGCCGTCAAACAGTACTTACGGTATCTTGCCGATCCTATCATCCCCTACGCCCACTACAATGCTTATGTGCAAGCCGGCCGAAAACACGACCTCAGCGAGCTTTATGTCGTGGTAAAGAATCTCCCGCCTGCTCACTATGCGACATTAGAGGCAATTGTCCAGCATCTTGCACTGGTTGCTGCCAACGAAAGCAAAAACCTCATGAACAGTCGGAATCTTGCCGTGGTGTTTGCACCCACGCTTGCCCGCGACCAAACAGGCGAACGAGAAGTCTCCGATATGCAAGCACGAAACGACGCAACCCAGATGCTTATCGATAACCACGATATGTTTGAGTAACTTATTATTTAGCGGCTTTTGTATTTGGATATTATTATTTCCTTCCCCCAACTCAACGCTTATCTTATCACGATGCTGCGTCAACCCCTCAAAGTAGCGTTGGTTCAATTGAAGGTAGGAGCCGATAAGGCGGCTAATTTAGCTCATGCCAAGGCGAAAGTTAGTGAAGCGGCTTCTCATGGTGCCAAGCTAGTTGTGTTGCCTGAATGCTGGAACTCGCCCTACGCGGTGACTGCCTTCCCCGAGTACGCAGAAGAGGTGCCTACTGGCGAAACCAGTGAGTTCTTGGCTGATTTGGCAAAGTCGACAGGCGTCTTTCTGATTGGTGGCTCAATTCCTGAGAAGGACGGCGACAAGTACTACAACACAAGTGTCAGCTACAGCCCCTCTGGCCAGCTGCTTGGCAAACACCGAAAGATCCACCTGTTCGACATTGACGTCCCCGGTAAGATCCGGTTCAAAGAGTCTGATATTCTTTCTCCTGGAAATACAGAAACCCTGATCGATCTTGAAGGCTACGGCAAAGTTGGTTTGGGCATCTGCTATGACATCAGGTTCCCGGAATTGGCAGCTCGGGCCGCTCGGCGTGGTGCCTTTGCCATGATCTACCCAGGCGCCTTCAACACAACCACCGGCCCCCTGCACTGGCAACTGCTCGCTCGCTCGAGAGCTGTCGATAACCAGGTGTTTGTGCTCGTGGATTCGCCGGCTCGCGACATGTCGTCGTCGTACCATGCCTACGGTCATTCGCAGGCAGTCGATCCCTGGGGGGCCGTGCTAACAGAAGCTGCCGAAGATGAGTGTATTGTTTATGCAACTTTGGACCCCGCTGCAATTGCCGATGTCAGACAATCGATCCCCGTATCCTCTCAGCGCAGGTTCGACGTTTATCCGGATGTATCGAAAAAGTAGTACATAAAAAACTAGCCAGTTAGTCGCTCTATTCCTTAACCACTCTTACGGCTACCCTAACTTTCCTGCCCACCCATTTTTTCCCCCCTCTGCCGTCTGCATCCAGCTGCAGCCCGCCGTTAGTTAGAAAAGGGTCATCGTGTGGGTAGTAGACGACAAGTGACTAATGGTGCCCGCAGCCGACGAAGGATCTTCGAGCCGAAGACGCAACAAGCTACGGCATAATTCCACCGCCAGCAGCTCCACAAGCTCTGCTGGGGTGCCGCCGTTGTATGATGTGCCGCACTCACCACCCGCGCCAAGGCGGAGCACAAGCGATATACCGCCTGATGTGGTAGTGCCCGCCGAACCTGTTTGCTCTTGCTCTCGCAAGCCTCGCTCCAAGCATCGTAGAACACTGCTGTCAAGATTCATTGGGAGCAGAGACCCCGAACCAGGCAAGTCGAGCCCTGAAATTGCACCGTTATGGGGGTCTCGTCATGTGGACCTGTTCTTTACCGAGTTCCCACGCGAGCGGAAGCTTTCGCGGCCTTCAGTATCCAGTAATTCGAGTAATTTGAACTCGAGACGTATGAATTCAACTTCTGGAACTTCTCCAGGAACTTCTCTTTCCAATCCAAGGTCTTCACGATCCTCCAACAATACAATTGAGAATCACAAGGATGGTTTGCTATCGTCAACATACTCTGTGAGCTATGATCCACTCTCTAAACTTGCCACTCAGAATCAATTGCATCACTCGCAAGACGCTAAACTAGCAGAAATTCCTACGCGCCCAAGTGATGAGACGTTGCGGCACCCTGAAATGCCTCTCTCTGTCTCGTCGATAAAGGGTCAGACACTATTTTTGCGTATTTATCGTGCAGATGGATCTTTTGGTACTGTCGCAGGGCCTCTCGAAATGAGCGTTAATGATCTACTTCACCTTGCTGCCAGAAAGTTTTTTATTCCAGATATCGACCGGTTCCATCTGGTGGCCTTACTCCCAGACAAAGTCGCTGTGCTTCCTCTCAATGCTAGACCATTTGAGTTTATAAAAAACCAGCTCACTAGAGTGGGGTATACGGAGCGTGATCCTTGGCTTGATATTTGTCGAAAGAACCTTACAAGCTTGGGTAAGATCATCCTAACAGACCACCCTTTGATCCCGCCTTCGGAGAGCGTTGTTAGCTCGCTTCACAAACGCCCTGATCGTGTGGTCCTGAGGAAACAGGACCTGTTGACAATGCCGTCGTATGTTGCTGAAACGGCTGATTGGGTTGAAGTCTTGGACATTTCGCAATCAATGGGTCTTCACGTGACTGAAAAGTATTGGTCCAGTTTACGAAGAATCAAGGTATTCAAAGCCGAACGCTGCAACTTCGGCAACCTTATGAATGTTTCATTTTTGCCTTATCTCACTACGTTGACCCATCTAGATCTTTCTCGCAATGGACTCTCAACTCTTGATGTGGACTTCAAGAAGCTACCACATCTTCGAGCCCTCAACTTAAGAGGTAACAACCTCAATGAGCTCCCTCCTTCTTTGGAATCTGTGGAACTCCGCTTACTCTATTTGGGCACAAATTCTCTTACGAGTTTCCCTTTTCGTATCACCACGTTGCTTGACCTTGATCTCAGCTACAACAAACTGACAGAACTACCACTGCACCTTGAATCTTTCCATGCTCTCGAGAGACTGAGTCTTGCCAATAATAAAATCGAAGGAATACCAGAGAATTTGGGTCCTCTTCCGAACTTGACTGATCTTGATCTTCGCTACAATCATGTGGGTGACATTAGCGCTCTCTTCCAGCCCAAACTGCACACTCTCGACGTTTCTCATAATACTCGTATTGAGAATAAGCATCGGAATTCCAGTATGGCTGCAGCCACGACACCAATGGGTTCGCCTCTGCTTGGTGTAAAACCTCGTGCGCACAACAAACTTGCCCACCTGCGAAAGATTGACTTGTCCTATAGTCGCTCAATCCGTTTAGTTCCCAATGTTCAAATGGATAGTGTTTCGGTGATCAACTTGGAGTGTTCGTTGCTTGTGTCTGTGCCCGAGGAACTGTTCACATGTATTCCGAACCTGGAAATCGTCGATCTCAGTAAAAACAAATTGTCGCGGTTGCCTCAGTCCATCAAAAGGCTCAAAAGACTCCGAAAACTTTATCTATCGAGCAACTCCTTGAATATTCTACCCAACGATCTTTACTACTTGCCTCAGCTAGAGGTCTTGGACTTGCATGCCAACAATTTCAAAACGCTGCCCCAGGCTGCGCGTGAGCTTCGTCGCTTGCGTGTTCTTAATCTATCGTCTAACTTGCTCGAATCGCTTCCCTCGTTCAGTTTACACGATTTGGACTCTTCATCTACCCCCAGCCGCGAGATTCTTTCGCCTACAAGCCTTTTCCCTGTTTCTTCACATCGGAGTTTCGACTCAAAAGGAATGGATGAATCGCGAAGAGGTTCTGCTGTTAGCAACCTGTCTCTGGACCCATCTTCCACTGATAAACATGGGTCCCCTTATGCTGAAGACGAGAGCACTACCACGCTACTGCAGGCATCAGACACCTTTGCATCATCATTTGGAGAGCCACCTAGTCTCGAAGAGCTCTACTTGGCAGATAACCGCTTAGGTGATGATTGTTTCGAAGAATTGTCGTTCTGTACAGAGCTTCGAGTTTTGAATCTGAGCTACAATGAAATCACAGAGATCCCTAGCGGAACACTGGTGCACATGCCTCATCTGAAAGAACTCAGTCTTTCTGGTAACAGAGTTTCAACACTTTCTCAAGAGGACTTTTCGAATGCCCGCAGTCTGAAGAGTTTGTATATCAATTCCAACAAACTGCATACCTTACCAGCGGAGCTGTCGAAGGTGACGGAACTCGAGACACTCGATGTGGCTTGCAACAATTTGCGATACAACGTGTCTAACTGGACATTTGAGTGGAATTGGAGATGGAACAAACGGCTTCGACTGCTCAACTTGTCATCTAACCGTCGTCTCGAAATTATGCGCCCCCCCAATCAACGAAGTAATGAGGAAGACTACACAAGTTTCTGTGTGTTACCCAATTTGCAGATTCTTGGCTTGATGGATGTGACACTGACCACCTCTGCGCTTCCTGATCAGTCAGAAAACTGCCGTGTGCGTACGTATGGTAGTGACTTTTCTTTCGGTCGCTTTGGTGTTGCGGATTATCTCGCTGATGGCGCAGCCCTCAGTATCAACGACTTGATGATTGACTCATTCAGGGGTAACAAGGACGAAATGTTAGCTGGAATGTTTGACGGCTTCCTTGCCGAAAACCGTGGTAACCGCATCTCCAAAATAACTCAGGAGCTCATTGCACCCGTTGTGAAGCAGGAGCTTGAGCGCCGGGGAAAGGAAGACACTGTATCTGACTGTTTGCGTAGGGCTTTCTTGACTGCTCATCGTGAAATTGGTAATGCCTCGATGGCTACCAAGGAAGAAGTGTCACATAGCTTTGTTGGGCAGTACAGTGCGGCTGCCCAAAATCTCACTGTTCAAGACCAGGAGAGCTGCACAGGTGCAACACTGGTTTATATCAAAGACCGAAGTGTCTATATTGCGTCAACTGGCGGTGCACGTGTTATTATAGCGAAAGCAAATGGCCAGTTCGCTATTCTTTCTGAGCCAGTCAAACTCCAATCCGATTTTAGCGTGGATATGATGCGGACTGGTGGAGGCATCATGTGCCAGGATCTGATCAATGGAAAAATCCCCCACAATCCTGTGATTGGAGCGTATTCGGAGGGTGTATTGACGTCAGCAGCGCCAAATATTTATGAGTATACCCTGGAGGATACCGCTGATACTGTTATCATCGCTTCCAGCGAGCTCTGGGATGTCATGTCCTATGAAACTGCTGCGGACCTGGCCAGGACAGAGGCTCGTGATCCCATGCTTGCTGCGCTAAAATTGAGAGATTTCGCTTTGGCCTACGGCCGAGATAAAATCAAGCAGCTGATGGTTATGGTCTACGGCCGTACAAGAGTTCAGACTGACGATGTGAGAGAAATGAATATTGCTATGATCGATAAGCGTCGCCGTCTTGCTCTACCGGAAGACCCTATACTTGCTCGAATTGCAGAGACAACGCCTCCTCAGGGCGAAATTACCATGGTGTTTACAGATATTCGGCATTCAACTGTTTTGTGGGAAATGCTTCCTGATGTAATGGAGGCGGCCAACAAGATTCACCAGAACATGATGCGGCGCTCTTTTAGGGCCATGGGTGGTTACGAAGTCAAGATGGAAGGTGATGCGTTCATTATCTCGTTCCATACTGCTGTCGACGCCTTGCTGTGGTGTTTAACTGCACAGCAGCAGCTTTTGGACGTTGACTGGCCAACTGAGCTCCTGGCACATCCAGAATGCGCACCTGTATATTCCCCTGATGGCAGGTTACTGTACCGAGGCTTGAGCGTTCGCATGGGCATTCATTGTGGTCGGGCCGTACACGAGCTGGACGCAGTAACGCGTCGTATGGATTACTTTGGACCTATGGTGAACAAGACAGCGCGTATTAGTGCAGCGGCAGCTGGGGGCCAAATTGCAGTTTCTGCTGATTTGCTGAATATGCTGAAAACTGAGTGTGAGAGCCCAGCCGACGACGAAGCGCGCCGTCAATGCGCGACTTTGTCTGCTTGTGGATATAATGTGCAAGAACTGGGTGAAATTAAGCTGAAAGGAATCGAAATGCCCGAGTTAATCTATATCATCTATCCTGGCACGCTCAAGTCACGCAGCGAAAGCGTGATGCCCGAAGCCGAGCCACTGGTGGTGTCCATGCCTCCCAGCATACCCTCATCGCCTCCCCCACCGATGCCATCCCAGCAGCGTGGCAGTAGCTTTGGTACAGCTGCGTCGCTGGCATCTGTGCCGTCCATACAGCCTGCTGGGGAAGCCGAACGTGCTCCGAGCGATCTGGATGCCGCCCAGTCGGTCACCAACCGTTTAGAGCGGATCTGTGCATTCATTCGCACAGGCCAAATGTCGGAACCTCTTTCTAATGAGACTCAGCAAGCACTAGAACACTATGTCACCCGCATTGAAAACAGCGTAGACTCCCTGACCTTGCAGATGTTGATGCCGGAGTGGAACGGCCCCACAGTGGGCGGTCTTTTTGACGAAAATTTTGACAGTGATTAGATTGTATATTTATTTGATTTTTACCAGACTAGCTATGTGGCTGCACAAATCGTTCTGGTGGGCGCTTATCTCTGCAAATGCCGACGGTTTGCCAAGCTTTCACGCCTTCATGCACCGCTGCGCTAATTCCACCAAAACACAGTTGTACCCCTGCACGAACCTGGGGTGTCTCCAGAAAACCCGAAGGTGAGGGTCAACTTGACTTAGTCATGGAGGATTCACTGGTTGTAGCTATAGATCAAGGCACAACTTCGGCTAGGGCGGTTGTTTTCAATAGCTATACGCTTCCTGTTGCGGCCTATCAGTTTGAGCTCACACAAATCACTCCCAATCCAGGTTGGATAGAGCAAGACCCCAAGCAGCTTGTTGAAGCATGTCGGACCTGTCTAATGAACGTTGGCCATCAGCTTGCGGCCAAGAATATACCTGCAAGCCGAGTGAAAGCCATTGGCATCGCTAATCAGCGCGAAACTTCTGTGTTATGGGATCGTCGCACAGGAGAGCCTGTGGCTAACGCTATTGTATGGTCGGACACCCGCACCGAACCGCTGGTCGAGGAGATGCGAAAACTGCCCGGTGCAGACCAAGTACAGGATATTTGCGGACTACATTTGAACGCTTATTTCGCTGCATTAAAAGTTCGCTGGCTGTTGGACCATAATGAGAACGCTCGCCGTGTCTACAACGAAGGTGAGCTGTGCTTCGGCACCGTCGACTCGTGGCTGATTTACGCTTTGAGTGGAGGTGCAACCCATATCACAGATGCTTCAAACGCCAGTCGCTCGATGCTGTTAAATTTAAAGGAGATGCGCTACGACGAGCGTTTGATCGAGTTCTTTGGTTTCGAAAAGCTTATCTTACCCGAAATTAAGCCCTCAAGCGAGGTGTACGGAAAATACCACGCCCCTGGCGACGATTTGCATGGAACGCCTATTTCCGGTTGCGTTGGTGATCAAAGCTCGGCTTTGGTAGGACACATGGGCTTCAACAAGGGCGACGCTAAGAACACTTATGGAACAGGTTGTTTCTTGCACTATAATACCGGAGAGACTCCGGTGTTTTCTAAAAATGGTTTATTAACTACTATTGCCTACCAGCTCCCTGGCCAGCCTCCAACCTACGCGTTAGAAGGTTCTGTTGCTGTGTGCGGTAGCGCTATCAAGTGGCTCAAGAACAATCTGGGTATGATTGAGACCAGTGAGCAGGTGGGTGATCTTATAGAGAGCGTGCCCAATTCGGCTGGAGTGTACTTTGTAACTGCTTTCAGTGGTCTTTTTTCGCCCTATTGGCGGGCAGATGCCCGGGGAACAATCGTGGGCATTACCTCGTACACAAACCGTGCTCACATCGTCCGTTCAGCCATAGAAGCAGTGTGTTTCCAAACTCGAGCAATCTTCCAGCTCATGGAGTACGAGAACGAAATACAGGGAGGTGTTTCTAATATGACCAGAGACCGCATTTTGAGCGTGGATGGTGGTTTGACTTCAAGTGATGTGATCATGCAACTTCAGGCGGACATTCTGGGTGTCAACATTGTTCGACCGGCGATGAAGGAAGTTACTGCATTGGGGGCAGGAATTATGGCTGGCTTGGCTGTAGGTGTTTGGAAAGATCTCGCCGACGTCACAATGCGTCACTCGCTATCGGAGGGATCCATGTCACGGTTCACCCCCCACTCAAGTGCTGAACAGCGTCGTCAAGGCTTCCACCAATGGCAAAGAGCCGTAGAGAGGGCCACGGGTTGGATCGAAGCCGCCGACGCTGCTGTAGTCTAAATTTCAACGATATCATATAGGTGTTTAGGATAGCTATCTGACCTACGTAACCTAGACAGGGAGTGCAACTGTGCCATGAGATGCGGAGGGACACTCTGCAGAGTAAATTGCCAATAATAAAGCTGAAACATCAGCTCTTCTTAAGCATATCTAGCGTTTTCAATACTATCATTCTATAAACGCCTTGATTAGCTGTCCTCCACCTTTTTGCTTGATTTCATCTTTTTCTCCGAACTGCCTCCTAGACACCCTAACCCAACTGGTAGACGATGCTGGAGGTCAGAGAAATAAATAATGTGTATCGGGGCAAGGCGTGAAAGTCTCTTTGCTGTATTTCGAACTATAAGCGCCCCAGCATTAAGCGTCAGATTCCTCAAATCCAAGTACTTTCCCGTAGAAAATAACCCTTTATAGGCCAACACACACCTATTGAGGTCATCTAGCAATATTGAACCTCATGCTCGGGGTAAGGGCGATGCCTTGCAAGCTGGACCGAGCACTGAAGGCATATTATCATGCTGGACAGCGGAAACGATGGGTTGCCACCTTCGATCCGTCGTGGAGTGACCCAATAACCGTCAGGTGAAATGAAACCAGAATAAATTTAAACATTGAGAGTGAATTGTACTGTAGCTCGTCTTGAAGGCGGCCTACAGCACGTGTTTACCTGTACGGTCGGCGAGTCGTCTATGGTTACATGGTGCATGAATTAGAAATTGTTGCATGAACCTGCAGAAAACTGGTATACGAAAATTCACGTGACTTGTAACCATAGCTTCAATAAAAACCTCCCGGAAATTGAAAAACTTGAGGTTTCCGATCGCAAACTCTGTGCATTTTCGTATACGCCCCACGCATAAGTGAAAGCTTATTATTGAAATATAATGAGGGCCACATACGAAGAAGAGTTTGAAGAACCGCCTCGAGTCATTGACGAGTACACCGAGGAAACGGTGACCGTCGTAGACGCTGCTCGAGACGCCTTCAAAGACCCTTGGATAAAAGTGAAAGAGTATGTTCTGTCTCTTTTCCCGATCGTGCAGTGGATCTACCGCTACAATTACACTTGGCTTGTCGCAGATTTGACGGCAGGTCTCACTGTTGGCGTTGTTGTTGTTCCGCAAAGTATGTCCTACGCTCAAATTGCTGGTTTGCCCGTCCAGTATGGCTTGTATTCTTCTTTTGTTGGCGTGATTCTTTACTGCATATTCGCTACCTCTAAGGATGTTACAATCGGCCCTGTTGCTGTTATGTCTGCAGAGGTCTATAGAGTTGTTCACCGTGTAATCGAAAAGAGCAACGGTAAATACACGACCGACGATGCGCCCCTAATCGCTACCGGGCTTGCTCTACTCTGTGGCGGCATCACCGCTGGAATCGGCTTGCTGCGCCTGGGCTTTTTACTCGATTATTTGTCGATGCCGGCCATCCTGGGTTTCATCTCAGGTTCTGCTTTCACTATTGTGGTGGGACAAGTGCCGAATTTAATGGGTATCAACAAACTTTTTAATACTCGTGCTGCTTCGTACGAGGTGGTTATCAACAGTTTCAAGCACTTGGGTTCGTCTAACCTCAACTGTGCATTTGGACTCGTTTGCTTGTTCTTGCTCTACTTCTTCAAGTATCTGTTCGAATTCTTAGCCAAAAGAGACCCCCGTCGCAAGAAGGTTTACTTCTACCTTTCCACTCTACGAACTGCGACGATTATTATTTTCTCCACCGTCATCTCGTGGGCCGTTTGCCACCCGCACAAGAAATCTGGTAAATTCCCAATTTCTATTGTCAAGGATGTCCCTCGTGGTCTCCAAGATGTGGGTATTCATTCTTTGTCGGCTGATATGGCCTCTGACATGGCATCCGAATTACCCATTGCCACTGTCATTCTTCTGCTGGAGCATATCTCTATCGCCAAGTCTTTCGGTCGCATCAACGATTATCGCATTAATCCTAACCAGGAGCTTATTGCTATTGGTGTTACCAATTTAGTCGGCCACTTCTTTTCGGCCTATCCTGCCACAGGATCTTTTTCCCGTACCGCTCTCAAGTCAAAGTGTGGTGTTCGTACTCCGCTGGCGGGTATTTTCACAGGTATCGTTGTCTTGATTGCTATCTATGCCTTGACTGAAGCTTTCTTTTATATCTCTAATGCTGCATTGGCTGCTGTTATCATCCATGCCGTTATTGATCTTATTTCAAGCTGGCGCAACACCTGGAAAATTTGGCTCATTTCACCAATCGAATGTGTTATTTTCTTGGGGGATATTCTACTGTGTGTCTTTGTAAGTATTGAGGCAGGCGTCTACTTTGCTGCTGCTGCTTCCTTGGTTTGGCTTTTGTTGCGCGTTTCTTTCCCCAGTGGTCAGTTCCTTGGCCGAGTTCAGTATATACGTGTCAACAACCCTACCATTGCAAACACTGAGGTCCTTGACGGGAAGTCGGAAGATGGTGACAGTGTTGATAAGAAGGTTGCCGAGTGCCGCCAGAACAGTGTTGAGAGTGGCTTCAGTGACAGTGACATTGAGCCTGTTTGCAGCAGCCTCCAAATTGCTGAGCTCCACACCAATTACAATGGACCCCAAAAAGCCGCTGGAGAAGTGCCACAACCAGTTCACCAGTTCGGATCAAAATGGGTGCCTCTGAATCGGAAGGCAATCAACAAAGATATCATCGTGATCCCGCCTCCACCTGGTGTCTTTGTATTTCGACCTACTGAAAGTTTGACATACCCTAACGCATCTCGCCAAATGGACACTTTGACCGAGTATATTCGAAAACAGACTCGTCGTGATATCGACCTCAGTAAACCTGTCAAACTTGGTGATCGCCCCTGGAACGATCATGGCCCCCGTCATCGTAAATTCGACCCCAACTTCGTTGATACTCGCCCGATTCTTCGAGCCGTAGTGTTTGACCTTTCTGCCACCCCTCATATTGACCTCACTGCTGTCAACATCATTCTTGACGTTTACAATGAGCTTACCAAGTATGCTAACCGTGACATTGAATTCCACTTTGCGGGTATCTTGTCCCCGTGGGCCCGTCGTGCATTGGTGAACTGTGGCTTTGGAGGAATCAAGGGCCGACAAGCTCCCGCCGTTCATCAGGTTGCCTTAGCTCGCGGCATCCGAGGTTCTGGGCTGAGCGAGGTGACTTCAGAAGCACCGGACTCGTCAGATATCGAAGCCCAAAAAGGCACAATCAACGAACCAGAGTATCTGCCGTTGACTGCAACGAATGCTGGGTTTTTCCATTTCGATATTCCTGACCTTTCCTAATGTTAAAAACAAAAATCCAAGGCAGCAATTGCCGTGTTATTTAAATACAGAGATAGAGAGCCGGGCTCTAATAAGTTATTTTTACAATTATTTTTTGACAATCCCAAGAGACTTTTTCTTCTTTTTCATGGTTGTCGCAAGAACAGGCACCGGGCGGGCGCGTTTCAAATCTACAGTTTTGAGATCTGATTGTGCCGGACCAAGCGCAGCCCTTGCCGCTGCAGCCTGAACCATATCTGCCTTCTTCTTGGCGACCAGCAACTCTCGGTCTCGCTGAGACTCCAGCTTTGATTGATTTGTGGATTTCTCCAATTCTTCGAGAGCGTCCTTCGGCTTGGACTTGGCCTCTTCGTGCAGTCTGGCCAGACGCTCCTCCACTGTTTCGTCCTCTAGCTCCTTTTGCCGCCAAGGTTCGAGATTTCGGGCACCACCGCTGACTACTATATAGTCGCTAGTTTTGGGGTCCGTTTTAAAGACTATTTCGTTGGCACACCGCGGACATCGAATTGTGAAACTGATCACTGCGATGTCCAGGTACGATTCGTCGGTGATCCGCTTGCGAGCATTAAACTTGGTGCCTTTGTATATAAAGTGCTGACACTCACTACAATGCATAGCAAACGGTGCCATCAGCCGCACATTTTTCATTGCTCAATTCAGTCACCGTCGAAAAAAGTGCTGCAGAAGCAGAATTCCTAACGCTTTGAACCTGGCTTACTGTGCGATTTTTTCCCCCTGGCGTACGTAAGACAGACTTATAAGGCTGCTAATATTACTAGCCCGCTGGGTTTGAAGGCACTTTTTACTTGAAAGCAGAACATTATCGTCGGTGTTATTGGAGCATAATAAATGGAAGACCACAACCAGGATTCTGATACCGAAGAGGAGTATGTGAGGCCGCGATGGTACGACTACAACCACATGTACTGGTTGTCCTGGCACTGGCTCTCCGACAATGTGCGAGCAATTTTCTACTGGTGGGTGCGATTTTTCAAGTCGTTTATTGGCCTACACTATATTTATATCATTTCGATGTCCATCATATCATCGATCATCATTTACCCACAAAAAGACATGACCTATACCAACGCACTTTTCCAGGCGGTCTCAATTTCAACAAACACAGGCCTTAATACAATTCCCTTAGCAGACATGAAAGTTTATCAACAGGTCGTCTCTTACATTGTGCCTATTTTGGTTCATCCGCTCGTGATCAACGGTGCGGTGGTGGTGGCACGGCTGCATTGGTTCGAGAAAAAGTTTGATAACATCGCCGAAATGTCGAAACGGCAGTCCAAGATGCGAAGAGCAGCTACCAAGGCGAGGGCCCAGCAGGCGGCAGACAACAGCTCCGATATTTCGCCGAGTGATGAGGAAAAAGAGGTTGGTCTCGAGGACCCAGTCCTGACGAACAGCTCAGAAACAACAACAAACCAGCACCCGCCCACTGACAGAGACATTCGGTTCGGTGACTTGCCAATGCCTTCGCGTCGTGAATATAATACCCAGGACATGTTCCGATCTCTAAGAATGATGAAAAGCCAGCCTAATGCTGAGGATCTCGATGAAGATGATGGGCCGGCCCTTATTATCAAGAGCCCTCGAGACATTGAGCTGGATGAAGCTAGAGGCATTGCTGGCGTCGTAAGGAGAGCGTCAGAGGGTCATAATTCAATCGAACCCCACCCTGATGAAGAAAACGAGGCGCAACGCAGACGGCCTTCTTTCAGCACGCCAATGGACCCACGACTTCGTCAGAACAGCACAATCCATTCTCGCAGATCTAGTATCCACGATTTACGAAGTACTGGGCGAACAATGACAGCAAACTATTTATCATGGACGCCCACCGTTGGGCGTAACTCCACATTCGTTGGCTTGACTAGAGAACAGAAAGATGAGCTGGGAGGTGTTGAGCACCGTGCACTGCGCCTTTTGCTAATGATTGTTAGTGGATACCTCTTGGGATTTCTTATCGTGGCGACGATCATGTTTGTTCCCTGGACATACGCACGGAAACACTACAAGGATATAATTGAAAATCAGGACTTGTCGCCTGGATGGCACTCTGCATTTTTGGCGGTCTCATCTTTCTGTAACTTGGGAATGTCACTTTCTGGCGACTCGCTCACTATTTTCCAAAGGACCGCATATATCCCCTTGTTGGTGAGTATTTTTATCATGTTCGGCAACACAGCCGTGCCAGTAGGACTGCGTCTGGTAATCTGGATTATGTTCAAATTGACCCCTCCGTTTGGTCGTATGCATGAGACGCTGGCATTTTTATTAGACCATCCCCGTCGTTGTTTCATGCTTTTATTTCCTTCAGGCACCACCATGCTACTTTTTCTGGTGTTATGCTTGTTCAACGTTGTGGACCTTATCTTGTTCGTTATTTTCGATCTCGGAAGATCAGCTCTTACAGATATTCCAATGAACTACAGAGTTATGTGTGGTTTTGTACAGAGCGTTTGCACTCGTATTGCAGGATTTTCTATTCTGCCGTTGCCTGATCTGCATATCGCCGTGAAATTTTCGTACATTATCCTCATGTACATTTCGGTCTATCCGTTGGCTATTTCGATTCGTAAAACCAACGTTTACGAAGAACAAACTCTGGGTATTTACGGAGATGAGGAAGATATCAATGCTGAAGAAAGGAGCATGCTTGAATCAGCCAAGTCGTCTGCGCCCACTAGCCCGATGTTGTCGCATATGCAAAGACAGCTTTCGCACGATTTATGGTATCTTGTGTTGGGGCTATTTTTGGTTCTTATTTGTGAAGCCGGTAAGATAGAGCGAAATGAGATCCCATTCTTTGACGTGCTCTTCGAAGTTGTGTCTGCCTATGGCACAGTGGGAATGTCAATGGGCTTTCCAACCACTTCAGCATCTTTAAGCTCACAGTTCAGCACGGTGGGCAAGCTTGTTATCATGGCCCTGATGATTCGCGGCCGCCACCGGGGTCTGCCATATCGGATTGATCGATCGATTATTCTTAAAGGTGGTGATGTTGAAGTGCTCGACGAAGTTCAGCAAACACTTGCAAGACATCCCACTGTACTTCAACAACGCAACACTCTTGATAACTGGTCCTCTCGCGTCGAAACAACTGCATCCAGGCTACGCCGGGTGGGTACCTCAGCCAGCCGCCTGCGGCCGACGTTGACCTCCTTGTCAGGCCGGTCTCAAGACAGTAGACGTCGTCAGCGCACACAAAGAGCTATGTCTAGTTAGTTATTGCATGTATATACTTAATTTACGACTTTACACGCCTGCAGTCTGATTGTCAGATGCCATAACCCGAACCCTTACACATTGGCATGCATGTATCAGAAGCAAATCCACAGCAACTGGATGGTGCGGACGGCTAAGGCTGACAAACCACATATCGTTGTGCTTCGGATAATTAGAGATCGCAGAATACGCCTCACTCCAGAACACCCAGGTGATAAGCGCACGATCGTGATAATCCTAAAAGCTAGTCTTTCTCTGACCTATCCATTGTCAGGTTGATATCGTCAGGACTAGGTTACATTGGCCAGACAGACTTTGCATCTCCCCACCGTGAGGAAAGAAACTATTCCGACTTTTTTGACAGCAGAGAGCATGTCAAACGACGAGCAGTTGCCGCCAACTACGGGCCTACAAAACCTCAAGCTCGGCGGTAACGGCTCGAACGATTCACTGAAGTTATGTACTGATGTCGGCCGCAAGCAAAGCGCTTCATCTATATCCAGCGTGGAGGCCCTGTCCTCTCCGGACAGCACTCTGGGCTCTCCGGCTGCATCTTCGATGATGAGTGGACTTGCTGCTGAAATGCAGGCGCGTGTTCTCGCGTTGCAATCGTCCCGTCTCAAGCGCACGGCTTCAAGCACTTCTCAACCCAGGGGTATGACCCGGAAGCCGTCCATGTGCCGTACTCCCTCGCTCTACCGGACTGCATCAACGGCAAGTAATAGCAACGTTGATCTCACCACACCCATTCCATCCGATTCCAGCAGTGAGGCGGCTTCATCGGTAAGTTCGCCGGTTACGACCCCAACCGCAGAGCTACGACGTGTTGAGTTGAGTGACCCGCCGGCGGGCCCTCACCATCCCCTTAATTTGGACACTTCAAACGACTCGTCTCTCTCACATCAATCCATTGCTTCCGATAAAAATCTTAGTGATAGACCACTGCCTGCCCGTCCCGCCAGCATGCCCAATGTAGCAACTGGTGCTATGACTGATGTACCCGGAGGCGCTTTGACAGGTGCCATGCCTAGTGGCTCATTGACAGGGCCAATTCCTAGTGGTGCTCTTACCGGAGCTCCCTCGGGAGCTTTGACAGGGGTACCGGGCGGTGCACTAACGGGAAACCTTCACCGGACTCCTAGTGCAAGTGGGCGTGTTTTACCAGTTCCAACTGCAACAACCTTGAAAAAGGCACATATGAACTTGCATGGTGGATCGAGCATGTCTAGCCGCTTCCCAGGACTTTCATTGCGTGAAGCACGAGGTGGAAGTGGCCCTAATGGTCAAAATAACGAAGAATCTCTGAAACCATCAAAACCTCGTGTTTCGGGTGGAAGGCGACCCTCTGGTTTAGTGCTGCCACCTCTTCCAGGTGGAGGAGGGCCTCAGGCAGCAGCGATGGTTGGTCCAGCTGTTCGTTCACAGCGCAAAAACAAACTTTTTGCGTATCAAAAATATATTGATATCGAATCAGGGTCACTTAATTTTGCTGGCAAAGCAGTGATTCACTCTAAAGGAATTGACTTCAGCAACGGCACGTCTTTTCAAATCTCTCTTGATGAGCTCGAACCTCTCGAAGAGCTAGGTGCGGGCAATTACGGTACCGTCACGCGGGTAGTGCACAAACCAACAAAAGTAGAGATGGCCATGAAAGAAATTCGTTTAGAGCTCGACGAGGCTTCGTTCCGTCAAATTCTCATGGAACTTGATATCTTGCACCGCTGCCATTCTGAACATATGGTAGACTTCTACGGCGCTTTCTTTGTCGAGGGTGCTGTATACCTGTGTCTAGAGTATATGGATGGTGGCTCGATGAACCAAATATACGAAAATGGCATTCCTGAAAAATACCTGAGAGAAGTGTCTCGCTCCGTCGTGCTGGGCCTCAAAGAACTGAAGGAGCGGCACAAGATCATCCACCGTGATGTCAAGCCGACAAACGTCTTGTCGTCGTCGACCACTGGCAAGATCAAGCTTTGTGATTTCGGTGTAAGCGGGAACCTTGTTGCTTCGATTGCTCGAACCAATATTGGCTGTCAATCGTACATGGCTCCTGAGCGTATCAATTATGCTGCCTCCGCGCAGGCTGCGGAGTACTCTGTAGAGAGTGATATCTGGTCGCTTGGCCTCAGCATTATCGAAATGGCCATTGGTGTGTACCCATATCCGGCTGAGATTTACAGCAACATCTTCTCTCAGCTTTCGGCCATTGTTGAGGGCCAACCGCCTCAGCTGGACCCTAAGAAATTCAGTGCTGAAGCATGCTCGTTCGTGGCCGCCTGTCTTTGTAAAGATCCGCGAGTCCGGGCGTCTTATGCTGATCTACTTGCTCACCCTTGGCTCGCTAATCACCCACCTTTAGAAAATCACGAGATTGCCGAGTTCGTGCGTGAACGACTTGAAGCAGCTAAGGGTAGTAAGTAGATATGTAGAATTTACAGAATTATCTTATGCACTTAAACACAGCAGCACCAGCTGGTGAACCAGACTGGTCTGTCGAACCAAACCAGGCTAAACCTCTGTAGAAACTCCCGGTCCTGCCGGCAGAAAATGTCGAGTCCGAGTGCTGCCAGATCTGCTGCTGTGATTCGAATCACGCCTCCATCCGAGTCCTCGGCTAAGCGACTGAAAGTGTGTATGAGACCGCGCGTGTAATTCTGAAACTGGCCAACTACAGCCACACCCTCTGGAGAAGCCTCTAGCAGTGGCTGAACTTCTTGAGCATCAAGCGAAGCACTTTCGCCCGCAGATGCCCACCAAATCAACCCATTAGCTGCAGCATTGGCCGCTGCTGTCATGATGCCAGAGCTTTCGGCTGGAACATCGAACGCTTTAGCAATAACTGAGAATCGGTGTGAATCAGTCCATGTGGGCTCTAAATTATTGCCCGAAAGCAGCGATTTGACGCTGTCAGGCCTTCCAATAATGTCAGCGGCGTTCTGTGCACTGTGGGTAAGAAGTTCGTCAGTTGAACAAGCCACAAAAGACTCCAACTGCTGCAGGTCCGCAAGATCATGGAGCGTGACGTTATAAATAGCTTCGGGGTCCGTGTATTGTAGCGCCTGACGGTGTTCTGGTAACAAGTGACGCACATCACTAGGAATCGTGGTCATTCGGGAGAGCACGTAGGCAAACCTGCTGGCATCATGAACCGAGGAATTAACAAATAGCAGAATGCGCATTCTGGCAAGTCCAGCTTTCCACAATTCAAACACCCTAGGGCCAAATCGGCCCAAAAACAAGTCTGCTCCCAGCACGGGGTGGCAGCGGGGATCGGGGGCACCCAATTGTTTGGGCAGAACATCTGTATCGCCAATGGACAGGAACTTTTCCAAAGCGTCCCGTAAGAAGGTCTCCTGGTTCCACTCGAGACTCCCGCTGACTACCGCCAATGAGTAGAACTTGGCCGTTTCCCGGGTGTTGCCCCTCATGCCGTAAACCGCGCAGCCCATTTGGTCGCAGTACTTAAAGTATATAGTATCTTCCGTACGTGTGTGCAGGCCACTGGGAAGCATTTTGAACTCAATTCCATTCAAATTGCCCGCCTCAGATTGCCAAACCACTTGGTTGCCTTTGTTGGCGTCAAACTCCGCTAAAACGAGCATAAGTCAGCAAAGTGGAAGAGGTTGGTTTATTGGGTTATTTCACTACAGTTCGTCATGAGGGGACAGTTTGTCAATGACCTCAAGGAGTTTTTCGGCTAGATCTTTGGGGAGAGAAGGTAGTTGCTTCTTCAAGTTTTCGATTTGCTCGGCGGTGGCCGACGTAAACGCCTGCAGAAGCCAGTTCTCTTGAGTCTTATCAACGACAATACCTGCTTGCGTCAATAGCTTTGCAAGATCCAACTCAGGTTTTTGCGCCTGCTGCTCGGGCTCAGACTTTTGCTCAGACTCGGGCTTAGGATCAGCTTCAGGCTTCAAATCCTTGTGGATCTTCTTGGCATGGGCAAGCTTCTCAGCGTACTGCACAATTGTACCTTTACCCTCATCAATCCACTCCATCAGAGAGTGAATATCGGGAAGCTCAGGGGCAAGATCACGCAAGCGATACAGCAGAGTCTCCAGTTCGTGATGGAGCCCTTCTTTCCGCTGGCGGTCTTTGTCGGCCTTGTCAAGAACGCTCATGTGATACAGCAGTTTTTGACGTTCTGAAGAGCTCAGCGGTGTCGCACCCATATACTTGGGCGTGGCAGGTAAATATCTTGAAGACTCACGAGTCTCAACATTCTCGGTCGTTGTCTCGTTGGTCTTGGTAATGGCCTTGTTACACTTGACAGAGGACCACATCAGCTGAGCGATTCTATTCTTGTCCAGTTGAAATTTCAAGTCAACCGTGGGCTCGTCAACGCATTTACTGCTCTCCTCGAGGTAGGTAATCGCTTCAGAAATAGACGGAATAGACCACTGCAAAATTGGCGAACCGTTTTCAATAAGCTCAAGTTTCAACTCGTCGGTCACAGAAACGTTCAAACGCGCTGTCGAAGACAATGTGGATCCTGTGGGGAACAGAGACTTTTTATCTCCGTTAACCGTCAATGAATAGTCGAACGGAGAGCGATCCACGACAGTGATGTTTTTGCTCTTGAAAATACCAGAAATACCAACGCCACGGAGTGTAGCACCCATGCAAGCAGCTTCATCCGCATTGACATTTTTGGAAATGATGTCCCCGGCCATTTTACGGATTTCGGCCTGGACGAACGGAGACCTGGTACCGCCACCAGCGAGAATGACGGAGTCTAAGTCCGCAACTTGCAACTGGTCGCCGTTAAACAATTTAAAAGAGTCCTGTAGCGGACCAGAGACGCGAGAAACCAATCCCTGGCAGGCCTTTTCCAGAACCGCCCGCTCAATTTTCAAATCAATATTATAATCCTTATAAGCGGACTCGATATGGACTCGAGTTTCTGTGTTTGCACTCAAAACAGCCTTTGCACGTTCGGCCTCACGCCACAAACGATTAAGAATTTTTGGCGTACGCAAATCAACGGTTGAAACCTTAGCCACCTTGGACAGCTCATCAACAAGTGTATCCCGAATAACCTTGGTAATAGCATGTCCGCCCAGATTGGTGTCATAGCCGAAGCCTTCCACATCAATAACCACGTTGTTTCCTTCTTGACGAACAGAAAGAAGGGTGGAGGTAGTTGACTGAGCACCCATGTCGTAGACAGCGATATACTGTTTGTCTTCGGTGAATTGACGAGTTGAAGCATAGTTAACAGCCACAGCAACACCATCGTCAACCAAGGAGATCAAACTCAAACCGGATAACTCAATAGCATCAACTAGGGCTCGACGCTGATCCATTGTCAAATGACCAGGAATGGCTACTGCGACATCTTTGATGCTGCCAGTACCAAACTTGTGGTCCAGCAGCTCCTGTGCGCGTCTCTTGATATCGGAAAACGTCATAGCAACTGCTTCCTCGACAGGAATCTGTTCAGATGCAATACTCAGGTCAATAGACTGCCGAGTGCTTCCAGATAGTACGACACCTGGATTCAGATCCTGGTATGAAGAAACGCCTTCGTGTCCCACTGGAAGCCCCAGAAGCTGCTTGAGATAGTAGAATGCTGCTTGAGGAAAACGAGAAACTAAAGCATGCCCCGTAGTGCCGTAAACACGCTCGAACTCGCCATCAACCGGCTTAAATAAAAGACCCGATGTATCTTTTCGTTTTGAGTCTTGGGTCAAGATAATTTCAAATGGAATATTAGGGGCCACTAGGGCCGATTTAGTGAACTCGGCACCAAAGTCAACTCCTAGAACAGAGCATAGTACTGCTTGAACTAGCGTCAACCCTACGAGCCAGCGCATAATTAACTAAGTCTTTGGGGTCTGCTTGGCGACTTTGTCAGGTCGCGAGGGGTGTTGGAGGGATGTTATATTTTTCAGTAAAGAGACAAATTCCATGTTCAAAGTGCACAAAAGCTACCGTTATTATCATTAATTGCTATTTTGAAGCTATGGGAGTGTCAAATTCAAGCGTGCTCAGATTGTCACAGAATATCGCCCCAAAAAAACCGTGACGCAACCCTGGGAAACAGGCGCAAGATTTGCTACCGGAGGCCAATAAGATTGACACCACACACATTCCGAGCCATGCTCCGCCGTAAAATACACGTTTATACCGATGGCACTCGGCAATTGATGCAGGCAACCTCGCATGAAGGCCCTCATGGCACACCCCATATAAACACCTCAGAAAGACGAAAAAAACAGCACACAAGTCAAATCCATGTATCCGAACACAACCGTAAAACTTATACTCCAGAAAATTGCCAATAGCATCTCTTTTGCATGACATCGATCTTTCATGCATCTAACGCAAACGGGCGAGAGGGTTAGGGCTTAATTTTTTTTTTTCACAGATTATAATCTGCGCTGGTGACCCAATTCGTTCTTTTTCTTCAGCCATACGCTGAGGAACGATTAGCATGTCAGTCTGCTTGCCTATCTTTCCTCCGTTAAATGAGAGCCACAAACTCACCACGCTGGAGCTTAAGAATGGATTAACTGTTCAAGGTTATTCGTTCGGAGCCTCAAAGGCGGCTGCCGGCGAACTGGTCTTCCAGACTGGTATGGTCGGCTATCCTGAGTCCATCTCGGACCCGTCTTATGAAGGCCAGATTCTGGTCATCACTTTCCCGCTTGTTGGCAACTATGGTGTCCCTGACCGCAAGGTTATTGACGATCTGGTCCCTCAGCTGCCCAAGTACTTTGAGTCCAACCGCATCCACGTCGCTGGTTTGGTTGTTGCCTCGTACACTGAAGAGTATTCCCATTACCTCGCCAAGTCCAGCCTTGGAGACTGGCTTAAAGAGGAGGGAATTCCTGCCATTTACGGTGTCGATACCCGTCGACTCACCCAGGTGATCCGTAACGGTGGGTCCACTTTGGCCAGGATCTGCACTCTGGACAACGCAGTTCCCGCCCTACAGGCTCAGTGGCCCACAAATTTCGAGGTCCCCGAATGGCGCGACCCCAACGTCGAGAACCTTGTTGCCCGGGTTTCCAAGCCCGAGTCTACCCTATACCAGGTCCCCGAGAGTGTTTCTGTTCGCAACAAGGCTAACGGCAAACCCGTTCGCATCTTGGCTGTCGACGTTGGTCTAAAATACAACCAGATCCGCTGCTTTGTCAAGCGCGGTGCCGAGTTGAAAGTAGTCCCCTACAACTACAATTTCTTGGCCGAGCTTGACGAGTTCGATGGTTTGTTCATTTCCAATGGCCCTGGTGACCCCGCCATGATGTCTGATCTTGTCGAGCGTATTCGCAAGGTTCTAGACTCTAAGAAGACTCCCGTCTTTGGTATCTGTTTGGGTCACCAGCTCATTGCTCGTGCAGCTGGCGCTTCCACCTTGAAGCTCAAGTTTGGTAACCGTGGTCACAACATCCCTGCTACCAACTTGATCTCTGGCCGATGCCACATCACATCCCAGAATCACGGTTTCGCCGTTGATACTGCTACCCTGCCCAAGGGCTGGCATGAGTTGTTTGTAAATGCAAACGATAACTCCAATGAGGGTATTTACCACGACTCGCTGCCCTTCTTCTCGGTTCAATTCCACCCCGAGTCCACCCCTGGTCCCCGTGACACTGAGTTCCTATTCGACACCTTCCTGGACACTGTTGTCGACTTTGCTAACACAAAGACACTCAAGCCCGTCACTTTCCAGAAGACTACCATGCCACCCCGTGTTGACGTTAAGAAAGTCCTTGTTCTTGGTTCCGGTGGTCTTTCCATCGGTCAGGCCGGTGAGTTCGACTACTCCGGCTCCCAGGCTATCAAGGCTCTTAAGGAGGAAGGTATTTACACGGTGCTGATCAACCCTAACATTGCTACCATCCAGACTTCTAAGGGCTTGGCCGACAAGGTTTATTTTTTGCCCGTCAACCCTGACTTTGTCCGCAAAGTCATCAAGTACGAGCGCCCCGATGCTATTTACTGCACTTTCGGTGGTCAGACTGCCCTTTCGGTTGGTATCGCTTTGAAAGACGAGTTCGAGAGTCTCGGCGTTAAGGTGTTGGGTACCCCCATTGATACGGTTATCACAACAGAGGACCGTGAGCTGTTTGCTCGTGCTATGGACGAGATCGACGAGAAGTGTGCCAAGTCTGCCTCTGCCAACAATGTTGAGGAGGCTGTTGCCGCTGCTAATGAGATCGGCTACCCCTTGATCGTCCGTGCCGCGTATGCGCTCGGTGGTCTTGGTTCCGGTTTCGCTGATAACGAGAAAGAACTCCGCGACTTGTGTGCCAAGGCTTTTGCCGCTTCTCCTCAGGTTCTTGTTGAGCGCTCCATGAAGGGTTGGAAAGAGGTTGAGTACGAAGTAGTTCGTGATGCCTACGACAACTGTATTACAGTCTGCAACATGGAGAACTTCGATCCTCTTGGTATCCACACCGGTGACTCTATCGTTGTTGCTCCTTCTCAGACGCTCAGTGACGAGGATTACAATATGCTGCGTACCACCGCCATCAATGTCATCCGTCACCTTGGTGTTGTTGGTGAGTGTAACATCCAGTATGCACTTAATCCTTTCAGTAAGGAATATTGCATCATCGAGGTCAATGCTCGTCTTTCTCGTTCGTCCGCTCTTGCATCTAAGGCTACTGGTTACCCCTTGGCTTTCGTTGCTGCTAAGCTTGGTCTCAATATCCCCCTCAACGAAATCCAGAACTCCGTCACCAAGTCCACTTGTGCCTGCTTCGAGCCCTCGCTTGATTATGTCGTTGTTAAGATTCCTCGCTGGGATCTTAAGAAGTTCACTCGTGTTTCCAAGGAGCTGTCTTCTTCGATGAAGTCGGTTGGTGAAGTCATGAGTATCGGTCGTACTTTCGAGGAGGCGATCCAAAAGGCCATTCGCTCAACTGATTATCACAACCTCGGCTTCAGTGAGACTGAGGCTCTTATGTCTATTGATATTGACACTGAGCTGCAGACTCCCAGCGACCAACGTCTGTTCGCCATCGCCAATGCCTTCCAAAAGGGCTACACGGTTGATCAGGTTTGGCAGCTCACTCGTATTGACAAGTGGTTCTTGAACAAGCTGCACTACCTCATCGAGTATGCTAGACAGCTCACCACCTTCGCTGGCGCTAGCATTCCTGAGCAGCGCATGCGTGAGGCCAAGCAGCTCGGTTTCGATGATCGTCAAATTGCCAAGTTCATCCGCTCCAACGAGCTCAGTGTTCGTGATATGCGTAAGAAGATGGGTATTACTCCCTTTGTTAAGCGTATCGATACCGTCGCTGCCGAGTTCCCTGCTCACACCAACTACTTGTACATGACCTACAACGCTGATACTCATGATATCGATTTTGATGATCACGGTGTAATGGTTCTTGGTTCCGGTGTCTACCGCATTGGCTCCTCAGTTGAGTTCGATTGGTGCGCCGTTCGTGCTGTCCGCACCTTGCGCCAGCAGGGTACCAAGACTATCATGGTCAACTACAACCCCGAAACCGTATCTACCGATTACGATGAGGCTGATCGCCTTTACTTTGAGGTCATTAACCTTGAGCGTGTCCTGGATATTTACGAGCTCGAGTCTTCTTCTGGTGTCGTTGTATCTATGGGTGGCCAGACTTCTAACAACATTGCTTTGCAGCTGCATCGTCAAAACGTCAAGATTTTGGGTACTTCTCCCGACATGATTGATCGTGCTGAAAATCGTTTCAAGTTCTCTCGTATGCTTGATTCTATCGGAGTTGATCAGCCTGAGTGGAAGGAGCTCACTTCTATTGCCGATGCTGAGGAGTTCGCCAACCGTGTTTCTTACCCGGTTTTGGTTCGTCCCTCTTATGTTCTTTCTGGTGCTGCTATGAACACCGTCTACTCGCAGGATGACCTCGAGAACTACCTGAAGCAGGCTGTGGAGGTTTCTCAAGATTACCCCGTTGTTATCACAAAGTACATTGAAGGTGCTAAGGAGATCGAAATGGATGCTGTTGCTGTCAATGGTCAAATGATTATGCACGTCGTTTCCGAGCACGTTGAAAATGCTGGTGTCCACAGTGGTGATGCTACTTTGATTGTTCCTTGCCAAGATCTTGCTCCTGAGACTGTTGAGCGTATCGTCGATGCTACTGCCAAGATCGGTAATGCTTTGAACGTCACTGGTCCTTACAATATCCAGTTCATTGCCAAGGACAACGAGATCAAGGTTATCGAGTGCAATGTTCGTGCCTCTCGTTCGTTCCCCTTCGTTTCTAAGGTTATGGGTGTTGATCTGATTGAGATGGCCACTAATGTCATTGTAGGCAACCCTGTTGAGCCTTATCCCCTAAAGGATCTGCCTCAGGAGTACGTCGCTGTCAAGGTGCCCCAGTTCTCATTCTCTCGTCTGTCAGGTGCTGATCCTGTTCTCGGTGTTGAGATGGCTTCTACCGGTGAAGTCGCCACTTTCGGCCGCAACAAGTACGAAGCTTATCTCAAGTCGTTGATCGCTACAGGCATCAAGCCTCCCAAGAAGAACATCCTTCTTTCCATTGGTTCGTACAAGGAGAAACTTGAGCTTCTCCCTACTGTTCGTCGTTTGTACGAGAATGGGTTCAACTTGTACGCTACTGCTGGTACTACCGATTTCCTCAAGGAGCATGGCGTCGAAGCCAAATATCTCGAGTTACTCGATGACGAGAAGGAGAAGAATGAGTACTCCCTCACCCAGTACTTGGCTAACAACATGATTGATTTGTATGTCAATCTGCCATCTTCTAACCGCTTTCGTCGTCCTGCAAGCTACATGTCTAAGGGTTATCGCACACGTCGTATGGCTGTCGACTACGCTGTCCCTCTTGTCACCAACGTCAAGTGTGCCAAGCTGTTGTTTGAGGCCGTCCTTTTGCAACCCGACTTTGCTGTTTCTCCTATCGACTCTCAGCTTTCTAATACCGTTCTTCAGATTCCTGGTGGCCTGGTCAACGTTGGCTGCTATGTCCCTTCGTACAACAAGCCTGATCAAATCGAGCAGGTTCTCAACACTTCTCTTGCCAACGGTTTCTTGACAAATGTCATGCTTCCTGCTGCTGAGGATAGCGCCTTGTCTTCCAGCTTCACGCTCGCTGCTGCTCGCTCTACTTTGGCCAAGATCGGTATCACTGACTTCTTGCTTACTCTTGCTGCAACTGAGTCCAACTCTCAACAGATTGGAACTCTTTCTCAAGATGCTGGTGCTTTGTACATGTCTTTCCACTCAGCTCAGCCATTGAAGAATGTTAGCGAGGTGTCTGCTCACTTTGAGACCTGGAACGTCTCCAAGCCTATCGTGACCGATGGGTGTGGTGCTAACCTTGCTTCAGTCCTGCTCCTCGCCTCTCTTTACAAGTGTGCTGTTCATGTGTCGAACGTCCGCCGTGAGGAGGACCTCAAGCTTATTCAGATCACTCGCGTTAGTGGTCTCAAGGTGACTTGTGATGTCTCTATTATTTCCCTGTTTATCTCTGGTGATCAGATTCCAGCTGCCAAGGAGCACTTGCCTTCTTCCGCTGATCAGACTGCTTTGTGGGCCAGACTCAGAGAAATTGATGTTTTGAGCATCGGCCATGTTCCTGCTCAGGTTTGTGAGGTGCTTGGTATTCCTTCTGCTGTCGCTGGAATCAAGCTTGCTGTTCCTTTGCTTTCTGCTGCTGTTCGCGATGGCCATCTTACAGCTCAGGACATTATCACTAAGATGAGTGTCAACCCTCGCAAGGTGTTTGGTTTGACAGAGCTCACCAACGCTTCTGTTGAAATCGATCTTGATCGTCCCTGCGAGCTTGCTGAGTGGGCTACTATCCAGGCTGCTGCTAAGGACAACTTCCGCCTTTGCGGAAGCGTTGACCGTGTTGAATTTGCTGGCAAGGTCGTTGCGCTCGAGGGCTCCCTTGTTGGTGAGCAGCGCCTCGGCCAGGATGCTGGTGTCTCTCAGGACATGGAGGATCGTCCTTCTGTTGGCAAAGCTCTGGCAGATTCTCGCAAGGCTATTATGGACTCTAGAATCAAGTCTCCTATGGATACCTCGCAAGCTACTGCCGAGCCTTCTACCCCCGTTGCTCGTCCCGAGCAGTCTCGCGCTGAAGCTCGCAGTTTGTCTTTCACTGACCGTGATCGTCCTGTTCTGCGTCGGGAGCTTGCATCTCGTGAGGTTCTCAAGGACCTTTTGCGCCGCAACCCATTCTTGCGCAAGTCGGTTGTTTCTGTGCACCAGTTCACTCGTCGTGATTTGCACGATCTGTTCGACCTTGCTCAGGAAATGCGTCTTGTTGTTGAGCGCAAGGGCTCGCTAGACCTGCTGAAGGGTCGTGTTCTTGCCACCATGTTCTACGAGCCTTCCACTCGGACTTCGGCGTCATTCGACGCTGCTATGAAGCGTCTTGGAGGCAGTGTTGTGACTGTCACCTCCAACACTTCTTCTGTCCAGAAGGGTGAGACTCTGCAAGATACTCTGCGCACTCTCAGCTCTTACTGTGATGCTGTTGTTCTGCGCCACCCTGAGGAATCTTCGATGGATATCGCTACCAAGTACTTGTCTGTTCCTGTCCTGAATGCTGGTAACGGACCTGGCGAGCATCCGTCGCAGGCTTTCTTGGATCTGTTCACTATTCGTGAAGAGATGGGCTCAGTCAACAACCTGACAATTACTTTCATGGGTGATCTTAAGCATGGCCGCACTGTGCACTCTCTGGTGCAGTTGCTTGACCACTATCACATCAAGGTCCAGTTGGTGTGTCCCTCCGGTCTTGCACTCCCTCAAGAGCTCCTTGCAATGCTCCGTGCCTCGAACAAGATCAAGACTATCAGCGAGGTGTTGACTGACGATATCCTGGCTGACACCGATGTGTTGTACTGCACTCGCATCCAGAAGGAGCGCTTTGCCGATCTGGCCGAGTACGAGGAGTACAAGAACGTTTACCGCGTTGATAACTCTGTCCTTGCCAAGTGCAAGACACACATGTGTATCATGCATCCCTTGCCTCGTGTTAACGAGATCGCCGAGGAGGTCGACTTCGACCACCGCGCCGCTTATTTCCGCCAGATGCGCTACGGCCTGTTTGTCCGCATGGCTTTGCTGCTGATGGTTATTGGTGTAGACTTTTAATTTGTGTAGGGCTATTATCTGTTTACGGCGTTATTCGTCTATTTATTTACTTTAATTTATTTCGTTTTATGTGTATGTATTTATTTTTCTTCTTCTGACTTTGGGCCTTGTGACATAATGGATCGACGAAAACGACGGCCTCCTCGCCGTCAACGGCCGTTGCCCCTGGCGCCTCCAGAACTGGTCAAAACTGCGCAGGGGCTGGCCGAGCGACCACGGAAATCTCGTTGGGATATACATGCCAAAGGGTACGAGGAAATAAGCACTGAGCAGCTGAAACTGTCTGGGGAGATCGCTCCAGGCAGTCCGCTGCCGGATCAAGTGCCAAAACAGCTTCTTAAGATTGCCTCGCTACCTGATTTGGTTCCGGAACAAAGTGTGAGCATTCGTAAACTACTCTGTGATGGAGAGGATGCCGAAGTTCTCTCGTACCTGTCCAAGTTCGGATCGGTGGAAAAGCAGGGCAACGCATTTGTAGTGGAGAACGCCAAGTTAGCTGCAATTGCTTTGGCAACTCCTGGCCCGTTCAAGTTCGGACGGCCCGCAAATGTGGTATCGGCATTGCAGGGCGATATTTATACAAACACAAACACATGGTACGGGGATAGCGACACAGCAGCCGATGAAATCGTGCAGTTAAAGGGAAGCAAATTATTTTTGAGTCCGGCTTCGACAGACGGATTGACGCCACTTTTTGACAGCCGTTATGGTCAACCCCCACTATCTAAACAGCTGGCGAGAATGGCCAAACAGGCCTGTGATAAAGCACCGGCCCCGCCGTCTACTGAACTGGTTGTGTTCAACGCCGTTGACCAGACGGCTCCCGAGGGTGCTCAAGCTGTTTGCGGAGAAATCGAGCAGGCCTGTAAAAAACACGGTGCCGTCGTCGATATCCAATTCGTGTCCCCCAAAGATGGTCTATCGTACATCCAGGTGAGCTTTGCCAGGGCAGAGGACTGCACCAAAGCACTAGACCAGCTAGGCGGGATAGAATTTGACGGCAAACCGCTGATATGTGCATATAAATAAATACATAGGGACTAATTTCGACGTCTTCTGCGATACTCTGCGAGCTCCCGGCCCACTTTGGGATCCCATGCATGTCTCACGATCATGTCGTAAACTTGTTCGGGCATTTTTTCAAGCACAGCCAGGGTCATAGACTTGATATCGCGGGCTTTCAAGGGGGGAAATGAGCGGAGCAGAGACATTGGTTTATCTGAATTGAGCAGCTCAGTTCTGATCATGACCAATTGCGCTACAACCATGAGCAAGTTCAAGTGCGCACCGTAGGCCATTAAAATGTCCCACAGTACGAGCACTTCTCTCAATGGCGGCGTACACGCACTGAAAGTCATTACTGACGCGAATGCATAGAGGTTTGCAGTGAGTAGCTTTGATCGTAGATGCTGGTAGAGAGGTGGATCCGTCAATTCGAGAATAAGATCGACCAGATCGAGCCCAGTGTGCACTCCACTGAGGGTGGGTGTGACGTACAATGAGCAACGGGTAAGAACAAAATGGTTGAAAAGCGTGAATGCCTGAGACTCTGAACGAGACACATACAAAAACGGAGCGGCTATGACGTTCATGCCCTGAACATAAGTGCGGTCAGGGTGAGCAGTGGCATAGGCGTTGAGAACTCGAGCCAGCGCCTCTTCTGATACCTTTGATTTAAACATCGGGTCCGTTGCCATTGTCCTAAATGTATCGTTGTGTATTTTAGCGTCCGAATCACTAGGCCCGCTCGACACAAGCTTGAGGTACTGTTCTGCGGGGGGCAGCTCGACTTGAAGCAGAATCGTCCACACATAGTTGCGGTAGTGGCAGTCTCCAGAGCCATCGGTCTGCAGGCCATCAATCAGAACATGGTATCTCAATTGTTTCAAGCTTTCCTGAATCAAATTGGGTGGCTTGTGAATCAGATCGTTGATCTTATCCTCCATGGTGTGCTGACAAAAAAGTAAACAGAGGTTGTTTTTTTTAATAACTGGAGATGGTAGCATATATAGCAACAGCACGGTGCTGGTATAAATATTATTCGATCTGCGACTGTAGACTTTTGAATTCCAGTGGCTGGAATGCTACGCCTTCGCCCTCGAAATGTTTTGACATGGCCTCGACCCAGTGAAGTCGCAGTGAGTGAAGCATGGCAGAGGTTCCCTCCATACAAACGAGCACAACAACTGTTCCGACAAACCACATGGCAAAGAGACAGACAACCGTGACGACTCCTTTGGCTCCAGTGGGACCAAACGCGTTTTGGATCGTCATGTCCCACAGCACGGACGACAGCTGGTTGTGCGCTAGCGACAACGCCCACAACCGCAGGTAGGACGCAGTGTGGGACACACAATTTAGACAGAACTCGATGGTGTGAATAACCTGGTGAATCATGACCTCGCTAAACTCAAACTTCTCGTGTGCATCTTCGCTGTGGGCATCTTGGATGATCATTTCCTCGTCGGCATCTTCTTCCAGCGCAAACAATTGGTTTTCGTGCTGTTGCTCCTGCATGCTAGAATACCCCTGACGCTGTGCAGAAGTATTAAGCCGTCGCAGATACAATGGCTTGAACAACAGCAACCATGGCACGCAAACAAGTGCTACAAGAACAAGCAGGCCTTGCACGAATTTCTGGCCAGGATACAGTTGCTGTTCAATAGTCCCGGGGCTCAAAAACATATTGATCAACATATCAAGCAGTCCGGGGGCAGGCTTGTTTTGTCCAATCCAGTCCACACTCCATTTATACAGAATGGTAGCCGCCAAGTAACCAAAGATGCTCTGCATGAAGAGCACACTGGGGATGAAGTTGCCCACAACGTCCACCCATGAATCAAAATGTAGAGCGTTCACTAGTTGGAATACAAGCGAGTAAGTCATGTGCAAAAAGCCCATAAGAATAGACATCTTCATTTTGTAGGAATTGGTAAACAGCAGGTTGTTTTCCGCCCCATGCCAAGCCCAGTCAATTCCAAAGGGATAAGTGTGCCCCGTAAAGCTGGCCGAGACAGTTTCACCCGCTGCGTGTTCTGGCCATTTCCATCCAGAAGAAAAGATTGTCATTGATTTCGAGAAAACGTCGTTATACACAACCCCCGTGAAAAGAGAAAACAATCCCATTAGCAGAAGCACATAGCGGCCGCTGAACGCCATATCGAATATTTCATCACGACGCATTTTGGCAATTGTATTTTCGCGCAGTACTAGCGAAAGTGCCGCAAGACTGAGAATGATGGCATGGCCCACGTCACCAAACATAATTGCAAACATAAACGGAAAAGTAACAATAGCCGGCAATGCAGCATTGACTTCTTGATACGAGGCGATACCATACACATCGACAATTGCTTGGAACGCAGCGGTGAACTTGTTTGTGCGGTGGTATGTGGGCGGAGACCTCGTAGTTTGAATCTCATGGACCACTGAGGGTGTTCGTACGCCCTCACGCTCAGCAACTCTAGCAAGAGTGGCTTGGATGAGACCGATTTTATCTCTTGGTACCCAGCCCTCTGCAATTAAACTACGACGGTGGGCGTCATAGCTGAACATATTCAATGTTTGATACACCAAGCTCTCTTTAGCCAGCATGGCCTGCCATGTAGTAAGCTGGTTAGCAACAAGCTCGAGTTCGACACCTAGATGAGCCGTTGCCGAATCCAGAACCTTGAAAATTTCCGTCAGTTGGGCATTGGTAGTGTCTAGCTCTATTTTCCGAAGCTCGCTGTCGCCATCGACGTCGAACAGATGAGTATCCATACTCTCCGCCAGTCTGCGTATTTTGGCCAACGTGGCGTCACCATGTGTATAACAAACAAAAGAATCCATATATACGCCCGATACAGGCTGCTCGATTGGGAAATGCGTCATGTACAAATTGCCACGGGAAACTCTCCACGCGATACGCTCGAAAGCAAGATATTTTGTTCTTGGAATTGTTCCAGCCAGCAAAGAAGTACGCACATTGAAGTTAAATGCCTCCGTGTCCTCAACCAAAGGATCTTCATTACCCCGGTACAGCCCCGCTTCGAGCAGCGGGACGTTGTCTTTGTCAAAGGACGCGGGGTCGAGATCGGCAACGGATGTTCCAGAGTAGAACTGCTCACAGGCACGCAAAACCTGGCGTTTTTCCAGCAAATAGTCTCGGCGGTGCTCCATTGTTGTCCGGGAATTAGCCAGCTCGGTTATTTTTGCAGCAACTGCTTCAATCTCCGCTAGTAAATCGTCCACCTCTGAGGGAGGTAATAACGGCTGCTCGAGGATTGCGTCCGGCAGCGGAGCAGCAGGAACGGCAGCCACTTCGAGCTGCTTCATCAGCGTGTTCAGACCGCGCTTTGCTGCCTCGAGGCGGCGTATTTCTGTAATAAACGTGCGCTGGAACGACGTCTGCGTGTCGTTGAGATCGCGGAATTGCACCGTCTCTAATTGTGCGAGCTCGCCAACAATCTCCCGGCAGACCTCAGAAGCAACATATATTTGAATCAGCGCCATTGGCGCCGACCTAAAAATGTGCTCTTCTCCAACACTCATCTTCGGCGAGGGTCAAGTCGGATAAGCTGGGACGAATCCACCTGGCAGCTTAGTGAGGTAACATCAGGAAGTGGAAAGCAGCGAAGAGAATTGGGCGATGAATGCGTACCTGTTTATTGATTCGAACACCGCGGACACGCTTGTATCGCAGCCCGAGTGTGCGCAGGGTCCCAAGAGGGTGGCGGTGAAGGGCTACGAGGCTTACTTGGTGGAACAGTGGGTGTGCGCTCGTGAAGTCAATGGCGTTGTCTCATCGTACACGGGCAACTCCTCGGATATTGTGGTGGCAAACACGGTGTTTATGCCACAAATTGCGGACAACTTTGGTGCCGGCAGTCGCCAGATTTTCGATGCGTTAGGAGCGATGCATCTACTGCCAAAGGAAACAGAACATGGCTTGATGCTCGTGACGAATCTGTCTTCGTTGCCCTCGAGCTGGACATTGATTCCAATGCCTGCTGGAACGAGGTATGAGGACGCCATGAGACTGTTTGTTGTGAATGAAAACTTGCGAAGGCTGCAGTGTATGGGCCGCCTTGCCGTAGCTTTGGAGAAGCCTAGTTCCACGGCCGAGACGAAATTCCGGTCCATTTTCATGATCCATCTAGATGTACCTATTGAGTTTGCTGCTCAGGAAATTGTGGTGATGGTTCAAATGGCCCTGTACTACAGTGGACTTTTGGAGGGACATTATGTTGATGGTCTTTTGTGCGATATCACTCTGGCAAAGGCCCGCGATTGGTGGACAAAGTTTGGGCAACGACTCATGGACGCACCTACAATCAACGACCCTCAGTATTTTTCAATAACAGTCGCTGCTCTTATTGGATGGTTAAGCAGCATGAGAAGCCGATTGTCTGCGCTCAATTACAAGCCACCCAAGGACGTTTTTGACGCCAACTTGTTTTCTACTTGTATCAAACAGTTCCAGAAGACAGAAAAAATGCCACGGACAGGCATTTTGGACGAGAAAACTACTCGAAAACTTTCTGAACTCGCAGCAAATCGTTTGAAGAATTTCCAAAACGATTTCTATACCCAGGCCCGTAAAATCCCCAAATCCGCCGGTGCAGACTCCAATTTAATGGCGTTTGTAGTGAAAAATGCTAAAGGTGCTCGCTCTCAGTATCTTTGGCAAGGCAGTGGCTCTCAATACGAGCCTGTATCGGACCCAGGAGTTGGCGAAGAGTACTATTGTCACAATACCGGAATGCCGTTGCATTCTCTTCGCGTTGAAGACAAGGCGCTTGCTCAGAACAAGTTGAACTTGGTCAATCGTTTACGCAGCAAATCTCGCGGTCAAGATTTTAGAAAGCGTGATGAAAGCTCCGACTTGTCGTTCATGGGGAACTTCAGCACTACGTCTTTGGAGCCTGCTCCTCGTTTGGGGCCACTTTCGGCTCCTGCCTTGGTTCCAGCTCTACCGTCCCTTTCAACCAGTGCTCTGGGACCTCATGACACTGAAAAGCCTGTTCCAAAGGATGAGGCTCCTTGCCCCCGGCGTCTCGCTGGTAACCTGTCTATCGGTACACGAGACGATAGCGCACTCAACAAGAGCAGCTCTAGACGGCGAGCTATGCGTCCTCGTGCAAACAGTGTGAGTGTAATTGAGAATGTTTTACACCCTTCCAAGAAGCCTGCCTCGTCTGCCCGATTACATCTTTTGTTTCGAGAGGCCCGGGAACTGCAAGATCAAGTCTACGAGCGGCTGAACACTGACTCGAAGCGCTGCGAGGAACTCGATCATGAGCTTGAACGTCGAAGTTCTGAAGTCAACATCGAGTTCCGCCAAACCGAGACCATGAAGTATCAAGTCCACGCCACTAACCGCAAAGAGTATGCAGTCAAGGTGCGTATGCACGAGCTCGAAGCCCTTATGTCGAAGCTGGACTACGAGTACAACATTATTGGCTCAAAAGTCCGAGAAGTCGAACAAGCAGTGGCAGAGTTTGGCGCAAAAGTCGAGCATCTTGAAGGACAGTTCAATCGCGTGCGCGAAACCCCAACAAGTTTTTGGAGAACCTTGTTTGGCTATTAAAATAGTATTTATTTAGAATGCATCATACGATATATATATCATTTTTGTTCAGAACATACGGTCCCCGTTAGCTTGAATGAGCGCTCGGGCTATGGCGATCTCTTCGCCCTCGTGAACATGCTCATCAAAAGCGGATTGAACTTCCGGGTCCACAGGAATTCCTGTTTGGGCGGAGAACGAGGGCCGATACGAAAATCTTTGCAGGCCCATCCCTTCGTCTGCGTTGAATTTGAGAATCTCATCGTGGAGATCTGCATCAAGAGCTAGAGAGGGTGGCGCAGGCTCCACGTTCTCTGGGTTGTCATCGCCCGGCTTCTGTCGCTTATTACGCGTAGGATTCGTATCACGGCATCGTGCACAATCACGAATAGCAAGCGCAGCAGTGTCTTTTATGCGGGCCCAATGATATCGTTCGGCGACCATTGACGTAGTCTTGTTGATACCACTGTGGTTTAGATTGTGGACCCTTTTAACAATTTTGAGTTGCTCGGAGGGATCGGAAATCACCTCTCGGTCTTTGAGCATTAAGCGACCGTCTCTTAGTCGGTAGTGTGCCGACGAAGAGCGCAGTCTGGATTTCTCTTGCCTGTCGGCGTCTGGTGGGTACTTTCCTGTTTCAAGATAGTATTTGATGCGATCAAACCGCATTTCCCCCACCTCGTCAGGTTTTGCTCCTTGTAATTCGCGCCCCAACATCAAAATATCAACGGCATGCGTCATATTTTTCAACATAGCGCCCGAGGGAATGCGGCCAACACGTTTATATTTCAACACTTCAAACACTCTCCGGGCAGCAATATTTGTATCGTAAACGAGGTTGAATAATGAGAATGTGTAGCCTAGTCTCTGTGCCCAATCCAAGTAACATTCAACCATGGTGCGGCCAATGCCTTTACCTCGAATACCCGCATTAACAAGGAAGTTACCAGTACAGATACTTTTACAGCGATCAGGGTATGAAGGCGTCAAAAAGAATGTGCCCAAGCACTCTTTTTCCCAATGGTTTCGATTATGGATGATGGGAGTTCTTCCTAAAAGCATCACGCCAACGACGCCGCTAAACCAATAGTTCTGGAACGCTTCAATTCCCATAGGAGAATAAAATGGCATCGTGTCTCCTCGTTCAATTTCCATATTGAACTCGTCACATAAAAATACCAGCAGATCAATCGGTAGCTCCGCTGCCGACGTTATAGGATAAATAGTGGCGGTCGTCTCACCATCGCGTAGTAGCACCGTATAGCGATCTAAAGCTTGATTGACCGGGTGGCTCACTTGCTGGAAGGGCGATGGCTCGAGTGTGTTTTCTGCATCCACTGCCATTTGATGCCATGCGTGGCCGAGAGCACGGGGAAATTTTTGAGTCCGGGAGGTAAAAGTTACAATTAGTCATTTGGTTTGGTCGCATTAGAAGAGGTCGTGCGCGGCCGGGGCCCGGTTGCAGCCTAGAACTGTTTACCGAATTGAATGGCGTCGATATATTCATCATAGCCTTTTAGTTTTGCGGCCTTGGGGATCAGCCCGATCCGATCGAACCCAAGTTTGTCCCAAATTTTCACCGACCCCACATTTGTAACAAATACCATATTAAACATTGAGTAGGTGTATCCCAGCATTGGACCCCATTTGAGATAGATCTTGCCAAGTTCGTAGCCCGCGCCGGTCCCGCGGAACTCTGGACTGACCAGGAACCCCGCATTGCAAATGTGTCGGTTCCGACCATAGGGGAAGTTGGGCTTCACGTAGAAGCTACCCACAACTTGGGCATCGTCGGTGAGTTCTGTACAGCTGCCAGCGACCATGACTGCGCAAAATTTCGAGCACCACCAATTGTAGAACCCTTCGAGGTCGTAGATCTCATCGTCTTCGTGCGGATATGTAGTACCTTCTAGAATCTCCGCATTGGCCATTTCATGCAAAACGTCGAGAATTCTAGGCGGAATTTTATCTCTGTGGCCAACTAATCCAAATACCGTTACTTCTTGACCATTTTTGAGTGTGGTATGTATAGGTTCGAAGTGAGGAGGTTCCATTATTTCACGATCAAATCAGTAAAATGTCCAACAGGGAGTTGGGGAAACAGTGTCTTATCAAATGGTCTTGGCTGCAGTGGGACAGATGCGGTCGACGGCCAGCTTACGGGCTAATGGCGAGTTTGCCGCTCAATTGATCAAAAGAGCTGCGCTTAAAGGTGCCAAGGCATTGTTTTTGCCCGAGGCTAGCGACTACATTGCCAAGTCTGCTGCAGAGACTGTCGAGCTCGCCAAAGCCGTGGAAGACTCACCGTTCATGGCAGCGATTCGCAAAGCTCTGGCCGCAGTAGCTGAATCAACTCCCATTTACGTCTCTGTGGGAGTACATGAGCCTTGTGATGGGGGACAACGAGTGAAAAATACTTTGTTGTGGTTAGACCCCCAGGGCATGATAGTGCACATGTACCAAAAGATCCACTTGTTCGATGTTGACGTGGCTAACGGGCCTATTTTGCGCGAATCAAGGTCTGTGGAACCTGGGAAAACCGTCTTGCCGCCTTTTGAATCGCCAATTGGTCAAATCGGCTCTGGTATCTGCTACGATATTCGCTTCCCTGAGCATGGCCAGTACCTCCGGTCCCAAGGTGCCCAAATCCTGCTATACCCCTCTGCATTCACGGTGAGCACCGGCAAAGCCCATTGGCACCTGTTGAGTCGTGCTCGCGCCGTTGACAACCAATGCTACGTTATAAATGCAGCTCAAGCGGGCAAGCATGATGCTGAGGGTACCAGAGAAAGCTATGGGCATGCGATTGTAGTTGACCCGTGGGGAACAGTAGTCGCAGAGGCCCAGACAGAGTCTGATGACCTGATATTTGCCGAAATCGACTTGGAAAAGCTAGCGGGGGTGCGAATGAAAATGCCGTTAGAGGACCAGCGACCAGAGCCCAGCCCGTATAAATAAATATCTATATCGAAGATACGGATTTCTGCAGTAAATCAAACTGCACTTTCAGCTTCCCAGAAAGCCTTCTCTGCTCCTGCTTTATCGCAGAGTACATTTCTTGTTCTGCCGTTATCCGCTCGCGATAGTCATTGCCAACAGCCTCTACCGTGTTGGGCCACTCGGCGACAGACGCATAAACGCTTTTACGTACGAGGGCAATAGCGGCAGACGCGCTATCAATGGTATCAAGGGTTTCCTGCTGAACATACTGCAATTGCTGTAAAGTCATTTTCAGATCCATGGCGCGGGCTGCCACAATAGCTGCCTGTTCTGTCGAAGCGTCGTCCACGGGCTCTGAAACCTCTTGGTTGGCGTCGATCGAGTCCTGCAGAACTTTTTTCGCTAGCTCCACAACTTCTTCTTCGGTCTCACGCTTCTTCTGCAGCGCTGTCGCTAACTCATCAACCAACTTGGTCAACGAGCTTAACGGTGTGGGCATTGATTTTGTGGGCTACGGCTGCCTAAGCACCCAGTTTCATAATGTCGATGTTCAAGACGGCCCAGAATGTCCGCGCAGTGGTAACTCTTTTCCACAACCCAAACATTGCCAAGAGCCGCAATCTGCTCAATTACATTGAGAAAACCTATCCTGACAATGCCAGCCGGCGTTTTGATTTCGAGGTGAACGATCGCCAACCGACTAAGGAGCAACTAACCCATTTGGAGCGCCTAGCTCCGAAATATCGCAAGGAATTCGAAGCCGAGGGAATCCCGCGGCCCACGCTGGTTGATTGGTTCAATGGCAAGATTGCTGTCGACAACGAGTCATCCGCGAAGGAGATTCTGGAGGAAATTAAGTAGTGCGGATTCTGTGCAATTGAGAATCTTTGGACCTTGCTTTTAGATTGTTAATATTTTAGATGAAAGTAGCTTTGAAAGCACCCAACGCGGCGGCTCAATGCTGCTGGTTATGTGCAGAGCATTGCGCGGCGTGTCTCCATCATGAACCACAGAAAAAACTACGACAATATCTCATTTTCGGTAATCGATAAATACCAGCCGGTGCGTGTGCTTGGATTTGGCACCTATGGCGATGTCCACGAGTTCCGCACGTACGTCAATGGCGAAGCAGTGCCTGTCGCAATCAAGCGCATCAAGAGCGTGTTCGACAACGACATTCATGTTCGTCGAGCCATACGCGAGCTGAGGATTATGCGTCATTTCAGAGGCCATCCCAATATTGTTCAATTGCTGGACGCTGATCTTGTGGCCACCCCGCCATTTCAGGGCCTGTACTGCTATCTCGAGCTCATGGACACCGACTTGTCTTCGATCATTCGCCGGCCAAGCGAAGTGATCACAGAGTGGTGTGTCGCGAATGTAACATATCAGCTACTTTGTGCTCTCAAGTATATCCACTCTTCCAATGTTGTCCATCGTGACTTGAAACCTGGCAACGTTCTGGTGACCAGACAGGGGGTGGTAAAAATATGCGACTTTGGGCTTGCCCGAGGAGTAATTGGTGAGAGCTATGATCGTGACAAGTACACTAACTATGTTACCACTCGCTGGTACCGGGCGCCTGAGATCATTGTGTGTGTGGACAGCTACCACTACGGCCTAGATATTTGGGCCGTCGGGTGTATATTTGCAGAGCTCGTACTCAGAGAACCGCTGTTCCGAGGGAAATCATCACGGGATCAGTTTATTCTCATCAGCCAGGGCCTCGGTGCTCCACCACTTAGTTGGTACGAAACCACTGCTTCACTGAGCACCGCAAATAGAAAGTACGACCTCGCCGCGGTCATCATGCAGATGCCTGGGGACAAGGCGCCTACTCCACTGCGCACACGGTTCCCGGGAATGGAAAACGAACTTTTCTACGATCTACTTGAACAATTACTGGTGTACGAACCCGACAAGCGCCTAACTGCCTCGGAAGCCCTTGCCCACCCCTATTTTACCGATATAGCCAATGGCGATGAAACCGAATGTGAGCAGCTACTGGACTTCGACTTTGAGAAAATCGGTCGAGAAAACCTGAAGCACTATTTACAGAAAGAAGTGCAGCTAACCCGCGCTGTCGTACGTGGATTCGCTACCTAATTTAACTAAACCGGGCCTGCCCCATCCGACTAGTCAGCATGAAGGACATTGACCTGCTGCTGTACCGAGTCAGTGAGCACTTCAACGAGTTGCTCGATGACGACGCCAATCCGCTAGAGGCAGCGCTAGCATTGATGGACGAGTCGTCGATTGGAAAGGCACGCTACGCGGACGAGTTTGACAACCTGCAGAACGAGATTCGTACTTGTTTGAAGGAACAGGTCGACGCCAACTACCGCGGATTCAACTCATCGATTGATAACTACCGTGCCATTGTCAACGGTATACACTCGAACCATAACGACATTATTGCTACCCAGGAAAATCTGAAGTCTGTGGGGGATCTTTTGTCCAAGCGTAAGCCCATGCTCAAAGATTTAGAGCAAAGCTCGCTAAAATACAAAAAAATGCTGCAGATCCTGGATGTTATAGAGGATCTGAAGCAAGCCCCTGACCGATATGAGGCGCAGGTCTCCCAAAAGCGCTTCAATGACGCCCATAAAACACTGAGCCACGCCCTGGAAACCATCAACAATTATGACCTTTTACGCGTACCAGCTGTTCAGCACCTTCAGTCGTATATTGTGAATCGTCAGCTGAGCCTTGTTCCGACTCTAGTAGAGGAGCTGTCCGCTCATATATATTTGCGATCACCGTATACGTCGGATCGATACTTCCATTTCCAGATGGCCGACAAATCATGCTCCTCAGAGGAGGCCGTGTCAGATCGCTTACATCTGGATACCACTGAGAATGTTGCTACTTCCAAACTCAACGATTTTATCGGAACCTTGAGCAAGCCGCTGGTTGAAGATGCAGATGTCTCTGTCGAGCAGGACTCTTTCACATATATTCGATCTTTGCTTCTTACCTTGTCCAAGGTCGGAGCTATACAGTCGGCTTTAGAATCGCTTCAAAATAAAACGGTGTCAGACATCCGTCGTCTGGTTGAAAGAACTGTGAAGAGCGTGGTTCGACAGGCTAAGATCACTCCGGAAAAAGTTCAAGCGCTTCCTGGTACATTATTTGAGCAATTCAGATCCCCAGAACAAGCAAATCACATTGCTGTTCTGCAAGGTTTCATAACGACCCTTTTTTCGCGCTTCGGGGCAGTTCTTGAAGCCCATCGCGTAATTTACGAGGTGGTTACGCAAGGCCAATTGGGCAGTTACGACGTCCGCACAGTATGGACAGCAATGGAGCATGAAATCAAGCAAATTTTTGTGAGCTATGTCGATGATGGTCAGGCTTCTCGTGCAGGTGGACGTTCTTGGCTTTCTGTGACTTCCGAGTCACATACCGTGGTCAATGGGCCCGTATTTAAAATTGCTGGTGCAGACACAACAGACCATGATCTCATTGAGCAAATGAACGCTTTGAAAGTAGCCTTGAAGTCTTCTGTTCCGGGCCTGGTTGTGAATGCTGAGGAGAATCCCAATGAGGCACCTCTGTTTATGGATACACCCAAGGAAATGCATCTCACCATCGTCGTTCCTGCCAATGTTCTGAACGTTCGGGCCTTTATTGAGCCTGCAGCAGCGTTTTTGCAACGTGCCAACCGCACCCTGGGGCCAGCAGATTCTTCTGACCGTTGTGTCGGTCGTATTGACGCTTTTTTGGACCAGTTTTTGGAGACCGTGTTCTTGCCGCGACTTCGTCAGGCTCTAGAGCGCTCATTCAATGACGTCACAAAGTCTCTGAATGCTGCAGAAGTCTATCAAGACTACAGAAATGTTTCACAAATGCCCATTATGAACGCAGTTGTCTCACTCGTGGATATGCTAAACCTGTTGACAAGAGTTCTTAACACAGGTCGGACGTTCCGCGAAAATTATACGTCTCTGTTTGTTGATATGATGGATATTGTTGTCGACTTTTTCAATACCAAGTTCAACGAGTATGTGGCCTCTGGGCCCAAACAAACCAAACTCGCATACACTCTGGCCGTGGGAGAGGTCCTCACACCATTGCATCAGACGCTGCGAACCGAACTATCTGGGTCCCAGCCCACCGAACGTGCTAGTGAAGTTAGTTCCAAAGAACTCAGAGTGTATCTTGGCAAAGCACATTCTGACCAGAACGCCAATGATATCATGGCCCGGGATCTTCTAGACTTGGACTCATTTGGGGGGTTGGCACTCTTGTGCACTAGCATTGAATGGGTTGTTTATAAACTTCGTGAGATTCGCCAGACTCAAGCATCCAGTTCTGGCTCTTCTTCGGAATCTAAAGCTCTTCGTCAACGGGTCCGTAAGCGCTGGACGCTTTCGGATGCTCAAACCGCGTCAGTTAAGACTGGGGTCTCGCCTAATAAAGCAGTGCTAGCCGGTACTACCTTACGCAAGTTTGACAATGTTTTAACGACAATGAGCAACACTGCCGTCAGAGCTCTTCGCGTGCTTCGCTGTGATGTCATGTGCCGAACTGTCTACTATTTTGACCGCATGGTCTTGGAGGGCGACTATTCTAGGACTGAGGACTCGGAAGAGCGGGATTCGTACATTGAAATCCTTCAGCGCGAAGTGCACACATGTTATCGCCTCATGATTGAACATTTGCCCCGCACTGACTCTGTATTTGTGATGTTTGGGCTTGCCGCGTTGATGAACGAGCTGTTTGTCCACGAGAGTAACAATGTGAAATCATTTTCAGAGCGTGGACTGCGAAAAATGTTTAGCAACATTCTCTCTTTGCAACAAATGCTTAAATCGGTTGCCTTTGATCCCAGAGATGTCGACTTCAGCCGGGCAGTTGATTTCTATGAGGCTTTAAAGTTGCCACCCACGCGAATTATTGAGCTTGTGAGGTCCAAAAAGACTCGTCTCACTCGCGAAGATGCTCAATTGGTTCTGTCTATCAAGCATCGTCAAGATTTAGCCAAAAAGAGTAGCTCAGAATTGAGCAGCGCCCATCAGGTTTTTAGCGACCAGTTGGCCATGCTCCATTCGATCTTTGGCGGTAAATAATCAATCGACTATATAATAAATGAGGAAAAAGAGTTCTGTCAACCAAGCATCATCGCAAGAGATGCGAGGCCTGTGTTGATAACCGTTGTTGAAATCAAATCGCCAGCGATTCCCCCAACAAACTTGTTCACAAGTCGCTTGACTTGAGCTGTCACGCTTACTTTATCGAGCACTGCAGACGCAAAGAACAATAAGAGCGTGTGCTTACCTGTCGCGGAGAGCAGCTTGGTTAGCATCGAGGGGAAATAAGGAACAGCTGCCTTGACAAAAGTGTATCTGAGCAGAGAAACACCGGTTGTTGAAAGCATGAAGCTCAACGTCCAGTAAGGTTTGTTCATTGGGCATGTCCGTGGGAAAGCGTAACTGAACATGTGCCCGAAAGAGAACAGCGATAGCCCTGTCATGAAGGCATCATTATATGAAACAATGTTTTCGGAAACCCACGCGCCAAACCACATAGATACAGAAGCCATGAGTGTTCCAAGAAGACCTTCAGGGTCCAGATCAGGAGTGTATAAGGTGAAGTGAGGCCCAAAACTAGAAAGCACGAATTTGTCGATTTTGGTCTGAGCACTGAGAGCTGCCTTTTTGAAGGGGTGCCTTATATCGGTAGCCATGCCATAGGAAAGACACATCCACAACGCAATTGCACAAATTGGGTACGCACAGCTCTCGAGCCGAGCTGGATTTGGCGCTAGCTTCAAAACAAGGCCTGCTAGGCCAATGCGCTGCAAAACACCAAAGGGGCGAACGGTGATGGTTTGGGGCGATTTGACCCAGCTTCGATCAAATTGTTTGAGGAAATTGTACGATAATCCCAGCCCTACCGTCTGGATGTTTCTATAAGTTGACCGAGAACCCATTCCTGATACAAACAGAAATGTGGGAAATATCGTGTCGGCGTAAGTGATCCCATTTATTCCTGGTGCCTGGTGTTGAAGGTAATCAGAGTGATTCGTATACTCCATTTCATAGAATGTCAGACCGCGAAGTATATCGCGGGCCGGGTCCCTCATGGTGACGTTCATGAAATAAACAGTATAGTGATAACAAACCGAGCCAGAGATGCGGGTTGGGGTAAATAACACTGTGTCCATGACTAAAAAGGACCGTGTTGGGTGGGCTAGCTAGAATCCGAGGAAACTCACTTACTCACCGCAATTGGGTTTCGGCGAACAAGAAGTCTAGTATTATGTGTACATAGTAGTAACGCAATTCAATGTGCATCTATGCGGAGCTGTGAGGCCCTGGTGTACCGTTGTCTTAACTTCACCTTGCTACTTCTAGGCAGGTTTCTTTTTCTGCACAAATCGGCCTTGCTAGCTCAATCGGCAGAGCGTGTGACTCTTAAGACTCGCAAGAGATAAAAGTCATCACAAGGTTGTGGGTTCGACCCCCACGTAGGGCTTTTTTTCCATTCGGAATAATGGAGTTTTTTTTCTCCGGCTCTTGCCTCGTGGTCAGAATGTACCCCAATATACTTATAGCTAGTATTTAGGCTTGTTTTAGAAACACACCCTTTTCTTCATACCTCGGCCCGGTTCATCGCTTCCGTCACTTTCCTGCATTCAGGTAAGCTATGTCAGTGCGCCATCGAGGACATGGCAAAAAAGATGGCCATGAGCATGCGAAGTCCTCTAAGCAACAATCGCCAGGTGATTCTAAGCAAAAGAAGAAGAAAAGCCGAGGGCCGCTTGGTAAATTGGGCTCCATCTTCGTCCTCCGGGGCTGGCGCTTGAGTTTGCTAATTGGCATCGTCTTGGGCATTTGCGCCGCAATCTATTATATGCAGTACACAGGCAAGATCGGTTTTGATGATATTTCCCTGAACAACTTCAAAATCTCACACAGAGATCTTTTGCCACGCTCAATTCTTGAGGAATTCGATGCAATGACGAGCTCGAGCAGCGAGCTCAGTGACTCGTTTGAGGTCGGCGCTCACCTCGCTGGCGAAGGTTACTCTGCCAAACACCCCGTTGTTTTGGTTCCTGGTGTGATTTCCACCAGTCTTGAGTCTTGGAGTGTTACCGGGACAGAAGAATGCCCCTCCAAGCCTCATTACCGTAAACGACTCTGGGGCAGTTGGTACATGATCCGCACAATGTTTACAGACAAGAAATGTTGGCTACAGCACCTCATGCTGGACAATGAGACTGGTCTTGACCCGCCTGGCATCCGTCTTCGAGCTGCACAGGGAATGGAAGCTGCCGATTTTTTCATGTCTGGATTTTGGCTCTGGAGTAAAATCATTGAGAATCTAAGTGCTCTCGGATACGACACAAACAACATGTCAGTTGCCGCATACGACTGGAGATTGGGATTCCCTGATTTAGAGCGCCGCGACCGCTATTTCAGCATGCTGAAACGTCAGATCGAACTGAACTCCCTCTCGAGCGGCCAGAAAACTGTTTTAGCTGGACACTCGATGGGCTCACAAGTTATTTTTTATTTTTTCAAATGGGTAGAAGCCGAAGGCTTTGGTGATGGCGGCAAGAGCTGGGTCAACGACCACATCGAGGCTTTTGTCGACATATCGGGATCAATGCTTGGTACTCCCAAAGCCTCGTCTGCTCTATTGAGTGGCGAAATGCGTGACACTGTCCAATTGAACTCAATGGCTGTGTATGGTCTTGAAAAGTTCTTTGGCCGCCACGAGCGCCGCGACCTTGCCCTGTCTTTCCCCGGTGTGGCCGCAATGATTCCCAAAGGCGGCGATGCAGTCTGGGGCACTTTGGACAGTGCGCCTGATGATATCCTCACCAACGGCTCGCTGCCGTCGCATGGTAGCTACGGGAAATTCCTACGGTTCTCGGAGACTAAAAGCGCTTTCTCAGAAAAGAACCTCACTGCTGCGGAAACTACAGAGTACTTGCTTAATTTAGCGCCTGAGTGGTACCGAAAGCGAGCCAACAGCATGTTCTCGCATGGACTGGCCAAGACTAGAGCAGAAGTAACCGCCAACGAGAACGACCCGTCCAAATGGGTCAATCCTCTAGAAGTTGCACTGCCAAATGCCCCAGACCTCAAGATTTATTGCTTCTATGGCGTTGGTAAGCCCACGGAACGTGCGTACACTTACCAAGACTCCTCTAACGATACCTCGACGCCTCTCAATGTCACCATGGAATATGGCAGTGATGACAGCGTAGTTAGTGGAGAGGGAGATGGAACGGTCTCGTTACTGACCCATCTCATGTGCCATAAATGGCAAGAGAAGGACTCTAAGTTCAACCCTGCAGGATCCGAGGTCAAGATTGTGGAGATGCTGCATCAACCAGACAAGTTTGATCTCAGAGGAGGCGCCAAAACCGCCGAGCATGTGGACATCCTGGGACGTACTGAGCTCAATGAGCTGCTGCTGCGAGTCGCTGCTGGCCATGGAGCTGAAATCAGCCCCAGACTCGAAAGTAACTTGACCAAATATGCTGAGAAAATCGATCTAGGAGAATAAATGAAACTTTATATCTACAGTCTTCAGATCTCTTTGGAGTAAGTGATCTTTTTACCAGTTTTAGCGATAGTTGCTTCAACTTCCTGGAGGCTGAGGTTCTCGGACTGCACGACCACAGTCTGCTTTTCAAGCGAGACCTCCTTGTTCTCAACGCCGTCGAGGCGTCCGAGGGCCCGGTCCACGGCCCCAGAGCACCCACTGCATGACATCTGGACTCCAAACTCGTATTTGTGCGTCATAGTGGCAAAGTGTTATGTAGATCACCAAGGACGAGGTGATGCCGATGATGTAATAGGCATGCACCTTTATGCGCAAATTGTTACTATAAGTGACATATAGTCTGAAATTGTTCTACTCGATGATGTTAGAAACACGGCTGATGGCGCCTTGGATAATAGAGATCCATTTCGAGAGCTTCTCGACATCGTGATCTTCCAGGGCCTCGGCGATTCCTGGAGCGACTTGTCCGGCATAGCCGGTGTATCGGCTCGGTGCAAACAGCATATGCTTGTACCAGTTGCGGCCGTCCAATCCTTCGTCGTAGATAAACTCGCGCTCCAAATAGAATAGTTTCAAATTGGCTGCAGCAATGCGGCGGCGGAGCAAATACTTTTGCCAGAATTTGTACCAGGGAAGATCGGTTTTGGCGTCCTCGCGGAGCTGATCCAATTGGGCATCGAAGTTCTTAGAGTTCTTTACAAGCTCGTCAGCGACATCCAAAAGAGCGTCGCTTTCATGTGACAGCTCGTTGGGATTCGAGAGCAGGTCTTCAAGCACCCGTTTGATACCGGCAGCGTAGTACTCGACGGAAAACCCAATCACCGGGCTCCCGACAAGTTCTATGGCAATTGACCCAATAATCTTGGCAATCGCACTGTGCGCCTTGAAATCTACGTCGCCAAAGTGCGTCATCCAGTAGTAGGAGTCGTAATTTGAGTGGTAGTGGTAGACGTTGTCACCAGCCTGAGCCGCATAGCTCATGTCCAGGCTTGGAACACCAAGATAGTCTTGGAAAACCGTGTAATCACTTCCAGACCCCAGGTAGCCGGTCACTGCACCGCCGCGTTGAGCATCCCAACCCTCGAAAACACTTTGGGTTTCATTGAAGGGATTGCTAATGCCCTTGGTTACTTCGTAGATGATTTTGCTCAACAGCGGCGAAGCTTCGCTGCCAAACCGTGACCCACTAAAGCACATATCGCAGTTGAGATACGCCAGCGCCTTCTTCTTAATGTGCTCTGCGTGGTCTTCTCCATGTTCCGTGGAACCAAGAAGGCCGTACTCTTCACCGTCCCAGGAAGCAAGAACAAGGGTACGATACGGCTTCCAACCGCGTTTGTGGAGCTCTCCAAACACTCTTGCCAGCTCCAGCGTAACTACAGAGCCTGAATTAGGATCTGCTCCACCGATAATCCATGCGTCACGGTGGTTACCAATGACAACCTCTTCGTCGATCTCACCCTTTATACGAGCAATTACGTTCCGATTAGGGATAAAGTCATACACCTGCTCATTGTAAACATTTACCAAAAGATCTGAAGGGCCCGTGGCGTAGTCCACATCAGTAAGATCACCTTGCCATTCTCCGAAAATTGGTCCGTGGCCGTTCAAAGACTTGAGCAGAGGCAAAGCATCGCGATAAGAAATTGGGATGGAAGGAATGCTCACAATTCCATCTGGCTCATCTCGGTCAGCTCCGGGAACAGATGGTCTGCCGGGGGTGGTCGGGTCACCAGGGTGAAAAGCCAGGTCTTGCACGCTACCCCGCTGAACACTGGAAGGGTTGCGGGCAGGACCATAAGGGTAGGCCTCGTATCCATTTTTCTCCGTAATTCCATTGTCCTCAGCTGGATCGCTGTAGATCAACACTGCGCTAGCGCCAAGTTCCTCTGCAAATTTGACTTTTAGGCCGCGGAAAAGGCCACCATAACGAACAATCACAACCTTGTTCTTGAGGTCAATACCTCTGGCAACAAGCTGGTCATAATCACGTTTGCGTCCGAAGTTTGCGTATACCAGCTGTCCGGTCACATTTCCAGAGGCAGAATATCCATGGAACGTAGGGACGCGGTCGCTGCGCGTTGTAGTCTCATCAACTTCCAACCGATCTTCTTCAAGGGAGAGCTCGTGAATGATTTTATCACCATCCAGAAGTGCAACAGAGTGGTCAACAGGGCGATTGAGCCAGATATCATAGGTCTCCACTTCGGCTTCCCAGCCATACTCCTCGAACTTGTCCTTAGTCCATAGAGCCAGCTTCTCGTTCTGACCTGCGAGGTGCGGGCCGTCAAGATAAATCTTTTTCGTCAATTCGCCAATTCTCTTGCTAGAGATCGCGTCCACAAGGTCGTCGCGTGCTTGAATATAGCCCAAGTCCCCATTGGAGGAAGAGCCAGACAGCACAACGCATAGTACCACAATGGCAATGATTCCTGTTCCTATGTAGAACGCGATCTTCTGGGTCAATCTAGGAGTCTGTTCGACTGCTTGAAGCAGCGGGGTATGCTCAGACGTCATTGAGCCCGTTTGCAAGTCAAGGTAAAGCACGGCTCCACTGCTACTTACAAATACTATGACTGCAGGGCACCCCGCAGCAGTGTGACGGTGACGCTAAGCTGCATTAGATAGGCTATAGAGAGACGGTAGAGTAGATAGGGGCGATAAGGACGAGGATAGGGTGCTCTTATGACCGGTTGTTTGTTGCTAGACAAACGCATGCCTCTGTGAGACTGTTTCGTGGCAGCGTTTATCTCGTTTCAACTCTTCGCCCAAAACGACGCATGGGACGATAGTAAAGTTGAATACCGGGCTACGAGGGCGTGCTCATTCTCGACAGTGTCGAATGCTGATTGATACCAGTGGCTAAACGAACCGCATACATGGTAGGTACTTCAATGCCGAGAGCAGCCCACACAATCGTGTTTGCGGCGTCTTTTTTTCTCCCTACTATGTACACTTTAGATAGCTAGCCTCTAACCTCCCTCTGCACTATTGTCCGACCTTAAGCACCCACGCGATTTGTCATCGTAATTTTCATAAAATGAAAGGGATCGCCAAGTACGGTTTCAAGAGCGGTGTGCTCCCAAAACCTAGACAGATAGTGCCGCGAGTGAAGCCAGCATTTGAGCTGGCAGAAGAGGCAAAGATCCGCACTGGCTTTGCCGATCCGAAGATGGTCCCAAAAGGCTCTTCAGCCGTCTCATCCGGACGCAAAGAACTCAGCGCCAGTGAAAAAATTGCCTTGAGCGCCAAGGCACCTAAAAAGGTGAAAGAAGCCAAGACTGCTCACCAGGAGTGGCGCCAGAAAAGCGCCGACATCCGCCGTCGTTATTTAACAGATGCCTTGGAGACCGAGGAGGTGCTGGAGACTAAAAAGGCTGCCCGCCGTCAGAAAGCGCACGATGATGCTGCTAGTCTGCGTGAGCGTATGCTTCAGACTGGTGAATCTGAAGCCATCAAGCTGACCATGCCCACGATCGAGAACTCCCTGCTTTCTGGATCAATGGTGCGTCCGCGAACGGAGGAAGAAAAAAGCGTTCTGGCTTTGAAGCGCGGGGCAAACCGCAAAGCCGTGTTGGCAGAGCAAATGAAGCTGCGTAGTGCTCAGCTTCTCGAGCTGTATCAGTCGACTCGCGAGTACATCATCACCCCGGAGGAGCTTGATCTGGCCGTCGACCAACAGTTTAGTCACTCAAGCAGCCAGTCATCTACCGCACAGTTCAATGCCCTTGAGCTCAAGAAACGTCTTATGTATGAGAACATCAGATCTGAGGCCTTTGCTAATGCCCGCGAGGACCTGGCAAACACTCTTCTGGGCACCACTTCCAACCACGAGCCTGGCTTGACCGAGGTCCGCGATGTTCTTGATGGCACTTCGCACAGCCACCATCCTACCCCTACTGAGCAGTCATAAAAATATTGTACATAAAACAGTGTTAGCTTTTCGAGTAATTTCCGAGCGATGCCTTGGCCAGATATCTCATCCTTTAAATAACGTAAGGTCGTTGATTAAGTGTCTTAGGTGGATGTGGCGGAGGATTAGCTTGACTATATCTAAAACCCCCACTCTTCAAGACAATGAAAAGCTGCGGGCATCCGAGCAGAATGTCTGTTTGTACAAGGGCAACCAGGGGTCCAAGTACAAGAAAGGCTGGATATATCTGACCGACCACCGGCTCTGTTATGTTGACGACGACCGGCCCGAGGACTACTCGATTGGGCTAGACTTGAGTCAAATTGAATCTACAGAATACACCGCAAAGTTTGTGCGGTCCAGCGGCAAAATCACCCTGGCGCTACGCCATGATCAGGCAGTGGAGGAAGCGACAGTTGACAGCACCTGGGTATGCCCAATTTGCACGTTTTCTAACCAATTGTCAAAAGGATTCGTTTTTGGCCGCAGTGCATTGCCGACATGTTTGAATTGCGGCGTTTTAGCTTCGCTCGAAGCTATACAGGCTAGTTCGATAAGCCAGCCCAGCCCGGCCGCTATCGATTCTCAGTCAAAAGAGACGGTGTGTCCGCGATGTACATTTTCAAACCACCCGTCATTGGTGGAGTGTGAAATGTGTGGGTTCTTGTTGAAAGCAAAAACGGAAACAAAAGTATCGCTGGGTGAAACCGTGAAACTCAGTTTCCGAAGTGGAGGGAGTAGACAGTTCTATGGTAAACTCGGAGAGGTTCTCGAGGAGTCTAAAGAGACGATTGCACAAACAAGTAAAACAAGCACACCAGTACTGGATACTGACACAATGGCTATCAAGTTTGGAATCCATTCAATCGAAGAAGCGGCCAACTCAAAGCACGTAAAGGGGGATGCAGTCATGGTCGAGGCATTTGCAGACCTGAGAGCACTCATGTCTCGTGCTGAAGAAGTTATAAAGCTAGTCGAAGCCTATGGTAACAGCGATCTCGCAATATCGCTTGGTATTGGAACCAGCATCTCTCGGGAGACCGCGAGCGGAAAGAAGACATTTTACCATCAGCTTGCTCGAGAATTGACAGACTTTTTTGATTCGTCTAAAATTCTTTCAAAAGAGGGCGGTGCAATGACACTCCATGATGTATATGCTGTTTATAACCGATCTCGCGGGATTGAGCTGGTGTCACCGCACGATCTAAGGACGGCGGTAGAGCTGGCTGACGATCTGGGCCTTCCCATTCGACTGCGAAAGCTACACAGCGGGGTGTTCATTGTTGAGGAGAAGCTATACATTCCAACCCACGAACGCCTTGTCCAGTGGATGTCACGTCTGGAACCGTGGCAAGCCGACACTGGTGTGTCGGCCCAGGATGTGAGCAATCATTTTGGATGGAGTATTTATATTGCTACAGAGGAGCTGGAAAGTGCTGATTTGAAAGGCCACCTATGCCGGGACGAGCAGCCCCAAGCAGTGCGGTATTTTGTAAACCAAATCTGTGTGCCGGTCTAGAATGAATGAGTAGATATATGTAATTATGATTTTAAACACGATGCTCTGGAGGGCCTAGCTGAGGAAGCTGGCTGTTGAGTACTGGCGCGGCATGCCCCAGCTGCATAGCGGCGGGAATCTGAGCTCGAGACGGGGACGGAGGTCCAGATGGTGGCATATATTCAGGAGAGCGTGATCGGGCAGGCGACCTGGGAGGTGAGCTTTCAGGTGAGGGTTGTGCCGACCATTTGCTCGCTGGTGGTTTGGAGTTATCCACATCGGGGAGCGATTTGATTCTACGCATAACAAACAGCCGCTCGTCATTGAATTGTTTGTCGTCTTTACGATCAGCACCAAGGTTGCTCAAAACCTCGAGGAGTCGCTGTTTGTTTTTGGCCAGAACATCGAAGATTACCGCGGGTTTTCGCGGGTTGGCGACGAATACTTTGAAAAGCTGGAACGTCTCCATATGAATATTTTTTGATCTATCACGCAAAAGCCGCATCACGAGCTTCAAATTTGAGAGGTCCTCGATATATTGAACCATGAAGGGCTGGTTTGCTCTTTCGCGAATAAGCTGGCCCATGAGTTTGAGGGCTTGTCGCTTGGTAACATAGTTGTCTGAAAGCATAAGTGTATTCATGTTATGGCTGAATTCTTTGCCGTTGACAGCCAGAAACTCGGCAGAAAGCTCAGGGCTGCACCGGAGGAACTCAGCAAGAGTGGTGAAACAATCAGACCCGACCTCGAACGGTAAGTCTCGGCAATAGTCAAAAAAGTACCAGAAGCTCGGTTTGGCCATTATATTACGGGTGAGTTCCGGATGCTTGGCACAGTCGCGGAGCATACTGCCGACATTGCGATAGACTTCAGGGCTGCCGGCGCTCTCGATCAGAGCATCAAACACCTGGGGTCGGCTCAATAAATATTCCACTGTCGGGGTACGGCGGAGGAGGAAAGAGAAGAGGGACGCAACGTCTCTGCGAGCTTCAAAGTCGAGTCGGTCAAGAATGTGGATCAGGTGGATAATCAGGTCATTGGCGTACATTTCCTTCGCGAGCGCAGCCATAAGATCCGGATCGGCCTCCCCATTGAGTTCTCCGTGGGCTATACGCTTTGCCTGCTGCAAAAGCTCGGCTATTTCCTCGGTTGGTTTGCGTTCGGCCTGAGCCAAATCATCAATGCTGGTCGTCCACTCATAGAGCGCCGCCACTAGCTCTTGCGGAGTTTTGACCTTGCCCTTTGCAAATAAAAACGACATGCGCTAGTGTCAATTTGGGCCACAGATGAAATCAAATACGCAACTAAATCACAAGGCTATTCCCGAAAGTGCTCGCACTTTATGCTACCTTTGCAAATGGGGTCTAGTCACAAGGGTTTTTGTATGAAGCGGCCCCTTTGTCATCGAGGCTGTGTTGACGTTTTTTACTCAAAGGGCAGGTTTCGGATCCCAGCATGAGACACAATGCTAAAAGGCAATTAAACACGGTTATATAGAGTTTTTACAGATAGGGATACGGCATGCAATCTATTAGGCGATAACCTTGCAGAAAGGATGATCGTCGATACCGTACTGGATGTCAGAGATCCACTTGGAAACGGTCTCGGTGACGGGGCCTGCCTCTTTACCCTTAGGCAAGGGGACCTCGATGGCTTCGCCGTGGTAGTTGAGCTCCTTGACGGGTGACACAACAGCCGCGGTGCCTGCACCGAACATCTCGATGAGCTCGCCCTTCTTGGCCCGCTCCATAACTTCGTTGATGTGGACCTTACGCTCGGTCACGTCCCACTCCTTGGGGTCGAGACGTTCCCGGGCAAGCTCGAGGATCGAGAGACGAGTAATGCCCTCGAGGATAGTTCCATCAAGAGGTGCAGTGGTGAGCTCCTTCTTGCCGTCGGCGTTCTGGAACACGAGGAACAAGTTCATAGTGCCGACCTCAGTGAGATAACCCTCAAAGAGCCACAAGTTCTGCTGGAAGCCCCGCTTGGCGGCATCCAGCTGGGGCTTGACGCAAGGAGCGTAGTTGGCACCAAGCTTACGGTTGCCGACACCACCGGGCCAAGCACGAACGGCGGAGTCTGTAGCCTCGAGACGAACAGCCTTGAATCCAGTGGCATAGTAAGGACCAACGGGGCTGGCAATAACAAACAGACGAGCGCTGTTAGGTGGGCTGACGCCCAAACTGTTCTGGGTACCGATTATACTGGGGCGGAGGTACAAGCTGTAGCCCTTTTCCTGAGGAACAAAGTCCTTCTCGACCTTGACAAACTCCTCAATCAGTTTGACACCCTGCTCGATGTCAAAAGTTGGCAGGCAGATGCGATCAGCCGACTTGTTGAGTCGCTCCATATTTTTCTCCGGGCGAAACAAACGGATATTTCCGCTAGCGTCTCTGAATGCCTTCTGGCCCTCGAAGCACTCAAAAGCATAGTGCAGCACGCAAGAAGAAGGATCCATGCTGAAGGGACCGTAGGGCTTAATTTCCGGGATCCCCCAGCCAGCCTCAGCGGTCCAGTCGACAATAAGCATGTGGTTGCTGAAAGTCTTACCGAAAACGAGCTTGTCGGCCGGAGGAAGAGCCTTCGGCGACGAGGTCAGATTCAGTTTGAGTTTCGATGCGTCCAAACTAGCCGTTGTTTTAGTAGAGAGCCGACGAACAAAATTCATAGATTACGAAGCGAACGGACCGCGCGATTAGACATTAAATAGCCGACAGGTTCAATGAGTCAATATTTAGGGCTAGGAAGCCGCTATCAGTCGAACCCGTGCTCATGTATTAACTAGGACGAAAAATGTCTAAATGGTGAAAGAATACGGAACAATTTCCTGAAATACCAGATTTTTCGCCTGCCAAGAGCTGGCGGGGGCCCGAGAGCGCCAGATATGAAAATAGAGCACCTTTCAGTCCATGAACGTGTCTTGAAAATAACTGGTCGAGTCAATGAGGATTTCTACTGAATACACAGCCTTTCCCTCCGCCGTTTCACAGGCGTTCCAGCCAGGCACTGCCCATTTAACCGAGCCTCTACCCCTACCCACACTCGGCGCGATGGACGGTTACCCATACCCTACCTACCAGCCAGCGTTTTGAAAGACAGTCCCAAGTTGCGATTACCTCTTGTTGAACCCTCACGAAATGGCACCCTCCCAATACTTGGAGTCTGGAAGATCGTCGGCGGGGCATGGCAGCAGTTACACTGACCGCTTCCGCACAGACAATGCGTACGGAGAGAGGCGTCCTATGCGAGTGGCTGGACCGCCTTCCATCGGACGGTTGTTGACACTTATCGACCGAGCGACTCGCCCGACTCTCCGCGAGCCTGATCTCGGAGTCAACATGCAGATTGCAGACATCATCAATGAGAAGAAGGGCACTGCTCCGCGGGAGGCTGCAACTGCAATTGTCAAGATTATCAACAACATGAGCCAGCAACGAGCCATTCTGGCCATGTCTGTGCTTGATGTGTGCGTCAAAAATTGCGGCTATCCCTTCCACCTTCAGATTTCGCGCAAGGAATTCCTCAACAATCTCGTGCGTCGGTTCCCAGAGCGCCCGCCACTTCATTACTCGCGGGTCCAGATGCTCATCTTAGAGGCAATTGAGGAGTGGCGCGAGACCATCTGCCGCACCTCAAAATACAGAGACGATTTGGGACACATTCGCGACATGCACCGTTTGCTCAGTTACAAGGGGTACATGTTCCCTGAAGTCAACCGTGACGACGCCGCGGTGCTTAACGTCAGCGATACGCTCATGAGCGCTGCAGAGCTCGAAGAAGAGGACCGCGAGGCCCAAAGTGCCAAGCTCCAGGAACTGCTCATGTCCTCGAACCCTGAGGATTTAAGGGAAGCCAACCACCTCATGTCGGTCATGGCAGGCTTCAAAGAGACAAAGGTCGATTATCACGCTAAGGTGGCCAAGGAGCTGGACAAGGTCCGCAGGAAGGCCGAGATTCTTGAGGAAATGCTCAACAACATGAACCCTGGTGAACCTATTACTGACAGCGATGTTTTCGAAGAGCTCGCAAATGCCTTACGCAACGCCAGACCCAAACTCCAGAAGATTATCGAGGACGAATCAAACAGTGACGATGAAGAGGCACACGCCAAAATGATTGGGCTTTTGGAATACATTGTGCAGCTCATCCAAAAGTATGAGCTCACCGCCAAAGGTGATTATGAAGGGGCTAAAAACGTCACTGTTCAATCTATGGGCAGCGGCAAGCATATTGACACTTCTCGTCAAGCAGTAATCAACTCTCTTATCGATATCGACGATATTCCTCCTCAAAAAGTCGGAAATGATGCACCGGCCGCTGATCTACTAGGTCTGTCGTTTGGTGGATTGACGCTCGGTGGAGGCTCCACGGAGGGCTCCGAGCCTAGCCCAGGACTTGATTTGTTGGACATCGGCGCCTCGTCCCAAAGTCCAGCCCCCGTGTCGCCTACGGTTCCCGCTGTCACTCCGGTCGCCGCTGCCCCTGCGCAGCCAGCTTCTGCCACTAACGACTTGCTTGGTGAATGGGTTTCTTCACCAAAGCCTGCTAATACCACTTCTACCGTTCAGACAATTCTTGAAGAAGACATCAAGGTTGATTTCACCGTCAGCAAAACCGAGGATTCAGTCGAGGTTACCGCCGTCTTTGGTAACTTAACAGACAAGAAGATCACTAACTTCAAATTCGAGGTGGCTGCACCCCGGTCGCTACAACTAACAATGCAGCCCCAATCAAGTGCTGCTCTTGAGCCAAGACAGCAAGCCGGAATATCCCAAAAACTCACAGTCACAGGTTCGTCTGCACCGAAACTGCGTTGGCGAGCAATTTTCAAGCTCGGCCTCTCTGACTGCACTAAACAGGGCGTCTGTACCTTGTAATCTTAACACTGTGGAAATAAGTCATGTATAAAAAAATTAGAAAGGTGGTTGCTGACCCTGGTTTTGCCGAGGATCCCCCTGGCCCTGCGCCTGGGCTTGCAACGCTTCCAGGCGCTTTTGTTCCTGTTCGCGACGAATGTAACGCTGTACTTGTTGCGAGGCAAACAGTTGCACTTGCTGTCGTGTCCACGAGGGGTTTTGCCGGTGGATCTGCATCAAAAGCTGCTGGAACTGGGTCTTTGTAACATAGTCACTCATCTTTACTCGTTGCGGCGGCATGCCCATAAGTTGAGCATTGGCTGTTTGGGGAGAAGCAGTCTGTTGACCAGGCATACTTCGGGCAGCCGCGGCGGCGGCAGCAGAAGCCGCGTTGAGTCCAGAACGTTGTGGAGGCAGCATGGGCTGGGTACCCGGCGAGCTTTGAGGAACGGTCGCGTAGTCCATTACCGGTGATTGGAAAGGAGAACCACCGTGCGATGAATGAGGTGATTGAGGAGGCACCCCTTGACTTTGCTGGACTTGCGACTGAGCTTGAGCCTGGGCCTGAGCCTGAGCCTGGACCTGGGCTTGACGGCGAGCAGCTGCCATCTGGATCATCCTCCTCCTTTCAGCAAGCATCTGCTGCTGCTGTTCTGGTGTGGCATTACGAATGGCTTGTGCCCTTGCTTGGTTTTGCGCTTGCTGTGCCTGCTGCGCTTGCTGTACCTGCTGTACCTGCTGTGCTTGTTGAGCCTGTTGGGCTTGCTGTGCCTGCTGAGCCTGCTGTGCTTGGGCATGAGCGTGGGCCTGTGCTTGAGCTTGTGCGTGTGCCTGAGCCCTACGAGCAGCTGCGGCAGCGACAGAAGCAGGTAAAGGTAGACCAGCAATTGACGGGGGCATATTGCCGTACGCCTTGAGCTGATCCAGGGTAGGAGAGCCTGTTGGGTTGCCAATCGTGGCCCCCGCCGATTGAGGACGCTGTTGAAGATTACCCGCTGTCGCACCAGACTGAGCAGACAGCGGCCGCTGGACAGGTTGCGGAGAGTTCGAGGCTGCTGCTGCCGCTGCTGCTTGGGCACGCTGCTGCGATTGCATCAAGGCTGCTTGCTGCGCAACAATTCTTGCCTTCTCCGTGTCGGTTACACCTGTGGGCAGCCGTCCCATAGCACCTACTTGGTTGGGTGCCGTGGGGCCAGTTGGTGCAGGCACAGGCATTTGCGAACCGTTAGGTACAGCATGGCCCGGAGCTCCAGTGCCGGCGGTTGCAGTCCTGGCAGCATTTTGCTGAGCATTTGCTCGCGTTTTCGCATAGGCCTCAGCAACCTGCCTATCGCGCTCGTACTTGAGCTGCAGTAATTCTGCAGCAGACCGAACTTTGTATTTTTCACCTGTGCTGTTATTTTTGAGACTCTCAAGGGCCGCTTGACGACGTCCAGGATTAGGTTTGGTTATGCTCGTTTCCTTCTTCTTTCGGGCCTTGCGCACACCCTCAAACATCGACGACCAGCGTAGACGTTTGTGGCCGCGCGGCAAATTGTCCGCTGGTACGCCCAAAGCAGAAAGGCGTCTTTTAGCAGCAGTTTGAGCTTTAGGTAGCGTCTCAAGCCAAATGCGAGCTTGCTCGGCATACCGACCTTTGAGGTCACGAACATCGAAAGCTTTATTGAGCTGTAGCCACCGCTCAAAACATTGCCATGGGCTCCGCCTCTCTATGTTTGAGGTGTACCCCATTGTCGGTTTTGAACAGAGGTACGCAGAAACAATTTCCCAGTTATATTTTTGTTCCTTTGCAATTATAAGCAGTCGCTGGTCGTCGCTAGGGGTCCAAACTGTAGCGTTTCTAGTGTTCATATAACGAACGTCTGGCGGTTTTGGCGCACGAACCTCATGGTCCATAAGCATTGCTGTCTGTGCACCGGGGAACAAGGGTGTCTTGGACGATTTCGGCAAAGCAAGGCGCCCATTTTCCGTACCAGAAGTCGCAAAGACGGCAGGAAGCTTTACCGGACGTTCCAGTGCAACCCTCCGCCATCCCCTTGCGTAATCAGGGGCCGTAAGGAATCTTGTAACAGATGTAATACTGAGTGTGTCGAACTCGTTGGTATAACGACTCTGCTGAAGCACTGGCCGCTCATGCAGGTCATCATACAGTTGTTTGGAGACATCATTGAGCTCGTCAGGACGTACAATGAGCGGGAAAGTGACCGAGTCACCAGCCAGGGGAACCAGAGAGGTGAAGAACTGTTCTTTAGAATCTGGAACCTGTTCATCAACTGCCATGACATCTGCGGGATTTACTGTGGTCGAATCCTCAAGAGGTGGCATTTCTTTAGGTGCTCGCGCTTTGATACAGCATTCTTCAGGCCCTAGACGCCAATAATCAAGAATGGAATCAGCAATCTGTTTACACATTGCGATCTTGAACTTTCGTCCCTCGGAAAATGACGTAGACATCCAGCGCATTTCGTCCAAAAGATAATCTTGGTGAACCTCTTCGCGGGGAGGAGGCTTGAACTTGGCTCTCTGGTACAAACTCCATTTACCACTTTGTCGAAGTTCCTCGATTCGGCCATAAGCGATAGCTAAACGGCCCTCCAGAAGCGACAACTTGTATATATCTGTGCTCAATACCTTGTGAGAAGAAGGAAGCAATTTCCACGTTGGCATAGTCTTGACGGAATAATAAAGTTCGGCCAGCGGTCTACGATACTGAGGCGGTTCTGGAAGTCTGTCAGGGACAATATAAGCCAAAAATGAATCATCCACATTCGCAGGATCAATACTGGTAGGGTTGGACTCGTCGACAGTCAAGTCTCTATTCTTCAATTGAATGTCTAAGGCAGCCTGGCTCAACTTCAACTGTTCGGCATTTTGAGCTTCCAACTGTTTTAAAGTCTCGAGTCGCATAAGTTTGGCGAGTGATTTAGGCTGGTCATCAGGAGTAGCTGTTTTTTTACTCTCGTTTTGAACTGGCTCTTTTGCTGGCGCCTCGGTGGGTTTTGTGACGGGGCTAACTGCTGCAGACATCTGCTCAGTTGTTGCTGGTTCTCCACTCTTTATTTCAGTCGCAGTTTCATCAGCGGCTTCTTGGGAAGCTTCTTTAGGGGCTGGCTCCTTTGAATGAGTATCAGGTTTGGCCTCCACCGAAACCTGCTCATCGGATTCTGTAGCTGCAGGTTCCTGTTCTGTAGTCTCCGCTTCAGCAGTATTTTGTTCAGTAGGGGCATCGGGTTCCACCTTTTCTTCATCTGTTTCAGCATCCTCTGTGCTCGTTTCTCCTTGCACAGAGTCCTCTTGATCGGGCTCCTCTGGAGGTTGAGCTGTTTCAGGTTCGTCCACCTCCATTGCATCACCATCTGCTGTTTCTGATTTAACATCACCATCCGATTCCGCAGTTCCCACAGCATCGGAGTCGGAAAGACTATCCATCTCTGAAGAATACACGGAAACATCGTCTTCGCTTGCGAACTGATCGCCGCCTGATTCTATGCTTTTTTCACGTTGTGCTACGGACAAAGTTTGGGAACGCTCGTCGCAAAGCTTCAGCAGTGATTCAAGATCAAAATCGAATTCACCCTCTAGCGCAGCAGCCGTCAGTTTTGAATAAATATCATGGATTTCAGCATAGGTTGGGGGACGCGTGGGAAATTGCGAAAGCAAAAACAGCCGCGCACGCACATCACCGAGATACTCAGACTTTTCCACGGCTACGTCGACCTCAGACACTTCGGAGCTCATGAGACTAGGTATCCAGGGTAATAAGCGACGAATTACACCGTTTGAGCTATTCAACGTCAAGTCGAGTATGACCGCAAAAAGCTGCTGACTCAGATGAAATAACTCCCAACCTGAAATTCTGGCGTGAGGAAATTGAATGTCGCTTAATGGAGGAGAGCGATCCGCTATATGACGAATGTTTAAAGCTCTTATCAGAGACCAGCGTGGCGGAGGATGAACGGGTAGAACAAGTCGAGCAGCTAGTGCGTGAAAAGTATGGCAATACAATGGAAAATTCAGAGCTAGAAAGGCTTGTGCTGGATTTGTTATGGGAACATTTCGAAGGGGTCAAGCGGGTGAGAAAGGCTAAAATCATTGACAAGACGTCCACAAAGCCCATCAAACTACCTGAAGCAGCCTACAAGGCTGAGGCTCGTGCTAAGCTTGGCCAATCCAAGAAAAAATGGGTTCCGCTCAGGGAGATTGATCTCCCTGAAGAACCCTCCTCGATGGAAAATAAAACCCCCTATGATATGCTTCGAGATATTCTGGGTAGAGATACCAGCGACGAAGATATCGAGCGGGTCTTGTCTCACAACGAATTTGACATTGGCAGAACCATCGATATGCTCTTGAAGACAATGCGCAGTCGATCGACGAACCAGACGGAGCAAGAAAACAAGCAAAGACTGTTGACGCGAGATCAAACTGCTGAGCGGGTCGTGTGCAGATACTACCTACAAAGTGGATCCTGCCTACGCGGGACAGATTGCATGTATAGCCACGATCTCTCTCAGCGAATATGCAGGTTCTGGTTACAAGGTAGATGCATTGCTGGAAATGATTGTCAGTTTCTACATGAAATACCCCAGGAGGTTATTGACAAGCTCAATACAGCAGTTGGTGGGCAAGCAGTCGTGAAGCAGGCGGCTCCTGATATCAAGGCATTGCCTAAACTAGGCAGCCAAAAACCGGCCAAAAAACAGACAGTTGCACCATCAACACCAGTCACACCTATCAAGCCTAACTTAGAGACTCTGCCACTGCTTGGTACCAGTTTACCGACACAGCTGAATCGAGGCTTGATCCCGATCAGAGCACCAATGCATACGCCATGGAAAGAGCCCGAGTTCCTGGAGAACCAGAAATATGTTGATTTTCGAGTCTCCGCACGCAAATGGGCTGATCTCCGGAACAAGTACCTGCAGTTGGCAACAAACAGCTGGAGCGAGAACGACCCAGCAACGGCCAAGCATATGTCTAAAAAGGGCCAAGAGTTCAACAAGCTGATGCTCGACGACTATGAAAATGCCCGCCAAGTGCTTCTAGAACAACGAGCGAAACCGTCAAGCGAGGTCTATGTTGATTTGCATGGATTGGACCTTGAAGATGCTATTGAGTTTTTAGAACAACAGCTTGAGACACTGAATGCCGAAACCCGCCACAATCCACGAGTCGTTTATATTATATGCGGTCGCGGTCACTACAAACTCAAACGATACCTCGATCACATGAGCCAGCAAGTCACCATGTATCTTGATCGTAAAGGCTATCTTCATAAAAACTTTGGTGACAATGCTCTATTTGGACGTGTGATAGGCGTAGATCCCTATAGTGCGTTAGCATAGAAAACTTTATTCTTTTTCCAATATAAAAAACCCGTACAAAACCTACTCGTCAACCTGTCTTTGGCGAATCTCTACTTGAGACGACTTGACGCCCGTGCTTTTTTCGATGTCATCAATCACATGCTGTGATGCAGCGCCATTGGCGCCATTGTTGTCTGCGAATTTGGTCTCTTTTTGGGGTGATTGCTTTACATCGTCCTGGGGCTCACCGAGGGCAACCAGCTCTGCAGTCCGAACCCATCTGCGGCGACGCGTGTACTTGGAGAAGCTTGGCTCAGCCGAGCCTCGTTTCCATACGTTGTCATAGTACACAAACCCATCATCCTCATCAGGATCAGCTGTGTAGGTGGCCTTTGTTCGCGTGACCAGGAGGCCATCGTTTGTGAGATCCAATTTCCATGCCTTATCGACCCAACGCCATTCCATACCGGTACCCTCTGTGTCGGGCAGCATGAATGTGTCTGGGGCAAGAGATTCATTGAGAAACTCGTCTGTCCAAGCCGCTCGCTCATAAGCCAGCATATTGCTCGTCCAGCCAATTCCTAGCCAGCGACGCTGATTCTCGTAAAGAACATAGGTGAACCGCACGCTCTGCGAGTTGGCTTTGTGACTTGATGCTGGAGAAGAGGGTCGGGATAGTGCGGTTTGTGGGCGGGCCATTTGTTTCCTTAGCGAAGACTTGCTGAAGTTGATGCTTGTCATGCCAAATACAAGCGCACGGACGGGCTTGAAGCGCCACAAAATTTCGCGAGTGGCTCTAGCGGGAGCCGAGTGATATGTGAGCACAAACAGACCACCGTAGAGACAAATTGACCTCACCGACAAAAAGTATCGGGCAACCACAATGTAAAGCGGGGTCATGAAACCGGCAGCAAACAACATACGGGTGAGATCCTTCTTGGTAAGCTCCAGAGAGGTCACAGGCAGGGCAAACAAGCGCACGCGGCTCGACAGTTGTGAAAGCTTGGCAATGACCGCGTTCAGAGACTCGAGGTCGTTAGACGGCTTCTGGTAGTTGTAAACGACCACCGAGAGCAGAATGGCCACAACAATGTGGGCAATATAGAGAATTATGAATTCAAAGTATTGCACGGTCAGAATCCACACGGCGACCAGCAGAAACGGCTTCCAGGGGTCGTCGAGCGACCAGGTGAGCAACCCCAGAGTGGTGTCGGCGACGCAGATGAACGGATAGATCTGGCTCATTACGCTGATCACCACCGGCGGTGTCGTCTTCAGTAGCGGCGACGAGTTCGACTGCGACAGCGTCCCCGGCCCAGGCGCAAAGGCTGCGTTCGTAGGCATAGCTTTTCCTTCAAGTGGGGAGACCAGACACTTTGTCAGAATCGCGCCTCCCCCACCTTGGTAATAATCTTCATGTGCGTGAAGCCGAGGCCGATGCGCGGTGTAGGGCCGGCCGAGTAGAGCTATTTGCGGGAGTAAATAAAAAAAAAAAGCAGCACGCAGGTCTAGTTTACAGCCGAGTAGGTGGAGTTGATTTCAGCGACCCATTGGGACAGTTTCGGGGCTACATTGCCTACTGCATCAGCTGACAGCAGCAGGGCATGGCCGGCAGGAAACAGGCCTTCGTTTTCTTGGGTGCCTCTTGATTCGGGGTCCACGGGCTTGTTTTCGTAGGGAAAAAAGCAGTGGCTGTCTGCAATGTCTTGCAGCTCGACGTCCTCGGCATGGAAATACTCGTAGCGTGGAGACTGTTTAGTTTTCTTGGCCGGCGGCTCGCTGTCGCTTGATGTGGGTTCGAGACTGTACACGCGGGAAAGCACAATGTATTTGGTAAAGTTGTGTCCTTTTTGTTTCAGCTCCTCGAGGGTGAGCTGGTAAAAGTAAGGGAGGAGATCAAATGGCAGATTGAGGAGACGTTCTTGAAGAATCAAGGCCACTTTGTCGGGCGTCTGGGAAGACGTGGACTTGCGAATGTCCCGGCTCATTGCAGGGCTGCTTGTTTCAGTCCGCTCAACCAACCACCGTTTCAGTTTTTTGGGTATCTCTGCGTCGTCGCTCAGATCAACTATGGCCAGAAGTCCCAGAGGATCGCCTTCGCTGCCTTCGCTTTTGACAGTGATGCCCGTAGAGTTCTCGATGACATAGTCGGTGAGCTGGGACAGATCAAACGACAGGTGGTCAGACTCCAGCAAGCTTCGTAGCAGGTTTTTGATTGATAAGAAGTCGTCGCTGCTCAGGTCGAAAAAGTCAAAGTCCGCGTTGACGACTTGTTCGTCCTCTTGATCATAATCGTTCGCACTAGCGTCGCTGTCGTCACTTGCGCCTTCACTGCCACTGGCGCTGTCACTTTCATTGTCACTGGCGCTGCCACTGGCGCTGCCATCGTCACTGCCGCCTTCGTAACTGTCACTGGGTTCTTCCTCGCTGTCAGTACCTCCATTCAAACCATCACATACAGGCATCGCAGGTGCATCACTAGCTGCCGTATACCGTTTTTCAACGATTTCTTCTGATCCGGGAGCAGGCTTATTGCTCGACAAAGAAAAAGTACTGGACGTCTGTGCACCGAACTTGTCGTAGACCGATCTGAAAAAATTACCCAGACTAGCAGAAGGGACAGGGACCTGCGCCTCAGAGACCAGCTCTAACAGCCGCGCAACATCGCCTCGCGCCATTGATGGACTTTGAACTTGGCTCATTTCTGAAAAGATTTTGTCAGCAAAATCACTCACCAGCGACTCCAAAACGCTCTCAGGAGGACACTCTGGGGCCGTCATGTTCTTGGATCTGTTTGAATTACGAGGACTGCTGCGACTGGGCGCAGTCGCCTGGCAGTCGCTGGGCGCATGCAGCAAGTAGTTGCGGAATTTGGTCAATCTGCCCACTTCCCGCTCAAACGCCCGCTTCTCGGCACTCAAATAGCCCAAAGCATACGATTGAGCAATCAGCAAACACGCCGTTTTAGCGGAATACCCCTCCGGACTATCTGCGCTACCCCGTCGTCTCTTACTGCGCGGCTCTGGAACCTCTGGGTGGGGCAGTTCCTCCATGAACTGCGGCAAAGCACTCAAACGAGGCCTCGCAGCACCATCAGAGTCCGAAAACGTGTTTTGAGAATCTGCTGTGCACGTGGTGTTGCTAGGAGTGCCCGCAACCGTGTTGGCGGCATCCAGATTGATACGCGGAAGATCCTGGTTTTTTTTGGACAGAATCTTGCCCCGCACTGATGTAGACATGCACAACGGCTTTTTGATTGTCGGCTCGGTATCGCCCATTGAAAAAGTACTCCACAAGGCCACTAGAAAATCCGCTAGCACCCGTATGGAAGATTGGGTTCAAAGTTCCTTAAAAGACAATGGCAGACCCTAAACCAGAAGCTGCCGACCAAACCGGGACCCTTACCCTGAACTAAGATTCCATGCAGCAGCAGACATTTGGTTTTATCTGAAGAAAAAACCAGGGCCGATGGCAGAGGGGCGGGAGGGGGTGCATAAACATGTTAGACTATAGAACAGTAGTTCAGAATGAATATCGTTAGGCGTTCTAGGCAGAAGCATTTTCGGGTTTGCGGCAGACAAACAGCATCATGGGAGTGAAGATGCCCTCGCGACCACCGTTGACGAGGTGAACGGCGGCCTGCTCGAGAGCCTCGGTGACCTTGCGAGAGCCCTTGGGGGCAACGCCGACAGCCTCAAGGAGACCGGTGGCATTTGTGGTCATCCAGCGACCAACCTTGGAGGTGCGGCAGAAGGTGAAGAGGTCACCCAGAGTCTGGACGTAGCGCCAGTCACCAGCAAGAGGGTAGTACCAGGGGATCTCGTCGCCCTTGTCGGCAAGGTCCTCCTGGATCTGGATCTCGAAGCCGACCTTCTTGAGGGCGTTGACGGCGACGTCAACACCGTACATCTTGGGGATACCGTCACCGATCTCGATACCGTAGACGATCTCCTTGTGGAACTCGTTGTTCTCGTCGAACTTCTCGGTCATGACCCACTCGTACACACCGAAAGTTCCACCGGGTTTGAGAACACGGTAGATCTCGGCATACACAGTCTCGAGAACAGGAGCGTGGACAGTGGCCTCGATAGCGTACACGGCATCGAAACTGTTGTCGGCAAAGTCGAGCTGCATAAAGTCACCTTTAACCAACTTGAGCTTGTGGTCGAGCTTGTTAGCCTTGGCCCAGTTGTTGCCCCGCATGATCTGGTAGTCGTTGTTGTTGACACCTGTGATGTTGGCGCCGGTGAAACGGGTGATTTCACGTGCAGGCCCACCAATACCACAACCAACATCAAGGACCTCCATGTTCTCCTTCAGGTTCATCTTGTACGCAAGGTAGTGCTCGTGACGGGCAGTTGCCTGACGGAAAGCCTCGCCCTTGTAGTAGCGGGAGAAGTGGAACGAAGAGCCCCAACCGTACTCGTAAAAGTCAGTGACCAGGTTGTAGTAGTGCTTGGTCAACTCAGAGTAGTCGGACAAACGCGACTTCTGGTCCTCCTGGGTTTGAGTAGCGTGGTCGCGCTCCCAGTGACGGAAGTAGCCATCAACAGCAGCCTCGTGGGCCTTACGGTCTTTGGAGAGCGTGGCAGTGAAACCACCAGTTTTAGCATCGCCGTACATGGCCTTTGCAAAGTCCTGGTCCCGCTCAAAGTTCTTGGGAGCAAGCTTGATATCGTTAGAAGCAGTCATGATGGTTTGAAATAGATGGAAAAAGGCGAGTTGAGTCGCGTATCCTTACTAAGGGCGTGCCGGTGCCTGTATTATATGTATGCCCCGAGGAATTATCTCTACCAGCAGCATCGTAGGCGTCGCTTTGGTACCCTAGCCCTGACGAAAAAGTTCATGATTATGCGCCGCGTTAGGCTCCCGATGTTAGGGTTGGGTCGCGAGTCAAGCGACATGTGATGGCCTTGTCTGACCAAAGTCAGTCTTCGGCTGGTATGTCCAAGATCGGTTGATGGTTCGGTTTGCAACTAGCGGTTTTTTCAAAATGCCGCTCAAATGCCCCCAATGATGTCCGGCCGACCCGGTTTACTTGTTCCTTTGACTCTTCGATGAGTTCCATAATTTTGTCAGCCTGTTCAGGTGTGATAATCAGGGTCAATTTCCCCGCTGCACTGAGAATAGCATTCTGAATCTCTGGAGGACTGTCTTTGGCAGTCGTGAGCATTGAAATAGCCAAATCTCCGTGCACCGTCGACTGGGCATTGTCAGATCGTTGTGGTGATGTCCACTCTACTAGTTGGGCCAGCACAGTTGGCAATGGCACGTCTAGTGTGTCCTCCTGTTCAGTATCAATGATAACATTGAACTGACTGGCGATGCGTTCTTGGTTTTCTGAGGATGTGAGTGCGTACACTGGAACGAAGAAACTCAAGACCTGCTCGAGTTCAGCAAGCTCTGCTGATGAAAAGTATGCTCTCACAAGCTCGCCCAACAGCTCCAGTTCCGACCTGAACAAATTGGACAAAAACAGTTTGGCCAGTGCCTTTGCACTCACTGTTCGGATCGCAGCGATATTCCTTTGCCTGAACCCATTGGCAATCACGTCTCGAGCACGCTTGGCGGTATCTGGGTACACACGATGAGTCAAAAGCACATCTGATGCGGCCTGTACGACAATTTCATTGATCTCACCATCGCCTTCGTACTCAACAGCATCGGGATTATACATTGTCAATAGCTGTCCAAAGTGGGCATCAGTTTGAGACTTGCTGAGAAGGCAAAGCAAACCAAGACAGGCCAAACCTCGATTGAGAATTTCATAGTCCGTAGACTGAAGAGCAAAATTGATCCGATCATAGAGAGAGTTGAGGGTTGCAATGTCATCGTAAGGCAGCTTCAAGCAGCGCAGTGTTGCGTCGATAATAGAATACTGCAACAATACGTTTGTGAGCTGGATAGAGATATCCGGATCATTTTCTCGATTGCTTGGGCCATCGAGATCATCCAAAATATCAGCAATCTTCAGCATGAAATCAGAAACAAGTGTAAGCGCATTACGCAGAACTTGAACGGCTTTTGCAATAACGCCATCACTTGGAGCGTTGCCGGCCGACAAAATTGTATCAAGTACTTGTAGAAGTTTCTGTCGACCAAACTCATCACGAAAGTCATAAGTAGATGCGACAGTGAGCAGTTGCTCAACAATAAAGTCTTGATCTGCCTTTTCCTCCTCTGCTGCTTCACAGTACTGTTGCCAAAACAGCACCAACAGATCAGCGTATTCAGATAAATCAGGCAGTCTCATTTCGGCAAGTGCGACCAGGTTATTGCCTCGACAGTACTCATTCCAGCAGCGGACGAGAAACGCGCCCTCTGGCGACAAGTTCTCCCAAAAGTCCTGCTCAAAACTTATTCTTTCTTTAACAACGTCAGGACGGGCATTGAACAGCGCCACAAGGGCTGGCTGGGCAACCTGACTGTTGAGAACGTCCAAACGACCCAGCAGCTTGATCACATCGTTGTCCACGGTTCGGAGCCACTGGCTGAGAAGCATACTGGTTGCAGCGTTTCGAACTGATGCATTGCGATCGGCAAGACCATTCGAAAGCAGCTTTTCGCGTAAATCTAGTTTCAGAAGACGGAAATCATCAATATCACGTATAACACGCGAATACACATTTCTGCGGTTTACAGAGTTGACATCCAAAGACCTTTCGACCAGTTTGGGGTAAAGCCTTTTGCGTTTCGGTACGTTCAAAAGAGCAGCTCTGCGCACTTCTGGATTGGTGTCATGTTCCATCAGATCAACCAGTATCTTGACAACTTCTTCGTAGGATTCCTTTTCCTGCTCGTTGAGCAGGGAGACTAAAGTCAGAACAACCTGAATCCTTACCGAGTGATCACGGTCTCTGCAGCGGTTCTGAGCAACCACACGAAGCTCTTCAGAGATGCTGTCACTCAGCACGGTTGAGTTCTGGAGAATTGTCGTCACCAATTGCCATCCGCGGAACCTCACCACTTTGTCCTTGGCGGTCAAGGCGCGCATGAAATAGTCTATAAGGGATTCAATAAACGTGTAAACATATTCTGGAGTTTCCTCAGACTCTTCTTCGTTTTCAGGCGAGATATGCTCCACAAACGCGCCAATAAACTTGACGACTTGATCCGCACTAGGCTCGGATTTCTTGATTGGTAACAACCGCACTGCCGCCCGGCAAAATGTCTCAATAAATAACGGCAGCGCGTCACTGCCCGCACTCGTGTCTAGCTCTTTTTTCATCTGCACCACCAATTTGCGGTGGCCTGCCCCACTTGTTTGGCTCTCTTGGAAGATCCTGGCTATCTCCATAGTAAACAACTGATGACAAAGCCGGATAATTTAAGTTAAAGACGGTAAACCTGGGGTTATGAGGACAGCCGTAATAGCTTTGTACCAGGGGTTTATTTGGAAGCGGAAACCTACTCGATAGACACAACTGATACTACAAACAAGAAACTGCAAAACCAGCGCGACCGAAAATTCAGCCCTCACGCTGAAAAAGCCGTCTTGGAAAAAAAAAATTAATAATCTTGATTTCTTCAATGCCAAAAGTTCAGCTGCACAAATGCAGATTTATGGACTACACCAGGCCGTATGTGTCTGCGATGGCATTTAATCTGCCGTCGCCCGGTCCTAAAACACCGGCTCATCCAGATCTCAGGCTGGCTGTCGGCCGCTCTAATGGCGATATCGAGCTTTGGCGCCCCGGTCCAAATTGGTCGCTCGACACTACATTTCTAGGAGCAAAAGACCGATCCATCGAGGATTTGGCATGGTCTGTGGGTGACGAGATGAGACTGTTTAGTGTTGCTGCCTCAGAGTACATCACAGAGTGGGATTTAGCCACAGGACAGCCGCTGGAACATCATAGCTCGAATGCCGGCGTAATCTGGGCCATTGAAACGTCCCCCGACGGGAAAAAACTCGCAGTAGCCTGTGAGACAGGCGTAGTTGTTATTTTCGATGTGTCAGGAGGAAGAGGGAACCTCCAGTTCCTGAGAAGACTGCAGAGTGCAGATACTTCACTTGCTTCCCTGGCGTGGAAGTCAGATAACCAGGTGGTTGCTGGTGGTTCCGATGCTCGTTTGCGTGTTTGGGATATTTCAACGGGCCGTATTATTGCGACGATGAAGGTCGACAAGTCAAAATCCATGGATGGAACGGTTGTCTGGGCAGTAAAGACTTTGAGAAAAGGTGAACAGATTGTAAGCGGAGACTCTAATGGCTATATCAAGATCTGGGACAGCAAGACACTCTCATTACAACAGAGTTTCCAAGCACACCCCACTGACATCCTTAGTCTGGCCTGCGATTCTGCCGGTGAAACACTGTTTTCTTCCGGCTTGGACCAGAAAATTGTCTGTGCCAAAATGACCGACCCCAAACGCAAACGCTGGACTATAATGTCTAGTCGTGTTGCACATTCCCATGATATCCGCAGCATGACAATTTTTGAAGCACGCGGTGCTTCGTATCTGGTTAGCGGTGGCCTCGAGTCCACCATTGTTGTCAACTCCGTCACCCAGTTCGACGACAAGCCTTTCCGCAAAATCCCATTGACAAGATACTCACCCACTGTTGAAATTAATAGCAGCCAGCACATTCTAGAGTGGTGCGAACAGGTTGTCAATATCTGGGGATTGTACGACGGTAAAAAGCGATTGTTGGCTACTTTTAATCTGACCGGCGAGGACGAATTGATCTCTTCAGCATCTCTAGAAGGCAATATTCTGGTCGTTGCAACAATGAGTACTATCAAATTCTTCTATTTGGAAGGTCTGGAAGATGAAGAGCAGGTCAAATCGATCAGTCGCTTGAATACTACTGCAGTGAGTGGAGGTGCTCGGATAATCAAGTTTGTGGGCCCAGAGAGTGTGCTGATCATTACACCCGACAATGAAATGGATATTTATCGCATCAAAAAAGACATTATTACCGAAGTCGAGCAGCCTTCAAAACCCCGGGTTGCTGGCTCAAGCAAAATCCCTTATATTGACGGCGTTGCGTTGCTTGCCGTTTCCCCTGATCGAAAACATTTCGCAGTTGCAAAGCATAGTGGGTACATTGAGGTGTACAACACCGCTAAAGCTGCACATGTCGCATCGCTTCCGTCGCTTGGCTCGGCTCTTACTGCAATGGCTTTCCGAGACAACCGATCTCTTGTTGCAGTTACAGATGAGACTACCGTGTACGAGTTTGATGTCAAGTCTGCTTCACTAACTTCCTGGTCAAAAGAGCACTCGTCTCGCTTACCGACTCGGTTGTCGAAACAGACAACAGCCTGCTGCGGCGTATTCCCTGAATCAGATAAGAGCAGCAGACTATGGTTGTGGGGACCCAACTGGCTGGCCTATTTGGATTTTGCAACCAAAACTCCTTATCGTCATGCCAACAAGCGCAAACAGCATGCTCCTGGGGGTGATGATCTTGAAGACGAAGACGGCCCAGAAGATCAAGACAGCCCTACGTTCTGGATGACGCACAAGTTCCGCCCTATCTTTTACGCAGGTGCATTCGATAATGGCCTGCTGGTTTCAGAGCGTCCTGCTATGAAAGAGTCCGAAGCCAAACCGTTCTGGTCCAACCGTCATATTGTGCTGTAAATAGATGCGTGAGGAGAAAAAAAAAGTAAAAATTGTCATTATATGCAAAATACAGATACACAAAAGTGTACAAATTAGTAGTAACAGAAGATTCGCACGTGGCGATCTAGCTTTTCTTGCTTCACCCAGAGCTGTTGTTCTTGGCTAGTGTATTCGGCCAATTCGACTTTTTCTTGGGCGGTAAGGAGCTCGTCTTCGTGGCCGGCCACATCAACACGAGTTAGTTTCGCAAGCAGGGTCTTGTGCTTGGCGCGGAGAGCGAAAATATCGTCATAAGTTTTTGCAATCGCGCCATAGATTTGCTCCACCAAGCGGGAATACGCCCACTTTGGGCGATGGAACCAGAGATAGATGTTGCGACCGGGAGCACGATCATTAGACCGAGGCACTTCTTGTAAATCAATGAACCCAAAGTATTCTAGATTATTGGTGTGAATGCGTAGGCCATTAGATTGGAGCAGGCTAGTTTGGGACAGCGCCTTCTCGTCGATTTTGGAGTATTCACGAACTACCCGGAGAATACGAGCGGCCGAAGCACCCAGCAGCTCAGACACGATTTCATCAAAGGTATGGCGGCGCAAATCAGCGAGCAGGTCGCTCATGGGCACGAACCACTCACCGCCATGCAAGTCACCGACCCGACGCAAGAACGCAAATCCAGCCTTTTCCAGCAGTCTTAAATGCCGATTGACGAGTTCCAAGGGAGTCAATGCCGCCGCTGGAGTTACGGAAATGCTTCCGATCTTAGATTTCATGCGTTTATGGCCCCGAGCAGCCGCATCCGGCTCGGTTTTGACCTCATCGTTTTGTGTTTCGGCAATAAAAGCGCTTTCAAGCTTCACAGGCTCTTTTCTGCTCTGCAGCTTTAGCAAAATCTCAGAGCTGTTGACTATATTACCAGGCATCGGCACGCGTTCTTTGTCTCGCTGGAAAAGACTTCGACCATGTTCAAAGCACTCGAGGACAGCGTCATATACCTGGGCAGTAATCGAGCCAATGCGATCATCAACGAGTTGTACAAGCTCTTTGCGGCGTTCTGTCAACAGAAAACGTTCGTAGTTTACGGCAAGAACCAATTTTTGATCATGAGAGGCCGCAGTGACTAGACCCTTTGACCCGGCTTGGCGGGTAGCCTCCATGTTATCCAGATCACGTTTTACAGCCGCATCGACCATTTGCTTTTTCGCATTGTCGGTCAGAGAAAGAGTGGTCGGATCTTTGTTAACCTCCCGGAAGTGCTTGGTGATGCTTTGTTGCTTAATATCTTCCTCGGGCCAGAATTCAAATTCGTGCAGAGGCACTAGGTACCCTGTTTGCAGAAGCTGTTCCAGTTTTTCTCGGGCTTCAGGATTCTTCTTAATGTAGCCCTCTATGCTGAAATGACCATTAGTGATAAAGTCGAGCAGCACCGGACCAAGCTCGTCCTTTTGGGTCTGTTCCTTGAGTTGAGCCGATACCTGACCGGCCCAAATTAAATGGTAAATATTCGTCGTATCGGCGCGGTAATATACGGGCCCCCATTGGTTTGGATCTTCCCAATAAAGCACCAAACGCATATGGACCAAGGACACAAGCGCCCGTTTGACGGCCGAGTAGGGGAAATTTGTCGCCTTGGTCAGCTCTTTAGCGGACAGCCGGCCAACCTGTAGCAACGTAAGGACAATCTGGGCACCTACCTGGCCCAGCATGTCCTCTACAAGCACCTTGCATAGACTCACCAGGTGGTGGGTGCTGGGCATTAAAAAAAAATTTGTCAGAGAGGGCTCATAAGGGAGTCATGAGGGGACGGGAAACTAAAATAGGAGTAGGCGCATTGTGGGGGCAGGAACAAACAGACAGGGACAGGAAGGCCGCGGAGAAGAGCCGGGCAAGTGCGAATACGTGCGGTCGGGGAGACGTGTCTAATCCCCCCGCCTGACTGCTCTATTACCCTCCATGAGTCAGCAACCCCCGACCAATCAACCCAGGGTATTTCTCATTGCCTAATAATCGACTTTCTCTTTACCTTTCAAAAACCACACCATACTTGCAATGTTGAGAAAGAGTGTCGGGCAACTGAGCAAGGCGGCAGGCCGTCGCGCGTTCTCGAGTACTGAGGCTTCTGGTCTTAAGATCACTTCTTTGGACGACGGTCGGGCTGTGTCCGAGGTTTCGCTAATCGTGAAGGGTGGTTCTCGCTACAGCCAGGTTCCCGGTACTGCGCACCTTTTGGAGAAGTTCGCGTTCCGCGACACTGCCCCCCGTTCTGCTCTGCGTCTGACTCGTGAGTCTGAGCTGCTGGGTGGCCAGTTCGGCACCCAGCTTGGCCGTGAAAAGCTCGTGCTCACCACCAAGTTCCTGCGGGAGGACCTGCCCTACTTCGTTGAGGCTCTTTCCAACGTCGCCAAGCACACTCAGTACAAAGCTTACGAGTTTGCTGAGGAGATTCTCCCTCTTGCACAGGCCGAGGCCAAGAAGGCCGCCGGCAACTCCCAGGCCGTCGCTATCGACGCCGTCCACGGTGCCGCTTTCCGCAACGGTCTTGGTACTCCTCTGCTCGTCACCCCTGGCGTTAACGTCTCGCTGGCTGAAGTCAAGGCCTTCGGTGAGCAGGTCTACTCTGAGGGTAACCTGGAGATTGTTGCCCGCGGTGTTATCGAGGGCGATCTCAAGTCGCTGGTTGCCGACAACTTTGCCGGTCTCCGTGCTGGCTCCGTCCAGTCTGCGGCCACCAAGACCTACGCCGGCGAGTCCCGCATTGCTTCCGCCAGCCCCGAGCAGGTCGTTACCTTTGGTTTCGCTGCCCAGCCCACCCCGGCTTTCGCTGCTCTCGCCCATCTTTTGAGCTCTCGCTCTGTCAAGTGGTCGCCTGGTGCTGGTGCTCTTGACGCCGTTGCTTCGAAGCACGGTGTCTCTGTTATCGTCGCCAACCACGCTTACTCCGATGCCTCGCTGCTCACTGTCTCCATTTCCGGCCCCTCAGCTGCTGCCGTCAAGTCCGCCAGCGTCGAGGCTGCTGCCGTTATCAAGGCTCTTGGTTCCAGCGTTGAGCCTGATGCCGCTAAGCGTGCCGTTGCAAAGGCCAAGTTCTCTGCTGCTGAGGCTCTCTTTGCCCCTGCCGCCGCCGCCGTCGACGAGTCTGCTGTCACTGCTGCCGCCAAGAAGGTGTTCAGCTCCAAACCCGCTGTCGCCGTGGTTGGTCAGACCTTCGCTCTGCCTTACGCCGACGAGCTCTTTTAAATAGTGCAAAAAAATCGTCCTAAATATGTACAATTCCCTGACCTAATTTGCGCTGTCTTTTATAGGAGAAACCACTGGGAAGTAGCGATGATAACCAGATCGCTCATAGTTGAGCGCGGCTTGTGCGTTTGATTTTTCAATCTGGGTGATGGCTACCTGTAACCCCACGCAAGAGCGGACGATGAGGGCCATTTCTGTGTTTTCCTGCGTCACACGAGTGAGGGTTTTGAGAAGTGAGACCGCGCCGCTGAGCGAGTTCCGGCCTGCTTCCAGAGCAATTTCGGGGGTCAGCTTCTCGTAAACGGTATTAAAGTCGTCAAGGGTGGCCATGGGGGGCACGCCAACCGACTCGAATACCTGGAACCGGAGACCGTACTGGAGAGAAAGATCGGGAGTCAGAATGGCTTTCGGCTTTTTGATCATTCCCAGCTTGTCGAGAGCGACATGAATCAAATACTGTGCTGAACACACTTGACTGAGTCCTCTGGCTTCCAGCTCTAATGCCACCAAGTAGGAATAGCCCTCCTGAGTAGACCGCATATTATGCTGTTCAAAGTACGCCTTTAGTCTTCCGAGTTGATCGATGAGATGTTGGCACAACTGGGCAGCATACCAGAACACATAGGGGTACTCCCAGGGAAGAGCAATTTCTAGTTCGACCGTGTAAAGAACTAGCCAGAGCATAACCTGGAGTTTACGTAGCTGCACCGCTGAGGAAAGTTCAAGGGCCCAAATTTTTTGGTTGCTGCCTGTGTGTAATTTACGACCAAGGCCTTGTTGTGAAGCGGCCTCATCGATCTGGTCTGCGGTCACTTGCAGACTGTCATACAGACTGACCAGCCCAAAAAGACCTTCGCGCTGCAATGGCCGGGTATGTAAAAATGTTGTGATCAATTCCATGTAACATTGCGAAGCCTGTGTAATGTAGGGCTCGTACAGGCTCCGGCTTTTATGAGGATCCCAGTCTGGGCAGCTGAGTTCTCTAATATCTTTGACAATCCAAGTGCGCACGCTTTGACCAAGAATGTCACTCAGCGCAATCACCTGTTTGAGAGATGCCCGCACGATCGGCAGATGCCCCTCTGACGAAAACACGAGGAAAAAGCCCATAAGGTCGGCCGATCGGGTAATGGAAGTGACTCTGGCCAAATCCTTCAGACTTGCAGCGATCTTGCGCCATTGCTCTACAGCATCCTTGAGAGGAATAACAACCAGAGGCTGGGCAAGAGAGAAATTGGTGGCTCTAGACTGCACACCATCACTGAGGGTAACCCTCATGGGGTTTTCGCGGTCAAAGTCATAGTCGTCATATACAGTCAAAGCCTGTATCACATTGTCAACATGGACGGGCTTTTTAGCAAACTTCTGTTTGATCACTTGCAGCCAACTCGCTTTGAGTTGCAATCGACGGACAACCGACTTTTCTGTTTTTGAGAAACGCAGCGCGGCATCCAATAGTCGGAGAACAAGGTCTAGCGGTGTGTTTTCAAGCATGTAATAGTTGCCGTGCGCAATGTGAAAGTCCTCATCAAGAGGAATTATGACTGGTTCATTCTCGATGAAAGCCATCGTCATCGAGGAGACCTTTATGGTTGCAAGAATGTAGATCCGAGCCACATCATGCCACGAAGAGACCACGAGCAGCGATTCAAGGTATTTCAGTAGCGGTTTGGACTCGTCCTTGACCAGTGTGAAGTTATCGAGGGACAATTCAGTGACGTTTGTGACGACTTCTTCAAAAGGCAAGCAGCAAAAGATTGTTCGCAGAGGCATATTACCTTGGTGCCAAGCCATTTCCTCAGCCACCAGAATATCTGCCAAGTCACAAACGTCTTGAGCGCTCGATACTTTTGGAATTGCCTTCAGGTCGTCTTGCAGTGGCCTGAACTTGAGGCCGGTGTCCATGCGAGCACTACCCATTTCAAAGGCATTGATCGCATCAAACAGCTTGAAGTCTGGCACATGTGCAAGCTCACCAACCTTCATTTTAGACGCGTACTCCTTGAAGTCGGACGTCACATCCTCATATCGATCATTGTGATATAGGCGGGGTTCAGAATCCATGATTGGTAAGAGCAAGTTTCGAGCGGACAAATAGGTATTTTGACGGATTAGCCCGGAGAACCAAATGTGCACTGAACTAGGCTAAATATTAAATTGAGATTTCTATCCGGTTAAACCCATTGTTGGAACCCGGTGAACCGGCGATCAGACAACACGCAGATCAGGCTTACCTCACCAGTAGGGCTTAGGGCTGCTTGGGCCAACTCGCAGTCTCTGACATAAACCACTTGATTCACCACTCTCAAAACTCATCTACTACAATGGGTAAAGGCAAGCCTAGAGGATTGCAGGCCGCTCGCAAGCTGCGCACCAGCCGTCGTGATAACCGTTGGGCTGATCTGTCTTACAAGAAGCGCCTGCTGGGCACCGCTTTCAAGTCGTCGCCTTTCGGTGGCTCTTCCCACGCCAAGGGTATTGTGCTCGAGAAGGTCGGTATTGAGGCCAAGCAGCCCAACTCCGCTATCCGCAAGTGTGTCCGTGTCCAGCTCATCAAGAACGGCAAGCGTGTCACCGCTTTCGTCCCTAACGATGGTTGCTTGAACTACGTTGACCAGAACGACGAGGTCCTGCTCGCTGGTTTCGGTCGTAAGGGTAAGGCTAAGGGTGATATCCCCGGTGTTCGTTTCAAGGTCGTTAAGGTCTCCGGTGTCTCCCTGCTCGCTCTCTACAAGGAGAAGAAGGAGAAGCCCCGTACTTAAGGGTCTTTATTAATAGCAATTCATAGTATATGCTTGGCATCTAAGCCCGAAACATCGTAACTGGTGTTTAACTAAAACAATATATTAAGCGGAAATCTAGTTAAGCCCGCGGCCCTCGACCGACACTTTGGACTTGCGCGACGACTGGCCCTTGGAGCTCATGAGCTTGGCCTTCATTCTGCGCAGCTGCTGGGTCTCGCCGCCACTGCGAGCACCGCCTGATGCACTGATATTGCTCATGGGCGCAACCGAGTAAGTTTCTGTGCGAGCAGTGGGGATGGCCGCACGGTTGCGACGGATAGCCGCCTCCTCGGCGGGGGTAAGGCTTGTGCGAGTCTTTTGTCGTACTCCAAGATCGGCGGTAGGGTCGAAATTGCGTGTTGCGACTCGCTTGTCACGGTAGTTGTCACTTCTGCCCATAATCGGACGGGTCCAGTCGCCGACCAGCTTGTCGGCAATGCGTTTGATCTGCGGGTGTGGTCTCTTTGATTTCTGGTAGAAAAGAACGATCTGACCGAGCTTGCTCTCCCGTAAGTGAATGGTTTTGATAGGCAACCTGTCGAGTGCATGGAACAGCTCTTTCTGGATCTCATAGCTAGGTAGCGAGGCGTCCGGCAGCGGCTCAAGCCAGATGCGGACGCTCTCCAGCAAATTGCCATCAAGAATGCTATCGGCCAGGCTATGCTTTGTTAATACGTTGACGACCTCAGGCAGCATTTTGACCTTGTTGAGAGCGGGCTTGCCGTTTTCAATACACTCGGCATCCAGCATGGCTGCTTCACGCATTTCCTCTCGAAGGCGGGCAACCCGTTCGTCTTGGAGCTGTTCCAAGTCGTCGCCAGCCATTTTGCGGCGTTTCACGCCCGGCTTTTTCAGCGCAGCATCAATCCTTGCCTCGATTTCTCTTCTTTCTTTTGTCGCCTCATCCACTTCTTCCTCTGGCTCCGACTCCTCTTCGGGTTCAGGCTTGGACTTTTTCGTGCGAGCACGTCTTTGTTCTTTGGGACCTTTGGCGGTCTTTGCGGGGCCTTTCCGTTTATGGCTTTTCAGCTTGTACACCTGCTCGTCGAGGGGCGCTTCAGCATCATCTTCAGCCTGCTGCTCCGTGTACTCTGTTTCTTCGGGCTCCTCGACCTGAGTTTCAACAGGTTCCCCAACATGTTCCTCAACAGGTTCTTCAACAGGTTGTTCAGCAGGCTCGACCTGAGCTTCAACCTCAGCCTGTGGCTCTGGAGTTGTGACCGTCGATTCGACTTGTTCTGAATCCGACATAGAGAAGATGACCTAATCGGACGAGAAACAGCTCTTAGCTGGGTCGATCGGATTTTATGGGGGAGCTGGTCGAGAAAAAGTGGATCGGTTTGGTGGCCAGAAATGGCACGGTAATGACAGCAATGGCAACAATACCGGCCTAAATGGTAATGCCAGCCCTAGTAATTGCAGCTCAGGTAGTAATGCCAGTCAAAGCAGTAACGCCAGTCAAAGCAGGCAAGGCAGCAATCAAGCAATTGCTCAAGCACAACTATTCAAACTCAACCCCCCTGCTTTTTTCCAGCCCGTCCAAGCACTGTCCACCGCCTCACAGCTGCCAAGCTATCGCCTACCGCTCCCCATAGTGAGCCAGCCGCTGCATGGGGTATTGGGCAGTCTTCATAAGGTAAGGGCAGTGGAGAAATTTCTCAGGTTGACTGAAACTCTCCCTTTTATTAAAACATGTTTGGCGGCCCCCCTCCTCCCCCTTCCAAAGACGAACTGAACCAGCGCACTAGCGAGACATACAGCGTTGTCCAGAACGCTATTGTCATTGGCGCCATCCTGTGGGCCACTCCCTTTGCTGTGGAGCTCATCAAGGGCCGTTTCTAAGCCGTAGCACAGACCGGCTGGGCCCAAATCAAAACCACAATTAAAACGCTCCTAGACTCCGTTATTTTTGTACTGTAGATAGCCACTTTCGTTCGTATTCGCTTCTTGTCATCATGTCCCAACTTCGAGCGCTGTTGGATCAAGCACTGCTGACCAGCTTCCGCATCTCGCCGCCGCCAGAAACACTGACCCAGAGCCTGGCCGTACGCAATTTCCTTGCTCGCCAGATCGGCAATCGCGGCCGCATTGTGAACTACCGCCAGGAGATGTGCCCTGTGACAAAACAGCGGCTCGACAAACTGCGGGTGCTAATCCAGGATTTCGGCCGGAAAAACCACACGCCGCAGGTTCTCATGACACAGAGTATAGAGACTAGTCCTGCCCCCGAACTGACCGCCTTGGAGCTCGAGCTGTTCAACCTGCAACGGCAAACCAGGGTGCCCGGTTCAGAACAAACACTAGTATTAACAACCGCCACACGACGGCCGGAAGATATTCAGGCATTAAAGTACGTTGAAAATGAGGCATAGCCATTATTTAATTTAATTTAATTCTTTCTTGGGCTCGTCGCTGCTCCGCTTCAGAACCGCATCCACCTGGGCACTGTCCTCGGAGACCAGCTTGGCCAAAAACTTGATGCCGGTTTGGTGGGCGGCCAAGACCCGGACCACCGACTCGAGCTGCTCCGAGTCTCTGTCCCAGTCCAGCGGCTGCTTCTCGCTCGGCTTGCTTGTTTGGTTCATGGCCTTGATGCGGGCCCCGACCTCGTTCAGCGATCCAAACACCGCTGGGTCCTCGGCACGTTTGAGCAGCTCCTTGAGCTTTTGCCTATACAGCTCCTCGTCAGGAGTCAGGGTCCAGCCACGGTTTGTAAGTACCTCGAGCTTCACGATCAATGCCAATGTTTTTCGAGCCAGGGTCAGCTGGCGCTCCTTCATTTCCAGTAGTTTGACAGACGTGTGCAGATCGTGGCGGTTGGAAAGCTCATTCAGCTTCTCGTTCAACTCGTGCATCCGAACTCTGTACGCATTGATCTGCTGGTTCTGTTGATTGAGTCGGATCTGCAGATCGTCGAACCCGACCGCCAGCACGGGCACACACGTAGCGTCGGGCCGCTCGGCCAACGCCTTCTCCCACTTTGCCTGGTCCTGGCCGGGCGGCATTGCGTACATCTGCGCTTGCTCGCTGGGCACGCGGTTGTAAAAGTAGTGCTGGAACGCACAGTTCGCACTCGTGGGGTCCCACGCCTCGCGGACCCGCGCCATCTGGTCCAGAATCGGAACCATCGGCTTCGAATCTAATGCCTTCTGCGATTGCGAGCCAGTGCCAGCCACTGTCGACTGCGCAGCGTCACCTGCTCGCGACCAAGAGAATGTTGACATTTGGGATTTCTCTAAAGACCTTGGCTGACAAAGCCCGGGATACAAATACCACGACGGCTTCCCAACACCCCTCCAGGCTAGCCAACCATGGCGAAGCAAATGGCTTGTCAGCATCTTTTCACACAAAATGTCCAGAGACCCTGCGTTCAAGTACGTTGAGGCCCAGGATAGCACGCCTATGCCGAGCGATGTGCCGGAGGTAGCTGAGGTTGGCGCGACCTCGGCACCCCTGATGTCGGCGTCATACTTTATCGGGGCCCGCTGCCTGCCCTACAATGACGATTTCATGCTGTGCAAAAAGGAGTCCCAGAACGGGCCCGTTGACTGTCTGAAAGAGGGCCGCCGGGTCACCCGCTGTGCCATTTCTGTTCTGGAGGACATCAACCGCTCCTGTCTCGACGAATTCCGCCGTCACTGGCAGTGTCTGGAGCAGAACAACCAACAACTCTATGCATGCCGACCCGCAGAGCGTCTGCTCAACGCCTGTGTGTTTGAGAAGCTCAACCTCGAAAAACGCATCCCTCAGGTCGACGCCTCTGAGCAGGTCCATCTCAAGAAATCGCCTCACCTCCGCCCCGCCTTTGAAGACCGCGCCTCTGTAAATGCCGAGAAGGCGAAAGCATGATTATAATAAAGTAAACTATATGTAGTGTCTGGACACGTTTTTTTCCTTCCTGGGTTACTGCTCCAGCACGCCCTGGATCTTTTCTGCAAGATTCGTCAGGTCCATGTGCAATGCGATTTGGACGGCTGCTTCGCCGCTACGGGGCTGGTTCAGTCGCCGGACAATGCACAGGCACTTGTTGATGCGGTTTTCCGACGCAGCGAGTTGGAACTGTCTCAGAAGCAGCTTGTCCAGAGCAGTCTCCACGGAAGCCAGCTCCTCCTCGTCTTGAGCGGTATTTTGGGTAGCCATGACTCGTTGGCACAGATATTCGCTCTCAATTTCGCTAATGCCGGGAATCATAAGCGGCAGGGACGCCGTGACAGGTAATGGAACAGGAGGGAACCGCTGCTGGCCCTTGAGCGGGATGCACAGTAGCTCGCTGTCGACAATGCCCAACGGCCAATAGCTTTCCTGACGCCCGTTCTTTGAGGAATAAGAAGGCCCGTCGAAGATCGGCGTCCAACGAGCCTGGGTCTGAGAAGACCTCCAGTTCGTCAATGTCATTAGGCAGCCGGCATGATCGTAGACACAGGGGTCCCCAAACTCACCAAAGAAAATAGTGCGCAGCTCAGAAGGTGCAACATCGAGATGAGCATCGCTGATAAGATAGTCTGGTCCGTGCGTCTCGTCACCAAAATGCTCCACACTGTACACCAACCTGTCTTGGTCAAAATGCCGCAACACTAGGACGGTGCGGCCATGGCCGGCGAGTGCAAAAACGTTTCTTTGACGCGTGACGTCCAGAACCATGCCATAAACCGAAAAAGTTGTAACAATGCCTCGCTGGGTAGCAACTACAGCCACGACGTCGGTCAGAGTAATGGCGGCAATTTTATCGCCCTCATCAATTTGGAATTCCCAATTATCGTTTGAAAATGCATGGAATCGCATTGCCACAAACCCGGTTTCGCTGTTGGCAAACAGGCAGCCGGTCTTCGTCAAACTGGCCATATCGAACCGGTCCGGATCACTAAAGTGCACATCTCGCTGCACACTTTCGTCATGGAAACTGATGGTGATGGTATTGTGATCAGAGTCTTGATGAACGGTCCACACGTAGCCCGTGTCGTTCATGCAGAGGTATCTTTTGTTGTTTAACCAGGGGGTTCCGGGGTTGAATTTTTGGACAGTTTGAGCGACTTTAGAACGTTTGCGAGGCTGCTCAACGAATAAATCATCGTACCCATTAGCATCACCATTCTCCTCATCGTCTTCTTCAAGGCCATCACTTTGAGGCTCGGCTTGCAGGTCCTCCATTTCTCTCTCCAAAGCCCGCTGTTTCTTGGCGCTATGAATCGGAGGACCAAGCGGGGTCGGGAGACCATCAGGGACCGCCGGACAGCTGTACAGTCTGCCGCTTTCAGTTGTGAACGAGATCTCATTTTCATTGGGATGCCATCTTATTTGGATCACCTCAGAAACCGTCTCTTTGCGCACAGCTTCCCGACTGACCGCGTCCCAAATAATAACTTGGCCATCGCGAGCAGTGGTGGCCAAATAACGACCATTAGGAGACCATTGAACATCTGTCAAAAAATTCGTGTGAGCACCCGTCAGCCTATAATCTTGAACCCAGGCCTGTGAATCATACAGCGCGACATCAAAGACCTTTGTAGGGACTGCGACAGAGGTGCCTTGGGGCGAAAACACAGCAAAGCTGCAACGATTATCACTTTGGTCAGGAATTGAAGGAGTAACACCTTCTAAAGTCGAAACCACCTTGGGTTCCTCAGCAATGTCTAGAATGACGATCGATCCGTCCTGTAAAGAACAAGTAACCAAGGGTTCTTTAGGATGGAACTTGACCGTTAACGCATGGCCCTGGAAAGGCAACCTCTTGGGCGAGCTACTGTCAATATTGACAATGATCACCGTGTCATCGCCAACCACTGCGATCTCATCTCCCGAGGGCGAGAACTCTAGGTACCGAATTGGCAGCGCTGAGCGAGCCAAAATGGATTTGGGCGACTTGCCTTGTAAATCATAGAGGTAGGCCACACCGTCGTCGCCTGCCACGGCAAAATGGTCTTCGGAAGTGGCCAAACTCAACGGACACGAGCTGAAATCAATGGTGTCCGGTTCGTCATTCACGCCGGCCAGGAACCGACGAATCAGATTGTTGGAGCCCGTGGTGAAGAGGTATTTTCCACACCTGGAATACGCCACGCACGTTTTGCCCGCCGGGTGCGGGTACTTTGGATGCAGTTCCATCGCGTCACGTTAATTACCAAAACCACGCGAAAAGGGCTAAATTAGTAACCTGGCTACGTAATCCGGACCGTCGGTTTTTTTGGCGCGAACAATGTCGACGACCAACGACATTCCCGAGCTGCCGGCGCCAAAAGAAATCACATGGGACACGTTAGCGGCGCCTGATTTCGAGGTCGAGTCTTTTCTGAACGAGCATGCCCAGTTTCAGACGCTGAGCGAGATGAGACGTAGCATCATGAACTGGGAGCTGAAGCTGCACAAGGAGCTGGTGGATACGGTGAACGAGAACTATCCCGAGTTCCTGGGGTCTGCTGAATCGCTGGACGAAACGCTCACTCACCTGGAAGCCGTCAGGCTCGAGGTGCTCAAGTTCCGGTCAGACACAGTGCGCACACAGACGGATTTATCGACTGTGGTGCGGGAACTCGAGCAGTCTATCAGAAGAAAGCGGAAATTGGCACAAGACGAACTGCAGGTCCGGCAAATATTGCGGTACCTGGACACCTTGGATATTCTTGACGAGCAGCTGTGTCGGCCCCTCGGCGAGCTGGACGTGGACGACTACGAGGAATGGAGCAAAATGTACGTTTCTGCCGTACAATTACAGAAGCGGCACCTGGATTCGCGGCTGGTTCAGAATTCGGCCAAGCGATTGCATTCTGTTAGAGACGGACTGCTGGCGGTCTACAGCGACATTGAGTGTGACGACAAATTCCGACTGGCTCAGGCGAAAAGTTGGATTCTGCATAACTAGATAATTAAAAAGTAGCGCGCTACGCTAACTCTTAAGCCTAATTATTCGTCTAATTGTTGACAACGTCCCTCACTGCCCCCCCGGGCTTACAAGAGCCTGCTTACACATATATTTTTTTTTCAGACCTAATTTTTTTCATGGTTGACTCGTTTTTTGTCAATCCGGCCAAGAGGGCCAAAAAGAGAAGGTCCACAAGAGAGAGCTCGTTAGCGCCGACGAAGAAAGCCAGCCGGAGCGCTGAAGCCGACGAGGAGATCACGAGCGACAGCGATTTGAGCGAAATTAGCCAGGACGAAGACGAGAGCTTCAGCTCGGAATCAGACCACGAAACTGCAGCAGACAAACGCAGAAAGCTGGCCAAAGAGTACTTGGATAATTTGCAAACCGAACTTCAGGATGAGCATGCATTTGATGCCCAAGATCTGGACAGAGAGATTATTTCGCGACGACTCAAGCAAGACGTTGCCGAGAACCAGGGCCGGTTGTTTCGGTTTTTGGACAATTCAGCCGTTTCCCGAGCATTCAAGAGCCGCACCAAGGCAAAATATCTTACTTCCGTGGCCGCGTGCTGGCCCTATGCGTTCTCGGTGTCTAAAAGTGCAGAGCTGCAACGCTGGCGGCTTTCCCTGGACCAGCCCCCGGTGCTCGAGGACACGGTTAAAGCGAGCAATCATAAAAAGAAAGGAAACGAAAAGTATCTTGGCCACACTGGCGAGATCCTGTGCATCGCCGTCTCGCCTAATGGCCATCATGTTGTTACGGGCGGACGAGACCACCGCATTGTCGTGTGGAGCTCGCGCACGTTAATGCCCATCAAAGTCTTTGATACCCGTGACCGCCACGGTACAGTGCTGAACATGGTTTTTCGTCGAGGAAGCACCCAGCTGTATGTTGCATGTGCCGACCTCCGGGTGCGTACCTATGATTTGGAGCAAATGGCCCAGGTCGAGATCTTGTACGGCCACCAGGACGAAGTTGTGGACATTGCGGCCCTGGCCGAAGAGAGATGCATAAGCGTGGGGTCGCGAGACCGGTCTGCGATCGTGTGGAAAATCCCCGAAGAGTCCAGACTGACGTTTAGGGGCGGAGACCAGAGCCGGGCCCGCGAGCTGGACGTTCTCGAAGGCAGCATCGATGTGTGCAGCATGCTGGACAACCAGCTGTTTGTCACCGGCAGCGACAACGGCAACATTTCGCTGTGGTCGCTGGCCAAGAAGAAACCGCTGCATATTTATCGCCATGGCCACGGCCACGACCCGCAGCTGACCGCCGCCCAGGCATCTGGCGAGGCCAATGCCTCAGATGTGGAGATCCCGCCCGCCAACCCCCGCTACATCACAGCACTGGCTGCTATTCCCTACAGCAATGTATTTTTCACGGGGTCGTGGGACGGCACCGTCAAGATGTGGAAACTAAGCGAGGACCAGCGACACATTGAGTTTGTGCGCGAAATCGCCGTCGGCGCTGGCGTCGTGGTGCGATTGTCTGTGGCCGAGCAGGACGCTAAACCCAACCGATTTGTGCTGGTGGCTGCGCTGTCCCGCGAGCATCGTCTCGGCCGGTGGCTCACGCGGCCCGGACACGATGCGGTGGTTTCGTTCAGCGTGTAGAATTAAGTTGATAGGCAACTACATAGTTTAAGGAAGGATTCACTGTCTTAGAGAAGGAACGCGGCGGCAGCGACAGCAGCGAGACCCAGGTTGGCGACGGCCAGGGGCGCGGTGTTTTTGTGGGAAACGGTGCTGGTGGCGGAAGCAGAGGACTCGGCAGCACTGGAGGTAGGGACAGCAGTGGTGGTCGTGGTGACCTCTACGGAGGAAGTCGACGCGGTCACAACCACCGAGGTCGAGGTGTTGACGGAGGTGGTCGTATTGGGGTACACGGGGGTCGAGGTATTGGTGTACACAGTGGTCGTGTTGGGCGCAGCAGAGCTGGTAGTCGTGTTGGTGGAGTTGGTCGTGTTGTAGAAGGGCACGGTGGGGACGGCCGACGACACAACGGTGGTTGAGTTGGACGCGACCGAGCTGCTTGCCACGGCAGAGGAGCTGGGCTCGACAGAAGAGCTGGGCTCAACAGAGCTGCTGGGCTCGATGGAGGAGCTGGGCGCGGCGGAAGACGAGCTGGACGGGTCGTTGGCGATAGCCTGCAGAATAGGCGCCTGGGTAATGGTGGCCGCAGTAGTGTAGGTACTGGTCTGGTCGGTGACAGTGATGTACTCGACAATAGTACGGTAAACGATGGTGGTGGGCTCAGCCAGAACAGGCTTGACAGCCGCGACGGCGAGGGCGGCAAGGGCGAATTTCATTGCAGTGACGTTAATGAAAGGCAGAGGGAGCGTGTAGTTTGCAAAGCGGGTTTAAAAAGAAGGAATCGCAAAGAGCTTTACTAGACGCGCAACCGGGGTGATGGTAGTTACAGTGATCAGTTGTTGGTTTTTTTTTTAGGGGCAGCTGACCAAATGTACCGTGCGTCAAACAGTTTACGTTACCTGCAGGGCGCGATGTAATCAAATCTGTATTGCAATTACCCAATGGGGTAAAGTAAACAGCAACGTGACTAATAAATAGCACTGTAGCTAGTCAGACAGTGCATATCGTGACTACAGGCATGTTTTGCTTTGCAGCGAACCGCTGCACTATGCATCTAATAATTAAGCACAAACTGAGCTGTAAAAAGGCAGCAAGTGAAACATGCGCAGGCGGGTGCGGGCTAAAGGGTGATGTTTTTCATCGTGCTTCCACTGCCGCCGCTAAAGTTCAGTCTAGTCTTTTGTAGTGGCCACCACAGAGTACATTCCTGATTTTTCACGTCCAGGGGCATGCAGCATTCCTTGGAACTTGCGCTCATTCCGAGGTTTCGTTTGATGGGACCCAGCTACTAGTGCGGACGCAACGATCCCTGTAAATAACCGGCCAGATCCTGGTCTAGCCAGCACTTTTCACCAAAAAGGATCGGATCGATCCAGAGACGGGACCCCCCGCCCTGAAAAAAACCCTGATCCAGCCCTAGCCCATCTCTCGTGAGATATTTGCCTCGAGCGCTTCTGCTCATCTAATGACCAAGCACTGACATCAGCAGGGTTAGGGGAACATGGGCCTGGGAGGGCGAACGAGAGCGCTCAATAATTTTTTCTTGCTTTATCAGCGTGGACCCACCACTCACCAAGAGCAACTATATGCCCTCCAGCGAGTGCCGTACCCTTACCCAGAGGCATATTTCTGCAGCAAGTCGTGGTCCTCCTCACAGCTACTAGTTGACACCAACCTTGCTCTTTTCGATTCACACTACAAAATTGTCTCTCGATAGCGTTTGGTTGCATGACAGATTACAAAACCCGAGAGCACGAGCGTCTTGTCGAAGACAAGAACCGCACCAAGTACTGGAAGAAATGGGGGCCCTACCTGTCTGAGCGGCAGTGGGCCACTGTTCGTGAGGACTATTCGGCTGATGGCGACGCCTGGTCGTACTTCCCGCACGAACACGCCCGATCCCGCGCTTACCGTTGGGGTGAGGACGGCATTGCCGGCGTTTCCGACAGCCACGCTCGCCAATGCATTTCGTTTGCGTTTTGGAACGAGCGGGACGGCATCCTCAAGGAGCGCCTGTTTGGTCTCACAGGCCACGAGGGCAACCACGGTGAGGACGTCAAGGAGGAATACTTTTACGTTGACAACACTCCAACCCACTCGTACATGAATTACTTGTACAAGTACCCCCAGCGTGAGTTCCCTTACGAAAAGCTCAAGGTGGAGAACGCCAACCGATCCCGCATGGAGCCCGAGTACGAGTTGCAGCATACCGGCATTTTCGAGGAGAATCGTTACTTTGATATTTTCATTGAGACCGCAAAGGACGATGAGGAGCCCGAGACAATGTACTTCAAGATCACTGCCTACAATCGCGGACCTGAGCCCGCTTCGTTGCACTTGCTGCCCCAGTCATGGTTCCGCAACACTTGGAGCTGGGGTGACCGCAAGGTCTGTGAAGAGGTGCCCAAGTCTAAAGCAATTGCTGATGATGTTGTCGAGACTCACCATAACGAGCTCGGAACTCGCTACTTCCATTTCGAGACCCCCGAGGGCACCGCTCCTCAATTGCTTTTCACCGATAATGTAACAAACAAAACAAAGCTTTACGGTGAAAGTGAGAAGAACGAATCCAAGTATGTCAAGGACGCTTTCCACGAGCATATTGTTGATGCTAAGCCCGACGTCGTCAACCCCGAGCGGGTCGGCACGAAATTCGGCGCTTGGTACGAATTCAAGGATATTCCCGCCGGAGAGGCTGCCATTGCTCGTTTCTCTTTCTCCAAGCACAAGCCCCAGGGCGAGTTCAACAGTGAAGCAGTCGACATGATCTTTGACGACCGCTTGCAGGATGCTGACGATTTCTACTACAGCGTCAGTCCTATGCCTCTTCCTGAGGACGTGCGTATTGTTCAGCGTCAAGCCTTTGCCGGTATGTGCTGGACCAAGCAGTACTTCAACTACGTGTATACGGAGTGGGCAGACGGCGACGACTCTCAGGTGCCTCCTCCACCTCAGCGCCGAGGCATCCGCAACACACAATGGAAGCACTTGTATATCGATGATGTGCTGAGTATGCCAGACAAGTGGGAGTATCCTTTCTTTGCAGTCTGGGACACTGCTTTCCACTGTTTGCCATTGGCTATGATCGATCCCGAATTCGCCAAAAAGCAGCTTGATCTCATGACCCGCGAGTGGTATATGCACCCCAACGGTCAGATCCCAGCTTATGAGTGGAATTATAGCGATGTGAACCCTCCTGTGCATGCTTGGGCCACCTTCCGTGTGTTCAAGATCGAGCGCCGTATGACCGGCAAGGAAGACTTGGACTTTTTGGAGCGCGTCTTCCAGAAGTTGTTGCTCAACTTCACCTGGTGGGTCAACCGTAAAGATCAGCATGGCCGCAACGTGTTCGAGGGTGGCTTCCTTGGTTTGGATAACATTGGTTTGTTCAACCGTTCTGAGCCATTGCCCACCGGTGGTGTTCTTGAGCAGGCCGATGGTACTGGCTGGATGGGTTTCTACGCCCTGCAGATGCTGAACATTGCTTTGGAGTTGTCCAAGAAGCGTCCTGTCTACGAGGATATCGCTTCCAAGTTCTTTGAGCATTTCTTGTTCATTGCCGACGCCATGTCTTATACTGGCAAGAACAACGACCGCTCCCTGTGGTCCGAGGAGGACGGCTTCTACTATGACGTGATTTCCTGGGCCGATAGCTCTGTTGCCCTTCCGGTGCGTTCGCTTGTTGGCTTGATTCCCCTGTTTGCATCGCTGACTCTTGACGCCGACGTTCTGGTGCGTTACCCCAAGTTTGCTCGTCGTGTTGCGTGGTTCATTGAGAACCGTCCCGAAATGTCGGCCCGAAACATTGCTAGTTTGAAGGACCGTGGTACCAAGAACCGTTTGCTACTGTCTTTGGTTAACCGCGATCGTCTCAAGCGCATTCTTGAACGCATGTTGGACCCCAAAGAGTTCTTATCCGATTTCGGCATCCGCTCCATGTCCAAGTACCACAAGGACCACCCTTATTCTTGGGATGTCAATGGCCAGAGGTTTGTTGTTGACTACGTTCCTGGTGATTCCACCTCGGGCATGTTTGGTGGTAACTCCAACTGGCGTGGTCCCATTTGGTTCCCCACGAACTTTTTGCTTGTCGAGTCTCTTCAGCGCTTCTATCTGTTCTATGGTGACGACTTCAAGGTCGAGATTCCCGGCCATTCCGAGCCTCTCAACCTTGCCCACGCCGCTACCGATCTGCAGCATCGTCTGATCCGCTTGTTCTTGCGCGACGAGAAGGAAGGCCGTCGTCCGTATAATGGTGGTGAAGACCTCTTTGACTTTGACCAGCACTTTGATGACCTGGTGCTGTACCACGAGTTCTTCGACCCCGACACCGGCCGCGGACTGGGCACCAAGCACCAGAACGGCTGGACGGGTCTGGTGGCCAAGCTGATTCACGACACCGGCATGTCGATTCACGGAAACCTGGAGCTGGGCAGTGCCAAGGAGGCTGCTAAGGCATTCTTCGATGAGGAGTTCGAGACCAAGCGCGAGGCTCCTCGCTCCCGTCACCACGGCCGCCGCAACAGCCGTATTCCGTTGAGCCGCACCCCGAGCTCCACTAGCACCCACCAGGTTGTCCAGAGCATCGGCAATCTGCTGGAGAAGTACCAGCTCGGCGAGGAGGACCTCGAGGACCTCGAGTCGTCTCAGCGGGTGGATAGCACCGACTAAACGCAGGTTTTTTAGAGTAAATAAATTACGAACAAACATCTTTACCAAAATTTGCTCAAAAGCACAAAGATAATCAGCACTACGAGGATAGCAATGATGGCGTAGGTGATGACTTTGTTTGCGGCCATCCGGCGGGCCATTGAGCGCAGAGTGCGCAGGCTCTTGTCGACGTAGTTGTCTGCTTCGGTGAGAGTGTTGCGGGAGTTGACGATTTGCTCGCGCTGGGCCCGCAGGTCGGTCAGGATGTTGGCGCCCACGGACTCGGTTTCGTTGGCGACCCGTTGGGACTCGCGCAGCCGCTCGCTCGAACGGTCGAGGCTCTCCTGGCCGGCCAACAGCTGCTGGCGCTGGTCGGCACCAACGTCTCGACCGACGCCCTGGGAGGCCACGCCCAGCAGCTCGTTACGGTCCACGTTCTCTCGCAGGCTCTTGATGCGGCGTTTGGCCTTTTCGATATCGCTGCGGTACCCACGCAGTTTGTTGTTGTAGCGAGAGCGCTGGCTCGAGGGGATCGATTGCACCTCGACGGCCATCTGGTCAATGATTTCGTAGGCTTCGTCAATGGCCCGCTGGATCCCGGTGGCGGTTTTGCGCTGTTCGGCGGCCGTCAGGTGCACGAACTCGTCCAGATTCTGACTGATCTCACCGTACGCTAGTTGGAACTCCGTCTCGTAGTTAGAAAACAGCCCATCGTCCGCGTCTTTCAAGGCAATTGACATATTGGCGACTTGCAAGCAGCTGGCAGAAAGGCTGCTGACACATCGGGAACGAATTAGATTAAGCCAATTTGAAACTTGTCGTTCGGTTTTTCAGACGTCTGTGAAGTGGAAAATGCTGCGAACGATTTTAAAGAGCCCGGCTCCCGTGCGGTGTATTCAGTCGAGCTTGTACCGCGGCGCCGTTTTCCGCCCTGCTGCTATGCGGGCCTTTTCTGCATCTGCAATCGCATCTCATGGACATATTCACAAACCAAAACCCGGTGAGGAACTGCACATTACATTCATAACCAAGGACGGTGAGCAGATAAAGGTGGAAGCCGCGCAGGGCGACAATCTGATGGACATTGCTCAGGCACACGGCCTCGACGTTGAGGGGGCCTGTGGCGGCTCTTGTGCGTGCTCGACGTGCCACATGATTATAGACCCGGAATATTACGACGAGATGGAGGAGCCCAGCGATGATGAAAACGACATGCTGGACTTGGCTTTTGGTCTGACCGAGACCTCTCGACTTGGCTGTCAGGTCAAGATGACTCCAGAACTCGATGGAGTCCGAGTGGCTTTACCGGCAATGACTCGCAATCTGCAAGCAAAAGATTTTAATCGTTAGATTTACATAGAATAGCTGGTGCACAAGAGTCTAGGCAATTCTCAGTGATGATCCGTGCTGGTTCGGCAGCCTCGACGGGCTCCTAGACTTGCATCCAGGAGATCTCCGGTCTGCGGGATGCTCCGTGGCCATTTTACACGTTCCATAGCCGACTATCAGCAAGTGTGTTTACTACTAAACTCACCCACTCGTTATAAAAAGCGTCATTGTAATCATTAAATAACTATCCACTGCGGATCATATCCAGGAAAGAGTCCTTCGATGCCGTGGCCACTTCTTGCGACTTTTTGTCGACACCAATGCTGGCAGTCGATGCTAATGTAGAGCTCGCGGCAACCTGGCTGGCCCTCAGCGCATTCATCAGGCGAATCACACCCCGCTGGGCTGTCTTTCTGAACCGCTTCTCCGTCTGCAGCGCCTCTCCCGCAGCATCCGGGTCTGCAGGGATAATATCTTTGACTCGAGCCTTGTCCTGGCTCTGCAATTTCTCCAGCCTCAATTGTTTGCGAGCTTGAGCATCTAATTTGGCACTTTCGATTTCTTTGGCCATGCGCTTGTTTCGGATAAGCACAGGGTTGTCGCGGTCGTGGGCCTTGATCTTGGACCCTAGAATGGCATTCATTGCGTCGTCAAATTTATTAGGCCGTTTCACCGTCTCGCCGTCGCTGGATTCATCGTCGACCTCGTCAAACTCGTCGAACTCATCCTGTGAATCGCCGGCGATCTCGTCCAGGCCCACCTCCGAATCGGTCGAGAATTCGCTCGAGTCGGGCTCAGATTCTGATTCTCTAGTCACTACAGGCTTTTCATCGGCTCCTCGCACCTTTTTAACTGCTGCACGAGCCATGTTTAATGAAAAAAAAAGTTTATTACTAACCGATATCTAATCTTCATCGTATGTACGGTGTGCAGCCTTGACCAGTTTACTGGAAGCTTCAAGTTCTTGGATTGCTTGAGCTCGGAGACTTTCAGCGCTGTCATTGTTGGAATTCTCTGGGAGCAGCAGCGTTTTGAGTTTGTTTTGAGACTTGAGGGCCAGCCACTTGTCCTTGTGGGTCTCCAGAGCCCATCGTTCAATTAGCGCTTTGCGAGTGTCAATCAACGTCCAGTTGTAGAGTGATTCAATCAATGATTCACTGATAGATATGCCATAGGTCTCTGGTGCAGCTTTAAGCACCTCAAAGGCTCTAGTATAGTAGCCGTGATAGCAATTGGCAACAATGTACTGGCGCAGGTTGGACTCGTCAGGAGTGATTCCAAACCTTTCAGGAAACTCGACCCACAAATCATCGACTGCCTCCAACGAGACCTGGGTGAGATACTTTAACATGATAGTGACCGAATAATTGTTGGCCCCTTTGCCTAGCGGGAAGCTCAGGGTCTCAAACCACAGATCACTCACTTTGGGAGACTCTTGTAGGTTCGCATAGGCCAGCAGCATGGTATTCATCAATTCAATGTCCAGATCGTTGTTGAGATCCATGCGAAAGTACGTCTCGAGCTCTTTAACGCCCTCCTCGTATAGCCAGCGGCCATACTCTGCAAATAGCATCAAATACATTTCACGACCCGGTGGCCGAATCCCCTCTTTCTTGGCTCGATTCCGAAGATGCCTAAACATTAGGTGGGCAGCGTCTGGCCGCCCCAACTGGCAAAACTTTACTTGAATCGGATAATACGACTCGTAGGGAAGAGCAATTGTACAGTTCAAAATGCCATAGAGACCCCAGGCTTCTTTATAGTCCGTGCAGGCAAGGATTTTATCTACAAATGCGTGGTAGATTTCCTTGTACTCATGCGCAGAAAGCGAAGGGGTCTCACCAAATTGCTCAGCCAAGAACATCCCAATGTCGTATTGGTTATTACGTTCGAAAAACATTTTCAAAAGCTCGACCTGCGCGGGATACGAAATTTGCTGCGAAAATACCCGCACACGTTGGTAAACATCAAACACGACCTCCCGGTCAATGAATGGCGATTTGCAAAGCGCAATAACCAGCTCAAACAAAACCGGAAGGTACTTGCTACTGTCCATGTTCCAATCGGCGTGCTGATTATTTGCAAAGAGGTTTCGGGCCTTTTCGACCTCAAACGAGCGAAGAGCACGTTTGATCAGGACCGCGATAGTTGCCGCATCACTCTCAATACCCATATCATTGTTAAAGTAGCCAACAATGGAGCTCACATCCAACTCGCTGCGCTTAGCATGCTCACTAGCAACCAAGACAACGCTATGCATAGTGTCGCTATCTGGAGAGTAGCTTGACGCCTGGTATTTTTCAATCAGGTCTTTCAACAATTGTAAGTCTCCAGAGCAATAGACAGTCCACTGCGCCAAAGCGTCCCAGGTGTCTTTGACAAGATTTTGCTCGGAAAACTGCATGATTTTGCTCACCAGCGCGTCTCCGATCTGTTTACTGTCTTCAAAATAAATACAGCTCAGCAATAACAGCTCCAAGTTCTCGAGATTTTCGGGCGACCGCTGCAAAGCGTATTGCAACGCTCGGCGGCCAATATGCTGGAGTCCAAACGACATGAGCGTGTCCAAAATAATAACCAGGGATTCTTGAGACACTTTGTAATGCGGATTCTCGAAAAGGGCATGGTTCACTATCTGTTCAGCAGCACTTTCTCGGCCCGGCCAGTCGCTTTCAGCAAGCACTATCAAGCCCTCTTGCAAAGCACCGTCAAAAAGCTGCTTGGGCGAAACCAAAACAGTGCAAACAGACATAGAGTCCGGCTCTATGTCGCGGATATCTTCAAGTAGTAACTTGATGAGCGCCTCATCAACGGAAGCGTTATTCTGCAGCAAGGCAGCGGCGAGTTTTCGCGACTCGTCCACGAGCCCCTTCTTGCGCAGTGCACGGAAAAAAAGCCGCCCGTTCACAAGCTTGTCGCACGGAGATAAACTTGAGTGCTGGTAGATCTCCATATATATTCTGGTAGTCACGTTACCGCCCTGATCTGTGCCGACGATACTCCTGAACAGTTGCTGCTGCTGGGCGCCAGTCATGGACTTTCCTGCTTTCTCAAACGACTGCTCGATTAATCGCATTAAATGAGCAGGCATGTCGGTCGGTGATTTCTCCACTAGGTCGAGGAGGTTGGATTTTATCGTTCCTTCGTCCTTGTCAACTAGCGAGCCTCGCAGCGTTTGTGCCGCCTGCAGAACCTTTACCGGTACTTCAGACCCGCCCTTGTTCCATTTCGGACCATCCTTTTTAAACAGCTTGTCTAAAACTGCCCGCTGCGGTGCGTAAATGTGCAATGCTCGGCAGATCGGTCTTGACCGCCAAACCAGCATGCTGACTGAAAATTTCATGTGGGATTTGTGGGGAGAGAAATATTAAAGAAATTTATAGATTATAGGGGGGGTTGTGAGCATCCAACAGCTGGCGGACGAACTGCTTGCCCTTGTTTGAGTTTTCGAGCAAATCAATCTCTTGAGCTGTGCGTTTACGTTGAGAGGGCCGGTCCAACGACCACAGGCTTGGCTTGGGCTCGTCCTGAGTCGCATCCGAGGGCTCCAGGTCTGCGCTGGTGGCAGTTTCTTCGTCCTGAAGATAATGTGTGGAGATACGATACAGGGGACCATAGAACTCGCGGAAGCGGCTGGCGTTTTGGGTGAACATTGTTTGCAGGTCCTTTGCGCTGAGCGGATCGGTGGTCGATACTGTTCTGTTACTTGTTAGCGGAACCAATGTGGATAATATAGTCGTCAAGTACTGCTCAACGCCGGCAAGCAACACGTCGGTTACGCCAGCCTCGTAGCCATTAGTGATTCCATGCTCCAGGGCAATACCAAGAACCCGCTCGCTTATGCTGTCATCGTCAGGCAATTCGAAAATCTCGCCGGCCAGCGGCGCCTCGAATCCATGGATAATATCCTGCGTCCATGTCAGCGGTCCGCTGAGACGTCCTGGGTTCAGCGAATTGCCGTCGGCACCCACAACCTCGCTTTCTGGAGGTGGGGTGGAGAATTCGGCTCTGCCGGCCATCTTGCCGCGTGCACCAGTTTTGGGCGGGGTTTCCTGTCCCTTTTGAAGTTTGCCCTTCGGATCACCCTTCTGTAGCGCCTGGCGGGGCATTTGCGGAGACATGGGCGTAGAGCCCGGCTGACTGCGGGCATCTAGCGGTGAGCCGCCGGCCATTGCATTAGGTTGTGATCGCCGGTCTTGAGCGTAGGGCAAGTGCGGTAACATTGCTTGACGCGTGGCAATGAGACACGGTAAAGGCACAGGCACGTTTGGTCGCTTATTGTCGCGAGCAATGTTCTTGATCCGTTTACGCTCACGCGCAGGTAACGCCATGATTTCGCGGTGCAAAAGCTCGGTGGGCGTGTCTACGTTCGCCTTTCTTGTCGTTCCACGAGCCTTCCAGCCGCTCAGACCGCCGTCGTCCCCGGGAGGAGGCTCTCGCAGCGAATTAGCCAAAATGGCTAGCAGCAGGTAGTTGTGCGTTCTCACTTCGAGTGGAGTAAGGAAGCTGCTCAGCACCGCAGTAAGCTCGGGTCTGGTCAGCTTTCCCATCAAAAAATGCGTGATTGCGTCTCTATAGCGGTCCCAGTTCCTGCCGAGTTTACGCTGGAATCTCGTCATGACACTGTCGATGTCAATGCGGTGCGTCTGCCCATTCTTGCTCTGCTTGCTGTTACCATTCGCATCCACGTTCTTGAGCTTCATGTTCTGCAGCTCCGGGTTGTTCGCTCCGCCAGTTAGCAGCGACGGGGCTGCTGCATCCACGACCGTGCCGTTCGGCTTGGCCTCCGCCCCGGCCTCCGTCCCGGGCTCCATCTTGACTTCCTCTGTAGCTTTCCCGTTTTCCTTAAGCTCACTCAGTCCATCGTACCCAGAAACCGCACCATTAGGTGTTTCTGATCCCTCCATCCTGAGGTTAAATCACAAGAGAGGAATTTGTCAGCGCGACCTTGGGAGAACTGTGGGGAGGGTTTTAGAGGGGGAAGCTATGCGAGTTGGGCTATTTTTGCGGAGAAAATCATTTACCTTTGATTTTTACTTGATTCTGGGTTTTCCAGAAGAGTGCCTGCGAGAACTCGGGCGCTTCAATGGTCTTAGTATACAGGTTGCGGACCGCGGCGACGTTTTGTCTCACAAATGCAGCAACCTCGCTTCTTAACTGGCATGCATCGCGGCCGGTTTGGAGCTGTGCGGGAACGTGGTGTTCTTTTGCGTAGGGCTGAGCCAGCTCGGCCCATTTTCCGCGGAACTCGGCGATCTTGGTCTCGTCTATTGGCTCACCAACCTCGTAGAGAAGGGGTCGTTTGAAGCCATGGCCCAGCACTCGTTTAGGCAAGTCTTCGGGAAAAACCGACTGCAGCCCATGGCCGAAAATTGGCAGCACAATGGGCGGCCGGGCGGGCTCCAGAATCAACCGGCTGATGCCCCATTTGAAATACTTCATTGTCATTTCATGTGGAGCAAACGGCTGATGCACAAAGCCTTCGGGATAAATATGGACCCATTGAGGACAGTCAACCTGGGGCGGAATGCCGTCGTGGCTTGTCAAATGGTATCCGGAATCAGATGATCTCGACAACAGAGTGACTGCTGCGTCAAGTGCCGGTTGGAAGGGACCGGCGCCAAACCGTTTAGTGCTCAGCGTCTGGCCCAACGAGAAAAACATCGAGGTGAGCTTGTTTTTGAAGCAGATGTCCTCGGCACCCAATGTCCATCTCATGTACCCCTTTGTGTAGAACATTTTGAATGGCATAGTCCCCCAGACCAAAGGGTCGTCTAAAACAGACACATGGTTCATAACCGTTACGAGGCCCCTGCCTTCACGTTTGCTCTGTTCCAGGGCCTCTTTCAGTATATAGGCGTTTTTTATTGACGCCCGATGCCAGCCTTTGACAAAAAGCTTGGAGGCTGTGCCCACCATAGTTATAGTTGCCATACTGAGAGGCGTCCACCATCTTGAGTCGCGCGGATACTGTAGCAGAACTTCCCTGCCGGATTTCAAAACGCCCCGAAACGACATGCTTCTTGAGGCCCCGTTTGGGTAGTTCTCAGCTAAGCACCTCGGGACTGTCCTCTGGGAAGACGGTTAAGTAAATGGAGAAGTTTTCTAAATTCAGGGACGGTGCGACGGGCGTAGCGCCATTTTTACCAGTAAAGCACACTCAGGCGCCTTCTGCCTTGTCCAAGGTTGTTTTGGCGCCATTAGCTGTAGTTTCCTGGCCCCTGCTTGTTGTATACTTTTTCGCCTACTTCTTGCTGTTCCAGTGGATCCCATTTGTGTCCACGTGGTACTTACAGTTCATTCTCAAATCCTTGAGGCTTTTGTATATCAATTTCAGCTACGAGGGTGAGAAGCGTGTATCTGCACGGCGCTGCCAGCAGTTGAGGGCAAAGCCCGGCGATGTGATTATCTCGAACTTCGTGTCGCCCTTGGATGCGATTGTTTTCGCAGCTAGACAGCCGACAACTTTTGTATTCCCCACGACTGACGGCCAATTTGCAACTGCGGGGGTTCTGGCGGCCGCCAGCCAGGCACTGTCGAGCCAGGCATTTAGTGCCAAAGGAAAGGACATTTCCAGCATTGCGAGCAAGGCCAAGTCTCAGGGCACGGTCATTGTGCTGTTTGTTGAAGGGACAGCATCCAATGGCCGCGGTCTGTTGACGTTGAAAGATGTGAACGTTACACAATTCAATGAGGCGAAGTCTCCGCTAAATGTCTTCCCGGCTGCCGTGCGTTATACCCCCGGAACTGCGGCGAGCCCTCTGCCTCAAACGAGTATGGGGTATTTGTGGCGCTTGCTCAATGAGTCGTGGTGGTATATGTGCTCAGTGCGTGTTGGCAGTGAGCCGCTGCGTGGGGAGGGTATTACCGCTGAGTCGATGACTCGAGCAATTTGCACTGTCGGCCGACTCCGCCAGCTTGGAGATGAGCTGGATTTAGAAGCAAAACAAGAGTTTCTCAAGGCTTACAAGGAAAAGCGATGACGACCACCACCCAAAAAAAAAAAATTTATTAGAGACCTCCAAAAAAAATATCAACCACCGTCATACGTCACGCAGTAATTGCCAGACCTAATCATGCTGGCTCATGCAGAGCACAGTCCCCTACCGGCAGGGCTGCGTATCGGCCACACGTCGAGTGAAATTTGAGCCTCTGCGTTGAACTCGGACGCTTTTTATCAATAAATATCAATTAGATGAACAATCTCGTACTCTTGAGTAAACGCTTTGTTTCTGGGCATGCTGTCAGGCTGGAATGTACACGCGTTAACGATACGCGTTTCATATATTAGTCCATGGTTGCTCATCGACCAAGAATCATCGCAGGACGATCCGATAGGAATGAACGCGAATATTATTTCGAGTATGTTTATTGCCAATGAATAGATACCTGCAATTCGAGCTATACAGGAAATAGCCAGGGCTGAGCTCATTCCTGTCTCACGCAGCTCACCCTGCATATATAAGTTTGGAAAGGAGAGGAGAGAAACCGGCTGCGAATTACAACTTGCCGTACTAAACTGCATCCAAAATACAGAATAAATCCACTTTTTAAAAAAGTTTTAACAAAGAGATACCACCACCAATACGGACCAACCCCTACCCTTGCTTTGTCTCTCCTGGACAGCAAGAATGTAGTGCTCAAACAGGCAGACCAAGAGAGATGTCGTATACTAAAGTATATAGACAGGATATGTGTATCTATCTGTCTAAAAGTAGCCCAAATTGGATATGTTCGTGGTACATTTTATGCCATAAACCCCGTCCACAAAATCTATGGTATGCACCGCCCTGCAAGGAGTTAATTGGCACTGCACAAGGGGTAGCGCAGGGGAGCATCGATCCCTTATTAAAGCCAGAAATACCCAAACGAACCTCAAGACAGTGTCTGTTCTTCACCAAGAGTTAGCAAGATTTGTTGTATTGGATACACGAATCCCCATCAAAGGACATTGTTAGAGACTTGCCAACCCTGTGTCATTTTCTAGTCTAGTCGATCTAGACGGCCATTTCGTGTTTGAGTCCTCACTCGCTATTCTAATCTTAATACAAAGCTAACTTTCCGGCGCTCCTCGTTCTCTAACGGATCCCCCCACCATTCCTTCTATAATGTCCTCGACCCTCCTTTCCTTTGACCACATCTCTGAGCCAGTCGACCCTCGACAAGCTATCGCCGAGCGGGATCTTTCACGCCGTGTTGCGGCAGATTATCGCACTGAAATCCTTAAACACATGGAAGATATGGATGCTGCTAGTCGCCCGAACCCAGCCATGATTGAAACTCAGCCCGAGATTGACTGGCAAATATGGCCGTTTCTTGTGGATTTCATGATCGATTCGCATGCCCGACTCGATCTGGAGCCCCAAACTTTGTTCATGGCCGTCAATATCCTCAATCGGTACTGTGCATTACGGATCGTTTACCGCAAACACCTTCAGCTGGTGGGATGCACTGCCCTGTGGATTGCTGCAAAATACGAAGACAAGAAAAGCCGAGTCCCGAGCCTGGCAACGCTGAGCAACATGTGCTGCTCCGTGTATCAGCCGATCATGTTTGTACAGATGGAGGGCCATATGCTAAGCACGCTTGACTGGTCGATTTCGCATTGCACCGTCGACAGCTTTCTTTCCATCTGCTTGAGCCATGGTGCCTCTCCTCTGCTCAGCAATCTCACCATGTATCTTGCTGAGCTCACACTTTACATTCGGCCATTCATTGGAGTTGCCCCTCACAAAATCGCTCGCACAATTCATCTTCTGGCATTGCATATTCTTAGCTTCTACCCAAGCCTCTCTTCACCGTCCATGTCCTCGGCCGAGCTCGAGTGTCTGCGGCTGCTTTCCGAGGCAATTGCCTCTCCTTCTCGCACCGTCGCCGACAAATATTCATCGACGCGACGCTATCAAGTTACTCGTCTTGTGAGTTCGTACGTCATGCGGTCTACGGCTCCAGAAAAGATCGAGTCTCATATGGATGGCCAGCCCGTTCAATTCTCGCATCCCAACAGCCAGTTTGTTGACTTTACCTTCCCTCCTACTCCGCCAAAATCAGAAATCAGTATGGCAAGTAGCACGGCAAAGTCAACTCCGTCAAGCTTCTGTTCAGCAGCAACCCCTCCGCGGTTCAGTCTGAACTTTCCAAATGCTTCGGGGTCAACCACTTCGGTGTGCTCAGGGCCTCCGCAGCTACCTTCCGAAGACTCTCCTATTATGACGGACTTTTATAGAGGTGACTACTCCGCTCCAATGTCAGGGGTTATCGACGAGTTGGCTAGACGGGATTCAGATACCTATTCAGGGAACGTGCGCGGGTCGCCGCCCCCTACACCGCTAGTGCCCCCAAAGATGCCGTCTTCTAGGCTTCGCCTAATTTGAAAAAGTTTTATTTGTAAAACAACAAAAATAGTGTATAAATGACATTCCTTCATGCTTCATTATTAATTTAATGGTTAAAGTATGGCGTTGGATTCGCAAATCAACCGAGACCCCCAAACTTTTTAGCCACATAGGACTATCAGTAGTGTCGTTGGAAGATGAGACGAGCGAGTTGGGTAAGGCTGATCCGTGCGAATCTCGAGACCCTCGGATCTGAACCTTGGAAGTTGATAGAATTAGGAGGACCAAGGCGACTAATCCTGAAAACACAACCTGTCTGTTGCTTCTTGTCAGCGTATAGCCGTGTAACTGGTACCTGAATATTTAAACACTGCATCTGAACCCTATTTGCTTGGAAACCAGTTCACTCTAGGCGCTGGATTTTGTCGACAAGTGCTACTGAACGCCCTGTGCAAGCAAATTCTGTTTATTTATTGTCAAAGTGCATATTAGACAAACGAGCAAAAACAGCCCGCCAGCTTCCCGGCCGCTGCCCCCTCACTGTCCAGCAGGAATTGTAACTAAACTAAACTATTCCCCAAGTTAATCAACAGCCAACGTCCAAAAACTCTTGGGCCCTCCACAAACGAGTACCGACGGTCTACCTTCTTTGGCCTTAGTAAGCAAGGCGATCCGGTTTAGGGGAGATTTTATATTAATAGTAATATCCAAGGGGGTTTAATTTTCTAAGCAACATCGACATTTTTACTGTTTCATCTGGACTTTCTCTATGGTTGAGATGAAATTCATTTACGCCAGTCTTGTCGGTATTGTGCTGGCACAAGGTCCTGGTGGTGGTATGGTCGGCCAGGGCCCCGACACCCCAACAGGTGACGTCGCGACTATGGTTGGCACCGACACTTCGTCGGCCGCCCCGATCTTCACCGGATCTTATGGCCCGTGGAATACTGTAGATTATTTGGAAGGCACATGGGTGACCAAGTCGGGAATGGTCGTTACGGGTCCAGGATTCTACGACCCACTTGACGAGCTTATCATCGAGCCGGCACTGCCTGGCATGTCCTATTCCTTCACCAAGGATGGCTACTGGGAGGAGGCTATTTATCAAGTCACCGGCAACGGCACCGACCCTATGTGTGCCACTGCCGCCATTCTTTTCCAGCATGGCACTTACAAGCTGAACACCAACGGCTCGTTGACGCTCGAACCGTTTGGAGTGGACGGCCGCCAGCTGTACAGCGATCCGTGCAACCTGTCTCAGAACCAGTCTGATTTTATTCGCTACGAGCAGGTCGAAAACTACTCCAAGTTCGAGGTCTACATCGACCTGTATCATGGCCGTTATCGTTTGGACCTCTACAAATTCGACGGCTCTCCTATGCCGCCCATGTTTTTGGCCTACAAGCCTCCTCAGATGCTGCCTACAATCACCATGAACCCCACAAACGGCGGCAACCCATTGAATGGACAAAACACCAAAACCGCTGCTTCAAATGACTCTGCTGCGTCCACACAATCGGGCTCTTCCGGCAATACTCGTCGCCGCGTGCGTCGCAGCCTTATAAACCGCTCGCGCACTACAGCAACAAAGATCAAGGTGCAGTCCTCCACCTACAACGTCATTTGGTGGACCGGTGTTGGCATGATGGGCGCTGGCGCAATCGGATGGATCATGTTGCAGTGAATAAGACGGGGAAAAATTATCATGTTCTTTTAATTATTATTCTATGTAGTATCATAGATTGTTTTTGGCACTATAGAGAGAATCCTAGTTTCAGCTTGAGGGCTGGTGGCTTTGCTGGTTCGGACGGGATCACAGGCAGCGTCAACCGGGGGACTACAGTTTTCTTTTCTCTGCGAAGCACGCTGCGGTACTTGACGACAACCAAAAAGTCACGCTTTCGCTTTGCAGCTAGCTTGTAGAGTTTTGGTGTTTTGAGCGTAACAACCATGCTGTTTTTGGCCTCAACAGCCACTCGCAACACCTCAAAGAGTATCTTTTGTTCAAAGACACCCAGCCCGGGGGTGCGCAGTGTTGACCAGATGCTTTTGGCAACGTGCGGATGTTTCGCAATTGTTTCTTGAAGCAAAGGAATCGCAGTGTGGACAGCTCTACGCGCAATACGGTGTTGTCTGTCCACCAAAGGATCATTACTGTCCGGTTTTGCCGGATCGTCTGCACTGAAATACTCCCCATAAACGGCAACCTGGCCTATAGCGGTAGCAACTGCTCGCAAAGTTCCTGTTCGCACTACCATTGACGGATCCTTGACTGCTGCGACCAGCGCATAGCTCAAGATTTCGGGCGTGCGATACCCACCGAGATTCAACAGACTGCTGAAAGCGGCAAGGCGAACTTCTGGAGGGTTTTCAGGCGCACTCAACGACAGCAGCTTGCTGAACTTGGGTTTGCCGTATCCATCTCGAATCAGTGCTTCGGTTTGTGTCAACGCTGTCGTAGTAATGACATGCTTGAACGAGGGCAGCCATCTGTCGAGTCTCTGGCATTTCGAGATTTCAGACGTCACACGCGAGACATAATCTTGGAGTGCCGCATCGTCATAATCTACCACTGTATCCTTGGGGGGTTTCAATGAGTTTACAATAGACGTTATCAGCGTAGAAACATAATAGCTGTCGCTATAGGGGTTTCCTGAATTTTCATTGTATCGCACCAAATCCAGTAAAAACTCGGCAACATCTTTGGGTGCCCTGCCATCTTCTTGAATAGTGGACAAGGCCACTGGGATCGACCTCTGGACAAAATAGTTGGCAAAATCCTGGAAATCATTTGCCTTGGGTACAAGCGATCCAGGGAAACAGTACATCACTTGAAAGGCTCTCATTAGATGGTACTTTCCAATGTATTTCAGCTGCGATACTGCACATGTTGCAACACCAAACGCAGCCAAAATCCGGATGCCATAAAAGTATCGTCGATCCATCAGTGTTCGTAACAGGATACTAGAATGGATAGCATTCGGGGGTTGAGCACTAAAAAACGTGACCGCTTCGTATTGGGCCACTACGTCACGATCTTGTTGAAGTTGCGAGGCATACATATAATCCGGTTGGCCCACAGACATCTTGCAAATCCACTCGAAATCGGAATCGACACGGATCCATTCGAACGCTTCGTTAAACATATACTCTTCATCATCTTGACCCCAATCGCTAAGTTTCCACTCTTCTGTTTCACGATCACCCATTAGCACGTCACCCAAACAATGGATCAACCCACTGCCGTCGTCTTCGAATTCATCCCGATGAGCATTGCCATTTCGATACCGCTGTGTACGCTTCAAACGCTTGTACTTTGTATTGTACTGAATATCCAGTTTCGTGAATCCTTCTTTCAAATCAACAACATGCTCGTAAGGCGTTCCATCAGCTTCGTGGATACGAATGGTCATTGGGCCAGTAAATACATCGGAGGGCTTATATTTCGCCCCTTCAGGTGCCTTGTCAAGATCTCGAAGAGCCTGGGCCAGAAACGTATCGTTTTGCAGAGCTTCCGGCGGTAACTCTCGGCTTTGAACCTGGCCAATACCCATTTCGATAAACATTCGCTTTTTATTAAACCGTTGAGTAACTCTGAAAATAGGATAGCCCGATCCATACACCCACTCCTGGAAAAACTTTGTGAGGCGATGATGAGCTACTCGCTCACACAACTTGATGAAATGCGCGGTGCTGATAGTTGAATGCAAATCGCCGGACATGCTTTGTAAAAAGAGCTTTGGAATAACACGACTTAGACCAAGCGACCTATCTGTTTTGGTCATTCGACGATCTAAGATGTACAAAACCAGCGGTGCCTTGAGCTGTATAAAGCCAAGGTCCGGGTTTGTGATAGGAAATTGAAAGTCAGGACCAGCAAGGGGCGGCATATTAATATCTTGACGGGTGATTTCATCGACATACTTTCGCATCCTGAATCGGTACTCATTATTTCCCATCAACTTGCGCACAAACAAGTGGGTCATGTACATTGCAACTCCCTGAGTGACCCAAATATCGTTCCATGTTTTAGGAACAATGCTTACACCACACCATTGAGCCGCCAGGGCACAAATCAAAGGTTCCACGTTCTGAAACACTGGCTCGATTACATTAGAAGGAAATAAGAAGCCGTCAGATAAAATAGTTAGACCAGCAGCATCGGCTGTAGTCTCAGGCATGTCGCTCACGAAACAAAGCGAATAAGAGGAGTAAGGAAAAGAACCAAAGTCGCGATTGAAGAAATCCATTGCTTTCACAAAAATACCGCAGCAGTGCTTGACCATATCGACGCTCTCCCGTAAAGCGAACACCGAAAAAGGGACACTCGAGGTGCCAGATTCGTCGAGGTCGTCGGTCGATTGGGTCATTGGCGTTTGAACAAATGGTCCAACCGCAAACCCAAGATGATGGGCTGATACAGGATTGAAAAGTTCAAACGAAACAATCTTTTTATGAGAGGCTGTTGGGTCCACGACCTGGGAGGGCGAGTTATTGTTACAAACAGCAAGAATTTCATGTTCTCCTTCTTCATCTTCTTCATTGTCTTCATCTTTCGTATTATCCGTCATCAACCCCCGACGATCAACGTCTTTCAAGGTCTTTGGCACGGACACCTCTATTTCCCACGTGGACAACTCCCACAAGCCGTCAACACACGGCAACCAGCAGCTAGTTGAGGCACCCAAAAGTGCGCTTGTAGTGTATGCATGCCATTTTGATCTGGGCAAAGAGCTATTTTGCCCACCAACAAAGTTGAAACCAGAGTTAGAGCCCGACACCTCGAATGCGACCCGCACAGTCAAAGGTTGATAATTTTGCTCGTCAGAAGCGTGGGAAACGATATAAGTAGACGAAGTATCTTGGTCCAAAATCGAGACATCCTCAGGAACATCAATTAAAAGCTCGCCTGGGACGGTAGCCTGGAAAAGTTGTTTGCGATGCTCATAGAACATGCGATGTTGCTCGGGGATCCAAGAGTTCAGCCGCTCGGGGTTGCTCGCAACCAGATCATTATGTGCGAACGTGGCGTGCTTTCCGTTGATCAAAACGTTCTGGACTACAAGTTGGCGGGCATCGAGTCGGACCTGGTGCAGCTCACGTGTCGTCGGGACAATCGTGAGTTCTGTGTGCCCGATTAGACGTTGCCGGAAAAGATCAACATCAACGCTCACCTTTTGATGGGCTACTCTGAACCCTCGAGATGGCTCGGTCATGGGTTTAACAGAAGTAGGTTGATTACCTCAGCAGACACTTTGTAAGTCTACTACGAATTCGTCTGCTCGAGGTGAGCGCCCCGCCGCACCCGAGTCATATCTGTTTGGGTTAGGGTACCTTCTCCGCGCGAGTTCTAGGAGGGGCAAGAGGCGCGCTCCAGAGCTCTAATGGGCTCGCTCGACACTGTCTGAGCGCTGATTAATCTGGTGGCAACATGCACGAGCAGTGATGCTATCTTGACCCACAGGGCCTAATTAAGTAGCCATTGGCTGGGAAACACATAAAAAACGACAGCCCATAAATTAGCAATTATCAATTAGAGTTTTCCTGCATATTTTGCCAGTATTTATTTAATACCGCTCCCTATCAATGCTCGATGCTCGTTGTTATCAGTTCTCGTATCGGTTTGGGTCGCCCACACCCTTGCCCAGAGCCTTTATTTAAAGCGGCCGCAGGCCTTCCCCAACTACCTCACGTACACCACACCTCAATTTTAGCTTTTATCATTCAATTACAATGGTGAGAGCCGAATACCTCATTGCTGCTCTTCCCCTCGTCAATGCGTTGTATATCCCGCATGCCGGCGAAGAGCTTGCGACTTTTGACGGCCCCCAGCCTAAAGAACTCGATGATGCGAAGCTTCCTTCTCTTGGACGCAAGCCGCACAGAACCCAGGGCCATTCCCAGCGCCGACCGGTCCACATGGGCGGTAAACAGAACAAAGTTGCGCCAGTAAAGGTGCCCACCACTAAGGTCTTCCCGTCGGAGAACGGCAAGGCCGATGTGATTGCTCCTGTGAGTCATGATGGCGAAGATATCACTATCAAGAACAAGTACATTATTGTATTTGACGACTCTGTAACCCCTGCTGATGTTGCTCAACATTTCGGCTGGCTCAACGTTATGCACGCCGAACACATGTCCATGATCGATGCCAAGCATCCTTTGGCCTCCGAGGAGTCCACAGGGTTGCTCAAGACTTTTGATCTGGGTGACACCTTCCGTGGATATAGTGGCTCGTTCTTGCCCGAGACCATTGAAGCCATCCGTGAGTCTCCCATTGTCAAGCATATCGAGCAGGACTCCATCGTTCGCGTTTCCGAGGCTTCCGTCGAAAACGGCGCCCCCTGGGGTCTCGCTCGAGTCTCTCACCGCAAGGCGCTTTCTCTCGGAACCTTCAACAAGTATCTGTATGATGCTGAGGGCGGCGAGGGCGTCACTGCCTACGTTGTTGATACCGGTATCTACATTGACCACGAAGATTTTGAGGGCCGCGCAACCTGGGGTAAGACTATCCCCGTTGGAGACGTTGACAAGGATGCCCACGGTCACGGCTCTCACTGCGCAGGCACCATGGTCGGCAAAAAGTTTGGCGTTGCCAAGAAGGCTAACGTTGTTGCTGTCAAGGTCTTGGGATCGGATGGCTCTGGTACCATGTCTGATGTGATTGGCGGTGTAGAGTATGTTGTCGCTTCGCATAAGAAGGAGCAGGCCTCCAATTCTAAGCACAAGGGTTCTACCGCTAACATGTCGCTTGGTGGTGGCAAGTCTCCTTCCTTGGAGCTCGCTGTCTCTGCTGCTGTCAACCAGGGAGTCCACTTTGCTGTGGCTGCTGGTAATGAAAACCAGGATGCCTGCAATGTGTCTCCCGCTGGTGCCTCTGAGCCTGTCACCGTGGGCGCCACTGATTTGAGCGATGACCGCGCCTATTTCTCCAATTGGGGTAAGTGTGTTGATATTTTCGCTCCCGGTGTCAACGTGCTTTCTGTCGGCACCACTGACCCTACCTCTACGGCTATCATGTCGGGTACTTCTATGGCATCTCCGCATATCGCTGGTTTGCTCAGCTACTTTTTGTCTTTGCAGCCCGACAGTGATTCCGAGTACGCTACTTCTGAGGCAATTACTCCCCGCCAGCTCAAGCAAAACCTGATCTCGTTCGGCACTCCTGGCGTCATTTCTGATCTCGACAGCGACTCTCCTAATGTCCTCGCATACAACGGCGCTGGCAAGGGGCTCTCTGCTCTCTGGTCTGGTAGCAACGACACTACCGAGGAGCTCGATGAGGAGGATGTGTTCACACTGAAGCATATCACCGACCTCCTGCTGGAAGAGCTTGAGGCCTTTGCGGGAAAGACCGGCAACTTGTTCGGTGAGCTTCGTGTCGCTCTTGACGGCACGCACCACTAGTTTCCGTCTTTATTATGTTACTATCCTATATTGTCCTTTGTACGCAATGATCAGATTTTAGAACTACTGTCCGCTGGCCACTTTAGGTGCGGCCTCCGGTCAGGGTAAGGGCCGGAGGACAGCCACCGCGAAAACCGATGGATGGGTTCGGGTTGACACGGACTTATCGCGGACCAGCCACTTTGGGAAATCTTAGCATTGCCCACTCATTTTTTCAATGTCACGAGGTGAAACCGCTCTAGACAGGGTTTTTGTTCAGCCAGAGGCGAGACACACTAAAATCAAGGCTGCCTTCTTCCCGTGGGCAAAGAGAAGAGGCTCCTCGACCCGAAGCGTGCTCTCGCTCGCTGCACCCAGTGATTTGGATGTGGTTCACGACACTGTGTTCCAGCAAGAGCGGTACCCGTTCCGGAGTGTCCCCTACGATGCCACCCATATCAGCAGACCAGCACCGGTCTCCAATCAATGGGATCACTACTTGGATCTGTATCCGTCTCCGACTGATTCCGAAACCAGCTCCCTAGCTTCATACGAAGTGCCCGACGGGTCTGAATACGAGCCTGAAGAACACATGGAAGACGTAGTGGTTCACTTGCCTCTAAAGAAACAATCAAAGTTCCGGAAATATCTCCGTCCGGCGTCGTACTCTGCACCCGCGCCGGTGATCGATGATGCCGCGCCCCCGGCCGAGTCCCAGCAACTTGTTGTTCACCAGCAGCCCAAACCAGTGGCAAAGCGAAAGAAGTTCTTCATTTCCCAGCGCCATGTGTCTGGAAATATCCCACAACCACTCAAACGAGCAGATACCGAAGCATCGCAGGACGATGTACTCAATTCCCCGTTGATCGGGTATATTCGCATGCTCTCGAAACTATCCGTGGTTCTAGAGCCCTTTGAACGTCTAATTGAGATGTTCCCTGACCATAAACTGCTCATCATTGCCCTCGAACTCATGATAGCTATGTGGGTCCTGTATCAGGTCTCAATCGTCATTGAAACAATTGCCCTGGCTGTTCGTGCCTTGTGCATCCCGCTCATTATCGTCGGCCGTGTCTTCGGTTATTTATAGCAAGTACCTACAATTTAAATCTCGTCTCCATCCAATCGTTGGTAATCACATGGCACTACGGTTCCTACCTGGTGATCCAAATAAGGGCTATAGCACAATCGACACGCGCGAGTGGGATGGCATCCGATTGCTAGCGTATTGCTCGGGCAATAACTTGATCATAATCGAGAACGAGACCCACCTTATACAGACCATTTACCTACCGTCGGACGGGCGAGCAGTAGCGATCGATGCGTCAAGTGGTCATATTGCCGTTGCATACGACTCTGTTGTTCATATTTATCAACCAATAAAGTCATTCAATGATCCTGTACGCTGGGAACTGTACTTTGAGATCCTGGAGAATGATTTCGTCGACGCCATTTCCTGGGGAGCTGGTGATCTCCTCGTCGGCAGTGACCGGCTTTCGCTTTGGCGTAATGCTACCAAAACATTGCTTTTGCAAGAAAGAATGCCTCAAAGAATAAGGTTCTGTACGTTTAGCCCGGATGCTCGCCTTATTTGCACGTTTGGTTTGGAAGATTCGCTGCCAAAGATTTGGGAGAGGAACTCCTTCGATTCGGAGAATATAACCCTCGACTTTGACTATATAATGCATCCTGCTGATGTGGTTTCGGCCACATGGCGGGACTCTGAGTCGCCGGAGCTCAATGTTCTCTATACGTTTGCAAAAGATGGTGTTTTGCGCATTTGGGCGCCCACCCAGGCTGGTCCATTTGGACTGTGGTCATCTATCTACTGCGGAGAGGTCTCTCCAGCGGTCGTAAACAACACAAGACTTCCTCCAGATCTACTGGGAGCTGGCCACGATGCATTGACTGATCTAGTGCTCGTTTGGAATGCCAATTCGTTGGCAGCTTATACCATTGACAATGTCGGTGGACTCAGAAGAGACAGGCTGGCCAAAGTAACCACAGTTGTGGAGAATGCCCAACTGAATATTGCACGACTCGAGAACTTTGGATTCGATGCTGGTGAGGCTCAACTGATGGTGGTGGGTGTCGATACTGAAACTAGGGTTCTAGTCCATGAGTTCAGCGGGGGCCTATATTTAATGGCCATTGACAACAAACAACTATCGAGTGCTGTACCTGGTCGATCAATTTCTGCGAGCATTTTATCAAGTTTCACTGGCCATCAAAAATCAATTCAGAAGATAAGCAGAAGTTCTCGCGGAGACCGGTTGTTTTCCCAAAGTCGTTTCTCTGAAAATTGGGTTTGGGAGGCTTTCCCGCTTCGTGACGGTACGACTCTTATCACGAAATCAAAGGTCGATACTTCCCAGGGTCAGATTTTATGGTCGGTTGTTCGGGAAAAAACGCTGTTGGCATTGACAGCCAGGGAACTCACCATGTGGGATATACGGTCCCCCACGGCAAAGCCAGTCGCGTCAATAGATGTCCAAGATGCCGAGAAATGCTTGAACCTGTTTCTTTTACCTTCAAATGGTGCAGAAGATCGGTACATTGGTGTCTTTGCAAAGTATATCCAAAGCTGGCTATACAAAGACGGTGCTTTCGAAGATTGTGGACAATCTGCTCTAGAGGACCTCCAAGGAGAAATTCGCAATGCAGCAAGCATCGACCCCGTACAGGTTTTTGAAACAGATCAACTGGAGAATGGCCTAATTACTATCACTGATTCTAATTGGGTTCAATGTTGGAATGGAGAGCTCCAAGGAAACAAGCTTTTTTTCCATGAATCTTCGCGTTTCAAACTGGAGGGCGAGGACCCAGTTGTTCGTGTCCAAATGTCTACCAATAAAAAGCTAGCTATTGCTCAACGAAAACGGTTACAAGTTTTTGACAGTGTCCATCATATTGTTGACATGGACAACGAGGTCGAAAGCGAAGAAGAAATCCATGACCTAGATTGGACGACGACCTCTACGGAAGACAATCTCTTGGGGGTTGGATTTTCACAAAAAGTTGTTATATACTGCCAGCAACGCTACGATTATTCCAAAGAGCTCGATGCGTGGATGCCCATTCGCGTCATCGACATTAGTGCATACACGACGCACAACATTGGAGACTCTATTTGGTTGAAGGATGGGACGTTTGTTATTGGTGCCGGAAACCAACTATTCATTCAAGACTGTCATGTGGATATGAAAGACCAAACAATGCGGCAGGTTTTGCAAGTCCGCAACACCATCAGTGCGGTTGAATCGGCCTCGACAATCTACGATATATCCGCAGTACTGAATGGTCCGCTTGCTTTGTATCATCCCCAGCTTCTCATTCAAACGATTTACGTGGATCGACTGGATATTGTGTCTGCTGTTTTAGTGAAACTGTTACACCAGCTGAAGTTCGGTGAAGTTGAAAGCCTGCTTGGCTTTGACATGATGGATCTATTACACAAGGACCCATCAGTAGTCGAGAAATTCACAAGTGACGTTGCTGGAGAGCTTGAGGAAATGCTGGCGAAGGTCTCTCTGCCCTATTTGACTCGTCACCAGCAAATCACATTGTTGGGTGTGATTCAAAGCGTCGACATGATTCTCAACAAGTTGGACGGCATTGATGTGTTTGGAATAAAGTTTTTGCTCGGACACCAAATGTTTTTGACCCACAAAAGCAGCCAAGCCGCCATGACCATGCGGGACTTTGTCTGGGCCTGGCTAAGCGAGTCCAAGGCTGTGCTGTTGAACGAGGTTCTGAAACTGGAGACCTTGAGTTGGGAGCTTTTACGAAAAGCAGGTGTGCCCTACTGGGTAGACCATAGTATGTTGGTTGAGATAACCGAAAATCTTGCTCGCCAGATATACTCCACTACGCGCGATCCTGTTTTGACCAGTCTCTACTACCTTGCCTTGCGAAAAAAGACGGTTTTGCAGGGGCTATGGCGGGTTGCCGTAGGACACCCTGAGCAGCAAAAGACTGTCAAGCTGTTGAACCACGACTACACCGAGCCAGCACGAAAGACCACAGCGTTGAAAAATGCCTACGCGCTGCTGTCGAAACGCAGGTACGAGTATGCAGCCGCGTTATTCCTCCTGGGCGATTCGGTCGAGAATGCCTGCGGTGTAATAGTACGTCACATGAAGGACCCTGCGCTGGCGGTTTTGGTTGCCAGGGTTTACAGCGGCGATAATGGTGATGGCATGGTGAGCTTGGTTGAGAAACACCTTCTGTCAGGATCTGAAGAGACAAACGACCGATGGACCGCTGCCTGGGCCTATCACATAATTGGCCAGAAAGTAGAGGCTGTCAAAAGCTCGATGTTTGTTGATCTTGTTGCCGAGCCCACCAAGGTCGTTCGCCAAATGGAAGACCCGGTCCTGACGGTTCTTTACCGGAGCATATGCGGCAACACCCCGGTTCCTACTCGATCCGAGCTGGAGTTCTTGAAAAAGGCAGCATTTATTTATACTCGCATGGGCTGTGAGCTTGTGGCGGCAAACATGATGTGCTACTGGACGTTCCAGCGCGCGGCCAGCCCCGAGCCCACCCCGGGCGCTGAGACACAAGCAATTGCCCCGCCAGAGCCCGAACCAGAGGCAAAACAGCCTCCACCGCAAGCAATGGCGGCCGAGCCCGACATGAGTGCGTTTGATTTTGGGTTCTAAATATATATAAATTAACCAAAGTGGATGTTTTCTTTCTTGAGGGTCGAGAAATCGAGCTCCGGATGCATCTTCTTGAACTTGTCTAGTTGATTGAGCTTTTGCATCTCGTCCGAGGTTGGCAGGCCCCGCATTTGCTGTTGCTGGTCGTACATCATCTTCTCGACGTTGGCCCGGGTCTCCTGATCCAGATCACTGAGCCGCGAGTTTTCAGGCTGGATCTTTTTAATATCAATCTCCGGATCGCCAACCAGCACATGCGGCCACCACTCGGCCTTGGTTTTTTCCAGGGTGATCACCAACTCCTTTTGATCGACAACCGACCAGCTGCTTTCGTCAACAGCGATCGGTGCGTACAGCTTGCCGTCGGCGAGCACGCCGTTGGGGGTGCGGACTGCGAGCGTGTCTCTCTCAATTGAGATGTCCAGCGTTTTGGCTCGCGTGCCCTCCTCTAACGGAGCGTACACCGTGACGTCTTGTAGCGTTTGTTTGAATGTGTATTTCGGCTGCGACATCGAAATGTGATGTAATACGGATGATGCGGCTCAGATTCAAAAATAACCTGGTAGATAATTTGCACAAATAGTGCCGTGTACGGGGCAGGATTCGAGCTCAATTGACTCCTTTTCCGTTTCCTGCACAATCACCGGCGGCAGCCCTGTTTCCGCCCCAGTCTCCTCCCCCATCTGCCGTTGGGGGCTAAGACCCGCCGCAGCCCCTTGAAGTTACTAAGGTTGGCATCAGAAACCCAGGCAGCCAACATCGCATTAGCTGCGTCTTTAGACTTTGTTAGACCGTTTCCGCTGCACCTAGCCCGCCCGATCGGTTCAGAAGCAGTTGCGGCAACAAATGAACTACAGTAGTTCGAATATCCTGCCGCCTCAGCCTGGTGTTGGCGAGTCTCCAGCTGGCGACTTTCCGCCGACCGCCCCGTATGACGCCCAGGGCCCAGCAACCAGTGGGCTCTACCGCCCCAGCACAAACGCCTACCAGGTGGGCTCAACATATTATAACGTTACCCCCAGTGCTCAAGAGCAGGGCACGCCGCATAGATATTCCATGCCCATGTCGAGTTCGGGTGCGACCACGCCGGTCCGCAGCCAGGTGCGTTCGTGGTACGGTGGCTACAACGGTGCCGAGTTGTCGACGACAAATCCTGCGTATCCGTCGAGTCCACAGACGCCTTCCAGGCGCCCCAAAGCACGGCATGAATACTGGACGTCGCCCAGCCGCGAGCCTTCGCGTCAAATCGGACAATCCCAGTACATGTTTCCGCCCGGAAGCATTCCCCCACTGAACTCATCACGCAATTTGCAGCCGCCACTTGCTCACAGCTCCACGTCTCCTCTAGATCAAGCAAATTATGGGTCGCTGGCAGCCCGTATTCCTATGCATCAACAACTGCCGCCCCAACAGCAGCAGCAGAACATCAAGGTAGACTCTCAAGGAAGGTCTCTCTCTCAATCGAGTCTGTACGAGGCGCAGGTGTACCCTCCGGAATATGGCCAGATGTATCCGCAGCAAGCGTTTCAGCCACCACTTCCCCCGCAAGCTGTACGGCCAGTAATGAACCCCATTACGGACAAAAACCAGCTTATGCCGGTTCCAATGCCGGTACCAAAATATAGAAGAGCTTTGCCGGAAGGCGGCTTTGTGAGTCCGCTAATGGCCGTGACGACCTACCTCACGTCCACTTATCACATTTGCGACCCCAACTTCAATTACAGTCTGTCTCGCAATCCACGACGTATTCTCACAGAGCCACGTGAGGGCAAGCTGAACAATGGCTTTGACAACGAGGAAAGTGACTATATTTTGTGGGTCAACGATATCCTGGGCACCGATGACAACCGGCGGTATCTTGTGTTGAATGTGCTTGGAAAAGGCACGTTTGGCCAAGTCGTTAAATGTCAGAACATGCTCACAAAAGAGGTTGTGGCCGTCAAGGTGATCAAGAACAAACCCGCGTACCTGAACCAGAGCATGATGGAAGTATCCATTCTCGAACACATTCAAACGCATGTCGACAAGGACGATCGACACAATCTTCTTAGACTGAAGGACAAATTTGTCCACAAAGAGCATCTGTGTCTGGTTTTCGAGCTCCTGAGCTCCAATTTGTACGAGGTCATTCGCAAAAACCAGTTCCACGGTCTTAGCATTTCGCTGGTCAGGACGTTTGCCACCCAGCTATTAGACTCTCTGAGCGTTCTCAAAAATGCTCGTCTTATTCACTGTGACTTGAAACCAGAAAACATTCTGCTCAAGCGCAGCGATTCCACGACTATCAAAATCATCGACTTTGGCTCGGCGTGCCACGAGCGCCAGACCGTTTATACTTATATCCAATCGCGGTTCTACAGATCCCCCGAAGTGATTCTGGGGCTTCCTTATACATCCTCGATTGACATGTGGTCTTTAGGATGCATCATTGCCGAACTCTTTCTGGGACTGCCCATTTTCCCGGGCACGTCCGAATATAACCAGTGGAGTCGTATTGTAGACAGCCTAGGGCTCCCGCCCAACTGGATGATAGAAATGGGAAAGAACAGTGACAACTTTGTCAAAAAATACATTGATGAACACGGTCAAAAACGATTCCGTCTCCGAACCCGCAAAGAACAAACCCAGGAGTTTGGCGGAGAAGAGAAACCCAGCAAACAGTATTTCAGCTCAACCGACATTCGACAAACCATCATGACCTACCCGCTTCCGTCGAACGATATGAGCAAAGAGGATATCGCGGCCGAGATGGAACAGCGAGAGGCGCTGGCTGATTTCATCAAGGGTCTGCTCAACTTCAACCCATTCGAGCGATGGACTCCACAACAAGCTATTCGCCATCCATTTATTACCGGCTGTCATTTCACGCAGCCTTACATTCCAGGTCCTCCTCGTAGTGAGGAAAAGCAGCTTCAGGGGTTCCCCGAATACGACTCTGTTCCTGCAGCCGTTCCGCCCCAGCAGCCCACCATGGCGGACCCCTACTCACTTTCACAAAAGCAGCAGCGGATTCCACCGTTGCAGACGCAGCAATACCAAAGGAAGCCGGCGCGGGCTCGAGCCGCGACGATTGGCCAGCCTGATCCGGTTCCCGGACCCATACAGCGTGCAGCAGCCATGGTGAACCCAGCCAATGCAATCCACGCACAAGCCAGCCCGGCATACGTGCCGCCACCAGAGATATATAAAAACCAGCCCTTTTCATAGGTGTCTTTTTTTATTCTATTAACATTTACCTGCATTTCTATATAAAGCTGCCAAGCCGGTTTTCTTTTCTCCGGATTACTCAACTTCATGGGCCCTTTGATCTACTCTGCCGTGTTTGATGGCAGCAAAGTACTGGCCGAATACGAGGCCCAGACCGGTCCCGGGCGGAAACTTGGGATTGCAATAGCGTCCAAAGCCTCTCCAGGGACGCAGATGAGCTACACTGCCGGATCTCTGTCGGGGCACTACCTGGCCCGTAGCGACAATGCAGTGTTTGTTGCTGTATGTGACCAGACAGTACCTCGGCGGGTTCCGTTCGCGTTGCTGCAAAAGCTGGACAGCGCCATTCCGAATCTTGCTGATGCCAACATCTTCAAGTTCTTGCAAGAGACCTGCGAGGGCCTGGATGGGTCCGATGGACTGCAATTGGCGAGACAGGAAATCGACCAGGTGCGGAACGTGGTTGTCGAAAACATTGACCATCTCATGGAGCGCGGAGAGCGGTTGTCGCTGCTAGTTGACCGTACAAACGATATGAACTCTAACGCTGAGCTGTTTAGACGGCGAACCCACGCGGTCAGCCGCAAGTTCTGGTGGCAAAACGCGAGGATGGCCACGATTGCCCTCGCCACGATCGGCGGTGTTCTATTTTTCCTGTACGAACTATTCCGCGTGTAGCACACTATTTATTAGATGCATGTGACGATGCATGATGTCGCGGGGTACGGGTTTCTTCTCCACCTGCCCCGGAGTATAAAATTCCCGGATTGCCCAAACTATCACCAGTCCTTGGAAAATCGCGGGTATGAAAGAAACAATCGCTTTGAAATCCGGCAGCTTGACTTTTACGGCGCTTTCGAACCGTCCCCAGAACGAAGCCGGCGTGAAGAAATTCAGCCATCTCTTGCTGCTCCTACATGGCTTCCCGGACACCAACGCTACCTGGACCGAGTCCTGGGAAGGGTGGAACGCAGCATTTCCCCAGGCACTGATTGTTGCGCCGGTGATGCCGGGGTATGAGCGGAGCACTTGCTCCAAAATGGATTCTGACTTTTCGCAAACAAAAATTGCTGGTCACGTTAGCCAATTCATCAACCAGCTTAGCAAAGGCGCAGATGTGTACCTCATTGGACACGACTGGGGTGCGATTGCGGCCTTCAAGACGGCGCAATTGTATCCGGACCTCGTAACCAAGGTCGTGGCGCTGGCCATTCCCTACCTTGCCAACATCCCGCTGTGGAAACTTGCAGTCAAGTTCCCGGAACAAGCCTACATGTCGAGCTACATGCTCACCATGCAAGTGCCTCGCCTTTATCGCCCAAAGTTCGAACAGAAGAACGACAAGGGCCAGTCCCAGTACCTGCGACTTTTGTGGGAGTTCTGGTCGCCCAATTGGCAGTTCTCGGACGACCAGATCCAGCATGTCTCAGACACCCTTAGCCAGCCCGACGTCCTCGACTCCACGACCGCTTACTACCGCCAAATGTTCCGCGATGTACTCAGGCACCCCCTCAGCTACAAGTGGACGGTTGACCAGGACAAGACCCCCATGCTACTCATTGGTGGTTCAACAGACGGCTGCATGACCGTCAATCTGTTTGAGGAACAGGCGAGCTTGCTGGGCAAAGATCGCGTCGTTATCATCAATGGTGCCGGTCACTTTATGCAGCGTGAGAACCCCGACGAGGTCGTCAAGAACGCCGTTGCTTTCCTCAATGCAACCCCGTAATCACCTCAATCTCCTAGTTAAATATTGCTTTCTTTGTAGCTTTTGTGTCTAAAGTGATTTTCCCATCTTACGTCACCGCCGCCATTTGCCCTCTCCTTCCATAGCGTCACCATGATTGAGGGCTTCAAACTACAAGCATGTCTTGTGGGCATTATTGCCCTCGTGCTACTTGCTATTGCTTCTATTATTGTGAAGGCACACAGCATAGTCCGGTTTGGTTCTGGGCTCGGCTCCACCGAGGTGCTGCGGAGGATGTGGTCCAAGTCCGATCTGGTGCTGTTCCAGCCGGTGCGACACATCGAGCTTCTCACGCTGCTCGCCTCTCTGGGGCTATTTTTTGCCCTCCGCGAGTTTATTGTCGCCGTGTTGCAGCTTGCGGGCCTTTTGCATCACCGCTACAGCCCTGCTCAGGATATTATTTTCGCGCTATGCGCGATCGTGGCCTCTCCATTCGGCCTAACTGTGTATAGCTTTGGGGGCGGGCGGAAACTCACCGTGGCCACTGTGTCTATGACCTTTTTATTTGTCGGCGCCGGGGCAGCCAGGTTTGTAGACGCTCTTCTTGTCGAGGAACACATCAACGCTTTCCGCGTGTTGGTCTTCTGCGTGCTCTGTCCTGGAGGCGTCATTGCGGCCTGTTTACGCGTTAAATCGCAGCTCAACACCCGGGAAAATGCCGTGGCGATGGTGCAAACATCGTCGCCCAGACCCACTATGATTTACCTTTGGAGCGTGACGGTTTTGACTGCATGCCGGCTTGCTCACTCGGGAACCTTGTTTTTTGCCGGTGGTCCTGGAGATCACAAGGGCCTGGACCTGCACTATTTGTCCCGCGTAGCCGCCCAGCTCTCGGATATTCTCTTACTCATGGCCAGTGCTCTCGTAGCAATTGCAGTGGCCAACAACCGCATCATGAACGGGAACTATTCTTGGCAATGGCCCAGCTTCCTCGTTCCTGCCCTGTGTGTCCTGCCCAGCGAGGCTGTCATTACGCTAATTATTTTCAATCGGCACAACGACTACTTTACCATTTGGCATCTCGTACGAAACACCATCAAAGTCGGTGCTACAGGATTCGTGGGTTCTGTCGCCTATTTGGGGGTTGTAGCAAAATACGCCAAAGCCGCTTTGGATCCGGGTGCCGACGGCCAAAGCGAGCTTCTTGAAATTGACGATGATGAAGACTCGGCATCCGAGTTCGAAGTCTAACTATTTATCTACGCATTCTATCACCTATCTATGACTTTCTATACCAAAAGACATTGATCAAGCTTTAATCAAAAAAAAAAAAAAAAAGAACTACAGGCATCTTATTGGCAGCGTCTGCCCGACGAAACTTAGTAACCAGCAATGCTCGCGCCACGTCAAGATAGCGTTGATATGGTGGAACCGTCCATGCTGGTATTGGTTCTCTCGCTTCTAATTGAGCTGGGTATGATTGGAAGTCTACTATTTACTCTCTATTACACCGTGCATTACCGCTCCGGCCTACAGGAGCCCGACAAAGTCCATCGCATTTGGAGTCGCATCAGCGAGATTCGCCTCCAGCCTATCCCGAAGCCGCTGCTGTTTTCGTCAATTATCTCATATGGATCCAATTCCGTGTTTACAATTGTGCTTGCATTTCTTCCTGTTCTTCTCAATTTTCACTTTGCCAGCCACGGCATGATCTCCGTGCTGTTCTTGCTCATCATTACCGTTGGGTCTTGTGCACTGGCAATTGTTACCTATCTGGTGGGTGGCGGCAGCAATTGGAAGACAGCTGTCTGGGGGTCTTCCGGACTGCATCTGGCAATGTACTTTTACTACATTTTCTTTGCCGACGCGGTCAGCCAGGTGCTTGAGGAGAGCCATCGCAAGAACATTCCCATGACGAAGAACGCTGCCATCGTCACGCTATATGTTGTGATTCCGATCTGTACGGTAGCGATGCAATTTCTCTTAAGCTGCTGGGTGGCCTACTTGAATATGCCCTCCACTGCCCGCAAGATCTACAACAACACTGTTGTTCCTAATTGGGTCAAACTTGACAGATCAATCATGATCGCAACTGTGCCACTGTTTGTTGTTCATCTCGCGGGCCTGTTGATCCAGTCGTTCGTTGGTTACGGCTTTTACCTGTCCCGCGTGGTCTACTATTTGGCCACGCTCATGATGCTTGCCGTCTCGGGCCTGGTGTCTATCATTTCGGTCAACAGGGCACTACTTGCAAATGAGTTCGAGTGGCAGTGGCGGGCGTTTTTGACCCCGGCTATCCCCCTTGGCTGCATGGACGTCGTCCTGGCCCTGATCTTGACGATTCTCGGTAAGAACGAGAGCTTTTTCCTGTCGCTTCTGCAGTGTATTCGCCTCTTCTTTGGCTACGGAACATGCGGCGCTTTGGCTGCCTATGTTTATTTGCTCGTGGCCGAGAAGTACGCCCAGACGTACGTTGACGAAGACGTTGCTGCTCAGACCGACTTGCTCGGCGAGTTTGCCGATGATGATGATAACGAAGAGCTCGAAGTTTGATTTATACTAAAATAAAGAGGTTAAAAACCAAAAGTGGTGTAAATGTACTGCCCCGATTTAATAGAAATAAAATCCTGCTGAAAGATTTGTCATTTAACTCTGCCAAAAAAAATGGTCAAACCGTCGCTCACTGGAGTGGTTATTTCGCAAGGAAAAATGGCCAAGACGGTCAAGGTTCGCATTCAAAAGCTGCGTTGGAACAGTGTGGTTTCCAAGTACGTGGTGGATCACAAAAACATGCTGGTGCACGACGAGCTAGACAAGTGTCGCGAGGGTGACGTCGTTAGAGTGCAGTATGTGCGCCCGCTCTCCGCACGCAAGTCCTGGGCAGTTGCTGAAATCATGAAGCTGAAGGGTACCTCTTGGCAAAAGTACCAGGAGGTCATCCCTGAGCAAGTTCGCGAGGACGAGCTGCAAAAGCTCAAGCAGTTCCGGGACGCCAGGCTGCAGAGAGAGAAGCTCGACGGCCAGGATCCCGTTGTTGCTGAGCTCCGGCTGCTGGAGCAGTCGCTTAACGGTGCCGAGTCTGGCCTGAGCGCAGAAAAGGTCCAGGAGCTCAAGGCAAAGTACAATCTGGAAGCATGGCCGCCCGCCCACGAGGTCGTCCGCCTCGACCTGGCCGAGCTTGAAGAACAAACTGAGACCCTGCACAGTGAGATCCAAGGAACTCAAAAGTACACTGACGAAGCCCGCAGGCTGCTGGCAGAGTCGCCGGCCGAGGCAGACGAGATCATCAAGTCTCTCGGCAAGGACCCTTCGGTGCTCAAAGCCGGCATCAAGCGTAATATCATCGCAAAGCATTTGCGTAAATCAGCGTAATTTGTATATATGTATAGTCAAAACCATGTTTGAGTCTACCATCTGTCAGCATGTCGGCTTGGGCTAGAGAAGAAACGACGTTGGATGTTGACGCGATAATCGATGATGAGACGATGTCTGAGGAGCAGAGAGAAGAGAAATTGGAGCACTTGCTCATAGAGTTTTCGCAGAATGGACAGTCAGAGAAAGTACACGAACTTCTGGGTAACGACAGAGCAAGGCAGATGCTGGATATTGAGGCTAAAGATACTGCTGGCAGTACCGCGCTTATTTACGCAAGTTGCTACGGAAATGAGAGTGTTGTCACTGAGCTTTTACGCTACGGCGCCAATCCTGATTCGCAGGATCGAAACGAATGGACCTCCCTCATGTGGGCCGTTAACAACCACCATCTGAGCATTGTCCAGCATTTGCTGGAAAATGGCGCGGATGTTAATATAAAAACGTCCACCGGTCGTAGTGCTGTGGACATCTGCTCGCCGGGGGATTTGATCCACTCTTATCTGCTCTCCAATGGCCATATCACAGAGGCGGAGCCAGACGATTTCTACAAACAAGCAGAAAATCCTGCCGAATATGAGGAGGAATTCGAGCGCAAAGTCGAAGAGTCTACTTTGGCCCTAGGGCTAAATGTGGCAAATCTGTCTCTTGACAAAAACGACGCTCCGTTCGGTGGCCATTCATGGGCCCCCGAGATCGAAGTGGACTTTGACTGGGACCATTATTTACCGGAGCAGTCCTTTGTCGTCGATGCTGAGCATATTTCAAAATTCCTGGACCTAGTTATCACTCGCGTCCACCCGACCTTGCAAAAGAAGCAGGCGCCAGTTTCTGCAAACGCCCTGTTTTTGGCTATACGCTTTTATGTCTACAACGGTCCTTCTGATGCATTGACGAGTTTGCTGTATCCTATTTCGCGCCGTATTATGACGGTTGTAGAGCAAAATGCTACCGACTTGACGTATTTATGCTACTGGCTAGCGAATACATCCATTCTGGCTTATTACATGCAAAGAGACAGCAAGGTCAATGAGGAAACGGCCGGAGATTTCCAAATAACACTGAAAGAAGTTGAGCGCACACTCTTGCACAAAGTAGCACTGTGTGTTGAAGAGCTGTTGGCTGCTCAGCTGCCCCCCTGTTTATTAGACTACGCCAACATCCCTGGAATCAACGAGGTCCAATTCCGGAACGATTGGAAGATTTTCCATCGCAAAAATAAACCAAGTGTGGACGCCGAAACTGAAGCTGAGCGTGGTATGTTGCCGCCCTCAATGGAAGCACGCATGCGACCCGCCCCTACAAGAGTGACCTCAATCTTATCTTCGCTTTTGTTGATTCTTGACGTCTACAACGTGCACCCAGTAATTACCCAGCAAGTGTTTTCTCAGGTCCTGTACTGGATGGGTGCGGAGCTGTTGAACTCCGTTCTGGGCGACAAAAAGTACCTTTCTCGAACAAGAGCCATGCAAATCCGCCTGAATGTGTCTAATATTGAGGATTGGTGCCGATCAAATAATCGAAGACCCGATGATGCCGACGAGTTCTCGAAAGCAGTCAAGTACAAGTCTATGACCGACCTGTGCCGCGACCATCTGGGGCCCCTCACAGATATTCTGCAGTGGCTGCAAACATTTAGCGGCTTTGGTTCTGACTTTACGACCGTCGTTGCAACCATGCAAGAACTGACCCATGTGAACCCCAAGCAGCTCCTTTACGCGGCCAAGAAGTATCGGGTAGAGGTCAACGAGCCCCAGCTGTCCAAAGACTACAAGCACTATCTTGCTGATCTGGCAAACCATTACGAAACCCAGCAGCAATCAGAGCAGATTGATCTGCTGGGCAAAGATGAGGAGAATTTCATTTTGAAGACTACGAAAGCGACCAAAGCTCGGGACGTGCTTCTCGACGTGAACCACTGGTTCGCCCTATTCCCTCCCAACATGAAGGAAATGATCTCGTTTTGGGGCGGCGGCCTCGGTGGCGTCGACACCAGCAGCCCGCATTACCTGGTGCCTACCGTTCCCGTCGAGATTGCGGACTCTCTGGACGCTGGTCAACAAAACAAAGAAATCTATGATACCTTAAAACAGCCTGCTGCAACTCGCCACCGCCAATGGAATGAAGACGAGGAGTGGGAAGAGCAGACTTGGAGTTAGCCCCCTTATATGTATATGTGTGTATATAACCGCGTGTATACGTGTATGGTGCTATGTGTACTTATGATCATGGCATAAAGCCCGCGGAGGGTCGCTTAGCAAATCATGTCTGAAGTTGACTACGCTCCGGCCTTTGCGCCATTCTTTGGATTTGCCGGGTGTGCGGCTGCGCTCACGCTGAGCTGCGCCGGTGCGGGCATTGGCACGGCAAAGAGCGGTATTGGAATCGCAGGTATCGGCACGTTCAAGCCCGAGCTTATCATGAAATCACTTATCCCAGTCATTATGTCGGGTATTCTGGCCGTTTACGGATTGGTCGTCGCCGTTCTGATTGCCGGTGGCCTGAACCCCAGCAAGCCATATACTCTTTTCAATGGATTCATGCATTTGGCCTGTGGCCTGTGCGTGGGCTTTGCGTCGCTGGCGGCTGGCTACTGCATTGGCATTGTGGGTGATGAAGGCGTCCGCAAGCTAATGCTCGAAGCCCGGCTGTTTGTTGGCGTGGTCCTGATTCTGATTTTCGCAGAAGTCCTGGGTCTCTACGGCATGATTATCTCGCTTATTCTCAACACACGGGGTAGTGGCTGATTTATATATTTTTTGTCTGTTTCGTATAAAATCTGTTTAATTGAGTTCCATCGCACCCTCTTTGGGCTCCGACAAGAACTCAACACTGCGTTTTGAGTCCAAAAACAGGGAGTAGGAGCGCTTGACGTCGCCGACCTCCACGATCGTCGACTTGCGTTTGGCGGCAATCAGGTTCGCGGTTGCAATCAGGTTCGCGGCGTATCTCAGGCTCGATTCCTGGCCGATTTTAGTCAAGATGGCCAGCGCATCGGCGTGCAAATCAACCTCCTCTTCCTGAGCTCGAATAGTAAGAATCTCACGGATCTCGTCGGCGTTGTACGGATGAGTGGACACGATAATGATCCGATCCAGCAGATCAACAGGCAGCCCGTGAGCACTCTTATCGGAAGTGCCACGAGTAGTTGTCAAGCCGCGGTTGGTGGCCATAATCACAATGGGAGCCAATTCGTCTTCCAGGGCACGGTTAATGAAAGAGAATGCCTCAATATCAAGCATATGGACTTCATCAATGAACAACACACCAGGCACAATTTCAGCCTTACCTTCCTCGCGCCATTCGGCCACTTTGGCGTTGATTTGCTCGCGAACTTCGGCCCGGATTTCCCCAACGTCGCCGCTGAAAAGAGCCAAGAAACCTTGGGTACGTGAGTTGATCACGTCAATATCGTGGAGTGAGACCGTGTGGATAACCTCCTTGCGGCGCTGCAGCTCACCCTCGGGGCACTGGACAAACTTGGTGTCTGCGCCCATAGCATCATAATCTCTGGACCGGCTGTACGAGCGACCCAGCTTAGTTACACGGCCAGTGGCCTTGTCAATAGAAATAGCATCACCGGCAATGACCTTCTCTTTAGCAAGACCCTCAATCATCTTGGTACCCAGTTCGTAGACGGTTTCCATGTCGGTTGTTTTAATGGTAAGCTTTCCCTGTTTATGGCCACCAGTAACCGAGCGGTCGATTTGGATCTCCACGACCTCACCCTCGATAATTTCGGTCTCTTCTTTAATACGCACACCGATTGATTTGCGGAAGGCCTGCGTAAGGGCTTCAGTCTTGGAAATGTCCAGCGAGTAAATTTCCGACCCCGAGATCGTGGTGAACGGCACGTCAGATCCAAGAGATTGGGAGATTCCCATAGCAATAGCGGTCTTACCGGTAGATGGAGGACCGGCAACCAGAACAGCCCGTCCAGCAATCTTGCCTTGTCTGACCATCCGCAGGATCACTCCAGCCGCCTTACGGGCCTTCAACTGGCCAACCATTCCCTGCGAAACAGGCTTGGGCTCAAGTCCATCGGCATCTAGACCAAGTCCAGTGATGTGGGAGTGCGCAGCAATCAAGTTTAAGCCTCGCACCTCTTTTTCTTGCGGGATCGTCGTGAGAGACATTTTTCGAACGAGAAGAAAGGTTGCTGACTTAGCGACAAAGAAATACAAAGTGACTTTCTACAGCATCGAAATGAACGATTTCTGGGCAGCCGTACAGGCGTGTTTCTCGTGTTTTCAGGCACCATCGCTTGTTCTCAATGGCAGGCGGTTAAGTGTGACGAAACTATTGGGCGAGGGTGGCTTTGCCTACGTATACTTGGTTGAGGATCAACGCAGTCACGAGGTCTATGCGCTGAAGAAAATCAGATGCCCCTTTGGTGCTGAATCGGTGGCTACGGTGATGCGAGAGGTGAATGCATGCAAGAGGTTCAGAAACACCCTTCTGGTAATCTCGTCGGTGGACTCGATGGTGAAGCAGGACGAAGACGGCACGAAAACCGTTTATTTACTGCTGCCGTACTACGGAAAGGGGTCTCTACAGGATCTAATTAATGACAATGCCATCAACAATCAATCGTTTTCCGAACCTGAAGTTCTCAAATATGCTTTGGGCACGGCCGAAGCTATCCGGGCCATGCACCATCATCACGCGAGCGGATCGGGTGGACATGACGATGGAGAAGCCGAGGAGGACAGACTACTTGACAACCAGGATGATTCTGGCCGCTCATCTGTTCCCCTTGGTGAGGTAGTGCCTTATGCACACCGGGATGTGAAGCCTGCGAACGTGATGATTGACGACCACCAGCGACTGGTGCTGATGGATCTGGGCTCGGTCTCCAAAGCCCGAGTGCATGTTGAGAATCGTCAGCAAGCCTTGGAGATTCAGGACGAAGCCGCCGAGCTTTGCACTTTACCATACCGTGCCCCGGAGCTGTTGAATGTGAGACCAGGCACAACCATTGACGAGCGAGTCGACGTGTGGAGCTTGGGGTGCACAATTTATGCTCTAATGTACAGTATTTCCCCCTTTGAGCGAGCGGAGCGAGACACTGGTGCCAGCCTTAACTTGGCCATCTCAAACCGGAAGCTGGACTTTCCACCCACGCCGAACTATAGTCAAGATCTCAAAGATCTTGTCGCTAATTGCCTAACCATGGACTGTGCTGACCGGCCTACCATTGACCAAGTTATTTCTCAAATTCAACAATTGCTTTGAAAATCACCCACCAGCTTTCCCCCTGTTCTCTCCGCGCCCTCCGCCCTGCCCCCTTTTTAGTCAGAAATTTGAATTTCTGTTAACCTATTATGACGGACGCGCCGGTTTCTACTCAAAAGGAGTTCACCGGCCAGCAGGGCTGGAACGACTGTATGCCAGATGCTATGATGCAGGGCTCCAAACCGCGAGCGGGCCCGCGAAAGGTACGGCGTGCCGATGACGGTGGGTTGTACTCGGGCCAGCCGCCTGTGGCAACCACAGCTTCGCCAAACTCGAGCCAAACTACTCTACCACCAACTGGACCTCCCAAAAAGCCGTCAACAACCCCGCCAATGGGGTCGGTGGCCCCCGCAAAGCCCATGACCCCGCCAACTGCCATCGAGGTAGCGGACAGCCTCGACGGCGTGGTGGTTCTGCAGCAGGTCATCGGGTTGTTGGAATCGTCCAAGCTGTCAGTGAAAGAAGTGGGTCAGTACAGAACCAAATTTGAAAAAGTTATACCTGATCTGGCCCCGGTACATCTCAAGGCCATTGTGGACGCCTTAGCCCAGCCTGCAGACGCCCGCGATATTCTCATGAAACACAGCATGGTCAATATCGGAACATCTTCTTGGTGCACCCCTTTGCGTCGCATTCTAGAATCTCAGTGATACATTTTTTGTAGCATATTTATTTCAACAGCTTTAGTCACTAAGTTGGGCATTTTTCCACATCATCACAAACAAGGATGAATGAACCGGAGTATACGCTACCGGGCGTGATGAGGTTTCTGCAGACCGAATGGCAGCGGAACGAACGCGACAGGATTCAATGGGACATCGAGCGGGCCGAGATGAAGAGCCGCATCGCGAAATTGGAGGGGGAAAAGCAGGAGCTGTTGGCTCGATCTGACGGCTACGAAAAGGCGTCTGCGAAAACCAAAAAGCAGCTGTCCAGCGGACTGCCTGTGGAATTGCCGTCTAATCTGGAAAGCGAGGCGTTTGAGAAGCTTGTGGACGGTAAACAGCAGTTGTCAAAGTGTGTGGGTGAAATCCGCTATTTATTAGAACAAAGTGGTTTATCTCTGGAAGATACACCATCTTTTAGGGACGAGATTGAGTTTCAAACGGCACGGCGTCAAAAATTTGGCGCAAAGTCCTATTTGCACAGCACGTTGGCCAACTACGCGACGGCTTTTCCTGCTTTGGTGTTTTTGAGTGAAATGGTGCTGGTGCTGGGCACGGTCGACGGTCAATTGTTGGTTGTCGACCTTGAGTCGCCTGCAAACTCGCCGCCGACTTACTCTTACAGGGTCTTTGAGGGCTCTGTCACGACGATGCGTTGTGATGTGGAGGATCGAGTTTTGTATGCTTGCGACGACAAGGGTACCTTGGCTATTTTCAAGTACGAGCCCGAATACAAAACCCTGTGTTTAATGAACAGCTTGGAAGCTCATTCGGCAAGCATCGTGTCTGTCACTCTGTCAACAACCCACAGCTTGTTTGTCACTGCATCGCTTGATGGAACATGTAGCGTGTGGAAGCTATCAAAACTAGGTGAAAATGAGGCCAGTGTTTCCAACTGCCGCACCGCATCAATGCGATTCTATCCCGAAAGCTTAGCTATCAACCCTACTGCGGTGTGGTTCAGCGACGACGCGTTTACAGCTGCGTTGCCCACTAACCAAATTATCATCGGGTACAGCGACTCCAGTATTGTTGTTGCCGACGCAGTTTCCGGCCAGATGGTCAAACGCATGTACTCTCCGCCTTCGTCAATCCTACTTGAGCGGGCCGCGCCAAGCATCACGGCGATCGTCAGTTACGGTGTGCCCAACGGCGACAAGCTCCTCCTCACAGCACATGCGACTGGAATGTTGAGAATATGGAACGTTCGCATGGGCACGATGGTTGAGGAGGTTGAGGCGGCCCACCGCAAGCCCATCACGTCGGTATCACTCTCGCCTCGTAAAGATGCGCTGGTGGTTACAAGCGAAGACGGCCACGTCTCCTTGTGGACTTTGCAGCTGGGAGGTGTCACCTGGAAAGGGCAGCTACTAAGTCACGACTCGCTAGAAGCCGGCGGTGCATTGTCGAGCGGATGGTTTGGCGATATGCTGGCGATCGGCGGGTCGGACGAGATCGCTCGAGTGTACAATATGGCGGCATTTTAGTTTAAAAGCTATAGTGGAATTTTTAAATTTTAATTTCGTTGCATTAATAAAACGACAGCGATCAACACTGCCCTTACTTGCGCATACGCGAACGACGAGTGACAACTTGGTAACCAGCCTTGATGCCCTGGACGGAGCGACGAGATCCACAAGAGTTGCAGTCCAAAAAGTAGAGGCGGTTCTCTTTGTTGAGAGTGGTGTTGACGGACTTGCAGGTCTTGCAGGCAACGTACTCAAGCATGTATCGTCTGAGCACACCCTCGATCTGCTTCTGCTGGAAACGGCCCTTGATAACCAGACGGCCGGTACCGTCGACGGAACCTGAGGTACCCAGCTCGGTGAAAAGGTAGTGGATAACGTGCTCGGTGGGACGGTGCATTTTATCAGCAATGAGCTTGATGTTGGCAAACAGAGTCTTTTTGTTACCGTCACGCAAGACCTCGGGGGGCGGAATCTTGTACTTGATGCCAGTACGGTCGCCGGCCATCTCTGGGTTCTGCTCGCGAAGGATATCGAAGAATCGGGACAGCAACTGAGTGTAGCCCAGCTGGTTCTCTGCCTCTGCTTCCTCCGAAGCCGCCTCTTCCTCAATACCAGCGTTCTGCAACGCAATATCAAACTCGTCCGCGGTAGCTACGGGCTTGGACTTCTTCTTTTTCTTCTTGAACTCAAAATCTCCACCCTCCGCAGGCTCGCCCTCCGCGGGCGGGCTGGCCTTCTTGCTGCTCTTCTTCTTCAGGCCAAACTCAGATACCATCGAGGTCACCTCCTCGACGCCGTCTTCGGGATAGACCTTCTTGCTCTTCTTCTTCTTGCCGCTGGTGTCAAATAATGGCTTTGCCTCAACGTCCGACATTTTCAATGGAAAAAAAAATGACTCAGCGTGATCTAATAAAGGCGACCATCAGAAAGAGTTAAGGAGACCATCCGGGAGAAGCGTCCAGTGTTTAAAACCGGCTAATTAAACTGTATACGCTGCCCATGGGTGTCTTGCGGCATTAAATTTTTTTTGCTAAACTTTCCTTCTCTGACTCTTTTCGCTACCCCGCATCCTATTTTGGTTTTTTGGGCTGCTGACACTTAGCCAACCGACACCATGAGCCAGGTTCAAATACCCGATTATGGCGCGAGTCCGTTTCGCGACTGGCTGCGAACGCCGGTTGTGTCGTCGTTTATTGCCGGCGGCTGTGCAGGAGCCGTGTCGCGGACCGTTGTGTCGCCGTTTGAGCGGATGAAGATCATTTTCCAGGTGCAGAATGCAAACGCCAAATCCTACGACGGCATGTGGGCGACTTTGATGAAAATGTGGCGAGAGGAAGGATGGCGTGGGTTCATGAGAGGCAACGGGATCAACTGCGTGCGTATTGTCCCCTATTCTGCCGTGCAGTTCTGCACTTACACGCTGCTCAAGCAGGGGATCTCCCAGGACGCCCGCGAGCTCACGGCCAGCGAGCGCTTGCTGGCTGGTGCACTCGCCGGCATTGCCTCCGTGTGTGCTACGTACCCGATGGACATTGTGCGCACGCGACTAAGCATCCAAACTGCGTCTATTGGGTCGCTACAGAAAGAAAACCTCGCCAAGCCCCCCGGCATGTGGGCGACCATGGCCCAGATGTACAAAACAGAAGGTGGCATGGTCGCTCTTTGGCGGGGTCTGATTCCAACAACCCTGGGAGTGGCTCCGTACGTGGGAATTAACTTTGCATGCTACGAGTATCTTCGAGACCGGCTCGCAGTCGATAACAGTAAACTCTCGTCGTACTCGACGCTGACTGCCGGAGCAGTTTCCGGTGCAATTGCCCAAACGTTTACCTATCCTTTTGATGTGCTCCGTCGTCGTTTCCAGGTCGAAAGCATGAACCACGGCAGACTCGGCTACCAGTACAACTCGACGTGGGGGGCTCTGAAAACTATTGTCGCCAACGAAGGGTTTGTGGGGCTGTATCGTGGCTTGGGGCCCAACCTGCTCAAAGTGGTCCCGGCAATGGCGTCCTCGTTCTGGACTTTCGAGTCCGTCAGGCGGCTGCTGGCATAGCCGGCTCGCTTGTAATTATAGGCTTTTGCACATGTGTTTAACGATAATAATATAGAGATGGTCATTATAAGTGGTGATGAAGTGTCGTTTTCAAAAGACTTGAGTGCTCAAACTGCTGGTTTCGAAGTCCCAGCGGTGCTCGAGGGATGCCTCGGTGAAACACGGGTTGGCGTACACCAGGGTCTCTAGAGGAGCTGCCTGCGCGGGTCTATTGCGGCGTTTCAACGTCCAGCTGGCAAGCTTCTCCAGAAGCATCCACTCAGACTTTTTGCCGCTAAACTCTGGGAAGATACGGGAAAGCATGCTGTCCTGCCACTCGTCGCCGCCGGCCCGGCTAAGATTTGCCTGGCGGGAATGGGCAGGAAACTCTTCTGGACGTTTGTCTCTTGCGTCACTTGCATCAACAAAACTGTGGCCAAATATTACGTCTAGTACCTCGTCGTCCATGTGGATGAAGCTGTGCAAGTTCTCCATGACTTTGTGTCCAATCTGACTCCAAATGCTGTCAGGTGGTGGATGGTCCACGCTCTCCCCTTCATCAGGGCTGTGCGACGGGAAGAACTTGCGCTCTAGTCTCTGGAGCTCGCTGAAAACCAGCTGGCTCTGATCAAGCCGCCACATGTTGACTCGTTCCATCAGGTCGCGGCGAGCATGCTGGTCGAAGGAACCCGCACCGTTGTGTGCCGGCAGCTCCAGGGACTGCGTCGGGGTGTCTTCAATGTCAAGGTCAGACAGGTCGCCCTGGATCATGTGGAGATCACTTGGCGGGCTCAGCTCGCTGTAGTCGGAGCTCGGGACCATCTGCGGGCTAAACAGGACCCATTCTTGGTTGTCAATCTCGCGGGCACTCAGAATATCGGTGCTGAGAACAGAAGTCAACGACGGTGAGAACGTGGAAAGCGGGCGCTGCGCGTGGTGCGAATTGTGGTTGCGATTTGTGGGCTGGTAGAAGTACGACATGACGCTCAGGTGGCAAGATTGCTTTGGGGGCAGTCCTGGAATTCTATAGCCACCAACTACTGTATGAAATGTCTGTTTTCCTGGTGTACGTGACGAATCTGCCGTGCACACAGTTCCCGGTCTAAGAGGCGTTGGTTGGGTACGTTGGGAGGTTTTCCTCCACGGCATTTAACCTCGCACATGCTCTGCCCTATGCATCGCCATGCAAGAGATCATGGTAAATAGTGCTGTATGAGTTACTTGTAAGAGAGTTAGTTATCTAAAGCGAGACCCGCGGGGCATGTGCTGGTGGACGTGTTATTTGCCGAGCCAAATGGTGTTGTTTGCTGCCTAAAGTTGGGCCCGTCGTGCTTATCATGATAAGACACGGTGGAGCCAACCTTCGCTTGTGCAGATGCCACTACAAACGGCCAATGGCGAGCGCGACTGGAGCCGCAGCTGCTTGTCCAGATACTGTTCAGTTGAGTAAATATAATTGATTGGCCAAAATCACGCATACAGCCGGGGTCGCTCGGCCCGTCTGGTAACGTGCGATTACCACATGTGGTCTTTTTGGGTGTGGACGGCAAAAAACCTCAATTGTGTCGCTAACGCCCCAATTGCGCCGCTACAGTGACCCGCGTTCCATGGCAGGCCTAGATGAGGCCTTTTTAGGCCACATCGCCGTCCATTTCCCGCCGGCTATTTTCCTTACTTAATATCACCTGAGAGAGCTGGTTTAGTTACCCGGCAATCCTGGGGATTCTATTGGCTACTAAGTCAGCAACCCCGAGTCACCTTACACAAACCAGAAAAATGCGTGCCTCTATGCTTTTGCGCTCTGCCGCCAAACCCCACACAAATAGCAAGTTCCCCTACGAGGTCTGGCCCCTGTTTGTCGCCATGGGCTTTGTCTGCTGCTTTGCCGGCTACCGTGCCGTCAAGAACCTGGGTGGCCCCGAAGTTCGCAAGACCCGCTCTGGTGAGACTATCTCGCGTGGTCCTAAGATTGAGGGTGAGCACCACTAAGTGTTGAAAGAATGTCCGTAGCGAATCGTTTATTTCAAAGCAACGTCTGTTGTTTATTCATTCCTGATCTGCCCAGAGTAGTGTCTGATCGCATAGCCACTGCTTTTGGGAGTTCCAGGCGTTAATTTTAAATAGCGACCAGGCCGGGGTTTCCCCCACCACCGTGCACCTCTGGGCTCCCTAATTGCTGCTCGCATCATAGTAACCTACCTACCCACCTGAAACCAGATCAACTCCCATTGATGACATGTACCACCTTGTCAAAAGCGTGTATGCGAATCTCACCAAGCAGGAGGAGTACTCGGTGCTCATTATGGGCCTAGATAACGCAGGCAAGACCACTCTGCTTGAGCAGCTCAAGTTCAGATACAAGGTTGGCGGCGAGCAGGCGACCGTCGATTTGTCGGGGGCTCGTCTGGTGCCGACGGTTGGCCAGAACGTTGCAAGAATCCAGGTCAACAAAGTCAATTTGAAGATCTGGGACGTGGGTGGACAAGAGAGCCTGCGCAACATGTGGGAGAGCTACTATGAAGATGCCCACGTCGTGGTGTTCGTGGTCGACTCGACGGACAGAGCGAGAATAGAAGAATGCAGAGATACTTTAGATAAAGTCGTGAGCTCCGACGTATTGGAGGGGACGCCGGTGTTGATGCTGGCCAATAAACAGGACAGAGACGACTGCCTGGAGGTCGAGGACATCAAGGAGATCTTCAACAAAATTGCCGAGAAAATGAGCGCCCGCGACAGCAGGGTTCTGCCCGTCTGTGCCCTCGATGGCACGGGCGTGGTCGAGGCCGCCGAATGGATTATCAGCCGCCTGCTCCGCAACAAAAATTACCGCCCCCCTAACCTTGTCTGACGGCTAGAAAAGAACGTTTGCCCAACCTTGATCCAAGCGCATGACCACTGGTGCCAACCCAAAAATAAGGCCACTCCCGTCGGATTTCGGAGGCTGTGCTCTGCAGAAAGGTAAAAAAAATAACTATTTAACTCATTCTTGCAAAAGACCCCACTGTTATTATCTCTGCCCCACAACTCAACCGCCTTAAACAGTCACCCTGCGCTCATTACTATACACACGGATCTTCATGGGTTAGGGATATGTAAGGCGACCCCCGACTGCTTACACGTGCGCCAGGCATTTAAGCTGAGTTAATCCTTGGCTACGCCCAAAAAGCATTTCCAGAGCTCGCCTCCCTGAACCAACGGTTTAGAGTGCACATGAGCAAACACCACGTAGGGCCCAGTCAGCGGCCATCTTGGCTACCGAGCATACTTTTTGTGTGGGCATGTGTGGCCTCTGGGTTTTCGTTCTACCTGCTGTACCTCAAGCCGATGGCGCCTCCATCACAAGATGCGCGACTGCCGACCGTTATAGAAGAGCCCAGCGGCGCAGAGGCCGCAACCACGCGCAAACGAAACCTCATTTTCATGGTCTCCGACGGAATGGGACCTGCCTCGCTGTCCATGGCGCGAAACTTCCAAGATTACGTTGAGGAGTCAGACATTGGCACGACTCTATTTTTGGACGACCACTTTTTGGGGAATTCCCGGACCAAGTCGGACTCATCACTCATCACAGACTCTGCTGCAGGCGCCACGGCGTTTTCCTGTGGCCTGAAAACCTACAATGGCGCCATTGGTGTCGACCCAGACTCCAAGCCATGCGGCACGGTTATCGAAGCTGCCAAGGAAGCCGGCTACTTGACGGGCATGGTCGTGACCACTTTTATTACCGACGCTACCCCTGCGTCGTTCTCGACTCACGCCTATGACCGTAGCGAGCAGCAGACAATCGCTGCCCAATTAGTCGGCAGAGACCACTTGCTTGGCCGGAATGTCGACCTGCTGATTGGCGGTGGCCGGTGCGAGTTCTTGCCGCGTTCAATGGGCGGGTGTCGTGAAGATTCGCGTGATCTTTTGAAAGAGGCGACCGAGGACGGCTGGTCGTTGGCTACTAACCGCAAGGAGTTCGACTATCTCCAGGGCGGGCGAAACGTCAGCCTGCCCCTCATGGCTCTGGTTTCCAATGGCCAGATTCCATTCGACATTGACCGTGACGACGAGCAGTACCCGTCGTTGGTTGAGACGACAAAGACTGCCATCCGCGCTCTTTCCGATGCTACAAAGGACTCGGACAAGGGCTTTGTCCTGATGATTGAGGGCTCTCGCATCGACCATGCCGGACACTTGAACGACCCCGGTGCTCAGGTGTACGAGGTTCTGGCTTATGATGCTGCATACAAAGCCGCCGTTGAGTTTGCGTCGTCGGCAGACGTTGAAACCGTTGTCATTTCTACATCAGACCACGAGACCGGCGGGCTTACGGTGGGCCGCCAAGTGACCGAGGAGTATCCCGAGTATGTTTGGTATCCTGAGGTGCTTGCCAGCGTCGAACGCTCCACTGAACACTTGGCTCGTCGCTTGCGCAACTACCAACCCAAGTCGTCTGAAAAGCGCCGTCATGAGATGGTCAAGTACATCAAGCACGAGATTCTCGGGCCCAAGGGCCTCAATCTGTCGGAGATTCACCGTGATGATATTCGCAGAGTCATTCACAACCGCAAGAATGCGCAAGACGTGCTGTCCGAAATTCTCTCTGTGCGGGCCCAGATCGGCTGGTCGACGCACGGCCATACGGCAGTGGATGTCAACGTATACGGCTACGCCAAAGACGTGTCGCGGCTGGATGTCCTACGCGGAGGCAACGAGAACATTGAGTTTGCCACCTTTGTTTCCGAGTACCTTGATTTGGATCTGGGCGTAATCACCGACAAACTGCACTCTAAACTCTCCAACCAGACCGGAGCAGACAGTTTCAACGAACCCCAGGAACCTGGCCACCTCGATGCATACCATACTGGCGTGTCAGGCTTCCCTGTTTAGTTATGTTTATGGTATTTAATGAGTGTTTATATCCGAAGCCCACTGGGTCAAGAACACATCTATGTGAAATATTACTGATGTTTTTTTTTCTGTTTTGTTTTTGGTTTGGTGCAGTTGGTGTTTTTAGGCGGTGGCTCGTAGCTACCCAGACGTGAAGTATCATTAAAGTTTTAAAAGAGGCCTTTACCGTGCTGTTCGATGCGTGTGGAGATAGCAGAGTGCTGTTCCATGGCTTCAATGAGGTCGCGGACGACCATGCTAAGCTCACCAGGATCCAGTCCGGATGTGAGGAAGTACTGTGAATATGGGTTCTTGGCCGGCCGTTGGTTGGGAATGTTTGCAACGATGTCGTCCACGATGGTCTCGATGTTGCGCAGGCTCCAGTCGTGCGCGGCATTCACAATCTTCTTATTGGGTGGGGTCATTCGCAGCAGGTCCGAGTATAGCGCAGCTATTTTACAGCGCTGGTTTATTTGTTCAATCTGTAGCTCTTGCAACGTCGGCTCGTGCATTTTCGTGGGTAGACGAAGCGCCCTGACTAAAGTGGTAGATTTAGTTCCTCTTGGCGGGCGGGCGGAGCGGTTTAGGGTCAGAGTTGACGATACCTGGTGGTTATTTGGCCGTGTGGTGGAGGCTGAGCGGAGGAGTGTAGATTGTGCAAATGTGTCGCAAGTGATTGCTACTTTTGCCAGTGAATTGCCGACGCGTTCCCCGCTGAGGTGTCATGCATGATATTTGAGGGGTTTTCGACTGTCGTTAGAGGCCTCCTCAGAGCTGAAGAGGCATATGTGGGCTATTTAGGCTTGCTTTTTTTTACGAGAGAGCGCTTTACCGAGTCGTCTCATCGATGACTTCCTGCCTGACTCTTTGGACGCAGTTGATTGAGGGGTTTTGCTTCCGTCAGAGTCCTTGGAGATCTGGGATGTGGGTGTAGCGATTCGTTCCAGTGGAGAGTGAGCCTTAGAGGCCGATTGAGCCGCTGACTTGGCCGCCGATGCTGCCGCCGACGTGGCTGCTGATTTGGGCTCCGCTTTGACCGGTTTGGGCTCCAGCTTGCCCTCCAGTTTGGCCACCAGTTTAGGGGCCTCTTCCAATTTGGGTGCCAGTTTCAACGTCGAGTCCTCAGAAACATTCTCGGATGTACCCAATGCCTCCCTGGGAGCTTGCGACTGCTTCTGAGCCAGAGCCTCCGCGGTCTGCACCTCTGGGACAACTTCTAGAGGTTTGAGCTCTTCAATTGACTCAACCAGAGACTGCTTTTCAAATTTAATGATCGCTGCAGCGACATAATCGGCCGCCTCGCGACTTCTGTTGATACAAAAGGCATGTGGAATGGTCTGGTCAGGGACAATTTCAAAGTGCACATTGGGTTTGTCTCCATAGGCATCAAACAAGGCCTGGCGAGTCTTCGGGGCAACCCAGTGGTCGTCATGGGCAAAAAATCCCCAGATGGTGTATCTCGTCGAATCCCAGAACCCAGCAATATCGTGCGGCTCTGTATCTGAACCAATTGTGGTCATCTCCTCAGTGGCCAGCGACAGCGTCTGATAGACCATAGACGGACGCTGAGCGTACCGGAGAGATACCTGCCTGGCATAATCTGGATTCTTTGATTTGCGGAAAAGCCTGTTCATCAAGTACTGCCAGAACGAACCAGGCATAACATAGTAGAGCACCCGGAGCGCACCCGCCAAAAAGCCGGGACTTAAATACCGACCCAGCTTGGTGACCTTTAGCCCCCGCGGACTCTGAGCAATGTCTTTGACTGTAGGCGTCAGCAGACCGACAAACTCAATGTTCACGTTGGTGTGGTTTTTGAAATGAGTTACCACTCGCTGGGCTATCCAGGCCCCCACAGAGTGACCTAGAACTATGACCTTGCGCTGCTGCGTCACAAGTGCCTCCAGGAGCTCAATCTTGTGGCGAATTTGGTCGTCCAGATTGTACGACCGCAGCGTCAATTCGCCCGGTTTACTGTCCAAACTGTACCCTCTGTGCGAGGGGGCGACAATTTCATGGCCCGGCAACAAGCTGGCCAATTCGTTGACAAAGTCCAAGTAGTACTCACAAAGCCCAGGGTTTCCGGGGATCAAATAAATCAAAGGGTCGCTGGGCTTCTCGGACGCCACGTGCACCACCGTGGTTCCGTCGACTTTCGTGATTTGCGCTGCCATGCTCCCTGGTTGGAGAAAATTAAGATTATGTACTGTCCCCCCGCCTAGAGATTCTGGCACGTGAAAGAGAAGACCGAAGAGCCCTTGCCCGTACAGGAAGGCTTACCAAAACGGGTCAGATGTCAGGCAAACGGCGTTCACGTGACTGCCCATGGAAATTAGCTCGATTGGGTTCGCGTTTTGGCAATTAATAGCGGAAAAGTCTCAGTGATCTTGGCGGGAAAAGTGCCTAGCCAGTGGACAGGTGGCCCCTGCCCCTTGCGGCCTCTCGTGATCTATCCGCGGATGACTAGTCGGGGTTTCCTTTGTGATCTGGACTTGCCCGCGATCGATAGTGTGAAACTCGCTGACTCCAGAACATGACTTGTTCAACAAGCCCCTCGTCCTCCCCGACAAACACTAAATCGTCAAACACAAAAGTGACGACCAGAAACTCTAAAAGCACAGCCCATATATTCGGTGCCCAGGCCATCCAAGACACCCGCCGACGAGTAGCCGGCGACCTGAGACGTGAACGACTGAGTGAAGCGGCCTCAAATTTAAGAACCGGCGGTGAATCGGAAGCATTTCATCTGCATCGTCGCAAAATGGTAGAGAAAACCGAGGAGCAGCGGTTCCAGGACCTCCAGGACGAGCAAATAGCTCTGGCGGAAAAATACTACGACGAAGAAGACTATTTATGCAAACTGTATGAAGACTCCATGCAAATTGAAGACGTCGAAATGGAGTCCCAGCCAGTGAGCCCACGCACATCCCTCGACCCCCTGCAACTTTAACTGATATTTAATGACAGATATGATACCTAATTACTAACCGCTATGAGTTTTGACGAGCTCAAGACGCTGGCGGATAGAGCCAAGCAATTGAATCTTGTAGCGCTCGAAGAGAGCGAGAAGCGTCGCAGTTCGCAACTGATGGCCAAGCGCCGGCAGCAGTACGAGCGATCACTTCGTCGAGCGGCCTCAGACAGCGACGAGGACGATCTCGAGGACTACACGCTGGAGGAGACAGAGAGATGGGAGCAAACCAAGAAACAGAAACGACAAAACCAGCTAGACGCTCAAACTCTGGACTATGGAGAGCTGGCTGCGTCTCACTACAACAAACAAGTCGAGACCATCCAGCAGGTCCGCGAGGCAGAAGACCCGGTGCAAGCGCTAATTGACGACCTGAGTAGCACCGTTGAAGCCCGGCACCAAAGACGAGTCGTACAGTCTTCTGCGGGCTACATCAGTGATGCGAACCGTCAGTTCAATATCCGGCTGGATCGCTTAACTAAGCCCGCAACCCACACACCATGGAGCCCGCTCGAGTTTTAAGTCGACCGTGGCTGCGAACTCTGTGGCTTCGGCCGCATCAAATTTTGCGTGCCGCAAGCAATAGTAGAGACAGATCGAGACTGAATACATGGGAGCAGCGCGTTGGCCAGTTCGCCGACAAACTGACTCCAGAGCTAGACGAAAACCGGTCCAAAGAAGACCTGGCTAAAAAGCTCAGAGACCTACTGGATACCCAGATCGAGCGCCAATCCAGCAATCCTACCTTGCATACCCATTTCAATCAGCTGTTTGCTGGCTTGGATACACTCTCAGAGCCTCCTGCGCCACTCCATTTGAAAGAAGGACTGAGCCCGGACAGAACCGAGTCAGACATCTTGAAATGGTTTAGCAAGTTTTATTATCAGGGTAAAATCTCTCTCAAAGTTGCCCTGGCGGTCCTGAAAGACCCGCGAGTCAAGCACATTGACCAATTAGTTCACCAGATCAACAACGGCGGCATTCTTATTCGGTGGTCAAAGGCAGACAAACACTTTTTCCAATTGAATGTCGCCAACAAATACTGGAGACTTGGTCAACGCGATCTCGCCAGACAGTACGTGTATTCTGATTTCGATACTTACTGGATGCCGGAGCTGGAAAGCGATAGCTTATCGCCCTCGCGGCTGTCCATCCTATTAAGAGCAGTGGTGGCAACCCAGCCTTCGCTTGCTCTAGACGTGGCCCAAACACTCACAGAACACCAGTACATTTGTGCACTATATATTCTATGGGCCAACGCAGTAACCTTCAAACAGTGGCAGGTCGCGAATGCAGTGATCTACGGTGCGTCGTCAAACACCCTTTTCCAGGCGCTGGCGCTTGTGACCGACGAAGCACAGCTGCACGGCATCAAAGGCATGGAGCCCCTGCTCAAAATGGTCCCCCGCAGGAAAGATCTCCAGCACCATATCTCTGTTGCTTTGATGGAAGTCGCCAACACCCAGCCGGAGCTGGGAAAACCATTGGCTGAGAGACTTGCTGCACTAGAAGCCGACGAGGTCACAGAGGCTCGAATTGCTGCCTTTAGGCTCTCCCTCAACTAGATACTTTTTTTTTTATTCTCCCTACTTAGAAGACACTCTTCATACCATTGACACTTACTCAGCATGAACGAGGTCTTGACGGCGGCCAAGTTCTTAGGCATCGAACCAGAGTTTCTGGCGTCGATATCTTCGAATGTGGTCGACCGTATTGCGATAAAGGCTCACGAAGTCGAAGCGCTTCAAGCCAGCAGCGAAACTGGGCGTGCTGATGCGCAGGAGGTCGCGCGTCTCCAGACCCAGGTGATGGCTCTGGAGGTCCAGCTAAATAACACACAAGAGAACTGCGACAGTTTGAATCATACCGCAGACGGGTACAAGAGCTTGGCTGAAGAGCGTGCCCATCAGATCAAAGAGCTAGAGGCAGCGCGTTTGGCGACCAAGCGTGAGATTGAGGCTAGTGCTGACGAAAGACGCACATTGATGGAGTCTTTTGAACAGAAACTCTCTGAAAGCCGCCAGCTACGCTCAGAGCTCGATGCTGCTAACCGATGTAGCAGTGAAGCTCGCCGTTCAGCTACCGAACTCGAGTTGGCAACCGTCAAACTGGGTGCGGAGCTCGCTACAGCCAAATCTTCTGAACAAAAGTACAAGCTCGCTGCCGACCGGAACCAGGCAACAGTGGATTGGCTCAATGATGAACTTCAACGCCTGAGAAGTGAATATACCGAGTTCAGACAGTCCATGCTTGATCAGCTCCAGGAGAAAACGACCCAGCTCGAAACCACCGAAGCTACTTACAGAGGTATTCGCCAAAGTCATGAAATTCTCAAGGGCTACTATAATGAAAAATCACTACGTCTTGAAGAGTCAATGTCTACTTTACAGAGACTTCGTGTTGAGCTGACCAGTGAGCGTAGTGCGTTTGAAGCTGAAATGTCGGCCCAGAAACGCATCACAACAGTCCTGGAGGAAACAGTTGGACAGTACAAGGTGCGATTCACCGAGCTTGAAGCGGAGTTGAACGAAGAACGTGCGGCGGCTGAAAAGAAAGTCAACTCGCTACAAGCCAAGCTATCTTCTCAATCCATCGAATCAAGCACGCTACAAGAAAAGCTGCAAATGGCCGAGGAACAGCTGTCTGAAGTCTACGAGACCACGGCTAACGGTACAATTATTGCCGATCAAAGCCGAGGCTCGACTGCTGATCAGTCGCGGTTGACAAACCGCTCGCTTAATGGACTGCTGTCGCCCAGTGCAACAATTTTGAGTGAATTCAGACGCAATGGTGGGTCAATTGTGGATCTAAACCAAAGCTATCAGCGAGCTAAGAAAGAAGCTGCTAATTGGAAACGCAAGTACGAGCACCTTCGTCAAGATATGGATCAAATCATGCAAGAACTCGAAACGAACGCCCCCCTATTCGAAGCACAGCAAGCGGAGAATGAAAGGCTACGTCAAGAGTTCGTTGAGTTTAGCGAACGTTTCGACACTATGAGTGCAAAGGCCACAGAGTCTACTGAACAGATCAAAGATCTGGAGCGTAAACTGAGCGACCAGTCCGTCGAACGAAACTTGATGGTTCGCCAGGTCAATGACTTGTCTCGTCAATTGCGACATGTGCTTATCAACAATCAGCTCGGCGCCGATGGTGAACCTCTTATGACAGCATCTGAACAGCGGGCACTGGATCAGATCTTCAATCAGAGCGACCAAGAAGAGCAGGATGACAGTGACACAAACAAACTAATTTCACAGCGAATGATGTTGTTCAAAGATATTGCCGATCTTCAGCAGCAGAATGCTAATTTGCTGCGCTCCTGTCGCGCTCTTGGCCAGCAGATGGAAAGACAAGAGATGGAGGCCAAGGAAACATACCAGAACCTAGAGACTGAAACGGTCGCACAAGCCACAATTGCCCTGCAAACTCTCCAGGAAAAGCTGTCAGCTACATTGGCAGAGCTTGAGATTACACGAAAGGACCGCGACATGTTCCGAAGTATGACCAAAACTGGTGACGCTGGTAGTCTGCTTGATGCTCAATCAGATCTTACACAAAAGCTGGAATTGTTACGTCGCGAGTACGAAGACTACCGGTTGAGTTCCAAACAACGTCTGGCCGATGCTGAAGCCAGGATAATTGATGGCGAACGCACCGCTCGCGATCTGCACATACAGCTTGCCAAAGCTCAGGCCCAGGTGGAGCTCATTACAGAACGCAAGAAATCCGCTGAAGACGATCTGCAACTGTCGAGAGCAGAGCAATTTACTCTGACGGAACGCATCCAGACTTTACGTGATTCACTCCACCGGCAGGAGCAGCGTGCTCAATTGACAAACGAGGAAGCAGTGTCTCTCCGTCAACAGCTGGAAAATCTTCGTACGGAGACTGCTGCGATGCGTGCAGAGCAGAAAATCTGGACTCGCACCGAGAAGGAGCTTTCTGAGGGCCGGGAGGTCGCATTGGCTGAAACCGCTCAGCTCAGAGCTGTCATCGCCAAGTTCGAAATGCGCGATGGTGAGCGTGACACAGCTAGTGCAGATGCGCACCGCCGTTTGTTACAGCTTATTGACCGATTGCAGACGACGGTCTCCCAACTCAATCGTAAGGTTACTTCAGCAGAGGATCAATTGAAATTGGTTTCACATCGTCGTGAGCGTGAGTTCGAAGCTCATAGTGCTAGAGAGCTCGAGCTGAGTAGCCAAGTGTCAGAGTTCCGAGAAAAGTTATCGCTGGCCGAGCTTTCTAAAGAACCCTTACAACTCAAGATTAATGAACTGCTGTCCAAATTGAGTGCCGCAGAGAAACGGGCCGACTTACGGAGTTCAAAGCAACATGAGACTACTTCCCAAACTACAAGTGAGTTAGAGAGTGCCATCAAGGCACGCGAAATCGCCGAACAGCAGGTTGAGGAAATGGTCAATGTTGTGCAAGCCAGTGAAGAAGCGCTCGCGAATTTGCGGACCAAGTTTGCAGCTCAAGAAAAAGCCAATGCAGACCAAGCCTCAGCTCAGCTTCTGGAACTGTCTGGAGCCAACAATGAGCTTGACTCTGCCCGCCGCGAGATTGAACAGTTGCGTGAGCTGTCTGTGGAGATTGAAAAGCTCCAAAATTCTCTATCTGAAAAGGATGCGGTCATTGTTGATCTGAATAGCCAAATCGCTACTGTTCAAGCCCAATTGGCTGAGAGTAAAAACGAAACCGAGGCTGCACAGGCTCAGGTGTTATCAAAAACAGAGTCTGCTGCTCAAGCTAGTAGTCGGGCTTCCAGCCTTGAATCACAGGTCACTACCCTGCAAAGTCAGCTTTCCGAGTTGCAAAATCAACGCGATGCAGCTGTGGCTGATCTTCAAGCTAAAGGACGCGGTTGGGCTCTCGACCGTGACGAGCTTGAGACGAGAATTCGCGAAACGCAAGCTAAGGTTGACGATATCCTCCCCAAGTACCGAGACCTGCAAGATCAGTTGGAGAATTTCATTGATCAAGCTCAAAACACTATGGCAGTTGATGCTGGTAGTGAAGGCTCTAGCTCTAAAATCATTGAGTTCCTCAAGCAACGGAATGAGCTCGCTGCCCAGTCGCTGCAGGTTGCTCAACAGGAGGCCCAGGACTTGCGTTCTCGCCTCAGCAAATCAGAGGCAGAGTTGACAAGTGCAAAGTTTGCTGCTGAGCAGTTCAAGACCCAGCTGGAAGAAGCTAAGCAGACCAGTTTGGAGCCCACCGTTGCAGCTGCCGATCTTGAGGCGGCGAATGCAGCTACTGAAGTATTGAAACAGCAGTTGACAGAGCAGTCTCAACGTGCAAATGAACTTGAGAACAAGGTTTCAGAGCTCAAGGACACACTGCGTTCTAGAGAGGAGGAGTTGAGTATTTCCAGAGCCGAGGTCGAAGCTCGCACTGCTAGGGTCACTCAATTGGAAGTTGACAATGCTCGCTGGAATACCCGTACTGAGGCTCTTCAGTCGGCACAAGAAGATGCCGCGTTGGCAAGGACTCAGCTTGGGAACCTTCGCAACGAAGCACAGGAGAAGCTAGCAAAGGCCAGAAAGGACCGCGCAGATTTGCGCCAGGAGGTGTCCACATTGCGTGAGTCGCTTGAAATCAAAACTGCAGAACTCGAAAAGCTGCGGGCAGAAACCGAAGCTGATGCTGTTGTGAGTGAGATGGTTGATCTAGATGCAGCGGAACCAGAGGTTGAAGCCAAGACCCCCATCGAGTCTTCTGCAGGCCTCAAAGAAAAACAGGAGCGGATAGAGTTCCTTGAGAACGAGGTCAACAAAGTGTCTGATGATCTTGTTGAAGCTCAAGCGGCCACCCAAGCAGCTGAGGACCGCTGCAAGAAGCTGCAAAAAGAACTCCACCAGCTGCAGAATGCCTTTAACGAAGTCAAGAAACAAGACAGTGACAAGGCAGAGCGTTTGTCTGCTCTTGAGAAGAAACTTGAGGAGCTCGAAAAGGCACCTAATGCAGTCGCACCCGAGAGTATGGACCCGCTTGTTGTCAGTATGCTCACTGCTGAAAGCCCGGACTCTGAAGAGCTTACTGCGTTGCGTCAAACACTGGTTGAAAAGGCCGGCCAGGAGCCTGTGACCGATTACACAGTGAAAGTTGAAACAGCTACCAAGGCCGTGCTCAAAGATCGCACTCGAGATTATGTTCGAAAACAAATTGATTCTACCAAATCACAGCTCCAGACAGAGTTTGAGGAGGATCTTAAGAGTAAACTTGAAGAGCAGCGCAAAAAAGTTGAAGCTTTGCTGGAGACCAAGTCCAAACTCAAACACAAGCTTCTTCAAGCCAAGACCGAGTCGCTCGAGCAGAAAAACCAGGAACTCTCTCTTATGGTGCGCAAGTTGAAGGGTGGAATCATAGATGCAGACGTCAAGACTCTACCCTCGGGCGTCACCAAGGTAGTGAACAACAAGCAAAAGGCCCCAGAGGTCAATCGGCCTCAAGTGAATCGTGGGAATCGCTCTGTCAAGCGAGGCAACACAGATCAATCTGGAGGCAACAATAAGAAACGTAAAGAGGATTAGGTATGTAATATTTCTCATGGTCAGTAATAATAGCAGTCCGATTATGAATAAGTTCTATGGAGGATCTTTTTACTCTGTGGCAGTGTCGTCCTGTTTGCCATCTGTAGCTGGGGTAAGCTCTTTGACTTTTACCGAGACCGGCGCGATCTCAACACCGGAAACAAGCATGGTACTAACGTATTCAAGGAATAGAATAAATAGACACATGGCACTGCAAATGCAGAAGTGGCTAATGCCAGTACCAATGTCTAGCCACGAGCCTTCATCGACAACTAGGTAGAAGAAGTTGAGAGACAGAATATCTGTGATGGATAGAACCATTGAAAAGATTGCATAGGGCTCAAGACCCACTGCAAGGTTAATAATACCCAGCGTCACAGACAGCAATAGGAAAGGAACCAAAATCTTCACAATCAACAAAGCACCCATGGCGAAGGGGCTGAAAATGGGGATAAGTCTGTACACGGAATCCAGGGAAAATGAAGAAATCGAAGCAATGTTGCCTGTACCGAAAAATGCGATGTGGGTCAAAAACATAAAGCGGACGGCCATCCGGAAGTCGCCCAAACGAAGAGGACGACCCGGTTCTCCCTCAAAGCCTACACGTCTTTCCAACTCAACCCAGGAATAAAGCAGCAAAGAAAAAGCGACATAAAAGTAGCCCTCATAGGAAATTGACAAGATTACAAAAGTTGGGCAAAAGGCCATAAACACAGTGAGGAATCGGAACCTGAAATCATTGACGGGAGACAATGAATTCATAAAGGGCGCCGTCAAGGACGAAAACAGCGTCATCCAACCGACGATTTGAGAGCCAATGGGCAGTCCCTTACGGGCCTGGAGAGACAAGACCGATGAACGCGTGACGATAACGGCAAGAACAATGAGTCCGAGCTGAACACCACATGTCACCATTGTGATACCGGTGAGTTTGAGGCTTCGCATCAAGGCTGTGATAGCGACAAACGAAATCACAGACATAAGAACACCAGACTGAACAATCATGTCAAGATTCTCGATCTTAACAACGGGAGATATAGTAAAGGCAGCAAGTACTACGCACATGGAGCTCCACAAAACAGAGAACCTCCAGTTTGCAACTGCCAGTTTCCAATCCTGGAGCCAAGGCCACCACATATAAATTGCAAGCATAAGCACCGAGAAGACTTCACGATGGAAGTAACCATAAATCATGGCTTCAATAATGATGAATCCAAATACTGTGGCCAGAATACAACCGCCGAGACCGGTGCCTTGCCGAAGGAAAAGTAGTTTGATACCTTGGAGCAAAGTGTTTTTATTTGAGACCACTTGATACCAGAAAAAGACCGGGAAAAGAGCATACAAGTAATAGTTCAACGGAGAATGCTGGCGGTAAAACAAAGCAGCCAAGGCACCAAATATTGCCACAGCGACCGCAGAGGGCCAAGTTGCCGTTGATTGAACGGGGGTTTCTTCGACAACGAACAGGTGCAAGAAAGAAATAAATGCAAACAGCATCCAGCCTAGGAAACCAAGAGTCACTAAAGATCGTAGCAAAAGCCAATTGTAGGTTTGCAGATATCTTAGACCGCTCAGACCCCTGGACATGAAGTCCTCGGCGCGCAGGATTGCTTGTTCGTAATGGCCCTGGGTGATCAGGTCTTCGATTTGAGCCTTGAGGTTGTCGACATTGTTTTCTCCGCTGAGCTCAGGGTACGGCTTAAAATACAAATAGTTTGCTTTGAGCTGCTTCTCCTTGACAAGATACTGCTCAACAATAGAATATGCGTTTTCGGCCAAAGCCCTGGCTTTTGATTCAGGCTTGGCATCAATGAAATCGAGCGGGAGTTCGCCAACAGAGTTTGCAGGATAGTTAACACCAATAAGATACGACATGAGAGTTGCAATATCTGCCTGATTAACATCATGACGTTGGACTGGCAAATCCCACAACAATGACTCCTCATCGTGACCCTCAGTTCCAGGCAATGGAGTGTTGACACCTTTACCCCAAACCACCAGTGGTGTGCGTGTATTGTTAGGATGGCCATCACCATGAGATCCGAATGCGCTCATACCATGATCGGCAGTGAACACCCAAGCCGTCTCGTCGTCACCATAAAACGCATTGACCTTGGTTTCCAACTCACTGATTTTGACGTCAATGTACTTGATATTGTCATAATATTCAGCAGAATAAGGGCGATAACTGTGACCTGCTGTATCAATGCCGAGCAAATGCAAAAAGAATACTTGTTGATCGTGGTGAAGAGAATCCGCCAAGGTACTGTTAACTTTGGCCTCGGCGAAAAGCTTATCGAGATGATCGAAAACAAATTTATCCAAATCGATCGAGGAACGCGTAAAGTCCTCGTATGAATGGTCGTACACCTCCATATCCACGCGTCCGGGCACTGCGCCCTTGCTGAACATTGGCAGAATGTCTGGTGAGCCAAAAGAGAAAGTATGGCGAGACTGGTTGAACACTGAGTCGAAATCCACGGGGTTTTCCTGCCATCCTTTGGTTACGGCACTCACATCTTCGTAGAATCCAGCGATCATAGCCACGTGGCCGGGCCGGGACTCAGTGGGGACCCGGGTGTGGGAGAGCCCAAAAGTGCCAGCAGTCAACGCTTTTGACCGAATAAACGGAGCGAGATACTCTTCCTCGCCGCTCGAAGGGTGGATCACCTGCTCAAAGCATTTGTCTGCCCGTAAACCATCACCTACTATCAGAAACAGCCGCTTGGCTGGCTTGACTGTTTCAGGATGGTAGTGCTTGACGCCATGAACAAGGGGACTGACAAAGTAGATGTCAAAAATTGACATCATAAACGTCAAATGAAACACAATACCGATAAACAGCACGGCCCAGCGTGATAGTAGCGGCATTGTTGTTTCGAAAGAGCGTGATGAATGGTTTGACTAAGTGACGACTGGCCAGGCCCTTTAAAGGCCGAATAAACTGGACATTGGAGGCATGAGCCTCTCCCAAAAAACAATCGCTGGAGCTAGAATAAATAAATAAGATTAAGTTATGCGATCTAAAGTGGGTTTCCAATTCTCCAGCACTTTTTGCTGCGTTTCCATTTTTTCGATCCATTCCCGCATACATTGGATATCTGCGCGGGTGCCGTCGATGAGATCTTGGACTTTTTTGGGATTCATTACAAGTTCTCCGGTTTGCGACTTTAGCTTTTGAGCACTGGAGCCCACGTTTGTGAACAATGTCTCACTGTAGTCGAGGTTTTGGTAAAGGAAGTCACGGACCTTTTCGGCATGGTCTAGTGCCTGATTAAGGGTAGGTACTCCACTGAACATAGGCACATTTTGGGAGCTGCTGGTGCGAGGTCGTTTGCTGGCCCTGCGCGACTCCCGCTTGGATGCATTATACTGTCTTGCTCGGGGACTCACATTGGGCATGCTGGTTGCCATGTCTCCCATTGTGAAGTTTCCATTAGTTTGAGAGAAAGGGGGCACAGAGCCCATATTATGCAGGTCGAATTTGGCTCGCTTGGATCGGGGTAGGCTGTCCGTGTCGGTTGAGCTTCTTTGTCGTTTGGGCGACTCATGCACCACTTCTGGCTCAGCTTCGTCTCCGCTCTCGTGCGTCAAATCAATAATCGACGGATCAACTGACGGTCCAGGGTCTGTTTTACGATTTCTTGGAATTTCTGGAGAAGACTCTGGGGTCGGAGATTGAGGTTCTGGAGAGTCCGAACCGGCAGTAGGAATTCGGGTCGCGCGGTCGTAAGATTCATGTACAGATGAGTTCACATTCGAAGACTCGGCAAAATGGCGACTGGGGCCCGTCTTCCAAGGTTTCGGCTCCGATGGCGTTCTGCGCGCCGATCCATTGCTGGACCTGAACGTAGAGGAAGCGGCTCTTCGACTCCAGGGCATTTTGAACTCAAACGGGTCGCCGAAATTGAAAAAGTTGAAGTCACTAAAAAACCTCGAGCTGGTGCTAGCCGGGCGCCGTTTGGGCATACCAGTGTAAACTTCCTGGAAGGTGAAATCGAACAGATCACTAAACGCTCCGGAACTGTACATGTTAGGGGTGCCAAAGCTGACTTTTGGCTGCGGAGCGATTGAAATATCGTAGGATCTGCGCTTTGTGGCGTCGCCCAGGGTCTCGTAGGCTTCGACGGCCCGCTTGAATAGCTCGACGTTCCCCGACTTGCCTCGATCCGGGTGGTGCTTTAAGGCAATTATCCGGTACGCCTGCTTGATTTCCTCCTGGGTGCACGACCTCGACAATCCAAGAACCTCATAATGGGTTTGTTGACTGCCAGCCGGCCGTGACATAAGTGAATGGGAAAAGAGAAATTGTGATTGGGAAGACGCACTAAATAGAAAATTGGCGTGGTGCGTTGGCGCTGCTTAGCCCCAGCACGGCAGATCACCACTTGGCAGACCTTTGTGTCAACAAGGCTTGCGGTATTTTGAGACGTCTGTGTAAAATCAACAAAAATAACCCTGCATGTGCCATCAACCATGACGTTTTGGACCTAGCTGACCTAAACTGCATATATTATGAATAAGAGCGGGAATCTGAAACCGTCCCACCTGACTCGGCAGAGGTTTGCCTATACACAACTAAATAATGGTTGAGGACGAGAGATTCCAGGATTTCTTAGCAGCACCGCTCAACAATGACAAGCGGTTCGTGTCGTTCCGCGTCGGAATGGACAAGAATGGGAGCTACCGCTTACATCGGTCTATTGTGGACTCGGTCCCAGATCACCTGGCCGATCGAGTTACCTCGTTCCCAGTGTATGACTTGGACGACGAGTTTTCCTGCGAGCAGGACCCCAGTCCGCTGGCGTTTCCGCCGTATTTGAGGTCACTGACTGTGATTAACTCGAAATGTGCGGGCGGCAGCACTGGCGGAGAGGTTTATTTCAACGTGCTGAGTCCGTTGCTAAAGGCCTTCCGACTGAGGCACGTCTATGTGGCAACCGACTCACAACAATCAATCTCCAACCACGCGCGGTCGTTTTCGTCTTCTGCCAGTGTCATTATTATTGGCGGAGACACATCGGTGCACGAGTTTGTCAATTTTCTCTCTCCATCGCACGACACAGAACTTCGCCTATCGGTTATTCCTGCTGGCACGGGTAATGCACTGATGGCCTCGTTGGGAATCACATCTCCAATCCAGATCATAGGACGGCTATTTCTTTCTGATGACTTCTTACCCTTGGCGGCTTTCCCCGTGCACTTTCCACCTGGGTCCCGCGGCATCAACACCATTGACCCCGATCGTCTGTCTTACCAAGCGCTCGTTGTTGCATCATGGGGGTTCCATGCGTCGCTAGTATACGAGGCTGATTCCGCCGAAATGAGGCAATCTGGGGCTGACCGGTTTGCCTTGGCAGCAAGCAAGCTAATAACTACAGTAGACCAGTCGTATGACGGCCGCGTCCTTGACGCGCCTACACCGATTGGATCGCCCATTTCCTATTTATTGTTCACCACCGTGACGAACCTCGAGGCAGATTTCCCGATCTCGCCTCTATGCCAACCTCCATCGTCCTGCAAGCTCTACTGCGTTGCCGTTCCCAAAGTACCTAATTCAGAGCTCATGGACATCATGAAAGAGGTCTACAATAGTTCATCGCATGTTAATGACCCCAGGGTTGTGTACGAGCATATTCATGATTTTTGCCATATCCAGATCGACGACGCAGACTCGACACGGCGCGCCTGGTGCGTCGATGGAAGCATCGTCGAAGCAGCAACTGGCATCGTGACAATTGGCAAACCCTCTACTTCTTATAATGGATGGAAGCTACTCATAAAAATATGAATCATTACTGGATTTGTACATACTAAAACCGAGTTTCTCACTTTGCCCCTCGCTTATGCATCCTGTCAAAACCCTGACACTTGGGGCAGCCGCGACACCTACTCGTTAAGGTACGCGCGTGGGAATTCGTCTTTCTTTCTTACCTCATCACCCTCAGCACCTACGGAATGTCAACTGGAAACACGGCCGTGTACGAGAGCCTCAAAAAAACCCTGCCCAAGCTAATTGAGCAGGCAAACTACTCCGAGTTGTATGGAATTGATTTCAGCTCGAATGCAGAGTGGACAACTGCGCATGAGAAGGTGCTGCACAAGTTTCTTGTGGCAAACAAGTACGAGCTCGAGCCATCAAAGACGCAGCTTCTGAACACTCTCAAGTGGAGAAAGGAGTTCAAGCCGCTCGAGGCAAAAGATGAGGTTCACTCCGACGACCTCCAGAAGCTCGGGATCATCACCAAGTCGCCCAGTGGCAAGATTATCACTTGGAACTTGTATGGGGCCATCAAGAACCGCCAGGAAGTTTTCGGCAAATTGGATGCGTTCTTGCGTTGGCGTGTTGGGCTGATGGAGCGTGGAATCTCTCTGCTTGATCTCAGCTCCGACGAGTTCGGCACAATGGATCAGGTCCATGACTACATGGACGTGTCGTTTCTTCGCATGGACCGTGAGACCAAGGCGGCTTCTTCTAAAACCATCAAACTGTTCCAGGACTATTACCCGGAGTTTTTGAGTGCCAAGTACTTTGTGAACGTCCCGTTCTTGATGACCTGGGTATTTACGTTTGCCAAGGCCTTCATGTCCAAAGAGACCGCAGACAAAATGCACGTTATTGGCAACGGCAAGGACTTGAGGTACGACCTAGGTGACTGGATCCCCAAAGCTTACGGGGGCCGGGCTGAGTCGTTCGCGTCAATTGCTGCCGAGGCATCTTCTGGTGACAAGCCAGCGGCTTCTGCGGAAGTTGTGAATAACGCCACCACCGCCGCGGTTGCTGCAACCGAAGCGCCGCTTAATGCTTAACGAATCGAACTAATTTAATGATAACGATTAATACGCACGATTATATAGTTAAACCAACCCGCCAACCAACCACTCCCCACAGTTACAGGGTCCTTCACGTACCCTAGCCCTGACAAAAAAGGTATTGAGCTAGGGCTTAGACCTAATCACAGTCCAAGTGTCGCAGTAGGGAGAAATCATTAAATCTTTGGCAGCGAACAGGCACCCTCAACATATACAATGGTTCTTGCTGTTGATCTGCTTAACCCCACTCCTCAGTCCGAGGCTCAGAAGCACAAGCTGAAGCAGCTCGTTGCTGCCCCTCGCAGTTATTTTATGGATGTTAAGTGCCAGGGCTGCTTGACCATTACCACCGTCTTCTCCCATGCTCAGACCGTGGTCACCTGCGGCTCCTGCGCCACTGTTTTGTGCCAGCCCACCGGTGGTAAGGCCCGTTTGACCGAGGGCAGCTCTTACCGCAAGAAATAAGCGGTTTGGCCATCTCTAAACCCCAAAAAATTCATCATGAAAGAGGCCGGCGGTATCGATAATCTCTGCTGGACACCTTTAAAAGCTCTGCGCAGAGAGGCGCTACTTTATGATTATCACTTGCACAACTGTTTATTTAGGTAGTTCCTCTTCTTAATGGGCGTTTTTCAAAAGGAAGTATTTGCAGGTCTATTGTTCGGCTAGTTCCCTAAAATTATCTCTCTAATCCCCGCTCCCCTCCCCCCCCTCACCTTGCGTCGCCACACGACTAAATTTTTCGCTTTTTCGCACTTAGATTATGTAACCGGCTCTGACTTGCTGACTAGCGGTTTTTCCCCACCTCTCTCTAAATACTCCTTGATTACTCACCCAGGCCTATTTTCATAATGCGTGTCATTGTCGCGATAGTTACAGCGTTCCTGTTTGCTCTGGCCAGAGCTCACAACGAACTGCTACCTGCCCGGGGCAAGTCGTGCTTCTTTGAGGATCTGCGCGCCAACGACGTTTTTGGCGTCACTTTCCAGGCTGGCACCCGTGATAGTGGCTCCAGCGACCAGCCGGAGATCAACTTCTACATCAATGACCCGAGTGGCCGCCCTGTTCACCAGACCTTCAAGGCCACAGACGGTATGCCATCCGTTACGATCCAGACTCCTGGCCGCTACGAGTTCTGCTTCAGCAATGAGGCTTCAGGCTCCAAGACGATTGACGTCACTTTCCACACCGTTCTGCACAAGGCTAGCGAGCGTAACGAGGCCACCATCGATACCATTGAGGGCCAGGTGAAGCTGCTTGGCCGCACTATGGACGAGGTTCAGCACGAGCAGGACTATATTGTCATCCGTGAGCGCGTCCACCGTAATACTGCCGAGTCGACTAACGACCGCGTCAAGTGGTGGAGCATTTTCCAGCTTGCCGTGGTGTTTAGCAACACCGTGTTCCAGGTCATTTTCCTCAAGCGCTTCTTCGAGGTCAAGTCCCATCTTTAACAAGCAGCCGCTGCTGGACCCCTCTCATAACATAAATTCAAACAAAATAACCCTCTTACTCTCATCACTCAAATTGAAATTAGTGCTACTTACTTTTTGTCAATTGTCGCATTTTAAACGCAAGAGTGCTTAATGCATTACCGTGCTTGGACGCTTTCACGGAGTTTGACGCTTTTCGCAGTGCTGGCGCCGGGCCAGAACGGTCGGGTTTGACTTTCACGGTTAATAACGTGCCCGGCTTGCGAACGTCGGTCTCAATAGGATTAGGCGGATTGACGCCTCGCCGCTGCCAAATCTTCTCATTTTTCTCGGGCTCTGATTCTTCAAAATGTACTCGCAGCCCTGGAGGCTCAGACGAAAGCTTGTATTCGACCTCGACTGTTCCTAGCTTGTCAATTGAAGACGATTCGAACTCAGGAACGTGGTTACTGTCCTTAACGTTCACCCACCACACTCTAGATGAGTCGCGAGATGCTACTGCCGCATCGTGGAGCCTCTGTTTTCGAGCTGCTTCAGATGCTACCGTACGGCTGGGCACGGATGAGATGCCATTGAAGACACCAGAGGACTCTGCCCATAGCATGAGGCTACTATCGTCACATTCGGGAATCTCACGAACCCTTACAAAATTCTTCAAGTCCAGTCTTGACGCAGAAAGAAGCTCTGCATCACACTCTTTATGGACTGTACTGTCGGCTTGAGTAGAATTGAACGAGTCTAGCTCACAGAGAGTGGCTGTGCTCGAGCAGTCTGTCGTATCGTATTCCAGAGCCGGACTTTGCAGCTCCTTCAAAAGCTCTGATGTTTTCAGAGACTTTTGCTCAAGCCGTGCTGGGTACTTAGGCGATCTAGGTTCGGGGTGACACAAATTCGGACAGAACCTCTCCCCCAAGTTCTTCTTGAGTGCCTTACTTGGGAAGAGTTGATTCATACGGTGGTCTGGCGGAGTGAACATGGGCCCCGAGAAGGTGAGTTTCTCAATGGCAGCATCAATTTGCTCCTCACAGGCTTTCAGACGAGCACTAATATCTTCACGATCCTCTAGAGCTGCTTCACGCTGCATGTTTTCCAACTGACAGTGCTCAAGAATCCACGAACCAAGGACTTCATGCGGTGCCCAGTCCGTGCTGTCAAGTGATATCGTCTTGGATGGACTAACTGTGTACAACGAGCTCCGCCCATCCAAAGAAAACTGTAGCGAGTTCATGAGAGTGGCCCTGTAAACAAGAAATGCAAGATGGTATACTGTATTAATACTGCATAACAAACTGTTTCGTATGCGTGCACTACAGCTGGTGCTTGTGGGGCAGTGGTAACAGCCATCTGCCCAGGGCCGCTGCCTTGAGAGCCACCACATTAGCACGTCAGAAATTAAACAATCATTAGCATAAACCAAACAACACCGTAGAGCATCTTGGTGTTGCCACGAAAAGTCTGCGAACGTTCGGCCACTCATGCAACACACGGCTGACCTGCAGCAGCGTGCTTTGGGGTATCCCCCGATATGGATTGGGTTAAACGCGTAGGAAATAGAGTTTGTGCCCTGAATTTTTCTTGTCACGGTAATTATATATATCTATGAGATCAAAAGGTTTTGTTTGCTGCCAATTCAGCCCCACAACGCCAGTTCGTCGACTCCGGCTGGCGGCTGAATTGGCTTGTCCGAATTGGGTAGTCTTTTTGTCAGGAATGAGTGAACAAGACGACGGCACCACCGGGTAGAGGCAGGAAAAAAATGGAGAGCAAAACATACTGATTGGAATCGACATATTTTTATGGAATTAACAGTGAGTGAAATCAAACACTTGTCTCGACTTTAGGCGGGGGGCGGCTGGAGATCCCCAGGCTTCCGATTGATTTTTTATTGTCCGAGTCGTCGCCAGAGCTGGATCTCCCATTCAACTGGCCAGTGAAAGTGGTTGAGGAGGACCATCCAGGAAGACGGACCCCTTTCTTGTCACCAGCTGACCGGCCACTAGGCGTGGCGGAGCGCGTCGCACTAGAAGATGAGTTGCCAGAACTTGCCGTTCCGTTTAGGTGGGAACCGCCTGCGGCACCGTCTTTGGGGTTGGTAGGTTTCTGGTTCGCAGCCGCCTGCGCCGCAGCAACCACCGCTTCTTTGCGGGCAGCAAGTTTCTGCTGCATGTGGAGAACATGCTGCTGGTGCTGAAGCTGTACCTCATGGAACTGCTCGTACGACTTGCCGATAAGCATCGACCCAAACCGAATGGATTGCGTCTCTTCGCTTAGTCCATTCAGCCTGGCCGGCTCGCTGCACCAATCGTCTATAGTGTCAACTGTAGAGTCATTGTCAAACAGGAACCGGTCAACAAGGCGTTCTTCCTCGGCATTTTTCGGGGTGTCCAGTTCTTTGGGCTTACGAGATAAGTTCCGCCTATCAAGAAACACTACACCGCCTCTGTCGAGTCGTTTGCGGTACTGCACAGCCGAGTAGCGAGGGACTGAAAGGCCACTCATTGGTGGAATCTCTCCATCTTGAATCTTACGAAGCGGCTCCATGGAACCGCTTTTGCCCATCCGACCCCAGATCACTTCGGGCGGGGACTCAGCCCGCCGAGATATATACTGTCTTCCAAGACTCGATGCAAGTGGAAGCTTGAGACGACTTGAAGTAGAGCACGGGTATGGTGATTCAAGGCATGAATAAATAGACTGGTGCCTGTCCAGCTTGACTTTTTGGTCTCTTTCGAACCGCGACCGTTTGGGGTCAAAGTAATCGCTATACGGAACATAAGGGCTGTCCGTATAGTTGACCCATCCAAGATCTTGCTCTGCACGCTCTCGAAGACGGTTTTTGACTTCTGCTCGAAGTGCAGCATCCTTCTCCTGGAGAGCCTGCTCCAGAGTGTGCATGTCGAGATCTGGGATCTTGTTGGTCGCCGCTTTGACGTAGGCAGTTGGGGGTTCGCGTCCGACAACAGCGGGGGGAACCGGTCTGGCAAGCTTCTCGTCCTTTTTGGTGGCGGGGGCAGCAGACGGTGTTCCGGCGGTAGTCGCTGTTGGAGGAAGACGGCGTTCTTCGCGCTTGCGCTTGGGAGTGATAAAGTCTTCGTCGTCTCCGGCAATATTGAGCTTGCGTTTGAGAACTTTGACTTTGCACCGCTGTTCGAAAACGTCCCAGTCGCACTGAATGTTTTGCAGTCTCAGCTGTTCACGACGAGCGACCATTTCGAACAAATGTTTCGCTTGCTGCATTTCAGCCTGCAACTTACGAAGACGTTCAGAGCTTTGTTGGTCTGTTCGTCGAGTCTTGCGGGTCTGCCTAACTTCACGGTGACGGAAACAAACATACGGATCGTTCTCGTCTTCCTGAGAACCGCTTTCAAATTTGAGCGCGGGCGTAATCTCTTTACCTTTGCGGGCAATTTTCCTTTGTTTCCAATGCTGGTAAATCCTTGAGCCGAAAGTTTTGAAGGATGCGGCCACAGTCCGGTAGGGGCTGGGATGATATTTTTGTGTGTACACAGACGACTTTGTTTGTATCAAGAGACGGTTGAGAGAATTGGGGTCTTTTTCCTCTGAATCGATTTTTGTCAAGATGATCTGCTCAAGGTCCTTGTATTCCATTAGCTGTGAAGGATCAGTAGTCAAAAATGGCTGCTGGGTCTTTACAGTGGATTCGAACAGATATACAATCATTTCGAACTCGTCCTGGCTGCATTTGAGACGGTTGTCAGATGCACCTTTATTCAGACCTTCAAGGTACTCAAGATCATCCTCATCCATATTATAAGGGCACCCCGAGGCATCTTCAACGGTGGCCGATTGCCGGATGTAGGTTGTTGGCTGCGACCAATTGGCCTTGTAGAACTTGTTGTATTCTGGCCATCCGGTCGCAGCTTTAGGGGTGGGGATGTAGACTTCAGGAGCCTTCTTGCTATTCAGGCTGACCGTGTATGCGTTCAAAACAGCTTGGAGATGATGCTCTTCCTCCTCGTGTTTTTCAACACCGGTCTCGACACCTACCACGTCACGGTTTGCATCATCCTCGATATCAGGAACATCTTTTTGCCACACAATGCGAAGGTTTTGTTTCAGAGAAACTTTTCGTTGGCGAAATCTCGCTGCGGCTGCGATGGCTGCATCTGAGCCAGCAGCATGCACGTGACCATTACTGTTCCCGCCCATTTCGTACTATGTTACTAAGCAACAACAGAGGTCGTGGTGGGATGGGGGGTAATGGGGTGAGCAACAAAGCGGGTCCAGGAATGAACTGGTCTCTAAGTCGCGGGTACTCGAGTGAGGAAACCTTGGAGGTTTCTCCCGAGAAAGAGCTTGTTCTTTTAGGACTTTTTGGCGTCAAAAATAGGGCCAGAAAAGCTTGACACTGCGAATAGACGGACAGAGAGCCTCGGTGGCGAAAACTTTTCTGATTGGTCAATACTCGAAAGTGCCCTAAAAAAGACCAAGAACGCGACTGAAAGATAGAGAACTTAGTACTGGAAGGACAGCTTAGTTTCTAAAATTCGACACCTCAACTTTTATCGCTTGAGGATGGTCGCTGGAGCTGGGTCCGGGGGGTGTAGTCTAAGACTGGTCGACTTTGCCACTTACGTTGGGTAGGGCGAGATGCCCATCCGGCTGCCGTCTTGTGAAAGTACACCCTTACCCTATAGACAATACGGGCGAAACGGGGTCGCAAGAAGTGCCAGTTAAATCATGTCACCGCTCCGTTGATCCCGTCCAATTTCGTGTTCTTTTGGGCTGCTAGCGGCTCTCTTTGTAAATATTGAAATAGTTTGTGTAATTTGTTTGCTGGGTTTGGGTTAAAGCAAAATTTCCACTATGAAAACCTGGAATTTTGGAAAACGTGTGCTCGCAGTAGCTTGCTCTTGCCTCAATTTACACGGCCAGATTTTTTATCACCTGCCTGGATCCAAGTGTAGCCTTGATTGGTAGTAAAAAAGTTTGGCAGGTTTTCCTGGCACTCTGATTCGTGCTTAATAAGCGGGCCCGTATATAATGTGTAAAGCATCATTCAGGTTTTCTTCATCCAACTTATACGAGGTAAGTGATGATTTTCCACAAAAAAACAGTTATCCCTGTCTGAAAGGACATGTGTTGATGAATTATAATCTGAGTACTAACGCTGGCGAAATGTATGTTTAAATTTAATAGCACTTACTACCAAAATATATGTACATAACGAACGACGTCAGACAGTTGTCACACATTTCAAATCACTTGGCCGAAACCATAACATAAGAGGTACCAGATATATTTAAATGTTTTAGTGAATAGTCATCATTATCATTCGCGAATACTCCTAGCGAAATAAGCCCCTAAAAGCCCTTTCAGGGACCAGTCTCGCTAACGTATTAGGTTGTGTAGGAAAGAATCTAATAGTAAAAAAACTGTTCATATTAATACTAGTGCCCTAACCCACCAGAGGCCGGCACGGGCTGTCCAGGGAGGGCCACCAGCACTGTTTTAATGGGTTCGTGTCCTCGAGAAGACTCAGGCATTCGGTCTTATTAAATAACAAAGGTTAGTCTCTGCGCTGGCCAGCTGCCAGCAGCACGGACAAAACCGTTAGATTTTGGGAGTTGCAAAGTTCCTCATGAAATGGCCTAGTGGCTAGGCATGGTGCGGCATATATCGTTGTCATTGCCATGAGGAGATTTTGATCCAGAGCCGCAGACACCGAGGCCAACAGGAGGCCCTTGAGCCGACCCTGTGAGCTGTGATGCTGCGGCGAGTGTGTTTTTGTCAGGCGTACCTATCGGCTCTAGAACACGTGTTTGCTGTCCAGAGGAAGACCGATGCGGCTTTGCAGAGCTCCAAAGCTCTGATGGATTGTGCGGACTCGCTATTGCTGGTCGGTGTGAAGACGAATGTCTCGAGTTCCTTCGCTCTCTCTCCTGAGGAGTGAGCAGGTCTGATAAGCTCGGAGGAACCAAATCTTCCTCAAAGCCCTCTTCAATATCGTCGCCATCATGATCGTCGTCGTCGTCATCGACAATTGCCGAGCCTTCATAAGCCAAAGGGTTTTTTAACCGGTCGGCCCAAATCGATGACGAGATCCCAGATGAGCTGAGTCTCGACATTGATCCCACGCGTTGACTTCCGAATAATTGTGATTCTGTTAATACAGCTGAGCGGAATGAAGACGATCGGGCAGTGGCCGATCCAGCTGACGCTCGGCTGAACGAGAACGAGGATCGAGCAGATTTCGAAGCAACTAGTGGCGACATGACACCAGTATTGCCACCCGAAGATGCACTGGTCAAAGGGCTTGCAAAATATCCAGACTGCTGTGTGACGGTATCTGCCAACAGACTATTGTCGTCAATCGAGTTTGAAGGTGGACTGCCCGAGGAAGCCAGTGCCCCCTGAGACGCCGAGAGATATGCAGAGGAATATGTGCTGGACACGGATTTTGATGACAACGAGACTGGAGTGGCCGGCTTGATCGGGGTCTTGGATTGGCCATCTATACCGTGGCCCTTGGCCCCATCTCCACTAGGTGTGGGGGCGCTGCTGGAGGAGAGCTGGTGGTGCTGTTGCTGTGATCGCGAACCCAGAGGCTTGTCTTTTTTGGTATTAACACGCCTACCGTCAGGAGTTATGTGGGCAAGCGCACACTTTGCACCAAACTTGCAATTCCCCTTTTGAAAGTATTTACAGACCGCTTGACTCACTGCCTCAGTGTCGTGAGAGAAGGGGCATGAATCGCCAGCTTGGCAAACGCCCTGACGAAAAAACTTACAGGGCACATGGCTGACCTTTTTCGCTGTGCCGTTTGTAGATGTGGTGCCACTCGCCGTGCCACCTGCTGGGGTAGAACCGGAGGATGGCCGACGACCAGGAGTGGTCTTGGCGCGCTGCTTGTGGACTGTGTCTCCATTGGAGGGGTCCTTGGACCGAATTGGTTGTGACTCTACCATTTCGACCCCTTTGAGATCGGTTGTTGGCATCCTGGGAACTATAAAAACCGCCCCAAGTCTTGAATGTGTGGAGCAATACAACTTGGTCTGTGACAGCTGAGTCATACAAGAGGGTTTCTGGAGATGGTGAGGAGGATCGGGCTGAGGGGGTTTCAAAGGTTAGAAGTGTTTTTAAGTGAAGCGAAACGATAATCTTAGAGCAAACTTATTTTGAAAAGTCTAGAATTCCATAAATAAAGTTTGAAAAGAATCACTATCTGTGGAATATTCTGGCTAGAACCCAATGACGTCATGCGGCTGATTAGGGTCGCGTCGTCGCAGACTAGAACGTTGTTGAATCACGCTCGACAGTGATCGATTGGGTTAAAATAAGAGAGTGGCACTGCTGACAGAATTAATAGATTTAATATATACTTTTCAAGCTTCGAAATTGAGTCTTGATTTCAAATCTAGCTCAATGTAATATTTTACTCGTTGTAGTGATAGACCAAGTAGTTCGGTAAACCATACACCTTGTAATTGAGACGCTTTGCCATTTTAGCAAAGCCTTCGCTCTCGATGAGATGGTAGAATGCAAATGGAGGGAAAATGGCGCCGTCACGGTGTACGTCTGCCTTGACGAGGAGGGCAGTGGCTCCAACGCCATCAAGCTCAAGCAGGTCGGACGTCGATCCAGTCGGCGAGTACAATTTGGCCATGAGCGTGCGATAGGTGGCCATCTCTGCATATCCCTCCAGCAGAATGTCGTCAGGACCCATTTGGTTTGCTAGTTCGTGGGCCGCCTCTGAGTCAATCCACGAATTGAAGTCGTACGGGCGGCTTTTCGATTCTCCGTTTTCGACATAGCGTTGCCAGCAATTTGCTACCAAAACGTCCACGTCCCTTTTGGTCATATCCTGAAGAATGGTGGGTGGGGTTTCCACGACGTCTGCGTCCAGCCAGAATACCCAAGACGTATCAGCTTGGATTGTTGTGAAAAGAAGCGAGTTGCGTGACAGCGACATCAGGCTGCGGCGCTCCTTTTGGAATGCCAACGCGTGTCGGTCGGCTTCGTTCTGCGACTGAGGTGAGGGCGTGTCCTGACGGAGAATAGTGATTTTGCGGAAATGAGAGCTTTTATCCGAGGAAGTTTGGTACTTTTTGACAGCGGCATTCAGCTGGACTAGAGTCGCATCACCCTGAGCGTCGTTCGGCACAATGAAACCAACGTCGATCAAACTGTGCGGGTATGTTAAGGACACGAGGTTATCCCAGTAACCTTGGTAAAACCGCGCCATAGGGGTCAGAACCAGGATTTTTTCCTTGTTAGCTTCAGCATTCGAGGTGGCCTTGATGTTGTCCATGGGGTAAATAGTAAACGGCGCTTCTAAAGATTTTTTCGGAAGCTTAGCACTCCCGATAGCTTGCTGTGGGACTAAAACAGAGAACAGAACGTACAAAAATAAATAACCACAGGCGAGCAGCGCACCTGTAGTAACATAGCTCCGCGTGTTACGCGACTGTTGTAATTTCGCGATCATTCTCTAGCGAAAAAAACACGAGTCTAACGAGGTGATCTTGGTGATGATTACTAACCGCGAAACGTCCACGCCCAATGAGGCGAGGGGAGCGTAGGGGGTTGGTGAGAGTCGGAGATGAACCTTAAAATGAAAGTTTGATTTCGAATTGGGTTCCTAGCTGATCAATAGTACAAATATAAATTTATGAGACTCCCATACTCCGCGTTTTCCGCTCGGTTTTCTTTTGCCTTTTTTTCTTGCAGATTCTTTGCTCGATTTCCGTATGTATGTATCCGTTTAGCCCACTAATTCGTGGAAACCTTCGGAGGGGATACTGCTAAAAGCAGGTTTCGGGCTAAAAATAGCGGATCAGTCATTTGCTGTAGTAAGAGATTTCCTCTGCGATATGCACAGAAAAGTGGACCTGCTATGGTCCTACACCTGCAGCTATTGATTCCTTGGCGGAGGTTTACAACCTGGTACGGTGTCAGCGGTCGCTCGCCCCTGTCATCAGCGGCTTGGCACTCATCGCTAAGTAGGGGCAAACCTCAGATCGCGGGCCGTGAGTAGAAACCCTTGAAACCCAGTTTGCCCTTCGGCCCGTTGACATAGCAGTGCGCCTGCTGCGTGGTATGCTGTGCTTGGGCTGTGCTTCGGCAACCTAAGATATTTGTCAGACCACAAAACTGCATGGATATTGCGCCAATATATACAACCACGTGCCTACTAGTATGCACAGCCTGAGACTCTCCGACTAGTTCAGGCAGTGTCGTCTGAGCTCATCGCTACCATCCCTGCTCTACCCTTTCGGGAGGGATTGGCGGTGGATCGTCACTTCCATGTCAACTACATCAATCCCTGCGCAGTGCCGACACGCAACCTTTGCGGCCTAATGCATGCATGTTTGAGCCCTACCCTATACTCTGAGAACCCTATCAGACCCCATGCACAGGCACGGTGGGATGAAGTGGGATGAAGTGGGATACACTGAAACAAATCTTTACCATTGTAATTCTGAGCAAGTTTCGCACAACTAGCTGCCTTGGTGGAGACAGTCCGCAAGCAGTCCAGAATTATGGTTCGGAAAATTCTATGGAAGGTCTTGTAGTCCATAGAAACGTCGCTACCTGTCAAATATTCTCGTTGCTCGGGAAAAACTTGTATCCGAGATACCACGACCCTGGACCGGTCCCGAGCGGGACCACGAGGCCGGTAACTTTCTAAAATATATAATTTGAAAAGCCTTATAAAACTATATACGCTATGGTTTTATGCTGTCGACTTGGAGATATATCAATCATATTGCACTCTGGCCGCCGTTGACTTGGGGTCATACATGAGACATAAACAGCACAGCAGGCGTGCTGATCGTGGAGTCCACAGTGAATCCTTGCATTCTATAGAACTTGATTGCCCTTTTGTTACAGGTAAAAACTCGTAAAGTTATACTGTGTCGTGCTAGTGCCTTGACTTTCGTCATTAGCGCAGTTCCAAGTTTGTTTCCTCGCATATCTGGGGAAACATGCAGCTCATAGATAAACGTGGTAGGCTCATCATGGTCGTCGGTATCGTCTAATACAAAGCTAACAAAGCAAGCAACTTTATCAGATGAATTCACACCTATTATATATTCCAGGCCGGGTGTCGACTCCATCTCGGCTAGTTTTTGCTTCTTGACCCAGCCCTCGCCCGAGGCGATGTACAGCGGTCGAATTTTTCGCACTAAATTGTAGCACTCAAGTAGCCTGTCCTTATCCAAGCCCCGTACAGAGCACGCTTCCCATTGAATTTTCAGGTCAGAGGTCATTCCATACTACCTTCTTTGACCTGCCGGCAAGCGTTTCGCCGATGTTTGCCTGCTAATTTGTGGATGACTAATCGAAATGACGTGTTGGCGTGTGAACTGAAATACGCCACGCCAGAAAATAGACCCGCGTGGGCCGAAAAAGCGAGGTGACGTTATGGATCTTCCGGATGCTGCGAGGGTTGGTCGGAGCTGAATGCAAATCCCTCCAAGTGGAGTTTGAATAAAAGCAAAATATATCTGAGACACGAACTTTATGAGACGTTTAGACGCCCAAACTACAATTAATCGTGTGTTGGGCTCTGAGTGGGACCTTCACGGGTCGGCTGCCGCCGCACACTGCCCGCTTTCCGTCTCAGATCGATAGGCGTATGCAGTGTGTATGCACCTTCAACCCCTAAGGACATACCTCTGCTGGTCATGCATCGGCCCTCAGAGCTTAGGGTTCTGCAAACAGTAAATGCCTCAGCACGGAACCGATTTTTATCGAAGGCAGCTCGGCTTGCGGGCGATAAAAGGCTCATCTGAATAACTTTTCTCGAGAACTCCATACCCATCCACCTCTCGAAACGTCATGCTGTTACGCCACGCCCGAACTATTTTTGGGGGAAGGGGGGGGGGAACAGGAGGCGCTTTTCGTTGGGTGGACCGAGTGGAAAAGGGCACATCATCTCATGCAAAAGCTATGAGTTGCCGCCTGCGCCTGCAGTGACCATCTCCACTTCGCTGCAGATTCATAGTGCAGCTCACGCCACGAGAACTCAAAGACAGTGAATGCCAGCAACTTTGGTTTGCTATTGTTGCCAAGTTCGAATTTTTCGTAGCCCCCACATACAGGTTCCTTGCTGCGAAGAGCGGCAGCGGATTGCAGTATATGTGTATATGCGCAAGGGTTCATCTGCATGATCGTAGCCTAGACCCTGGGCAAGTGCATCAGTATATTAGTAGGCAGAGCCGCGGGAGATCTACTCGGCGTACTGGCATTCTACTTGTAGGTAGTAGTGTCAATAAAGAGAAGTAACTTGGAGCAATTCCAAGTTTGACTGCGGATAAGGATCGCTTTTCAGCTGTGATCCTTTCACTCATCTTTTGCTTTTTTTTTTTTTCTTTTTTTCTCCCCCCTACTCAGCACTCCCCACGGAGTCTGCCTGAGTTGAAGAATCTTTTCTATCCAACTACTGGATTGTCAAGTCATTTGGACGTTTAAGAATGATCCAGCCGAAACTTCAGCACCAGCCATCTTCGTCCAACATGTACAACCAACCGGCCTCCTCGCAACACGAGTCACCACCTCCTGTCGTTCCTGGGTTGACCTACGAGAGTTACACGCTGGTAAGATTCCCACAAATGCAGGTGCCTCTTGTGAGTGGCTACTCTAGCGACATGTCTGCACCCCCGTCGCGATACCCACCGTCGGACAGCGGGTACATGTCGCACGCGAACGGCCTGGGTCAACCGATGGGGTCCATGCAACAGGCGCCTTCTTATGCTGTTGCCGGTGGATACCCCATGATGAAGTCTTCTTATGGCTCGGTTCCACCAGCGCAAAGCTACGGATACATGAACGCTGCAGGCAGCGATTTGAAGCAGCAACCCGCGTACACGACCCCACCCACTACGGTGAAGCCGGAGTACGCTCAACAACACCCCTATTTATTTCAAGGTGCTAGGTGTGAGTTGCCGGATGCCTTCAAGTCGCATCAGCCTCAGGCGCTTGCCGATGATAGTAAGAACACGGGTCCTCCATCGACGGCGATTAAACGGCACTTTTGCTGTTACTGCGGTAAAGGGTTCGTTCGACCTTCTGCTCTCCAAACACACATTTACTCTCACACTGGTGAAAAACCCTTCGTTTGCAAGGAAGCAAAATGTAACAAGGCCTTTTCAGTAGTGTCGAACTTGAGACGGCACATGAAAATACACGAAAAGATGTGACTCTTTTATTCAACGCATTTTAAAACTGCAACACAGCTTCGTCACGTACTATTTATATGTTCCTCGTATCAGTGACAGTAACAGTTATTAAATAAACCTTTTCGCAAGGACCATTCCATCGGTCGAATTCCGTCAAACCTTCCTTATGCAGCACCAGCAGCGCTCAACGATGTATGTTCAACGACCAAGAGCCGTTTGCATGGTGCTGCAGGGATCGGCTCGAAAACGAGTACGCTAGAATTCGTTGCTGTTCAAGTGGGGAAGCCCGCCTGAAATAAAAATAGATGCTAAATAGTTTACAAGGGTCTATGGCAGCCTCCGTCCGCCTCTATAACTTCCATACCCGGATAATCTGCAGTCACGGCTGGTAGGGCGGCAAAACTTCGTCAATGCCCTCCTGGTGGGCGGCTAAGGCGGCCGATGCAAGTGCACTGAACTGTTGTGTGAACTCAAAAGCGCCACCTGAATTGAAACTTACGGAAAGCACCCAAGGACATCGAGGCTCCAGAGTTGAAGTGCTTGAAGGGACCAGGACCGCTTCCCATTTTTTAGGCCCAAACCACGGCTGAACCAATCGTGACTCTTTAACCCCACCATCCTTGACGATAATGCTAGCGCTCAACGATCGGAACTCGCGATCGCCTTTGCCAATTACCCGATAGGTTACTGGCTTTGCCTCCAAGGTCAGACGGGAGTTGGACAGCCTTAGCCTTCCAGTAGCCACTATAACCGACTTGTCCTGGAAGTTGGTCAGTGTTACTGTGACATTGCCATTGTCGAAAACGATTCGCTCATGTGGCCCTGGATTCACCGCAACATTTATGCTCATGCTGTAGATTTAGCTTAGAAGATCTTAGTCACTTGAATTGGCCTGATGAGCTCTAAATCTGCTCAAAAAAAACCACAGCCCACTCTTGTCCAGAACCAAACGTTAGTATAACCCAATCGGCTTCTTTCCCGCGTGGGGGGCGCTGTCGCTTTTCCTCCAGGGGTGTTAGGTCATATTACACCCGCTCCATTGGTAAGCGGTCAAGTGGAAAAAAAAAATATTTGTCAGAGAAAGTTTTCACCATGCAATTAACGTGGAAAGACATCCCCGTGATTCCGAACTCCAATGAGTTTTTGGATGTCATTCTCAATCGTACGCAGCGCAAGACGCCGACGGTGATCCGTCCAGGCTTCAAGATCCAACGTATTCGTGCATTTTACATGAGAAAAGTCCGATATACCGCCGAGGGCTTCTGCGAGAAATTGCAGGAAATCGTCGACTCGTTCCCAAGAATTGATGAGATCCATCCCTTCCACCGCGATCTTCTGGATACACTCTACGAAAAGAACCACTACAAAGTTTCTCTTGCCTCTCTTTCCCGCGCAAAGACCCTCATTGAGCAGGTCAGCCGTGACTACGTGCGTCTTTTGAAGTTCGGTCAGTCGCTTTTCCAGTGCAAACAGCTCAAGCGGGCTGCTCTAGGTCGCATGGCCACTATCACAAAGCGTCTCAAGGATGCCCTCCAGTACTTGGAGCAGGTCCGCCAGCATCTTGGTCGTCTTCCCTCAATTGATCCTAATACTCGTACTCTTTTGATCTGTGGCTACCCCAACGTTGGAAAGTCGTCTTTTCTGCGCACCATCACCCGTGCGGAGGTTGAAGTCCAGCCCTATGCCTTCACCACCAAGTCTCTTTACGTGGGCCACTTTGACTACAAGTACTTGCGCTTCCAGGCCATCGATACTCCGGGTATCTTGGATCGCCCTACTGAAGAAATGAACAATATTGAAATGCAGAGTATTTATGCTGTTGCCCACATTCGTTCTTGCGTTCTGTATTTTATGGACCTTTCTGAGCAGTGCGGGTTCTCGGTTGCCGAGCAGGTCAAACTTTTCCACTCCATCAAGCCTTTATTTGCCAACAAGACTGTCATGGTTGTGATCAACAAGATTGATCTCATGCGTCCTGATGATTTGGACGAGGAGCGTAAGGCTCTCTTGGCCACTGTTGCCGGCGACAATGTCGAGATCCACAGCTTGTCTTGTGCCACCGAAGAAGGTGTTATGGACCTTAGAAACAAAGCCTGCGACAAGCTGCTCATGGCTCGTCTTGACCAAAAGATGAAGGCAACTGCTCGTGTCCAGGGCCTGCTCAACCGCATTAATGTCGCCCGACCCACTCCTCGTGATGATAAGGTCCGCGCACCCTTTGTTCCTGAAAATGCTCGTACTGAATCGGATGGTCGCAAGCTTTCTCGCGATCTCGAGGAGGAGAATGGCGGTGCCGGTGTCTATCAGCCCGACTATCACGATGCATATTTGCTTGAGAATGACGAGTGGAAGAACGATATCATTCCCGAGATCCTTAATGGTAAGAATGTCTATGACTTTATTGATCCTGAGATTGGTGCCAAACTCGCTGCCCTGGAAGAAGAGGAAGAGCGTTTGGAGTCTCAAGGATTTTACGAGAGCGAAGATGCCATGGAGGACTCTGAGGCCGAAGATATTCATGCCAAGGCTGACTGGATTCGCCGCCGCCACAAGGTTATGATGAAGGATGCGAGGCTCAAAAAGAACAGCGGACGCACTGCAGTCATTCCCCGAAAACTGGGCAAGCGAACTGTCAACTCTTTGGAATCTCACTTTGACGATATTGGAATCGACGCCACTCCTCTTGTCAACAAGGCCCGCAAGCAGGCCAAGTCTCTTGATAAATATAGCGGTGCCGACGCCGTTGTCGCTTCCGCTGATGGCATCGTTGCGGATTCCGGTCGTCTCCCCACCCTGGACCACGACGTTGGTATCCAGCTCAAGGGCAGCAGCAACAAATCCAAATACGCCAAGGCACTCAAAGAAAAGCGCTTGTCACAACGTGCATGGACCAAAGAAGGTCGTGCCGGCGAGGCAGATCGTCACACTACAGCCATGTTGCCCAAGCATCTCTTTACTGGTAAGCGTGGTATTGGCAAGACCCAGCGTCGTTAAGAGTAGTTTATTATTCTTTTTTTTTTAAATATTTTGCAGCTGCTATAACATCCTTTTTAAATTTAGAACAGAGACTCGACGTCGTCATCTTCCTCTTCGTCTTCCATATCTTCGTCTTCGTCCTCCGCCTGCGGAGTATTCGTCGTGCCGTTAGTGTTTTCTGCGGCTGCGAAACGTTCAGTTTCCTTGGCTTCGGCATCCTCAAGCAAGCCCTGCTTAATTTCAAGCTCCTTGCGCATACGACCAACGCGATCGACAAGACGGCCCTTCATGATCTGATTGACAGTGTTGTCGGCGTCACGTTGTTTGGTCTCAATCGTGGCCTGAAGTTCCCGGATCTCTTCGCGCAATAGTTTGTTTTGATTCTTGGAGTCCTGTTGGTCTTCATCCAGATCGTCGTCTGAGGCATCAGATCCACCGTCCGAAGAAGCGTCCGAGGGCTCAGAGGCCTCCATACCCATGTTGTCTTCTTCCAGTGCCCTAGCAAGCTCCATCGCCATATCATCGTCGTCCTCTGCATCTTCCTCATCTTCGTCCAACGTGCTGGACGGTGTAGTAACTCCGAGCATGGCTGCCGTCAACGATTGCTGAGTGGCAACCGCGGAGGCAGGAAGTAACTCATAGTGTGTCTCTTCTGCTTCAGCATCTTTTCTAAAAAGTTCGTCAACTCTGGCTTCCAGCGTCTCGATGACTTTGTTAGAGAGCCGCTTGTGGAAACGACGGTTACGAACATTGTGCAGCGGAGGAGTGATACCATGCTGATACTGGTAGTCTTGCCATTGGATAGTATCCAGCTCTTGTGGAGAGGATATTTTTTTGCAAACCAACAGCATTTGGCACACGTCTAGGCCCTTGTAGATATTCTTGCGGTCGAACGTTTTCTGAACCTCCGAGACGGTGGGTAAATCCAGCAGCTGGGCAGCATACATATCTCCGTGAATAGAAACGATTGCTCGTCGCGTGTCTTCGAATTTAATATTGATCTCAGACATGTCACCCGTCTGCGCGGCCTTCTGCAAACTTTCGAGCCCAGGGCCCGGCATCATCCTTAAAACAATGGCCTCTTCAAGAGTTGGGTCTTCTTCACGATCAGGGGCCTCCGAATCATAGCCTTCGAAAGTCTGCTTGTTGGTTTTGACCTTGATCTTCGGCGCCGCTTGGGCGCCTAGGGAAAGGCTCAGTTTGAAGCTCCCATCGCTAGCAGGGGTTTCGCTCCGACTGCTCGTCGGCGTTTCTTCTTTCGGCGTGTCGACCGCGTTCAATTTGAGCTTCAACATGCTCTTCCTGCTAGTGCAATCAACCAGTTAAAGTCTCAAGTGCTCGTCCAGGACAGTTCGCTTTGTCATCGACGGTTTATCAGGTCCTTGGAAGAAAATACAAGATCCAAGGCGATGCAAAATACGAAAGGAGAATGGCAGAAAGTAATTACAAGGCTACACAATCGCAAGAACTTTGCCAACTATGACCTTGCCACGCAGGCTATCCGGAAGCTGGGCTACCCGGACTTCTACAAAAACGCTACAATTGTCGACGCATACTCTGGGGCCGGCGTTTTTTCAGCAGCTCTTCATAATGAGCTAAACCCAAGCACGCACATCATCTTAGAACCATTGAAGGGCTACTACAAATTTTTAAAGATCTTGGAGAGGCCGAATGTTTTTGTTGAAGACCTCGATCCGTTTCGCTGGGGCTCGTTTGGTACTCTTCGAGAACAGGGCAAGTTGGCCCCTGAAGAGCAGCCATACAGTCAGGTTCACAACAAATTGCTCTTTGTAGCAAACCTGTCGCACCCGCAAGGTGAGCAGCTCACTGCACAGTACCTCAATTGTATCTCGAATAGATCATGGCTCGAGAAGTACGGAAGGGTTCGTCTGCTACTGTGGATGCGGGCCAAAGTTGCAGAAAAGCTAGTTGCCAATGCCGGAGAACTTGGCCGACACAGAATGGCCGTACAAAGAGACTCGTGCTGCGATGTGCGGGTTGTTTTCCACGAGCCCTTTTCCTCAAAGGCCAACTCAGGAGCCCAGGGGTATCCTGCTTTATTGAAAACTCCATTGTGTGAATACGACTACAAACGTGATGTCAAGGCCCAGTCTCACTCGCCCTTGTCTCTGATCGAGCTCACCCCTAAAGAGCAGGAGGTCGAGAATCTTGATGAGTTTGAGTATGTGAATAAAATGCTCTTCATTTCGCGATCCACACCCCTAAGAGCGAGTCTGAACACCCTTGGACCAGGAGGAAGCGACGACCTGGCAGAGCCCTTGAAAGATCTGCTAGACAAAGTGCCCACTGATCTGACGATCCCGGAACTTGAACGGATTGTAAAGGCATTCGTGAACTGGCCATTTAGACCGGACTTTCTGCACAACTTCTACGAGGAGGCGTTAATGGGTCGTGGCTCCAACGAAGACAAGCATTTCTAACGTGATCGAGCGAAATTTTGTACATAAATTAGCGGTAAATTTTATACATTGAAATTTTGTATGCTTAAAAGTCAGTGAAATCGTTAAAATCATCGCCGAACCCATTGGGGTCTTTGTTGAAGAGATCTTGGTTGAAGTCTGTGTCGAGAATGTTTTGATTAAGGAACTGCAGATCAACATCATCTCCTTCGCCCCCAGTGAGCTCTTGATCCTGGGGAAGGTTCAAGCTAGTGAGATCATTGGGCTGTGGTTGCTGCTGTGGCTGTTGCAGCGGCTGCGGTTGCAGAGGAGGCTGTTGAGGGGTCTGTGCCGCTTGAGGTCCTGCCTGAGGTGGTCCGTGGACCTGTTGCGGAGGCTGTGGGGGTATGTGTCCCATATGCATCTGCATAAAGTCCAGCTGAGGTTCAGGTTGCTTGATCTTGGCCTGCTGTTCAGCTTTGAGCTTCTCAAACAGGGCCTGGCGTTCAGATTCTTCCAGCGTCCCCTTGGCAGCCATCGCAGCCACCTGGTTGTGAGCTTTCTGGGCAGCTGCTTCCATTTTCTTTTGCACTTTCTTCTCTTCCCGTTTACGAGCCATTTCGCGCTGTTGCTCGGCCTTCATAACTGCACGTAAGCGCTCCTGTTCCTGAGCATGGGCTTGAGCTTGCGATTGCGCTTCCAGCTTGCTCAGATCAGCGGCCCTCAAGTTCTCGTTACGTCGCGGATTGAATCCCATGCCAGCTTGGTCCATGCCAACCTGACGAGGCCCCAGCTGAACCTGCGATGGCTGCTGCGGCATACCCGGAATTCCTTGCATCCCCTGCTGCATCGCTCTCTGCGCGTATGCCAACGAGTTGAAGTCACCACCGAATATGTGCTGAGGTGGCTGCTGCGGCTGCTGCGGTTGCATCTGAACTTGCTGGGGCTGCTGAGGTGGCTGGGGCTGCTGGTGTGGCTGCTGGGGCTGTTGAAGAGGCTGGGGTGACTGCTGAGGCTGTATCGTATGAGATGGCTGTTGAATGAACTGTGCACGACCAGGCTGGGGAGAGTAGTCCTGACGAGGCGCCGGAGGAGGTGGCTGATGCAACTGCTGTTGCTGCTGTTGCTGCTGGAGGTAAGCTTGAGACCTTTGGATAGGCTGCTGTTGCGTCAAGTTAGGAGCCTGCGACATGGGTGAGGACCTCACAGGCATCTGCTGCTGTGGGTGCGACATGGCACTAGCAGGAGCAGTTTGAGGAGGGGGGGAGCCTGAGGGTTCATCGGTGCAGTGGTTCCCATCAGCTTAAAGTATTCCTCTTCCATGACGTTCTCAAGATAAGTTGCGTCAATGAATGCCAATGACTTTTCTTCGTTATAAACACGAGCGTTAGCAAACATGAGTCGCCAGTCTTTAGCAAAATCCCCAAGACTCTGGTAGTAGCGTTGGTCCATTCGCTTCTCGATAATAGATACAGCGATCGGCTTGGCAATAATCTGGTAATAGTCGGGGTATGCCTTGCGCGGTGGAAGCTCCAGGAAAATACCCAAACGATCACGTCCCTCAAACTCCTGGTTTCGCATCACGTCTAGAATCTCATTCATTTGATCTTGCAGCTTTTCTCTTTCCTCCGGAGGAAGTGTTTCCCTAACTTTGCCAGATCCACGCGGACGACCAATGCTGCGAGGGGCAGCCGCTCCCATGGATGGCGATTGGCTCGTCTTGACAGATGGGCTGCCCTCGCTACCTATCTCCTCCTCGGTAGAACCTTTGTTCAAGCGTTTACGCTGAGAATCCTCCACATACGATCCTGCAGGCCGACGACGCCGTCGTCCCAACAGCTGGCTGTTATTATTCGCCTCCTCTTTAGCAAGCTGTTTTTCAAGGTACTTGTTGGTACACTCCGCTGGTAGCTCACCATAGGTAAGGAGACGAGGGCCGGGCGGATTGTCGGGATCACCTTGGCGAAGTTTTCTATCCATTTCATTGAAAAGAACACATTCCTCTTCAGAGCGGGCAAGTAATTCATTGAGCTCTTCCTCATCAAGTTCTTCATTTTCCGGACTTTTGTGCTCACGCTTGGCTTCTTCTGCTTCAAGAAGAGAGCGTAAAAATGCCTCTTGCTCCTCAAAAGTGGACTTGTTGTCGAACTTACCAGCCTGAATAACCTTGCCATCGATCTCTAGTTTGCCTTGAGCACGCTCAAGAATATTCTCTTCAATCGAGTTCTCGGTAATAAGCCGCAAAATTCGAACCTCTCTGGTTTGACCAATACGATGAGCACGATCCTGAGCCTGCAAATCCTGATGTGGGTTCCAATCAGTATCGTAGATGATGACAGTGTCGGCAGTTTGAAGATTGAGACCCAAGCCACCTGCTCGTGTGGACAATAAGAAACACATGTATGGAGAGTCGGGATCGTTGAATTTGCGGAGCAGTTCACTACGATCCTCAGCTTTAGTAGAACCGTCAAGACGCAAGTATGGGATTTTGCGAAGCTGCATAAAGTCCTCCATAATATCCATAATTTGGGTCATTTGGAAAAATATAAGCACACGATGCCCGGTTGAGAGAAACTTGGGAAGAATGCGATCCAGAAGCTCAAACTTACCGGATACTCGCCACAAAAGATTGTTGTTTTGCTTAGTTGGATTAATGACAGATTCGACCTCTTCGAACACGAAAGGATGATTGCAGATCTTTCTTAACTGAACGAGACGGTTGTTTAGACCCTTGATTCCGCGAACGCCTTCGCCCCCACCAAAGAACAGTGAGTTGTGTCGTAACATCTGTTGATAGAGTTGGCTCTGTAGAGCAGACATCTTGCACTTGACGACTCTTTCAATCTTATCGGGCAAATCTTGTTCAACATCCTTTTTGAGACGACGAAGAAGGAAAGGTCGCAGGACTTTGTGCAGACGACGAATAATCAGCAAAGTCTCCTCTTCGCTTAGTTCCATGCGATCAGTGGAGCCCGCATTCGCAAATGGTTTATTGAACCATTCATCGAAAGACTTGACTGAGTTGAAAATTTTAGGGAGCACAAAGTTAAGAAGAGCCCACAACTCGGGCAGGTTGTTCTGCAACGGCGTACCGGTCAAAATCAAACGGAAACCAAAATGATAGTAAGTGCTGAGTGTAGAAGAGAGCTTGGATTGAGTATTCTTCATACGATGACCCTCATCGATAATTAAGTGGTTCCATTGTACACGCGCAAGCACAGGGCGATCCTTGATGATGTACTCATAAGTGGTAAGGAGTACTTGGAAATCACCCGTTCTGATTTGTGCTTGCTGTGCGCGACGCGCTTGGGGCGGACCTTTATAAACGATCTTCTTGATTGAAGGAGCCCAAGTATCAAACTCAAGGCACCAATTTGTGATTGTCGACAAAGGTACGAGTACCAAGAAAGGCCCGCGAATGTTTTTCTTCTCGATCAGGTATGATATCAACGCGATAGATTGGATGGTTTTACCCAGGCCCATCTCATCAGCCAAGATACCATTTAAGTTGTTATTGTAAAGCGAAACCATCCATTGCAAGCCCTTAATCTGGTACTCTTTCAAGCGACCTCCAACAAGCATTTTAGGTTGCTCGGTCACAGACTCTTGGATACGATGAGCAACGTCATAATAATCCGTTTTCTCACGCGCAGCCTCCGCAGCTTCTGAAAGTTCTGTTTTGGGAGCTTGCTTTTCAGTTTCGGTTTCGTTTTCGTTTTCGTTTTCGTTTTGATTTTCACTTTTATCGGCTTGGACAGGGGCAACTTGCTCGTGACTGGGTTCGAGAACATCTCTTTTATCTTTCAAGTCTTTTTGCTGAGATTTCACCGCCTGGGTCAAACTTTCCAAGAACAGGTTGGTTTGTTTCAGCAAATGTGTAATACGAGCATCCTTGGTCTGATCCAAAAGTTTGATGTATGCATCCTCTTCGTTGGCTCGCAAAGCCATGAGACGCTGCTTGGCGGTTCTCTCAACTCTGCGTCGCTCCTCGCGCTCAATGTTATCGTGGTACTCGGTCACCGCAGCCCCTCTACGTCTTTTAGCTTCAATAACACCTTGGAAGTGTGTTCTTTGCTTATTCGCATACTCGAACAGTGCTTTAAAGGCCACAGTTTGCGCACCAGAACGACTCGCAAGACGCGTAAGGGTCTGCTCTTGGGTGTATTGCTCAACGATATGGGCCTCCTGCATTGTGAAGCGCTTGAGACGAGCGAAATGGACACGGTTAGATCGATCAATAGCAGTTGAGTTGAAATGCATCATGTTTGTTAACAGATCACCTCTAACAGCTCTCAAATATGGAATCAGTCGTAACTGCTCAAGCTCAATTTGATCATCAATGGTACGCGTCTCAAGGGTTTCAATTTCCTTGATACGATCAGAAACGGCTTTCGAAATGGCCATAGCACGAACTTTTTTCATGAGGGGCGCGTTGACACCCAAAGGTTGTTTGGAGAGTACAACCAACGATTCGTTGCGGTTGACATTAGCGAATGGAACAAGTTCGCTATCGGTTTTTTCTACCTTTGAGAAACCAAATCGCTCTTTCAAGTCCGTGCTATGCTCTTTGGCTAAAGTCAGTGTACGTGTCTGAGACACTAGCTCTTCCTCGTCAAACTCGTCATCGCGTGGAATGTTGACGCCCAACCCAGCATATTCTGTACCAAAATCGAGATCACGGTAGCCTAGATTCTTGTACTCAGCTGCGGCGATATTAAATTCAGTGAGATCGGTGGCAGTCATATCCATGCCAGCTGCTTCAGCCTGAAGCTCAGCATTCTGAAGAACCTCCTCCATAAGTCTGTACTCCAAACGGCGCTTGCGCAGCTGCTCGTCACTCGGCAAAGAGTAAGCGTTCCGCCCCATAACCAAGTTGACATCCTCAGCGATATAGCGTAGATGCTCTTCCTCCTCTTCTTCTTGTTGGACTCGCCATTGCTGCAAACGAAGCCATTTGATGTGAAGCTCATGTTCGAGACGACCCCGTTCACTTTCCAAATCAGGAGGCGAATCCAAAGGATCCATAGGGTCATTAGTAGGGTTTTCCTGTGATGTCACATCCTCGGGCTGGGACAAACCAATAATCTTATCCACAACTTCGTTATCATCCTCTTTGCCTTTGAGAACTGACTTAGGCTTCACATCCGATCCTACAGCTTTGGTGAGCATTCGATCAAGCTCTTCTGTGTCTGAGGGTATGACGGAAGCGTTACCAGTTGTCTCGATCACATCTGAGTCGTACGCATCAAACTCAAGATCATCACGATCCAGCTGGATCTCTACTTCATCGCCAGTGACATCCACCTCGAATGTTCCGTCAGGCTTATCATCACCTGGCATAAATACGTGTGGAAAATCGAATGGAAGATCGAGAGGTACGTCGCCAGGTAAGTCTGCATTATAAGTAAGATCATGCACTTCCTCACCTGGTTTCAATGCGGGAAGAACGGCATTCGCTGGAGTCTCGCCGGAAGTTCCAGAGCCAGGAGTAGGCATGCCAGAGATGCCTTGAGGTTTTGGTGTAGTAGCAAAACCAGACTGAGCACCAGAAGGTGCTACAGCCGATTGTGTAACTGGAGAAGCGCTTAACCTCGTATCACTTGGATTCGCACTTCTGGAGACACCACGGCTGGGAACCATAGGTGAGGTGCCGATGCTTGGTGGCTTTGTTTGAGCTGAGGATGGTTGCATCGACGGGGGATCGTTGAACATATCAAGATTCATGAGGTCGAGGTCGATCTCGGAATCAACAGTGAATTGAGATGTATCGCCTGTGATCGTCGACACAGCTTGGACCAAGGCACCATTATCGAAATTCTCTGGTATCGATGGTGATGGCACAGACATAGCCGACTGAGGTCGAGCTGATCCAGCGCGCTGCACAGGTCCTGGTGTGTGTCTGAACATAGGCCCACCTGGTCCAACTGGTCCACCTGGTCCCACGGATCCCACGGGTCCTCCTGGTCCTATGGGTCCTCCTGGTCCTCCTGGTGCTCCCGGTCCCAAAGGCACCTGCTGACCCGGAGTGTGCTGTTGAGTTGGTTGCCCAGCTCGAGGGTTCACAGCTTGACCGGTAGTTTTCTTGACCCGAGATGGCCGCCTTGCTGGCACCTGAGTGGGCTGAGGCTGCGGTGGATGTGGTCCAGCACCTCGAGGACCTGCTTGAGAAAAAAGATCCTGTTGCAGCTGCAATGGAATGGCTTGGTTATTTTGCAGGTGTCTGAAAGCGATGGTCTGTTGGTACAACTTCTCAGATTCCTGGGGCGTTAAAAGTGACTCTTGAGCGGTGGGAGCAACCGGAGAGATGCCTTGGTTGGGCATTCCTTGCATGCCTGGACGGTTCATGCCTCCAGGTCCTTCGCGCCCTGGCCCAGGTCCTGCCTGTGGGCCAACTCTATTGTTAGCTTGAGATGGACGGCGTGCTTTCGATGCAGCAGAAGTGGTACGAACAGGTCCATAAAACCCAGAGCCAGGGGGTCCGCCTGGTCCAGGAACCATATTAGGTCCCATAGCCATTGACATCGGGTCCATAGGCATCTCATCTTTGATTGGAGCATTAGAAGTTCTTGGTGAAGGCATCCCAGTCATACTACTACTAGACGGCTTGCGGGATACTCTTGGAGGTATATTTTCGAGTCCGGGACCCATGGGGCCGCCATGTTCACCGGAGCTAGGAGGTCCACTGGGGCCAGAAGGAGGGCCACCAGGACCTTCCTGTAGACCTGGGATGCGCATGAGGTCCAAGTCAGTTCCAAATCCAAACAAGTTTGTGTCATCTCCCGAATAGCTGCCCAAGGGGTCGAGGAAATCGAGGCCGGCTGAGCCGAATGCTTCTGGAGGTTGATCGAGAGCCAAATTAGAAACCTGTCTATTCATGCGCTGACCTTGCCTCGAAGGAGGTCCTTGGGCTTCTTGAGGTGGTTGGATATGTGGAGGCATCTGCTGTTGTCTCATTTGAGGCTGCCCTTGCTGGGGTGCCGGACCAGAATGCGGAGGTTGTCCTGGGCCTCGTTGCCCAGGTGGCTTATTACGTTGAGAATTTTCTGGGCCTCCTGGACCTCCTGGGCCCCCTGGCGCGAAAGGACCGCTGTTGATATCAGGCATGGATCCACGGGGGCCGGGACCTGAAAGGTTGCGTTGAGGTCCGCCCATTGGGATGGACTGCTGTCCCGGAGGATGGGCGCCAAAGTTGTGATCGACACCTCCACCACTTTCCAGTGGATCGTTTTGCATGAACCTGAATATGTCGTTATCGTCACCAAGAGAATCCATATTAAGCCAAGAAAATGTGTCGTTCGGTGGAGGACCTGAGGCACTGGGTCCCGTAGGTTTGGTGTTTGCGTTACGATTGCCCTGTTGGGGTGCCGCTTGCGACAGCGGCCGCTGAGGTCCCTGCGGAATATTAGGTATAGTTGAAGACTGGCCAGGACCTTGTCGGCCTTGTTGTTGGAAGGGAAAATACATTGCGTTTGGAGGTTCTTGGCCTGGCTGGTTGTGGGGAGGCATATTATTCTGGGGAGGGAAGCCACCTCTCATCATGAACTGCTCATGGTCCATTTGCGACATTTGCGGGCCACGAGCTCCAGGCACAGATCCGCCTGGGCCACCCATACTGCCGGGGCCCCCAGGGCCGGCCGGTCCGTCGTGACGTTTAAATTGAGCGGGTCTCGATCCAGGCTTGTTGGGGCCTCCAGGGCCTTGCAAAGAAGCACGTCGCTGTTGTGGATGTTGCATACCCATATGCTGCCCTTGGTATCCTTGTTGATGGATGGCGGGAGAACGTATATTCATGTCACCATGAGGAGCAGGGGGTCCTCCACGACCAGGCATATTGCCCATCGATCCTGGCATTGACGGAGAGGGCATAGTGGGAGACATCGCACCCTGTTCGTTTTGACCAGACATGACTTGCTGCAAAACGCGCGAAATCTGGTTGTATTCTTCGTTTTGATGGACCGCGGGTCCCAGCTGCTGGCGAAGAACTTCCCAACGATGGTGCAGCTGTTGAATATCATGACGACCTTGAGGCATCATTTTTGTGTTCTAGGGTTGCCCGAAAAAGTTGTTTATTGTTTGGTGTAACCTCAAGAGCCTGTGACAGAGTGAAGGGTAGGCTCGAGTGTGAATCGCGTATACACTTGCAGGCTCGCGAGTAAACACAGGTTTATGGGCCCTTTGATCAAATAGGTGTCAAGGAATAGTAGTTAGGGCCGATTGATGGTGCTTTTGAACCAGCAATAGCGGTGATAGCGCTCAAGTGTCCAAGGGTGTTACGAGGCAACCGATTGGGGGTTAGGAGGCGTGGTTTGGTAGCTTCGTCCGTCTTTAGTAAGCCCTTGCCTGGTATCCTCGAGAATGTAATGACATGAGTAGGGTGGAAAGGTGGAAGGCCTAATTTTGGGAACGAACTTTTTGGTGAAAAGAGCCGATTGAGAATGCACCGCCGTTTTTAGATAGCTATCTCGTAGTTTAATTAGCACGTTGTCTCAAACGGAACATGACCTGAAATGCCTTGGGTAAGGGCTGGGGTGGGAGCGTGCAGCCGTTCATCTCGTTTGGGAATATTCCGTGAGGGGATGGGCTTTTGGTCAATAAATAAATAAGTGCTCAGCTTAGGGCTATACAAAAATTGTTGCGCTTAGCGCCGTCATTGACAAGAGTTTTGCAGATTTTGGGGTACGGCCCCGACCGCTCTTCCATCTTCAGGAGCCAATAGACCAGTTTTCTTGTGCGCTTGTACTCGATCTGTCGATAGCCGAGTGCATTGAAAATGTCGGATATGCTCTGCTCATTGCAGTAGCGTGAGTTGTATATGCACGGCTCTGGGAGCACGAAAAACAAGAGTCCCTCTGGTTTCAGGAATTTTCTCGTCCGTTTGAGCATTTCTCCTCGAAGTCCTGAATCAGGCACAAAGTTCACCACCAGCGATAAGCTCACGACATCGTAAAGGTCTGGCGGCACAGGTTTTTTCATAAAGTCAATTTGCTCGATTCGCGGGTCCTGTGAATTCAAATCAAGTCGATCGATGCGAGCAAAATAGTTTGATCTCGTGCAATAATTGTCGAAACTCAAGCAGCCCACCTCTAGCAGCGCTGCCGCAGGTTCCTTGGAGTATTTAGCGAGCCAATTCATTAGCAGCTTGGACGAATCACCACCTCGCGCTTCCATTTGGCCAGATATTGACGCTTGTTGGTACATTTGCAGACCGCCAAGTTTCTCGAGTTCGCTCGTTACTGCATCCGCACCAGCGACGTTGCCTTCTTTTTTCAACTGCGCTTGCTTCTTCAGCAGTACATGATATTTTCGAATAATCTCCCGAGACTTTTGTGGTTTTAACTTTACTTTCTTCGTCCCCCCCGTTATTGACGCTTTCCGAGCCATTGAAGAAAATATCAGCCAGTGCCGCTGACAAAGAATTTTCACTTTCCAAATTTCCTGATGCTGAGCAGAAGCCTGGCATCTTTGGCGGCTACAACACGGTTTGTTGGCCGGCGTTATAGTCCTGCGTTGAGATTCTACAGTCAGAGTGTGGACGATACACCTGTGTTTTCCGAAAAACATCTCTACCCTGCCGCAAACACGTTTGTGCAGTCCAGCACCACGCCTGTGCCGGCTACGAACCGACCTATTCCTCTGAACGTTGCGCTAACTGATGTTGCCGTTATCCGGCACCCGGTCATACATGGCGACAAAGTAGCTGAGATCACACTGGCGTCCTTTATGTCCACCAAGGATCTGGACTTTTATGCTGATTTCTTGCTCAGAGCCGCCTTTTATTTGAAAATCCCGGCCAAGGGCCCTACACCTTTGCCTCGCAAGTACAAGAAGTGGACGGTTATTCGGTCTCCTTTTGTGCAGGCAAAGTCAAAACAGAACTTTGAGCGGGTTACCTACCGCCGGGTAATCAAGCTTTACGACGCTAACCCCGAGGTTGTACAGATTCTATTGTCGATTGCAAATAAATACCCTCTGGCCGGCGTGGGTGTGAAGGCTGTCCTCTACACGAACGAAAGTGCTGAGGTCGTTGATGCTATGGACCTGCCTTCCGACTTTGAGCTCGAGAACCCTCTCGCCATCAACAAGGTCCACTTGGACGCTGCTGACGGCGAAGTTGCCCACAAAGTTTTGGAGCTTCTGAAGGACCCCCGGTTTTCTGAGGAACTTGTTTCAGAGCAGGTTCAAGAGAAGTCGGCCAAGAAACCGACCGAGAAACCGGCCAAGAAAGATGAGCAGTGAGCAAATAAAAACTAGGTGTATATATTGATGGATTGCTGTAAAGTTCTAAAAAAGAAGATAGGATAAATAAAGAAATAATAAATCATGTCTGCTGTTACGATCGATCCCAGCCCAAGGGTCTCTGCATCAACTGGGCATGGAGGCTCGGTAAATGCGGCTTCTCGTGCGTATTTATTGGAGGAGCATTACTTGTCCACTGGCTCATTGACAGTTCTTGTAAAAGACGAGTAGCACGCAGCATCTCTTGCAGTTCGCCTTGCATCCCTGCGTTCACCCCTGGTGAGTCTTCCTCGTCGTCATCACTGGACTCGCCAACCGCCCACTCCACAGGTTTTCCACGCAACGTATGTCTAGGAAGTGCATGACTCGAATTTGATCTGTGGGGTGCCGAAAATGCCCGGCCCCGGGGTATAGTCTGACCTAGAGATGCAGAGAGACGGCGCCGGCGATGTAAATCTGTTTCACTTTGCCGGCGAGCGCTCTGGAACGAGTCGACAGGATGTGGCAACTCTCCAGTGACGGTGAACGATCGTCTTGCGTCAATTCGAGGTTGCTGAATAGCGGCGCCGGCACCAGCAGCTATTTGGTGAACCCCGGGTAAGGAATGTTGACGAACAGGGGCCACGATGGAAGGGTACTGGGTGTGCTGAGAGTTTCCTTGGTTGAGCGAGGTATGCACAGCTGGTGAATGCACTGGCGGCGTTGGCGACGGGGTCGGGGAGCTGGTGCTCAAAGAGAGCTGTCCAAAGCGGGGGTCCGTAGGCACCAAGCATTGGTCGGGGAAGTTGGGGCCGAAAAGAGGAACAAGCGAGAATCTAATATGATACGCGATACGAAGAGCAAGTTCATATGCAACCTCATACGGAAGCCACGTTCCCTGGATCTTCAAGTAGCCTCCTCTCACTCGACGGAGGACCGGCTCTAGCTGTGGCGAAATATCGAGCAACTTGGCAATATCTGCTTTGGAATTGCCAATGGCTTTCCAGATTCCTGTGAGATGAACGTATCCAGTGTAATAGTCCCAGATAACTGATTGCCCGTTGACCTGATACTCGAAAACAGTCAAGTAGTTACGCTCGTCGACGGAGGTGGCGTATTTACGGCTCTGAATGTCATCGGGTTGTGGGACATATTGCAATGGGTCAGTGCGCATGTAGGGGGGTACTGAATGATAAGGAAATCGAACAGGGTACGAGACATCTTCCAGTTGGGCGAGCCGGAGGCGCTGGTTAGGCTTGGGGCGAGTGTTACCCGCTGGACTCGCACTCACAGTGCTTGATGATCGGGAAGTTCTACGCGATCGTGGCGGCGTTGACCTCGGAGGTGAAGAAGGTGAAGAATTCGGCTGAACAGGCCTAACCGGAGGTAGCGACAAGTTCCGGGCGGAATTCATAGGCGACTGGGTGGGGGTTACAACGGGAGCACTAGCGAGTGGCTTAACAACTGGGTGCGTCTGGTTCCAATTATTGTACATGGTTCCTGAAATAGATTCGAGAACAATGACCAAAAAAGAACGGATATCAGGGTTTCGAGTTTTTTTGTCGCGGGGTAAGAGCACAAGTCTTTGAAGTATACGGGTGTCAGATAGTGACTCTTGGCGAGTTATCTGGTAAATTTGATAAACCAACGGGCTCCGGCGCGACGAGTGGGAAGCAATGAGGCACGGGACGTCTTGGGGAGAGGGTAGCGGCGAATAGGACGCTAGAAGCTAAATATAAGTGCAAAAGAAACGAGCAAACGAATCTATTCTCACTAAAATGAACAGTTTCAACCGGATGTGGGCGGAGAAAAGTAAAGCAGCTATCGATGGCGCCTTATATTCTCGAAGCGTATCGCTACCGTCCTGCATCCCCTAACCTTAGCCTCGATGTCGCCTGCGGCTGAATAGAACTTGCCGGGGAGAGAAGGCCTGGAAAATAGAGTTTGGAGGCTAAAGAGACCGAGCCAACCTGCATTAATTACGCCACACTGACTACTTGTGGAGAGGTTAATTTTGCATTCAATTAAATTACAATAATGCTCACGCCGCCTCTTGGAGCATCTAACCTGCCGGGTCTTATCTCTGGACGACGTGCTGCAGTTTCGAAATACTGGAAACCCCTTACCCACAATCGCCGAGCACGGGGCGGCAAAAGTGTAGGAGGCGCTGATAAGCAGCGATAGATAGAGTTGTGGAAAAACTCGGCTCCGGCTTCGACCAATTTATTAGTGTGGACTGGTTTCCCGGCGGGCCGCTGGGCCGGTCTCTCTCGGTGCAGAGCACGGCACGTCGGAGGCAAAGATGAAGCGACTATCAACTCGCATGGCATCATAATTACCCCAGCCCTGGCTACGGCACGTTGTTTGTGTCTTCGGAGACGTGACTTTCAGGCTTTCTGTGGTTTAGGCACATGTCAAGATCAGACGAGAGGTGGTGGTTAGGGGGTGTTGGGCTATTTGCTGGGGGCGACGGTAGATAAGCTCATGGGGTGGTGACCAATCATCGGCGAGTGTTCGGATCAAACAGCCCAAACCGTGCCTCATTCTGCAGCTTTTCCGTGTGCATGCATGCGTAAACGAGATGCTCGGATCGCGCTGCCCTTGCTGGCCATTCCACCAGTTGCACATGCTAGTTAGTGGATTAAGGTTAGGCATTAGTACAGGATAGTGGCCAATTGGTTTTTGAGGTCCGGAGTGTCGAAGATGCCGTTGGTGCTGACCGCAGGCACGCACTGTATGCCCTTTTGCTCGAGCTCAGGCACATCAATCGCCACAATTTCCTCAGTTGAATAGACCACATGGGTTACAAAGCTCGTCCAGTCGATATCGTCTAGATCGCAGTAGCTCAGCCCCAGGCTGTACGTGCAGGCTTTGATTGCTGCAGCCACATGCTCGATAGCCGTCATGCCGTCTGTCTCCCGGTCGTGAGTGCCATTAAGAATCAGAATTTTAGTTTTGCAATTCACGAGCCTCGCTGCAAATCCCTGAAGCAAGATAACTGGAATGATCGACGTGTAGAGGCTACCAATCGAGAACACGACGCAATCGGCATGGGCAAGCGCATGTAAAACACGCGACGACGCTTTAGGTTTGATCTCTTCGCCGTAAGGGTTCACATAAAACAAGCTCTCAATAGGTGATTGCAGTGGATCGGAGTGTTTCGAAAACGAAATTTGCGAAGCTGAGAGCGACGGGTGGCTGAACGGCATGTTTGCATCTTCTTCCTGGCATTCCTCTGCATCGTCCTCCATTTTGAACGGCGGATCGATAAGATCGCTGCTCGGGTGCGATATTTCGGACTGACCATACACCCGCGTACCATCCTGCAGCAGTGCACCGATATGGTGGCTGAAATTCGTGTTGATCGCCGGGAGCACTCTGATCGATTCGGGAACGTTGGCTGTGCGCAACACAAATTCAATAGCCGAGTCCAAAGACCCAAAAAACAACCGGGCGCCGCTCAAAAGCATGTTCCCGATACTTGCCCGGTTGAATTTGAACTCTTTGCCCGGCCGATTCCTTCTTAGCAGCTCTGCGTGGACGTGAATCAAAAATGCCCTGTACATGTGTTTAAGGTGCGAAGGGATTTGTTGCCAGCTAGGATGAGTTCCGTAAACAATAGAATCCCAGGTCTTTTGGGCATTGTGGGCATTGTCAGATAGTCGTATTTCCAATAAATTCCGCAAAGGAGACGGCGGCATTAACCGAGTCATTCGAGACCTTGCATCACCAATTGCCGGTCCTCCCAGCACTCTGAGAATTTCACTGCTGGACCCGCCGTTATCTGAAATCGGCAGCACGTAGGTGATTTCACCCGCCAGACTGCCAAATACGCCAACAACGGAGTTGGTAGCTGTGCCACCGCCGACTACGAAAAGGTGCATGACAAAACGGGGGACCCTCGACCCATTTGGTCCAAAGTTCAGGGGAGGTGGGTCAAAAGGGCGGGGTGCATAAGGAAGTAACAAAATGGTGGGGCAAAGGCCGGTGTTTGAGGACAGTACGAACTTCGATCTAAATCATCTGCTTGTTTACATTTTTTCCGCCAGTTTTATCATGCTATCGCCCGCCGGCCCAAGATCAAATCAGCGCCTGCATAGGGACATTATCTCCCGGTGAGTCACATACGAAATCTCCCAACTTGACACTTTTGAGTGGAAAATTAGACATGAGCAAAGGAAAGGTTTGTTTGGCATATTCTGGAGGTCTTGACACTTCTGTGATTCTTGCGTGGCTGTTGGAGCAAGGGTACGAAGTCATCGCTTTCATGGCCGACGTTGGTCAGGAGGAGGACTTTGACGCTGCCCGCGAGAAGGCCATGAAGATCGGTGCTACCAAGTTCGTCGTCGAGGACGTCCGCAAGGAGTTCGTTGAAGAGCTCTGCTATCCCGCCATTGCCTCTAATGCTATCTACGAGAACGTTTACCTTTTGGGTACTTCTCTGGCCCGTCCCGTGATTGCCCGCGCCCAGATCAACGTCGCTGAGCGGGAGGGATGCTTTGCCGTTTCGCACGGCTGCACCGGTAAGGGCAACGACCAGGTCCGTTTCGAGCTTGCCTTCTATGCCCTCAAGCCTGATGTCAAGGTCATTGCTCCCTGGCGCGATCCCGATTTCATTAAGCGGTTTGTCGGCCGCAAGGACCTGCTAGACTACTCTGCTGAGAAGGGCATTCCGGTTGCCCAGACCAAAGCCAAGCCGTGGTCCACTGACGAGAACCTAGCCCACATCTCTTTCGAGGCCGGTATTCTTGAGGATCCCGACACCACACCGCCCAAGGACATGTGGAAGCTCACTGTTGATCCTGAGGACGCTCCCAACACTCCTGAGAACTTTACCATTTTCTTTGAGAACGGTCTGCCCTCGAAACTTGTCTACGACAATGGCAAGGAGGTCACTGAGCCCGTTGAGCTGTTCTTGACCGCCAACAAGATCGCCCGCCGCAACGGTGTGGGCCGCATCGACATTGTCGAGAACCGCTTCATCGGCATCAAGTCCCGTGGCTGCTACGAGACCCCCGGTTTGACTTTGCTGCGCACTGCCCACATCGATTTGGAGGGCCTGACCTTGGACCGGGAGGTTCGCCAGATCCGCGACCAGTACGTCACTCCTACCTGGGCCCGCATCCTGTACAACGGTCTCTACTTCTCCCCCGAGGGTGAGTACGTCCGTGCTTTGATTGCTCCCTCGCAGAAGACCGTCAACGGTCAGGTCCGCATGTCAGCCTACAAGGGCAACCTGATTGTGCTCGGCCGCTCCTCGGAGACCGAGAAGCTCTACGATGCCACCACTGCCTCCATGGACGAGCTCACTGACTTTGATCCCACCGACACCACCGGTTTCATTGCTGTCCAGGCTATCCGTATCAAAAAGTACGGCGAGAGCAAGATCGAGAAGGGTGAAAAGTTCTAACCATCTTGTATTAAAAATATTTTTGCAGTAGTTCTAACCTTAATCCCTGCCGGACGTCCTCCCATGCATTGGCCCTGCGGTTGGGATGTCATTACTACGCCAGCTAATTTCGCAGTTGTAACCCCATCATACACAGACAACCATGAGAGCGGGGGCGATTTTACTGCTTCCTCTGAGCGTGTGGGCGCACGAGAAAATCAAGGCGGATCCCGGAGATCCATGGCAGGTCCGCCACATGAAAGAAGAGCACGGCATTGCCGATTTTGACGCTCACTCTTTCTTCACTCTGCACGATAACGACAATTCCAAAACGTGGACACGAACAGACATTCTTAATTTGTACGGACTACTGAAGCCCAACGAGGTTGGCGACGGCACCGGCGGTGGCAATGTCGACGAGAGCCACGAGTACAGCAATGACCTCAAGGACAAGGTGTATAACGAAATCATGAAATTGCTGGACACAAACAACGACGGCGTGGTGTCTATTGATGAGTGGCGTGAGTTCTGCTCGCGCGGTGAGGTTCTGCCGGATTTCGGCCTTGGTCCAGGCCACCATGGCGATTATGAGTTCGAGTACGAGGTGCACCACTGGAGGGAGTTCCACTCCGAGAACGACCCCGAGGTGAAAATCCGCCACCCCGAGGACGACGAGCACGACCGACTGTACCATGCATTTGAGCACGGTGACAGCGAAGCGGACCCGCACGACGGGTCGTGGATCCAGCTGTCTCGCGTGCCGGCCAAATTCCGCAAGCAACGCAAGGACTAGAACAAGATAGTGGCTAATGACATAGTATTTCTGATTAAGAGGCTACAAAAAGTATTCGTTGCGTTGTGCCTTTTGTGGGGACATTTTCAATGTATCGTCGGGGACGGCATTAAATATCGAAAACTTCGGGGTGGTTGTGTCGTCGACCTTCATGACCGACGCCACATTACCGCAGCGGTAGCAGTAATTTGGCGCAGACCATACTGTGACCACGTCCTTTTCTTTGAAATGGTATCTGAATCCCTCCATAACCAGCTGGTGGGCCCGCGTGACCAAGGAAAGGTTGTTGACATAGTTGAATTCCCGAGCAACGTTGGCTCCAAACAGCCACCCTGCACCACGGGGAGAAACGACCCAGGTGTCCACCGTGTCGTCTGGATCACTCCACACTAGATCAGCAAAGCCTCCCTCTCGCGGGATCTCCTGGGCGCGGTTGAGAACCCGGATCTGGTCGAGCATTCGCAGTTCCGGACTCAAGCCGCCATGGACGCAGAGGATCTTGGAGTCGATGACTGCAGCAAGTGTTAAGAAGTCAAAAACTTGGCAACAGTACTTCCAAACTGTGGTTGTTCCATACTTTGTCAAGCACTCGTCGTAGAACCCGTAGGCCTGGGTGATCTGGCGAGACTCGTGGTTGCCTCTAACCAAGGTGATTCGGCTTGGATAGAGAACTTTTAGGCACATAAGCAGTGTGAATGTCTCTAGGGAAAAATAACCTCTGTCCACAAAGTCGCCAAGGAAAATATAGTTGGTGTTGTCAGGGAACCCGCCCGACACCCGGAACAACTCAAGCAAATCATGGAACTGGCCGTGGATATCGCCGCAAACAGTCACTGGAGAGCTGACTGGCTGAATGTTTGATTCTGGGATTGTTAGAACTGACCGGAGAACCGAATGCGTTTGTAAAGACCGCCAGCCGCTGGTTACGACCGCAACCGCAGGCCCGTCTCGCTTTCAACGCCTTCGCCTTGCAACTTACCTTCCATTAGGAGAACTTTGACCATCTCGCAAAGCTCTTTTATGTCTTTTTCTTCAAGGTATTTACACTTGAGAACCGTTTCTAACCATTCGTCTGGTCCACTCATGGTTGTGGGGAGATAACGTAAGAGGTCCATTTTGGGTCTAAAAGTACACTATGTATTCATCCATTCGTTTTTTTCGCCTAGATTAGGGTCCATAATTTTGAACACGGCTTTCGGCGATGGCCAGGTGTCCTGGGTTCTCAGCAGAAACGCCCCCGTAGCCGGCAGATCAATGCCTTTCAGCAGCCCGGCATTGATACAAGCAATCCCGAAACTCTCGGCCTCTAAAACGCTGACGGGTTCCGTATTGAGGCCCTTGGAGTAGCTCATAACAACGGCCATGAGCTCAAAATCAAGCTGCTTGGGGTTCGACAGCCACTTGTACGCTCTGGCCAGCGCCTGCCGCCAAATAGCCGTGGGCACATTTCTCAGTAAAAGGTGGTCTAACCGGTGTTTGTGGAACCATGGATGGTTTCTGACCTGGTAATAGCCCGAAAACGACCCTGACTTGAGCGAGTATATCAGCGGCATGAACGGATCAATGAGATCATGGGCTTGTAGAAGCGCCGGACTAGGCATACGCCCAAGTAAGATGCTGGGGAGCAATAAATATTTAAAAATAACCCGGTGGTTGGGGAATTGCCGCGGACAACGTGTATAGCACCAGTGCAAGTGCTTGAAGGCAAGCACAAGGTTGTTACGGTTGAGATTGTACCGTCCTAGCCAGAACCGGAACTCAATCTGCTGGGCAATGGGATGTTCTGACATTACTAGAGAGGCAGTGTGGATGTTATTGAACACAGTGGAGCATGAAGAATACTGGTCGGTCCAAAAATAAACCCGGCACAGCGCGCCGGCAATAAATAGCAGCACAGGTCGTTTAGAGTTTGCTCCTTCAGCGGGCTTTTCGCTCCGAATGCTGTTAAAAATACGCTGAAGCACTCCTGACACCCACTTGAGCTCTTCCGCGGCCCGGGAAAAAAGAAACAGCATCCGTTTGGTGCTCTGAATAACAACGTCGTTCAACGCACACCCTCTGGCGTTCCCGTAGGCGCTCTGCAGGGCCGAATAAAACCGACCGTACGCATCAAAAGTGCCGACGGGATCGTTTGGGTCAACAGAATAGCAAAAAAACAGATACGACTTTGTCAATTCAGTGTATCCTGGCCAAGCAGAGTCGAGCAAATTGGCGCTCTTCACTGCCTCGTTAATGTTTACTTGCGCATCCCACAGCTCATTCTGAAGCGTCGAGACTAGAGGATTATTGACATCAATAGAAAAGTATTCCTTCAACTTCGCACTCGTATCTGCAGACGCAATGTCTGTCTCATCTAGATCCCCTATGGCGGTTAGCCACGCATTTACCGCAGACATGACAAATCGGCAAACGCGAAGACCGGGTTCTTTCGGTGAATTTTATAGATTTTTTTCAAGTACAACCAAGTTAAAACAATTGTAATTACAGACGAGGAAGTGATAACTCAGCGGCGTGAGGAGCGCACAGGTCAATTGTGCGCTGGGTGATCTGATGAGTGAGATTCACTCTCAGTCGCTTGTTACGCGACATGGCCAGCTCTTCTGCAATGTCGTACAAGGGTCCCTCGAGCAACACGCTGCCATCGGCAGCCACCCGGGGCTGGTAGTGCTGGGCCAGAGACAGACATGGCACGCCAGTAGCGGAGGTGGATTTTACAACAATGCCCTGGGCAATGTACGACTGGACAGCGAACTTGATCATCTCCTGATTAAGGGCTTCGGAATGGGCGAGCTCGCCCTGGGCATAAAGAGTGCGAGCAACCGATTGAGCGATCTTGAAAAATCCCTTTTCAGGTACCTGTCCATTTGGAGGTAAGATGAACAGAGACATGATCGTGGACCAGTACCCGTCGATAAACGGCCACACCAAGTAGCAATACAAGTCAAACACCTGGATATCCCGGTGGATTTCGGAAATGTTGACGCTGATATACTCTCCGCCATCGCTCAAGTTGATGACATGGGCCCGCTCAAGCTCGTGCAAGGTGTTTTTCAAGTTACTTTGCAAACCCTCGGTACCATAAACGAATTCGTTCGAAAGAAGCTTTGACAGGAAAAACACCTTCTTCTCAAGCTCTTGGAAAGGAATCTTACGGTAATTTGTGTTGGCAAGGGTGAAGATAGCCACAGACGTAATTGCTTCAGCAATGAATAAGAAAATCGTTTGGTTACGATAGTAACTGAGCTTGAACTCATCATTGGGGTAGTAAATAGGTTCAAGCAGGTTCTTAGTGTCGACCTTGACCAAGTCGGAACCCAGTACGTTGATGGCATTATCAACCAGGGCCTTGATTTCGTCTCTGGTCAGATCACGAGGATTCTTGCGAATAGCGCCAACCTTACCGTCAGCTTCCAAAACACGCCCTATAAGCCAGTGAACACGATCAATGAGCTGTTCATGAGAAACACCGCTTTGTGACGTTGTGAGCAAAGCTGTACCTACCAACGCCGAAGGCATGACAACGGAGGCTCGGTTGATATCTGCCAAAATACGGTAGCCTAGGGCCTTGAGCATATGCATTCGGTTTTCACGGGAAACAGGACGAGGTAGAGGGAATGAAATAACCGACTCAAGCTGAAGCTGTTGAATAACAAAACTGCGCAGTGACCAGATTTCGCCGAAGCGAATGTCGATTCGGCCCAACTTCAACGACATGACGTTCGACGATTTAAGGAACGACGTGAAAGACTCTGACTTCTTTTCACGACCCAAGAGTTCAGTAGCATAGGTATCGGCTTCAACAACCTTGTCGTATTGGGTAGAGATAGGCAAAACCCAGGCATCTTCAACCGCACCGCTAAGGATGGTTTCGAGCACATATTTAAGAATACCAAACTTTGGCGGAAGTAGTTTGCCGGTACGAGAGCGTGTTCCCTCGATAAAGCATTGGAAATTTACTCCTTCGTGGAGTAGAGTCTCGATGACACCTTGGAAGAACGCGGTGTAAAGAGGGTCTTCAGACCAGTTACCTCTTCGGATGTACAAACTACCGCATTCGCGTAGGAATCGGTTCAAAATAAAGACATCGAGATTATCACCAGCAATTGTGGCCGGAAGCGAGATACCTAACCGGAAGCAGGTGAACACCAGGGAGATGTAATCGATGTGCGATTTATGGCACGGGAACAGCAGCAAGCTTTGCTTCTTGGCTTCGATTCTTTTGGCAGTCTCTCTGACCCGCTTAATGTCTGCCCGAGAAATATGCATGCCCTGGTGATAGCAACGAGAAAGCGTCTGGGCCACGACCCAGTAGACGAACTTGGTGGTCCCCAGGTTTTCGAACCAAGGCATTGCCTTAACTCCAATATCTTTGACCATATCGCGGACACAATTGATATAAATAGCGCGTCTCTGATCACGTTCTGCGGGGCTTAGGTTCCACGACTGCTCCATGTCCATACGTCTCTGGACGAGGTCCGACATGGCGTTTTCAACAATTGGACGGTTGATTGTCTCCTCGAGCATTTTGTCACGCCAGCCAGTGAAGTACAAGCGTGCTCCGACGTACCTGTCGTACGCACGCCAATTAGTGCCAAAGTAGTGCTTCTGAATTGCCGATAAGAACTCTACGGGGTCCTGTCTGAACCGGACCTGTTCGCGCAGTAAATCAAACACAGCATGCTCCTCACCTTCCTCTTCGGTGGTCAACAGCTCAAAGTCTGCATCTTCCTGATCTATGGTCGTTTCTTTGGGCATCTTAAACTATGAATCAAAGCTCCAGTCGAGACGATAACCTTGACAAAGGGTCCTGTCTTTAAAAAATGCACCCCAACAAGGGTAAGGGGCTAGGTGAAAGTGGGATTTCCGCTGGTCTTGCGAGCGTTACTAGGTAGTTAATAGGCCTATTATGAGACTATAAGCAATTGGGCGCCCAACCGAAGCATGTGCCAAAGGCTAGACCGGTGGCCCACAGCCCTGTCGGCATTGCACGAGGGTCGCTGGGTATCTCATGTAATTGCGGGAGTAATCGGTAGAACATCGCACCGCGCATATTCAGCTGCTGCGCAGTGGGATGGCCGGCTGGGTCATGCGGGGGCGGGGGGGAGAAAAGTCAAGGAAGGAATACGAATAAATAAATTAGATAAAAAGGACAGTGATAGGTGGTTACCTTGTGGGTTGAAAGCAATTGAGAATTCAATGAGAATAGGAGTGCTTTACCAGGATCAGTGGCTGAAACGCATCACTGGCCCCCCACCAAGTGCTTTCGTTTATTGACGTAGGGGAACCGCGGCTGGCGACCAGGCCTGGGTAGTTTAGCTTTTGGGCGGAGTGTCCGCTTAGTAACGGGCGAGCTTCCAAAATCAATAAAGGCAGAGTGTGTAAGCCTTTAGATTGAGGCGTCGGGGCGGAACCTTAGACCACGATGGAGGAAGGCTCGCTGACGTGCCAGATGGACTGAACAGAGGGTCTGCGGAAGTAAACCCGCTCGACCGTGTGAATTGACGGAGACTCGTAGGCCATGGCGTCGCAGTCTTCGTCACCGCTGACATAGTCAGAATCCAGCGTGGAGTAGACGGACTCCTCGTCGTCGTCCTTGACGCTGGACCAGTACGCGGTTGATTCCGAGTTGTCACGGCTGTGGCCCCTAAAGTCGAAGCTTCCGGGCGAGTCTGGACACCATTCGGCGTCAATTAGATCTGGCGGAGAGTTGCACTGGCTGGGCGACGAGCCGGTCCAATCCGAGGCAAGGAAGGCTGGGGAGAACGATTGCTGGTCGATTTGACACTCTGGTGTGCGGGCGCTCTCGCACAGATACGCACTGAATCGATCAGAATCCATGCTGTCAGACGTGATAAGGATGGGATCGGAGATTTGTAGGGGCTTGCCTGGTTTGGCCGGTTGCTTCTTCAAACGGAAGGCGCTGAGAAGAGACCTTTGTCGGGATAGCCCAGGTGGGGAATTCGCTAGCCGGGGCATCTTAGTGGGAACCTATAACTGGATGGGTCGCTCAACGGTTATGGGAAGTTACTCAAGGTTGGTAACGAAAAAGCTTGAGTATAAGGCTGAACTGTGGGCCAAGAAAATTAGGCCCGGCGTCTAATATTGTTCCCATGCATCATGCAGAGCTTGCATGTCGGGCTATTTTAAGTATTTAGCGCCAGCCATTCAATGCACGAAAAGTTCAGTATTATCTGGCGGGCGGCAACCTTTTTTCGACGGGGCCTCTTTGCCGCGTCTACAGTGGCCAGTAACTTGATGTTCTTTGTTAGTGCTAGTCTATGTTCGGTAGTTTGCTCGCTCTTAATATTTGATTGATAAGAAGCCGTTTCAGCCCGTGAATGACTACGCCCGGGGCAAGGGCACTGCTTGGCCAACGGATCAGGGGACATGTAATTTGATGGGTTCGCAATTAGCTGGGCCCAGACAGAAAAAGCAGAGACTCCAACGAGGTTAATGTGGCCGACAGCAGCTGGTCTAGGTGGGAGCTTCTTAAAAAATCAGAATCCGCCAGCGTGCCATCCAGATCCGGAGGATGTGCTACTCGTCTGGGTTCCGTTGCTCTTTCGTGCATCACTGGCGATGACTGTGAAAAGGCGACGCTGCGTTGGTGCAAAACCTGTAAATCCATCCCCCCCATCATAATCTCCCGTCGTCTGTCCAACCATATGGGCGAGGTGGCCCCGGAATACCCAGGTAAGGTCGGCTCGTGGTCCTCTTGGTCATGCTTGTGCGCTCTCTGCGAGAACAAAGGCACTGGGGTCACCACTTCATCATGACTGCAGGAACCATTGGGGAAAGATGTCAGACGGATTTCAGCGGTTGTGAGCTTGAGACATGAAGAGTACATACGACAAATTAGGTTTAGAATAATCAAGGGCTGTCTACTCAGCCAATTTGGCTCCACGTAAATTCCCAGCATTAACTCTTCAAAGTTCCCCAGCTTGTAGACTTGCTGCATTCACATGCATCTGCTGACGTCATGCATTCGTCCAGGCACGGAAACGACCAGCAGGTTGATCTGTGCCCGATTCAGATGTCAACCTGTTTCAAACTGGTCGAGGCACGCGAACCCCGGTGCCCCATTACGCTATCAAGACTGGTCCCGCAACGTTGGGCGCTCGTGGCAGCCCTGTCCCTCGAATATTAATTTAGCGTACTGCACGTCAAATGCAATTTTTTACATACGCGCACCTGGCGCTGAGATTAATTGTCAAGTCGGGCCAACTAAACAGCGGCCTTTTTCCCTCACGAAGCTCAAGATGGGTCTCTAAACCTACCCTATGTTTCATATTATACTTAGTACATTCCTGCTCGCCGTTCACATCTCCCGAACCTTATCTCAAAAGGACCTTCCTGCCTGCCTGCCTGCCCGCCAGTGGGACAGATGGGCATGAAGGTAGTCCTCCCGTTAGTAAGCAGCATATCTCGTTACAGCTCGACCTGGGAAGCCCACCCTTAGCTGAACTAGCATTGCTGCACCTAAACTCCCAAGTCAACCTCAAAGTGTGTTAGGGGTCACATTTGGTCATTGTGGATAGTGAATAACTGATCAAAACAAGACATTGCCGAGTGGCTGTGAGATTGAATATTCTGTTGGTTTAATAAAGACAGGTCTTCAACCCGTTACACCTCTACATTCCCCTCTCATTGTTGTTTTGCTCTCCAGCCTACACCACACTAACCGGCACAACCATGTCCAGCCGCACCCATCACGGTGTGGAAACAAACGGTATAGATGATCTTGGGCGAGCAATAGAGAGCTCATTGTCTTTTGATCAACAAGAACAGTCGCACGATCTTTGGCAGCATCATAATACGCAGCAACCGTTCTACTCTCGGAGCACCGCCGTCTACCAGGACGCCCAATCGCCCAGCAGAGCAGATAATCTTGCAAGCAGAGCTTCGCCACCTAAGCTAAGATCGCCGGTCTCTTCGAGCGGCCGACCGCGAGCATATTCTGGCACCTCGCCCAACCACCATCAACAAGCTCCGGCTCCATCGGGCACCTCGCTCAGCCCTCGTCAAATGGCCTACCGATTGCCGCATAATCCTCCACTGAGTCTTGCCGGAGAGCCCGTTGGACCGGCTCTTGCCCATTTGGCTGAGCCAGTGCGTGTCTCGCCGCCGGCCCGTCTAGGCTCCCCCATTGCCGAGGCGACTCCGCCCCTTCACGAACGCAGCCAGGCCTCCCCTGGGGGCCCTACGCATGTTCCTGTTAGACACAGCGATGGTTGGAACCAAGAGGGTGCCGCCACTCTAGTGAAAAAGACCACAGACGAGCAGGGTAATGTAACCACCCGTGTCATCAAAAAGGGCGTCGAAGACTTTGAATTCAAAGAAGAACTAGGTACTGGATCTTATTCCACGGTTGTTGCTGCGAGTGACAAGCAAACGCTCCGGCAGTATGCCATCAAAATCCTGGATAAAGCCCATATCATCAAAGAAGGCAAAGTCAAGTATGTGGAGATCGAAAAGAACACCCTCACTCGTCTTGGCGACCACCCGGGCATTATCCACCTATACTACACCTTCCAGGATAGAGCAAGTCTATTTTTTGTTTTGGATTTCGCGCCCAATGGCGAGCTCTTGCAACTCATCAAGCGAATGGGCTCAATCAATGAGGAGGGCGCTCGCTACTATGCTGCGCAGCTTTTAGACGCTATCGACTACATGCATTCTAAAGGTGTGATCCACCGTGATCTGAAACCTGAAAATATTTTGCTGGATTACAAGATGAGGATCAAAATTACTGACTTTGGCACTGCCAAATTATTAGAAGCCAACCCGGCAACCAACGAATACCCCATTGACAGTTGCCGTGCCGATTCGTTTGTTGGAACCGCTGAATATGTTTCCCCTGAATTACTTAGTCAAAAGACTCAGGGCAAGAGTGCCGATATCTGGGCTTTCGGGTGTGTACTTTTCCAAATGATCGCGGGTAATCCGCCGTTCCAAGGTTCCACGCAGTATCTGACTTTTCAAAGGATTGTAAAATATCAATGGACGGCTCCACCTGGGTTCCCTGTTTTGGTTCGCGATTTACTTAAAAACGTTTTTGTTGGCCCCCGCCGTCGACTCGAAGTTGATGAGATTAAGGCCCATCCATTCTTTGAGAGCCAGGATTGGTCCCCTCGCGAGCTTTGGAATTCTAGTCCACCTCGTCTTGTACCATACAAACCTAGTCCTCAATCGCTTGCTTCATCCAGGCTGCCCAAAGTTCGCAGCCAGCCGGTTCGACGCCCGGTAGCCCCGCGACCCTCGCCGGCGATGATCCCTACTCCTGCTGGGCTTGCACCCGTTCAGCCCTCAACACGCGCTGGTGTACCTTCTAATGCCAATTTACGGTCTGGTGATGGCGTGGCTATCTCTCCAAGGGCACCTGCGCTACCAGGTCGTCCTGTTTCTGCATCATCAGCGGCCGCAGCTGCATTGTCACGCAGTGCTGCGTCCCCTCGCACACCACGAGCAACAGCACCTCAAAGCCACACACAATCTTATCAACAGAGTCAAGAGCGTCTGCAAGAACTCACTCGGCGGGTTCGGGAACGCACGAACCAGCGACCTGCGTCAGGGGGACCAAGTCTCCATGTCAACACCCAACGGCGGAGTACGCCTCCACTACAGAAGCCAGTAATGAGCAGTCCAAATTTGGGTGGATACTCACCGTCTTCGCCTAAAAGCCCTAGCTTGCCGCTGCCGAACCTGACAGCCACGGAGGGTGAGTGGTCCACGGTCCTGATTTCTAGCCAGGAACGTATTTTGCGTATTGGAAAAGTAACAGTATATGCTGGTAATAACATCGGCCTGTCAGAGTGTACGAGTACTGTTGAGACCGAGCACAGAGTCGCGAAGTTGATGTCGTCTCGTCACAAACGGACGTGGACCCTCATGGTAACCACTGCTGGCCGTATGGTGGTCATTGGAAGCGACCGTAAAGTGCGGGTTGAAGTTCCACTGGGGGTTCCGCAGGTTGAAATTCAAATTGTATCTTTTGTCAAGCGTGACGGTTCAGTTTTGGCTGTCGAAACGTATAATAGGGCTATTGTCATCAGTGACGATAAAGGAAATGTTAAAGACTGGATGAGCACAATCGAGTTGAGCCGCAGATACTATGCACAGGCCACTGCCGAACAAGAACGTAATGCATTCTCTGCTGCTGCGGCGGCGGCTTGTGCGGTAAGCGGGACCCGTCGCTAAACCTCCCTTTTTATTCTTGGTTCGGCGGTTCATCTTCGTTTACTAGATGCTGGGCCTGGACCCTTCTTCACGTTGCTTTTTTCTCTAACACTGCCCTCTTGTACACTGGTTGAAATGTGCCTTAGAAGAAAAAAATAAATATATATATACTTAATCTACCCGCGTCGGTGCTACAATAGAGGTTAGAGCCTTCTTGTCTGCTCTTTGGAACAACTCGGTCACCAGATAGTTTTTGCGCTTTTCCGGCCGTACGACGTATCGGCTCAGGCGCAGTGCGTGGTAGGGGATCTGGACAGTGGCTGAATTTCCATAGGGCCACTTGGGAGATAGCTTCACGTCGACAAGATCATTCGCAGCCAGAACCTTCACATTGCCATACCATTGGGGGTCGTCGGTTTTTTTATGGATATGGTAGACCAGCATAACCGAGGCCATACATTTTGTGAAACTGACGTCGAGACTGTCGGGATTATACTTTGCTTTCGAAGGTTTCCGCACCTTCTCCACAAGTTCGACATTTTCTTCGGACAGAGAACGGGCCGCCAATGCCTCAATGGCTTTTTTTGAGGGCCGCACCGGAGATGGCCCCGTCCAAACCTGCTGCAACTTGAAGTGATTAGGTGGATTCCATTGGAGGTTGTAATTTTCCGAGACTGCAGGTTTCAGCAGGGCGTGGATGATTTCAGGTTTAGGGAAATCGTCTGGCAGCTTGACGTTGCAGCGGCGAGTCAGGAACTTTGATTCGTTGGTTTGAAGCTCGTGGTTGATATTTTCGCGCCAGTCTGCGAGTAGTACAGGGTCGCTGTGATAAACCACAACGATTTCTTCCAGTCGCTGAGCGAATCCAGTCTGCACGTCTGCTATTTGGCTTGCAACCTTACTGCCGAGACGAGTGACACCCTTATCGTAGTCATTTCCCTGCAAAAGAGCCCGTAAAAGATAGATCCTACGATCTATAGTCACATTGTGAATAGAGATATGTCGGTTGAGGGCATTTTCCTTGACAGTGTCTCGGTCCCGTGAGTACGACAACACACAAGTAGCCCCAAAAACCAAAACATCGGCATCGTCGCTGAAAACGAAATCGACCTGCCCTATACTCTGCAGGTGAGAGCACAGTGCCTCCGCTTCGCCGGGAGACTCGATGCACGGCAGGCCTAAATGCTTGACGATGTCTTTGGCCAAGACCACAAAAGCGTGCTCTCTGCGAAAACGAGACTTGTGTCGTAGCTTATGCGGGTGATCTGTGCCGTCAAACACCGGCACCAAGTCAATTCCCGCTGTCATGAACGCTGCAAAGCGACGGATCAGCAGCCGGTGTTCGTTGAACCCCCAACTCTTGGCCTTTTGCACAATCCCCACAAGCCATTGAGGCGTGTCGAGAGCCACTCTGGGTTTCCGTCGATGCTTGGTATAGAACTCCGAAGCCCATTCTGTCATGGGCTTTGTTTGACTCTCCGAAAAGTCTCGCCAGAGGTCTTTCACACCCATCTGTCGATTGCGGATGACCCAAGTGCCGAGGTTACGTTAGCTGATTTGGGTGCACAAAACCGGTTTAGTACATAAAAAGTCAAGTATGATCTATAAAAAATAAAAGGGTAAACGTTAAAATAAAGGGGTTCAATATTAAGGAGATTTCGAGCTGAAATCAAAAAAAGAGACCGCCCCATTTGGGTCATTAAGATAAAGTGGATTTTGCACTGAAATAGTCTTTTGGCATTAGCCCCTTGAGTTTGGCAGAGGTCACTTGGCCGTCCAGCAGTAACTCAGCAACAAGATAACCGGTTCCCGGGGCGTTATTGATACCCCAGCAGGAGTGGCCGACCGCCAGCACGAGGTTTTCAACATCTGTGTTTCCGATGAAAGGACCCGTACAGGAGGATGAATCGACCACCGGTAAGAAGCACGCTTGTTTCCGCTGGATTTTCCCGCCGCGGATTTCTTCCGAGATCTGTGCAGCGTGCTCGAAGAGCTGCTCGCATTGGTCTGGGGTTGGCACGACGAGATTCGCGGTTTCTGGCAGCTCTTCAAGGCCACCTTCGCCGGCAACAAAAATCTCGTCTTTTCGTGCGTAAATTTCAGGAGAAACGTACTGGGAACGGCTGATTCTGAAGTCGGTGAACATGGCAAAGGCGCTGACTTTTCTTGTGGGCTTGAGGGTGATCGAGTGGGCCTTCAAGGCTAGCAGAGGCATGTCTGGAACTAAGCGAGACGCCCATGGTCCGTTGCAAATGACGATCTTGTCTGCGTCGAGCCGAACTAGCGGGTCCGACTTTGACGAGCCCTCTGGTCGATACGAGACAGCGGTGGCTACGTTGTCTTGGCCGTTTACTTGCTCGACCTTGCCTGTGATGAGCTTAGCACCTCTTTCAAGCACCTTGCGTAACAAAAAATGCACAAACAAATAGGGCTGCACCTGGGCGTAGGTTTGCGGTCCTCCCAGGGTCTCGCACACGGACATCTTTTCGCGATAGATCCAGTCCAAGTCCTTGGGTATGTCGGGTTTATTCGTGGGATCCGGCGAGTTTGCGTTGGATCCAGCAATAGAAACTACCGAGAGATAGCGGAAACCCCAGGCCTCCGCACCGTTATACTGCTCTGCGAGCTTTGTGTGGAGGTCAAACGACAGGGGAACAATCTGGTGGGGGAACGCCGATTTGGACAAGAGCCCACCAGCTTTGCCAGAGGCAGCCGAAGCAGGTCGAACTGCTTCTAACAGAATAACCTCGTACTTCTCGGGGTCGTACTTACTGTGTTCTGTGATATAGTATGCCGTGCACACGCCTACGATGCCGGCGCCGACGATTACGATACGAGTCTTGGCCATTTGGCTGGTTGATTTGCAGATAAAATACTCAAAAAACAATGATCCGGGCAAGCAAGCAAACAAGTAAACAATAGTGCAAATATCAAACAACAAAAAAACGCTGGTGGCACTGATTTCGCCAAGGCAGGGAGACGATGATAAGTAATAAATTGACTGGGAACGGTTTCTAGCACAGACGCTGCGACAATAATACCGCTAGGGATTTGCAGCAGGTGGCTGAGAGGTAAAAAAAGCAAGCAATCAATTGTGCTCTGGCAAAAACAGGAAAAAACTTGCTACAAGAAATTTTTATTTTTCGTGCGTGACAATTTTTGCCAAGCCTATCTCCTTCATATATCCAAGCTTCGACCTGGGGTAGGATCATGCCACAGATGACCAAGAAGGCATGAGGGGATGCAGCTCAAGCTGTGAAAAAGTTTATGGTCCATTAAATTTATGCAGTTAGCTTAGCGCATCATAGAACAAAAGCCACTACCCTCAACAGAAATGTATGACACACGCGTTAAGATTGTAATTTCGTCAGTGACACGCATACAATGATTTGGCCCGCTATTTATCCACACGTAAACCAACCGCTAAACATGACACGGCCCCAGAGACTTTCATAATGGGCGCCGACCGTTTTTCCGCCCCTGGGCGGCGAGCTGCTGCACCCTGCATCCATCAGGTGATTGATGACGCTTAGATGTGGGACAGTCGTTAAGGACGGAGAGCACCGCTGGGAACTCTAAGAAGACGCAGCACATGTGTTTTCTATATACCTCTAATCCCGCGAGCCGGGCGGGGGTAGGCTTGTCGTCAGGCAGCTATTACCAAGACAAGCAGAATAATAAGTACAACAATCAATAGTCCAATGCAGCACGAGCTTAGCGTCTCGCGGTTATTCGCAAGAACCCATTCGACTCTTTTCATACCTCGCTGCAGCCGGTCGCCGGTCCTGTCGGCCTCGTTGGTGAAGTCGTCGAGCATGAACGCCTGGTCCTCGAGCTCCCGAGACATCACATTCGCCTGCTCGCGTAATGTGTTGACTGTATCATGTACCGAATCCAATACTGAGTCCTGCTCCCGCATTGCCTCCTGGTACATCAGCTGACGCACTTCGTCGTTGTCGCCAGTACTAGCACCCGCCAGAACGGGGGCATGCTCCACCCATTGACCCGTGGGGTGGACCTTGCGGGCCTCGGAAAGAGTGTGCTGGATGTCGTTTAGCTGGTTGTTGATATTGCCCACCTGCTCAATTCGGCGACTCACTTCGAGGTGGTCCACGCCGAATCTCTCCGGGTCGGCTTGCACTGCAGCGTTACTTTGCGATAGATCATGGATGGTCTCGGTCAGTTCTTGTATAGTGTTGTTCAGGTCGGCCAGTCGCGACTGGATCGGATCGTCCTCGTACTGGCGCAGCAGCAGTTGCGCCCTGCTCAGTTGCGACTGCGCCTCACCAAGCACATCTCCAAACGGGTCCATCTTCCGTCTGGGTTCGTCCTTTCCTTGCTATCTTTTATGCCACAGTAGACCTTAAAGCTGTTGTCCGCTTAGGTAACGGCCAGTTGTCGCCCGATTATGACCGTCAAGGAGCCAGAGGTCTCACCGCCAGCCAGCGGGGCGCCCACTCGGGTTTGGCTGAATAAAGAAGTCTCTCCTGCTCTGCTTGAAGGAATGCGAATGCTTGCCCGCACAAAGCCCCAGGATCCGTTGAGAGTGCTTGGCCAATTTCTTATCGACCGCTCCAACGAGGCCCCCGCAAAGAACGAAGAGGCTTCATCTGGGCACGACGACTCTGTCAAAACAGAAAATTAAATATTAGGCTATCCGCTTCTGGAGTATTTATTGGAAAAAGGTTAGAACCGCTCCTTCTCGGCACTATTTACATCAATCGCGTCAACACCCCACGCGCCAATGCATCCTAGCAACTCGGGTCTCCAGCCTCTATAAAGGGATAAAATGGAATCTTTACCGGAAAAGATGTCCCACAGGCTGTACAGCATTCCATTGTAAGGTCTGGGGACTACAATTAATGTCTTGGGGTCGAGGTTTTGGCTCGCGACGGCTGCGCGATTCGCAAACGTGTCGAGGGGGATTTTGAACGCCAGCGCCAACAACTTGGAGCACAAAACCATGCAGTGGTACATACCTCGATACCTGAACTGGTCAATATTCCAGTGCTTGAACAGCAGATAAGGTGTAGCTGAATCGACTAGTTGGATAATGCTTGAAGATGCTGCAGAGGGCACTGCCACGGAGACCGGCCCGACAATGCTTTTCAGCCCCAGCAGGGCACCTCGCAGCGACCTGGGACCAATCTGCATCACAGTCACGATGAACCGGGCCCGAATGACCGCTAGAGGTGCAAGCAACGCAGCCGCCAGCCCACTGGCAACAGTAGTCACGGCCACGGCCATTAACGGATCGGGGCTCTGTAAAACATCTAGAATCAAAGGGTCCTGGACTCCCACGAGAGACGATAGAAGGCCACATAGCCATGCGTACAGAAGACCTTTACTGGCCTGGTAGAGACATGAGGTGTGCATCGCCTTCCACATCCCCACGGGGCCCTCTTTCTCAGCCACCAAAGAGATCATATTCCAGATATAAGCATTCTGCACAGGCGTGGCTTCAGGAAAAGCAGAGAGAGCCGGATCCGATTTAACTAATTGCATTTCTTTAGTGAGCTTGCGCAACTTGGCGCTCTTGAGCGTAATCTGCCTTGGCGTAGGAGAAGACGTATCCAAAAAGTAGTCAATTTCCTCCTCATCGCTATCTTCGAGTTCATCCTCATACAACTGTGCCCCTCCGCGGTTGCCCACGTCGCTTACCTGGACAAGGAATTTGGCCACATCGAAGGGCTGAACGACCACCATGCGGGAGTAGAACTTGGCAATCGACAGACCCACCTGCCCAACGGGGCTCTGGTTCAGGTCATCCAAATAGTCAAAGTCGAACTCCGTCCTCAATTTGGCCTGCCCAGGAAGCGATGTCGTCACGGCCACCGGAGACGCAAACGTCTCGGGGTCATAATACGGCCTGTAGTTCATGTCAGCTGGGATGGCCCATGAAAGGCCGGGGGAGGAGGTTAACAAGGACTGGGAAAAATTAAATAATGTAGATAGCTCAAATGTTCTGTAAACTAGCACTGCGGTTTTGGGTACGACGTTTAGGGATCACAATGTCGCTGTCTTTCGCCGAGTTCGTGGTCTCAATCGCCGCCTGGTACTTGGAAAGCATGACCTCTCGAACATGGCCCTCCAGCTCGCGATACTTTGCTTCGGCAGATGCCAAGCTCTGTGCACTTGACTTGAGTTCGGTCTTGAGCTTTGTGTTGTGCGCAAGGAGGACTTTCTCTTGCTGCTGCAGCTTTTCGACTCTGGCGGCCAGGGCCTCCTCTGATTCATGGAGCGACTGGAATCTCTCGATCTCTGCAGATTGCTTGTGCACAGTACGTCGCAATTCCTCGAGTTCTTTACGTGTGCTGTCGTGCTCGCCTAGCAAGTGGTCCTGAATGGCCCGGACTTCGCCCTGGAGTTGCCGGAAATTGTCGGCGCTCTCAAGCTGGGCTATGATTTCATTTAAAAGCGGTGTGGTATCGGAGGCATTCAATTTAGCATCCAGCGACTCGATGAGCTTGCTGTTATTCTCAGTAGGAGGCTGATCCGCTCTCTGCGTTAGCTGGTCGAGCTGCTTTGACAGCTTCTCCACCGAAACGGCCATAGCCGTGTTACTTTCAGCCGATTGATCACCCAGGCGCTGGATTTGATGCAGCACTTGCTTGTCACTCTTGAAAGCATCGACAGCACCTTTCAGATCAGCCAACATCTTGAGCTGGTCCAAATTGTCAAGCTTTTCGAGGCTCTTCAGTTTGCCCGGTATAGTGTTGAGCTGTTTGATTTGATCAAATAGTCCATCCTCGTCAAACTTTTTCCAAAGATCCATACGTGCATTCAACTCACGCTGCTGGAGCTCCAGGTCACGAACATGAGTACCCAGCTTATCTAGGTGCTCGAGCTTGTCCAGCTGTTCAAGCTGGTTCAGGCGAGCGAGTTCCCGGACTTGGTTCGTGTGATGGGTGTTTGAGATGGCCACAAAGCTCTTGATTTCGGCCATAAGGCCCTCTAATGCCACACCGTTATCCTTGGATCGATCAGAAAGACTCACAAACTCATCACGGGTTTCAATGACGTTCAGAGATACCTTCTTGAGTCTAGTTTGAATTTCCTCCAAGCTGGAAGTCACCGGGTCCGCCTCGCCACGGGAGGAGCCCAGACGACCAGAAGCCGGATGGAGAGTCGAATTAGTTCCAGATGAGCCTAGCATTGCCGAATGTTGCGGTTGCTGCCACATTCCAAGCGTAAGTTTAAGGAGTCTTGAATAAGTAAACAAAGCAGAACAGGTAGGGCAAGGAACACTGGTGCAGGGACAAAAGGGCACCCCGGAGAGGGAGGGCTCTACTGCTGATTAGCTCAGCCAGAACTGGTTTCCACTCTGCTTAGGGCTTAGGGCTGAATCACTGCAGACCCTGGATTATACACTCGACCCCTCTCGAGCGAGTCCTCCACATCCTTCAGTAATGGCCAAGTTCTTGAAGCCTAACAAAGTCGCTATCGTTACCCGTGGCCGTCAAGCCGGTAAGAAGGTGGTCATTGTCAAGCCTTTTGACGAGGGCACCAAGTCCCACCCCTACGGCCATGCCCTCGTTGTGGGTATTGAGCGCTACCCCCAGAAGGTTGCCCGCCGTCACAGCGAGAAGGTTCTTGCCAAGCGTACCAAGGTCAAGCCTTTCATCAAGCGTGTCAACTACAACCACCTTATGCCCACTCGTTACACCTTCGAGCAGGAGAGCTTGAAGAACGTCATTTCCGCCGAGACCTTTGCTGAGCCCTCTGCCCGCGAGGACGCCAAGAAGGAGATCAAGAAGATTTTTGAGGAGCAGCACAAGGCCGGCCAGAACAAGTGGTTCTTCACGAAGCTGGCTTTCTAAACACACATGATTTATCTAAAAAGTAGTCATTGTAATGTTACGCATTGCACCTGCCCTTCTGCGTTAATTGACTCGCTGCAGTTTACTTAGAAAAATAAACAAAAAGCACTTCACATCTAACATTTTTCTCGTCTAGCTTCTCCTCATTTTAGCCTGGATGCTTTCGGCCTGAAATTTTTCAAGGGTTTGGTCACCTGATGACCAACGATCCCTTTACATGTCGATGAAGGTCGCCAGCAGCTCGAATCTCAAAATCGCTGCTTGGCCACTTAAACGTATTTTGGCCAACCCAGCTGCGTTTCAAAAAAGTGTGGACCTCCGACAATGTAAACTGTACAAAAGTTACTCCATTGCCGACTTGGTCGAGCTGCATGATCAACTTCAGGCGGCGAAGCACACCCGTCAATTGGCGGCCACAGAACGGAATCGGTTGCTGAAACAAGTCAAGGGCTCTATTTCAACAAAGGATAGTCTTCAGGGCGAACTTTTGACTCAATCCAAAGCCTTGAAAGAGAAAATGGCAGTGGTCGATGAGCAGGTGTCGGCTCTGGAGTCCGAGTTCAATCTGCTGCTCGACACTGTTCCCAATCTTATCGAACCCAGTGCGGCAAGAATTGACGGCGAGTTTGAGCAGCTCAAGATTTTGAATGAGAGGCCCATAAGCGCTGATCAGAGCCGAGACCATGTAACCATTGGATCGAAACTTGGACTGCTAGATATCGCCTCTGCATCACGGGTTTCTGGACATGGCTCATACTATTTAACCGGCGACGGTGCTCTCTTGGAGCAGGCTTTAGTCCAATATGCTCTTAAAAAGTGCCGGGACGCTGGATTCACTATGGTATCCCCTCCTTCGTTAGTCCGCCAAGAGTTCACAAACGCATGCGGATTCAAACCTCGCGACAGTAATAATGAAGTTCAAGTTTACAGCGTTTATGGCGGTGGTGGTCCGAACGCTGATCCAATGTGTTTGGCAGGCACAGCGGAAATTCCTCTTGCCGGCCTTGAAGCTCATAAAACGATCGACTTTCGAGGATTAACCACCCTCAGAAAAGCAGGCGTGAGCCGAAGTTTCAGAGCAGAAGCAGGAGCTCGTGGTGCAGACACCAGAGGGCTGTACCGCGTTCATGAATTCACAAAAGTCGAAATGTTCGTTTGGTGCAGACCGGACATAGAAGCTTCCCAAGAGGCCATACAAAATTTGCTGAGTATACAGCAAAGCATTGTAAACGACCTCGAGCTCACTGCTCGTGTGATCAATATTGGCCCTACCGACCTAGGAGCGCCTGCCTACCAAAAATACGACATTGAAGCGTGGATGCCTGGCCGCGGAAGCTGGGGCGAGATTTCGTCGACCTCCAACTGTCTTGATTTCCAGTCTCGCCGGTTACATACTAAAGATACCAACGGCGAGTTTGTCCACACGCTTAACGGCACCGCGTTGGCAGTGCCTCGTGTGATCGTTGCATTAATCGAGAACGGCTGGGATGGAAAAGGCGTGCGTGTCCCGAAAGCATTACACAATTGGATGCCCGAGTATATATCGTTGTAATAGCTTCCTTTGTACATAGTATCTCTCACCTGTCAGAGTTTCGCTGCATGCCGCCTGCCCTCGCCCTTGCATGGCGGGTGCCTGTCAAATAATTTCACCTGAAAAGAAAAAAAAATCTGCACAGGGCTAGTGCAGGAACGCCCGCCCTGAGTTTCTCTAACGTAAAAAGATCTGGGACCCACGAGAGATGTCGGGGGGTTTGGGGCAGCGCTAGACGAGCATTACGAACGATCCGACACGCGAAACTTTGTGTTGCGTTCCTAACGAGGCGTCCGAAACAAACCCAGAAAGAGCTTCTAAGCTGTTATTATATATTTATTAGATGCCAAATCTTCAATCATTGCCGGCCTCACTGTTCCACCATTGGCCTCTTATATAGCTATCCTTTCTAAGCATACTCACAACCCAGCTGGACCTGCGTGTAAATTCTAAAAGTATCACATGGCGGGAGCACCATCTCGTGCGGCAATAATTGAACGTCAGGAGAAGGCTGCCCCAGAACTTTCAGCTCTTGTCAATGCGTTGACAAACGAATCATTGGACGCGCTGCTACCCAAGCTACTAGAGTGGTCGACGCTGCCATGGGATAGACCCCGGGGTGATCTCTGTCACTGGCTGCCTCTTTTGAATCGGCTGGACGCCGAAATGAAGACTATCATTGCCAATTACGACTTCAAGACTAGTAAACCAGTTGTTCTAGCTCCAGAACACGAAAAAAGTCTGCTGGCGATGGTCCAGTTCGCCGCCACGCTAACGGAAAACTGTGCCAACCGTGCAGTCTACCCCAGCGTACCAATTCTTGGCTTACTGATTGAAACAGCAAACATAGTGGTAGTGTCCAATACACTGTTTCTACTGTCAAAGTTTTTACCCAGGAAGGGAAGCAATATCGCTACGATTGAAGTGCTATCACAGCATATTAACGCCAAAAAACTTGTCAGGATGTTCTGTTTAGTACCAGCCCAGATTTCTTCTAAATACATCGAGCTCAAAGACTTTTACGATCTTCCCCCTCTGTACTGGGCAGAGGGATATGCCCTCGTGGGCGGACCAAATCTGGGCTGGCCGGAGGATCCTTCCTTCATTCAGAACTCAGACCTACACACTTTGGTTTCAAATACTTGTCAGAATACTCCGGAGATTCTTTGGGAGGGACTGCGCTATCGTATCTGGCTTGCAAAGGCTTTCACAGGCGATGCTAGCGTTAGACATCATCTGATCTTTACTCAATGCCGTTCAATTGCAATTGCTTTCTACATTCTTCAGGAAGCCAAGTTCACGGCCGAAATTTTGGCTATTAGACCAAATACTTTGACCGCGATTGCCAAGTTAGTGACCTCCAGCCATATTGCTGAACTGCGTCTCCTTGGTGTTCAGATCTTCCATCACATCGTTATAGATCGAAGTTCGATTCTATCCGCAGAAGTCCGCCGAACGAAATGTTTGGGTATCATTACAGTTCTCTCTCAAGCAACGAGAGCAGCAAAACTTGGGGAGCCAATTGCTGAAGAATTCTTGTCTCGTTTGTTCAGCTTCGCAAGAGATGCAATGTGGGTCGATCTAACTGCAATGGGGATCATCCCATTGTGTCTTGAGTTCTTGACCATTGACACACCTTTACTCCTCAAATCCAAAACGGCCTGCTCATCTTTTCTGAATACCTTGGTGATGGAGGTGCAGGCAGCTAACACCGCCTTCATCGAAGTCAACGGAGTAGAGTCTTTGATACACATTCTTGTCCGTGAGGTAGATCCGACGAGAGTAAGAGAAGCTCTAAGGGTGGAATCTCCGCCAACATTTTGCAAAGTCGACCATGATCTCAGCTTAGATCGTGTTCGCTGGATTTGCTCGGCAGTGGTTCTTTTGGCTAATTTATTGACATTAAGGCGCTCCTCTACTCTGTTCCGGAAAGTTTTGGATTCCCCACTGCTGGATGTTTGTGCAGAGTTGATTTCAAACCCAGCTATTTTTTCTGGCCGTAATGCTGCTTTGGCTCTTGATCTTGTTGTAGCACTCATAAAACAAGATGAAAACACAATTCAAGTTTTGCAGGAGAAAAATTTAATGGGTAAAATGCTTAACGATACTATGATTCTATTCGATCCACGGTTCAAACAATACCCGGCCGGAATAGCCTTTTATGTTGCTCTTTGCGGCGTTTGCAAATCTCTGAGTGCACCTGGGAATGAAAATATTTTAGAAAAGGCTACATCTAAAGCATTTGATGCCATTATTGACGATATGAACAATATCCCAATGTTCGCATTTCGGCAAATTGGTAGAGTTACGTTTTCAAATGCCGGTGCCCCCAAAGATGAGCTCTTTGTATTGATTCACCAGTTGCTTCGCGTATTTTCACGAGTCAAGAGTAAACTTACCGATTCATCTGCCATATCGCCCGAGGTATTTACTACTGACAGTGATGGCACTGACTGGGCGCCCCCAGGAGCTACTGTATCATCCCTCGATGCCATTATGCATCTAGCTGAAACATCACTTGAAGAGCCAAGAGTAATGTCGGCGTTCATCAAGGTGAAGGGTCATTTAAGGCTCCTGGAAGTGTTAGCCGAAAGTCCCCTGCCATTCGACTATTCTAATAGAGCCGCAGGCAAAACTCGTCTTGTCCGGCTTTTCAAGCGCATTTACCAACTCTCATCAGATCGTCCAAAATTTATGGGAGAATGCGTCGAGTACTTGTTAAATATTACACGCACTCTGGTCAAACATGTGAACGATGCTGCACCATTTCCCTCGTCCTCGGGCGATGTAACTCTACTTTGGGCAGCCTCGTCATTTTGCTTTACAATCCAGCTTGTCTCGCGTATTTTGTTCATTAACCCAAGATCGGCTGCAACAGTGATTTCTTTTTTCCGATCCGGTAGTGGTGTTGCTGTATCCGACCTAGTACGAATGCTGGGACAGATCCATCAATGGGCTTTAGAGCAGAGTGCTAAGTGGGTATCTCTTCTCGGAAAGGATATGGAGTGGGATACAAACCCTATCTCAGCTCGTATCTCTAGTTATATGGGTCCCGGCGTAGGGCTGAACGGCGAAACTACCGCAGCAGATACTGAGTATGTCACTAAACTCTTCCGTGCTCTACCTTCTGACACCCGTTCTGAAGCACAGGCTATCAAAGCTAACCGCTGGCTTCTAGCCCGAGTCCACATTTTGTGCACTGAATTCATGGGATATATTTCGATGTACGCGACAGCCGATTCGATTTATGAGCTTGACCCGAAATGTGCATTGGTCGCATCACAATATGTTTCTGAAGTCTATCGGGCAAATCTTAACAGGGCGATGACATGGGATTTGGGCCTTCTTGGCCGTTACGCTACTGTCTATTTCTTGATTGACTTACGAAGTATCTTGCTGAATGATAGAAAATATCTGAATTTGGGTGCTTTCGTTCTATTCGTACAGTCGGGCGGACTGGGTGATTTCGTGAGGTTGGTGAACCGCTTAGTGTGTTCGCATCGTGATGGAAGCGTTGCTAGCTTGTACTTGGCTGAAGGCTGCAAAAGTGTCGATTTTTATGATGACAGTATTGTATTTGCTTTGGATCGCCTAAGTGAGCTTGTTTCAAGTCCAGAATACATGGGAAATTCTCTACACAACACTGAATTTTGTGTCAGAGCATCTGGAGCCGATGAGCCTGAATACTTCTCGATGGCTCAGTTTTTGGTAGAGTTACGCATCAAAATATTGGTCGACCTTAAACAGGCACTCCCTCTTAGCTCTTGGTCTAAGCTTCCTGCACTAGCGCTTGAATCGCTCCAGGAGATTTTCGAGTTTGTGAACTTGGACATCCATTCAGACGACGACGAAATGGCACTCCCTGGGTCAGATCTTGAAAGGTCGAACTTACCTTTGCTCATATTACCAGGTGTAATGTTCAACTGGGAAGAGAAGGTTGCTGCACTGACAAGCACAGGAAGTATAAGCACAGAGAAGGCAGAAACAGCTCTAAGGGAAAATGAGGGGTCTGTAAGATTAGTATGTCAAACTTTAGACATCCCCCTACCACCGGAGAACTTATTTGAAAGAGAGCAAATCGTCGGTATTCCACCTGAACTCGATGGGCATCAATACAAAGTTATCGAGGATCTTCATTTATTAAATAACCAATGGAAAGACTGGATTGGCGAATATATTCTTCGAATTGTCGACAACAATAACAATTCTCCGTTCTATGCGACAAAGCTGTTCTCTAAAGTTGTAAGGGACTGGGGCGAATTGGAAGGCTCCAAAGCCCATGAGCTTTTGAGATTACTTTTGTCTGATGTTCATTCTGGTAGTATCACTCCGGCTAGATTGTATTTCTTGGCGACCCTTACAGGAATAGGCTGGCTTTGCTTTCACATACGGCCGCAGCTGGCTGCTTCCATCAACAAGCTGACAGAACTTGCCACTGGACCTAATGAGCACTTGATTGCACCTGCGCTAACTATTTTGGAGAAGGTGCTGGTTGAAGATGGCTCTACTGCGGCTGTGGTGTCAACTTGGTTAGAGACCGAAGCATTGGGCTTCGTGCAAAAGCTTGCAAGTGCCCCGAGCCACGACAATGTCACTGAGGTGGTGATTGCTCGTTTTCTTCTTCTTCTATCATGGAGAAGTGCTTCATATGATATCCCCATATCATTGATCGACTCTGGTGTGTTGGATAGATTCCTATCGATAATTCAAAAGTTGACAGGCAGTGTTATGGGTCAGCAACTTCAGCTGGTTACTATACTGTTGCTCAGGAGTGTTGTGGAACCTGATGATGTTCAGGCTAGAGTTTTTCAGTCTAGCTTGTTGAAAGTCCTAACGACCGAAAGTACACGACCAGAGTTTGATGAGATTTTCAATATGTTCGCAGATATTTTTGCCCGAAATCCGCAATTAATGGTTGACGTATGCTCTAAGGAGACGGTCTATGATCAGGAAGCAGATGTGCTTGTGCCACGTTTACTGTATGAAAAGTTTGTTGATCATATCAATCAGCATATACTGAAGAGAGGCTATGATATCCGTCCTGTTGGAGTACCCAAGAAAACATCTCAAACACCTTACCCTCGCTCAATTCCTAAAGTTGAAGCGTGTAAAATGGTCTATTCTTTGGTTGAGAAGTTGCTTTCACAACCATACAGTGAGGCGTACGAAGGTGCTCTGAATTTTGTTGCCGCGCAGCAAGAGTCATATGGAGTTACACCTCTGTTCGATACAGCGAATTCAAATTGGGCGTATTTCCGCCGTGTTGCAAACTATACACATTTTTTGTTAGTGACATTATTTGAAATTTGCGATGTATCGGAGGTTGCTCGTCAAGCAGTTCTCTTCTACCCTCGGCCTATTGAGACAATTCCACCTGATCTTTCAGTTATGCCTGATGATATTACTCCCTTATTCCCTTTTTTGTTGCAGGTTGCGTGTGGCTATCGCACGGCATCTTCAGTGCCCAGCCCTTGTCATATTATTGCTGAATCTATGGCTAATACCGCAGGCCAGCTTTTCTACAGCTTTACTTATATGGCGGCCGAGTCATTCGTTACGAAGGAAATGGTTGACATACGAACGGAACGTACAAAATATTTGTGCAACGTGGTAAGCGCTCTACTTCGATATCAGTTTGGTTACTCAAAGATGCATGACGACTCTTTTGGACCGTTGATTTCCCCTGCTAGAGCAAAGAAGCTTCTTGAGAGTGTTGTAGCCATTTTGAATTTGGCACTCCGTCAAAACTCGATCCAGTGGCAATTGGTTTCTCCTGTTCCATTTATCGCGTTGACAATTATTTCCAGCAAGCTTCCTGAGCTGATTTCAGACTGTTTAGGGAGATTTGACATTTCAGATCCATCGTTCGAAGCAGCTCGTGCCGACTTTTACAAGTTTTTCCGACGAGTTTCGTTCTATGACTCTTTAGATATCAACAATGATCATCCTATGCCTCCTGGCGAAAGTTTATTACCACTTGAACCTCCATCTGACCGAGATTTGGCAATATCGTTAGGTGAACGTGATGATATGCACCCTATATTTCGCACAGTTATTGAAGCACCCCATCCTGTGGATGAATACGAGTCGATTGAAAATGATACTGATTTCGAGTTTGATGGTGTCGAGTATGTTTACGGGCCGTCCCGATCGGGGCGTCAGCGTGGTGTAAACGGAGCGCCTGAATTAGAGCATGATAGTAACAATGGCTCGGATAATGACGAGGAAGTCAGCTCTGAACCGAGTTCTGCAGTTGGAAGAAGTGGAAGCGATGGATCTGATTTTGATCCAGAGTCTTCTCTCAACTCTGACCAGGATTCCAGTGTTGACGATGCCCTCGCCGATGAAGTTACTAGCGAAGATGAGGCACCGCTTGGCAGCCAAAATTCAACGCGTTGGGGTGAGACAGGGCACGAGGAGGATGATGATGATGGCTTCATCTCATACGAGAATGTTTCAGATGATGATGCTGCAAGCTTAGCGAGTGACGGCACAGGTGGGAGCCTGGAGGCTAATAGCGAGATGGAGCACGAGGACGCCGAAGACGAGGAAATGTTTTCTGAAGATTTCGAGCTGGATGAAGGAGAAGACCCAATGGAGTTTTCGCTGGTTCTGGAGCCGTGGGATCGGGACATCAGTGATGAGACTGAACACAGTAGTGATGATGACCGAAGCTATGACGATAGCGATGCGCATTCAATATATTTCAGCGATGAGATGGAACATCAAGACACTCATAGAGCAATTGATGTTCCTGATAATCAAGAAGATGGGAACTCTACCGAGCAGTCAGCTTCCCTGCAACGTGCTTCCATGCTGGCACAGTTGTACGCAAATGATGTCGATGAGGAAGTTTCAGATGCGGATAGCTTCAGCAGTAGTAGCTCTATTGACGTGGTTCTGGAGAACGAGATGTTTAACTTCAACTCATTTGAGCTTGAGCTTGGCTTGGGCATGTCAGGGACCGGAAGACTAACAAACTCTTTGGGCGGCGCTGGTATTCTCGACCTTGAAGGTGAACTCGGTGGTGAAGCCGAGGCACCTCGTGCATTTACAGTGCATCCTAATTCGCGTGAAGATTTCTCAGACATGGCGATTTATCGTATGGATGACGGTGAACCATACTACTTCCAGTTTGAGGACATCGACATTGATAAGTTACTCACGCGGAACCCGCTGCTCATAGAACCGCACCTTCTCGCACGAGCAGCCAATTGCATTTTTGGCGGAGAGCTACCATCGGTCAGTGAGAAAGTAAGTCTTGCACAGCCAGATCGACTAATGAGTAGCAGCCCTACTGCCACGACATTCATAGAGTTCGCTAACGAGCGTACCAAAAATCGGTGGGCCTCGTATCTGGAGTATGTGGGTCTTCCAAAGCGTGAAATATTTGCTCGCAAACTGCGTCAGTTGTTTGTTCAAGTCAATGAGCGTGACATTGACGTTGATGCAGAGTGGCTTGAATCATTAGATTACGCAGCTGATACAATAAGGGAAATCGAGCAAGATACACCCTCTGATGATAACCTCTTCCGAGAAGGGCAAGATGGAATTTACTTGGATGAAGGTGCAGAGATTTTGCAAAGTTTGGGTTCTAGCCAAAACAGAGTTCCGGTCTTTGGTAGACCAGAGATGGATAGGTTGTGGCCAAATATCAAGTTCAAATTTTCATCGAACCATGCGTGGACTTCGTCAATATCGAAACAGGTCATGTTAGCACAACTTCGATTTGTTTTTGTTCCTTGGTCAACTCAAAAGGAAGCCCAACTTATTTGCGATGAAGTGTCCTCTTTGAGCTGGGACTTATTTCACTGCTTTGTTGAAGGTCTTTTCAAAATATTGGATGCTGTATCTTCAGGTGAGTTTGGAGTGTTTGAGATGTTTATGAAACTAGGCCCTCAGGACACGAGTCCTGCACTTGCAATGAAGACACTGGGGTCGACAAGTGCTGAATTGCTATTACGGCAAGCCTTGTTATTGATTGTTTTACTTCAAGAAAAGCCAAAACTACGAACTTTGCTAGTTATGGTCGATAGCGAAAGCTCTCTCAGTGGTGGGTTTGCAGTCAACAAGTTGCTAGAGCTTCTTGACCGACCTGTTTTTAGACACGACAGCGCGCTAATGGAGCGACTACTATTCGTGATAGACGAAGTGACAAGGACGATCTGCGAGAAAGTCACTCCGAATACGACTGGTGTTCGTGGATTGTTCTCCGCAGAGAACTTGCATCGCCTCATGCAGGTATGGACTGCGGACGGAAGCACTTCTGTCGCGTTTAATCATGCCGCGCATTCAATAGCGCACTTGGGCAAAGTTATAAGTATTGGACCGTTGGTTAGCAAGGAGTTGCTTGCCGATACTCAAGCATGGATCAAGAAGATGATAAGCGAGCTTGATGAACTGATGTCTGAGGCAGAGTCAGAAGATGGCCTCACCTCAAAACTTACATCCTACACATCTGTTCAAAATATGTTGATGAGGGCATCAAAGGTTGCCAAATTTAAAATGGTCCCCGGCTCGTATGACTTTGCATTGGATCTTTTCCATAATAGAGCCCTGAATCTTTTGATGAACAAGGTGAGTGAAGTTCTCATGCTTGCCGCTAACCCTCACTCGCAGTTTTTAAGAATCAGTTCTTTGAAACCGTTGATTGAAAGTTTTTTAAATTTTGGCCGTACGGCGTCTGAGGATAAATATGATCATGAAAAAAGCTCACAAGGCTACCTGCGATCTTTACGTGACTTTATTTCTCAACACTTTAAGCCTTTTAACGAGCTTGTTCGAAAGAACTCGCACCAATTCTTGTCAAACACGGTGGAAATACTCAAGAAACACAGCCAGCTTCTCACATTCGAAAATAGGAAGCAGTATTTCTCGGACGAAATGGGAGCATTCCGCAGGTATCGGAGCAGGATGGCTGTGCCTCTGAAAGTTTCGAGAAGCAACCTTTTTATGGATTCGATGGATCATCTTATGAAACTTGAGCCATTTGAGCTTCGTTTGGGGCAACTGGATGTGCACTTCGATGGTGAAGAGGGCATTGACCAAGGTGGTCTCAACCGAGAGTGGTATTCCGAAATGACGAAATACATTTTCCACCCTGAGAACGGGCTTTTTGAACAGCACGCGAGTGGTCTGCGACCTAAAGCAGTACCTGGTAGCCTTGACAAGTTTTTATTCATTGGAAGGTTCATCGGAAAGGCTGTAGTTGATGGACAGCTTCTAGATGTTGTGTTCAGTCCGTCTGTTTACAAGTTTCTCCTCAAGGAGACGATAACGATGGAAGATTTGAAAGTCATTGATGAAACGTATTACAACTCGTTAAAGTGGATGCTTGAAAACGATATTACGGACGTGATCGATGAAGTGTTCGCTGTGGAGACGCCAGGGCACCCTGATCAACTCATAGATCTTATCCCAAATGGCTCGAAGATTCCCATGACCGAAAGCAACAAAAAAGAGTATGTCGAATTACGAGCCGCATGGGATCTTTACAAAAGGGTCGAGCCACAGCTCGAGCAACTCAGCACAGGCTTTTACGAGTTGATGAAGTTCAGCCTCGTCAGTTTGTTCAATCCTAAAGAACTTGAGCTTGTGATTGGTGGCATTCCGAAGATTGACATCACAGATTGGCGTTTGAACACTGAATATGAAGGGTATTCAGCATCTTCTCCCCAGATTCGGTGGTTCTGGCGAACTGTCAAGTCATACGATCACGCGCAGCGGGCTAAGCTGCTGCAATTCTGTACTGGATCGGCTAAAGTTCCAGTAGATGGGTTCCAGCACCTACCGGCAGGTAGATTCAACATATCCCGAGACCGAAGATCGCCTGAGTGGCTCCCAACTGCTCATACCTGCACCAACCATCTATGCTTACCAGAGTACACTTCCTACGATAAGCTGCGGGCGGCAGTATCTAGGGCGATATCTGACGGTGCAGGTTCTTTTGGATTGGCTTAAAACGCCACGACAGAGTAGTTAAGTCCATTTGACCGTAACCTAGTCAAAGCCATGAATCACTATCTATCGGATTGATAGGCCCGGGAAAGCATCTGTAGTTTCTTTTGATGCAACCCCTATCAGGGCAGGGGTAACCAACTATCGTGGTCAGAGGGTAAATGTGTCAATCGTGCCCTCATATTTGTTAAGTAGAACTATATCGCAACAGCCAAAATATTATATACGAATAATAGATGCAATTATGTTGCATCTTCCAGTTCGCTGATTTCAACGCTTGTGGGCTCTCTTCCAGTACCATCAACTTGGGGTCCCAAAAAAACCGTTGATGAGCAGCACTCCAGGTTGATTATGAATCAAACACAAAAGGGGCTAGGGCATACCGTTTTGTGCTGTAGTGCTGCGGACGAGATCTTAATGCGATATGAAGTAAAGTGCGATCCCTTGGCACGAGCGATAGCTACACAATCTTAGCTGCTTAGTAGATCTTACCCATATACTGTGAAGGTTTGTCTTGAAGTGTATTTGGTAAGTGCTAGCCGGTCTGCTATTCACACAGAGAGACTTTCTACCACATGTGGTGTTTGCCTATCACTCCTGCAGTAACCCACGCCGTTTTTTTCTGGGTCTCGAGGCGGGTCATTTTACATAGGGTTTGGGTCGACAATTGCTAATTTGTCAGCGAGCCGCTGACGGTTTGCAACTTGCATAATAGGCTTCTAAGCGTATCCGGGCAGTGTACCCACTTTTCTATCAGCGTTTCTTTATCTGTGGCACTCGACCGCAGGAGTAGTCCAGGGTCGGATACTACTAAGGCGAGTCTCACTTTGTTATTTGTTTCACTTACAACTTCTAATTTCTACAACGCCCATCAAGTGAGGGGCTCCTCTGGCATTTACGCGAACACTGCTGTGGACCCTCTTCAAACCCACAAAAAATTCACTTTCACCAATTTTCAACAGTAATTTATTTGCCATGCGTAACTTCGACTACTTTGTTACGCCCAAACTCATCGAAACTATTCTTCCGGTGTTGCCGCACTCAACCCGCCAAACAGCCCAAATGGCTCGATTGGAGAAGAACGTTCAGCTGTACCGAGAGTTTTTGATATCCTCGGTGCAGAGGGGCCTCTTTGAATCTGTGCTAGCGGATCTGATTGTTCTTATTGAGAAAACTTGTCTAGACACTGGGTATCGCGTTGATCTCCCCACAACTTGGACACAAATGGGGAGTGCACATCCAACCTCCGCCGCTGGAAAGGAAAGTCTTGTTTATGTTGTCGGATCTCTCGGTCTGTTGGCTGATTGCATCGTTCTCGCTATTTGTGTGGAGCTAATGTATAGTTCAGAGACCAAGCTGGTCCGAGAGCCGTTTATGGACGTTTGGCAGGAAATGAAGAAGTCAAATCTATTCGAATCGGCAGCATTTTTCCACCGGGCGTTCAGACTGATAAACATTCTCGGCGACGACATAACCCCGCTACGTTCACTACCCCCCAAGTTGTGCCACAAGATCTTGAAGACGATCATGAGGATTTCGCCGCAAACTGCACTGGCTGCTTTCGTGTTGGCACCTAAGGAAACGCTACGTACTTCTGGATTTGTTGTGGAGATGCTCACGGAGTATACCCGTCTCATCACATACTTTTTATGGCAAACGAACCCGAAGGAAGTTACTGAATATGTCGATGAAGCTTATCGCAGGTCTTTACCCAAGCCTGGCACCGGCAAAGGAATGCCACCACTACAACATGATCGTGTTTATATCGACGCTGACTACCGATTTGATCTACTTGCAACCATGGGGCCCAGTTCGGATCGGATGGCCCAGGTTCTTGACAAGACTCGCCACTTACTCATGCAAACCCCTACAACGACGCAGCAACAGCTCCTACTGTACTTCCTGTTGAAAAATCTTCATGGCAACTTGATCTTAGCCCCAAATGTAAAAGATGAGTGGCCAATACAGACACTCCGAAGTGCTGAGGAGCTTTATCGTTATGTGAAACAGAACGTGCGCTACTCCAACAATGTCTCTTGGAATTACAACTATTTGACCCTGTCAGCATTGCTTCTTGTCATTCCTTTCGACGATCATCGACCTCTGGGTACTATGAGTTACAATCCAGTTGAGTTTTCACAGCTGTGGCGGGAAAAGTTGGAGATGCTCGATTCTCCAGAGAAGTCTACTCGTCAGTGTGCCGTGTTGTATTTCACTAATCTGTCTGGTTTGGTTTGGCTCGGTTGCCAAAACCTCGAAAATGCAAAGCGGTATGAACATGTTGCTCGCTGGATGGTTGATATCTACCCCAAAATCAAAGCAGAGCTTTTCGATTTCGATGACAGAGGAAGATTACGAGCTATTAGAGGTTCCAAGGTCGTTTTAAGTCGCTTTCTCCTGTTTTACTCAATGTGGAACCCGGAGGAGCTAATCAATGATTGCAAGGGACTTTTCGATGTTTCCCCTGGGGCTTTGCATTCACTGTTGTCTTGTATATTATTTGCACATACCATAGGTGCACCATCGATATGGGCTACCCTGCGCTTATGGGAGGATGAAATTATTCGCCTTTTAGAATTATACGCTTTGGACTCAAGTGAGCGGGAAGAGATTTCTCAAAGAGGGCTAGTTCTTGTGTACGGCCTAACACTTTTTATCCGCTCATCAAGGTTTGCTCAGCGGATAAAGCGTGAAAATACGTTACGCTTGATGGAAGCTCTCGTAAGACTGATGAAGTCTCAGATTAGCATTTTACTGGACAAAACAATGGAATTTATGATTTGCACGATGAAGTTCTTGTCGCAAGGTGATTCCCTGAATGAATCAGCAGAGTTTTTTGGTAGAGTCTATGAACTCATCTCTGGCCTCATGGCCCACCAGACCTCCAACCTTCTTAAAGCAACTGTTCACGAGGATCTTAGCGATAGAATTGACCACTTTGCTAAATTCATGCAATTGAGGCTGGAGGCAGGTTCAAGGCTTTATGAACTTGGCATCAAACGAGCCACGCGCCTAGACGCCAGTAGTGCCACAGAGCTTCGAGCTGCTGTTCTGCGCTGTCTTTGTACTGCAGATCATCGCACAGTCATGAGGGCCCTAGATTGTCTTCGTATTTTGCACAAGGGCATGTCGATGGGTATGGTTGAATGTTACGATGAAACTCAAACCTCAAATATGGCTTCAGACTATGCACTGGTTACTGAAATTGTCCATTCTGATGCGTACCAGTTGCAATCTGCTGCTGTTGCTCACAAATGCATGATTAACTTCTTGAAAGCTGTGGAATCTCCAGGAGCTACGCTGCAAATCCTCTATGATTCACTAATGATAACATGGCGACAAATGCTTGAGGATCTTGATCACACCAAAGAACTCGATCCCGATGCTCAACGTCGCATGATGATTTTGCACAAATTTATTTTTATTATGCATACCATGTGGCTAAATGACCGCAACCCTGAACTCCAACAACGAAGCGAAGATCGACTCTATGAAATGGTCAAGTTGGTACTTTCTCCAAACCATTACGCGCGCGACCTGACTTTTAGTTGTTTGAGCCTACGTTTAGGCCTGCAATCCGAGTATTTGAACCGAATTCTTCAACTCATCGGCAAAGTAGCAAGCACCGAGTTGATCGACAACTACCAGAACTCCACACTCGATAAACATGTCTTGCTAGCATCCCTCACCCGTCTTGTTGCGAGCGCCCAGCAGATGATCGAGCACATTTACAACGACACTTCTAACATGCGAGTTGTGATCGATGACTCTATTGTTCAAGTTACTGATCGTGTTTTGAAAACGGCACCTCCTATTTTCTTTGAAGCTCCAGCAACTATTGTGCCATCACTTGAAAGAGTGTTGGGAACCGTGATATCGATCGGAAAATACGACGACTTGTTCATGACAAAGAAAACAGTTTTGGTAGGCTCCTTACTTAAAACATTGTTTGATATCATCGAAAAGCTGAGCGATCACTATTTCTCGCGGGCTGAGGAACTGGCCCCAACAATTGCCAAAGCTTTAGATGCCTTGACCGACGGGTATTCTTTCGATATTGCTCCAGAAGGTCCAACTCCGGAACAATATGAGAATTTTTTGAAATTAATTAAATCTGTTGACTCGTTCCGGACTAAATTGAGCGTTACAACAGACTCGGATCAGGGCGCTATCACCCGAAACATATTCCAGCATAGCCTCACGAATTTGTTCTCTAGTAATATTGAGCTGGCATACCTTGTTTTGTTTGATGATGCTTTCCTAGCTGATGCTGATTTGCGAATTGGACTTTACAATGCCTTCGCCATTTCTGTCGAAGAAGAACAAGACACTTTCGTCCAAATGGCTTCGAAATACGCTAAGCTGGGAGATTATTTACTTGAAAATCGTGAAGTCTTGTTCGCTATGTGTGATACTTGCTCTCCGACTGATGCAGAATCATTAGCCGAGCTGTTGGTGTTGTTCTTCGACGGACGGAATCATGCATTTGAGGTTGTTCAGGCTGTAGCCAGGCTGGAGATCTCTCGTCAGAAAGATTGCTGTGACACATTCAGGCAGAATAGTGTTCTTACCAAAACCGTCATCACTTATATGGCTATGAAAATGTCCGATTTCTTGACCGCACGTCTCAAGCCAGTTGTGAACCGCATCTTGAAATCGCGATACGTATTCTTGAACCGGAAGGGGGATAAGTCCGATGCCTTGATGCAATGCAGAAATTTTGTCTCTGATCTTGAAGCACATCAAGATGAAATCCCTATGGTTGCGCGTAAGTTTGCTCGGTTCATCTACAATGCTGTTGAAGATCGCTCTGAAGGTTATGGTCTGGTTGCTTTGAACAATATTTTCCTTCTTAGGTGTGTATGTCCCGCAATTGTCAGTCCTGATCGATATGAAATGATGGAACGCCCGCCACTTGGAGGTGTTTTGACGTCTCTTCTCCACAGCGCAAACTCAATCCAGAAGTATTGTAGTCATTCATCTCCAGATACTGACCTTCGTGACAGGATGCGCAATTTTTTCCTCCGGATGATAGATGTCGATCCAGAGTACCGTGAAGATGCCACTTTGCCTAATATCAGTCACACCAATCTCGACCAAGTGAATTTTTCTTTGCACTTGTATTTGTACAGACACGTCCACGAGATTCGAAGTGCTTGCTTGAGCTCAGTAGATTTCGACATGGAAAAGTTCACTACGATTCACCGAACACTAGGCAGACCTACATCTATCTCTCTGTTGAATACGAAGCGCCGTCGTTCAAAAGCGTGGTCCGCTCGCTCGGGATCAACGCGCCAATTTTCGAGAAGTGACTCGGTAAGCGAGCAGACAATGCCGTCAATCAAGACATATATGGGTTTGCCATGCTTCATACTTTCGGCTGACATGTCGGTTGCACATAAAAACCTTGTCCTATCACGATTTGTATCCTTCCAGCAGCAAGTTAATGATGAGTTCACCCAGTACTGCATGCTTCAGGATCTGACCTTGCCTTCGATTACATTCGAACACTGGATTGCTTTGAGTGATGTCGTATATGATGCAATGCCTAGTGAGTTTATGAGCCGATTTAAAAATGTGGTTCTCAATTTACCATACAACATCGCACACCTTTCGCGGGATCGGCGTATACTTTCTCATCCGTTAAAAGCGTACACATACAAAACTTACTACGATATGGATATCAGTGTGATGGAGGAGCTAGAAGTCCGTGATATCACGCTACAATACGCACATGACTTTTCCACTGCAACCTCGTTCGAACGCATAACTGTTCAACACCATGGGGAGCTTTTGCAGTTTGATATCCACGTTGGCAAAGAGGCCGTGCACATGCGTTATCAGGGGATGGACTTCACCAGTATGGATGTAGTTCCGCTGAAGCGAGTTCATTTGGACAAAATGAATTTCCGCATTCGCCTTCAGGCTAACCAAGGCTCTTTTGCTACAACATACGTTATTGAGCAACAACCAAGCTTATATCGCAAGATATCATCCTTGAAAACAAGAGCTCAAAATCATCGTAAGTGTGAAAATCATGTCATGCACAGCGCCTATAGCGATCACACTGGTGCATTGATGTTTTTAGCTCTTGTCGATCTGTGTGATACAGAATCGCCGATTTGGGCGCCAGCGTACAAACTGTGGACTGCACTGTCAGCTTCGATGGGTGTTAGGATGGGTCCTGGCATGATCAGTGGCACCCCTCATATTATCCGAAAGATGCAGGTACGTGCAGTTGCAGCCGCTTCAAAGCATCTTGTTAAAGTTCATCCAGATACTAGTGGTATTGTGCGAATGTTCACGAAAATGTTATTGTCGGACCACTCTGATTTACATGCAGCTTCCCGTGTGGTGGCACCATGGCTCTCTCATCTTGCTAGGGTTAGCCTGGGTCAAGATAAAGAGGTTGACGCATTGTTGGTTGCAATGTTTGGAAAAATGTGTGAGAGTCAAAGATCATGCCAAGTTCTTTGTTTCAGCCTTCTTCCGCACATTGAGCGGTCGGAAACTGCGACTATTTTACTAGCTGATGCATTGATGGCTTTCATTGTACACAGACGTATGCGTGGCGAAACAACACCCGAATGGGTAATCGCTTCGGTTGCGTCCGTGGTTAGCCCCAGTATCACAGAGAATATTTTCAAGCATATTCTTGCCCTGACAAACGTCGATGTTGGCTACGAAATCACTAACTGGAACAGTCACCCTAATTGGTTTGAGATCGAAGTTGAGCTCACCTTCCTGTCGTATGTCAGAATCGATGCATCTAACTTAGACGAAAGTTTGCCATTGTTCCTGATGGTGATTTTAGGATACAGTGGTGTTGGGCCGTATCAGCTTCGTCTTGCTCAGCATAGAAATTTCTTGAACGTTGTGGATGCTTTAATGAGTTTGCCAGGATTGGATGATTTCGCAACTCGTCGGTTGAAATCGCTGTGGGACGAGCTCCATACACCGCGTTGCCAAACACTCTTCGCCATTCAAGACGAAACCAAGGACTCTTCATACAATAGCTTGACAGACTTTACGTTCCATCAAGCGGAGCAATTGGGCAGACTTGTTTACGAGCTCTACTCCACTGGCGCCATCATTTTCAGGCCAGTGCACGAGCTACGTCGCATCAGTCAAAACGCGATGCTCAAGCTTTCGAAAGTTGTATTCCCTGCATTCCAGCGGCGCTGCATTTTTGGTCTCTGTGTTGTTCACCGATTCGAGGTTTCTGACGAAACTTACCAGGGCTTGATCGATCTGCTTTTGACAGTTTTGCGCGATTGTAAATCTCCTGAAACACTCTTAACTTACTGCAAGGCTATATTCATGGCTTTATCAAAGTTAATTCTGGGTGTGTCCAGATCGTCGCCCTATAAGCCTACGTTGAAAATCTTCATTTTGTCTTTCCTGTGGCATCACATCCTTCCAGCATATCCCGAAGCGTTGCCCATGTTTACGAGCTATATGCTCATCAATGATTACGCAGGTGAAATTGACTCGGAGCAGGAGCGACTGGAGCTGCTAGTCAAGGACTTTGAACCTCACTTTGGGGCTTGGTGGAACAAGCACTTGGTTGCACCAGTTCCAACAGCCGAAAATCTGGCTATCATTGTGAATGATCTGTTTATTTTTGGTCTTCAGCACTCTGATTCCCAAAACGTAGCCATGGCTGCTGTGGAGACAGTGTCTTACCAGATAACTAGCAGAGATTGGCGTCGGCAGACTATCACTCCTACACTATGGTTGCCATTTGCGGCCACGATGTTCTTGGTCTGCCAAGATGTAAACAAACTTCAGACGATTCCAGTTTTGACAAATTTCAAGAAGGGTGAAGCATTGATGGACAACGAGACCATTTTGGAGGAAATGACCAAATGTCTCGCCTCGTATTTGAACAAGGCTACGCCTAACACAATTGTGACATTGGCGCAATGCTGTTCTTTAACCGGACATACCTCGTCAATGAGCTTTATGCATGCTGGTCCCCGTCTATTGAATCTACTGTCGTATGTCGAAAACGCTGATGTGATAAGTTTGATCTGTCCTCTGTTAAGACCTACCATGCTGCGACTTTTGGAATTAGACGACCCAGAAATGAACGCACGTGTTCTTGAGTGGACGCAGAAGCTTGTCAAGCCGCGGCCTGATAAGAATTGGGGAGCACAACTGCACGAGATTTTGACTTCTAGTGGGTTTGGTTACCTTGTGGATGAAAACCTGAATCTTCTTCCCGAGAAGCCGCATTACAAGATCACAGAGGAGATTCGGGAATCACTTATCGGCCTGTGCGATAGCTTCTTCAGTGCGCTAGAGGTGTTTAAGAATAAGTGAGCAGATTTTAAGAGTGCCCATTTTACATACTAGTTCTTCTACAAAATTAGGTTCGTAGAAACCTCCATACTCACCTCATGTTCTATTGGCTTTTTACTGGCGTATTCTAGATTTGGGCTTGTTTGGCATGTATTCATCTTTGAACAAACGGAACAGCAACATACTGGCCTGTGCGTCTTGAACAGAGCTATGAGAGCCAATTTGGATATCGAGCCCGAGATATGATTTTACCAAGCGTTTGAGACCTGGCCTGCCTTTAATCACAGGACAGTCCCTGTATCGTTGCAAAACTTGGGTATCGATGGTAGAGTGGCGTGGGTGTGAGATCATCATAACCTTGGTATCATTTCTCAAACCATGTCCGATCAATACTTTGCCTTTGAGAACGGCAGCCACCATACTTTGAGCCTCAGAAAACGCAACGGCTTCTTTCATCATGTCTGGCGTGATGCCACTCCATTTTGTCCTCCAATCGGTAACAAAATTCAAAGGCTTGACATATAGATCCAAAACAGGATAGCCATAATAGTTTACAATAGATACGCGCGCCAGTTCGCTATTTTTTCCTTTGAACCCTGTCCCAACAAACTCACAGTCTAGGGCCAAGAAAGTTCCAATCTTCTGCTTTGATTTGCTGTATACAACAGTATCTGGTGAGCTGATACCGAGCAAGTTTTCATCCTCATTCAAAAGAACTGCATCTAGGCGTTTTGGCCTCCTCTGAAATTCTGAAAGACCTGGTATTGAAGGGTCATCAATTAAATCCGAATCAATAGGGTTGTTGACTTTGCTAATTGCTTCTTTTAGCTTTGATTTTGATGGTGGTTTCATTGTTGGACTCTTTTTGTCGAGTATATTCAGTCTTTTCTGTAAAGCCTTCCAGTTTGCAGACATTTCGGATTTTCTAGGCCTCTGGCCGTTTCGATCTAGGCCCCGTTGATATTATACCAAGTACACACCAGTTGAGTCCCTGGGCAAGCTTTGCGCAAAGATTTAAGGTCGTTCAAACGAATGCTCTTTTTGAGCGACTAAGTCTGATGTCGATGAAGTTTGATCCGACTTAGTCAATATGGGCTTGGATACCGCTCAGCTTTTGGCGAATATTCGCAAGCGAAAAGCTGAGTTGAGTCAAGATCGGCCTGAGCACAAAAGAAAACCTCTCGATACCCAAGGTCATGCGGCAGTTTCAGAAGAACCTCAAAAGCCCCTGGCGCAAGAGCTCTCTAAAGCCAATCCTTACCTTAGTGAAGCCGGACCCTCGCGCCAATTCAAGCCTCTAATCTTTAATCCACAAGGGAAACATATCAAAATTGCTGAACAACTCAGAAAGCAAGAGGAAATAGAGCGGATCAAAGCAACCTGCTCTTCCACGGGGTATATACCCCAGCTCCCTCCTAGTAGAGAGTGGTGGGACGATGGTGCAACTGTCGAGATCACAGATGAAATATTTTGTCCTGTTCCAATTGATGCACCTTCTGAACGGTTGTACGCTGGCGAGGGCAAAATTTACATGACGCAACGAGAGCTGAAACGCATGCGTAAACACACACGATACGAGCAGCGCCGCGAAGTTCAGGATCGGATACGGCTGGGTTTAGACCCCCCTCCACCTCCTAAAATCTCACAAAAGAACATCGTAGCTGTGATTGGTGCGGAATACTATTCAGATCCGACCAAGTTTGATAAAATGGCCGCCAGGCAACTCGCAGAACGTGAAAAAGCCCACCAGGAAACAAATGCCGCCAGGAAGCTAGATGGCGACGCTAGATGGGAGAAACATGTGGCAAAAGTTGAGCGAGACAAAGCAAAAGGACTCAGTTGCGCAGTTTTGAAGTTCAATGGCGTTGTGAGTGGGGAGCGGCGCTATATTTTGGACCAAGGTGCGCAAAAACTTCTATTGACTGGCGTGCTACTTTGCACGCAACCATTTTCTCTTGTTGTTGTAGAGGGTGGAGCACTCGAAGTAAAGAAGTTTAAAAAGCTTGCGGCGAAAACGAAAGAACGCGACGATGCTGGTGAAGCACAGCTTATTTGGCAGGGAGAGCTTCGAGCCGCCAAATTCAAGCGGTGGTCGATACACGCACTGGACTCTAAGAAATCTCGGGACCTTTTAGAAGGCAAGCATGCTTTGAGCTTTTGGAACTTGGCAGAGAATCTTTGATATTATTTATTTGAATACTAAATTAGCGAACCGTAAGTAACTACATATTACAAGCTATCGACCCGCTTCTTGACATATTCCCACATACTCTTGAGCAGGCGATCAGGGATGGTGTACAGATCCATATGGAACTCACCTGAGTCGGCGTCATTTTTGATGTACATATCGTTGGTTTTATTGTCAATCACAAGCTGAACAATTCCAAGCACATCCTCCTCGCTGAGTTTTTCGAGTCCCAAAGCCAGCTTTTCCAAATCCACCGAACCCTTCTCAACAACCTTGGGCTTCTTGGCTCGAGGCTTTTCATCATTCTCGACGGGCCGCTTGTCACCGAGCACTGGCTCGGGCGTCTTTGACGGTGCGGTGTTGCCAGCAACAGGTCCGCTGGGAACTTCAGGCACGCTCCCACTCTGTGCAAGCAGAGACAATAAAGTAGGACGGGAAGTAGGGAAAGAGATTTCGTGATCGACGGTATAGACGTTTTGGCTAAAGTTCAGGTCATGGGCTAAAACGCTGTCGCCGCCGCCAATAGTGTGTAGTGTAACGCTCAGATCAAACTCACCCCATCCCTGCTCCTCGATACGGAATGGCGGGGTCTTAACCACGCGGGTTGGGTTCACAAAAGTTGGGTGCAACTTGTAGGTACACTTGTCGAACATCACGGCCGGCAGCTCTTCTCCATCAGGGCCAAGGGCGTGCACCTCGATGCTCCATTTCCGCATGGGAAATCCTTCCTGGGCAGGAGGTAGGTCCTCGAGAATATTCTGCCGGGTTGTGATGCGAATAGTCCTTTTAATGGTTTCCATCTTGGTGTCTCCTTGAGCTTCGCGAGGAGCTGATGACTAACGAGTTTGGTTTCTGCGAGGGGTACTATATTTTTTTCATCGGGATGTTAGGCCCGATTCGGTGGGGTTCGGTCGGCTGGCATACGATTAAGGAAAGACTGGTACGGCAATACAGATTATTATTTGAAAAAGGAAACGTGTTGAGAGAACTTCAACAGTCGATTACAGAAGGCACGCAATCGCAGCAACCAAGGGTAGGCCAATGCTAATAGCTGACAGCTTGACGCCGCCGTTGCTTGGAACGGTAGGAACAGTCTCCTTGGTTGAGGTAGGCCCCTTGGCTGAGGGTTTGGTCTCCGTGGCCGTCTGGTTCAGACCCGTTCTGGTACTGGTGGTGGCAGTAGGAGCCACTGTAGCATTGCCAAATGTTGTGTTTCCAGTCGGTTCGAGGTAGCTGGTATCAAAAGTAGGCTCGGGCAAAGGAACGTGTGTTGCGGTTGTGTTCAAGGGAAGGTCAGTGGGCACACTTGTTTCGGTTGCGTTTGAGGGAAGATCAGTAGGGCCGCTATCAGTGAATGTGATTTCCGGAATAGTTGCCAGGCTGTCTAAAATATCCGGTGTGTCTGTGCTGGTCGCCATTTCATCAGCCGTGGTAGTCACATCGGCGAGGGCGAGAGCGGCGGAGACAATAACAGCGTGAAGATGAACGAAGATCATGATACTCAGAAGGGGCTAGTACATTAGACCAGACGAACCCCTGCATTATATCGTTCCTGAAAATGACATGTGCAGACCGCTTGACATCATGCTGCCACCTGCATTTCATGCAGCTGGGCACTAACAGTTGATGCAAGGTCTAAATAGGCTTTCGCACTCGGACTTTGTTTCGGGTCTTCAAAAACAACTGGCAGGCCGCCATCACCACCCTGCGCAATATCAGAGCTCAAAGGCAGACTTGCCAGTACGGTGATGCCACGTTTTTCAGCCGCGATCACTGCGCCATCATGCCCGAATATATGCGTTGTACCGGCGCAATGCGGACAAACAAACACCGACATGTTCTGTACTAATCCCAATATCGGAATCTTAACTGTATTAAACATATCAATTCCACGCACCGCATCGATAAGCGCGATGTCTTGCGGTGTAGAAACAACGATAGCGCCATCAACCTCCAACTGCTGGGCGATGGTGAGCTGTACATCACCCGTGCCGGGCGGCATATCAATAACAAGATAATCGAGCTCCCCCCAATCGACCTCAAAAAGTAGCTGCTGCAAAGCCTTTTGCACTAAAAGCCCGCGCCAAGCCACTGCACGCTGCGGAGGAACCAAAAATCCCATAGACATGGCCTTGATTCCGTAGTTCATTAGAGGCACAAGGTTTCCTTCGGCAGTGATTTTAGGTTCTCCGTCCAATTGCAAAAGCGTAGGAATAGACGGTCCAAAAATATCTACGTCAAGAACTCCGGTGGTGTAACCTTGCATGTAGAGTCCCAAAGCCAAATTTACAGCCACCGTAGATTTTCCCACTCCTCCTTTGGCACTCGATACTAAAAGAATGTTTTTCACATTCCTTATTCTTTGTTTCGATATTATCGGCTGATTGTGCCTTCTACGGGGGATACCCTGCGGTTAGTTCTCAGTCTTGTTGTATGTACAAAGTATACGCTCCATTAAAAGTGTGTACCTACCAATGGGTTTTCATGGCTGAGTTGACGAGCACTGGTTGAAAATGATCGGGCACCAAGAACACGCTTGACCGAAGCGACGACGGACTTTTGTGAAGCTTTCCAGTTCGCTTCAACCTCAGGCCAGTTTAGCTGGGACAGAACTTTGCCCATGGGGACTTTGCCCTCAACACCAAGCCCATCGATAAATTCTTTAACCTTGGCGTCAATTTCCTCGCTGCTAGCCACAGGGATCTTGGACTGTAGAGCCTCGAGCACCTTAATCTCAGCCCGTTCCCCGTCAGCTAAATCTTCGCGCTTGCCTTTAATATACTCCTCAATAGACTTTTCGCGTTTCGAAATCAAGGAATTAAGCAAACTATGCAGACCAAGATCAGTGGAAACCGAGTCAGGTTTCTCAATGTTGGCGTTCTTGACTGCGGCCATAACCGCACGGATAGTGGTCTTGCCCACATTGTCACCACTTCGCATGGCTGCCTTGAGTGAGTTTCTCACCTCGGCCATCAAAGGTGGCTCCGTCGAGTAGAATCTTACCCGTTGCAACGGTCGAACCACTTGCCTGAACATTGGATGGAAAGTTAGTAACCCAAATCGTCGGGGCCATAATTTTCTATTTCATGTCGGCAAATATTTTGAATACTATTTATGCGCTTTCAAGTGCTCCCGGACGAGCAGCTATCTCTATCTTGCGTTTAAGTGGGCCCAAGAGTATCGAGGTCTTGAATAAACTTCGTTATCCGTCTGGATCACTAATTTCGTCAATACCAAGCCATAAAGCGCGATTGGCCAATCTATACGATGACCAGATGCGGCTATTAGACAAAGCACTGGTCCTCTACTTTGCTCAAGGTAAATCGTACACTGGCGACGATTTGGTTGAGCTGCACTTGCATGGCAGTCCCGCTGTAGTGCAGGCGGTAATGAACTCGATTAAGAAAACGAATTTAGCTCGATACGCCGAGCCCGGCGAGTTCACAAAACGAGCATTCTATAATGGCAAACTTGATCTGTCGCAAGTAGAGGCAATTCGCGATTTGATCGACGCAGACACTGAACTGCAAAGGCAGGCCGCTGTGGTAGGTGCAGATGGACAAAACAGCATCAGATTTGCTGCATGGAGAAAACAAATTCTGGAAAATACAAGCATGCTAACCGCTTTGATTGATTTTGCCGACGATAATGAAATCGACACCACCCCATCACGCCTGATCTCCTCGGTCAAGGCTAGCATTGAGAAGGTGGCCCAAGATGTTTCGACATTCCGCGATCAAGCCAGATGCTCAGAGCTTATACAGTCTGGAATTCGCCTTGCGTTGATTGGTGCTCCAAACGCAGGTAAATCCTCACTGGTGAATGCTTTAGTGAAACGAAATGCTTCAATCGTTAGTGACATTCCAGGGACAACCCGAGACGTAGTTGAGGTTGGTTTAGACATCCAAGGGTTTAAAGTACTGCTCGGTGATACAGCTGGTATTCGACAGTTGAAGGGTCGAACTGAACAAGAGCAAATTGAAGCACTGGGTATAGAAAAAGCTTTGGAAACTGCGAGACAGGCCCATATCGTAGTCGCTGTGCTGTCTCATGGCCAGCACATGGATGCCAATTTGCAAAAACAACTAAAGCTTCTTCGTTTGGAAGGTAAACCAATAGTGACTGTCGGTAACAAAAGTGACCTTGGCGCAATTGAAAATGTCAATGTCCAGATCTCTTGCAAAACAGGCCAAGGTTTGGATGATTTGGTCAAAGTGCTGGGCAACGCGTGCCAATATCTAACTATAAAAGGGTCTGATAATATTATAGGAGCATCGCAGCGTATTATGGACTTGATAGATACTGCTGTGCTTCCTGGGTTGCAGCAGAGTGTCAGGCTTCTGGATAACAACGACGTGACTCTAGCTAATGCTGAGTTGCAGCTTGCAATTGAAGGGATTGGAAGGATTACCGGTCAGGGAATCACTACAAACGAGATCCTGGGCGTTGTATTCGGAAGCTTTTGTGTAGGAAAGTAACCTGGAGTAAATATGATTATGGGTTTCTGTTTTTATTTGACTCCCGTTCAAGGAATTCAGCAAATTTACCAAACAGGCCCCCGGAGCTTGCTTCTGGTTGTGATTGCCTTGCAAGGCCAGCGTGGGCTTGTTCTGTTTCGTCCCACCCCAAAGTGTTGGAGATCAACTGAAGGACTTCGTATTTCTTGGTGTCGCCACGAGGAATACTAGCAAACTGTAGCACCAAGTTGGATATAAGCTCTTTGTCAATAGTTTTTCCTTCTGATCCTTTGCGAACAGTAGCCAGCGCGTTCGTAAGATGATCGTTCAAAATCACGGCTTCATGTCTGAGCTTTCCGATCTGGAGATTCTTTTCTTTGATTTGACCCTGCAAATCTTGATTTTCCAGTAGCTGTTTCTCCTTCTTTTCCAGTTCACTATTTTTTTTCTCCAACAGCGACTGCTGATCGGCCAACTGCTTTTTGAAATCAGCGGTTTCGATCTCTGCTTTCTTAAGCTCCTGCTCGAGCTTTTCAATCTTTTCATTCGTTTCAGACGCCAATTGTGTGAGTTCACGTTCTGCACGTGCACTCGAATCACGATAGTGTTCCGCATATCCTGTTTGGGTTGTTAACTCCTCACTTAGTTGAGCGATTTTCGACTCGTAGCTTGATCTCTGAGTCCGCTCATCTTCCATAGCTAGCTCCAAACCAACTTTGTCTTTAGAAAGTTTCTCATTTTCAGATTGTAGTGTTTTAACTGTCTGTTCCATCCGAGTAAAATCCTGCTTGAGCCTTTTATTTTCCTCCTTGTACTTGGAGTTCTCCTCGCCAATTTGGCTTTCTAGCTCAGCTCGCTTGGCTTTATGTGCACTTTCGAGAGTCTCCAGTTTTGTTTGACTCTCCGCTGCTCGCTTTTCTGCGGCAGATTCAGCTGTCCGGGCTGAATCAAGATCTTTCTTGGCAGCATCGAGCTCTTGTTGGAGTGTTTGAAGTTTGGCCGCATCTGCTTTGAACCTCTCCCCCAACGTACTTTTGATATGTGTCACTTTGTCAAGCAGATTGTCGTATTGGTCTTGGATATCGTCACGTTCAGCTTCCACCGAATCTATTTGCTCTCGTAGCTGCTTAATTTCCTCGGCCTGTTCGCGCACCAACTGAACTAAGCCACCCTCACTCTTTTGTGGTCTGAGTAAACGTCTTGTCTTCGGCTTGCTTGTGGTTTCGGATCCCTCGTTCGCTGAAACACTAGACTGCGATCCCCCAGAGACAGTTTCAGCATCAACGGTCGACGTAGAAGGCGTCGCATCTTTATGTCCATTGGGGTCAGTAGTCTTTGGCGCTAGATCTAATTGTGGGCTTTGTGCCGTCGTCGTCCCCTCGTTCTCAGAACTTTGGTTGGGTTCTGCTTGAGACATTTCTACGTGGAGATTGCAACGCGAATTACTAACGCGCAGGATACTCAAATCAGAGACGCGGGTTATTTTTTAGCTATACATTTGTGAAGTGGCATTTAATATATATTCAATTAGAGTCTGCACAGAAATATTCTCCCTTCTTTTGATCTCACATGTCCCTTGTTCCATAATTATGTCTTTGGGAGGTCATTCTAATCATAACTTTGACTTATGCCTGACGGCAACATCGTGGACTTTTTCAATCGAGACAAGCGAGCTCATAAGGCTCCCGATGCCGATGGCAAATTGGCCCAGTAAGTACTTTTTGTTGGTTGTGTGACACAATATTGACCCCAGACCGAGTAAGAAGGCCAAGCGCGATACCAAAGAGAAGGCAGTAAAGCCGCCAAGCAAGACATCTTCCCCTAAAAAATCCGCAGCGTCCAAAAAGGTAGTTGAGTTTGCTGATTTGGTGCTCAGCGATGATGACGATGACGACGACATTGTGATACCTGAACGCGTCGTTAAGAGGGAGTCTGCAACCAAGAAACCACCTTCAAATACGGGCGCCAAAGTCCAAGGATCGAAGGCTGCCTCTGCTGAGGAGATTCTGGCCTCAATTCCTGATGCAGAACTTCCAGATACTTCTGATGCCAAGCCTTTCAACTACAATGCGTTCAAGAAGAACGCTGGCCCCGAGCCCACTGGCGGCGATGTTGAGATTCCTGACGCGGCTGAAAATTGTTTGGCAGGCATGACGTTTGTGTTCACTGGAATCATGCCCACTCTACCTCGAGATCAGGCCCAGGACGTTGTGAAGCGCTACGGCGGGAAATGCACGACTGCTCCTTCTAAACGCACCACTTGTGTTGTTTTGGGCCATGATGCCGGCCCAAAAAAGATCTCCACGATCAAACAGCTCGGTATCAAGGCAATAGATCAAGAAGGCTTCCTGGATCTCCTTCGTCAGATGCCTGCTAATGGTGGTTCCAGCGAACAGGCCAAAGCCCAGCAGGTCAGAAGGGCTAAAGAAGAAGCCAAAATTGCTAAAGCAGCTCAGCAATTGCAGAGTGAAACCAAGCCTGTCGTTGAAAGCTCTTCACAAGGTGGAGAAATTGGTCATAGCAAAATTGACGACACGGATCCATCCCAACAGCTTTGGACGACTAGATACGCTCCCAAACAAATGTCCGATGTTTGCGGCAATGGTACTATCGTCAAAAGACTTGCAAATTGGCTCGAGAGCTGGCGAAAAAATTACAAGCTTGGATTTCCTCCTGGCGATAATTCGGGCTCAGAGTTCAGGGCGGCGATGCTGTATGGCCCACCCGGTGTGGGTAAAACTACAGCCGCAAATCTAGTTGCTCGCATGCAAGGATTCGATGTTATTGAATATAATGCAAGTGATACTCGCTCGAAATCGCTGCTCCAGTCGCACGTATCTCAAACGCTGAAAAACACATCTTTGGCTGGGTATTTTGGATCAAATGCCAAGGACCAAGGCAAACCACTGTGTATCATTATGGATGAGGTCGATGGAATGTCTTCCGGTGATCGCGGCGGTGTGGGCGCAATGGCAGCGTTTGCGAAGAGCACTTCGGTCCCTCTCATCTTGATTTGCAACGAACGCCGTTTGCCAAAAATGAGGCCTTTTGATAAAGTGGTATACGATTTGCAGTTCCGAAGGCCTGACGCTGGCTCCATTCGTAGCCGAATTTTAACAATCGCCCAAGTCGAGGGTCTAAAAATCGACTCCAACACTGTTGATCGACTGGTGGAGTCAACGGGCTCGGATATTCGACAAATCCTGACTCTGCTGTCTACGTATGCACGCACCAACAACTCTATGTCCTTCACTGAAGGAAAAGAGTTTGCCAAAAGCTGGGATAAGGAGGTTATTCTCAAGCCGTTTGATATTGTTGCCAAGTATTTGGGCGGCGGAATGTGGGGTCCAGCAAGTGGCATGAACATGAACGATAGAATGAACTTATACTTCAATGATTACGATTTTTCGCCGCTATTTGTTGCTGAAAATTACCTGCTCGCCCGCTCCAATCGTAAACCACGGGGGTCCACCGATCTTGAAATGGCCTGCAAAGCTGCAGATGCTATTTCCGAGTCAGATCTGGTAGACAAGATGATTCATGGAACACAGCAGCAGTGGTCACTTATGCCCGAGCACGCTGTTATGTCTTGTGTTATTCCTAGCTATTACGTTGCCGGAAATATTACTGGCCGCATCAACTTCCCAGCATACCTGGGACAGAATTCAAAACGAGGAAAGTACAAGCGCGTGCTGGCGGAAATCCAAGCTCATATTCGCTTGCATGCCTGGGTTGCTGCACAAGAAATCCGTTTAGAGCTCCAACCGGCCTTTGTTGATAAACTCTTGGACCCCATCTTGGTAAAAGGAGCTGATGCCCTTGAGACAGTCATGGCGGTTATGGACGACTACTTCATTACCAAGGAAGATTTTGATAACCTCATTGAGCTTGGCGTTGGACCAAACAACCCTGAGATGCGGTATAAAAAGGTCCCCACAGCAGTTAAAACGGCATTCACTCGCAAGTACAACGCCAGCTCACACCCCGTGCCTTTCATGCGCACTGAAGAGGTAAAGTCGGCTGCAAAGAAAGCAACTGTGCCTGATGTTGAGGGCATTGTGGCCGACGATATGGAGCCGGAGCCGGAACCAGAGAAAGAGGATACACTAGAAGAGAGCCTCGGGAAGAACAAATATATTAAGGTGCCCAAGGGTAAGCCAAAAGCCAAAGCCAAACCAAAGGCTAAAGCGGCTCCCAAAAAGGCCAAAAAATAGCTGAATTAAATAGGTCGGTGTCGGGTGCTATCCTGTAGTCTATCTATTTTGACTTGCAGTTCCGTGGACCACTGGTCCAGTTCTTCCACAAGGTGTTCGAGAGATGCAATTGTTGATTCAAGTGTGTCTAGATGCGTTTCTGCCTCAATCATCTGCTCTTTGGCAGCTGCATAGCCGCCTACCACAGCTACCGCCGGGCGTATATCCTCAGCAAAGTCCGAACATTGGCCGATAGCATTGTGTGTGAGTCTTTCCAGCAGCTCAATTTGGCCAACCGCTATGTCGGTCTCGTTCTCAACAACGTAATGGGCTGCCTCGATGGCTTGCACGAGCTTTTTCTTGGGCATTCCAGCGCTCTTGTTCTAATCTGTGGAAACCTTAGGTAAGGGTCGTTTTTGCGTTTTAATTTCCCGGCTGGTAACCTTGTAACTGGAGGTAAAGTTCTATACGAAGTTTATGTAGAGGTTTCGACACCATTTTACACTTTAAGTGAGAATTCATCAGATTCGCCGCGCGGCAACCACCCAGAACCTCCGTGATGCCCCCTGTCCCCCTGCAAGGAGCGTGCATCGGAGGTTTAGTCAAAGGATCGTCACTGGGAGGTGATCTGTACTCTGTCTTACTGCGCTTGTGAAAACGGCTTCGAGCTTTTGGCGGCGACTTGGTGCAGATGAGTTTGCCATTTATCCGACCGCCAACAGGCAAAGGTCCCAAGCAGAGCTTGAAACTCGAAATACCCTCGAGCGGGTTTGCCAAGGGACACTCCCGCGGCGAGTCCTGGACATCGGACGACTCGTCGGAAAGTACGGCGTCGATGATGTCTCAGGACCAGTTCACTACAGAACTTGTGGCAAGGCTCGAGCTTGCCAACACTCCGGAAAACGCCTCGATTGCCGGGATGTCTCAAAAGCGTTGGCAGGACGCGTCCCAGAACGGTGACATCGTGGAGATTAAGCGGCTGGGGGAAGGCTCTGGAGGTTCTGTGAAGCTGTGTAAATTATGTGGTCACAACGAGCTTTTTGCATTGAAAGAAATTGCTGCAAATCCTAATGAAGACATCCAAAAGCAAGTCTTACGAGAGCTGCAGTTCAATTGCTCGTGTGCTAGTCCGTATATTGTCAAGTACTATGGTGCTTTTCTGGGGGCAGACACAGGGTCGATGTTTATCGCTATGGAATACTGCGAGTACGGCAGTCTGGATGCACTCAAAAAGAAAATAAAAGAGCGAGGTGGCCGTATCGGTGAGAAGGTCCTCGCCAAAATCGCCGAGTCAGTTCTTCGGGGAATCACTTATCTTTATGACCGCAGCATTATCCACCGCGATATAAAACCACAAAACATTTTACTCAACAATAAGGGCCAGGTAAAGCTTTGCGACTTTGGCGTCTCTGGCCAGGTTGTAAACTCTTTGGCAACAACATTCACCGGCACCTCTTTCTACATGGCACCGGAACGTATCCAAGGCCAGCCCTATACAGTTACATCCGATGTTTGGTCTTTAGGTCTCACCTTGCTAGAGCTCTCGCAGTGCAAGTTCCCGTTTCAGCAGGATAACGATACCCCGTTAATGCCTATTGAGCTGTTGGCGGAGATTGTGAAGATGCCGTCACCGCTGTTGCAAGATGAACCTGAAAGTGGAATCAAATGGTCGAAATCGTTCCATCATTTCACAAAATGCTGCTTGGAGAAAGACCCCTCCAAGCGTCCTTCACCCCAGCACTTATTATCACATCCCTGGATTGTTGGACACGCACAAAAGACGGTGAAAATGGACAAATTCCTCAAAGAATGCTGGAGCGACGCTTAGACCCCTTTTTTATATGCATTTTTAATATTACACAATCATTTATTTACCATGTTTCTTCGATAAAAGTCCGATGCTTTTCTTTGTAGGCCATTACTTTAGCAGCAGTTTCCTCATCTAAATGACGAGTGCGTTTCAAAACGTCCACAAACGCTTCTCGGACAGCTCGTGGCATACTTCCTGAAGATCCGCACAGGTAGACCAAAGCTGTCGGCAGATATGCTGTGATCTTTTCGGCAGCAGCCTCGATTTGGTTTTGGACATAGCCACCGCCTTCACGTGAAAATGCATTGAACACGGTGAGATCAGTCGCTTCAGCCATTTGTTTCCATTCCTCGCCGTATAAATAATCTTTATGTTCAAAACGACAACCAAAAAATAAGAAAATTGGAGCTTTGTGGTTTTTGAGAGTGTGTAACAAACTCCGCACTGGGGCGATACCCGTCCCTGCAGCGACTAATATTACTGCTTGATCTGCTTGAAGCTTGGATTCAATCGAAATGGGGGCGGGCTCTATAGTGATTCCAATTTCATCACCGGGCAGCAAAGTTTCAATGTATCTCGAGCAAAGTCCTTTACGTCCTCGCTTTAGGATAGTCTTATACTTTACCAGTGCCACACACAGCTCAATAGTAGGCTGGTTTGTGGGAGATGCAATGGAAAATGCGCGGGGCCAGATAAGAGGAAACAGATCCAGGATATACTCGAACGGAATTTTTATGGATTCAAACTCCAGGATTGTTTCTATTACCGAGCGTCTTGGTCGATTTGCATAATTATAAAGGTCGTCAATACCTTCTGTTGTTGCAAATTCAGCCAACCGCTCAGCTTCGTTGCCGCTGCAAAAGTTAGAGGCCAGCTTGAAGAATGACCGACGAGGAATACCGTTCAAGTCAAGATGCCATGTGAAGAGTGATCTCAGGGTGACTGGTTGAACTAAAGGCCTCGAAAGTAGTTCTACCCATTTTTCGTCCACATGAAGCTCTTTGTCGGCGATATCATTCCACCCTTGATAATCAAGTAAAGCGTCAACATGAACAGATACATTGCTTGGGTACAAATATGCAACTGCTCCTGGCTCATACTTGACGGGATGCTCAGGATCAAGCTTGATGTGGCGCACATCTTGGAAATGATCAGGGGCCGTAATCCGATCATTGGCGGCCACTTTGGCTTTCAAAAGGGCTTTGTCGACTTTGGGAGACGTTCCAAAGCAGATTTTGTATTTTGGCGGGAGCTGTGCCGTCACGGGGAGAATATCTTCAATTTTCAGTTCAGTAGCCAGAACCTGCAGAGCGTTGTCCATCCATTGATCAAACACAATTTCGACGCCATCGGGGTTTTGCTCGTCGCCCTCACTTCTAGCGACAAAGGACGTAGCACCCAGTTGAACAAACCTCGTGTAGATTTTCCGAATGGCCCAGTTAAACTGTTTGTACGCATTATCACCAACACCAAAGGCACCGAACCTGACAGACTGCAAGGTATCTCGGGCCAAAGATGCTTTGAGAAGCTCAGTCCATAGCGGATACGCGTTTCCCGGTAGCACACCTTGACCAGTCGTGGAGCACACTACAAATACGTACTTGTTTGCCTGCAAGTCCGAAACCGACACCATTCCGAACGGTAGCACTTTGCAGTCGATTTGCATGCGGCGAATGCGGTCACCTAAGACCTCGGCAAGCTCTGCTGCGTTTCCCGTCTCACTTCCATAGAGAACAAGCATTATTCACAGACTTTTCAGATTTCCCGTCCCAGCCTGGATATTCAGTCACCTGCCCCGGATTACAAAGTCTGTCAAAAAAACCTCCACCCCAAACGACAGTTTTTTTTCACGAGATGTTCCGATCGTTAGCCGTCAAAACAGTTCGCCCCGCTGCTTTTGCTGGAATCCGTCCTGCTGCTCGAGTAGCTGTGATGCTCAAGCGTTTTTATTCCGAAGCCAAACCGGCTGCCAACCCTGAGGCAACTGACGCCCCTGCTGCTGGTGAAGCCGCGGAGGCCGCGGAGACTCCAGTTGGGTCCGAGCTGCAAAAGAAGCTTGCAGAAGTCACTGCCAAGTACGAGGCCAAAGACAAGGAGTGTGCCAAGTTTAAAGACGCTTATGCCCGTGCGATTGCCGATTTCCGTAACCTGCAAAAGACTACCGAGCGGGAGATCGAAAAATCCAAAGCTTTTGCTTTGCAAAAATTCGCCAAGGACCTGGTTGAGTCTGTTGATAACTTTGACCTGGCTCTGGAAGCCGTCGCCCAGGAAAACCTCGAAGGAAACTCGGGTAACAAGGATCTGATCGAGTTCTATCAGGGCATCAAAATGGTTCAGGAAGTGTTCGAGCGCACACTGGAGAAGCACGGTTTGACCAAGATGAACCCTATCGGCGAGGAGTTTGACGCCAACCTCCACGAGGCCACTTTCCAGGTCCCACAGCCCGACAAGAAGCCTGGAACTATCTTCCACGTCCAGCGGGTTGGGTTCAAGCTTAATGACCGAGTCCTGCGTGCCCCTAAAGTCGGTGTTGTTGCCGAAAGCGAGTAAGTATGTACATAGATTCTCTTTCATTTTTACTTTACCGCCGCAGATACTTGCGTACCTCGGGGTCCTTATCGTACTCATAATTAGTCCACTTTTTGGTGGGTGTCTCTTTGATTTTTTCAAAGTAGTTGATAGGATCACGGCTTGCCGGGTCGGCAGTCTTGAATCCGACCTTTGGCAGCGTTTCCTTGGTCACGAATTCCCAGTTTCCAGGCAGCTTGTCCTTGGCGACCCGAAGAGCGTCCCTGGCCACCTGTTCAGGCACGTTGCCGCTGATTTCAAAGGCCACCTTGCCAGTGGGCACACGCACAGCCCAGTACTCGAAGGCACCTTTACCTTTACCCATACGAGTCTCATTACCTTTGACACACACCGCGAGGCCGCAGTGAAGACGACGGTAAAGAGTGCCGGAGAGTGGTCTGAGGGTACGCATGATACTGTTATCTGCCTCTTTGAGCTGAATAGCCTTGATTCGGACACCCTCGCTGCGCAAACGCAGGCCGTATTCACCAAAAACGACGGTCGATCCCTTGGTCGAGCCGCCGGTGCGAACGGGCACTCGGCCCTTGAATTTCTTGTCGCGCTGGCGGGTTTTGGGCTCGTATGAGTGTTTGAAACGAACCTGTGTTGCCGAAGCACGCATCACCGCAGACGCAGCAGCCGTAGCGGGCCGGGCCACTGCGCCAAAAAGACTGGCAATTTTCAGCATGATTAATCAGAGAGCGGTTTGACAGTGAAATTTGTAGGCTATCGCGAGGCAGCGAAGGGACGCAATTAAAAATAGTGAAAATTAAGAAACCGTCTGGTTACTGACATGTAGAATAATAAAGTTTTGAGACCTGGTGAAAAATGACTATCTTGACAGAGCTTGGCCTATATGTTCAGCTCAAGCTTGAAAGCTTACACATGATTCGTGTATCACGAGGCGTGAGTCGAGCCGTTTGGCCAGTTCAGCTAATTCGCCGTAACTCTGTTCTTGTGGGAGGCAAAGAGTACAAGACAGACGAATGGACAAATGTTCCGCCTGCCATTATCGACTTAGTAGGCCGAAACCTCCATCGTCAGCCCAACCACCCGATTGGAATCATCCGGTCGCTGATTGAAAAACGCCTGGTTCCCCTGGGGTTTACCCCATATAACGAGTTCAGTCCGATTGTGTCAAAGTATAAGAACTTCGACAGTCTTGGATTCCCCGAGGACCACCCTGGGCGAAGCAAGTCCGACACCTACTACATCAATAAAGACACCCTTCTCCGCACCCACACGTCAGCTCACGAAATCGAGTGCTTCCAAACAACAAAAACACCTGGCTACCTTATTGCTGCAGACGTCTATCGCCGAGACACTATTGATCGAACCCACTATCCCGCTTTCCATCAAATGGAAGGTGCCCGGACCTGGTCAAAGACCGAACACGGCGATAAGCTCGCTGATGCGATTCGGGCTGACTTAGAGGCTCTGCCTGATTCTGGAATCCAAGTTGAGGACCCCAATCTGCCTTTCCACGCCGGGAATCCAAAGGAGCCCGCTCACAGTGAGGAGGTATCTACTCTTCTCGGCCAGCATCTCAAACGCACTATCGAGATCGTTATGGGCGACATGTTTTCTGCCGCCAAGGCTGCTGCCATTGCTAATGGGTCCACGGATCCCGATCTTCATAAGCCGCTTAAAGCTCGTTGGATCGAGGCTTATTTCCCTTGGACATCGCCCTCCTGGGAAATTGAAATCTGGTGGAAAGGCGAATGGCTTGAAATGTCCGGTATGGGCGTGGTCAGACAGCACGTGTACGATACTGCTGGAATGAGTGACTGCGTTGGATGGGCTTTTGGTATCGGGCTGGAGCGCACGGCGATGATTTTGTTTGGTGTGCCTGACATTCGTCTTTTCTGGTCAAAAGATCCGCGTTTCCTCGACCAGTTCACGGCTGGCAAAGTTACCAATTTCGAGCCTTGGTCCAAATACCCCAGCACGTCGAGAGACGTGGCTTTCTGGTGCCCTGAACAAGATGTGCACGAGAACGACGTTATGGAGATTGTCCGCTCTCGTGGCGGTGACTTGGTTGAAAATGTCTCGCTAGTTGACGAGTTTGTTCACCCCAAGACCAACCGCAAGAGTCAATGCTACCGTATTACCTACCAGAGTATGGAACGCTCATTGACGAATGACGAAGTGAACGCCATTCAAACGTCGGTGGTACATGATCTAACTTCTCAGCTTGGTATTGAAGTGCGCTGATACTTCTTTGCCTGTTTGTATATACTTAAGAACACTTATGCTTCCTCTAAAATTCGCATTGTGCTGGCAGTAAACGCCTCTAGATGGTAGATTCCTTTATTCCCCAGCCGTAAACGATGATCATATAATGCAGCGGCATCCACGATATTCTTCCCCGCTACTGCCGAGACTCGTGGTAATAAGGCGAACAGCAACTCTTTAAGAATGACTGTCTCAGGAATACAGTGTGTCAAGAGCTCGTAGTAGTCTTTTCTTACCGATGCAAGCTGCTGTACGGTTCTTGACTTTACAATCGATTGGGCAATCCGATCAATCATCAGTTGCCAGTCGGTAAGAGGCACTTGGGTACTGGCATCAATTTTTTCCGAGCGAGCATACATTGTCTCCAGCATCAACAACGCACGTCTTAAATTACGATTGCTTTTCTCCGATATGTTTTGCCAGAGCTGGTTGCGAGCGGCATCATCCTGCGGTAATTGAACGTCCTGTGCATCTGCCACCTTGGCCAGAACATTGCCGATATCTTCGGTTGTCGGTGCTGGAACTCTCACAAGAAGAGTTCGCGATTTGATAGGACCCATAATGCTACCAGTCGTGTTGGCTAGGAGAATAAGTCGAAGGTTAGGCGAGTAGATCTCCATTGTACGACGTAGAGCTGCCTGTGCATCGCGAGTCAAAGAGTCCGCTTCGTTGATAACAACAACCTTGAAGCGGTGCTTGGCAGTCACATCCACAGGCTGTGTTTGGGCGATTTCTTTTAGCAGTTCCTGCACAACGACGCGATCTTGGTTGCCAGCTTCGGCAGGGTTGATCTCGATGTGATGGTTGCTGGAAACAAGAACAAAGTCAAATTTGCGCGTGCCGGCTTGCAGCACCCGCTGCTCCTCTTTGATTTTGAGCGCAGACGGGCCAAAAAGTTCGCGAAGAAGACAGGAAACCCGGGTCTTTTTTCCTGCTCCGGGCGGGCCATATACAAGCAAGTGAGGGAAGTCCTCCTTATCCGCAAGCCGTCTCAGTGTTTCCGTCAAAGGCTCATTATAATCCAGGCTTTCCAGCGACGTTGGCCTATACTTGTGAACCCACAGCATAGATGACAACTCCCAACACCTCTGACACACGCGACGGAGGTTAATTGAACGGGGGTATTGCGACAGTCGAGCCAGATGCCCCGATTTACTCTCATGCGAGTGCCATTGCGACTAGATTTTGTATTCCGAATAACTATTGGCTCTAAATAGTGCGGCTAGGCTGTTTCATGTTAGGAAATGCGTGTGCTTAAAAATAGACACTCCACAAGAACAGACAGCAGGTAGCCGTTCCTGTGCTGACAAGCCCACATTCCAAGGTGAAATAATATCGTTGTAAAAAGCAGACAAGGAATAGATTGGGCGGCGATTTCAAATTCATGAGGTAAATACTGTGCTGCCGTTACCTTCTCTGTGTTTCCTTCTTCATATATACAGAAATACTGCCGCTAAAACGTTTGCTGCAGCACGTTCCCTTCATCAAGGTGCCTAATAAGCAGCTCCGCGCGAACCGCGTCATGCAAGAAGCATAGGTCCGCGATCCGTCCCAAATAGGGTGTTTGTGTGGTGGGTCATAAAGGCCGCTCACAACAAGAGGTTGTGGCAACAGAAACCAGAACATTGTCAGACGACTAACCGAAATTCTATTATTTTGGTTTTGTATTTCAGATTAAATATACTTTTCCAGCTGCATTGTTTTACGTTTGGCCTCAAAGCTACCCTGGTGAGCTTTCGCCTAGTGTATTATTCCCCAGTGTGCTTACCCCTTCATCTTTCCCTCCACCCCTAGTATACGTCAAAGTGGGCGTGGTGAGTCCGAACTTTGCTTGAAATCGAACTTTCACCTTTCGGATCGATAAATTTCTAATTGATTTCCTTATAATCTGGCTGGATTCTCTTCTATCCAGTTCTTGATTCCCCTTTTTTGCCGACGAAAACGCCAACGCTCCAAGCAGCAAACAAAAGCGCTTTCCTGCCCCTTTCCCCCTTGTTTTTTGTACGCATTCTAAGTTTTATTCTTTAATGGACCAGCCCAAAATTTCCTCGCGGTTGTCTACATCCTCCCGCTTGTCTTCCAGCATCTCCCGACGCGTCAACCGAGAAGCTCGGTTCGGCGACTATATACTCGGATCGACCCTTGGTGAAGGCGAATTTGGTAAAGTAAAGTTGGGTTGGAAGAAAAATGGCTCCCAGGTGAACCAGGCCGCGATTAAACTTATCCGCAAGGACACTGTTCCACCTAAATCGCAACGAGAGATCAAAGTGTTTAGAGAAATCAATGCTCTCAAAATTTTACACCACCCGAACATTGTCAAGCTTGAGCAAGTCATCCAAAATGACAAGTACATTGGAATTGTTCTTGAATACGCTTCGGGAGGTGAGCTTTTCGACTACATTCTTGACAACCGCAGTCTCAAAGAGCATGTGGCTGCCAGGCTGTTTTCACAGCTGGTGTCAGGCGTCTATTATTTGCATTCAAAAGGTATCGTGCACAGAGACTTGAAGCTTGAAAATTTACTGCTTGATAAGAACAAGAACGTGATCATCACAGATTTTGGCTTTGCAAACTCTTTCCGCAACAAAGGCAACCAGCTCATGTCGACCTCATGTGGCTCCCCGTGCTATGCTGCTCCAGAGCTCGTGGTATCGGACTCCAAATATGACGGCCGTAAGGTAGATGTATGGTCCTGTGGCGTTATTCTCTACGCCATGCTCGCTGGGTACTTGCCCTGGGACGACGATGCCGAGAACCCAAACAGCGATAACATCACCCGGCTGTACAAGTACATTACAACCACTCCGCTCACGTTCCCGGAATACATGCCCGCGACTCCGCGCGACGTTCTGCGGCGAGTATTGGTAGCCGACCCGGAAAAGCGTCTGTCGCTGGCGGCAGTGCGCTCACATCAATGGCTCGCTCCTTACGCTGCATTTTTGTCGGTCACACCAAAGGAATGGGACGATGTGTATACTCGTAATCTTGAGAAGCAAGCGCAGCTAAGTGCAGCGGCTTCAGGTCCCTCTTCGGCGGCCGCGGCCGCGGCTGCATCAACCAGCGGTATGGTTCGGTCCCACTCTACGCAGGTCCGCGCAGAGCCATCGACCCAAACCGCTCTACCGCAAAGAGGTCATGTTCGCTCAAGCTCCGCAATGCCAATCTCAGCACCTATACCCGCAGCTACACCGGTCGTAGAAAATCATCCGGGCATGGCTGCCTCGGCCGCTGCGCACAGCACTCGCCGCATGTCTGCGATGCCGACAATGTCGACTGCTCCTCGGTCGCATCAGAGGACTACTTCTCAAGTTGCAGACACCAGCTCTGCCGGAACTTCGCAGACTGCGAAGATACCATCTCCTTCAAAGACTCGATCCCGACTCCCTGCCCCTCAAGGCAAACCGCGTCCTATTTCGTTCCACCCGACAAGCACCTCTCATGCACTTTATCAGCCTGACACGGATTCGAATGGAGCAGTTTCATCTTCTTATGCCCTAGGGACGAATTCGGGATTCTCTTTGTACACGCCACGGGCATCGCAGCCTCGAGTTGAACTTTCTCACGCTGCCGCGAAATCTGGGGAAATTTCGCGGCCTCTGTCCTTCGTACAGTCTGCTAGTGCCCAGCGATTAGTTTCGATGGCTCCAGACACTGACCATGTTGTGCAGGCTACCGCTCAGCCTGCGCAGCTGCCCATGAACCCACCTCCGCCACCGCCTCCTACGCAGGCCACGGTCCAGCGCCAACAGCAGCCTTCCCCAATGCATATTGACGCTGTGCGCTCAAAGACGAGCGATGTTGCCATGAAAGACTCTATTACCCTCCATCAAAGACGCGCCTCTGGTTTCTCGCGGCTGTTCAGCGCAGATACTCGCAGACACTCTGCGGTGCCAGTTCCGGTTGCAGGAAATGTTCCGGTGGATCGAAGGCGGTTCAGCAATGTTTTTGGATTCAGCAACAGCCGCGAGCGGGTATACACTGTGCCTGAGGAAGACCCTCGCCGTACCGGATTGCAGGTGTCGCAGGATGTGGAGAACCGATCTAGAGTTCCTCAGACAAAAGAGCCCTCAGCAGCGAAGAAGATGGTGAACTTCTTCCGCCGCCGGTCCACTGTTGCCAGCTAGTTGATCTTTGTTGTTATATATTATTGTATGTTTTTCATTCGTTCTAAGCTAATCGGATACGGTTCTAATTTATACATTTGAACCGTGTTGGTTTATTTACAAAAGAAGATCTCTTTTTTCATTCTTTTTTTCCAACAGAGACGTGTGCTTGCTGGCAATAAAAACGGCTTTGAAATGGGATATATAGGCTTTACTTTGACTCGGAGACTTCAGCGATTCGATGTTGGCCCATGGTTGGTAGGACTTGAGATAGAGATGTGTGTTTGGTAGGGTCGGCTTTAAGCTGGAACTGCTCATTAACAATGAGGTTGGTCTGCATATACTTTGAGACACAACGATCAATACAGCATTGTTCGCCCTTGGTGAGTTCCTCCTCATGGTAGTAAGGCGGGAAGCACTTGCTGCGGCAGCTGGAAACAATATTTCCGAAAAGATCCATCATTGCAGCGAGCTCTCTCTCAGCAGCCTCAACTCTGACCTGGTTCACGTCCATGGAACCCGCGTTGAGCATACTGCCCATAAACAGCGACATGCTTACTAGGACGAAAAAATTGGTGGAGCCGAAAATACCCATAGAGGGACTTGGCGTGAGAACAGGCGAAGGGAATAGGACGCTTTGAAGCAAGGAGAGCGAAAGGAAGCAAAAAAGAGTCGAAGGACGAAACATATAATTTATATAGGTTACAACTTGGGGAACAGAGGTGTTCGTTGTCGCGTTTTCGTTTTGTATATGCGTTTAGCTGGTAGAAGGTTTCTCCAACTTGAGTTAGTATTGGACTGAGATGATTGCGAACAAAAACACTCCGAGTCTGTTTCTGTAGTGCCCTGGTACTTACCTTCCAAACCGAGTTGAGCTTGAAGTCCTTAGGAGCAATGGGGCTGTCAGACTGGCCCCGGGCCCGGCCAGTAAGGCGAATGTCGCGCTCAATGAGAGAGCGATCGAAAGCATCGACGTTCCAGCGGTCACGCTTGCCATCGTTACGGAGGTAATGAACGGCGCTCAAACCACCACCACAAATGGTCAGAAGCTGGGGTTAGTATTGGTTCCAATTGGTGGACGCCTAGAAAAAAACAGCAGCTTTTAATAAGGCGTGTCGTTAGTCAAACATACCGAAAACATGATGCCATAGGGCAACAGAGCCTCGAAGGGAATCATCGTTACTGAAGTTAGTTTGTGTTAGCAAAGCTCCTATTGGGAGGTTTGAGCACTGAGGTTAGGGCCTGGAGGGTCGAGCCAGGTAGTAGGGGGACTGCGAGATGGTGAACTAGGGGCTAATAGTATGAAAATTGGAGAAAAGGGTTGGCGCTGACGCCCCATAATGCACGAAAAGGGCTGCAGGAGAAAGCTTCAGCGGCCAGTCACCCTAGTTCGGAGAACCGATTGTAATTTGAAACGTGTACTCCAATGGAATAGTTCATCCAGGCAGCCAATCCAGTTCGCTATCTCAGCTGGCTCCCACTCTATTGGCTTTGACAAAAACCCTGTTTGCATGCTTTGACCCTACCCTCATGCGCTTATGTCGGTCCGCAGTTGCCTCCGTAAGTTGTTATCAACCTATCCACCGTTAAGAATGCGAGCGGCAGTTGTAGAAACGTTGGGGAAACCACCTGTCTACGGTACCTTTCAGGAACCGCAAGCTCTGGAGAATGAAGAGGTTGTTGAGGTTTTGACAGCCGGCATCAAACAGCTTGAACGTAGTGCTGTCGCTGGCGTCCATTACTCCAGCCCTAAGAAATTGCCAATCGTACCTGGTATTGACGGCGTTGGTCGTACAAAGGACGGCAAACGAGTGTTCTTTGCTTCATTCCGTCGTCCTTATGGCGCAATGGCAGAGCGTAGCGTCGCTTCTTGGACCGTGCCAGTACCCGATGGGGTAGATGACGCCACCGCTGCAGCTCTGATCAATCCAGCCTTTGCCGCCTGGCTGCCGTTACACTGGCGCGCTGAGATGCAGCCTGGTGAAACTGTGCTGATTATCGGTGCCACCAGTGCCTCAGGCAAGCTGGCAGTTACTGCTGCACGTCAGGCCAAGGCCGGGCGGATCGTCGCCGCTGGACGTAGGCTAGAGGTGCTGGAAAAACTGGATGTGGATGCCATAGTGGACCTGAAGTTGGAGGGCGATGAATTGAAGCAGGCCTTTGCCGATGCAGCTGGGCCTGGCGGCTATCAGGTGATTGTCGACTATATCTGGGGCCCTGCGACTGAAGCACTCCTTGCCACGCTGAACAATCACGACCTTTCTTCGCACGCTGGGGGACGCGGTATTCGCTTGGTCAACGTCGGATCTATGTCGTCGCCAACTATTACTTTGCCTGCAGGGGTGTTACGCAGTAGTCAGTTGCAAATCCTTGGTAGTGGCACTGGCAATTTCCCGCCCGTCCCAGAGATGCAGCGGTACGTGAAGGACATCTTGGATATGGCAGCAAAGGGAGTGCTCACCATTGAAACTCAAGAGCACCCGCTGGCTGAGATTTCCGAGGTGTGGGATTTGAACAAAGTGGGTGATGTACGCTCGGTGATGCGCATTTCTCATTAAGTCCCTACTTCTTTGCACAAGTGCAAAAATACGTGTCTAGAAGTCTGCAGGAGGCAGTTTCGTATCGTAGCCAGCAGCTGTGCCCAATAGAATTACAATAGCCAAATCTTATAGAACAAGTTTACTAGGTCGTCACGCATATGAGCCACTGCTCTGACACGCAGGTTGAGGTTGCTGTGCCAGAAGCATCGATATTTGGGTGACCGTTAGTATATGAGACAGAAGTACCCACAGTCTGCAATTGATCAGGCATTGCCCAGATCCGAAGAGTGGTCCTCAGTGACAGGGATTACCGCTTAACATCGAAACTCAGCAGGCTGTCAAGAATGCTAACACACTCTAATATTTACAATACTCAAGCAAAAATAGTCACTAACTAATTCAATACTTAATTGACTCCGACAAACACTCGCTGGAGAACGTAGATGCACCTGGGGTTCCCACAAGCACAGACTACACACTATAATCAAGTGTCACAACTGTAGACAGATGCTCACGACTAGACACATAAAATGAATCCTTAAACTTATAAACTAGCGAGATACGTACTCGTGATTTAAGGTTTTATATTAAGACTATATTGAGCGTGCAGTCTTAGATGTTGGAGGGGTAGAGCATGACGCGGACAGAAGCGCCAAAGGTCTTGGGAGGCAAGTTCTTGCGGAAAGAAGCGCGGACGACGCCGGAGTTGCCATGAGTGCGGGTGATCTTACCCCAAATGACGCGGATCTTGGAGCCACGGATCTCCTTGGAGGCGCGGTAGACAAAGGCGACACGCTTGCCAAGGTAGAACTTGGCCTCCTCAGGAGTGGAAACACCCTCAACCTGGATCAGGGAAACAGAGGGGTTGTTGGTACGCTTGGAGCGCTGGTACGACAGGTGCTTGCCCTTGACATACAAACGGTGAGTCTCGGCCATTATTGTGGATGCGGTGAACCCTGGACTTGTGAGTCGTTATTACACACACCGGCTGGAGAAACCGTGCCGCTTATAAGCCCTAAGCCCTAGTATCTACCGACAACCTCTTACGTAACAGCCTAGTTGTCAGAGAAACATGCCACTTGGAGTGATTGCAGCTTGATCTCCAGTGAAACATACGAGATTTTGGTGAAACAATGTTTGTTTTGCTTCCGGCCTAATTCCAGCTTCCCCAAAACACCCAATCCTCGTTGCCCAACCTAGTATGGTTCATGTAGCCTGCTGCACGATGCTTGGTGTACGAAAAAATTTACGCCCAAACCCTGGCCATCGTCAACTATATAAGCACGGAACGAACGACATTTTCGGTATGCGATGTACTCTATGGATCATTTCTATAGTAAGCATCCTTTTTGAGCTCTTCTAAAGAGCCACAGAATCCAACTTGGTTGATGAGGTGGATACCTGCACGCCCTAGAGTGAGGCACGATCATTTGATGGACGTCTTCGGACTCATCATCTATCACAAAACCTTTACTACGGTCTTGATACACGGTATTGTCGTCTAGGATCGCTGATACTCTGTTTGCAAGCTTGTCTTGTAGCAGACTCAGTGGATCTATTGGGAGATTATTACTTTCTCGACCTTAAGGAGCGATGATCTCTACCCTTTGTATGTGCTCCTCCGGGAGAGTTGCTTAGGGTGGGTGTGTATGGCTGTCTGACAAGTTTCTTTCTTTGGCTTTTGTTGTAGTTCAAATTAGTTGCTCTTGTACTAGCTTTATATTTATTTCCATATTAATTTCCATACTTAGTGTAAGCACTGGAAGATTTATTTTTAAGTAACTTGGGGTCCCTCCACGTGATTATAACAAAGCGGAATTCACCTAACTACTCTTTACGTATAACATGCACATATTGTTGACCAACGACGATGGGCCACCGGATCCTAAGGTGTCTCCGTACATTCAGCTGTTCTACGAGGCTATGAAAAACTACACCGACTGGAAGGTCTCGATAGCTCTTCCTCATATGCAGCGGTCTTGGATTGGAAAGGCACATATGATCGGCGAAGACATCAGCACGTCATACGTCTACACAAAGGGAAAAGAGAAAAACACTATTGGGCCATTCGATCATCCTAATCCTGACTTGGCCAAGGACTACGACGAATGGGTTCTGTTGAACGGCACACCTGCCACTTGCGCCAACATAGGCATTAACCACCTGTACTCCGAGGAGGGCCCAGTTGATCTTGTCATCTCGGGCCCCAACTTTGGCCGCAACACTTCAGCCGCCTACATTCTGTCTAGTGGAACGGTGGGTGCCAGTTTAGAAGCTGCTTTGTGCGGGACAAAGACAGTGGCATTGTCCTACAGCTACAAGACCAAAGAGCACCCCGACAGCGAAGTCGAGGAAGCATCTATGATTGCGGTCAAACTCATTGGCCATCTCATGAGCAATTGGCAAAACGGTGTGCAATTGTACTCGGTGAATATTCCCCTCTCGCCCGAGCTAAACTCTAAAACTGTCATTCGATACGCACCGCTTTTGGAAAACCAATGGTCCTCTGTTTTTGAAGCCAATGAGAAAGACGACAAGAAGCATTTCAGGTGGGCTCCAAAATTCCATCTTTGCGATGAGACCGTCCACGAGGGTGGCCCCGGAAGCGACGCTTGGACAGTCATGAATGGTGAGATTTCCGTTACACCACTAAGAGCATGCTTCCATAGTGTCTCAAATGCATTGGAGGGTGTAATCAATTTGAATCTGTAAGTTTATTTTTTTGTTTTGTTGTTCGTTTTGTTGCTCTTGCAGAAGTACTGACATAGAAATTCCGGTGCACCTTTTGATGCGGTTATTGGTACAAACGACACCTACGTCAAAGAGTCTTGGATACAGGCTCTAAAGGGTCATGGCATTCCCGTCAAAGCCAAGCCGGAAAAGGGCCGAAAGACGTTTGTTTATGAAGACTATGATGATGCCTGTTTTGACGATCGTCAAAATTCGCCGCATCTCTATTACTCCTATGTTTTCCGCAAAGGGTTGATTCGAAAGAATTATCTGGCAAATACCATCGCCTACTATAAAGCAAAGCATCCAGAATCAGTGCTCAACCGGGCATTTCCGGACAGCTTCAACCTGGAGGTCGATTATGCAGAATTTCTAGACGATGCTCTTGATGAGGCCTACGATTTGCGTCAGGAAATCGGGGCGGGCTCCAAGACATGGATTCTGAAACCTGCAATGAGTGACAGAGCCCAGGGAATTCGAATCTTCAAGACTGTAGAAGGGCTGCAAGAAATTTTCGACTCTTTTGAAGGGAACAGCGACGATGGTGAGCAGGAGGAAGAAGGCGATGATTACGGAGTTGTCACGTCTCATCTTCGGCACTTTGTTGTTCAGGAGTACGTCCAGAACCCGCTACTAGTTGATGGCCGCAAGTTCCATCTGCGCGTGTATGTTTTAGCAGTTGGTGCTATCAAGGTCTACGTTTACCAAAATGTGCTAGCATTGTTTGCTGGCACAAAGTATCACCCGCCTGATGGTGATAACGTTGACTTAAGAGGACATCTCACCAACACTTGTTTCCAAGATGAGACCGTAGACGATTTGAGCGTGCGGGTATTCTCGGACTTGCCTATTGGTGCAGAAGCCAAACAAAAAGTTATGAGCGATATCAATGCAATCACTGGCGACTTGTTTGCTGCAGCAGTAGCTGACTTTGTCAATTTCCAGCCGGTGCCTAATTCAATTGAGTTCTTTGGTCTCGACTTTTTGGTCGATGAAAACTATAATGTGTCGGTCCTTGAAGTCAACGCATACCCAGACTTTAAGCAAACCGGCGCCGAGCTGCAGCCGCTAGTATCAGGTCTCTTTGGAGCCACAGTCGATATTGCTGTTGCTCCTTATTTCACCGGAGTTCCCACATCCGATGAAAGATTAAAATGTGTTTATTCGAAGGAGATCCACAAGCATTAAAAAACACCTTAAACATACACCAAATAAGTTAATCACTACGGTCGACACCAGAAAACCGCTCTGTTCCGCTAGCGCTTGCATCGGTGGCTTCCGGGGCTTGCCAGGTCTGCTGTGACGACGTCTCATCGTCGACGTCCTCCATGCCCTCGACGTACTCCTCATTGTTCATCTCGCGACACCAGGCCAGAACCTGTCTTCTGAGACGGTCTGCTCTGGTGAGACCCATACGAATTTCGGTCATGCACCGAACAAACTCTTCCATGCGCTGATGAGCCACTTGCAGGAGCTGGCGGGCATCCTCCGCGGCCTCCTCGCTGACGCCATAGTCACAGTCGATTTGCACTTCTGGCACCGCAAAAAATGGCTCGACGTTTTTGTTTGTTTCTTGGCGAGTGTTGGGGCGCATAGGGGCACCATTGGCATCGCTTTGTACATCGCTTGTAATGCCCATCATATGCCCTGACGACTCTGGGTTCGGCTCGGGCTTAACTGGCTCTGCAGCATCGTCTGCGGTGTTGTATTCAGGAATTTCTAGGTTTTTGAGATTCAGATAGCGCGAGTCGTCACCCAGAAACGCCGAGAGCAGGTTGGCGAGTTTAGTGACCCGATCTTTTTCGTCAACAATAATATCCAGCGACTCTCTAGCAATTTTTTGGAGAATGTCAGAGGTATATGCTCTTGACATGGCAGGATGGTGGGGGACTTCCGCGGGGTCCGTAATCGGCTTTAGCAAGTCGTCGAGCTTGACTTCGTCGAGTAATTGGGGCTCGTCTGGATCATAGTCCGAATCGCCCTCGAGATCAGCTTCGTCTTCAATAAACACGGGGCGTGATCTTTTGTATATTAACGCCTGCTTGTGGCCATGATAGTCCACGACTCTAACACCAACTGGGTCACCAGGCGGGTTGAGGACAGTGCACGCAATGCCCCGAGCACCTCGCTTCAGCTTGTTGCCACGATTGGTCAACATGTAATAATCTTCTTCTTCGTCTGAATCGCTAACATCCGCGGGTTCTGCCAGTCGCTCTTTCAAGCGGATAATTTCAAACAGCGTCTCCTTGTCGGACATGGCTTTCAAGCTGGATTACAAAGACAGGTACGGCGGTGGACAGTGATTAAATTATGCTACAGAAGATATATGCGATTCAGGCGATCGATGCGTTTTTGAGTTTATCCATGAAACTGGTTTCAATTGATGGTTCTAGGAATGCCAATGGAATGGTGCTTTTCTTCGTTAACGGCAGAATGAGCCTAAAGGCATCACTGGTATTTAAATAATAGCGATGGTATCGTTTGGCCCGGATAAATCCCATGTTCTGGTACAAATTAAGAGCAGCAAAGTTTGTGACTTCAGTCTCCAGTGTCACTTCGTCGGCCCCTTTCGCCGCAAGGTTCTCTACTGCGGCCTTGATCAGTTGCTTTGCGTATCCGTGACCTCTATAATCCTCGTGCACAGTTAGCATGGCAATATAGCCGCGAAGACGTCGTTCGTGATGGGACCTCAAACTGCACACAATGGTGCCAATGATCTTGTCTCCATCCATTGCGACAAACGAGAGACCCGGCCACTCTTTCAAAAAGTAGAGATAGACATATACAGAGTACGGCTCACTCAAATCTTTGGCAACAAGCTCGCTAATTGCAGCAACTTGCTCCTCTTCTAAATCAGACCTGTACGGCGTTAGTATAACCGTCATTTGTACACCCAAACTAGCTTGCCAGGGGACGTAAAAAAGTACGAGATTACTTAAGGGGCAGTGCCGCTTCTCCCCCACAGATCAACAGTTCGATCTGCGATTGCCACAATTGACGACGGTTTTGCTGGCCGAAGCGCTTGTACTATTGTGAATGGATCTTTACAACAGCTACACAGGAAAGGCCACGGTACTTGACCCGGAACGGGTCCACAGCCTCAATGAACTGAACCAACTTTTGGAGCAGCAGTTCGCAATTGATCCGCAGCACCAGTTACTTCTGGTCTCGCCGTCGGCTTCTCGCTTAAAAGAGCAGATGATTGCTGAAAGCCAAAAAGTATACTTGTACGACCTTCAGCTGATATCACAGCCTGATCTGGCTCGATCAAAACTGCTTTCAATGGAAGCCTCGACAGTGGCTCAATTGGAAGAAGACAATATGGCGGCGCCAGATCCCGCGGCTGCATTCGAAGATCTGGAGGCCTCACACATGATTTTATCTCAGGTGGTTGTGGATAGATCAGAATGGGCAATGCGCCACAACGAGTTTGCAAAGCAGGTCGCCGATCGCATTTTGAATCTACGCCCCGAAACTAAAACGATCGATAGTGGGACCCATCTTGCTCTAAATCATATGAGCAACCACCTCAAATCTTTGAGGCGTACTCTGATGAAAAGAGTTAAACAAAAGGAAGATCTTGACAAAGATATAGCGCGCTGCAGTACTTGGTCGGAGAGCTGGGCTCGCTGCAAGCGCGTACCAGGATTGGCCCCGATATTGGGTACACTACAGAGACCATTGGTTGCGGATATGTTTGACAAGGCGCTCCAAACACAGTATAAGATAAAAAAGCAGCTTGCATTGGTCGAGAAAGCCATCACGTCTCTTCAAAACAGAGGCACCACCTTATTAGCAACTTTCACCCAAGACCCGCTTGAAATTGGGGTCACCGGCGTAGAGCGGCTGCTACGTGAGATGGAATCCTTGACCAACAAAGTCGTTTTCGACACCAACAACGTCAAGGCGTTGGCTGATAAGGATCTAGCGCGTACTATATTGAGTGGTCATGAAAGAAGCTTGATTCCAGATATTAATGCTGTTCGAAAAGACCTTCTAACTGCTCTCAATAAAGCCCTTGATCAAAAAGTCATTGCCCAGACCCGGCTATGTGAAGTCATGGCCTCCATTTCTTCAATCCAGTTGTCGTCTGCAAAACTGAAGCCCGAGCAGGCCAAACTCGGGAAATTGCTCCAGGAGGCAGATTCTTACAAGGCAAAAGTGGCGGAAGTCATTGAGTTGCCATTCTTATATGGTGCATTCATTATCGAACTCAACCGTAGGCAAACATGGCAACTAGAACACCGCAACATGGTCGATTTAATGGTGGAGCGTTTAGCATCGCTCCGAGATGTTGAATTAGAGCGTATGGATAATTGGCAACAATACTATATGTCCTCAGGTATCATGGCTGAGATTTCTCACGATCTTGTGCACAGCTTACCGGAGATCGAAGTGAATTTGACCAAGATATCTGTCCCAGACTCGTTGACTATTGAAGACTATCTTGAACAACTCGACGCAGTAGGTCTGAATAGCGTTGGAGACGAACTGAGAGGCGAGTTGGAGGCAATGTCAGAACAACTTGCCAAGTCTTTGGAAGAAAACGGACTGTCAATGTCTTCAAGCAACTATGAAAATAAAATTCGCAAGCTTGAGAGCATATTGTTACAGCTTCGGTTTGAACAGGAAAGATCTACAAGCCACCAGGCTCGTACAAAGAGTGACTCAACAACTGTCAAAGAGACTCAACTAGAGCAAAAAGCTGCGGGTCTTGGAGAACGTGAAAGGGCTATTGCTGAGCGCGAGCGCGCTTTTGCAGAGCGTGAGCAGGTGTTCGCAGCACGCGAGCGCGCACTAGAAATTAAACAACGGGCGTTCGAAGAGCGTGAAAAGCAAGTTATTGAAAAGAAAGCGATCCAAGATGGACAGGAGAAAGAGATTGTTGCTAAACAAGAAGAAACAGTGGAGAGTCTCAGAGGAGAAAACCGCTTTTTGTCTCAGGCAGCCTTGGAAATCAGTCGGAAGTTGGCCGAAGCATCACGCGGCGTCAAGAGAATGCTTGAAACTATGGGTCTGCAAGGGACCATTACAGTCGTAAATGGATCACCCGTTTTCGAAATTGCCCGAGTTAAAGGGCTCCGTAGGGCCAGTGTTGCAGGATCATCTCAGGTGAGTGAGCCAAGCACGCGATCAGGCAGCGAGCCAACAGCAGGGTCAACAGCCTCACCAGAGGCCCCCGAGGACATACAATGGCTACAGTCCATCGACAAAGATGCGGACTACAAGGCATTTCTAGATGGAATATTTATTGATTATGATTTATTGCGTCTGCGGGTCAGCAAGCGATTCGCGGACATGGAGAAACTGGCTCGGCAATTTCAGACTGAAGTTCATTCGTACAAATCAGAGGCTCGAAAGGCACAACACGAAAGCCGGAACCGGTTGGCGCTGCTTTCCTTCAAACCGGGCGACCTCGTTCTTTTCCTACCGACCCGAGATAGCTTGCAGCAGCCCAAGCCTTGGGCTGCGTTTAATGTAGGTGCCCCACACTACTTCCTTGACCCAAAGATTGCGGCTGAAATGCAAAATAAAGAATACCTGATTGGACGAGTGAAAGAAATCACCGCTTATACTGTAAATGCATCTGACCCCGACCCCGAAAATAATCCATTTGGCCTAGCCGAGGGTGTTACCTGGAGTAAGATTGTCGCCGATTGGCCCAACCAGGGCAAGGGTGTCAAATGTGGATAGGCGATATCGCCCGTGCCTGTCCGATATGAAATGCCCTTTAGGCGATGAAACCCTAGCCCTCGAGAATCAGCCTCATAAAACTTTTCCTCATTTACAGCGAGCAAGGCCGTTGCGGCGAATTACTCGGTTGCGGCCAAGCCTGAGCGAATTTTGGTTTGAAGCTTGGCAAGCCCCAAACGCTCGAAAAACCCACAAAGGCTACACAGATTATATTTTCGTAGCAATGTACCTTTGGCCTTTTGAATTGGGCATTTTCAAAGTCTACTCTCATCTATCACCTGCCGTTTTCGGCGATAGACATGCACGAATTGTCCGTGACATGCAGCCTGGATGCGTAATATAAGCTTGGCGATTAAAAGCTGGAGTCATCAACGGATCGCTCTCAGAGAAAAGACTCATCCCCAGATTTCAGCATTTTACTATGTCTGAACTCGAAAAGGGAAATTCCGGGCTTGGAGGGTCTAGTTTCGATTCGGGGTATCTAACTAATGAGACTGCCCCCACGAAACGGACTACCAAGCAAACGGTGAAAAAGTTTTTCAGTGACTTCAAGCCCAACGATCTCCAGGATGTCGGTTTTGACACTACGGGCTTGACAGAGAAGGAAATCAGGTTCGAGATGATCAAGAACGAGGGCTCAGGCAAGGCCAAACTGACCACCCGACATGCCATTGTCTCCAGTTTGGCTGGTGCAGTGGGAACCGGTCTGTTCATTGGTATGGGCAATTCCCTTAAATCTGGTGGTCCTGGCGCAGTTTTGATCGGCTTTGCCATTACAGGTATCACCGTTCTTTGCTTCATGGGCAGTCTAGGAGAGCTCGGTGTTCGATACCGGTCCGCCTCTTTCACCACCTACGTTAGTCGGTTCATCGACGAGTCGTGGGGGTTTGCCTGCGCCTGGATGTATGCTTTGTGCTGGCTCATTGTCATGCCCATTGAGCTTATCACTTCGTCTATTGTTATTCGATATTGGCACGAAGACAATAACGCAGCAGCAAAGGTGAACCCTGTTGCGTGGGTCTCCATTTTCTATGTATGCATTATCGTTATCACTTTCTTTGGTGTAAAGGGATATGGTGAAGCTGAATTCGTGTTCTCTTCGATCAAGGTTTTGGCTGCTATTGGGTTTATCATTTTCGGTATCGTCATTGACGCAGGAGGAGGTCCCAACCACAAATACATTGGTGCAAAGCTGTTCGACAATCCAGGATCGTTTGCTTCAGGATTTAAAGGCGTGGCCTTAGGAATTGTCAACTCTGCTTTCGCCTACGGTGGTACTGAGATTTCTGGCTTGGCAGCTGCTAGCTCTAATGCACCCCATCGTGCCTTCCCTGCTGTTGTCAAGTCAGTCGTCTGGCGTATTTGTTTATTCTTTATCACCTTGACTCTTATGGTTTGCCTGTTGGTTCCATACACTGAAGAAGGTTTGGGTGTTACCTCTCCATTTGTTATTGCGATCAATAATGCCGGTGTCCGTGGCTTGCCTAGTGTTTTCAACGCTGTTATCATTATCTCCGTCTTTTCGGTTGCAAATGCCGCCACGTTCGCCGCCAGTCGTGTTATTTCCACCCTGGCTGTCGACGGTCACGCCCCTGCCGTCTTTGCTACCACCGACCGCCGCGGCCGCCCAACTGCCGCGTTGATTTTGACTATTCTTTTCGGCGGCTTGTCATTCCTGGCCGCCTACGAGGACTATGGACAGGTATTTGATTGGATGTACGCATTCGTATCATTGTCCTTCTTGTATCTGTGGGCAAGCATCTCAATCAGCTTGATCCGTCACCGCATAGCCCTTAAACGGGACGGAATTCCTCTCAGTTCGCTACTTTATCGGAGCCCGTTCGGTATTCCAGGTGCGATCATTGGTTTTGGTGCTACTTCTACCATTATTGCATTCCAGCTTTGGCTCGCCATTGTTCCTCTGCACCAGTCTCCAGACCCTCAGGCCTTCTTCAAGCAAATGCTTTCGCTTCCCGTCGCGATCTTTTTATTTGTAGCTCACAAACTTTGGACACGCAAGGCGCCGGTATGGTCGAAGGACTTGGACGTAACGTCCGGATTGCGCACCTACGATATGGAGCTTGTTGCTACTGAAGATGCTATTCACAGCGAAAAAATGCGCAAGAATCTCATGTACCGCATTTACCACATTTTTTGCTGAAGCTTTCATGCATCGAATCAGAAAAAAAGAACAGAAAGGCCTCATGGCGTCAAGTTTATTTATGTACGGCACGTAGCTGATGTAGTGTTGAAAAATTTATCATTATAATTGTGTTTCAACAGTGCGGCTTCTCAAGGATCTTGTATATATGATCCGTTCGTGTTGTTCTGGGGCTTTTTTGGGGAAAAGCGCCCGGCCAAGTTGAATACCCGCTCCTGCCTGGCCAGACGGTTTCCAGCGCGGTTTGGCCCCCAGTTCAAACTCTTTCGCTACTTCGTTTCTAGCCCACGATGGTTTGAAAGGAACGTTAGCTAGACCCGTGAGATGGCTCAGCACTCCGGTCGAAATTGCCGGGGTTGAGTAGCCACCCTCGAGTAGTGACAGAAGTCGTCCTGCAGCAAAGCGGTCTGCCAACGCACCGCAATCTCTAGTGAATCGATTGTAGAATGAAGTGGGCAGATGCACTTTGTGGCGCTGCATACCGGGGGTTTCAAACTCTGAGCCATCGAAACCGGCGGATATAACAATCAATGGTCTAAACGGTTTATCATTTGCCAGGGACTCCTTTTCAGCCTTGAGCAGAAAATCCAATGCCCTGTGGAAAAGCACAGCGTACTTGCTTTCATAAAGCTCGTCAAATTCTTCTTCTGTAGCAAAGGGCTCCAGGTGCACGTTCCAGATAGAAACTCCGTGCCCATCCAGACATACTGACGCTGCAGATAGCAAAGCAGGATCTGCATATCCCCGTTCAGTCGGGTACGAGTTGATATCATGGAGAGAATAGTACGCCATTGGTAGATCGGCATCACCAGTGGAATTAAACCCTAACTTCCAGACAAGATCCTGTGACCCATCGCCATGATGTAGATCGAAATCAAAAATTAAGGCATGAGAAATTTGATGGTGCGATTTAGCATACTGAATAGCAATGTGGGCATTGTTCAACATACAGAACCCACTTGCAGCATCCTCATGGCAATGATGACCTGGAGGCCGAATTGTGACAAAAGCGCGGTTGCGAGGAGCTTCGAATATCAAATCCACACCATTCTCAATAGCTCCAATGACACCTTCAAGTGCTTTTACAGTGTCCGAACACAAATAAATATCACCAGAGGGCCAAGTATCTGGAACCTCCAGCTCATTAGCTGCATGTTTCAGGTCCACTTCAGAAACCAATTTGATCAATTCGTCTATCCATTCTTTGCCATGAACTTTGACGACATGTGGGGCTGTCAGAGAACTTCTTCGCATAACCTCGACAATTTCCAGAGGGGCAACCATGTAGGCTGCACCTAGTCCCATATAGCATGCCAGCAAACGCTCAGGGCGTTCGACAATAGTGCTAAGTTCGCGCTTGGAAGCCCATGGACGAGTATATCGATGAAGGTGAGCGGACGCAGAGATAAGAACTTTTGTGGATGCACGTGAGTGCTGTAAACCATGATCCCTGGCTAATTTTAGGAACTCTTCGATTCTGGGTGTCAATTCTTTTTGTTCTTCTTTGATTTCGACGCTCTTATCTGCATCTTGTAGCTCAATGCTTATATCTGAGGGCTCTTTTGGGCTGGGACCCAGAGGCACTTCCACGTCTACGCCAATGAATTCGCGTTTGATCTCAACCAATTCCTTCTTAAGGGCAACATTTGACGATGAATCAAATGCTAGTGAGGGAACGGCACCACCCGTCAGGGCTTTGTCGGCGGGCAATGGACGCGTCGGGGAGCGTCCTGCGCGGCCTGGAGATCGAAATGGTGAAAGTGGTAGCGTACCCGCAGACTTTGGTTGCGGAGTTCCAGGTTCCACCACCAGGCTCAAGTTTTCTAGTGCGTCCTCGAGCTCTGAATCAGACATTTTCCTGGTGCGCGGAGGTATTCAGATCTTGCTGACACAGAGGCGCCTCTTTCCTGCTCAGGCATGTGGGCGTCTGCAGGTTGTGCGCATACGCGCGAAATCTACAGCCTATTTTTTCTTGTAGATACTCTGTAGCCTTTTTTTGGCCACGAAAAGGCTCATATCATAATCTGGTGGCGAGGATTTGGCAGCTCTCGAGTAGAGCGACAAAAGGTACTTTGCAGAGTATCTGGAATCTGCAAAAAGGCTGCACAACGAATAATTGAAGGGCGATTCACAGAGCACTTCATCAACAATCTCTGAGCCTGGCATGAACGCTGGGAATACACTTGCACAAATTGCATATAAAGCTTCTTTATTTGGGTCTCCGTTGGCGTTTTTGCAGCTCGAAACTATAAGCACAAACGTATGGACCGATAGAAACGTATCGAGAAAGCGCAGAGAGTCAGCAAGAAAGATCAAAATTAGTGCCTGTAGAGTAGGCTGTTTCAATATGAGTGACAGATGTAGCTGAACAATTTCGTCTACGGCGCTTGCAACCTCGTGCTTCTCCTCGAAGTTGCTTAGATCCGCCCGCATGAGTGACATCAGCTGAACCAGACCAATTTTGATGGCAACGAGACAAGCTTTCAGGTTTTCCTCAGCAACTGGGGGACTAGGCGTGCAATTGATTTCGGGCGAGCTTGACCAAACGACCGGGTTGCTCTTGTCGTCAACTAGAATGAATGAAAGGCTGGACGACGACTGTGACACGGTTGAGGAAGACTGGCTTGGAACCGATTCCAGCCAATGCAGTGAGGCAGCGCGCAGAGCCGTTTCGATAGTACGGATTTGAGCCAAAGCCGGTCTTAAATCGCCAAGTATGGTCTCGAGTCGCTTGAATACATGTCCCTCAAAGGGTGGAATGCTGCGCCGAGTTTTGTGGAACAACACCAACCTCTTCGCATCACACACTTGCCGAAATCTCTTGCGGCTCTCTGGCGAAAACACCTTCTTTCTAGGTTTCAATAAAAAGACAAAAACAGGCAGCAAGGTGCTCAGTATAAAACAACCGGCCAGTAGGTACTGTTTGAACAATGTGGAGTCCATTGTAGTTGTGGACCACAACCTACAAAATAAAAATATATTTATATTCTATGCTTTTAACCGTTATGTTGAGCCACGACTTCTCAGACTTATACGATAAGGACTATTTGGCAAACGACTAGCGGGCTCGTCTCGACGATCAATTTCGCAGTCACGTGATAGAGATCGAAAGGTTTCTTTGGGATTCCTCTCATCACTTACTCTATAACTTGGTTTCCTCCCATCATGTCTAATCAGATCGGAGACCTCTACCAATCTGTTATCGATGAAGTCCTTGAGAACGCTCGACAGGATTTCCAGGAGCGTGGCGAAGATGATAGTGTTCTGAATCTCCTTCGGAACGCCTGGCAACAACGGCTCTCTGAAATGAGAGTGGGTGTGATGCCCTGGGATAACGCAGGTCCAACTATACCCACGAGCGGATATGATCCCATCTATGGGTACCGTGGCACTGCTGAGATGCCCCAACTGAGTGGTATTCCACCTGCCACTGGCCAGAACACACTGCATACCTTGCCCCCAGGTAACGGCCTTAGTATTCCAGGCACCTATACTAACAATGGGGGGCTTGTACTACCCCGTTTGCCACAAACCGATGGCTTGAACGGTGACGAGTCTGAGGAAATCAAACCCGACGTCAAGAAAGAAGACGATTCAGGCGATCTGGGTAGTGATTTAGGCGAAGGGCTCAGCGACGCTGAGGAGTCAGAGGACGAGCTCAACAGCGAAAACGACGGCGAAGAGGGCGGCGACCAGGATGTAATTCTAAGCCTTTATGACAAGGTCCAGCGTGTCCGCAATCGCTGGAAGTATGTTTTGAAGGATGGTATTGTTAATATTGGCGGCAAAGACTATGTGTTCAGCAGAGGAACCGGTGAGTCTGAATGGTAGCGGTGCTCAATCTCTCACCTGCCTTACCTTGCATTGAAAGATGTCATATATGGGACTAATTCTCATGCCATCAAACCCTTTATTTATCTTGCACATTTTTGTAAAACTATGTTAGCCTATTTTTCACGTCTTGCCACTAGTCAGCATTTTGTTTACAGCATGGACTCGTTCGCTGGTCTGGGGTTTTCAGGAAGTAAACGCACGGACAAGCTTTCCCTTGCCGAGCAATTGAAGAATGCGGAGCAGGCGAAAGCCAACGCTCGTGCTCAGCAGGCAAACGAGTGGGACAGTCTGTTCGGAGGATCATCGGCCTCAGCCTCACCGGCACCTTCACAGCAGCCGTCTACAGTGGGACACACACCGCCGCTTGCTAGCGGGGGATCCAAAGCACAATCAAGTTTGTTGGATGAATTTGATGTTTTCAACAGTGCAAAGCCTGCCGCTCCCTCACAACCCACTAACGACAAGCCAAGCCGTGCTCAGGTAGCAGAGGGCAGCACAGGTTCCGGATCCACCTTTGACTCGAAGCCAAGGCGGCCACAACAAGATTTTGATTCGCAAATGCAGCCACAGCGCGAGCAAGTGCCGCGCCAACCTCAACGCGAACCACAACGCCAACCTCCACGCCAACCGTCCCGCCAAGCATCACGCTCTGATGCAGACAGCGCCGAAGATGCCAATATTGCCCAGTTAGTCGACATGGGGTTCGATGCTGAAGTTGCTCGAAAGGCTCTCCGTGCTATGAATGGGGATGTTCGGGGTGCGGTGTCTTACATTATGGCTGATGCTCAAGGTATGCCGCTACCAGAGCCTCGCCGATCAACCCAGGATTACGACGTTAGTGCCTTAGCTACAGAATTTGGGACGACAGTTTTGGCTAAGGCATCGTCAATGTGGTCTTTTGGCAAAAAGCACATTGCAAAAGCTGTGGCTGAATACCAGGGAGGTGGAAGCTCGCGGGGCTCTATGGATGGCAGCCCTGCTTGGATGAGGGATGCCGAAAAGTATCGAAACCGAGCACCGTCTCCTCAAAGCACGCTTCCAGATTCCTCATCATCATCACAGTCTCTGCCTTCTTCACGCAAGTTCACAAGTGATGATGCCATGCCGACACGCCCATCTCGGGCTCAAGCATTTAGAGAGAAGCGAGCAGCATTAGCCACAAATCCTGGCTCTCCTAAGGTGCCTGCATCGCCAAGCCTGGCTTCTGGAGCATCGCCAAGCCTAGCTTCTGGAGCATCACCAAGCCCAGTTGCAGATTCTCCTAGCGTACCACCTGCAGCTTCTGTCCCTAATGTTGATTTGCTGGACTTGGACGGTCCCCCTTCCGCTCCGGCCTCCACCATGGACATTTTCAGTGCTTCACCCGCTCCATCAACCTCATCCAAACTCAGTGGAAACACCTCTAATCATCGAGAAAATGGACTTCAAGCATACAAACGAGGCGATTATGCCGAGGCTGTTGAGCATTTCGACTTGGTTCTAAGTGGTCTTGCTGCCAACGACATTTTGCGTTCGCTCATATATTCAAACCGAGCGGCTTGTAATCTCAAGTCGGGTAATTTTCGTGAAGCTCTAAACGACACACAGCAGGGCCTTCGCCTTCTACCCCAGGGTAAACTGAGCGGCGTGGAGGTTGAAAAGGGGAAAACCGCACAAGAAATCTGGTCAAAGCTTGTGCTGCGTCAGGCTGAAGCTCTGGAGCATGCTGAAAGATACCAAGAAGCTGGACAGGCTTATCAGCAGCTGCTAGATAACGGATTTGCCTCACATACGGTTTTGACCGGTCGAAGACGGTGTCAAAAGGCACTGGACCCCGAACTTGAAGCGAAAGCAGCACCACCGCCGGAGAAAAAGAGTCAACGACGTAAGTGGAACACAACAGGTGAGCCGACCAGTGCAGCAGGTAAGGCTGCCTTGCAAAAAGTGCGCGATGAGCATAAGCGACAAGCTAATCTCGAGGCGGAACGGGACGGTCTCCGTGACGTTGTTACCCAGCGTATTGACGCCTGGAAGACAGGCAAAGAAGATAACCTGCGGGCACTTCTTTCGTCACTCCACACCGTCCTCTGGGCCGACTCTGGCTGGCAGCCGGTCGGTCTCCATGATCTTGTTTTAACTAAAAAGGTTCGAGTCGTGTATATGAAGGCGGTTGCTCGGACGCATCCTGATAAAGTGCCCTCGTCTGCATCTACAGAGATTAAAATGATCGCCCAAGGCGTCTTCGTGGCTATAAACAAAGCTTGGGATACATTTAGAACCGAAAACGGTTTATAGTTGATTGAGTAGCAAAAAAATATAACATGCGTTGAGGATCTGGCAGCCCAATATCTACATGACAATTTCGTTACGCACGTCATTGCGAATGTCCTTATGAGGCAAAACCACAGAATTTTGCAAGTGAACTTCGTCAGCGACAGCGACATCGTGGGCAACAATGGCAACGCGGGGAACCTTGACACCGTCCTTGACAACGGTAGATTCATAAGAAGAAACCGAGATGGGAGAGCCCTCAACACGAGCCCAGCGGCCAATTCTGCTGCCAGAGCACACGATGGCGTTAATGACTACTGCATTGGCGCGGATCTCTGCCCGAGGAAGAATAACGGCGTCGCGAATGCGGGCACCCGGTCCAACCTTGGCGCCCTCACAAATGGTCACATTAGGACCCAGCTTAGCGCTAGGGTCAATCTTGGCAGATGGATCGACCCAAACTGCGTTCTTTGCTCCAGAGTCCTCTAGATATAACAGGTTTGCAACCAGGGCTGAGTGGGCCTCCTTAACTTGGCGCCAGAATGCCTCCGTTTGGTAAACGAAAAGTTTGCCCGTATCGGCGAGAACAGGCAGGACATCTTGCTCCAACGACAGCTTGTCCTCGTCGTCGTCCTCGTCATCAAGGTTGCCGGCATGCTCGTCTCCATGCACCCGCTTGGCCTGAGCTATGACGTCAAACACCGAAACATCCAATAAGTAAATACCGCCATTGACCAAAGTCGAAACCGATTCTTCAGGCTTTTCTACATAATGCAGAACCTTTCCATTGTCATCAGCGATAATGGCGCCATAGTTGGCAGCAATGCCCTTGGCGACGCGGGTACCTAGAATAACGCCATTAGCCTCCGACTCATCGTACTTCGCAGTGAGCTCAGACAGTGGGTAAGAGCTGCAGACATCAGCATTGATAACAAAAAGTCTTTTTGGCTTGCCACGGAGAATTTGGTCGCGGAAGTGGTACAAACCACCGGCGGTGCCCATGGCCTTATACTCGCGTAAGTACTTGACGGAAACATCAGGGTGTTCGCGATTGACCTGCGCGAGGAAGTTATCAAACACACTGTTCTCATAGAAACCGATCAGGAGAATTTCGCTGATGTTTGGTTGAGCGATCACAGCATCAACAGCGTGGGCAAGCAAGCTCTTCTCTCCAGCAGGGAAGAGCACTTTCGGGACACTCAAGCTAATTGGACGGAATCGGGTACCACGGGTGTCACCGCCTACAAGAATAACAGCTTTGGTCGACATATTGAATACAGTGTTGAAACGTTGGTGTGGCAATAGGATAGAGCGGTATTAGTCTACTTACACGTTTATTCAATCTGCTTCCGCGGGCTCTGCCCTAACCTCAAAACCTGCCTCAACTCGGGGGCTGAAGCGATGGGTGTTGATACGCAAAAACCATCCATTGGAGCAGACAAAGCTCAATTGAGGGGTTTTTAAATATACAGGTCATTGCGCAGTTCTCGATATTTCTGGTTGTGGACGCCTCTTTATTAGTAGTTCTGGAATGTGACAGGTCACACTGTCCCCAGAAAATAGCTAGCCTACGCATCACTATATATACGTGGCTTCGCCACTAAACCGTGTCTACACACTAATTCAACCACATGGATCTTGCCAAGTGGGTGCTCAAGTTCCCAGCCGCGCTTTATGGGGTCCAGTTTCTAAACGACATTGCCATTCATGTATTGAAGACTGGACCGATACCAAATCATATCGCAATTGTAATGGACGGCAACCGTCGTTATGCTCAATCGAGGAATATTGAAACTGTCAAGGGACATACAGCCGGCTTCGAAACCTTCCTGAGAACCGCGCAAGTTTGTTCTACCTTGGGGGTGAAGACTGTTACGGTTTATGCGTTCAGTATCGAGAACTTCAATCGTGGCCAAGAGGAGACTGATAAACTATTCAATATGGTTAGAACAAGTCTGGCCGAAGTTAGCGATGGTGACGACTCTTTAGCCAAACGCTTGGGGTGGAAAATCAAAATCCTGGGCAACCGGGATATGATTCCTGATGACCTCAAAAAAGATATCGAAAAAATTGAAAGGCTTACCGCGGAAAATACTGGTACAGTGATCAATATTTGCTGTCCCTACACTTCCCGCGATGACATGGCCCAGGCTGTTCGAAAAGCTGCTGAAAACGGGCAAGCAGACCCCGAGGGTATATCTGAGAGCGCGTTCAAGAGTTGTCTCTATACTGCCGATGCCGAGCCGCTGGATATCCTTATTCGAACAAGTGGTACAACTCGCTTAAGCGACTTCATGCTCTGGGAGTGTGTGGATGGTAGCCAAGTTGAGTTTGCCTCACCCATGTGGCCTGAGTACACAGTTCTCGATCTTTACCTGGTTATTCTACGTTGGGGTCTCAAGCAGCTTTCGTCGAAGGATAAAGTGGGCAGAATTTCCCTAGATAAGCTGCCATCACCACCTGCAGCAGTGAGTGTAAATGTCACCGATTTTAAATTTAAATAAAGTGCACAATACTAATGCGATGCGATCAGTACCGCCTTCGCACGTCTGCCTGCGTTGTTTTTGATTCGGTCTTCAAGACCTCCTCCTCCTCTATGCTCTCTACTGGGTCGATTGGGAGTGTCTGGATGATCTTACGCTTTTCTTTAAGTACCTTTGCAGTATTTCGAGCATCATTAACGCGCCTTCGATATCCAAGATATACAACAACTTCAGCTACTAGAATCAGAATTGAGCCGAAAAGGCACGCCAAAGTTCTAGATTGCACTGACCAGTATGGTGTCCACTTCCATATGGCCCAGGCTACTGCAACGACTGAGATCGTGATATTGAAAATGGTAGTCACTTCCTCTTTTAAAGCCTTAGCCTCAATCGTTCCAGGTTTGATTACTGTTTGCTCCTCATTGCGGCCAATTAACTCCTGGTACTCTTTTTCCTGTTGCCTTAATCTCAATTCGGACATGAGATCAAGATACTCCTGGCTTTTTTCAACTACTGGCTTGGGCTCAAAGTATACCGAAGTTCCACGGACCAACTGCATGAGCGGGATAGCTGCTGATCTAGACAGCTCAATCAAGTATTTGTGATCGATCCAAGCGTCTCCTAAAAGCTGCGCATTTTCAAAGGGGGTGGTACCGGCTTCTCTTTGCAGAGCGAGGTTAATGGTCTGAGTTCGTTTTAATTTCATGCTGACTACGCTACATCTCAGACCAGACACTTGAGCCTGGGCCGAAAACTTAGCATAGAGTTAAAGGGGCAGCGCACGTTTAGGCGCGTTCTAAAAATGTTTGAGACTTTCTGCTTTCTTATATTTGCCATCAGTAACTAAATCTTTTTTTCTTTTTTTTTGTAGGCCATCGTCCAACGCATTTTACCGAATACGGTAAGAGGTACAACCAACGGAACCCTCATGTTGTCCACCTGCCATTCTGAGGTTTGACGCTCAAATCCAACATCACCCTTCTGCTTGTGCTCCTGTACGTATGCACCAACCCAAAGACCAGTGTCTGAGACATATGAGATATGGAGTGCATGTTTCAGTGGCGGGCTTCGGTGGAATCAATGTGGGACAAAGCTAAAGATATATAGAGAATTAACAGCGTTTATTTACCATTAATTGCAGGACTTTTCCAGCATACATCGACTTCAAGATTGGTGGGGTGTGGGTCTCGAAGACAAAGACAAGAATACGCTCATTAGCGGTCCTGCAACATGCGCTACGCAGGAATGCACAGCACCATAATATCAGAGCGAAAGCTTATGTTTCAGTGATTTAGAAACAAACTCCCACTTGCATGTAACCGCGAAACGAGCTCGGAGAGTAGAGACGACGTCTTGGCGGGATAAAACTAAGGGGTCAGACTGTAGATTAACATAATTGATATTTATGGTGCTTGAATACCAAATTGTGTATCTTGTATAGCAGGAGGTCTTCTCAGCTCCTTTTTTATAGGCTGTGGAGCCGTTACATTTACTCTGCAGCGGCGAGGCAATGAGGCCCCAAGATGATCAATTATGACAATACAACGGGGCAGAAGTCTGCGTCTGAGGTGCGTCAAGCGCGTTAATTGTGCTGGTAAAGCTTATATTCCCAACCCTGATCGCGTTGTAGAGAATCTGAGAAATCGTGCGCTCCTCCGATCGTCCATTGACGAGCTGGGGACCGGTGGTTGTAGTTATAGAAAAAACGTAGCACGCCCAAGAGCATCTAAGACAATTTATGCAGGGATTCATAATGTTTGACAAAAATTATTTCCCGTCCTGCGCCGCTTAGGGTTTGATCATCACTTGCTTTCCTGCATGCGAGTCGCAAAGCGCACGATAAAAGCAGAGTCTATAAGGCAATTTACTCGGGAGTTGTCTTACACACTCTACAAGCAAGTATCTTTAAGTCCTCATCCTGGTCTTAGATGGAGCTTGATCATATCTTGTCACACCAGAAACCACAAGAACTACCGCCAGCCGAGGGACCTGCAGCTCTACCTCCAATCTCGGTGGTTTTAGCTACCCCAGGAACAATGGTGGCTTATTTAGCTCAACTTCGTGGATACAAAGTAAATGAGCCCCGCTACTCTAACATGCCAAAGTACGATGTTCCTCTACTGTCACCTACTATATCAGAAGCAGAGGCAAAAAGTACAGACCCAGTCAAGGCTGACCATGCACCGCAAACCCTTAGTGTAAACGAGGTTTTTAATAGACCACCCTTGAAACCGCAAACCTCAAAACCTGCAAAAAGCAAGAGCTCACCCGACCAGTCCTCGAGCGCGGCAAGCAAGATTCCAGTCGTGGGCACAATTACCGTCTCTCAACTCAAAATAGACTCTGCGACATGTATGTTTAGTTGCCCGACATGTTCGCGAAATTTCAAGAGGAAGAGCGACCTAGTGCGGCATGAACGGATCCATACCGGGGAAAGACCTAACTGCTGCTACATCTGCGACAAAAAGTTCATTCAAAGAAGCGCATTGAGAGTTCATCTTCGCGTACATACAGGTGAAAAGCCGTACAGCTGTGCTGTATGCCAAAGACAGTTTTCGGACTCTTCGTCGCTGGCTCGCCATCGGAAAATGCATCTCCGGGACAATACTCACGTGGTGATTTCCCAGTTCACGCAGAGACCATGTGTATCACCTCCCTCAGCACGTCAATTACAGCAGGCTGTATATTCTGGTCAAATAAGGGGTAGTTCATAACGTTACTTATTATATTTGTACACTACAAAATGAAGCTTGGGCGATACATAGCCAGGCTCCTGGCGGGGAGCCAACTTACCTAATGAACGACGAACTCGATGTACCCCTGCTCGTGGACACTAGCGCAGCCAGCGAATCAGATGATGAAAGCCTGCCCGCGGTGCCAATAACAATTGTTACGGGCTATCTTGGAAGTGGCAAGTCCACGTTGTTGAACTACCTCACCAAGGAAAACCATGGGAAAAAGATCGCCATCATCTTGAACGAGTTTGGTGACTCCGCAGATATTGAGCGATCCTTGACTGTTTCTGAAAATAACACTGAAGTGCAGGAATGGCTTGAGCTGAATAATGGGTGTCTATGCTGTACAGTCAAGGACGCTGGAGTTACTGCGATTGAGACACTTATGAAACGCCGCGGACGATTCGATTACATCCTTTTAGAGACTACGGGTATTGCAGATCCGGCACCAATAGCCAATATGTTTTGGCTAGACAAAGCACTGTCGTCGAGCGTTGAGCTTGATTCTGTTGTTACTGTTGTTGATGCAGTCAATATTGCCAAATCTTTGGAGACCGGCTCGACTGCCCAGGTTCAGATTGCCTGTGCAGACATTGTCGTTATAAACAAGTGCGACCTTGTAACTCCCGAGCAGTTGCAAACTGCCAAGGAAGCCGTGAGCTCTGTGAATGCTGCCTGCAAAATCCTTGAGACCTCGTTCGGTCGGATCGACCCCAGCGACCTGCTCGAAGTCAAAGCGTACTCGAAAATTGACTTCGACAGTATCAAGCCCGTGGCTGCAAAGCATGACAAGGATATTTCTACTATTACTATCGCATTGAATATTAAAGACCAAAAGCATTACGAGCTGATAGAGTCGCAGCTCCAGCATCTGCTGTGGGAGCGCGAGGTTGCGGGGAACCCGGTAGAGATCCACCGGGCCAAGGGCCGGCTCAGTTTTGGTGGTAAGACCAAAATTCTACAGGCAGTGCGTGAAACGTACGAACTCACAGACGTACCTTTCGAGGAGAGTGACTCCAAAATCGTGCTTATTGGCCGGGGTTTTGACAAGAGCAGTGAAAGCATTGAAGCACTGTTTGCTCCCGAGTGTCTCAAACGTAAAATTAATCATCTTGGTTCATAGCTTCTCCCTCCAAGTCTACGTCATTAGCCTCCTCTTCCTCTTTTGTTTCCTGGTCTTCCCCTGTGCTTTCTCTGGTCTGCTCAGTAGAGCCGGTGTCTACATTCATGGGCTCGAATCCAGGAACAACCACGTCCTCTGACTCGTCAATGTCCTTATCGTAGCCAGTCAAGCAGTACTTCTCCGGCGGAAGCCTTAATCCATACGTTTGTCCCACGGCAGGCAGCGGTTTTCTATTGCGCTCCAGAGCCAGCTCCAGAAGCATTTCTTTGGGTGCCGCCGGCTTGAATTGATTCTGAACGCGAGCGGCTACAGCGAGACGAATGTCATCCACGGTAAGTGATGCTGAAGAGGCGCCTACGCCAGCGGGCAGTTGGCCTCCATTAGCGTTGGCGTAGTCGTTGTATAAGAGAGCATCGTTCAACACGCCTAGGGTGTAGCGGTACGCAAAGTCCATGAGCTGGAGCGGGACTGCATCTTGGTACGACGTGACACCCATGGAGGCGAGAATCAAGTGCAAAAGCTTGACATCTCTAGGGGTTGGATTGTCTGCCATGGTTTAGTCAGAAGACCAAGATTGGACGCTGGAGGGCTGAGTAGTGGGTAGTTTTTCTGGGGTTTTTTGTGTTGTCCTACGAGCTTGTGCACATTAGCATCTATTCAGTATCTACAGCAAACAAGCTGTCTATTGCTAGTCTCACTTTCTTAAACCCCCTTTGCACTATAAGCTGGGGGAAGCCGTTCTCGACTATTACAAATGCGTGTGCTGTCGATTCTTTTGAGCAGTTGGTTGATGGCAGTTGCCATTGCCGCCGAGATCACCCAGCGAGTCTACTTTGACATCGAACAGGGCGGAAAGCCTCTGGGTCGTATTGTGATGGGTCTGTATGGCGATGTGGTTCCCAAGACTGCTGCTAATTTCCTCCAGCTGGCAACCGGTGAGAACGGGTTTGGCTACGAGGGCTCTGCTTTCCACCGCGTGATCAAGAACTTTATGATTCAGGGCGGCGATTTCACCAGGGGCGACGGCACGGGTGGCAAGTCTATTTACGGCGACCGCTTTGCCGACGAGAACTTTGACATCAAGCACACTCGCCCTGGTCTGCTGTCCATGGCTAATGCTGGCCGGGACACCAACGGCTCTCAATTCTTCATTACCACTATTGCGACTCCTTGGCTCGACGGCAAGCACGTTGTTTTCGGTGAAGTCATCGACGGCATGGACATTGTTCGTGCCATTGAGACGACCAAGACCTCTCGCGGCGACCGTCCCGTTGACGCAGTTGTCATCAAGCGTTCTGGTGCCATCAAGCCCAATGCGCAGCCGGCTGAATACGAGACCATTGACCGCGATCCCTAAATAGCTCGCCTTTTTTGGTGCCAACAAGCTGTAGAAGATTCAATTCTGTAGAAATTTTTGTTCCAACCTTATCCATCATGGGCGCTGGCCCGCCGGGCCTCGAAATGACGTCAGTAGGTCCGAAACACGGATTTCGTATACTCGGCTTTAGGTAATCACACCGACGGAAACAACATTATCGTGGCTGACGAACGGCTCACCCAAACTTCAGGTGATTCTCACATGCACGCTCAAATAGCTTAACTTGCCGTGAAATGCCTACACAAAAAAGGCTGGTTCGTCGCCTGGCTGGTCAAAATGATCCCTCTGTACGACAACACCCTTTTCCGGCCTAAATAGAGGCGATCCGCATCGGCTGAGTGGGCTCGCCGACCTCCCGAAGTGCCTCAGTGCGCGCAATAATGCATGCATCTTCCCACCCCGGCTTTTGCTCCCACCTCATATAAAAAAAGCTGGCCGCGGAAGACAATTACAGTCCACCCGACTAGCGATTAATTAAAAATATGGCATCACTAAAGAGCGGTATTATGTTACGCTCCATGCGTACACAAGATATATCCAAAGTGCAAGAGCTGGTGGCCCGTGACGGGGGATCGCTGTTCTCGTTCGTTGACCTCGTCGTCTACTGCCTTCAAGCCGGCTACGAAGCGGTTGTCGCAGACCACGACGGCAAGATCGTGGGGATAGCTGCCGGAAAGCACATGAAAACAAAAAGCCACATAGACCTGGTCTGCGTGAGCAAAGAGCACAGGGGGAACGGGATTGCGACCTCGTTGCTGAGCGAGTTCAAAGCCCACGCTCAAGGCAATGCCATCTATCTTGAGGTCGACGTCAAGAACCTGGCTGCGCAAAGGCTGTACGCATCTCTGGGCTACGAGACAACCCAAGTGATCCCCCAGTACTATTTAAAGAGCAACGCTCTGGAAATGCGAGCCCACGAGGTTGTTGCGTGACTATATATTAGAACTCCTGTATTTATATAACACAAAGGTGGGCATTCTCACTGTATCAACTTGCCATCGGCGGTGCACAAATCCTCCGCGAATCTACAGTTTAATTTCACTGCTATGAACACTATGCTTGGCGGAGGGGGCAGATTTTCCAAAGAACCCCTAGGGTTTTGAACACCTTGCCCTGGTATGCACCCCGCATAGTTTGCGTTGTGCAAGTGTAAAGACAGGCTCAACGAGGAAATCGGCTTGATCGCGGCTGGATTGTTTTCCTGTGTTCGTGAGGCTATAGAATATGCATATGATTGGGATCTCGCAGCTTTTGCTCCTTTCCTGTCTCGCCTAAGAAGGAGAATGTTTGTTTGACTTCCAGGTCCAGCCCACTCAGGGTATATGCAGATTGGGAGTAGAAATATGAGGCAAGCCTGGCATGCCTTTTGCCTATGAGCTAATGGGGCCTTTTGGTTGGTTTGTGTTTTTTCGTTCATCATTTGAGAGGCTCACGACTCAGACCAGGGTGTCTAGTATCTGCATGCCGATTGAGATTGTACCGGGATGCAAACGCCTTGCCGCAGTACATACACCTATAGGGCTTTCGTTCATCCAATGTTGCAGCATGCTGTGTGCGCTGATGACGATACAACGTCGATCGCACCGTGAACACCTGCGAACACTCCTGGCACTTGTAAGCCCGTCGCTCCTCGATACTTTTGAGATGTGTGCGGTTGTGATAGTCGAGCCCAGACTGAGTCGTGCACACTTTGAAGCACGTCTTACATTCGAACTTACGCTCAGAGGATAACGGCACAAAGTGTGCCGTACGTAGATGATAGTTGAAAAGTTCTCGCGAAGAGAAACTCTCCATACAGTCTGAGCAGCTGAAAGTGTTTGGCTTGTCACCTCCACTACGTACACCAAGCCGCGATGAAGGAGACAACTCTTCGGGATTTGGAGACGACAATGAAGATGTCGATGTCTCGCGGTAGGCACTCGAAACTGTAGATAAGGGGGTAGCGCTCGGCGAATTGTTCGACAGTGGGGTTACCACACCGTTTTTGAAGGACATGTTTGCAGAAGAATACCCTAAAGGAATCATACCACTCGAAGTGGCCATTTGTTTACTTTGGACATCATCGGGTGTGTAGGTTCCCATAACCATATCGGTTGAGTTGGTCGGCGAAAGCATCTCTTGGTAATTTGCGGCCACTGCGGCAGCCAGTGTGTTCAAACTGGGCTTGGCTCCCAAGCTAGCTGGACCAAAATCAGGCGTCTGACGAGGTGAAGCTTGGTTGGAGGCGTCTGCACCAGCTACCGACGATGGCACCGAGACCGACCCTGAAGTTGGCGTGGCAACTGGAGCATACACTGGCGTCGAGTTTCCAGACAATTCCGACGGGCACCCAATACTCAGCCTCGTTGCAATAGGCTGCACGATCGGACGATGGGGATCTTCGCCTAGAGTCGGCGATGGCTGCTGACCCGCGCCTCCGACTGGATCGGCACCAGAGGCTGTTTGCTTGGCAGAAGCGCTGATTTCTGCCAAACATGCACCCATATACCGCCAGCGGAGGTGCATTTCTAGGCCCAAAGGGGTTTTGCAGACAAATTTACAGTGCGGGCACTGAAAGGGGATCGGGATGTCCGGGTTTGGCTCATTGGCATGGGCCACTTCGTAGTGCATTTCCAGGCCAGGTTTGAAATAAAAAGACTCTGGACACCGAGGACAAACGTACTGCTTCGAGCCCTGCGACTCGGCGTGGCGCATCTGGTCGTCGCTCGAATAGAAACGGGCAGGGCACTGTGAGCATGTGTATGGGAGCCAACGCTTTGCATTAATTCCGTCATGGGCTAACTTATGGGCATTGAACTCACGTTTGGACGAGGATACAAACGAACACGACTTCACAAGGCACTGGAATCCGTCTTCCGGAGCATTAGAATGCATTTTTGGAGGTTGAAACGAGCGTGCGGTGGTCTACTGGAGGTTTTTTTTTGGCTGACCCCGAATAGTTTTTTTAACAGCGGCTTCTGGTAATTTAACCGTGAAATTACTTATGGTACAACAAAATCCACTGAATAATGGTATACTGTTGGGTGGACAGCTTTGATCCGGCGAGACGTCCCTGAGGGGGGTGTTTTCTGTTTTTCGCAGGTGAGGGAAATAGAAACCTAGTTTAGGTTTATTCACTCTAGCTGCCGCCTTGCAGCGACCAAGGTTAGGTGTGTTACAAATCAGGCACACCAGGTACTTACCAGAAAAGGTAGGGCTGACCAGACCTGCATGAGACCACCTCGACCTCAGAGAAAAACCTCTAATGGGCCAGGTGACGCGAAAGATCTTGGGATTTATTCTCGGAAAATCTATCGCAATCAATTAATTTTCCTCAAACCATGACTCAGAGTACCTGTCGGTGTGCTACAGCAACGCTCACGGCAATTTGATCCAGGGTTGATAAACGTGTTCGATCGTGTGGGTTGCGTGACTTTTTTTCAATGGGAGTGTTGATACATCGCGGCCTCCCGCTACCACACGACCCCCGGGAGCTGGGTTTCGAGAGAAGCCACCTCACTCGTATGAGGCATGTCTTTTTGTCTACTTATATACTGAATCTCACGTATTCTTTCCTATATGCTGGCGCCAGACCTTGAACCGGGCATTTTGCTGTGAGGTTTCTTACCTGCACAAACCTGCAGCCCTAACGCCCAACTTTCCAACATCGGAGGGGGGGAAGCGAAGCCTGGACACGTTGCCAAGGACTGGTAAAGGTGCTGTTTGGACTAATCTACGGAACCTTCTTCATTGATCTAAACTTGTAATTAATAGTACGATATAGTAACTGTGCATGTGTACTATGATCCCAGTCGATTCTGGGTTGACGGGTAGACACGGCGCTACCGCCCTGACTCCAACTCCTCCTCCAAATATGCCCACATGTTGTGGGCAGCTCCCGTGAGTGGAATATTCCTGAGGTTGCATGCGTTACGGATCGCATACTATTACATGAGTTGGACTTGGCTGGAGCATAATTTCACAAGTTTGAACGAGGAATTGTCACAGCATCACTGTTCTAAAGTTTTACTTGAGCCTTGCCTAGGTCAGAGCTAGCTACCTAGCCGAGTATCGAGGCCATTTTGCTTATGTACGCAATATGTGCCATCGCCGATAGGAGGGGCGGACTGCAGATCTTGTTTAACGGTCGAAATGTGAGGCAAACTCCGGGCTACTGAACACAGCTCGAAATGGAACAAAAATTGTTTCTTCTACAAGAGGTTCGTTCTTGGAACACTTTCCGTGAAATTTTGGCACCTCCCCGCTCTTTGTCGCATAGCGCTCGACGATCATACGCGAGCCAATGCGCCTCCTCCTCCATCCACCTCATACGAGGATGCGCGATTACATCACGACCCCTCTGGCTCATTAGAATTAGACACAGCCAACTTCCGATTTGTTTTGCCCGCAAACGGCAACTCGATTAACTATTGCTGCCAACTTCTATCCAATAAATACGACACCATGTAGATACTTAAATTACCTCTCTGGCTAAATTTCCCGCGATAAGCTGATGCTCTAATTTTTCATTGAAGTGAAATCCAGCAAACAACCGGCGGGCTGAATTCTGTTAATTGACCGCGGTAAACTGCCAGTTTTGGCCCCCACGTTCGTCGTTCCCGCAGACGACCAGCTTCAGCTCCTTTTATCGCGATACCCCGTGCCGAGGGAGTCTGACTACACTAATGCGCACCGCTGACATGGTCATTGATGGCCTGCTGGCCGCCACCTTGCTGGCGGCTATTGTGTACTATGCTGTATTAGCGCCGTACACCAAAGTAGAGGAGTCTTTCAACATACAGGCAATTCACGATCTCCTGTTTTACGGCTTTGATGTGTCAAAGTTTGACCACATTGAGTTCCCGGGTGTAGTCCCTCGAACTTTTATTGGCGCTGGTGTTTTGGCCACCATAACTAAAATATATCACGCTGTGTGGCCTTCTGCAACCAAGTTTGAGCTGCTGAGGTTCGCTCGTCTTGCATTGGGCATAATCAACGGGTTCGCCCTGCTGAGATTGCGTATTTCAATCGCCCGAATCTATGGCCCCCTCAGGGGCAAGGCAGTGAGCCGTTGGTTCGTTCTCTTCTGTCTAGGAGAATTCCACTTGCTGTTTTACGCTTCAAGAACGTTGCCCAATATGCTTGCAATGCCGCTCGTGGTTTTCGGCTACGCCCAAGCGCTTGAAGGCGAATACAGCCAGGCATTAGCATGTTTCGGATTCTGTGCGGCAGTTTTTAGGCTAGAACTCGTTTTGCTGGCCGCATCTTTTGCTCTTTTGTATTTGATAACTGGAAGATTGACCTTTGGGCAAACGTTGAAAGTGGCTATGATGAGCGGAGGTGCGGGCATCTTACTCTCTGTGGCGGTCGATTCCTTCTTCTGGCAACACTGGCCGACTTGGCCTGAACTGGAAGGCCTGCTGTTCAACGTTGTTCAGGGCAAATCAGCGCTGTGGGGTGTCGAACCCTTTGGAAACTACTTCCTCGTCCACTTGCCCAACATCATGGGCAATCCTATCCCATTGTTCCTGGGAATGGTTGCTTTATCAACAAGCCCTGTGCCAATGCGTTCTGCTGCGTATGCAAGCCTCCTCTATGTGCTGATTTACTCGTTACAACCCCACAAAGAGTGGCGATTCATAATATACGTCGTACCGCTTTTCACGATCCTAGGCGCGAGAGGGGCAGATTACCTTTACTACCGGCAGCGACGAAATCTGTCCGGCAAATTTGTGGCCATTGTAGCCTTGCTCTCTGCTGCATCGAACATAGCAGTCTCAGTGATCAAGGCCCGGTCCTCGGCAGAGAACTACCCTGGGGGCCGCGCACTGGAAACATGGCACAACCTTTACGGAGAAAAATCAGCCACATCCAAAGTAGTTCATTTGGATGTCGCCTCATGTATGACAGGTGTGACAAGGTTTGGTCAAGTCTGGCCGCTGACAATCTACGATAAGACCGAAGACACGAAACAGCTGGAGCAGGCATGGAGCTCGTTCGACTACTACATCGGAACCGCTTCATTGAACGAGCTTCCTGGAAATTGGAAACAAATTGCTGTTGTTCAAGCCTTTGATCATGTCGATAAATCCGCGGTATCCAACCTTATCGCCAAGATTTTGGCCGATCCGAAGACAGCGATGGGCAAAGGATTAGAGCTAATTAAGCCTGGTGGTATCCTGGGTCAAGAAATTGACAAATTTTGGAGCGATTTTATCGTTACAGAAGACAAGGTGTACATATACGAAAAGCTCACAGAATAATCACATAAGGATAATCACATACAATCAAAGTCCTGCCGCGACACGTTCTGACAAAGCCACGAATCACCTAGCTATGACGGGGTTCTTGGGCGCGATTCCAGAGTAAGTATAAACTATTGGGTATAGAAGGAGCAAGAACTAACTGTTAGAGTACTGGAAGAAGAAAACATGGAGTGCCTTTCCACTCGCACGTCGGCCCTGTACACTTTTCGATCGCTTGGCGCGCCAGATCTTGTTCAACTAACCAAAACCACCAAGACCAAGGAGTCGTCGACATATCACTACACCACCGGTATTGACGTTTCTAGTTCTGCTGCTATCGCTGCCCATCTGAATACTTTAACATTCACTCTTGGTGAGTCCCAAGTCTGGTTCGGGCGGACTCCCGGATGGAAAATTGCCGCTGGAACATATTGCTCCTACAATGCCTTTTCAAAGTTGGATATTCGTGTTAACGCAAAAATTCCTGGATCTGTGGAGGCTGTTGCGCTCGACCTCCGCGGCGAAGAACACAAAGTTGCCGATCACCACTGGCGAGAGGTTTATATGAGCGCTATGATGAGAGCGATGCTTTTGAAAGATTCCGACCAGTATTTTGTTGCTAGTTGCCGCCATGAGAATCCTCTTTCTAGTCCTCGCGAGGCAGCGCAGTTTTTCGATGCGTTTGAGCAGTTATTCCTGGCTGGCCCACAGGTTGGTGCTTCTTACCTCGTTCAATCACCCAGTCTTGAGTGCAATTTCATGGTCGATACCTTCCTCAAAGTTTTGGAAGTCACTGGTGAGTTCAAATTAGCGGAACAATGCCTCGAGCGTTTGGCAAAGTACCACTCTGCGGCAAAGACTCTCCTGGCGAAGGTGCTAATTATGAGTGAAAAAGAAATCGACGCAGTGAAGACGATGGTCGCTGGAGTAAAATCCGATCCACGTGATGCGCAGATGTTGGCGCTGGAAGCCGAGTTCTGTTTGAAAAAGGGTCGTCTTGATCTGGCCCATGACTCTGGTTTGCGGTCGGTCGCTGCTGCTCCGGTAGAGTTCTTCTCCTGGGACGTTTTGACCCAGGTTTATATCGCTGAGGAAAACTATGAACAAGCTCTTTTGACTTTGAACTCAGCTCCGTTGCAGCAGAGTGCGCCTATGGATACCATAAGGATGCCGCTCGCCAAGAAAATTCACTCGCCTCTGCCAACCGATGGTGTCATTGACGAAGTCTGGGCAGTAGATTCGAACGACGACTCCGAGACAGCCGATGCTTCGCTTTTGAGACTTCCAGCGAGTGGCCTGAAAGGGTCGGCCCTTCGTGCCTTCGATCTACTTGGTATGATATTCCAAAAAGTCGGATGGCCGGGACTCATGAGATATCGTGGAGAGGTGTTCCTCATGGAAACCGAAGCCAATGCTAAAAGCAAAGAGACCACTCCTGACACAAAGACCATAAACCCCGATGAAACACAACCTAAGGAAACTGACAATGGCTCAACCGGCGAAACCGTTTCAAATGGTAACGGCCATTTGGAAAGCACTGAAGCACCTACAGCTCGCAAAATGTCTACAACCGCGAGCCGTAACATAAAATCCAAACGCCTGTGCGAGCGGAGACTTGATTCGCTGTTCATGGTTCTCTACGAAGATGTGAGGGCATACTCGGACTGGCAACGGGAACTCGTCCACCGTGAGTCACAACAATTGCCCTTCAACAAAACCTCACTTGAGTGGGAGGTATTTGGCTCAGTTGCACAGAGACTCGGCCATGAACCTCAGGCAATTCAAGCTTTCCAGAAGTCACTAGAAATGCGTTTCTCTCACCGAGTGGCTTGGAAGCTGCTTGAGCATTATTATAAAGTTAGGGACTATACAAAGGCGTTGGAGCTCATTGTTAAGCTAACAGCATGGAACCATCGGTGGTACATTGAATTTTCGCCTCGTTTGAGCGAACTGTTCCGTGGAATTGTCGCCCGTGAAGGTCTCACCAAGGTTCAGTCTATCGTTAACGCCGCATTTTCCCGGACAGGAGCGCTCGTACTGACCGAGAAACTGCTTGCAGACATCAAGGCCTTCAAATCGCCTGGTACAGAATTGTAGTTTTATACCTTTAAGCTAGTACTTGTCGTAGATGCAGAGTGTATTCAAAGATGGCTAGATGGTGCGAACGATGCGCCATCGCCGTCTTCCTAGGCGAGAGCGATCGCCTCAACCTCCACACGGGCACCCAAAGGCAGCGACTTGACGGCAACGAAGGTGCGAGCAGGCTTGTGGCCGTCGAAGAATTTGGTGTAAACAGTGTTGACACCTCCAAAGTAAGAAATGTCGTCAGTGAAAACACCAATACGGCAGATTTTGTCAATAGAAGAGCCGGAAGCATCAAGAATGGCCTTAAGGTTGTCAAAGCACTGCTGAGCCTCCTCCTCGATGGTACCCGAGATCATCTTTCCGTCCGGGGTCAGAGGGACCTGGCCAGAGATGAAAAGCATGCCATTGGCCTTGGTAGCCTGGGAATAAGGTGCGGCCGGAGGGGGGGCATTATTGGTAGACACAAACTCGATAGACATTTTTCGTAACAATGGGGTCGTTGATAAGGTGCGTTTCCCAATCCTCCACATATAAGACTCAACACTGGTCAGGGTAAGCCTGAAGTAACCATGTAGCCCTTGCCCTTAGACCAACCGATTGACGGGCTCTGCATCGAGCGTTGAGCCTGCATTCGGTGTTGGCAGCGCTGTAACCGTTTCGGTTGTAAACGTTGCAACAATTTCTTGATAGAAAGTGACTGTGGATGTTTTGGGGTCAGTCTGTGTTCTTGGGATGAGAATTGTTTCATAAACAGTACTGAACACAGTTGGCCGCTCAGTAGTAGGTGCAGCAGTAGCGATTGAAGTCGTGCTCTCGATCAGATCGGGCTCAACAAGTTCAACTTGAGACGAGAGGTCGTTATCAACGACCTTGTTTCGAGTAATGTTCGAAATAGGTGTAGGATAGACGAGTTCCGTGATGCGAAGCATTACTGGAATGCCCCGGTACTCGGGATTCATCCAATCGACAAATAAGCTCAAACTGCCATCGTTTGTCTTTTTCACTGAAAATAGCACAGATACGTCATAGCTCAAAAAATTCTTTGCTTGGTTGAACTTATGTGCCGGAGAACTCAGAACGCTCATGCGCCCCGCGGCATTTGGCCCAATCCCAGCTCCAACAGCAGATGCAGCCACAATCTTATCGCTTAAAACCACATTATCGTCCACGAAGCTGGCCTGTAGCAAGGGCTCATCATTGCAAAAGACTAAATGGCCATCTTTGATGCGGACGGGTGCGCCGTTAATCAAGTCCGACGAAGATACTGCTACCAACCCAAACTCAGCTAGAGCTCGTTCAAACAAAAACAACATGAACAAAAAATTCATACTACTCTAAGTGAAAGAAGTGTAAAGTTTTCTACCCATGATATATACTTTTTTAGTCCGTTGCTTTTAAAACTTCCCTTTTCCGTCACTTTCTATAAGCTCGTGTACGACTGTCATAACAGGGTGTGAGGATATATTCAGGTGTGGATTCGCGAATTTGCGCATCAAGAGCTCCGAGAACTTCTGTTTCAAAAATTGCACAAGTAGACCTACTCGGGGCCAGCACTTGAGGCCGGTCCAACCATCAACAATTACACCGGCACCTAATGGATCAACTTCAATCAAGTTGGAGAAAAAAATCAGTCCATAAATGCTTAGCGGAGTCAGTGTACTGATAAAGTACTTGCTAGAAACAATTGAAGATGTATAACTCAAGAAGCTTGCTTCGTCCACGAACTTATTCACACCAAACAGTAAAGAGCCTGGGTGAATAAACACTCGCTCACCTGTTGGAGTAAAGTAACGTATTTTTTGAGCTGCATGGTCTGCTTCTATAGTGCCTGCACTCACTGTTTTGAAAACTTTTTCTGGAAACACAATCTCTGCTATGTTGGGTGTGAACGCTGCGCCAACAAGTGCTCTGATCAGCTTAAGGTTACCATCGTGAGCTCTGTACTCTTCCGGTAACCGATCCTCACGGTCGGTATCAATGAACCCAGTTTGCACTAGGTTACTCAGGAATTGTCGCCGAGATGAGTAGATATCCCTACAGGCTTGGTTCGAAACATAGTTCTCTGTACACCAGTTTTTCAACTCTCCTCGTGACATAGACCGCTGATTTGAAAGCCAGCTTTCGTACGCCAGAACACTAGCAGTAAGATCACCGTTACCTTCTGTATTGAACTGCTGTTGTGCAGTCTTCGCGGACTCTCTTTTTTCTCGAGGAGTTACAAAGGGGGGTTTTCCTGTCACAATGGAAGCAACAGTTAGACCCATGGGTAGGCACCCAAAGATCGTGGATAGTACAAGCAGCTTTGCAATTTTCGGATCTGCCGGAATCAGAGCCATGTGCTGACCCAAAGGAGTCAAAGCACTGTCTTCGTACGAGATTGCGCCGTATCTCAGGAGATTGTCACGGGCCTCTTTTAGAGCAGATGCATTTGGTGAGTCCAGTGCTCCACCCAGAAACTTCTCAACATCATTTATTTTCATCGCTTTTATGCTCAAATAGAGTGATTCCAGAGGAGCACGAAGGATCTCTGGTGTTGGCCGAGGAATCATTTTCTCTGATTCAATCTGTGCGGTGAATAGCTTATAGCAGACTCCAGCTTGAACACGTCCAGCACGTCCCATTCTTTGTGTTGTTGAAGCTTGAGATGTCCAGTTGTCGACCAGTTTGATAACGCTAGAGGATGGGTCGTAGACAGTCTCTTTAACTCGTCCTGAGTCAACCACCGCGACAGCATCCGCAATAGTGATTGAAGTTTCCGCGATATTTGTACAAACAATAATTTTCCTCTTACCCGCTGGAGGGCTTCTGAAAACTAGGCGCTGGTCTGCTGGTGACAGTGAGGCATGAAGTGGAAGAACCCAAGTGTTCCGAACCTCCTTCTCTATAGCCCTTACAACGCGCTCAATTTCTGCAACTCCAGACATGAATATGAGAATACTGCCTTCCTTCTGCCCTAGTACTACCTGATGGATATAGGCAACAAGTGTGGCAATAAGGTTGTAATCGAGTCCGTCTCTCATAGAGGTGATGATTCTGCCAATTTCATCTGGTTTAACGCCATCTTCTGCCAAGTCGAAAGGAACATAGTCCGTTTGCCGGATGGCCTCATCAAGATAGTACTTTTGCACCGGGAATGTGCGACCTTCGATGTGGGTATAACCAACTGTACCTGACACTGGTTTGAAATAATTTATGAACAAAGCAGGATCTACGGTGGCTGACATTAGAACCACTTTGAGCTTTTTATTCCTCGCGCATATTCTTTTCAGTAGAATCAGAAGAAAGTCACTGTCCAATGAGCGTTCGTGAACCTCGTCTACAACGATATGACTGAAGCTTTCTAGCATCTTAGGATCGGACTGAATCATACGAAGTAATACACCACTGGTAACGAACTTCAATTGTGTATCCGAGCTGATCTTGGTTTCTCCTCGAATAATATACCCCACCTGGCTTCCAACTTCTACCAATCGCTCATCAGCCACGCGCTGCGCAACACCAATGGCTGAAATCCTGCGAGGTTGTGTACAGACAATGTGCGCTGTACCACCAGTTTTTGAAGCAATCATTTGGTCCAGAATGAATTGGACTACCTGTGTCGACTTTCCTGAACCTGTCTCACCTGTGATTAAAGTCACTTGATTGCTTGTCACGACCTCGAGAATTTCCTTCTTCTTGGACCAAGCCGGCAAAGACTGGCGAGATGCCAGCAATTTCGTTCCTTTCTCACCAGCAAACCTTGTTTCATGTTCCTTCAGCAAACGGCTCGAATCCAGTGGCCTCCAGCGGTAACTGCTGCGTGCCTTTGTCGACTTTTTATCTTTAACAACACTGGGGAGCTCAATTGTTCCACTGACACCGCTTGAAATTTGAGCCAGCTTGCAGGGGTTTGCTTTGATCTCGTCAAAATTGTCTGCAATCCAGTTTGCGATACTCAAAATCATAAAATCACCAACCAGCTGCTCGGCGTATTGTGCAGCCCTTTTAATTGCATCTAAAACAACATACTTGGGGATGCTTTCAGAGTTTGCGGTGATTCCAATACCGGGAATATTGTCTGGATATGCAACGGGCTTGTAGAAATAAATAGTCAGTCCGCCGTCCAAATCCAACTTACACGACTTCCCATCGAGTTCTTTGAAGTGGTCACCAAAAACTGCCTCCACGCTTTGAATCTCTTCAGCCCAGATGTCTTCAGATTCTTTCTCTATCGGTACTCTTTCTATCAACTGGTGTGTCAAGTAGACCATCGCCTGGCTCATAGAACCACCTATGCGTGCCATCGCATCGCGAGCGATGTCCTCCGAAAATCCGAATTGGCGGATTTTCGATACAGCATTCTCCACATTCATTGCAGCTGAAATTCGAGCAGTGGTTCCAAGTGTTGTAGGCCTGAACAGTTTTGGGAGATCATCCTCTGGAACATGAATCAAAAGCCAAGCCAGTGCTCGGCTTAGAGTGTTAGAGTACTCCAGAGCCTCTTCTATTTGACTTTTGTTGAACCCCAGTTTGCCGATAGTACTACAAATCTCTTTATAGATTGGTAGCTCAGGATCGAGTGCATGGGCCGAAGAAAATTGGAAGCCACCATTCTCTCTGATGGTAATTTCAACTAATTCTCGCATAGGTCTGGACATGTTGAGAGTGGAGTTGAAATTGGTTCTCTTAGAGGGTTTTTCTGGGCTATCAACCTTGGTTTCTTGGAGAGTTACTTTTTTAATAGCATTAAGAAGAACTTTCTCCTTCTCAGACTCGCGGCTTTGTTCCCTTTGTTCCTTGTACCTTTGAGTAGCCATTTTTCTTTCTTCTTCCGCTTGAAATGGATCCTCACTCCACTTCCATTTGTCCTTTTCCGGTGCTTGAGATTTTATTTGGTCGAATTGCACCCACAAATCACGATGCATCGGGGGGAGCATCATTTTCCAGTTCTTATGAGACGATATTCTGTGCAAACCATAAGTAGCAGCAAGGTGCCGAGCTTCTAAAGGGGTTGGCTGTGGTTGAACCAGATCTTTGGGTGGATCGAATCTAATTTTCTCGACTTGGTTTGTTTTTGGATTACGCCGGGCAACGATAACGGATGCAACATGTGAATCATTTGAGCCCTTGATCGGGTACTCTACCCGTTCCCATTTCAACTTTTGACAATATTCGTTGAGAAGTTGGGCAGGAAGCTTGCCTGTCCAAGATACGACTCCCGCTGCGACGATTTTTCGCGACTCTGCCGCTCTTGCTCGGGCTTCTTCTCTGCGTTTTTCTTTGAGCTGCTTAGGAGTCAGTTCAACCTCCTTTGGCTCAGGGATTTTATCTTTTTTTTTACCAGACTTTTTATGGACCTCCTTCATACCTCAATAGAGCCCAAGCGTCTCGATACTTTGTGATGTAGGTTTATTTAGCTTTTTAGGCCCCTCTGGTAGAGTGTGTTCCTCGGACTTTTCTTGAATTTTCGTATTACTAATATATTATATGGCATTTGATTTCGACCGTTTCCTGGTTAAGGAACAAGCGGCCAGAAAGATCGGCGCCGCGGCGTAGGCATTTAGAGAGACGTATCGAAAGAGGATCCCATAGTCACTCGTCTTAATTTCGGCGGTTTAGGCTCGAGAATTAGTGTAAAAGTGGCCACTTTCCAGTTTTACCCATCAATTTCCTGTTGGTGGGGCAAGGCGTATAATCAAGATCAAGTAGGTTGGGGCCAAGCCAGTCTTGATCCCGCAACGTCAAAAACTACCCAGGTAAACCTTAATGTTTTGTAAACCTACGTGTGTAGAATTGTCTACTTTGGCTGGAAAACTGATATCGCAATTGTCCAACCACTATCACTTTGGTATGTGCCTGCATATCGAGTGCTTGAGCGAAGGCTCATAGACACATACCCTTGCCCTTCGTCACCTGGTCAATTGTGGGTTAGGTTGTTGTATATATGCGCGAAAGCAAATGCAACAGATATATGGGCCGAGAGCACGAAACAAGCAACAGCAAAGGCACGCATCGGGTGATTCTAGTGTGCTAGATTCCTTTCTGTTCTAGTCGGAGAAAACATCTCTAGTGCAATGTTGTCGTAGATTGGTCTAGTTGATGTCTTTACCAACCCCTCTCTTAACAGCTTGCATTATTATCAAACGTGGTGTATTTTGTATGACGTCATTCGACATTTTTGTCGATTGTGTGGGCTAGGGTCGTTGCGAGCCTCGATGGCAGGGGACGGCATGCCTCCTCCAAGACCCAAGCACGTAATTTGGCTAAAGCGAATATGCTATTAATACAGTGGGCATTCCATCTGGTATCAAAAAAACTGGCTAATTTGGTGCCCTTCATCTCGGGTTAGGCTATTGGATCGGTCTAATTATCTTTCCATAGTTGAAACGAGCCCACATGTGCGACGTTAGATGCATTTACCTTCTATATGTAGGGTAAGGTTAGTAACCGACTCCATCGCAATCAAATCGTATATATGTGTTTCACAGCCAGCAATAGATTCTTCACAAGATCCACTTGATATCATATTGTAAAATGGCACCCTCATCACGCTCCCGCACGCGCACATCCACCGCTCCCCACTCCTCCTCCACTGTGCACGAAGAGGCCCCCGTAGTGAAAGAGGAATCACGTCGAAGGGTCACTAGGGCCTGTGATTCCTGCAGAGTTCGAAAAACTAAATGTGATGGAGATAAGCCTTGTATGAAGTGTGCTAACGAAAACCAAGTGTGCACTTACACTCAATGCAAGAAGCCCACCGGAAGAGTCTTCTCCCCAGAGTACGTTGAGCTACTGGAATCCAAGGTCAATCTTCTAAGCTCCTCACTATCGATTCTAGCAGAGGTAGTGAGTCAAGGAGAGGATCTGTCACATCTAGCACAGGACCCTGACACGCCAATCAACGAGCTTGTGGACAAACTCCAAGCCATGGGCAACAAACAGAAGAAAGTGGGTAGCCCACGGTTCAACAAGGATCACCCAAGCACCCACCAAAACCAAAACAACACGGTCAAAGTGTCTCCAGCAAAGCACCTCAAATCAGAAACGGGTCAGAGGTCTCCTGTTATCAGGAATACTACAGTGCGACACCGTAGTCCCACGCTGAATCACAAATCTCCGTCCGCGTTGTCTGACGGTGAAACACCTCTTGACTTTTCCGATACTACTGACAGCCCCACCTTTGAAGAACCGAGTAGCTTCCATGACTACCCGATGCCATTTGTGCCGCCAATGTCGACTCCGCAAGAGACTCAACCCGGCGTTTCAAAACTTATGCAACCACCTGAAATCAGAGACGATTTCTCCACATCCCCTTCTCTCTACGGCACTCTCAGAACCCAATGCGCTCCGACTGGCATCCAGAATAATTTTGATTCTTCATTCACTCTATCGGACCATCCAGTTATTTCAGATCCCCCTTATTCCCAAGCCTCCTCTCTTGCACCCAATAATGGCATGCACCCTCCTCGACTTACACCTGTTGTCGCTCATCAAAGTCCAAATACCCCACCTTTTTCATTCGGCACGATGGGCAAAGATGATTTCAACGATATCCTCACAGATGGCGCAGAAGACTTTTTACATTGGCAACAAGTGTAAAGGGCCAGCCCCCGTGGGTGGGGAACTCTAGACCCCTTGAATATGTCGACTTCACACAAAATTGTTGGCTCATTATTATTCACTTTAAGTAGTTATTTATAGTTCTCGATATCACTTTATACCGCATCTATTGGCGTTTTTCCAGCAAATACCTAGGTCGCCTGGTTCGTTTATCTGCCTTGTCGACGAAGAAAACTCAGGCCTCTGCTTGGGATTTGATTGTAGGGTTATAAATCAGCCCCCGATGAGAATTCTTCTTAGAGCCGGAGCTTTACTACTTGAAAACACTATTCGAGGTCATCGAGACACCTTGTCGCCTAAAATACTCTACACACAATTTTTCTGGTTCATGCAGGTGGAGCGAAATCGCGCACTCTGCGGCTTTCGAGCGGGCGTATACATAGGCCCCTCTCGAAAGATCAGACGCTGTGTGGTATCTAAAACTATTTTTAACATCCGAAATACAAGTTTGTTGCTCTAGATATAGGTGGAGTTCTGTATGAGCAGGTAGCCTGCCCCTCAATGCGACCCATACACCGGTATCGGATGTAGAGGGGCAGGGGTTCCAGATGGAGTACCGAGTTTCTGTGAGACAACCCTCTTTAAACACTGAAATTTCAACCATTGCAAAGTTAAGGCAGTCTGGATTTTTTTTGCCCCTATTTTCTTTGTTACTCTCGCTCAAGTGATGGTAATTTCAGGTAGCAGCTTTGCCTAGAGAGGCTCTGATATTCCTGAAGCCAAATGGGGTACCTGCACCCCGCGTCTGCCCTGTGCGTTTGTGCAATGGTGACTGATATATGCTGCATACAAAAAAGTGCATATTTAAAGCTTCCTTGTTCAGATTTAACAAAGAACGATGGCGTCTAGTATACATTCTGAATCCAAGAATGAGTTCAAGGCCGGAGTTGAAGAGCTCGATCGCAAGAGTCTCGACAACGACACCAACTCCAATTCCTCCATTGAGGCATTTGGTATCCAGCCCACTAAGGAAGAGGTTGAGCAGAAGCTCACTGAGTTGGCTCAAAAGCATGATGTCAACCGTCGCCGCTTGCAGCTCAAGGTTGACGCTTGCGTCGTCATTCCCATAAGTATCCTCTACCTGCTCGCTTTCTTGGATCGCGTGAACATTTCAAATGCGCAAGTTTACGGTATGTCCAAAGACCTTCATATGACACGCGATACTCAGTACAATACTGCGTTGGTTATTTTCTTTGTTCCTTATGTTTTGTTCGAGGTTCCTTCCAACTTTGTTCTTAAACTTCTGAAACCCCACGTTTGGTTGAGTTTCTGTATTATTTGTTTCGGTGGTATCAGTATTGGTCAGGGTTTTGTGCAAAATTACGGCTCCCTTCTTGTTACACGTTTCTTCCTTGGTCTCATGGAAACTGCCATGTTCCCTGGTTGTTTCTATCTTTTGTCCACTTGGTACCGTCGAGATGAGGCACAGAAGCGTTACTCGTTCTTTTTCGCGTCTACTTCGCTTGCTGGTGCTTTCGGTGGTCTAATTGCGTACGGAATGAACAGTCTGGATGGCAAAAGCGGCCTCGAGCACTGGCGCTGGATTTTCATTGTTGAAGGTGCTATCACTTGTTTCCTCGGTATTGTGTTGTTCTTTGTTCTTCCTGATTTCCCGGAGGACGCTAAGTTTATTTCCAATAATGAGCGTGCTTATATTAAAGAAAAGCTATCTCTTGATCAAGGTAACTCTTACCATGAGGGCAAGCTTGAATGGCGCCGAGCTGCCGCTGTGTTCAAGGACGTTCGGTTGTGGCTTGCATCGCTGATTTACTTCGGCCAGATCGTTGGTGCATATGGATATGCTTACTTTGCTACCGCCATTATCAAAAGCTTCGGCTACTCTCCAGTTAAGACTCAGGTTTACTCGATCTTCCCATGGGTTGTTGCCTGTGTCTCTGGTGTCATCATTGCCTGCTTCTCGGACTTCTTCTTCCATCGTTACCTGTTCACTCTGGGTACTGGCTTAATTGCAATTGCAGGGTTTGCTATCCTTCTTGGTTGTGAGCCTACAATGATTCATGCCCGTTATGGTGGCTGCTTTTTGGTAGCACTTGGTCTGTACTCTGCTATGCCTTTATATATTTGTTGGACCACTATGAACTTCGCTGGTCATTATCGTAAAATGGTGAGTACTGCGTTTATTGTCCAATTCGGAAACGTCGGAGGTATCGTGTCGACTTTCATCTTCTTGAAGACTGACGCACCAAGATACACACGTGGTTTGAGTACAAGTGTGGCCCTATGTGCCTTCTCTTTGGTATGTGCTATTGTTTATCTACTGTACATTATGCGTGAGAATAAATTGCGCAAGCAAGGTGCCCGCGATGCTGCATTTGAGACTTTGAGCGAGAAAGACCAAGCTTTGGCTGGTGATCTTGATCCGCGTTTCATCTATCAGTACTAAAAAAACTCAACACAGCGTGTGTTTTTAATACTTAGATGCTGGGGTGGCATCAATACCTAATTTATATACAGCTAGTATTTCTAATTAACCCCCACATGATAAGGCTTCAACTGGTCCTTGGTGACCTTACTGGGGCTTCCAATCAAAGGATCAGCCCCGGTGATGGTCTTCGGGAACGCAATTACATCTCTCAGTGACTTCAAGCCACAAAGCATTGCGACTATGCGGTCAAGACCAATAGCCAAACCGGCATGGGGTGGGCATCCGGTGGCCAACGCTTGCAGTAAGTGACCAAATAGCTTTTCTGAATTAGTGATCTTGAGAACATGCTCAAAGATGAATTTTTGGAGCTCGGGATCGTGAACACGAGTGCTTCCACCGCCAACTTCAACTCCATCAATTACAAGATCATAATGCTGGCCATGGCAGCTCAAGGGGTCCGCTTCCAGCTTGTGGTAATCTTCAATTTTCACCATTGTGAAGGGATGGTGAGTAGAGTTGATTTCATCCCATTTATAGCTTGGGTAAAGCCCAGTATCGTCTGACGAGGGCTCGAATAGAGGGAATTCGTGCACCCAACAGCCAACCGACTCAGTTGTCCTCCGGTAGCAATCCGGTATCAAGGCAATAGCTACCTGTCTAAGTCTTCCAAGTGGAGTAGGGTTTTCGTAATTCGCAGGACGCCTGTCGCTGAAAGCCACAAGGTCTCCTGGCCTAGCCCCGAGGGTGTCGAAAAAATCGTGCCAGTTGTCAACCTTCGCTAGAGGTTCGACAATACTCCTTATCTGGCCCTCAGACTCAAAAATAACGACGGTGGGTACCCTGTTTTTATACTCCTTGTCGCTTTTGAGGCCTTCAAAAATGTCTGAGCTCTCCGTCCAGTCAGAGAGAACAATAGCTTCAAACACAGAGTACTCTGGGTTTGTAGTGGCTTCTGCTGGAATTTGCTTGATCTCGATACTAGATCGTAGATCCGGCTTATCGATTCCATATTTCTCAATTGCCGTTTGGTAAGTTAACTTTCCAAGCTTGCCTGTTGCTTCGACAAGTGCCTGCTTTTCGTCTAGAGTCACAAGCTTTGTAGCAGAGTGCTGAGACCAAACACGCTCAACGAGACTCTCGATGACCTGCTGAACATCGCTACCGTTCGCAAATCCCATCTCAAGATCAAGCTGAGTGAACTCCGGTTGACGATCAGCTCGCAAGTCTTCGTCTCGGAAACATTTAGCCACCTGGTAATACCTCTCGACACCCGAGGCAATAAGGAGCTGCTTGTATTGTTGAGGACTTTGAGGCAAAGCGTACATCAAGCCCTTTTTTCGCGTGGGGATAAGAAATTCCCTGGCACCTTCGGGAGTGCTTTTGAAGAGGAGAGGTGTTTCGATCTCTACGAATTCCTGATCGTCAAGAGCTTCTCGGCATGTCTTCACTATTTTGGCACGCTTCTTCAACACCTCTTGCATATTTGGCTGTCTCAGTTGTATGTAACGATACTGAGGGGGCCAATCCTTAGTTTCCGATATGAGTTGAGAGGGAACAATATTGGCACGATTGAGAACTTTTAGACTTGCCACCTTCAAATCCACACCATTGGATTTGACCTCTATTTCGCCCTCCACTGAAATTGTGGAATCGGGCTTGAGACTTTTGAGTTGGCTAGGAGAGTTTGTGTCAACCAGTTGAATTATCTTGCCTGAGCCATCGCGCAGCCGAGCAAAAGTGAGTGATTTGGAGATTTGCTTCGGCTTCCTGTCAATCCACCCGGTCAAAGTGATTGTCTGTGCCTGCTTGGCAGCGAGTGCTTTGGCAACAGTCGTTGTAGCTCTAGGAAAAACGAACTTTTCAGCGACCTGAGCTATTGGCGGGAGCATGATTAGGTCACAGTGCTTGAGCGATCTATATAAGTCGTTTGTTACGACTAAAACGTAGGTTCAGTAGAACCATATAAATTCAGGTTCGTTTTTAGATAAATTTTAGCTTTTATTTGGTTGTGGGATAGGCATATATTCTACGGTCGGGCTCTTCAACTGTTTGTCATCATGGATCTCCAACAGCTATTGAGCCAGGCCGGCGGCCTGGGTGGCCTTGGAGGTGGAGAAGCTGTACCCGTGGATAATAGTGAAACGGTTTATATATCGTCTCTTGCATTACTCAAGATGCTGAAGCATGGCCGCGCTGGTGTGCCTATGGAAGTGGTAAGTACGATGTCGTGGCGAGTATCGCCACACAGTGAGGAACAAAAACTAACAACAGATGGGTTTGATGCTTGGTGAGTTCGTTGACGATTATACGGTTCATGTCATTGACGTTTTTGCCATGCCGCAGAGCGGTACTGGCGTAAGTGTTGAGGCGGTGGATGAGGTGTTCCAAACAAGGATGATGGACATGCTCAGGCAGACCGGCCGCGACCAAATGGTTGTTGGATGGTATCATTCGCATCCTGGTTTCGGATGCTGGCTTTCGAGTGTGGATATACACACCCAGCACTCTTTCGAGAGGCTCAATCCGCGGGCGGTGGCGGTTGTCGTGGATCCCATCCAGTCAGTCAAAGGCAAAGTAGTTATTGACGCTTTCCGGTTGATCCCTCAAGCTGTCATGATGATGGGACAAGAACCGCGCTTGACCACCTCCAACTTGGGCCACCTGAACAAGCCAAGCATCCAGGCTTTGATTCATGGGCTCAACAGGCACTACTACTCGATCAGCATTGCTTATAAAAAGACCCCCAATGAAGAGCGAATGCTTCAGAATATCCACAAAGATGACTGGGCGACGCCGTTGCAGATCACTGATTTCGAGCAGCAAGAGCATGCCAATGCAGAAGCAGTCTCTCAGCTTGTCAAGCTCGCGACACAGTACACCACTCGCGTAAGTGAAGAGAAGGAGTTAGACGAGGAGCAGCTCAAGACTCGCTATATTGGAAAACAAGATCCTAAAAAGCATTTAGAGGACACGGTCAATGAGCGCCTTGAAGAAAATATTGCGACTTTGATGGTGACTAGCGTTGACCGCGTCTCCTTTCATTAGTATGTAGTTAATTGGGATTAAATGGCCTTATCTCGAACCCGCGAGGACCAGCAAACAATATTTTTGTGCCGTCTGCGCTAATATCAGCGGTAAGAGCCCCACCTTCGAACAATAGCTCAGATTTGAGTTCCCCGCTTGAGATGTCATGTATCCTGACACCGGTACTGGTTGCAATGATCAGTGAGCGGTCGTGTATTCCGATAGAGCGCGTGAACTTGTCGGGAGGGGCTTCGAAAAGCATGACAATTTTTGTATTTACATAGTCCCAAACCTGAATTTGGCCTTCGATGTTGGCGACTATCACATATTGGCCATTTGGTGTGAATCTGGTGAAGGTAACTGGCAGTGGGTTGTTCTGGGCTCCAGTGAGCGTCTTGAGGCAATGTCCGGACTGCGTGTCCCAAAGACGAACAAGGCCGTCGTAAGATCCCGATACAATAAGTGTACTATCGAAGCAGAAATCAGCTGCGCACACGGGCTCTGAGTGTGCTGCGAGGATAGTTAAACAACGTGCCTGTAGCACATCCCAAACTCTGAGGTTCTCGTCTATACTTGTTGAAACAATCAAGTTTCCCTTGTAATTGAACCGCACACTAGCAATACTCTGCGTATGACCTCTCAAAGTTCGCAAAGGTTTGAATGTCGACGCGGACCAGACAATCACTAGAAAATCATCTCCGGCGGATGCGACATAACGTGAGCATGGCGACCACGAAAGATCGTTCACAGCTAGTAAATGACCATCGAGACGACCCAAGAGGCTCTGCGTTTGCGAATCGTATATTTCCACAAACGTGTCCCGGGCAATCGCGAACCGCGCCCCATCTGGACTAAACCGTCCGGCGGTGCTCATGTAAGAACTTGGGATCAAGAGTTTGTCATTTAGACACCCACGACCATGAATCTTGTGCCAGCAAATAGCGCCGCGAAGCAGATTCCGCACCCGCCACTTTCTTCCGGAGTTGCGCTGGACGCACCCGTTGCGCACAGCTTGAATGACAACCATCCCCTCCAGCAACGGTTGGCTGACTGGGATGACAACCAGAAAGGTCTCCAGATGGAAATGTTACGCAGGGTTTACGGTGCAGCAGAGCCAATTCGCCGGGCAATGGAGCAAACTATTATTGAAAAGTCTACTTTTGTTCCTGAATCTGTGGGGGGCAGTTCGAATCTACACTTAAATATCCTCGCCAACCGCGACGCCACTATCGGGTGGGAAGACGTATATCCCGACCATAAGGAGACTTCTTTCCATCAGGAACTTGAGTCACGTATGTTCAAATAGATTATGCTAAAGTAAAATCAATGTCACGCCATTTTTCATCGAGCTCCTTAGTGTCCTCTTTGTAAAAAAAGGCCGGCTGCTTTCTCACGAGCGTTGGGTCTAGCTTTAGCAACCCCCCAATTACGATTCTGTTGAAATTAGCTTCGGGGGGTGCACTAACAGCCATACCGTTTTCGGGCAGCCAAAAATGTGCATACAGTGCGTCTGGCGGGGCTATATACCCCCACGGTCCGCGGGAAGTCGATATTATCCGAGAGTCCAACTCTAAAAGCGCTTGCTTGATGTGGGCAGGTACTATTGCACTCAGCTTATACGGCAACGGAGTTGCTAATAGTTTTGCATGATGGCCACTGCCATCGACCACTTCGCTGAACACCACGTAGTCATGCATGGTTTTAATGGTTGCAGTGAAGGCGCGAATTTCCCGAACTTCCTCATCAGTGCATTCAAGTAGAGAATTGTAATGCGAGTATGGGCAAATTATAACACTATCGGTTGTAAGAGCCGGTCTAGGAGAAACTGCCACAAAGCTGTGCTTGCCTAGAGCCACAATCGTGCACTTTGGTCGTCCCGCCAGGCATAATTCGCATTTGTTATCTATCCTTCCTCTCTTAAATTCCGCTAAAGTAGCATTTTGCATGACCCCCGACGTTTCTACCATCTACCCACACCACGACTTTCGCTAGCTAAGGATGAGCCAACCACAAAGGCTGTCCGGATCGCCCGGTCTTTGTAAACTCCCAGCCGGGCAAACTTTCCATCTCCCCCTGTTTTTTTCTGAAGCAGTTTTTAGGTACAATCTTCACGTTTTGAAAAAGCTCTTTTGCTCAACCGCTAATTCAAATTTTTATTCATGTCCAAGCTCGAAGCATCAGCACAAAAATATTTCTGGAATACCCCCACAGGTCCGTTCAGCGAATCAGAATCTCAAGATAGTTCGCATCAAGCTAATACCTCCCGCAGGGTACCGGGCTCTCGAGACTACTCGCCAAGTGACATGGCTCAAATATACCGTCAGCTCCAGCCAACCGGTGATAGCGACATGCCTTTCCATTCCGGTGGGCCCCTTACTACCGCCTATCCTCAAAAGCCGGTTTCGACACTTGGTGAGGCCGAGCTTGATCACAAGTTTAAAATGCACAACGGGGCAAAATCGAACGCCTCGCAACGTTCTGCCAGTGACAACTCCCAGACCTACTCCCAGTTGGATCCTACAAGTGTCTCGCGTCACGGTTCCACGGCGGGCTGGTTATTCGATGATCCGCGGTCGACAAGGTCTCCTCTTAGCGTGAACAACATACCTGGAAGCTCTTATTTAGGTATAGCTGCTCAGCCTAATCAGGGAGCCTATGGCGGCGGCGGCGTACTGCATGCGGCAGCGCCTGCGCAGGCGGCATCAGTTCCTTCAGCTGTACCACTAGTGGCACCAGAAAGTGTTCAATGGCAGTATGCAGACTTCAACGGAAATATCCAGGGCCCCTTTCCAGGAGATTCGATGCATGTGTGGCAACTTGGTAATTATTTTACCGATGACCTGATGCTAAAGCGTGTGCGGGATGTCGATTTCATTTCTCTGGGAGATCTCAAAGCAAGAGTTGGCACGGCATTTCCTTTCGGCACTAGTCTGCATCAGGAAATTTGGGATCGTGCGTTTGGAGTGTTGAAGCCGTCCGCACCGTCCGCAGGAGCAGTCCAAAACCAGTCGGAAATGGGCTGGAGCAGTCCTTGGATGAGTAGGAATCCCTCAGTACAGGAAGAGCGCCGTTTTAGCTCGATATTCTCTGGATTAAATCTAGATGAAAATGCATCTTCCCCGGTCTCAGAGCCGGCTGTCGTCGCACCTGTAGCCCAGGCCCCAGTTCCAACACAACCTGAAGTGCCAACGCCTATTTCAAAGCCTGCTGCCCCTTCAGGGGACCATCAGAAATCCAAGCCGAAAATAAGCGCAGAAGAGATCTATGATGTGACTGCTAGTCCTGAGCTTCCCGCTCAAGAACCTGCACTACCGGAAGAGCCAGAAATTGCCTGGACACATCGCCCCAGTGTTCAAAACATATCCTTGAAAGAGATCAAGGAACGGGAAGCTGCTCGCAAAAAGGCTGAGCAGATCTCAGCCAAGCAGCCACCAGCACCTGCTGACTCGTCCTCTATAGCGGAGCCACAGAGGCAGTTCTCGGATCTTGACTCTTTAAAAACATCTGCTATACCTTCGGGACCAGCAATCTTGAATGGGCAACATTCGCAGCCTCCTGCCGCTCCGCAAAGTGATAATGAAAGTCCGGCTTGGAGTCATCGTGTCAACACCCCCAAGCTCTCGCTGAAGGAAATCAAGGAGAGAGAAGCAGAGCGCAAAAAGCAGCTACTGGCAGAAGAGACTAAACGAGCTCAACTATTGAAATTGCGGGCTCAAAGTCCGTCAGTCCCTTCTGAGACTCGCCCTCCAGTCGCACGTGCCCCACCGAAGTGGGTAAATGCGGCCGCACCCCCACCGGCACGGCCTCTTGCCGAAATTAAGCAGGAACTTGCAGCCAAGTCTGCAATGAAAAAGCAGCAGCGTGCACTCCCTGCCCCTGTAGCGACCACTGCCCCTGCTATCTCTTTGGAAGATGAAGTTGACGGCTGGCAACCGGCGGCTTCCAGTAGCCGCCGCTCTACTTCAGCAAGGACAGTACAATCACCGCACGTGGGATCTGCTTCTAGTACGACTACATTGAGACCAGCTAGCGTTGTTGATGAGCTCATCCAGTGGTGTCGAATCACTTTCAAACAAAGTCTTGTGAAAGATGTGAACCATGAGGAGCTCTTGGAACTCTTCCTATCGATGCCAGTAAACAGTGAGGCTAAGGAGTTTATTACTGAAAGTATTTACACTTATTCCACCGTCTTGGACGGCCGCCGCTTTGCACATGACTTTTTGGAACGGCGCAAAAAGGCTGACGCTGAGCTCAAACCGGGCGAAACATGGAAGGACGTGCTGGCACGCTCCAATCCTAGCATAGAGACTGATCCTACGTTCAAGGTTGTCTCACGCAAGAAATATCGGCCTATCGCTCATCCTCAATAAGCCGTTTGTACGTAGTGTTCAAATTAATGCAATTTTGTAAAATGTTTCACTATCGCCGAGACTAATGAACTTATCAACTTCAATACTTAAACTATGTGTTGCTTTCATTTAGCTGGCTTTTGCTTTTTGACCAGCCAAGCCGTTTCTCCTTTTGATGCCCTCTCAAGAGCGTCCGGGCCAGCCATAAGCTTGAGGTCGTTTTCAAATTCAGAAAGGAATGTCAACCTGCGACGCACAGCATCATTCTGTGCTACTTCACCGGCTGTTTGAACTACGGAGGTCCATTCCGGGGCCAAGGTCAAGGCATCACCAACGATCACTTTAATTTCCTCATCGAGCGCCTTCTCCGTACCTCCAACTCTGAACTCAAGAACCTCGCCAACCATTCCATTCTGGGCCAGTTGCGCGACTGCAGGCTTGCACTCTTTGATTTTCATGACTCTAAGGAAGTCTGTGGCACCCCATACAAGTAACGCCATTTTGAGAACGTTGTCGGGCACAACCTGAGAGCCCTCACGTAGAGAGCGGTAGATTTCCTGAGCAAAGTTGCGCTCATAAAACAACTCTGCCCGTGCGATGTCATTCAACTTACGTTGACGATAGACCCGTGAAAAAACTACCAGGGCTGTGACCAGCACGGCGAGGTAGAGAATGGGAGTCCAAATCGATACTCCGTCTGCCATGTCACTAGGATCAAACGATTTGTCACCTACCACTCATATACCAGAAGCAGCGCAGTGCCCATGACGTGGAGATTTAATTCACTTCTTCAAAGTAGACATAAATTTCAATTAGCTTGGTTGAATTTGATTCTATCCTTCTATCTGGTATGTTCGCCATGTAGTGTTCGATGCCATCTCTTCACTACTTAAACCTCAAGGCGCCCTTGATTCTCTCAGCTTAATCATGATTATTCGGTTCCGCGGCAAGACGGGTATGTACCGGGTGGATGTGGACGATTCAGACACATTCAAAAGCGCGGTCGAAAAACTCAAGTTTCAGTTACCTGCTCATTCGGACTTGAAGATTGCTTTGGCGCCCAATGCCCCGGGAGAGGGTGAGAGCGAGCAATGGCTCTCCAGCTTATCCCAGCTTGGGGTACGCCACGGAGATCTGTTCTTTTTGACTTATGGAATTGAAACGAGCAACGATTCAGAGCATTCGATTTCATCTCCTCGTCAAAATGATGTTGCTGTTGATGCCGTTGATACCTTGCTCGATGGACAAGATGGCAAAATTCCTCGACAGCGAAGCCGGCTTTGCAACCATGGTTTAAAGGGTATGTGCGAGTATTGCCAACCATTAGAGCCCTATGATGAGGAGTATAGGCTCGAGAATAACATCAAGCACCTTTCATTTCACTCTTACATCCGAAAGCTCAAGTCCGAATCCTCCATTAAAAATGTTTTGACAGAACCAGACTACACAGTGAACAAGAATTGCTCGGGTGGCCATCTGCCATGGCCAGCAGGAATTTGTTCAAAATGTCAACCGGCGGCCATTTCTTTACAACAGCAAAGGTTCCGCATGGTTGATCATCTTGAATTTGATAACTCGACGATTATGGAGCGATTCATAGAATACTGGCGGCAAACGAACACCCAAAGATTTGGAATACTTATTGGAAACTATGTTCAACATGATCAGGTGCCTCTTGGAATTAAGGCCGTGGTTCACGCCATTTATGAGCCTCCTCAAAGTGACGAGTTTGATGGAATTTCTTTCAATGAGGAAATGAATGTGGCAGCAATTAAAGCGGCCAATGCACTAAATATGCACGTTGTTGGTATCCTATTCACTGATTTAGTGGACTCGGGTAAAAAGGATGGGTCAGTGCTTTGCAAGAGACATTCAAAATCATATTTCTTGTCTTCGCTTGAGGTCGTCTTAGCGGCTCGTTCTCAGTTGGCCTACCCATCACGCACAAAGTACAGTGACTCAGGCGTCTTTTCTTCCAAACTAGTCACTTGTGTTGTTTCCGGTAACGAGCTCGGAGAGATTGCAATCTCGTGTTACCAAGTCTCTGTACAGACTGAAGCTATGGTACGCGCGGATATAGTTGCACCAAGCACTAATCCTTCTGTTCTTAAAGTTCGTGAAGCAACTCATGAAAGGTATGTGCCGGAGATCTTTTACAAGCACTCAAATGAGTATAATATAACTGTACAAGAGAACGCGAAGCCCGCATTCCCAGTCGACTATGCGTTAGTATCTGTCTCGCACGGTTTTAAGGATGCGACAAACGGAGGTTTATTGAATAACTTTGCTATTGAGAACAGACCTTCTCTCAAAACCCCGTCTGCGACCCAACTGGCAGCTCAACTAGAGTTGGAAAGCGGTATAAACGTGATCAACCTCCTCGACTTTCATCTGCTGTATTTCTTGTTCGATTTGAAGGTACTCAGTGATGAAGATGAGCGATTGCTTTGTAGGTTATTGAAAGCTGAGCAGGAAGACCTTGCATCACCGGTGACACAGGAACTTGCTTCAATGTTTGCAACATGTCCAGGAATAGGAACGCTGCGTGTACTGGCCCAATAACCCGTAATCTATTTTGTTTTCTATATTTGCATAGCATATCTTTTTTTTTAGCACTCCCCCACTCAAACCGAAATTCTTCAAGAACCGGCTAGAATATTCTATCACGTGACCCGATTGCGATCTTGGCCTTTACAATCATTAATAAAGGTGGGTGAAAAAAAAAAGTAGCCTCACAACAAAAATGACCAGTGTTCCTCTTGGTATTGATTTTGGTAACCATACCGCTGTTCTGGGTGTTGCCCGTAACCGTGGTATTGATATTGTTGTTAACGAAGTCTCGAACCGTGCTACTCCTTCTCTTGTTGGCTTCGGCTGGAAAAACCGTTTTCTCGGAGAGGCTGCTAAAGGCCAGGAGACTTCCAACGTGAAAAACACTATCGGTTCGCTGAAACGCCTTATTGGTCGAACTGCTGAAGACCCTGAAGTTGACGTCGAGAAGGATTTCAATGGTTCTGCTATCGGCGCTGTCAAGAACGAGACAGGTGTCAAAGTCCAGTATGCCGGCAAGAGCCACGAATTCACTTTCACCCAGCTTGCTGGTATGTACTTTAGCAAACTACGTCAGACTGTTATCGATGACACCAAGGGTAATGTAAACGATGTTGTTATCGCTGTCCCTGCCTACTTCACCGACAGCCAGCGACGAGCAGTTGCCAATGCCGCCGTTATTGCCAACCTCAACCCTGTCCGTATCGTGAACGATACTTCTGCTGCGGCCGTTGGCTACGGTGTTTTCCGCACTGATTTGCCGGAGGACAAACCTCGCTACGTTGCTATTGTCGATGTTGGTCATTCAGATTACACCGTTTCTGTCCTCGCTTTCAAGAAGGGTGAGGCTAAGGTACTTGCAACCGTTTGCGACAAGTCATTTGGTGGCCGTGTTCTCGATCTTGCTATCGCAAAGCACTTCCAGAAAGTTTTCCTTGAGAAGTACAAAATCGATGTTCGCACAAACCCCAAGGCTTGGGCTCGTGTCCTTCTCCAGGCTGAACGTTTGAAGAAGATTCTCTCCGCCAACACGCAGGCGCAGTTCAATGTCGAGTCACTTATGAATGATATCGATGTCTCTGCAACTATGGAGCGCTCGGAACTTGAACAGTATCTAGAGCCTTATCTCAGCAGAATCTCGGACCCTGTCAAGAAAGCTCTGGCAACTGCCAAGCTTTCTGTCGAGGATCTTGACTCAGTCGAGCTCATTGGCGGCTGCACTCGTGTGCCTTGCGTCAAGGAGAAGATCAGTGAGGCTTTTGCTGGAAAGCAGCTCTCTTTCACCTTGAATCAGGATGAGGCTATTGCCCGTGGTGCTGCTTTCTTGTGTGCTGCTCACTCCCCGACTGTCCGCGTTCGTCCTTTCAAATTCGAAGATTACAACCAGCGCTCGGTCACATTCTTCTGGGAGAAGACACCCGACGAGGATATCGACCACTTGGAAGTGTTCCCTGCTGGAAGCTCGTACCCTGCTACTAAGGTAGTGACCCTTTTCCGCACTGGTGATTTCGCCCTCGAGGCTAATTATACTGTACCTGAGGAGCTCGATCCTGGCTTCTCCGCTTTCATTGGCAAGTGGAACGTGTCTGGTGTTAAACCTGCTGATAATGGCGATGCGGTTGCCGTCAAGATTAAGCTGCGCCAAGACGCCAGCGGTTTTTACATTGTTGAGTCTGCATACACCGCTGAGGAGGTCACTGTTGAGGAGCCTGTCGAACCTAAAGAAGGTGAGGAGGTTGATGAGGACAAGGAGCCTGAGACGCGTACTGTTAAGAAGTGGGTCAAGAAGGATGATCTCACCATCACCCACACTTCCAGTGGTATTTCTGAGAAAGAGCTGAATGAACTTGTTGAGTTCGAAGGTCAGATGTCTGCCGATGATAAGCTCGTTTTCGAGACCGAGGATCGCAAGAACGCTCTGGAGGAGTATATTTACGAAATCCGCGATAAGATGGATGGCCCTTATAAAGATTTTGCTAGCGCAGATGAGAAGGAACGTCTTCTTGACCTGGCCACCCAAGCCGAAGAGTGGCTTTACGGAGATGGTGAAGATTCTACTAAGGGTAAATATGTTGCCAAGCTCGAGGAGCTCCAGTCTATTGGCAACCTCATCAAGGGTCGCTACATTTCTAAGCAAGAAGAGGAACGCCAGGCAAAGATGGCAGCTCGTGAAGCTGAGGAGCAGCGCAAAATGGCAGAAAAGCTCCAAGCCGCTCGCGAAGCAGAGGCTGCCAAAGCTGCCGAGGATAAACCCTCCACTGAAGATGTTGATATGGTCGATGAGGTAGACGAATAGAGTAGTTTTATAGCTAACCAAATTTCACTGTTTCCATATTCAAGGTGCCCTATGAGTGTTAATTGATGTGCAAAGGGCGCTTACTATGAGCAAGAAAACGCTAACATTGTGTCTATGAAACAGTTTGAGATACACACGTATTGGGGTAATTAACCTCAATATATAAGACGATAAAAAGATTAAAGTAGTATTGAAAGGATTATCGATTATGTTAAGCCCTCCCCCCCAAAAAAATGATTCGACCCAGGATCGAACTGGGGACGTTCTGCGTGTTAAGCAGATGCCATAACCAACTAGACCATCGAACCGCTCGTTACGAAATTCGTTAATTGTGATATATTCCCTGTAAAACATTGAATAAACGCTGGAAGTGGACAAGGCGCTGCCTTAATTTTATTTGGTTTCCACTCAAAACAATCGAAACTAGTTACAGGAGGATGTTCTACGCCGTATAGACAATAAAAAAGTCTCCATATGTAGGAAACCATTAGACATCAATAACATACATTGCAAGTATCGGTATCATGAGTGTTGGCATGAGAAACCAAATGCGAGTACAGGAAAGGGCGCTGGGGTCTATTGAAGAATAAAAATATGAAGAAAGGGGTAAACTCCAGTAAATTGAAGTAAATGCATACTCCGCATGCGGTCAAGATAGACGCGCATCAAAGAACGTCGTTTTCTCGACGTTCAAGCAGCCTCTGCAGCAATGTACATATCTATAGCTATCTGGCAAATCTTCGAGCTGATCCAACCATCCATTACCTGCTAAAAGACACACACGATTCCTACCAAAGAGCACAAAGATAGAGCACAATCATCCAAACACGTGCGAGATTTTCGTGCAGGCTCGTCACTTGCTGGATCACGGAGCCCACCCACCATGTGAAAGTATGATGCCTCTTGGCACTGGAATGCTCAGCAGGACGACAAGCGGAGTACTCAATTAGGTTTTAAGATGGAAATTGAAGGTAAAGGAAGTATTCAAGCACTATAAAATAAATATTGAAAACAACGCAAGCTTACTCCGCAAAATTAATCTTTTCCGAGGGAGCACGAAATGGCGTTGGACCATGTGCGGGGATTGATTACATAACAAAACTCTTGCTCCGCCCGCAAGGCCCTAATTAGTTAGTGGCATTGTTGAGGTAAGTAGGCGTTTTAGGTGTCTCTCGGCAAATGACGGAAATCGGTGGGAACTGGGACTGGGCATCAATACCAGAAAATGGAACAAAAAAAAAAGCAGGAAGTGTACAAACAACAAATTATGCTGTATTCGCGCAACGGAGAAAGTGTGAGTGACAACAGTTGCTGCGGCCTTTCGCTTTTCTCCAGGTTTTGCTCAAAAAGAGCAGGGATGCGTCATGTATTAATGTGTCAATGGGGGGCATTGTTCTGCTTCCGCCTAGATTTGAGTACAAATAGGTAAAATGCGACACTTGGAGGGTTTCATTGAGCTATTGAGTCCAACTAGTCGATAATGGATTAAACATGGAAGCATTTCTGTGCCTAGCCCACCGCGAGAATTGTTCAATAAGTCGTTTGCGTAGAAGAGATTGACATCATGTATGTACATAATGATTTGCAGTACCCCACACATACTGCGGAGGTCCGAAGAGAGCGAAAGATGTACCATTACCATCAATTCAAGAGCACAAGGAATACAATACACCAAGGAAGGTATACATATGGCTCTAGTAATTGGACTGCTCATTTTACTGAGATATTCTGTAATATCTGCAAGGTTAGCTTCACTCGCGAACATGCATTACATATCCTTGCATCACACTCAACATTTGGGAAAGAGGGGAAGATCTGGATATAAAAGTTCGCGTATGTACCACATGCCCAAAAAACCTATCGAGCGTGTAACCAACAAGGATCTATTATCGAATCCATGTCTCACAACGAAGTTCCGGAAGACCAGGAGAAGGCCATGGGCCTGTCTCCAAATGAAGCCCACGAATACATCAAGAGCGCTACACAATATGTCAAAATTGGAAACAAAAAAGTTCCTCTCAGCGAGGTTCTGCAGGCATATGGTGGTTTCATGAACCCGGGTCTGGCGATCAAGACTAAGCGCAAGTTTGGCAACCCCGCTCCTGTTGGTTTGTGCGGCTTCGCTGCCACCACATTTGTGTTGTCTTGCTTCAACGTCAAGGGTCTTGGAATTACCATCCCTAATGTTGTCGTCGGCATGGCGTGGTTTTACGGAGGTATGATTCAGTTCTTCGCAGGTATGTGGGAGCTTGTTTGCGAGAATACCTTCGGTGCCGCTGCATTTAGCGTTTATGGATTTTTCTGGATGGCGTTTGCCGCTCTTCAGACCCCCAGCTTTGGAGTCGCGGAGGCATTCGATGGCGACGTAACAATGCTTGACAATGGAATTGCTCTTTTCCTTTTGATCATGGGGATCTTCACGCTTATCCTTTGGACTTGTACCTGGAAATCAACCTGGGCATTTTCTGCTCTGTTCTTCTTCGTGTTCTTGACATTTTTGCTCTTAGCAATCGGAAATTTCATCCAGAAAAGCTCTGTAGTCACAGGCGGTGGATGCATGGGGTTGGTAGCTGCTATTTTGGCCTGGTATAATGCGTATGCTGGTATCGCTATCCCAGAAATTTCCTACGTTACTGTCAAACCTTTCTATATTCCACAATTTGGGAAGAAGGACTAAGCTCATCAAAATGCGTTGCTGTGGCTCTGCCGTTACTTATTTGAACTCAGACTATTTAAAGTAGTGTCTCCTAATTATTATTGACCGTAGTAGAAAAAGAAGTAGTAATTTATTAAACAGTAATACTGTTGAAAACTGTTCATGACCAAACTCAAAAACACATCATCTTTCACTTTCATATTACCCAGGCAGTGTTTTACGCACAAGTTTCTTCCACTTGTACCGGCATTGTATTCTGGATCGAGTACAACCCATCTGCTCTGATACGATAGTCCAGTTTACTGGTGCACCAGGATTTTGTGCCATCTGTTCTGTTACAACACGGTGCAATTGGCTCTCTTCTTTGACGGACCATTTATTTTGATTTCGCTGGCCTCCGCATTTGACATAGTTCCTCCATCTATCACGGCAGTCTTCGGGCATTCGATGCATTGTCAAACTTATGGATTTCCATTGTGCTCCGCGCTCATTCACCAGCTGGCCAAGGTGGAGGTCTTCCGCAGGAGACCATTTTCCACGAACTGTGAAAACGTGGTACACCCGCCGAACATGCTTGTAAACACTTGCACGGGTTCTATGAGGCAATACAGCAGAAACTGCATCCCAAAAGTTATCCTTTTTGCGCTCCGCAGTCCAGACACGTTCACATAGTTGCTGCCTGGTCATGCTATTCTGGATCATGAACCGCTCCAAAAACTCGTCAAGGGCTCGACATTCCGCATCATCAAACGACCCACCAGTTTCACTACCATCACCAGTCCATGCTATGCGGTTTTTACCATCAAGTTTTGCTTTATCGTCATCGGGGTGCTCACTTGACAAACCTAAGCCCGAAGAGGAGGATTCAAAGAGCGGCTGATCTAGACCATGCTGGCGGACATCAGCGCCGCTTATATGTGGTAGGGTGTTTTCTACCGACACGCCCCCTAGCCGGCGCTTCTTACTTCTCAATTCATTGGGCGGCCGAATTTCCGTACGACTTGAAGAACCTGTGGCCATTGGGCCTTGCGCCGGTACGTGCCCAGCCGCTGTAGAATCAAATATAGCAGCATAGGCTTCAGTATGTGCTTCATGGGGTTCTGCTTCTCCTCCAGTGATATCTTCGCGGAGAAACTTCTCCCATGAGCCATTGCCGATGTACTCATTGAAGTCGGCCTCGTACTGGCCTGTAGTGGTTGATGCATTGGCCTTGCGTTTTTTTTGTGACCTATCATCTTGTAACGTGCCACCAACATAGCGCATAACTGCTTCTTCGACACCAAAAAAACTTCCTGCACCTGGGCCGGCCCCTGCCGTACCCTCTTCGGGTCGCTGAGATGTTCCAGTGACACGTGCAGGCGTATCAGCACCTAATGATAAGAGTGCACGAGCTATGGGCTCAGCTTTATTGCCATTTCTTGTGTCCTTACTTGTGACCAGGGGTTTTTCCGGGACTTCTTTGATGTAGTCGGCTATTTGAAGGTTCGGTGCCGCCTTCGTCTGAGTATCCCAATTCTGAGGAACCTTGTCTGCCATCAAGTGTACAAAACTTTAGACTCACACGCACACTTAGCGAGTTATGGGGATATTTCAACTGAAATGCCTGGTGGTATATAGGTTACCCGTTCGTCAATCCTTTCTGCCGGGTAGCAAGTTTCTGTAACTGCTGACTGATACAGAAGATTTGGTTCCTCACAGCTACGCGGAAGACCCTCTATCTGTAGCTTTGTGCTTCACACTAGAACAGATCTGCATTGTAACAGCTAAGAACCGATAAATGAATGGATGCTCTCATAATCGTAGACTTTCAAAATGATTTCGTTGAGAATGGGTCTCTAGCTGTCGAAGGGGGTTTGTCGTTAACCGGCCCCATCAACAACTTGATCCATTTTAGAAAGTGGGGTTGTGTAATTGCAACGAAGGATTGGCACCCTGAGAAGCATATTTCTTTCGCTTCCACCCATGGTACGCCTGTGTTCTCAGGTATAGATCTTATGATAAACGGGAGAGATACGCATTTAACATTATGGCCTGATCATTGCGTGCAAGAGTCCCATGGTGCCATGATAGTTGATGGAATTGATTTCAAGTCGATTGATCTTATTTTACCGAAAGGATGTGACCCTGAATATGAGTTCTACTCAGCATTTCGTGATGTTACAAAAACAAAAGAGACAGAGCTTCTGGGCTATCTGAAATCCAAAGCTATTAAGTCAGTTTATGTTGTTGGACTGGCACTAGATTTTTGTGTTTTGCATACCGCTTTAGATGCTGTGGAATATGGGTTTGACACAACGGTTCTGGTTTCTTACACGAAGCCAATATCCGTAGAAGGCGCGAATCGCGCCCTCCACTTGCTCCAAGAAAACGGGGTCAAGTGTATTATGGAGGCAATTAATTAATATTTATCTAGGCATAGTACTTGCGGTTCAATTCGAGCATAGTGTCAAAGAGGCACTGGGAACTGCTGTAGGAGTTGGTTCGTTACTAACCATTATGAGCTGCAGCTTTTGCGGAGAAGGGGCGCAAAAGCGCATAAATTGTGGAACCTGCGCCGGCTTCAGCAGCGCCAAAACTCGAATGGGCCTTATTAAAACCAAACTTGAACTCTTCGACTTACAGGAAAAGGTTGACCGAGTGCTCAATGACCCGAAACAAGCGTTCACATTGACTTCTTGTGGTGCGTCTGAATCACGCACCGGTCGGTTAGATGCTAAAGTCTTAGCTCTTCAGCTCAAGCTTGACCAATTAAAACGTGCAACATTGCAATGTCATGCTGAAGTAAATCAAATACGGGAGAAAGCACGGAAGATCAAGACAGATACAGCAACTGCGGCTAAGAGTACGGCAGCGTTGAGGAAATCGTTCACGAATGAGAAAAATATGCGTATTCAGCACGAAAGAGAGAGCATTATTACTTTTGAGAAGACCTACATGGACCTGTTCCAGCAAACACTCCCTTTGCAAAGTGCCTGCTGCGAAAGTCTACTCGATCTGTTCCTGCTCAAAAAGAAGCGCAGGAAGACTCATGACTACGATGTGGTACTTGCTTTTAACACCATTCCTGAATTTCTCAAGCTTGGGCACTATCCGGTTGCAGTAATTAATGCAGGTATTGAGCGATTGTCTTATTTCATTGTATTGTTGGCCAGCTACCTAGGGGTTCATCTACCTTATACCATTTACCTGCCAACAAAATCTTTTGCATATGTACGAATTGGGCCGCTTCTGAAAGAATTGTATCTCGGTCATTCAGTGAAAACCACTATGCGTACTACACCGCGTGAATTCCACAACTATTGTGGCAGTTTAGCCATGGTGGCTCTGAACGTCGCATTTGTCGCAGCAAGAATAGGGGTCGTTAATTTAGGCTTTGAATCAATTACTAGACCAAACTTTCTTGTCGCCCAGTTATATCTTAAGCTGGAAAGCTACATCAAACACGGCAAACAAGTCCAGGTTCACGCTGTTTCTCTTGCCACCGACACTGAACTGATCAAGGACCATTTCATATCTTCAATCGATGTGGATTTGAATGGACACTCTGCCGAATGGAATATAGTGGAGGCACCAGAAGATTTGCATCAAGCACAGTCTTGACTATATACAGATATTTATATACATAACCATACCAACCACGTGAATCAAATACGGTGGTGGCTTTCCATGGCCATCCGATCAATATGTCCTGCTAGATATTCTTCGGGGTGTGATAAAAGCGTTAGGCTCATTCGAAGGCATGAACCCTTGCCTAACATACTCCATATCATTGTAGGTGTCGTCTTCGGTATATGTAGTGTTCCACGAGTCGTTACCAGCAGACCCAAAACGTTCAAAGGTAGAAGTCTCTGCTTGTGTTACTGGACTGAACACGAAGGATGGTGGTGATCTGTGGTTGGATGTATTCAACGCAAACTCGCCTTGGGATGAATCTGCGTGCAAAAGCGATATGGACCGATCAGCATCAGCTTCATTGCTTACCTCTGCCAGGAAGCCTTGATCATTCAGTCCAGCACTATCATAGCTTTGCTCAGTCACAGCATCTTCGGTGAGCTGCTGAAGGGTTTTAAACACTCCTGGAGGTTTCAAAGTCTCCGAGCCTGTGGAACGAACACTCCGCTTTAAATCTTCAATTAGAGATTCCTCAGCATTATCTGATATTTTAGACCTTTGAGAGAGGTGTTTTCTGGCCGATATGTCCTTCTGAAAGCTGGCGATGGTCCAAGATGCCAACGACGAGAACATAAACAACGGCTGAATAATCCAAACATCGTAAAACGGTCTAGTATCGACCAATGACACGCTTTCCAATTGAATCAGGGTTTCTCAGCCTCCTCGTGAGAGTCCTCACTTCCGAAAAACCAATCCCATCGTCCTTTCTTATGAATCATTGCAAGCACCAAGACAGCCGGAAGGTGGATCACTGAAGCCCAGAAGAGTTGCCGGGCATACTGCTTGTGCTTGCCAGCAGGATCAACTGTAGCCAGGCCGTTAGAAATATCACGCTGCTGTTTCCAGAATAAGAAAGAGGTCCAAATAAGCCAACCGTTAACAAGAGAACTATCAATGATAAACCACGCATCCGTAACTCCGAAATACCACAACCCGACACAAAGCGGAACCATAGCGATAGAATGTCTCAAAGAGACTCTTGAGCTCATTAGTGGATCTGTCCAAGCAGACATGACATAGCCTGCGTTCTTATATTCATCTGCGATGGAATAGCTCAGAGACATGAAATGCGGAAACTGCCATGAGTAAAGCAATCCCGCCAACATCCAGATTCCGGGATCTGATAAAGATGAACACGCTCCCCATCCCATCAATGGTGGGATCGCACCAACAATAGCACCAACCCAAGTGTTAGAAATATGCTTCCTCTTCAAACTAGTATAGAGCCAACCGTACAATGCGATATTACTCAACCCAAGAGCGGCTACCAAAGGGGAAACACCAAAATAAAGTGCGGAGGTTCCGACTGTTCCAGAAATTGCTGCAAATTGAAACGCTTGAGTTGGTGTCAAACGCTCACTTGCAACTGGTCTTTGGCGGGTACGGGTCATTTGTCTATCGAATTCCCCCTCACGACCCATATTAATTGCATTGGCAGAAGCGGAGCAAAGGGCTGTTCCAGCTGTTAGAAATGCGAGATGCAAGAGTGAGAGCTCGTTTGGCGCCAGGGCATATGCCGACATGGTTGAGAGCACCACGAGCCATGTCAGACGGGGCTTCGAAAGCTCCAAGTACAGATTGTACTTGACACCAAGACCAGAACGAGTTGGCCCTGTAGGACGAGTTTGACATGTGAGCGCATTCAGGACTGTTTCTTCTGACTTCGGGCGCGCCCATTCGGGGACCGATCGAGATGAAGGGGGGGTAGGGGTGGTGCTATTCTTACTGTCTGCTGAGGAGACTCTGTACGAAACTGAAAAGCACCTAACTGTATTTATGCAACTTAGATAGCTTGGTGTATACCACCTAAGCGCCCTCAGAGACCCAGCACTAAGGGTACTACGCATAGATTGAAGTTACAACAATGACAAATCTTGGATTGGCCCTCATCTGTGGGTGCGTCAGCGGCTGAGTGCGAGTGAAACTCATTTCTGATAGTTCTTCCAAAACTCATTCTCATTAAAAGGCCAAACCAGGATCTACATACCCAACTACATAAATTTCACAGTTATTCGGATCGGAATGTTCATCTTTTTTAATTACAGATTAAGCCTAACGATCTCTGCTGGCCCTAAACACTCTCGGCCAAGTACCTAACACCCAAGGAGCTTGACAATTGATCAACTTTGATCAACAAGCACACTAATGCCAGGGAGTAATGGGGTGGCCGTCGGGTAAATCAAGACTAATATTTGATCTTGGTTTTATCCATTGTATGTTATTGCGTCACCTTTTTTTTTATAATTCTTTTTCTTGACACCGATCACATCAGAGCATGTACTGTGCAAAACTTTCACTAGGCCCACGTTATTCTAGTTCCATATATTCCCGTATGGTTTACAAGTTCTTTCTCAACCGTATCTCTACTGTTTCGTATTTAATAAGTTACTGCACCTGAACACATATAAAAGCATTGGTAACTAGGGGAATATGAGAGCGTGAAACGCAGCCCATCTAAAGACTTTTTATCTGCTACTGCTAAGATAATAATAAGAACAATGGTCAGTAGCATACAGCCGAAAAGTTTTGTCTGGATAGAACAATCTTGTCAAGTCAATATTTTGTGAGTTTATAGTGTACAACACTTACAAATCAAGAAATAGCCTTGATGGCCAAGTTGGTAAGGCGTAGCACTAGTAATGCTAAGATCACCGGTTCGAATCCGGTTTGAGGCAATTTTTTGGGTTAAATTTGGCTGTGAAACCATTTTTTGAACTTCTTTTTTCTTCTCCACGTAGGTGAACCCACTTTGTAGCTTATGGAGTGAATGGTTTCTCTTTATTATGAAAGATTTTATAGCTTTTAGTGCTATTTATTTAGAACTTGGAGAACTGCTTAGACTTGCCAGATGTGCTGGCCACGCGGAGCACGTTGAAACGGACAGTCTTAGACAAAGGACGGCACTGGCCAACAGTCACAACATCACCCTCGTTCACACGGAAAGCAGGGCTGACGTGGGCAGCAAGGTTCTTGTGGCGCTTCTCATAACGGTTGTACTTGGGAATGTAGTGCAGGTACTCACGACGGATGATGATGGTGCGGTGCATCTTGGTAGAAACGACAGTTCCGGTGAGAATGCGACCACGGATAGATACCTGACCAACGAAGGGGCACTTCTTATCAATGTAAGTACCACGGATAGCCTCCTTGGGGGTCTTGAAGCCAAGACCAACCTCCTTGTACCACCGCTTGTTGCTGCGGTTGACCTTAGACTTGGAGTTATTGAAAATGTGAGGCTGCTTTTGGAAGGCGCGCTCCGACTGGACGGTAAGCTCAGTAGCCATGGTTGTGGTAATAGATCCGGGCTTCTTCGAGAGTGTAAGTGTCTTGAGTCAGACTCTGGAAAACATGACCAACATAGCCCTAAAGCCCTAGTACACAACAATAATATTGATTACATCAGCTGGATTCTCCAGTGGGGTGGAAATGGAAATATGTGAACAGGCATTTCATTGAGGAAACACAAAAATGTTTCCGTTCGAGTGGTTATAGAACTATTTCACTAGGCGATCATTTAGTATCCACCTACCCGGTAATCCTCCTTTTTCGGCTCATCCAAAACGACTACTTGGTATTCCAATAGTGTCCCGCATGCATGTGATAAGTAGTGATTATGCGCCAGTCCCCGTGTCATTGTGGTCAACCATATCATGCACACAGTTGATGAGTGCCATGCTACCAACATCGACTCGAAGAGAAATGGTGAAACCAGAAAACGTGGAAGAGTGGCAGCTAATGCGGAAGCCCATTTAGAACGAGCGGACGATGGCTCGGTGGTGTGTGGTAGAACTAGTGATGGCATCGTATTTGAAGTGCCTCGAACGTGTGATATGCTTCACACCTTACTCGACCCTCGACTACAGAAAACTGTTTTGGACGTAATCACTGTATTCATCCTTAGCAGCTATGTTGTGCTGTTCTTCATATTACCTTCTTCATGGCGTATACCTGTCTTTTTTGCCATGTTCCTATCATGGAGAGCGGCCTACAACGCTGGCATTGGATATCTTCTCTACAAACAATCCAACCACAAAGCTTTAACCGAATTGACAAAAAAATACAAGATTTTTGAACCTTCTGACTGGTGGGTTCACCGCTTTGTGATGAAAGACCTCAGGGCTCGATTATCCGTTGAGACGAACGAAGAAGTGAACAAGTACCCAAATGAGCTCAAAACATGGATTCTTTTCCGGCATCTGGTCGATTTGATTTTGATGAGTGATTTTCTGGCCTATGTATTGCTAGGGATAAGCGTCCTGCACTCAACTGACCACTCCTGGATCGTTGTGTGCGCTCGCTGGGCAGCTGGCTTGCTTTTGCTTGCCTTCAATTTATGGGTGAAAATTGATGCTCATCGTGTTGTTAAAGATTATGCTTGGTATTGGGGCGACTTCTTTTTCTTGGAAGATGTGAATCTCACCTTCGATGGTGTATTCGAGCTGGCCCCCCATCCAATGTATTCTATCGGGTATGCTGCTTATTATGGTGCATCTCTCATCACTTCTTCTATGACACTTTTCGTTGCATCAGTCACTGCACACATGGCACAATTCGCATTCCTGATTTTTGTGGAAAACCCCCACATCGAGAAAACTTACAATCCAGCTGGAAGCAACAAAAAGGCTGATGATCAGGACGACTTGACTATGTTCACACCTAAAGCGATGATTGGTTTGCTCAATTTCAATTTCACTCGCAGTAGTGATATTCTGGTTCTTGCGTTAGTCTCTACTACAATTTTGCTCTACTTCGCTCCCCAGAGTGCAGTTTTGAATATCATACTGTTCGCGACTGCTTTGTGCTGGCGTACTATTCATACTGTTGGGCTAGGACTACTTTTGAGACTTCAAAGTGACCGAAAGAAATGGACGAGGTTGTTTCTCAAGTATGGCCTTACCGCCAAAGATGCATTTAGCCAATGGCAAGCCATTTACAATGCCACAATTGTCATGTCTTATGTTTCTCTTTTGGTTTTAGGTCTTCGAAACTGGGAGTCACCGTTGAATGTTCCATTTTGGGTATTCCGCTATATTGTTGGAGTCATGCTGATAGCGCTCCAGGGTTGGACCTCTTGGTCTATATTTGATTCGCTCGGTGAATACGGCTGGTTTTATGGTGACTTTTTTTATATCAAATATGGCCATCAATTAACCTATTCTGGAATCTACCGCTACCTGAACCATCCTGAACGACTCGCTGGTATAGCAGGTGTTTGGGGTTTAGCTTCCATCTGTTGCTCATCGCTGGTCACCACAATGGCTTTCATCTGGACATTCTATAATATCGGATTTATCCAGTTTGTCGAAAAGCCACACATGAAAAAGCTATACGGAGCACAAAATGTTGAACGTGACTCTGGTGTTCGGAAAAACATAAGGAAGCAGGCGAGTTTACTGGATGGGTGGGTTGATTTTGACAAGTATGAGATGTTGATTGAAAACAGTTGGAACAAGTGGATCGTTGAATACATCAAGAATATCGAGTCACTTCGTCCAAGGGTCGAAGGCGTTGTCTCTGACACACGTAAAATCTTGAAACAATATCCTGCTGCAATGACGAATATCACCCGAGTAGATCGCGCTTTAGTCTCGGATGGGTTTAGTGTCGCGCCGTCCAAAAGTGCCTACAATTACGGTGAACCTATTGTTGTTAAATGGACTGGTGGAAAGGATCGCACATCTAAGGACTGGGTCGGTTTGTATAGATATGGCGAAAACAATTCCAAAAAAATTACCAATGTTTCCTCAGCTGGACGCTGGATAGGTGTGAATAGGGGCCAATTCACTCACAACCCTGAAGGTGTTTTAGATGTTTCGGAAGAAGGAGGCTCTGTCGTGTTTGCTGGCAAACATCTTTTCTGGGAATCAGGTGTGTACGAGCTGCGGTACCACTATAAAGGACGGCACAACGTCTTGGCTTTTTCAACTCCATTTGAGATCAAAATAACTGAGCAGTCGTTAGATACTACGACTGAGGTTATTTCTAATCGACTCATCGAACTGAATAATATCTGTCTGGGCCAGCAGGGCGCCAGCGTTGCGGAACTTAAATTAGATGACGAAGAAGTTCTTGCCCGCTTCACGCATGGAATCGAACTAATCTTTGGAATTGAAATTGCCCCTTTCGTGATCCGTGCGGATGGAACCGCTGAAAAGCTTGCATTGCGACTTCAAAGCATTCATAAGACTCTTTCCACTTTTGCGGGCTAGGGCAATTCTTCGCTTATAGACGCCTCAACGGCTTCTATAAGTGTTTTTGTAAACAAAATAGAAGCTTCAACACTTAAACTTAAAAATACGGGCCGCTGTAACTTGGAAGATATAAGTCTAGCTAGCAAAGTAGACTGCTCCTCGAATTCATTACAAGCTACCAGAATAGTTGCAGCCGCAGACGAATTTTGTGGGATCGCGTACACAAAAGTACCAAGCCTACGACTTTTTGATAGTGTGTTGGAAAATAGGCTTATATTCAAGGGGCTCTTGTTGCAACCGAAGGTGAGCGTGCAACCCACATTCCCAAAGGAGAGGTGTGTAACTTGCATAAGCTTCTGGGTCGTAGAGCAGCCCCTCTTCTGCGAAATCAGCTTCAGTGGGTACTGGGGTGAGTTTTGACAGTTTCAGTAAATGACCAACACAATCTCAGAATTGAAAAGCCCATCTTGTTTTTAAACTTTATCTCGTTGCATCTCCTTGAATTTACACTTGGGGTAGTTTGACTCAGCGCACTCACCCATACACATGATGGCATTGGTTAGAGCGTTTACTTCCAGTGCCGCCCAACGAGGAGTTAATATTGGAAAACCTGTGAAAATACCATTTGTACCTTTGGTGTCTGAATCTGGTTTTCCAGGTGCAGTTGGTAACACTCCACTGTTGCGCTTAAACAAATTGAGCAAAACTTGCAACGCAAACATTTTAGCTAAAGCTGAGCATCTCAATCCAGGTGGGTCGGTCAAAGATCGTGCAGCTCTCTATATCATTATGGATGCTGAACAAAGGGGCTTGATTAAGCCAGGAGGAACTATTGTCGAAGGAACGGCAGGTAACACCGGTATCGGCCTAGCACATATCTGTCGTGCACGTGGATACAAGTGTGTCATTTACATGCCAAATACGCAGTCTCAGGGTAAAATTAATCTGTTGAAACTACTAGGTGCCGAAGTGCATCCAGTACCTGCTGTTCCTCTCGATGACCCTATGAACTACAATCATCAGGCCAAACGCCATGCCTCTTCACTAGAAAACTCCGTATGGACCAATCAGTTTGACAATAGGGCTAACCGCCAAGCTCATATTGAAACAACAGGCCCCGAGATCTGGGCTCAAACGAATGGCGAAATTGATGCTTTTACATGTTCCACGGGTACAGGGGGATCTTTGGCTGGTACAACTCGATATCTGAAAGATATTTCGAATGGGCGTGTTCAATCTTTTCTTGCGGACCCCCCTGGTAGTGTTCTTTATAGCTACATCACCTCCGGCGGAGTTCTTAAGGAAAGGTCGGGATCCTCAATCACTGAGGGGATCGGTCAAGGGAGAGTCACTGATAATCTTGCTCCTGAAATCGAATCCATCGATGGCGCAGTACAAATTCCTGATGAGAAAAGCATTGAGATGGTTTATCGTCTGTTGGATGAAGAGGGGCTATTTGTAGGCGCATCTTCTGCGTTGAACGTAGTAGCAGCATGCGAAGTTGCACAAAAGCTTGGACCTAACAGCACTGTAGTGACTTTGCTCTGTGATTCCGCAGAGAGGTATGCACCCAGATTGTTCAGTCGCTCTTGGCTCGATTCTAAAGGTCTCTCAAGCGCAATCCCAAATCATTTACAAAAGTATATTGTGCTAGACTAGTTTGTAGGATTTGTCATGCTTCAAACTCCTGAAGGCTTCGGGTGTGTCGAGCCTGAAATATATAGGGCTACGAGGGTCGAAGCATCGAACTTTCTTTTCCTGTCCACCCTGAATTTGAATATGATCGTGTTTATGAATCCTGAGACGCCGTCAAAAGCCCTGCAAGAACTCGCATCTGCAAATCAAATTCAGCTCGTTCATACGGGATTGCAACCCTGGATGTCAGTTGACGATTGGAAACTCACTAGCAAGGGAATTCTACAAGATACGCTCAAGTATATTCTCGATGACCGGAACTCTCCAATTTTGATACTCGACACGTTCAACTTTTTTGTCGGTGTGCTGCGCAAGGTTCAGTGTTGGTCTTATTCCTCTATCATATCTGAGTACAAAATGTACGCTGGTGCTGCGGCACATTACAAAACAGAAACATTTTTAGAAATTCTGAAGGTAAGGTGTATCGAGCACGAAGCCGTCGATACTCGACATCATGACAGTGACCCACTTATAACTTTGAGTGGGCAGGATCACGAAAATCCTACCTCGCGGACTATACCAGGCCAGCTGGTAACTTTAGTACTCCCACCGTGGTCACACCTGCCCGAATGGTTCCAGTATCAGTGGAGGCTTGTTCACTCCAAGAAACTACCCCAGTGAAGCACGACTAGGGAACTGTCTGCAGATGTACCCTAAACTGAGCCTTGATGTATGCATCAGCTCAACTGTTTTTATTAAGATTCAAGAACCGTCGAGGTTTATTTATTGTGCCCTACCCATTCATATGAAAGTAGAAACTAAAATAATTCAATACCGTGGGCGATACTCATTGCATTCAGGTTTTAAGTTGGCGAAGCCGGAACTGGGATTCTACAGCGTTTCATTGAATACTGTTATACGATACCCAACACCTTTGCCGGTAACCGCAGACAGCTCAAGTGCACGACTTCTGGACAAATTTTTTTGGGGAATCCCTTTAAATATGTGCAAAGTGTTGAAATCACTAAACTCTTACTTGACGAATTGCACTTATCGCAGTAGTTCTATAACGCGCACCATGCACAACCAGGATCTAGTTACCGAGTTAGGTAACCCCCCTCCCCGCACTACATATCAGCGCATACGCTTAGATTCTTTTTTCATCATTACATACTCTGTGCCACTTCGAATATGTACAGGCTCACGGTTAAAAACGTTCCACGCCGAATGTTTTCGGTTTCCCTCAGCCGGCCAGCTGCCCGTTTTAACTGGGAAGATGCTCTCAACCTGCGCTCCGCCTTGTCTGAGGATGAAATCTCAATTGCCGACACTGCCCACGATTTCTGTCAGGAAGTTTTGCAACCCAAGGTGATCGAGGGCTATCGAACTGAAGAGTTCGATAGAAACATCATGCAGGAGATTGGAGCAGTTGGTTTGCTCGGACCCACTATTGACGGTTATGGTTGTGCTGGGGCGAACAATGTATCCTACGGTCTGATTGCTCGCGAGGTTGAGCGAGTTGATTCTGGTTATCGTTCTGCTATGAGTGTTCAATCCTCTCTTGTTATGCACCCCATCAATGTTTTTGGAACTCAGGAACAAAAAGATCGTTTCCTCCCTAAATTGGCCACTGGAGAAATGATCGGTTGCTTCGGTCTCACTGAGCCCAACCACGGCTCTGATCCTGGCTCCATGGAGACTGTCGCTAAACCTCATCCTACCAAAAAGGGTGTATTTGTTCTCAATGGTGCCAAAACGTGGATCACTAATGCACCTATCGCAGACTTGTTTGTTGTCTGGGCCAAGCTCGACGGAAAGATTCGCGGGTTCTTGGTCGAGCGATCTCAAGTCCCCGAGGGCTCTCTGGCTACACCTGCTATCAAAAATAAAACCGCTCTTCGTGCAAGTATCACCGGTATGATTCAAATGGATGGTGTGGAGATCCCCGAGGAAAATATGTTTCCCGAAATCAGCGGTCTTAAAGGTCCGTTCACATGTTTGAACAGTGCACGATTCGGAATTGCTTGGGGTACGATGGGTGCCCTAGAGGAGTCTATTCGTTTAGCTCGCAATTACTCTCTTGAACGAAAGCAATTCGGAAACCCTCTAGCTAAGTACCAACTCATTCAAATGAAGTTGGCTAATGCTTTAACTGATGCTAACTATGGACTTCTTGCATGTTTGCAGGTCGGACGTTTGAAAGATGCCGGTGAGGAGGCCCCCGAGATGATCTCCATGATCAAGCGCCAGAACTGCGACAGGGCTCTGCAAAACTCCCGCGCTTTGATGGAAGTATTCGGAGGTAATGCTGCAAGTGACGAGTACAATATTACCAGAATCGCGCACAACTTGCAGGTCGTTCAAACCTATGAGGGCCAAAGTGACATTCACGCTATGATTCTAGGTCGTGCTATGACCGGTGAATCAGCTTTTTTCTAAAATGCAAATAGGTTTGAAAACGTATACGAGCAAATAAGATTTTACTTCGTTAGGTCTTGAATAGACTTGTATCGTGGGGTCAAGGATTTATACAAAAACAGCGAAGCTCAATTGAGATTACTCCTCTCGGAACTGCACGGACCTCATATCTGAGGTTACATTTTTACAAAGAAGCTTTGCTTTGCTGTGTCATTTGGTCAACACGCGACTTCTGAAGCTTGATCGAAGGCACAACCCATTCACCACAACTGCAACGCGATCCTTGCCACAGGTAGCTACCCAACTTAGCATGGCAGTGCGGGCAGTCAATACGACCCTCAAGCTTACCCTGTTCAAGCTCTCCACGCATCCACTCCATCGGCTCCAAAAAGAAATGCTGGCAGGGAGTTTGAGAGGCTGGTTTATGATTCACGAACACGGCAGAAGTGGCGACTGTACCCGAACAACTTTTACAGCGCAAAACAGTTGTTTTTGTTGCAATTTTTTGAAGTATATTTTCGAAGACCTCGTGTGAAATTGCGAAAACCTCCTCACCAGCGATAATTTGGATATTGTCGCGAGGGCTTTTCAACGTTTGACTTATGGGCTCTGTGACGGCAAAAACAACATCATTCACTTTGATGTGCCTAACTTTTCCTATCAGCTCTGGGGGTACGACAAAATGCAAGATATGACGCCAAAGAACTTTCAATGCAGGCATTTCTACTTTTGTAAATTTGATGGTCTTATCATCCACTTGTTGATACGCAAAATAGGAAGCTTGGTTTCGCAACTTCCATTCGCGGTAGAGCTTCTTGTCGTCTGTGATTTCATAACCGCATTGATAGTATACCTCGAGTTGCTCGACAAATGACTTGTTTGGATTTGCAATAGGTCGCTTTGACTTTACAAACTGTATCGTTTCTTCAGCGTTCCATTTGTTTTTTTTCATTATATATGCACAAGCGCAAGTGGCTGAGCGGGAAATTCCAGCAATACAATGAACCAAAACGCTGCCACCTTTGGAAACAGCATCCTCTATGAACTCATTTGTTTGCCCGAAAAACTGCATAATATCTTCTTCTTCCACATCTTGTATTTCAAGATATAGATGTTTGAAGTTTTTCTGCAAGGTCTCTCGAAACTTTCCGACGTCGTGCCCCGTAGCTCGAATATCGACTACCGATAAGATATGTGTGATGTTATACTTTGAAAGCGTCTTCACTGCTGTCAAAGACATGAGGGAACCAACCCATATATCATCTGTTATTTTGTGCATAGCCATTCTGATCAAATTATTATCGGTGATAAGCTGATTTTTTGAATTGTTAAACGTAGGATTCTGAGGTAGATTAAGTAAGTACTTCCATGCTTTATCAAGTTCCCCCGCATCAGATCTGTTCGGTCTGTCGGCAGTGTGACTGCTTGGAATATATTTATTGAGGGCTAAAAATCAAAATTAGGGGGTTTTTTTGGTGACTCTAGCAAGCGAAGCGGGTCGAAGAAAAAAAATCAAACCCCACCAATAGTCTCTTATCTGCGTTCCTATTCTGTTTCTCTTTAACACTTGCCACTCGGTTGACAGCGCAATATTCATATCAATCACACGCCCTCCGTCACAACGTAAAACCAAAGCTTTGCCGTTTCCGATTCTGTACAGATATAGAATACCACTTATACATTAACACTTATAGGGCGTCTGGTGTAGTTGGTTATCACGTGCGCTTAGCATGCGCGAGGTCCCCGGTTCGATTCCGGTGTCGTCCATTTTTTGGATATATTTTCTATGTAATCCGTACAATCATCATAACTCGATACTTACTCGGGCCTTATAATTCCGTAATTGTTCATTCGCCAAATATGTTTGTTGATGCCAAGTATTTTTTGGGAAAGATCGTACCTTACCCCAGACATTACTTCACAACTCCTGGGCAGTGCACCATGACTGATTCCGCAGACCAAATTGACGCGGAGCATGGCGTGGAGTGGCCATTGCTACCGGTCAATCAGCCTTGCAAACTAGACTCTATTTCAGTGAGCAGCGTTTGCAGGGATATTTCGGATCTCATCGTTGCGCACATCAGTTCTGATGATGAGGCCCCCATTAACACTCAAGATGTTCATACTATCTCCCAGGCTCTTAAAGATATCATACATGGCAACTATATGAGTGGTGCTGTATTCTATGCTCTTTTGGCAAGCAGAATACACTTCGCTAGTGAGGCAAAACGCGGCCCTGCTCTTGCTCAGTTATTGCAACTCAGGGCCGAAGTATGCCAGGAAATAGCCTCCCAGTTGCTGGAAGATATACCACATGATGAAGCCGCTCAGTATATTGTGTTTGCGTTCTACCCTTTTGCAGACGGGGTAGACGATGAGACGCAGTCTGTACCGTATTGGCTACGTGTGTCGGCACTAGAACTCGCAATTCATGGAGAGGCAAAAAGATTTCTCGCTCATCCAGTTATGGTATCAATCGTGGATGAACTTTGGAGTGGGACACTGGTATTCGATCCGTTTATCTATAAGGCTCATCGCATCCGAGTTCGCACCAGGCGCCAGCTGAGCGCAATCTTGTATGCCCGCAAAGGTATTCTTGGTCGTTACAGTCCCGAGCATATATCCATTTTCAAACCATCAAGATTGAGAGTACCTTGCTACCGTCATTATTTAAAAATTGGATCTGTGTTGGTGCTTGTCGCCTTGTATTTGAAGCTCATCTTTAACTGGCGTTCAGAACCATCGTTCAACGAGGCTGTGTTTTCATTATGGGCTGTTGGCTTTGTTTTAGATGAATTCACCAATATCAAATACATTGGTTGGAGGTTGTACTCTCTGTCCCTTTGGGGTTGGTGTGACTTGTGTACAACAGCCGCAATTTTATGTTACTGGGTGTTCAGATTTCTAGCCCTGCATCTCGTTAACAACGCCACGGCTATTGACACACTCAATAAGTGGGCGCTCAATGTTTTAATTCTGGCTGCAATAGTGCTTATTCCAAGGGCCTCTAGTATTCTTGAAGCCAACAAAAGCTTTGCCAGGCTAGCAATCTCCATGAGGAAACTTAGCATTGACCTGATATACTGCGTTGTCGCAGTTGTAATATTTTCCATTGGTTTTTCTGCTTCTCTCACCGCATTTGCAAAGGGTGTTTTTCAACCCTCCGAAGTTGTTTTTTCACAACTCCAGATTTTTTTCGGCTTTACACCTGCTGTATGGCTGAACTGGGAAAAATATTCTTTCCCAGGGGCTTTGACGTTGTTCCTTTATCTATTTCTTGCACAATTTGTGGTCAGCACTATGGTCTCTGCTGCATTGAACTCAAGATATCGTGATATATCCGAGCACTCTCTTGAAGAGTATCACTACCATTGTGCTGTTCGCGTTCAATCAAAGATCAAGAGCGAACATTCTAGTCTCTTTTTTTTTGCGGAACCGTTTAACACAATCAACTGGCTCCTCTTCCCTATCCAGTATTTTATTCCTATTCAACGTTATCTGGGGTTCACAAGGTTCATATTAAAGCTCACGCATATGCCTGTCTTCTTGTGTATCTATCTTTATGAAGGAACACTTGTAAGATTTCGAACACATAAACAAAAGCAAGCAGATGAGCAGCATGAACGGCTCCAGAATTATTTAAATCAGCGGGTGGGCAACAGGGCGCCCAAACCTCATATCCAGCGCAAAAGACGTGGTGCACATGTTGACGTGGAGAGATCAATGGCACCAAGGGCCTCGAAGTTCGATCTGGTTGAAGAAGTCCTGAGTAGTAATGTTGAACCTGTTTCTGGTTCGAGTGTTCCTGCTTCGAGGCTGGACGTTGGGCCGAGCCCAAGTTTTGCCGTTAGAGAGCCTACTCTACGTCGTCAATATAACCCAAGAAAAAATTCAGTGTTTTCACTTTCCAGAGAATCTGATTTGGATACACTTCGTCTGCAGCTTCAACGGCGAAGGTTTTCGATACCGTTCGAGCTGGACATCGGGTCTACAGGCGATTATAGTGAAGCTAATGAGTTTCTTGATGACCTTAAGAGGCAAAACAAAAGGATAGAGGTACTTCTTGGTTTGATATGTGCCAAATTGGATATCGACGAAAGTCAGTACAGATTTTGAGGATACCACGCGCAAAGAGGTGCACTTGCTCGTATCTACTTTTGTCTCTCCACTGTTCTGTAGGCTAGATTTGTTTGTTTATTATTTATGTACCTTTTTGGTATATTCTTAGTTGTTTTGACTGTGTCTCTGAACTAGATTCTGATCAAGGACGGCGGAACAGGTCCAGACGGGTTACTCATGATCACATTGCTTAGCGATCACACCCTCCAACTATCATGTCGCGTTTGATCACAATCTACGGAGCAGATTGGTGCCCTGATTGTATAAGAGCAAAAAGGTACTTCTCATCTCATGATATTCCTTACACATATATTGACCTTGCAGCCACTCCTGGAGAGAAGGAAACAGCCAAGAAAATTAGCGGGAAACCGAACATACCTGTGATCGTGTATCCTGACGGCTCGATTCTTGTTGAACCTTCTGACGAAGACCTCGCTAAGAAAGTCAATAATTCTATCTGAAACTTAGGCAGAACAAGCTTTGGCTATATTGCCTGGAGCCGTGGTGAGATAGTACTGTAGGTGATAGGCCAGTCTGCCCCCATTATTTCAACCCAAATTTGTTATCCAGTTATTATAACCTTTCCCATATCTACAAAAAATACATTGAAATAGTGGTATCATGTTGTTTGATGATGCTCGTGGGAGTTTTTGATGCCTTTCAATCCCAGACGTTTGCTTTTTCGTTGTTAAAATTGAAAAGGAATTGACGGCCCCCGTAATGCCACCATCGCTGAAGACAAGAAAAAGGCTGAAAGTCGACAAGCTCGTTGTGATTTGTCGGACACAGACAGCGTCCAGTTGAGTAAGATGCATCGTCGTGTGGACATCGATGGAATGGTAAGTGATAGTATCCAATATCTGAAAAATGATGGATCTGTGACCTATTTGCAAACGCAAGTAGCCCTAGCGTATGAACAGGTGCATCGCCCCATCGTTCGTAGTAAAACCCATTGGATTTGTCGAGATGTTCGAAGTACTCAGAATACTTGTTGTTCCTGAAAAAATTCAGGTTTCCAATCTCAAAATTGCTCCAGAAATGACACATATTGTACCCCAAAGTAGGATCAATGTCTGCTTCATCGCTAGAAAGTTTCTCAGTCGTTGTTGCAAAGTCTAGAGCGTTGTCTGCTGCAATATAGTCCGGATGCTGATCAAAAAACTCTTTCGCTGTTTTCCATAATGTAGGAATTGTTTCCGGGTATTCCCTTATGGTTACAACAAACCCATACACTTTGTTGTTCTCACGCATAAAAGTAAAAGGATCGTATCTTTGATCACAGTAGAAGTGTACACCAGGCTCTACTCTCCAGTACCAGTCGTATTCTAGCAGGAGCGGATGCTTAAAGAAGCTCCCTGAGTTAAATCTGCACATATTGCGGTAAGATATTGAATCCCCATAGATTATACCCCTCGCCGTGAAATCTTGAACGCATTCTAGCATCTTCGTGATGTTTGTATGCGGTGGAATGTTCCATACATTTGGATCAATGAAACCATAATGTGTTTTTCCTGAAGCCATTCCCGTCGTTAGCAGTTTGAACTCATCTGTGAACTCGTCGTCGTTCAAGAAAACCCACGGGTAGTGGTGCTTGTGATTAAATCTATCCTCTAGCTCCCGCATTGAGGCGAGTGCTTCGTGTAACTCAGAATTCCGGACAAGCATGTATAAAGTTGCGTTTTCTCTGCCCAGCTGGGTACGGTTCCTATCAACTGTGTTGATATTTGGCCAATAAGTCAAGTCTTGGATGGTGGTGGGGGCCTCCTCCTTCCTGTCGGTATCCAATGATGAGTATCTGGCCATAATTAACGCACCTATAATACACAGGACGAAGCATAGCGTACGAATCCCCCCATCTCTGCTGAATGGCATCGCAACCAAGTAGAGGGTAGAGAGCTCTCACTGATTTCGTAATTCGTCAATGATGCATGTCCAAAGGCTGCAGCCATTTCAACCATATGGGTTTTTAAGCCGCACGGTCAACTTTGTGTGCTTTGTTGCTTACTTTTTTCTCTTTTAAATTCTCACTGTGTATCAAAAGGCACGTAGTGTTCCTATTTTATATGGAAAAGGCCCGATCAAACTTATGGAGGTTAACTAACTGTTGTAAGGTCAAAGACTCAGGGCAGGCTCCTCGTATTCTCCAGTTCTATGCATAAATAGAACCACATCTCATCACCAAAAGGATAGCCACGTCAAAGACGACGCCGTAATAAAAAAACAACAACAACAGCTCAATTAGACAACAATGTGGAGCGTGGCAGAAGAGATGGGGGGGGGGGGGGGGGAGGAGAGTACTAAGCTGTCTTGCCCAGATACAGCAACGTAGGTAAGCACGCACTCTCTAAGCTAGCTTGGATGTTGCCGACACTCAGAACTTTGTGGGAGGGACTATGTGCCTCAGTGGACGAGGCCAGCGCGAGCAAAACTCCACAGTTTTTAGATGAGGACTATCCAGACTTGACTGGAGCTGTTTGGGTTGTGACTGGAGCCAACGGAGGCATTGGTACTGAAGTGGCGAAGAAACTCGCTAGGAAGGGTGCGAAAGTATGGCTTATCGCAAGATCACATGCCAAGCTAGAAGAGACGGTTCAACTCATCAAAACAGAGCAACCAGAAGCACAATTGGATACATGCGTTATGGATTTCTCAGACCTTACAACTATCAAGCCTGGAGTTCAAAAGATCTTGAGCAACCATACCGAATTACATGGAATAATACACAATGCAGGCGTGATGTTTGCAGAAAAAGGGCTTAAGACCGCGCAGGGGTTCGAGTATCAAGTAGGAGTCAATAATGTTGGACCTCAACTTCTTCAGCATTTCCTAGACCCACTTCTCGAGAGGGCAATGAACAGGGACCCCCGCTCTGATCTGCGAATTGTATGGATATCTTCATTGGCGCTCTACTTGACCTCATACGAGTTCGACAAACCGAATGACACAACCAGGAGTGTCACAGAGAGGTACGCGTTTAGTAAGGCGATCAATTACGTACAAAGTGTTCAATGGCCACTCCACCACCCTGGAACTCAAGTTTTGTCAGTTGCAGCCCATCCAGGAATCATCAAGACGGAGCTGTTTAGACATACGGACAGCTTCTCCGACAGGCTCATAGATGGTCTCAAATGGCCACCCGAGTACGGTGCTTATACAGAGCTTTTTGCTGCGCTCAGTCCAGAGATTTGCAAAGAGGGAAGTGCATTCGTTGTTCCGTTCGGTCGCATCGGCCGTGTCAGCACTGAGCTATATAAACGTGCTCACAGCAGCCAGGGCCAAAAACTTTGGGACTGGATAGACGAGCAAATAGAGCCTTACAAATAGAACCATATATGCTAGTAAACTAAGATTATATAAATTGGTAACAGAATAGCATTAATTAGGCGAGACTAGGTCTCCGCTGCATCACCATGCATCACCATGCACACGCACGTACACCCCACCAAAACATACAGGAAGCCGTTATAAGAAGTACGCTCAGTCAGGTTGGTAATATATACTTAAGTATCTATGCGATTAAATCGTTCGACTGCCAGTTGAACAAATACCCATAAGGTGTTGTTCCTCAGTCGCAAGATCTTTTCAGGCGTTAATGCGAAACATGAGGTAAAACGAAACCTTGAGCAGTATAAAAAAAGACATCAACAAAAAAACATTTTGTAACTCATTTTTAAATGTATTCAGTTTATTTGAGTAAGCAGCATAATTGTATACGACGAATCAAACATTCACTTACTCATCATTTACTTCAAATAGATTGGCCAGAATAGAGCACATAACTCAACGTCCAATGATATAGCATATATGTATTAGTAATATAAATAGTGACAAAAACATTATCTGTAATTAGTAAAGTAAAGTTGAGAAAAACCTTAAAATGGTTTAGAAATGCATCGGTTGTATTTTGACAAAAAAAAAAAATTCACTTTTGTAGCAGGGTTTTCCAGATCCTGCACCTAACCGTTCACTACATGAGTAAACGACGGCACTTTGAATATTCAAACGGTATGCAATTCCCCTAACAGGGTAGATAAGCGTGAAGCAAAATTTGATATTTATAGTAATGAATAGAGAATTGGTCGGCATAAAATCAAGAGACATCACAAAAGAGATCAAGCAAACATAAAAACATTCATTCCATGGCACGAAGAAAATAGATAGAGCGAATTCGTCCTGTCTTTCCTGTTTTGAAATAAGTGAAGTATAACTTTTTATCATCTTGGTTTGATACCCGTTCATTGTCGTAAAAACTTTTACAGATAAAATCCATTATAATTATGACTGCATGGGTTAATAAAAGTACTCAAACCAGATTCGAACTAGCGATCTTAACATTGCTGGTGGTACATCTTCCCAACTTGGCCATTAGGCCCGATACGTCATTGTAGTGCGCTAAGTCTATGGCCACTCCACCGGCTCCCACGTATTGTTCAGAATAGTCTTTTGTCCTAATACCCCTTCACATGTCGGAAGGTCCGCACCGAGAGATAGAATGTACAGTATAATCTTCTTAATAGCTTTCAAAACGATAAGCTTCGCACGAAGGAAATACGCAGGTCATATGTTACTTTAGCTGAAGTGCGTACGAAAGCTATCAATCACGAAAAACAGCGGACCACATAACAGCCCCACGTAAGCAAAGGCTCCTCATCATACCAATGAGTGCCGCCAGGGTGTCTGATAAGGAGCTGTGTAAGTACTTAGATTCAACATCTGTTACCAATTGCAAGAGGAATACTAACTCAAGTCGAAATCAATAAAAAGGCCGTAACTAAGAATTTTGGCCTGGAACCCCGGTTGAGTTACAACACCGTGAACGCCATCAACGGGCCCCTTGTTATTCTTGATAAGGTAAAAGTTCCTCAGTTCGCAGAAATTGTGAACCTCACCCTTCCAGATGGAACAGAACGTACTGGTCAAGTTCTTGAGGTCAAAGGAGACCGGGCGATTGTGCAGGTTTTCCAAGGTACTTCAGGTATCGATGTGAAGAAAACTGTGGTGGAGTTTACAGGAGAGAACCTCAAAATCCCCGTTTCAGAGGATATGCTTGGCCGTGTCTTCAATGGAAGTGGCACTGCGATCGATAGTGGTCCTGCCGTCCTTGCCGAGGACTACCTGGACATTAACGGGTCGCCCATCAATCCTTATACACGTACCTATCCCGAAGAAATGATTTCAACGGGAATATCTACTATTGATTGCATGAATTCAATTGCTCGTGGTCAGAAAATTCCTATCTTCTCAGCTTCTGGTCTTCCGCACAACGAAATTGCAGCACAAATTTGCCGTCAAGCATCACTTGTTCGTCCTACAAAAGACGTTCATGACGGACATGAGGAAAACTTTGCAATTGTGTTTGCAGCTATGGGTGCCAATTTAGAAACTGCGAGATTTTTCCAACGTGACTTTGAGGCTAGTGGCTCACTTGAACGTACAACACTTTTCTTGAATTTGGCGAATGACCCAACGATTGAGCGTATTATTACGCCGCGTTTGGCTTTAACTGCTGCAGAGTATCTGGCATATCAGACTGAGCGCCATGTTCTGACTATCCTTACAGATATGTCTTCCTACGCCGATGCTTTACGTGAGGTATCAGCGGCTAGAGAGGAAGTTCCTGGTCGCCGCGGCTATCCAGGTTACATGTATACAGATTTGGCGACAATTTATGAACGTGCTGGCCGTGTAGAGGGTCGTAATGGCTCTATTACTCAAATTCCAATTCTTACCATGCCCAACGATGATATCACGCACCCCATTCCAGATCTGACAGGTTATATCACAGAGGGACAAATTTTCGTGGATCGCCAGTTGCACAATCGTGATATATATCCCCCTATCAACGTTTTGCCCAGTCTCTCACGTCTTATGAAGGCGGCAATTGGTGACGGCATGACTCGCAAGGATCACTCTGACGTTTCTAACCAGTTGTACGCCAAATACGCTATTGGCCGTGACGCGGCGGCTATGAAAGCAGTTGTCGGAGAAGAAGCGCTCTCAAACGAGGATAAGCTTTCCTTGGAGTTTTTGGATAAATTCGAGAAAGGGTTTGTTTCTCAGGGCAAGTATGAAGACCGCAGTATTTTCGAATCTCTTGACCTTGGCTGGAGCTTGTTAAGAATCTACCCCAAAGAACTTCTGAATCGTATCTCACCTAAAATTTTAGATGAGTTCTACGACCGCCGAGCTAGGAAGTCCGATGATGACGATGAAGATGGTGACGAGGAGGACATAAAGGATTCAGCGGATTAACTTGACCTCGTTCACCCCCGCGGACCTACAGTTTAGGTATAAACCAGAAGAAACCGATTTAGTAGTTATGTTAAGTTGGGTTAGTTTCAACTGATTGAACTGTTTGTATCGGGGGCGAGGTAACACTATGAGAGTGTCCGGTATTGCGCTCTCAGCTTACCCAGGTGATAAATCCTATCGTATATGGCTATGATGATATACAAGAAATATCGTTGCCGTATTATCAGTTACCAAATTAACCAAAGCGGCGTAAGTTATCAAGAAGTACTTGCAGTTCTTCATCATTCTTTTTGTATGCCAAACTTGGTATAAGGGATTTGGCTTCTTCAGCATCCTCACAAACCAACGAGCCTAGTTGAGCAATTTCGAATGGATGGAGATCCGCATTTTCTTGAGATTTTAGTAAGTGCTCAGCCGCGCTTACCGTTTGCTCGTCCTTGAACCTGGCGAAGACCGATAAATACTCTTGCGTTTTCCGTAGAATTTCATTCGAGTTCGAAAAATCTTCCTCATCCTCATCGTTGATGTCTCCTGAAGACTCCCCTTCATTGTCCCTTCTACGTTGTTGCAAAGCAGCGTTGATGAGTAGTCTTGTTTCCGACAAATTCAAAGCGATCAATGGGGCTTCTGTACCATCATGTGAGGTCTGTCGTACATCAAATTCTGGACCAAAGTATAGTTTGGCTGCGTCCTCCTCTTCTCTTTGTGCAGACTGATGAGGACGTCTACGCTCCTGGAGAATTGTAGATGTGGATATGTTCATTAGATAATGCTTCCTGCTCAGGGTCTATTGTAGCCTTTACCAGATGTTACTATACTGTACTATATATGCCGTTCATGAGATAAAGGATCTTATAGCTCTAATTATCGGCTTCGCAGATCAATTTAGAACTCTTGAAAGTTTTGTCGCTCACTAAAAAAAAACTATGACCGATTACACAGCGAACAAATATCTGTCGAATTATAAGAAAAAGCAAAAATTTGCTCACATAATACTGATGGGTTGGTTCTGGATCACAGAAAAGGACGGTTCAACCGCCAGCGCTGCGGCTACGGATGCTATGCCGGTCGCAAAACTCAAGCAAAGCTTTACAGGCCTTTTCTGGTCATCACCAGTGGATAAAGATGCTCTTTTTAGTCAGGGCATAGAGGAGAAAAGACTCAATACCACTGAGCCGATCTCCAAGTGCCCAGTGGATCACACTAAACTAATGTCGAGAAAAGTTTCTCAATGCCCTGTTCACGAGAAAGGCAGTTTAAACCCCGATAATAACATGCCTGAGTTGTCTTCCCTCAAGGTACCGGGACAAAAGCTGGATCTTCCTACGGAACGAACAATTTCATCGATCCCGAAGGGCAACAGCGATACTTCAGGACATTGGGAGTACCCCTCGCCTCAACAAATGCTCAATGCAATGGTTCGAAAAACTGGACCGGCTGGAATTCCTGAGGATGCTGTGGAAAGCATGGTGGACGTGCACAATTTTTTGAACGAAGGTGTGTGGCGCGAGGTATTGGAGTGGGAAAAACCTTATACGGACCGCGTGAATGTGATGCCGAGACTATTGAAGTTCACCGGTAGACCGGAAGATCTCAGTCCCCGAGCTGCATTTCTTCAATTGCTAGGCAAAGTTTACCCCTCTCGTTTCGCCGGTCCGTTACCATTTGACCGCCACGATTGGATGGTGTTACGGATGACACCATCGGGAAACTGGCAAGAAGTCAGGTACGTTATAGATTTTTATGAAGCCCCCGATGATGGCGATAAACCTGTGTTTTCGGTCGATGTTCGCCCCGCTGCAGACTCTCTTGGGAATGTTATGGATCGACTAAAACGTTCGGCTGGGCCACTATATGATAAGGCTATGGGGAAATAGAAATTACCCAAATACATGGATACGGTTCTCTACTAATACCTATATTTAATTGTATTGTCGTGTTGTTTTTGAAAAAGGACCCTACAATACCACACACCTGACGAGACGCCTTTGCTGACATGCGTATGGATAGCGGAGTAACGCTTGTTCTTGCTGCGACCTACCCCGGCTTTGGTATCGGCAGAGCTGGCTCTTTACCTTGGCGCCTAAAAAACGAAATGAAGTTTTTTCGACAAGTCACTGATGGAGGAGTGGTTATAATGGGGCGCAAAACCTGGGAGTCAATACCTCTCAGGTTCAGACCATTACAGAATCGCGTAAACGTTATTGTGTCAAGAAACCCAGATTTTGAACTACCGGATGGCGTCTTGTTTGCAAACTCGTACGAGCAAGCCCTAGAAAAGGCGTCTACATTAAAAAAAAAAATGTTCGTGATAGGCGGTGGTCAACTTTATGCAGCTGCTCTCGAACACCCTGCCACAAACTTGATTTTAATGACACAAATACATGATCCTGACAACACCTTCAAATGTGACACTTTTTTCAATTTTCCTGCTGAGGAATGGACACGGGAGACGGAAGATCAACTCCGTCGTACACTGAGACCACTGACCATTAATGCTACAGTTTGCAAAGAGGTCGGTGTATCTTACGAATATACACTATGGTCCCGAAAACCTTCCTCGACTAATGAGGAAGATTGAAGAGCAATTTTACATATATTTGAGATGTGTTACTCAACTGTGTTCTCTCCTATAATAGCTTGTGTACGGGACTGAGAGCTTTCAGACGAGGACTCAGCTTTTACAAGTTAAACTATACTTAATTCAGCGAACTTTGGCCTCATGAAAATGCACATGAAGTGGAGTTAGGATGGTATACGACCGACGGGTCCTCAAACACCATGTAGTATCGGTCACAAGAGACGCTAATTGACCCAGCCTATCTAGAGATGCTAGCCTTTCGTTGTAGTAGCTGATGGTACCTTTTGTTGCTACTATGAGGGAGGCTAATGCGTCACTATACGCATTGTCACCATTCTTGAACGAGGCGTATGATGATGATATGGTCGCTTCGGCATCTTTCAAACACGATTCTATGGAGCCAAACACGCCCACACGACTGTCACGAGGTGTTGAAAATGAGAGTTCACTCAATAAGTCTGCAATTTTCAGACAAACTTTGTAGTAAAGAACTTCGATGTTGATATCTGCAGCAAATTCGTAGCTCGACGTAATTTTGACAGTTGAGCTCTTCATCACGCTGTAATCGCTGATGGGCTCTGGAGAAAGGGTCTCATTAGTATCCCACTGCATATTAAATAGATGAAGAGACTGCGTTCTAGCTCCTGCGTTGAGGTTTGTAGTAGTGATTACTTCCTCCTCCTTGGTAATAGTTTTCACAGCCAACGCTTTGTTGAAGGCGCCTTTCATGCTATCCAAACTTAATTCCACGAAAAACGTATAGGCTTGCCCAGCCTTGAGATTTCCGAGTTCAATTTGAACAGTTTTCCTCCGAGAATCACTGTGGTCAATGTCGTTCGAAAGGTCGTCTTCCGCAACACGTTTCATTGTTGCTCGACCCAGCTTCATGCATGCGAGACTGATAACACTCAGTATTTGTACATCATCGGATGGATGAATACTCACAACATTGTTTTTTAGCCTATGCATTTTTTCAAATTTCAGAAGCTCTTCCATGGGACCAATCAGTCCGTTCACATTCTCTAGAAGCACATAACGACCGCCAGTTTTGGATGAAATGTTGCTCAGTATGTTCGAATTAGAGGTCGATATATCAAAGGTGCTTATCGGTGTACCTGCTTTGATAAAAGTCCAAGGAACATAAGAGAATGAGGCATCCTTGAGGTCACTGACCACTATAACAGATGCGAACGAACGAGTAGAGCAGTAGCTAGAGAGAAGCGACTCACAGCAGGCAAGAAGATCAGTGTAATCAAAAGAGGACTCGATCTTTGAGCTTGTTAGCGATACCAGTTCTTCTGTTATAGCATCCCAGTTGCCACACACTTTTCTGCTGAGGGGGAAAGATTTGAGAAGCGAATGTCCGAAAAAAACAATCCCGAGTCGGTCAAAGGAGCTCATAGTAGAATGAAGCTTTTGAATAGCCTGGACTACTCTTCTCGTTTTGACACTATCTGCAACATCAGATAAGGATATGCAAAATACTAAATCGAGCGGGACTTGTGGTTCTCGCATCAAGACATAGTTTTGAATGAAATCTCTATCTCCATTTGGTCGAGGGGCGAGTGGGAACTCGTATTCTGGGTTATAAAGTGCTAGCCGCCATTTATAAAGCACACCCTCGTCTTCTGTACTCAGAAAGAGTTCGGGCAAAGCCTTACTCAAAGTGATCAAACAAAGAGCTTTACCTTTTTCTAGGTCTTCAAGCTGCACCTGTTCAATGTCCTTCACACTCAATATAAATTGGACTGTTTGGTTTCCTTGCATATCCACCCTACAAATGATCATCAACTTTGAGAACAGATAAGCGTAGCAACGTACCCACATATTATTGCGGTATGTCACGTAAAGCACATCTAAAAGCCTCAGCTTTCCTTTCGGTACTGAAGCTAAAAGCTTTCCATGGAACGATACTTTTGAAAGCTCCTCGGTGAACGTCCGGCCATAGTTAATATCTGCAGCGGACGAACGATAGTCATAGTCACTATCTGAGTGTACGGGAACTTTCAGCTTCGCCAAGCACACTATCTTTTTTGTCTCATCAGAGATAGTTTCGTATGCTGGGGTTATACTGGCTTCAAGCGCAAGATGATTCCTAGTCTGAAAAGGCGCATAGAGGGAGGTATAATAGCTGCAGAGGTCCGAGGAGTTCAAACTCGGGGAAAAGGCGGGCTCCAGTGTCTTAGTACTGCGAAGTGGCGGGGTATGTGGTTGTTGGTTTGCAACACCATAGCATATATCATCTCTCTCATTTGTCACATTGAGTTTGTACCTTGAGTTCTCGCAATGGAGGCACTGAAGCTCAGAAACAGCTTGTGTTATCATGTTTGAGTAGCATTCTTGATGAGCCCGGTGACCGCAGTCGAGCTCTATGGTATGCTCATTGCTCAATGTATACACCAGAGGGAAATCACAGACAGCGCAGTAACTCTCCCTAAAATTTGTTCTAACAAGGTTCTGGGTAGAGTAATAGCTTGATGTGCTGCTTATAGATCTGAAATCCTCAAGCTGGTAATGATGCTGTTGCCGCCCTGTTTCCTTCTTCCAATTTAGCGGTGTGCTTGTGAGATCATCGGGAGGAGATACAATTTCACAGCCATGTAATTTTTCAAGACTATTATTGACAAAATAGGAACCTCTCTGGCCTTCTGGTGTTGTAGGAGTTAGAGGAGTATCAGAAGTGCTGGATTTGAAAAGTCGCCGCAAGCGGTGGCTTCTTGGAGAATCCTTTTCATGAGCTGTAGGGTACAATCCGCTCATTGATATTTTTTTCTTGAACCATTCTCGATGCTCAGTCGTCTTATCTATTAGGAGTGGTAATTCGTTGCAGTTTCGTGCATGCATCAGCTAGCCACCCGTCTTCTGTTACAAAGTTCATTGCCCTAAAACTCGCTACTCGAAAAATACCAGGTTAATATGATATAATTTGAGCCAAATAAACTATTTTTTTTACCCCTTCTGTTTATCTCAAAGCTTGACTTCTCACTAGTACACTTACTGGACCACAAATGCGTGTGCAGATTATCTACTCTGCAGCAGGTTGTACCTCAATTGGGCAATGCTGCGAGCGGCTGATGCGCACACAGAAAACAGCCGCTCGGTTTGGAACACTGTTCCCACATAACTTGTGTCATAGTACGTTGCCAAAATTCGGTCACATACGCGCGGAGCCGTATTCATGAGATGGATGAGCCACATGAAAGTATCAATAGCTCGGTGAAGCCATCAAAATATAGTGAGGATAATTATAGTACCTGGACACACACCGAGATCGATTTTGTTCTGAGTATATTGCAAGAATGTCGTGTTTCTGTGACGCGAGAGCAAATTTCTGCTCAATCCAAGTCTCGCTGGCATATCGAGTTTTCCAAGATCTCTGGGCACCGCGATTGCTATTATCGCTCCGGAGAAAATATCTCGAAATTTTATACCCTGAAGCTTGAAAATTGGATTGAAAATGGGACTATAGAGGCAATGCTCGAATTTGTCTGGGAGTCGTATATTAGCTGTACCTGGCTCGAATTAAGACGGCTCTTGGGGTTTCTCCTCATAGAAGCCGCTAAAATAGCTCTTTCTGAAAACATACCATCTGATTTTATGACCAGAAATCGACAAAATGTTTTAGAAAAGATGGTTCTCGATGTGGACCCGAGTATTTGCACGGCAGCAACACAAGCCTACTTCCAAACTGGATCATTTCCAAATGAGACAACACTACTAAACACGATAGGACACCTCGTAACACACCGCAAAAGTAAAAAGGTGAGGTATGTCGCTTGTTCAGTTTTAACTCGAGCACTTGATTGTACACCTGGATTGGATCGCCTTCTGGCTTTGCTTCTTGGAAGTAAGTTACTCAAAATGTCAAGACTGGATCCTTCAGTGTATTCAAGAGCTGCGGCACTAAAAGCTATAAACAAGCTTTTCGCGGTTGATGTATTTCCCATGAGCGTTACTGATGTAGCGAACCTCGTGTCCACAGATGATCATCCTGCATTGCTCCGTCAGTGGGCGCACCTACTGTGGAGTGTTATTTTGTTAGGAATAGCTGAAGGAGAAGATTCCAGTTTCTTGGCTCGTGTATTAGAAGTTGTACGGCTAGTAAAAACAGGAACTCTATCAGATCATCAAGGTGCCATAATTCTTGCCCACCAGGAAACCAGCTGGCAGTCTTGTTGTCAGTTGCTTCAACATGACCTTGCGGATCATTCCGGCTTCCCTGACACTCTCAAACTACTCGTTACCTGGACTGGAATCCTCGCAAGTATGCCAAAGAGCCCGCATGTGAACAAAAAAGTAGAACCCAGGTTAGAGGCGGCTGAAGAGATCAATTCAGTGCTTGGCCTCCTGAATATGCTTCAATCGGATGAGATGAAGGCTGAGGGAATCCATTTGCTATGCAATGTTATGGTACACGGTAAATACAGAGAATTTGAAGCTATAGAGATGGTTGTTGACCGTGTTATTGAGCTTTTCGTATCGACCTCCACACCGGGCCTTATTTGTGTCATTGGGGATTTATTCCAATCTCTATATGAAGATCCCTATTATAAGGCCAGGATTAGTGCTAAACTAGACGTCCTTGCCGCGCTTATTCTGTCATCTAAAGATGGGCTCTATATACATAAGTTTGCGGCATTGTGCGGCACTGTTTTAAAACCCAGCCAAGAATTGGGGCAAATGGAGCCGGACGCTATTGCTAGATTTATACAAGCGAAAGTGGAGTTTGTTATGCATGTCGACCATGAGACTGTTCATTTTATTGAGCGCATTATTCAGTTATGCCCCAAGTTTCCAGAAAAGCTGATTCTCATCTTGAAAACAGTGGGGAAATACAGCTCGAGAGCTAAAATACACCAATGGCCACTTCCAAACTTCCCTATAGAGATTTGCTCGTGGCTGATTGAATATCTAAAGAATTTCAATGAAGCAGACAGAGAAACATTGGTTGAGTGTATCCTTGGGTTGTGGTATTACAACGCGCTTCCAGACGAGCTCATCGCGAATGTTAGACGAATTTTTTCGGAGCAGGGGTGGACTTGTAGAGAACTTGAGTTGATAGAAACTTAGTCGAATGACAGAAAAATCGCCCCAAGGAGTACAAACACCAATAACTAGATAGTTCTAATATGTGCTGTGCGAACATACAAGTTAAAAAGCACCATCCAGGAGTGCATCTATAGCGCCCTCTACATTCCCCCCTGATCGCCGCAGGGCCCTGATATTCCGGTCAAAATCATAGAATCCTAGTTCATTGAGCTGTGCTAGTTGATGTTCATAGCGTTCTTCGGGGGGCCGACTGTCCTCTTGAACAGCGGCAGCAGCTCCCGAACCAGCTAGACCAGAACCAAGCAGTGCTGAAAGGTCAGGAAACTGATTATTGGAGTTTCCAGCTGAGTTACCAAGAAAAGACAGAAGGGGATTCTGTCCACTCCCACTAGAGTTCGCGTTACTGTCGTTGGGCTCAGTAGGTCCTGGAGCCGGGAAACCACCAAACGATCCTCCGGATTCACCTGAATTTTCAAAAAGGTTACGGAGCATTTGTGCTTGCTGGAACATTTGCCGAAGTGCCTGAGGGTCAGACATCAACTGGCGGAACTCTGGGGTGCGCAAAAACTCCCTGAATTGTTGAGCTTGAGCAGGTGGCATCGAATCTAGCATAGGATTCATTTGAGACATTGTATCCGGGTCAGACAATAACATTTGCATTGCCTCTGAAAACCCGGGACGCTCCATCATCGATAGCACCTGGTCAATATCGGGTGTGGGGCCCATACCACCATCTGGACCAAACATGCTTGCACTAGGTAAATTTGCGAATCCAGCATAGCGCGCACCAGTTAAATCAGACAAGACATTGCCTGTGCCGGCGCCGGAAGCGATATTAGTAGGAACACCATGCGTGGCGCCAGGTCCCTCTTGAGCCCTTGATTGTGGTTCTTGAACCGCCATAGAGGTTGATTGAGCACCTGATTTTGATCCTCCTTTAACCAAGTGCAGAGAGTGGCCCGACTTGATGCTATAGACTTCCAAACTCTGGTCGTCTTTGAGAATACGGCCGGAGTAAATGAGACGTTGATTTGAAGCAGGAATATCATAAAGCTCTGAGAGTTTATCTTTCAATTCAGCGACCGTAGCCTTCGACGATACACATACTGTCTTTTTGTCGCCTCTTGAGGGCTTGATAAGTATCTCAAGTTGCTCAGGATGTTCACTGTCGCTCATGTGTAGTACGTTAGTCAGAAGCACGCTTTAGAACCGCGCAGAATCCGCTGGATCGGAAGGGGTGGTGGTGCTTGGTGGCCAATGTCGAAATGCTTTGCTTATCTTTTAATATATAAATGCGTAATTAATTCAAACTGATATCATTGCGGGCTCTGGAAATTGCGGTTGTATCGTGTTACGGGGAGAAAGTGTCGCCTTCTTAGCCAAGTTAGTGGCGGTGTCCGAGAGCTCGACTTTTTCGTCGCAATCGGGCTGGTTGGATGGATTAGCCGCTAACAACAGACTAGAGCGCGACCGTTTTGTAGCACTGACGCAGAAGCTCAGGGCTTTGTTGGGCATCGAAAAAGAATCCGACGCCAGCGCAGAAAGGCTACGCCTTAATTGAAAGGGACGCGATTTTTTTGGGGAGAAACCTTCCAACTCGTATTCAACTCGCTTATAAGTGCTCAATTCTGGGTCAGAATGAGTACGGATGGTATAAATACCACTTTCGGAAAGTGCCGCTAAACTCTCTGGGGCATTTTCCGGAATGGGTGCCGAATCTGTGGTCTGGGGCGATGTAATTGGAGAAGATTTCCAAGTCCACCGCCACGAGCCAGTATTGTTTTGTTGCTTAGCTCGGCTTTTACTAGAAAGACGAGCTGTGGCAGCAGTATCCGTCTCAGATGTAAACTCGCCCTCCATGACTGGTTGAACATACAGCGCGTTGGGATGGGCAGAGTCCAACCAGCCAGCTATGTTGTCCATGACAAACTTTGGACCAGGACGACGTAAATCGCAAATCAGACAATCATGCAAGCCGCGGGGTTCTTCAAAAGTATTGGTTAGTCTAGCCTTTACAGCAAACTCACGACACGAATCCCTCATGCTTTCACAGGCGCCCCACACCGTGAACTGACGTTTGGGTAGAACCCCCTCCCAGTACTCTGTACTTCCCATAATTGGATTGACAACGGGGTTACTTAGATCGGTCTCATCACAATAGGCCTGGCACATCTCATCCAAAGACGCTGCGTCAATGAGATCACGGCTTTTGAACTCAGTATACGAGCCATGATTATACGTCACCAGTGAGACCCACGGAGAAACCATTCCACATGCCCATACTGGATGCGAGCAAACGGGAACATCTTTCACAGGGTACTTTATGTGTTGGAGGAGAGCAAGTGCAAGGTTCGCGCCACATGAATCGCCAAGTAGGATTGGGCGCCTGCAGTTTCCAGTAGAAGTCAGAGTGTTGTAACAGTTCGCCAGCTCTTGCAGTTGCCCTGGGTACCTCGAAAAGGGTGTCACTGTGTAATCTAGGACAAGTAGAGAACATCGAAACCTTTTGAGAGCACGAGCTGCTGTTATAGCAAACGTTACCAGTGGCGGTGTGAGCTTGAATGCATACCCTCCACCATGGAGAAAAATAATAACTGGGTCGTCAGGGGTTCTGTCGGGAGCTTCGTGTATCCAGCGCGCACTAAACCCCGAGCCTTCAAAAATGCCATTATAATTGTTCAAGTCCTTGGCCTGACGCTGAGAAGATTTCAAAGTTACGCGAATCGGCTTGATGGGACAGACGATTCGAAGTTGGGGGATGGATGTTGATTTAGAAATGTATCCCATTGTTCGAACCTTGACTTCTTGAAACACAGGTTCATCTGGGTTGGTAACAAAACTTGTCGAAGACCAAAAGACCATTCTGGCAGGTAGCGACATGATCTTCATCGCGAGACCCATGCGATCAGCCCAAGTAACCTTGGAATTTGGACAACCTTCGTGATAGTCCCACTCACCTACTTTATCAGCCATCTTTGTATATTATTTTGTCACAAACACAACGCAGTAGGGTTGACTCCGTTAGGTACAATTCACTGCAAAGGGAAAAGTCTTCGTCAATCTTTGAGACCAAGTGTGTAGTGTGACTGCCGGTGTACGTGGGAAAACGCCTTAATTATACCCAGTTCGGCTTTCTAAGGGGTTAGCATTTTAGCAAACTCAGGGTAGAAAACCCAAACCCGTGTCGGAGGTAGCAGGTTGCTCTGCGTTGAGAGCTTCGTACATATGTATTTCCAAGGGACTATCTGTTGGCCTAGTGTGCTCATTCTGTTTAGATTCATCTTCTCATTCCCTCGAGCCCAAGGCTAGGCACTGCAAGAACGTGCTTTCAGTTTCTTGGCATTTCATTGCCGGTGTAGAGGTGCATGAAAATCATGTCCCTGATTAGGGCATGCGGAAATTGTGGGCTAATGGAGCGCGCGTAAGTAATGTAAGATGTGCGGAGCCTCAAAATTGATAGAAAAGAATAGAAAACGTTCAAAACTTTCAGATTGTCAATTCAACTTTATTTGCCATCTGATGGTTTAATCTTACTGGGTGTTCAGCCCCTCCTGCTTCAAGCCGCCTCGAAACCACTCTTGTTCGAACCCCCTACGCTTAATAAGGCCGAAAGTTGAAACTCTCGGAACGGAATCACTATTTACATCCGCTTTTGGATAAAGTTGTATCCCAGGTTAAACTATTGGCCTCCTAATCATATTTATTATTGAACCATTAAGAATCGAGTATAGTACATATCAAAGTGTGGCCACATTTCATGCGCAAGTAAAACTAGCAAATTGGGCGTATGAATCTCATAATGCAAGCTGATTTTTGCATAGCATGGAGGGCAGCGGAAAAAAGGCTCAACTACCGAGCAGCTCGAGAACTATTTCCAGAATACGAGGTCTTAAATAGCATCTCAGTACTTGCTACTGGAGTCGAAAAACGATTCAACTTTGTTCCATCTGACCAGGCGACAGTATACGACTTGACCCCGGAACAAGTAGCTGTCACCATCGTAGTAGTCTTTCAGAATTTACGTATTTTTTGCTATTCAGTATTAAAGCATTATCCGTTCGCCAGTGTTGATTTTGCTACTGAAGTCATATTCAGTTTTCTTCTCTAGTTCGATCGGATCTGTCGTAATACTCCCGTCTGCAAATCTTGAAAATCTTAACATAATAAACACACTGCACAAAACAATATGCTATCTAACTAGACTCTATAAAGACATAACAGCCTGTTTTCGCTTGGGGAGGGCATAATCGTGTGAGATCTGTACACAAGTTCATTTTTAATCTGATGCAGTGGTTTTACCTCGGCTGAATTGAATGCATCCATCTAGCGCTTTTTCTTTTGGCTAGTGCGTATTACGTTAGGTAGGCCTTTGACTAGCGGTATCTGCTGGCTTCACTATTGGCCTTGGGGCGTTGGCAATCACGGGCGAAGCGACTGCGGTATTTGGTGCGCTTAAAGGTGCTGAGGTAGGGGGGAGCAAAGAAATTGGATTAAAGTTAGTGTGAGAGCGCTGCATCATTTCGATTATACTGACCACAGGCCTTGGCAGCGTGCGTATATCATTGTGAGAGACGATGTAACCTTTCAACGTTTCCATTTGAGATCGTAAAGAGTTCAGTTCAATATTTAGCTCATCATTGACGGTCATCAAGTAATTTACCTTGCCTTTGAGATCATCCACATACTGCTTTTTTCTTTGTCGACATTTTACAGCGGCGATACGGTTCCTTTCGAGGAACTGACGGCGTTTCTCATCAGATGTGAGCGTGCTCGAATCTAAAGCTTCTGAACCACGTTTCCTTGAGCTGATACGACCAGGTGATGTTTCAGATTCATTTTGAGATCCTGGATCAACAGAACTATCACGCACTTGTGTTCCTCTAGTCTGATTTACAGCAGACCCATTCCCACTACTCATCATGTAGAGGCTGCTGGCTGCAATACTCTCACTTGATCGATTCCTTGGAAGGCTTTCTGCTCCAGAAGGATTGATAGTAGCCGCAGAGCTAGGAACAGCGTGTACCGAAGCTGGTGGGACAACTACCGGTGGGGAAGGTAGCGGCTGGGGGCCACCACCAAAGCTCTGAACTGGCGGCCCAAGCATAGAGCCCATCCTTATATCAGTCTGCCACCTGTTTACATTAGATCCAGTGAAGCCAGGCCCTGGAGAGGTGAGCTCTTGAATTCCCGGTAATGTAGGTGTGCGACCCTCAGGGTGTTGTCGTATGTCGCCACCATCTGGTGGCCTTAAACCGTGGCTTTGGGTATCTTTGGGGTCAGCATGCTGCGATTTCGAAGCAAATGATTGCTCGAATGGGTTGTGCTCGAATTTTAAGGACGTGGGGACATTCCCGAAACTGTTGGACGACGCCATTGTGCCTGGTTTTATGCGGTCAGTACGTCACTAAGCGTCAGTAATCGAAAAATAAAGGTGCTATACTCAAAGGAAGGGGTGGTAGTGGGGTAATATGTACATTCTCAATATCACATATTTCAGACAAACCAGGTCGAGTTTCTCGGTCAAAACTTGACTTTTTCTCAATTCTTTAAGACGGAACAACTATTGTTGGTTTCAACTAGATGCTAGATGGCCACGTGACCGAGTTTTGGGGGACACCAATGGCCATCACCGCTACCCGTGTTTCTCTCGTAAGCAGATTCCGGGGCCCTCCGATATTCCCGCGTAAGCCTCGGTCACCTGAACAGGCAAGCAATGGAAAAGAGTCAGTTGGGTCCACGAAATGTTCGATAGACTCCAACCATACCTGCTCAATTGTTATGTCTAGTATCAATGAATCAACTAACAAATTAGCTTATTCAAGACATCTGCTGTTTGATGGACGGCTACCTTGTAATACCGCGAAACATATTCGCGCTCCGCCGAAATCCGATTAGAGGTGGACCTGTTCAGTCATCGTTGTCACAATTAGCTACCGAGGCACGCCTAACCCTAACTCGAATTCTCCAGAACATCACTTACAATTTCAGCCCCAATAAGTCGCTGTGCTTGAATTGATTCAGAGTCGACTTTTACTTAGATACTAATAAATCCAAATACTCTCTTTAAGCAACACTTTTGAGGTTCTACAAAAGATTTCCCTCGCGTCACGTGATATAACCGTGCGCGGGTCCGGGGTAACCCCAGAAAAGCTCATGCAGCGTGTATGCAGCAAGTTGTATTTAAGAAGGTCACCACCCCGGCCTAACCTATCCCAACGAAATCAATATGGCCCCTATCGATTTGAAACAAGAACAACAAGCGTTCGACGCTGAAGTCGCTGCCGTCAAGAAGTGGTGGTCTGAGCCCCGCTGGGCTCAGACGAAGCGTGTGTACACCGCTGAAGAGATTGTCAAGAAGCGCGGTACTCTTGCTACTGAGTTCACCTCCAGCATTCAAGCCAAGAAACTCTTTGGTCTTCTCACCGAGCACGACAAGAACAAGACTGCCTCGTTCACTTATGGCGCTCTCGACCCTGTTCAGGTTACCCAGATGGCGAAGTATTTAGATACGGTCTATGTCTCTGGATGGCAATCTTCTTCCACTGCTTCTACCTCCAACGAACCTTCACCTGACTTGGCTGATTACCCTATGGACACCGTCCCCAACAAGGTTGAGCATTTGTGGTTCGCTCAGCTTTTCCACGACCGCAAGCAACGCAATGAGCGTATGTCTGTACCCATGTCTGAGCGCGCCAAGCTGGAGTACGTTGATTATCTCCGCCCCATTGTGGCCGATGCCGACACTGGCCACGGTGGATTAACTGCCACTTTCAAGTTAACTAAGATGTTCATCGAGCGCGGCGCTGCTGGTATCCATGTCGAGGATCAAGCCCCCGGCACTAAGAAGTGCGGCCACATGGCTGGTAAGGTTTTGGTTCCCGTTCAGGAGCACATTAACCGTCTTGTTGCCATCCGTGCTTGCGCTGACGTTTTTGGCTCTGATTTGCTCGCAGTTGCTCGTACCGATTCTGAAGCCGCTACTCTGCTCACTTCCACCATTGATTACCGTGATCACTTCTTCATCGTTGGTGCTACCAACCCTGATGTTCGTCCTTTGATCGACGTCATGGTTGAGGCCGAGAGCCAGGGCTACACTGGTGATAAGCTCGCTAAGGTTGAGGCTGATTGGGTGAACTCCGCAGGTCTCAAGCTCTTCAACGAGGCTGTTATCGATGAGATCAAGAAGGGCAGCTACTCCAACAAGGACGCCCTGATCAAGGAGTTCTCTTCTAAGGTTGGCCCTTTGACCAACACACCCAATGCCGCCGCCCGTCAGCTTGCGAAGCAGCTGCTCGGCAAGGACATCTATTTTGACTGGGAGAAGCCCCGTGTCCGCGAGGGCTACTACCGCTATCAGGGTGGTACCCAGTGCGCTGTCAACCGTGCACGTGCTTACGCTCCTTACGCAGACTTGATCTGGATGGAGTCTAAGCTCCCTGATTACTCTCAAGCCAAGGAGTTCGCCGATGGTGTTAAGGCTGCTTTCCCCAAGAAGTGGCTCGCTTACAACCTCTCCCCATCGTTCAACTGGACCACCGCCATGTCTCCTGATGAGCAGCGCACCTACATCCAGCGTCTGGGTAAGCTTGGCTATGTTTGGCAATTCATCACCCTTGCTGGTTTGCACACTAACGCTTTGGCTTCTGCCTCTTTCGCCAAGGGCTTCTCTGAGCGCGGTATGCATGCTTATGGCCAGGACGTCCAAAGCCAGGAGCTCAAGCTCAATGTCGATGTTGTCAAGCATCAGAAATGGTCTGGAGCTGAGTATATTGATGATATCCTCAAGACTCTTACCGGCGGCGTCACCTCAACCGCAGCATTGGGTGCAGGTAACACTGAGACACAGTTTGGCCCGAAGGGTGGCAAGCTTTAAGCTGCTTCTATCTATTTAGTCAATAAATTTGATCTTTACTTTACATTGTAGCGTGACAACTCGCTTCTGACTAATTTCCTTGGCGATGCACTGAGCGCTTTAAATTGACGTGGATGCTTATGCTGCAGGTCAGCTATATAAGCATCCGATCGATCCGAAGTCTTAATCATATACAATGCTTTCTGGTGTACACCGCAGATACAATCCTCTTCACGATTCATGGGTTCTTTGTTCACCCCATAGGACGAGCCGCCCTTGGCAAGGGGCTCAAGAAGCAGTGACTGGAGATGACAAGCCCGAGTATGACGAGAAATGTTATCTCTGTCCCGGCAACACTCGCGCAAACGGAGAGCAAAACCCCGCATACAAAAGCACTTATGTTTTTCCGAATGACTTCGCTGCCGTTATGCCGATCACTCCGTATAGTTTGGCCGAGGAATCAAGCAGCTGTAAGGACAACGATCTATTCAAAGCCGAACCTGTCTCAGGTAACTGCTCGGTGATCTGCTTTTCTCCCAAACACAATGTGACCCTCGCACACATAACCCCAAGTGAAATTTCTGTGGTGATTGATGCATGGAAAAAAGTTTACCAGAGTGCGAGGGAAGATCCTGAAGTGAAATACTGCCAGATTTTCGAGAATAAGGGAGCTGCCATGGGCTGTTCCAACCCTCACCCACATGGCCAAGCGTGGATGACCAGTATTGTACCTGATGAACCTCGTATCGAGCACGAATCACTGTTGAAATACTATCAAAAGAACCAAAAGCACATGCTTGAGGACTACGTCGAGAAGGAGATAGCTTTAATTGGCACTGAAGGAGATCGGATCATCGATCTGAATGACACCTTCGTGCTGCTCGTGCCATTCTGGGCGACCTGGCCCTTTGAGACGATGATAGTCTCTAGAAAACGAATCCCTAATCTGTTGGATCTAGACGACAAACAGCAGCTCGATCTTGCTGATATCATTTCGCGTGCAGCTATTCGGTACGATAACCTTTTCAAAACCTCTTTTCCTTACTCCATGGGTATCCATCAAAGCTTCGTCGGAGGTGATGAGCCAGATGTGGAGCATTTACTCTTCCATTTTTATCCACCTTTGTTACGATCGGCAACTGTGCGTAAGTTTTTGGTAGGGTTCGAGCTCCTGGGCATGCCTCAGAGAGACATTACTCCAGAGTCTGCTGCAGCATCTCTTCGCCAGTGTTCTCTGAAACATTATTCAAGCTCGTAGTTTCTGTTGAATAAAATAACCTACGTTGAACCTTTAAGCTATGTTGAGGCTAAAATGGCTCATCCTCAGGCCTGTATGGCGTCTCAAACCCCTCGGCCCTCGCGTACAGAACGGATTGAATGTTCCGGAGGAGCAGCATATGAGGTGAGTCTGTCATGCCAGCATTCTGATCTTCCTTATAAATACGCTCTAGCTCGTTCTGAATCAGATCCTCGATCTCGAGAAGTTTTCCATAATAAAGAGTACGCTCCGTGATGGCCACGTCCAGATTGTGGCTATACTCCTCCAGTTGAGCTGAGTACTCGTTCAACTTTTGGTCCCTTGCAACTGTGGGTGCGGTGCTAAATCTACTAGAAGATTGGCGTGAGGCTGAGCCCTGCCGAGAAGCAACTGAGTCACTTTGTCTAGATCCATTGGACGAGTTCGACACGGATCGCGTTTGACGACGGCTAGCAGCAGACAGAGCGCGACCGTTGCCAACTAAACTGGTGCGGCTTCCAGCTCGGCTCCCAGCTCTGTTCGTACTCAATGGAGTCATCGGGACGCCTTGTGGACCAGGTGTCTTTCGCCGAGCTTCTGGTTCATACTCTGGTAAAGTACCTTGGGTTGAAACAAACTTGTAAATCCATTGTGTGAACTCTAAGTTGTCTTGGAGCCTACACCTCGCCAGTCTTGGAGCATCAAAAGGATGTTCTATTCGGTGTTTTGTAAAACATGCCTGTAAAATTTTATAGTTATGAAGGAACTCATACTCGTTGCGAGCATTGAACTTCACTTTTGCAAGAGGGATGTCACCGAACACGAGATCCATGAACTGGCAGTATGCAGCACCCGTTCCTAGTTCATCAAGTTTGGATATGTTCAACTGTAAGGTTTCATTGACCCATTTAACCAAGCCTTGTCGTGAAAGCGTTGGAACTTCACTCATTCACTTTCTTGCAAGTGTTGTTGTAATGAGCTGGCTTAGACGCGTAGGATAAGCTTACTGGAGCATGACTTCATAAGTGAGAGGGGTGTTTCATCCTTTCAGACGCGATAGAAACACGATTACTAGCACTGGAGAAGTGTAACTGTGAGTAAAAACATCGATCAACTATATTTTCGTATTAATTCAGTTTTTGGCATTTTGGCTAATGTTTGCAGCATGCTCTCGGTAGTCCACACAGCACTGATGCAGAATAAGACTAAGCTAAGTGTGCTTATTAACAGCCACCCGCATATCACTCCGAGGAGATCTTTTAACAATATATTGAGCTATGAGTGACGCTAGCTCTTTACGTAGGCTGAACTCCGAACAAGGATTCGAAATGCAGAAAAATGGAGATGAGCAGTTTGTTATCACCAGCGCCAGTGGAAGCTCAAGCTCCATTTCACACGAGTTCACCGACGGAAACGACAGAGAATACTCGGCGATAAATGATTCTATTGAGTCTTTGAAGCCTTCGCCTATGGTATTTCTTTTGACAATTTTGACATGCTTTTGCGGGTTCATGTTTGGTTATGATACCGGCTATATATCAGGTGCTCTCGTAGTTATTGGAAAAGATCTGGGTGGACACCTCACGGACGGTGACAAAGAGCTAATCACCTCTGCAACTTCTCTCGGTGCATTCATCACAGCCCTGATTGGGGGTGGCCTTGCAGACACGTTTGGTAGAAAATGGGTCATTTCATTCGCCAACATCATGTTTATTGTTGGAGGTGGAATGCAAACCGGAGCGCACACTAAGTGGACAATGATTGTTGGTCGCTTTATCATGGGATGGGGTGTCGGACTTGCTTCGCTTGTCGCCCCAATCTACCTCTCAGAACTTGCACCAACCCGATTTCGTGGCCGTCTTGTGGTTTTGAATGTATTGGCAATCACGTTGGGCCAACTTATCGCCTACGGCATTGGTGCGGGCCTCACGAACGTCAAAAATGGTTGGAGAATTCTAGTTGGTCTTTCCTTGATCCCTTCTTCTTTGCAGATGGTGTTGTTTGTATTTATGCCTGAAACCCCCCGATATCTCATTCTAAGAGATCGGCTAGATGAAGCTCGAAAAGTGTTGACAAAAGTCTACCAGGGTGCTTCGGAAAAGCAACTGAATGACCGGGTTTCAGAAATCAAGAGCGAGATTTTAGCCCCGCCAGTTGTTGCTGGTCCTAATGCGACTCGTAAGGAAAAGGCAAAAGCTGCGTTCCAAAGCTTTTGTATCAACTTTAAAGAGCTCTTCCGTTCTGCAGCTAATAGGCGTGCGTTGTCCATCGTGGTCGCCTTGCAGCTATTCCAGCAGTTTAGTGGCTGGAATGCTCTCATGTATTACTCAGGAACAATGTTCAAGAGTGTAGGATTTGACGACCCAACCTCTGTGTCGATCATCATTGCAGCCACTAATTTTGTGTTTACAATTGTTGCTTTCCTCATTATCGACAAAGTCGGCAGGAGAATTTTGTTGGTAGGCACAATGTGGGGAATGTCCCTTGGCCTCATTATCTGTGCGATTGCTTTCCATTACTTGCCTTTTGATACCAGTGATTCGGCGGCTGTCCAAGACGTCCTCAGTGGCCCTGAACAAAAGTGGGGTATTGTGGTCATTGTCTTCGTTTTTGTCTTTGCTGCATCGTACGCAACTGGTATTGGTAACGTTCCTTGGCAGCAGTCAGAAATGCTTCCTATGAATGTTCGTGGTATCGGTACTTCTTTTGCAACTGCGGCCAACTGGGCTGGCTCTTTGATTGTTTCAGCGACCTTTTTGACAATGTTGAATAATATCACCCCTACTGGAACCTTTGCATTCTACGCTGGCATCTGCGCGCTCGGTGAAGTTTTGGCTTTGTTTTTCTACCCGGAGACCGCTGGATTGAATCTCGAAGATGTTCACACGCTTCTCGAAAATGGTTATCAAGTAAAAGAATCTGTTCGACTCAGCAAACAGAAGCGTCAACTCTACCAAGCTCGCCATTGAGTTTAATATTTAATATTCCAGTTTTATTTATGAGACGGACCAACTGATTGATCTCGTGTAGTTGCGGTGGTAGGAAGCTTCTACGCATTCTCATGTACAGAACAAACATGGTATCTTTCTCACAACATCGATAAGCTTTAAATCATTGCAAATCGAATATTCTATATTATTATATCTACTGGGATGATGGGATGCGAATGTTCCGATGGAACGATTTAGGCATGACTACAGTATCATACTATGAGATACACATCAACGGACAACTCCTACAGACTCATCATCGATATAATTGCTCTTTTGTTCGGGTAGCTTATTTCTTTCTAGAATACCTTCAAAAACGAAAGTGTATCCTCGTTGCTCGCAGTACACTTGAAAAACTATCTACCTAATTAAACCTTAGCGTGTCTGTTTTTGTTTCCAGAATAAAGTCATACTAGTAAGACACAATTACAATCCAATTTTAATGATTTCATCCCCTGAAGTACATTTTTTTTGCTGGTCTTGTACGAACATGATGTTTCAGCTGTTGTGTCTTTAGCTGTTTGATTCGATTGTAAGTACTGGAAATACAGAGTATTTACTCAATGCGACTCTACGTTCCGTAGTAGACAAATACAATGTACAGTCCAGTTGGTCTTATTGTTTACTTGAGAATGATCTTATCTGTGCTGCCACAAATTGCAAAAGAAGAAATGTTGTTTACACTAGAACTATAGTGAGTGATAATTTGTCAATTTTCATTTATACGGTTTGAAAAGAGCTGAGGAATCGTGTGATAAGCCGAAGTTGCAAATGCTATGTTTCTGGTTATGCAAAAGTTCTGGTGGCCAAGATCGTGGAAATAGCTAGGAATAAGTCACATTCGTTTTCTTGTGCACTGACGGGCGTCTGGTGTAGTTGGTTATCACGTGCGCTTAGCATGCGCGAGGTCCCCGGTTCGATTCCGGTGTCGTCCAATTTTTTTGGTTGAGCCACAAGCAGTCTAATAATTCTCTTCCTGTCAGAAAAAACCAATGGTAACTGTACTATGTTGCATATCTCTTCTGTATTTTGGTCTGTTCCAAAATAGAACTATCGTAACCTCTTATGGCTGCTAACTAAAGTGCACATGGCCAACGCTCCTGAGCTATTAAATTGACTAAGCCTAAAAAAAGGAGGATACGATTAACCAGACGAATTCGAAATACCAAAAAGTATTTATAAGCACTCTCCGCTTTTGTTTGAACCTAAATGTCTAGATTAGCGCTCACCGAGCGCCTCAACCAGCCCATGCGACAGCCAAAAGAGCTTCTAGCATATACTGCTGATGGGCCCAAAGTATACCTTGATGATAGAGCTCTCCGTTACCACTATTTTCCAAGAGCTGAATGGCAGCGTGGGTTGAATCTTGGGACAGGATTCGAGCAGTACAAAGAGAAAAATGAAACAGGAATACATCTTGATAGTATATTGACTGCCCTTATCGAGCACGAGCGCCAAAAGGGTCGTGTAGATGCGAAAATTATCACGTGGAGGGGTGTTTTAACAAGAATTATCTCGCTCTGCAAAAGCCCAGAAGAAGATTTGAGCTTCAACGTCACAGGTTTCGATGGCCAAGTATTTATTGAGTATGACGAGGAACATGATCGGCAGAAAAAAGCGCAAGAAAAGCCATTCCCTATGGGCAAAAAATTCGGGTATACTGGCTACTGCTTCGAGAAGTTTGCAACACTTCCCAAACCTTGGGGCGAATGTACAAGAGCTGAGATCGAGGGAAGGTACAAGGGTACAGCTTCTCATGGGCTAGAATATTGTACTCTTGTCCGGTCCGGAGTCGGTTCGATCAAAGTTGTTTACGCCGGGGAGGTCGACAGTGTAGAAGGTGAGAAGGACCCCAAGGATCCACTTGGCCGGTACGTCGAGCTTAAAACTGCTTCTGCGATAAAGCACATCAAACAGGCAGAAAGGTTTGAGGACAAACTGTTTCTCTCATGGCTTCAGAGTTTCCTGGTCGGTACACACAAGGTAGTGTATGCATTCCGTGATCGTGACCTGAGAATAACTGCTGTCGAGGAGTACAAGACAGATAAAATTCCCAGCCTAGTAAAGAATTCGAAAATTAACCCCACACCCCGCTGGAATGGCAATGATGCTATAAGTTTTTATGCCGTCGTCCTCTCCTGGATAAAGGACACCGTTGAGGATGGTAAAACGTACAAGTTGAGGCACACACCGAATAGCCAGTTTCTAGAACTGGTACCTTCCGACTACTCTTTGCCTGACCGAAAAGTCTCGTTTCTCCTGCCTGAGTTTGTAGAATGGCGTGAGAGTCAAACAAAATAATTATTTAGCTTATAGAACAGAAGCAATAGTTTAGTTTTGCAGGGGTCATATTCAGTACCTTGACCGTCTTGCTGAGTAGCGGTAGTTAAGCATGTAGGGATGTGTGCTAGAGGTAGGAGTAGCGGGCATTGAGTTTGAATACTCATGTGCGAGGTGAATAGGTGGAGGTGGAGGTGGTGCAGCGTGTACATGTGTTGGTCCATATTTTGACGCGAACATGAGATTGATGAGCACAAACGATCCAGCGAAAGCACAAACAATGAAAACCATACTTTTGATTCCTATCGGCGCCAAGAAAGAGTTGACGATTTCGCCGAATGTCTCAGCAGAGACGCGGGCACGACCCACCATCTTGTGGTCTCTATTCATACAATCTTCCCATACGTTGCAAATTGTCTCTAGTGCGGGCACTCGTTTTCCTGGTTGGCAATTATTACGCGAATACTCTTGCGAGCAACGATATATTTCGTTTAAGATATCAGCAGAGTATTCTTCGACTTTGAGGTCAACATCGTTTCTGATCGTTGAAAGGAATATCCAAACCGCGTAGATCACAAGCCCCATCATGATCAGATTAAAACCTAACTGAGCATAGGACGCTAAAATAAATGGCAAGGAGGGATCCAGCCTCCATTTTCCACTTCCATGGGGTTCACGTGAGGTGAGGGGAGAATCAATGTAACTATCAAACGAAGGTGTGGCCATTCGTGACCAAGAAGCGCTGCGTGATGGTGTCGCAGCCACTGGCGTGGCTCTTGGTGTATGTGGAGACCTAGGCTGCAGACGAACACGTGGAGATAAGGTACCTCTTCTCAAACGACGGAAAATAGTGCTTTGATTCGATGAATTGGGAGAAAACCCTTGGAAAAGAGAACTTCCTTCTGTGAAATCAGTGGTGTCTGCTTCGGAGTAGCCGTGCTGGTCATCCGAAAGATCTTGCCATTCACCATCGGCTTCGACATCACGATTAACTCTCGTTGGCGTTTCAGGTTCTTTGTGTAGGACTAGAGATTCTTCGCGGAATGGTTTCTTAGCGGAGGTGGGGTGTCCAGAATCGTAAGAAACAACGCGCTTGGATGGCGAAAAGCTAACACCTCGTGACCTGGGTACTGATGCTAGGCTCGGTTTCAAATCATGTCGGCCTGAAAATTTAAGCCCCTCACGGCTCCAAGCGGCAGCAGTAGGTCTTGCAACGCTTCGACTAGGGGTCGCAGGCTCGGTGAGCTGGGCCATAACGTAAACAAACATCGCCTGCCAAACTCGAAAGACATTGTTGGACGAGACAAATCCAGATAAAGTAGTTCGTGCACATTTCCAGATGCAGGATTACACGGGGAGATATTCAATAGATAGTTCATGTATTTTTGGTTATTGTGTGATCATTTTCGCTGGTTTTGGAGCAGAGAAAGTTGAGAGATAATGTAGACCCAGAAACCATAACCACCCGGACGAATTGCCACGCGGGAAAATTATGAGCTAAAAGAAATCAGTATGACCGTAACACGGTTCGGACTGCCAGCACCTTCCAAAGTTGAGTGGGAAAAGTCTCGTGGATGACTCCATAAACCCCACAATCCGACGTAATCTCGCTACTTCCATGCGTGATTATGCGGCCCACCTCGGTGAAATCCGAGAGAGCGAGTATCCAGCGGCAAAAGGCTACTTGGACAACGCTGCCTCTCCTCTTTATGCAAAGAGCATTGTCATGGAGTCAGCGAAGACTCTGATTGAAAATCCGCTCGTCAATCCGCACTCTCACAGCCGCTGGGGAACGGAAACTGCCAACATGGTGGGGAGCGTTAGGAAGAAGGTTTTAGCTCTATTCAACGCTAGTGAAAAAGATTATGCCATTGTTTTCACATCTAATGCCACAGCAGCAGCCAAACTTGTTGGTGAGTGCCTGAGAAACAGTCACTATGCCTTTTTGCGGGACTCCCATACTTCCCTTGTGGGGCTCAGGTCACTAGCTGCCTCGTATGAAGTTTTGGACGAGATTGGACGCAGAAACTACGAGAACACTGTAGTTTCTTTCCCTCTTCAGTCAAATTTTGATGGGCAAAGATACCCAGAGGACTGGATCAAGCACATTGCACACGGGGGTGGTTTATCCTTAGTTGATCTTGCGGCATACTGTGCAACAACCATACCTGATCTTTCAGAGATTAAGCCGGATTTTGCTGTGCTTTCATTTTACAAGATATTCGGGTTACCTGATCTTGGTGCTCTCATCGTAAAACGAGGTGCCGCTACTCACGAGCTTTTGAGTCAAAGACGGTACTTCGGCGGCGGCACTGTGGCAGTCGTGACTGCAGAGAAAAACTTTATGATTCGGTCTATTGACATTTCCACTAGTCTTGAAGATGGTACGCTCCCTTTCCACAGTATTTTGATGCTCGGGGTGGCTATCAAGGAGTTCAAACGAATATTCGGGTCATTCGAGGCAATCTCGAATCATACGCAGAAAATTGCGCTCTACTGTAGAGACCAATTGAATAAAACTGGACTTGTTGACATCATTTCACCAAAGAATAGTGGTCCAGTAGTGACGTTCACTCTCAAGCATGGTGGATATCGAGATCTGGAGCTAATCTTGAGTGAGTTTAAAGTGCAGCTTAGGACAGGCACTCTATGCAATATCGGTGCGTTCGTGAAACATTCAGAATTCACAGAGGAAGATCTTATTCGAAATCATATACAATATGGCAAAACTTGCAATGATGGTCATGATATTTTGGATGGTCACCATACCGGCGTCGTTCGAGCCAGCTTCGGCCCATACACTAGCACGGAAGATGTCGATATGCTTGCCAAATGTATCGTTGAGTTTTTCTCGGAGGGTGAATTGCTGCAGAGACCTATACCTTGCTCTTACGGGACGGTAACCGAGCTTGTTATATACCCAATTAAGTCCTGCGCTGGTACCAAAGTCTCCGAGACAATCATTACAAGCGCTGGATTAAAATGGGATCGTGAGTTCTGTTTGGTAGGACTGGAAGATGGCAAAATTCTACGGTTGAAGAGGTTCCCCAAAATGGCTCTGCTCCGATCCAGAGTTGATGAAGGTGAAAGAAAGCTACACATTCAGTTCCAGAACAAACATGCTACCGTAGCATTGGACGTAGTTCACTGGAGCGACCACGAAAATGCTGATGGGGAAAGCTGCTCTAAAACTTCTGATCTCATATGGAACCATGATCCAGAATTAATTCGTTTTTTGTCTTCTGCTATCGGAACATCATGCACCTTAGCCAAAGCAGCACCGAGTGAAAGGTTTGCCAAAGAGAACAAAGAACAGGCACTAGCGAATAGTAGTCCCTTGTTATTTGTCTCGCAAAGCAGTTCGCATGAACTAGGAATCAACCACGACGTGTTTAGAGGCAACATTATCTTTACAGCACCTGCCTTTGCCGAAGATAGTTGGAGGGGAGTCACAATCAACGGCTCACCATATAGCTTCTCCAGTCCCTGTCAGCGTTGCAACATGATATGTTTCACACCGGACGGATCATCGGATGCAACGCCATACCTTATTTTAACGAAGCACCGCAAAACCCACGGTAAAATCTATTTCGGACAATTGGGCGAACTTCTTAAAAGAGATGGTACCGCCATTGTCAAAGTTGGAGACGCATTGAACCCCATTTTACCAATCTAGCTTAAGACTGGACGCTACTCAGATTCACGCTCATGTGCTATTAGCACCATCATGACTTGGAAACTATATTGAGGCCTTACAGATATAATTTAGCTCATAGATCTTTCAATATTTTTTCTTACAGTACTACTTCATATAAAAAGTACTTTTTATTTTTGTCTAGTTAACAGTCAAGGCTAACCAGTATTTATCTCGGAACTTATCATTGCTCTAATTGCCCTTACTTAATAGCCTCATGTACTGCATGCGCGAAGTGGCCAGTTACGATAGCTGTAAAAGGCCACCTGCGGTTGAGAACACTTCGGGTTACCGAGATACCCTGGCATATCAATTGAGCAAACGCGACTATGAAAGTGGGCAACCTGATGAGTGGTAATAATTATTAACGTGCCGAATTTCGCGACTCGACAATAGTACGATCTCTTGGCTACGCACATAGTCACTAGAAGCTTATCGAACCGGATGTCCTACGGGTTGCCTAGACAACAAACTATGTTATACCCCCCTAGCCCTCTCAGAGTGCAGATTATGCCTCAAAGAGCGGCAACGAGGTTAGGGTGTCCAGACTGCCGGAACGCCACACGTTGGGGTATTTAAATAAGGATGACTCTGTTGTGGCAACCTCCTTACACCTAGCGCAACATCCAACGCTTCAATTGAGCCTATATTTATTCAATGCAGATTTTTGTTAAAACATTGACAGGCAAGACCATCACTTTGGAAGTAGAGTCTTCTGACACTATTGACAACGTCAAGTCCAAAATCCAGGACAAGGAAGGCATTCCGCCCGACCAACAGCGCCTAATCTTCGCAGGTAAGCAACTGGAAGATGGGCGCACTTTGTCCGACTACAATATCCAGAAAGAGTCGACTCTGCATCTCGTCCTACGCCTGCGTGGTGGTATGCAGATTTTTGTTAAGACATTGACTGGTAAAACCATCACTCTGGAGGTGGAGTCGTCAGACACAATTGACAACGTCAAGTCCAAGATTCAAGACAAGGAGGGCATTCCGCCTGACCAACAGCGCCTTATCTTTGCTGGCAAGCAATTGGAAGATGGCAGAACTCTTTCTGACTACAATATTCAGAAGGAGTCTACTCTCCACTTGGTTCTGCGTCTACGTGGTGGTATGCAGATTTTTGTGAAAACACTCACAGGAAAGACAATCACTCTGGAGGTTGAGTCTTCCGACACCATTGACAACGTCAAGTCCAAAATCCAGGACAAGGAGGGTATTCCTCCTGACCAACAACGTCTGATTTTTGCTGGTAAGCAGCTTGAGGACGGTCGTACTCTGTCAGATTATAACATCCAGAAAGAGTCTACTCTACATTTGGTTCTGCGTTTGCGCGGTGGTATGCAGATTTTCGTGAAGACACTCACCGGCAAGACTATCACCCTCGAAGTCGAGTCCTCTGACACAATTGACAACGTGAAGTCTAAGATTCAGGACAAGGAGGGTATCCCTCCTGATCAGCAGCGTCTTATTTTTGCTGGTAAGCAGCTAGAGGATGGTCGTACGCTTTCTGATTACAACATCCAGAAAGAGTCCACTCTGCATTTGGTTCTTCGTTTGCGCGGTGGTGCCTTTTGAGTCCAGTGGTGCGGGTGACTGCAAGATATAAATTTAATGGATTCGAGCGAGATCTCGTTGTAGTTTACTTGCTAGATAGTAACCATTTTTAGCTGCCAACCGCTCGAACCAGGCGTTAACCCTCAAAATTGTGACAAACTAGTTTTAAGTAGTTTTGAAGGGGCAAAGATGTAACTATTAATGCAGCTTTTTTCTTGGAGGAATCAAGCAGCTCTCAGCAGAATGAGTACCGGCTTCATCGGAGCCTACCAGGCTGACGTTAACGAACACGCACCTCGGGCTGGTGGGGGGTTGCGACAAAATGGCGTGTACGCCGTTACCTTCTTCATGAGATTCGCAGGAAATATCTTAAAATAGAACGGATTAAAGTAGTCGACTTATAATCTACAATACTGTAGCAGTACTTCGCTGTTTTGATGACCGAACAAGTGAATTCCTCACGATTGGCCGGAGAGGGGCCCCCAATCCCGCTACGGCATGTGGATGTTAGGGTATGTCCTTATATAAAGAGGAGTGACAAATTATGTACTCTTTCACCCCAAACATATTAGCTGGTCTAGACGTCACTAGCCCAGTTTTTACCTGTTAACCACGTTTTCTAACCTTCTAGGAAGCGCGCACCACCCCTATCAATCCACGAGATCTGCTGCTGGCTCTAGTGAGATAATACGGAAGAACAAATTCTTGTTATAAAACACTAAATCTGAAAAAAAATTCCCATGTTTCTTTTGAAAAAAATGAGTTCCTCTACTACTACTCAAAAAGTCCCTGTTGTTGTGCCATCTTCCACTGGCACTGGAAAGTCAGGTAGAACTACCGTCAAGGTCAACACTGATGTTGTTACCAAGGATGCCGATGCTATCTACTCCAAGTACACCTACCAGAACGCCTCTGTCAAACGTCTCCCTGAGGGTAAATATGAAGTCACGCCTACAAAGGTTGATTATGAGTTCAAGCTTGATACCAAGATCCCCAAGACTGGTATCATGCTTGTCGGTCTTGGTGGAAACAACGGCTCTACCTTCACTGCCGCTGTCTTGGCCAACCGCAACAACATCTCGTTCCACACTAAGAACGGTGTCGTTGAACCCAACTACTTTGGTTCAGTGACTCAGGCCTCTACTATTTACCTCGGTGTTGATGAGAATGGCAAGGATGTTTATGCTCCATTCAACGAGGTCGTTCCTATGCTCCACCCTAACGATTTGGTTATCGGCGGTTGGGACATTTCCAAGCTTCACTTGGCCGAGTCCATGAAGCGTGCCAAGGTCTTGGATTACGATCTTCAGCGCCAGCTCGTTCCTCTCATGACCGACATGGCCCCTCTTCCTTCGGTCTATTACCCGGATTTCATCGCCGCTAATCAGGGTGAACGTGCTGACAATGTCATTCCCGGTACTGACAAGTGGGTTCACGTCGAGCAAATCCGCAAGGATATCCGCGAGTTCAAGAAGAAGAACGGCCTCGAGAAGGTGATTGTCCTTTGGACCGCCAACACTGAGCGTTACAGCGAGCTGATTCCTGGTGTGAACGACACTGCTGACAATCTTTTGGCTGCTGTCAAGGCTTCTCACGATGAGGTTTCACCTTCCACTGTCTTTGCTATTGCCAGCATCTTGGAGGGCGTCCCCTACATCAACGGATCTCCTCAGAACACCTTTGTTCCTGGCTGCATCGAGCTTGCCGAAAAGCACGAGTCTTTCATTGGTGGTGATGACTTCAAGTCTGGTCAGACCAAGCTCAAGTCAGTGCTCGCTCAATACTTGGTCGATGCTGGTATCCGCCCTGTTTCGGTTGCATCCTACAATCACTTGGGTAATAACGACGGTTTCAACTTGAGTGCTCCCCAGCAATTCCGCTCCAAGGAAATCTCCAAGGCCTCTGTTATTGACGACATGATCGAGAGCAACCACATTCTTTACAACGACAAGTTGGGTAAGAAGGTTGATCACTGCATTGTTATCAAATACGTCCCCGCCGTTGGCGATTCCAAGGTTGCTATGGACGAATACTATTCCGAGCTTATGTTGGGTGGCCACAACACCGTGTCCATTCACAACGTTTGTGAGGATTCGTTGTTGGCTACCCCTCTGATCATCGATCTTGTAGTTATGACCGAGTTCCTGTCTCGTGTTTCCTACAAGGAAGCCAACGACTCTAAGTATCTGTCTTTCCACTCGGTTCTTTCCTTCCTTTCCTACTGGCTCAAGGCTCCTCTTGTTCGCCCTGGCTTCGACCCCGTCAACGGCTTGAACAAGCAACGCTCGGCTCTCGAGAACCTCATCCGCGGCCTCGCCGGCCTTGCCCCTATCAATGACCTGAAGTTTGAGGAGCGTTTGCAGTAATTATTTACTGCTAGGAACGCTCTGGTCAAACTGGATTAGCTTAAAACCTCTACCGGTGCCCTGACGCCCGGTCACTATGGGGAGCGATTTTTCAACAGAAACGCTCAGTTAATCTATCAGCAGCCAGGTCGTTGATACCTTTAATTCTTTACTCTTATTTATCAGAGTACGTAGTAAGAAGTCTATCGCACATTTAATTCAAGGGTTGTGAACCCTTGAATCATATACCTTGTTGTTATGCTCATTTCTCTTTCGTCCGATGGTTTATCCCATGCCATTTTGGATGGGTGCCAGATACTTATAAGGGATAACAAAAGTAAAATTGTACGTCAATCGTTCCTCATAAGTCCTTGCGCCGAGGAGATTGCGCGTATAGTCTTTGATCCGTTTTCTGACAACTTCGAGCACAGGCTTCTTTTGACCAGAAAAACCAGCATACAAATTTTAAACGGAACTGATAGTACACATTCGACTACCATAAATCTTGGTACAACAGTTTTGGATGCACAGTGGATCAGCTTCTTAAATTCCGCAGGCCGCATCATAGGACTTGTGATAACCACTTCCCTCGGCTTATCTTTTTGGGACGCTGAAGGCTGCCACCAAATGATTCCACATCCAAAAAGTCCAGTTAATGCTCTAGCACTGTCTCATGCTTATGTTTGTTCTTGGAAAACAAGTCGAGGCACGGATATGATCTCATTTGTTGATGCAAGATTCGGGTTTGAATCTGTAGAGATACCACGAATGGAATGTATGTCAGTTTCAGCCTCCGGGAGAGAGATTATATTGAGCGGAAAAGAAGGATTACTAGTTTTGTCGGTCGATTTCTTCGGATATAGAGTGAGAGGTATCTTTTCGGAAGCTACATGGGGCCACAGCTTTATAGTAGCCTTAACGTGCGACGGCAAACTTGAGTTCTTTTCTCACTTGCTAGAGAAAATTTACAGCATCAGGATTAATGACGCGGAACCAGAGAGCTGTTGGGCTCTCCATCAGCAGCAGTATGAACTTTCTTCACCTCGCACCTTACGGCACACGGTGGTTCAGTTCATTTTGGATGAAACCAAAAAATTCCTTGCAGTTGCTAGCGATACCGGTGCAGTCTCAATTTGGAGTGTTTCTGACCCTCCATCGTTGGTTTGTGTTCTTTTGCATCCGCAAATGCCAGAATTACACTGGCAGGGCGACACCTTAACGATACACAACAGGTGTAACAATGTAGCTGGGTTATGGAGTCCAGAGTATAGCCCCAGAACGGTGGCTTATACCTTGGAAAATACACTGGGTGCTGTCGGAACGCCGGATGGGGTCTTCTTTTGGAACCGATACAGTACCGAGTTTATATGCGTAGAGAGGGTTGTATCTATACCGGAGTTTGTGCCAAAGAGTTTGGAAGAAAACAGCGATTCCTCAGTGGGAGAAGAAGCCAGCTCTTTATTCCTAAATGACCCATTGGGACTAATGCATGGCGACGACGAGGAAGAGTGCGACTCGGAGCCCCAGGATACGTTCATCGCAAAACGACGCAAAATGTACTAGTGACAGTATAGGAAAAATCGAAATAATTTATAGAGGATTACAAGTGATCCAAATCAAGGGGTTTGAAGCAGAGCCATACTTTGCCTGCCCCGGCTTGGCGAGGTTATCTTGTCCAACTGGGCTCTACGTTCGCTAGAGCCTCGTAAATATTTAATAATATGATCCTTATCCCGAATGGTTTCCTTGAGTTCGCGAATTTCATCCTGGAGATCTTTTACGTCGGAGTTTTGTCGCCCCGGGGTAGACATTTGGGGTGTCAAGTCGTTCAGATGTGGCATGTTCTCTAGCATATTGTTCGCTTCAGCGACTTGCGAAATCAGCCTTCTGATTTGATCATTGAGCTGCTGAATTTCTCGCTTATCTTCCCTTGCCTTGCGGCGATACTCTTCGACTGTCCGCATCTCGGGACCGTTGAGTATCGAGTCTAGGGAATCGTCGAGGTGATAGTCTGTCAAACTCATGTACACATCAAGGCGGCCCTCAACATCTTCACGCGAGGACTTGGCTTCTTGAAGTTCCAGCTTGAGTTTGTTTATTTGTTGCTTTTGCTCTTCGATAATGTTCAGGAGTCGCTCATTCCCGGCGCCATCATCAACTAGATTCGTGCGTTTAGCAGTGACGATGATATTTTTGGCTCTAGCAGCAAATCGCAGAGTGTTTAGTGTCTCCGTAGTAGTAGAATTGATGGTTTGAACTGTGCAAAGAATGGATACCAAAGCATTACCGCTGAGGGAGGGTTGAAGAATGCGCGTGAGTTTCGAGTCGCGATAAGGAACGTGGCCCATGGTTCCCGAAGAAAGTTTTGAAATAACAGTTCCGAGAGTCAGCAAGGACTTGTTGATATACGCACCTTCCTTTCGTCGCTCCAATTCTGAGACCGCGCGCTCTGAGCCAGCCAAGTCACATAGGTAAAGAACAGACTGAATGTCTCTGGTGAGAAGGGTGATTTTAACGACTGCGTGAGAACGGGAGGACCTTTCATTGAATTGTGTTGATGAGGTCCGACGAAGCTGGTCACCGAGGGCTACTTTACCGAGTAGCTCATATGCATTTTCAACTCTGTGCTCTGTCAAGCCGATTTCCCGAACACCGTACAACGGGTCATCTCTGAGAGAAACCTCGGGTGTGTCTGGATGCAGCAGGTCTGCAACACGCTCATTGTAAATTTCCATATAAGATATTTTGACAGTTGTGGTTGCCATTTTAGTGCGGAGTTTCTCAAATAGCAGGGTAGCCGAGCGGGGTATAATACCTGGATCCTCAGGGGTTCCTTGCATGCTGAATGTTTTGCCAGATCCTGTCATGCCGTAGGCAAACACGGTGGCATTGAAGCCATCGCAGACCTTGTCAAGTAGATCACAAACAGCCGATCGGAAAACTTCTCCGTTTGTTGACATATTGTCAAATACGTTGTCGAATGAAAAGTCGCCCGTGGAAGAGTGGGAAATCGAGTTTGCAGATCCAAGCACTGTCCACTGAGCACTAGTTTCATTCTCAGGTTTCGTGCGGACACTGACTCGGATTGTGCCCTTGTAAACTGGAGGCGAGGGCTGAGGCGTTCCTGGGGCTTGCAGGTTGACCATAGAGGTACGAGACAGAGAGTTTCTATCCCGACCATTGGGCAGAGCAGCCATTGACATTGGACGACGGAGTGTTCTGCTTTGAGACAACACGGGGGATCTATTTCCCGTAGGCGATGGCGAGCTCAAACCTGGTGGGGCAAGGTCACGATTAAGTCGTTTTAAGGGTGACGGGGCCCGTAGAGAGGTTCTGGATGGTGTATTGCTCATTAAAAATCCATAAAAAATTTCCAGTTGGTTGTTTTTAGACTTTGAAAGAGCTACAGGCACTCTGTTCCAGCAAGCAGGGTAGTGTTTACTATTTCAATGTTCTGTGGGCGAGAAGCGTTTACAGACGCGCGTCAGTGTAACCCCCCCATCGGGGGTGTAGCCGAGAATCGGGCAGGGGGTAATTGGGAGACACGCCAGGCAGCGGCCACTGCCACGTCTTTGTCAACAAATAGGCGGTTTCACGTTTCTTTTCACCTCACAACTTCCAGTCAAACCGAAAAAATGGATAAGATCCGCGAAAAGTTGGCCGCTCTGAAAGAGCAGAACGAGCAGTCTCAGGATCAGATTGAAAAAGCTGAGAAGCGCGTGAAGGAATTGGAGGAGGAAAACCTTAGCAAAGAGCAAGAAGTGGCGTCTCTCACCCACAAGAACACACTCCTTGAGCAGGAGGTTGAGGAGTTGGAGACCAAGCTCAAGGAAGCCAAGGGTGCCGCCGAAGCAGGCGAGGCTCAGGGTAGCGAAAACGAGCAGCTTAATGCTAAATTGGCTGAGCTCGAGACCAAGCTTGAGGAGTCCGAGACCTTGCGCAAGAAGGCCGAGGAGTCTGCCAGCAGCCAGGATGTCAACAATGACAATCTCAACCGTCGCATTGAGTCTCTTGAGAAGGAGCGTGATAATTTGGAAGAGAAGCTTGAGGAGCTCACTTCCAAGTATGCTGCTGCCCAGTCCGAGATCGAAGAGATCACCGACCAGCTCGAATCTTTGTAGGTTTAAATCAGAAAAAAGCTATTTGTTTATCCCAAAAACTGTTTTTGAAAATGCCTCAGATAGAGTTTAACTTCCAAGTGTATTCAAAAAAGAAATCTGGTAACGCGGTAAATATTGAAGAGAAACTAATCTAACAGTTTATTGGTGCACAGCACGCGCAAGACCAACTGCGTCATTACCAATATCGTAGACCGAGTAGTATTTACGCAGGAAGGCGTCGCCAATGATGGCAAGCGGGCCAATTGGCTCGGGAATATCAATGCCGGCAAATGTTGAGATGCAAGATCCACCAAGATCCAAGATGTAGTCTTGGGGAGTAAGCTCGAAGTCGTACCCGTCGAAAGTGAAAGTCAGATTGGGCAGAGTGTCGCGAGCAGCGCAATCAATGGTGTACTGGCCACTCCAGGACTTCTCGGCGCCGATCTGAGCATTGAGCATATCTGCGAGCTGGGTAGGGAAAGCAAGGAGAGAAGTACCGGTGTCAATAGCAGCACCGTAATTCTCGAGATCGGCCTTCTCGTCGCCGAGAGCCAAAGCGTCGAACTTGACTTCCCAGTAGGCCTTTCTACGGACGGGCAGATAAGTGATGTCACCCTCGTACAGGCCATCGGCGACACCACCGAAAGTAGCAGTGCCACCGCTGGCTTCGCCATCAGAACCCAGGTAGAAAGCAAACTTGGGCTCATCGAGCAAGCCGTCGTCAATTGCCTTGTAGATGGGCGGAACAACCTTGTTGACAGCAATCGAAGGGTAAGCCAGACCCAGGATGCCGTCGAACTTGCCAAAGGCAAAAGTTAGACCGGGTTCACTAGTGGTTTCACCGAAATCCTGCTCGGGAATGGTCAGACTGCCGAGCTGCAAGGTGTCTTGAGAAATGAAACCCTCAACAGCACCGGAGCCGTACTGAATTGAGAACGCCGTGCCGTTCTTTTTGTAAGAAGAAGAAGCACTAGAATCGTACTTGGAGTGCAAAAAGCAAGCAATTGACGAGCACTCGGTACTGGGAACCCACAGATTGGAGCTACCAGTATCCAAAACGACCTTGAACTTCTGGGGAGGTGTGCCCAGGGAGATCTCAGCAAAATACTGAGCGTTGGCGTAATTCGTCAAGGGCAAGTCGGCAGGTGAGTCAATGTCAACGTCAGAAGACGAGTCCATTCCAAACACATGCTGGCCTACATTGCTCATTGTGCGACGCACAGACCCAGAGTACTTATCAGCCAAAGACTGCAAGTGCTCCATATACTTCTCACCTTTGAGCATGTTGACGCCCTCCTTGTTGCGGTGGAGCGGTGCGGTAAATACCTCAGCATTGGCCCATGCAAGAAGCAGTGCTCCTGAAATTGCGCCCGAAACCTTCATATTGAGTAGTTGTTGTTAAGGAACCAGGTTCTTGTGGCGGGACAACAATATCCACTTTTGCGGATGCAGTGGGTAAGGTTTCACAGTTGGGGCGCTATATTAGGTAAATTACTAATCGCCGTATTGTGCCCTATGGTGCCCATTCGGGTGCATACATGGGCGCGGCCGATTCGCCCAAAGGTGGATGATTTGCGGGTTACAGATCTATTGATGTGGCCGGGAATTGGTGCCGTACGTTTGAGAATCGAGCTATTCCGTTGTTGAAATTTATGGCCATTGATGAGCCCCACCAATTTGGGCTAAACATGGCATCAAACAAGCTCTGACCCGGTGATTGCATCTGAACAGGCTAAAGTTCATCTCAATCAAATCGTTTCTCGAGATCCGGCATTGAAACGATTGAGCCGTGGCCCGTAGCCCTTTACAGCACACATCGGTGAGTATCATGTAAATGACCCACTCTGACACCAATTCGCGATAACGAGTCCAATCAAACCAATTCCCTAATCTATGTACAGAGTTTCCATCATTACGATGTTTTGTCGTCAACCGAAAGCAGGTACGCTCCGGCGGGATCACATATTCGGGGGCAGCAGAAAGCCCGCAACGGACTTGCCTCTCTCAGTGGCCAATAAATCGAAATAGCTAGCGCCATGCAGAGTAGTACCGATCTGCGTTTGCATTCCCAGTTGACGAATGAACGATTGAGTCTTGGAGCCCAGAATGCGTGATTTCCCCCCTAGGCCGAGAACTAGCAACTCAGGTTTAGGATTGACGACCTGAAATACGCCCATAACCTTCTCCACATCGATTTCTACTCGACCTGAATCGAGACCTGTGATACTGTTGGACAGGTCGACCTGGTAAGCTTCATGGCCGATCAAGATCAGACCTAGAGGCGACTCTGCGCTAGAAGTGATGCGAGCCCCGTTTGCGAGAACAAATCCATCAGAGGTGATAGTGTCGACATTGTTGGGCGGCGGCTCAACGTCGTACATAGCATAGTCTTCGATAGTGTTCGTCTTGCGAAAGGCCTCGTCGCTCAAATTAATCGGTTCTGACCTTGGTACTTTATCAGGATCTGGTCGCAACCTTTTGCTAGCAAAAAGACACGCATTTGTGGTCGAAAACGAGCGCCTAGCGGCCAAACTGTGTCTTCCTATTGCCGCTCGAAGCATGGTCAAATCCACCCATCGATTACTAACACTCATCTGCTTTTCATTTGGATTTTTCGCCTTTGAAAAGTTCGTTCACAACCAGCAACACCCGAACGCGGATACACATATTGAATACAAGCTTTTTCAAGCAAATACAACTCGGTGAATCATGCCTGTGCAACCCGCAAAGTTTATCCAGTCGACGTTTCGAAACGGAGTCGGCAGTTTCGTTCAGCCTTGCACTAAGATCGTGCTCCGCTACTGCAACTGGGGAGGTTCTTCCCGTGGTATGCGCAAACTCCTCAACGAAAACATCCGTCAAATAGCCGCCGAGAATCCAGAGATCGAGGTTGTTGTTCAGAAGAAGAGCGGTCACCCGATCGTCCAAGGCTTTTACGCTAATGGAAACATCAAAAGCGTGTGTGTTCGCAACTACGAACCCAGCAAGATTTTAGAAAAGATCAGCGTTGTACGCAACTCTTCAGGCGAGAAGCTGCGGAAATACAACCGCGCAGTCGAGTCGAAGAACGAGTCCGTTCGTGGCATTTGGTCGCCGTTCCACGTTGATGCGGAACACCGCTATCGTATTTAAAGCTGCCGGTTTAGAGCACAGTCTGTAATTGTCTTTTGTATATATCAACTGCTCTCACCGAGATCAGCCAATCTACTCCTCGCCTCCGCATAGCTTCTCGCTAGGAGATAGCACTGTACTTTCAAGTCCAGCAATAGTGTCAAAAGCGTCTAGTCACACGATAGGCACAAGTTTGGGCCCGGCAAGGCCTCTTGACGTGCCGACCCAGTGCCCGAAACTGTCGGTACGCCCAACGTTGGGTTTGCGGGTTTGCAGCAGGTGGATGCATACGAAACTTTCAGGATATTAACCAAGCCGTATACATTTAGGATTTAGATAAACATGTCCACGTGTTTATCATGGGAAACACCAGCGTTTGTCCATTTAGAACAACTGATATATCCTCGGTAACTATTGACTATGGAGTAACCTAGCCCTATGCGGACTGGCTATAAGTTAGCATTTCCCCGCCTTTCCCATCAACGTTCAATTGAAATCACAATGCTGAGAACAGCCACACGCCATGCTTTGCGCCAAGCTTCTCTGCGTACGCTTCCCCGCGTTGCACAGCGGACCATTTCTTCTTTGAATAACTTCACCGAGGACGAGCAGATGTTCCGGGAGGCTGTCTCCAAGTTCGCCAATGAGGTTGTTGCGCCCAAAGTACGCGAAATGGACGAGAACGAGAACATGGATAAGGAAGTTATCGATGCCATGTTCGAGAACGGCCTTATGGGTATCGAGACACCTGAGGAGCTGGGCGGCGCTGGTGCTTCTTTCACCTCCGCCATTCTGGTTGTTGAGGAGCTCGCGAAGGTTGATCCTTCTGTCTCCGTTATGAATGACGTTCACAACACCCTCGTCAACACATGCATCCGCACATGGGGCTCCAAGGATCTGAAGGAGCGGTACCTGCCCGGCATGGCGGAGAACCGTTTGGGCTCGTTTGCTCTCTCTGAGGCAGGCTCGGGGTCCGATGCCTTCGCTTTGAAGACTCGTGCTGAGCCTAAGGGTGACGGTTACGTTCTCAATGGCTCCAAAATGTGGATCACCAACTCTTATGAGGCTGATGTGTTCATTGTTTTTGCTACCGTTGATCCCTCCAAGGGGTACAAGGGTATTACTGCCTTTGTCGTTGACAAGGACATGGGTATCAAGATTGCCAAGAAAGAGAAGAAGCTGGGTATCCGCGCCTCTTCTACCTGCGTCATCAACCTCGACGATGTCTACGTCCCTAAGGAGAACGTTTTGGGCGAGGTCGGTAAGGGCTACAAGATCGCTATCGAGTGCTTGAACGAGGGCCGTATCGGCATTGGTGCTCAGATGCTTGGTCTTGCAGAGGGTGCCTTCACGAAGGCCACCAACTACTGCTTCCACGACCGCAAGCAGTTTGGCCAGTACATTGGCGAATTCCAGGGCATGCAGTTCCAATTCGGTCAGATTGCCACTGAGATCGAGGCTGCTCGTTTGCTGCTCTACAATGCCGCCCGTTTGAAGGAGGAGGGCCACAACTTCACTAAGGAGGCTGCTATGGCTAAGCTCTACTGCTCCCAGATCGCTCAGAAGTCTGCCTCTGCTGCCGTCGACTGGATGGGCGGTGTGGGCTTCACCCGCGAGGAGACTCTCGAGAAGTTCTACCGTGATTCTAAGATCGGTACTATCTATGAGGGTACTTCCAACATCCAATTGCAAACCATTGCCAAGTTGATCCAAAAGGGCCACTAAATATCATGCTTCCCTCTATGTAGTCATTTTAAAAAAGATTATGTCAGTAAGTTTAAAAAGTCGAAATTTTTTTTTTACAAATCGATCTTGGGATTTTATTTTTCTCTTTTTTGGAAAATGGGCAAGAGAGAATTAGAAGAGATTGAGGTCGACATCACAAAGCCGACGCCTTTGTCCAAAAAGCAAAAACGATTGTTGAAAAAGGGCAAGATTGAGGAGCCGAAACCCGAGATAGCACCCGAGCCCAAGCCGGATGCTCGTTCCAAGTGGGGTGTATGGGTTGGTAACATGTCTTTCGATACTACTGAATCGCAATTGCGAGAGTTTTTGATTGACAATGCTACCGACATTCAAGCTGAACATATTAGCCGTGTCAAGCTTGTTTCTAAAAAAGGATTCGCGTACGTTGATTTCACGGCTGAAGAACAGATGAAGCAGGCAATCGGCTTGTCAGAAAGCAGTTTGGGAGGCCGAAATCTTTTGATTAAAGACGCCAGATCGTTCGAGGGTCGCCCATCCAAGGCAGAGCAAGAAAGCAAGAATCCTCCAAGCCGAATTTTGTTTGTTGGAAATCTCTCTTTCGACTCCACCGACGATGAAATTCGCATGTTGTTTCAACATTGCGGAGAGATTCAAAAAATCAGAACTGCGACCTTCCAAGACAGTGGTAAATGTAAGGGATTCACATTTATTGATTTTGCCGACGTCGAAGGCGCAACTAAAGCCCTTAACGATAAGAGGTGTCGTAAACTAAATGGACGTCAACTACGTATGGAATACGGAGAGGACCGCAGTAAGAGACGGCCCAAGGCTCACGAGGAAGCTGCTGCTGCTAGATCAGAGGGCGCCAAGGAGTATCGTGAGCCTCGACCCGCCCCCACAGAGCCCGAGAGAGAGCCTCGACCGAGGCCCGCACCCCGACCTCGCAAACCAGCCAGGCCCACTCCAGGCCAAGCACTGTCGAATGCCGCTCGCGCCAAAAACTCGATTGTCGAATCTACTGGTAAGAAGATCACGTTTGATTAGAGTTAGTGGACTGCGAGAGCGAGTTTTGGCTAGACTGCCGGCGTAAAATGTCCTTATTATAGCTCTCTTGAGCCTCCATGAACAATTCTCTCAGAGCATCACTGTTATTGCATAGAGCTCTGAAAATGTCAAGTATTTTTTCTTCATATTTATCATTTGCGACGCTCGTATTGTAGATACTGATCCGCGACAGATGGATAGTATTCGCAATCAGATAAACCAGGCCATCTTTCAAGACTTGTGCAAGAACACACCCAGATGTGTGGATATACTGTGCTGCATTGAAGTTGACCTGTCCCCACGAGTACTCAATTCGGAAATCACCGCTAGAAATTTCGTCTTCACCAGGGAGGTCTCGCACAAACCCCATTTTGCGTAGCACGTAAAAATGATAGTACAAGGGATCAGAATCTAACGGATTGTACTGGAGACCTGAAGCCAATGGCACATCAGCAGGGTTCAGTACAAAATAGAGCTTCAGTGCGGACCGGAACGGGGAGTGACGCTGGGGGCTGCTAATCTCATCGACGGGAACTTGGACAATCTTACAACCACAGCTACTGGCAATCCGCCCCAGATTTGAAAACATATCATCAATAAGTCGCGGTGTCGCGTTCAACCATTCAACTCGAATCCCGTACGTATACTGAGGATTGTGAACTTTGTCAATATGAACGTTGATGAGCTCTAAGCGGTCAGAAAGGCGTTTCATGTCAACATTTATAGGAATTGCTCTCGAAATAACCACTCTGTGCTTCTGTGGACTCTGTGAAGTAGTGTCTTCGTTGTTGGAACCTCCAAACCACCGCTTGATCTTGCGGGAACCATTCTCTTTCGGACGCTGAACAATATAATCGGGAGCTAATTGATAGAAATAGTAGCCATTCATAAAATTGTGTCTTTTGTCAACATGAACAATGAATTTCTGCTCCATAAGGTGGTTTCCAAAGTCCACCGCTTCCTCGACCGTGGATATATCGCTGAACGCGCAAATAAGCCAGTTCACCATGTTTTGTCCAGAGAAAGCATAGCGGTATGTCTTCCAGTGCCAACTCCTATCTGTGAGCAGAACTCCTCTCTCACCCTGCATTTCAGCCGCTAGATCTTGAAGTTTCATACCTTTGTGGAGCCGGTCTTTGGTAAAAAGAGCTTCGCTCATTTGCGACCGGTCAGACTCCTCATACATGGATTCGACACAGCGAGAGAGCCCTCCAGTATAGAAAACAACACTGTCATTCTCCGCGATGACGCTCTTCTGGTCATTCGTATAATGCCGGGATTTCAAAAGAGCTTGCACTACCTTGGTGACCGCCTCAACATCAAGCTCTTCGCGGCTGAATTTATCGTAGGGACTTGGCAGCTCAAGGGTTGTAGTTACATCAGGGGGAAGCAAAACAAACCGGGTGGTCGTATGATAAGTCTTATCGCTACTGCGCGTCGGATCGTCGATATCAGTCACTTGCTGATCTAGAACTGACCAATTGATGTTCTCACCAATGATATGGTAGTCATTGAAGAGTTTATCGACCGAGTAGTAGTTCCGGTCAAACTTGGTTTTCACGCGGAGGGGGTACATGATTGAAGGTTTGGCTGTGGCAAGAGCCTGATCGGGATCGACCCACGTATACACCTGGACATTGATCACACCATCTTGCTCGATCGAAAGTCGATGTATGAGTGTGTTCCTCAACATGTACACCCTACTGTTGAGATAGTCACGAGGAGGAGCGACTTGGCAAAGCATATTCGGGTCGCCATCTGCGAGACTACGTTCTACCTTGACAACGCCTTCGCCCACAGCAATTTGGAATCCCATTTGAAGCCTCAACGCGACAAGCTCGTTCAACATATGCCCGCCCGTATACTTTTCATGACTGAGGCCTGCTGCGACGTCATAAAACTGGAACTTGTAGTGGCTTTGAAACTCATGCGGGGTGGGAAACACTTCAGAAGTGATCGGCAAAGAAGCAGGAGACTTCAAAGAGTGCCAACTAACGGTCTTACGGATAGTTCCTGGAGGATACACATTAACCCACCGACCATAAGCACGGACTCTGGTGGGGTGATCGATCACTGAAGGATTGGGTAGAACTCTCCACATATGCCAGTGGGGATCGTTGATCTCCTGAGTTGGCAGGCCCCGCTTTTCCCCATGACTAGTTGATGTCTGATCAACTGGGCTTTTCCCCGGAGATGCACCACCAACACTCGGTGTAAGCTTTTGACCTGGAGACATACGACTAAGGATGGAAGGTCGCGTGACTCTGAGCTGCTGCCGTTGACTGATAGGAATAGGGACTGCTGCACTATGTTTGCCGAACATAGTGGTCTGGCGCTGGGGCATGGCTGGGCGTGCAGGGTGTGCAGGCAAGTCTCTAACAGAAGTCGGACCTATCGAGTCATTTCTTCTCTGGGGTTCACGAGTTGCTTTCATTACATTATCGTTAAATGAAAATGAGCGCATGGGGCGTAAGAAATGTGCAGCCGCTCCAACCATACTATTTTCATATCTTGATCCTTTGAGTAAAGCGCCCAAAGTGCTTCTGGCTTTCATTGGCTCTGCATCTGTTGTTAAAGGTGAGACAGTTGCCACGGCCAGCGTGGATTCTGAAACAGCCTTGGGCAAAGCAGAAGAAAGATCAAGCGGGCGTAATAGTAATGCCGAAGAAGAGGACTGAGCCGCTTCTTCAATTTGGCGTTGGTTGGCAATCATATCGACACTTTTGAAAACATTTGCATCAAAGTTCTTCATGAATCGGGTAGAATATGGTCCAGGTGCCATGTGCCTTATGGAAACAGACTTGATCTCGTTCTCAGTAACACCCATCATCTGTATATCATATATTTTGCACCGAGGTATCCACTGTTTCTGAAACTTACTCTGAAAGTTCCAAAAGGATACATTCATCCATGTGGGTACAAAGTACTTCAAGCGTCCGGTTTCGTCCAGAGCCCGCATCATTGGCGTCACAAAGAGCGGGGGTCGAGAAAGACAAACCAGTTCAGCACCGATTAGTGACTGGAGCATGCTGGTACTTACACGATAGAACGAAGCCAGATCGACGTCGAACAAACCCGAGCCTGGGGTAATAAACATAGCTTGATGGTTGGCCCTGCATAGATCTTGGTCGGCAACATTGGTATTCAGCAAAATATTGGCCAACGACCAAGCCCTGAGCATATTGCCCTTGCAAGAAGGCAAAATGCGACCACGAAGTTCACCCTTGTCGTTACACAAAACTTCTTGCTCAAACTTGGAGAACTCATGTCTAAGTTTGACCATAATATCAGCCCACCGACTAATATGGACCTTGTCAATGACCACTCGATAAAAGTCCGTAGCGTTACGGTCTAATTCACCAGGTTCCAATTGCTTTGTAGATCCTGAAGTGGAAACGCTTGTAAACAGCACAATCGAGACTAGATGGTGGTCCCCGTGTTTCCACCAGCGATGGAGCATTTCTGGAATAAAAGAATTCACCAGCTGGTCAAAAACAATGTCACCAGTCGAATCAAACTGCCACATCTCTGCGGACATCTGAATAAATATTAGCATACGTGAGCTGTCGCTTCTGAACACTAAACGAGTGTGGGGACCAATATACCCACTAAACTTGCGCAGTCCATTTCGATAGATTTTATTCACAGTGAGACGTACAAGCCCACCAAGATAATTGACTCGTTGATTCTGATAAACACAAGTGCCGCTCAGCCTTTGTGCAACCCGGTACTGGTCGGCTCGAGTTAGATCCATACCTTTGAAATGCAGCTCAACCGTATCAATATGTGCTACCACGCTAGGTCGCACACGGACTTGTACTTGACTTCGAGGCCGGATGTGCAACTGGTTCAAAAAGTTAGTGTTAATAGAGATCTGGGCGTTGCTGCCTTCGCCCTTGTCTTTGAGCTGGAAATAAAAATTGCGTCTCTCCCCGTCAACTTTTGTTGACAATTCGGCCACTTGTCCTTCCTTGGCCTGCGGAAACAGCTTCATATCTACCAGAACCTGGTCTTCGACAGCATACGGGTCGTGGCCCCATACCGTCAGGGTTATCGGAGGCAAATCCTCTGCCGACATCTCATCCTCGTAGCCTTCGAAGCCCGCTCCAATCATACCCTTCGGTGCAGGGGGTTTTCGCAAATTTTGTGGAATACTAGTAGCGCTGGGGCGCCGCCTGTGACGGATGCCATTGTTCATTTCACCGCCCTGGGGTAGATGGAGTTACGTGATGAGCGTCGAGTGCCCTATATGTGGGATTAAGACGAGCGAAGCCGTGGTTAATCTGCATTTAGATCGAGGATGTCCTGAGACTAAAAAGGCCAAGAAGGAAGAGAGGCTATCTCAGAGCTCTTCGCAGTCCGAATCTGTGGAGGTTGTGTCGGCATCACAGCCAGCACCCAAATCGACGCGATCGGAGCCGTTGGCTGAGCGAATGCGGCCCAAAGAGCTATCAGAATACGTCGGGCAGACACATCTGCTTGGCAGCCAAGGGGTCTTAACCCAGCTATTGTTAATGGACAGGTTGCCGAGTCTCATTTTGTGGGGGCCGTCGGGGGTAGGCAAAACGACGTTTGCCCGTTTACTAGCCCAGGTCACTAAAGCACGGTTTATTGAGTTATCTGCTACAAATGCTAGCGTCAACGACGTCAAGCGGGTTGTAGCTGAGGCACAGAACGACCAGAAACTATTGAAGCGGAAAACTATTCTATTTCTCGACGAGGTTCACAGATTCAATCGGACCCAGCAGGACTCGTTGCTGCCTGGGATTGAAAAAGGTGATATAATTCTTGTTGGAGCCACCACAGAGAACCCAAGTTTCAAGCTTCAGGGAGCTCTACTTTCCCGGTGCCGGGTTTTCATTCTGGAGCCATTGACGCACGGAAACATCGTGACACTTCTTGAACGAGCAATAAAAGAGGAAAACATTCCCGTGGAAACACAGGTTATCAATTATATTGCCGAGAGTGCGGGTGGTGATGCCAGGGCTGCGTTGAGCATGCTCGAGGTCGTGCTTGCACTGCCCGATAAGACCATGGCGGCCGTAAAGCCGGCTCTCCGGCACGCCATGTTATACGACCAAAAGGGCGACATGCACTACGATCTGATTTCCGCGTTTCATAAGTCTGTTCGGGGTTCGGATGCAGACGCAGCGCTGTACTATCTTGGGCGAATGCTCGAAGCTGGAGAGGATCCTCTATATGTGGCCCGACGCATGGTGCGTATAGCCAGCGAGGATATTGGGACAGCAGACGACACGTGCTTGCCCTTTGCAGTATCTGCTTTCACTGCGGCACAGCAATTGGGTATGCCTGAGGCAGACGTGATACTTGCTCACTGTGCGGTCAAACTGGCCCGTGCGGTCAAATCTGTGGACGTGTACAAGGCATACAAAAAGCTTGCTGCGCAATTGCATTCAGATCCACAAATGGCCGCGGCATCTGTGCCGATACACCTGCGCAACGCGCCCACAAAGCTCATGGAGGACATTGGCTACGGCAAAGAATACAAGTACAACCCGGACTATGAAGGAAACGTAAACCAGGAGTATTTGCCAGAGCAATTACCAGAACGCAAGTGGCTAGGTACTCACAAAGCGGTGCTGCGAGACGACAGTTCGGCAGCACAGTCAATAAAAAAGCGAGATCGGTGTAATTAGTTGTAGAACGCTTCTAGCAGAGAATGAATCTCATCGTAGTCAGTTCGGACTCTTTTCAGTAAGGCCTCCAGCCCATCGTGATCGAGAGGTGGGTCGTTAGGGCTTAGGCGGCCCAGGTGCTGAATCTCAGAGCAAGCATTTTGAACTTTGGTTAGGCCGAGAGACGCCGAGGAGCCTTTGAGAAAATGGCCGAGTTGCGAGAGGGTTTCGAGGTCGTTCTCAGCGAGAGCATTGTCCATTTTGCCAAATGTGGTTTCTGCTTGGTCGAAGAACGTCTCGACGATGCTCCGGCTGAAGCTGCGCTCTTTATCGTCGTCCATTTCAAGGATTTGATCAAAAGTGTACACGTCAATGACGTTGGCAAAGCCCTCGGGGATTCTGGGGCTTCCTTCCATTTTTGTGTGGTGTGGACGGCAAGAAAGCAAGGTCTGGCGGTTTTGGGTGCTGGAACTGGGGGAGTTTGTTTTGAGTTTCTGTTTCAATTAGACTCCGGAATATGTCTCTTATAAACCAATGCTCCCACTCTGTGCAACTAGTGAGGATCTGTGATGGTTAACCGTCGACGGGGGGTAACACGAGATAAAGAGTATCTTTCCACGCTTGATTAGTACCCCCGCCAAGAATGGCCCCCAAGTTGGACCTTAGTCACTGTGCAGCAGCCGCAGCTACATCCGTTCATAAGCAGGACGTGCGTCACCTAATGTCCTGTTCACTGGTAAAATAACTCATGTAATGGGTCATAGGCTTGGTTTCGCCACCCGTTTTACCACTAAAAAGATCGGGGTCTACGACTAAGCCTAAGGCTACACATACAGTACTAAAACCACAAAATCGGTGCTCCTCGAAGCGGCCAACCTGTATCATTGCGTCACAACGGTCTCCAAAACGAGTTTTCGGCCCTGGCAGCACCCTGCAGGAAACTAGGCAAGACGGGGTGGTGCGATTCTAATCCTCAGCAGCAACTTGGCGTGCGCAGAGAATACAATCGTCTCCAATCGACGCCCATTTGACGTTTTTCAGAGCAACCTTAGCCGTCGGTGCGGCTTCAACACCACTGATACCCAGATAGTTTGATCCAATAGTAACAATGATAGCGTCAGAGATGTTGGCTTCCAGCGAGCTGCCAATGACCGTGGCACCGCCCTCGATCATCAGGGACTCGATTCCGTTGTCTTCCAGGGCACTAAGAATAGTTGGCCATTTCATGTCCGGCAGCTGCAGCACCTTCCCACCTACCTCCTCGATAGCTGTTTTCCGCTGTTTGAACGGCTCTAATTCGAGGTTTACGGTGTTCAAAGTAAATAGATAGGGCGGCTGACCTACGCCAAGACGGGCGTTTTTCAGGATATTCCACTCTTTCTCGCTGGCGCCCCAGGAGAACAAAGAGTCGAGCAGAATAGGTGTGGGAGATGATTTGCAGCCCGGGTATCTGCAGTTTAGACCTGGATCGTCAATCACAAGAGTGTTATTGCCTACCAGAATGGCATCGTGTTTCGCTCTTAGGAAGTGCGTCATTTTACTCGATGCTGGACCAGAAATCTTCGTCCGCTCTCCTCGCCGGCCTGCCACACGACCGTCGATGCTTTGGGCATAAGTTATTGTGACATAGACCTTGCGTTTCCGCTGGTCGCTGGGCAAATACGCGGAGATATCTTCGAGCAGTGAATCAATCTCGGCATCCATCGGTGTTGATGTCATCGTTATGGGGAAAGCGGGAGGCCATCATCAGCTCGCTTAAGCTGTAATGCTGGTTGTCGCAGCAACGACCAGCCAAAACCAGCAGTTTTGCGGTGACTCGCCCACGGCCAGATCCACGAATTGTTTATATATAAAACATTTTATATAGTCCTTGGGGCCTTCAGCGTGAGGAGCGGCCCAATAGTCTGCAAAACTGGAAAAAAAAAAATTAGCTAAGAAAATTTCTTCCATTCACCATGGTTCTGAAATCCACGGGTGCCAATAATATCCCTGTATATCAGGTCTCTGGTACCAATTCCAGTAGATCGTTGCCCGATTGGCTGATCAGAAAACGGAAGCGGTCGCTCAAGAATGACCCAGACTTTGCGAATCGTGTGGAGCTCATCCAGGACTTTCAGTTCGACGAAGCTTCTCTCAAGGTGAAGGTGTCGCGAGACGGCAATTTTGCCATGGCGACCGGCACTTATAAGCCCCAAATTCATGTTTATGATTTCTCACAGCTGTCGATGAAATTCGACCGCCACACGGATGCCGAAAACGTTGATTTCGTCATGATCTCAGACGACTGGACAAAGTCTGTGCATTTGCAGAACGACCGAACTATTGAGTTCCATGCCCAGGGCGGAATTCACACGCGCTCCCGTATTCCCAAATTCGGCCGGTCGATCGCCTACAACCGCACCAATTGCGATCTCTATGTTGGAGCCGGTGGAAACGAGCTTTACCGACTGAATATTGACCAGGGCCGGTTCCTGGCTCCTTTCGAGTGCGAAAGTGAGGGAATTAATAAAGTCGAGGTAAGCTCTGCCCACGGGCTGGTTGGCTGCGGTGGTGAAAACGGTACTGTGGAATTTTGGGACCCTCGATCCCGGAACAGAGTGGGTATTCTAAGAGTTGGTGGCCAGGGCCAGGGCGTTGGAAGCGGTGTTACTGCTTTGGCGTTCCATGACGATGGGTTGCAGTTCGCAGCTGGAACTTATGATGGCCTTAGTATGATTTATGACCTGCGATCTTCGGATCCCATTCTGACCAGAGATCAGGGCTACGGGTTCGCTATTAGAAACCTAGGATTCCTAGACACACAGTCTGTCTCTCGCAAGATATACAGTGCTGATAAGCGCGTCGTAAAAGTTTGGGACACAAACAACGGGGAACCATTCACTGCTATTGAGCCCACAGTTGATATTAACGATGTGGCTCACATCCCAGACACAGGTATGTTTTTCCTGGCTAATGAGGGCATTCCAATGCACACATACTACGTTCCTGCCATTGGCCCTGCTCCCCGCTGGTGCTCGTTTTTGGACAGCATCACCGAGGAGCTCGAAGAGAAGCCGGCGACCAGCGTCTACGAGAACTTCAAGTTTGTTACTCGCAAAGAGCTCGAGGGTCTCAATTTGGGCCATCTTATTGGCAGCAGTGTTGTCAAAAGCTACATGCATGGTTATTTTATCGATATGCGCCTGTACGAGCAGGCCAAACTCATTTCAGATCCGTTTGCCTATCGCGAGCACCGCGAACGGGAGATTCGCAAAAAGATCGAAAAGCAGCGCGAATCACGAATCCGTACGACTGGTGCAGCTCAAAGTTCTGGAGTCAAGGTCAACAAAGAGTTTGCTGCTGTTAACAAAGACAAGATCGACGACCGTTTCAAGGCCATGTTCGAGGATCCCGAGTTCCAGATCGATAAAAATAGTTTCGAGTACAAACTACTGCATGGTGGAAAACCAGGTCAGGCCCAGGCCTACAATGGTGAACCTGTTAGAACTCGAGATGCACCTCGGGCACTCACTGCCGCTGAAGAAGAAGAAATGGAACGCAATGAATCCAAGTCAGAATCCGAGTCAAGTTTAAGCTCTGACAGCGAAAAGAAAGAACGGATCAAAGAGCGAAGACGCAAACAAGCTGAGCGTCGCGAAAAACAACAGCAAAAGCGTCGCCTCATGGAGGAACAGCCTGAAATGGTATCTGTGGACCATGAAAACAGGGCCAGTATGAGCCTGGGTGAGCAATTGGCATTCAAAGCCAAGAAACCAGTGCGGGATCGTGACCAGGTCCATAAAAGCGGTCGTGGAGAGGCCGAGATCACGTTCGTTCCTCGATCTAAAAAGCCCGTCCGTCCTCGCATCCAAGAAGGCCGCACCGCCCCGCGGGACTCTAAAGATCGCCGCAGAGCATCTAAAAATGTTTTCCGAGGCATGTGAAATCTTGGTGATCCCACCCCGCCTGATCTTATTTTCATAATCAACCCGAATATAACTTATACTCTTTCCTCCCGCCTTAGCAATGGTAACCCACACACTGATATTGCTACGCCACGGGGCTAGCGACTGGACGTGCAAGAACCTTTTCAATGGCTGGGTTGATACTAAACTCAGCGACAAGGGCCGCGAAGATGCGATCAAGGCAGGGAAACTCATGTTGGAGCACAACCTTTTGCCAGACGTTGTATACACATCATGCCTATCTAGGGCTATTCAAACAGCAAACATTCTGCTGGAAGTTGTTGATCGGTTGTCGGTCAACGTGAGACACAGCTGGCGCTTGAACGAGCGACACTACGGCGCCCTCCAGGGCCAGAACCGGAAAGAGGTTGCTCAGGAATACGGCCAGGAAAAGTATATGCTCTGGCGGAGGTCATATGATGTTGCACCGCCTCCAATTGATGACGATTGCGAATTCTCGCCCGTGCATGACGCCAGGTATAGTGGGCTACCGAACGATACGATTCCGCGCACCGAGTCCTTGAAAGATGTCGAAGCCCGACTGGTTCCCTACTTCAACGACGTCATTGGCAAAGATATCAAGCATGGAAAGGTAGTGCTTGTGATTGCACACAGCAATTCCTTACGGGCGCTAGTCAAGCACATCGACAGCATCGACGATCAGGACATTGTTGACGTGAATATCCCAAATGCCATGCCCCTAATCTACGAGCTGAACGATGACCTACGTCCGGTAAAAAGTGGCTACTACTTGGATCCTGAGACTGCCGCCGAGGCTGCTGAAGTGGTTGCAAACCAAGGCAACTGATTGCCTTCGTGCCCACTATGGATCTTGCGGTAATTTTTCGGCTGGAAAATTCGGAGCTAATCGGTCGTGGTGTTTCCGCAGAAACCATAATCGCTTACTAACCAACCCCCCAACACCTGCATATAAATGTCACGGTACCCAACTTGACAGCCGATAACTAAAAGCAATGTCCGAACCCGTCTCCAAAAAGTCCAAGCCCACGCACACTTTGATTTTGCTGCGCCACGGCGAGAGTGAATGGAACGAGAAGAACCTGTTCACCGGCTGGGTTGATGCCAAGTTGAACGCAAAGGGCCGCAAAGAGGCTACGCATGCAGGTGAATTGCTTGCCGACTTCGAGCCCAAGCCCGATGTGCTCTACACCTCCAAGCTCTCTCGCGCCATCCAGACTGCTAACCTCGCGTTGGAGTCTGCCGACCGTCTCTGGATTGACGTCAAGCGCAATTGGCGTTTGAACGAGCGTCACTACGGTGCTCTGCAGGGCAAGAACAAAAAGGAGATTGCTGAGGAGTTCGGCAACGAGAAGTTCATGACCTGGCGTCGTTCTTTCGATGTACCTCCTCCTCCCATTGCTGATGACGACAAGTTCTCTCAGTACAACGATGAGCGCTACGCTGACCTTCCCAAGGACGAGATCCCCAAGACCGAGTCCTTGAAGCTGGTCATTGACCGCTTGCTCCCTTACTGGAGCGACGTCATTGCCAAGGACATCAAGGAAGGCAAGACCGTCCTCATCACTGCCCACGGCAACTCCCTGCGTGCCCTCGTTAAGCACCTCGACAACATCAGCGACGATGACATTGCTGGCCTCAATATCCCCACCGGCATCCCTTTGATTTACGAGCTTGACGATGACCTCAAGCCTGTTCGTGAGCGCTACTACCTCGATCCTGAGGCTGCTGCCGCTGGCGCTGCCGCCGTCGCCAACCAGGGTAAATAGTTTACGTAGCTCCGGTTACATATGTCTAATCGATCCGTGGTTTGAACCATTGCAAAGCGAGACTGCTAAACACCACAGACACTGAGCTCAAAGCCATGGCCAACGAAGCCAGCACCGGGTTCAAGCGAGTTTCAGTCCACGGGTAGAAGACTCCGGCGGCTAATGGAATCATAACGATGTTGTAGATGGCCGCCCAGAAGAAATTGAGACGCACACGATTCATTACGGCCGCAGACAGATCAATTACAATAGGAACACCCCGCAAGTCGCTTCGCACAAGCACAAACTTGGCAGACTGCAAAGTGATATCTGCTCCAGTACCGATCGCGATTCCAACGTCACAGGCGCTCAAACTCGGTGCATCGTTTACTCCATCACCGACCATGGCCACGATTGCTCTACCAGAGTGTGACTTGTCTGCTTTTCCTGTCTTCTGAAGCCAGCGAACCCGCTCTGCTTTCTCTTCAGGTAGAACCTCTGCAATCACTTGGTCCGGTGGAATACCAGCCTGAGCGGCGATCGCACGAGCTGTTTTAAGATTGTCACCAGAGATCATCCAGGTGCTAATACCACGAGTTTGCAACGCGTGAATCACCTGCTTGGCTTCGGGGCGAATGGTATCTTGTGCAGCAAATAGTGCAACAACATCACCATCCAATGCAAGTAAAATTACACTTTTACCCTCTTTCTTCCACTTCTCGAGCTTTTCGTTCTCACCTGATTCAATACCCTGCTCCTTGATTAACCGTTCGTTACCCATAATGGCACGCTTGCCCTGAAAGGGTCCAGCAGACACCTGCCCGATAATACCCCGTCCAGCAATTTGACGTATATTTTCAACGCGTGAAGTCATGAGTTCGCGATCAGCGGCATAGCTGACAACTGCCTTGGCCAAAGGATGCACCGATTCACTTTCAAGGCGAGCCGCAAGCTGAACAAGCTCGCCTTGGGGTGTGACACCGGGTTTAAACCAAACATCCGTAATCTGGGGGTTTCCACCCTCTGTAATGGTACCAGTTTTATCGAAGCAGACGATATCAAGCGCCGCACCTTCCTGGAAAGCTTCGCCACCTCCCCGAGCAAGAATGCCATATTTGGCGGCAAGTCTGCTTCCCACAAACAATGCAGTGGGAGCAGCGAGACCAATTCCGCACGGGCAAGCAACAACAAATACTGCAATAGCAAATTCCATACTCCAAACACCCCAGCTGTTGGCTCTCGAGTGTTCCAAATACTCATCAGGTAAACGACCACTACGACCAAGGACATACCAAACGAGCCAGACGAAAAGTGCCAAATAAGTAACCACAGGCACAAAAGCACTGGTAACTTGTTCAGCAACACGCTCAATAGGTGAAGTTGTCATTTGGCCCTGACGAACAGCGCTCATGATTCCATCCAAAAAGGTTCCTTTGTTTGCCGCTGTAACTTTGACAACAACAGCTTCAGAGCCGCAATTGACGGTTCCGGCGTAGACGTAGTTACCGTCACGTTTTAAAACAGGAAGAGACTCGCCCGTGAGCATCGCCTCATCAAACTCAGAAGCTCCAGAGATGACAAGTCCATCAACAGCTGCTTTCTGGCCGCTGAAAACTTTAACAGTATCATTCACATCAATTGCGTAAACAGGCTGTGTGACTGTGTCACCGTCTACAACCAACTGGACTTCATCTGGACAAAGCTCATTCAACGACGAGACTGCAGAAGAGGCTTTGGCTTTGGAATAGACATCCAGATAGCGGCCGACTAATAAAAACAGAGTAAGAAAGACAACCGAGTCAAAATAGGTTTCTGACATCGAATCTTGGAAGAACATAAACAAACTGGCCCAGTAAGAAATTGAAGTTCCTAGCGACATGAGCAGATTCATACTGCCGAAATGGAAAAGTCTACGAGACCAGCTCTTTTCAGAAAGTACACCCTTGAGTTCTTTGATGGATTTAATATGGAACATATCGTCGGCGAAAAAGTAGACCGGTGTGGCCAATACAAGTGTGGAAGCATTGTCAATCCAGCTCATATGTACAGTGGACATTCTGATCATGAAATAAGTCATCGGGATGGAAATCAGTCCTGTTAACCACAAACGAGAGATGATTTCGCGTTTCTCCAACTGCATATGTTCGGCAGCAAGTTCCTCAATCGATTGAGGGCGGACGAACGAAATCGTCAACTCGGGGTTCGCACGGCTGATCTTATCAATAATTTGCCGAATTGTAAACTTCGGTGCATTGGGGACATAAGTAAATTTCACATAAGGCTCATCAAGAGTAATAGAGTTGACGACTTCTACTGCATCACCGTACGACTTCAAAACATCCATTACATGCTGCGGGCATTGCTCACAAAACATCCCTTCAACTTTGATGTTGATAGTACGAGACTGTTGGATCAGCTCAGACATGTGACGAGGGGACACGTTGATCAGTTCGAAAGTGTAACCAGAGTCTTCAATGGCGCTCTTAAGATCCTCGACTTTGGATTCATCGGATATATGAAAGATACCGGAGCCACTCAAGACATCTATTTTGGCATCATCAACGAACGCAAGCCCTAATGCAGTGTCTTTGATCGAATTGGCGCAGTTTGAGCATGTCATGCCTCCTAGCGATGCCTCCACAATATACTCGACAGTGGTAGAAACAGGAAGTAACTCGGTCAACTGGCATTCATAACCAAGATCACGTATAACTTCCTGGACTTTATCGGCAACTAGAGCATTCGGGACCAATAAAGCAACGCTATGGTTCATAACATCGACACTGATGTCCTTGATCTCAGGTACCCGCTCTCGGACGCCCTCATCAATGCTTCTAGCACAACTAGCACATGACATACCCTGAATTGAGTAAACAGCTCGGTATGTTTCGGTCGCCGGCTGGTGGTCGGGCTCCTCGCTTTCTTCATGGTGGGCACATTGCTCACAGATAGCCGCATGGCGCTCGTGCCGAGTGTTACCAGAAAACAATCGACCAACCCAAGACAGACGTCGACTATGGAAAGGCTGGCTGTCGACTCGAATCACCTCGAACCCACGTTCATACAGTTTTCGTGAGATTGCCGTGCCATCAAAAGTCTCCGATCCGGGAATTTCAACAACTACATCAGATCCAACGAACACTACCTTAGCCTGGGGGTACTCCTCCTGAATGATTTTGCGTATATCATCCTCACAGGATCCGCAATGAATATTACGGACCGTAATAACGTGTGTGGCGAGCATACAGGATGGAACTAACGCCGACAGTAATCCTGCGTTAAGTATTATCTCAGCAGTGCATGACGGCGCAGGTTTATGGTATTCGAGACTAGCTTCAATATAGAACAAGAAGAGAACTGAAAAGTGTTAAATAACCAAGTCTTGCATTCCTGGCTTTGTACAGACCCAAGTCGAAGCATACATGTTGACTCTGTCAATAGCCATGCCGGGCTTGCGCACTGCAGCCGGCTCGATCGCAAACCCATGGATTTGGAAATTTTTGAGATACCACGGTTTAGTGGACGACGATCGGAGCATAACACGTCCGCCATTCGCTAGAGCCTTGTGTAACTGCGAGATTTCCTCGTCAACCTCTTTGCCGGCGGGCGAGAACCAATCCATGTGATCCATAACGATTGCAATCGTGACAGTGCCCGGAGTGAGCCGCTCCACAACATCGTTAATACTGTCGGTGTGCAATCGGATCCCATCAAGACCACTTCGGCGACGGCTTAGATTAAAGTAGCCCCTTTTGGTGATATAAGAGGGACAAGTCTTGGGCGAGTAGCGGCCATTTAGACACAGATAATAAAAGTAGTTCTCGGTGCCGATACGGTAAGTGTCGATCAACGGATCTAGTGTGTCAACAATGTATTGGAACAGAGAGGTTTCGATGCAATCTGCCTGATTCATTGGAACACCGAGCGCCTTCCATAGAAAGACAGAGTTGCACACGGCAAGTCGAGTAATAGGACTCAACAGAACAGGTCTGATTTGCTTATTCCAAATCTGCTTTTGCTCTTCAATGCTTTTGGCATCGCACAATGCGTCAACTTGGGCTTTGATGTTGCAAATCTTGAAGATCCAGCGAACAAGTCTCAATGCCCAGCGAGTAGAGCCCGTGTCGTAAAGTCCAGCCCCTGAAAAGGTATCCTCACCCACCTGAAACCAGTACTGGAATGCCGGAGAAGACATATGGACAGCAAGTTTGTTAACCAGCAACTCATGGAATTTGGGGTGCTTGCCCTCCCCGAACATCATCCAGATATCGTCATAGGACAATGCGCGCAAAGCCGCAAGTTTCAGCTCAACCAGATGATTCTGATGCGGGTTCATATCGACACCGTGAATACGACGAGGCGGCTTGTCGAGAGCAGCATAGGCTAGTAGGTTGTCACCAGCAGAAGTGATAGCCAGAACCACGTCGTCAGAGTTGAACTTTAAAATGTTATGATCCTCGATGGGATCTTCCCAAGTGAAGGCATAAATATATTGGTTGTTGAATTGGTGGTGATGGGCAGCCTGGCTGTCGTAGTATATACGCCAAATTTCACGCTGGTAGTAGAACGAAGGGTATGGCATATTCTGAAGCATTGCCACATGCGCTGCATCGTGGCCTTTGCTCTTCACTGGCAAGTCCAAAAGATTTTCGCAGGAGCCCGAAGCTGCAGGTAGTCTTGGGGCAAGGAAGGGTGATTCAGTTGCCAGCTGATGGCGATAGTTGATATCACTAGCATTACGCTTGTCACAACCAACCCACACGTAATAAGGAATGTGGCCCAGAATCTTGTTGCGACAATTGAGAGACTTGATAGTACCCATGCGATATTCTAAGTAGTCGCGACGTGCAGGGTCGAGATGGACGTGATCGAACTCGAACCAAAGACGCCAAAAATTCCTCGACAGCCAGTTGACATGACGATGGAGCTCACCACCTAGAGTGTTGGTTTTTGCCGTATAGCTTGACTCTGATTGCACGTAGAAATCGACCACGCCGGCCAAACCGTCGTCGTGAAGCAGGGCGGCAGCTCTATCGACAGTAGAGTGATAGTTTGGAATCATTGACAAGGAATAAGACATTGTGACCAAGTGTGCCTTTTGGTTGTCTGGCAGCTCAAACTCGTTTACATCGCGGCAATGAACAAAGACGTTAGTTGCGCCTATAGCCTCGAAGCGCTTGCGAGCAACCTCACAAAGAGACGGAGAGAGGTCTACGAGGTAAATGGCCTTGAACTGCGACAGTGGAATGTACTCGTTCATTTTCTCGATGTTGTAACCAGTACCACCACCAAGATCAACCCAGACCATGTCTGAAGTAAAGCGCAAGTGAGACTTTGCCAACCGAAGCATGAGCTCGCGTCCTTTCAATAACGTTTTACGAGTCGAGTCATAGATAGATGCCTGGCTCTTGTAAAATCTCTCGAGGGACGTTTGCTGGTTCCCGGTCTTTCCAATTGGTTTTAGGAAGCAATTCCAGCAGAAAATCAGCAGCGTAGATGCTGGAGAAAAGAGAAGAGCTGCAGCGATGAAAACTGCAGCAGAAAGGCAGACAGCAGCAATTGATAGCATCATTCAAAGAAGTAACCACAAAGACAGGAGTCTTATCATCGGCTTTAAGAGCTCTTTGTGTCGTCCAGCACGTGCTTGTTCCCACGTGCTCTGCAGGCGTATGCACACCATGCATAAATCCGGGGAATCAGTGGTCAATGGCGAGCGGCCTTTGGGCAGACCCCAATCACAATTGCGAGTCGCGTGAAATCACGTTCGAAGGGACCAGCCAGCCACCGGCCAAGCCAGTTTTTATCAATTGCTGCCTTGTTGTCGATCACACGCGATGCGAGTTGTTTGTAAGGGCTTAGTTGGGAGTCGAACCAAACAGCCAGACGCTTAACCGTTCGACGGGGGAACCCTGAAATTCCAAAATGGGCAAGGGTTCATTCGCAGCAGTCGGTCCCGGCCAATGGCAGGTGGTTTGGCAGGTCACGGTATAGCCGCCCCACCAAAAGTCTTACATCACCCAACAAGTAAACTACCAGTAAACATGTCGGTTCCTCAGTTCAAAGATATTTCCAAGGCTGCTAACAACGTGCTCGGCAAGGACTTCTACCATGTCGCTCCTCTCAGCCTTGAGGTCAAGACTGTCGCCCCTAACGGTGTCGCTTTCACCGTTGACGGCCAGTCCAACCAGAAGACCGGCGCTCTTGCTGGCAAGATTGAGGCTCAGTACACGGACAAGCCCTCTGGTGTTTCTCTCACTCAGGGCTGGACCTCTGCCAATGTGCTGAACACCAAGGTCGAGCTGAACGAGGCTTTCACTCCCGGCCTCAAGGGTGAGGTCGACACCTCTTTCCTTCCCGACACTGGCGCAAAGAACGCCAAGGTTGGTCTGACCTACAAGCAGCCCGGCGTCAACGCTCACATCTTGCTTGATGCCTTCAAGGGTCCTGGTGTCACCGGTGACGTTGTCTTCGGCCACGGCGGCTTTGTCGCTGGTGGTGAGATTGCCTACGACGTGTCCAGCGCCAAGATCTCGCGCTTCTCTTCCGCTATTGGCTACCTCCACCCCGCCTACTCTGCCACCGTTGCCGCCACCAACAACTTCAACGTGTTCTCGGCTGCTATCTGGCACAAGGTTGACCCCAACACCGAGATCGGTGCCCGCGGTACTTGGGACGCTGCTCAGCCTTCTTCTGCTGGTGTTGGCATTGAGGCTGCCGTCAAGCACAACCTTGACCGCAGTGCCTTTGTCAAGGCCAAGCTCAACAACCAGGGTATTGCTTGGTTGTCCTACTCTCAGGCCCTCCGCCCTGGCGTCACCATGGGTGTTGGTCTTCTTGCCGACACTCAGCGTCTGAACGAGTCTGCCCACAAGGTTGGTCTTTCTCTCAAGTTCGCTGCTTAGATAGGTTTGTACTTCAACTATTTTGCTGTTCTTTTGAGGGGTTGTGTTGAGCTGCCAATCGCTTGCGCATAAAAATCGTCGCCTGGGGGTTTTTGTTATATCGTTCACACCGTTCGTATCCTGACTGCTCGTAGAGTTTAATGGCTGCCTCCAGATCGTCTTTAGTGTCGAGGTACAGCCACTCGTAGTTGATTTGGGCTGCGTAATCTTCGAGTGCTTTCATTAGTTTGTGAGAAAGCCCTTGGCCACGATAGCCTCTGGCAACGTAAAGCCGCTTGACTTCTCCGTGACCGGGCGTAGGCAGCGGGCGAAGAATTACGCACCCTACGACGTGGTTGTCTACCTTGGCCAGCCATAGCCCTGAGTCGGGCTCAAAGTATGACTGGAATGCTTGCTCACTATCACGGACTACAATGTCGAGCTCATCATTGTAGACCTCTATAATTTGCTTGGCCCCATCCTTATCAGCCAGAGTAGCCCGGTAGACTGTCATGTAAGCTGATGCACCAGAGTGGCTTTCAACAGATAATTATTAGCTGGGGGTCTCATGAAGCATGGAATCTGGTCCTTTGCACTAGACCACAATTACAAGGGGTTTCTCCGGGCTGGTCGTAGAAAGTACATCAATTGTCATGCAGGCACTGCATAACGGTTCTTTTATGGAATCATGCCGAGTATGGTCATGTTTGGAAATCTACAGAAATGTTCAGACCCGTTACTTTGTTCTAGGAGGTCTTTGGATTGTGGCTTTTGGGCAATTGAGCGTTCAGTAGGTAAGTGCGTCATCTGAAGAGTAAATAAATTAAAGCAGCTCCTGCGGCTGCCGTGCCCGCGATACCCATGAATGCAGAACCAGAGCCGCTCTGGTGACCTGAATGTCCCGCACGCTTGGCAGCCTCTTCTTGCTGGCGACGAGCTTCTCTCACCCGCGCCTCGTTTCTCTGTTGAGCTGCGAAATGCTTGGCGGCGTCGAAATGCGGCGTGTCATTGACGCTGTGATCGCGGTGTTTGGGCCGAAGTGGATCTAGATTGGGGTTAGAGCGGTCCTTGTGGGCAGCGTACTTTGGTGTGTGGGCATGGAATTGGTACCCGGAGCGAGCCCGGGTTGTTCCTTTCCAGCTGGCTGATCCAGCCCTCGAGTATCCCTCAGGCTGTCTGACAGCCTCGCCCAGCGTTAAATCGAACCGCTTGCGGGCATCGTCGTTCGACAAAACCTGATATGCTGCGGTGATCTGCTGGTACTTTTCCAGATCGCCCCCCTTGTTCCGGTCCGGGTGGTATCTACGGCTAAGCTCGTAGAACTTTTTCTTGATTTCCTTGCCCGTCGCATTGACACTGACACCGAGAATCTGGTAGTAGTTTTCTCGACAAATAGAGCTTGCCTGGAAGGCTCTGGTCCAGGTAGGTCTCATTAGTAAAAAAAAACCAACACGGTAAGCTGGGGGACAATCACCAGGAAGTGAAATTTCGGTAGGAGCTACCATGCTACTGTCTATACAATTAAATTTTAGTTTTAGTAGGAGCTGGAAGTACCCAGGCATGCCTTGAGCTGATCCATGTACCATTGGCAGACACGCATGTCACCATTGTTCTGATCCATGCACTGGGTCAAGTTGCGAGCATCAATCTCGCACTTGCCCTGCTGCTCGGCGGGAGGAGCGTACTGTTGTTGAGCAGGAGCCTCGGCGGGAGCAGAGGAACCAAACATGCTGGAAACACCGTTGGCCAGAGTGTGTCCGACGGCAGAACCGACGGCAACACCGGCGGCAGTAGAGGCCATCTGGGCGAACATACCGGGCTGGCGCTGCTGCTGGACAGGGACGTGCTGGGGAGCAGCCTGGTGAGGAGCAGGCGCAGCCATGGTGTGGTTGGAGCGGGTTTGTTGGCGGGGAGCGGGGGCGGAACGACCACGAGAACGAGGCATAATAATTATATGGTGATGGAAACGTAAAGGTGCTGGCTTATATATACCCAGAGTAATTGGTGGCGCTGCGTAAGCAGCCCGTAATCGCGGAGAAGGCTCAGGAAGCAGGGCAGATGTGCCGGGAAAGTCCCAGGCAGGCAGGCAGGCAGGGTTGGCCAGTGGAATTGTTAGGGTCAGGGTTGTACTACCCAATAGGCGCATTTGTAAAATGTTCTTAATCACCAATTCTTTACACACTGGCAACATGCTGAGATGCTCGTGGAGAACGGTTCAGCAGCAGCTTCGGATGCGCCAGACGGTCGTGTTCAGTGCTCGTATGCTTCACCAGCAAAAACAGACCGGTCCGTCGGACTTCCGCGCCCAGGTCGTGCCTGAAATGGGCTCACCTATTGGCCAGCCCCGGGACGAAGAGTTCGGCCGCACCACTGTTGTTGAAGACCTAGAGATCACACAGCCCAAGGCCAAGGGCGAGAACAAGCTGCGTCACTTTACTGTCAACTTTGGTCCCCAGCATCCCGCTGCGCACGGTGTGCTGCGCTTGATTCTCGAGCTTAATGGCGAGGAGATCGTTCGTGCCGACCCCCATATTGGTTTGCTGCACCGCGGCACCGAAAAGCTCTGTGAGTACAAGACCTATAACCAGGCTCTGCCCTACTTTGATCGGTTGGACTACTGTTCGATGATGTGCAACGAGCAGGTGTTCTCGCTTGCCGTCGAGAAGCTGCTCAACATCGAGGTGCCTCTCCGCGCCCAGTACATCCGTACTCTGTTTGGTGAGCTCACCCGTATTTCAAACCACCTCATGTCGGTTACCTCCCACGCCATGGATTGCGGTGCCCTCACCCCTTTCCTGTGGATGATGGAGGAGCGTGAAAAAATCATGGAGTTCTACGAGCGTGTCTCCGGTGCTCGTATGCATGCTGCGTATGTGCGCCCCGGCGGTGTTGCGCACGATATCCCCACTGGGTTGCTGGACGATATTTATATGTGGGCCACGCAGTTCGGTGACCGCGTCGACGAGGTCGAGGAGCTGCTCACCGAGAACCGCATGTGGAAGCTTCGTACAATCGACATTGGCACCATTTCCGCCGAAGATGCTATGAACTACTCTCTCACCGGTGTAATGCTGCGTGGCTCCGGTATCCCCTACGATATCCGTAAGAGCCAGCCTTACGACGCCTACGACAAGGTTGACTTTGACATTGCTGTCGGCACTCGTGGTGATTGTTACGACCGTTATCTCATCCGTATGACCGAGTTCCGCCAGTCTTTGCGCATCATCGAGCAGTGCTGCAACCAGATGCCCACTGGCCCCTATAAAGTAGAGGATTGGAAGATTGTTCCTCCTCCTCGGTCGGAGATGAAGGAGGACATGGAGTCCCTCATCCACCACTTCTTGTTCTACACCAAGGGTTACGCTGTTCCTCCTGGTGAGACATATACCGCCATCGAGGCTCCCAAGGGCGAGATGGGTGTTTACGTCGTCAGTGACGGCTCTGAGCGTCCGTACCGTGTCCGCATCCGCACACCTGGTTTCACCAACTTGAACGCTTTGGACCACATCACCCGTTATCACTTCCTGCCCGATCTAGTCGCTATCATCGGTACCATGGATCTGGTGTTCGGAGAGGTCGATCGTTAAATAGACCGCTAATATATAACAAAAAAAATGAAAGGTTTGCACTATCTATCTTCTTTTTATTCTGCAACGTTTTGCTCGCGGCTAATAAGTTCATCAAGCATCATAGAAGGCGGCCGCTGGCGGACCCGACGTCCATTGTCTGCAGTACTGCCCACCGCTATAGAAGGAGCCCTCATAGAGCCTGCGACGGAATACGGCCGCCTCTGAGAGCTTGTATCGCTGGTTTGTGGCTGGGAATAGTAGCCTGCAGGCAAGTAGCTTGAGGCAACCATTGGCTGAGACACGTTGCCCGAGTTCATAACCTGAGCTGTGGGGGAGAAAAACATACTTTGCCGTATTTGCTTGTCGCGGTTCCGTGATTCAGCCTTTTTGTCAATGGTAGGTGGTAGTTCTGTGCCGTCGCCATCGGCTACAGGGTCAACAAACGGCCCGCCATAAGTGTTCTCCAAAGTCTGGAACTGGCCACCCCGTTTGATCGTCCTCCGCATCATGATAACCGACGTAACACGCCATACGATCAGCGCAACTATGATGGCCAGTAGAACTGATCCAAAAATGATAAACAACGTGCCCTCTGGAAGTGTTGTGGTATGAATAAATGGGTTGCCCTTGGTGTCAGGGATTTCGACGTCGAAAGTGGGGGTTGCCGACGCGGACGATTGATCTGCCTGTGTACTGCTTGTATCATCCGCAACGGCGGCGGCAAGACCTGCCAATAAATAAAAGAGCTGCCCCGAGTGCATTCAACTGAGCTGTGTGTCTTGTGTAAGCGGCTATATCCCGATCGCGCGCCTGCCTTTGTAAGAGTGAATCACGAAAAAAATATTAATATAGAATTGTATGGGGAGTTTATTTTTGGAACAAACCTCTATAGCTCACATAAATACTCTAGTATGGTCGGATGGTGACTGTGGTAACGGGACGGCTGTATCGAGGCCGAGTGGCAGTCACTGTGACGGTAGCTGGGCCGCCTCCCCACGAGTCGTCGTGCCAACCCCAGTCTCCGCCGGATTGGCCGTCGTCAGAAGGAGGTGCTGCATCTTCAAACGACCCTTTTTGATGAATCCAGCGATTAAACATGTCCAAGGCAGCAGCAGGTTGATCGTGGGGAACCATATGGCCGGCATCATAAACTCGCAAAAACGTCAAAGCGCCAACCTGCGACACTTGGCCAGCGGGTTTGTTAGCTACTGTCCAGTTCTTGGGGGACTTGATTGCGTCCACAAATTGTTGGTGTCCACTCCAGCTCAAGTCTCGCGTCCACGCCTGCCCGCTGAGCCAGTTGACAATAATGTCCTTATCGCCATGGTACACCAACACGCGAACGCCTTGACCAAGAATGGTAGTAACGTTGTGTTTTGTGGGCTCGTACCGATCCCAGCGATCAAACCCACCATTGAAATTGGTCGAGCACACTTGGTAGGTTACATCTTGATCAACTCCTAGTCCTGTCTTTACCGCCGAGCTGTCGAAAAAGTCTTGGACGTTATCGAGCCCCTTGTAACACATATTTGTGCGTGTTTGGGGACACGGTAGCCGGATATCGTATGGATTTAGTTTTCCAAACTGGTTTTGACTGCTGCAAGAACCAGACGATTTGTAGCACGAGGACCGCGTACCGTAGTCTACACAACTCTGCAGGTCACTGATGCATTGGGGGAGGTCTTTCTGCATCTTCGAGCATACTTGAGGATCCAGAACCTCTTTGTATCCACCTTGACCACACAGCATAGGATAATAGCTGGCGTATTCAGCCACCACGTCTACAAGACCGTTACCCATCAGAATTGATTCCACTGTAATAGCGCGGTTTCTTGCGTCCATGATGCGTTCGGCAATGACGGGGATGTATCTGCCCGCATAGCTCTCACCTGCAATGTGAAATGGAAGGTCTGCGTATTCCGGGAACTGTTTGAACAACAGTGTCAAAAACGAGTACACGTCCTCGGCAGCCTGTTGTGTGGTGCGAACTTTATCCGTACCAACAGAGTACCCCACATTCAAAGGCTGGTCAAGATAAATGATTGTCGCATTGTTATTCCAGGAATAAGGATTTGGTGTCACAACGTTATTATCGCTCAAAGTGCTTGGACCGTTTTCGAACAAAATGGCTTGCATCGAGGAACACCCTGGGCCGCCATTGAGCCACAGCACTATTGGATCGGTTCTTGGGTCATTTCGAGACTCGAAAAGCCAAAAAAACAACCTATCGTCTTTTTTGCCTCCAAAAAAGCTCGAAGACTCGGGCCGAACCGTCAAATATCCACTGTACTGTTTCACTTTATCCACATTGATAGTTCTCGGTTCATTGACATCCAACTTGTACAAGGGTAGCTCGTTTTCTGTAACTGAGGCTACAAACCGCGGAGCCAGGGCCTGTACCGGCGCGAAAATAGCGAAAATAGCAAAGTAAAGCCACTGCATTATCCAGAAGGTATCACCAGACCGACCGCCAGACCGTTAAATACCTTGTCTGCTGTCGTCATGAGTCTATTGATATGAAATGCTAATACTAATTTCCGCCGTGAGTTCTTTTTCACAAAGTTGAAATAGTTAAACTCTATTTTCGATTCAAATATCAACACTCCTTCCGCTCGGCACTATACCCCAATCGAGATCTCACTCAACTGGGAGATTATATCCAGAGCGGGGCACCTCCCCCGCATCACTCAATCCAACGGTTATGCACAGAGCTCGGGTTATTGCAAACGCGCGAGAGAAGGCTACTTCTACACTTCGTTTTTGGCAACAGCATGGTCCAGCATGTCCCTGCCACTCATGCCAATCGACGGCGCAAGCGGGTCTTTCGAGCCTCCGCAAAATGCTGTCCGCTCCTGCCGGCCAGTCAGGCAAAGCTGAGCCGGACTATGCGTTTGAAATGGCAGCAAGCAACATCCGCTTTGGTCCCGGAGTGACTCAGGAGGTTGGATATGACTTTAAGCACCTTGGTGTTAAGCGGGTTGCCGTTTTCACCGACAAAACCTTGCTGTCAATGGCTCCCGTCGCCAAGGCCCTCAAGGCTTTGGACAGCCAGGGAATCAAGTACGACATTTACTCGGACGTAATTGTGGAGCCTAAGGACTACGGTGTCGAGGATGCCATTGCTTGGGCCCGCAAACTTCAACCTGAGGCGTATCTTGCGGTTGGAGGCGGCTCGGTTATGGACACGGCCAAGCTGGCCAATCTTTTACAGATTTACGAGTCCAACCAGCTTCTGGACTTTGTAAATGCGCCAATTGGTAAAGCCTTGCCTATCAATCGCAAATTGAAGCCGCTGATTGCTATTCCAACCACCGCAGGTACCGGTTCTGAGACCACAGGAACCGCCATTTTCGACTTGCCCAAGATCAAGGCCAAAGTTGGCGTTTCATCTCGGGCATTGAGACCCCTTTTGGGCATTGTCGACCCCGAAAACTCTGCTTTAATGCCTGCTTCCATTAAGGCGTCTTCTGGTCTCGACGTGCTCTGCCACTCTCTCGAGTCGTACACTGCGATTCCCTACAATGAGCGCACCCCCCGGCCCTCTGATCCCATTTTGCGTCCTGCGTACCAGGGTGCAAATCCGATCTCTGACGTATTTTCGCTGCAGGCTCTCCGCATGGTGGCCGAATATCTGCCCCGATCGGTCAAGGACCCTGAAGATACAGAGGCCCAGCACCAGACACTGCTGGCGGCTTCACTGGCAGGGGTGGGTTTCGGCAATGCCGGCGTGCATCTGTGCCATGGTCTTTCGTATCCTATTTCTTCGCAAAACAAGGGTTATACTCACGAGGGATACGAAAAGGTGGGTCATCCCATCATCCCGCACGGCGTGAGCGTTGCAGTTACCGCTCCTGCGGTGTTCAAGTTCACTGCCCCGTCATGCCCCGAGCGGCATCTGGAAGCAGCCGGAATCTTGGGTGCCAACATCACCAATGCCAAGCTTGAGAGTGCTGGAGACATTCTAAAAGAAACTTTACAAGACTTTTTGTACAACAAGCTGGGATCTGCGCAACCCCGAGGAATCAAGGATCTAGGGTTCGGCTCCGGGGACATCGAATCTCTGGTCAGTGGAGCACTACCCCAGCGGCGGGTGATGACGCTTGAAAAGAGTATCCACTTTGCGTCGCAGGATGAAATTGCTAAAGAGCTTGGAGGTATCCTTGAGGAGACCCTTTCATTCTAGATGCCGACCCCCGAGTCAAGGTTTTGTTGATCACCGAAATCAGTTTTTTTTTGATCGCAGGTATATGCATGCATCTTGCAGCAGAGAGCTGCATGGTCGCATCCATATCGGCGATACTGATCTCGGCGCATGCTTTCTAGACGCCCCTTAGCTCCGTAGAACACACTGCTCGTATGCTGTTTCTAAGTTGATTTTGAACCTCTCTCACCATAGAGTTCTTCATTAATATTCGGCCGGGAGAACGGGATGAGACACCTGCTGATGACAGGGCGTCCTTAGTCACCAGGCTAGATATCCGCCCGCTAGCTGCAGGGACTTTTCGTAATTGGTGCATCCAAGTCAGCAGCACGTTTTCTAAGAACAATCTCTCCGACAGAACACCACGGAACACCTTTGAATGAAGAATCATATACGTGGCCTACTGCATTTATCTTTTGTTGCTATTGCGCATTCCCTGCCTATTGCCGCCCGCGGCCATATGCCTGAAGTCGTCGAGAAAGACGACTACTGGTTCGATATGGCGGTGTCGGCTGTTCTCGTGCTCTTGGGTGGTGTGTTTGCCGGATTGACAATTGGCCTGATGGGCCAAGATGAGGTCTATCTTCAGGTGGTTGCCGAAAGCGGTGATACCGAAGAACGCAAACATGCTTCTATCGTTCTCGACCTACTTTCCAAGGGCAAGCACTGGGTGCTGGTCACTTTACTGCTTTCTAACGTCATTACCAACGAAACTTTGCCTATTGTGCTTGATCGTGTCCTCGGGGGCGGCTGGCCTGCTGTCGTTTCGTCCACAGCGGCCATTGTCGTGTTTGGCGAGATCATTCCTCAGTCTCTGTGTGTCCGGTACGGTCTCAGTCTGGGCGCCTGGTTTGCGCCATACGTCAAGGCACTCATGTACATCACATACCCGCTCTCACACCCAATAGCCTTGCTCCTAGACTATGTTCTAGGAGAGGATCACGGCACCGTCTACAAGAAGGCCGGTCTCAAGTCTTTGGTGACCCTGCATCATCACATGGGTGTTGAGAGATTGAATGAGGACGAGGTGACTATTATTTCGGCAGTTTTGGATTTGAAAGAAAAACCGATCGCCTCCATTATGACCCCTATTAACGATGTTTTTGTGCTGGCAAGCGATACAATTCTCGACGAGGATATGGTTGAGAAAATCCTTCTTACTGGGTTCAATCGTATCCCTATTCATGCCCCAGGTCAACCCCGTAACTTTATTGGAATGCTGCTGGTCCGCATTCTTATCACATACGATCCAGAGGACTGTTTGCCTATTTCTGCATTTGCCCTCGCTACTTTGCCAGAGACTGACCCTGACACTTCTTGTTTGAATATTTTGAATTACTTCCAGGAAGGAAAGGCCCACATGGTCGTTGTCTCCACTGCCCCTGGTGATGTGGCCGGTGCCATTGGTGTTGTGACGCTTGAGGACGTTATTGAAGAGCTCATTGGTGAGGAAATCGTCGATGAGACAGATGTTTTCGTCGACGTCCATCGTGCCATCCGCCGCCAGCACCCTGCTCCTTTGTTGAAGAACCCAAACGTTTCTCGCGGGTTCGTTTCGCCCAGTGGGAACCTCAAGAAGCTGTTCCCTATGAACCGTGCCTCAAACCCCATCACAACCTCGAATGCAAAGATAACTATCAAGCACCAGAACGAGGAAGCCAGCAGACTGCTTGCTGTGTCCGATGGCCAGCAAAACGGTGGAGATGAAAGGATGGGGTCACGATCATATGGATCAACAAACCTCGCTCTCTCGCCGTCGCCTGGCCCAGCGGGTAACGCCCATCACCGCCGCGCGCACTCCAATGGGTCTATTAAAGTTCTTAATCCAGGCGATGAGAATGAGTCCAAGGTCGTGAGCTCAGAGGCCGATGCGGTTAGTGCGAATCTACGAGTATCTCCGCCTGAGGAACCAGCCGACGAAGAACAGTTGTCACACAGTTATCGTACAGGCGTGTTTACTGAGTCAGTTGTTCGGGTTGGAGGGTTCAATAAGGTGGTCATTGCCGAGCCTTCGGATGAAGACAGTACTTCAGGATCTTCGTAAAGCCATAGGCTACTTCTTTATAAATAGTTTATTTCCACAGTTTTACCAATGCATCAATGCTACCGGTTGCAATGCTTTGGGCACCTCCCCAAGCAATACAAGTAACAAAGTGGGAGTGTGCGACAATCGTCTTGACGAGCTTGGGCGTCTCTAGATCCCAGACCCTAAGTGTCTTATCGTCAGACACCGATATTAAATGCTTACCATTAGGGTGGAAAACAAGCCCTCTAACCCAATTGTCATGACCGTGAAGAGTGGTGACTTTCTCGCCCCTGGAATCCCATATTATTATATTCTTGTCGCGGGATCCCGTTGCGAAATATCGTAAATTAGTGTCTTCGATTGAGTAATCTTGTCCTTGGAGTTTTCCAATGGTTTTTGCAGAAGCTGGGGGTGCAATGGCAACACATTCAATCACATGTTCGTGTCCGGCAGCGACCGCCCTAGATTCACCAGTATCGATGGTCACAATGCGAGCCTCGCGGTCGGATCCAGCCGATACAAAAAGCTGACCATCGAAACTGGGGGCGAGTGTACGGACCCAGTCGCTGTGACCTTTTATCACGCGCAAGCAATAGCCCGAGTCTACTTGCCAGACGCGGACGGTATTATCACGAGACGCCGACAACAGCAAAGAGTCCTGAGGTGGTACAAAATTTACAGCGCTTACCGTGTGCTCATGGCCGATCAGTGTTCGTATGTTGGCATAATCGTTTGCAGAATCCCATACTTTGATGCTGAGGTCCCCAGAGCACGATGCTAGCCGGCCCGAAGCAGCAAAAACCAGTCCTGTGACGGCGCGAGTATGTGCCCGAATTGTGCGTTCAAGTTCCCCTGTTTGAGTATCCCAAACATTGATCGTTCCATCCTCGGATGCCGAAACAAGAGTCGACCACACGGGGTGAAACGCTACAGCGGTGACATGAGATCGATGGCCTTTGAATTCTATAGTCGCAGGCTGGCGAGGTAGCCAGTCCACTGCTGCGATTGCTGAAGAAGGCGGCAACGTGCGGTCTTGTTCTAGAGCGGCTATGTGTGCTTCGAGATCGAGGATCTTGCGTTGAAGTCGAATCACCGCAGACCACTTCGCTTCAAGGCCAAGCCCACCAACAGAGTCTGCCGAAGACACACCTAGGGTGCTCGCGACGTCGCCGATAGTGGCCTGTGGGACATTTTGCTCGACCAAATACTCAACAAGTGCTCGGTTCAGGCTGTCCCGCTGTTGCGACGTGAGCATGTGTAAGCCGTCTTTGCAAGATGGATTTGACAGTTCCGGAGAAATCCCAGTGCTAGAATAAGGAAGGATTGGTGGGGTAGGAAAAGGAGGGAATAGGAGAAAAGTAGACAAGTAGCATGGAAGATGATAAATGCTCCCTTTTGTCTAGCTAGTTTGGTTTAATTCGAGCTTCCGGTCTATCTACTAGGCTTTTCCGTTATCTGGTCCTGCAGGAATACATACCCCCCGTCTGACTCACTCGAAATCCACCTTTGTCATTCGATGATTTTCCCCCGGGTTATCCGATGGGCCAGGCTGCCTGGAAAGGCAGTTGCCGTAGCGAAGGGCTCGCAAAGTTTGCGGGCGTTTGCTACTTCGCGCGGTGTGCTGGCCTCTACCCCCACCCGGTCGACTGTGATTCAGCTGCTTGACAACATTGGCTCAAAGCGCGAGGTTGAGCAATACCTCAAGTACTTCACTTCCGTTGACTCCCAGCAATTCGCTGTGATCAAGGTAGGCGGTGCAATTATCACCCAGGAAATGCCCCAACTCGTTTCCGCTTTGGCGTTCCTTTACCACGTCGGCCTCTACCCCATTGTGCTGCATGGAACAGGTCCTCAGATTAACCAGCTTCTGGAGAACGAGGGAGTTGAGCCCGAGTACATTGATGGCATCCGCGTCACTGACTCCAACACTATGAAGGTTGTTCGCCAGTGCTTTTTGGAGCAGAATCTTCGTCTTGTCGACGCTCTGGAGAAGATGGGCGTCCGGGCCCGCCCTATTACTGGTGGTGTCTTTGGTGCCGAATATTTGGACAAAAGCAAATACAAGCTTGTTGGCAACATCAACAAGGTCAACCGCGGCCCTATCGACGCCAGCATTGAAGCCGGCTGCTTACCCGTTCTCACTGCCCTTGCTGAGACTCCAGATGGCCAGATCTTGAACGTCAACGCCGATGTTGCTGCTTCCGAGCTGTCCCGTGTTATTGAGCCTCTCAAGATTGTCTATCTGTCCGAAAAAGGCGGCCTTCACGATGGCGCAGGCAAACGCATTTCGGTCATCAATCTCGATGAGGAGTTCGATCATCTGATGCAGCAGCCCTGGGTCAAGTACGGTACCAAGTTGAAGATCAAGCAGATCAACGATTTGTTGACCTACTTGCCTCGCTCGTCCTCCGTGGCTATTATTTCTACCAATGACCTGCAGAGAGAATTGTTCACTGACGGTGGTGCTGGCACTTTGATTCGCCGCGGCCACAAGCTCGACACTTACAGCTCAATGGCCGATTTCAAGAGCTTGGACCGTGTTCGTGCTGCTCTTGAGTCCGATAGCGATCTGGCTGCTCAGGGTATGTCTGTGTCCCAGTACTTGCGCAGCCTGGAGGGCCGCTCTATTAAGGCCTATGCCGACGAGTTGGTTGATGTTCTGGCTATCGTCGACACCTCTGCTCAGCCCTCCAAGGTTGAGAAGTTTGTTGCATCCAAGTCTGGATGGCTCAATAATGTTACTGAGAACGTTTGGACTGCTTTGCGTAACGACTTCCCGTCGCTTCAGTGGGTTGTTGATGAGCAAGATGAAAACTGTGCCTTTTTCTTCTCCAAAGCCGACGGCTCTTTCAGTCATAATGGTAAAGTTCTGTTCTGGTATGGCGTGCCTACTGCCGAGGTTCCTGATTTGATCCAGGCATTCATTCCTGCGCGTCAGACCGCTTCTAGTTCGGCCCCTGTCCGCGCCGGTGCTCGCGCTTTTTCGACTGCGCGCGTTGTCCGTGACTCCACCAACCCTGAACCTCCTTTGTCAACCGGCACCAACTTCGAGAAGGCCCGAGTGGCTCTTATTGGTGCTCGTGGTTACACCGGTCAAGCTCTTATTGAAATGATCAATCACCACCCATTTTTGGAGCTCGCTCACATTTCTTCGCGCGAGCTAGAGGGCCAAAAGCTTGAGGGCTACACGAAAAAGGTAGTCCACTATGAGAACCTGCGTCCCGAGCAGGTCCAGAAGCTTGCTGAACAAGGCAAAGTAGATGTTTGGGTTATGGCTCTTCCCAACGGTGTCTGCAAGCCTTTTGTAGATGCTGTTGAGGCTGGTCGCTCTGGACACCGTCAGATCATCATCGATCTGTCTGCCGATTATCGTTTCGACGACTCTAACAAATGGGTCTATGGCTTGCCCGAGTTGGGTGCTCGTGCCCAGCTTGCTCAGGCTGATTTCATTTCCAACCCTGGCTGCTATGCCACTGCCGCTCAACTTGCGATTGCACCTCTTCTTGAGTACATTTCGGAGAACGAGCGACCCACTGTCTTTGGTGTTTCCGGCTACTCTGGCGCTGGTACCAAGCCTTCTCCTAAGAACGACGTCAACAACCTTCGGGACAACCTAATTCCTTATTCGTTGACTGACCATATTCACGAGCGTGAGGTTTCCCGCCAACTTAGCCGTCGCATCAACTTCACTCCTCACGTCGCTCAGTGGTTCCAGGGCATTTCGCACACTATCAACATTCCACTCGCCGAGAAGCTCACAAGCAGAGACATCCGCAACCTTTATCAGGACCGATACGCTGGCGAAAAGCTCATTACGGTCACTGGTGAGCCGCCCTTGGTGCGGGATATTTCCGGACACCACGGCGTTGTCATCGGTGGCTTCGGTGTTAACGCCGCTCAAGACCGCGTGGTTATCGTTGCAACCATTGACAATTTGCTCAAGGGCGCTGCTACTCAGTGCTTGCAGAACATCAACCTGGCTATGGGCTATGGTGAGTACGAGGGTATTCCCATTGATCCGCTAATTCGCGGATAAATAGATTAGCCGAGATAACTATAGAAAATTTCCCAAAAAAAAAAAAAGGACCCTGGAGGATATAATAAAGAACAAGTAACTTTTTGACCAGGGCCCAAAAAAATAGGGCCAAAATCAGGGTCACACCTTAGAGGCCAGGGGGCCTGTTGTAGGAATTAGCTTGCGATCCATTATATTGACCCATCCGAGGATCATAACGATATGGGTACCCCATCATTTGGGGATGTAGTCCAGGGGGAGCAGTCATTCCTGGCGGATATTGGCCGGGAGACATATTCATCATACCTTGAGACATTGCGTTCTGGTGCATTGGTGATGGATTCAAACCTGGAGGCATTTGCATATGCCCATGGGGTATTCCGGGTGTCTTTGAAGGTGTTCCAGGTAATTGCGGGACTTGGGTCAACCCAGGAGGAGCACCAGGGTTTCCTGGAGTTTTTGACGGAGTCGCCTGGTTCTGGGGGGTCTTTTGTAGACCAGGGGGAGGTTGCATGCCCAGGTGCGTGCCCTGCATGCCTGAAGAGTTGGGGGAGTTTGAAGATGTGGGCGTCTTCTGAGGAGTCTGCTGCAACCCAGGTGGTTTGGTGGGTGTTCCCGTCACTTGAGAGTTCTGCTGCAGCCCAGGAGGTGCTTGCATTCCCGGAGGAGCCTGAACACCAGGATATGCTTGCATACCTGGAGGGCCTTGGAAGCCAGGGGGAGCCTGGAAGTGCATGGGATAACCGGGAGGAACCTGGTAGCCTGTTGGAGCTACTGGGAAGCCCTGACCTTGGTATCCTTGTCCATTAATAGAAGGCTGATTCATTCCTTGTTGTTGTCGAGGTCTATTTGTTTGCGTCAAACCCGGAGGAGCAGAGGAGTCGGGGGTGGATCTCTTTTCAAGAAGACTGTTGAAAAAGTCATCATTCCCTGTATCCGGCTTCGCTGGTGCAGTTGCAGGTGGCATTTGTCGTTGCTGGCCCATAAAAGAGAACCGAGAGGCTCCGCCTGTCTTTTTGAAGGAAACATTCTGGGCGTCCCAGATATCGATGGTGCGCTCCGGCTTCTCCTCAGCCTTGGGTGCATCCTCAGCCTCAGGGGCAGCCTTGGTGGCCTCTTCCTGGACAGAAGAGGAGGCTTTTACAGTATCCTCATGGACGTCGTCGAATCCTGCTTCTTGAAGAGCGGCCCGCCGCTGCTTTTGTTTCCAGTGTTCAAACTCCTCAATGTTTCCTGCTGCAGAGTGCACCCAAGGTTCGGACACGTCGTCCCACTCAGGAAGTGCCTCACTATCGGCGTCTTCTACAGCATCGCGCTTATGATGGCGTGAAGACTCGTGTGGGTAGTTGCGTTGGTTCCCATCACTTTTGTGGTGGTTGCGCTGTCGTCGGGCAGGGACCTCTTTGCGCTCGCTCGGAGTCTTCCAGCGGGCAGTTGGCTCAAGCCATTCTGCAGGAATTCCCTCAAATCCGTCTGGTTTCTCCACTAAAGGTGATTCTTTGAGCGCTTCAAGCTCGGCTACCGAGTAGCGCACCCTTTCTCTCATAGGCTTAGTCACAAACGATCCACGATTCTCCCTTGAGCCTGGGGTCTATGCATGTTCCGGAGTCTGAGACATAAATCCCCTACCCTGCTCTATTTGGGGGTGGACGGTTGAGCCGCCTAAAGGGAAATATATGGAGGGAATAAGACACTTAGGATTATGCGTTTCGAGTAGCAGTATACCAGCCGATTGGTCTGGGCGCCGTCCAATCGAGTCAGATGTCATCTGCCTAATTTAGCACATGTGGCTGGGCATGATCACTACATGTGCTCAGTGGCTGGTGAGCCAGCCTCATGGACGGGTGGGACCTAATAACAAAAAAAGCGTGTCGAGATTACCTGTTGTCATCCATGTTCCAAGTTCCGGAAAGGTCACCATTGCGAGAGTTGGGCGGGAAGTCGGGCTATCGAGGTTCCGGATCTCACCAACCGCAGCACCATGATGGGCCCGCCGTTCTTGATACCCCAATTCACATAAAAGAGAGTGCGCCGGTTAAAGAAACGCTTCCCCAGGCTGCCCCTGTGAAAAGACGACCCAGGACGTCGCCGCCCAAATGGGAAACAGCCGATTATTCGTTTGATCAAGAGCATGCATATGAGTCCCACGTCCAACGCATGGCTTCAAGCAGCGGTCCAACATCTATGCCCTCCCTGAGACGCCAAAACGCAGTGCGAACACCGTTTGGTCGGGTTCGAGATGCTGTCAAGAGATTTTTGCGTCACCACCTTTTGCGTAAATCGTCCAAGGTCAGTTTCCATTTCACAAAGGCGTACTTGACGAGAAACACATCCTTTGTTATCACGCCGGACATTTCAGCATGGAACATGAAGTTCAGAAAGCGGGACCTCATCAAGAAGCGACCCCGTCCTTTGTCCTGGCAAAGTGCCCGGCCTGTAAAGGCGTTTAGAGGTGCCGAAGCGATGGCCCGCACTGCCGGTCACCACGCAACCGGGGCACTTCGAGAGCTGGCAATGTCGAACACTAGTCCCGACGGAGCGAACGATGTGAAAGCCAATGACAGCACCGGCGGTGATTCTTGGACAAAGGTTAGCTTACCGGCCCAACCAGGTTATGGTCCTGAACCGATTCTCAGAAAAGTTAGTGGGCCCAGGCCAGCTCCTGGCACCCAATCTCCAACACCTGAATCAAGAGGCCTACGTGGACCAAGGCCAATATCTGCCCCCGCGGGACCAGTTGCGATATCTGTGACCCCTAATCCCATAATTACTTCGGCACCGGGCCCAATGCCGAATCACAGATTCTCTGCAATCATACCCCGCCGGCAAGAAGACGAGTTGGCCGGACTTGCGCTCTATGAGAATGACCCTGATCCAGTAGACGTGTCGGAGGCCCTTCAATTTGTAGACGCGTGGTCATCGTACCTACGCCGGGCTATTGCCCAACGGGCACTGCTTCGGAAAACGTTCGAGAATAGCGATATCTCTCGAAATGGAGGGAATCTGAGTGCTTCATCCGAGAGTGACGATGGATTCTCGGCTGATTCTGACGGACCACAAATCCTGGAAGAGTTGCTGGTTGCAACCCCATCTCAGGCTGGCGGTAGTAACGAAGCTCGCTTTGGCACACCTGGACCACTGGTTATCCAGCCTACGATGACAAAATCGAGAAAGCGTGTTTCACAAATGTCCACCTTGAGTGATATGTCCCTGGGCGAGATCCAAGAGGTCCGGAGGGTACCTACACTAAAGTCTATCACTGCTCGCTACTCTCATCTTTTTGGGAGCCACGGTATTCGTGAAATTGACACATCCTGGGTGCCTGAGGCTGAAAACTCAGACTCTGGAGACATACCTGCTGAAAACTCAGAGTCCGGAGACATGCCTGCTGGCGGTAAAAACGGTGATGAAGGCATGTGGGTGTCCGGTCAACTTGGCGAAGATACAACAGCATGGCAAGCTACAGATAGCGATTAAGACATATTGCATACTTAATTTAATATACGAGACGAGATCCGTTGAAAAAGCGGCGGGCCGGGTAACTGAACTCTGCATGCACTTTACGAGTATCAATAGTCTCCATAGCAAGAATATACTTGGCGACAACCTTCGAGTGCCACCTTTGACCTTTCAGAGGGAACCAGCCCAAGTGACCCCCCGTGGTGGTGCTCACAACGTGGGTGTAAGGATTGCGGGACGCATCAACATAAGGTACGGCCGCGTCACCACAGACAGGATCATCCTCGGCAGCAAGAATTAGGCAGGGGGTGCGAATATTGCGCAAGCGGTGAACAGGCGACGCAGAACGATAGTAGTCGAATACACTGTCAAAGCCGAAGAAGGGGGCAGTATAGCGGTCGTCAAACTCCCACACCGACTTTGGAGCAGGTCCGGCATGGGCGCGCTCCTTAAAGACGGGATTCTGCTCGAGCACCTTTTGGTTATTGCGAATCAGCCGGTTCAAGTTCGCTGCCATCGCGGGTTCGTACACGTTGTGGCCGATGATCGAATCATGCAGAGTGAGATGGTTGACGTAGAGATCCCACGGCGCACTAACGACACAGGCACCACTCAATGGGCTAACGTCACTTTCTTGGCCTAAGAAATTGGCCAAAATAGCTGCACCAAGTGAGTAGCCGACCGCGTAAATGCGACGGCTGGGCTGGGCGTTCTTGACAATAGAAAGGTAGTAACGCAGATCGTCAGTCCAAAGAGCACAGAAAAGCTGTGGGGTAGTGATCGGAGATCGGTTGCAGCCACGAGCAGTCAAGACAACGTTTTCAACATCGTTGTGTTCACGAATAGCCACAATTGTAGAGCGCACATAACTTTCATGCGATCCACCAGTAAGACCATGCAAGTGAATAACTAGAGGACGAGTCTCTTTTGGGTTATCACGAGCAGCTGTTTCTGCAGGCTTGAGGTAGCGGGTGCGGACAGGATAGCGAGGAAGGCCCTCTTGGGGAGCGTATTTGACGTCCTCGTCCCATTGCTTCAGATCAGGTTTGTCCAGAGCATAGTCAAGACTAACCTGAGATCCGTCTTCAGTTAACATAATCCGACGGCCATAATAAATGCGATCAACGCTGTCGTGGGATTGTGAGGCTTGCATGGTCTGGGTATGGCCCTCGGGTGCAGACGGCGCTGTCCAGTACCAGTATCCGTGACGAGCTTCCTGAATGCTATTCACGAGATCTGCATGGCTGAGTGTTTTGCCGGTTTCAGTCTCAAATCTTATAGGTGAATTCGCAGGTGAGCTTTTAACAGTTGTCCAGATTCCCATCTTGAAAGTAGTCAAAGGTCAGTCCACTGGGCGTCTGAAAATCAAAACCCGAGATGCCTCGGCAGCATTACACAGTAGTTCCTTGTATCCCCTTCGATGTTGTCCGAATACCCCTGCTGTTGAAGATTCGCCCCAACTAAAGCTGAGTCAAACATAGGATGACTTTAGCTAAGTGTTATATCCCGCGTAATCTCAGTCCAAGGACATGTTCGACCTGCGTTGTGCCTAGGACAATCTTCTCTGTATGATAATATAGACGAAGAGTAGTTTTTATGTAGGTCAATTGCAACAGATCAATTGATTCTGGCTAGTTAGGGAAATAATTCCGTTGGATCTTCAACGACAGCTTAATTTGGCGCGCGTTGTTTTGACTAGGACACAGTTTCTCAGTGTAGTGATATAGTATAAGTGATCTTGTTAAACAAATACGACAAGATCGTTGATGTATTAGTAGTTAAAGCTGCTGTTCTCAGGAACCAATTGCACTGGACAAGGATCAGCTCGAGCTGGGTGGTTATGCATGTCACTGAATCGAGCGATGACGAGTAAGAGTGTCTACTTGCTATTCAATATACAAGACGAGACCCATTAAAAAAGCGGCGGGCCGGGTAGTTGAACTCTGCATGCACTTTACGAGTATCAACGCTCTCCATCGCAAGAATGTACTTGGCGACAACCTTCGAATGCCATCTTTGACCTTTCAGAGGGAACCATCCCAAATGGCCCCCCGTGGTGGTGCTCACAACGTGGGTGTAAGGATTGCGGGATGCATCAAGATAAGGTACAACAGTGTCACCGCAGACAGGATCGTCCTCGGCAGCGAGAATTAGGCAAGGAGTGCGAATATTGCGCAAGCGGTGCACAGGTGACGCGCAGCGGTAATAATCAAACACGCTATCGAAACCGAGGAATGGCGCGGTATAGCGATCGTGGAACTCCCACATGGATTTCGGAGGGGGGCCTGCGTGTATACGCTCCTTGAAGAACGCATTCTGGTCGAGCACCTTCTGGTTGTTGCGAATTAGCCGGTTCAAGTTCGCAGCCATCGCGGGCTCGTAAATATTGTTGCCAATGATCGAATTATGCAGAGTGAGGTGGTTGACGTAGAGATCCCAGGGAGCACTAACTACACAGGCACCACTCAATGGGCTAGCTTCGCTTTCTTGGCCCAAGTAATTGGCCAAAACAGCCGCACCAAGTGAGTAGCCGACCGCATAAATGCGACGATTGGGTTGGGTACTCTTGACAAGGGAAAGGTAGTAACGCAAATCATTAGTCCAGAGAGGGCAAGAAAGTTGAGGAGAGATGATAGGCGATCGGTTGCAACCACGAGCAGTCAAAACAACATTTTCAACATCATTGTGTTCACGAATAGCCACAATTGTGGAGCGCACGTAGCTTTCATGCGACCCGCCAGTAAGTCCATGCAAGTGAATAACTAGAGGACGAGTCTCTTTTGGGTTATCACGAGCAGCTGTTTCTGCAGGCTTGAGGTAGCGGGTGCGGACAGGATAGCGAGGAAGGCCCTCTTGGGGAGCGTATTTGACGTCCTCGTCCCATTGCTTCAGATCAGGTTTGTCCAGAGCATAGTCTAAACTGACTTGGGCTCCATCGTCAGTAAACATGAAGCGACGGCCATAATAAACCTGATCAACGCCATCGTGAGACTGCGAGCCTTTCATTGTTTGACTGTGACCCTCAGGCGCAGACAGTGCTGTCCAGTACCAGTATCCTTGACGAGCTTCATCAATGGTGTTGACGAGGTCTGCGTGATTGATTTTTTGGCCGCTTTCGGTTTCAAACGTTATGGGTGTGTCTGCCGGTGTGTTTTTAACCGTGGTCCAAATTCCCATGTCGAAAACAAGTAAAGATCAAACCAGTCAATGTCTTGGCCCAACCTCGCGAAAAGCCTCGGCAGAGTGTCTATATTCCCTTGTATCCCCTTCTATGTTCCTCGAATACCCCCCAATGAAACTTCCTGCCCCGCCAGGGCTTAGTTAATTTAGCCGAAGATGATGTAATCAGTGATGAGTCGCCGGTGATTGGGACCCTTGAAAAAAATCCTGTCACTGTCAAACCCCACACTCACCCCCTCATGTTTCGCACCACAAGAAGGCTGTTTGGCGTGAGATTCAGCCACTACAATGCGAAGCCCGGCGCTGCTCCTAAAATGACAATTCCTCGGCTATACGAAATGTACGCAGCCAAGCAACCTATCACATGTATCACGGCTCATGATGCTCTTTCGGGCCGCATGGCTGACGAGGCTGGCATCGACACGGTTCTTGTTGGTGACTCTCTGGCTATGGTAGCAATGGGGCTCGAGAGCACCTCGGAGATTGAACTCGAGGACATGGTTTACCACTGTCGAGCTGTCGCTCGCGGTGCTCCGCGTCCGTTTTTGATTGCCGATTTGCCGTTCGGGTCATACGAACAGAGTGTTGAGCAGGCATGTGAATCGGCCATCCGTATGGTCAAGCACGGGCGTGCTGAGGCAGTCAAGTTTGAAGGCGGCCGCGAACTTTGTCCTATTGTCGAGCGCTTGTCTAAGTTTGGCATAGCAACCGTGCCTCATATTGGCCTTACCCCGCAACGGCAGATCTCAACCGGTGGATTCAAAGTTCAAGGGAAAACAGCTGCCTCGGCTAAAGAGTTGCTAGATGATGCTCTTGCATTGGAAAAGGCCGGTGCTACTATGATTTTGCTCGAAGGTGTTCCAGATCGCGTGGCTACTGTCATTACCGAGCGTCTTAACGTGCCTACGATTGGCATTGGCGCCGGGTCAGGCACGTCAGGTCAAGTCCTTGTTCAAATTGATATGCTCGGTGGCTTTGACGCGTTTGTCCCCAAGTTCCTTAAGCGCTATGCCAATATTCTTGAGACCCATACCTCGGCAATCGCAAAATACCACTCTGAGGTCAAATCCGGCGAGTTCCCTAGCAAGCAGAACTCTTATTCTATCAAGGATGCCGAGTTCGAAAAGTTCACCGAGATGTTGTGATATTATTTATATGCTTAAACTCTAAACACCAAAGTCTTTCCAAACACTGGAGCCATAACATCGTCTGAGCGGTTGAAGCGATGGGCAGACTCTGCCAATAACCGCGGGGGCTCAAAAAACGGCTCTTCACTCATAACAAACGTCCCCCAATGTACACCGACCAGCTTTCGTGCCCCCAGATCCTGCATTGCCCGCACTGCATCGTCTGGGTTCATATGTTGGGATCGCAAATGCCATTGAGGAGTGTATGCACCGCAGGGTAACATTGCGAGCCGGCATCCTTTGCCGTAGACTTTTGAAATGCCTGAAAATAAACCTGTAGCATAACCTGTGTCACCACCATGGAAGAACAGAGGCTTTCCATGGCGAAGAACCATGTATGAGCACCAAAGGCTCAGGTTGGCGTCCCATAACCGTCTTCCGGACCAATGCATAGCTGGAGTGCAGGCGACTTCGTAGCCTAGTGCGGGATCAACATTGGGCAAAGGCACTTTCTCCCACCACGTCATTTCGTGGAAATTGGTGATTCCAAGCTCCTGCAGGCGCTTTCCAACGCCCTCTGGAACAATCCATGTTGTTGAATTACCGATTTTCCGAGCTGTATTATAGTCCAAGTGGTCTTGGTGGTCATGGGACACCAGGACAACGTCTGGCGTGGGGAAGTCCTCTACACTGCACGCAGATGGAACAAGACGCTGCGGGCCAATTTTCTCGCTAATCACCGAGTTCGAAAACATGGGGTCTGTCAAAACATTCACTGGTTTCCGGCCAGGCAGCTGAACGTACGCGCAGCTCTGACCGATCCAGGTAAGCGTTAGTCGGTTACTGGGCCAAGGCATGGTCCATGTAGTCGTTTTACCTTCCAGCACTTTGAAGTCTGGTTGTATTGTAGGCAGCATCGCCCTCAAAACGGCCATTTCCTTAGGCACACCTCCGCGAGGCTCCGTAGCGAACAGCTCCAGCAGACGGCAAAAAATAAACTCAAACACAGTCTGGTGTCGGTACTCTGGAAAGGGATTCACAAAGCGCCCATGCAATCGCATCGCGGCATACTGCACTATCGGATCATTTCCGTCAGGGCGGGCTGATTCAACTTCACGGCGTGCAATCCACCTCTTGGTACGTATTTGCGCATAGGCAGAAAAGGCCCCGTACGTGCCTGCTGTAAACAAGCCCGCATAGGCTCCGTATCTGACCACCCGTCGCATGTACAAACTAAAAGGTCGGTTCCCAGGATTTTTTTTCCCCCTAATTTGTCATATGCTCCCCGGCCATCTCAAGTCGTTATTCAAGACGAAAGCGCCATTATACAGGGAGCCAGTGGATTATCCTCTTGAAAAGCGATGTACGAAACAGATATCGGGCGTATCTGAATATCTCGCGGCTTTCAGGGAAGCACAGAGTGCAGAGCAGCCGCCAGTGACGAAAACTCGGTTGCAAGAGAAGAAAGAGGCACTTTTGGCGAAACAACAAGAAAATAAAGCCAAATTGGCGGATTCAGCTGCAAATTGGAACCCCAAAGTAGACCCGCTAGTGAAAGGTGACCCTTTTTCGACCCTGTTTGTTGGCAGACTTCGATACACTATTGATGAGACCGATCTTGACCGGGAATTCGCGAAATACGGACCGATTGAACGAGTTAGAGTAGTTCGTGACCACAAGGATCAAAGTCGTGGCTACGCCTTTGTCGTATTCCAGCAGGAAAGCGATGTACAGCGGGCTAAAAGAGAAGCCATGGGCGTCCTGCTCAAGGGCCGCCGTATAATTACTGATTTCGAGCGCGGGCGCACACAATCATCTTGGAAACCTCGTCGACTTGGTGGTGGGCGTGGTGGGCGCGACTATGCCAAGCAAATGTTGGAAGAGAGTCGGCGAAAGCAGCGTCCACCTCCCCGGGAACCTCGCAGAAAAGATCCGCGTTCCCGCGACTATCCCCCGCGTGATTACTCTCGAGATCATCCTCGAGATCACCCTCGAGATCATCCTCGAGACTACCCCCCACGAAACCAACTCTCGCGGGAACCTCTACGAGATCAAAGGAGAGATCCAAGAGATTTCAGAGAACGCCGAGGCCCTATTCGAACCGAACAAGGCAGGGTTTTGAGGAAATACTAACTTATTTAGCTAGAAAATTTGCTGTTTACCAACCGCAAGCGTGCGGGATGTCAAAAAGAGAAAAGCCCCCAGCAGATAAACTAAACCGGCAAACAGAATGAGGCCCAAATAATGGTGGTCTGTTAGAGAGCCCGCAATAGGCATTCCAGTCAGGGCAGCAATACTGGAGAAAAAGTAACATGTACCGTACCTTCTACCGTAGTCCTTGGTGGGAGATAACCGTGATACACACACAGGCGTGAGGGAAATGGTGGATCCTGACCAGAAGCCGAAGAGTACTGCAAAAGCAGTGACTCCAGCCTTGGTTGAGCCAGCAGGAAGCCATACAGCCAAGCATAAAATGCCGCAGATAAATGATGTGGTGGTCATGATATTGAATGCCCCCCATTTATCGGCAAAGTACCCTGGACAAGCTCGCCCAAAGACCGAACCAACGTTCAGGTAGGCCAGCACCTGGTTGGAATATGTCGTGGTCAGTCCGCGAGAAACGCAGTACGACGCAAGGTAGTTCATTGGTACAAACACACCCCACTCTACCATAAATATGGCGAAAACAAGGGTTAGAAATTCCCAATTTTTCAATGCTTTGAAGTCCATCAGAGCGTTTGAGAAAGCCTTTGTTTTCTGGCCTCTTGAGTCGACCGACACCACACAAATGACACACAAGAATAGTACAACGAATGCGATCACGCGAACACTCCATGCATAACTGGTTGTTTCTAACAGTTTACTGAGGCTGAGTGAAAACATGATGCCGCCAATAGCACCGCCCGACGTTGCGATTCCGGTAGCAAAAGCACGACGTTTCCAGAACCAATGGGCAATTACCGTGGTACAGGGATTAAAGATCATTGTAGATCCGATACCGCCCAGAACACTGAATCCCAAAATAAACTGGTAGTACTCTTTAGACCAAGCAAGGAAAAAGAGCGATAGCACGTGACAGATGCTACCGGCAATCAACAGAACGCGAGCCCCATATGTATCAAACAACGGTCCAATCTGGATGCCACCAACAAACATCACGAATAGCCAAACGGAGAAGATCCACGAGACGTCGGATTCAGAGTAGTCAGTGAGGATGTTCTTTGCCAGATACTCCTGGAGCACACCCATTGAGCTAGAGATACCAAAGGTTGCAATCATGCCACACCAGGAACCCAACACCACAAGCCATGCCCGCAACCCTTCTTTGGGAAACGTCATGTCTTCGCCGGTATCGTACCCGAGGGCGTTGGCTCGAGGTTGCAGGATATCAGACGACTGGGGCGAGTCATCTTCTATTGCGACCACCTGGGTTGGCTTTTTCTCACAGAATGACCCATCATTTGGGGGGGCTTTCACTACTTCTGGCATGCACTGAGGGACCACTAGCGCTGTATGACATTTATCTATTGCAAAAAAACTGTTTAATTATGCCCTAACCTTGACGCATGACACGTTCTGGTGCAGCAAGAGTCAATGGAGGGAAGGACAGATCCAGAACAAGGAAACAGTCAGAAGGGCCCATTTTTTGCATGCGATATTTGGTTTTTGTTTTGATTGCAGGTGTGTAAAAATTTTCGAGCCCGAGCCCTTTTGTTTGTTCTCCCCCAAAATGCATGTTGACAGGTGAGGGTTTTGCAGCGGGCGTGCGATGATCGGTTGCGGTCGTCGGCGAATACGGAATTGCTTCAGAAGTGTAGTTGTACCCTTGGAGAAAACCTGTCTCCATAATTTTCACTGGGCGGTTTTGTTCCAGCTCTCATTGATGCTGCAGCTCAACTGCAGGTTGAGCACAAGACTGCCTACGGATGCCTCTTGATAATGAGCTGTTGCAGTCACACAGGCTAAATCTAGTAATCAGCTAATTGCTGTTTCGAATGCATTGGCTTGGGGGAGATGTGACGGGCTTGTGCCAATTGACGGCGGGATTCGGCGGATGCAGCGTTCACTCCCCAAGAACCTCGCGAACTTCAAGAACCTCGAGAACTCCGCAGAAACCGTCGTTCGCAAGTCCACCTCGAAACCACAAAGAACAAGCGATGCTAGTCTATTCGACTAAAGCAGAATTTGAGAATACTAAATGATTTATCTAGAAAATTGGCTGTTTACCAACGGCAAACAAACGGGATATCAAAAAGAAAAGAGACCCGAGCAAATAAATTAAACCGGCAAACAGAATGAGTCCCAAGAAATGGTGGTCTGTTAAAGAGCCGGCAATAGGCAACCCGGTTAGGGCAGCAAAACTGGAGAAAAAGTAACATGTACCGTACCTCCTACCGTAGTCCTTGGTAGGAGATAACCGTGCCACACACACAGGTGTGAGGGAAATGGTGGATCCTGACCAGAATCCAAAGAGTACTGCAAAAGCTGTGACTCCAGCCTTGGTTGATCCAGCAGGAAGCCAGACAGCCAGGCACAAAACGCCGCAGATGAAGGATGTGGTGATCATCACATTGAATGCCCCCCATTTATCGGCAAAATATCCAGGACAAGCTCGTCCAAAGACCGAACCAACGTTCAGGTAGGCCAGCACCTGGTTGGAATATGTCGTGGTCAGTCCGCGAGAAACGCAGTACGACGCGATATAGTTGATAGGTATAAACACGCCCCATTCTACCAGGAATACGGCGAACGTGAGGGTGAGGAACTCCCAATCCTTCAATGCCTTAAAGTCAATAACAGCGTTGGTAAAAGCCTTTTTTTTCTGGCCTCTTGAATCAACCAACGTAGCACAGACTGCACACAAAAATAGGACAACAAATCCCATGACGCGAATACTCCATGCGTAGCTAGTTGTTTCCAGCAGTTTACTGAGGCTGAGCGAAAACATGATGCCTCCGATCGCACCGCCCGACGCCGCAATGCCAGTAGCAAAAGCGCGACGTTTCCAGAACCAATGGGCAATCACTGTGATACAGGGATTGAAGATCATTGTGGAGCCAAGGCCGCCCAAGACACTGAATCCCAGAATAAATTGGTAGTATTCCTTGGACCAAGCCAGAAAAAACACCGATAGGACCTGGCAAACCCCACCGGGGATCAACAAGGCCCGAGCACCAAATGTATCAAACAGCGGCCCGACCTGAATGCTGCCAACAAACATGATGAATAGCCAAATGGAAAAGATCCACGATACGTCGGACTCGGAATACTGAGAGAGGGTGTGCTTGACTAGGTACTCCTGGAGCACACCTGTGGTGTTGGCAATGCCAAAGGTTGCAATCATGCCACACCAGGAACCCAACACCACGAGCCACGCCCGGATCCCTTCTTTGGGAAACGTCATGTCTTCGCCAGTATCGTACCCGAGAGCATTGGCTTTTGGTTGCAGGACGTCAGACGACTTGGGCGAGACATCCTCTATTGCGACCACTTCCGGAGGCTTTTCTCCGGGAGCCGAACGCTCTTTCGATGCGGCTTGCACTATGTCTAACATACGCAGAACGCACTAATGTTGGACTTGTGTGGGGAAGCCGGTCGGGATTGAGGGGGCAGACGTTATCTTACATTATTTAATGGAAAAAAATGGTAGTTAATCAGACCCTAACCTTGACGCATGTCACCCTGGCCTGCAGACCGTCTCGATGGCGAGGGGAAACGAAACGCGACCCGGCGGGGGGCTAGGGACGTCTGGCTTTCCGGTCCAAACTCGGGTTTTTATTTTGAGCCCAATCATGTTCAAATTCTTGCCCCACGGCCGCTTCTGTACTGTCGCCTCAGCTGCATGCCCACTAGTGTGGGTTTCTCTGCGGGTGGGTAACCATCGGTGATTACCGTCCGATACGGGCTTGCTTTGGGCGCGTGCTCGGGTTTGGAGGAACCACAGAAAGGCCGCTTAAGCACGCAGTACCGTATGGCCTGTGCGCGCGCTCTCCACCTCATGGCTGCCGCAGCCCACCTGCAATTCGGGCGTAAGGGTCGCCTATCGACGAGGTTAACGATGCTGATTCATTGGAGACTCAAGACCGAAGATAATGATAAGGTAAGCGGGGAAAGGTTAATTTTCAACCATGGATTTGAAGCCATCCAAGCTAGGGACGAAAGACTACTGGCAGGACTTTTACAAAGTCGAAATCCGGAACTTTCAGGAGAACCCCAGCGACACGGGCGAGTGCTGGTTCGACGACTCGGGCGCCCAGGACCAGATCGTGCGGTACGTTGCCGATACGTTTGCCGGACAAGACGTCGAGGTGCTTGATCTGGGCACAGGCAACGGCCGCCTGCTGTTTGGATTGCGGGACGAGGACGTCGAGGGCAAGTTTTTGGGTATCGACTATGTTGCGACTTCTGTTGAGCTGGCTCAGCAGGTGGCAGATGCTGAGGGGTACGACGTTGAATTTCAGCAGGTCGATTTCCTCAAGTCGAGTGCATGGACCGATCGCCGGTTCGATATTGTGCTGGACAAGGGAACCCTGGACGCGATTGCCCTGAGCGTCAGTTCTGACGACAAAACGGGGCCCCAGCTGTATGCTGAGAGAGTGCTTCCGCTGGTCAAGCCGGGCGGGATTCTGCTGATCACTTCTTGCAACTTTACCGAGGCGGAGCTTGCGAAATTAATTAACAGGTCTTATGAAACGCTAGAGTATCCTACGTTTACGTTTGGGGGGGCCAAGGGTAGCACTGTTGTCTCATTGATTTTCAAGTGTTGAGTCGGCTTTTTCTGGCTCTGATTCGTGCGACTCGAGCGATTTGCTTTTATTAGTTTTATTCGCGGCATTGTCGGCCTCTTTAGCTTGTTCGTTGGTTTGGTCGCTGGCTTGGTTGGCTTGGTTGGCTTGATCGTTGGCCTCCTCGTTGGCTTCCTCACTAGCCTTGCTGGCCTCGCTGGCCTCGCTGGCCTCGCTGACCTCGCTGGCTTCCTGGTCTCCCGCTTTAACAGAGTCTTCACTGCCCTGCTCTTCACGCCCAACCAAGGACCCTTCTGCTCCAACGGCATACTCATCCACTGCCCCGGCCGCTGCATCCTGAGACGTCGCCTCTTGAGCAGCCTCTTCGTGGCCAGTACTCTCAGAACTTGCCCTCTCAGTCACAGTCTCCGGCCGTGCATCCAAAATCTCAAAAAGCTCAGTCGCCAACTCCTTGGACGGCAGCTTCAACGCATACTTGTGAGGAACATCTGTCTCAATGCCTACAATTTGCACAAACTTCTCCGTAACCAGCGAACTCTTAAACCCCTTGTTTATTTGTGTATTTTTGGCCAACGGCATATTCAGAACCACCCGGAGCAGTCCCTCCGACCGCATCACAATCCGCGCCCGATTCGAATCGTCGACATTAACCTTCAGTACGCCCACACCGCGTTCCTTCCATCCCGCAGCCGTGTCCGCGAAACTGAGCGCATACAGCCGCGCTCGACTCGTGAACAGCGTGGACTCATTCTCCTCGCCAGTCTGCACCGTCTGCTGTTTGAGCTCAACCTGTGCATACTTGTCCTTCTTGGTGTCGTCCCCAAGCGCCGGCGCCGGTTCTGCCCAAGGATTGTCGCTGGATTTCTCTCCAAACACATCCGCTTTCGGCTTGATCGAATCAAACGAAAACGTGCCAAAATTGCCAAAAAGCGTCCCGCTGGTCGTCGCCCCAGGAGCCTTCAGCCCTCCGCTCCCATTCTTCGCTTCGGGTTGCCTCGCAATCTCTCCTGCTGCCCGCTTGATTGGAGACTCCTCCGAATCAGATAGTTGGCGCTTCATGCTGACAAAAAATTCGCAGTGCCCAAACCGCTTTGTAAACATGCTTCCTATTTACCTGCGGATGCGGCCTGGGCGCGGGGTCCAGACGCCGTGGCTGGTTGTTTCGGGGCCGACGACTGTGCGGAAGGGGAACGAGGAGCACCAGTTTGCGGCTGTGTTTGAGAATGCGTCGCAGGCCGACGTGTACGAGCAATGCGTGGCGCCGCTGGTCGGCGAGGTCAAAGCCGGCCACAACGCTGCGTTTTTCACGCTAGGAGCCACGGGGTCGGGCAAAACATACACAGTGCAAGGCACGAGAAACGAGCGAGGGGTCGTGTACCGAGCGCTTGAGGCATTGCTTAAAATCGGGCCGGTCACCCTGGCCATGACGGAAATCTATAACGATCGTCTCTACGACCTGCTGGACGCTTCTAATCGTAGGCCGCTGCCGCTGCGGGCGAATGGCGAAATTGACGCTCTAAAAGTGCCGGTTTTGACTGTCACGGCCGCTGAAGACGTGCTGGCACGAGGGTATGGGGCACGAGCGGTGCAGGCAACAAACATGAACCACGCCTCCAGCAGATCGCATTGCTTCATTATCTTACAAACAGGCGGTGCTACGCTCACAATTGCCGATTTGGCGGGAAGCGAGCGGGTCAATGAAGCCGGATCCGTCGGCGCTCAGCGCGTCGAGGCCGGTGAAATCAACAAGAGCCTCATGATGCTCGGCCACGGCCTTCAACAGCTCCAGCAGGGTAGCTCCCCCATGCGGGGATCGAAATTGACGCAGATACTGCTTGGCGGCGTTCGTCATGGCGTCAAAACCAGTATGCTTGTCACAATCGACCCCACCGCCAACGCCAAATCAGGCATGCAGATCCTGCGGTACGCCAGCACGGCCCGCCAACTGCGAGCGCCTCCACCGGAACCAGTCCAATCCACTGACAGCATTACCCGGCGGATTTACGCCGAAACCGACCGCCGGCTGGCCGAAGCGATCGCAGACGTATGGAAATAGCGTTCTTAGTTGTTGTAATCTACTTTTAAATACCTAAACTGTGCGGCGGTCGGTAATGTGCCGCACAATAGCAACCTGGCCGCCGAACTCAACGGCACGCTCGAGCCAGCTCAGCAGTACACTGCCGTTTGCCTGGCCAGACGGCACCCCCATGGCCTTATAGAGGTATTTTACAAGCACCACCCGAGAGGTGGTGTCTAGGCTCTCGACAATTGTAGGGATCTCGCTCGCCCGCACCGTCGTAAGAACCGACGTGACAACCTTGAGCTGAGCATCCTTGACTTGCTCGCTGCTTCCGTAGGGGGGCCGAGCAAGCGCGGCGGCGAGCGCTTCAGCGCCCTTGCCCGATTGCAGCAGCTGCTTGACCTGGGACTCTAGCGCCTGCACGTCGCCAAGCTCGACTCCGCTCGGCGCGACCTCGGGAATCTGGTTAACCACCGACTCAGGATCCAATCGGTCCACATCAATCTGCCGAAACGACGACATCATTGTAATCAGCTGGGTACGCTCGCTCACGTAATGGCCAGCTAGAAAGCTCGCTGACAAAAATTAAAAGAACCCCATACTCTCTCGTCACCCCAGACTCCAAATATGGGGGCACCCGAGGTGTTGAAGAGGCTGCGAAAACTGCGGTCGGAGAAAGGCGAGCTTGATAGCGCCGAGTATCTGGACCGACCCGTTCTTGCCCTATTATATCGCGACTGCTACTATCCATTTGCTAACGCCGACAAGGTCGCTGACCGCCTAATCAGTGCTATCGACGAAGACACTCACCCTGCACAGAACCGGGAGGACGAGCGGGGCGTGACGCTGGGCCAGCTCAGCGAATTTTTGCGGGTGCGCACATCCGAGCTCGACAGAGTCTTCAGGTCTATTCCAAAACGGTCGAAGGAGGGCATCCAGCTCGACGAACTCCTTGCGTATTTCGACAAGCACCACGTCCAGTACGACGATAGCCAAGTCACTCTTCTTTATCGCGCGCTGGATCGCGACGGCGACGGCTACGTCTCTTTCGACGACTTCAGACACCAGCTCATGCTGGTGCCCCGCCGAGCCAACGACCCCACTTTGTTCAGAGACGCCTACGCCTTTTTCGTCGACGACCTCGAGTTCTCGTCCGACTCTGACGTGACGTTGGCCGCTGAGTCCCAGCATGGCCTCGGCTACTTCTGGGCCGGCGGTGTCGCCGGTGTGGTGAGCCGAACGTGCACCGCACCTTTCGACCGCATCAAAGTGTACCTTATTGCCCAATCCGCAGCCGTGCCTATGACCACAATGCAGGCAATCAAAGCCATCTACGCCCGCGGCGGGCTCCGCGGCTTTTTTGTCGGCAATGGCCTTAATATCATGAAGGTGCTACCAGAGTCCGCTGTCAAATTCGGCGGCTTCGAAATGGCAAAACGCTGCTTCGCCCATCTGGAGGGCGTCGAGGACCCGGCAGATATCTCCCGCATCTCCACCTTCGTGGCCGGTGGTCTGGGTGGCATGGTCGCCCAGCTATGTGTCTACCCGATCGATACCTTGAAGTTTCGTGTACAGTGCGCCAAGCCCATTGGCCCCGGCAGGAGCGTACTTGCATCCACATTGCACGAAATGTGGGCAGCTAATGGCTTGCATACCTTTTACCGCGGTATAACTGTCGGCGTGCTGGGTATTTTCCCGTTTGCCGCCCTGGACCTGGGCATTTTCTCGGTGCTCAAATCCACATACATCAAAAGACAGTCTCACAGTGCCCATATCGATCCCTCAGATGTTCAAATGAGTAACATGGCTGTGCTCACAATGGGCGCTATCTCCGGTAGTATAGGTGCCTCAGCAGTCTACCCCATCAACTTGGTACGGACGCGCATCCAGACCCAAGGTACTCCAGCCCACCCCTATATATATAAAGGCTTTGGTGACTGTTGTACTCAAACATTCCGTCGCGACGGTTGGCGCGGGTTTTTCCGCGGGCTCGGACCCAACCTGGCCAAAGTCGCTCCTTCGGTTTCCATTTCGTACCTGGTTTACGAGAACGCCAAGCATTTCCTCGGCCTTGATTAGGTCTGTAAGTTATAGTCATCTTATTGGGCTTGTCGCCATACGTCAATACAAAATTGGCCCCCGTCAATAAACCGAATCGGTTCAATGCCCGCCGCAGTGGTCGGCCACTGGCTGGCTGCATGGGAGTCTGCTACGATATACGCGCTTTCGGGAGCAAACAGCTTTTCTGTGGGCTCCGCATTGATGGCAATGTTTATAGTGCTAGGTCCAGAGGCCCGGTCAACCGACAACATGGCCGTCAAACACGCCTTGTATTCTGCAAAAAGCCTGGCTGAATCAAGGCTGATTTCTCCAGATCGGGGGAGTCTGCTCGTGTCCAGCACATACTTTGACACAGGCTGCAGTTGTGAAATTACAAACGATATACTTTGTGTTGGTGTAGATCGTACCGTGTCGGTTAAAACAGTGGCGCTGTGCTCCACCCATTCCCGCACTCCCGGGTGCCCGTTCTGGTGGACCGCCACATCGTACTGCCGGACCAAATTAAACGTGTGACTGGGGTATACGTTCTCCACATACAAAATAGTGTGTATAAGAGCTATAAGGAACTCATTTAGCGACTCAAACGCTTGCTCCACATTCATACATATTAGATAACCACAGACTGATTTCGCGAGTATGATCACCGCGATCGATCAGAGGTCTATTGACCAGATTACGGCCGGAAAGGTCGTGGTCACTTTGGCAATGGCCGTCAAAGAGCTCGTGGAGAACTCCATCGATAGCGGGGCCTCCAGCATTTCCATCCAGCTGGACAACTACGGGCTCGACGGGTTTTCAGTCACCGACAATGGCTCCGGAATCGACGAACAGGATTTCGAATTGGTCGCTCGAAAATACACGACGTCGAAGCTCAAAAGCTTTGAAGACCTTGACTCCATTGAGACGCTGGGGTTCCGCGGGGAAGCTCTCGGTTCGCTCTGCGCGATGGCACGCGTCGAAATAACCACAAACACGCAACCCGCCAAAAGCGGGCACACACTTATATTTAATGAGGACGGCGGCATTCTAGAAAAGAGAGTTTCGCCCAGTCCTAAAGGCACCACGGTCAAAATCACCGATCTGTTCAGAACCGCTCCAGTGCGGCGAAAGGACTTTGAACGACACTACAAAAACGAGTACACAAAAATGGTCAATCTAATTCAAGCTTATGCTTTGGTGTGTCCTATAAAACTACAGGTCGAGAACAATACCAAGGGCCGTAAAATTGCCGCCATTCAGTCGCAGGGCGAAACGATGGACAAACGTATTGCTGCAGTGTTTGGAATCTCTGCACTGAAAGGGTTGGTTCCAGTCAACTTAAAAACTCGTGTGTTTGATTTAGAGGGCTACATTTCCGAGCCTGTGTTTGGAAAAGGCCGGTCTGGCACCGACCGTCAACTTTTATACGTGAACTCACGGCCAGCCACGCTTCCAAAGGTCCAGAAAACTATCAATGCAGCGTATCAGTTGTCCAATTCAACAGAGTATCCATTTTTCGTTCTTAACTTGAGGCTTGATCCTCATACGTTCGATGTCAACTTGTCTGCCGATAAGCGAACTCTGCTGTTACATGATGAATCTGCGATTTTGGAAAACTTGCAAATATCACTAGGGGAGTTTTTTGATAGCTCGGGCCATAACGTTCCCCGCTCGTCACGACCAATGCCAAAACGGCCCAAAACCACGCTGGAACTCGAACGATTCGCGAGTGCTGGATCTGAAACTGCTCGGGGCGAACCTGAAACCGAGATCCATATTCGGACCGATAGGCTATCTACCAGGTCTCGGCGCTCTGCTGCTCCAGATATGGCGCTCACTGGCTTTATTTCCGCTGCCGAACTCCCACAGGCCCGCTCATTCGAGCTCGCTAGTAACCCAGCTCCAAAGCCCTCAGCACCGACCCCATTTAATGCAAGAAAAAGATCCGCTTCACCAAGTAACCCAGCTCCTATTCTCTCGTCAAGACGCAAAGACCACACTGTAGTACCAGAGACCTCAGATGCTCTAGACCGTATTTTCGACCAGGCTGGGCACGTTCCAAATACACCTCTCGCCCAAAGCACATCTGCTCAAACCCGATCCGAAAATGTTTCAAGCGACCATGCTGGATCAGTTCCAGATACACCTATCGCTCAGAATACATCTGCTCAAGTTACCCCCAAAGCTGTTACAAATGAGCTGCCTGCAAAGGAAGAGCGTCGCACGACCCCGAAAACAACAGACCAAGCACATATTTCCCCCCCGCCCAAACAACCTAAAGAGCTCGACGTCCTGGAGAGTCTTAATGTCGCAAACGAGCCACCAAAAAGCAGCGGCTCTCAGTTTGGCAAAACTTTGAATACTCATGTCCTGTTGACGACAAGTATCGACGATGTTCAATCATCATATGACTTGCTAAAGCCGCATGAAAAGAACGAGATTTTAAATCACTCTATTGAGGAAAGCGCAGCCGAAGAAAGACTCAATCTCACGGTGCGTAAAGAGGATTTTGCAAAAATGCGAGTTGTGGGACAGTTCAACAAGGGGTTTATACTGGTGGTCAAATCCGACAGCCACGGTCAAAACGATTTGTTTGTAATTGACCAGCATGCAAGCGATGAAATCTTCAATTTTGAGAGGTTGCAAAGCGAGCTCCAGATGAACTGCCAGCCCTTAGTCCAGCCCCGACCCTTGGAGCTATCACCGGTAGAAGAGCTCACTGTAATCAACCATTTGAACATATTCGAAAACAACGGATTCAGTATTTCTATTGTGCCTGATGCACCTCTGGGTAAACAGTGTCAGCTGACGGCGCTGCCATATTCCAAGAACTGGGTTTTTGGGGAAAAGGATGTTCATGATCTCATCTGCAAAATACAGGAAAACCCGAGCGATAAGTCTATCAAATGCAGCTCTCTGCGTGCTATGATAGCTATGAGAGCTTGCAGGTCTTCAATCATGATCGGCAAATCCCTCAGTTTTAGCACAATGGCGCGTGTGGTGTCCAACCTAGGGACGTTAAACCGGCCTTGGAACTGTCCTCACGGAAGGCCTACTTTGAGACACATAACTAGCCTGACCTAAATAAAATGCCCAATATTTAAGATTTTAGTGTAATTTGAAATCAAAGGAACAATTAACAAAATCTCACTAAAAAAGCGCAAAAAACAGGTCTTGCCCGGATTCGAACCGGGGTTGTTGGAATCAGAATCCAAAGTGATAACCGACTACACTACAAAACCACACGTTACGGAAATTCCGCCCCTTGCTTACTTACTCTCAGTTTCTACCAGATAGCATAGCACCCTTGCCCTCTAAGTTAACAATGGCCCTGTAGTGGTGCTAAAAGCTCAGCAATAAGCGTCAGTGGTTTAGTGGTAAAATGCGTCGTTGCCATCGATGCGCCCCCGGTTCGATTCCGGGCTGACGCAATTATTTCGAGCGTGTCTGCGACGCGTTTCGTTTTTGCTAATTTTTTTAAAAAATTTCATGTTCCATGGGTCAATTTCGCGCACTCTTGTTTATTATGCAAGGCTAAGAGCAAGCTGTGTCCAATAGATTTGGCGGCCTTTTCAAGTTTTCTACAAGTACTAGAGATAAATTCCAGTGATTTATCTCACGGAGGCGTTAGTGGTTTAGTGGTAAAATGCGTCGTTGCCATCGATGCGCCCCCGGTTCGATTCCGGGCTAACGCAATCTTTTTTTTTACTTTCCTTTGGCATTAGATTAGTTGTAAATTTCCGCTGTTGATCCTTGAGTGTATGTTGCACCGCACATTAGAGTTGGTATTTACCTATTTTTTGGGTAGTTTGTTCAAGTACTTCAGTGTCGTAGTATCGTTTGTCCTATCGTGTGGTTTCAGCTAGTCTCGGCTTTAATTCTAAGTGCTGAAGCTCATTCACTAGCTGGCTCCTGGAAAACTTAGTTGCAGAATCTCACACCAAGCATCCTTCGGGTGGTATATAAATGTACACGATCAAAACAGTATGTGACATTCAACTTGTAAGAAGCAGTAGTTGCAGATGAGTATTGGTCCGGTTTTGAATAGTGTATAATATTTCGCTTTCAGATTGCAATAACAGCTGACTTAGCTCAGTTGGGAGAGCGCCAGACTGAAGATCTGGAGGTCCTGTGTTCAATCCACAGAGTTAGCAATCTTTTTTTATCGTTTTTGCTCGACATTTCCCTCACCAAACAGGCGTTATACTTTTTCGTTATATCTTTAACCATGGTATATGTCAAGTGTTTATTGGACCAGTGTCGTGTAGGCGCAATGGCCACTACGGCGAGTAAGTAAGGTACATAGCTCAAGCACCGTCATCGTGAAGGGACTCTCACCATCCAAAATTCAAAGAAATTAGAAGAGAAGAAAAAAGTCGTCCTGAATTACCCAGTGCTACACAAACACCTGCTTTCGTTCAGAGTGGCCACTAAGTATAAAAAACAAAAAGAGACCGGCTCAGGGTATGATTTTGAGGACGTTCCAGAGATATGGACATGCATGAAGTGTCTTCAGAACTAGTAGAAATCCTATTGAAACATTACCAGACAAGTACCATATTCAAACCTCATACACAACAGGATGAACGACCGTATGGTCTATTGATAACTGGGAACAACTATGGTAAATACTGTCCTCTGTACATCTCATCCGATATAGTCTAGTGGCTAGGACATCACGCTCTCACCGTGAAGGCCAGGGTTCAATTCCCTGTATCGGAGTACTTTTTGTGCCGTGTCTTTTTTGTTTTTTTTTTTTTTATTTCACTGTCGCCTTTATTTGTTTAAAGTTAACATATAAAGAACTCTTGACAATCAAACAAAGTCGCTGGCCCGAAACTCAAAGACATTTCTGCACATGTAATAGCTCAGGTTATCTGCGCGCCAACAACAGCCCCAACCCTGATCAAACAAACTGGGAAATAATCCAGTCGTCTTTGTCATTTCTAAAATGAACTTTATCAAAAAGTTTTGGGGTGCGGAGAGTGCGCCTGAAACGGAATTGGCCTCGATCCCTGGCGCATTGAACTTGGTCAGAGGTCCTAATAGTCCGAAAAGCAGTTTTGAATGCATCTACCCGGACGCAGAGCTCTCTCTCATGGAAGCAGATGGAGGACATCGCCTCGTCGCGCATCAAGTTTTTGAGGAGGGTGCTGTTTTTGATGATGAAGACCCAGAGTTATGCGAATTGGAGAACCAGCGCCTTTTCTTAGTTGATGAATTCCTCAAAATTGCGTATTCCGCTAGGGACAGCGCCACCGTTATTTCATGGCGAGATCCCGACGGTGATGATGAGGATCGATTCGAATTCGTTTGCGAGAAAAATGTACCAGCAGGTATTCTGGACATGTTTGATATTACTGCTCGACGTGCCCAGTATGAAAGAAAGTACGGAAAGCCTCCCGCCAGCAACGCTGACCTTGAGGAGTTTAATTTCGATGAAGTGATTGACACTGGAGTGCCATTACATGCAAGCGAGGAGCGCAAGGATAAGGAGGAACAGAAAGGAAGCGAAAAGCAGGTGGTTCATCCATTCACTGACGGAAAAAGTCTTGTTGAAAAGGAATGCACACTTTATTTCTACGACGCTTCTACGAACACATTTGTTATTCAAGAGAGCAATGTCAAGGTTGTACTTTTGGAGACTGACAAGTTTGAATTCTGGATTGAAGTACGTAGCCATGATTCGGCGATTCTTGGTGTTGATCTCCGGGACGCTGTCACGCCCGTCTTCAGCCACGAGTCGGTATCTTTCATCTTCAACCTGCTGTTGGAGAATAAGACTGCTGTGTCTTATCTTATTCGATTCGCTGAGGAAGAGGATCTTGCGGCGTTTGAACAAGCTTACAATATTGCAACCTGGGAGTTCCAGAACAAAGCTTCGTGGAAAACTCTCTCTGAAGTTGACCATAACTACCTGCTCAAAACAATGCGGAGCGAGGATGTGGTGATGTTTGACGATGACGACCATTGTTCCGAAGAGGATTTTGAGGAAGTGGACGAAGAGGATGATGACGAATTAGAGGTTCTCACGGAATGGCGCGGGGACAAACAGACACACAATTTCTATCGGAATTCACAATTGGAAGTTGGAAACGTTATCAACAGGTCGTACGTTGTGCGGGGAGATAAGGTTGGCGTCTTCAAGAATGGGGACGATATGGAGTACTACACGACAATTTCTAACATGGAGGCTCCTGACGGTACCAAGTTGGTTCCATCTTCTGTTATGTTGCACGAGGAAGATAGAGCTATGATTCTTCAGGACCGGGATAATCCGGAGAAGTTGTTCCATATGGATATTGAGTACGGCAAGGTCGATGAGTGGGATCTTTGCAGACCTGTTGTTGACTTTGCGCCAGTTAGCAAGCATGCTCAGACTACAAATGAGAAAACACTGTTTGGCGTTGCGTCCCGAAATATGTTCAGGATGGATCCCCGTTTGAGCGGAAGCAAGGTCGTCGCTGACGAGGAAAAGCAGCTCACAAGTGTTAGCCCCTTCACCACGATCGCTACCACTGAGCATGGGTATGTCGCGGTTGGTTCCGTCAACGGTGAAATTCGACTTGTCGACAAGATTGGAAAACGTACAAAGACGACATTGCCTTCCATGGGAGACAAGATATTAGGATTGACAGTTAGTGCTAATGGTCGATGGGTGCTTGCAACATTCAAGACATACTTGCTACTGATCGAGGTTGCGAATGAGACGAACAATGGCTATACACACTCGTGGCCAAAGGATTCCAAACCTAAGCCGCGCCGTTTACAGATCTCACCAGAAAACACAGCATACATGTTCCAAAACACCCGCGAGCCCATCAGCTTCACACCTGCACATTTTAATTCTGGATTTGGTGTCGAGGAACAAAGCATCGTTACATCCACAGGGCCTTATGTTGTTACTTGGAGTTTACCGAAAGTGCTCAAAAACGACCCGAGTCCATACCTGATCAAACGGTACGACAGCAATGTGACGGCTAACAACTTTATGTTCGGCACAGACAAGCGTCTCATTGTGACATTGGCAGACGACGTTGGCATGCTTTCGAAATCAGCGCTTCGCGAACCCAACCGCGATACTCTGCTCGATCTTCCATCAACTAAACGTAAATCTTAGTGAATAATTAGTTAATATAATATTACAGTGTATAAATTAATTGGATGGTGTTGACACCGGTGCCGGTCACAAGGCGCGAGAATTGTAAGAAGAGTAGGGAGTGAGACCCAAGCCTGATGTCACGTCGCGATGAAGAGGCTGAACGGGACCCGTGATGGCATTCAAGATCCTCCGCAGACGCGATGGGCGGTAGTTGGTCTTTGTAGACGCACAGGTAGTAGAAGGGGCGAGCTTGTTGGAAGAAGACATCTTTAGTTGTGTGTTGTGTGCAAAACTGGATATCGAGCAGGTGTTTATATACTTGAAGTCCGCCAGAAAAAAGTCTAGCTTGCATCGACTGACTGCATGTGCATGCACACTGTTTCAGGCCACTAAGAAGCATTTTGTAAAAAAAAGATTTAAAATTTATAAGAAGGTGGAAAATATTTTGTATCCCAAATACTCAACGGTATATCAAATTATAGAATGAATTTCGGAGCGATCCAGTTACAAGAATATCGAAAATTCTGTCTTTTTCTTCAAGCATCTGCGCAGGAACTTGCATGGAATGGTTGCTCATGGGCTATGAGGTATGGCGGCGAAACAGAGCGAGCAGCGGAGGGCAAGCTGAAGTAAATAGTGTCTATAGCATATCTAGGATATTTCAACAAGTTTCAGCCTATTATTACTCCAAATTGTGATATATTTGCCCCTGTATGGGCCTGGATTTGTCGGGCACGTGCATACCTAGCTTAAACGGTCTCTTGGCCACTACAACTAAGGGTATCCAAGAGCGAGCGGTACCACTAAAGACATTCTGGGTGGGAAACGGGTGAAATATTGATTTTAGATAGTATGTTTGGAATAGTTTGATCAATACTCGTGTATTCTGGATGCGAGTTCCCAAGAAACGGGGCTGAATCGCCGCCTGGCTTGCCCATACTCTGTCTGTTTCGGGAAGCCTTGACAAAGCAGGATACACGAAAATGGTGGTTTTACGCGTACGAGTGCGAGAAATTGTGCACTAGAAAAAATACAATCTACAAAATAAAACTAAAGTTCCCTAGAAAAGGAGCTAACTCATCCTGACCGCCAGGTTATAGGCAAAAGGAACGTCCGGAAAAATCCTGCAGTATTTCTTTTTCCCCTGCGGTGAATGGCAGCTAGCTAACTGAAAAGTTAAATGTGTAATTACATAACAGGTGACTAAACAGAGGTACCAGCGATGTAGAACCATTTGTCGATGCTGCCGTCGATAGGGGCATCAGGCAAGGGGTTAGCAGAAGCAATGGCAGGCTTGACGGTGTGAGCGTTGCCCAAGGTGCTGTTCTCAAGAGCAATGCCCTTGGAATCGGCAGCCTTGTCGGCCTGGAGGCGGTCGAACGCCTCGGCGCACTCGCGGATCACATCAAGAGCGTACTTCTTGTTCTTGCACTCGCCGCTGAAGGCGAACTGGTTCTCGGGCTTTCCGTCGGGGATTTTGTAGATGCGGAACCACTCGTTGGTGGCGCGCAACAGGCCAGGGAAGTGGCGCTCGACGTCCTCGATGTCGTTGACCTTTGAGGCGTGGGGGTCCTTGACGTCAATAGCAATGATCTTCCAGTCGGTCTCGCCCTCATCCAAAAGGGCCATGACACCAAGAACCTTGACCTGCTTGACCTGACCAGTGTAGCCAACGGCTTCACCGATCTCGCAGACGTCCAGGGGGTCGTTGTCGCCGGCAGCTTTGGTCTCGGGGTGGACGGAGTTGGGGTCCTCCCAGGTCTGAGGGAAGGCACCGTAGTTGTGGATGTAGCCCTTGTGGGGGAAGCAGTTGCGGACGAAACGCAGCTTGCCCTTCTTGGTGTCCTGTATGATGGGGTTGAAGGGCTGCTCCTTGGAAATTTCAAGCTTCGCGTTGGTCCACCGGGGGACCTCGACAATCATGTTTAGGATAGTCTTCTCTGCGTTAGCGTACAACGGAATATCATGGAACGGGCTGACAACGTTGTGGTTCTCGTCCTCAATGTAGACCTTGTAGTCGAGGGTGTTTTTAGCACCAATTTGGCGAGTGTGGTAGGACATGGCAGATGAAAGGTGGGTTTGGATAAGCCCCAACCTATTCATTGGCCGGACCGAGATATTTGCTGGAACCATAGTAACGCTGACAAAACTTGGGGTAGCTGAAATGGGGTAGTAGCGGCTGTTGGCGGACGAGCTCGAGGCGAATCAACACTCCTTTTGAACCGTGGCAGTGAGCACTTGACTATTGTCCAATTACTGCGTCTGTATCAACTCGCAGTTTTCGTTCTTCCGGTTCGGGATTGCCGAGTTTTGCGGGGTTAATGCCGGGTTGTCGGGTGGGAGAGATTGTGCTCGCCTGCTGACGCTTAATTATGAGCAATTTGCTCGAGGTGCAGTCGTCTTTCAAATTTTAATTTTGAGATTCGTCGAAACACAACCATGTAGAACAACCGCAGTTGCACAACTAAACGGATGGGGCCCGCAACGAGTGGCACAAGTGTCTAATTCCCCATACTTTTCTCCTCTATACTCCGTCTTCGACGATGGTCCCAGATTTTAATCATCAGTGGCGTGCTGACGAAACTTACCTAAATGCTTTATCGCGCTAGATTCGCGGTCCAAAGTGCCCGGGTGGCACGATTGGGGCAGTTTGCTACGGCAAGAGCCTTTTCTGGAACCAGACTAGTGGCAAAAGACAAGTCGGATAAGCCAGACAAACCCGATAAACCAGGACAGGGTGCTGACAATGTTGAAAAGCCCAAAGACAAGTCTCCGGACAGCGCCGACGGCCCCAAAGAGACGGTGGAGAAGGCCAAGAAGGCCAAAAATCTAAACGACGCTTTGGAGAAAGTTGCTGAGGATAATTTGCCGAACCGAGGAACCCCGCGCCTGAAAAACGGAGCCGTCGCATTCAACCCCAAGAAGCCAAGTGGCTTTGGGGGCGCTAAATCTCCACCTAACTCTGGCGTAGGCGCTTGGGAGCCCAATGACACAGGCGAGCCTATCACTAAAAACGACAAGATCTTGCCGATACAGCTCCAGTATCGTCCAGTTCTGCCTGGCATGGCGTCGCACTTTACGTCTCGCGACCCCAAGCTGATCAATGCGGTATCCAAGTTGCAGGAGTCTCGGCAGTGGGACTCGCGTGTTGTTGCGGTAATGTCGAAAAAGCAAATTGCCACAACCCAGCTAGTAACCAACGTCGATGATATCTACGATGTGGCCTGCTGCTGCCGCCTCCAGACAATCGTCATGGCCCACAACTCCGAAAACCAGTTGACGCTTTATGGCACGCTTTTCCCTTTGTTCCGCGTGCGGGTTGGAGAGCTTGTTGAGAATGTCAAAGGTGGCACTACGATCACCAGATCTGGAGAAGAGCCTCTCGCTGCTGAAAGCAGTAAGGAAAGCCCGCTGGACGAGCTAACAGTGCAGCTAATGAAAGGAGTTACTGCACTGCCCAACGAGCCCTATGCCATAAATGATGAGGAGGTTCAACAGCTCTGTCGCAAGATCATTGATGGACTTAATCAAATGTCTGCCATGTCTTCTAGCGTTAAGGCGGAGGTCGAGAAGTTCAGCCAGCTGATCTCGACCGACCCTGGCAGTGACTTCTCTCAGCCCGATTTCTTGGCCGATTTTGCAGCATCTCTGATCCCCAAAAATGAAGGATTACAAGAAATTCTCGAGATTACCAATATCAAGGAACGGGTACGCCGCGTAGCCGATCTTGTTGGCAAAGAAGTCACCTATATGCGTGTGCAGGAGGGAATCTACAAATATGGCCATGATCAGACACAGCAGCGTAACCGTGAGATGATACTGCATGAGTATTTACGCTACATCAAGAAGGAGCTTGGTATGGAGGGTGACGACAAGACCAAGCTGGCAGACCGATTCCAGGAACGAGCTGACAGCTTGGAAATGCCCAAAGATGTGCGACATGTCTTTGAGGAAGAAATCAACAAGTTCCGCAGTCTTGAACCCAATGCTGGCGAGTACAACACTGTGCGGACTTATCTCGATTGGTTAACCCAGCTGCCCTGGGGCAAATACTCCACCGACAAGTTTGTGATTCGCAAGGCAATGGAGATTCTCGACAAGAGCCACTACGGACTGAAAGACGTTAAAGACCGTATTCTAGAGTTCTTGGCTGTCGGAAAGCTGTCGGGCTCAGTTGATGGCAAAATCATTTGCCTGGCAGGCCCGCCGGGTGTTGGTAAAACATCTATTGCCAAGTCTATCGCGGAAGCGTTGGATCGCAAGTTTGATCGCTTCAGCGTGGGTGGTTTGTACGATGCCAGTGAAATCAAGGGTCATCGTCGCACCTACGTTGCTTCTTTGCCAGGTCGAATTGTCCAAGCCCTGAAACGGTGTCAGACCTTGAATCCGGTTATTCTCATTGATGAGATCGACAAGCTAGGACGTGGGTCGAGCCATGGTGATCCATCAGCTGCCCTTCTTGAAGTTTTGGATCCCGAACAGAATAAAAATTTCCAAGACACCTACCTTGAAGTTCCCATTGATCTGTCTCGTGTTTTGTTTGTGTGTACCGCCAACAACTTGGAAGGCATTCCCGCACCTCTGATGGATCGTATGGAGATTATCAATATTCCTGGATACTTGCCTGAGGAGAAGGTGTCTATTGCCGAGTCTTATTTGTCTCCTCATGCCCGCAAAACCTCTGGGCTGGAGCACGCTGATATCACCATAACACCAGAAGCTTTGCAACGGTTGGTTAGCAAGTACACGCGCGAATCTGGTGTGCGTGGGTTGAACAAGACGATCGAGAAGATTTACCGCAAGCTGGCGTTCCATTTCGTGCGGGATCTCGAAGCTGAGGACCAGTCTGCCGATGTGACCAAAGATGTTGCGCCGGTTGCTGCAGTTGAGGGCGGCAAGGCAGAGTCCAAACCTGAAGCCAAGAAAGAGACTGATGGCCCTGCTGCACAGATCCCCGAGGAGCTTGTTCGTAGCCTCAAGATGGCGGTTGGACCCAGCGATCTCGTCAAGTATATCGGCGTGCCGTCACATGCGCGTGACCGGCTGTTTGACCACTTGCCTCCCGGTGTGTCGATGGGTCTAGGCTGGACACCGACCGGCGGAGTTCCGCTGTTCATTGAGAGTGTGATCCAAGAGGCGCTGTCGACAAAATCGACACCGCGACTGACGCGAACTGGTCAAATTGGCGAGGTCATGAACGAGTCTACTTCCATTGCATATTCCTTTGCTCGTATGTACATGACCAAGAACTACCCGCGAAACCGGTTCCTTGATTTCGCCGTAGTGCACACCCATTTCCCCGAGGGCGCCATCAAGAAAGACGGCCCTTCTGCAGGTATCGCGATGGCAACCTCGTTGATTTCGCTGGCGATGAACCTGCCAGTAAACAACGATGTGGCCATGACTGGAGAACTGACGCTGACCGGTAAGGTGCTGCAGATCGGCGGGTTACGGGAGAAGGCCGTGGCCGCCAAAACGCTGGGTGCTAAAACAATCGTTTTCCCCGAAGACAACCGCGCCGAGTGGGAGGACCTGCCCGAGAAAGTCAAAGAAGGCATCGACGCTCGACCAGTGCGCGACTTCCGCGAGGTGTTTGACGTTGCATTCGGTGCAGTCGACCCTGCCCAGGTCAATGCGGCCTGGCCAGAGCTCGCCAAAGAGCCGCTCCCCAGCGAGAACGCAGACCGTCCTAAACAGCTCGCTACGCCCTAGTTTGCATTGTATAGATAACGATTTTTACGATTGGTTCCACCCCCCAAAACTCACCCGCCGATCTCGGCTAGCCCACAGATTTCGCGGGGGAGCGATGCGATTGCTCCCAATGCGGCAAGTCGTTCCCCATACATAATCTCGATTTTTCCAGATACCCCAACTTACTCAATAACTACGATGTCGAAACGATTGGCACAGAAGATGCCGCAGCTTTCGCGGCCCGACTTGTTGCGAGACAAGATGCTGATCAACGGAGTATGGCGGGGCGCTGCGTCGAGCTTCGAGGTGACGGACCCAGCGACCACTGCAGTGATTGGCACAGTTCCAGATGCTACTCGCGCGGACACCCAGGAGGCGATTGAGGTAGCCAAGGAGGCGTTCAAGAGCTTCCGTCACAAGACTGCTCGTGAGCGTTCTGATTTGCTGCGCAAGTGGGCTTCGCTGCTCCGGGATCACTCCCAGGACCTTGGCCGCATTGTCTCTCTGGAGAATGGCAAGCCGTTCGCTGAGGCACACGGTGAGGTTCTTGCCTGTGCCCAGAACTTTGAGTGGTTCAGCGAGAGTGCCCCTCACTACACTGGCGACACAATTGCTTCCCAGAACCCCAATGTTCGATTGCATACCATTAAGCAGCCCGTCGGCGTTTGTGGAATCATTACCCCCTGGAACTTCCCTGCTTCTATGATTGCTCGCAAGGTTGGTGCTGCATTGGCTGCTGGATGCACCACTGTTATCAAGCCTGCTAGCGAGACTCCTTATTCTGCGTTGGCCATGGCCTACTTGGCTGCTGAGGCCGGGGTGCCCGATGGCGTCATCAACGTCGTTACTACCCATTCGAACACCAAGGACGTTGGCCATGAGCTGTGCACTTCTCCCTTGGTCTCTAAAATCACTTTCACCGGATCCACCCCCATTGGAAAGCTTTTGATGAACCAGGCGGCCTCCACCGTCAAGAAGGTCTCTTTTGAGCTCGGTGGTAACGCTCCCTTCATCATTTTCGAGGACGCCGATATTGACAAGGCTGTTCAGGGCGCCATGGCCTCCAAGTTCCGCGGTTCCGGCCAGACCTGCATCTGTGCCAACCGGTTCTTTGTCCACGAAAAGGTTCACGACGAGTTTGTCACCAAATTCGCCGCCGCCATCTCCAACCTCAAGCCTGGCCACGGCCTCGATGAGGGCACCACACAGGGTCCTGTTATCAACAGCAAGAGCATGGCAAAGGTCACTGAGCATGTTAAGGATGCCCTTGCCAATGGCGGTAAGCTCGTGGTTGGAGGTGAGCCCCTGTCTGAGCTCGGCCCCAACTTCTTTGCCCCCACACTCATCACCAATGGCAACCAGAACATGAAGGTTTTCAAAGAGGAAACGTTCGGCCCTTTGGCTGTTGTTGCCAAGTTCTCCTCTGACGCTGAGGTTGTCGAGCACGCCAACTCCGTCGAGGTTGGTCTGGCTGGCTACTTCTTCACCAAGGACCTGGTTCGTGCCAACCTGGTTGCCGAGGCTCTCGAGGTCGGCATGATTGGCATCAACACCGGTCTTATCACCGAGGTTGCCCTGCCCTTCGGTGGCATCAAGGAGTCTGGCTTCGGCCGCGAGGGATCCCGATACGGCCTTGACGACTACACTGTTATCAAGACTGTTGCCACCTCTCTTGCTTGAGAACACAAAACATTATGCACTTGTTAATAAATATCTAGTTTAACGAAGAAAAAAACGTTGCTACATCTTGCTGAGTGACGACTTTACCTTCCGAAGCAAACGGGGCCAAGAACTTTGTGAGTTTATCACGCATCATCGAGTATGCTTTGATACCGTTGTTTGCGTACTCGCGAGGGAGATTCTGCAGCGCTCGTTCGCCGGCCTCGAAAATTGAGGAGTTGGCGTCGTCGTCCTGCGGAGGTTCGTAGGTTTGTTCGGGTTCGACAAGGAAAGGGTGCTTTTTCACTAGAGAGAGCACTGCGGGGCTGTCTTTTGCAAGCTCTGAGATCGCCTTTTCGTAGCCGTGGCGTAGAAATAAACTGGTCTGCACGGTTTTGTTTCGTTTGCCCGAATCTGTCGCAGTCCACGTCACGCGGTCGACCCGAATACCTGGAATTTCGCTAAAGTCGTCTGCAGAAAGACACTTCCAACAAATAAAAGCATCGAATTCTCCAGCGTTGGGCATTCCCGGGAGCGTTTCATCTTCGTCCTCCGACTCAGAGTCAGTAGTAAATGCCCCAGTTGCTTCAGGCTCTTCGCTGGCCTCGCTGTGCTCGACATTGTGTGCTGATTCCAGTTCATCAAGTAGATTGACACCGCTAGACTCTACCGGTTTTGAAAGAGCCTTTCTGGCCGCTTTCTCCTCTTCGATTGACAACCCCAAAATGCACCGCTCATGGAACCAGTCTTCCTGGCATTGTGTACCCACCAGGCACTGGACCATTATGCCGGGCTCTGTCTCGTTGTATTCTGAGTCGCACTCACAGAATTGGTTGTTGAAATTGTGTCCATAAAACGCGTTATCGCTCTTTTCTAGCTCGCCAATTTTGCGCAGAAAACACGGGTCGCCTTTGATTTGATTCGTTCCACAATCGCAGGTAATTGCGCGTTTGGAAAAGAGTTCAACAAGATCGTGGTCGGTGTGGCACCGTATGCTGCAGCTATAACAGATTGCATTGGGTTTGCCGCTGGCTGTTTGACATGTCTGGCACACGTAGAGCAACTGCCTTTGCACTCCCATATGGCGCGTGCATTCATCTGGATTCCACGGGTACTTTTCCGCAGCCATTTTCTCGAGAGCCTGCTGTTTCTCCAGAAGCTCCCATGCCGTAACTGAATCGTCAGTCATATCGTCAACGCACAAGTCAGGAGGCTTACCTTATGGACGAATACCCGGAGCTTTGTTTAGCGCTTCGCGGCCACAATGTTGGATTTTGGGAACCACTTTGGCGGGATTCAGGGACGGTTGGTCGTCGAATCGGCCGCAGTGGGCCCGAGGTGCGAGATTTTGCCCTCAAGTACCGCGAGGAGCTGGTGGGCAAATTAAAAACCGCGCCTATGACCAGCGTCGAGCCGCAGTTTTTCACTACTGGCGACAAGGACATTGATAAATGCCTTGGTGGAGGAATTCCGACCCGATGCCTTACGGAGATCTGCGGTCAGAGCAGCGCGGGGAAAACGGGACTGGCTTTGCAGCTATGCCTGAGTGCACAGTCCACAAACACCAAATCGGTGTATATTACGACCGAAGACAGCCTCTATATTCGAAGATTATCGCAACTAGCCGGGCGTTTCTCGCACGCATCACTGGACAATGTATTAACCAGCAAGGCGAGTGCGCATCCCATGCAGCTTGTGAAGCTCGTAGAAACGAAACTTGGATCATTGATGAAAAAAAACAACGTAAATCTCGTTGTTATTGACAGTATCGCTCTTTTCCAGGACTGGATCAACGATGCAGAGAGTGTCTTATTTATTGAAACTTGCCGGAACCTCAGGCGGCTGGCTCACCAACACAATGCAGCGATTGTTGTGATAAACCAGGTGCGAGAGCGTAGCGCACGACGTTTCGGCTACGATATCGAAGATTATGCTCTATATACAGAGAACCAAGAGCGGTTTCTCACCGGCTGGCCAACCAAGCCATTTGTGTGGGGTCTGGATGAGGGCCGGAACAGGCTGGTTCCATCGTTGGGGTATACGTGGACGCGAGAGATTGATCAACGGATTGTTATCAAACGAACCGAGCATGGTCGCAGGATCGAGCTGGTGTTTTCGCGTCACTCGCCCGCCGCAAGTATAGACGTTGATCTGACGTCCGAGGGGTTCGTATCAGCAGCTGAAGATCCAACAGACTCTGACGAGTTCCAAATACCCTCTCAATCGTTTCCTAAACACCTTTAAGGCAGACTTTCATTTTGCTCCATAAAAACGGGGTGCGACACGGGTTAGGGTAACACGCGTGTCCCAATTAGGTATAGTAATTAGTCTGAGCATGTTTTCACTCTCACTTTATCAGAATGCCACCCCGAAAGCGAGACTATGACGACCACACAAGCGATAACGGACCGTCGTCTCCAGACGCACCTCCTTCGTCGCTTCCCCCGTCGTCGCCTCCAAATTTGCCGTTCGACGACGACGAAGATGCCCCTTTGTTTGACGAAAATGACATGATCGACGACTTGGACGAAGCGCTAGAAGAAGAAGACGGCGAGGATCTGTTTGGAGAAAACATGCATCGCGATTATAACGAGTCTGCTGGTCAGGATACGTATGATTTAGGTGCAGAACACATTGACGACAACGACTATGATGCATTGGACCCCGCAGAAAGACGACGGGTAGATGCTCTCCTTGACCGTCGTGATGGTGCGCTGAGCGAGCGACGGTCGGGTCGGAGCGGTGCGTTTCTGGATGATGATCAGTTTGGCGGTGACCAGGGAGATATTGCTCTGCCAAGTCGCCGCCGTAGACGCAACCAGTTCGACGATGGTGATTCGGGCGACTCGGACGACTCAGATGACGACCCAATGAACCAGCCGCTGGGGCTAGAGGCCCTTGCTGACGTGAAGGCCGATTCAGTTGCTGAATGGGTCACCCAGCCTATTGTGCACAAGTCTATTGCTCGAGAGTTCAAGAATTTCCTGCTCGAGTATACTGACGAAAATGGCCGGTCTGTTTATGGTACTCGAATCCGCACCTTGGGTGAGGTCAATTCCGAAAGTTTGGAGGTCAATTATGCTCATTTGCTCGAGTCCAAAGCTATTCTCGCTTACTTTCTTGTGGTTGCCCCGGCAGAGGTGTTGAAAATCTTTGACGTCGTGGCAATGGAGGCTATTGAGCTGCATTACCCTTATTACACGCAGATCCACTCTGAAGTCCATGTGCGTATCTCTGGCTTGCCCACCACGTTTTCTCTGCGTGACTTGCGTGAGAATCAGCTCAACAGCCTTGTCAGAGTCACAGGAGTCGTTACTCGGCGAACAGGTGTTTTCCCCCAACTGAAATACATTAAATTCGACTGTCCAAAGTGTGGACAAGTGTTGGGACCTTATATTCAAGATTCACAGGCTGAGGTGCGTATTTCGTTCTGCCATAATTGCCAGAGCCGGGGCCCGTTCTTGTTGAACAGCGAAAAGACGTTGTATCGCAATTACCAGCGTATCACCTTACAAGAGAGTCCTGGAACTGTTCCTGCAGGCCGTCTGCCTCGACACCGTGACATTGTTCTGTTGTGGGATCTCATCGACCAAGCAAAGCCTGGCGATGAAGTCGATCTTACGGGTATTTATAAGAACGCATACGACGGTATGCTTAATGCAAAGAACGGGTTCCCTGTGTTTGCCACAATTATTGAAGCAAATCTTGTTTTGAGACGCGAAGCTGGCCGGGTTGGAGAGGTTCAGCTGAGCGACCTCGAAGAAAGGGAGATCGTCCAACTTAGCAAAGACCCGCAAATCGTCAACAAGCTCATCAGCTCGGTTGCACCTTCTATTTATGGCCACAAAGATATCAAGACGGCTATTGCCTGCTCGTTGTTTGGCGGTGTTCACAAGGAAACAGGCAAAGTGACCCTGCGTGGTGATATCAATGTTTTGCTGCTTGGTGACCCGGGAACGGCAAAGTCACAATTGCTCAAATACGCTGAATCCACCGCCCATCGTGCAGTGTTTGCCACTGGCCAGGGTGCGTCCGCTGTAGGTTTGACAGCCTCCGTTCGCAAGGATCCCATCACACGAGAATGGACTCTGGAGGGCGGTGCATTGGTTCTTGCCGACAAGGGCACCTGCCTGATCGATGAGTTTGACAAAATGAATGACCAAGACCGTACATCGATTCACGAAGCTATGGAGCAGCAGAGTATCTCGATTTCGAAAGCAGGTATCGTTACATCCCTGCAGGCCCGATGCGCGGTCATTGCTGCCGCTAATCCTAACGGCGGCCGCTACAATGCGACCATTCCGTTTGCTCAAAACGTTGATCTCACAGAACCCATTTTGTCGCGTTTTGATGTGCTCTGCGTCGTGCGTGATATCGTTGAGCCCGAGAAAGACGAACGGCTGGCCCGGTTTGTTGTTGACTCGCACTCAAAGGCGCACCCCGATGGGTCTCATCCAGGTGAACAGGACGATGACGAACTCACATCAATGGAGGGCCCAATCTCGCAGGATATGCTTCGCAAATACATCCACTACGCTCGCACCCACATCAAGCCACAGCTGCTCCGGCTAGACCAGGAGCGAATTGCCAGCTTGTACAGCCAGCTTCGTAAAGAATCCCTGGCGACCGGGTCTTTCCCCATCACCGTGCGGCATCTGGAGTCAATCATTCGACTTGCCGAGAGCTTTGCCAAGATGCGGCTCAGCGAGTATGTGTCCAAAATCGATGTGGACAGAGCGGTCAGGGTGACAGTGGACTCGTTCATTGGTTCTCAAAAGGCGAGCGTTCGTCGCAACCTCGCCCGCAGCTTTGCCAGGTTCACAAACTAGAGACTGAGCGTGCGAAGAAACATACAAAGAAGCATAATAACGTACAAAGGGTAACATACAATAACATAGGAGATAATATAGATGGATTAATTTTTATAACAGACAACAATTCACTCCTCAAGCTCTCCAAGAACCGGCACATCGTCGTTTTCAAGGTCATAGTCTTCGTTCTGGTCGGGTTTAAGTTCCGGAGAGTAGAGTCTTGAGGTTCTCAGGTGGATGAAGACGACACGTTTTCGACGTTTGTTGAAAAAGAACCACATTTTACACCAGGTCACGCCAGGATCGTCCTGCAAGAAGTTTGGCGGGAGATCGAGGGAGTACATTTTGCAGTCTTTAAAGTCGATGTGCTTATCGAGGATGTCCCACATCCCGGACGGAGTAGTGGATCCTAGGCCAACCAGGATATTATTGAAGCCGTGAATCACCTTTGAAAGAGAGCTTTCGCGGGTGAAATTGTCTGGAGATAGCGACGAAAAGTCGCGGTCGGGGTCACTTGCGTTAAGAACGGAAATGAGGTATGCATATTGTTTGCGGCTCGAGCCTTGGTCCAGGGGGCCAAACGGTGAAAAGGGCAGGCTGGAAGAAGACCGTCGTTGCCGATCTAAGCTTGAGGGTGGGGACAGCAATTGCGGGGACGTCGTCGTTTCGGCGCCCAGGCTACCAATGGACATGCCGTACATTCTGCTGTCGACAAACTCTACGGCAGCCTCATCGTCGTCTCCGGGCTTCACGTCGTACTGGCTTTCGATGGTGCGCAACAATCTTCTATCCGACGCGGCGGGCTTGGTGGTAAAGAGATCTATGCCACACGCCACTTGGGAGTCCACGGTAGCAAACGTGAGCTTGGCGCTCAGTCTACCTAGATCAGAGCTCTCCACATACTTCATTGCGGGCTGCAGCGGGGTTGGTTGTGCGAATAGCGTTAGCGAAAGGGCGGCTGGGAACCAGGTCGGTTTCGGGGGTGATACAAGCATGCTGCTGCCTAATCAGGCGTTTAATCTGCCCGCACCGAATCTGGAAGCCAACCCCAACCCTGGCGCTTGGGGAATATCGTGCCTCTTTTTTATTTTTGGTGAGGATGAGGGGGGAGGGGACACCGGCAAACAAAGAGGATGGGCGAATCCAGGCAAAAATTCTAGTACATATAGACTGACGAAGGAACACAATGGTATCATAAAACGGTATCATAAAAAGTATTCTGGTGTAAGCTGCTTCATGGGCACGACTCGTGATTTATCATCGGGCTCGACGGCCTCAAACTCGCGATATGTGCGGCTGAAATCGTCTTCGATGGTCAAAATAGCCGCGATGTTGCCGCACCGATAACAATAGTTGGGCGCAGACCACACCGTGACTAACTGTTCATCAAAAAGCTCCCGGTAGCCCTCCAGAACCAGCTGGTGGGCTCTAGCAATCAGCGACGTGTTGTTGAGCTGGTTGAATTCCTCTACTGGCTGACGACCAAACAAGTAGCCTGCTCCTCGTGGAGACACGCCCCATGCTTGAGAATCGCGAGATGCAGCGGCCTGGAGCTCCATATCGCCAATGCTTGGGCTGGTTACGTCGTTTAACGACTCATCTGGATCACTCCACAGCAGGTCACACATGGGCCCTTCATGGGGGACTTCTTGTTTTCGGTCAATTGATCTGATCTCGTCGATTTTTGTGATGGAGGGTGACAATCCACCGTGTACACAAAACACACCGCCCGGCCCGCCTACGAGGGCAGCCAGAGACAGGTAGTCAAACACATTACAGCACATTCTCCACACATTTGCAGAGCCGTACTTGCGAATGCACTCGTCATAGAAGCCGTACGACGCGGTTATCTGTCGGGACTCGTGGTTCCCGCGAATCAGAGTCATCCGGTCCGGATAGCGGACTTTCAGAGACAGCAGCAGCAAAAAACTCTCCACCGAGTAGAACCCGCGATCGACAAAGTCTCCCAAAAATAAATAGTTTGTGTCAGGGCACTTACCGCCCGTCTTTAGTAGCGTCAGCAGGTCGTGAAGCTGGCCATGGATGTCACCACATATCGTCACTGGAGTGTGAACAAACTGAACGTTACTTTCCTCGAGCAGGAGTTCCTCGGCCTTCTGACAGAGTTGGCTCACAATTGATTCTGGAACGTGGCCGCCATTTTGCACCAACTCGATGACTCGGTCGGTCAGGCTCATAATTGTCACCACACGCTAAAAAAGGAATATGTAAAAAAAGGTTTCCCTGATTACGTTGGACCAAGAGTTTCCATCACCTAGCTTCTCCCAAAGACTGCTTTGGCACCCGCGGATCAGAGGGGGTGTAAGAGGATGTAGGCAGGCTGGTGGCTTCGCGGCCTCAGGATCGGCAGATCGAAGCGGGTGTCAATGTCGCGGCGGCAACGAAACCAGGCTCGGCCGTGTATATCCCCGAGATACAAAGGTGTGGTCTTACCACCTGTTAGGCAGAATAGGTGTCATGTGGAGTCGTGCATTGGGCGTCCAGCGGCTACACACTCACGCGGGGAAATATAGTGGGTCCTCTGGGGGCGGTCACACAAGATCACCTCTCTTGTTCCCGCTTCGGCTATCGGCCCATAGTAAGCTCTCAATCCTCTTGTGGGTGCCGCCGGAGTGATCGCTTTGTGTTCACATGATCGAAGCGATCTGCAGGTCCTGAAACAAGGACGCGGCGGTGCAGCTTGGTGCCGCAGCTTCGCCACCAGAAGCAGGGAAACCCTAAGCTCGAAAATACCTGAGCTGGCTTGACCCTGCGGCTATATGCACTTTAGTGAACATTTTTTTGAATTGTCCTTCCACGTTAAGCCGCCTCGATTCTTGGAAATTTACAGCCTAGTACCTCTCTCACATGGCCGACGACTCGCAGGTTGAGACGTCCAGCGGCGCTGCCATCGTTACCGCTATTATCTTCAACGGTGCAATTGCTCTAGCATGTATGGCGGTCTTCCTCTATTTGCGCCCCCGCAACCGCCGTATCTACGACAAACGTATTGTATCTTCCCAGGTGCCTGAGAACCGTAAACCCCGGGCTCTGCAAAAGGGCGTCTTTGCCTGGTTTACTGATCTCGTGACGCGTCCTGACAAGGAAATCCTAGCAGAAACAGGACTGGACGGTTACTTCTTTTTGCGCTACTTGCGGATGATGTTTTTCTATGCCTTGGCTGGGCTGCCGCTTCTGTGGCCGGTGCTAATGTCTCTTACGGCAACCTCTCACGGTGGACTAACTGGTCTGAACAAACTGCAGTTCGGTAATATCTCGCCTTCGCAGCGCAATCGCTACTATGCCCATGTTTTTTTCAGTTGGTTGTATTTCGGCCTGTTGATTTTCATGATTTACCGTGAGCTTTTGCTCTACACTGCAGTAAGAGCCGCTGCTTTGACCTGCCCCGCATACCGGACGCGTATTTCCTCCCGCACAATCTTCATTGCCAGTGTCCCCAAACACCAACTTAACGAAGCCTACTTGGCTCAGCTTTTTCCCGGAGTTGAACATGTCTTTGTAGGCCGTGATGTCAAGGATCTTGAAGACCTTGTAAAACAGCGCTCTAAGCTGTTGGGCAAGGTTGAAGGTGCGGCCAACAAAGTCCTCAAGAAGGCCATCAAGGCCCGTATGAAGGCTGGTGGTGCCGGTAGTGATAACCTCGACGACTATGTTAAAAAGTGGCCTACACATCGCTTGAAGTTCCTCATCGGAGAAAAGGTCGAAACACTGGAATACGCCAAAAAGGAGATCCCCGAGCTCAATTCCAAAATTACTAGCAGCCAGAAATCTGTCGATTCGAAAGAGCCCCTGTCTGCCGCTTTTATCACTTTCCAAACCCAGTCCCAAGCAGAGGCAGCCAGCCAAGTTCTCTCGTCCTCAGAGCCTCTTCGGATGACTCCCAAATTCATCGGACTGACGCCCGACGAAGTGTACTGGCCTAACTTGAGAGTGCCTTGGTGGAAACGTATGCTCCAGGCAACCGGTGCTGCGTGGAGTGCTACTTGTCTTATTGTGTTTTGGGCTATCCCTGTCGCTTTTGTTGGTTTTATTTCTCAAATTGACCAGCTCATTGCTCTTTTCCCTTGGATGTCTTTTCTCAAAAAGTTGCCCTCGGTATTGTATGGTCTTGTATCGTCGCTTTTGCCCATCATTTTGCTGGCAGTGCTAATGATGCTTTTGCCCATCATCATCCGAATGCTTGCCAAACGCGCCGGAGCACCCAGCAACACTCACGTCGAGTACTACACTCAGAAGGTCTACTTTATCTTCCAGCTTGTTCAGGTCTTTTTCGTTACAACCGTCGCAAGTTCCGCAATGGCTGTCTTACCGGTCCTGGTCCATGGTGACAGTGTCGACGTCTTGGAAATGTTGCAAAACAAGGTGCCTGCTGCATCCAATTTCTACATTTCGTATTTCTTACTGCAGGCTCTTGTACCTTTCGGAATGGGGATGCTGCAAATTGTTGCCGTGCTGCTCTATTATGCCTTTTCCAAATTCCTCGATGGTACCCCTCGCAAGAAGTGGAACCGTCAGAATGGTCTTTCATCTGTCGGATGGGGCACTGAATTCCCCCCATACACCCTGCTGGCGTGTATCACGATCATTTACTCGATTATTGCCCCCTTCTTGTTGTTATTCGCGGCTCTTCTCTTCGGCTTGGCATATGTGCTCTACTTACACAACCTCACCTTTATCTCAAAACCGTCTAATGGACGTGGTATCTTCTATGCCCGTGCCATCAAACAATTGTTCGCGGGCTTGTACACTGCTGAGCTCTGTTTGGTAGCACTTTTCGTGTTTTCCAAGCGCTGGGCGCCCGTGGTGCTCGAAGCTGTAATGGTGTTGGTTACCATATACGCACAGATGAAGCTTGGTGAAGCATTTAATCCTATGCTGTTGAATTTGCCTCGTACCCTGACATATGTTGAGGACGTGCCACTTCTTGGTTCGGATGAAGCTCTTGACGATGACGACCTGAACCATGCCAAAGGACATAAACGCGTTTCCTCTGAGGACGCTTTGATCGATTTAGAAGCAGGAACCTCTACGGCTAACGGTAGCGAGTCTCGCTCCTTCAAGGATCGTATTTGCAACTTCCTCATGCCCCACAAGACACTCACCCCCCACGTGCTGAGACAAACTTTACTTTCGGATCCTGTTTGGACTACGCGTCCAACTCCTCTCACCGCGGAAGAAGAACGTGTCGCGTATCTGAATCCTGCCTTTGGAGATGACGGTGATGTGGTCTGGCTCCCCAGTGATCCTTACGGCTGGGCAGAACAATTGGCTGCTCAACTGCAGGCTGCTGGCATCAAGGCCCACACTGATGGCGCCAGAGTCGACCTGGGTGAGAAAAAGGCAGCTCTGGAAGTCGGGGATGCAAACGTACCTATCTATTCGCCTGAAGCAGACTACTAATAATATATAGCTAACTCTTATCTTATCTACTGATCCCCCTTTATTTGGCGATGGGGACCGTAAAGATGCCTCAGGCTTAGCAATCAACATTCAACAGTCTCCCCACAGCCCATGTTGGAATCTGTGGTTGCTACTATCCTGAATCGGGTGGTAGGAGCGTATGTGGAGAATTTTGATCCGAAGCAATTGAACATTGGGATTTTATCCGGTGATGTCAAACTAAGAAATTTGCGGCTTAAGCGTGCGGCGCTAGACAAATTGCATCTCCCAGTCAATGTGATTGATGGGCACGTCGGAAGCCTTATTTTGCAAATTCCATACTCGAATCTCAAGGGAAAGCCCGTGAAGATTCTCATTGAAGACGTGTTTCTACTTGCCGCACCCGATCTCGGTACCTCCACCGAGCCCACCAGCGACACTGTTCGACGGGACTATGCTACAAAACTGGACAAGCTTGAACTCTGGGAATTAAGCCAGCGCAGTGCTTCCTCCGATCCAGCAGAGACGCAAAACCAGAACTTTGTTGGATCTCTGGTAACAAAGGTCATTGACAACCTACAAATCACGATCAAGAACATCCATTTGAGGTATGAGGACAGCGAAACGGTTCCATCGCACCCTTTTGCCACAGGAATTACTTTGGCTGAGCTCAGTGCAGTATCCACAAATAAAGATTGGGTGCCTGAATTCATCTCAGAGGTGACCGCAGTGACCCACAAGCTTGCAACGCTTGACTCTCTCGCGCTCTACTGGGACACCGATGCTGAGTCGTATACCGGCGCTAACAAGAAAAATCCGAATGACCGCGAATCTCTCTTCCAAATGTTCAAGGACAAAATTCTAGATGTATCCTGTGAGCAGGATCTGTTGAGGCCGGTCAATGGCCAAGGCTTTATCAAACTTGATAAGAACCCTGCTACAGAGGCCACTCCCAAGATCAAAGCCAAATTGGAGTTCGAGGAGCTGGCGTTGTCAATGGATCATGATCAATACTCGAATCTCCTGGAGTTGGGCGACAGATTCCATCGATATGTCCGCACCCGTGAGTTCAGGCGCAAGCGCCCGGCAATGACGGTTAAAGAAGATCCCCGAGCATGGTTTAAGTATGCTGCAAATACAGTCCTGGAGTCTATTCGTGAAAAGAATCGTCAGAAAACCTGGGATGCTGTTCAAAAACGCTGGAATGATTTCAAACGCTACAGAGAACTCTACAAAAAGCAAGTGTTTGAGCCTCTAAACAACTCAGACCAAAAAGAATTCGACGATCTACAAAAGGAATACACTATCGATGATTTGATGTTTTTCAGAAAAGTTGCAAAGGCTGAACTCAAGAATGGAACCGTACGTGAGCGTGCTGTGCACGAGTCAAAACGCGCAGTTTCTTCCTGGGGCTCATGGTTATGGGGATCTGGATCTAGTACCAATAACCGACCCAACGAACCTGACCATGACATTCAGTTCTCGGAAGAGGATAAACGAGAACTGTATGAAGTGCTCGATTTGGATGAACATGGTAACTCGCTAGAGGATGTTTCGACGCACCAGACTCTTCTCGACATAGAGTTTGGGCTAAGATGTGGAAGCGTTCAGTTGCGGCAGTCTTCGGATCGCCAGATTGCTTCTCTCGCTTTCAATGGCTCGAAAGCGAAATTCGTCAACCGCGCAGATTCGTTACTGTTCAGCATCTCGCTTGAAGATTTCGGCATTCATGATCACACACCAGAAACAAAGTACGCTAACATTGTGGAAATCAACCGCAAAGACAAAGGTGATGGCCCTTTCTTCTGGCTACTTTTTGAAACCCACCCGTTGGATAGAATTGCAGACTATAATCTGTTCCTGAAGTCGCGGAGCGTAACTATAGTTCACAACGCCCGGCTGCTGGAGAAAGTTATCCAGTTTTTCACACCAGATGCGGACAAGTATGAAACTGTGGACGCAATTGTTAACGCGGCTAATAAAACCGTTGAAGAGCTACGGGAGCAAACTCGAATGGGTCTTGAATATGCGCTACAGGAACACAAAACACTCAACTTACAGGTTGATGTCAAAGCACCTGTAATTGTCTTGCCACTTGATCCGTCCGAAGACGAAACGCCAACAGTTTTGATCGATTCGGGAAGCCTCACTGTTTCAAGCGATCTTGTCAAGCGTGAAGTTCTAGATCAAGTCAAGTCGAAACAAGCCGCAAAATATACGGAGGCAGACTGGAAAAAGCTTGAATCTTTGATGTATGACAGATTGACTATCACGCTTTCGGAAGCCCAAATCGTCCTTGGTCATAGTTCGGAGGAGTGCTACAAGGCGCTGCATGGGAAGAAAGCTACTCAAGCCACAGCGCTGGCTCCAACAACTCTCAAATTCTTGCTAGAGATTTCTATCATGCCTCAAACTCGAAGCTTGACTCAAACAAGGTTGTCGATCTCGTTGCCATCTTTGGATTTAACTCTTGCTGATGTCCAGTATAAGCTTTTGATGAAAGTTATCGATGCGGCAATTCCGCAAACTTCCAGCTCGGAACCGCCGGATCGGATCGAGCTTAGACGGGCAACCACATCTGTGCTGGAACTCGACAATGAACCAGAGACTAAACCCAAAGTCATCGGTAGGAGAGTCTTTGAGCTGAGATTTATTGTAGAGCGCGCAGATCTGACAATGGTACGAGGTTGGGAGCATGTCAAGATTTTAAGAATTCACATGCAGGATCTTGAGCTGCTTTATTGGATGGAGGACACAGTAAAAGCTGTGGACTTGAAAATGCGTGATCTCTTGCTTGAAGATTTTGTGAATACAAAGGCCTCGTCTGATTTAAGACGTCTTGTGTCAACCCGCAACAGTCAAGACAACCCTCTTTTCCAACTTCATTACAGGGGAAATGATCTTGATAACAGCAAGCAGGTAGACATTAAGATGGCTGCTCTACGATTCGTTCTTACGCCTACGACGATTCTCACCATCTACGACTATGTTATGAGTACATTCGCAGCTCCAGACAGTGCATCTACGACTCCCCATGAACTTGAGCCCGCGCCTGAAACTCAGGCTCGAACCCAGGCACAGCCAGCACCTAACCATCCTTACTCTTCTGAAAATGATGGCACCATAAAAGTCACTATATCTTTGGAGTCAGTTTCGGCGTTGTTGAATGACGACAACATCGTCCTCTCAAAGCTTGAACTTGAATCTGCCAAAATGGATGTCAATATCCAATCGACGATCCAGTTCCAGTGCCGACTGGGCGCTGTCTCCATTGTCGATATGATGGATAGCGGTGTACCAGCTGATTCCATGCTTCGCCGAATTTTGAGTATAGAGGGTGGTGGAGATTTGGCAGATTTCAGATACGAGACCTACGAGAATAAAAGTTACAGCTCTCTCGTATACTTTAGATCTGGTGCTCTCCAGGTCAGCCTAGTTGAGGAACCGTTCGGCCGAATGATTCAGTTTTTTGCCAAGTTCAGCCAAATGAAGACGGTCTACGATCAAGCCCGTATGATGGAGTTCAACCAGACCATTATCGATTTACCAAACAACATCAAGTTTGATGTAGTTGTTCATGCTCCCACTGTGATTTATCCTCGTTTGGGAAATAACACCTCGGAGCTTCTGCGTGCGCAACTAGGAGAAATTTATTTGAAGAACTATTTCCACCCAGTTGATGGTGTCCCCGAAGCCTTTGTAAATACCATCAACGCTGGAATCCGCAACGTCAAGGTCACCTCACAACTGTATGGTGCCAGTCAAAATCTTGAATTGCTGGATGATTTAGACTTGACGATCAACGCCAGTATCGCCTCACCTTTTGCAGATATCAGACGCCCTCTCGCTATGGTATCTGCGAAGCTGAGTCCTGTTGAGATACGATTGACAGAGTATCAATATTTGCTGGGTACGCAGCTCTGTGCGATGGTCGGTCGCCTTAGTGGGTCCATTGGTGGCCTCGATAATGACGAGGTCGGTGATTTAAGGCAAAAGCTTGCGCAAGAAAAAAACCTGGATCAGCATCAGAAAGAGTATTGGATGGCTAGTGATGAAGCTGCAGCTGCAGCTGCTGAACCCAATGATGCCATTCAAGCGGACAAACTAAGCTTCCAGTTCTCAGCCCCTGAAGTATCTTTCAGTCTCTTCAAGGGAACAGAACGAGTGCGTAGTCCAGGTGAATTATCGTCTTTCGCTCTTTCGTCCTTTAAACTCACCGAGACTTCTGTTGGCTTGACAATGAACAAAAGCAGTGTTATTGAGGGTGATTTTTCAATCAAGTCTTTCACTATCGAGGACTTGCGGACGGTTAAAGAGAACAAGTTCCCTGAAATCGTTCCTGCTATTAATCATGATTCGCCACAGTTCTCCGCCCATGTTGTGGGAAGACCGGACGAGCCGTTGTATGTGCGTGCACTAGTCGACAGTCCTAAAGTTATTTTAGCACTGGATTATCTTCTTGCAATGAAGCAGTTCTATGTTTTCACGGACGAAACTGCAAAATGTCCCCCTAGGCACCATCCAAAGTCCTCAAAGCAGGGAAATGAGGACAGAAACCTCCGTCCTCAACTACCTCCCAGACCTTCTGAATCCGGATACAAAGCGAGCGCCAGAGAATCTCTTTTGAGGTATCAGGAACAACTGCAGAGTGATTCTCAGGATCCTCAACATAAATCCCTTTTATCAATTGAGGACCGTCAAGAACGGCGTGAATCGTCCACTCTCGAGCTCGATCAACAAAGCTTGAATTGTCCTAAACCTACACCCCCATCGTTGCGCTTTGATCTAACAGTTCTCAATCTTTACATGTTGTTACTTGCTGATCCTTCGAATGCAAATAGTGAAGCAATTGTGTTCAAGATGGAAGAGCTTCTGCTAGGTGTTAAGGAAACTACAACATTGAGCGTTTCCCATATTGGCCTCTTTTTGACTCAGATGAAATCTCAAGACTCTTTGCGGCTGAGGGTTATTGACGACTTTAACTTTTCTTTGGCAGTTGATTCAAGACGTCCTATCGCTTCCGCAGAATTGTGCAGTATACGTGGTGTTATTGAGCCAGTGATTGTACGGTTATCTCTCCGTGAGATCTGGTTGATTTTAGCCATTTTGAACAAGGCTTCTGCGCTGCTGACGACGAATACAGAGGCAGATGAAGATAAAGACGGAATAAGTGAAAGCGAGAGTGAGTGCGATTGTGACGAAGAATGCGCACCTAGGAGAGACAGCGTGGTAGATACTGTGAAAATTATGGGTGAGTCTTGTACAATTGATTTTGAGGGGTTCAAGCTTGTTGTGATTGGGCCTAGCCACCTTATGCCAATTTTGTCAAGTAAAGTGAAACCTTTTTATATCAACATGAAAAACTGGTCTTCGGCTTTACGAGTAGATGGTTCTTTGGAGCTAAGCGCGAATGTATACAACTTTTCGAAATCCGCCTGGGAGCCCCTGATCGATAACTTTGAGATTGGTCTTAACGTTCTCCAACGAGAGGGTTTGCAGTCGAAGCAGATCAATGTTTTGAGTCGAACGATCACCGATATTGAAGTCACACCGGCTCTTTTGGATATTGTTGGCGAAGTGAAGCATTATTTCGAGGGTCAAGATCTCGATGCCGTGTTCAAGCGCAGTACTAAAGAGCATGAGGAACCTTACCGTTTGATTAACCAAACAGGATTTGATATCGAAGTCAAGTCCGAATGTCAGGACCCCGATTCTTTAGAGAGTGTTGTGAAATTGGCGCCCGATGAGTCAAAGAAATGGTCGTTCTACGATTGGAGACTGGTTCGCGAAAACTTGCATGAAGAGATGCACAATTTAGCGCTTGGTATCTCTCTAATCGACACGAAATACGAGGACTTGCACAATGTTTACGTCAATTCAGTTGGACAAGAGATGTACCCTTTACGTACAACCGATAAGGAGCGAACTTCAGATCGGCTTGTTGTGGATGTCTCTATCAAGGATCAGGTCAAGTACGTCACAGTCCGCTCTGCAACATCATTGCACAACACTACGAACCTCCCGATAGAGGTGAGACTGATGCCCACAAACGAAAGCACAGAGTATGATAACTATACTCTCACTCTCCAACCTGGAGACGAGCATGCTGTTCCGATTTTGGCTGTTGATAGCATGATATTTGTGAGGCCCGAGCGCTCAATGGGTTACGCCTGGGCTGAAACCCCTATCTATTGGGAAGATCTGCTTGAGCACTCTGTCACTGTCAAGTGTTTTGGAGAACAATCACCGTTTTACATTCAGGCCCGCAAATACTCAGAGGATGAGGAGCTTGCCGAGAGATATGGGTTCATGTCCATCAATTTGTGTGCACCTTTCATGCTGATCAATAACCTGCCCTATGATTTTGAATTCAAGCTATTCTGCCGAGACGAGAAACTGGACTTTAGCGGGACAGTTAAGCAAACTGGACGAGAGTATCTTCATGTTGTCAATCGCTTGCAACTTCTTTTACTCAGTGTCCAGCCTCTGGAAGGAGCTGGTTTCAAGAAACGTAGTGAGTTTGCGATCATCAACTCACGATCCAAAGAGTATGATGTTGAAAACGAGATTATTTTATATCATGAGGATGGACAAAAGTTGAGGCTTCAAATTTCTTATGTGAAGCTTCCTCAAAATGCTGGCAAGGCAATTGTGATTTCTGCACCATATGTTATTTTAAACCGAACAGCACATGAACTGGCAATCTCAACACGTCTAAACCGTGCTTCAATGCCGCTGGAAACTGAGAAACTCAAAATGAGTGACCAGTTTGAAGCAGTGCGCTATTCTCGTCCCAAGATGTGGTCCTTTGAAAACAGTCAATCGAAATCTCGCGCAACGTTCCGTCTAGATGATAGCAACTGGTCTGCTCCTGTCAATATTAGTGCAGTTGGCTCTTTAAGTGAATTAGCTGTTCCTGCCTATGACCGCCAGAGGGAAATGTTCCTAGGTTTGTCGGTACAAGATGGGTCAGGAAGATATCGCGGTACGAGAATTGTTTCTGTGACGCCACGTTTCGTTATTTGCAATAATATGGACCGAAGCATACGTCTTCGCGAACCTGGTGGATCAGATTACAATGGTGTTGAAGCTCTGCCCAATACTAGCGTACCGATTGGTTTTATATCCAAGTTCAGCGAGCGCGAAATGTGTGTTAGTTTCAACAATGATGAAGCAGTCTGGTCCTCATCGTTCTCGATGGCTAATGTTGGCACTGTTCACTTGAGATTGTCAGAGCACGGGAAACCCACAACGTTAGCTAAGATTGATGTTGCTTTAGAAGGCGCGACTTTGTTTGTGCACATTTCAGAGACGAAGCAATGGCCATTCTCTATTCGAAATTTCACTAATATTGAGTTCACAATGTTCCAAAGCAATCCTTTCGTTGACGAGGAGGGCTTTGAAAGTCGGAAGTTTACTCCGATTCGATATCGTCTACCTGTTAAAAGTCAGATGCCATATTCCTGGGACTTCCCGGCTGCAAATTTGAAAGAGCTCGTTCTTGAATCTGGTGGACGTCAGCGTAGGATACAGTTGGCAGAAATTGGTGAGCTAAGGCCCACTCGGTTCCCGCTTTCTGATGGAAGCCTTTACATTGTGAATCTGAGCGTTATTGCTGATGGACCCAAACAGGCCTTGGTAATTTCTGATTACGACCCAGAGGAGAGCAACTACGACGTGCGGCCTTCGACATCATCTGCTGCATCTGTATCTTCTGTCACGAGCGGAAACGAGTTCGTAGCTCACCAGCTTGAGGAGGAGTTTGATACTCTCGGTGTTACTATCCGGTTCAAAGGAATTGGTGTTTCTTACATCACTTCGGATAGCAAAGAGCTGTGCTACTTGACTTTACGAAATCTTGAGCTGAACTACAGTACCTCTAATGTCTTTGAAACGTTATCCTGGCAATGTCAGTGGATCCAGGTCGACAACTGTTTGTCTGGAGCTACAGAATTCCCTGTGATACTTTATCCATCTGTTCTGCCCAAGACTGCTACAGAGATGCAAGAGCATCCAACGTTCTCTGGTTCTGTAACCCGGATCAAGGATGACAGTTACGGTTTGATGTATGTCAAACATGCCACTGTTCTATTGCAAGAAATGACCATTGAGGTTGATGAGGGTTTTGTCGCTGAAATTCTGCGCATGGTTCGGGCGATGGAAAAGAAGTCATTGTGGCTAAGTGATGAACCACTGTTGGACCGCAAGGACATTGTGATTCCTGATGCGGTTTCGACTACTAGTTCCAAGGATGTTTACTTTGAGCAGCTGCACTTGCAGCCTACTCAGCTCAACATTTCGTTCGTGCGCACTGGTCAGTTGTCTCTTGAGAGTTGGTTCCAAGACGAGGTTAACTACTTTATCAATGCGATTACTATGACAGTTGGTAATATCAATGATGCCCCGGTTCAGTTCAATGCATTGTTGATCGAAAACGTTAGAACGCGCCCAGAATTGTTGGCACAATCTATCGAGACACACTATACCCAGGAGTTTATTTATCAAATTTACAAGGTTATGGGCAGTGCAGATATCATCGGGAATCCTGTCGGTTTGTTTAATAACATATCTTCTGGTGTTATGGATCTATTTTACGAGCCTTATCATGGATATACCATCACTGATCGTCCTTCCGAATTCGGCGTTGGCTTAGCACGCGGTGGTTTGTCGTTTATGAAAAAGTCAGTTTATGGTGTGTCAGATTCCGTTTCAAAAGTTACAGGCTCGCTTTCTAAAGGACTTGCTCTGATGACCCTCGATAGCAAGTATGCTAACCGCCGCCAAGCACGAGCACTTCGAAATAGACCCCGTCATGCCCTTTATGGGCTGTCTATGGGCGCCATATCTTTCTATGACTCGTTTGCGTCTGGTGTTACTGGATTGGCCAAAGCCCCTCTGGAGGGCGCTGCTACTAATGGTGCGGTTGGGTTCCTTGAAGGACTAGGACGAGGCTTGGTGGGCCTGCCAACAAAGACCATGATTGGATTCCTCGATATGACCTCAACCTTTTCTGAGGGCCTACGGAATACTACCACCATTTTTGATGTGACTGATATTGTACGTGTTCGCTTGCCACGAGTGATTTCCGCGAGCCAGCTCATTTCTCCTTACAATCCTCGGGCTGCAGCTGGCCAGATGGTCCTGCACAGTGCCGACAATTCCAAATATTCCAAGGACCAATATCTAGCCCACACCAATCTTGCCGCTGGACGAATGATTGTGGTTTCTCTCCAGCGCATCATAGTGGTGGCAATGGGTACTCTACGAACAGACTGGGTAGTCACTTATGATCAGCTTGCCAGCATCGTTATGGAACATAGTGGAATCAACTTGAAACTTCATGGTGGTGTTCGGGGCCCGTTCATTCCTTTGGAAAGTGAGTCTACGCGCAAGTATATCTATCGTCACATTTCTGAGGCTGTCGCTGCGTTCAATCGTCGCGAATTGTTGTTGTCGTAAAATATGTACTCATAAATTAGCACTACTTGAAAGACCTCTTTTATCTTTATTTGTGAAATAGTCCAAAGCAGTGCCTCTTCCAAACCCGGCGACTGTGACACATCGAGCTCCTATGTATCCGTCGGCCACACGTAGCGCCAGCGCTGCGGTTTCGCCCGTTCCTTGCATGCTAATAGTTCCTGGTGGAGAGTTGTCGGCCAAGTCTAAGGGGACAAACTCCTCAAGATTTACTCTCACATTTACAGTTTTGGTTTTGCGTTTTTTGGTGACAGTCATCTCCTGCTCAAACCACAACTTGCCCAAGGCTCGGCCTGTAGCATCAACCTTTGCCGCCGAGTTTTTGAAGTTGACTCGAAACTCGCGGCGATCGATCAAAGGAGCGACTGACGGGGCAGCTGTCGAGGGGAGTTCAAAGTCACCCACTAACAACTGTTCGCTGATCACCTGAGACAGGCCCATAGCACCCAACTCGGCCAGCTGGTCTCTCAACTCAAAAAGAGTCACTGATCTTGACAAATCGACTTGTTTTTGCCACAACAGCCGGCCGTGATCGAATTTCGTAGGATGCAATGTTTGAACCGAAACACCAGTTCGCGGCTGGAGGTCCATAATGGCTCTTTGCAAAGGTGCAGCGCCTCTGTATTGGGGCAGTAAACTTGGGTGCACGTTCAACCCACCGAACTCGAGGTTGTTGATAAATAGAGCCGGGATCAGCTTACCATACGAAACAGCCACTGCGAGTTGGGGATCGAAATCGGATTGTAAATTTTCGAAATCACGAAGCGTCTCTATCTGAAGCCACTTTAAGCCATTTTGTTTGGCGTAGGAAACGACAGGTGGCTCAATTACCGTGTTTTGGCCGCGTCCGGAGGGTTTTAGCAGGCGTGTCGCAACAATCAGATCCGAGGGGTTCTTGATCAAGCCATGAATAGCCTTCAAAGAGGGATAAGAGAACAGATCACTTCCAAAAAATACAGTGCGCATTTATTGCCTCGAAGCTTGAATATTCGCCCGCCGGGTACCTGAAACTTTGCCAAGCTCGATGCAAGTCCGATGCGTTACCTCAGCCCAACTTTCTGCACGTGATTTCCTTCCACCTCAATGTCAGACGTCGTGTCACTGGCGTCGTGTTTCGCTGTCGCGATGAGCTGTGGAACATTATACGTATATTCGGCGTATGCACCACAGCTCAGCGATCGCCTGGGACTCACCGCTACACAGCTTTCGAACATTGGCATGGTAGGGAACCTCGCCATGTCTGGCACGGGACCTTTGGCTGGCATGGTCACCGACCGCTACGGCTATACTGCCCCGATCGCAACAAGTGGCATCGCTACTTTTGCGGGATATTATACTGTGCGTACAGTATACGCAAACTCCATACCTAGTCCAGCAATTCTGGCGCTGGCGCTATTCTTAGTTGGAGTAGGCTCGACGTTTGCATTTTCTGCTTCAGTCAAGTGTGCGGCGGTAAAATTTCCGGGTAATCGTGGATTCGCAACAGCAATGCCAATGGCCGGCTACGGTCTTGCCGCATTTATGATCTCCAGCATTGCAAATTGGGCAGTGCCTGGCGATCCGTTGGGCTTTTTGTCGCTGCTGTGTTTTGTCCCAGCCGCTCTGATCGTGATATTTGGTCCAGTGGTCGTGTACTCAGAACCAAAGCAGCAGACACGCCCCAAGGAGTATGATGATGATTATATTGGTTTGGTTAACCTCGATAACGCCTCAAGGCCCGTACCATCAACCACGCCAGCCAGATTGAAACGCGAAATCTACGGGACCGCTCTTCTACGATCTCCGCTTTTCTATGGCTATTCATTGCTGCTAGGACTTCTTGCTGCTATGGGACAAGCCTATATTTATAACTGCGGATACATTGTCAAGGCCCTTGCATTCAATGAAGTCGAACACGAATGGCAAGCTAAGCAAGTAGCTATTTTGTCTGCGGCCAACTTCAGCGGACGCGTACTCGCCGGTGTAGTATCCGACATCTTCAGAATCCACTTGAGAAAATCGCGTACCTATACGATTATTTTCTCTGTCGCACTGTGTTTTGCTGCTCAAATAGCTTGCATGAACGTGCAGAGCGTCCAGTCCCTTTGGATTCCTTCCGCTCTGTCTGGACTGTTTTATGGCTACTGCTACGGCGGGTTCCCTGGCGTGGTTGGCGACGCGTTCGGAGTCTCTCATTTCTCTGCAAACTGGGGCATTGTGGCTCTTTCACCTGTACCTATTTCCTATTTTCTGTCAACCCGTCTTGGTCATACCTACGACTCCCACGCTCACGATGGCCTCTGCCTAGGCACTCAATGCTTCAAGGACGCTTTCCAGCTGCATGCGTATCTCGCTTGCGCAGCTCTGATCTTGACTCTTTTCATCATTCGGCGTCTGGAGCGCTGATTATGTCAAGTGTATAACATTACTTAGCAAACGCTGCCACGCTTCCCTCCACTCCAGCACGCGCTCCGGTCCATGGATAAGGCTGCTCAACGAAAGGCCAGATTCGCTAAACCTGCATCTACTCCCGGGTTGGTGAGTCGAGGGGATGCTGTTCTATCAAAAGCAGAGCAGGAGACGCTTTTCGAGCAGGTAAAAGCATCACCTACTCCCTATAAGGTCCGAAGCTTACGCGAAGCGGTAATTGCATCTGGGCCGTCGGAATTTGGCTCGGAGGTTCTCCAGTTCTCCGTAAAATATGCAATTGATTCGCAAGAGATTGCTACCTTGAAAAGCTCTTTGTCCTATCTATTGACAAATGTGCATCCCTCATACCCGCTCGAAAATCCTCAATATTTCCAGTCCCTCTATTTGATCGCGCTGTCTTTCCATGATTTGGAAGATGCCGCTTCACACCTCGACGGCAGCAGCACTCTCCGTGCGTACCTCCAGGCCTATGCCACCAGAGATATTGCTCGTTGGGTGGCTGTCATCAAAGGTGAGAAGGACAAGACTCGTCAAAAACTAATGTTGACGCAAAAAAAATTATTTATTGACCAAGCCCGAAAACTATCTGTAGCATACAAAAAGGACGGCACCTGGATCGAGGAATTGCTGGAGTTTCAATAGCCCATTAGAGTATATGAGACATCATGTCACGCAAGAATGCAAAGAGGGCTTCGTTCCAGGCCGAAATTCAGGAACCGCGTAACATTCTCAGCTGGCTGGTCGTGTATGAAACGATTCAGACCTATGCTCCGTGAACTTTACAAAGTTTTGAGCGGGTGTGGTTGCGTCTGCTGGATAAATGATGGCATTTCCACAAGAATGACGCTTGAATTGAACTAATAGCCTCAAAGCAGCCATTGTGCCGATAGTATGGGATACCCACGTTCTGTAAAGAAATAGATCAACGACACTTCTACAACTCATCAACCTCCAAACGAGAAATAGGGCGTCTGGTGTAGTTGGTTATCACGTGCGCTTAGCATGCGCGAGGTCCCCGGTTCGATTCCGGTGTCGTCCATTTCTTTTTTGCACGGTTCAATTTTCATATTAATGTGACGAATAATTGCCACCTATCGTAACGATTGATCCTCCTTAATTCGCAGTATCGAGCTCAAATACTCACACACAGATGAGTCCAGCTCTATATTGCACACCTGCGGTCTCTGGTTGACGTTCTATTTTTGGCCGACAGAGCTATGACATTCGCATGTTATAGAATTAGGCCTTCGTGTCTCTAGAAATAGGGCGTCTGGTGTAGTTGGTTATCACGCGCGCTTAGCATGCGCGAGGTCCCCGGTTCGATTCCGGTGTCGTCCACTTTCTTTTTTTTATTTTACAGTGAACTTGAAAACATTCAAACATGTGAGTTTTTAAATAATTGAAGCTTTTAAGTAAACTATCCTACTTCAAAAATGCATGCTCAAGGAGTTCCCTAGCTGTAGGTCGGGCAGCGATATCTACAGTAAGCGTTTTTAGCAAAAAGTCCTCTGCGGAGGGAGACAAGTCTTTCGGTATCTCTGGACGCATGTGGTTTCCCAGCTTGAATATTGCCTGCATTTGTGAAAGCTGGGGGAAGGGGTGCGTCCCTGTATAGAGCTCAATAAGTAAACAACCGAATGACCAGATATCTGCTTTTACCGTGGCGCCTCCATGCTGCCTCACGACCTCGGGTGCCATCCAAAACGCAGACCCCTGCATGCTCTGGCGGTTAGAAAGTAGCTGCTGAGTCTCTGCCTTTTTCGAGAGCCCAAAGTCTGAGATCTTGATGACCCCACGGTTGTCCACAAGAACATTGGCACCCTTGATGTCGCGATGAACAATGTGCCGATCATGCAAGTATTGCAGACCGGCGAGGATCTGCCGGGAATATCTTCTGACAAGAGTATCCTCGAAGGGACCTGTCTGGTTAAGAATAGAGAAAAGTGAGCCACCGGGAACGTACTCAAGGAAAATATGCAAAGAGTCGCTGTTCGTCTGAAACCCAAGGTACTGAACAATGTTCTCGTGGTCGAAGTCTTTCATGAAATTTATTTCACGTTTGAGGGCCTCAACCATCTTGAGGCTTCTCTGTTTGTCGCCGCCAGAATCGTCTTTGGGAATAGGGACCTCTTTAACAGCAATCAGCTCACCAGTGGTCTTGTTCACACCCATATACACTGTTCCAAAAGATCCCGAGCCAATAAGCTTACCTCTGAACCATTCGGCCTTCATGTGGTCGCCGAGATTCAGTTCCTCGATACCTTCTTGTTCTGAAACAGGCTGGGCTGCATGGCCAGTGAGGGTGTTTTCGTCGTTTTCATCTGCAAGTTCATTATCTTCGTTCAAAGCTCCAAACGGGGCCAGCGAGGAGAATCGCTTCGAAAAAGTTGCATGTGAGTTACGATTCCCCTTAGTAGCGGTTTGGCGACGCATTGGCGTAACAGTGCCTGGTGGGGCAATACTTGTCTCTCCGCCTGTCGATGGAACCATTAGGTTGCTGAGTCGACGACTGACACGGTTGCTATTGCGAATAGTCGAAAGCCGTCGGCTCACAATGACAGAGTTTCGAATTGTCGCTTGCAGTTCTTCTCTGTCGACTCCAGGGAAGTACTTTTCCAGGTTCATGGATACTTGCTGACTTGTGGGTCGACCAACAGACACCACCGATCGGAGTGCTGCTGTAGACGTACGCTGAGCGGGCCTTCGCGGCGAGTTCATTTCTCCAATGGGGCTGTGTCGCACATAAAATGTGTAGGTTGGCGAGGGAGTCCGAGCGCGAGCCATGATGTCCTGGTCGCTCACAGGACGGTTTTCGGCGTCGGTAATAGTCCAATTGACAAGTGCAGTCTCGGCTAGGGCCGGAATAATACGACGGATGGCGCTAAGCTTGATTTCAGTAGCGTCCTTTGCGTTGGCTACCGAAATGAAGCGAGTGGTGCCGTCGGGGTATACGAACCGCAACGAGTCCTGATCATAGCGGTCACTGGAAAAGGTGTCAACGCTCGAAAAATAGCCAGTAGAACGCGGCCCCGAATCGAGCGCGGACGAACTGCTCGGGGCGCTACTAGCTGAAATGGCAGCAGCGGACGTTGCTGCAGCCTCACTAATAAACTGCAGCCGCTTGATCCCCTGGTACACCCGGAGTCGATCTCCGACTTTATCGATCAAAGCCTTCAGCTCCGCCTGACCCAATTCAAGCAAAATCTCCCCCGATATGTCGTTATTTTCAAACCCCCTTCGGTACGTCCCACACCCCAGTGACTCCAGCCAGTCTCCTACATCGTTGACGTCCCATTGCGCGGCCGGAACCGAGTCTGTGAAGACCGATCCAAACGGTGACAACGGCGCCGGCTGCGGAATCAACGGCGCTCTGTCTGCGGCCCCACTGCTGGGCTCTGAGCTTTGGGTCATTAGTGAGACAACTAACGGAGCTGGTTTCATCTTCTTTTATATAATCGGCTACAGGGTGCAGGAGGATGAAACAAGTATTATGTAGGTGAAAAGTATTGTAATTGTGCGGTAACCGGCCAATGGGTTCCTGTGGGTTCCTGTGGTTATTTAGTTTACGTTTCGCAAGCCGGTCGGTTGTGTCATCATGGACTCGGTTATCATCGTAGTGTCGGACACTTGCGCGTCGGATCCCTCCAAGGACGCCACGGGCCCGGCTTTGCAGAACGTTTTACAGACAAATAACAACATTGTGTATGTCGCTGACGACAAGAAGGCGATCCAGTCTGCGGTGCGTCACAATGCTGCGAAGTACGCCCTGGTCGTCACCGCGGGCGGCACAGGCTTTTCTCCTCGCGATACTACTCCTGAGGCCGTCTACGAGCTGATTGACCGGCCTGCTCCTGGAATTGTTACCGCAATGCTGGTCGAAAGTCTCAAGATCACTCCATTGGCTGCTTTGGCTCGCCCTGTGGCGGGTACGATCGGGCACAGTTTGGTAATTACTGTCCCGGGGTCTCCAAAGGGTGCAGTCGAGAATATCCAGGCGGTGCTTCCTGTTTTGACCCACGCAATCAAGTTGGTTTCTGGCGAAAGCTCCCGCGATCTGCACTCATCGGCGAAGTCGTCGGCAGACCCCGCTACTGCCCAACAGACAGTTGTTGCCGCGATAAGCACTCCTACAAAGCTATGTCCACACCATGGTCACGGAAAGGGTCTCAAATTTTATGGATCAGCTCAAAGACCAAGAGAGAGCCCGTTTCCGATGATCTCGTTCGAAGACGCATACAAGATCGTCATGGATGCAGCGGCCGAACCAACCCTGCGGACTGACGTGGCTCTCTTTAATGCTGTTGGTAGAGTCATTGCTGATGATATTCATGCCCGCGTTGATGTCCCTCAATTCAGGGCAAGTATTGTTGACGGGTATGCGGTCCTCCACAGTGACTGTCCGGGGATCCTACCACTTGCCGAGGTGGTAACAGCCTCCAAAGACACTATCAAGCTGAAACCAGGGACCTGCGTACGAATTACCACGGGAGCACCTGTTCCTCACGGTGCTACTGCGGTAATTCCGGTTGAAAATACGACCGTAGCCGAGGAAAAGGACGGTAAAGAGGTTGCGATCAAAATCCATGCTTCTGGTGTGGGGGCCGGGGACAACATTCGAGAAATAGGCTCAGACATTGCTAAAGGATCCTGTGTCTTGGCGAAAGGAACCCCGATCTCCTCACTCGGTGGCGAAGTTGGTCTATTGGCGTCCATTGGTATCCCTGCCGTCAGAGTGTTTGAGCAGCCGGTTGTCGGCGTCCTTTCCACCGGCGATGAGCTAGTTTCGGTTGATTCGCAGGTTTGTGGCTCGCAAGTTCGAGATTCAAATCGCCCCATGCTGCTTGCTGCCTTGAACGCTGCCGGTATTGATCCCGTCGATCTCGGTATCGCTCCCGATAAAGAAGCAGATCTCCTGCGCTCGCTGAGATACGCTCTCTCCAAGGTCAATGTTCTTATTACTACTGGAGGTGTATCGATGGGTGAATTAGATCTACTCAAACCAGCGATTGAAGAACTCGGTGGCCAGATCCACTTTGGCCGCGTCAATATGAAGCCTGGAAAACCAATTACTTTTGCCACCATTGGAGAAACTTTGGTGTTTGCCCTACCCGGAAATCCGGCCTCTGCAAGTGTCTGCTACAGTTTGTTTGTGCAACCATGCATTGACAAGCTCCGCGGGCACGCATACGAGCACCGCCATTTCAGTGTTGCCATCAGTCGTGATGTCAAGCTTGACACTCGTCCAGAGTTCCAGCGCGTGCATATCAAGTTTTCACCGGATGGACCGAGGACAGAATCCACAGGATTCCAGCGGAGCAGCGCTATTTCTTCTATGGTTGGTGCCAATGCTCTATTGTGTTTGCCGGCTCGAACTGACGATGTACAAGAACTCAAAGCTGGGTCGCATGTTCCCGCTATTTTACTAAATTCACTCTAAGTACGGTGTCCCATGGCCCAGCAATGGTGTATGTTCCGTAGGACTAGGTGGGTTTGCAGGGTCCGGATGGGGTCTGGGCTCTGTTTCAGTTCGCCCAACCGAGTAGTGATCAGGAAAGAGTTCAGACGATCCTGGCGTAGGCGCGGATTGAGGACCGTTTCGTCGCTTTCTTCTGCGGCGATCTCGCCGCCTCCGTGGCTTTGAATCCAACACCACGCGAGCCTTTGAGTGTATTGTTGCGACTGAAGAACGGCGCCTTGCCATGGCTATTGAGAGCTTTCGTTGGTGCTCGTGGGGTCTTGCCGAGATCAACACGCCCACGATTGAAAGCAGCGCGCCAAAAGCGAACTCAATCTTAGCAACTGAGGTCGAGATTGAGAACTCGTGAAATAGCACATTGGAACCGATTGTGACTAGAGCCGTAAACATGATGAAGTGATGCGGGACTACCTGGTGCATCGCAAAATGTTGTAGAGTCTCAATTAATATCGAAAACTGGAGAATCGTAGTCCCGAGAAAGATCACCAAGCACATGGGGGCACTGATCTCCTTATGATGTCCAACGATGGATAAGCTCATGCCCTTGATGGCCAGCACTGAAAAAGACCCCATCAAAGCGCACATTCCGACATTGGGAAAGAACTGCTTAGCAGGGTCGTTTTTTGCCAGCAGACGCGCAAATGCGAGCCCTATACAAGCGACCAGATTGATCACGATGTAGGGCGTGACAATGGGTCCAAATTGCGGGCCATCAGGTGGAACTGAAAGACTCGGGGCAGCGATAATTAAGAGGAGAATTCCCGGCATCGCAATCACTGTCCCGGTTACCGTTTCTATGTGGGGTGTTTTGTCAAAAAGAATTGGCAGAATGACACAGTTTGATATCACTGAGAACACGCCGAGCGGGCTGACTACCGAGGCCGGTGCCAGCCCGTACGCGGCAAAGTTGGTTATTTCGCCAAAGCTTTTGTTAGTATTGAACGTTCGTAGTTGATGCAAACTTACACTAGCAAAACCAGGCCAAGCCACCATAGCCGATCGTGAAATTTGACTTGTGGAGGTCCATGAATAGCAAATGTCACCAATCGTTTTTTAGCATGTCTATGGATATTAATGGCGATGTTAACGAAGATATTTCCTAGAATTGCGCTTAGGATTCCCGCCTCGCCATAATTTTGCATGGATCAAAATGGAAACCCCAGCATTAATCTGTGAAATACACAGGGCGCTGGGCTAGATATACGTTTTAATTATTGGTCCCATCCAGGAATTTAGTTAATACAAATTCCTATTAACAAAAAGATTTGCAAAAAAGTATTCGAGGTGTTGATCCTCGTATTTACTCCTCTCCAGGGGGTCGAACCCTGAACCTTGGGATTAAAAGTCCCACGCTCTGCCAATTGAGCTAAAGAGGACGCTTCTTGACGGCTTTACTCAGCTGCGGATAAGTACCGTAAACTAAGCTTCTCAATCAGGCTTAGGGTGCCTATCTCTTAGAGGTTATCTTGTTTCGGCGTATACCGGTTCCCCACAGCGGATAACAGCGGATATAAATCGTGATCCTAACCCCCCAAAGTTACCAAAATGTGTGTTGATACTAACCGTTTGCTTGATGTTATCGAGAAGGATATCGTCCCTCTAACTGAAGTGGGCGTCCGTAAGGGTAACAAACTGTTTGGCGCCGCGATTCTTCGCAAGGACGACCTCAGTGTGGTTGTAGCAGAGACTAACAACGAGGTGCACAATCCTTTGTGGCATGGCGAGATCCACTGCATCAAGAAGTTCTTTGAAATCCCCGAAGACAAGCGTCCCGCGGCCAAGGATTGTGTTTTCCTAGCCACCCACGAGCCCTGCTCGCTCTGTCTGTCTGGAATCACTTGGTCGGGTTTCGACAACTTCTACTACCTGTTCTCGTACGAGGATAGCCGCGACAGTTTCAAGGTTCCTTACGACATTGATATCCTCCAGAGTGTGTACTGTGTTCCTGATCCTGGCCAAGAAGTCTCTCCCGAGCGTCCACTGTACAATCGCAAGAACAAGTTCTTCACTTCGCACTTCATCAAGGATATGGTGAAAGGCGACAAAAAGATGGAGGAGCGGATCAATCACCTAGCCACAGTTTACGACGGGCTTTCCGAGACCTATCAAAGTGGAAAAGGCGGTGCCGCGAACGTTGCATTCAAATAAACGATGCCGAGGTCAGTTTTTTTAACATATTGCCCTTGCCCAATCTGCGCACGTAAACCGCTGCGAGAAGGGTGTGCAGGAGCTGCGCTTTTGACTGAAATGTAGTGCCTGTTCGGGACCTGGTTTACCAGTTAATTTATTTATAAATTTATATAGTTAGTTCCCCTGACCATGTACCAGCTTTCGCGGCCAAAGTCGCGCTGATCTGAACGCTTCTTGGCTCAACTGTCGTGTGATGCTCGCCTTGCGCTGCTCATGCGCATGCAGCTGCGTGGTGTTTCGTTCTGGGACGGAGAGCCAAGTATAAATAGACAGCTGATGTGTGTAGTCTGTATAAATGTCAGAAATTAAAAAACAAGCATACTTTGTTGGCGGCGGCCTCGCTAGTTTGGCTGGCGCCGTCTATTTGGTCGAAGACGCTAACTTCGCTGGTGAGGACATCCATATCATTGAGCACCTCCCAGTGCTCGGTGGCAGCAATGACGGAGCTGGATCTGCGGACAAAGGTTTCATTTGTCGTGGTGGTCGAATGCTAAACGAAGAGACATATGAGAACTTTTGGGATCTTACCAGCCGTATTCCATCTCTCGACGTGCCGAATATTTCGGTCAAAGACGAGATTTTGGCATTCGATCGTGCCAATCCAACTCATTCTAATGCCAGGCTAATTGATGGCAAAGGCCAGAAGCTTCCTGTGACTGATATGCAGTTCAACACCGCCGATCGCATGAAGCTCACCAAGCTATACTTCACAAACGAGGATACACTGGATAATGTGACCATCCGTGACTACTTCAGCGACCACTTTTTCACCACAAACTTTTGGTACATGTGGCAGACAACATTCGCTTGGCAAGAGTGGTCCAGCCTGTACGAGTTCCGCCGCTATATGCGACGAATGATGTTGGAGTTCTCACGAATTGAAACGTTAGAGGGCGTGACAAGAACACCATTCAACCAGTACGAGTCAATTATTGTCCCATTGAAAGAATATCTCACCAAGAAGGGTGTTGATTTCACTTTGCGCAAGACCGTGACTGATCTCGATTTTAAGGATGGCAACGGCATCACCGTCAAAGCGATCATCTGCGGCGAGGAAACAATTCCGGTTCGAGAGAATGATCTCGTGTTTTTCACCAATGGCGCAATCACTGATAATTCAGATAATGGTGACTACCACACCCCGGCAAAATATCTCCCCAATGATCCACCAAGTTTCGCATTGTGGCGGAAAATTGCCGACAAGAAGCCTGGCAAGCTTGGAAACCCCGACCCATTCTATAAGAAACCCGACGAGAGCAAATGGCTCTCATTCACCCCAACGTTCACCGGAAACTTCCTCTTGAAGCTCATCGAAGAGTACTCGGGTAATCGCCCTGGAAGCGGAGCACTCATGACCTTCAGAGATTCGTCTTGGAGAATGTCTATCGTGGTTGCTGCTCAACCGCATTTCAGGAATCAGGACAAAGACACGACAATTTTGTGGGGATACGGACTTTACCCCGACAATGTTGGGGACTACGTCAAGAGGCCAATGATGGAATGCACGGGTGAAGAGATTCTCACAGAATTGATCTACCATCTACATTTTGAGGAACACGAAGCTAAAATCAAGGAAAGTGTTGTGAATGTTATTCCATGCATCATGCCCTTCGTCGATGCACTTTTCCAGCCCCGTGCCAAGACGGACCGTCCGCTTGTCGTCCCCGATGGCTCTACAAACTTGGCTCTGATCAGCCAGTTCGTCGAGATTCCAGATGACATGGTTTTTACTGAGGAGTACTCTGTGAGAGCTGCTCGTATGGCTGTTTACACTCTTTTGAATACCGACAAACAGGTCGCACCCGTGACCCCATACTGGAGACAAGGCGAGGTACTCCTCAAAGCTATTTACACGTCTTATCGTACCTAGCACATATCTAGCTTGTAATATATTAGTTTTGGGAGCGGAGCTCTTTGAACAGCTTAACGAATACGTTTCGCGCAGCCAACAAATTTGTGATGCGGAGTCTTTCATTGGTCAAGTGGGCTCGATCCGAGCTTTGGCCACATGGAAGTTGAGCAGCCGGAGCATCGAAAAGCTTCTCTAAAGCCCTGGCCATTGGAATTGACCCGCCTTCTCGAACGAATAAAGGTCCAACTCCATCCCACTCTTCTGTCAATGCTTCTGTCATGATACGATAGGGCGAGGAGTGGTAGTCGCCTAGCCATGGGTCAGCGTCGTAATGATACTCGATTTCCATCCTATTTGGTGTTTTGAAAGTGGAAAAAACACTGCTCAGGTGATCATTCAAAAGCTTTTTAATCTCGGCCGAAGATTGGTTGGGCACGATGCGGATGGAAACATAGGCTGTCACTCGCGAGGAAATCACAGTGGGGTTTGGTGCGCTAACGTTCATTTTGTGGATCGTCAAAGAGGGACGGAACCATTTATGTGTGAGATCAGAGCGGTTGAGTTCAAAGCCTTCGGTGGCTACCGTTTCATCCAGCAGTTCACTTTCCTCGGGAGACATGTCGAGGACAGACTGAGAAAAGTTTGGAATGGCAATTTCACCTGTAGGCTCTGTTAGTCTCGCCAATAGCTGAACCATATCATGACCGGGTTCACGAGCCGCACCTCCATCTATACCTGAATGCACGTCAGCTTTGTCGGATGTGATTGTAATTTTAGCGTAAACGATACCTCGGAGTCCGTAGTTTAAACAAGGCCGCGAATCGGTCAACCAATACGAATTGGAAAATATTACCCAATCGACGTCTCCGACTTCTTCGCGGTGTTTTGTTACCGCATCCAAGAAGCCGTGTGAACCACTTTCTTCTTCACCTTCTATTAAAAATACCATATCGTTGGGTAAGCTCTGGCGCGAATACAGTTCGGCAGCAGCATAGATCGCCGCTAGACAGGGTCCTTTATTATCAGATACACCACGGCCATATATGTACCCATCAATACTGGTAAGTTCAAAAGGTGGAGTTTTCCAGTTACCACCACTGGCCTCGATCACGTCATAGTGCCCGTAAAACACGATTTTTCCGGGGTTAATTCCAGGTGCGTTTGCCTTGAAGCGGGCATATACGATAGGATTACCCTTTTCAACCCGCCAAAGGTCTGATTCTGCGCCCAATGACCTCATATGATCTCGAAGCGCCGACGCACAGCGTCGACATTCTGACCAGAACTGGCCATCACGGGACGACACTGTTTGGTAGCGAACTAACCGTGATAGTGTTGATATCATATCATCGTTGGTAAGACCCTGCGCAGCCTCTTTTGGAAAGCCAGTTGGTGCTGGTGAAGGGGTTGAACGTACTAGTGAATATAGTGAAATCTGGCCCTCCGCTGTCGAAGTAATCAGGTGATTGGGCTTGTATTCAGAGATCGAGCAGGATGTTATAATACCAGGTGCTTTCCAACTAACCGTGGTTGATGTTGAGGGTAAATGGTAGAAGATAGTATCATCTGCCATTGCGTAAACTGCATCACCAACCCCGACTAAGGCGATGAATGGTGATTCCGCAGAGAGACGATAACTAAGGGCTTGCCAAGTCTCTAAATCAATGAGCATGACTCTGCCTGATTCCAGGCCGCAATAAAGCTGCCAGTCAGCGACAATGTCCATGCTGAAAACGCCATCTGGGCAAACGACCTTTCGAAGCTCAGTAAGAACCCCTAAAGCGCCAACCGTCCAGGCCTTGACAGTACCGTCAGCACTTCCACTGACAATCAAAGGTTCATTGGCGGAAATTTGGGTAGTTTTCATGCAATATACAAAGCCATTGTGTGCAAAGTTGATGCAGTTTTTCAGGGGCACTTCGAGAAGTGTTTCGTCCGATTTGAAGTCCTCATCGATCTGCAGCTGCTTCGTCTGAGTTTGAGGCGGCGCAAGCTTCCCACCTGGCCCGGCCGAGTCAAAAAAGCGTGACGGCCGCACAGCAGGATGGTTTGCAGCAGCTGCTGTTGAAGTCTCTGAGCTGTTCGCCGTTTCCGGGAGCGTCACCCACTGGATCGAGGCATTCTGGGTACCGAAATAAACCGTCCGTAGTGGTTCCACATAAGCTATGCAAAAAATATCTCCAATATCCTCCAAGCAATAGATTGTGTGCAATAGCACCGGCAGCTCGTCAGCCGCCAAGCTCCAAACCTTGAGCAGCGAATCTGACGAACCACTGAAAAGCATGTTTTTATGCACCACAAGAGTAATCATACTGCCAGTGTGCACATCAAACTCGTGCAGCTGCTGGTAAGTGTCTAGATCAAACACAACCAATGACCCATTTGCAGTGCCCACGTATAGCCATTTGTTCCAGGCCACAGCTGCAGTCGCTCCTTGTGCTATTCTCCACATATGCACAGAACTAGGAGCAGGCGGCGGCTCAAGTGCCGGCGGACAGGACTCCCGCTGCGACGGGCCAGTGCACACCTCTGCGATGTCCATTGTCAGCAAAACGGGAAGGTGCAGAGGGGGAAGGCAGTAACTGGGAAGTATATGCAAGAAAATTTAGGGTGTTTAAAATAAATATGGTGTAGCTGTTGGCATTGTAGTTGTCCACGAAAGACAGCGGCCGTACCAGGCTCGCGTGACGCAGCTTTCAATAGGCTCGGCTGTGGTGACAGTATGTGTGGGCGTGGAAGATGTTGCAAGCGTGGTGGTGGATGCTGTAGTGGTGGTAGTACTGCTCTCGACGGGAGGCGCTAAAGGATCAATGAACTCCCACCCGTCGCACTCACTGCATGGTTCTGGAACCACGCACTCGGCAGGTTGATCGTAGACGTTGATAATGTCGTCGATAACAACATGGATGCGGTGGTTTGCAACAGAGGGCCTCCAACCCAACTCTTTAACCACATCGTAGCTGCATACAAGGCCGGAATGGCACTGGCTTTCCATCGCGAATCCAGAGATCCAGCACGTGGAGCTGGGGCCGGTGCAGTCACCTGTAAAGATGGGGTCTGCTGTGTGACCGAACTGCCAAATATAATCATCCCAAATAGGAACACCTGGCGACACAGGCAGGTGGAGCCGTTCAACAGCCAGCTTATCACCCGGCGCCTGGAAGGTTACCGCTGGGACGCCGTAGGTACGTCCTATAAGTGATGAAAGTACGCCTCCAAGTGAATGACCTGTAACCCACAAATCTGCAGTCGGGTACAATGCAGTTACATTTGCGAAAATCTCAAGCGCTGCTCTATAATAGCGGTCCTGACGCCAAAACTCTGCTTCGACACAGGCCTCATCGCAGCGGTTACCATCGCCCATATAGCAGTCGCAGACTGTATTCCATAAGTAGGATATACGAGCACAGCAACATGAAAAAAACAGATTGTCGTTGATCTTGTCGTTGGGAGCAGTTGGACCGCCATCGTCTAACACTGCAGCCGACGTGCCCTTGAAAGACAAGACTACGAGCTTTTTGTCTGGAGATGTGAAAACATAACCACGTATTCCGTCACTCATCCATCCAAAGCCCTCATGATCCCATCCTTTGGAAACATTCGTCCAATCGCCGTGGTGGGGTATAGCGACGTAAGCATTTGCCGCCATCTCGGCTAGAGACAGAACAGTGCGTTTATCAGAAACATTTGGCGAAGACACCTCATGCGATTGCAGCTGTAGCTCATGTTGGTTTACCAACCCGGGTCGAATCCCCAATGCCTGGGCCAATGCGACTTGAGAACGATCCTCGACAGGAAGGCGTAGCCGGCTAGCCCAATCGCTCTCAATCTCCTCAACAGTGCGCCGCTTGTACTTCAAAATAGACTTCGTGGTGACCGAGACCCCCATATTGCTGGTCTGCACGTGCAATCCGCTTGCCTCCATCCGCCCATGAAAGCCTGTTCCGTCCGTGTTGTGATGGAAGATGTAGTCTAGCTCAAACCCTGGAACATCATACGGCGTTTTGGATTCATCCGGAAACCAAATTCGGTTCAAATCATCACCCCAGAACTCATAAAACGCCACAATGAGTGCGATGGCGACGATTGTCTTCAACATGACTAAGGCAAACTCGGTTTGGGTGTAAATAGAGATACGAGATAAGGCGCGTTTCGATATTTTCTTTGCAACGGCACAATTCCAGTGGCGAATTGATAATTGGAAGTCAATCCCATCGATGGTGCGAAAATCGGTCAACAAGTGAGCTCTACCTGTTCAAAAAAAAAAGCGTGCCGTGACCAAGAATCGAACTTGGGTCTCAACGGTGCTGATCCACAACGTTGCGTACTGACCACTATACTATCACGGCTAATGATAAAAATTTGTGGGCCTGGCATGACTTATGCACTAGTCTAAAACAGTTCGCATTTTTGTGTGCTACGAACATCGTATGCCTTTCTGAAAACTGAGACCATTTTCCCAGTGTAATGACCAAAAAATAGGACGTGATTTCAATTAACAATCACAAAAAAAGCTCGGCAACGGGGAATTGAACCCCGGTCTCCCGCGTGCAGTTTGACAGGCGGAAATTCTAGCCACTAAACTATTGCCGATTTTGTTGACAACGAAGATGTCGTAGGGTATATACCCCTAATTCACGATGAGATTTTTTGAACTTGGACCGGCTCATTGTCAACGCCCATATTATCTGACGTTAGAGGTGTTTTGAACGCACCGAGCTATAATGTGCCTATGTCCCAGCTCCCAGCTGTCTTCCCGACCGAGGATCACACCATAGATCGGGCTCTATCTCTCAAAAAAAGGCGCACTATTTTGCCTTTTCAAACTTGCATCAGGTTTTTCTCGGGCCAAAAAGCTTGTTATGTAGAGAAATGTCGTACGATAACCCAAGACCACAGGAATACCTCAGTATTTCAAGGATCATCAAATAACGCATTGCAGTGTGGAGCACCCCACAGATCGGGCCCTATCTCCGAAAAAAAAACCCACCATTTGGCCATTTCAAACTTGCACCAGGGGCTTCTCGGGCCAAAATGCTCGTTACCTTGAGAACTGTCGTGCGGTTACCCAAAGTCGACAGGAATACCCAGTATTTCATGGATCATCAAATAGCGCATTGCAGTGTGGAGCAGTAATCTTGTTTGCATGATTTAGAACTGCGCGGGGCAAGCGCTGTCCAATCGGACCCTGCAGAAAAGTATTATTCGAGACGCCTTGCTTGTGCATATTCTCATCGGCGGCCCTTCCTTTGCTCGATAGGAGGTATATCATATTTTTCCAGTGTGGTATGCGAGAATAATTAATTTAAATTCTCACTGACATCCAGCTTCTGTCTGCATTTGAGTGTAAAAGACTACGCAAATATTCCCAGATCCAGACCGTCGATCAATTTAGGCTGACGCACTGCATCTATTCCAGCACCGAGGATCCAGCCGGATCACGGTGGAGGTGGCCAACCCGAACGATACCGCTGTTCTAGCCTGGAAACCATGGCTTCGAGGGCTCTGTACCATGATCCGAGCTCGGGCGTTCTTGTTAAAATGTGCGTTAGGGGGGGGCGATCCCAAGACAGCCCCTCCACAGTTCTCTAAGAGAGCATAACGACCCAAACTGCAGGCTCAAACCAACTTACCCCCTCAAAAACCCACTGGTTTTGGCTTGAAAAGTATCGCTGGTGCTAAAATCGACTTCTGTTGGGGGCGGATCGAGGACATGCGCATCACCTGTTAAGTGTGGTCGTTGGTGCCGTGCTATTGGGCATCAACAAGCCCAGAAAAACTTCTTCTACAGCGGTGAACATCCCATACAGTTCGCTCCATTTATTCTCTGGTGTAAACAGAGTACGGGATCAAACTCCAGCTCGCGAGGGTCGAAAAATGGGTACGGGGCTGGTCTGATTTCGACATGATTCATGCACACCACTGCATGTCCCTATCGTGGGAATGCTGATAATGTAGGGTTGGGTTACGATATCACAATATTGGTAAGATAGCAGACGGGGTCGCGTACATTAATGACACTTCACTGAATGAATCAAATGTTTCTGAGAAAAACCCATTGGATCAGAACTCAGAGATGAAAAGTGACTACTTATTTACTCTATTAGGTTATTCATAAACTTATCTTTGTACTTTATCGCTATCGTACCCTAACATCGGCGAGTTCGGTCGCCGGAATAATTAGGCAGGCGTGTGGCTTCGGGCGGGCGTGATAGCCTACTGCGCTTTGTTCAACCAGTAAACGCTGGGAAATTTTTCAAGATAACTAGATTTCATGAGATGTAAATAATAAATAAGTGTCAAGGGTATCTTTATCGTGACTATAGAAACCACTGACCTCGAGTAAGTCCGCTATCGCATACCCGTATCAGTTGCTATCTTGCGTTGCATGCCCCCCAGCCTGCATTAGGGTATGAACCCTGGAAAAGAACATATACCCTAACCTGGTATAACTTGAAACTTTCTCCTATTTAGCTGGCCTGATCCGACCCCCACAAGGGAACTTGAGATCAAGTTTGATACAGTTCTGCTAGTAGTAGAGCCACAAACCAAAGATCCGAAAACACTCAAACAATTAGGTCTCGTTCTTTGAACCATGTCCGACGATTATAAAAAAGACGAGACTCAGGTCACTGGCGTCGAGAGCGGCGAAGGCAGCTTGGATGACCACGAACCTCCCCAGTCCCGCGGCCTCTGGAGAGATATTATCGATGGCTTCAAACCCGCTCAAATGGAAAAGATCGATACCACCGGCATGACCGAGGAAGAAGTGCAAGCGATCATGATGTCGCGCCAGCCTCTCAAAAGAAAACTTAAGAACCGCCACATTCAGATGATTGCTATTGGTGGTTCTATCGGATCTGGTCTGTTCATTGGTTCCGGTGGCTCTTTCAAAACAGGTGGCCCAGCCGCCGTTATTATCGGCTTCGCCATCATCGGTTTCATGTTGTTTGGTACTATGAATGCCCTTGGTGAGCTTGCTGTCCGATTCCCTATTTCTGGTTCATTCTCCATCTACTCCGTGCGCTTCCTTGATCCCTCCTGGGGCTTTGCCATGGGTTGGAACTACGCTCTTCAGTGGCTAGTTGTCTACCCTCTGGAACTCATTGCAGCCGCTGTTGTTATTAATTACTGGAATTATGATGACAACGGAGCAACAAATGTAAATAAAGCTGCGTGGGTCTCGCTTTTTTATTTCATTATTAGTATGGTCAACGTTTTCGGCGTGCGTGGCTATGGTGAGACAGAGTTTATCTTGTCTATTATCAAGGTCATTGCTGTTGTAGGGTTCTGCATCTTCGGTATCGTCATTGCTGCTGGTGGTGGACCCAACCATCACTATATTGGTGCTCACTACTGGTATGATCCCGGTGCGTTCGCAAATGGCTTCAAGGGTGTAGCTGCGGTGTTTGTAAACGCTGCATTCGCTTTCTCTGGAACCGAGCTCTCTGGTTTGGCCGCTGCTGAGACCGCGAACCCCCAAAAGGCTCTGCCGCGTGCAGTCAAACAGGTGTTCTGGCGTATCCTCTTGTTCTACATTGTTTCCTTGACCATCGTTTCTATGCTTGTGCCATATACTGACCCTAACCTCGGAACCGCGGCCGATGGTAGCTCCTCTCCTTTCGTCATTGCCATTAAGAATGCTGGCGTGAGTGGACTGCCCTCTGTGTTCAACACTGTTATTATCCTGGCCGTTTTGTCTGTCGCAAACTCTTCTGTGTTTGGCTGTTCACGTACTCTAACAGCTTTGGCACAGGTTGGTATGGCCCCCAAAATTTTCAAATACATTGACCGTGAAGGTCGTCCCATGGTTTCTATTATGGCCACAATTATTTTCGGTCTACTGTGCTTCTTGTCTGCCTATAAAGACTATGGTACTGTGTTTGATTGGCTACTTGCATTCTCAGGTCTTTCCTCCATTTTCACTTGGGGTTCTATTTGTCTTTGCCACATTCGCTTCCGCGTTGCCATGCACAAACAGGGCCGCTCGCTCGATGAGCTTGCTTTCAAAGCACAAGCAGGTGTTTACGCTTCGTGGGTTGGTTTCGGAATTAACGTGGCCGTTCTCGGGTTGCAGTTCTGGGTTGCCCTTTGGCCTCCTGGAGGTTCTCCCGACGCGTCAGTATTTTTCCAGGCTTACCTTTCCGCACCTGTCGTAATTGCGTTCTATGTCGGGCACAAGCTTTGGACTCGTAACTGGAAGTTCTACGTTCGCTCCAAGGACATGGATTTGGACTCGGGAAGGCGAGAGGTTGACATCGCCACCTTGGAACGGGAGAATGTTGAGGAGAGAGCCTATATCCAGTCCCGTTCCATCTTTTATCGTATTTATCGTTTCTGGTGCTAACCTTTTAATCTTGTACTAGAAATGAATTGATTTTCAAATGATTATTGAATTATTCTATAGCCGAAGTACCAAAGGTCATTGTCGTTGATCACAGTTAAGCGAGCATGAGAAGAACCACAATGCATCCAAAGAAGCTAATGTTAGGTTGATAAGTAGTTCCAGCATTAGCAAGAGGTACAGAGGTTTGTGCAGGTATAGAGCTTACAGCCGGCCCCACTGGAATAGGCATAGAGTCTCCTCCACCACTCCCAGAGTCGCCAGAACCGGGACCGGATTCATCGGGAATACCGTTGCCAGCCCCATTAGGTGATCCCATACCACCTTCATTATTGCCTGAGCCCATATTTCCGTTTCCACTTTCACCTCCAGAGTTTCCGTTGTACGCGGGTCCGTTATCCCCTGGTGCAGGGTTTGATCCTGTCCCAGAGTCTGATCCTGCTCCATTGCTGTTTCCATTTCCGGTATTGCCACTTCCGGAACCGCCACTATTGCCAGTGCCAGCATCGCTTCCAGATCCACCACCGCTCGAACCAGTGTCACCGGAGCCAGGGCCACCTGTATTATCACCTGCACCAGTATCGCTTCCAGATCCACCGCTCGAACCAGTGTCACCGGAGCCAGGGCCACCTGTATTATCACCTGCACCAGTATCGCTTCCAGATCCACCGCTCGAACCAGTGTCACCGGAGCCAGGGCCACCTGTATTATCACCTGCACCAGTATCACTTCCATTGTTGCCTGGGCTGTTGGAGCCTGGGTTCTCATTAGAACCATTGCTACCTCCACTGCCTCCTGGGTTGGAGTCAGTACCAGTTTGCGAAGGGCCAATATTGAAGCCAGACGAGCTGGGTGGTGTTGAAACTGGACTTAATGTACCAGATCTTGTTATCCAATATGTCTGTGTTGTGGTACTGGTCATTTGGTCACTTCCCAGCGGCTGTGAGTCGGTATCCGTAGGGGAGTTTGAGTTGGGCCTACCGGGGCTGGAGTTTCTGGTCCCGTGATGGTCTCAGTTCCAGTTATTGTGATTGTTGTAGGGCCAGGTGTGATAGTTACAGACATGGTAGTGAGGCCTGTGTGGGTCAGATAGCAAGTCTCGGTCTCGCAAGTGACTGTAGACGTTGATGTGTAAGTAAAAGTATCAGGAGGGGGACATACTGTTGTAGTGTGTGTGCTCGTTATTGTAGTCGTGGGGTATACTGTACTTTCGTATACCGTGGTCAGGGTAGCTGTACTTGAGCATATGCCAGTAGAGCAGGTGTAAGGAACCTCAGTAGTCAAAGTCTCTGTTCTAGTGGATAGTTTCGGTGACTCTGTGACGACAGAAAGGAGAGTGGATACAATTGTGGTCGGTTGTAGCTCCGTCACATCGTGGGTCAAAACAGATGTAGATAGCAGTGTAACTGTGCAAGAACTATCCGTGCACGGAGCAACAGAAGTCACAGTAGCTGTCGAAACAGAGACACTAGGCTCTGGAGTGGTTGTGATATACTGAGTTGTTGGTACCTCTTGCGTCAATGTGGTTGGAACAAAAAGCGTTTGAGTGAGCACAGTTGTAACTTTGGAGGTGAATGTTTCAACAGCCGTCGATTGGGGTACTGTTAGTACAGTTTGTTCTGTAACCACTGACGTTTCGGTTATAGTGGACCCTGGAATTGTTATCGTCGAGAGATAGGTTACCGGAGGCATCGTAAGGACGGTCTGTGACGCGGAGCAAACTGTTGTAGTGAGAACCTCAGAATCAGTATATGTCACCGTTGTGGTCACTGGTGGAATTGTTGAAAATTCTGTTGTGAATTCAGTCGTGTCCATTGTATACGTTTGAGTCAGAGTGGTGGGTTGTGGTGTGAACACGGTGGTCGTCTCAGAGACAACAACCGTAACATCAGTTTCAGTTGTCACAGGAGGCAAAGTTACCACAGTGGTGAATGTTGACTCCTCAACCCTTGTTGACACAACCGTAGACGGTGGTTGAGTTATGATGGTGGTTATCGTACCTGGTGTCTGAGTGACGGTGACGATGGAGGTGCACGAGGGCACAACAATCTCTGTTGTCAGTGTCGTGGGAGGTAATGTCACTTCCGTAGTCACTGTTGTAGGTGGTGAAGTAAATTCCGAAACTGTCGTCACTTGTTCAGTCTGAGTCACAGTCATTACAGTAGTTTCCGTCACATCAAGCTCAGATGTGATAGTCACTGGCTGGGTTGTAACAACTGTTTCAGTCGTAAGCACATTACTAGTCAGCGTGATAGTCTCAGAATCCGTGACGTATTCTGTTGTTTCAAATGTACTAATTGTCGTCACTGGCGGCATTTGTGTAGTGACTGTCACAGTCTGAGTGCCAGGTGTCAGAGTAGTCACATCTGTACATACCGGTTGAGTTTCAGTAACAGTAGTGACTAATTCAGTAACAGATGTCTCAGTAGTGATAATTTCAGGGGGCATGGTCAATATCTCAGTAGTGTACAGTGTTGATACAGTTTCTTGCACTTCGGTGTTTGTCAAGGTAGTGAAGACTGTTGTCTCATAACTTGATACAATCGTGGAAGTAACATCATCAGTGACAGTAATTGTCTGTGTTTGAGGTGTCAATGTTGTCAAGTAGGTAAGGGTGGTTGTTGGCTGAGTTTCAACTACAGTCGACACCGTAGTTTCAGTGATCACCTGTTCAGTCGTGTAGGTGCTCGGAGGCACAGTCAGAGTTTCCCATTGAGTTACAATTTCCGATGTCACACTAGTTTGATCGGTTGGTGTTAATGTAAGAGTGGTTTCGTAGCTTGAAGTGACGGTAACTTCGGACTGTATAGTCTGGGTTAACGTCACCGTTCCAGCTGGCAAGGTTGTCTCATATGTTACGGTAGATGCAGGCTGGTTCTCACATAATGTACTCAAAGATGTCTCAGTGACTATAATCTCTGTTGTAAAAGTACTAGGAGGCAATGTTGAAACCACAGTCGAGGTTACAGTGCTCACCACCTCAGAAGTAACTGGAGGCTGTGTAACCTCAATACTCGTCATATATGTTGACATTTCAGTTACAGTTGATTCTGTGGTAACATATACTGTTTGGGTTCCTGGAGTCAAGGTAGTAAGCTCGGTGTATGTGGTGCCAGGAAGAGTCAGAGTTGTGACGTCAGTCGTCCCGGGTTGTGTGATAGTTTGGGTCTGTGTCGTCTCAGACTCGATAGTTGAAGTGACTGTTTGAGTGCTTGGTCCAATAGTATACACTGAAGTAAATACTGTGGTACTCTCGACAGTTGTTACCTGGGTAACAGTTTCCGCTGGTTGGGTTATCACATCTGTCTCAGTTACAGGAGGCATTGTGGTAACAACCGTGGTAACTTGTGGTGGTAGAGTCACGGTTGAAGGTACAACCAAAGTCGTTTGTGATAAGACAGTTAAGGTTGAAACAGGCGGGGTTGATACCACCGTGCTAATAACAGTCGTTGGGGGCAAAGTCGAAATCATGGTGAGGGTACTTGCCTCTTGTGTCAACGTTACTGTTCCAGGAGGTTGTGTGTATGTAGAAACAGTAGATTCCGTCAGTTCTGTCGTCACTGTTATTGTCTGCGGTGGTAACGTTACCACAGATGTGGTTCCAGGAACTACGCTAGTAATAATGGTCGTTCCAGGCGTCATTGTAACAGTTGAGGCTTCCAAAAATGTTGTTATCAAACTAGTATGATCATAAGTAACCGTTTCAACTGAAGTCACTGTTTCAGCTGGTGGTACCGAAGTGGCAGTGTCCGGTGTCGACGTATCGGGCATCGAAGTATCAGGCATCGAGGTATCAGGCATTGAGGTGTCAGGCATTGAGGTATCCGGAACACTGTCAGTTGGAGTTTCCGTGTCTGGTGTATCTGTCTGAGGCATAGAAGGAGTTGGCGTAGGAGCCGGGCATGGGTTGCAACCGGTGATTTTCGGCCAGAAAAAAAATTGTACAGCACTCTCAAATTGATCACTGTCATCAAACATAGTAGCATTGGTGAAATCAAGGGAAACGCTCTTAGAAATTGACCCAGAGTAACACGACATGCAGTCGTTCACATCCTTAACGTTATACTGAGCGAGCTGGCAGTGGTTGCAGCCACCCATCATTTCACAGATGTGAAAATTGGTGATCTGCGATTCGCAGCTATTCCAACATTCATTGTCTAGTTCCGTTTCTCCAATATTAGAAACGATCTGACAGTTACCCTGCTTAATATGAGCGTGTACTCCTGTTAGCACTAAGGCACCAACGAGAAGTTGATTCAGCATACAGCTCTCCAAAAGTCCGGTCTCAGTTTTTATAGTCTTCCAATACGTAATGGCTTCTAATTGTCCAATAAATGAAAATTTTAAGTCTAACTATCGTTGAGGTGCAAATTTAACTTTCAGTACACGGAAAAGTCGTGCGAGCTGCTGACAACGTTGGAACTTCGCGATGCGACCTCGGAACTGTTACAATAAGGACCGAGCAGTGCTCTCAGTTTACTATTTTTATAAGAACTGTTAATCTTTTAATCTTGAAGCAACTTTATACCGAACACATAGTAACCCTAAATGTTTCTAGAATGGAGGTGGGTGCTGAATAACAAAAGGCTAAATATTGGTTTGTAGTACTAATTTATGGCTAACGATTGATTCAGTTAGATTGCGTCTATAGAAGGAGTGCCACCAAAAGAAGTTTCTTCAGCACACTTATGTGTGATCCCGGATTCGCTGGTGCTACTGGAACACTGGAACATTCTGTGCCCGTGCACAAAGCAGGAGGCGGAACGACCACGGGGGGGCAATCGCTACCTATACATTGTAATGATGTAGAAGGCGCAATGGAACATTCACTTCCAATGCACTGAGCAGGCGGTGTGACACCATTAGGTGTGCACATTGTGCCTGTGCATTGCAAAGTAGCAGATGTGGTTTGTTCGGGGCTGGGAGCAGACGTTTGAGGTGAAGCTGGAGTAACGGTGAAGTATCCCGACAATGAACCTGAGATGTGGGTTTCGACCAATGTACCAGTAGTAGCTGATAATGAGCATGTGCTAGCAACACACACGGATACTATGTGTGTCGTCACTTGAGTCTTTGTGATATATGTGATATCGTGAGATGGGACAGCGGTCGTATGAGTCGACAGAGTTGAGACGCCAGTTTCGATTGATGTGGCAAGCTTCGTTGCAGTTGTAGTCCTCTCGGCACATGAGTCCGAACATTCTGTTGTAGTTAATGTCTCGATACTGGTGAGGTATCTAACTGTAGTCCTCATTGTGGTTTGGACAGAATGTAGTGTGACAAGTGGAGCCGTTGAGCAAGGGACCTCAGTGGTAACAGTGAGAACGTTTGTAACTGTATGAGGCGAGCAGATATCATTTGAGCAAGTAGTTGTTGTGAGGCAACTCGTCGATAGATAGGTTTCAGTCGTCATACTAGGCGATGGGGTCGGTGTTGTTGAGCAAGGCACCTCAGTGGTAACAGTGAGAACATTTGTGACTGTATGAGGTGAGCAGACATTATTTGAGCAAGTAGTTGTTGTGAGGCAACTTGTCGATAGATAGGTCTCGGTCGTCATACTTGGCAGTGGGGTTGGTGCTGTTGAGCAGGGAACCTCAGTAGTAACAGTGAGAACGTTTGTGACTGTATGAGGCGAACAGACATTATTTGAGCAAGTAGTTGTTGTGAGGCAACTAGTCGATAGATAGGTCTCGGTCGTCATACTAGGTGATGGGGCTGGTGTTGTTGAACATGGGACCTCAGTGGTAACAGTGATAATCCTCGGGACTGTATGAGTCGCGCAGACATCATTTGAGCAGGAAGTTGTAGTGATGTAACTTGTTGACACATATGTTTCAGTCGTCATAGTAGGTGATGGGGTTGGTGTTGTTGAACAAGGGACCACAGTAGTAACAGTGACAATCCTCGGGACAGTATGAGTAGCGCAGACATCATTCGAGCAAGAAGTTGTAGTGATATAACTTGTTGACAGATATGTTTCAGTCGTCATAGTAGGTGATGGTGCAGGCGCTGTCGAGGTTTCGCTAATAACAGTCAAAACTCTTGGAACTGTGTGAGGCGAGCAAGTGCCATTCGAACAAGTAGTTGTAGTCATTTGAGCGGTCGAGATATACGTTTTTGTCGTCATAACAGCTGTTGGTGTTGGCCCAGGAGATGGTACAGTGAGAGTCTGTGTACCTGTTCGACATATATCCCTGGTACAGGAAGTCACTGTTTGGGTGGTGGTGAGAACTCCAGGAGGAGTCACGATGCTAGGCGACTCCGTACAAGGTGGAGGCGAGGGATAGACACAAGACTCTACAACCGTCACAGTTACAGTTCCATGGGTGGACGTTCGAATAGTCGGTACTACTGTTAAAGTCTCAGTAGACGAGGTAGGCGTGTAAACAGTTACTGTTGGCTTCGAAGAGCATGTATTTTTAGCGCAACTCGTGATTGTTTGTGTGATAGTACATTCCCCTGTAGCTACAGTCGTACTGGTCGTTTGAACAAATGTCACGTCAGGAGGCAAGACAATAGGAGGAGGGGTGATAATAGGGTTCAGAGGACAGGGTTCAATAATAGTGGTTGTTGTCGAGGACTCGACATTGGTTCTGCAAGTTTCAATTATCGTAATTGTTGTGGGAGAGGGGCCAGGTGGAACGAAAACTGTGGCAGTTGGCCTCTGAGTGCATGTTCCTAAGCAGCACTCAGTAACTGTTTGGGTGACCGTACTAACGTCAGAAACAGTAATGACCGTCAGTGGATTGAGAGGTGCAGCAAAAGGAGGTGTCAGGGGTCCTTGTGGCGCTGCCAAAGTGCTTTGTGTTGCTGTTGAAGTAGCTTCGGTCGAGTTTGAGAAAGTGGTCGCTCCCGAAGAACTAGAGGTGTTTATTATCGTGTGAGAATTTTTTGTTGACACCTGAGGTTGGACGATTGAAGAATTTGACGTGCTCAAGACAAGTTTTGAGATACTAGCAAAACTGTGGCGTCCAACGCTTGTTTGATTTCTTGAAGTAGGCAGACTCTTGATACTCCCACTACTCTGAACGCTTCCCTCTGCACTGATAGTCTTGATTGTTTCACCTGTAGTGTGGTTTGATGAAGAAATCTTAGTAGACCCATGACTTGTAGTTGCATTAGTCTGTGGTGTAATCAGACTTTCGGATGTATTCAAATGAACAGGAGTCGTAGGCAAACTAGTCTCAGTGAAACCAGAGTGTGTAGTGGTGTTAGCTCCAACTAAAGGCTCCATAACCTGCGATGTCTCAGATGTGGAGCTTACTGAAGTTTCAGTTGATGAATTTGTGCTATGCAGGAATACTAAGCTTGAAGATGATGTTTCCATCGAAAAAGCAGAGATAGCATTTGTTCCTGTAGGCACTGTTGAGTTACGAGACTCTTGGAGTGTTTCACGGTAGGGCAGTGATGAAGTCAGTTCAGAACTAGGTTTCATTCCAGTGCTCAGTGCAGAGAGTGTTAGAGAAGAGGCCGGCAGAGGCCAGAGAGTTGTGAGGGGTGTTGCTACTGTCTGTGACTCGTTCTTAGAACTCGAAGGTCCCTGGGACAGTCCAGAGGTAACTGAGCTGAGAGGAGGTGTAGAGCCTGAGGCTTGAGTCATTCCTGACTGCACAGAACTGGTGCTCAGCGGCAAGTCAGTGCTTGAAACCTGAGTTTTCACCGATTCTTCAGAAAAATTGGAGCTGGTAGAGGAAATGGTAGCTGACATGGTAGCTGACAATCGAGTTACTTCTGACCACGCTGAGCCAAAGCTAGTCAAGAATGATCTAGCAGAGACATGAGACTCCATGGAAGAATCAAGGGTGCTTGAACCGGAAACGGATGAGACAGATGAGACAGGTGAGATGGGTGGGAGTTGACTCAACATCGACGATGCGAGGACACTAGAGCTGAGCATAGACGTAGGGGCTGGAAACTCACTCAGTATCGAAGACTCGAGACCACTAGAGTTAAAAGTAGATGTAGACATCGAAATTTGACTTGTCTCAGATTTTTTTGAAGTACGAGAGCTGGATGATCCCGACAGGTCGAGAATACTTGAACTGCCAAGAGGTCCGGCGGGTGAACTTGGGAACACTGTCGACAGCACGAGAGCACTTGAACTGCCAAGAGATGTAGTGGATGCGCTTTGGCTAGCTGTTGACTGCTCGAGAACACCTGAACTGCTAAGAGATCCGATAGATGCGCTCTGGCTCATTGTCGATTGATCGGGAACACTTGAACTGCCAAGAGATCCGGTAGATGCACTTTGGCTCACTGTTGACTGCTCGAGACCAGTTGAGCTGGTGACAGATCCGGTAGATGCGCTTTGGCTTACTGTCGACTGCTCGAGACCAGTTGAGCTGGTGACAGATCCAATAGACGCGCTTTGACTCACAGTCGACTGCTTGGGTTCGGTTGACCTAGTGAAAGATCCTGTAGATGCACTTTGGCTTACTGTGGACTGCTCGAGACCAGTTGAACTGGTAACAGATCCGGTAGATGTACTTTGGCTTACTGCCGAAAGCTCGAGAACAGTTGAGCTGGTGACAGATCCGCTAGATGCACTTTCGCTCACTGTCGACTGCTTGAGACCAGTTGAACTGGTGATAGATCCGGTAGATGCGCTTTGGCTTACTGTGGACTGCTCGAGAGCGCTTGACCCTGGAAGAGACGGAATAGGTGAGAGTTGACTCGGAGCAGACTCCTCGGGGAAAGTTGTACTGAGAAAAGATGCAATAGATGAAGAACCAGTCGATCCTGGCGGCTCAATCATACTTGAGCCAAGCGAGGATATGGTGGCAGAGGTTTGACTTACCAAGGGCAAGTCCAGGGCACTGGAGGTCAGAGTATATTTAGAAGATGATGACTGCGCTGTCGACGGCGGCTTTAGATCACTAGAGCTTTCAACAGACGTAGTGGTAGGGGCCTGAACAGAGGTAGTTCGCTCTAGCAGACTGGAGCTCGGAACAGGTACAACAGCAGAGCTGGCAGGTGCGACCAGGGACGATGCATTCAGCCAAGCTGGACGATCGATACCAGTGATCTGCACCAATGAATTCATGATTTCAATTGAGATACTATGAGGGAATCAAGGAGACATATTTATACATGAGGACCACTACGATCCCTAGCCAGCCCCTGAGTGGTGCCGGTGGTTCCGCACGCTGCACGCGCATTAGGAAATATAATGCAACTGATTATGAGCAGAGTCGGAGTGGGTGTCTGTTTTTAGTTTTATAATTCATCTTGAGTCGTGATTTCTTGTATATTTCGGTGCTACCTCGAGAACTGTGACCTGCACATGTGTAGCACTTAGGTGGGTTTCGAGTTTAAAGTATAGTTGGTGTCGTAGTGGTTCTGTGGTCCCAATGTACTCTGTAGGCAAAGAATATTCCCCAGCTGCAGTGATTATTCGTGGCTAGCTAGGGGTGAAGTTAGTTTGTGGTGCATTACTGCTGCTAACGGGGCCGTTGATAAACTTAACTATTTGCGACAGGTTAGAACCTTATATTTGCAAAAATTCAAACCGTGGGTCCAGCTATAACAAGAATAACTCCTTAAGCACATGGTTTTAAGGTGGTGCAAACTGCATGGACCGCTGCATGTTTCAAATATTTAATTTAATACCAGCCATGAAGTGAATCAAGGGATAGGGGTCCCATTGGCTGGTCGGGGTACCGTAGGTATCGATACAAGCTATATCCCTATATTCATTAATATTAAGACTTTCAAAAAAGCAGTGTTTATACGAATACGAGCCGAGCAAAATCACATCCCGAGGATTGGGAGTCCAACAGACTCGGTATGCGATAAAATCAGACGTTAATCGTCTCTACTTAAAGGAGGAAAGCGCCAATAGCAGCGGCAAGGAAAGAACCACCGACGGCAACGGAGTTAGCGCCGTTAGCAAGCAAAACACCAGTGCTGGGGTTGCTCACAGTAGCAACGGCAGGAGCGCTGGTGCCAACAACAGTGATGGTCTCACCCTGCCAGACGGTGACAAGGGTGGTTCCCTCAGCGGGGGAGGTGATGCAAGACTCAGTCTCAACGGGGGAAGCAACAGGAGCAGAGGTGGTAGCAGGCTTCTCCTCGCACTCGGTGCAGACCTCAGTGGCAGCAACAGTCTCAGAGCACTCGGTGGTGACAATGGTGGTGACCTCAGTGGTAGCAGGAGCGTTGGTGGCAGCAGCGGTGCTGTTGACGTAGGCGGGGGCGCTAGACTTGTGGGCAGGGCAGTCAGTGACCTCAGGGCCGCAAGAGATGATGGTCTCGATGTCGGTAGAGGTAACGACGGCGGGGCCAGCGGTAGACTTGTGGGCGGGGCAGTCGGTGACCTCAGGGCCGCAAGAGATGATGGTCTCGACGTCGGTAGAGGTGACGACGGCGGGGCCAGCTGTAGGCTTGTGGGCGGGGCAGTCAGTGACCTCAGGACCGCAAGAGGTGATGGTCTCGAGGTCAGTGGAGGTGACGGCAACAGCGCGAACGGTGGCCAGGAGGGCGGCAGCAGCAACGATCTTGAAAGCCATTATGGGTATAGAAAAGAATGTAAGGAAACGAGTGAACTTTACGAGGAAATCCTAGTGACGCAGTAGGATCTTCACGTCTTTTATACTGCTAGAATCCTGCCTGCAAGCATATCTAGCGGGCACACCCCTGCATGTCTCCTGTTTTTTTCTACATACCTGAGAAAAATGCCAGACCGTTGAGGGTCTCTCGCTTATCGTTGAGTTAGTGTCTAATATACTTCTCAGTACTTTAGCAGTTTATTTGAGCTTCTTCCAGACTTTGTTCGGGTTTGTTCGCCGCCTTTCACGTCGACTTTTACCAAATTCCTGAACTCCTGGTTAGGGTAGCCCATGCACCGTGCCGGCAAGGGTTTGGTCAATCCCAGCGTGAGTAGTGATTCTGGTCCGAGTGAGGGATAAGAAGTAGTTTAAATTGTGCGATCCTCGAAAAGTATAGTCTAATGTGTATATAGTTTAATTTACAGCGTATTTGGTGCTACCAGACATCTTCCTGTCAAAGAATGTGCGCTGTGCATTCCATGCGATGCTTATGCACCTGTGCTTGGTCCGAATTTAGATCATTGCTTTGTTGAACGAACGGCTTTGGCGGTAGTATGCACTTAAGCGATTGATCTGAATCGGAACAGCTTAGCTCCTGTCGCTGGTTTGCTCTGGCGCGCCTTGGACAGTGGTTTGGTACCTTGACGCGCGTGCTTTTGTTGATAGTCATGTACATTCCAACTGGATAACCCCGTGTTTTATCCCAATTCGGAACTGCTGTCGTAAGCGCGTTGCGTAAGGGGGTGCATCGCCCGTTTGTTTGGGTGAAGTATCGGGTCATTTTGAACCCTTTGATTTATTGTAGCATATTATATTTAGTATTTATCGTTTATGCCAGTTATTCAACCCTTCTTTGTGGTTTCTTTCAGTTTTCAAATTTCACTGGAGAAGGTTACAGACTTGTGTCGGCTAAGTAACTGTCGTAAGGTACTGAGGAGACGAGAGAGAGATCGTACTTGAGCTACAGGTAACTGCGACAAGCAAATGAAACAGATCGACGAGGTATACTCACTATAACAAAATGAAACATATATAAACAGGTTTCTGGATAAAGGGTACTAAAATGAGGCATTAGTTGTGCTCCGTGTCACATCTGCAGCGCTATGCGGGCATGCATGGAAGAAAGCTGTTGAAATCTGATAGTGTATACTGCGCCATAAGGATAATGAGCCCATGGCGACGGATTGTTACGACTAAAGAATGTTGATCAGCGGTATGGTAGATCATGATCGCAGTTTACGAGCAGTGAAGATCCAACCGATGGCCCAGTAGCACCGGCCGAAAAATCAGAGAGCAGACACCGCGCAGCCTTGAATATAATTATATACCGCAGCCAAACACATAAAAGTTTAGCAAGCAAATCTGAAGGAGATTTCAGCCAACAATTTTTTTTGGGATCCACCCAGTAAACCCGCACATATACCCCGCTTCAGGCCCACCCGAGCTGCTTATGTATCCTGTGAATGGCGAAGGCAGCGGGTACGTTTGCAAGAAATGCAAACGGGGCAACAGTAGCGACAAAAATGAGATCGTATTCTGCGATAGCTGCAATACACCATACCACCAGCTTTGCCACAACCCTCCGATCGACCAGATCGTAGTCGCCGTGCGGGAGGCGAGGTGGTTTTGCAACCAGTGCGAGGCGAAACAAAAAATCATCCCGCTCGAGACAGGCCAGACGGGCGAGAACCTAGAGCCCGAAGTGAGGATGGCGTATCTTGCATCTTTGTCGAAATCGCAGCTCATCCAGCTCATCCGCTATGCGGAGACACAGTACCCCACACTACCTATTTATTCACCTCGCACCCAAGAACTTTATGAAGAAATGAAACGCAAGATGGACGAGAAAGCTGCTGTGCTTCCGGAGAGGAGGAACTTTGAAGATACGCTTGTTGCAGTTATTGCTGAGAACGGCGCAGGCGGGATCGAGCTGCCTATGATCTGGCGAAAACTCGAAGAGCGATCATCGCACGGGAAGATTCCTTCGTCCATGAAGCATTCTGCATCAAGAGCCCTGCAGAGACTTTTGCGGAAAGGACGAGTCACGAAAAAGGCCGACCTTTATTTCATGAACTCAGAATATCAACCGTCGTCAGACATCGCTCTCACACAACTACTAAAGGCGACAGACAAGGTGATGTTTTCGTACATGCCACTGCGTATGGTGATCGATAAGGATGAGCTGGCCATTGAGGAAAACGACGCATTCAGCCACAAAATCTATGTATAAATTATAGTCATATACGCATTATTATTACCACTGTTCTCTCACTTTTTTTTACACGTCCTCAGTCACCGGCTATAGGTTGAGTCGAGTTTTAAAGTCACGGAGCGCGGCTGCCGAGACTGCATGGAGGTCATCTGGACTTTGGCTAACAGCCTCAAAACGGTCAGCCAGACCATCTACGAGAGCCAGTGCTTGCGACAAAGAGGCCTGCTGTGCGCTAAGGAGCTGGGACTCTCTGGCCAGAGAGCACAGCTGGAGAGCCAGTGTGCAACACAACAGGCCGAGCTGTTGCAGTTGGTCTCCGAGACAGGCGAACATGTCTACCGACACCCTTTCCAGCAGCAGAGAAGGAACTGAGGCAAGATGGTCAATTTGCTCGAAAAGGTCTGCCAAGGGAGCAGACTGGAAGGCCAAAACCACCGTGTTTACCCCAGATGGCGTAGCATGGCTTCCAGATTTGGCTTCTCGAAGTAACTGGTGTAAACGCACCATGAACCGGATGTAAGTGTGGACACCGCTAGCGAACTGAATCGTTTGTTCTTCAGTTGTTAGGAACGACCACTCCTCTTCCCACTGAAGAAGCTCGTCTTCCACTGCATCGTTGGATATGTGTGAGTTGAAGAATCTATAGGCCGCAAACTGTGCGGAAATCTCAGCCAAGATGCAAGCGTCGAACTGGTTCGACTGTGGGATTTTGAGAATTTCCTGGGAGGCGCGAATGGAGTCAGCGCTCAATATACAACGACGTCCTGTGGAATTGCATGTGTATAAATGCGCGATCGCCAGGTGATTCCAAAGTCGGTGCATTTGGAGCGAAGACTCGTCGGTGATGCTCATAAGGTTTGTGAGGTGCTGGATGCCCCAGCTTGAAACAAACCAAGGGTCATATAAACAGTACGGCGAGCACAAAGACTCGCTGAAATTGGCCAGAATTACCATAGCCTGGAGGAACTCGACATTCTGGCGGAGGTGCATCCGGGCACGCATTGTTTCCAAGTGTAGATGCTTCAAAAGAGGCTCGTACACTTTGGCCCGGAGGGCTTTTCTGTCAAACCGCAATGCGACAGTACAGCAGACCGTCAACAGCAGCGACGACTCTGCACAAAGGTACTCTACCAGATCCTCCGCGGGCATCTCCGCGGGTAGGTTGATCCAATGGTTAAAATTGTCTCGGAAGTGGGTGAGCAAATCAATTGCTTGTTCCCGGGTCAAGATATTTTCGGTGATAACGTTTGTTCTGTGCGGATCCCGCCTATCGCGACCACCTCTGTGCACTGGTGTGATCAGCTCGCGGTAAACCTGGACCAGGTAGCTTGGTTTCAAAACCTGGCTTAAGAAATTTGCTGGGGAAGCCTGGAAAAACAAGCCGGTATTCACGTTTCCAAACATATTGTACTGTGATGCCATGGCACCTGTCGCATACCACGGCTGCCTATACGGCTCGTTATAATAATCGAATCCTTGTTGATTTACAAAGTTAGCTTCGAGAAGAGCGGGTGGCGCTGGTGCCACGACAGGGTCTTTCCATAGGGGAACTGGATAATGTGGAGCTTGGACCGCCGGGTTGACTCTATAGTTGAGAGGCGGCAAAGAAAACCCGTTGTGGTTTCGCTGGAGGCTCTGAGTTAGGGTAAGACTGCCATCGGAAGACATAGACTGTACAGAACCGGGGCCAATAGGAGATACGGGGGCCTGAGGTTGAGCGGGCGCGTTCAAAGCAGACTGGGGCTGTGGTGGTGGCTGCAGCGATGGTCTTCCGTCGGGCAGAGAGAGCAGAACCAGATCGTTTACACCCTGGCTCCTCATTATCTGCATCATGTGCTCCATTTGATTCTGGAGTTGATCGAGGCGTGTCTTGTACTGGGCATTTCGCTCTGGTTTGGTCACTCCTGGATGCGAAGGAGCGAGCGGGGCAGCCGGCTTGGTGAGCAGAGAGCACTCCAGGCCCATTTGGGCGCATTTCTCACAGGTTTTTTGACCAGCCGGTATATGGCACTTTGTTTTGTTGTTGCGACAAAATACACAGGCGCGTGCGATGCGTCCGCGGCCCATTGTGTGGATTCAACAGAAGGTCGATGAAAAAGGGAGCTGGATGTGGACGTAAGATCCGCAGATTAGTTGAGAATCTGGGGCCAGGGGGAGTAACAACCAACCGATTCGAATCGAGATCGCTTTATCGCAGAAGCCCTCTGTAGCGTGGTCGAAATTGCTTCAAGACGTGAATTCCTGATTGCTGAAAGAAGATCAGCGTCCCGCAGGTCCGGTGCTGTTTTGTGGACTGTCAGCAGGCAGGCGGCTGCGGACATTGCTTCAACTCCGGCTCGTTACTTTTAGTCATGCATAGGACATCGTCAGACAACGGGCATAATATGTGTTAAGTTGGCTGCTTCTGGGCGGTTTAAGAGAAGGATATGGTATCCACAGTGTCGGAAAAGAGCAGATTAAAAAGCGAACGGGGTATGTGAATTACCGGGTCGATGGGTACCCAAATGATGGATATTCTCCGCTGGTCCTGCATTGTGCATGCAGTCGGTGGCGGCCAGCATGCGTTTGTTCTAAACGTGGCGGATGTGGCTCGATTCTTGGCAAGCAGAGCCACAGAGATCGTATGCCCAGCATCAGTCGTCGGAAAAATTTATATGGCCAGTTCTGGCGACGAAATAGTCGCGCATCGCCTGCGCTATGCAGCCCCACCCGTTGGTCGTTTCCCCTGACAAATTCGATCGGATAACCTGATCATCAAGGCCGACCACCGTGACAATCTATCAGAGCCGAGATTCGCCGATGCCCCAAGGGCTGCTTTTGCAATCAGAGTGGTTTGCCCAAGCTCTGATTTCCTGCTAAACGCCAATGAGCTGCCCAATCTGCCCAAGCTGCCCAAGCTGCCCAAGCTGCACTGAGCGTCACTTATCCCAATACCCCTTGAACAAGGTCCCCTGCCCCCTATCTCCCATAACCCCCCGACAACCACACAATACCCTTTGTGTCGCTTTTTCAGCACTCGATTCGGCTTTGAGATCATGTATTCTGCGGGCGGCCAGGCTCGTCTGGCCGGACCTATCTGCAGAAGATTTTATTTCAGACGCGCAACAAACATTGGCGCCACAGATGGCAGTCTTTTAAATTGTAAACCAAGAGTGCCCCAGTCGCCGATGATGCAAAATGGCCCGGTTTTGCTGCATCGACACAAATCACGCATCCCGTCCCTAGAGAACCTGGGCTTTTTGATGCAAACAGAGGCTCCACTGAGCAAAATCAAAGACCCACATGTGATGCAACCCGAGCTCAAAGTCCCCAAGCTTGAAAATCCAGAAGCGCTGGCCGCTTTGCAGATGGCTGTGCAGAACCATGATTTCGCCGGTGCAGAGTTTATATTCGACCAGTCGGCGAGTTTGCACGATAACCCAGAAGCCCTTGAGCTTGTTCTGAAAAACTACTGCAACATGAACGACTTCACCACCGCCAAAGCAGTTCTGTTGCAGGTTCAGAAAAAGATGAGCCGGCAAGGATTTATTAAATTCATGATAGCCTGCTTCCGGCACTCGGAAAACTCTGATGATTTACAAGAGACGTTCGAGGCTGCTATCAAACAGTACCCTGCTGATGAGTCTATTGTATCTGCGGCGTTATTTGGATTCAAAGTGCTGAGAGATCGACCTCGGATTGAAGCTCTGCAAAAGTACATCAAGTCGAAAGGGCTTTTGCGGAAGCTACCACTGCTACAGGTCCAAGTTTACGACAGTTATCTTAATGGTAATTTTGATGCTGCGCTTGAGCTTGGTCGGACTATTGCCGCTAGAATATCCTCTGAGCCACCGTCCCTACTGAGACTAGATATGCCCTACCGCTGGGCAATCCGCTATTTTGCGCAGGACGGTAACGTCGAGGCAATCGAGAAAATACAAAAGCATGTCGCTGAGCTTTCCATTCCTACAACTATATCGTTTAGCAATATTGTGCTCACCATCCTGCCTCCACTATACCCGAATGTTCCCCTCGTGAGCTGGCTTGATCGATGCGTGGAATGGGGCTGGAAAATTGACCGATCGTCTTTCAGTAAATTGACACAGCTCCTGTATAGGTGGTACCCATCCCAGCACGAACGAATTGCTAAACTGCGTTCGTCTCTTGGTAAAACTATTCCTCAGTCGAGCGGATCTAAAGAGGTCAGTCGCAGCTCTGAGCTCTCAGCCATACAAAAGTTCATCAACTTGGGAGATCCTTCAAAATGTCTTTATATTCTCGATTCCATGCGACGACGAGGCATGATCCCCCCCTACTATTACCATGTTTTAATTTTTGAAGCCCTGGCGAAGCGGGGCCTCACCACAGACATTGAGCAGCTTGTGGCCAAAATGAAAGCGCTCGAGTACCCCAGACACTGTGCGGGCACAGACCTGGCGATGCTCGAGCTTCAGTTGCGCCAAGCTGCCAAAGGGAAAAACAGAACTCGTAGCGAAAAGTTGGCCGATGCTCAGCGGGGGCTAATCTGGGTAAATCAATACCTTGTTGAGTATCCCTTGATTCAGCACGACCTATCGCAGCTAACGAGAATCGCAACACTATTTATGCATTGCCGCCAACCAGATATTGCTGGCCAGGTTGTTGATTTCTTGAGATGGCAGTCAGAATCAGGCAAGTTCACCGCGCAAAATCACGACAGTCGCAGCCTGACTGTACTTTTAAAAGCCGAGCAGCAATGCAATCGGTCTCCAGTGGCCACTCTCGATACTCTATTATCTGATCGGCCTCGCATTTTTATTGATCTTAAGCTGAAGCGCCATCTTCGCGAATCTCTCACTTCTGAACAGTGGAAGCATTATTACAGCTTGATCAAATCACATAACGAATGGGTTGTGGAAAACATATGCCAAGAGGTAGAGCAGCTCGCCCAATTCGTTAAATCCGGAGCTTGTACATAGTATATAGGATCGCAAGACCTGTAGTGACACTAACGATTTATGGCATGCTATTCAGGCACTATCTGAACTGCGAAGCCATTCCATAGGCACGAATTAGCTGAAGTCTGTAGGATCGCAAGAGCTGTAGTGATACACGATTTACGGTAGGCTATTCAGGCACTATCTGAATTGAGAAGTCATTCCATAGGCCACAAACCAGCTGGAGTTTATACGTGCAGCCACCTAAAGGTCTAGCTCACAGGAAAATCTGGCCTGAGGTCGTGACCTTGGCCTCACCTCCAACCCAGATATTATCCTCGGCATATTCAACTGAAACCAGCCCATTGCGGCCCAAGCATGTTCCTTGCCGGGCAACATAACTTGAGCGCTCTCCGAAAGTCTCGAGATAGCGAGCTACAGCAGCATTACCGCTACCACAGACAGGATCCTCGATGACACCGCTTTGTTGCAAAAACACAGAACGGACCTCATATTTATGCCCTGCGGAAGAATCCTGACCTTCAGCTCCGTAAAAAGTGATTCCAGTCATTTTGGTCTCGTGGGCCAATTCCGTGAAAGCAGGACCGTTGATCTCTGTTGCACGAACCATCTCTGCACTATCGAGAGGCACAACGAGCCATTTGGGACCGACATCGACAATTGCACCGGTCAGAGACAGGTTAGGAGCGCCGAGCGCTCTGGAAAGCAGATCACCACCGTACACATCGATTTTAGCTTCAGGAGTAGAGAAAAGCAGTTTCTTGTCCTCAATTCTAATGCTAATTAGGCCCTTTCCGCACTCTTGGACAATGACGCCTTCTTTCTTGGGCTTGAGGCCGCTGAAAAGCAGCGCTCTAGCCGATCCCAACGTGGGATGGCCTGCGAAGGGCAACTCAAAGTCAGGCGTGAAGATGCGTAGCCTGTAGTCCGCTTCCGGACGAGTAGGCTTTAAAACAAACGTAGTCTCCGAGAGATTCTGCCAATGGGCACATTTCTGCATCTCCTCAGTGGTTAGGTCGTCGGCGTCGAAAACCACCGCTACAGGATTACCACTGAGCGGGGACTCACTTGCAAAGACGTCAATTTGGAAAAATTTGTGGACACGAGTCATTTGCTAAATGTGCTGCTGGTTTACGATGAGCCTATATATGCGTTTTAGATCTATCAATGACTCAAATCTATGACATCACTGCGGGTGCAGCTGACCCGCATAGAGTAAACGGGGAAGAAAGAGAAGCAATTGAACCAAGACTAATGAACCAAATAAGTAGGAACAAGTATAGAAGGAACAAAGGCAAGTTAAATTGCTAGGTCATAGGACTAAGTCACAATTGCCAGCGACACAAGGACCATTGCAATCGTTCAACAGGGGCGTTTGGTCAATATGTGGGTCACGGGCTTTTGCATAGCATATAGTACAATCATGTAGGGTTAAAAAGTAAGATACACTTAACTGATATAGTAGCTAAGCATGTGAAGGGAGACTACAGCGGTTTGGGTGATCCAACGTCAAAGTACAATCACACCTGAGGTAGTCACATTGGCCTCACCTCCAACCCAGATACAGTCCTCGGTGTAGTCGACTCTGACAAGACCATTGCGGCCTACGCATGTTCCCTGCCGGACAATATAGCTCGAGCGTTCTCCAAAAGCTTCGAGATAACGAGCCACAGCGGCATTACCGCTACCACAAACGGGATCTTCGACAACTCCGTTTCCCTCTAAACAAAAAGTGCGCACCTCGTACTTGTGCGTTGTTGAACGATCTTGAGCTTCAGCTCCGTAAAAAGTGATTCCTGTGATGTTGGTCTCGTGGGTCAGCTCAGTGAACGCAGAACCGTTGATCTCTGTTGCACGAACCATCTCTGCACTATCGAGAGGCACAACGAGCCATTTGGGACCGACATCGACAATTGCACCGGTCAGAGACAGGTTAGGAGCGCCGAGCGCTCTGGAAAGCAGGTCACCACCGTAAACATCGATTTCAGCTTCGGGAGAGGAGAAAAACAGTTTGTTGTCCTCAATATTAATATTAATTAGACCCTTTTTGCACTCTTGAACAAGGATGTGTTCTTTCTTAGGCTTGAGACCGTTAGAAAGTAGGGCTCTTGCCGACCCCAATGTGGGATGGCCTGCGAAGGGCAATTCAGATACTGGCGTGAAAATGCGTAGCTTATAGTCGGCGTCAGGATGAGTGGGCTTTAGAACAAACGTAGTCTCCGAGAGGTTTTGCCAGTGGGCACATTTCTGCATCTCCTCAGTGGTTAAATCGTCGGCATCGAAAATCACCGCTACAGGATTACCACTGAACAAGGGTTCGCTTGCAAAGACGTCAACTTGATAGAACTTGTGGGGTCGACTCATACTGCGATATGGCCGTATGTGTCAAGCGTGTGTGGGGTTTCGATGTCTGACTCAAAGTATGACACCGCAGCGAAGAACTGTGCAGCATGTTGACACGTTAAAACAGACTAGGACTCTGCTACATAGGAAATTGTGTATACAAAACAACTAAATAAAACCCAAAACACTACGCTTTGGCCTCTAACCTTTGAGCCGGTCACCAAGTGATATTTTTCCTTGAGTCGGCCACCAATTGATGTTTAGACCTTGAGTCGATCACTAAGTGATGTTAAACTTTGAGTGGATCACCAATTGGTGCTTCGCACACAACTGAGAGTAGGGTGCCAACAGAGCGCAGTGTTCCAGACCGCCCTCGTTAGATCCCCCTAGGATGATCTCGCAGGGTGCTTTGCTAATCTACCTACCATGAGCCTACAGATTGAAGCGACAATTGCGACCTTTGCCGGGAAGCTGCACAAGATTGTGCATGAATCCAGTGCGGTAGGGGGCCAAATGAAGTTCAATTTGTTTTTGCCTGCCCAGACGAGCACCCATAAGGTCCCGCTGCTGTACTACCTTGCCGGACTCACCTGTACCGGTGACAATGGTGCAGAAAAGGGAGGCTTGCTCTGTCCAGCTGCCCAGCATGGAATTGCCATTGTTTTCCCCGATACCTCGCCCCGGGGCGCCCAGATCGCCGGAGAGGACGATAGCTGGGACTTTGGAACGGGTGCCGGGTTCTACCTGAACGCAACCAAGGCGCCCTGGTCGACAAACTACCGGATGGAGGACTATGTTGTGAACGAGCTGCCCAAATTACTTGAGCAGCAGTTTGGCAAGGAGATTGACATGTCCAGACAGTCGCTGTTCGGCCACTCCATGGGTGGGCACGGTGCGCTGTCTTTGTTCTTGCGTTACCCCAACAAATACAAGTCGGTTTCTGCGTTTGCGCCTATTTCAAACCCTTCCGAGTGTCCCTGGGGAGAAAAGGCCTTTTCCGGGTACCTTGCGAGCAAAGAGGAGTGGGCGGAGCACGACGCAACGGAGCTGATCAAAAAGTACGATGGGCCCACTCCCGAGATCCTGATCGACGTCGGGCGGGGCGACCAATTCTATCAGCAGAAGCAGCTGCTGCCCGAGAACTTTTCAGACGCCAGTCTGGCGAGCAAATATGCGAACAAGGTGAACCTCCGGATCCACGATGCGTACGACCACTCTTACTATTTCGTCGCTACGTTCGCAGTTGACCACATTGAACACCACGCCAAGTATCTAAACTAAACATCGTTTTCAAACCCTAAAGCACGTTATCTATAGCGACATGGCGATGGGACTGAAATAAAAGTAATCAACGTCCCATCATGGAAAACCTCGCTCGTGTGGCGGGGGTTGAGAACCGAGCGTTGGAGGCGTACCTGAAGGCGGTGAGCGGGTCACTGACATGCCATGTATGCCACGATATCATGTGCGAGCCGTACATGCTGCAATGCGGACACGCGTTTTGCGGGGTTTGCCTGGAGCACTGGTTCCGCACCGTCAAGTCGAAATCGAGCGCCCTTTCGTGTCCGGTGTGCCGTACAAGCGCGTCCACGAAGCCTGTGCTCAGTCTAGCGCTAAGAGACATTTACAACGCGATGATCCAGCTGCTGCGATCGCACGATGCCGCTGCCGCCGCTGAGGTCGAGAAGGAGGCCCTGACGCGGGTGTGCGGCCAGCCTGATCCGTTTGGAAGTGTGCGGTTTACACGCTCAATTATTGATCCCATTGACGGTGTTGAACGCTGTGCTCACTGCCAATGGGAAATGGAAGACGGGATATGCCCGAATTGTGCGAGCGACGACGATTTCACAGATGCCAGCATGATATCCTCAGACGACCAAGACATCGACATGGATGTTGAAGACGAGAACGAGTATGAGGCCGATTTCATCGACGATGTCTATCACGGCCCGTATTCTTCGGGCAGGGGCGAGGCAGAGTACGTCGGGGCAGACGAGTCTGAGGAATCGGGCAGTGAGAGCTCAGAAGAGTCGGATATGAGTGACGAGGACGAGCTGGACCGGCTAGAGCGGCGGGCCGAGCAACAGCGGAGACCGACTGTGCACAGGGTAGTTGCAATTGACGACGACGACGACGACATAGAGATTCTGGGATCGAGAAACGTGCAAAGACCAGAGCTCGTGCGCCGTGTTATTGAAATATCCGACAGCGAATAGCTTTATTTACATATTTAATCAAAACTTACTTAGAAGTTTGCGGCTGCGGCTGGTCTTCTTTGAAAACGGCGGCAAAGTGACCGGCTCAGGCGGCGGAGCGTCCTGGAAGTGCACGCGGTTGCGAATCGTGCCAATACCCTCAATTGAGCATTCGACCACGTCCTTGTTTGCCAGCCATCTGGGCGGTTTGAAGCCCATGCCGACGCCGGCAGGAGTGCCGAAGAAAATCAGATCGCCAGGCATCAGAGTGCAACCCTGGCTGAGCCAGGAGATAGTTTTCGCGACCCCGAAAATCATGTTACTTGTGCTGTCTGATTGACGGAGCTCGCCATTGACAGATGACGAGATCTTCAGGTTCACGGGGTCAAGCAGGTTTGCCGCGACAATCGCAGGCCCAATCGGAGCCCAGCCGTCGAACATTTTGCCGACGTTCCATTGGCTGCCACCCCGCTTGATCTGCCATTCGCGCTGCGACACATCATTGCCGACCGTGTACCCCGCGACGTATTCCAGGGCCTGACTTTCGGTGACATAACGACACTGCCGGCCAATCACCGCCACGAGCTCGGCTTCGTAGTCAATGGTTCCCTCAATCTGAGCCATTGGCGGCACAGGAATGTGGTCTCGGGGACCCCCCACTGCCGTGGGAGGCTTGTAGAACAACACAGGGTACTCTGGCTCTTTCATCCCGGCCTCATGGGCGTGCGTGCGGTAGTTCAGCCCAAGACAGCGAATTGTGCGCACCTGGTCAAGCGTCATGGGCGCCAGCAGTTCGTGAACGACTCGGATTTTGCCCAGAGTGTAGGAGCCAAACGGGTTGCCTATAATGACCCGAGCATGGCGCGCATTATTCACGTTCGTTTCCTCGCCCACAAGTAGCGCATCTCCAGTGTACACCTTTCCGTTGTTGGAGATGAACCTTATCAGCCGCGACCACTTCTGCGACATTTTCCCGCAGGACGATAAGTTAGTCACTTTTTATCCAATCCCCACGACCACTTGTCCTGCATCACGTGATCGCAAGAATCATCCCACGCCTACTACCTCTTTAGTCATTGCCCAATAAAAACATCCCATCAAACCATGCACAACCGCACTCTCGAGTACCAGAAGATCTATCAGTCGCGCAAGTCTGTCCCTCTCTGGATGCGCTCCCCTCGTTCCAAGGCCATTGTCTACCCCTTCTATGCCCTCTTCGCCTTCTCCTCGGTCCTGGTCCCCGCTTACTATCTGGGCGGTGCCATCATGGGCAAGAAGTACGATTAAACTTCTCGTTAATGCCTCCGGCTACGTAGAAATTATTTAGGTTCAATCCTGACCTCCACATTTCCTGTTCCCTACTGCCGCAGAGTGCCAGCCTCCTGCTGCGATCCGGTACATGGGTGGAGCGTGCACCCGGGTTGGTTTGGCCAGCGTGCTGTCGCTGGCGAACCAGCGGATCGGTCTCGTCTCGCCGCCGGCAGCGCCTATCTGGGCGGGTGTACCCATTCCAAATGCACCGCAGCTGTGGGGTTCTGTGCCCCACGCGTAAATTGATCCGTTCGTAGTTAGTGCTAAGCAGTGGTGGTCGCCTACGGCGACTTGCACGACGTCATCGAGATCCAGAAGCTCGACTCGCGTAAACCGCCCGTCCTCCCATTGCGTTTGCACAATGTGCCCGTTTGCGGTTACGGCTACCAGCCGGTTCAGTAGTGTATAGACCTTGGTAATGCCCTCGCCGTTGACGGCAGCGTGAATATCCGCATTATACTCGGGAGCAGGTAGAGTCACTGCTTCGAAATCAAGTTTTGTGGTGAACAATTTACCATTTTGCGTCGTGATTGCTATAAACGACGCCCCGACCGCCACATCCACGACTCGCCAGTCGCCCGCTCCTTTCTCTCCTCCTCCGGTGTGTGGAACCACAAGATAATTCACCTTGAACGTTTCGGTCGCAACCTCCGGTACTTTCCATACCGCCACACCTACCTCGTCCGTGATCACTGCTGCTGCAGACCAGCCTGCAACCATTTTTTGGACCTGGAGACCGCCAAGATCAAGTAAAACACCATCGGACTCTCGTGTATGGAGCCACATATAAATATTATCAGTAGAATCACGTCCTAACAGAAACGTTCTACCACACGACATTGCCGTGAATTTGGCATTGGATGCCTTCAGCCGCATTGGTGGGCTGACTCCTCGCAACTGGCCGTGAAAGTCGCCTGCCACCTGGATTTCTCCGTGGGTCGACAGAATCGCCGTAAAGTAGCCACCACAGCCTATATTGCGCACCACAACATCTGAAAACGCCTGAACTGGCCAGGGACGATTCACCCCACGTCTCCCACGATGATCTCGATCTACATCAGACAAGGCCACTCCAATACGCCCAGCCTCTGCACTACCCCACGCATAAACACGAGAACTGCAGCGATCGTTGCAGCGCTCTTCCCAGCCTTCTTGCCGAATCGGAGGCATGGCCTCTGGTGGCGGGAACATCGCATTGTAGATAGCATGCCAAACGGCTGGATCCTTAGCCAGTGTATCTAGCTCTTTACAGGTTTGCCGTAGTGAATTGACGTCTTTGGCGTCCAATTGAGGCAAGATGTGCATCACAAAAATGTCGCGGCCCAGTCCAAGCAGCGACGGAGGCATTCGATCAGTCGTCATGAGGTAAGCCGAACAGATCCTAGCCAAGCGGGCTTTTCGTTCAAGATCATTGTCTACCCCTTCTATGTCCTCGGTCCTGGTCCCCCGCTTACTATCTATGCGGTGCCATCATGGGCAAGAAGTACGATTAAACTTCTCGTTAACGTCTCAGGCTACGTAGAAATTATTTAGGTTCAATCCTGACGTCCACACACCCACTACGTAGAAATTATTTAGGTTCAATCCTGACGTTCACACTCCCTCTTCCCTACTGCCACAGAGTGGTAGGCTCCTGCTGCGATCCGGTACATGGGTGGAGCGTGCACCCGGGTTGGTTTGGCCAACCTGGTGCCCACACGAAACATCTCGGATGTTCTCTCGCCGCCTGCAGCGCTTATCTGGGCGGTATCCATTCCAAACGAACCGCAGTCTTTGTCATCTGTGCCCCACGCGTAAATTGACCCGTTCGTAGTTAGTGCTAAGCAGTGGACGTGGCCCAAGGCGACTTGCACGACGTCGTCGAGATCCAGCAGCTCGACCTCCGTCAACTGCATACCATATTGCGCCTGCACAACATGCCCATTTGCGGTTACGGCCACCAGCCGGCCGAATAGTATATAGACCTTGGTAATGCGCTCGCCGTTGACGGCAGCGTGGATATCGGCACAGTACTCGGGAGCAGACACAATCTCTCTTACATAATCGTATTCCGTGGTGAACAGTTCACCGTTTTGCGTTATCATTGCTATACGCGAAGCCCCGACCGCCATGTCCACGACTCGCCCGATTCCCCAGTCGCCCGCTCCTTTCCCTCCTCCTCCGGTGTGTGGAACCACAAGATAATTCACCTCGCACGTTCCGGTCGCCCTGATTCTTCCGCTCCACCAAGCTCGCGGTGGATCCCATATCGCGACACCTCCTTCGTCCGTGATCACTGCTAATAAACTGGAGTCTGCAACCATTCTTTGGACCTTGAGACCGCCAAAATCAAGGAAAACACCATCGGGCTCTTGTTTTTTGTGCCACATGTAAATATTATCGGCAGAATCACGTCCTAACAGATATGACTTACAACAGGACATTGCCGTGAATTTGGCATTGGATGCCTTCAGCCGCATTGGTGGGCTGACTCCTCGCAGATGGACGTCAAAGTCGCCTACCAGCAGGATTTCTCCGTCGGTCGATAGAACCGCCGTAAAGTACTCACCACAGCCTATATCGCGCACCACAACATCTGAAAACGCCTGAACTGGCCAGGGACGATTCACCCCACGTCTACAACGATGATCTTGATCTACATCAGACAAGGCCGCTCCAATACGCCCATAACTTGCCTTACCCCACGCGTAAATACGAGAACTGCAGCGATCGTTCCAGCGCTCTTCCCAGCCTACTTGCGGAATCGGGGGCATGGCCTCTGGTGGCGGGAACATCGCATTGTAGATAGCATTGTAGATAGCATGCCTAACAGCTGGATCCTTAGCCAGCTCTCTACAGGTTTGCATTAGTGAACTGATGTCTTTGGCGTCCATTTGAGGCAAGATGTGCATCACCAAAATGTCGCGGCCCAGTCCAAGCAGCGACGGAGGCATTCGATCAGTCGTCATGAGGTAAGCCGAACAGACCCTAGCCAAGCGGGCTTTCTCCACGAGTATCGCTTCGCTCTTCCCAAGACCGCCAATTGCCCAGTCAATCGCCGTTACGCCAGCCTTTGAAGTTTTGGCTATACCTGATTTGTCCAATAGAATAAAAACCTCGAGCGATCTTTCATTTGTGGTACCTTTGTAACACCCAAAGCTGCTGTTCCAACACACACTCTGAGGTCAACTAGCCATCGAAATAGCACTGTTTTGCCCTTGCACCAGTTCAATTTTCCTCCTAAAGCCCATCTCGCGCCAACTCGCCAAATCTCCACTACCTCATCCTCAAAGCCCCAGATTGGGACATGACACTAAACATCCCAACGCGTGAACACGAACTTGAGTCGTATGGCATGCTGGCGTTAAACGGATATATCCGGCGTGTTGTGGAGACAGTCGACGGAGCCGGGATATGGGATGATGCTGACGGTAAGAAGCTGGAGACATTCGCGGCATCAGAGAACGCCGCAGCCCTTTATATTGCAAAAATCGCCGATGGAGAAGAAGGGGCAAACTTTAAGATCTTGGACAGTTTGGAGGCTTTCCCGGAAGGAATTGCTGCGCTACTAGCGGTGATGAAACGTCCCGGAGTATTGATAGACGGTGAAAACCTTGCCAGCATGGTTTCAGTTGTCGAGGTGCCTATGGGGGCCAACGTTTCGACTTATGAGACACTCACATCAATGATTCGGTCAGTGGTAGGCCCTATCTTCGAGGCTTCAGCTACAGAAAAGACACAGAAAAGCTCAAACTATACAACAGCTCGGCAGAAACTAGCCGAATTAGAGCTCTCGTTGGTGAACCTCCAACATCACCAAGAAGTAGAGTTTGTCGAGCTGGATATACCGACTGTTTCGGGTAACACTGATACAGAAACTCTGAACTCACTGCAAAATGTTGTGAATGGCTGGAAGCGTACTGCTCAAAGTGTTGCTGCTACGGATCGTGATGTTGCAAGTGGATCAACCAGCGAGGAAGTGCATTTTTGGCAAAGTATGGAGACTGCATTGACCCATTTACAATCCCAACTCGAGACTGATGATGTCAAAGCGGTATTATCAGTACTGGAACAAGGCAAACGGTTCCACGCGACAGTTAATTTCCTGTCCAACACTGGCCTTCCGGACGCACTGGACAAAATCCAGAAATACAATACCTTATTACGGGACTTACCACTCAATGATCTCCTTACAGCATCTTCAGTTAATGCTATTCCATCAGCGCTTGATGCTATATTCACTCATATCTCGAAACGGTTACGAGCCTCTAATTATCCTGTCTGGAGGTGCCTCATGCTGGTTGAGACCATTTCGGGAGATTTGGTTACAGTTTTACGCCAGACAACGGGGTCTTTACTGGGAAAACCTCTAGTGGATTTTCAAATGCGGACAACTGCCCTTCGTAAAGTTTTTTCTACTTGGGATGACCATGTTCGCGACTTTACAACATTGGCACGAGATGTTATTCGAAAACGAGGAGAAAAATTCATTCCTGTTCGTATAAAGTCCCGTCATGCTCTGCTCAAAGAACGTATCGAGTACATTGAGGCTTTCCGCCAACGACATGGAGAGCTTACTTCAACGTTGGAAGAAGTGTCCAAGAACGACCGCGAGTTGCGTAGCCTGGATTTAGCTGGCAAGTTAGAGAAAGCCTACGAAAAGCTTGCTGCGGTCGACGTGCTTGAAAATTCAACGGCGTCCACAGCTGAGTGGGCCGTTGCAGAAAAAGAATACGATTCAGCAGCCGCTCGAGCTGAGAGCGACGTAGCTCAAGTTCTGCGAGCACGATTGGGGGCTTCATCTTCTGCACAAGACATGTTTGGCGTTTTCGATCAGTTCAATGCATTATTCGGTCGTCCAGCCATTCGTGGTGCTATTCAAGAATACCAAGCTGTGCTACTCGAGCGGGTAAAAGCCGATATTAGCGAGCTCCAGAAAAGGGCAAGCCGTAAAGAAGCTCTCACGGCTGCTGTCTCAAGCGGAAAGCTTCGAGATATTCCCAGGCTTGCTGGTCTTGTTTCCTGGATGTCTCAGGTGGTTGCTCGTTTGGATACACTACTTGCGCGCGTTGGCTCAGTCCTTGGCCCAGAGTGGCGCTACTATGCTGACGGAGAGCGTTTATATACCGATTGTGAAACATTTCGTGCTCAATTCGACCCTAAACGTGTTGTTAATGAATGGGTAACTTCCTTGTCATCATTAAAACTGGCTGGACCAGTTCTGGTAGCCACGCGTGGTAGGCTTTCAGTCAATCTTGACCGCCAACTATGGAATCTTCACAGAGAAATTAAGATGTTGCGAACTCTCCGACTGCCCGTGCCCCATCAGGTTCTTGCTCTTTCCAGCGATGTCTTGGTGGTATATCCTACGGCTGTTCGTCTCAATGAGTGCATCAAATCATTCTACATCGTAGACAAACTCAAATCTCCTGTGAGGTACTTGGTTACTTCTTATTTTAATGCCACTTATGAATTATTTGAGGAGCTGATCAACTTACAGTGGCAGGATTTTTTGGGCATTGACGAGCGTCCCACGTCTCTGGCTGCAAAGTTAGATCGGGCAGTGTCCCAACTCGAAGCACAAGCGTACCAGGCGCAAGTATCTCATGCCCGAGTAACACAGCTCATTTCTGATCTAGAGTCTTGCGAATATAACAAAGAGGAGTTTGCCAGAATTCTTTCCGCAATTTCACAAGAGATAATTGGAGCGCCTGATTCATATGTGGAAGAGGTTGAAAAAATGTCAAATGCTGTAGTCGAACAGCGGTCTCGTGAAGCGATCAAGACTTTGATGGCCAATATGCCTCCGCAACATCATCGCATCAGCCTTGTTGATCAGACTGTGAACGTATCGCCTACTTTAGAAGACACCTTAGAGACATGGTATTCAAAGCTCAGAGAAATTATCAATGTTGCAGGGAATGATGCTGATATTGAGGCTGTTGGTGAAGCAATTTCGGAAATATTATCGAACTATCGTGCTGCTTCATCTTATCTTTCACAGTGGCTCGACTTTCAGTCTTTGTGGGATTTAAAGCCAGAAAGAGTTTTTGAGGAGCTTAAGAGTGACATTCAAGTTTGGTTGCAAGCGCTAGAGGAAATTCGACAGGCCCGTACCGATCTTGAACGCGGCGGAGGTGAGAGGAAGTTTGGCACTTTCATCGTTAACTTTTCGCAAGTTTATTGGATTATTAGCTCCAAGTATGACATGTGGCAGAATAATCTGACTCAAAGATTTGGTGAACTCGTTGCTGAATGGTCGGAACTATTCGCTACCTCACTTAAAACTCCCAGAGTTGCTCTTGAATCTCTGGTCATTAGTGACACACACCCTGAGGCTGTATCTCGATCAATAAATACAATCAAATTGGCAAAGGAGGCTATTGGAGACAATGCGAGTTCAAAATTGTCTTACTTGCGTAAATCCCAAGTTCTTTTAGCGCGACATCGATTCAACTTCCCGTCAAACTGGGTTTATACTGAGCAACTTAACGATGATTGGACTGATCTGCACACTCTGTTGATTGCCCGTGAATCTGAATTCGCATCCGCTCGCGATTTATTACGAACAGGCACTCAGCATGAGTTGCAGAGGCTGAGCCGCCACGTTACAGAGCTCCTAAGTCAGTGGGCATCTGGGAAACCTATCTCTGGGTCAACCAAACCAGAAGATGCACTGTACGCTCTTTCGAAGTTTGATGATTCAGTGAAAAAGTATTCACACACTCGCGACCTTGTTTATCAAGCGTGCGAGGAGTTTGATGTGATGTTCGATGTTCCCAGTCTTGACGACGTGGCTGAGGAAATCTCTGATTTTATTACAGTTTGGAAAGCTATTGACTCTGCATGGGGTGAGCTTCGGAGTCTTGAAAATACATCGTGGGATACCGTCAAGAGCCGTGCCGTTCGGTCGACTCTTAAATCTCTAGTAGAGCAAACCCAGGAAATGCCTGCTCGTGTGCGGCAATATGCTGCGTTCCAGCATCTTCAGAACGTACTGCGCCAGCGTATTGAAACTTCGGATCTCATTCAACGCTTGTTATCACCTTCAATGCAACCACGCCATTGGAGGGAGCTGGGCTCGGTCCCAAGCGTTTTAGGTGATGTTTGGGATCTTGATCTTTTCGTCAATCGTAATAAAGTTGAGGAACTACTAGAGGCAGTTGAGGGTGAGGCTCGACTTTCTGACTATATCTCAGAAGTTGCTGATTTTTGGTCCAAGTTCAAACTACAGCTCGTCCCGCTTCGCCAAATGAAGCTTATCAAAAACTGGAGCGAAATCTTCAACCATATTGACGAACACCTTCAGTCTCTCGCTACAATGCACCACTCACCACACTTTGCAGCTGTAGTTTCTGCCTGCAATGAGTGGGAACTTAAGTTGGCTGGACTGAAAGCTTTATTTGATACCTGGATCGAAGTGCAGCGCGATTGGGTGTACATGGACGGCGTATTCAACGCACCAGAATTGCGCCAAGTTCTGCCCATTGAGACCACAAAGTTCAACTCTGTCAACGCTGAGCTATTTGCTATTCTACGTCTAGTTATGCGGTCAGATCGTATTCTTGATGTCGCTGCTATTCCTGGTATTCATGAGAGCATTGCTAGATTGTCAGAGCAGCTTCGAAAAATCCAGCGTGCACTCGGTGAATACTTTGAGCGCGAGCGTCAACGATTTCCCCGTTTCTATTTTGTGGGTGACGATGATTTATTGGAGATGATAGGCACGCCACATAGCTGCGAGCGCCACTTGTCCAAAATGTTTGCAGGCATCTCCTCATTCTTAAGAAACAATGCACAGATTGTTGGTGTCGTCTCGCCACAAGGTGAGGAACTTATGTTTGCAGAAAGTGTGTCGGGTGATTCTGCCGCTTCGATTTTGCAGGAAGTCGAGCAAAAGTCAATGGCCGCACTTCAACGAGCCACCCGAGAGGCACTTGACACAATAGACTGGACAAATCTTGCGGCCTGGCTTGAAAAGTTCCCTAGTCAGGCTACGCTCTTGGCTATGCAGCTTTCGGAACCCCCTGCATTTGATGCAGTATTGTCTCAGTTGGCCGAGATAGCTGGAAAGAGTCAATCTATGTCTACGCTTGCTCGCCGTAAGCTTGAAGCAGCCATTACGCTACTTGTTCATCTACAGAAATCTGGCCGTCAACTGATGTATAGGTGGGGCGACGCTGACACAGTTTCGGTAACATTCTACGGTGCAACCTTTGATTACGGCTTTGAGTATCAAGGTGTTCCAGATGCACTTGTGCGCACGGAGCTTGGTGACGAATTGTTCTTAACATTGACACAAGCACTTGCCCAAAAACAAGGTGGTGCACCATTTGGTCCGGCAGGAACAGGTAAAACCGAAAGTGTCAAGGCACTGGGTCAAGCTCTTGGCAAATATGTGCTAGTTTTTTGCTGCGATGAGACATTTGATGTTCGCGCAGTGTCTCGTCTCCTGCTTGGTATTTGTCAAGTTGGTGCTTGGGGCTGTTTCGATGAGTTCAACCGACTCAATACTACCGATCTAAGCGCAGTTTCATCGCAGGTAGCCGAGATTGAATCTTCTCTCGCCCATGGTCGTGAATCTATTGAACTGGGTGGTCGCCGGGGCGCACTAAGTCCCCAAACAGGCCTGTTCGTTACTATGAACCCCAACTATGCCGGCCGTAATGCACTCCCTGAAAACCTGCGTAAACAATTCAGATCTTTTGCACTGACACATCCCGATAAAAAGCGTATTGCCGAGGTTATGCTCTATGCGCAGGGCTTCACACAAGCTGGATTTATTGCGTCTGCTATCGTTCCTCTATTTGAAAATATAGCAAGGAATTTGAGCGTGCAGAGGCATTATGATTGGGGACTACGTGCTTTAAAGAATGTTCTTCGCATCTGTGGAATGCTTAAAACCGTTGAACCAACAGAATTAGCTGCTGTGCGCAGAGCGTGTGCCGAGACTTTAGCACCGAAACTAGTTTCGCAAGATTTGGAGATATACAATGCTCTTGAGCAGGAGGCATTTGGAGGTGATAAGCCTAAGCTTTCTGTTCTCGATATTTCAGAAGCTGCGCGGAAGTTGAATCTCACACCGTCAGATGAGCTTGCCTTGAAAGTGACACAACTAAAAAGATTCCTAGAGCTACAAATTGGTGTTATTCTGGTAGGCCCCCCTGCATCGGGAAAAACCTCGTCGTTGCGTTGTCTCTCTAAAGTCTTGAATGCAGAAATCTACACGATAGACGCCAAAGTGATAAGCAAATCGGAATTGTATGGTCGTTTGGATCCAGTCACTCGTGAATGGACAGATGGCCTATTTACTTACCTTCTAAGGCGTGTGATCAATAACCTCAGAGGTGAGGATCGTAACGAACACTGGGTTGTGTTTGATGGCGATGTTGATCCTGAATGGGCTGAGAATCTGAACTCAGTGCTTGACGATAACAAAATTTTAACCCTGCCAAGTGGTGAACGTCTTCAAGTGCCATCGAACTTTCGTATTTTGTTCGAGGTTGCAGACCTAGCAGCTACTACGCCTGCTACCGTGAGTAGATGCGGTATTATTTGGCACGGGGAACGCAATGAGCTAGACACAACTGGGGTCGCATCCGAAGCGATGAAGCTTAATCATATCATGGGATTTTCTTCTATTCAGGCAGAAAAAAGCTACAATGCAATGTACAACGTGCTTAGCGAAAAGTCGGATGTTCCAGAGTATCTTGAGAAAGCTAAAATCTTGGCCCTTACCTGGGCATTTGCGGGACAGTGTTCATCAATGGAAAGAGCAGAATTCGCCAAATGGGTGGCTGCCAAGAACGGCGTAAATACTCCAGAAAACGTTCTCGAGTACGAGGTATCACCTTTCTCTGGACAGTGGGTATCACTGCGGGACAGCGTAGATGAAGTTGATCTTGAGCCCAGCTCTATCGTCGAACCAAATCTTGTCATCCCAACGATTGATACAGTTCGATTGGAGAAACTTCTTCTGCAGCTTTTAACATCTCATCAGCCGGTGATTTTATGTGGTCCACCGGGCAGTGGAAAAACAATGACACTTTTGAGTTGTTTGAGGGGGTCTGAGCTGATGGATGTCGTCCCGTTGAACTTTAGTAAAACTACCAGGACATCTCAGATCATAAGTACACTCGAGCAGCACTGTGTTTATTCGAATACACCTGACGGGATGATCCTTGAGCCAGCTGTGATCGGCCGTTGGATCGTGTTGTTCTGCGATGAAATCAACCTGGTAGCCCGGGATCGCTTTGGTACACAAGCTCCTATTGCATTACTGCGTCAACTTACGGAACACGGTGGGTTTTGGCGCGGTCATCGATGGGTCAGCTTGCGTAGGATCCAATTTGTTGGCGCCTGCAACCCGCCCACTGACGCTGGACGGATTCCTCTAAGTCCACGGTTCTTGAGGCACTGCACGATAATAAACGTGGGATATCCGACCTTACCATCCCTGAAGCAAATTTATGGTGTCTTCAGTAGTGCAGTGCTTAAATGTGTACCTGAACTGCGTGGTACAGCTACTGGACTATCAGATGCGATGCTCGAGATCTACGTTAATTGTGCGGAATCTCCTTTCTCAGAGAATTATGTATACTCTCCACGTGAACTTACACGTTGGGTCCGTGGTATCTACCATGCTATCACGGATCAGTACGACCTAAGTTTAGACGAGCTCGCACGTGTATGGGCCTATGAGGGCCTAAGAGTATTTTCTGACCGTTTGCGAACAAATGAGGAGCGTGATTGGACTATTGAAAAGATAACACAAGCTGCGAAAACCCATTTTGGAACATCTGATTTGGCATTACCACTACTCTTTAACCGTTGGCTTTCCCGCAAGTCACAGAACAGCAGCCGTAAGGCCCTCACAGAGTTCCTTCAGGCGAGAATGACTGTGTTTGCCGAAGAAATCGTAGACATGCCTTTGACACTATTCGATGAGTCTGTCGAGCACGCTTTACACATCGACAGAGTGCTAAGACAAGCGCAGGGCCATTTGATTTTGGTGGGAGCTAGTGCGAGCGGAAAAGCAACACTTGTGCGGTTTGTTTGCTGGATGGATGGAATCGCCACCTACCAGTTGAAGACTTTCAATGGTTACGGGGATGCTGAGTTCAGCTCAGACCTACGAACAGTCCTTCGGAGTGCTGTGGCTGCACCTATCTGCTTGTTGTTAGATGAGTCTCAACTGAAAGACTCAGCCTTTATTGAGAAAATGAACACATTATTGGCCAATGGTGAGGTTCCTGGACTTTTTGAAGGAGACGAGATGGCTTCGTTGCTTTCCGTTTGCAGATCTTCAGGCGCGACTGGCGATGACGAAGATGTTCTGCGCTGGTTTACAGCACGCATCACCTTACACCTTCATGTTGTGTTCACTGTGGGCGCATCTTCATCGCTACTAGCATCACCTGCTCTGGTAAATCGCTGTGTTTTGAATTTCATGGGGGATTGGTCGCAGCCGTCGCTTCTACAGGTGGCTGAGGCGCGGACTTTTCTTTACGATGCGGCACGTGAAACTCCATCTGCAATGGTTTCAATTCATGGAATTGCCAGCCAACACCTCCAGGTCTCGCCCGGTCACTTTATCGCTTTTATCAATCTATTCTGCAAGCTTTATGCTATGAAGAAAGGCGAGCTCGAGGAGGACCAGAGGCATTTCAATGTGGGTATCGATCGACTGAAAGGCACAATGCTTGAAGTACGAAAGATGCGAACAAGACTTGCCTCGAAGCAAGAGGAGCTTGCAGTGAAGCAAAAGAGTGCGAAGCAGATGCTCCAACGTATGCTTGCTGAACAGTCCGAAGCAGAGCGGAAGCGTGAGGCCAGTATTGAGATTCGTGCTGCGGTAGAGGAGCAAAATAAGGTGATTCAGGAGCAGCAGGAGCAGGTCTATGCAGACTTGCAACGCGCTGAACCAGCTGTGAGAGACGCCCTCCAGGGTGTTTCCAGCATCAAAAAGCAACATCTAAATGAGCTTCGAGCGTTTACAAACCCGCCAGAAGCTGTGAAAATTACTCTTGAAGCTGTATGCGTGTTACTCGGTAGGACACCGTCTTCTTGGCGAGAGGTTTTGCAGCATGTTCGCAGTGACGATTTTATCGCCAATATTGTGCGTTTCGATAATGAACGTCAAGTAACCCCGCAGATTCTTCGACAGCTTCAAAAGTATTTGGATCTTCCAAATTTCAACTATGAGGCTGTGAATCGAGCGTCAAAAGCCTGTGGGCCACTTTTGCAGTGGGTGTTAGCCCAAGTTGCGTATGCTACTGTATTACGGCGAGTCGAACCTTTGAGAAGGCAGGTCACTGAGCTCGAAAAAGCCGCCAGGGAGAAACAAGCTCAAGAGGCTGCAATTAATGAGATGATTGATGAGCTTGAACGTAGCATTGAGCAATACGAAACTGATTATGCGGCCCTAATTGTAGAAGCACAGGCTGTAAAACAAGACATGGAAGCTGTCGACAGTCGTATTAGCCGCAGTGTGGATCTAATTGCCAGTCTAGACTCAGAAAAAACTCGCTGGGGAGAATCAGTAAAGCAGTTCACTGCTGTTAGACAGCGCCTTCTCGGCGACTGTCTGGTTTCTGCCGCGTTCGCGGCTTATGCTGGAGCACTAGATCAAAGGCGTCGAATTGAGCTAATTGATGAGTGGCTGCTCGTCTGCGAAGGCAATTCGATTGCCTTTACAGAGGGCATTGATATTGCGACATACCTCACCGGCAAACCATCATTTGGAGATGCTCTAACTGTTGCGAATGCAGCTATTTTGGCTAGGTGTGATCAGTACGCATATGTTATTGATCCCACTGGCGAGCGTGCTCTGCAAATTATACGCGATCAGCATCCCCAAGTTGTAGTTACTTCTTTCAATGATGCGGCATTCCAAAAGCACGTGGAAAGTGCGTTAAGGTTTGGAACTGCTGTGGTTATAACGCATGCAGAATCTTTCGATCCATTGGTTATGCCTATCATCAACAAGGAGTATACACGCCGAGGAGGACGTGTACTGGTTGAGTTTGCGAACATTGAAGTTGATGTTAGCCCCAAGTTCACACTCTTCCTGCTTACATCTGATGCCCAGATATCTCCTCCTGAGCATTTATCTGCTCGAACTACAATGGTGAACTTCACTGTCACTCGTAACAGCTTGGAACTTATTGCACTCGAAAAATCTCTGGACTCACACCGGCCTGAACTTCAAAAGAAAAGAACTGAGCTAGTCAAGGCTCGCACAGAGTATCAGGTCAAGCTTCATGGCTATGAAGTTCAGCTCCTAGAGTCGCTCAATGACGCGGGAGAGGAGATTCTAGACAACCAGCCCGTGATGGATACTCTTGAGAGAGTGAAGAAGCAGGCGGAGTATGTCACCTCCCAGATCAACGAGGCCGAGGCTGCCATGGAAGCTGTAGCAGCAGCCACAGCAGAATTTGAGCCGATAGCGCTACACAGCGGCCGTCTCTTTTCATTGATCGATGAGCTGAAAGCGGTGCATCATTTCTATCAATTCCCATTGGAGTTCTTCCTTGATGTACTCGCGAAAATTCAACCAACTGCAGAAACTATATCTGAACTCTACCATGAGGTTTATAGGCAGGTTGGGCCTGCTTTGAGACAGGTTGATCGTCCCGCATTCGCGGCCCTATTATTGTCGCTGTTCACTGACAGCGAAGTTGGTGTTGCCGAACTTGAATCCAGCACTGAGTTGGGTACTTTTGAGCGACTTTCAGCCGAAACATCATGGTTGGAAGCAATCAAGAAGGCCACACGCCCTGTGCTGTTTGGGATGTCTGGTGCTGATCCTACACTTCAGGTATGTCGACTTGCAGAAGCTTGTCAAGTTGATTGTGTGGTACTTAGTCTGGGCTCTATCCAGAGTACAAGTATCCTAGACAATGCTATCCAGAGGGCAGCGAGTCAGGGGCAGTGGCTGTTGTTGCAAAATGTTCATCTTGATGCCAAAGCGACATCATTGGTTGTGAATCTGCCAGCAACTCCCCACTCATCTTTCCGTCTCTTGATGACATCGAACATATCTAGTACACTTGCAGCTCCATTCCTCCGGAGATGTCACCTTCTCTGCGTCGAAAGACCTGAAACGGTTACAATGGGTGTTTCCGAAGCCCTGGCCTTTGCTGGTAAGGGGATCAGCCAGCCACCAGCAGAAAGGGCAAAGATATACCTTTCTGTTTGTTGGCTGCATGCGGTTGTTGTCGAAAGGTGGGCAGATCAGTATTCCTTCAGCGATGCGGACCTCCAGGCTGCGCTCTGGACTGTTGATCAATGGGTCCCGAAGACAACTAGATCCAACGTTGACCCTGCATCGCTTCCCTGGGATATTTTGCGGGATTTGATTTTCTCTGCTGTGTATGCGGCAAAGATGGATGGTGCGGACGATCGCGAGGGCTTGAGGGCGCTAGTTGATAAGCACCTAACTGTCGAACTGTTTGAGGTTGGATTCAGATTCTGCGACGATGTGCAAGTCCCAGAGTACGACAATCAGTTGTCGGAATGGGTATCTGGTTTACCTACGAAACACAGACCAAGTTGGCTGGGGTTGAGCGAAGAGGTGCAAGACAAGCGCAACGAGGACAATTATGCTGTGACGGTTGCGACCGCAGAGACACTACGTAGAAATCTTGGAATTTAGCGTTTAATTATTGAAACATTTGCATCTACTCGATTTTTTCATGGGTCATGCAGCTCAAGAAGTGACTTTGTGTGGCATAGTACTATGCACGGGGTTGGGGTGAATGTAAGACATTTACGGGAGGTAGTAGATGATGGCCGCAGTGACTGGGAGTTTGCAACATTCAGCACAGTCGGTCGCTCAGCAAACACCGCACCGTTTGACGCCTGCATATTTGGCACTGCGATTGCAGTCTGGCGAGTATGCTATGCGCTTGGGCGGGTAGTGTTTCTTGCAACTTGTTTTCGCGGGCCCAAGCCTACGAAGCAAAAAACAGGATGCTACGAATTGCCTAGCTTTGGACTCTACGAGCATGAGCGTCTCTGGGCTGATCGCATAAACCCCGTCTGCATTCAAATAGAATTGGGCGTCGGGCGATACGGCTGGCTTTTTGCCCAACTGCGTTTAAGGTGTCGTAGTGTGCGAACCGTGGTAGTATGGGGGCTGTGGCAGTACTGGAGCTGCGGTAATGCTGGTTCCGTGGTAATAATCCTGGGCCTAGGGTATGATGTGTAATATTCATCGTTCAGTCCAGATTACTAAGAGGGACACCGTAAATCGGTCCTGGCCGTGTGAGATTAGTCAGACTTCCAGCGAACTGGAATTATCGGACGCGAAACCACCCAGGGGGATTTCCACATTTTTGAACAGTTTTTGCTTTGATTAATTGCCAGATACACGGGGCAATGGACAGTCTCTTGGAAGAGACAATTTTTGGCGGAAATGAAGCTATTTCGGCTGGCCTGCTAAGCCGTAAAGCGCAAGTCACGATCCAGGATGCTCGAAAGGCCATGGAAGTGTTTTACAAAAATTCAAAGACTGCGTTGAGCGCGTCTTTTGTTGTTTCGGGCCTGAAGGGCGGCCACGATTCGAAATGTACAGTTTTCAAGTTGGTAGAGGAGTCGAATATTGAGCTCACCAAGCAGGAGCTTAAAGGGCCTGTTTCGGTTGATATTTATGCAGTGGGTCCTAACAATGTGACTGATGAGGCTATCCTGGCCAACTTGGCACATTCGCAACGAGCAGCGGACGCGCAGCTGACTCTTGAGGATCTCGAAAAGATTGGGTTCATTGTCAACCCATTGGTATCTGAGACCTCGTTGCGGACAGCGTACCAAAAGCCTGGTGTTTGCCAGGTACCTGCGAAGCAAGAACTACCAGCAGAGGTCAAAAAGGAGCCCAAAGAACCCGCAAAGCCCAAAGAAGCCAAACCTAGAGAGGCTGTTAAGCCCAAGGCGGCGCCCAAATCCAAGTCGCCGTTTGCACGTATTTCTAAGGAAGAAGCAGTTGCTAAAGCGTTTGATCGCCGGCCGAACCAGACCGCTGTTGCAGAAAAAGTTGTAGTTGCAGATGATGTCGACGACGTGATGGAGGTTGACAGTGATTCTGAGGAACAGCGAAAGAAACTGGAGACTCTATTCGACGATGACTCGATGCAGGTTGATTCTGAGCCTGAGGAACCCGACGAACCTGAGGAGCCTGAGCCTGAGGAGGTAGACATCGCAAACGAAGACGAGCCCAATGCTGAAACAACTCCCCAAGCTGAACCAGAGCCAGAGCCAGAATTTCGCAAAGGCCGCAAAAAGGTCACTCAAAGGCGGCATTACGAGGACGACGAAGGTAATCTTGTCACCAAGACCGAGGAGGTCTGGGTTTCGTGCGACGAGGAAGAGGAAGAACCGATCCAGCCGAAGCCCGCTCCAAAACCCGCTCCAGCAAGCAAGCCTCTGCCTAAAATCCCCAAACGCACCACGCAACAAGCCACGCTTATGAATTTCTTTTCTAAAAAAGCCTAGCTGTAGATCAGTAAGTGTCTTGTGTCTAATATACCATTCATCATTCAAAGCATTTATCATACGAATGTCTCATTTATCATACAAGACAGTCAATTTATCATACAACATGACCCATTCCATCGCACAAGATAGTGCATTTGTCGCACAAGATAGCCCGTTTATACACAAGAATCTATTACACATGATATCCCATTATACACAAGAGCCCTCACATCCTATTTATACAAAATAGCCCATTTAATAAAACCTCAATGAATCCCAGTAGCCCCAGGCTCCCACTACTTATGATCCGCTGACCCGCTGCTGACGAAAGCGTTTGCATCGATGAGTGAAAATTTCAAGTATGACTTGACGGAGAGTATGCTGCCCTTCCTGGACCGCCAGCTGGCGCATTTGCTTTTGGAATCTGCAGCCAAGAACGGTTCGACTGACGCTGGCCGTATAGACGCGCAGGTGCTCGAGGGCACGTTGCTTATTTCCGCGATCTCCGCCGCCGGCGGCGATGTTGCCAAAGCGGAAGCAGCAAAGAAGGACGCCGAGGCAAAGGCGGCTTCCGGTGACGACTCTGTGCGAGCCAAGTTCGCCTACGACTCGGGCGACTATTCCAAGGCCCTCGAGCTTCTCTCGTCTGTCTCCACCCCTCAGGCTGCTTGGGGTAAGCTGGCCGCAGGTATCATGAACGGAGACTTTGCAACGGCTATGGACAGCTTGCAGAAAGTCCAGGAAGGCCTTGATGCCAAAGGAACCGATGCCCTGCACCAGCTCAACAACCGTGCTTGGTTTGTTCACTGGGCCCTGTTTGTGCTGTTCCGGGTCGACGGCGGTGTTGACAAGCTGTGTGAGCTTTTCTTCCAGTCCAACTACATGTCTACTATCCAGGCGTCCTGCCCGTGGATCCTGCGCTACCTCGCGGTTGCTGCATTGATTTCCGCCGCCGCCAATAATAACCACCACCACGCGCACCGCCGGATCAAGGAGCTGGTTCGCGCAGTTGTTCAGGAACTGTATGAATACGAGGATCCTGTTCTGTCGTTCATTAAAGCGCTTTATGTTGACTACGATCTCTCCGAGGCAACCCGCCAGCTCCAGCAGGCTCAGGAGCTGGTTGCTGGCGACTACTTCGTCAACGGCCATACCGCGGCTTTCGTCAACGCTGCCCGTTTGCTCATTGTGGAACTGTACTGCCGTGTCCACCAGTGTGTCAAAGTCGAGAGTCTTGCCAAGGTCGTCAACATGCCCGAGGCCGAGTGCGAGAAATGGCTGTACAGCCTGGTCAAGGACAATAAGATTGACGGCAAGGTCGATGAGGCCGCCAAGGTTGTAAAACTCAACTCAAAGCGCCAAAGTGCCTACGACCAGATCATTGACAAGACAAAAAACCTGGACCAGCGCAACGCCCAACTCTTGGCCCAGGTTCACGCTAAACATGAAGCTTAGAGTCTACATACTAATCTATTTCATATTCTTTAAAGTCGGTTCTTCTTACGTGCCATTGCTGCAGTGATCTTTTTCATGCTTGCGAGCGACCTGTCATGCGTTTCCTTGAACACGCTTGTTTCCCGAGCCTTGTTGTAGAACGCACTGAGACGCGGATACGCATCAATTGAGCCCCCGCCCGTGATAAAAGAGAGGACCTGGCAGAAAACCGCAATGTCCGCCATGGTATAGGTGGACCCGACGAAGTGGCCATTGTCTTGCACCAGCCTGTCGAGAACCTTCAGAACCGCCTGAGCTTTTGCAATGGCTTTGTCCACGGTCGGCTTGTCGGTGATTCCGCGCAGCATGAGACCCATTACCCCCACGGAGATGATGCGACCGTCCGTCTGCGCGTATTTTGAAATGAAAATAACCTTCGATCTTGTTTCGGGGTCCCCACCATAGAGACTCTGGGGGCCGTTGTTGTTAACTTTCCAGTCGAAATAAGTAGCCACCGCGTCGGAATCGGAGATAGTAAAGCCGTTGTCGTCAACCGCTGGCAACCGACCTAACGGAGAAGCTCTCTGGAAGTCCGGTTCCTTTCCATGGGGAGAAGTAGGGACGTATTTGTACTCAATACCGAGCATCCGCAGAGCCACCTCGGCAATGTTGCCGTATGGCGAGACTGGAGCGCTGTACAAAGTGACTGTCATAATGACTACCCCGCGAAGGGGGTTAGGGGGTGGATTCTGCTGATCGATCGGCAAGCTTCCCCATCATAGCCTCGGCATCGGAAAGGATCTTGCTAAACCTGGCCTCTTTAATTGCCTTCTCATACGCACTTGACAGCTTGGGGTGCTTGTTGTTGTCGAGTGTCTGTCGAGCAAGATGGTAGGCCATCAAGCGCGCAACCAACGCCGTATCAGCAGCCGTGTAGCTACTTCCAACAAAATGGCCATTATCCTGCAGCTCAGACTCCAGATAGTCAAGGACCTTGATAGCATTTCGCTGGATCTCGGTCAATTGCTCGATGCTGCCGCCGTTCCGGAAGTGCCTGAAGAACCGGCTGGCTAGGTCGAACCCTTCGATCTGAAGATACTTTTCAAACTTGACAATTCTGGCCCGGGATTGTGGGTCATTACCAAAAATCGACTTCTTGTCGTTGCCGTGCAACTTGTAGTCAAAATAGGAAACAATTGCTGTGGAATCGTCAACTGAAAAATCGCCGTCAGTAAGTGCAGGAACCTTGCCTAACGGCGAGACCCTTACAAACTCTGGGTCTTGGCCGTGGGGGACTGCTGTGACGAGTTTGTAGACGACACCTAGCTCCTCGAGCCCAGCGCGAGCAATCAAAACATGGGGCGATGCTGGGATTCCATACAGTATAGGCGTCATGTAAAGAACGCCACTCTTTGTCGCTGCTAAAGCATACGTAGGGCAAGGTTATTCAACCGCCTCGCTTCGTCGCAGCTCAATATATGTAGGGTATAAGGTTTTAAACATGTGGGGGTAGGGTTTTAGATGTAGATGTGAAAGTAGAATTCGAATGAGCTAGCGCTGGCACAATGAACCCAGTCCAAAGACATTTCTTATCTAAATGACCTCACCTTAAACGTAATATACGCATAGATCATTTCTAAAAGTACCACAGTTATCCTTAGGTAAGGGCAAGGGTATTCGCCCGTCTCGCATTTCGTCAAAATGGACCACAGTGAGCACAGTTCTGCAACCTTGATCATGTTATACTACAGGGTAAGCTAGGGAAAAAAATACTATTCACACTTTACTTTTTGGCAAAGAATTTGGCGGCCATTTCCTTGCTGGCATCAGCAGGTTCGGAGAAAGCGGGCAGCTCACTGGCCTTCTTGTAGAAGTCGCTCAGCTTGGGGAACTTATCAGCATCAAGCACCTCAAAAAGCTGGTACGCTGTCAGGTGGCTGTAGATAGCGACATCAGCAGCAGTGTAGGTCGAACCAACAAAGTGACCATTGTCTTGGACGTGCTTCTCCAAAAACTCAATGGTCTTCAGAGCTTCTTTCTTGGCCTCGGTAAGAGCCTCAGTATCGTCAGGGGTCCTGAACATGATGCCCACAAGCTTGGAGGAGATAGTGGTTCCGTCGCTCTGAGCAAACTTTTCAAAGAAGGCGATGCGAGCCTTGGTCGCGGGGTCGGATCCAAACAAGCTGCTGGAACCGCTGGCGCTAGCAACAGCGTCAACATACACGGCAATAGCAGTAGAATCGGCAATGCTGAAGTCACCGTCAACAAGTGCCGGGATCTTGCCTAGAGGAGATGCCTTGACAAACTCGGGGTCATCGTTGTGAGGAAGGACGGGAATTTGCTCATAGTCCCCGCCAACTAGCTTGATGCTAATTGCAGCAACTAAAAAGTAGGGAGACATGGGTGAACCATAAAGCTTGTAAACCATTTTGCGTGTTTGTTGTCAAAACGATGATATGGCATAACGTTATATACTACAGTTGGGGTTAGGGCCGGCAACGTTCGTCCGGACTTGTGACCTGTATTTGACATTTGTGTTTGTTATTTTTCAAGAAACCCCGCACTTTCTCGGCCCAACTGCTGGGATTATCACCCGGCTCTCTTTCGGGCTGTTTTGGGCAGGCCCTGAATTGAATGTGCTAGAACCTACTATCGGCCCGCCGACCGCTCACCAGGGGTGCTTCGGTGGTCCCTTACTAAGAGTGCATGTAACGGCATCAGTTTGCAGAATCAACGTGCGTACCCCAGTCTGGCCATCAAAAGAGATATCTCTGCATTTGTTGACCACCCCAGGGGGCTATCCAGGTCGAGTTGTGCCAGCCTGTCCGGAATCGCGCATTTTTCACCCGATCCGAGCTGCTTTACAAGCCTCGTTTCATCTCTGTACAGATTCGCCTTTTCCACAACAAAAAGCGTCTCATCGGTTTCCAAAGCAGCACTTACTTGCTCGCCGATCGGAGCCAGACCCTTGCGCTGCTTTGCACGGAAGCCAGGAGATATCAGTTCAACTAAGCGTGCCTCGCAGTATCGGGGCTCCCAAGCCGTTGAGGCGCCGACGATCTCTGATGCAACCTGTCCTGCACGATCTCTCAGCATCTCCTCGTCATCAGATAGCAGCATGTAGATTTGATAAAACAAGCTATCTTTAAAGTTCTCGTCCATTTCTGGCTTCTTGCTCAAGAAGCTTTGACATGACACCAGGGCACTCAGGCGGGCGGCAGACGGGCTGTCGTCCTGAGCAAAGTCGCACACCGCGTTGAGCCACTGATCTCGCTCTGCATCGGCCGCGGTCGCAGCAAACTTCCCGAGAGATTCCAAGGCCTTTTCGCGAACGCTTTGTGCTTCTTTTTCATCTAACAAATAGCTCAAGTCACCAAAGTTCCCCTCGTCCTTTTTTGAAATCGCGTCAAGACAGGCTACTTTGACAAAGGGGTTTTTTGTTCGACCAAGCAGGCCAAGAAGTGGAGCATATAGCTTGGCAGAAACGTGACGGAGCTCATCCAGCACCGAAAAATGTACGTCGTCCACATCACTGGCCAGAAACTGGGCAACAACGTCATCGTCGACCCCATCTTTCATTTCTCTGGCAGCAATCAACCCCTTTAAAACATTCTCGCTTGGGCTCAAGTACGGTGAAGCCTCAGCCCATACAAACTTTGGCTTCATACCGAACTTCTCAAGCAGTTTAAAGACCTCAACCCGTGTCTCGGGGCTCTTGTTGTTGAAATACAATTCACCTGCCCGCTGCCGAAGCTTGGTCAAAATCTCTTGGTTTGTTGTATCAACTTTCAGTGAGTTCAACGCCATCGCGTGGCCATGTAGCAGGTTTTGATTCTGAACAGTGCAAGCATCAATGAGCTCCAAAGCACTCTTGACGGTATTATTGGGCTGGATGATTGCCGCGAAAACCCATGCCGCCATTTCACGAATTTTCCAAATTGCACTAGACAACAGCTTGTAGATCGGGGCCTCAAAATCAACTAGACCGTCGTAGTTGCCCACACTCTCCAATCGCAAAAGCAACGATAGGATGGGGTACACGGTCTCTAGATCAGCCGACGATGCTGAAGCGACATAAACATTCAAGTGGTCATAAAGCAGCCGGCGGATAGACTTGAATCTAGTAAAGAAAACTCGTGCAGACATAGAAGCAACTCGCACACCAAAAAGACGATTATGCAGTGTGCTGAAAAGCATAACACCGCAATTACGGATTGCCCACACTGGAGAAGTGAAAGCCATGATCGCGAGCACAAGCGCTCGTTCCACATGACGGGCTGTTGGCTTGGTCAGTAGTGATTCCCATAGTGTCGCCTTGATACAGTTGAAAGCGTGCACCTGGGGTAAATCAAGTTTAGACTCTTCGGTAGAAATAGGAATAGGAATGTTTGCGATCTCGAAAAGCCTGTCCATAACCCTGTCTACTGCCGGTTCTAATGGCTTCGGATGCGAAACCAAAATACTCGTCACCAACAGCGGAAGCCCCGCCGACCGTCTGGTAATTAACTTGGTGTGAATTAGGATCTCCTGCAGGTGCGTTTCGAGCCACTCTAGCGGTAATGACTGGAGGGTGGGAACAGCATAGCACCGGCTGCAGCAGGCCTGAAGAGGCCCGGTAATCGACATAAAAGCACCCCGGTGGCGAATGGAAGTGAGCTGCTCTATCAAGAGTTCGCCAAGAGGTTTGAGCTGCTCTACTTCAAGCACGGGCATCAGAACCATTAAAAGATTAGCAGACTCGCGAACTGCCCGCCAAGAATAGCTCAAAATCACTTGGCCTAGAGCACCATACTTGCTTGAAAGGCCCTCTTCAAACCCTGCGTCTGAGGGCATCGGAATATTGCCCTCAGGCGCACCATTAGTTAAGACATCACGCGTGGCAACCCAAATCTGTGCGGCACATTCTAGCATTCTTGTGATAGTCTCTTTGCTTGCTGTCTGCTTGTATCGCTCTGTCTCTGCAATCAGGGCCAAGGACTGGAAGTATCCGTGAACTCCATGGTCCTCGACGGCACTTTTCAAGTCATTGACTGCCATGGATACCTTTTGTTCTGTTGACTCCAATAATTTATTAAGATAGTTTTGACTTCCCAGGTCATCATAGCTCCTGTAAACGAGTTGAGCCACCCGGGCACCACCATCGCCCTGTCTACCGCGGACTCCAGCGATCAGCGGTTCCGCAAAGGCAGCAATTTTGTCAACCTGTTCGTTGTTTTCCAAAAATGGAACTGGCGTAGGGGCCATCTCGATGAGCTTAGCCGCAGCACGACGAATATCCTGGTAGTCATTAGGAATATTGTTGATGAGGTCACGCACAAGGTCGCGGTCGAAGATGTCGACAGAGAATGCAAAAGGAACGGGCGAGGCTTCGAAATGTTTCGAATCCACACGCTTATCAAGACCACTGACTGCTAGCAGTTCAAGGTACTGAAACGCTGTGACAAGACCACGATACGGTGTTCCTGGTTGAAGAAGTTCTGACATGTATGAAGGTAGCCAACCGAAGAATTCCTTGGCCTCAGTGACCTCCGTGGGCTCTCCTTCTCCTTTAAAGTCACGGACAATTCCATACGTGGAGCCACGGACCCTGAACACAAACTGCCTCAAAAGCCCATATACTTGATTTCGGAACTTGGGATCAGCCTCGCACAGAAGTGCATCTGAATTCTGCTTGATGGCTTCATAAGTAGACCGGGGTACAGGGCGTGACGTTTGTTTGGAAATAGTCAACAGGGAAAGTACCTCGACCCTGAGCGATCTCGAAGCGTGGTGTAGGCATTCGGTCATCGAGCTGTCCATATATCTAGAGATATCCAGGTCCAACTCATGGGCTACTTTCAAGCACCCGGTCGCATCTTCCAGCGAGGGGTCTGGAATACCCCCGTAAAATGCGTCAAATACTTCTAAAGGTTGACCGCGGAGGATCAACGGAAGAAAGTATATCAGCACGTTTGTGCGCGAGGGGGATTTGAGCGAACGGTAGACATACTGGGACCATTCGCGTACCCATTGGTTACGATCTGTGCCCTTGTGGAAATGCAAAAGTGATGCAAGAGCTTTGCCAACAGGGTTTGCATGTTCCAAGGTGCTCATGAGTGCAAACGCACGGTTATAAAAGCCCTGTTCAAGACCCCAGGAATAGGGATTGGGCAAGAACTTGGCCAAGGGCTCAATAACATAGTAAAGAGCTTTGTTGGATGAAGGAAATGCAGCGATATAGCGAACCCAGCTTTCTGCAGAGTTTTCGGGGTACAGTCGAGTCTTTAGCGACAAAAGCTTCTTAAAAAGATCCCTTAAAGCATTGGACAGTGCAGGAGTTGCATCGTTCCAGTTGTCACAAATAAAATAATATATTTCTGTCAAACTTTCTAGCGAAACCACCTGGACAGCTGCCCCAGGGTCGTTGATCTGGAGGCAGCGCTGAATCCAAACACTGACGGTATCGGCTGCTGCAGTTCTTCCGGAGATAGTTGCGGTCCTTAGAAGGTCCAGAACATTTTGATAGTTTACAAAGAGCCAAGAATGGTCCAGGTCATTAATTGGCGTTCCAACTAGAGCTTGACGAAGGTCCATGATTACAAAAATTCACTTTGCAGATTTTTCAGTTCTGAAATTTACCTGTCATTGTAAGAAAGCGCTTTTTTGAATAAAACCATGAAATTGCTTGGATTAAACAGCCAATAAATAGCGAATATTGCGTCATTGATGTGGTATAATTGAGTTTGTTATCCGTGTGTACAGTGCAATCTCAGTTGGCTCGGGTAAGGGCTATAAGCACAGTCAAAAGAGCTGTGCACCTGGATCGGAAGTTTTCGAGATGTTCTAGTCCATTTTGTAAAATCTCATGATCTTCAGATAAGTACAGAATAAGTTTAGCAATTGGAAAAAGAAAAATTCCAAAAAAATTTAGAAAATTCCAAAAAATAAAATAAAAAAAAAAACTGCAGCACCTTCTGTTCTCACATGGTCTCCCACTGTAATACTTGGTAAGGCTCTCAGATGGTTCAATAGGACTGATCGGACGGGAAGTCTTGCTTTCATCTGGATATGGCCGCAGCCGTTCAAACATAACTTTCTATGAATATATGCCTTTTCACAGAATTTAGTATAAAGAAAAAAATTCGATTTCAGCGCCGCTAATGCATGAAAATAAAATAAATTCCTGTTGCTGGTGATAGATATGTATCAAGGCTTGCATCAGGGTAAGTATGTGTACAACCCTGCTCAAATACGGTGCATGCAATCTAGCCCTAGGGATCGTAGTCAACTACCACAATAAACACGGCCAAAAGATACGCAGACAGTTATAAGGCCTAGAATGGCCACGAATCGACCAAATCCTACTAGTTTAAAATGCTGAACGGCAAAAAAAAAAAGACGACCTCGGAGAGGGTCGAACTCTCGATCTTACGATTAACAGTCGTACGCCTTAACCAACTTGGCCACGAAGTCATGAAAATAAAGCGACCTCGGAGAGGGTCGAACTCTCGATCTTACGATTAACAGTCGTACGCCTTAACCAACTTGGCCACGAAGTCCGCTTCTGGCATCGATACGAAATTAGCATACATGTAGCCATCCCAGTTACCTAGCGCTGGCAAAGTTGTTTAAATGCCACCCAACGTAAATATAAGAACATTTCTTGACGTTAACAGAAAATTCACGAGCGTAGAATAGCGCGGAATCAACTAATTCCTGGTTTCCTCCAGCGGTCTGGTCGCGCGATATTGAAAACGGAGGTCGCGCTTACCAAAGCTATCCACTTGGCATGATTCTCGCTGCATCAGTTTGTACGCGTGCCGGCAAAGTCCTGCTGTCACGGCAGTTCCAGGCCATGAATGCCGAAAAGGTGCAAACTATACTGTCGCGACTTCCAAGACTAGCCACGGCGGGGTCACAACATACCGTGGCCGAAGCTGAAGGGGTTCGCTACGTGTACGAGCCAGTTGAGGAACTGTATCTGGTGCTGCTGACGGACATCGATTCCAATATTGTACAGGATCTGAAAACGTTACGGCTGCTTGTGCAAACGCTTTCATTCTGTCTTGGAGGTGTGCCCGAAACGGAGCGTCTGGTTGCTGAAAAAGCGTTTGACATCATTATGGCGTTTGATGAGGTGGTCGCTGAAGGGTACAGTGAAGATTTGACGCCCAATCAGGTAGAGACATTCTTGGAGATGGATTCGCACGAGGAAAAGATCCAACAGATCATTGAGCGCAACAAGGAGCTCGAGGCCGCCGAGGAGCGTAAAAAGAGGGCCAAGGAACTCGAGGCCCAGCGTCGGGCTACGGCTCGTCAACAGTCAGCTACGTCTATTTCTAGCACCTCAACCCTAGGATCTAACCGGTACGATGGCTATGCGTCGCCGTTTACTCAGGACCCGGCCCCTCAAGTTGCGTTTGAGCACAACAGCTTGCAGCTTGGACCAGTTCCCGTAAGGTCAGGCGGTCAGAGCCAGCATAAACCACGGGGACGTGGGTTACAATTAGGAAAGAAGAGCCGAGAGGAACAGCCGTTGATGGCGGATATTGACCTGCCTGCTGCGGCGACTCCGCCCGTGGCCACGAGGCCTGGAGCAGCCACATCTGCAGCTGGCGCTTCGCCTGTGGCTTCGCCTGTGACTTCGCCCAGACAAGCTCACACTGTCCCTGCCGCCGCATCAACGGGCGCATATAATGCCGCGCCGGCAGCGGCTGAGAAGACGGAGGTGACGATTGCCGAAGGGCTGACCATTGAGACCACTCGGGACGGCCAGGTGCAGAGCGCGCGGGTATCTGGTACGCTGCATGTATTTGCTGCTGATCGGAGCAACCCTCGCCTGCGGATTCTCACCCGAACGGGCGGCAGTGCTGGTTCGTACAAGACGAATCCCAAAATGGACCGGGCATTGTTTGCTCGACAAAACACACTGGGCCTTCGCGACGCCAACGAGGATTTCCCCGCGTCTAATGTTCTGCTGGTCAAATGGACCGTGGACAACATCAAGGTGCCTATCACCTTCAACGTTTGGGTTTCCGAGGCGAGCGACCCTGGATTTTTGACAGTGACTCTAGAGTACGAGCTGGACCCAGAATTCGAGGGCGTTCTGGAGAACGTCGGTGTGTCGGTTCCGCTGCCCACGTCGAACGCACATGTGTCTGATCCCAGCAGCGTCTACGACCAGTTTGACGACCACCTTGTGTGGATGCTGCCGCTCGTCACGGCTTCTGATGCCCCTACTCCTTTCGAGTTCACGGCAGAGGCGGACTCCGAAGATGACTTTTTCCCGATGCAGGTCGAGTTCACCGTCCGCGACGCGCCCTCTGCATTTGGGCTCATTGACATCGAAGGCATCTTGGTCGCGGACACCCAGTCGGCTTTGCCGTTCTCCAAGACTGTTCAGGTTAAAACAGAATCGTATGTTATTCGCTAGATGTTTATAAACTTGTTTCTACAACAACTAAAAGAAAAAACCAAAGCAGGGTAACCCAGCCAGAGCGGACCTGCCTTACTCTTTTTGGGTGCCAAAGCCCTTGATTTGGGAGGCGAACTTCCAGCTCATGTTTTCGCACTTTGTCTTTTCGATCTGCACGCCGGCTTCTTTGGTGATGACGGCAACGTGGTAGGTGTCTGTGGCCCGTCCGTCGCGGTAGAAGAGCACCTTCATGGCTTCCTCAATGGCCTTTCTGGCCTGCTCGTAGGTGACGTTTTTTTCGTCGCCGTCGTTGTCGACAAGCTTGCGCAGCAGCGGAATCGCGAGGTAGTTGCCGAATCCCGTGGCGAGGCAGCCCGACTGGTAAGTGACGCCGAGCAGGTCGACGTAGGCGAGGTAGGGCTCGTCGTTCTTGAAGCCGGCAACGAGAATCGAGTTCCACAGAGGGTCCATGCGCGAGCGCTGGTAGTACAGCAGTCGTCGCAAGTACATGTGGATGCTGGGGGCGGTAGGCCCGGGATAGCCATCAGCGTCGTAGTTGGCCTCGATCTCGAGCTGGTCCAGCGTGTCCTGGATGTTTTGCATGTCCGAGACGTCGCCGCTGATGCCGACGACAGTCTGGTCACCGACCTGGAACAGCCGCTGCTCGTCCACAAACCGGCGCAACGAGCCGTAGGAGGCGAGGGTGTCTGCGGCGAGAATCACGCCCTTGTCGAATTTGATGCCGATGACGCTGGAGCCAGTGACCGTGGGCTGCAGAGTGCGTGTTGTCGGCTCGTCGTGCGACCCGGCATTATGAATAGCAAAGTCGTACTCGCCGTACACATCGTTTCGGGGCCTGCCCCAGTTGGCTTGATGATGTTCCATTACAAAGCGCCACTTGCGGGAGAGACTCTTATGGCGATTCCAGCTAGTTTTTCAGTAAGGCAGGAAATTGGTGTAGGTTGTTTTGGTAGTTTAGTATGTCAGTAGTTTAGTATGCTAGTGATTTATGTGCGATTCTGGTTTAATTGGTCTCTAGTTGACGCTCGGGACGCAACGGCCATGCAGCTGCAGCTTATTGCATAGTAGGCCAGAAAAGAGTGGCAATTTCTGAGGTTTTGACGGGCGTGGCCCGGGGCGACTCGTCGAAGAGTCGAGGCGACGGGTTGAGGCGACAGATTGAGTGGCGGCGGAGTCGATCCAGGCCAACCGGCCATTGCGGGGACCAACTACCTGACAAAAAACGGCCAGCCATCGCACCACATCTATCGATACGTGAATGTTCGTATATTCTATAAATAAGCTAGATGATCAGAACACAACAAAAGCACCGCCGCTGTTAATGTTCTCAAGCTCGGCCTCAGAGAGCTGGGAGTAGTGGAACCGCTTGGGCAGGTCGGCAACTGACAGGTAGACTGCACCGCTCTCGGCCGGGGACGAGGTGGACGAGCTGCGAGCAAGCGGACCGTGTGTCTGGGCGCTCTGGCGGTACTGGGCGAACGAGGAAGGCAGCTCACCGGGGCCCTCGGGATGGGCCTTCAGCGAGTGGTCCAGGGTGGAGGGAATGGAACGCTTGCCGATAAAACGAATCAAGGGAACACGGTAAGCGACGATCGAAGCACGCATTAAAATTCCAGCTGTTTTCTACCTTGATATGTGGGCGGGGTTGTGGAGCAGTGAAGGTGGAAAAAAACCTTGCATCGGGGATCTTGGTTTTCTAGTACCTTTCAGGGCTAGGACCAACCGCATGGCGCCATTCGGCAGAGATAATGCACGATTACGTTGCGGAGGGAAGGCGAATAATAAAATACGGCAAGAACAGGCCGGGCAGGCCGGCTGCACTGGCGGGCAAATTGAGCCTCGACCTTCTTGTTCCGGCACGAGGTCGCAGCAGGGCCCCGCTGAGCAGACAGGGCTTGCTGCAGCGACTGCCCGTTACGACCCCAACCCTGACCAAAACCAACAGCCACAGTGAGGGGAAGCTCCGGGGGCGCCAAAAAGCGAACCAAATCAAGAGAACTATGTACAGTATGTAGGTTCTAGTTATATGACACATAATAGCGCTTGCCACGGATGGCGAAGAGCTGCTGGTTGAGCTGGAACAGCTCCTGTGGGTTCAGGTCGTTGAACTCCCATTTTGTTGAATGGAAAATGTTTTTGGTCGGCTCAATAAGCGCGTCGAACTGGCCCTCGTAGTTGCGGTGCAGCCAGTCCCAATCCTGCCGGGAATCCTGCTCGTGGAAGCCAGTGACGTAGATAGGACACTTGGTCTCCAGCAGCCCGGGCATGCTCTTCTGCCACTGGTCCATGGCCTCGGGAGCGCCCAGGCCGGGGTGGAACAGGAAGAAAGCATCCAGGTACGGGTCGTAGGGCATAAAGTCTTGGGCGTCGTTGAGCACGTGGAAGTAGTCGGTGTAGTAGATCAGCTTCAGTTGATCGTCGACCCGTTCAACATGTTTGTCTTCGAACGACAGGTACGATTGCTTGCGGCGATCGTAGTAGGCCTCTGGGCCGACAAAGACGAGATCAAACTTGGTGTGCGGCATGAGGAAGGATAATTGCATCCATGCGTGCCACGGCAGCTGGGATTCCATGCGAGCGCCCAGAATAAAGAACCGCATGGGGCGATCCTGCCATGCCTTGGTCCGGTCCTGCGGGAACATGGTGTAGCGCAGGGCCGCTGCACTTTTCAGACCTTCCAGGGTCAGTGGGCCCTTGGGGTTGAGCTGGTACGGCGAGTACTCGTCAAGGATGGCCGCCATAGTGATAGGATAGGTGAGCATTTTCGTAACTACCGCCATGTTGAACTCGTTCTCCATGGAATAAAAATTGCGGGTGTAGAAAAACGTATACCAGTCCAAAAAGTTGGTGATCTGGTCGTCGTCGGCGCGGCCGGGGAACTCGAGCTCCGGAAACTCACGCCCCGAGCGCAGATCCTGCTCAAAGCAGTTGGCCATTTTCAGCAGCTTCCACCGCTCGGATTTGTGGTACTCTGTGTCCGCCTCCCAGGCCGCACGGTCTGCGTGGGTAGGAATGCCGGAAAGAGGGCAGGTGAAATTGACGGGGCGCCCAGTGACGGGGCAGCGGGCGCGAGACTTGATGAAAGCGGCCCGCTTGCGCAGATCATCGTACGGTGATTGGTCCAGCATGGTGAAGCGGTTCTCGACCGTGGGCTGGTTGGGGTCCACAGGCGAGTCCAGTCCAAGCAGCTGCTTGAAAAAGCCCCGCGGCGTCGCTGATGCTGAGAACATCCGACTCGTAGCCGGTCGTCGAAGCATTTTTTTCGTTAAGACGTGATGACAAAACAGCCGTCGATGGGGTGGTGTCGGGGGATAAGGGGCGGGAGGCTGCCAAATTCGTCGGTTTTTATGATTCTGCGAAAATAAACTCAAGTCTGTAGATTGCTCCACCTGTTGCAGGTGGTGCTATATTATATATCAGAACGCCGCTGCTGGTGGCTTCGTAATCATGAGAGTTTCCTGTGTCTGGGACAATGGACAGACGACAGAGGAGAACGTGGCCAGAGGGCAGAATGCGGTGGGATTGAAAGAATATTTAAGAAACAAGCATGGCCGGGAAGTAGCCAGGCTGGAGGTTGAGGGCCTAGTGGTGCCAGATGACGCTGACTTGGCCGGATGGATAGGGACGGCAGAGCGCCATGAGGTCAGAGTGTACACCATTGGAGGGCCGCCTGAGCTGTTGCGTCCTGACACAGAGAGTAGACGCGAGACTGTGCCCGAAGCTGTGCCTGAGATCGTGCGCGATAGTAATACGGAGGAGCGGGAACGAGAGGTGGAGCCCAGCGCTCGCCCGCCGAACCCGCCGAGCAAAATCAGCATCAAGCTGTCGGATCAAGTATCGTTGGTTCTTGAAAAAGGCTTTGTTGTGGACCAAAATAAACTGCATTTGGAAAAGCCGCTGGTCAAAACAATCCAAAGCGCAGCAATTGCCAGCGACAACCGCGAGCCTGCCCAGATCATTGCCCAGGCCGCCGGCATCATAGCCCGCCGACTGCGGGATTGGGGGCCCGAGTTTTTCCCCATCATTGTGTTTGCGTTCATTGCAATTCTCTTTGGCAAGACAGAAGGCAACTGGTCGGTGGTGTTTATTTTTTCCGGCCTGCTGCTGATCTTCTTAACAAACATTGTCCTGAGCGTTGTATTTGGATACAACATACTATCAGAGCTGCCAATGCCTGAACTATTTAAAAAGGTGGACTCGCCCGAGGACCTGGTCCCCGAGGTACCGCGGACGGCTCTGCCATACATCCAGGACACTGATCGGGTGGTGGAGGAAATGCGGACCAAGCTGACGGTGTACCAGCACATTTATATGTTTTTTACAAGCATGCTCCCCACGGTCATTGAGCCGTGGCAGAAAGAAATGCGGCTACGAAGGTCTGTCTACGAAGAGGCCGTGGCCATAGTCCGACGACGCCAAACCCAATCCTGAGTCTTTTGCCCATTATTCATCCAAAATGCGATTTGGCAGCTATACGGTCAGTGAGCAAGTATTCTATCAAACAAGAAAGTCGTTTGCCATTGTAAACATACGGCCGATTTTGCCAGGCCATGTTCTAGTTTGCCCTATTCGTCCAGTAGAAAGATTCAGCCAGCTCAATCCAGAGGAGGTAGCCGACCTTTTCCAGGCCGTGCACTCGGTTTCGCGGGCTATTGAGACGTATTACGGAGCGCAGGCACTCAACATTTCCATTCAGGACGGGCCGTTGGCCGGCCAGTCCATTGCTCACGTTCACTGCCACATCATCCCCCGGCGCTTGCATGATCTGCCCAACGTCGACGATGTGTACAAGCTGCTTGACGAAAACAACTTCACCGGGGCATACAAGCTGGTCAAAGAGCGCAGCCGCGAGCAGTTTACTGGCCCGGACAACGACCAGAGAGTCAATCGGACCCCGGAAGACATGAAAGACGAGGCGACGAGACTAAAGCAGTATATTGTGTCGCACATCGACCCAACGATTTAATGTATATACAGAAATTCATAAAAAAACATCGTTCCTAAGACGACTCGGCCCGCAGCCGACCGAAATGAGCCGCCCGCTGCGCTCGTCGGTTGCGCTCTCCGCCCCATTTCTTTGTGCCCCGTTTGATTTCCTCCAACTCGACCCCGCGGGAGAAGCGGTCGAACCACTGTAGAAGGTACCGTCTGTCTCTGGTTTCGACGCCCAGATCCTTGAGTTTTGTCGAGCTCACGCTTGCGAAATCGTCCCAGGTCTCAAAGTGCTCTTTGTACTGCTCCATGTTACGGCCGATTTTCTTCAAAAACGTCTCTACGTCGGGCACCGCAGCGGTGGGTTTTACGGCAGCCCGGGCCACGGCAGCAGTGGCATAGCTACGACACAAAACTGCACGGAACATCGTTCAAGCACTGGCAGGGGGGTTTTTTTGAATGTGAATATTTCAAATTCGCATAAAATCCCAATTAGCCTAACCACCCTGACTAACTGTCCTAAACCCCCAGACGCCCAGGGGCACCACCGTCCCCGTGTACCCTTACCCGCCAGCCACAGCAGGCAAGCGGGGGAACAGCTCGCTGCACAAATAATCGTTACTGCTCAGACTGCTCGAGGGGTAGGACATGACCAAGCTTGCGCTCAACTCCCCGCCGGAGCGGCGGTACGAGATGGCGGTGATGGTGTGGCACACGGTGGCCATTCCAGTCGCCCTTGCTGCTTTCTTCCTCTGCTGTGCGTTCCCGCCGTTCTGGCCATTTATTCTGTACTATCTGGTGTTCATGTGGCTTGATCCCCGGCCCGAGAGGGGCACAGTACTAACTCCGTTTCAACGGTGGACCCGCCAGGCGTGGTGGTGGAAGAGTTTTGCCAGCTACTTTCCCGTGCGCCTCCACAAAACTGCTGATCTCAAGCCATGCTTTGAGATCAACCCCCGCAACGACGCGGGCCAGACGGTCAAAAACGTCCTCAAGTGGTGGTACAAGATCCTAGTTTGGTGGTACTTTGTTATAACCTTCCGCTCGTACCGGCTGGCGCCTAAAGCAACCGGCCAGCGCTATATTTTTGGCTACCACCCGCATGGGATTATCGGTATGGGCGCTGTGGGCGGGATAGCCACGGAGGGTGCGGGCTGGTCGAAGCTGTTTCCTGGAATCCCCGTGCGGCTGCTCACTCTGCGGTCCAACTTCTTCCTACCGTTCTACAGAGAATACTTGCTGTCAATTGGCGCCTGTTCTGTATCTCGAAGCAGCTGCATGCAGCTGTTGCGTAATAATAATCCTATCTGCATTGTTCTGGGGGGTGCTCGCGAGAGCCTGCTTGCAAAGCCGGGCAAAATGGATCTCATTTTGAACAACAGATTCGGGTTTGTCAAAATCGCGCTGCGAACGGGCGCTTCAATGGTGCCTGTGCTGGCCTACGGTGAAACAAACATCTACCAGCAGCTCAACCCAGATAACAGCGATGGGCCCCTGCAAAAGTATCACAAGTTCATGACAAAGTATATGGGGTTCACTATTCCTCTATTTCATGCTCGCGGTGTGTTCAACTACAATAAGGGCATTTTGCCCTACCGCAACCCAATAGACATTGTGGTTGGCGATGCAGTCGATGTTCCATTGATCAAAGAGCCCACGGATGAAGAGGTAAAGCATTATCACGGTCTCTATGTTTCAGCACTCAGAAAACTATACGACAGCACCCACGACAAGTACTGGAACGGCGATCCACTGCGGATCGTGGACTAGTCGCTTTCCGAGTCTGATTCGAACCCACTTTCCGAGCCCGATTCGTTGTCGCTTTCGTCCATATCGCTATCTATAGCCGCCTCATTTATTTTAACCTCGTATCCGAGTTTTTGCAGCTCTTTCTCCAGGCCCTCTGCTTCCTCCGGGTGACACACGGCAAAAATCGCACTTGTGCTGGCCGAAAACAAGGGCATGATGTATGCTTGAATAGCAAACAGCAGCTCATCAACCGTCACTTTCCCAATGCGGTCAAGGAACTTTTCAACAAAATCAGGACCTCGTTTTCGCAACTGATTGTCAAAGAATTTCTGGGTGATTGCCGCCGAGTATGTACTGCGATCTGCGGCAGTATCTGAAACGTGAGAAAAGACGGCCCTTTCGAGCGCCTCATCATCAAAGGGAACTCGTTTAGATGCATAGCCTTCAGCGAGCTCTTGGGTAACCTTCAAGGCTTTAATGGCATCCGTGGCCCGATAAAAGTTGCAGACCAGCTGGCCAGTTTCAATTTGCACATAAAAACGCGCCCCATAAGCTAAACCGGCACCTCGGACCTCTTTCCACAATGGGCCTTCGGGTACCTGGAGATAATCGCAGCACAAGGACAAAACCGGCAGATCACTTTCAGTGTATTCGGTAGGCGCGTTGGTGATGACAGACATGTAGCACGACTCAGTGGCCGGACAAACAGTGAGACTGGCAAACTTGGAGAAGTCACGACCGAGCTCGGTGCGGAACAAGCTCGAGGTAGGGACAGGTAGATATGGCACCGGGATCTGACCAAATCGCTCGTACAACTCCTTCCATGCAGAGACAGGTTGTTCAAGGTGTTCAATATCACCGTATACCAAAATTCGCATGTTGTTCGGCTGGTAAAGCTGCTCCATCAAATGCTTCATTGACTTTTGAAGATTCTCCATGTCTATGACGCCCTTGATATCTTCCTCGGTGATGATGCCCTCTGACTGGCGTCTCAACGATCGGGCCGTCAAAGTATCTTTGTAAATAGCAGCAGTAAGAAGTGCAGATCCTTCACGTTTTTCATCAGCCAAACTCATCAGGTGCTTTTGCAAAAAGATCTTCATACGCTCCACATCCCACACTACATTGAACATCGCCCTCTTGACCCACTCAATTGCACGCTTATAGTCTGCTGCACGGACCCGAATATCGATAGACACCATCTCCTGAATCGAGTGGTTCACAGAAATCTTGTTCACAACCGTGTCACGGTTGATATTTTTCGCAACTTGCTCGAACGTGAGTTCAGTTCCGTCATCTAAATGCATGGGCATAGAAAATGTTTCGGATAGTAGAACCTGGACCAGCGGCAACAGATCCTCATCAACCACTGTAGCGGAAAAAAGAGCCTTGATAGCAACGAATTGTGACTCAAAAGACTCAAAGTTGATACTGAGAGGGACCTTGCATCCAGACGCATCCTCGTCTATTCTATATTGCAGGACGCATTCGTTCTTTTGACCGGTATCTTCAGCGAAATACGTTGATGCAGACTTGCTGTCAATGAACTTCACCCGGTTCACATCAGGTGCGTCGAATGTTTCAAGCAGCGCATCAGGAATGGGCACTTCGTTATTGCGTTTGGCCTCCTCCAATCTTTCCCCAAGCTGTTTGAGGTCTTTGGTGTTCCGGATATCCTCCAGTCTCTGCTTCTTATCAGCCTTGAGCTTTTCGTATTTTTCGCGACTGGGACGACCAATGATGGTTGCACTCAGGTTTGTGATGAATTGTGCTTTTATGAACCTGCTCCATTGATCTGCGGACCAGCCAGCCAGCTCATCGAATTCTTTAGTTGACTCGGTCCATTCCCGCAAAGTCGAGCCGTCTCTTTTCCCGTACAAGAATGCATCGATAGCAATATAAGCAAATGTAGAGGGATCGTTTTCGGCGTTCAGCAGAAACTTGTCGCGGCGACGTTCGATGCAGTCTTTCATCAGGGCCATGTCCACGTTTGCAGCCTCTTTGATAATAACGTCCATCACTTCCTCTCCTGCATTGGCAAGCCTTTCGACAGGTACTCCAGTGAGACAGAAGTGCAGAGCTGCTTTCAAATAGTCGTCAGTATAAAACGTCACCTCGGTAGCCAACGGATCAGCCACGTCGAGCAGAGCAAGCTGAAGTTTTCCTACTCCGGTCATTGTAAAGTAGCTGCCCAAAACATACAGAGCTGTGTTCGAAATATAATCCGTTGCGGGAGGACCGATCCAGGATAACTCAACCAACCCACTTGACTCGTCTTTGTCTGGGAATAAGAAAGTGGATGTCTTTTTCTCCGTCAAAGGCCCATCCTGTATTTTGGAGTCCAAAAAGGGTCTGGGGATGCCTTGCTTCATATCCGGTAACGAATGATCGAACTCGGTCATGATATTCACGAGCTCAGTGGGCTCGACGTCACCAGTGATGATCACGGACAAATTGTCGGCTCTGTAGTTTTCATGGTGGTACTTCTTGATGCTTTCATTGTCGAGAGTGCGTAAAGAAGCCATCAATCCGCCGGTGTTCGAAGCATAGCCTGATTGTGGATGATAAAGGAGCTTCTGGCTCTCGTCACCTAGCAGTGCAAAGGAGGTATTTTCGACACCTTGCATTTCGCTGAATACCACGCCGCGTTCTTGCCCTTCGCCATCGATGTGGTATACTTCTGTAACAAAGGCGTCGTCAGTCAACGTCGGATTCAGCAGATGGTCAAGGTAAATTGGCAGCAGGGTGCTGAACCCTTGCCAGCCCGCCGTGGTCAGCGTGTAAACAGTTTGATCCTGGCCTGTCCAAGCGTTCGTAGAGGACATTTGTTTTGCGCCCAAAACATCAAGCAGGCCCTTGTACGGCCACGCCTTGGATCCCATAAATACCAGATGTTCCAGAGTGTGGGGGCATCCCGAGTTATCGGCGATTTCGGTCGCGACAGTAAAGTAGCCCTCGACCGACGGCGTCTGCCTTTTCACAAGAACAACCTGGAGTCCTGTGCGAGGAGATACCCAGTTGTAGATCGTCGTGAACGGCGCGTACGTCGGGTGGATCTCCGCAAGTAGTTTTAGCATGAGGGAGAGTTTTGGATTTTCAGACTTATTAATGCGGCTCAAAAACACAAACATTCTTGGACTTTATATAGAGCATTGCTCCGATATTTAGCTACTTGCGCTGCAGATAAATCCTTAATCTAATCCTAGCCATAGCTGTCCTGAATCTTGTCCAGCGATCCTCTTTGACTAATGCCAGAACCCGCCATTGAGCTGGATGAACTGCAATGGCGTGCTCCGGAGTGGACGCAAATGTACGGCCTTCGCACGGACAATGTTTTAGAGTACTTTGCACTGTCGCCCTTTTACGACCGGTCTTCCAACAACCAGGTGCTCAAGATGCAATCGTCGTACAACGAGCAGCTGCAGAACCGAGCCGACCTGCAAAAGGAACTGAAGAACATGAAAGGACTGGAGTTTGTTCTGGCAGTCGCCCAGGAACCAGACGTATGGATCATCCGTCGCCAAATGCGCTACAGTCCGACGGAGGCCGAGATTGTTGCGACCTATTTTGTTGTTGGCGAGAACATTTACCAGGCGCCCTCAATCTACAGCGTGGTCGTCTCGAGACTGCTGTCGACGACAAAGTATCTGAACGAAGCACTCGATGTCGCTCGCAGTCTTCCGAGATTCACTCCAACAGGCTACACCTATGAGGAGAAGCCGGCGCCAGCCGAAGGCCAAGACCAGGACGAAGAAGAGCACAGCGAGGATGAGCAGGATGCATTGGGAATCGAGCAGGCCCTCAATACCAGTCTAGCTATGCGCAGATAGCCTTGATTTATATACACTATTAGTTGATTTCGTGAGCTCGCCTTTCTGCGTTTGTCATGGATCGGGAGAGGACAGAGGCATTGGCAGAGATATACTCTCTTATCATCACAATAGACCAGCTCGAGAAGGCGTACATCAGGGATTCTGTGAACCAGGGAGACTACACAAAGGCATGCTCCAGGTTGTTGGCCCAGTACCAGACGCTGCTGAAGAACCGTCAGCTAGAGGCCGACTTTGGCGGCCTGGACCAGTTCTGTGCGCGCTACAAAATCTCCCATTCGAGCGGTGTGCAGCGAATTGAGGTCGGGGTGCCTGCTACTGCCGAAACAAGCATCATGCCGCAGTCGACGGGCGACTCTGGCACGCCATCCGCCCAAACGGGCCCGGCGGTCTCTGCCAAGGCTGTTTCGGAGGTCACGGGCCTATTTATTACCGCAATGGACGGACTGAAGCTCAACTTTCGTGCCAAGGACCAGCTGCATCCGATCTTCAGCGAACTTGTCACTGGTCTTAGCAAAGTGACGGGCCCAAGCTTCCCCGGCCGCGGAAAGCTCGTCGAATGGCTCGTCACCTTGAACAAAATGAAAATCGACGACGAGCTTAATGACGAACAAGCCAGACAGTGTCTTTTTGATCTGCAAAGCGTCTATAGCGAGTTTTATGATTCCCTTTAATATTTAATCACCTATATAATTAATCAAGGTCGGCATCGATATCATCCATATCGGTATCGTAGTCGAGGCCTTCGACCTCGTGGTTGCCGTGCACAATTAGGCCGCTGGTAGAGGGACTAACGTCGACTTTGACGGTCTCGCCGTCTTGCACCGCACCACGCAGCAACAGGATAGCCAGAGGGTTCAGGATCTCGTTCTGGATCAAGCGGTTCAGTGGACGAGCACCCATATCTTTGTCCCATCCGTTTTCGGCAAGCCACTCGCGGGCGGGCTTCGCGAGCTCGAGTTTGATCTTGCGGTTGTTCCGAGCGAACCGCTGCTCGATCTCCTTCAGACGAATGTCCACGATCTTGCCAATTGCCAGATGAGACAACCGGTTGAAAACAATGATGCTTGAAATACGGTTGATGAATTCGGGACGGAAGTGTGCGTGCACAGCCTGCATAACAAGGTCCTGGGTCATGGGGTCGATCTTGTCGCCAGGCATCTTTTGGATGGCACTGGCACCAAGGTTCGAGGTCATGATGAACAAGGCGTTTGAGGCATTAACGACTTTGCCGTTTGATGCCCGCACAACACCATCGTCGAGAACCTGCAACAGAATGGTCAACACGTCAGGAGCAGCCTTTTCGACTTCATCAAGTAGTACAACAGAGTAAGGGTGGCGAGCCAGCTGGGTGGTCAGGATACCGCCCTCCTCGTATCCAACGTAGCCAGGAGCAGCACCAATGAGTTTGGATCCAGAGTGCTTCTCAGACAACTCTGAGCAGTCAATGCGGATCATGGCCTTCTCGTCATTGAACAAGAAGCCAGCGATCTTCTTAGCAAGCTCGGTTTTACCGGAACCAGACAGACCCAAAAACAGGAAACTGGCGGGAGCATTGGGGTTTGCCAAACCAGAGCGGGTCAACCGAATCGCATTCGAGACAGCCTTGACCGCCTCGGGTTGTCCAACAACGTCGCGATTCAGAGTGCGCTCCATTGACACAAGCTTTTGGTTTTCGGCCTCGCTAAGCTTGGAAACAGGGATGCCAGTGAGGCGGGCGGCAGTTTCAGCAACCTTTTCACTATCCACGACATCTTCAAGCATGGCGCCTTCACGGTTCTTGTATGCGTTCTCCATCTCTTCCAACTTCTTTTGGATATCAGGAATTGCAAAGTAGCGGAGATCGGCGCTTGTCGCCAGATCGTGACGACGTTCAGCATCGAGAGCCTTGATTTCAAGCTCCTCGAGTTTCTTCTTGGTTTCGTTCAGCTCGTCAAGACCAGCACGCTCCTGAGCGTATCTGGCACGTAGAGGCTCGAGCTGCTCCTGGATGTCGGCCTTTCTCTTACGGGCGCCTTGGAGACGCTCCTTAGCAGCTGAATCGGCCTTTTTATCACGCTCGAGAGCATTGATTTCGACCTCAACAAGCTGCAATTCACGCTCCAGGGAGTCCAGCTCCTCGGGGCGAGAGTCACGAGCGACCGCAACGCTGGCGGCAGCCTCGTCGATCAAGTCAACGGCACTATCGGGAAGTTTGCGATAGGTTAGGTAACGAGAAGCCAAAGTGGCAGCCGAGACCAGAGCGGAATCAAGAATTCGTACACCATGGTGTAACTCGTACTTGCTAGACAGACCACGAAGAATAGCCACAGTTTGAGGGACAGTAGGCTCGGGGACGTCGATCTTCTGGAAACGACGCTCGAAAGCACCGTCCTTTTCAACAAACTTGCGGTACTCATCGACAGTGGTGGCACCAATGCAGTGCAATTCACCACGGGCCAACATGGGCTTCAACAAATTAGCGGCATCGGACTTGCCATCACCCATGAGCATGTGGATCTCATCAATAAAAAGAATGATCATGTCGTTGGACTCCTCAATATCGTTGAGCACACCCTTGATGCGCTCCTCGAATTCACCCTGGTACTTTGCACCGGCTTTGAGAGCACCCAAATCGAGAGCAAACAAGCGACAGTTGGCAAGAACACTAGGGATATCACCATCAACGATACGCTGAGCAACGCCCTCGACAATTGAGGTCTTGCCTACACCAGGATCACCGATGAGACAAGGATTAGACTTTGTACGACGGGCGAGCACGCGGATACAACGGCGGATTTCCTCTTCACGACCAATAACCGGGTCCACTTTACCATCGCGAGCCTTTTGGGTCAAGTCAATTGCATACTTTGACAAAAACTCAAACTGCTGCGAAGAGTCTGCGGTTCGGCTATCGATGCGGCGGGAGCCACGGATTGAGACAACGGCGTTCTTAAGAGCTTCCTTGTCCATATTAGCAGTTTTGAGGATAGGAGCAATGGTTGAGGAATCGTCCAGAAGAGCCAGCAGCAAGTGGTCCTGACCGAGGTAGGCATCCTTTTGCTGTTTCTGGATTTTCTGGGCTGCGCTGAGCACCTGCTGGAAGGGCCCCGAGATTTGGGGATCCGCAGCAGGGCTCTGCGAGGGGAGGCGGACCAGCGCCTGGTTAATTGCACGCTGGAGCACGGGGTACTCGTAGCGGGCCTTCTCAGCAACGGTTTTGAGATAGCTTGGGGATCCGTCTTGTTCGTCAGGAGTAAACGCAGCGAGCAGATGCACAGGCGAAACCTGCGGGTGGCTATGCTCCTTGGCCAACTCGACGGAGTCCTGAATTAGTCTTGTAGAACGATCTGTGAGCGAAGGATCTGACATTATGATTGGGTGTGAGATGAGGAAGGACGTTGCTGTTGGCCAGTATTTATGCATGTCCCAATCACGTGGCCGCGAGGGACCGAAGCTTCGAGTAGTATCTAGAAATGCCCGAGAAGAAGGACAGCAGGTGGAAGCGTACGACTATCACAATTGGATATGGCCTGGTGCAATTAAATAAAATACGGCATCCAAATATCGCTTGGTGCTCTGTGGACCACGGACCGTGGAGAGTCACTGCATGCAGCATGCAGTCCCCGAGCCTCTCAGGGCAAGCCAAGATAGCCAAGAGAGCCAACCCCAGCATGGATATGAGAGAAGTAGAACTACAAGTAGAACTAAAAGTAGGGCTAAGAGTATGTGGTACGTGCACAGTTAAAGCCCGTTTAGCACAAAGTCGCGGCCTGGTCGGCACTGCGGTTTGTTCGTTGCATCAGATTAAATGAAATGATTTAGACTTTTACAGGCTATGACCAGATAGATACCATGATATTATTTATTTCTTGGACTTCTTGGAGGCCTTCTTCTCGGCAGCCTTCTCCTGGAGAAGCTTCTCCTTGACGACGCGCTTGACGATCTTCTGCTCCTCAATCAGGAAAGCACGGACAACACGGTCCTTGACGCAGTTAGCGCAGAGAGAGCCACCGTAGGGGCGCTGGACAGTCTTGCGAGCACGAGAGACAGTGGCGTACTCACGGGGACGGAGGGCAACGATACCGGGCAGAGCGATGTGGCACTCACCGCACTTGGGGGAGGTGCCGGCCTTCTTGATGTGCAAGTAGCGGATCTTTCCGCCAGGGGTCTTGACAAGCTTGACCTTGTTAGAACGGGTGTTGTAAGGGTTCCGACGACGGTACGTGACACGGGCGGCCATTATCAGAGTATGGTTGAACTGGCCGTGATATTCAGAGTTAAGTCTTGGGTGCGAGTGGTGTCACAGGGGCCCTAAGCCCTAAGGGTGGAGGCGACGGGTTTTATTCTCCTTAGTAAAAATAAACCGCATATGACGTAACAGGCAATAGGAAAGGTCGGCTATGTACAAACGATAGTAAGGGGCCCTATTTTAGAGATGGATCGTGTATTTTGGAGACTTCTTGATCCTTGGAATACATTTTGTGCAATTCCTTTTGCTGCTCGTATTCGTCTTCTCGTTCCTTCTGCTCTGGGTTCAGTTGCCGGCTTGCCTCCTTCTGGCGTCGCCGCTCGGAGTCTTTAATCGCTCCGTCTCGGAGATCGAGTCTCTGCTGATTTTGCAAGTAGTGTACCCACGGCAATATGACCGCGGCGGACGCAATGGATGCGCCAAAAAACACTTTAGATCGGGTCGACATGAAGCCAATGGGCGAGTAGAGGTAGCAGACTAAGCAAGCGGTATTAACGCATGTTACGGCATGGCTTTTCCTTCAAGGCCCGTGGCTGTGCACAGCATGGCTTTTTATTATTTATTTGTCGCACCGGGGTCTATGTTGCACTACACCGTATTTAAGATCGTTTTTCGTCCGTAAAATTCCGCACGTGATAGGGACCTGTGTGGGTGGTATGCACGTGAATGCACCATCAACCCAAACCAGGACGCTGGAACTCGCCGGCCAGTCCTTGTTGCAGCCACAGCTCAACCAAATCGCACCGGCTCTCTCTATAAAGTACACTAGACCAGTCCCCTAGACATCCGCTCTGCTCAACGAGAATTTGCCGCTCATACGACCGTGCCACGCCCAGATTCCAGCCGGATCGCTCCCACTCAATGTCTCAAGACAAGCGTGCCTATGTCATCAGCAGCGCTTCCGCAGCACAACCGCATTGGACCTTGGACTCCATACGCGATTCAATGGCACCCGACGACAACAGCGATGACGAGACGCTGGATATGGCCCATGCCACAGTTATCGAAGGTGCTGATCTCGAGTCTGATGTGGAGGTAGACCTTCCCTCAAGCGCTGGACCGCCGGTTGGGCAAGTACCTTTTGGCTCTTATCAAGGTTGGTCGGCCTCCAACCCAGTAGGCATCCCCTCCAGTGTTGCAAGCAACCATAGTACGTTGTCTGCTGCGTCCTCATTCTTCTCGCCCTCCAGTGTTTCGAAATACGCCCCACACGCGTTTGAGCCTTCTAGCGTTTCTAGCTCTTATCAGACTGCCGAGGGGTCTGCGCCCAACTCCATTAACTCTTATACTCAGCACGCTCCGCAGCCACACTCTTCATTCCAACAATACGGCTCTCAACATGCTGGTTCGTTTGCTGGGTTCTCCATGGGCACGTCGTTTGCTGAGCCCTACCGCCGGTACGGTGCGCCCATGGGCTCTGGAAACTCCTTTTCTCGCCATGGGTCCTTACCATATCTCGGGCCCAATCCGCAAATGGCACAGCCAATTCAGCAGCAGCAGCAACCCCAGGCGGCGATTGCTGGCGACACTCGATATGAGATGAATCAAGGCGTCCCTCCTCGCCGGTCTTTGCTCACTTCAATGCTTCAACAAAAGCCTGGAAGCACTCGTGGCGTCACAATGAACATGTCTCCCAGAAGACCATCTGACGCTGTGCCGTATGCTCGAGTCACCAGCAACGCTGACTTGGCGAGTGGCCCGATGCTTCAACGCAGTTCTAGCCGAGCAACGTCACTTCACAGGTCCACAAGTCAGACTAGCAGCCGAAGGCCAAGTATTGTTGAGATGGAGGATATTGATCCTGGAAGTCCTGAGCTGGACCCGACCAGTGTTGCTTCTTCCATGACGGATGCTGCACCTATGTTTATACCCAGCCGATCTATATCCACGACCAATGTTTCGAGAACAATGGTTTCTACATCAACGAGTGCAGGCGTTCGTTCCCCGGAACAGCAAAGACCGACGCAGCAAGCGCAGCAAGCGCACCCCCTGGCGCCGACGACGCAGCAAGGACAATTATTTAGCCCGCATTATCAGCCATTCGCTCCAGGTGCACCATTCAATAAGGTTGCATACCCATCACAAAGGCCACCATTATCAAGTGTGTCGCCAGCAATATCGCGGGCTCCGTCAATCTCACTTGACGACAGCACTGGGAACCTTGCGAATCGACTACAGCAAACACAAGCAGACAGGCTCATAGAAGCTGAAAAGACGGCTGCTCCAGGCGGTGGAAGATCGGTTTTACCGGCGCTGGCGCCAGTTGACTTCCCTCCTGTTCACATGGACATTGCGACTCACGATGTCAGCGACGTAATAGAGATGGTCACACTTGTTTTGAGCAGGATCGTCGCGACAAATGACGCATTGTATCCTGCTGAGTCCCGGGGTAATCCTCTAGAGACCCCTAATGTTGTAGGCGACTATGGCCACATGCTCAAGAGCACATTGCTAAGTTTCCACGGCTGCAATGTGCCAGACATTACCTTGCGAGCATATCTGGCGCGGATTTTGAAGTACTGCCCCGCAACAAGCGAGGTGTTTATTGCCATTCTTGTCTATTTCGACCGGATCTCCCGCCGTTTGGAGGCCGTCTCCGCGTTGCCCACAGAAATGAAGCCAATGAAGCCCTCGAGCTACTTGAGAGGCTCAGGCTCGTCCAATCAACTGTTTGTTTTGGATAGCTATAACGTGCATCGTCTTATCATTGCAAGTGTCACTGTTGCATCTAAATTTTCCAGCGACATTTTCTACAAGAACTCTCGATACGCAAAAGTTGGTGGCCTGCCCGTGGAAGAGCTCAACCATCTTGAACTTCAATTTCTTGTACTTTGTGATTTCAAACTATTAATTGGACTGCAGGAAATTCAGCACTATGCCGACTTTTTGCTCAAATTCCGTCAGCAGGAGGCCGGTGCAGCGCTGAACATGTCTCCTTCAAGCACCCCAGCAGTTGCAGTTTGAGATCTTTTCAGTATACACAACATAAGAAAGCCCGCGTACGAGTCATTAAAATAAGACAGTAAATTCAAGCTACATATAACGGAATCCATTACAAGGAGAGCGGTTTCAGGAGGAACCGAATACTAGCGCGAATTCATGCTCAAAAGAGGAGCCAGTGGGTTGGCGCCTCTCGATATTTTTAAAATGATATATAAACGGTGCAGAGCAGTCGCATGCAACGTTTAACGGAAGCGGCGAGCCTCACGCTCGGACTCCATAAGGCAGAGGATGTCATCCTCGCGGACGGGGCCCTTGACATTACGGACGATAGAGCGGGTGTCGTCGTCAATGAACTCGACACGGACCTGGGTGACACCACCACGGGAGCCGGTGCGGCCCAAAATCTTGGTAACCTTGGCAAGCTTAACAGGAGTCTTGGTATCCATTGTAGATGGTAGATTAAGGTTGGTTGTGTCGTTGGTCAGTAATGATGAGTTGGGTGCAAAACGCAGTCACAATTAGGGCTCCACTGTAGGGGTGTTGCTAGGGATGTTGGTGCACTGAAAAACCAGCGGCGCAAAACGCTCGACGGGGGCTGGATCTGCACAGTTTAGCGGCAGTAACTCGTTAGAGCTTTCCGTTTCACAAGGTTTCGAGCACTTTTCGCCGGCCGTACGCAGTGCTGCACGTGCGTGCATCACGTGATCTGCTCTGACTGAGAAAAGTCCGGTTACGAATTAGTCAATTCTAGTAGTAGTCAATAGAACATGGAGCTAGTCCAGCATCTCGACGATAAGCTTCTGTTTGCGGTGCCAAAGAAGGGCCGCCTTGCAGAGCGCTGCACCGAGCTCTTGGTTGGTGCCGACGTCCAGTTCCGCAGAAGCAATCGCCTGGACATCGCTATCTCTACAAACCTGCCGGTCGCTCTCGTATTCCTGCCTGCCGCAGACATTCCCACATTCGTAGGTGAAGGCAAGTGTTCTTTGGGCATCACGGGCCACGACCAGGTCGAGGAGAGCAACGTCAAGGTCGACGACCTGCTAGACCTTGGGTTCGGCAAGTGCAAGCTTCAAATCCAGGTTCCTGCCGACGGCCCGTACAGCGACCCCAAGCAACTGATCGGCAAGACGATTGTCACTTCTTTCATCCACCTCGCCACGACGTTCTTCACTGAGCTCGAAGGCAAGCAGCCGGGCGACAAGCTCGACACTGTTATCAAGTACGTTGGCGGCTCGGTCGAGGCCGCTGTCGCTTTGGGCGTGGCCGACGCGATCGTCGATTTGGTCGAGAGCGGCGAGACCATGCGTGCCGCCGGCCTCAAACCGATTGGCACCGTCTTGAACACCAGCGCTCACCTTATTGCATCCAAATCGCCCTCCCACCCCGACGTTCTCCAAATACTCAAGTCTCGTATCGAGGGTGTGATTGCGAGCAACAGATACGTCTTGTGCCAGTACAACGCCCAGCGCAAAGATATGCCCGTCCTGCTCAAGATCACACCGGGCCGCCGGGCGGCTACGGTTGCACCTCTCGAGGACGACACCTGGGCGGCCATCTCGACCATGGTTGAAAAGTCGAGAATCGCCGAGGTGATGGATCAATTGGCCTCAAACGGTGCCGAAGATATTCTCGTCACCCACCTCGCTAATTGCCGTGTTTAAAATATATCCTGCTAGAGCTAATTATTCGCCAGAAAAAAAACCACCAATCCTCCTCGCCCTGGATCATGCAGTCACACCTCCGTTTACATAATAAATAAAAACCCGTCGCAGAAATTCTTATCATCTTGAATGTCGATTCGTGCCCAATTTGAGAACTCCAACGAGGTGGGCGTGTTTTCCAAGCTCACCAATAGCTACGGACTGGTTGCGATTGGTGGCTCGCAGAACTTCTATTCTGCTTTCGAGTCCCGCTTAGGCGACGTTATTCCTCTGTGCCAGACCACCATCGGCGGCAACCGGATCGTGGGCCGCCTGACCGCCGGAAACCGTCGGGGTCTCCTTGTTCCTTCCTCGACAACAGACCAGGAGCTGCAGCACATCCGCAACACCCTGCCCGACACCGTCAAGGTCCAGCGGGTCGAGGAGCGGTTGTCAGCGCTGGGAAACGTCATCTGCACAAACGACTACGTCGCTCTGGTGCACCCTGATATCGAGCGCGAAACCGAAGAGCTTATTGCCGACATTCTGGGCGTCGAGGTGTTCCGCCAGACGGTCGCCGGCAACGTTCTCGTCGGATCGTACGCAACAATTACCAACAACGGTGGCCTGGTTCACCCGCAAACAAGTGTACAAGACCAAGAAGAGCTGTCAAGTCTTTTGCAAATCCCCCTGGTCGCTGGCACCGTGAACCGCGGCTCCTCGGTTCTCGGTGGTGGCATGGTTGTCAACGACTGGCTGGCCGTCGTCGGCTACGACACAACTGCCCCCGAATTGCATGTTATCGAGAGCATTTTCGGCCTTAATAACGAGGCTCCCGACCAAGACCTACTTATCGAACACTATTATTAGCCTTTGTAGTATAATGATTTCACGCTTGTTGCCTCTTTCGGCTGAAAAACTCCTTATACACCCCTACCCGACAGCCCAACTTTCGCCATTCGCGTATGCCTTACAGACATGTGTGCAAACTTGACCTGGCGAAAGAAACAATGTCAATTCCTCGTCATTTCCCCCCGCCCCCGCACCATATATACCGCTTACGTCAAGCTGGCTTCCCCCACTATGGACTACTGGGGGATTGATAGGTCGAAAAGCTCAATTCGCCTGAAGGCGCTGCGCAAAATTGGTGCGCTGGATGCCGTTGAGCCTCAGAACGACCTCACGAAGATGTCTGCGGTCCTCAAGGACTCGGTGAACAACCCCGAAGCCGCCCTGTACCCACGGGAGCTCGAAGTGCTCCTGGCCTTGGTCGACTCGGTCCCGAAAACCATACACCCCGAGCGGTTCAAGAGCATGATTCCACTCTTGCAGTCGTTTTTGATGCGTCTGCCCCACTTGAACATTTTGCCCGGACCAGCTGTGCGTCGTATTGACGGCCCGTCGCCGTGGACCCTGTTGGCTCGCGGCCTGGTCGAATCTCTGCAGGCTTTACATGCTAGCGAGGACAACGTGCCGGAAATGCTACAGGGCCTCCGCGACGCTTGGGAGTCGAACGAACAAAGTGATGGGGAGTTCCTCATTTGGTTGTTTGCCCTGCACGGTGCTCTCGAAGGGCTCAATTCGCGACCCATTGTCCGATTGCAGCCCGCCAAAATGATTTTTGAGTGGATTTGTGACTTTTTGAGCGACAGTACACTCTCAGATATCGGAACCCGTCTAGATTCCATTGAAACAAAGCTCAATAAGGATGCAACTTCAGTCGATGCTGTCCCCGCCTACTTCTTGACCCTGATTCCTGAAGATAGCCTTGCATATCCTGGTCCTAGCCAACTTAGGTTGAGCATGAGCCGTTTCTTCGCCGAAATTGCTATCTATGCTAGTGGTGGTGAGTCACAGGATTCTACTGCCAACGACAACGAGTTGCTGGCGGCCGTAGCTAAGCAATCGGCACACTTTTTGGGCCGTCTGGTGGAAAACAACACCCTGGTTGTAGATGCACCCCATTTTGGTCCCGTTGTCAGTCGCAGTGTTCAGTATAACCACCGTGTTATTGCCCTCTCTGTTGGTCACAATGAATTCGATGCTTCCGAGGCTTTCCAAATCGCTTTGGTCGGTATGGAGCTCGACCAAACCTTGACTGGTGACAGTACAGAATTCGAGCCTTTACGTCTAGCTCTGGCTTGTTGCCATGTTGACAGCTCCCGTCTCGCTACTCTCGTCAAAGCTTTGCCAATGTACTTTGGCTCTTTGTCCCCTTCCTTGGCTGGACGGGCGGCTGACCTTTATGCTTCTTCGGTTCGTAGCCTGCCACAGTCTTGGTTGATATCTGCTGTTTATGCTCTTGGTAATAGCTTGACTACTGAGGAGCTCGAGATGCATCGTCATTCAGTCCAGTCTACCGCCTCCAGTGTGTTGTCTGGCCTGGTTGGAATGGTCATCTCACAAAGTGATGTTCAGCTTCGTGCTTTGGCTCTTTCGATTCTGTCTCAAAAGTTTGGTACAGTTGACGAGACTGTCGATATTGAGGTCTTGGTTGCAGTTTCCAAACTGGGACCCCATCTGCCGGAACGTGATTTTGAGACTGCTTTGTTCTTGATTGAGCGTGCTTCTGGACGCAAGTCGGCTGATGTCAAGAAGTGGCTTGCTGTTATCCGTCGCGCTAGGATCATTATCTCTCGTGAGCTTTATAGTAGCCACCCCAGCTACAAGGTTTATTTGGAGCACCTTTTAGGCTTGATGATTTCCGTTGGTGAAGCAAGTAACTCAACAATTTCGTTCGGGGCCTCTGCTGCTTTGAGCTCGACACTGTCTGGCGCTACTGGGTTGTCTACAGGTAACCTGCCGCTCAGCCGCAATGCCACTCGCCAGAGCGCCAACGGTAGTGAGAAACGCAAGGAACGTCCCGAGCGACGTACTGTGCTTTCTCCCCACTTGTCGCCCGCTGAACAAATTGTGGAATTTTTGGAGCCCTTGGCTGCTTTACTTCCTCCCAAGACAAGTGCTCCTCTTGAAGTCACAGATTGGTCGTTGATCTCACGTTTCAGAGACGCCTGGTTTAACATGGCCGTTTTAGGTTATAATGTTGACTATAAATGGACGAAAGAGCAGAGTCGTCACTTGGAGACAATTGCTTGGTCTACACCGCCTCTTGTAACCGAGCTTTCGGTCAACAATGTAGAAAGTGACTTGGATCTTAATCCTGTTCTTCGTCGTGGCTCCAAGGGACACCATGGCCGCGAAAAGCAGCACAGAGTAGTTGCTGGTCTTTTCAAGGCTACAACGAACATCGACATCAAACCGACCTATGTCCGTATCATGTTTTTGGCTACAAGTAACATGGTTGAGCGTTTCAGAGCTCGTGCAGGTGCTATCTCAAAGTCTCTTCTCTACTTTGGTGATCCTGACCTTCGCGATGGTGAGGGCTTCAAGGGAATGTACTCGATTGCTGCAGGCTGCGCTAACGCCTATATCAGTGATGTTAAAACAGGCCGTAAAGGTGCAGCGTTTGGTCTTGAAAAAGCAGCTGAGCAGCTTAAAGAAATTCTCGTTTTGTGCTGTCACCGCGTGGACACAATCCGTGATGTTGCCTTCGACATGGCCGATCTTGTAATTTCTCGAATTCCAGCTGCTTTGTGTACTCAAACAGCCATGTTTGCCTTGCTCGACCTTCTGAGTATGATGCACCTGTCTTGTGTGAATGCAGAAAGTGACGAGTATGAGCCTTGTCACACGTATGTTGGAGAAAAGTCAGGCGTCACGGTTGCTCTTGGCGACTCGTACAGTATCCGTCGACATACGCTTGACCGTTTACTCGATAGCGCTCGTACTTGGACTTCCCGAATCACTTCGACGATGGGTCCAAACCTCAAAGCAATTCTCGGATTTTATCTCGAAGACGGTGACAAGCAAGCTGATGAGGAGGTCGCTCTCGGTCGCTCATTTGCGTTGCAGATTGGTGGTGCATCCTCGCAAAATGGTAGCTTATTTGAGAAGCCACAGTCACTGTATCGCTTGGACGGTGTTTCCGGTTTCTTGTCAAACTACCTTAGTATCTCTGCTTTACGTCTGCAGACTCGTGAACATAGTGTCCGCGTGAGCTATGAGGAAGTGAGAGCAGAGATAGACCGGCTTTTGTCTCTCAAGAATCCCCGTCCGGACTCGGTCACTCTTAGCGAGATTCGAACTCTTTACATGCATGCCTCAGCATACCTGGTGGACTGCTCCCCTCAAGCTATGGGAATAGCAAAGGACGTTGTTCATCTTGCGTTCCGATTCTTTGACGGCAAAATTATGGCGTACTGTATCAATTACTGGCTGTGGATTGTGAACCAGACCCCGAGCTTGCGTTTGATTGTTTTACAGGCTATTGCTGAGCACTGGAGTCGATCAATCGCTCGTAAGATTGGCCTGTTCTCCCGCAAGTATGACCAAAAAGATCCCATGGTTGCTCACATGGAATACAAGCCATCGTCTAAGCGGGCTACTACTCATGAGATTCGTCATATTGAGAAACTGTACGCACCCCATGTTTTGCTCACCAACTTTTTGATTTCCATGACCCACTCTTCTCTCTTGATCAATGAGGAGCATATTAACGTGTTGGCTCGTATCATTGCTGATGCGATGTATGGTTTAGCCCATTACGCATCGCTTCACTCCTTGGCCCGGGGCCCCCGTCTTGCTTTAGTCCGTCTAGCTATGGACTTTATTGTACCATACAGCCATCGTGCGCCAACTGTTGCAGCGGGCATGCGCAGCCTTGTGACCGCTGGTATTCTCGCTTGGTTCAAACAGCCGGTGCAGTGGCCTTTTGGGGGCAACACTATTCAGCTACGTCAGGACATCGCTTTGCTGGAGGGCATTCTCGAGCGTGCGCGTAAAGTTCCCACCAGTCCCGCTTCGGATATTTGCCAGTCCCTGCTCGCTGACGAGCTCAACAAGCTCCAGGTTTGGAATGACCCTCTCGGAAACACCAAGGCAGGACACGCTAAAATCAGCTTTAGCGTCAATGATGTTATCAAGGCATGGAATGTCGACCCCCAGATTGCTGTTGCTCTCGTAACTCGGCATGCTGACGTTGCCGCTGAGAAGAAACTTGTCGAGCTTATTGAAGATAATCCTTTGGCAGTGTATGACTCCCCTGCCGCGCTTACCTACCTACTCCAAGCTTCGCCCACCAGTAAGCGGGCATGGCAAGTCATATACTGGACACCGGTCTCAGAGATCATGTGTATCAACTTGTTTTCTCCTCAATATGGTGGAGGTTCTTATCTTCTGCAGTACAGTGTTCGTGCTCTTGAGTCTCACCCTGTCACTGACTGTTTCTTTTATGTACCTCAGATTGTGCAGGCGTTGCGTCACGATAGCGGTGGATTCGTTGCCGAATACATTTTGGAAGCTGCAAAGTTCTCTCAGCTGTTTGCCCACCAGATCATTTGGAACATTTTGGCCAATTCGTACAAGGACGATGAGGGCGAGGTTCCAGATGGCATTAAGCCCATTGTTGATCGAGTTCTCGAGAAAATGATGGAAGAGTTCACCGACAAGGAGCGAGACTTTTATGACACTGAGTTTAACTTTTTCAACGAAGTTACCTCTATCTCTGGCAAACTGAAGCCTTATATCAAGAAATCCAAAGCTGAGAAGAAGGCCAAGATTGATGAAGAGATGGCGCAGATTGTTGTTCCGGAAGGTGTTTATCTGCCCAGTAACCCTCATGGTACTGTTGTCGATATTGATCGGGAGAGTGGTCGTCCTTTGCAGTCTCATGCCAAGGCACCCTTTTTGGCCAAATTCAAGATCCACAAGGATCAAGAGAGCGGTGAAGACACGGATAGCGATAGCGATGAGCCCAAAGCAGTTGAAGTTTGGCAAGGTGCTATTTTCAAGGTAGGCGATGACTGCCGGCAAGATGTATTGGTGCTTCAGATCATTTCAGTGTTCCGTTCTATATTTGCCTACTCTGGCCTTGATCTCTATGTGTTTCCCTACAAGGTCACGGCGACTGCGCCGGGCTGTGGTGTAATTGATGTTTTGCCCAACTCCACTTCTCGTGATATGTTGGGCCGTGAGGCCGTTAATGGCTTGTACGAATGGTACATTTCCAAACATGGTAATGAGGACAGTATCGATTTCCAACGGGCCCGCAACAACTTTGTCAAGTCTCTTGCTGCTTACTCGGTTATTTCGTATCTGCTTCAGTTCAAGGACCGCCATAATGGTAACATCATGTACGATGATGACGGACACGTTATCCACATCGATTTCGGCTTCTGCTTTGAAATTGTTCCTGGCGGTGTCAAGTTCGAAGCCGTTCCTTTCAAGCTTACCAAGGAAATGGTCGCAGTTATGGGTGGAAACACAAATACTCAGGCTTACCGCTGGTTTGAGGAGCTGTGCGTGAAGGCGTTCTTGTCCTGCCGCGTCTATGCTGAGGACATTTGCCGCATGGTGGCACCTATGCTTGAGAGTGGTTTGCCCTGCTTCAAGGGCGACACCATCAGGAAGCTGCGCAACCGGTTTGTCCTTAACAAGAGTGAGCGCGAAGCTGCCAACTTCATGCGCGGCCTCATCTCGCGATCGTATGAGTCGAACTTCACCAAGGGCTACGATGAATTCCAGCGGCTCACCAATGGTATTCCGTACTAGTTTTGTAGGTCTCTTATTAAATACTTATAAAAATTGTCTTCGGGTTTTCTAGTTCGAATTCTCCGGATCACTGGACTCCAGACTAGGGCTGTTACTTAGGTAGTCTATCCCTTCTTTGGCGACACCTCCCTCGCAGATATTTCGTTGGCGATGGCGTTGAAGTGCGTCCATTCTAGTGAATCCTTTGCTACAGGCGCATACAAAAGGCCTGGTTGTACTGTGGCAGCGCTGGTGGCGACGCAAATCGTGTGGTCTAACAAACGTTGCATCGCACACGTCACACGCGTACGGGCGGTCGCACAGATGGGTTTGGATGTGTGATCTGAGATTGTAACGGCGCCGGAAAAGGCGTCCGCAATGAGGGTACAAGCACTGGAAGACGTCATTTTCGTCTCCAGGCCCAATATACTCATCGACGGCACCGGGGGGCAGGCAGGATTTTCGGCGTGTCTTCTTGAGAGAGCTCTTGATTTGAGAGCGGATTATTTCCTCACACTTTTTGTTTTGCGGGACAGTAAGAATCGGTTGCCATTCTACATGTTTCGAGGGTGAGCTGCCCAGCAGCACCGGAGATTGATCCGCAAACAAGTGTGAGGGTGGTGGAGGGGGAGAAGAGCACGGTAACTGATCATCGTAATCCTCAGGAACCTTGTATAGAGCTGAGGGACGAATCGGTGACGACTGAGGGTAAAGAGGTGCCCGCAACAGAGCCCCGTCCGGCGGGGTCTGAGGCATGAAAGACGCCATGCGTGGAGGAGGTGAGAGCGTGATGTTGGAGATACCCAGAGCCATATTCAGACCCGTCTGCTGTACTCGTCGCATTACTAGCGGCGAGTTTTGTTGGCTTGGAGGTGAAGACGGTGGGAGATCATAGCCAGTAGGAATTCGATGGCCTCGTGGGGTCATGTCACCACCGTAAACAGACTTGGCGGGCGACGACGACAAGAATACAGGAGGGGTGTTCAGCTGGTACTCAGGATTTTCGGCAAACTTTGCAATTTGATGGGCAGCTGTCTCGTCCTGCGGGGTGGCTGCGGGCAAGCCATGGCCGATAGCTAGCTCCTGAATACTGAGCGACTGCTCGAGGGCCGCATCGTAGTCTGCATAGTCGGTGAGAAAAGGCTCGAAATCATCGTTAGGCAGTGGGACGGAGTTTGGTGCCGACTCTGGGTCCGAGATAGCCCCAGGGTCTAGGTCGTAGCGAGGATCCGGAAGTCCATTGTAGAGCTGTTGGGGGTTGTTTTGAGTATAGTAGGACGTCATTTCGTGATGGACAGGTGCCTTGGTAGAAGAGCACAAGAGGTTTGATATTCGAAAAGACGCTGCTGTTCTTCCTTGAATAGGAGGATTGGTACCAGGTGGTGAACGAGTCTGTTGTACAAGAGCCCTAGTTGTTGTTGAGTGGGGTGGTTGTCAGGATGATGATTTTTTTTGGATCTGCACAATTTGAGGCACTCCAAAGTCCATCCTTGCGGTTATACGTCGCATCTGAATCGGGGCATTCGAAAACATCATTGAGCCTAATTGGGACATTTGTAAACTCTGCTATCTGCAGGGTGTATGCAGAACGTCGACTCCGCGTTGAAGTGACATCACGCCAATGCGTAGGTGTGAATACGGGAACCCATGCGCACGCAAAGTGTCTTGAACTGAACTTCTCTTAACGATGTTTGCTGTAGGTCTCTGATTGGCTCCAAAGACCCCACTGCGAATGACAAGTGAGGAGTTGAGGGAGGCAGTACAGGGAGGTCCCATTCCGGCCGGGCGAATATTTTATTCAGACCAACAATAAGCTCGGAAATCCCACTGGATTCGACAGGAATCACTGCAAAGACTTTTTCTTTCGTGGGGTTCTCGAGAAATCTCACTTGGGAGCTCATCCTCTGGGGACCCAAGCTGACACTATCCGACCACTGGTGGAGCAGCAGCAAAAACCGGTCCTTTGCATCTGAAGGAATCATTAAAGTATCGCTCAAGCTGACATGCAAAGGACGCGAGGCACCGAGATCAGTGGTGACAAGGGAGTTAAACTCTATTGCGTCCGCCAATGAACCCAGCTCGGTCGTTTGATGCGCATTGGCAAAATACTCTAGATAGACATGAGTAGGATAGAAGCCATCCGCATGGCTAATTGTGCGGTTGTGCTGGTGAAACCCGGGATCCATTAAGCGAGGACCGTGCTGATACCGCCTCTGCGTCTCCTGCAAGATGGCCTCGTCGCTATCGTCGTCGTCGGAATACTCCACTAACGGCATTAGTCGCTCACCAACCCCAACGAGAGCCTGGAAAGAGTATAATTGACGTAAGCAGTCAAATCCAGAGCCCCGGGGGGAACAAGGCATTCTTAGAATTTAGAGCCAATTAGTGCTAGCCGGAGCTGAGCAGCCAAACTGTACAACGCCCAATCCCGGAATTCTCCGATCCACCGTGGGGAATTGTGACCCCTCCCCGTAAAGCATGAAATGGGTATTCCCGACCCCAGAATGGGGTATTCTTCCATTAGTCATCCGGCAATCGACAGCAAACGGCCAATAAGCATTTGTAAGTAGTTTTACGTTTCTTTTTTTTTAAACTTCAAAGGAATTCCGAAAGACAAACTTCTTCCTGGAATCTTCTTGCACACTATCTCCCAGAATGATCCGTGCATTAAAATCCAATACACTTAGACAGAGTCTGCGCGCTGGCGCCCGCAAATCCATGCCCTCCGCCACTGCCTCTCGTACCCTCACCACTGGTCGCTTTGCTTCTGTCCAGTTGGCCGGTGCTACCAAATCTGCATCATGGGCATTGCCCAAATCGAGTCCTGCCCGTCTTATGATGGTCCGTGGTTACGCCGATGTTGTCAAGGTGCCTGATATGGCAGAATCCATCACCGAGGGTACTCTTCGTGAGTTCACCAAGGAGATTGGTGATTTCGTCGAAGTCGACGAGGAAATTGCCAGCATCGAGACCGACAAGATCGATGTTGCTGTTAATGCTCCTTTCTCCGGTACCATCACCGAGTTCCTGGCCCAGCCTGAGGACACTGTCGAGGTCGGTCAGCCGTTGTTGAAGATTGAGAAGGGCGATGCTCCTGCTGGCGGTGCCAAGAAGGAGGCTTCCAAGGAAGAGGCGCCCAAGGAGGAAGCCCCCAAGAAGGAGGAAGCTGCCCCCAAGGAGGAGGAGCCTGCTCCCAAGAAGGAGGCCGCACCCAAGAAGGAGGCTGCGCCCAAGAAGGAAGCCCCTAAGGAGGAATCCGCTAAGCCCGCTTCTGGCTCTTTCTCCCGTGATGAGAACATTGTCAAGATGAACCGCATGCGTTTGCGTATTGCTGAGCGTCTCAAGGAGTCTCAGAACACCGCCGCCGCACTGACCACTTTCAACGAGGTTGATATGTCTGCGGTCATGCAGATGCGCAAGCTTTACAAGGACGACATTATCAAGAAGACTGGCGTCAAAATCGGTTTCATGGGTCTCTTTGCCAAGGCCTCTACTCTTGCCATGCGTGATATCCCCACCGTCAATGCTTCCATCGAGGGCACCAACATGATCTACCGTGATTACGTCGATATCTCGGTTGCTGTTGCCACCCCCAAGGGTCTTGTCACTCCTGTGATCCGCAACGCCGAGTCTCTTGACGTTGTTGGCCTCGAGCGCGAAATCGCCGCTCTGGGTGCTCGCGCCCGCGATGGTAAACTCGGTCTCGAAGACATGGCCGGCGGCACCTTCACTATTTCCAACGGCGGTGTCTTCGGATCTCTCATGGGTACCCCCATCATTAACATGCCCCAGTGCGCTGTCTTGGGTCTCCATGGCGTCAAGGACCGCCCCGTCGCTGTTGACGGCAAGGTCGAGATCCGCCCTATGATGTACTTGGCCCTTACCTACGACCACCGCATTCTCGATGGCCGTGAGGCCGTCACGTTCTTGCGTCTGGTCAAGGAGTACATTGAGGACCCTCGCAAGATGTTGTTGGCTTGAATGTAGCATAGATATTAATCCCACCGGTTTTTTGTTGGTTTCAGCGGCCGTTTTTAGGACAGTCAAGACAAATATTCACACTGTACGTAGCAAGCAGAAGACTTTTTCTTTTCAACTATATCTTTACTCCTAGCGCACGGACATCTTCCCAAAACAGACTGATCTTCTCTTTTGCATACGCCATACAGTCGAACTCGTCCACCTCGTCCACAATCTCTACTGGATTGGGAGGGGATGAGCTCACCACGTCATAAGAGCCGCGACATGTGAGCATTCCATCTCTCAATTCGAGATCCTCTTGCCCCGGAATAGGGGTTTGGACAATGCCCCAGAATGCCCAGTGACTCGAGACAATAGGCCTCCATAGCTTGCAAAGTTTGTAAAGCTCGTTTGCTTCGGCTTCCATCGTTGCTTCGTCGAAATCTGGGCTACCATGCTCGACATAGCTGTTGATGAAGATCATTTGCTGTTCTTTGGTGGGGTACCTCTCTAACCAGATGTGGTGAGGCATTGTTGGATGATGGTAGTCCCCCATCCATTCACAAAAATGATTCACAATGTCGTATGCGGGCACATTGGGCCCCGAGTACTCGAAATCAATAACAACAAGTTGCCGATGCTCGTTTTGAGGCATAATAAGGGGCGATCCTTTGGGTGGCTCTACGCGTAGAATGTTACCATACTGGGTGTCATTGTGGGCGAGAACAAGCGATTTATTAATTTCGCCCGGTTTATATTGCGCCTCAATATGTTTTCGAACCTCAGCAATCGTGGCGAGAAATTGCTCGAGCCCACACTGCAAAACACGTTCAGTGATACCAGGATCTTTTACTTCAAGCTGCTCGAACCTCTCCCTTACTGGAATCTCCCATTTCCGCAACATTGCCCATGCAACTGGCCCGCCAGCTCGCTGCTCTGCAGACAGGGGAATACTGTCGTGAAACTCCCGCATGCGCTTGGCGATAAGGCGGGAAGTTTCTGGTTTCCAGAGGTCCTCATGATGGAGGGGCTTTGCGTTCAAAAATTGCTCAAATCGGCCGTTTTTGAATGTACCAAACAAGCGGGGGCCAATTTTGTTTCTTGTGAGGAGAGCAACTGTCGAAAGCTCTCTCTGTCGATCGATAAGTGAGTCAACCTGGGGGCCATAGACTCTGAGCAAAATGTGTTGGGGAATCCGATGGGCCAAGGTGCGCCCTTCGTACTCTTTCTTAAGGGTTTCTTTAACGTAAGAAGGCGCTCGAACCGAATAAACCGAATTGGTCAATGCGCCAGTGATCCGCACTACGAGAAGGTCTTCGGCCATATCTAAAGCGACAGAAGACCATCCTGGCACATGAAGCTCATGAGCAAGGTTGATGATATCCTGCTTGAAATACTCCTCCGGTAGTTTGTCGTCTAGAAAAAAGTCACTATGCCGGATTTCAGGCTCTTCGTCGCCACTGTCATTTTTGCAGCTGCTGGATCGTCGCCGCATGAAAAGCGGCCTCACATGTCCGGACCTGGGAAGCATTTCGACTGTACAGTTCTGACCACCTTAGCCGAAAAAGAATTGGGTAGGAAGTAAGCATGCCTGCAGGGTGTAACGGCTGACATGTGGGGTGTGACCGAAAACACCCCGCTTTGTTTCGTAGCATACCAGAACACTATTTCTTGGACAGCTACAAAACACCAAAACAGCTTGGCCCAAGTTGGTGGAATCCGATATTGTGACCAAAATAACCGGATATCTTCGGATCACAGCCCGACGTTTATCGCCCCACCTTGTCTGTGGACTAAGGTCAAGGGTATGTTGTGATCGAAGTTTAAAAGTGGTTTAAAACATATTCAGTAAATTTGTAACATTGGGGTGGCATTCTGTTATTTCAATGGATTCGGGTATACATTTTGGGTTCCAGAGACTTTCCACGGTGACTATAGTTTGGGCGCTGAGTTCCAGAGCTGGGCACAAGTGAGTACTTTCCTGGAACCTTCACCGGCGGGATTGCGAAACGAGGAGACAACAGTCTTTTGGGGTTTACAATTTTAGCCCTTATTGTTCTTCCCAAAAACACTGTATGGCAAGCACACTCAATTGCGACCACAGCCTCTTCAGAAGAATGATACTGGATCAGAGCACAGTTATCGCCGTTTTCACCCGCAAACAGCTTGACATTTTCAATCAGGCCGTGTCTAGAGAATTTGTCAATAATGACATCTTCAGTTACCGATATGGGGAGTGGGGCTACCACAATAGAGGAAATCTTTGATGAAGTGATAAAAGCCGCCTCATCAGCGAGATTCTGAACCCAGTCCAAGGTGCAGTTTTCAGCCATCCGTAATGTTGTGAATGCTCTGACGGCATCCTCACGGTAAACAAATCTAACGAACCAGTACTGGTGCTCAGCCATTCCTGGAGTGATTGCTTCAATGGGGCCATATTTCTGGCAAATCTTTTCGACAGTGCTAGCTTCCCAATCGTGGTTACTGGGAGGCGGGCCGATGAGGATTGTCCTGTTGACATTTGCCTTTTCACAACGAATGGCTTTACCAGAGACAACTAAACCATTACAGTACTTGATAGCGCGAAGTGCTTCAGCCTTCTGTTCGTACTGTACAAACGCATAAGGGCTGAGCCGTGAATCACGAAGAACTTTTACAAAAACCACCGTGCCATAGGCTGCAAAAGTATTCGATAACATAACGGAGATAGAGTCATCACTGAGACTCACCCTCAGGTTCCCGACGAAAACGCATGAATCAGGACGGGGACGCTCTTGGATCTTTGCCTTGGGTTGTTGAATTCCTGTTCCGGAAACGGCATTATTGTGTCGCCAAACATCAGCAACTGGACTGGAAACTGAGATGGGACTGGGATGCATGTTCGCAGATAGACCTTGCAGAACTCTGCGACTCAATTCGGTAGTACTAGCGCTGGCAATGTTTGGTTTAGATGGGGCTTGCGGAGTGAAGTTTGGAGCATTGCTGGAACCAAAAGAGCATTCGTTTTCTCCAACTTTCGGGGTTGTATCTTTCATATTCCCATTGGTGCCAAGAAACTCTGTGTCGCTCAAATCGGAAGATCCTATGGATCCCAAGTCGAAGCTGTTAAGAGCAAGAGCTGGTTCTTCAATGGCGACCGGAATTTGAGACTTTTGCGGTGAAAGTACTTTCTTGGAGAGCTGAGCGTGGTTTAGGGACATTGCAGAAACGCTGTTTTAGGGTGTATATCTTTTCGTGTTTTGTGTTAGCAGGCCAAGTCGAGTTGATAGAGTATACATGCCACCTCTGAACCAGCTATATACTTAGACCTGGAGTTGTTGTACATTCCAGTTGCACCACAACTACATACCTCCGCTGGTAATTGAGGTCTCGACACCAGTGAGGCATATTTCCTAACCTCTGCAGGCATCAATGCGTACCAACAGATAGACATAGGTGTTCAAAAGCTCATTGTGTTTTACCGATACCATAGGGCTTGTTACATCTAATTCTGCGAGCTCTTTGTATAGTTTAGAGCATATGTTGGAGAAACTTGGTTTCTGAGGATCCCCACTTGCCAAGTATTGTAACAAGGCCCTTTCCAACTTGCCTACTTTCGATGGGTTGAGCTTCAAATACTGTCTGTAATTTCCAACTGCCAGCAGCATTTTAGCAAGGTCTTTCTCGCTGTATTTAGTTTTGCTACTTTCGCCCAAGTTTTGTAGCCACTCGACCTGCTCATTTAGAATTTGCAGAAGCTTGGACTTGGCATTCTGGACTCTTTTCCGAGCTTGTTGGACGAGTGAGTAGCTCTTTTTGGTTTTGCCGGTCTTCCACAGGGCAAATAACATACAGCTTGAGTTTCTGCAACCGTGGGCTATATGCTGTATGCAGGAACCACTTGGTGGAGGTTCTGCCGAGCCCGGGTTTGCACAAGCGCCACAAACTGGACAAATAGTTGACTCTCTAAAGGCGTAAGCTCTCTAACATCAATTTTGCCCAGAGGTGTGCCAAGTAGCTTTTCGGCTGCCGATGGGCTACATGCAGACCCTGTCTGGCAGTTACACAAAGCAGAGCTACTAGTCAGAGCACAAGTCTCACAGCAGTATTGCATTGAAATAGACCCATCTAGTGGATCTAATGGCACCTGTTGGCGGATAGTTGAGTTGGCAAATGGCGTTTTGACCAGCGGATTAGTCGCGTGGTTTCGCAGGACCCCAGAGATGGCCGGACCCAGCATCTGGCCGTTGCATAAAGTTGGATTCATTGGACCTCTGAGTTGCGGACTAAAAAGCTGTCTGCTAGTTACTCGACATCTCATGTATATACATGCTTGGTGCATTCTAGCTGCGCACATGCGGCAGTACAGGTCTCTTGTTTTACTGTGGACAAAATTGACACCAGAAAGCTCTCGGTGACATTTGCAGCATGTGTGATCACTTTTGTATGTGGACATTGGTTCTAGTTGTGGAGTCGACCGTTGATATATGCCCCCTAACCTTTTGGCGAACGCAGTGCATGACAGCTACAGAATGACAGGATAGATAGATAAAATGCTGGAATAGATAGATATATAGGGAGCTACTGAGCTCAAGCGGACGCTGCTCGTACTAATGATGCTTGCTGCAGTCTTCTCACGGCGAACTGTAAACCCTCTCGCGAGTTTTCAAGAGTTTTCACAAACTGCTTTTTGCCCCAGTCCTCTAGCTTTTCGCGGATGCCTCTGGTTAGTCCCGACTCGAAGCGGACCTCGTGGACTACTCGCGTGCCTGACTGGGTGCATTGGTACTTTGAGTAGTCGTCCACACGCATGATTGTGGTGTGATCTAGATTTCGCACCCAGCTGGTCAGTGTGCGAGCCTTGGGGTCAACTACTGAGGACTCCAAAGTCCATGTGTCGCTGATAGAGCCCACAACAAACCTGAGCATCGACGGAAGGCGGCCCTTTTTGCGAATCAGTCGTTTCACCACCAACCGGCCCTGGCCATCAACGTACTGCTCAATGGTGTCGCAAGAGGACACATGCTTCGAGAAAGGGTTCGGATATTTGAGAAAAAACGCCTGGCTTAGCAAAGAAAAGTCAAAGTCGTACTCATGCGAAAGGTGGAAGATTCGTACCATCGGTTGCTGATCAGTTTTTCAGTCTGCCGATGGCTGAAATAATCCCCGTTTGCTTAGTGGACCGAAAGATCGGATGACTAAGCTAAGGAGTATTCCGCTTCTGGACCGCCATCGAGGATCCATTGTTTTCGACAAGCGATTGCTATATTTTGGTTTGGAATAATGTCTTTTACGCCGATCAAGTCTTTTGTTGACCCAACGTTTTTTTCAGAGCTTGCAAAGTTCAAATTGGAAACGGCCAAGCTCTCGGAGGCCACTGTGGATATTTCAGGGTCTATGTCAGTGCCAGTCGCGGGGGGACGCCCTGCGGCACTGCGGCTTTCCAGAGACAGTTTTGCTTCAGACTCTCCAGCGGTGAGCTCGAGCTTGTTGTCTTTTGATATTCCAGGCAAGCTCACGAATCTAAACACAATTGAGGGATTCAAGGAGCTCGACAAGGCGGGCCTGTTGAAGGGCCATGCAGATGAGCTCATTTCAGCATTTGAGACAAAGGAGATTTTCAAGGACTTGAGACAACTTCTCCAGTTCCATGTTATCACCTTCAGCGATCTCAAAAAATACAAGTACTATTACTGGTTTTGTTTTCCTGCACTGGCGTGGAAATCCCGGGCTCGCCGCATTTCTGGCGGCGACGTGCATTTGAACGAGATGATTGCGAAATGGACTCGAAACCAAAGCCAAAGTGACCAATTGATATTTATAATCAACGATAATGGCACTGAATTACTGCCCTTTGCAAACCTGCAATTTAGCCGCCCAGAAGGAATGCTAAAGATTGGAATGATTGATTTTGCTTCTACCGAAGCGATCGGCTACCCGTGGCATCTCCACAATTTAGTGGCCCTATTAAAAAAGCTAGGATTTGACCGAGCTGAGGTATATATCTACCGCGATCACCCGTCACAGGTGAAAGTGACTCTGTCCAGCTATTGGATCGAGATTGGGCTTGATGGAACAGATTTAAGCAACCACGGGTCTGTCGGTTGGGAACGTACGAGTGAGGGCAAGCTAATGCCAAAAGTTAGTGACCTTGCAGCCCTAGCCAGCCCGCTCGATTTGGCCAGCCAGGCCGTGGATTTAAACTTGAAATTAATGAAGTGGAGGGCGGCGCCGCAAATCAACCTAGATATTCTGAAGTCTACTTCATGCCTTTTGCTCGGTGCAGGAACGTTGGGGTGTTACGTTTCGCGCGGACTCATGGCTTGGGGGGTGCGAAAAATCACCTTCATCGACAACGGTACCGTGTCATATTCCAACCCCGTCCGCCAGCCTCTTTACACACTAGAAGACTGTATCGCCGGGGCATACAAGGCAGAGGCTGCGGCTAAGGCATTAACCAGGGTTTACCCAGGTGTCGATGCGCATGGATTGCGTCTTGATGTGCCGATGGCGGGTCACCCGGTGACAAACGAGCTCAAGCAGCATGAAGATTATGTGCAGCTTCTTGAGCAAGTGCGCAAGCACGATGTAATATTTTTACTGATGGATTCGCGAGAAAGCCGTTGGCTACCAACGGTCATGTCTAGTGCTCTGGGCAAACTTGTGATCAACGTGGCCATCGGGTTTGACTCGTATGTTGTTATGCGGCATGGCTGTCAAACGCAGAGCCCGCGCACAGAGGCTGAGCCAACGACACAAGAAGACGACCGCGAGACATCGGCTGAGCCATTGGGCTGTTACTTCTGTAATGACGTGGTGGCTCCTATAGACTCCACGTCGCGACAGTCTCTGGATCAGATGTGTACTGTCACAAGACCAGGAGTAGCTCAACTAGCATCAGGCCACGCTGTTGAGCTATTCGCCAGCGTTCTGCAGCATGACCTTGGCAAAAAGGCGCCTGCAAACGCGACAAGCACGCTTGGACCAGTATATCACCAGCTTCGCGGGTTCCTAACGAACCATGATACCATGCCCATATGGGGACCCGCTTTCGAGCAGTGTTCTGCTTGTGGGCGAGAGGTGATCGACACGTTCACTGCCGACGGGTGGGAATTCGTTAAACGTGCGCTCAACGATAATGAGTACCTCAGTGAACTCAGTGGGTTGAGGGATCTCCAAGAAGGAGCAGCAGCACTAGAACTAGAGTCTGATGATGGTCTGGAATAAATCTGAAGCGTTTTTATAGTTTAATTATATTTTCGAATTGAATACTGTAACACTCGCGAGGGTCCATGATCCCCTTGTTCGCTGCGCACTGCGGGGTTATAGATTGCAGTGCGTCAATTGTGCAGCTGCACAGAGATACAATCTGTGGGTAACAAGCATAGCTCTATGTCGGCAAATGGTAGGTGCAGGAACCGCGCAGAAGGATTGCTTAGGCAGGTCAACAAAGTTTCAAGAGCGGAAAATTAAACAATGGCGTTTTATAACTTTAAGACCTAAATATTACAGTTCTAGAGCGTTTATTGATAACACCTGCATATCTTATCTACTAGAGAACTAGTTTGTTACCGGTATTAGTGTGCCTTATAGAGGCTGCTCTACGATACGCAAAACTATGCACGGTGTACGAAAGGGCATGCGGTTATTAAGCACGAATAGTTCAAATATTTTTAGTTGGGGGAGGATGCCAAAGTAGAGCGTAGGGTGGAAGGTTGTTCTTAGGGCAGACTTCCACTGGGGAAAAAAACTAACTTTCTAGGCTGATAGACTTGGACGCGGGATTTGTGTGAATTTGTAGGAGGGAAAGGATCGACTATTTGCATAATTTCGTATGTGGGAAGAGTGTGTTGTGATACACTGTGGTTGATGACAAACGAAGTATCACAAGGTTAGGATTGCATATTGTACTTAGGGGCGTCAGACGGCATTCTCGTCGTAAAAACCTGATAAAAGCACCCGGAAAACGTTGATACCGGAAGTTATGTGCATCTAGATAGAGTGAAATTAAAATGCGTCGTCCAACTAGTGGTTCCATGGCAATACTCTTTTAGCGGCTTTTAAAAAATGCTAACCCTGGTCTCGGCGAAGGTTACAGTACATGGAAAAAGTTCGCTTACATGACGCCAGTACCCATCCCTGGTTCTGCTTAGTCGCTGATCAAGATGGTGGACACAGAAGTTAACTACCAAAGCGCAGCAAGCATTAGTCGGCCCAAAAACACTCTGTGCAGTGAGCACGATAAGAATTGTCACAGACGCTCTAAATAAAGTAAATATCAAATTCTAGGTCTGCTACGAGAGGTGCGTGCCCAAACGGGGCCAACTTTGGCGATCAGAACCACCAAGGTGAGCAGCCGATCACCTGCTCGCGAAGGTCACCTGCACTAGGGGTGGTTTTTTTTACCAATCACGAGTTCATATGTAAGCTATTTGAGGTGGAGTGCATGGGCTTTGCGCCTCAGACGTCTGTCGGCATGCCGCTTCAAAAGTGAGGCACAAGGCATGCAAGTCGACAGCCGACATGCATAACGTCGCGCGGTGCATTAGTTCTGCGACCATAGGAAGCAGATATAGGGACAGGCTATTTTTTTGTACCTCACTGCTTGCTTACAGACTAAATATTCTTCTGTTTCGAGCAAGCACCCGATAGACCATACAATTTGCTATTCCACAGCCCCGATCATTAACGACGCTGCCTATGTTTTCTTCACCTCCAATACAAGTTCTTCCCGTCCAACTACCGACTCCCATGCCTCAGCAGATGGTCTACTACGTCCAGCATCCCAGCACATCCTTTAATCCTAACTATGCTGGTGCTTACCGGCCGGTACCGACTGCTACGTCCGGTTTTCAGCTGGGCTCACAGCCGTTTGTACCCATGTGTGCCAGCGGTATGCCGAGACTTCCACCGGCTTCTTCGTTAATACAGTTGCCACTCCCAATGGTTCCGTCCAATGGTCCATTGGTGTGCGGCGTATGCAATTTTGAAACATACTATGGGCCAATCCTCGAAGAACACCACCGGGCCGTGCACAATCGGCTGGGTCCACCAACCCCGCAAGCCCAATCTAGCGAGTTTTTCCCTGGAACTGTAGTAGGGGCAAATGTCACACCGGACCAAAGCTCGTACACAGTGACGGCATGCAAAGGAATGAAGCGTACATTCTCCGGCAGCTTGGAGCCGGTGCGCACCTGTGTCACACCGGCGCTTGCTCAGCTCTCTCCGCCAGTTTCAGAAGGGGGGATGAAGCCATTAAGTCCCGGCCAGCAAATAGTTGCAGAAAATAAGGAACCCCAGCATACACATCAACGGCTCGAAGCGATACCCGCGGACACTTTATATCACTCCAAACGCCGTGCCGGCTATGCTGTAGCTGACCACCTGACACCATCCCAGGCGGAAGAGAAGTGTGGCATGCGGGAGTATTTGGACGTCACGGGGCAAGCCAAGCCGTTTGCCAAACCCAGAGAACGCATTGGAAGCGCCCTGGACCGAAAAAGCGCAAATAAAAACTGGCACTGCACTCTGTGTGGCCGGGTGTGTTCCAGCAAATCGAGTTTAAGGAGGCACGTTCGTCGCCACGAGGGCCTGCGGCCATTCCAGTGCACCCTGTGTTCCAAGGCATACACTGCCAAGCACAACCTTGACTACCACTTGCGCTCTGCGCACCCGCTAGCCAGTCCATCAGCGATAGCCAACCACATCAAACAGCAACAACGACCACCACCTCAGCAGCCGGTCCCTCTCTGATACGGTGGCCTGTTTGGTTTTTCTTTTTTCTACTCTAGTTTTACCCCGGTAGAAACGGCTTGTTAAATCGAACCAACAACCGGGCCTTCTGCATATGCCCGCCTCCGCCCACTCGAGAAAACGTATATTTTGCTCCTTATTATTATATACTTGACGAAAACATAAACCGTTAGAGGTAGGGAAAAAAAGAAATCTTTGTTATTTACATTACAGACTACTTGCTGAGGCGGCGGCGCTGGGTGCGTTGGGCCTTCAGCCGCTTGCGGTACTTGTGGCGGTTCATCTTGAGCTTCCGCTTGCGTCGCACAGAGGTTGCATCAACGTCTTCGGCATCAAACTCCTCGACGACATCTACGTCCAGCATGGGCACCTGGACGAGCCGGCCCTTACCCTGATTATTATAGCGGTCCAAGATGCTGCCAATAAGCCCAATGGTTTCTTGGATGGTGTGGACCTGATCGCCTCGCCCGCGGGTCATCGAGACCTGGGTCTGGAGCTGCATGGGCGCCGGGGCGCTGGGAACAACGGCTTTCTGGTTCGCGGCCTTGGCGACGTGGAACGGCCCCATTTCAGATGCGATCTCCTGGGGGACGACGTGGAATCCGGTCTCATGCAGCGAAACTCCCTTCGGCTGCCACACGTGGACGAACATAACGTCGCGAATGTCGGTGCTGTTTTGCGGCTCTGGCTGCATCGTCATCAGCGGCCTGTGCTGGGCAAAAAACGCCTTCAGCGCCAAGGGCGACTCCCGCAGCTGGTTGTCCCATTGCTGGAACTGGGTATCCGTGATCTTCGAAAACGGAAAGTCGTCTTTCCTCATCTCAGGCACTGCGCGTCCGTGCGCAAGGCTGCTCTTACCTCGCAACAGCCCCACCGTGGGCTGCCAGCTCGGCCGGCTCACCCGACAAAAACCTTTGATCATGGTTAATTAGCTAAGCGGCGGCTTCCCAAATCTCGCGCTTTCAAGTCACCACGGGGCAAGCGAGGGCTGATTTGGGAATATGAGCATTGTATTTCTGAAGACCGAGTTGGAGACCCTGGCCAGTCTCGCCAAGAAACGCAATGTCCACTTGCAGCAGGCAATCGAGGAGTCGCTGCGAATCGCTGAGGTGGTCGGCGACGACGCTGACCTGGCCAAACTTCGAGACTTTCCCAGCTTCGTGACGCCGTTTTTCATGGCGTGCTCGGCGGCAAATGCCAAGTCGTGCGCGTCCGCTTTGCAATGTTTGCAAACTATGGCTATTGCCAGCGCCATTGCCCCAGAACGGTTGAGCGACTTGCTCCAGTCCCTGCTGGAGGCCGCTCAGCTGGGCATTGGCATCCAACTCAAGATCCTCCAGCTGCTGCCAATGATGCTGCAGTCCTATGCCGCGGAAATAAACGGAAATCTCGTGGTTGAACTGCTCAGAGTGTGTGCCGAGCTACAGGGGACAAACAAACTGGGGGTCGTGCATAATACCGCGTATGCTACTTTGCAGCAGCTCATTACCACGCTTTTCGATAGAATTGGGAAACTGCATGGCGAAGAAGTCACAGTGGACGTTTGTGGCTCGTCCTATACGGTAGACAGCCTTGTGAGAGACTGCGTACTTATTCTCGACGATCTCTGTGATGTCGCCGAGGGCGGCCAGCCCAAATTCTGTAAATTCGGCACGCTGCCGCTGAGCTTTACGTTGGAATTTCTCGAACTCACTCTCACCAACCACGCCCAGGTTTTCCACACCTACAAAGTGTTTTCTGTGATCCTCCGCCAACGCATCAGCCAGCTGTTGATTCGTTTGTTCAAAGAAACACCCGAGTTTTCCATTACTCTGCGAACTGTCCGCATTTTTTACCTCCTGATTCGCAGGCATCTCAAAATCATCTCTGCCGAAGCGGAAATCCTCATCTCGCTTTTGACAAATACCATCCCTGCTGATAACCCCACTTGGAAACGTGTACTGTGCCTAGAAGTGTTCCAGGGTGTATTTCTAGAAATCTCGCTTGTGTATCAGATTTATGAGCTTTATGATGCGCAACAACGTCTAGGTCTCGAAAACCTTTTGCAAACACTTTCGTCTGCATTGGCTTCGGGCCAGCTTAGACTAAACACCGACAAAAATGTTCAAGAGCTTTCAAAGCAGGCTACAATGCGCGTACCGTGCATTGATCTTCTTGATAAGGCTGAACCTCCTCGAGTTCCGCCCTTGTACCTGGACTATCTGACCCTTGTTTGTGCTACTTCTTTAGCGGATGGCTTAAACCGCTTAGCTGTGCGTCGCACTGATGAGGAAGGCGATCACGAGCATCTTCCTGGTCTCTACAATACAGTATCTCTACCCTTATTGAACTCGTTCACTATTTTACTTGGCGCTGCTATGGACTTGGAGCTCTACCGTCAAGTTGTTCGAAGCGTCCAGCGTTTGGCCCATTCAGCTGGTATTCTGGAATTTGGCTCGATCAGAGACGACTATATGAAACTGCTGGCACAGTTTGGCCACTTTTCGAGCGACAAATCTCAACTCCCACGAAGTATTCTTTGTATTCGTGCCCTTTTCAATGTTGGATACGCTTTAGGAAATCAGCTGGGAACATCCTGGTCCATTATCGTTCGATTCATTGAGGAAATTGCCGCGGAAACTGGTATTGAAGAGTCGACTGCCGCCAGACTTCTCGCCGTTGACGAGGAATCCGAAGGACCAATCGAGGCTTCTTTACGACGACTGATCGATCAAAGTAATGACTTTAACGATCAAGCATTCATTGACTTCTTAACGGCATTGAGCAACAATATGGAACAGATAGATCTCGCAGTGTTCCATGCTCTATGTCTAGCAAACGTCAACCGACTGGCGGTTGCAGGCAAACCCTGGGATGCTGCCACGTCAAAGTTACTTGATCTGAACCATAAACAGGGTCCACTGAGAAGAAAATCAGCCGCTGTTCTCGACCATGTTGTACTTTCAACAATGAAGTTCGCAGACGACCCCAAGGCCCATCGGGCTGTAATCACGGCAATTTCCCGCCAAGCAAATGTTCCTACTGATCAGAACGATGCTGATGCAATTGCTGTTCAGGTTGCAGCGATTAATGCATTAAATCAGCTTCTTGATCAATACGGCAGCAAACTTGAGGCTGGCTGGGAGGAAGTGTTTCAAGTTATTTCTTCTGGCCTCCGCCCAGAAGCCGGAAGTGAAGCAGTTGAGCTTGTCAAAGGATCTTTCCAGTCCTTGGAGTTGGTCTGCTCGGACTTTCTCGAGATTATCCCTTATCCATGTGTTGTGGATCTCACGCTTTGTTTAGATAGGTTTGCCCGTCAAACCTTGGACCTAAACACTGCCTTCACAGCCACATCGAGATTTTGGGCCGTTTGTGACCATTTGATGACCGAACCTGATGAAACTTTCCCTGCAGTTGCCACAGTAGAACAGTTGTTGGCAATGTCTAGAGAGGGTGCCCATAAAAAAGTGGCGTTGTGGATGCTTGCCCAAATCAAGCTGGGCCAAATTGCCAACGAGCCCCAACATCAAATTAAAACTGGTGCTATTCAAATCTTTTTCAGACTGTTTGAAGCTCATGGCGGAAATCTGTCTCTAGGCGCTTGGGAAACCTGTCAGAAACTCGTTTTCGATGTCGTTATGACAGTGGCTGCTGATGAGAAGCCTACAGAACGCGACGAAACACTTGGTCTAATCGTCTCAGGTTTAGGATCATTATGGACATCAAGTTTGGAACAGTTTATTAAATCCGAGGATTTCGAGATTTATTGGAGTAAGCTTATGAATTACTTCAACCAAGTATCTGCCATTTCTCCTGTAATTGCCCTTGCAGTTTACAGGGCAGTTAGTACATTGTTGGAATCAGATTATGCCAAAAAACTTGCCCCAAAGCCTATCTGGAAATTGTGGGTTTCACAGAATACTAGCCCGGCGGCGCAGCCCGAGAGGGTTGCGGTGCAATCACTCCAGGAGCTCGTGGGGCTGTATACTTTACTTACAAGCGTTTACCAATTGACAATTGCGGAGGAGGAGCAGGCTATTACATTGCTGGCCAATTGTGCACAATATCCACATGCAGGATCCATCGTATCAAAGGACCAGCTGACGCCATTGCAACAGGCTTCAATGGATCAGTTAACCAAGTTCGACGTGAGTACCCAACCTTTAGCTGTTCGGCTCGTTCAGGTCATGTCGAAGCTCTCCCGGTTGGCTTACTCCGATGAGACCACCAACCCGCCGCTTTTCAGGAACCTTTCTGCGTCTGCTCAGAGCTACCTTCTGGAGCTACTCAATTCATCGAGCTTATTTGATGTGTTGGACCCCCAAACGGCATTGTCGACTATGCAGTCTGCTGTCATGCTTTTAGAAAATGCCTCTGAAAGAGAACAGGCCGTAGAGGCATTTCTGAGATTGGTACCAAAATGCGTTCAAGTAACACCTAAAGAAGCATACCCATTAGCTGTTCAAGGTGGAAAGTCTATTCTTGAAGGTGGTAGATCCAGCGAAGAAATCAAAGATATTTTAAGTGCCAAAAGATATATTTCCATCGTGGAATCTATCGATGTCCAGGACCTTTCGGCGCCCCTTCTGAAATGCTTGTTGGTTAACTCATTGAGTTATGAGCGCTCTATTTACAGTCGCAGCTACTTTGAGGAGCTCGTGGCAGACGACGACCCAATTCAAGAGCAAGGCACGCTGAACGGAGAAAATGAAGCCACGGAGCTGAGTCTGCATGGAACTATTGAACCGGCCAAGACTCATTTCCGACCAGAGATGGCCTATTTCTGTTTGGAGACGTTACATCGCCTAGCAAACTCCGCATTCAGCGGGCATCTCGGCGCGTCTAGGTACCACTCATTACGAGCTCGCATGGTACTGAGTCAGTACGTGGGTGACGCGGTGTTACGAGGTAGAGAGCCAATGGTTAAGGTGTTGAGACGTGAGCTCTTGTTCATTCTACACCAGCTTAGTGACCGGCCACAGCATCAGGATTTGCTTTATAGATGCATCTCTTGTGGCGACCCGGCCGTGCTTGAGATCGTTGAACAGATCCTGCGCAAGTAAAAATATATGAATATCTAGATACGTCTGTCCAATGCTGCAGGAATAAAAAAAAGGAATTGAAAGATCTCTATTTTATGAGCTTCTGAGAGAGGGCGTTCCGGATGGAGTTGTATCGAGTTGAGAGTAGGTGTCGAGCGATGATTTTGCTCCAGTGCCATAAGGGTCGTAAGCCTGAGTGGCACGAGTCTCCTGGAATTCACGCCAGCGTTTCATCTGGATGTGAGAAGCATCGAACTCACCATTGACTTCGTCATGGCCACCTTTATCACCGCCCTCGATAGTACGGGTTTCACCCCAGGAGAAATCATCAAACTTCCAATAGGCATACATTGGGAGGACGAAATTCCACACGGGCAAAGCCATCAAATAAATGAGCATCCACAGAATATAAGACGCCCTCGATGCTGTGACAACAATAAGCAGACCCGGCAGACCAAGAATGAGGGCAAGAAGGACCAGCGATAGAACGGGAGTAGGTTTTTTCACGATGGCAATGATGATGATATAGATTGTGAATGAAATGGCAGCGGGCAGGACCAGTGTTGAAACCAAATCGATAAACACCACGAACTGCATCGAGATAATAAATACACCACACAAGTCGCGCACCAGCACAAGCTCCATGAGGTTATGAATAGTCGAATTGATCCAGCGACGGCGCTGCGATAACAACACCTTGAACTTGTCAGGTACGATTGTTTTACAGGCGGCCTTGGGAACGAAAACCATCTTGCGTGACGGGAAAGTACGAAGCATGAGCGTACTGAGATAGCGATCTTCACCCAACAGCAGTAGATTTTTCTTGTGCAAAGTGTCAATCACATTATCTGCATAGCGTTCGACAATATCCGGGTTGCAAAGAATTGGCAACCAATAACCATCCATTCCCTTGGGTGCCTTGATACGATACATCGAAAAGCAGCCAGGCAAACAAGTAACGTTACCAAAAACAGACTCAAACGCCTTGGCCTGGTGATGCGAAATGAAATACTCAAACACCTGGATAGCAGTGACCCATGTATCGCGTTTGTTTGCAATTTTTGTTTCACCACACAGGCCAATAATCAAAGGATCACGAACCATTTCACCTATCATGTGGGTGATCGAATCAGGGTAGACCTTGGTGTCGGCGTCCACCATCAGCATCACCTCATAAAAATCTGGAGCAATGCCAGTAACCGACCGGATTCCGTTGAAAATTTCGAATTCAAGCTCGGTCATACGTTCATCGAACATGATACGCTGCAGGAATGACATGAGAATGATCTGGGAATCACGTTTACCACGGTTACCTGGTTTTGCAGCACCGGCCTCTTCGGGCGTGCCACATTTAACAATACAAATCACGGGGACTCGCTGTTGCTTCTCTATTGGCACAGTGCTGTTATCGTACTTGTAGAAACCCGCATATACTTTGGCCATGTTGTGACGTTTAGCACCAGAAACCACAGACACATAAGAGTACGCACCAACCTGATCTGGTTCCTCGGCAAAGTCCGTCATCATTGAAAGACAGATCTCGGGTGTAGACATGTCGTTGCCGGAACCCTTGATCAAACCATCACAGATGATGGTAATCAGTTTGTGACTATTGGGGTAGTCGGTAGTGGCAATAGAATCAAGAGTAGTACGCAGACCTTCGACGGACTCAGAATAGGCGGTAACTAAGCACATGGCATGTGCTAATGGGAAACCGAAAGGTTGGTAGTCAACAGGAGGCTGAGGCACAAGATACTCTTCGTCACCGCCTACGGGGCCAACAGCTCGATCGTTACCGAAAGGCTCCGAATAAGCAAACGAGGTTGGCGTACCAGTATCTTGACGAGGAGGATAGGGAGGTGCCATATCATTAAGAGATATGGCCTCAGGCTCTGCACCGCGATAAGCCGTATTGGCCGCCATAAGTGGGCTGTCATTATTGAAAGACATCGCACTGCTGGGATACATTGCGCTTTGGCGGAATAACGGTTGACTGTAAATTGAGCCGCCGGGAACAACTTTAGAGGTTGACATACTAGGATTTTGCACGGACATGGTGATACGCTTTGCTGTTTTGGCCTCAGCGGCTGCACCTTTAGGCTGAGTTAGCTTTTCCATAATTCCAGAGCGGCGCTCTTTGATTCCTACTGGCTCAGTGTAGGGACCTGGCGAGTAAATGTTCTCACCCCAGTCTTCGATTTGCTGTTCACGCTCAAGAAACTCTTTATTGGTCATTTCTGAAGCACCTTGTCGGCGAGCGATGAAGAAGCGGAAGTAGCAGGCCAGCACAAACTTGAGAGCAACCAGGCCAACGATGAAAACTAGAGAGACATAAAGAACGACCTTGGAAGCGATGCAACCAATAGGCTCTGTATCAATAACACCCACCTTTGCGATTTCACGTAGACACATAGCGACTTTGCGGTCAGCGCCATGGGCCATTCTCTGAGTGATATCCTGGCCACGAATCGAGTTATCGTTACGGAGCTCATCAAATTGGCGAGGGTAGTCCAGGTCGTCGCTATAAAGCAAGCCCAAATAGTCGAGATTAAGAACGTCACCATTGTACACCACGAGATTACTATCCGTGCTATTAAGGTCATCCCATGTATAGTAAACATCAGCCGTGTGGTTTCTGGAGTTGTACAGCACATCACGAGCGCTATTGTGAGTATGACAGCCCCAACCGTTATAAACCTTTGTATTGTTGTCTTGCAAAATACTCGCTGTAGGCACCAAAGTCATGTTGTTGGGGTTGATGATTTGGCAGGGAAAGTACCATGCCACTTTGTTTCCATCATGAGGAATAGAAGAGTCGTCTTTAGGGGTGATGAGATCAAGGCAGTTGCCATTGACATTCTGGAACATGAAGCTGGCATCTTTGCCGCCTGCATTCACGGGAGGATACAAAATAACACTGGATTGGAAGCCCAATACAGAGGGATGGTAATATTGGCCAACGTCGTAAACGGCACCGGACACTACCAGGTTGTTGTTTGGGATTGAGCTAAAATGAATACGCACCTGGTTGTTATTACAAACGGATTCAGTGAAACCGAATGTAAGGTAACCGACAAACGTACCCACCAAAAGAATGACGGAAATGAGGCCAATTTTTTCTCTCCAGGCCATTTGACGCTCTGGGGTTTTCATGCCAAATGGCTTCATCATCCAGGGGCGGATAAAACAAGTTAGCGTCTTGCAATAGGCAGCCCACAGGGAGATTCCCTTCTCTTTCGGCATATATGGCGCGGTTACCTCCATTGCAGCAAAATCAAATGCATCGTCGGCGCCCGTATTTGCTGCCTCATTGTCATCGTCCGCAACCACTTGGGCTTCGGTGGGAGCATTTGGCTCAGGACCGGTGCGGAGCGTACGTCTTGAGGCGTCTCGATGCAAATCGCGGGTGCTGCGGAACGATGTGGTGTGAGCAAGCCCTCCACCCTCTTCTATATCGCCATTGTAGGTGGCATCTTCGGGGATAGGAGGAATAGTCTGGGCATGCGGATCGTGTCCTGTAGATGACGGGTAGACATTGACACCTGGCAACTGCGAGGCGGTGTGGTAGTGAAATTGCGGGTGGTCCGGATCCAAGCGCCGACGTTCCGGTCTGACCAGAGATCGCTTTCGAACCGTCTCGGCCCGGCCGCCGCCAGGGCGGGTGAGGTTCTCCGTATCAGTGTTGTCGATACGTCGAAAGCTTCCACTTCGCTCCATGATACTCTATTTCAACCCTTTAGTGTTGGGCGGGGGTTGAGAAAAAGATGTGCGAGCGGTGAAGATGGAAGGATGGAACCCTAGGTAAAGTTTTAAAAATAGCTGAAAAGCGACTGTTCGCAGTGACACGTTTTTCTTCGATTAAAATTTACACGCACTAAAAGGTGAGATCTGGACACGCATTCTGGCTGCATTTTCGCGAAACCTCTCCTTCGTTACGTCTATCTAGCAGTGTTTATTTTCTCGAACCTGCGCATGCAGGATCCGTGCATGTATATTACAAGATCTTTAGGTAGAGCGGGCTGTGCAAGTTTACAAAAATAAACAACCCAGGGCGCCTGCTTACATAAGAGAACAACTTCAGTTGGCTTCACTTCGCTTGACTTCGCTTCACTTCACTTAGCTAAGGAAGCGGGGGGAGGAAGGGGAAAAAAGAGAAAGAGATAGTCACGTGACTAAATAAGATTAATCTCTATTTAGGCGCACCAGGCGCGTAAAAATAAACCACTGGAGACTAGGCGATATCCGGGTAGTACAAAAAGTACTCCTTCTTCACCTTTTCCCACGAAATGGGATCGAAAAACACGTACATACCGCTCTCTGCCTGAGCGGTCTGCTGCACTGGGTCAGACATGGGGTCTTTGGTGAGCCACAGCTTGAGCTCCTTGTGGTAGCGCCAGTTGCGGTTCGTTAGCTCGACTGCCGCGGCTTCCTGCATGGCGTCCTTGGGCATTGTGTAGAAAATGTAAAACAGCGTTTCCTCGGTTAGATTCTGCAGTTTCTGCTGCTGGGGAACCGCAGAATGGACAGTGTAGCACTCTGGTAAAGAGAAATCCGGAACAACACAGTGCTTCGAAGCTTCAACCCAGGGCGAGGCAAAAGTTCGGGAAATCCGTTCGTTGGGATCGTTCAGGCTGAGGCCAAGATGGGTCACATCAGTATCCAAAATCATATGACTGCGCTCGCCATTTTCAGTCCGCAGAACATTCAGCAACGGCTTCAGTCCGTATCGATCAATGTCGGGCTTTTTCGCCAAGTTCGCCGCCATGGTAGTGGCTGCTCTGGACGGGGCCGGGGACTCGGGGGACGATCCAGGCACAGTCTGCTCCTCATGTTTGTCGAGCCCCAGGCTTTGGAGAAGAGGAAGTGACTTTGGATTACCTTCGAATAGTGTCGAGGATGTTTCGGCAACCGTAGAACCTTCACGCTTCCGAATGCGGCTTTCGGGCCCCAGACCAGGCAACACGGAGGCGAGACTTTCGCGACCGTTTGCTGCTCTTGCTGTCAAAGAAGGCACCGGAAGTTGGCCCAAAAGCTCAAAGTTGGGATGGCCCTTTGCGGAGGAGAAATAAGACGAGGCCGAGGCATCTGCACCATCGGGGTGCTTCGACTTGGAACCACTCCCGGGACTTTCAACACCACCATTTTGTGTTGCAGACGTTCCATTAGCGTTCGATCCCCCCGCTAGCACAGCTAACAGGGGGTTCGAGCTATTGCTGATGTTGGGAGAAAAGGTAGATGATCCAGTGCCGGCTGGTGCTGCGGACTGCTGATTTGTAGCGCCAGGAGGCGGGGGCGCAGGTACAGGCATGGAAAATCCACCAGCACTTTGCATAGGGGCCCTCATAGGGTAGCCACCGTGCACAGCATTTTGCATGGGCGCGGGCATTGGCTGCTGAGACATGGCAGCCATCTGGCTCATGGGGGGCGGGGGCATCCCAGGGGGCATACCCTGGTTAAATTGACTGCCTGACATTACTTGGACAGGTCCAACACCGGGAGCCGGCCCCGGGGGCATGTTGGGTCTAAAAGAGTTGTAGCGCGGTGTGAAAGGTATGGGTACCTGATACCGTTGCTGAAGGCCAGGTGCACCAGAAGCATTCGTGGGCGGAGCGCCTGAAATGTCACCCGCTCGCTGAGCAGGAGGAATCTGGCCCAAACCAGGGGCACTGATGGCTGCGGGCTGACCGATGCCTTGACCGACCGCCTGGCCGCCAACCGGCTGCGGTACTCCTGTGCGTGGCACCTCTGACATTTGGACGTGTTGGGACGCAGCGGGCTGCTGCTGTTGCGGAACTTGCTGCTGTTGATGGTGCTGGCCAAGTCTCGGAAGCGAGGGCAAGCTGACTCCACTCAATCCACCGACAGACATGCTGGGCGTGCCGGAGTATTCAGGTCGCCCTCTCCACGGTGACGGAGATACAGGCTCCTTTGCCGTAGGTTGCGGTATGCGATGAGCCGGTTGCGTCCTTTGCTGAGGGACTCTGCTCATTAGCGTGAATGTGCTTAGAAGTTTGCAAAGACTTTTAAGTAAGCGAACGCCAGGGATAGTGGAGGCGAGAGGCGCCCCCAGAATTAGACCGGTAAATAGTAGTGAACGGGGCTGAATAAAGTTTTTTCCTCAGAATATACTGAATAGGTAGTAGCACGCAATTGAGCCACGGCCCCGACATTTGATGGGCTCAGCGTGGCCGCTTAACCTGCGATTCACTCGAGTCAAACCGCGTCAACCACTCCCTGGAAACAAAGTCATGCAGTATTGGTTGGCCCCCCAGGTTAAGCCATGATTCAACTGGCTGCGTGATCTAGCCACTTTGACGAGCGACCCGCACAGCTGAAACATACACCCGCAAAGAAGAGAGTAGCACCCGCGTGCACTCTCGAATCTGGCACCAGCGTCCAGCCGTGAACCAATTCATAAAAAAAAAGCTCCCCATGCAAACCCCATGTCCTCCGAACCCACCCTCTGACAGCAGGGGATGCGCGTGCGCCAACCACCAGGGTTAGGACCGCCCCGAAAGGGCTAATTAAGGATTAGTACTTTGTCTCTGTTTTGGTCGTGCTTTTTTTACCGGGCAGAGTTCCATTTCCCAACCTGGTCACGAGAATCCAAACCCAGCCGTCAGGTACCGGCCTTTTGTGTGATACCTTTAAATGTTGAATGCTCATAGCAGTCCGTATGGTACTCGGCCGCTGTTGATTTCGCGAATTACAGAGCTTTCCTCGTTCGCGGCGCGATCAGGTATCGCAGAACCGTCGTCGCCTTTGCCCAGTCGAAGGGGCTCTTTGAATCACTTTTGGGCAACATTTACTTCAGAAGTGCGTGCGGCAAAGCCCCATCCCCTAGACTATATCGACTTGGATGTGCTGGACGTCGAACACGCCGAATGGGTCTCTGCGCGCGCACATTTTGCGAATGGAATCCTATCCTTCACCCACCAGTCGGAGAAGCCCTTTGCGTCTATCAAGCTATCTGGGCTACGGATTGTCGGTCATATGGCTAAACCCTACATTCAAATCTTAAATGATAACGAGACGTTTCTCCTCCACATGGACTCACCCGACTCCAACGTCAAATGTCTGGCCACCCTCTTGGCCTGGGGTGAAACAAGAGATGAAGGGATTCAGAACAAATTGTGGATCCCCAAGATCAAGATTGAGCCAGTGAAGCCTGATGAAAAAGAGGAGTTATTAGTATGCAAGTTCAACGTCCACTTTACTGCTCCACATGCGTCTGACTCAAGCAGCTGGCAAACTGTGCTTGGCACTCTTAATAAAAAGGGCCGGCTGTCTTTATCGCTAGACAGGGGCGAGATATTCGCTCTCAATATCACCCAGGTTTACGCAGATTGTATTCGCCGTGTTGACCCTTCGCTGGTTTCATCCGAGTGGGTCATTTTCATTGTTCCAGATATGGGAGGCCCAGAATCCGTTTATCTCAAGTTCAGTACCGACAACGATTTTGAGGATTGGTTCGTGTGCTTGCGAGGATTTTGCAAACAAAGAGTATACACCCCGCTCACCAGGGACGTTTCCCAGAGCATACGGTTCAGCCATCAGTTCAAAGTTAATATCTTGAGTGGCAAAACCAAGGGGCCCGATGACACCCATGCGTTTTTCGACTTTTCGAACACCTACGTCGACATATGTTTTAACGATTGGATCTGGGCCCGCACGTTAGTACATCCTACCGCAAACAACCCATTTTGGGGCCAAGAATTCGTTTTCAAGGAACTTGATAGAGAACTGGCGCCTCTTGAACTCGTACTGAGAAGAGCAAATACCGAAAGGCCGAGTGAGCTGGACTTATTCTTGGCAAAGGTAATCATCAACGATTCTGACGAGGGCATGGAGCGGTGGGTGACGCTTGAGACTGAAAACGACTCTAATATATCAATATCATTGTATATTGCATACGAACACCTTCAAACACCTGTCTTGGACTCCGCTTGTTACGATGGGATGCAGTCACTACTTCGCAAATGCTCGAATTTGGACATCGCCACGACGCTGGCAAACTCTGGGACCAAGCTTGTCACGACTGCTTGCGATATCTTCACTGATATCTATCGGGGAGAATTTATGCACACTGAGTGGATCAAGGCCTTAATATCATCCGAAGTCTCTGCTCTGGCCAAGGAACCAACCAAAGCCACCGGCACGGACGTGTTATTCCGCGGAAGCAGTCTACTAAGTCAGGCACTTGAAAAATTCATGTTCTTGTACGGCCGAGAGACGCTGATCAAAACGGTGGGACGGTTTGTACGCAAGATATGTGCTTCTAAAGACCAGCTCGAGCTCGATCCCTCAAAAATCCAAGGCGCCTCCGAAGCTGAGGTAGCTGCCATCGCCAAAGTAAACCGCCTGGCGTTTGAACACTATTTGAATTATCTCTGGAGCCTGATCAAGAATTATAGTTTGCCAGAGACCGTCCAATACCTCGTGACGCACCTTAGGAAAGAAATGCAAGAGAAAATGAAAGCAACCGAGGCCCAAATATGGAACGGTTTAGCAGCTTTTATTTTCCTGCGGTTTTACTGCCCCGCTATTCTGAACCCTCGATTATTTGGCTTGGCAGACCAAACCCTCAGCCCCTCAAACCAGCGGGCCCTCACATTATTTGCAAAGATTCTCCAATCGTTTGCGAACCGAGTTAAAATGGGATCAAAGCAGGAGTGGCTGCTGCACATGAATCGGTTTTTTGAAAGCCACGATGCAGAGCTTGTAACTTACTACCAGAAAGCCAGCTCGTGGAACACCGACATGCCACTAGCCCGCGTTCCCAAACAGTTGCCTTTGAAATCGTTTATGGGCACCTATTTAACTAACCCTTACTTGGTTGACTTATCTGCATCGTATGCCAGACTGGCTGACTGGATTGCTAATAATATCGAATTCAACAAGGACTGGGATCAGGCCACTCGACTTTTGTATGAGGAAAGTAAAAAGGTGAGCAATCGGCTCAGAGAAGTATGTGCCATACTGGAACAAGCCGACTCTCTGCCTTCGAGCCGTGCTGACCCAGTGACATTATATGCTAATTGGACTAGCATGCTGTACAGCCCCGATTCTTCTTTGCTGGATTCTCAGCTTGTCAAGGCCCCAGAGAAAAAGTCGCTGTTTCGTCTCTTTAGACGCGGTTAGCCGGTAAGGAAATAAAAATTTAATTGCTGTAAACAAAAATTGCAATATAGAATGGGTGATTTATAAATACATGTTTTTACCAACCGCGAGAGTGGTAGTTGAGAGGATCAAAGATATCCTCGGATGATTGTAGCCACGACTGCGAGTTTCTCAGGCTGTTGCTGGAGGAGCACGATCTGGAGCGGGAGCCACTCGATCGCTTTACTGCCCAGAGTGATTGCAAGTCGTAGTCGCGACTCATCTTGAGATTATCTCGGACAGACTGAGAAAGTTCTTGCTCGTCAACATTTCCAAAATAATCTTCAGACTCCTCAGCCAAGGCCTGGTTATTTGTTCCGTTTTGCAATGGGTAGTGATTGGCGACTTGAGCATTCAACAAAATGTTTGCTGGTACCGCCACTTCGTTCTTAGGGGAGTTCGTTGGCGACTCAACTGGCGTATCAGCGTTTTGTAGTTTTTTCAAAAATAGTGAAGAAAGATGAGATCTCGTAACTGCTGGGCGCATCGGCACCTCGCGTTCGTCGAAACTGAGCTCCTCTACAGCTTGAGGATCAACAGTTTCGTCTTCTTCTTCGTCAAGATCGTCCCATTCTGAGTCGTCGGCTTCATCTTCATAGTCGTCATCCGTATGATAGTAGTGAATGCTTCCCTCACTTTCCTCATCGCCACTCACGTGTGCAAATGTAACTTTATGGCTTCGCGAAGAGCGCTGAGACGACGACAGTTTTTGATCGTCATTCAAGATAGACTCGACTGAAGAGGCGGAACCGACTTCAGAATCCGTAGAGCTTTCAATGAAGAACATTCTGCCTCTAGGAATAGATGCTTTGCTCCAGCCTAGTTTGCTAGAGCCTTCTTCCTTGTGTAGGGATGGTGATGACTGGCCGGAATTATTCCTCTTCAGACTGGAATTACTCTGCGCAGCAAGGCTTTGACTGCTGTAGTTGATCGCAACCGAAATATTGGATGGCGAAAAGCCTCTCACTGCGCGGGTTGCTGATTGGGCCATATCTGGTTCGGAGGAACGCCCCCGCTGCTGGACATACGAAGATGGGGTTTCCTGGAAGTTCACGGAGCGCGCAAGCTCGCTTCTTCCTGAATCCGATGCTGAGTCTTGTATTTTGAGTGGTGTGTTTGTACTGCCACTCACCTGTTGCGGTGTCGGCGTATGGGATGATGCCATATTTAGAACACTCCGAGAATAGGCGATAGAAGCCGCGCTGGGAACCCTGGGTAGCGGCGCTTTAATTTTGGGGATGTTTTCGGGTGTGTGCAGTTGGGCAAGCTCCAACTTTTCTTGTGGGGGCTGGAATAGCTGCGACAGACGCTTGATACTCGAATTAGGGCGAGTACGGCAGCTCTCGATCGACTCAGAGCTTGAACTGGCGTCAAGCATGGGTGGCGATGAGAATGAAGCAGTTGAAGTAGATTCCCGGAGACGAGGAGACTTGACTGTTTCCTCAGATAGTGGTGCAGCAAGCATGGTTCTTGGTAAAACCTTTTGCGAGTACAGGCGCCAGCTGAGGTATTCTAAACGTTTGCCGTCCTCGATCGCGTCTTTCGCTTTGGAGAGAGCGGCCCAAATAGAACGAACATCATCGACATCATCAGGATTTACAGAATCCAATGCGTCGTTGCACAAACGTAGCATGCGATGGGAAGCCATTTGTGCTTTCCTAGAGGTACTTGTGCGAGGCCGTGTGCGAATAGACCTAGGTCTTTTTTTGAAATGAAAGTTTACTGTGTCTCGATAGTGACACCTTTTCCTGAGTTCTGGTGGGTTCCGTTGTCTTGCGGCGTTCGATGTATATTTGGCTGGCTGATTACTGGATAAAAAAATTAGCTCATGGGAGGGGGCTTTACCTAAAACCCGCCTTGGTCCAGACCCGGCGGGGATCAATGACGCAGCACGTGATTGTGCAAAGTCAGCAAACCATTTGTAGGTTATGGGTAAGGGTAGAGAGGTATGCTAACTTAGTGTGGGGTGCGATGCTAGGGGGTTTGAAGGTAATTTTGCACAGGCTGAATGGCAAAGTAGGTTTGTAGTTTAGTATTTAGAGTACACATTTTTATGATAATCTAGGATGAATTATGCAGAGGATCAGCTCAAAAAAACATTGTTAAACTACACACAGAGCACTACTTTTTGCCAGTGACCCATCCGACTGTGCTGTCGATCCAGCCCTTAGACTTGTCCCCAGCAGTAACTACAGCATCATCGACGTTTTTAATGAAAGCGTCTTTCTGTTGCTGAGCGGAGCTGCTGAGCTCATTCAGCTTGTCTTCGCTATTTCTCTGGGCCTGGGTGAGTTTGTCACCGAGGGCCTTTTTCTGCTTCTCAGCAGCATCAACGCTTTCCTGATACTTATTCTGCACATAGGCCTTGGTGTCCGAAGCAGCGTTGTCTACTTTACGGCCCAGGCTCTGTGCATTGAGATGGGCCTGCTGAAGGCGGCGCTCATCTTCTAGCTTGAGGTAATACCAGTAGGCTGCACCACCAAGGGCACCAGCAATCAAGAGTTTCTTTCCAGCAGACATATTCGAGTTGAGTTGTGATGATGGGATCAGTGCCGATTGAAGCAATCTTTATATATACTTGTGAGCCAACATGCAGCCCATGCATAGAACAGCATAGCAATACCATGTGCCCAGTTTTCTGTGGGGCTGTTCCTGAGACACGACCCGCAGCTTGAACTGATAGAAAAGCTATCTTTGATTTCGGAATCTAAGCAGACTCATATCACATAGCCACTTGAAAGGTTTTGTGCGCTATAAGTAAATATGACTCTGTTTGTCCTCTCCCCTTTCCGCGCGTGTCTGGTGTAGGCCTTGGCCCACAAGGTGGCAAAACCCTAATATGCCTTCACTCGACAGTTAGGCGAGTAAGTAGAAGCTAGCTAATGAGATATCGTTAGGTTCATGGCGAAAATGAGTATAGCCGTCGTAAATAAGGCCAATGAAAGCTAAGATTTTTTAGAAGCGCGACGAAGCACCATAGCTGAAATATGTTCAGTGCTGCGCTCAAGCCCTGCTTTTCGGCTTACTTTCAAAAATAGTCGAGTTCAGTTGTGTTAGATACTTTGCAATGGTCATTGATGAAGAGACATCTGTTTCCACTTCAGCTGCAGCCAGCCTGATTTATGCAAGTACATCCCAACGGCTTTTTGTGTATCACGTGATATCCTTCACTCGTATACCTCCTAAGTTGGGTGCTGGAGTCAATCCAGTTGCCAAAAGTTTATTATTAGCGTTAGGAAACCGTGGTGCTCGGGAATCTCACTATTGCTCTGCTACCAACCAGGGTATCTATGTGGATCTAAAGAGCGGACGATACTGTTTTACACCATACTATAAAACATACACTTGATGGGAGGATCTCAGCAAGCAGAAGATCAGCAAGGAGTGGTACTTGATGTATAAGCCTTCTCTTCTCTTTGGGGAGCTGTAGCCATCAACTAGATCGCAAGCGACGCCTCAGCTAAGATCTCTTCGAAAAGCTGAAGAGATCAGAAGAACGTTATCTCAGTACCGAAAAGTAAACATATTGGATAAAAGCAATCAGGATTCTCAGCTTGATTAATGTATAGAACCGTGTAACGAGAAGCGTGTCGGAGTATGCCGCTTACTGCCCCATGCTACTACCTGGTGAGGAGGGGTTTTATGAAATCTTCTCTCTCTCCCTCTTTTGGCTGAAACCATAGAAGGAAAACATTGAGACACTTTGGATACGTACTCAGAGATGAACCATAATCTTACGCCATCGCGTTTTATTTGGCGGCGTAATGTAGCAATCTGATACTAATCTTTGTTGTAAGATTTACTTGGTGGGGCGATGACCTTCTGTACCTCGGAATTCGCTGGCCCTGGGAGTACTGGTTAACTGAAATACTTGTTAGTATGGCCGCAAATTTATTAAAGCCGAGAATGTCAAGTTCAGTGTATTTTGACGATTTGAAAGGGTATTTTGCCATGACTCACGCTTGACGTACGTCCCATCATGCATATCCGAAAACGCAGGTATCTCGTGCAGGAAGCGGAGACTCGCCGGAATACTCACAATTGCAATATCTCCAGACACCACGAGAAATATCCTGACAAAAGCGCGTGGTACTATTGGTATTTACGGAAGAAAAACAATTGTGCATTGAACTGTACGCGATGATCCCAGTGCTGCCACAAACGCTCAGGTCTAGGGCTAGGTTGGCTGGGACCCCTACACATTAGCATGAGGTGTGACCACCGCTATCCAGGGCAATCAGGTACATCGCGCAAAAGAGACAGAATTCAGCTGAGATTAACCAGAGTTCGCAAGAGATTGAGGCACTCAGCGGAATATGCTTATCGACGTGATCTTTGTATGAAAGAGCATTTGTAATTGTGCATATATTGGGCAAGGTCTTCGACGAACTCATGTAAAATTTCTTTTTTACTACTGAAAGGGGATATATAAAACAGCACCAAGAACACTTGTAGTGTGGGGTTCTCGACGAATGGAAGTACACGTTAAAGATTCCAAAGATGCCCTGAGTGACGCATCCGGATTGACGAGTATATTTAGTGAACCCAATGAGCTCAGAGAAGCCGAGGGCGAATGCGGGGAATACGCGAACTTGAGTAAAATCAACTCGCGAGTCAGTCACCGCAGCCATCACAGCACAATCACTGATGAACCACCAAATGGTGGTTTAACTGCATGGCTTCAAGTGGTGGCTGCTTTCATGTGTAACGTCAATGCATGGGGCATCATCAATTCTTTCGGTGAATTCCAAGACTACTACAGCAAGGAGCTTCTCGCTAACGAAGGCCCTTTCCGGATCTCATGGATCGGCTGCTTGACGGCTGCTATGACCTTCGCAGGAACAGTATTTTTTGGAGCGCTCGTCGACAAGGGGTACCAGAGAATAATGCTACTTGTAGCGGCAGTCGCGCAGTCTTTTTCTCTTATGATGCTATCCCTCTGTAAAAACTACTGGCAAGTGATTCTTTGTCAAGGGTTGCTATTCGGAACTGCTGCCTCTATGTCATTTTTGGTTGGAATGGGAACGGTGACGCCTTGGTTCACTACGAAGAGACCTTTAGCTGTTGGGTGTGCCGTGCTCGGCTCTTCAGTCGGAGGCACAGTGTTCTCTGCCGCAGTGCATAAAATGCTCCCCGAAATTGGGTTTGGGTGGTCGTTGCGAGTTTTAGGATTCATTGTTCTCGCAGTAGGTATGGTTCCGGCCCTTGTCATCAAACCTCGTTTACCACCTCGCAAGGGTGGTAGTTTGGTTGCATTTGAGTGCCTCGAAGAGCCCATTTTTCTGATGTTTTGTCTTGGCAGTTTCCTAGCATTTTCAGGTTTCTACCAGTTCTACTTTTACTTTCAGTCATGGGCAACACACATTGATCCCACATCAGAAGTCTTGCCTTACCTTACTGCTATCATGAATGCTTGCTCCATTGTAGGCCGGTTGGCACCTTCAGTCCTTGTCCAACGTATCGGCGCATATAATGTACTCATGCTCACCGAGCTTTTATCCGCTGCGTTGAGTTTCGCGTGGATGGGGGCAAAGACACGAGGAAGTACTCTAACAGTTGGTATCATTTTTGCCATGGTGAGCGGACCAATTGTAGCAATGCCACCAATCATTGTGTCCATTTTAACGCCAAATATGAATCGCATCGGTGTTCGACTGAGCTTTGCCTTTCTTTGTATCGGTGGAGGCTGCTTAATTGGTGCACCCTTCACTGGTATGCTCATCCGTAAATATGGCTGGATCTATGGCCAGCTGTTTTGTGCGCTAACCTGGGTCTTGGGCTTGATTTGCATTTTCGGTAGTCGTTGCCTGTACACGAAAGGCAAACTTACTTGGAAAGCATAATTGTCTCCACCCATTAATATTTTTTGATACACACTTCTAATTTTTTTCTCATATTACGGCTCATAATTTAATTAGATCAAGAAACGAGTGTTAAATCCCTGCAAAGTAGATATAGTATATCGGGATATTTCTATCCATCAAACAAGGGCACGCACACCTGCTGACCAAAGCGGAATAACACACTGTCTTGGAAACTCGCACGCGTCATGTCATGAAGCTAGGGAACAGCAAAGTGAACGCGAAATCAGTCTTAGAAAATACCTTCAAACGCCTGATGTATAATACAGCGGCCAGGTATGCACCAAGAAGCCTCATCAAATCTGTTTCGACAAGCCCAACGTGCGCGCTTCCACTCAAGTGTACCCCTACCCTGACAAAGTGGTCCTGTTTACACATCAAGGATCGCGTAGCACCACCTCACTTTTCCTCTTCCCTTAGCTGTAATTTTTCGACCTGCAGAAGGGCAATGAGTGTTGATGTTGACTCCGCTAGTGGGGGTTCTACGAATGGAACAAAAGCCAAGGGTAAAGGCTCCTCACATGAGTACCAAAAGCTCTCTCAGCTGGAGCACGTCTTGAAGCGTCCCGATACTTATATCGGCTCTGTAGAGTTCCACGAGTCGAATATGTGGGTATGCAACGAAAACAACGAAGTTGAGTACAAATCAGTCAACATTGTGCCTGGGTTTTACAAAGTTTTTGATGAAATTCTCGTGAATGCGGCCGATAACAAGGTGCGTGATCCCTCAATGACATCAATCCAGGTAATCATTGATACAGAGAACAATCAGATTTCTGTACGTAACGACGGCAAAGGAATCCCGATTGAAATCCATGAGAAGGAAAAAATTTACATTCCAGAACTGATTTTTGGCAACCTGTTGACGTCTTCAAACTACGACGACTCAGAACAGAAAGTCACTGGTGGCCGTAATGGTTTCGGTGCTAAGCTCTGTAACATTTTTTCTACAAAGTTTACTCTCGAAACATGCGATACCCATAACACCTATCACCAGGACTGGAGCGATAACATGACCAAGGTCGACAAACCTAAGATTAAGGCCGTCAACAATAAAAAACCGTATACCATGATCACCTTCAAGCCTGATCTTGCTCGATTTGGAATGGAAAAAATTGACAACGACCACTTGATGGTTCTACGCCGTCGTATCTTTGATTTGGCAGGTACCATTCAAGGTGTAAATGTAAAGCTCAATGGTGCCACTGTTCCCGTGAATAACTTCAAAAACTACATGAATCTTTATGCAAAGGCATTGTCCAAAGATGACGAGAAGGTTGATGTTTTAATCTCCAAACCGAATGACCGCTGGGAGGTTGGCTTCGCTCTGTCTGACGGAAGTTTCAACCAAATGTCATTCGTAAATTCGATTGCTACAACTTCTGGTGGTACACATGTGAGCCATGTCACTGAGCAGATTGTGAACTATGCTCTAGATGTTATGACCAAGAAGAATAAGGGCCGCGCTGGTAAGCTCACCAAATTGCACATTAGAAGCAATATCTTTTTGTTTATCAACTGCAAAATCAACAATCCGTCCTTTACATCTCAAACCAAGGAGCAGTTGACAACCAAGGTTTCTGCTTTTGGCAGCAAATGCGAGCTCCCCGACAAATTCCTCAAGGATATTATGAACAAGACCGGTCTTACGGATAGATTGCTCGAGATCACCGAGAGAGCATCAAACGCGGCGCTCAAGAAGCAAGATGGTGGACGTAAACGCCGTCTTACGGAGTTTGTCAAACTGGAAGACGCAAATATGGCAGGTACAAAAGACTCGTCTAAATGCACTTTGATCCTGACCGAGGGTGATTCCGCTTTGACGCTAGCAGTTGCTGGATTAGCAGTTATCGGTCGTGATTATTATGGGTGCTTCCCTCTGCGTGGTAAGATTCTAAACGTCCGTGATGCTTCCCAAGAGCAGATTCTAAACAACAAAGAAATTGCAGCACTAAAGAAAATTATTGGGTTGCAGCACAAGAAGACTTATACATCAACTGAGGGTCTGCGCTATGGGCATATTATGATCATGACCGATCAGGATCATGATGGTAGCCACATCAAAGGTCTTATCATCAACTTTTTGGAGTCTCTATTCCCAGGCCTTCTCGATATCCCTGGATTTTTGTTAGAGTTTATCACACCCATTGTCAAAGTAACAATTCTTCGCAATGGTCGAGCAGTAAAGGTCATTCCTTTTTACAACATGCCTGAATTCGAGGAATGGCGTGAGACTGAGGGCCGCACTTGTCGCTGGAAACACAAGTACTATAAGGGTCTCGGTACTTCGACCCCCGAAACTGAAGGCCGAGAGTACTTTTCGGAACTTGCACGCCATGAAAAAACGTTCCTAAATCTTCAGGAGGGAGACAAAGAACGTATTGAGCTCGCATTTTCAAAATCCCGCGCCGATGATCGCAAACAGTGGCTACAGGAGTACGTTCCTGGCACATACCTGGACTCGAATATCAATGAAATTGGTATCAAAGACTTCATCGATAAAGAGCTGATTTTGTTCTCAATGGCCGACAACTTGCGATCGATCCCATCTGTTATGGATGGATTGAAACCGGCTCAGAGGAAAGTGGTATATTCGTGCGCACAGAGACGAAACACTGAAATCAAGGTTGCGTCCCTTGCCGGCCACATTACTGAAAAAATGGGCTATCATCATGGTGAGCAATCTCTGCAGCAAACAATTATTGGTTTAGCGCAGAGCTTTGTTGGTACCAACAACATCTATTATTTGCTTCCTCAGGGTGGTTTTGGTTCTCGTGCTACAGGCGGTAAAGATGCTTCTGCAGCTCGTTACATCAGTACCTTATTGAATCCATTGGCTCGTACTCTCTTTAATTCCAACGACGACCCACTGCTCAATTACATGCAAGACGACGAGAGCACAGTTGAACCTGAGCATTTCGTGCCAATCCTGCCCACATTGCTTGTGAATGGCACTGAGGGTATTGGCACTGGATGGTCCACCAACATTCCCAGTTTCAACCCAGTCGATCTCGTCGAAAACATCCGGCGAATGATGAACGGTGAGGCGCTGAAGCCGTTAGTACCCTGGTACCGTGGCTGGTCAGGAACTATTGAAAAAGTTCCAGGATCTGATCATCAGTTCCGTGTTTGTGGTCGAATCGAGGTCATTAACGAAACAACTTTAGCTATCACTGAGCTTCCTGTCAGGATGTGGACGCAAACCATGAAGGAGTTCCTTCTGAAATCACTTATCGGTAGCTCAAAAGGTGACAAGAAGCTGGCTAGTGGTGAGTTCTTGGATGACATGACCGAAGAGCATGGTGCTGGTATTCGTTTCATTGTTAAATTGAGCAAGGAAGAGATGGAGAAAGCCTGCAAGGTTGGCCTTTATAACAAGTTCAAGTTGATCGCGCCAATGTCTACTTCGAACATGGTTGCCTTTGACCCTCAGGGCCGTCTGCGACGCTACAGTACGGCTGAAGATATCCTCAGGGAATTTTACTATGTACGCTTGGATTACTATGTCCGTCGCAAGGACAATATGAGCCAACAGCTACGTAACCACCTTGAGAGATTGACTTCCCGAGCCAGATTTATCAAGATGATTATCGATAACGAACTGGTCATCTCCAACCGTCCGAAGCGCGATGTTATTGAGGATCTTCAAACTTTGCGCTTCCCCAAATTCGGAACAGGTGGCGTTCCTGTTTGGCCTGATGAGCAGATGCAACTTGATGCAGAGGAGCTGATGGAGCCAGAGGATACTATTGAGACCACCACTGCTGGTGAGGAAGTACCTGTTGTCTCAAAAACTAAACCTAGCTACGACTATCTTCTTGAGATGCGTATCATGTCGTTGACTCGCGAAATGTACCAGCGCCTCCTACGGCAGCGGGATGAGACTGAAGAGGAACTAAACATTCTTCTTGCAAAATCTGCGAAAGACCTGTGGAATGCCGACCTTGATAAATTCATGGAACAATGGGACGAGTTCGAGAAGAAGGACCGTGAAGACCGCGAGACTCTTGTTAGAATTGGAGGCGGGAAAAAGCGTGCCGCCAAGCGAAAGGGAAAGAATAGCGATGATAGCGATGACGAATTTGGTGCCCCTAAAAAGCGTACTAAGAAGGCTAAGAAGACAGCGACCCCTCAGTATATTTCTACGGAAATTGTCGAGCTGCCACCCATCGAAACATTTGCGACACGCTCTAGCGTGAAGTCTGAACCTCGCGCTAAATCTGCTACACCAGCGGCATCTACGCTTGCTTCGACTGCTGCTTCAACCGTCGCGACCGAAGCTTCCACACCTGCGGAAACACCGGTTCCGCCTACTACAGCAGCGTATCCAAAGCCCAAAGCCAAAGCTGCTCCACGTAAGAAATCGCCTCCCAAAAAACTCGAGGTAAAAGAGGAGTCTGGTGCTGAGTCTGATTCCGATGTTTCTATGGCTGATGTGACCCCTGTTGAGAGAAGCCCGCGTGCCTCTCGTAGAGCAGCACCTGTTCGCATCCAGATTAGTGACGACGAAGATGAGCCTAATGTTTCAGCGTTCGTTCTTTCAGAAGATAGCGATTAAATATATTAGAGATGAATTTACTATTCAAGCGAGATGACATAAAGCTACGGGAACTGGAACGACATGTGGTCATGAGTGCGCCAATCGATCGTTGGCGGCGCGGGGTCCTGGTCGCGCTCTGCTTCGCGGCCCTTTTGAGTCTTGTCGCGGTCTTTATCGTTCTTCTTGTTCTTTCGTTTACCACGCAAAAGGCTTTCAAGTCGGAAAGAGGAGTCAGAACCAGCAGGCTTAGACACAGTAGTGGCAGTCCCATGCTGCGACTTGCTTGTCTGAGGAGAGAAGCTTCTGTTTGCGTCACGGCGCGGGGAGCTTCGACTACTTGAATCAGGGTAATTGTCAGCGACTGTTGAGACTGAAGCAGAGCGGCGGAGTGATGATGTGGATGACGAACCATAGGGCTGGAGACCCCGACTGAAACTATCATCTGCAAAAAGATTACTCGCATAAGAACCGAAACGGCGATGACTGACAGCAGCGCTCCCACCGGCAGGTACTCCGAGAGGAGACTCAGGCGCAACAGTATCATCGAAGGTGTTGCGGAATGAAACCGCCGATTGTGTGCGGCCTAGGGATTGGTTTAGAATAAGAGAAACTTTCTTGTCGTAGAGCTGAGGGATCGAAATTCCTTCGTGCCGGTCATTTGTGAAACTTTCTGCGACACTACTCTCTGTGAAAGCTTGCGACGGCTTTCGACCATGATTATATCGTCTCATTCCGTAGTGATAACTTTCTCCATTAGTATCTCCAACATTGGTGAAGAACGTGTCCAGGTCATCTAATGTTGTGAGCATATTGTCCATTGAGGCCAGTCCGCCTGCAGTAGTAGATATACTGTCCATTCCTACCAAGGGTTCGTGGTATTCAGTGTAGTCGTCGTCACGTTCAAATCCAAAAGGAATTTCGTCAAGCTCGACCCTCGACGTTTGACTGGTGTCACAAGTGTAAAAGACCGCATGAATATTATGACGGACAATCTTAGCTGTCACAGCTGGCATGGGAATAGACCAGCCACTCTTTTCAGGGATACCATACAAGCTACTAGTCGTTTCATATTCCTTCACAAGCTGCTTAGAGCCCAAACTCATGCGCAGAATGTCCTTGTCTTGTTTTCCAACTACTAGGGAGCCAACTTCATCGAGTACCTCCAGCGTTTGCTCCACATATTCGGTTTGCAACAATCGAAGGAGAGGTGAAACGATATCAGCACCCAAAGAAGCCAGGTCACCATCACTGCGATAGTCGACTCGAGGGAATAACAGTTTGAGGACAGCCAGCGTCTCCGTTTTAACCCAGTCAATACTGTTCGACAAAGTTCCCATGAGGGTGAGCAGTATGGAGCTTAGGCTCATGCTGAACACGCTGCACAATGCCGAAACATACTGAGAAACGAAGTCACCTTTGGACCAGAATTTATTCATGCGGAAGGAATTCAAGATTCGAGCTAGTTGGGGGGAAGCAACAATGCACAAGCTTTCCAATAATTCTGCAGCCTCTAGAACGGTAGTGAAATCTTTGGTTTCCATAGCATGAGCAAAGCGAGGGAGATTCACCACCAAAGCTAGTGGAAGATAATGAATATCAACTAGCAGGTCATTTGGTGGGATCTTGAGTAGCTGCAACAAAACTTTATGACTCTGCTCGTAGCTGTTTGCTGATCTTAGCCCTAGTAGTACGAGTTTGAAAACAGGCACATACTCACCTTCCCATCTAGCAGGGAATGTATTCTGCAGTGTCGCAACCGTCTCTCCAGTAGTGAAATCCCACTTTTCCAAAAGCTTTGACATTGTAGATAAACTTTCAATGTATTCACGCTCGGAAACGGAACTTAAACTGACAACTGTAGCCCAGAAAAGTTGAGGGAACTGAAACAGTTTTTGGGGATCCAGGTGATCCACGACAGCATTCAGCGATATCAAAATCTGTAGTGAGAACATTTGAATCTCAGGCGACGTTTCAGAAATAGTTGGTGACAACCTAGCAAGCATATCGGCAAGCACTCCTTGATCAGTTTCAACTAATAAGCATCGATAAATTTGAAATGAGCGGCAAGCCACATGACGTACAGGGCATGATGTAGCCCACTTTACAGCCTCGACTGCCCATACCCGTTTAATGTCTGGATAGACTTTCTCCATTATACTAACAGTTGTCTTCACTAGTTTGATCAGCTGTTCAGGCGTTGTATCAACTGTCTTGCTTGTTGGTGCCAAATCCTCATATGACCACTCCAAACTTGAGGGGCCCTCGAGATAGTGTGTAAGCTCAACCATGGCCTCATATTGGTCGAAGGCATACATGCCCACTGTACTCAACAATGTTTTTCTCGCTTTAGTTTGTAATGTGCCCACAAAATGGTCTGCTAGACAAAAAGCAACGTGCAGAATGGTGGTCAGATTAGGACGGCCAACTTCTGTCGACGGAATAGTATCAGCGAGAAAAATAGCAGCAAGTTGAGCAAAAGAAAACGGCGGTAATGGTTGACTTGTGACATTGTGGGTGACCTTTTCTGAAGCAGCCACAATATAGTTCAGCTGAGCCACATGTGGATACATTTCTTCAGCCATATCAGTATCCAAATCTCGAAGAGTTTGCGATACCATCCAGCGAGGTTCAAGCAGTTTTTGCAGATACGCATAGACTGATGTCGCGGCAGGTGTTCCATTCAAAAAGTTGATCACACGGTGGCAGATCTCAATGAGTCCCATACTTCGCCGACAAAGACAAACATAGTACATGAATGAGATCACAATCTCAACATTTTTCGGTCCGTTAGGACCAGTACAAAGAGCTACCCAGAGTGCACTGACTTCGTTTGCGATCGTATCAGATAGTGTTGCAGAAATTTCCAACAAGTTCAAGAGTACCATAATAGACTCCGGATCCGTCATGTAACTCTCGAATGCAGCGCCATTGTGTGGAATAAAAGACACTGATTGTTTGAATTCAATATTTTGAACCCAAGGAAGTAGAACACTCAGTAGATCCCTGTACTCCATCTGATCGAGCTGAGAAAAAACTCTGCACAATTCAGAAAAGATTGTGTACGTTTCATCTATCCGAGATTTTGCCAGAGAAGCGCTGAGCCAAAAAATTTCCTGCTTCCAAACACTGGGGATTGAGGAAAGGGCATGCTGGCGGAACTCAGGGAAAGATGAGGCACCATATACACATTTTTCAACATGACGCAGAAGATGCAGAGCTTTAATGCGGGTGTCTACATCTGGGTCTCCGATTTTGAACAGCCCAAGTGCTAACAGCTGTGCACCATTGACGAATTTTGTGTCAGTGTCTTGAGCCAGGACAACATTTGCCAGACAATTGAAGTAGCTTCGAGGGACACCACGGTGAACGCCGCTGTTTCTGTAGCAATGGCCGACCACTTCGCCTACAAGCTGCGTGTTCTTGAGACTATGTGACAGCAGATTTGTGAGAGCAAATCGCCCTGCTTCCTGTAATGTATCACTCTTGAGCGATAAAAGAGTGTGTATTAGCCGCACACAACCTTCATCAACAATATTTTGCTTCATTCGATATTTGCAGAGTGCAGCAAGAGCCCAAGAAGTTGCTACGTCAAACTTGCGCTTATCATAGTCAAACGAAGCATCAACCAGCTGTTGCTCCTGTAGGTCTTTGGCCGATGCTATGACAGCTCGTTTCATTGCAGCTTCACGTGAGACGGCTGATGAGGCAGAGATACCGTAGGGCGACCAGCTCTCAATAAGTAGCCAGAGCTGGTCCAAGCAATTGTCAGCCACTATTGCTGCGTCCAAATTTGTATGAACATCGGTAAGAAGCCTGCAGTAGAATCGGCGCAAGCTTTGATAGCTGTAGTCAATTTGTAGGTAAGGTGCATTCAATAACAAAAAAATGCTGTGGAAAATACTCGAGAGCTCTGCCTTGATCCATTGATCCTGTTTGATTGTTTCATTTTTGAGGTTATGAGCGGTCAGAACAAAAATTTGTGTAATCTCTGTGACAATCCTTTGAGCACTGGGGGAGCCAGGACTCACATTTTGAGGAACAAATCTGCGCAAATCAGCGATCTTATTCTGAAGGACAGGTGAAAATACCTCGAGTAACACTTTGTATGTGTTAACATTGATGCAAGCGATGCCAGAGATAATAGCATCCACCACGACTTGGTGACCGACTCCTAGCAGGGGGATCAAAATCCGGAAAATTGATCGAGCCGATGTAACTCTCTGATGATGAAATGTAACTTTTTGAAGACTCTTTTTTCGACTGTGGCTGGGTGTTGAGGTCTGTTGTGGTACAAAGAGCTTCTGTTCGTCAGTAGTGGTAAGGGTAGTGCATGCAACCATCAAATAGATACGCCATTGATCGACAACAGTTTCAGCGTGCGTCCTCACAGGGTGTTTGACAGCAAACGAGGAGTTTGATGATCTAGAATGATGATCCACTACAGTTAAAACCACATCATGCATCCCAACCAGCCTCTCACAAATGATATTTCGGCAGATTGCAACGGGCATAGGGTAATCTTTGAAGCACAGGGCCATGATGTGCGGAAACAGTTTGAGCCAGATAGCGGAGTCAACACCATAATCTGAATCGGCAAGCCTGGCAATGGAAGCACCTTTCTTCGCCTTGAATTTATTGATCCGAGACCTCTCGGGCATGCTCAGCTCCAGTGGCGGAACCGATTCTTTAACAAGCCTGACGATCTCCATTTTTTCCAAAGCATCAATCACTCGAGGCGGGACACATTCCGAGGTGCCACTGAATTCAACAATGGCTTTGTCCATTTCTGTAATGAGCCACAAAACCCTCAAAGCTAGCATTCTGATTTCCTGGTCCTGTGAGCACAAAAAGTAGAGGCCATTTCCCTCAATCTCTTCGACGATTGGCCATAACATATTCAATGTCATTTCTTTACTGCTCTCATTAAACCCAGGGTCACCACGTTGTAGACGGGAAACCCAAATCTCCAGCAGACCGACGTATACTCTCAGCATGGGTAGGATTTCCAATGATGATGGCATTTCGTAGTTGGTAAAAAAACGCGAATCACACGCAAACATGTATTTCACGAAGTTGCTAACCACCAGTCTGATATCTCCAATTCGAGCGATTTGATTAAGCGAGACAGTGGCAGTGTGGGCAATGGTTGCTGAACGGTTGGCTACATTACGACAGAGCACATCAATGAACCGATGACCATCATGTGAAAACCATGCAAAACTTTGAAGTAAAGCAGCCATTAATTCCACACTTCCACGAGAACGGTTTGGTTGGGTTAAACCAACGAATTGAGTAACAGAATTTTGACGGGATACATGGTCCTCGGCTCTTGGTTCCTGGAGATGCTGCTCCACTATTCTTACCACTTGGCCCAGGCTGTTACCAAACAGCTCCAAACTTTCAACCAGCTCCTTTTTCAACGTTTTGGGAAGCAGAGTAGCTTTAGTGACATCGAAGTAGTAAGGTTTCTCAAAGGTGCTAATAGTCGGGAAAGGAAGGGGCTCAGCGGATGTCAAGTCTTCCATTATAGCCATATAGGCTCGCACAGCGACCAAGGCGCGTTCCGGAATAATGGAATCTGTAGAAACTGTAGGGTTTGCGACCACGCGATTGGCTTCACTGCCTACGAGTAGAGGGAACAAAATCTCGTCAATTGTCTTTTGTTGATATCCCTGGAATGCAACCCTGATAATGTAGACCGATGCGTTGATGGCACCAGGAGTGAACAAAGACCAATTCTTCCTGTTGTGTGAAAAAAGCAGTTTGTTTATAAGTGCTAGCTTTTTGGTTGTTTCATTCAATGTTTCTTTGCAACGGAAAATAAGAACCCATAGAAGCCGAGCTGCCGCACCATACAAAGCTGGGCAACGAGGCGACCACTTACCCTTCAACTTGGACAACTGCGATTCTAATAATTTCAACCAGTTATCGGCAAATAGTTCCTTGGGTGCAACAGACAATACCATGTGTGCGAGCTCAAAGCCGTGGTCCCATGACTTTTTCATAAGTTCCAATGCAAACTTGTATAGAGCGGTCATCGTAGTCTCCCAGACTGGATGGTTTGCTTCAACTGTCACCACGTTTGCAATAGGCTCAAACATAGTGCAAAGCACAGTTGCGTACTGATCGCGAAGAACAGCATTCTGGGTTTTAGAGAGGAACTTGACGATTGATTCGAGAAAATACGCAGACTCCTCAAGGCTATCTTCAGGGTAGATGCTGAGTTGTAAATACTTCATTGCCTGAATCAAGAAGACCACTTGTTGCTCCCTCGAAGAATCAACAACCTTGGGTAGCTTCTCTAGCTCGGAAAGAAATCGGTCTTCGACAATCGCAAATCTGAAGCTGGACATGCGTCCCAATAGCTTTGCGAGCGAAATCCAATTGGCCTTTCGAATGCTGGATTTAGCCAAAGCCTGCGGATTTGCTGCCAAGAGTTGTCTGAACACAATGTCCTCGAGTTTTTCACAAAGCTCGTTGCCAAGAACTTCTGGCGGAGTTTGTTCAACAACTTCTGTGAGCACACGACTCAAAACATAAATCGAGATCAAACTCCGACGTTCTGCCTGTATATAGTCCGGAGACTTGGACTGGCGAGCTACCGCATCTTGGTCGGACTTGGACTTGCGCCAGTACATGACACATTCAATGACTGGTTTTGGCCTGCGACGCGAGATGTGACCCAGTGACTTTATGATGCGGTCCAACTCTTCATCTACTCCTTCACCAAGAATAGAATCGAGGTTAACCTGGGAATCATCGGTCAACGAATCGAACATTGTCAACTTGCGCTCGGCATATCTAACAAATTGAGTGAATACAATGTGCAGTGCATATTCTGTGGACGGCTTTTCCACAGAATTTTTCTTGTCCTCCAGAACTGAGGGTGGCACGACCGCGGGAGTCACATCCTGGTAAACAACCGCACCTGACTCGAGCTCGGGGATTTCGATTTGGACAACTTCTTTATTCTCCATCCGGTGGATTCAAAAATATGATGGCTGTGGTCGTTAATAAATAGGTTTGGTGCCGCGGAAGTGTCGATTTAGGCGGATCCAATGCAAACGGGTGGCTCAAAAACAACAAAGACAAAATGTACCCGTAAATGCTGGCAAGGCGTTGCTGTACTTGAAGAATGCAAAAATTCAACCGCTTGATACGTGTGGGCTTGTCCAAAATAGTCTGTCAAAGACTAGCAATCCACAGAGGTAATTTAAAAACAAAAAAACTAGGTTTGGATCGATTGCCTCCTGGTTCTGACTAAACCTAATAAGATCCCAAGCGTAGCCGAGTGCAGATCTAGTTAGGAATCTGGGGTATTATAGCGCGAAAAGGTATCTTGCTAATATTGTGCTTAAATTATAAATGCTTGCATTATGAACATATGTTGGAGAGGGCATACTAGCCAAACATATCATTCCATGACAGCCGTTTTCTGACGGCATTCGAGAAGCCCTCTCTGTAGCTAATCCAGACTTTGTTCTGCTGGATGACAGCGGGTTCAATTGTATCTCTAGAGAAAAAGTTGCTGGACATTTTGGACTCAGGCTTAGGAACAGCCTGCTGACTTGCAGCCTGAGTTGGAGAAGCCCTAATCTGAAGGCGCTTTGCTTCATCGAATGCGCGTTTCAGATGGCTTCTGTGCACGAACTTGCCGTGAGCTGCGAAATCCATCTGGTCAGTACTCAGGCAGCATGCCAGATTAATGGGGGGATCTAGACGGTGTATCAAGGACCCGTTTTCGAGTTTTTCTGTAAACAATCGAATGCCTGCATCGGTCAATGACTGTTGGCAGGAGACAAGAACTGCCTTTTGCTGCGGAGTGGGCACGTTGTTGACCTCAGGGTTTGCCAGCTGCCATACGTAAGGAACCAGCTCCCTGCGATAGGAATTCAAACAAAACATAGATCTTGTAGCTGTCGATGCTTTATGGCGTGCTTCCTGGGTGAGGGTCATTGTTCGCTTCTTCTCTTCGAAGAGCTTTGGAGGGCGCTCGTACTTCATTGGGCCGTTACTTAGCGAAGAGAAGTTCAAAAACATGTGATTGATGGCGACTGCTGCATACTCACTTGCTGCATTAAACCGTCGGCTGTCAACAAGCGCGTACCAATCGCCCATGCTAGCTGGTTTCAGCATCCTGTCGTCAACATAATACGCATTTGTATACTGTGAAAAACAGCTATCAAAGAGCTTTTCAACTTCTCCGTACGCATCAAGTTTCAAATTGAGGTCTTTGGCTTCCTTATTGAAAACTGACAATGTCATCTCCGCCAAGGATTTTGTGGAATCTTTATACGAGATCGATCTATCGCCTCCAAACTGCAAACGATTTAGACAGGCTCTAAAGTCACAGCCAGTCTCCTGGATATCTCTCAGCAGCACAGAGGTTGGTGTTCTTAGACCCTCTTTTCGGTTGATCTCTTCCAACTGTGACAGGAGCCGGTTCGGAGATGAGGGTGGAAAATAAACAATCTCACAATACTGTCGTAAGTCAAAAAGCGTGCGGGTGAATGCCTCATTGCACACACAAATAATTGGCCGCTGGAGAAGATGGTCCTTGGCCTTTTTGCCTTTCGTCGAAACGCCTTTGACTTTCCTGGCATCAGCCTTCAGTAACTCAATTAAACATCTTACAAAACCAGACTCGGCGCCATCCACTTCATCGGCCAAAATGCACACTGGCTTATTGGATACTGCCTGGTGGCTGAATAGTGCGCTTGAGATCTTTTGCTGCACTGCAGCAGCGCCTCGATCGTCTGAGGCGTTGATTTCAAGAACATCAAAGCCCTCAATTCTGGCCATGACTTGCACTGAGCTTGTTTTTCCGGCTCCTGGAGGGCCATGAACTAGAAGAATTTTTTTCAACGGTCGACCAAACTCGTCTGTGTGGTCCGATTCTGGAACCTCGAGGTCAAATGCGATAGGACGCCAGCGGGAAATCCAGCGAAGAATTTGGCGTTGCACATCCTGAGAGCCTCTCAAATCCAAGTAGCATGTCGGGGCATATTTATCGGTAAACAGCACATCCGTTTTACAGGTCTTTGGCAAAGTGTCAACACTGCGACGCGTATCGGGAGCGTCTAGTGCGCGAAGCATGTCATAAATTGGCACGCCAAAATGCTCGGTGGAGCCGAATGTTGTTTCACTAGATCTAGCTGTGTTTCGTTGTCTTTTGGGCAACGGTTCAGCAGGAATTGCTTCCTCTGGCTGCCGTTTGATCGACGTGCTCTGCTGGAACAGAAAGCTCATTTCCGCGTGATTACGAAAAAAAGTCAGCGCTTTATAAGAGCCCAAGTTACAGGGCCAACTGTTAGGTCGCACAGGCCAAGTTTATACAAAAATGAGCCGTAATTCCAGGCTCACAGCAATCATATCGACTGGTATACTGTCAAGGGCTAATCGCACCTTAGACTCGCGCATAAACCAAAATCGTGATGTCACGTGAGTGACTGCAATTTCCCGGTACTTCAAACCTCCTAAAATCTCGATCAAGGCAAACTTCTGGGATCATCAATCTTGTCACAATTATCTACATACATATAGTAGAGGTCCTAGCACTATTTGATCCTTCTATTGCTTGCTGGGCCCTCATCTCCACCCCACACTCGGCTGACCAATATTTCTTTCCAAAGCTTTTCGTCAACTCAAAGTGCCTACCATGCAATCTCTCATCAATGAGTATATGCTCGATAACGAGAACGCTGAGGCAACTGCTCAATCACTTGCACAAGCAGTAGGGCCGGATAATATTCTAGAGTTCATTCGACTTCTTGGCGACCAGCTAGTTCAGCAAGATGACAATGTCCGGCTGCGAGCTACATGTTGTTTATCGGACACCCTTAAGCACATCACAGGGCTTAATCGACAGCAAATTGAAGTAATTGGAACATTCCTGACGGACCGTCTGGATGATTCGGCTTGCCTGCTTCCAGTCAGTACAGGTTTACTGACGCTGGCAAATCTTTCGAACTTTCCGTCGTCTCTTGCATCAATAATTTTGGAGCGTCTTGTAGATATTGAGGTGAGACGGGAACCGCAAGTCAAGCGTAATGCCATTCTCAGGCTTTTGGATGCCCTCAGTAAGTTTAAAAGTCCGTCTTTTGTCAAAACCTATGTCGATCTCGCCTCGGGCGAAAAAGACCCAGAAAACCTTATGCTACTGTTATCTTTGAATCAAAAGATCCTCAGTAACTATACACTGAGCTCCTCCGAAAAAGAAGACATTTTTGATTTGTCTTTCTGTTATTTCCCGGTTACATTTACCCCACCAAAGAACATGCCCTACAAAATTACTGCCGAAGAAATAAAGGAGCAGCTTCGCCAAACTCTGATCAATCCTAGTATCGCAGAGTATACTATTCCAGGGCTCATCTCGAAGCTAACTGCGATCAGCATCACAACCAAAGTCGAGACGCTAAGCACCCTCGAGGCATGTTTGAAGGCCCTAGATGCTGGCCAGCTCCACGCTTACTGGCTTCAAGTTTGGGACGGGGTCAAGTATGAGGTTTTACATGGAACTATTGAGAATGAGACTCACGAATCTGCCATCAATGTCCTTCGTTGCTTAATTACTCAGGGTGATGAGTTCACCGAAGTTGTTCAAAAGGAGTTTACGAATTTGACAAATCCTAAACTTGGCGTGCAAGTTGCACATCTTATTGTGGGCGTAACTGAGGGATATCCTAGAGAGTTTGAGCTTCTCGCAAATGCAGCGGTCGAAACAGTTGTTGATGGTCCGGCAAACGAACTCAATTCAAGAGTGCCGATCATTAACGTGCTCTTGAAGTCATCTTACCCAGTTCCTCAAGGAGACTCTATTCTCTCAGTTTTACTGGCCGGTGTTGACGGTGATGTCGATTTTGCCAAAGACGCTATTCAAGGACTCGGCCTGCTGGCACTGCAAAGCGTGGAGTTCTCCCCGCTCATCATTCAAAAACTCACGGCTCTTTTAAATAACCCCCAATACGAAGAAACTGCTCTTGAAGTTCTTATCACTTTGGCAAAACCTCGCAGTGGACCCATGGTCGAGAATTTTTTGTCTGTGTTGTTGTCAGAACTATCAGAAAATTGGGACCCGGCTAACGCCCGCATTCTCAACATCCTTGCAAAGACATCTGTTTCAAAGGAGCTCCTTACCAAACTAACGGTGCGTTTGTACAACCGTGCCTTGGCCTCTACAGAAACTGATTATGTCGTTGCAATGCTGCATTGTCTGGTAACCGCTGCGGGCCATCTAGACAAGTCTGAATTGTCCAGCTTTTACGATACAGTTTTCCCATTTTTGAAAGAGTTTGTTATTTCCTCGTCCTCACCAGCGTTTCAAGCAAACATCGCCATTGACCAAGCCTGTCAACTCGGCGAGATCGCTGGCCGCGCTATTCCCTCGTCAGGACAAGCCCAGTATGTCGGCAAAATTCAAGAATTGTTTACAAAAAAAACTCATTTATTTGGTAAACGACCAACCAACTTGATGAGCCTGTTTGTTAGTTTTATCGTGGCTTTGGACGAGCCTCCTCGTGTTGATATTAGTTTTGTGGACCTTGCAGACACCCTTTCACACTCAAATGATATCTATGAGCGTAGTGGCTATCTCAGACTAGTTTCCGTGGCTGCGAACAAGTGGCCTCAGCTTTACGGTGATGTTGATTTGTATATTCAATGGCTCAAAAAGAGCATTGAGACAGACAGTCCTAGTTTGCTCAACTCACTAGAATTGTTGGCTTGGCTTGGTCGAGGGTTCATTCTGCGGAATGATCCGAAAGGGTTTGAAATCGCAAACTATCTTACCGGCCTGCTCGTTCACCCCACGCTTGGCCAATTTGCAGCCAAGGTTTTTGGTGTCTTGCTGGCAAAAGATCGGTTATTGGTGAAAGACAATGGTATAGTTGTTCGCCAACTATTCAGACAACGACTCTTAGTCGAACAACTTGATATCCTGGTGGAAGGAGCTAGAGGACCATGTCGAGTGAACTACATGATCGCCCTTGGTGCAATTTTGCGCTACTCACCTGCTAAAGCATTGATCCCTCACCTGCCTAAGGTACTGCCTATTATCCTGGAAAGCTTTGATATACCATACGAAGCTGTGCAATTGGCGGCTATCGGCGCAGTGCTGGTAACTCTATCTGATGCCAGTAAACTGTTCGCCGCTCACCTAGATGCTCTGATTCCTGGTCTTCTTGCTGTTTCCAGCAAGCCTGAACTGTCTGCAACCGTTCGATCAACGGCTCTGTCGACATTGGCGGAAATTGCAAACGTACTCGGTTCCGGGGCAGTCGAACCTTACCGCCAGCAGGTGATTTCAGGCCTTGTTCCAGCCCTCGGGGACCCCAAACGATCCGTCAGAAGACAAGCAGCACGTTGCCGCCAAGCTTACTATTCGTGAACCAAAATATATATTAAATACTAAATGCATAGACTTCAAATTAAAGAGACGCGTCTCGACACCATGTATATGCTTCGTGCAGGTTTCATAGTTAAGGGGTAAGGGTTGGTGGTATTGGGCGGGAGGGAAAAAAAAGCTCTTTGTGGGTTAATAATAAGCTGTCAGACTGGATCTAGGTGCGTAAAATTTCGCTTTCGATTGAGAAGGTTTGATAAAATACGGACAATTAGCCTCTGAGTGCTTTCCAGATTGCTACTATTGATTGGGTCCCAAGCTTCCCTTCCGTTTCAAAGCGCTCACAAAGTACGTGACGAAGGAGGCAAGCTATTTTTAAATTCACTGCCAATCGCACAAGCTGAAGCTTTACATTTCGCTACCAGCTTCGTACTTGCTTAGCTTTCACGCTCGGTCGATTGTAAAGTATAACGCTACTACTTTGTACCCAGTATCATGTCGACCTCATCGTGTCCCACCCCTGTGTGCCCCGTTTGCAAAGCTCACGAGACTTGTCGGTTTATCCTTCAATCCGTGAATGAATGCTCAGTAGCGGTTTGCCAATCGACAGGATCATCTTCTTCCAATGCCGGCGCCATTGCTGGCGGTGTCGTTGGAGGTATTGTGGGGTTACTGCTCCTCGTGGGTGTTGGGCTTTGGTTCTATTTTAGAAACCGCCGCTCTGATGATATGAGCTTGTTGAGTGAGAAATATGCCAGTGACGGTTCGCCATTTGAAAACAGGTCCCATCGTCCATCAGTGGCTGCCAGTATCACAACTGTCAACACGAACCAGGCCAGAGAATCTAATGTCATTCCGGTTGCTTATATCCCAGGCGTAGCGGTTTTACCACCCATGGGCGAGCGAGGTTCTGGAATACCATCGATTCGCAACTCTATTGCGACCACAAATTATCGTGCGTCCGTTCCCGAAATGGTAATGGCCGTCCAGGGGCAACCCAACCTTATTCAAATTACCGGAGACCCCACGTTGTCTAATGCCTCCTTGAACTCAATGCGGCCGCCTCCACCACCAATGTCCCGTAAATCGTCGCAAGCTTCAACAAATGGGTCCGCGCGTTCAGGGCGATCGGGGCGATCGGTTGGAGTCGGCTCCCGCCCAGAGAATGGTTCTGGTGACGTTGGAAGCACTATGGTCGCCATTCCTGAAGATTCTACACCAAATGTGGTTCCTTTACCACGAATGCACCCCCCAAACTTGGTGGGAGAATCAGTATACTCATCGCGGGTTTCCTCGACGTGGTCCTCGCACGAAAGAATGAGCACCGTCAGCCACGCGTCTTCGACCGGCGAGTACCTTTCGCAGCTTCCGGAGGAGGCTTATTTATATCACGGCGGTGGTTTCGACTCATCCAGCGCCCGTAACTCAAACGCTGTCGAGAGGGAGGATCTTGACTGATACCAAAGAGACCAACAAGGACCAGACTATGGCTCTGGTAAAGATGGGTCGGAAAGTTTTAATACACATATATATATTTTCTTTATACGTTTATATCATGTGTTGATGTCATGAGGTCATGAATAAAATAGTGTTGAAACAAGCATTTAGTAATGCGGAGATGGTACGTCGGTATCGAAGTGAACCACTTAGTGGTGGTGGAAGATTCGACTAACCGAATGCACTGCGTACTGCGTAGCACTCTTGACGGAGCTAAGACTGTTCTTTTCTAGCTGGCCGTAAAGTACAGAGTATTGAGAGCTAGTAGAAGTAGAGGGACGAATATAAGCGCTAGTATTAAGAGGGGCAGGCATATTTGAGATGGTGCGGAACAATCAGGCCATGGGGCCCTTATATAGTTGAACAAAAACATGCAACATTTCAAACCTAACCTTGCGAGTCATCGTTTAAACATTTTCTCCGCAGATGATCCTAGTCACTGGGGGGTTTTCTCGGGCTGGAAAGTTCTTCCATAGGTAGAGTAAAAATTTTGAAACCCGTACAATGCTTTTTGGAGAGCTTAAAGTGGTCAGAATCATTTTTCCCCGGGACTGTTTATCCGGCAGTGAAAATATTTCGTGATCCTTCTGCATGCAGGCGGTGGAGGCGCAGGAGATGGGTCGTCGGAGTTGCCCGGTGGCGAAGCTCACCTTTGCTGTTTGGCTATTTTCGCAATGAAGGGCTCCTAAGTACTACTCTGCTGAAAGAGACCCCCTTCCGTGCCCATATCAATGAATTTTAAACAATTTTGGAGCCAGTTTTGACTAGAGAGATCGCGACTTTGCTATGGGCGTCCCAACGGCTCTGGAAAAACCACGATCGCCTCACGTGACAATTTTCGGGAAAAAAGACCACTAACATATGAGATCTAGTGACTTTTCAGCTATAATTACACAAAAGTTTTCGCGGTTTGACTTGTTTAGAGTGACTGGACGAGATATCCAATGTGCTCTACATGGTTGCTATGTCCAGCTGGTGTGTATGAGCCATCTTAGAGTCATTAGTATGCATATGCGTCTCGTATATGAAAAAGGGTTGTTCGTAGCCCCAACGGAGATTTGGACGCAGATCGGGTAATTACTGTTGATGGCCCGACTTTTGTGCAAACTTTACCCAGCGGAAAGTGATCGTCTTTCCGTACATGTACTGTTCTACACTAGTTGACAGACTTGCTTGAGTAACCTAGATCTATATCACCACACATGGATATTGGAGTCATAGTCGAAATATGCTGAAACTATCAAGGTCCTTGAGGAACCAGGTACTATTGCGGCCTTTATACAATTGATGCGAACACGGTATTACCTACTCGCAGAGATTTCAAGAATAAAATATCTCATAATTTTCTAATTTGAGTTTATCCGAGCTCATGCTAGCCGAGCTGCAGGCCTGCTAAAGGACTTGACGTCCGCACTTCAAATTCCTTGTAAAAGTCGATCTTCCAGGACCAAATTCCTACAGGCGATAGCGGAGTTCCTCGCCTGAAAAATAAGCTGACTAAAATAGACCAAGACGGACTCCGTTGTGTGCCTACTTGTGCTGCTTGATTACATTTATTTACACGCTCCACCAGCGGGCTGAAATTCCGCATTGTGCCAGATCTGCAAAATTAGAATCTTGCTAAGTTGACTCAAACGAAATGGAAAGGTTTGGGCGCAGTATTTCATATAGTTTTTGACCAAATTTTCATTTCAATTCGGTTTAAGAGCACGAAAATAACCGTGGAGATGTTTATCACGTGCAACAGGAACAGTAATCTCGCGCAACCCACCAACCTGCGGGTGTTGATTTAGAGCTATAGAATACGGTTGGGTTAGTACGCTGGGCCACCCGATTGTTGAAAAAATGGGGGAGATCGAACTTTAATATCGAAATAAAAAGTACGTGGATTGAGCTAGGGATATCAGAGTTTCTTGCGAGTTTCGCCGCTCTTGAGCACACTCTGATTGCGCATGGGTATGGACGTTTGAGCGCGATTATCGGGTTGCCGACAATTGCTACCATTAAGTTAGTGATGAAAAGCCCAATTTTTGCAAAAAAGGTATGATATCCACACGATTAATCTAGTCCTTTGTAATTGTGGTAAATTCGAAACGCATACCTCGGTGTACAGCTGTATTTCGTCTCCTCTACGTTATATTGCCTTTACTGCAGCCTGCAGCGATTCACTGGCGTTGCTCTCTCCTGCTGAGTCAACCGATCTGGACAGAGTAGTTATTAAGTCATCCTCCCCGGAAGTTTGGCACCTACTTACCATGACTTTCACTGAGGTCGACGAGAGACTTGTTAATACTATCCGTACTTTGGCTGCCGACATTGTCGCCAAGTCCAAATCTGGCCACCCTGGTGCTCCCATGGGCATGGCCCCTATGGCCTCCGTGCTTTTCAACCGGGTTATGAACTTCAACCCCGCCAACCCTAACTGGTTGAACCGTGATCGTTTTGTTCTCTCTAACGGCCACGCCTGTGCCCTGCAGTATATCCTGTTGCACTTGTATGGCTACAACTACTCTATCGAAGATCTTAAAACTTTCCGCCAGCTCAACTCCAAGTGCCCCGGTCACCCCGAAGCTGAGTTGGAGGGCGTTGAGGTCACCACTGGTCCTCTCGGCCAAGGTATTGTAAATGCTGTCGGTTTGGCTATTGCCGAAAGACACATGGCTGCCACTTTCAACCGCCCCGGCTACGAGCTCATCAATAACTACACCTACTGCTTTGTTGGTGATGGTTGCCTGATGGAGGGTGTTGCTTCTGAGGGTATGGCCCTTGCTGGCCACTTGCAGCTTGGTAAGCTCATTGCTTTCTACGATGACAATCATATCACTATCGATGGTGACACTGACGTTGCTTTCACTGAGGACGTTGAGGCCCGTGTTAAGGCATACGGCTGGCACACCCTGCACGTCAAGAACGGTGACAGCGACCTCAATGGCATTCTTGCCGCCATTGAGGAGGCCAAGTCTACTCCTGACATGCCCACTTTGATCCGCGTTACCACTACCATTGGTTATGGCTCTGTTAACGCTGGTACCCACGGTGTCCACGGCTCGCCCTTGAAGCCCGACGACATTGCTCAGCTCAAGACTAAGTTTGGCTTCGACCCCAACGAGAAGTTTGTCGTGCCCACTGAGGTTACTGACTACACTGCCAAGAAGATCAAGGCTGGTGCTGAGGCCGAGGCTCAATGGAATAATCTTTTCGAGAAGTACTCTAAGGAGTACTCCAAGGAGGCTTCCGAGCTTATCCGCCGCTGCAACAAAAAGCTCCCCGCTGGCTGGGAGAAGGCTCTGCCCGTCTACAGCCCCAAAGACGATGCCGTTGCTTCTCGTAAACTGAGTGAGACCGTTTTGACCAAGCTGTACGATGTTCTTCCTGAGCTTATTGGCGGTTCTGCTGATTTGACTGGCTCCAACTTGACTCGTCCCAACCAGGCCATTGACTTCCAGCCTCCTAACTTGAAGATTGGCGAGTGGGCTGGTCGTTACGTGCGCTACGGTGTCCGTGAGCACAGCATGGGTGCCGTCATGAACGGTATTTCTGCCTACGGTGGCCTTATCCCTTACGGTGGTACTTTCTTGAACTTTGTTTCATATGCTGCTGGTGCCGTCCGCCTCAGTGCTTTGTCTGGTCACCAGGTCATCTGGGTTGCCACCCACGACTCTATTGGTCTTGGTGAGGATGGTCCTACCCACCAGCCTATTGAGACTCTTGCTCACTTCCGCGCTGTGCCTAACCTCATGGTCTGGCGTCCAGCTGACGGTAATGAGACCTCCGCTGCATACAAAGTTGCGTTGGAGACCCAGCACACTCCCTCTCTGCTTGCTCTTTCTCGTCAGAACCTGCCCCAGCTTGAGGGTTCTTCTATCGAGAAGGCTTCCAAGGGTGGTTATGTCCTCCACGATGTCGAGAACCCCAGCTTGATCATTGCCTCCACCGGTTCCGAGGTTGGCATTGTCGTTGATGCTGCCAAGCTTCTCGAGTCCCAGGGTCACCGTGTTCGCGTTGTTTCTATGCCCGATTTCTACACCTTTGACAACCAGTCTCCCGAGTACCAGCTTAGCGTCTTCCCTGACGGTGTTCCCGCCATGTCTGTGGAGGTTCAGTCTGCCTTCGGTTGGTCCAAGTACACCCACGAGCACTTCAACCTCGACCACTTTGGTGTTTCTGCTCCTTATGACCAGGTTTATGCTGCTCTTGAGTTCACTCCTGAAGGCGTTGCCAAGCGCGCTCTCAAAACCATTGAGTACTACAAGTCTTCTAAGCCTGCTTCTCGTGTCAAGCATGCCTTCACACACCTTGTGCAGACCGGCCCTGGCCCCTTCTCCACTCGTGAGCGTGGTGCCAAATAAATAGATAGGTAGTTTTACTACAGACATTAGTTACTTACTGCCGTTTTCTCGCTTACATAGCCGCGAAAATCCCCCAGCCCGTTGACGCATGGATTGGTGGGATACAGGTCCCCTGGCGTTTCTGGTGGTGGCCTCGGTGTGCGTTCTAGCGGCTAGAAATATACCGTGGCTGAGTCCACTGCTCAACTACGGCAAATCGTACAGGTCTACACGAGGCCCCTTTGCGTTTCTATTTAATTTAACTGTTCCGAGGACCGCCTTTTGGCACTTTTATGCTACAAGCATTGTCTGCTGTATGTTTGAAGTACTTTCATATGGGTGGTCCTGGCGGCGAGCCCTGCTGCTGGTGCAGTCAGCTAGGCGTTTAGCCGAAAACTGGTGGCTTTTCCCCCCCAGCACCGCCCGTATGCATTTGGCACACTATCTTGTTGGTCATGGGTTTTACATGTGCGAAGCTTTGGCTGGTGGTCCGGCAGATCATGAAACATCGCTGCTTTTCCCTAAACTGGTGGGTCTGGTGGGGTTCGTGCTGGCAAGCATAGGCCAGCATTTATGCCACCGGACAATCGCATCCACCAAACGGTATCGTCTGCCTCAATTCTTTATAAAAGATGTTGCATCACCCCACTATCTTTTCGAGATCCTAATTTATGTGTCGATTCTTTATTTTACACCCACCTGGCCGTTCGCTTTCATGTCGGTGGTTTGGGCCCACATCATTCTATCCACATCTGCAGCACAGTCATGCAAGTTCTACAACGCTCAGGGAACCACCGTGCGCTATTCCATGTATCCATATATAATGTGATGTAGATTGTAACTACACTATGCCGTCTTCTGCCAAATTAGCGCCACAGTATCAATTTGCTGCTCCTAAGCAGAACCAAGGTGGTCGACTATGGACCATCAACCGAATCAATGAACCAACTCCCTATATATGTTTACGGGCACAATTGACCCAGGCTTTATTGAACCCTCTCACATTAGGATTTGCTCTGTTGGCGGTCTTTGTGCATATCTCGTACCTGGTAGCTCAATCAGAGTTGCAAATGCTTTCTACCTCTGGCACCCACCTGTGCCAGCAGCTTGCCGAGCCTTCGAAACACAATTTGCAGTCAGACTTTTCATCGATCTTGGACACTATGAACTCCTCAACCACTGCATTGGCTCGACTTGGGCTAGGCTCCTACGCGACAATCTTCTCCAATCTCGGTGAGTCTTCCTTAAGACACTATACACAAGACCTCAACTCATTTTCCGATTTAGCCCGGAGTGTGCCTCAGTCGATAAAGTTCGGAATAAACAAGGAGGAAACAAGTGCCCAAGATTGGCTCGGTCCACGGCTCGCGAAAGCGCAAAATATGTCCTCCGTTCTTTTGAAAGCATTCACGCAAGTAGGTGCTGCGCTACAAACTTCGGGTATCTTTTCACTGAACCAAGAAGACGTTGAAAATGTGTTTAATATATCTCTCCCCCATTTTGATGACATTCAGCCGAATACAATCAACTTTACGTCCATCTCCGATAATACCACTGATGCTCTAACTAAAGCGGTAAATCAAGCAGTCGAAAAAGCAACAGCACAGCTCAACCAGGTAATGCTAACACCTTTGAGCTTGACCAAGATGAATTTCACACAAAGTAACATGACGCAGTGTGACGCGATTCTTGAGCAATTTGATGATATCCGAGTTGCCTGTTCACGAGCGAAAAACGGTTCAATCGCAGCGTACTGTTTGATGGCATTTATTACTTTCCTGATTTCGTGTTGCATCAGATATTCGAATTGGCGCAATATGACTATGAATACCAAGGCTTTGAAAGAAAGTGTCACAGGGTATTCAAAGGATGCTGTTTTCGATCCAATGGTTTACTTTTATGACAGTAACCACTTCATCACAACTAAAATGAAGGAGATGTGCGTGAAGCTATTAAAAAAACGAATGTATCAGATTTACACACAATGGGCAGTGAGCTACCTGTCAACATCCTCGATGAGCACCTGGCTGTTCGTATCATTTTGGATAATCCTTCTCGCGATCCCTACGGAAGTCATGAACGATCGACTCAAGAACTCCAACAACAAGTCAGACCTCCTAGGAAAGGCTTTTTATCTTGATTACACTACGATGGCTTCATCTTTAAACGATCAGATTTCAACCCAAGAATCCGAGGTCAACAACCCACCAAAGAAGATTCTTATGGATCTTTTCAGTGAACTCAACACTCTTTTGAAGAGTGCACACGATGACCTCAGTAAGTCTTTTAGTGGATACCTTTCTGGAAACTCTATCGATATCCAACTTGACACGCCGTTTGTTCAAAATATGCAGCGCGTGGCTGCTCCTACCATAACTATACCCAAAGTGACTACAAAACAACTTATGACGAACTTGTATGATTTGTCTAACGGCCAAGCTATAATACCGAAACAGGCTCAAGCGCTGTCCAAAATTTGCGATGTGCTGTGGACAACATTTGGTGTGATGATTGGCATATGGATACTGTGGACAACAGCAGCATTAGTATACACATACTATGCTGCCAAAATAACCCAAAAGGCAAGTGGGATATTTTCGTCTGCTAACCGAGTCTACAAGATCGTTGTCGCGGAGCCCAAGAGCGCGCCAGAATCACCTCCTGTTCCCAGGCCGCCACCGGCTCCCCCTTTGCCAGCCAGAAATGTGCATAGGCCTAATTATTTTATTTAGGATCTTCTAAATACTGAAACTAAAGTGATCTACCGCCAGCATTGGCGAAGTTAGCAAGGGCCTCCTTAGTGATTTGGGGCTCAGGCAGACGCCCCGACTTGGAAGGAGGCTCCATAAAGCCACATGCGACGAGGAATGAGAAATAGACACCAAGCTGCTTCTCGTCAATACCAGCGCCTTCTGATTTATCAACGCCAGTCCATTCAAAGTCACTCTTCAAGCACTTGACGGCATTCGAATCATCAAGGTGAGGTGCCTTTGTACTTTGGGGCAAGTCATCTAATACGAAGTGAAGCAACGGGAAGAGTGCGCTATCTCCGTGCTCAACAACATACTTTTCGAGTGCAACGCGCCATGGGAGGTACTCAGCCGGTAAAACATCATAACCGTAGTTTGCAAGGCAACCTAAGAACTCAGTAAACTGGATTCGGGGATGTGAAGTTACGTGCACCACAGAAACACCAGAGGCCTCAGGAGGATGAAGAGCGGCAGCAACGGTAAGACGAGCGACATGATCCACCGGAACCATGTTTACAGAGTTTGCAATATTGGGGTATTGTCCCAGCTGTTGAGATCCCTTGACCATGCGGAGAAGGAAATCATCGGTATTGGAAACACCGGTAGTGCTATCTCCAAGAATATAACCAGGGCGAATAATAGTACCACGCAAACCATGCTTTGAACCAGCAACACGGATAATATGTTCCGCTGCCCACTTAGATTGGCCATAGCCAGAACCAAGTCCGTTACGGGAGCCCTCAAGGTTATCGGATTCAGGAATACCGGGGAGACCCTGCTCCACAAGACGATCACTGAGCTCAACATAGTAATCGGTATCAACAGCTGAGGTGGAGGAGACAAACGAAAAGTATTTGGGACGGCCACTTGCACATAGACTCATCACGTTGATAGTGCCAACGACATTGGGCCCCCGCAAAGTGCTATAAGGGTAAACCCAGTGGACGAGTGCACCATTATGGATGATAACGTCAATGCGATTGCACAGAGAAGCCCACTGATCGTCGGGAAGGTCAAAGTGCTCGTGCTCCAGATTGCCAATAACAACCTCAATCTTGGATGCGTACTCATCTTTCCAAACATTGTAGGCAAGTCCAGTGTTTTTGATACGGGCTAGGCCAGACTTAGCATCCTTTGCTCGGACATGAGCAACAATGTGGACGTTTTGTGAGCGCTCTAGAAGATCGCGAATGATGAATGATCCAAGGAATCCAGTGGCACCAGTAAGGAACACAGTAAGTTTCTGATGAGGCGACAAGGGGAGCGTCGGTGTAACATAGTCGGGCAACTTTGACGCGAGCTGGTCCGCATCATCACCATACGACACTTCTTTCTTACCTCTTTTAGCAACAGAGCCAGGAGTTTCAGTCAAGACTGTCGAAGACCGCAGACTGTCAACCGCTTTGGCAAACTCAGCCACAGTAGGGTGAGCAAAGATTGCACCGAGTGGTAATTCTGGTACGCCGAGCTTACTACGAGCCTCGAAAATCATCTTTGTAGCCAGAATTGAGTGACCGCCCAAATCGAAGAAACTGTCAGTTGGCTCAACTTGGGGAGGTTTCCGAGGCAAAATGCTGACCCACAAATCACGCACCTGTACCTCCGTGGCAGTGAGGGCGTCAGTTTCTGCGGCAGTAGGCTTGACATGTCGAGAAACAAGATCCAACTGTGCAGTATCGGGGAATGGTAGGCGTGGCTTGTCAATCTTGCCATTAGGGTTCAAAGGCATTTGAGAAAGTGGCACAATCATACTAGGAATAGCATAGGATGGCAACTTTGTCTTCAAATAATTGCGGATGTCTTTGATCAGGCGACGGTACTGCACCAGCCCCTTTACAACGTGATCAGCACCATCCTCTTCATCAAGACTCTCATGAGCACTCAGCATATCATCTTTGTCGGTCTCAGGGACGATATATGCGACTAAAATTGGTTCCTCGTCTTTATCACGGCGGACCAAGGTGACGTTTTCACGAACAGCTGGGTGGCGAGAAAGGTGGGTGTTGATCTCACCCAGCTCGATACGGAAACCGCGAATTTTGACCTGGTCATCAGCACGACCAGAGCACTCTGTGTTACCATCCGGCAAGTAGCGACCTAAATCGCCAGTGCGGTAGAGGCGATCACGTGGGCCCTTCCAGTATTTTTTCCAAGGAGCATCGCTGGGGACAGTATCTTCCCAATGGCCTTCTTCCACGAACCACGAGTTCAAGAACTTCTGGGCGGTCATGTCGGGCAACTCAAGATATCCATCAGACAAACCACCTGCACGAACATAAATTTCACCCACTTCGCCAACGCCACAGATTTGAGTGCGGTCATTTCGGTTCACGACCAACATCTCAACATTCAGCATACCTTTACCGGCGGGAATAACATCCTTTTGAGTTTGCAAAAAGACACCGTTTTTGGCGACGCTAGGCACCTCAAAGTACGAAACAGCACGCTGAGTTTCAGTTGTACCGTACATATTGATGATGTTGACGTTGTGAGCCAAAGCCTGAAGCTTGATGCAGTCACGCTTGGTCAAAATATCACCGACAAAAAAGGCATGGTGAAGAGAGGGGATTGCGGCAGTCGCCTGAGCAGACAGCAACTGACCCATAGCAGGGGTCAAGTGAGTGACAGAAGCACCGTTTTCGGCCATCCATTCAGCCAGTCGACCAGGAGTACCAATATCGTCAGCACAAGGTACGAGAAGCTGAGCACCTAAGAAAAGTGGTGTGAAAATATCACGTTGAATAGGATCGTGAGCGATACCAGAAAGCATTGTGAATTTATCATTCTCGCTGAGATGGAAAGTTTCTGACATCCAGGGGAAATAGTATGCCAAGGAAAAGTGACGGCCACGAACACCCTTAGGAACTCCTTCAGATCCTGATGTGAAGCTAAGAGTCGGGTGACAGTCTGGGCCAACTACGACTCCTGTTTGCTTGGTCCTACTAAGCTCAAAAGACTTCAAAGCATCGCCATCACTGTCGACAGATCCATCGTCCTGAAGCTCGAGACCTGTGATCTGAGTCTTGAGCTGCAACTTATCGGCGATATACTCCTTCACCAGAGGCGCCAAAATACCTGCCTTTTTCAAAACAATCAATCCTTTAGGTTTGGCAACACTGAGATAAACGTTTTGGCGGGCCGGAGGGTATGCAGGGTCGATAACCGAGAAAGTGGCACCGGCCTTTAAGACACCCATGATGGTGATAACAAGATCTACGCCACGATAAGCATAAATCATAACAACGTCATCCACAACGATTCCACTTGCAATCAAGCTGTGGGCAACCACATTGGAGGCCTCGTCGATCTGTTGGTAGGTGAACGTGCGGGTCTTGGATTCAGGCTCAAGTTTGTTGGCAGTTTCCGTTACGCAAAGACGGCTGGGGTGTTTGGCAGCATTTCTAGCAAAAATATCCTGAATTGCACCTCTGTAATTGCACCAATCAAGGTTAGCAGTAGGGTCTGGAATAATACCAGCTTGTTCAGGCGTGATAAGCGAAATCTTAGCCAACGGCTCTGAAGGATTAGAAGCCACTTTGACAACCAGTTGGAAGATCTGTTGGGCAACAAAGTTGATCCTCTGTTCCTTGTACAAAAGAGAATTGAAACTAAGCTCGAGCTTGTTTGCATCAACGATAAGGGCAAGATCCTTCAGCACAGGATAACCATTGGAACTGCGAGGCAACACCAATGTTCTGAAAAGCTCACCAGTCTTATCTTGAATCTCCGAGTGGTTCGCCACGTGCGTGGTTGCGAATTCCCTGCTCTCGGTGACAGCCTTGATCAGATCAGCAAAAGTGGTAGTACCAGTGACTGGCGCACGCAAGATCATGTGTGTGCCGTCTTCGATCTGTGAGCCCACAACAACGTCCTCGTCGCCAGTATAGCGGTATACCAGAGACAAGAACAAGGCGGTAAAAACATCGAACTCCGAAGCACCAGCTGCCTTGGCCAAAGAAGACAGTGCCTGCTTGACTGAACTAGGAATATCGGTGACAAAACTCGACGAAACAACCTTGCCCTCTGTTGTTAGTGTGAAGTCGGACGGGATGACATTCAGCAAGCTGCTTTCCAGTCTCTTGGCCCAGTTATCTACAGCAGAACTCATTTTAATTGAGCAGCTAAATAGTTCGGAGGTTGTGGGGATGGGATACTAAGAATCAGTCATCGAGGCGAAATAAGCGATTTGTTGAAATATTCCGCTAACTGTGAAAATATGTAGAGATCCCAATATTATCCATTTGCTACAGTTCTGACGCTATAGTAGAGATCATTTATTCCTAGCTACTTGAGAAATCCTACAACAGGCTAGCAGCCTCCAGCGTTAGCCCGAAAAGGGTCTAGTATTTGTCAGCGGCCTTGAAGACATCGTTCTATCAACACAATTGCACTTTTAAGGTCCGTCTGAACACAAAGCCACTTACGCTAAAGATGTCGGCACGCAAGCTCCAGCAAGAAATGGAGCGCGTGTTTAAGCGTGTGGCCGAAGGAGTTGTAGTGTTTGACAATATCTATGACAAGCTTCAAATGGCAAGCACACACAACCAAAAGGAGAAGCTTGAGCAAGATCTGAAGCGGGAAGTGAAGAAGCTGCAAAAGTTCCGTGACCAAATCAAAACCTGGATTGGAAGCAATGATGTCCGTGACAAAAAGCAGCTCATTGAACAGCGCAAGTTGATTGAAACGGAGATGGAGCGGTTCAAGGTCGTCGAACGCGAAGTCAAGACTAAAACTTACACCCTGGAAGGTGACGAAGAGCCATTAGATCCTCATGAGCAAGCCAAACGAGATGCGGTTGATTTCTTTGAGGGAGTCCAGTCTCAGCTCGAGGAGCAAATCGAGCAACTTGAATCGGAAGAGGAGAGTTTACAGGGGTCTATGAAGCGTGGTAAAAAAGATAATGCGAAGCAAGAGCGTATTTCCGAAATTGACTACACCGTTGAAAGACACAAATGGCATAATGCCAAGATTGATATTATTGTCCGAATGATCGAAAACGACACTTTGGCACCCGAATCAGCAATGGCTCTGGAAGATGACATTATGTACTATGTGGAGTCAAATCAAGATGCCGATTTTGCGGAAGATGATCAAATGTACGACGACCTTAATCTCATCGAAGATGAAGAGGACGAAGAGCTGGTTGAGACCATTGTTCGTGACGACACTTACACGCTTGAAGATTTGGCACAGGATCTCTCTAAAGAAGCCCAAGCAGCAAAGGAACGTGAAAAAGAGGAGAAAGATAAAACTGTCAGTACTGTATCCTCTGCCGGATCATTGGTACAGCCCCCGGCATCGTCTGGTACGATGCCTATGCCAGCCCCTGTGGCTCGTGTAGCATCAGGAGTGAACGTTGCCGCACCTCCTGTCGCCCCCCAAAGCTCAGGAACACCCATTAAGCGCATGATGAGCCCAGCAGTTGATGCGAAGCTGGCTCAGGGACTCTCTCCTCTTCCTCCACCTGGTGTGAAAGTCGCAGCCCCGGTGGCTGGCACTAGTGCCGGATCGACGATTTCAGCGCCCTCTAAACCGCCAGGACTTCGTGAGGCTTCACCGGCGCCATCGCTTGGTCAGTCGAGCACGCCAAGCCCTGTACCTCAAGTGGCTCCTACACCGGTGGGCGGTGTCGCAGTCTCCAGTTTACCATCGCTTCCCAGTGCGTCCCCAAGTACGTCCAAACCTGCTGATGCATTTGCTGTTAATCTTCCTGCGGGACTTGAGGATCTTTCAGGTGCGTTCGACGCAGCAACCCAACGGGTTTGCCAAGCTCCTTCTCTGTCGTCGATTTCCAGACTCGTGGAGGCTTCATATATGAACTTCCCCGACTCCACCATGGCAGACAGACCAGATTATTATCACCCGGAATCACCATATCCTACGCCGGAGTACTATCCCTCGGAGGTTCTCCCCACACTAGGAAACCCGGCTATTTTCACGAAGATGGACGTTGACACTCTGTTTTATATATTCTATTACCGCCAGGGAACCTACCAACAATACCTTGCCGCTAAAGAATTGAAGGCACGCAGTTGGCGTTTCCACAAAAAGTTCTTGACTTGGTTCCAACGCCATGAGGAGCCGGAGACTATCAATTCCAAATTCGAGCAAGGAACTTACCGCTTCTTCGACTTTGAGGGCTCTTGGCTTCAGAGACGCAAGTCGAACTTCAAGTTCGAGTATGAGTACTTAGAGGATGAAGTAGTCTAGTCTATCTGACTTCTAAACCTACAAATGATTTTTGCGAATGTCCTCCAATAGCCCTTTGCTGAAATCGGTAACCTGGTCGTAGGTAATATCGAATCCATTCTGACCACCATAATAGGGGTCGTCAATAATTCTATTCAAGTCGTTAGAAGTGCGGTACGAGCCAAAGAGGTCGATAGTTGCCGTACTGTTTTTCGGAGCCATACACTTCAGGTTGCCGAGGTTTTCTCGGTCCATTCCCAAAATATAGTCGAATTTTGTGAAATGATGCGGGTAGATTTGTTGAGCTCGATGTTGAATAGGAGTTCCGTTCTTATCGCAGGTGCTAATTGTACGCTTATCAGGCTTGTTACCCACATGGAAGGCACTCGTACCGAAAGAATCCACTTTGATCACATCTTCCAGGCCCTCTCTTCTAACATGCTCGGCGAACACAGCCTCCGCCATCGGAGACCGACAGATATTGCCTAGGCACACAAACGCTACAGTGACCATTGCTGATGTAATTCGAGGGCAGACCGGAACGGCTTCGCATAAGTGTGCAGAAAACCCCGCTCGAAGGGATGTAAGCCTGGTGGATAAATGTATAAAACCAGAGCTTTTGGAGACTCAATTGTATTCATATTTTCCTACGTCGATAATGCGTCTTTATCCAATGACTGCAGCCCTTATATTTCGAGCATCTTACTTTTACAAGTCATCCCGATAGCAACTATAAAAGGTCTGACATTACGTACGTTGAGTTAGAAAGAACATCTCTAGACGTGAGTTGGCGTCAATTATAAGTGTTTAAAGTCTGAAAGAAAAGAACAATGTTGTCCCACGTAATGGTTGGCTCGAATGATATCGAGCGCTCTCAGCGTTTCTATGATGCTGTGCTTGGAACTCTTGGAGTCGGTGAACCGCTGGTCAACAAAGCAAGTTCTGGTCATACCCGGTTTTTCTATCGTCATGATGGCTCCACCTTTTCTGTCACCGAGCCAATTAACGGCGAGAAGGCTACTCCTGGAAATGGCTGCACTGTCGCCTTCAGCTGCAAGTCACCTGAGCAGGTTCGTGTGTTCCATGACACGGCGCTTGCACATGGTGGCAAGTCCATCGAAAACCCCCCGGGCCTCCGTGAAGGTAGCCTTGGGCCAATGTACCTTGCCTATGTGCGTGATCCAGACGGAAATAAGCTCTGCGCGATCTATCATGGCAGCGACAAAGATGGCGCTTAGTTTTCAACTCAAGCGGACGCCGCTATATAGCAAATCTGAGCCATCAGCTCCTGTTCTCACTTCTCGTAACAATTGTTCACAGAACATGTCTCGTTTTCTACTTTTCGATCAATTCCGGAGGTACAGGTCTCTGGCGTGTATTTTCGGGGTGAGCTCTTGGTAAGCTTCCAGACTCGGTAGTGCTATATCGAATTCTACACGTTCAATTGATCGTATAGCTAAAGCGCGATTCATCAAGGAAAGCATCAGGATGGATTGCCATGCTGCTGGGTTTTCAAGTCAGATACAAGATGTTTTTAGGTAGTATGTCGATACCACCCAGCATCAACTGCGATGTGAGGAGTCTGTTGTCCAGTTCTGCAACATAGGTTGCAGCTCTGTGAGGATGGACGATTTAGCCTAGTATAGCACTGAAATTGCCTCAAAGAAAGGCAAGTCCAAAGTTACTATAATTAAAGTATAGTGCGATATTATGTTTGTGTATGCATACATGGGAGGTGTTTGCTGTTAAGATATGCTACGCGAACTTCAATAGTATCGCTGCTTTAAGGAGTTAACTGTATCATCCAGCCTATACTCAAGCTGAAGTTCAAGGTTTCAACCCTTTCTCGCAATCGGGGAATTCCCTGTTGCCTCCCAAACCTCGCTCCAGAGTTAAAATCGCTGCAGAACAGTAGTGTGTGACTTCACTTCACATTTAGAAGCTATTATTTTTGATCCTAATATCGAACAATTAATATATTGATCAAAGGAGGTTGTATATTCTCTGCATCAATCCAGGTTCTCCGTTGGCACTGGTGTCATTGATCCAAGTTACCCCAACAAGGTTTGAGGTATCAAATTCACAAAATGGCTAAGTATGTGTGTTTAGATCACCTTTATGATGTCTTAGATGCGTTAAATTCGTTCTGGAAAGATTTTTTATCCAAACGCTGCTACAATTTGTTGATGGAGAATAGAACTTGACCTAAAAATGCGCAAGGTTTATTACACTACTAATTACTCCATCTCCAATGAAGGTACTAAGTGTCTTATTCCCCTCTCCATCTCCACTGAATGTATTAATTAGTTTTCATTGATTACAACAACCTGTTTATGGGAGTTCAATCGACTCCTTCGTCCGATGTTAATCAGGCAGCTGCCGATCTGCAAGGCGCTAGTCTAAAAACCTACACCTTAGTCAGATATGTACACATAGTTTCACGTATGCAGGGGGAACGTTCTCACTCTAGTTGGTGTGCCATACCAAAAGACCCTACGTGAAACTCTTATTTTTGGCTTACTGCTCTCTCATCTCCCAAAGTGAGCTGGTACGGATAGAAAGCCCATACTAAAACAGCTTCATGAGGACCTGACACCAACCTATCGTCGTCGGTTACGACTCATCTGAAACTTAATTATCCAGTACAGAAAATGAAACAACAGTACAGAGAACAAAACAATGTCTATTCTAAAGTTCCCATTTAATATCGCTCCCCATTTCTCAACGCTCTTTATTTTTGTGCAGCACCTTGCAGCAGAATCTTCAACGAGGCGTCAAGAGCGATTTGCAAACAGGTCGATCTGAAACTTATCAGCCGATTCGAGCTATTCGACAATCAAATCGTTAGATATGTGGTTTCCAGCCAAATTTATTTCAGCCGTTAAAGCAGGGTTCTAATTTGAGTGGGTGCAGCAAGTGGCAATCTCGCAGCAGTCCTTGATGCAGGTTTACAGAACGGCATCAACGCTTTTGACTTCCGATCACCCGAAAAACAACCAAAGACGAGCACAGTATTCAGCTCATAACCTATATATATCTTCATTTATACAAACAGAACCCTTCTCAGTGGCTTTTCTGCTATACTAGTTTTTAGCGCCTTCTATGGGGATTTATTCAATCTGCTGGGCGATGCATCAATAGGGAGCCTCATGCCGCCAGACAGACACTGACGTAAGTTTAGCTTTATGACAGTGAGAAGCTCAATAGCGTACATTGGAGCTTTTCTGGCGACCGCGAGCATATTTTTTAGTTTCGGTTTGCTCAGTGGCCAGTACGATGTTGTCTCTTTTGTTCAGGAAACGAAAATGAGAGCTGCGGGACTGGCACCCGCCTTAGAGGAAATCAAGTCCACCGTCATAACGCCTGAGCAGTTCGTGAACGAACTCAACCTCACACACATTGAGCAGATAATTGCCCAAAGCCTTGTCGGACGGACTCTGGGAGCGGCATCCAAGGCCCATGAAAGCGTCGTGGTTCAACCATTCTCCAATGCCACTGGAATGGCAAAGACAAAAAAGTGTAGGAGAATGTTGCGGAAAGCACTTCACACGTCTAAAGCTCAGAGCAAAGAGCAGTTCGAGCAGATTAGGGTCATAATGATGGATTCTATTGGGGCTGTGATTAAGGCTATTCGTGCAAAGTATACACCCGAAGATCCGGATCCAGCATACGCACGGATGGAGATGTCCCACTCAAAACGCCGTAAAAATGATGAGAGTTTCCATGCAAAGGCAATTGATCGTTATATTGAGCTAAATCGTGAGTCGCGGAAGCTAGAAATCAAGATTCCAGAAGACCAAAAGCACCTGGGACCTAAACCTCATGAAATTATGATATTCTCAGCTTCGAATGCGGACCTCCGTGACCCAGAAGAAGCTGAGCTTGTGTATCAAGCTCTCGAGAATCGTAACTCGTATGCAGCTTATCACGGTTATCAGCATGAATTCCTTAATCTCAGCCGGTATAGTGCTGCTGAGTATGAGCACCCGTGCTGGCTGAAGCTTCCGGCCATTCAAGAAACACTTCACAAGCACCCGGAAGTCAAGTGGCTATGGTGGCTAGATATGGATGCGATTATCATGAACGGCCAGCTCAAAATTGAAGAACACTTACTGCATCCTTACACCATGAAGCATCGCTTAGTATCTGATACCAACGTCTGCGCTGTTGGTGACATATTCAGTGATGGTGGTCTGACCCCGCTTGCATCCGATGTTGATCCGGACGAGATAGAATTTATTTTCACCCACGACTATTTGACTTTAAACGCAGGCTCTTTTTTCCTCAAAAATACCCCCGCCAACAAATTGACACTCGACATGTGGGGAGACCCAGAGTTCATTTATAATGAAAAAGGAGGGCGAAAGTATGAGCGACGGGAACAGGATGCATTTATTAACCTCTACCACCGGCACAAGAACGTTCGCGACAGAACTGGTGTTTACGTTCAATCAACTATGAACTCTTACGATGAGCACAATGGTAGAGAGCTACAAAGAGGTGAGCATGGGGATTTTGTTTTCCATTTTGCAGGGTTCTCAAATCAAAGAGAAACCTATCTAAGGATGTGGAAAGAAGCTTGGGATAAGCGAGTTCTCCCCAATGGCGAGCACCCTGAAGTTACACTCCCCAGCCCAGCTGAGGATAGTGAGCCTGAAGCCTAGTACTATCCACAAACCACCTGCGTACTAGCGCCACTTAATGCCAAACGTTCACTAGTGCCAATCTGTACCCAGCTGCAGAATATAATAGTACATATATGTTTATTACTGAATTTTTCTCACTCCATGATGGAATCTTAATATCAGATGCATCATTGATTGGCCCTCTTCTCTGCTTTTGTTAGGTGCAGATCTCGAGTGCATATCCTCCATGCACGCCCTACGTTTTGACCCAAATATAGAAAAACAATGTCCGTGCTTCATCGTCGCATGAAGACAACCTCTATATCCCCCATATGCGAAATCAACATACCTGCTATATTCATAAAGTAGTGGTTCTCGATTTTGGGAGCAGATCGACATGTGCAGAGTGATGTATCAAGCATTGCACATGTTTGAACGAAACTTAAATGGACCTAATTATGGAGCTATTAGTGTGCCATTAGTCTCTGATAGCGTTTCCAGCGGCAATTTTTTGCATTTCATAGGGTCTCGGCCACCGATGGTTTGAAAACTCAAATTAGTGCCTCATGTACATACCTACCAAAGTCCCATGCAGTGATGACGCAGCTGAGGCAGCACAATTTTACAAATCCAGGCGAACACCTTTTTTTCCGCTACACCACTGGGTAAAGAGCAATGGCACATAAACTTTTACTGTTTTGCGTATCTGCGGTTACGGCAGTAACTTTTTTTAGCCTGGGAATGTTGGCGTCCCACGAGAAAATGGACGTTTCTCACCGCGATGGCGCACCACATTTCTCAGCGCCTCTTGAGCAAATCGACAAAGAAGCTGGGAACGTGGAAATTGCGAATGGAGATTCAGAGCATGAACTGAAGGACTTTGTAATGCCAGGCTCCGACAAATATTCTGACGCATACAAGCTGTTCGCTGATACATGGAATGAGACCGTAGTATCCAAAGTACGCGACGTTTACGCTGCAGAGAAGTTTCTTGACTTCCCACAAGCTTGTTCCAGATCGTGGGCTCTCTTTGTTCAGAGTCAGTCTAGCTGGATTGAACGAATCACAAAACAGTTTGCCCACTTAGGAAGTGAGTTCTTAGCAGATCTGGACGCCCTCATCACGCTTAGAAGCAAAGAGGTTGTCCAAGAATGCAAGGAACGTGAACGTACTGAAAGAGAAGAAAAGTACAACTCCATGGTCAAAGCGCAGGCGGCGCAGGAGAGTGGGCTTCGTGACACGGCCACCCAGCAATTGGCCGACGGCAACACCCGCATCCGGAAAGACAAATTCACAATCCCTGAGTCCAAGAAACATTTGAGCCCTAAACCGGAGGAAGTTGTAATCTTATCCGCATCTGACTTCTCCGATAAAAGTGGCTGGAGATGGCGTTTGCACGAGGAGGGTCTAAAAAACCGTGATGAGTACGCGAAAGCACATGGGTATCGCCATGTATTTATCAACTTTACAAAGTACGACGCCGCGAGATCGCATGTGGCTCACCCTTGTTGGCTTAAGTTGCCTGCTATTCAAGAGGTATTGTTCAAATACCCAGAGACGAAGTGGGTGTGGTGGCTAGACATGGATGCTATTATTTGGAATGGCTCGATAAAGCTAGAAGACCACATCCTTAACCCTGTGGCAATCGATCGCCGCTTCATGTATGACCTCGACATGACCGATATCGATCAACGCCATTACATGGGATCGCGCACGCCTAAGAAAGGCGAGTTTGATACCGAGCAGACCTCGTTTATTTTTTCGCCTGATTTGCAGAGTATTAATGCCGGTTCCTTTTTTGTCAAGAATACCCCGGCTACTAGAGCAATGCTAGAGTTTTGGGGTGATCCTGAATACATCTATAACGAAGACCATGAGAACAAGTTCGGCCTGAAAGAGCAGGATGCTTTCGTGAAACTCTACTTACGCCACAAAATGTTTAGGGACACGACTGCAATTGTTCCCCAAGCTGTTTTGAATAGCTATGGCCCCGACGACGACTTTCCCTCCAGAAAAGCAGAATGGGGTGACCTGGTTGTCCACTTCGCCGGCCGCTCCAGCTACGACGATTACCACGTTATTTGGGACAAGGTCTACAAAACCCGCATTTTGGGCAACGGTGAAAGGGCTGAACCCGACTATGAAATGCCCGACTGGTGACCATATGCATAACGTCTGAACACATCAAACGTTCCACCCCCTGTCTAATGTTATTAATATAATAAACAGAAACCCAGTTAGTGACTGTTCTGCTTGTAACTAGCTAGGTTTACTGCATTTTTCCTATACTTGCTATGGCATCTCAACCAAGGCTTGGCCCTTGGCCTTCCACCGGTAATCACAGTATGCAAACCACAAATTCTGGGCAAATCTTCGCCCCAGCACGCGTCCAATGACCGGACACAGAATAAAAAACACTGCATTTTCTAATTGACGAATGTTCTCATCCCAATGCTTTTGAGCATCGCTCAAATAGTCATCCTCAGCTCCGCTAGAGTAAACATCAGCAGTCCCTATTGAAACCACATCCTCCAGCGTCTCTTTGACAGCAGGGTCAACACTCAGCGCAGCTACTAGATCTTCAACAGGCTCCATTCAAGAACCCTCGGAAATCAGCTTGCCACTCGACGTCGTATGTCAGACCCCTGATTACAAAGTGGGACCAAACCGAGGGCAGGCCGTTCTTTTGTCAGTGACCCTGAAAAAATTATTTTCAAGCGGACTTGGACGGGCTTACGACGACTTTTCCAAAGGATTCCAATGGATAACGACGGTTCGTATCGAAAAGTTACTGAGGGCAGAGCGACCCTTTTGTATCCCGAAACCGAGGAGGTTTTTTACAACCCTATTCAGCAGTTCAACCGAGATATTAGTGTCTTGGGTATTAAAGCATGGACGTCGATTTACCGCCAGACCAAAAAGCGTAAGCGTGATGAAACCGGTAACGATGAGCCGTTCATCAACATTATTGAGGGGCTAGCTGCATCAGGACTGAGGTCATGTCGTTATGCCAAAGAGATTCCATTGATCAAAAAGGTCGTAGCGAATGATCTGTCTCCATCTGCTGTGGAAGCTATTAAAAGAAATGCAAAGTATAATGAGGTTCAGGACATTGTCGAGGCTCACCAGGGCGACGCAAATGCCGTGATGTGGCTTCACAAACAGACCCCAGTGCATGTCGTCGATCTGGATCCATATGGCACGGCTGCTCCGTTTATAGATGCAGCGTTACAGGCCGTGACAAACAACGGCATTATGCTCGTCACATGCACTGATTTAGCTGTGCTTGCTGGTAATTCTTATCCTGAAAAGTGCTTCAGTTTGTACGGTGGAACAACTGTGCGGAACGATGCGACTCATGAATCAGCTTTGAGGCTTTTACTGAACCTTGTGGCCACCACTGCAGCTCGCTATGGCAAGACTATTGAGCCTCTTTTGAGCTTATCGATCGACTACTATGTTCGCTGCTTCATCCAGGTCAAGAAATCACCTGTGGCAGTCAAGCAAAATATCGGCAAATCAAGCACTGTTTATACATGCACTGGTTGCAAAACTACCCATATACAGCCCCTGGGTAGTGTGAAAGAACAGAATGGAAATTTCAAGTTCGGATATGCCAAGGGCCCCGTGGTTGGCACCACCTGTGAGTTCTGTGAAAGCCCGCTCCACATCGCAGGACCATTATGGACTGGCCCCCTCCATTCAAAGGAGTATGTCTCCAAAATGCTAGAGCTGGTGGAGCTTTTGGATCAGAATATTTATCCCACCGCTCCAAGAATTAAAGGCATGCTCACCCTTGTCAACCAAGAAATCGAGACTCCCTTCTATGTGTCACCATCGAATATGTCCTCGATTGTTCGCGCGCCTGTTCCACCACTGCAAAAGTTTGTGAGTGCGATCTATAACGGTGGCTACAAGGCTTCACTTACACACGCGAAAGCAGGCTGCATAAAAACGGATGCACCCTACAGCTTCTTGTGGGACACTGTTAAAGCTTGGGCTAAGGAAACTGGCACTGGTAAGCCAAATCCCGACGCACCGGGCGCCAAAATCATGTCACAGCCTCCTCAACACGAGATTTCGTTCGAAATCAACGCTTCAGCAGAACACATCGAAACTCTGCGCAAGTCCAAACTTGTCCGTTTCCCAATGAATCCTCGACCGGAATGGGGGCCCATGTCCAAGCCGAATAATAAAAAGAAGGCTTCGTCAAATGAAATTGAGCTATGATGGGTTTAATAATAATAATATGTGAGCGAATGTGAAATAGGGTTATCATAAGCATAAAAGATGTACTCCTTGGAAGGAGTGAAATGAAAGAATCAAGAATAATACAACGACGTCATTCTTTGAGCTTGGACATGATTCGACGACCATAAGGTGAGCGGGTGTTTTTGAGTGCTGTTTGAACGGTTTCCACAAGCATTTCCCGAGATTCTCCATCACACGAATCAAGAGCTGTCTGAATGACGTAGTTTCCATAAGAGTCCAAAAGAAGAGTATGCAATGTTCGCGATTGGATGAGTTCGTGAACAAACTTCTCGGCTAGCTCCGGTGACGCCGCGCGGAGACACTTCTCCACTACATTCGACGAGAACTTCTGAACCGATAGCTCTGCGATCGACCCCAGCATCTGCTCACCAAGCGCGTTAGTGTATTCTGGGGTATTCAATGCAATAACGTACTGGCAAACATAGTTTCCGAACGGGTCACAAACCAATGTGCGAGTGTTCGCAACAATGTTGGAGACAAGCAGGTGACGATTTGTAGGGCTTGCATAGTCGATGCACCGTTGAAGAACACAGCATCCATGGCGATGGCTGCCCACATCTATGATGTTTCGGCACACGGCATTGTATATGAATTGAGAACCACTTTCGTCGAACTCAAGCAAAATCTTTTGAATAACATGGTTGCCATTGAGATCGCGGATGAGCTCGACAACAGAACCATCGAGCGCATTGACTACTAGCTGGACTTGAACGGGCAGCTTGAGAACCTCAATCGTGCGTTGCAGAGCCCTTGTGCCATGCTGATTTAAGGCGGTGGCTTTCATGCTAGGCGCAATGATCTCAAGTATTGACGTCAGCTGAGACTCGCTGCAATATTCAACTAACTTCTGGCAGAAATAGTTCCCAAACGGATCAGACATCAAAGACACCATGTGCTTGTAAGTAGCCTCGAAAATCTTGGTCACCAGAGCAGGATTATTCTCTTGAAGTCTTCGCTGCAGGAGCCTGCATCCACGCTGGTCCCGGCACAACGCATAAATCTCGGACAGGGAGAGCGATTCAATTTGCTTCTTGTCTTGCAGCTTTCCGGCGGTGCTTCCACTTCCGTTTGTAGAGTTGCTACTTGCCTGTCGAATAGGAGACTTGGTCTTGGTGCTAGGAGATGTCATAGCCTTACCACCACGGGACATGGAATCTGCGGACGATCGCCTTTTCAAGAAACCGTTCATATTTTCGCGAGATAGGGCGCCCAATTCGTCTGCATCATCTACTCTCGGTGGAGTGGTGGGCGAAGTTTCAGGAGCTCCAACACTGGTATTCACTTGAAGCGGCTCACGATGAAGTTCAGAGGTCATCGGCTGGGGAGGCGCTGGGAAGTTGTAATTAGCTTCTTGGCCAATTGGTCCAACCGAGGACGACAAAGGTTGGGAGAAGATCTGAGTCGAAGAACGGCTCAAGGAGAATGGGGATGCAAGGTAGTGGCCATTACCCACATTCGACGATGATGCGGACGAAACGGATAATAATGATGCTTGGGATGATCGAGTGGGCAATGGGGGCCTGGGCTGCATCGGTGCCTGCATTGCAGCTTGCGACGAGGCGGGCTGTTGAAGTAGTGGCCGATTCCAGCTATCATAAGTCTCTAGGAAATCAAATACACCTGAGGACAATGCTCGAGGTCGGTATGATGGTGCAGATGAGGACAATGCGTTATTAAAAGGGGACGACAATGCATTTCCGTCAATGGAGACTCGGCCCATAGCTGTAGCGACATCGTCTGGGGAGTAAGAATACGATCTTGTATGGCTCTTGTAGGGCGCCACCACTGCACTGCGATTATAACCGTGTGTGTATGGGGCAGCATAGCCATGATCCGATGTGCTACCTGCGGGGGTAGGCACGGTGGCCAGCATGTCTTCGGGCAACTGGAAAATCGGAGTTCCAGCTATTGCCGAATTGGGCTGCTGTAATTGAGATTTGATATTGGGAAAAAGTACACTTTGATGTTGAGAAGCGGAACATGGCGGAGTTACTGGTTCAGAATAACCGTAGCCGGATGGGTATTGGGGAGGGGTGCTATTGAGTTGATCAGCACTGATCGCCCGGGTGAGCGGAGTAGGAAATACAGTGGGCATTGACTGCCTACGACGGTGTCGAGCTTCTTCCATAGGCTCGTGGGGAGAGTTTGGTAGAATGGCTGTCAATCAGTATATTGGGGGTTTCAGGCAGAACCGCAAAGAAGTCTCGATTGCCGAAAATCTGTGGAAGATGACTGAACTCTGGTAAAATACAGGGTGAATTATCCTGTTAATGTTAAGAAAACGTACCAAGGAGGGAATTCAGGAGTTTAGATGAAAATACAACGGTTGAAAACTGTCCCTGAAGTTTAGGCGAGGTTGCAAAGGTCTGACAAGAGTCGATTTATACTCCTGACTGAAATTTCGGGAAATAACACAACTCGAGATGAAGCAATCCAAATATGTAAAAAAATTTGCTGTTCAGCTGGGAATCTGGCTTTATTTCAGGTCAACGTTGCAAAGTGAGGTTGCTACCGATGGCTCTGGCTTAGGTCAACGCCCGCTTAGTTTTTGATATCAGAGAGGACTTCATTCATGCAGCTTGCCGCTAGCGTAATCTTGCCACTGCGTCCACTTAAGTTAACCGATTCTTGGGCAAAGGAACACTAAATATGTTTGTAACCCATTTTCGAATGCTAAAACAAGTACGTGCTAGTGATAGAAGTGACAAGTTGTCTGAAAGGTTTTATGTAGGTGGTTAAAGTTCATTTGAAAGAAGGATTGACTCCCCTTGGATCTTTTTATGAACCAAGACACACTGCCCATATGAATTTTATGTCATGCGGGTTAGGTATGTCATGCACTTGCTAAGTGGAGAACCCCCAGAAAAGATGCGAGACCTCACGAAGTCTTGCGGCAAACTCAGTCATCTTAAAATTTCGTTAACAGATTGTTCAAAAAGTACTCTGCCATTCAGAAATACCTTCTTATCACCTAAAAAAGGCTGCTCTATAATTATGCAAATCACTCGGGTAACCCTGCCCTAATTTTATTCAAAATCTAAATCTTAGCTGCACAACAATAGGAAAGTCATCTTTGTGTTTGCAACTATTCAATACATTCGAAAGGCACGTTAACCTTATTCGTACAAGTAGCGCCTCAATGTCTCTGGTGGGCAGGCAATATGTGACGGGTGCTGTTTATTGTTTCTTTAAAAATGTTTCTGCATAAATAGCTCTAGAACGATTAACTATACTAGCTCAAAGCAAGCATTCTATCAAGTAGCTGGAGTACCCTTCGGTCCTCGGCAAGTGTACCAAGGGCTTTGTCACTTTTAGGCTGGGGGAGTATCTGGTGCGGGGGGCAGCTGCTTTCAATTTGTTTGGGCTCCAGCAAATTTACAGAGGGATGTATCCTCAACTCTTGTGTTTGCTGTTGTGTAATAGGAGATCCTTCAGTGCTTTGGAGGGGTGGGGTAAGTCGTGAAAGTAGGTCGTAAGGTGCGTGAAATTGTGAGCCCTGTATTTGCGTATTGGTGTCCATAGACTGTGTGGCTGCTTGCACAGCAGATTTCGTGGCTGGTGTGCTCTCTAAGGTTTTGTGTGGAGATTGCACGCGCCACTCGTCGTGTGGAGATTGCACGCGCCACTCGTCGGGTGGAGATAATGGTGCAGCCATGAACGAAGAGCCATAACTGTTTGCGCTTCCTTGAGGTATGCACGTGCCTACTTTCTCCTTATCATAGTCCTGTCCACCCTGATTCTCCTTCTTTAGTAGCTGTAGCTTAACCCCAGCAACAATACCCTGGAACTTGGGATCCATCGAGGGTTGCAACAGTCTTCCCATACGGACATCGCGTTTCGAGTAGTATCCGATCAGGTGTATTTTGTTGGACTTATCGTTCATAATGTTTGTGGCTTGTTTGCAAAGCCCATAGGGCTTGATTCGGCAGCCACTAGAGCCTACAGACTTTTTGATATTATCGAGCTCACGATAAACCAAAAAATGGCAGAGTACACGGGATGTCGACCAGAATTTACCGTCAGTCCATCTTCTGATACCGGTTTCTTGTTCGTCCCAGATGAAAATTGCTCCGCTAGTGATGTTGTCTCTCTCTGCAAGAGAGAGCCGGTCTTTGCGCTTGGGAATCAGCCCTTGCTTTGCTGCCTCAAAGAGAATCAAGCAGTCTAGTTGCGTCTGACAATAGCCAAAATAGGAATACATAGTCTGCGGGGAAACGGGGGGTGGGCATGTACAATACTAGGTAAATATATGCTGCGGAAGACGTCAGCGTTTGAAATGGCGCATGCACATGCTCGTTTGTGAATGCATTCTTACTCCCTCCCGCTACGTACTGCAGTGGCCCCTGCATGCAGAAGTAGACCACAGAATTTATCTTGGGTCATCGGGAGGTGGGTTAGGCCTGAAATATAACCAAAAAAACCTGGTATTTATGGACTATACCGTTATAACATCTACTACACATGGATATCGTCAAAATATGGCCCAGGCATTTCGCCGTTTACAGTGTACATATTGCGTCATAGCTGGTCCTATATCTTACTCTGCTGCGAAATCGAAATGATGCATGAAAACCTGCACCACGAGGCCCCTAACTCTATTAGTCCCTTGCAGAAGTCTGCAGAAGCACATATAGTAACGACTCGAACCAAACTTCTGGTAAACTCAACTGTAGGATATTATATAGATGTCCAGCCTTTCTAATATTCATCATTTTATTTTATCCGTAGAGTATTAGAATCTGCTGAAGGGCGGTTCTTCGAATAAGCAACAAGGCCTGGGCGACGTAGTTAAAACTCTAAGCGGTGCATGCAGAGTGCATCGCGATTTAAAGTTCCGGTCTAAAAAGAAAGTTTAGTGACGAAAACTGGCAACCTTCTGCATGCTAATCTTATTCTAGCATATCGATCGAGGCCCGTCATATATTTCAAACCTTGAAGTAAGGCGATGACGCACTGTAGCTGAAGTTGAAAACATATAATTTTCTGCTCGACTGATCTACCGAGGTCATTATTTAGTCAGACTACGAGAATATAATAACGGCAACCACGACCGAGTCGTGCACTTGTACTGCTCATCATCTGAATACTCTGAGGTCTGCGAGTCTTTGTATCGAAGTACAGAATCGCCAAGAAGCGATCTCAACAGGCCCACGCTCAAATTCCGTTAACGTTAGCCCGTGCTAAACTTGGATGAGGGCTAGGTTATGCGACCTTGCCTAAGCATACATCAAAGAATCAGCGTGCAGGCCAGAAACAAGCAAGAGAATACTGAGTTACTTTGAGCGAACGGGCTGTAATACGTCCGAGTAAAAGGGATTCTAAGCGCCGGGTTCTATACACCGCCGCTTTTATGCCCGTAGGCTGTGCCGGTCGAACTAAGGCGCACCAATCCGCACCCCGCTCCAACTTTGAGTGTTAATCAAAGCTAAATTCTCGCTGATCACCAGCCCGCGTAATTCTGAAAAATTGCGTGGAAATTGGTAGAGCCCGGACCGTTTTAGTCCGCATCCTCGTCTCGAGCTAGAGTGAGGTGGCAAATCGGTTTGCTCCTCATTATAACGAAAACAGTTGGATGAGGTCGCCGGGACGCATTTCACGGTGATTCACAGTCCTCTTACTTACGGCACCAGTATAATGGCCCATCCACTACATCGCAAGGAAGCCATGCACGAAAGGGCATATGCCCTTGACCTAGCCTTAGTCAGGCAGTAGCCGACTCAAACCCCCAGCTTGGCCCAACTGCGAAATGGGGAAAGAGAACTCTATCACTCTAAATGACAGGGAGCGGCAACTGCTGGCTTTGAAAGAATACGTCACGTCGCTTGCAGGAAATAACCCTAATGGTAAAATAGAGTTTGTGGGCGTTAATGTTGAAGGCACAGGTGCAGATAAAACTCGGCATCGACTACTGAAGGCGCACGCTCTTCCTTTGTTGGCTGCTACGACCGTCGATGAAGTGGTTGCAGCAGCGAATAGTGTACAGACAAGTTTGAACAGCTTGGATATTTATCAAGACGTCATGCTCTCGATTGACTCTCCCTGCCCGGGCCAACTTACGGCCTTGATCAACTTACCTTCCGCGAAACGTTTTTTGGCCCAGACAGGAACAAGCTTTGGCAACGGTGAAGGTTCAGGATATATTCGGTGTACTGCCAAAAATCATTTTGGATTGGGGGAGATTTTCACTGTGGATACCAGCGTGGGGACTCGAACAAAATCAGCCACCCTCTTTCAAGCCTCTGCTCCACTAGCCGGTGTTCTGCCGCTACGATGGCGAGCCGAATTATTGGCATATGGTGCTGAAAAATCTGTTGATTGGGCGTCGCATAGAGAACAAGTTAGAGGCGCTACAATTAGAATTACAAGCCCCAAACATACATTTGGGTTGGACTATGTCCTCCGATCTCTTTATGCATCAAAGGTCCGACCCAGTGCAACAGTTCGTTCTCAGGCTGGTCATGCCACAAAATACTCGGCGTTTTACAACTGGAACTATGATTCCCGCAACAATGCATTCCTGCCAACGTCGGGCGCACTGGTAAAGGTGTGTAACGAGGTGGCAGCGGGCGATTATCCGTACTTGAAGACCTGTGTCGATTTCGTTCGTGGTTTCAGAATCTCGGAAAAGATTAGCATGTCAATTTCCGGCCGTTGTGGTGGCTTGGTTCCACTTAATGGCCAGTCGCACATCTCCGATAGGTTCTTCCTAGGTGGTCCCCTCGACGTGCGAGGATTCAGAATCAGTCGATTGGGCAGAAATGACGAAGGTGATGCTGTCGGTGGAGACGCGGTTATGGCTGGTGGCCTTAGTCTGTACGCCCCTGTTCCCCGTGTCTCGTCGCCAAACTTGAGATTACATGCATTCATCAACGGTGGCTCTGTCCGGCCTTACGGTCAAGGAGTCTTGCAAACTTTCTCCAATATGCTGTCTACTCCTCCATCAATTGCTACAGGTTTTGGTCTGCTCTATGCGCATCCTGCTGCACGTTTCGAGTTGAATCTTACTTTCCCCTTGACGTCACATGCTGGTGAGCAATCTCACAAGGGACTTCAATTCGGCGTCGGCCTCTCGTTTTTGTAATTTAACGATATAAAGAACCAAGTTATAGTACGCTATGGACTTGAAACCTCGCTTTTCTGCAAGCTCTCAACCAGCTGCCTGAGCTCCTCGTTCTCACGACGCATCTTGTCAAGCTTCTCTCTTAGGGGCTGTAACTCCTGGACCTTGCTGTCAATATAATCCGAGTGGCGATGGATAACTTTCGGGATGAATACAGACTCAATTTCGACGGCATCGTCGATTTGATCTTGGCTCAGCCGCACTGGGACGGCATCTTTCTCGGTAACGAACACAACCTCATGCTTTCTGGTCTGCAGCAGATTGCCAATAACTAATTGGTGCCCGTAGCGTTGCAATGCTTGGCGGCACTTGGAGAGCAGTAGTTTCTCATCAGTCTCAAGTTTGAATGAAATGATCATGGCGCCAGGGATCCAAGTTTCAACGAGACGACGTAAGAATTTGGGCACTGGGTCCAGATCGATAACAAGTTTCCCTGTTCCAGTACTTTGGATCTTGTGCTCGGCAATGCGGGAGGACGGAACGAAAAAGTCCGAAACAGCAGCCGCCAGGTAGAATAGAACTTTGGAGGGCTCCGCAGGTTTCAGCTCTCGAGCTAGCAATCTCAGAGTGTACAGGTATTGATTGACCGTGGTGAAAGGTACTAAAAGCAAGAGACCCTTGTCTTTGGCATGGCGGTACTTTTTCAAAGTCTCAGCCATATTTTTCTGGTAGGTTTCTCTCACAACAACCTTTCCGTTTTCATCTTCTTCCATAAAATCAAGAAAACAGTTGGTTGTGTGAGAGTAATGGCGAGAATACGGCAGCAAAGAGAACTCACGGTGCAAGAAAATGACCGCGTACCCGTTTTCGAGGAATTGCTCCGTAGAAGTGGCACCACGAGTGCCAGCGCTAAAGTTGTCAATGAAACGCACTGTATTGTTTTCAAGTGGAACAGTCGTGCCACCACTGGTCACAACGGCAATGCGCCGTTTACCGTTATGACGATTGACAAATTCGTCCACCTGCTGCTCGATCTTTGGCAGGTACTCCGGCGGTTTGGTATGCTCAAAGTACTCAGATTCTGAAATGATATCTGCAGGCGGTTGAATTGGCAAATGGCGATCAAGCGCCGTAGCCCTGTCTGGCTCGTTTGTTCGAATAAAGCCAGGCATTGAATATCTGCTGACCAAACTGTGGGGGGGGCTGAGTTGAGAGATGGTTGTGACAGTGTTTTTGGATTTTGGGCTGAAAGGAGACGAATCGCCCATTGGTCGAGTAATATTGGAGCTGAACCAGTCAACACCGAAAGCAGCGGAAAATTTCCGCCAGTTCTGCACAGGCGAATTTCGTCCAAATGGGCTTCCAGTTGGATACAAAGGCTGCAAAATACTAGACGTCTCCGATGGATTGATCCGCACCGGCGATTTTATGTATAATAACGGAACCGGCTCACAATCGATCTATGGTTCGGCATATTTCCCATCAGAGGACCTGACGATGCCAGTAGTGAAGCACTCTCTTGTGATGTGGAATCAAGGCAGTCCCAACACTGACGGGTGCCAATTCTTGCTAACTACAAAGGATATGCCAGAAATGAATGGCAAGTACCAAGTGGTTGGCAAAATTGTCCAGGGGGGTTCTGTTGTAGATAAGCTACGTCGTTATTCGGACTACAGTCGGCTCTGTATTCTGGAATCCGGTGAAATGTAACTCAGTCTTCATATTTAAACCATCGTTTGAGGTTTCGATTGTCGCGCTCGAGTGTGCCTCCAAACCTTGCCGAATCCCAGTTGATCATTGAAACCGAGAGGTCTAATGTGTGAACCATGAACGTGCTTTCGATAGCTCCATTTGCAACATTATGCGAGTGTACTGTTTGCAAGGACATCATACAGTTAGCCTGGACTAGTTGCTTTGCCTCGGCTACAGATAAATGCCGCGGAATAAACGGTTGTTGGAGCCACATTGACAAAGGTATTCCCTCAACGTACTCCAGCAGCAGTCCTAGCTGGCGTCTACAATTGCCACGAAAGGGATCGGAAGTTACTGGAGCATACAAGTATGGCAATGTTCGGCCTTGAAGCGTGGAGAGCCATTTAGTGTATACATCCAAGACCTTGAGCCACGTCTGAACATTGGCGAAAGTTTTGAGAACCATCCTCGTACCGTCGATACTCACCAACTGAGACGATGTACCATATTTCTGCAAATACATGATTTCGACATTGTCATGTAAAAGGTCAATCAGTCCTTCAGGTGTTGGGCCGTCTTTCAGAAGGCGAACTTCTATGAGGGGTTTCTGCCTACTCATTGAGACAGGTCCAAACTCGAATCGCGGGTATAAGCTGGCTTCTGGACCCTTCAAGCACTCCACAAACCTACCGAGTTCTCTTCTCATGCTCAATTCTTCTTGGGTTCTAGTGCTATTATTCCCAAACATCAATTGAATCAATAAGGCGGACCTAATGGTCGGGTCAACTGATTCATGGTGCACGCTCTTGACAACGAGAATAACCTTTCCATCATGTTTGTGCAACGAATAGAAAATCCAGTGCGTATAGTCTGTTATTGCAAACTTTGCTAGTCCCAGATCAACCGCCAACTCAACGAGGCTCGAAGTTAGGTTTCCAACCAATGTAGACTCTACGAGCTCAAACTCGTTGCAAAACTGATCAGTTGGTTGTGTGCAAAAAATCTGGTAACGCTTTTTCTCCTTTGAGATAATGTGCATGCACAGGCTGTCGGACAAAGGCTCACGGGAAACAGTCGCGCCAGCAAAGTCGGCTACTATTCTAGAGGCATTTATATAAACAGCAAGATCGACTTCAGAAAGTAACGAAAAGGCACAATTGAAGCTTGTGGTCTCGTAATTGTTGGTTTCAACTGGTATTAGGAACTGATTTTCTGTAGTGTCAAACAATACCTCATCAAAGACCTTTGTTATATATTTTGTTCGGTGTGCTTTGAGAGACTGTCTCTTCGAAGGCGAAATAGACGCTCGAGGAAGTGGATCGTTCATGGGTAAACCTATGGCCATCTGATCTGAACTAAACTTTCGAAAAATTACCCAATGCGGCACATAAAATAAAAAAATCACTGCTCATCTGCTTTTGGTTGATCCTCTTCTTTTCGGTAAGTCCTAATTGCTTTGTGACGGGCTTTTGACTGCTCAATCTTCTCATTAAGAATGTCCTTTATCATTTCAGCCTTGGCGGCCTTTTGAAGGCTCTTCTTCTTCTGGCCCCGCTTCTTGGAGACGCCACCCTGTTTTGGTCGTGGTACTTCCACTTCATCGTTTTGACGGGCACTCATTTCTGCAAGCTTTTCCAACACCATCGTCCGGCCACTGGTTCGCTCTTTATCAACAATCTCCTCAGCCTCTGGACTCGGTGCTCTTCTCGAGGCTCTAGTGTTTTTGGGGTTTTCTTGTTAGCTATTCGAGTCCATTGACGAGCCAGACTACTATAGATCGACTCGGTTAAAACTTACTCTTTGCCATTTTTGCCAAACTTGAAGCGGAGTTAGATAATATTTTTTTTTGGGCGCGGAGGAAAAGCATCGCACATGGCAATTAACCGATCTGCAGCATCAGCCAGCTGTATATGTTTTGTTCAGACCAAATCTATGCGAACTGTCTCAAACCTCGCAAGTTTCACAGCAACATTATATAGTTTCGACTAGAGCTAATTTAGTTGTTGCGGCAACCGCGCAGTCCAAACTGCACTTTGTGGATTACTAACGAAAAAAGTCCTAGCAGTTTGGCAACCAGACTTTGTATTTAAGCTTTTCGACGCCACGAGATTGAGTGGTATGCGGCCATTTCTGGCAGTTATTGGTACATTAGCACTTGCAGGAAATTTAGTTTTAGCATCGAAAAGCGTCTGGCTGAGCACTGCTTTTTCTGCCCTGGTAGTGTCCTTGATGTTTGGTGACACTTTCCGTGGCGGCGTGGATATGGCTTCAGCCTCAATGAGATTTCTTTACAACAAGGCCAGTCGTTTCGGGCTGTCCTCCTTCTCGGAGGAAGAGCTCAGTGACGAAGAAAAGCGACGCAATATCATGAGATTCAAGGGAACCCATGTGGGGGGTCTTTACAATGAGGGAAATACCTGCTTCATCAACAGTGTTGTCCAGTCTTTAGCATCCTGTGAGACTATCAACAGCTTTGTTAACGAGGGCAGTGCGACTTCGGGGAACTTCTCCACAGAGCTTGCCAAGTTGGTGCATGACCTCAATCGAATTCGTACAACAAGCCACAGCTACAGCACCGGTAGACTTATGCAGAATATCGGTGGCTCTAATCGGTGGGCGCGTCTCGACCAAGAGGATGCCCAAGAGTTTTTCCAACAGCTGCTCGTGGCGCTTGAAAAAGATTGGAAGTCCCGCCAGCCAGCACCCGCAGAGGCACCTGATAGCGAAAAGAAAGAGAAGGGCCCCGAACAACAGATTACTCCCTTCGATGGCCACTTTGCTGTTCGAGTAGGCTGTCTGACTTGCGGAGATATGGAGGGTATTCGCACAGGTATTCTATCTTCCGTTGATATCAGTTTGGACTTGGATGAATCAGAGTCAACACTCGAGAGTCTGCTTGAAAACTACTGCCACATGGAAACTATTCCAGATGTCGAATGCTATCGGTGTAGTTTGATCAATTTCAAGGCGAAACTTGAGGAGAAAATCGCCGAAACTCCTAATAGCCCTATCTCGTCTATTCTGAAGACGCGTGTAAACGAAGTTGTCGAAACTTTGAAAGAAAAAGTCATTGATGAGAAGCGATACGCAACTCTCAAGCCGAATACGCATAAGGTGCTAAGTGACAAGACCAAACAGACCATGTTCGCGGCCCCCATGGCAGATATTCTTATGGTGCATATAAACCGGTCTGTCTTCGATATGCGAACAGGGTTCAGTCGCAAAAACTATGCGCCAGTTAAGTTCCCTGCTCAATTAGACATGTCCCAATTTGTTGCTGATCCAAAGGACTTGGACAACCAAAACCCGGCAAACCCCATGCACGGAACCCCCGAGAACCCCGAATGGTACGACCTCAAGGCCACGGTTATTCACTACGGCTCAGCCAATTTTGGTCACTATGTGTGTTTCCGTAAATTCAATGGGTTCTGGTGGCGGATCAGTGACGATACCGTCGATCTTACCACCGAGACCCAGGTGCTCAATGCACAGGGTGTATTTATGTTGTTTTACGAAAAGCGTGCTGCCACTCCCTGCCGACAAGCTTCGGTTGCTATCGAAGATGAAGGACTGCAACTAGTGGACACATCAGCTGAGACCACCGTCAAGCTGCAAGAACCCGAGCCGGAGAACGAGCAAGCAATGGCTTCTATTGACGAGCCCCGCTTGTGAAAAAATTAAGTTTTGTTGCACTCTACGTATCACTAATATAGCAGTCAACTGTCCAAGTTTTGGGACTGTAATTTCAAAGGAGTCCATAATAAGGCTTGAGGGTTTACCTTGAGGAGGTCTTTAGAGCGCCACGTTTTTAGCCGGTGGTGGAGTTCCGTGATGTTTACAGATATCTGGCCGTTTTTAAACCAACCCAAAGTCTCAAGCGAATAAATAACGTCGTCAGTGGTCATGCCCGTACGCATGCTCAACTCTTGGATAGATATCTTGCGGGTTTTCTCCGCATGAATCAGCTCAAGCTCTTCACAAATATGTAAAGTCCAAAATTTTGTATATGCCTTTGCCCCAAGTTCACTCAATGGCTTCTCGGGTGTTCCTGTCGTGTGCTGGGCTCTGGTCAAAAAGTACGACAATGAAATCAGGAACTGGCCAAACCCTTTCTGCTGTAACCCAGGAAGCGTAACGATGCAAGAAACATTGTTGGCTTTGTCCTTTGCAGGAAAGTCCGAGCTGATTTTCAGTTTCGAGAAATAGCCAATAAAATGACAGCCAGTCTCGTCGACGGACGTGAGCACATAAAACAAAAACGGCTCCACATCGTAGTACAATGCCTTGGAGTCCAAAAACAGTTTGGCCATCAGGCACAATCTCTGACAGTAAAGAGGAGCATGGGCACCGTCAATTTCAAAGACAGAGTAGCCCGAATCACGATAGATCTCAGTTCCAGGAGGTGCCCTTCCGGGACACTTTAGCGAATGGCGATGGGCCACGAAATCGGATTTCATGTACTTGAGACACATATCGCACACACTGATGTACGACCGCTTAGTATACTCCTCGGGGTAGGGTGCAGTATACCAGGTGGGTATTGATCTTCCGCTGATGTGCAGCCTTGTGATCCGCGAAACGCTCTGCGTACGTTCTGGGTCGTATTCTGTAGCAATTGGTTCCGCAACCTTGCTGAACCGGTTGAACAGGTACCTTTCCGTCGCGGTCGGAATACCCAGCGACACGTTAGCGTCTTTCTCGGCAAAAAGGCCACAAAACGGGGGTTCCGTATCCCCGTATTTGCGTGGTACCAGTGTTCCTGCTGCCAATTGCAGTCTGTTGATATCTGGCACCGGCGTGGGCTCATTGCGAGTTGATTCAAGCCAACTGCGGCCATTAACGTGGGTGTCTTGGGGTGATTCATGCGAAGAGAAGAACTCGTCGTCGCTGCTCGAATCGCTGTTCACAAGATCACTCCGTGATATCGATATTTTCGGTGCGTCTACCCTCTCTTCCCTCAGGTTGGCTCTTTCGTTCGCGTAACTGCCACCTCCACCGCGTTTTGGCGGCCGGCCCTTCCGCTTACGCGCCATAAAGGACCAGATGACAAAGAACCTCCCATTAAATAGCCCCGGAGATTTCACACCAGTATAAGGAGGGATGGCATGGTCAAAGTCCTTGGCAAAGCTTTTTTCTCCGCTTGGTCGAGTTGCTAAAGACACGTCTACAGCAGAACTGCTGTCTACACACGGGTTTGTGTCTCAAGCCGGGTCTGGAATATACGATCTGCTACCACTGGGATTGAAGATCCAGCACAACATTGAGGGAATTGTTCGCAGGCATCTTAATGCCTGTGGATCGAACGAACTCGCCTTGGGAAGCCAAGTCAATCCTGCCATATGGAGAAGGTCTGGGCGTCTTGAGGACCCTCCCTCGCCGGAACTGCAATTTACAGAGAACCGAAAGCATCTGCTGAACCCGACGGGCGAAGAGCAAATAACTACGCTGGTTGGTAATGTTTCTTACCGGCAGCTTCCGTTGAGTTTCTATCAAATTACAAGAAAGTACAGAAACGAGCTACGACCGCGTGGGGGGCTTTTACGCACCAGGGAGTTTCTCATGCAAGATCTGTATACGTTCGATGAAACCCGAGAAGGTGCCTATACAGCGTACGCCAACGTGCAGGAAGCATACCATGGGATTTTCAAAGAAATCGGAGTTCCATATGTTGTGGTTGAAGCCGAAAATGGTACTATGGGTGGTGACCTCTCGCATGAGTTCCATTTCCTAGCCGAGCAAGGTGAAGATCACATTCTACACTGCAAATCTTGTGGAAATAATGACCAAGTCGAGAAAGTTGGCGTCCTCGATAGCTGCAGAAAGTGTGGCGGGGAGCTGTCCACGGTTAATGGTATCGAGGTCGGTCATACTTTTTATTTGGGAACTCGCTATTCGCAACCACTACAAGCTAGTGTCACCCACAGCGACGGCACGAGCTCGCCCTTGGAAATGGGCTGCTATGGAATTGGTGTGAGCAGACTGATTTCAGCGATTGCCGAGGTCAGCAGAGACGAGCACGGTCTTTGTTGGCCCCGAAGCGTCGCGGCGGCCCAGGTCTGTGTTGTTTCAAAGGACCTGTCTTTGGCCGCCGAGCTTTCTGACCAGCTTGCCCGTGCTGGCATTGACTCTGTATATGATGATCGGACCCCCCAGCTCGGATATGCTCTTCGAGTAGCCCGAGAGATGGGCTGGCCGTACGTGCTGGTTGCTGGTCGCAACTACGAGAAAACGGGCGAGCTGGAGCTCCAAGACCGCCAAACAGGCGAGGTCGTCAAGACCACGCGCGAGTCTTTTATCGATTTGCTTGTACATAAGGTTCTATCTTGACTATATCAGGGAAAAGGTAACCAAGTTCTAATTACGATACCCCACACGAATAGGGTAAGACGTACGCTTAAAATCATCATCACATTAAGACGTTTCATAAGGTATCATTTTGATTGTCATTTTGTGGCTTCGTTAGAAAAAAAGCAACTTTCAGTTTTCGGGCTGCTTGCCAATCACTCCGGGCACGTTGTTGGAGGGGGGGCACCAAAAAACCGGGTCTTCGAGTATCGTCCTTCACTGAAAAGCGTGCTCGAAAGCCCGGGGCCAGCGGAAGAATTCCAAGTGTGCAGATCAGTGGCCGATGCAGTGCGCTGAGGAACTGCCGCTGAGCCGGGGCTAACATTGGTAGCTGCGGCACGGAAAATCGCGGAAGGATAGTCGAAGCGGCTAAGTGCGGGCTTGGAAATTGTCAGTCCAAGAGTCTCGTGGACTGTGTAGTGTAATTGCATCTGTCCACAAAGAGTCTGGATTGTGCGGGTTTGAGCCGGGCTGAGTGAAGGGGCGAGCGATAGCTCAAGACGGGACGAGCACGCCTGGAACAGCAGCAGCGAGGAGTAAATTTCCAGAGTTTCAGGGTCATTGAAATCTGGCCGGCCAGGAGAACGGGGTGAGCGGTGTGAGGCCGCCGTCGCCGCCGCCGCCGCCGCCGCCACAACATCTTGACCTTGGCCCGTTAAAGAAGCTGCAGCTGCCACGGGAGAGTTTGAACGCGACACATGCTGCTCTTCGAGCTGGCCTCTACGCTCCCGTTTTTCTCTTTCGATGCGTTCGCGTTCTTGAGCAGGAAGCATTTTCTTGTACTCGACTCTGAGCTTGCGGCCACCAATCTCTCGTCCATTGAGGCTAGAAATAACGGCCGCGGTTTCCTCGGCGCTCGAGAAATTGGCAAAAGCAAGCCCTCTAAATACACCATTATCGAAATGGTAGTTGAAGGCGTACGGAAGGGGCAGGCCGAGCTGGGTCATGACCTCGATAAGCTGCTCTTTTTTGATGGCAAAAGGTATATTCTTCACAACAATGGCCGTCAGAATCAAATCGTCGTCGGCTACCGTACTTGCTGTGGACGCATTGGGGGAGCTAGCCGTGCTGCTCTGGCTAGAAACTCTGTTGGCGGGCGTCGCTGTCAAAGGAGACACCGAAAAGCCCGGAGCCGAGCTGATGGAAGCGACGCTCGCCGAACGAGAAGCGAGACCAGAGCCAGCGCCAGGCAGTATGCCACCCATCGACGAGACCTGAGATGGCTGGCGGCTCCACATGGAGCTTCCAGAAAGGCTGGGTGCGGCGGAGGCGGGAGCGGGCGTGACGGCCTGTTCGTCAACAGAATAGCCCCAAATGTTCGTGGGGTATCCAGCCAAGGGGTAATTCCGCGGTTGTTGTTCTTCTGGCATAAGACTTTGTACAAGTGCCATTTACAATTTTCAGACGTGTTGGTCAAATCACCAAGCTATCGGGACAGGAATCTCTACAAAGGAACCTGTGTGTAATGCAGTGTCAACCTATTAGCGCCCTCCTATTACTGCTTAGGGTTAGGGCCCTGCCTGAGGGTGCCGAAAATTCAATTTATAGCAAAAAAAAATAATAGCGGGCAAACACCCGATCTGCGATTTCCAGGCATGTGCTAAGGCGCGCGGCGGTTGGCAGAGGGATGGCTCTTGGGGTGCTACATTGAGGTTTTGTGGTCAACACGACTTTTTTTTGTCAAGATTCGTCGATTGAGTCTTTCTGCGGTCATCCGCAGCCAATGCATTATTTTTTTTTGGCCTTTCAGAGTGGCGGTAGCAAGCGCTACGGTCACTAGCTCTGAGCCAATCTTGCCACATTACTGGATCGGACAGTCCTTGGGTCGAGATCTGCTTGACTAATGCTGGGGCAGTTGAAGAGGCTGTTTTCAACCACCGCCAGCAGGCTCGCTTTGCCGCAGGGTGTACCGGTTGCCGGTCACTTGAGGCTGCCGCGAAGCCTTGTAGCTGTATCTGGCCCCGATAGCAGCAAGTTCCTCAACGGTCTTTTGACGATCAGGCCTCCGGATGCGCCCGAGGGGGTCTCAACTGGAAAGTACGGGGCAATGCTCAACTCCAAAGGCCGAGTTGTGTTTGACAGTTTTATTTATCCTGCGCACGGCAGCCCACTGCTTGCTGAATCGCTTCCAGGTGTGGATGTGGCGAATTGTTATCTGTTGGAAGTCGACACTGAGCTAGCAGATCGAGCCTTGCGGGTGTTCAATTTCTACAAACTGCAATCTAAAATCACCGTCAGTCTGGCCGCGAACCTAGGCGTGTGGTTTGCATGGAATGACGAAGCGGATCTCGATCTAGGTTCCGTCGGTGAGACTATCAACAACTGTCGTCTATCGACGTTGGACGAGCGGGCTCCCGGACTAGGAGCCAGAGCAATTGCCACCGTGGACCCCTTTGAAAACGTTGGTTCCTCGGTTCAGTTGGACGTTTATCGCCTGCGTCGGTACCTGTTTGGTGTTCCCGAGGGTTCTGCTGAGATTGTTCCCGACAAGGCTTTACCCTTAGAATACTGCATGGATTACATGGGCGGCGTTGAATTCGACAAGGGCTGCTATGTTGGTCAGGAATTGACCATCCGCACACACCATCATGGGGTTGTTCGAAAACGAGTTGCTCCGTTAGTGTTCACTGAGCCCGGAGAGGCAATCCCAGAAGATCTGTACATACCTCATGAAATGCAGGTTGGCCCTGGCGACGAAATATTTGACGCGAAACCTCTGCCCAACGCGGATGCATTAGGTACGACCCCATACACCATGCCTAGCCCTGCATCTCAATCTGCATCTGATTCCATCAGCCCATTTAAGGGAAGTTCCCCTTTCCCTTTACGCGCGGGTGCACGGCCTGCAGGTAAGGTCATCTGCACGCTTGGAAATGTCGGGCTCGGCACCATACGAATCGACAAGCTAGGCCATGACTTTAAGATTGGTGACATTTCGGTGACCGGTCTGACCCCGTATTGGTGGCCTGAGTCTGCTACAGAGTAGGTTCAGGCGATGCAGGGCACGTTGATCTTTATTCACGATGAGCGAATAACCCGAGAATTCTGCAGTGGTAAGGGTTTAAATTGGAACGGTTCTGTCATGCCGGCTTGACGTGTCTATGGGACAGCAAATGCGACATTAAAAACTAGACTTTTCACTCTCTTTTGTTATTCCGAATGCAGTCCTTCTTTATTTTCGCACTCCTTTCGCTTATTTCTGCCAGCGAGGCCGTCGCCGTCCACTATTGTCCTTTGCCTGCACCCACAACTGAGGCTGCGGTTTCGACGAACCATGGAACTCATGTTCTTCCGCCGAGCAACAAGCCAGCTACACGTGGCCACTCCGGCAGCGAGTGTAAGCATGGTAAGTGTTCTGTAGTTTCAGTGCCTGGTTCGGTCGCTCCCGCTGGCTCTGGCTCTGTCGCTCCTGTTGGCTCTGGCTCTGTCGCTCCTGTTGGTTCTGGCACCGTCGCTCCTGTTGGTTCTGGCACCGTCGCTCCTGTTGGTTCCGGCTCTGTCCCTCCTGTCGGCTCTGGCTCTGGCTCTGTCGCTTCTGTTGGCTCTGGCTCTGTCGCTCCTGTTGGCTCTGGCACCGTCGCTCCCGTTGGCTCTGGCACCGTCGCTCCTGTTGGTTCCGGCTCTGTCGCTCCTGTTGGTTCCGGCTCTGTCGCTCCTGTTGGCTCTGGCACCGTCGCTCCCGTTGGTTCTGGCACTGTCTCGACCTCCGACCATGCCACTACCTCCCTCTTTGCCACTGGCTCTATCCCTGGCGCTCCCTCCGCCTCTCACCGTGCCTCCGTCTCTAGCTCCGCTAATGCCGCTGGCTCTGTCGATGCCACTGGCTCAGGTGTATCTTCTGCCCCCGCCTCTAGCTCCGCCAGTGCCGCTGGTTCCGTCGATGCCACTGGCTCCGGTGTATCCTCTGCAAGTGCTACTTCATCGGCTTCCACCGCTTCTGTCAGCTCGAAATCAGCTTCGAAGACCTCTTCTAGCTTCCAATCAGTTTCGAAGAGCTCTTCTAGCACTGTAACCAGCGCTCCCAGTGTTGTTACTAGTGCCCCCGCTCCTCCTGCGTCCACCACCCAAGCTCTCGACGCCTTTGCCCAATCGATGTTGAGTTACCACAACGATGTGCGTGCGATTCATCAAGTTGGTCCCCTGGAGTGGGATCAGACTCTTGCTGATTTTGCCGCGCAGGCGATTGCCAATGATGCTCCCACCTGCAACTTCGAGCATACCGGTGGCCCTTACGGTGAAAACATCGCTATTGGCTACGGCGATGTTTACAAGGGCATGCACGTCTGGTACGCTGAAGGCACCAAGTACAACTACTCGGACCCTCACTTCTCCGGCGAGACTGGCCACTTCACCCAGATGGTCTGGAAGAGCTCCCAAAAGCTTGGTTGTGCCCACGGTCAATGCGCCAATAACGGCCCCCTGCTTGTTTTCTGCGAGTACGACCCCCGTGGCAACATCTATCAGTCGATGGGTGACAATGTTTTCCCTCCCAAATAAGGCCGTGGAAACATGTAAATTATCCGGAATTCTCGCTTTATTCAAAATGGTAAATCTTTTCGTATGCACTGCACCCAGAGCATGCAAGATTACCTCCCCGTATAGGCTCCAGTTTACTTAATTTGCTCCCAGTGGGAAATCTCGGTTTTGAGTAGTAGAGTGCTCTGTGTATGCAGGCAAAGTGTTCCAACGCAATTCTAATTACCTGTCTGTAGATGGATTCGGGCCATATAACACCAATCCCTGATGGAGTTCAGTAAATGTCGCCCGCTCAGAACCCGTCAATCAGAACAGTCATATTCACGTGCATGACTGCCATATAAATTTTCAGGGCAGGGGCGCAGTATAGTCATACTCTCGACATAATTATGACTGAAAGTCCAGCACCAATGTTCGGCCCTGACGGGAATTACCGCGTGCCCACTGCCGTGGTGGAAGGTGAAGATGTTCGTATTCTGGGGTACGACCCATTAGTGGCACCTGCGTTGCTGCAGAACGAGATCCCCCTCACAGCCGCCAGCAACGCAGTTGTTAGCGCCGGCCGGAAAAAGTCCATCCAGGTCATCAAGCAGGCCTCAGACAAGGTTCTTGTTGTGGTTGGGCCCTGCTCGATCCATGACCCAGAGGCTGCTTTGGATTATGCCCGCCGCCTCAAGGTGCTCTCCGACGAGCTGAGCGACGAGCTTGTGATCATTATGCGTGCTTACCTGGAAAAGCCTCGCACCACTGTTGGCTGGAAGGGTCTGATCAATGACCCAGACCTCGACAATTCCTTCCAAATTAACAAGGGTCTCCGAGTTTCCCGGAAGCTGTATGCCGATCTCACCGCACTCGGCCTGCCTATTGCGGCCGAGATGCTCGATACGATCTCGCCCCAGTACATCGCTGATCTGCTGTCTCTGGGTGCGATTGGCGCCCGCACAACCGAGTCCCAGCTGCACCGCGAGCTTTCGTCGGGCCTGTCCTTCCCCATCGGTTTCAAAAATGGCACTGACGGGTCCATCACTGTTGCGGTTGACGCTGTCAAGGCGGCCTCCTTCCCGCATCGCTTCATGGGTGTCACCAAGCAGGGCATTGTGGCCATTACTGCTACCAAGGGCAACGAGCACTGCTTTGTGATTCTCCGCGGCTCCAACAAGGGCACAAACTATGACGCAGAGTCGGTTGCCGACGTCAAAAAGCAGCTCGAGGGCACCAACATCCACCTGATGGTCGACTGCTCTCACGGCAACTCCAAGAAAGACTACCGCAACCAGCCGCAGGTTTTGTCTGCTGTTGCCGATCAGATCGCCAAGGGTGAGCGCGAGATCATCGGCGTCATGATCGAGTCCAACATCAACGAGGGCGCCCAAAAATGCTCGTCGGGCCCCGACGGTCTCAAGTACGGTGTGTCGATCACCGACTCTTGTGTTAATTTCGAAACTACCGAGAAGATGCTGCGCGAGCTGGCCGATGCAGTCAAGACCCGCCGCACTCTCTAAATTGCAAATATAATTACGCTCAATATACATTCTCTTTGTCCCCAACGGCTACTCGCTTGCGCTGGCCAGACAGCTGCATCCTGCACATCCTGACAACTTCTCCCAACCCATGGCGGGTCCATCAGTAGCCGCTGCCACGTGTGGGAGGGAAAGTCATAATATCGGTCGGTCAGTCGACGAGAGCAAATGAAGCGAATTCACACAAATCTATGTGGTTTTATAAATTAAGCGGTAGCATGATAAAGTGTACACGGGGTGAGGGATGGGCTCAAACAGGATGCGGCTAACAGAGTTTTTTCTGGGGGAAATAAAGACTGTTCAAACATGACCACAGCTTTTTCAAAGCATTGCGGTGACGCTGTTGAAAACAGCCACCATGTCCAGGTAATAAAAAATAGTTTGCAGCGTATAGCCGTGGTGGACGCACATCCAGTTGAGTTCTTTCCGCAGAGCAGGGACGGTCACGCGATTCATAACAGAGTCTGCCAGCAACTGCTGGACCTCTCCCTCGCCATATCGCAGCCCATATCCTTTGCGATCAAGGAGAGTCGAGAGTCGTCGCTTGTGTTCTGCCACCCACTGGGGTACTTGTGAAACATCTGTCAAAGGTGAGAGTTGGAGGCGGTCGATATCATGGAAGAAGTCATAGGTTGCTAGATCCGCCATGTCCGGATTAATCTGCTCGCTTTCGACTGGCCCAACCCTTTTATATACTGGCTATGGGCTATGCATGCGTATCTCGCATGAGCTTCGCCGAAGTCAACCTCCTCACCCCGCCCTGCATATCCCCGCAGCAGTTGTCCCAATCCCCACGTCATATGCGCTCAAGACATCTGACCATCCCTACGGTAGCAACCGTGAAAAAAATCAGAAAACCGCCGTGAAAAAAATGTACCGGGCTGTTGGAGCTAGAAGCTTGGTGGCAACAAAAGTTCCGCTCTAAAATATGGCTGTTGTCAACTACTTCCCCTCAGTCTTCCCCTCAAACAGATGCACTGCTGCAAAAACTTATTAAGGTCTGTAAACTTATGGTGTTGGTGAGTAGGCATGTAAAAACATAACAAGGAAAAAATACCTTTAAATACGACTGTCGTGGACCGGACTAGAAGGACCGGTTTTATTGAATTCCGAAATATACTTTTCTTTTTGGCCTACGGCCAAGACCGCAATCTGCGTCCGCTCCAAGACTTTGCCCTTCCAAGACTGTTCACGTGGTGCCACCATATTGAGCCTTTAGTCACATGCCCACTTCATAGCGGTATACATTAGCGGTGCTTCCCGCATTTGCAGAGCTTTAAGCTCAAGGGTTTTGCTCTTATTTAAAAAATAAACTGGATACATCCGCGTAGTGTTCAGCTCCATATAGACCGTACATTTCTAATTGACACTACGCTTCATCTGTCAGTGCGAGAGGGGGCGGCTCGTATTAGGAAGCTGAAGCATATCCCCTTGCATTGCTCATGCCTTGTTGATTCAGTAACGGGTTGGCCTGGACGACCGTGGAGCTATGGACTTGGTTTAGATTAGTTGTACTCAACCGGCTTAATTGTAGTAACTATTCGATCCATTCGTCGAAATATTCTAGCGACCTACCTACTGTACCCTGTATTCCCGGGTATGTTGATTCTTGCTCGTCCGATTAGGGTTCCCGAGTAAGCACTTCCCTCAATGTACGGGCAGCTCAACTAGCGAAAGCGCCTATAAGTTCACGGCACAATCCAGGGTCACGAGGTACTGAATTTACTAAAACGGGAAAAACGGCTCACACTTTCGGAGCCGTACCTCGGGGAAGCTCCGACACCAATGCCAAGTTGCTTGTTACTGACGGTGGCGTGGTTGGTTTAAAATAGCTAAGTTTTGTTTCATTTAGTCGGCTAGGGACCCCGTTCGGCCTCAGCAGTGCCCAACCAATTCCAAACCCGACTCTGATCTTGATTCAAACCAGGTCCCAGCTGATAGATGACTCACGTTCAATGAATGTTCACATTATAGATGTAGACAGCGGAAATATCCGCAGTTTGCAGAACGCTATTCACAGTCTGGGATACCAGGTTGTACTGGTCCGGAACCTCGACGAAGCAGCAGCCCTTGAAGACGCAGAAAAGGTCCTTCTTCCTGGTGTGGGCAACTTTGGGCACTTTATGGATCAGGTCCACCTCAAGCAGCTGGCTGATCCCATCAAAAAGTACATCAACAGCGGCCGCCCGATCATGGGGATTTGTGTGGGTTTGCAGGCTCTGTTTGAGGGTTCCGTGGAAAGCCCTACATCCCAGGGACTGGCCATTTTAAAGGGCACGGTTGACAGGTTCTCGTCGACCACCAAATCTGTCCCGCACATTGGCTGGAACGGAGTCAAAGTCTCCCTGCCCACTAGACTGTATTCTATCGATCCAACGGAAAAATACTATTTTGTGCACACATATGCCCGACTGGTGAGCGAGGCCGACGTCGAAAAAGAGTTCCCTGGCTGGGACTATGCATTGGGCCGCTATGAAGACGAGACTTTCATTGCAGCGTTAGCCAAAGACAATCTGTTTTTCACGCAATTTCATCCAGAAAAGAGTGGACGGGCTGGCTTGAACGTTATTGATGCATTCTTGTCTGGAAACCGTACAGATGGCGTTGCAGTTGATAACTCTCTGTCAACGGGGTTAACTAAACGAGTAATTGCCTGCTTGGACGTGCGTACCAATGATCAAGGTGATATTGTGGTTACCAAGGGAGACCAGTACGATGTGCGTGATAAAGGTGATAAAGGTTCTGTGCGTAATCTCGGTAAGCCTGTAGAGGTTGCTGAAAAGTACTATCAACAAGGTGCCGACGAGGTGACTTTTCTGAATATTACCTCGTTCAGAAACTCACCTATTCAGGATTTGCCCATGCTTGAGATTCTCCGCGTCGCCTCCAAATCAGTCTTTGTACCTTTTACAATCGGCGGTGGCATCAGAGATACTTATGACCCTGCTACTGATCGAATGGTTCCTGCCCTAGAGGTCGCCCACCTGTACTTCAGATCCGGCGCAGACAAGGTTTCTATTGGAAGCGATGCTGTGGATTCGGCCGAAAAGTTCTATCGCGACGGGTCTGACGGGTCTTCTCCTATCGAGACCATTTCTAAAGCATACGGTGCGCAGGCTGTGGTGGTTTCTGTTGATCCTAAACGGGTGTACGTCTCGAAGCCTTCGGAAACACGTCACCATACGTTCAAAACACAATTCCCGGGCCCAAATGGCGAGGAGTACGTTTGGTACCAGTGCACAACCAAGGGCGGTCGTGAAGACCGCGATCTTGGAGCTTACGAGCTTGCTCAAGCCGTCGAGAAACTGGGCGCTGGTGAGCTCTTGTTGAACTGCATTGACAAGGACGGCACCAACTCAGGCTTCGATTTGGAATTGGTCCGTGATATCAAGTCTGCCGTTCGCATCCCCGTCATCGCGTCATCAGGTGCTGGTAAGCCCGAACACTTTTACGAGGTGTTTGAAAACACCACCACCGATGCAGCGCTTGGTGCAGGCATGTTCCACCGCGACGAATACACTGTTGGTCAGGTCAAGGAATACTTGAGTTCACGCGGCCTGGTCGTTAGATAGAATCAGTGCATAAAAAATTAAACTACATAATAATACCTGGTGGTTTTACGCAACAGCAGCAATCACACTGAACTGGCCGCCAGCACCAGCCCAGCACATATTGACTCCTGTGGTAGCAGTGTTTTTAATCCGAGTGGGCACAGGCTCGTCCTCGGGGCTGTCTTCACCAGCGGGCTTACCATGTCCTAGTTGGTACACGTCACCGAAACCCCATGTCCAAGTGCTTCCGTCTTCTTTGGAAATTGCCAGAGAATGGTCGGTTCCGGCAGCAATAAACTTGAATCTCGGTAGATCAACTGGCTCTTCTTCAAATGCACCCTTGGTCAACTTCATGGGAGTAGTAATATAAGAGGGAGTACCGTCCTTTTCGCGTACAGTATCAGCCGGCAAGTTGTCATAAGGAACGCCGAGCTGGTGGAAGTTGGTTTCGCCGACCGTCCAGACCTCCCCGTCCTCAGTGAGCCAAACAGTGTGGTGGCTTCCGCTAGCGATCTGAGTGATGTGCTTGGAGGTAAAAAATTCAACCTCGGTGGGCTTTTCGATCATAGCACCAGCTCCAACGCCTTCGCTGATTCCTAATTGGCCAAAGTTGTTGAGGCCCCATGCCCAGACTTTCCCGTTCTTGTCGATGGCAAACGACTGGTAGTCACCGGCCGAGATGTAAACAATGTCCTTAACGCCAGGAACCTTAAAAGGTCCGAATGTATGCGTGCGAAGGTTCGGGTTGACCTTGACACCGAGCTGATGGCTCTGGCCAGTTCCCCAAGCCCAAACTTTACCGTTCTTGTCGAGGATAAGAATATGGTCCTTACCACCAGCCAGGGCGACAGCGCCGCGGACATTCGGCACAAGCCAGGGCTCACGCTGGTACTTGACACCGGGGCGGAAGCATTTGCGGCCATCGTCGGTGAACGTGCCCCAAGCCCACACCCGTCCGTCAGCGGTGACAGCAGCAGAGACGTTGTCAGTGGCACCAACGGCTACAAACACTGTGTTTTCACTCAAACCTTCGACACGCTTAGGGGTAGACTCTTTCGCATTCAGATCGTTGTCCTCGTCAATCTCGTCATCCTGCTCCTTTGAAAGACGACCCAACGCACCACCGTCATTCTGGCCCCACGACCAAACATGGCCATTGACGTCGATTCCAATCGTATGAGCACCACCGCAAGCAAGCTGCACGATTCCGACTTCGTTGGGAGGAAGCAAGGGGTTCAAGCGGGGCCGCTTCACTTCAGTGACCCGCGGACCCAGTCCGAGCTCACAAATCGTGCCCGAACCAAACATGTAAACACTGAGCGGTTTCGTGCTCTGGGCAGGGATTCTATTCAAGGATGCACGGGTCTTTTTAGCTGGCGTATCTCTTTGAGCTGCGCTTCTTTTCATCGTTGCAAAAGAGGGGTTTCTTCACACCAACGGTTGTTTTTTGTCGCGGTTGAGGAACAGACGTTGTCGACAGGAGAGAAACTGAGCTTTGTAGGGTATACCCTTACCCTGACACCCAAGCGATCCGAGCGGAAAACTTAAGTTGAGAAGAAATAAAAAAAATTAGCTAAGACGGATTTGATTTTTTTTCAGAAAGAATTTTTTAGGATACCAAGATGCCGAAAGCCAAAGTACTGAAGAAACAAAGACACGATCCTCTGCATGTCGATATTGAAGAGGGGTCGGGCCATTTGCGCAAAACCGCAAGGAACAAGCGCGATAACCGGGCTGTAGACGCAGAGGACGAGGACAATGAAGAAGCCTACATCAACTCAAAGACGACCCGTAAAATTCTGGATCTAGCTCGCGATCAGCAGAACGAAATTGAGGAGGAGGAAAACGAAAGCACCAAACTGGCCAGATCAGTCTTCGCATCCGACTATCGTCAAACCGAGGGCGACGAGAACACTTGGGAGGACGAAAGCGAGGAAGATGAGGATGCCGACTACGAGGAATACGAAGAATTCGAGGAGTTTGAGGTTGATGCCGAAGAAGAGAGCATTTTCCAGCGCTACGTTGACGAGCAGAACGGCGGCGAGCCTATAAATTTGGCGGATAAGATTCTTGCCAAGGTCCACGAGTTTGAAATGAAACAGCAGGGCCTTCAGCCCGAGCCTCAAGCCGGCGTCATGCTTCCTCCTAAAGTTATCCAGGTCTATACCCAAGTGGGTGAACTGCTTTCACGTTTCCGCAGCGGCAGACTCCCGCGTGCTTTCAAGATCATTCCTACCCTCAAGAACTGGAGGGATATTCTTTACGTTACACAGCCCGAGACCTGGTCCAATCAGGCGATTTACGAGGGAACCAAGCTTTTTGTGTCCAATTTGCAGTCCAATCAAGCCCAGGCCTATGTTAATGAAATCCTGCTCGAGCGTTTCCGAGACCAAGTCGCCAGTGACAAAACCGTCAACTACCACGTTTATCGCTCGTTGAAAAAGTCCTTATACAAGCCTGCTGCATTTTTCAAAGGCTTCCTCTTCCCGTTAGTTGAGAGTGGCACTTGTACTCTTCGAGAGGCTATCATTGCCAGCTCAGTGGTTGCCCGAGTCTCGGTGCCTGCGTTGCACTCGGCAGCTGCTCTTTTGCATTTGGCTGAGATGGACTACTCAGGCCCCAATTCGCTGTTCATCAAAGTCCTGCTCGACAAAAAGTATGCCCTTCCTTACAAGGTCGTTGATGCAATGGTGTTCCACTTTGTACGATTCCGGGATAATGAAAATGCTCTGCCAGTCATCTGGCATCAGTCTTTACTCACATTTGCTCAAAGATACAAAAACGATATCACTGACGATCAGCGTGATGCTTTGATTGCAGTCGTCCGTTTACAGAGCCATCCTTCCATTTCCCCTGAAATCCGCAGAGAGCTGCTGGCCGGCCATCCGCGCGAAAGCGAGATGAAAGAGTAGAAATCCTCTTTTTTATTAGAAAATCATTTATCAAAAATAATCTAGGCTCTAATTTTATCGAAACGAATAAATAATGACGAGAACACATAGTCCTCACCCTGGTAGTCCTGTAGCGGCAGATGCCGATAGCCTTGGTTCATGCGAGCCACTTTGGCAGTGTAGGTTGCGAACGCGAAATCGGCCGTGGCCACAGAGAACCTTAAACAGGCAAACTCGAGATCCCTCTCATCTAGCACAACTTCACACTCGTAGTTCCAAGTCGGGTTGAAGCCGTTATCAAAGACCTCTGGAGTTTTCCAATGGGGAACTAAATCGTCGCCCAGCCCATAAACTTCCAAGGTAACATATGGTGAGAGAATGTCGTCTGCTTTGAGCTCTCTAGGCCTTGGCAATTGCTGAGCAGAGATGATCTCGATTGAGAGCTTGATTCGACCTGAAGGAACTGGGATTGGGAAAGGATTGGGTCGCATCCATTCTGGCTTCAGCACGTAGCCAACTTTTGATGAATGGAAGGCATGATTGATCTGCATTCCAATGTCATTCTTTTGCCAGTTCAAAGCCACCATCTGCACGCCCAGCCTCCAAAATGGAATGGGATTGAAGTTTTTGGAAGTGATTTTAAACATAGAAGGATACACTCTTGTGAGATACTTTTTGTTGTGTTTCGACAATTGCTGTAAAAACTCAGGGTCGCGAATTTTCGACTTGAGATTCTTCTCTGAAAACGAAAAGCAGTGCGTCACCGATTTGGATTGGGGCAGACTGAAATTTCTGAACCTGATGGCACTCAAGTAGACGCCCAGCTCTGCCAAAGCCGGAATCACCTTCGAAACCGGTTTCGACTTTTTGATTGCGATCAGCGATCGTGTCACAACCATGCCCTCATCGCTCGCGTCATAGGTCGAGGACGAGTTCGAGTTCGAGGACGAAAACGAGTCGAAAGGATTTTCTTTGATCGAAGACTTGACTTTTATCAAAATCTTGTGCTTTAGCTCGTCAGGAGACGGCAGTGAAAACTGGCTGGGGTAGATCTGTTGGGTTATCAGCGAGTCGCCCAAAATATTTTTCAAACTTGATACCATTTTAGTCTGGTTTGTTTCATTGCAATGAACTTCGAGAGATAAAATCAATGGGTAGGGAGAAGAAATAAATGCGTACTTCAACACAGCGTAAATAACATCGTTGAAATCGATTGAACCAGTGAGCCTTGCTATTGAGTTACCGTGGTAAACAATAGGTCCACTCACACCATCCCAACAATCAATTTCCAAGCAACGGCAACCATCCTGCAACGCTCTGATATAGGATTCGACGGAAGACCCGTCAGCGACTTGTCTCCCCACGAGGTAGGTATTGTGAGATGAGGAAATCCAGTACTCGCTAAGCGGCCGAGATAAATCCCGGTTCTCTTCAGCGGTAGCTGGAAAGTACTGAGATGTGGCGAGCAATTGAGCAAATTCGTCGGGACCAATCAAATTTGTGCCGGAGGGGGAAAACTTCTTAAAAACTCTTTCGATATTTTCATCAGACCATGCCTGCTTTTGGACATCTAACATGAATCGATTGAATTCGTTTAACGACAGAGTTCCACTGGGAGCCAGAGCTTTGAAAATTTCCAGAATGTCTGTTCTACGCTTTAAAAGTCGGACAAACTCTTGGAATTCATCAAAATTCAACCATTCTGATTTGTCTGTATCTGCTTCATTGAAAAGTTTGCGAATGTACTGTTTTGAGCAGTGAATATGTAGCTGTTTGCTGAGCTTTTCAACGTTCTCAAAGTTCAGCTTCCGGTCATCGCCATTAGATTTGGTCCAGTACACATCAACAAACCTTGGGCCAGCTTGAGCAAGACCGCTCATAACTTCGCGTCTAAAAGCTACCAATTGCACCAGGCAATTAATCAGTGTGTCGAACTCTTTTTGGGTTGCAATAACCAGATGCAATGCTCGGAGTTTGGTCTCACCCCGTCTCTGATGAATGATAGTTGCCCACCTGTTGGCCAATTCCGAACTCACTTTGAACTCTTCACGATAGTTTCGAGCATCCTCACCGGCGTATATCTCACAGATCCGGTCCAATGACAGTTGTGATGAGGGCTTGTTGTTCCAGGACAAGACACCGGTTTTTTCATCCAGTGTCAAAACTCGCTGAACTTTTTTCTTGTGCGTAACTCTCAAAAACGTGATTCCTTGGATCATTGACTCTGGGATAACAATTTGGTTCGGAGTCGAGAGCTGTCCGGTCTCGGCACTTAATCTCGACATACCCGAGTTCCTTCGCACGGTAAGTGGTCCTGAGGTACTTTGAAGCGGATCCATATTTGAAGACGAGCCTAAGGGCCATATTCTTTGGACCTTTGACGACACTCTCTGCAACAACAGGCTCGGGATCAGACTCGGTGACGAAACGTGGTGCTGGCCAGCAGACCATTTTCTGATCACAGGGTCCGGGGGATCAAGCTGAAAATCAGCAACATTTGCAGGCAGCGCCAAATCGTTCAGGTCCGAAACACTCGGTGAAGACCGTGACGAGTACGACTGTGCGGCATCAAGCTGGTGGCGCAAATCCCTTATTTCCTCTTCGAGCGACTCGATTCGGGTCGAGTATGTTTCCTCTAGATCCTTCTTGAGTTTATCTATCCTCGACTGAAATAATTTCTCGAATTGTTCAAGGACATTCGCGTCCATAGTGACGTCCTCGACGGTGAGATCAAAAAACACACTATAGTTGGGAGAGATAACTAACCTGCCTAAGTGAAATTTTGAAGGAGATGAGATCCCGGGGAAAACTGAGCAGGGTAGCTAGGGGCAAAAAAGAAATAAACATTATTCTACATCAATAGTCGGCAGCAGCAGAGGGCCCTACTTCGTTATAGTCTTGTCTTGAGAGAAACAGGTTTTCAAAGCCAGATGTGAAGGTTTGCTTGGCACCGATCTGGGCGCCCAAAAAGCCTGCGGTGTCCCATCCTTTGGGTTTCCATTCAGGGAAGTGGTCGGCCATTTTTGCGAGCCGGATGGTGGTAGGCACCTGTGTGAGATAGTCCGAATCAGAAGGCGTCTGACGGCCCATAGTGGCTGCATCATTAGGAATAGGCTCGGGCATAAGAGGCGGCCGGGAAACCAAAAACTCTTCTTCTAAGCGGGCCAGCAACTTGACTTTGAAGCCAGGGACCGCTGAACCCCGTCCGGTGATAATAACATGCTCCCATGCTTGCTGCTGAGCTCGCGGCTTGAGGTCAGCATGCACTAGAGCAACTGTGTCAATAATACTAGCAATCAGCTTATGGCCAATGTTGAATCGCTCGCGTCCGACAGTGTGCTCGACGCCGTCTCTGTCGGTGAACGTGTTTTGGTCAAGATCCGCGTTGGCCTTTTTCTCGGGCACCTGGCCCTTCAATTCGCGTTCGCGCTGTTCCAGAATCTCTCTTGTGCGGCCTGAGGAAACAATTGCTGCGACGTCGATGACGCCCTCATCTTCCTCGCCTTTTCCACGCACCTCCGCTTCAGCCTGCTCGGCCAAAGTGGTATCGCCCAAGAGGGTCTCTACAATACCAGACAGCTTGAGATCCTCGACTTGGGTTTCACTCAGATCGGGAAGAAGCTGTGACAAGCGTGTATTAATACTGTTACCGCCCAATGGAGCAATTCTGGACGCGTGCAGGTTGACTTCAGAATCGACCACCGCCGAAATCTCAGTTTTCTCGAAGCCAACATCAATTACAAGAGCATTGGCCGTGGCATACGCATAAGCATTTGTCACTCCACTCATGCACACCGACAGAGCGGGAACACCGACCTCCTCAAACAGATATCTCGTGAGCCCTTCGAGTTGGCGACGGTTCCAGGCGACGCTTGATACAAGATACAGAGCAGGAGGCAAAACAGCATCTGCACGCACAGCAGACTTATAAACCGACTTGAGGAAGAAGTGGAAAGCAGCTTCGTCGGCAATCTCGCCCTGTTTGAGGGGCCAAACCGCTTGGTCCTCGCTACCGGTTGTCGCGAACCGAGAGCCATCACGATACACCTTGGTCTGGGTCTCGAGGAGCGCAGGCACCAGCGACTCTGCCAATCCCATCTGGGCTTGCGTCGTCAGGGACCCTGGCGAAATAACCAGAATCTGATGGTCGCGAAACACCAAACTCATTACAAGTGATGTTGGATGGATGATCTAATCAGTCCTGAAATGTCCCGCGAGATTCTGAAGCAGGCTTTAAGGTAGCCCTAACCCATATAGTATAGACAGACGAGCGTGTATTTTTGACTATGAAGGTCTAGCTGGGGGTAGACCAAGGTATGTTAGTTGCGCTAATTGACGTGGTCGACGACTCAAGGCTCGAGTTTGGTCTCCAGAGTAGACTCAGTTTTCACCTCGATTAGCGGCTCAGATTTTACATTGATGCCGTTCTCTAAATCACTGAGATCAGCAGCAAATAGCACAGAATGGGCCCATCCAGCATATTCTCCCCAGAGATCCTGAAAGTACCGCTGAATCGCCTGGTGCCCTTTTGGATTGTTTTTGGCACTCAGCCTGTAATCGCGAGTGGCTATTTGCCAAACATGCGTGTCTACTGGCACACAATTGTGCTTATCCAGACTCATTAAGCATACACAGTCGGCTACTTTTGGGCCAACTCCTGAAAATGCCAAGAGGGCAGTGTGAGCGTCCGTATATGTCTCGTCACGAAGCCCTTGCAGATAGTCGAGCCCAGCAGGCATATCACACACCATTTTTGCCGTGATGTTAATGTACTTGGCGCGGTATCCGAATCCTAGACTGCGAAGTTTCTCTTCAACACTATCTGCTGCCAATGCCTCCGGTGCCGGGAAGTCGTGGTACTCGTGCCCGTCTACTGTGGCAATATACGGTCCGAACTCCCGACACAGGCTTTCCACCATTTTTGAAATGCGTTTGATGTTGTTGTTGGAGCTGCAAATAAATGAACAGAGATTCTCCCAGGGATCTTGTCGGAGAATGCGGATACCCGCCAGGTGGCCGTGGAACCTCTTGTCCTTGGCCCACTCGCCATAAAGCTTCACCAGATCAACGTGGAGGTTGAAATAGTCCTTGATCAATTGTTCGTCCGAGAGTCCCGGTTGGCCAGGGCCCACGCTCGTGTAGTACAGTGCCTTTTCCTCCTGCCTGAGCATCAGAACCCGGTTTTTGAGCCCTATACTCCACACACCATTTATAAACCGCCACCGAAACGACTGTCCGCACCTCAAAACATGCGGAAGTGCTACTTGGCTCTTGTCAATAAGCAGTTTGTGCCAGTCGTAACCCATAATCAGTAAGCGCTCTTTGACAGGTATTTATACAAAATAAGATCTCTAGCGCTAGTCTTCTATCGGCCACAACAATAAACCCGACAGGATATGCTTGTTCACATACCCCCCCAATTTAGGCTAATTATCAATTAAGGCACCGTCGCGTGCATACGTCCTGCTTTGTAAAGACTGTCGTATCAAGGCTGCGGGTAATTAATTTCGCGGTTTTGTCCATTTCACAATCGTGCGCCTTCAAAGAGTATCAGTCACTAGACCGTCGCGAATAAAAAAGCCTTCTTTCATCATTTCGTCGACGGTCATGGGTCCAGTGGATGGCAGCATACGCCGTGGCCAGCTCGTTCTGACGGCGGCGCAAGTCTTCGGGTCGAGCGACAATGAAGAATACGGTTTGCCAGACATCAAAAGGCCTCATATGGAGGGTAGAAACGCGTCCCTACCAGCGCCATACTTGGCAAATACCAGCATTGTGAATTCTGCCCTACCGATCAGCTCTTTGACTAGCTCTCAAGTCCCATGGTCATCTTCGCCGTCCTGGCACAATTACTCGGCTTTCCAGTTGAATCGGGGCTACCATACGTCTGCTCAACCTGGGCCTGAGGTTAAGCTTGAGAAGAGCATCTATTTTATGAATGGCGGGAACATCGCACACGACGATATAGCACCCCAGGAGCCCTTGGCTGAGGAAAAAATTCAATTCGATATCACAGACACTCTGAGCTCACAGATTCGGGCTCAGCAGCGTGATAAGGAAGCCGAACTGGGCGAGATAGTTGAGGATAACGATGAGGCGCTCCCTGAAGTCTTATCAAACGTTTCTCCTCGTGAAATCTTTCTCTCAGAGGAACAAAAGTACGTGCTCGACCTGGTTGTGCGGCAGCGTCAGAGCATCTTTTTCACTGGTGCTGCAGGCACGGGAAAGTCCGTTTTGTTGCGTCGAATCATCTCTGACCTACGCCGAAAAGCTCGCGACCCATCGAAGGTCGCGGTCACAGCATCTACCGGCATTGCAGCTTTTAATATTGGGGGATCAACTCTGCATAGGTTCGCTGGTATTGGTCTAGGAAAAGATGATCCAGAGGCTCTGCTTAAAAAGGTCAGGTATAATCGTCAAGCAAAGATGCGTTGGAAGTCTATCAATACGCTAATTATTGACGAGATCTCGATGATTCAGGCCGATCTTTTGGACAAACTAGACTTTATTGCTCGTAAAATACGTCAAGTCCCCGACAAGCCATTTGGGGGTATTCAAATGGTATTCACAGGCGACTTTTTCCAACTGCCGCCGGTTATTCAGGGCGGCGACGAAAATACCAAAACCTTTGCATTTGACGCTGAATGCTGGAAACCATGTGTCCAGCGTACTATTGTTCTGAAGCAGGTCTTCAGACAAAAAGATACCCGCTTCTCATCAATGCTTGACGAAATGCGTCGTGGCGTGTTATCTCCAGAGACAATTGCAACCTTCAAGTCTTTAGACAGACCTCCAAGGGTTCCACCTGGTGTGATGCCAACCCAACTGTTCCCCAGAAGATTTGAAGTTGAACGCGCTAATGAAAATGCCCTCAAATCCCTTGGTGGAGTGTGCCGAGTATACGACTGTGTCGACGAGTACAACGAGGACTTCCCTTTCAAAGTCAAGCTTGATGATTTACTGGTTCCTCCTCAAATAAAGCTCAAGGTCGGAGCCCAGGTCATGATGCTAAAAAACGTGGACTCGAAGCTTGTCAATGGCTCAGTTGGCAAAGTTCTGGGGTTCATGAACGAATCAACCTATGCAATGTATCAAGAGACTGAGCTGGAAGGTCTCGATGAAGAAGACTCTATTGACATGTTTGATGCTTCAGTAATGGGGGCTGATCACAATGGCAACAACTCAGACACGGTGCTCAAACGCAAGCGCGCCAAAGCGCATTATTTAAACCAAATGTCCAACACAGGTGAAGGAAGAACGCTGCCGCTAGTCGAGTTTAGAAATCTTGACGGCACATCGCGTACCGTTCTGGTCACCCCTGAGGTTTGGACAGTCGAAGATGCTGAGGGCCACTGGATGGCCCGTCGAACTCAGGTCCCTCTTATTCTAGCATGGGCTTTATCGATCCACAAAAGCCAGGGCCAGACGTTGGAGTATGCCCAAGTTGACTTGGGTAATATCTTTGAGCGTGGTCAGGCCTACGTTGCGCTGTCCCGTGTAACCAGTTTGGATGGCCTGCAAGTCAAAAGGTTCAACCCGCATAAAGTAACGGTTCATGAGAGAGTGCTTGAGTTTTATGATAGCCTTGAAGAAGTACAAATCGGTGGTCGGCAAATGACCATGTTTGAAGCATTCAGACCTCGGCCAGATCCAGAAGTCGACCACATGCAAGAGATCGCCAAAGACTCAGACGAAGCTATAGAATCTCTTCGGGCTTATATGAATCGTCCAGAAATACCACTGACTGAACTTGGAGACTCGATATCAGACGACTCGGACTTTGATGTCGACAAACTCCATGCAACAGCCGGCAAATCTAAACAAACCTCAGTTAGAGATAATTCGCTGCTATAAGATTTAAACTGAAAAAGCTACAACCTCTGTCTCCAGTGACTCCATGTCCAAAAGCACCAGTTGACCTGTTGATGCGAAATCAGGGACAGTTAAGAGGCGAGTGCCCAAAGCCATTTTCGATGCGTAAAAGGGTTGGTTACCTGCGAAACAGACGTGGGCAGCATGTTGGACAACAAAAGGATCATTGTCCACAAACGGATATGAACAAAGTGTATCTGGGGCTGTTGGGCACAAATGTCGCCATTCTAAAGTTTTCTGCAACAGCTCAATCGCTTCTGATTCGTTATAGCGACATAGATCTGAAACGGGCTGCCCCGACGATCCCAGCAACTTGACTCCGTCAATGTCCAGCATCAAAGGATTAGTTTCAAGCACCAGGGCTCCAGATTTTATAAGATCTGCTGAAGCGGCAAACAGGCCCTTATGCAACGGCTGCTGAGGCAGGGCGATATCTGTGGGATCGCCCTCACCGGGCATGAGGTGTACCGGCATTGACAGCGCTAGTGATCTAATGTACTCACCCAAAGCCTGGACAGCAGACGCATCTGTTTGTGGCCGTTGAACTCGTGAGCCAATCAGTTCGGCCGGTGGAGCAGCAATAACCCCTCCAGCGACTACCAACCGGCAAATATTAGAGGCAGGACCAGCGGCTGTGGCATCACCAAACTGCCCAGACAAGAAATCAACGAGTAGCTGGTACTTTGGGGACTCTTGGATCTTATTATCGAGTAACAGACCTGACACAAGGGCAATTTTTTTCCCTGAAACCCCCGACGGAATGGCCGGGGGAGGAATTATACCCGCGGCACGAACGTCTTCAACCACAAACAAACCGTCGGAGTTTTCTGCTCCTAATATAGCAACGACGCAGCCAGTGACAAGCTGAGAAAGATGCAGGGCATTACCAGCAATTGCCATACGTCCGTGCTCGTCTTCGATATAGAACAGATCTTGCGGGGTTGTGTACTTTTCCGCGTGTTCAGGAGTAATGCCGTGGTTGATTTTGACCAGATCGTCAATAATGTTGGGTTTGTTTTTCATTTCCCGGTAGATTGTGCCCACAACCCACACTTTCTTGTTAGGCACCACGTCCAAAACCCGGTCGGCGTGCGGGGAGTCCCAATCAACCGCCTCAGAAACCGCCTGTTTGAGCATTTGAAGACGCATATAGTAAAAGTTCGCGTACTGCTGGTTATAGCTCGGGCTCACCGCGAACGCGTCACTCTCATGGCTTTCCGACAGAGCTCTCATGATGCATAATCACCTTGCAGGTGAAATGTTATATGGGGAGATTAAAAAGTGTAGTAACTAGTTAGACGGAGCGCCAATTGCCCATCCGATACCTCCGACGAGCAACTTTTGCAGGTGGTCTCTTTTGCGAGTTTTCTGTTGGCCGGCAGCAGGCTCACGCTGGACAGTCTGCGGCTGGATTTCTGTCTCGAGATTCTCCCACACGCGAGCGACGGTACTGATATCGGATTTCGGGCATATTTGGAGACACTTGACAATCAAGGACTTTTGCTTTGCTGCCACATCGGCGGGACGCGAATCCCAAAGGGGGGACATGAACTTTGCTGCTTGCAAGTACGATAGCCAGGCGTTCGGGCCCTCGAGACCCTGACACAAACTGTATGCGGTTGAAAAGTCCGCGCTAGCAAGACTGGCATTGATACAAGCTTCCTTGACCTGTTCGGTCAAGTCTTCTTTGGCAAATTCGTTGGCTAGTCGGACCAGCTCACTTACACGGTTGTACGCATCTGGATTGACTTTCAGTGCGCGTCTTATTATATCCATTGGAGCCAAGTGCACAGCTAGAGCGGGATCAACTCCGAAACTGGAATGTGCTAGTCTTAGTGCTGCGAACTGCTTCTTTGTGGACGCCAGAGCGCCTGTTGGCACAACATCTAGAGCGGCTAAAACCGTTGAAAACTCTGGACGCTCCAAGCCTCCTTCTTTGAATGCAGCAACGATATTCGCAGCTTCTGCTTGAATCACCTCGGGACTCTCAAGCTTGTGCGTCTGCAAGAAGGTGTATTTGCCCTTCCGCAGAGCACCAATTAGCATATCGTTATCGATCTCTTGTTCAGTCAGCTTACTGAAGATTGTCCGCCGTAACACCAGCAGATCATCGACAATGCTACTCCATCGGTCGTTTTGTTTGAGATAAAAATTGTAAATACCTCTTTGTACTTCGTTGGTAGCAAACGACCACTGCGCTAAGACCTCGAACGACGGAGGACAAAGGGTTCCAAGGATGCGAGCTGCACTAGCTAGATCCCCAAGAAAGCTTATTGATTGAGCAGTAGGCTCATAAATAGTTTCCAAAGATAAAGGTGTCTCTGAGGTAGGTTTCAAATGAACAATGATATCTTTCACTGCACGCCATTCGCGACTGGACGCCAGGTAACACAAACGCAGGAGGGTCGGAGTAAGAGCATGAATAGAGGCCAACGATTTAATGTAGTTCAGAGGTTTGTCCATGATCCATTTCTGCAGTAAATCAAGTCGATCATGGAAGGTAAGATAAGGTAAAATAAGAAAGCTGACATCCCTGCTCAGCGTACTAACAGAGGAGTGTTTTAGTATGGTTTCAACCATTGACTCGACGGTGGCAGCCTCAAAAGCCTCTAAGCTCATGTGCACACTGTGATATTTCCGGTAAAGCTTCAGCACGTAGGCAGCTCCAGCATACCAATTAGTTTTTATGGGCCAATCCAAATTCGACCAGACGCGGTCGCTTTGTCGGACCCTCACACGCGTAAAGCAGTCCCTCAAATCTCCATTGTGGTTCTCTGGCACCCACCCTACTGACTTGGTCTCTTTGAGCACGTACTCTCCGAGATCGGTCTCTATTGGCGTCCCAGCCGTCGAAGTCTCGGGCATTTCAAAGAGCCTGGATACGTATTTCTCCGGCTCAACGGTCTCTGGGAGCAAAGCAACAACCAAAGACCATGGGCTTCCGGGCTCATACGGCGTGGTATACGAGTACTTGCCCAAAAGCTCCTCAACCGCCAACGTATCTTCACCAGACATCCTGGGGAAAGTAGTAAGCAACTGGCAAAATGGTCAAGAGCGATGAAGAAGCAATAAGACATATGATGACGGCAGACGGCACGTTCCAGAGTCTAAGAAGCGCGATATTCGATGGCCAGGAGTGGCTGGCGACAGGGGAGTTTGAGGATCTGCTTCGCCAGCTTGAACTGCAGAAGCAGGCGCACCAAAATGATAAACAACACAATCTCCGGCAGATTGAGCAGCTCCGGACGGAATTGGCAGGCCTCGATGAAGTGGTCGACGAGAAATCGCGCGAGTTTCAAGAAATCCAAGCGAAATTTGCCAACAAACAAAAGCTTGACCAGCGGATCGCCGACCTGGACCGCACCCGGCGAATGATGTCCAACGGAAAGGAGATTGTTGCCTTGCTCAATCAAACTCGGAGCCAGGAGCTCGAGAAGATCTCCAATTTACAGCAGCAGGTTGCGACTCTGCAGGCTCAGAGCGAGGCACTGACAGCCCAAGTCCAGGAGCGCACCGAACGATTTGAGTCGCTGGCGACCCAGATCAGCGAGTTCCGGGCGCTGGTGGAGTCCATGAGCCCCGAGCCTGTGGTGAAAAAGTCAAGGAAATGAGACTATACATAATATTAATATAATAATTAACCCGAAAACAACATATCATTTACGGCGGCACGGGGTGCTGTGATCGAGACCGGGAAACTTGAACGGCTTGCCCGGGGAGCCCTCGTTGCATCGCAGGACAGGAGACTTGCGCAGCCGCATCGTATCGCGGAAACGATCCAGCTCGCGCTCACACACTTTACGATGGATGTCGTCGTTCATGCCGACGTAGTTCTGAGGCTCACAGCGGGTATGATGCAATTGGTAGAATTGACTGTATCCGCCATCCAGGATCACAATGTCTGGATAGTGGAGCTTCGGGTAGTGTATGAGGTTGATTTCTCGGTCCAGCTGTCGCAGGCGGGACGCCATAAGCGGTCCGCGATACGCAGAGTACTCGCAGTGGAAAACCAGCAATGTTTGCTCATTACTGCCACCTTTGATGCGCTGCACATCCGAGAGCAGTTCTTGCAGAAGCCGGGTCTTGGAACTGATGTTGATGGCACCGGCAATGTGACCTCCTTCGTATTCGTATTCGAACCGACAGTCGATCACCAGCACCCGGCCATAGATATGTTTGTACTTGCCATCCAGCAGCTCGCACAAAGTCTCACGCTTGATACGTCGAAATTGGTCTTGTTTGACGGTGAATGTCTCGATTTCACAGCCAGGCTGGCCCAGAATGCTCGTAGCCTCTTCGCTTAACTCGTCTTCAACGCTAGAGCTGTTGATGAGCGGCGGAAGAGGAACCGGTGAGCTCGGGCTCATTTGCTGGCTGAGAAACTGCTCAGTCGACTGAAACATACTCTGTGTGCGTCGAACTTTGGCTGGAGGACACCCCGTAGACGCTGCGAGGGCCCTCTCGAATGTCGATCGTAAAGTGGTCGCTGGTTTCATGTCTTCACCAGATAAAAAGGAATGTTTGTCGAAGGTGTCTTCCAGGGAGCTGCCATCGTAGCTACTAATACCACCACTAGTGTCATACGCCGGCAAGCTCGGCGTGCTCATGATCTGTCTGGTGGGGGCTTTGAGAGATTTGAGCTCGCCCGCTTTCTTGGTGGGGAGTTTGAATTGCGGGCCTGTGCTCTCGGCAGAGGAGTGTAATGGCGTGGAGGTTGTTGCGGCAAGACAGAGAGGTACTGCGTTCTCTTTGTCAAAAAAACTGCTAGGCGGCTCCATCAAGGTGTGCGATCGACCAGCGAGCTTGGAACTCATTTTGTTATTGTTCACTGGGAATAGCGTTCGCCTTGGTGTTATCACTTTTGATCTGTTGCCAATATGAAAGTTCTCGCTCATATCGGCCGCCAAATCGGTCGCCGATAGTCCGCTGGTGGACGCATTAGGTTCCCTAGGCAGAGGCTGGAACAAGCGAGCGCCAGTGGGGAAAAAGCCGGGCGACGAGTCCAGCGGGGAAAAGACCGGTCGGTCCATGATTCCTAGTGGACCTCTACGATCAACTGGAGTGTGGTCCTGAGGATATTCGGAGACTGTTATTGTTAATACTGCTCGGTCAAAAACAAAATCAACCAAGAGTCGACCGTTGTAGTCCGACCGTTACAAGGGTAAGGGCTACTACTGTCGTAGACTCGGATGCTCAAGTCGGCGCAAAAAAAAGTCAAAAACTTATGAGCATGGCGTTATTGAGCGCTAACGGAGCCCAATAAACCACCCTGCACACAGTTTGGTAGTTGTCTCTGTGGTTTTGTTCCACTGAGTCCGCCCTCTTCCAAGCCAACCATCTGGGTCCAGCTCCAGACAGGAAAGTTGGCCTATTTAGAAGGGATTCCTCGAGTACAATTATCATTGACCCATGCGCCACACTTGAAGTGAACTACTTACATATTTCCATGGTTCCCACCGAAGTGTTAAGAAGATCGCAACAGCTTGGCACACGGAAAGCAGGAAGTTTTGTACTTAGCTGGTGTTTTGATACTTCCCTACTGGGGGTTTACTCAGCTACTTAGTCGCTTGGGAAACCACTGATAAAAGGCTCGTCGGGGCGGGGGGAACAGATTTAAAAACAGCACACGCCGTGTAATTCCTGCTAGATTTAGCACATGTACCAGAAAACGTTAGAGGTCGTAGTTTCACAAGTCAATTGTCCCGGTTTTTACTCCGCAACGCCGCTTATATCGCGTGGTCTGGCTCTCCCGTACGTCATCATGCACTGAACCCTGGCACCCCTTTAATGCACTTGCGGGTCTAACTGAGCAAGAGACCAAGATCTACATGGCTAAATGGGATTTTGACAACACGACGAGCCCACAAATTTTTGGAACTGGCAAAGAATAGCCATTAATTAGAGCCATATCAAGGTGCACTCAAGTAGCTTGCCTAATTCTAAAAAAAAATTATGTTTTTTTAGCTAAAACCACTCCAACGCGAACGGGTTTCCCCTGCGCGATGCACGCGTTGTTTACCCATCGCCGTCCGTGCGTCACAAGGCGTTGGGAGCAATGTAGGAAGCAAATAGGCCATCAATGGTGGTAATTTCGCGACAACTTTGACCCTGCGAATATTACACATGAGCCGCTTGTACTTTCTCGAGAGCGGGTTTGCCTGTCAAACTTCGTAGCAACTGCCGCAGACCGCGCGTAGTCGGTTGTCTGTGGGCTGCATGCAAGCACTGGCATTTTGCAGGGACGCGTTGACCTCTATTCGGAGGCATTTCACGATCGCCAAGGCCACGCCACGCACCCTCCGATGATCCTAATGCAAATTAGTTTATTGACGGCTATGCTTTCTTATCAGATAATTCTTGTTCTGCATGAGGAGCGGTGGGGGGCCGGGTGCGTCAAGCGTCCGGCCAAATCGCTCCATGCACCCATGTAATTTTCATGTATGCACAATTTTACAAATGTCCTGACATTTCCTTGAGAGCATAGTCGACGGCGTAGCTAGATTCTAGTAGCTCTTCATTTCGATTCAAATGCCTTTGCGTATATGGCGCGATTTGTCGGAAAATGGCCAGGTATTTGGATTGACTTAGCTCCTGCGGGCCCTTCCTGCGCAGAATCGAATGGAGCACCGTTTGGGCAATTATGCTCGTGCGGCCGTTGGTGTTCCAGTCCCGTAAGCGCTCAAGTAGTTTGTATAGACGGGCATCGTCGAGCTCAGCAAGAACATCATCGACGTCATTTAGTCCAGTAACCGATCCTGCTTCCTGATGGTTGGCAACTTCTGTAAATAATTTAAGAAGACGGAACGGGTGGTTAAGCTCGAGGGCAAGAGCGATCGCCCGATCCCATTCCTCAGATCTGACACTGTTCTCTAGTTCTTGTTGTTTTTCAATCTGGTCTTCTCGCTCCTGTTCCTGCCGAGCTTGCTCTTCCTCGGTGTAATCTTGCCAAACGGTTATGACACCGTCACCGCCGCCAGACACAAGTTGGCCGTCCACGACCGTTAATGACCAAACCTTCTCTTCGTGATTATCCAGAGTAGATACCGCCTCGTTGGTCTTGGGGTCCCAAACTTTAACCAGTCCATCTCCGCCGGCACTCGCGATATAATCACCATAAATAACAACCTTCAAGACGGAATTAAGATGTCCTTCGAAGGTTCTCAAGCATGTGTAGTCATGCAAACTCCATTGTCTCACTGTTTTATCACCAGAAGCAGTGACTACAGTGTTTTCTGGGCCAAATTTGACATTCCAGATACCTCGTCGGTGGCCTCGCAAAACACCTAGAACCTCACCGGTCTCGACACTCCACACCTTGGCAGTACGGTCCTGAGATCCGGTCACAAACAAAGAGTTGTTGGAAGAGACATCAAGGCTGTTAATATCCTTGTCGTGTGCTTTACGAGTGTACTCGGCATTTCCAGAAGCGTCCCACTTTTTAATAGTGAGATCTTGAGACCCTGTGATCACAAAGTCGGGAACTTTACCTACGCGAGAGATCGCAACAGCTCCGACGGCGCCAGCATGGCCGCTGAACACAATCTTACATTCACCGGTTTTCAAATCCCACAGTCTAGCCATTTTGTCTTTTCCAGCAGAAACCAGCCACTGCCCAAGCACATCAACCGCCAAAACAATATCGGTGTGGCCAACCAAAGGCTGGAATTCCAAGGGATTGTCAAGACTCACTAGCCGGACATCCTGGGAGTTTGTGGCTACAGCCAACATGGAACGAGCAGGGGCAAGATCAATAATTTCACCGTGGTTTCCACCAATGAAGCGTGACACTTCGATTGACTTGCCGTCGCCAAGCTGAATATCCACCAGAGTCTGGTCAGACAACACAACCAAAAGATGCGAGGCATCAATCCGAACCGCATCGGTTACCGCAGACTCGTCATGAGAGAGATTCCATTCTGCGGTCATTTCGGTGGACAGCGACCAGAGTTTGAGTCCCCGAGTAACTGCGGTGTAAATTCCGCTCGCAGTGAATCCCACAGCCTCGACCTCATCAAGTACCGCCAAAGTGCCTGCGAGTTCCAAGTTCTTCCAAATACTGACCACCTTGTCACGGCCAGCCGTCAACAAGATTTCGCCAGTGCTGTTGAATGCGAGGCCTCTGATGACATCCATATGATTTTCAAGGACTTTGATGCATTTGGATTTGACCAGATCCCAAACTCTAACTTTGGTATCGTCTGATCCAGACGCCAGCCTCCAATCTGATCCACCTAATTTTCCGTAGAATTTCAAGCAAGTAATGATCCCACCGTGGCCTCTCAGGTTGTGTGTAACAAACCCACCGCTGATATCCCATACCTTCACTGCGCCCTCAGCACCACCGCTTGCCAAAAGGGTCGATGTTGGATCAACTTCAAGAGTCATGATGTGCGATTCATGGGCCTTGTGGAATGTTTTGACGAGTTTTCCGGATTCCAAAGAGTAAATGTGAATTTGCAAAGACCGTGAAGCGGTAATTAACAGCGATTTGTCGGGGGTAATCTTCACTGCCGTCAACTGCTCTCCATCCCCTTCGATATTGTGAATGATCGCACCGCTGGCTAGATCAGACACAATCACCTTGGTGTCCGAGCTCGTGGCCAGATAATTATCCACAGCCGAAACTGCGCCACCAAGATAAATTGGTCCTGCAGTTGTTGCCGCTTTAAACAACATTTAGTTGGTTTTTTTTTCGGGGTCCAGTGATGAAAAAATTATCTAATCCAGTTTTTTCGATTATGCCTGCCTAACCTAACCTTGACACCAGTGTGAATCCGGCGTTTCCAAGCCTGATATCGGGTTGCTTTGGAAAGCGTTGTTCTGGCATTGGCATTCTGGTCTATACTATGGTCCACGCAGATGTGTAGTTCCCATTAGAAACGTGATGCTGCTGAGTATGCTAAGGCGGGGCTAGTTCCGCTAGTCTTTGGACGCTAGTTGAATAGATTACCAAGTAGTCTAGGCAGTCTGCCCCTTGGTTGACATTGTGAACCGTCACACGCTGGCCAGAACTACTGATTTGAACAAAACAACGCTCAAGTATAGCCTAAATTTAGTATTTCAACACTATAGACTATTTCAACCGGAAACTTCGGGCCGATAGATGCGTGGGGGCTAAGCTCGCTAAGTGTCGTATTAGCTAACTTTTCAGTTGCTTAAACACAAACCTCGTGAGCTTTTCGTGCACAATGAATTTGACTAAACTCGCGCTCATACTGCCCTTGTTGTTTGTGACCGTCCGTGTCATGGACTATGCAAGACTGACATTCTTGCCTGCCTTTTATATTTTCGACAAGGTCCGTCTGCAACAGATCTGCCAGGAGGCCCTTGCATCGCTGGACATCGATGCGCCAGCCCAGAAAATCATGGAAAAAACCCACACCTTGCTGAAAAAGGAGTACCCCGAGTTCATTGTCGACGAGTTGAGACCTGAAGACTGGGTTTTCAACAACGCCGGTAACGCAATGGGCTCAATGATCATTCTGCACGCGTCTCTGACCGAGTACCTGATTTTCTTCGGCTCTGCAATTGGCACCGAGGGTCACACTGGTACCCATTTCGCCGACGATTATTTCACTATCCTCCATGGTGTCCAGTATGCAGCGCGGCCTAACGCCAGCATTGCAGAAAAGTACCTCCCTGGCGACCAGCACCACATGCCCTACGGTGTGAACAAGCAGTACTCTATTCCTGCTGGCAGCTTTGCTCTAGAGCTCGCCCAAGGCTACATTCCCTCAATGCTTCCTTTCGGCATGATCGAGGTATTGACGTCCACCTTGGATGTCGCTTCGTTTGCTCAGACCTGTGTGCTCACCGCTAAGCACATGTTTGGCAATATCCTCAAGGGCAAGATCTAAATGTGATATAGCTCTAGCGGGGCGGACGCCAACCCCGCGAAACCACGCTCTGGCCAGGTCCCGCATTTGCACCTGCGAGCCGTGCGCTGCTTTTTATGGAATTGTAGCTCTAACTTTTGTAATCTACGTGCTCTGCTCGAAAGACCCGCTCTATTCTGCTCGCTCTCGGGCTTTTTTCATAGTCTACTTGTATCTTGCAAGTCCCAACTGTGTCTACCTAGCTGACATGATGACCAGCTTGTGGGCATCAGGCAGTGCCGAGCGTTTAGGCCAGCTTGCGCGCGAAATTGAGCAGCGTGACAGCTGGCGTAGCTTCTTAACAGCTCATGAACACAAACTCTTCCAAGAGGCGCTGGAAGCAGGGCCGGAAACGTGGGCCCTGTTCTTGGATGGTAAGATCGCTTGCCAACTTCAGGTGACCGAGTCTGTGATACCTCAATCCGAGACATCTTCCGAATCTCCCTCGGTATCTACTGTGAATCTTGATCCAGTAAGTCTGGCGTTCAGAGTTAGGTACATGCTTTACGAGAGATCTATTTCTGTCATGTACAACTATGCGACTCCCGAGGATATTTCGCCGTCCTTATTGGACGGAAGCACAGCTAATGGCCTTGGGACTACAGCAATCAAAAGGAATAGTGATGAAGATTATGACGATGAATACGATGACGACGAAGAGCCCGAGCCTGCTCCAGAGACAGTGCCTTCCGTGCTAATCGCCAAAGTCGAGGAGGAGGCAGAACCAGATATGCACGCGCATCGCGAAACGTTGCTAAACTACCACAAGATGTACCATACCTTCGAAACAGATCGGGAGAGCGTTTTGAGATTCAAGAAGCTCCAAGATTCTAACCGGCAGATGGATGCCGAAACGGAGGCAGGCAGTAAATCAAGCATTGAGAGACTGGCATCCACTGCTCAGTTCGGAGCAGCAAACCTCAGTCTCAAGCATTTACTCTCAACGATTGATAATAAACGCGACGAGCTTGGACTGACTGACGTCGAGCTTCGGAATCTCATCAGTGATGTGCGTAAAAATCGCTCTAAATGGGCAAATGAAGACCGTGTTGGCCAGGAAGAGCTTTACGAGGCTTGTGAAAGGGTAGTACAGGATTTGAGAGCAACCACAGAGCACTCAACTGCCTTTCTTAATCGAGTGAACAAGCGGGATGCTCCAAACTACTACGATATCATTACAACTCCCATGGACCTAAACACGGTGATGAAAAAACTCAAGGGGCTACAATACAATTCCAAAAAGGAGTTTATAGATGATTTGATGCTGATCTGGTCAAACTGTTTGACCTACAACTCGGATCCAAAACATTTCTTACGAGCGCACGCGATTGCAATGCGTAAAAAGACCGTGGCGCTGGCGCCATTAATTCCCGATATTGCAGTTCGGGATCGTGCTGAAGTAGAGGCTGAGGCTCAAGCTGAGGCTCAAGCTGAGCAGGATCAGACTGATGAGGTTCGTGGAAAAGGTGCGAAAGGCGTCAAACGCAAGCTTAACAAGGATGGTGAGCCCGAACAGCCTCCTTCAGAACCAAAATTAGCTTCTGGAACACCGACCGCTGAAGCTGTAGTCAAGGAAGAACCCGATAGTGAATCCTCGAGACCGTCGTCCGACGGGAATGCAACTGCCCGCACCGATTCTGTGGCTCCTGTGCAAAGCCCCACTATGTCAGTTGCCTCTGGTGCAGGTGTTACTGAAGCCGAGACTGTTGAAGACACTCCTGCACCCGGTACACCAGAAGCTGAGGACGACAGCGAGCTTTTAGCAAGATCACAAGAACCAGACGACTTGGAATCGGTGATCTGGACAAAGGCTTACATGAAGCAGCGAACAAACTATCTGTATCAGCGCTATTGTTTGTTTGGGCCCGATGGAATTGACCCCGAGGCCCACGTGCCATTGCGAAAGCCGCATGACATGGCCAGGTTTTTAGAAGTACAAGAAATGGCAGTAAAGAGTGTTCATCAGCTCGCAGCTAGCCATCGTGGACTTAATAATGATGAAGAGGCGGTTTTGACGGAGTACGACGTGGCTAATGGTCTGCCGCCGCCGCCTCATCCCGAGGACCCTGAGCCGCCAATTCCCCTCCTGGAGAATCTCCCTGCTAGCCGGTACATTTCTCGAGGTAAGTTTTGCTCTATTTATAATCGGAACCTGAACAAGATGCAGGCAATCCGCAAGCTTTGTGCCCGAATCAACCTTATTCGAGATTTGCAGTCAGGTTCGACCGTCGCAGCCCAAATGCAACCGCCCGAGTATGCTGAGATCACCGAGCCGGAAGAAGACGTTTCGTCAAGGCTACCTCTTGCAGAACCGCTTTACAGACCAGCGTCTGTGAGTGGCCTACGGCGATCTGTAGCCAAAATCGCTATGCACACTGGCTTCGAGAGCAGTCAGCTTACTGCCCTTGATACGTTGACAGAGATTGCTGGCGACTACATGACCAACCTGGCGCGACTATACAAGGATTCTTTGGACGATTATGAAGCTACGGCAAGTCCTGAAGACAGACTTGTTCACAGTTTCCGCTCAATGGGTATCTCGCGGCCTGATACATTGGTGCGTTACATGACGGACGATGTTGTAAAGATCGGCCGCAAGCTTGAGACCATGAAGAATAAGTTTGGATCCTTGTTGGCTGATATGCTTAGACCCACGCTCGCTAATTATAAAGACGACCAGTTTGTCGATGGCTCAGATCAATTTGTGCTCGGTGAATTCTCGAATGAGCTGGGTGACGATTATTTCGGGTTCAAGGAGCTGGGGATCGACAAGGAGCTGGGAGTGGGGAATATTGCAGTCCCTTTCCACTTGTTGCAGCAGAAAGTCACCGCCAATGTCGCATTGGCAGGTGTCAGCCATACCCCTTCAAGAGTCCAGCTTGTTCCAGACTACCCACCGCTTACCCCAGAGTCTATTAGCAGGCTTCCAGGCATCGTTCGAGCGTACTTTACGGATATATTTGCTAAGACGCCTGATTTGGTTGAGGATGATCGTCAACCACGGCAAAGAGGACGGCCCAGAATCCCCGCTACAGGAAAGATTCTTGTCAAAGCCCGGCCTGTGAGCAAAGCGTTTGATAAACCTGAGCGCATTGAGGAGCCCAAGATCGATGATTTATCCAAAATAGACGACCTCACTGGCAATTTACCAGACTTGTCGAGCACAGAGATGCCGTCCATGTCAGACTCGTTCAATAACACTGTTGACCACGGACTGCTGTTACAGCGGCAGGACTCCCAATCGAGAGACGTTGAAGGTGAAGATATTGACTTGGCGGTCAATGCGTTCGAGACGTTTGGTGAGTTTATGTAGTATTTTTAAGTTTAGCCGCTTTTGATCGCACGATTAGTTTTGCTCAGGCATTGTGTCCTGAGGTAGATTTGGCTGCACTCGCCATCCGATTCTTTTGAAGTATCTTCGACCTATCGTCGCTACAGTTCCTAAGGGTCGTCGTGATTGACATCGGCTTGATGCTTCGCTTCATTTTGAGTATTACTTTCAAGGGTCGATTCCGTTACCTGGACTTCACTTTCACTATCCTTTGGCTCTTGGATTTCCCTGAAAATTACTTGAGGCTGGGGATCTTCAGGCTGAATATCTTCAGGGTGGATATCTTCAGAGTGGATATCTTTAGGGTGGGCATCTTCAGGGTTAGCATCATCAGGCTGGGGATCTTCAGGCCGAGCATCAGGCTGGGCATCAGGCCGAGCATCGTGGGTCAGTTCGTTTTCAGCGTCAGCCAGGCGATCAACACCCGGTTCGAAAACAGCCTGGTCTTGAACTTCGAGATTGTCGGCAACTTGAGCTTGATCTTGGGCCTCTTCAGTTTCGTCCTGGTCCTCATTAACCACCTCTTCATACTCCATGTCGAGATCAACACAGTTGATAGTATTTCTGCGGCTCTCTAGAACAAACTCCGGTATCGAACAAAGCTCCGGCCGAGCAATATATGCCTCGTACTCACAGCTCGCAACTTCGTGAATGGACTTTACAATAATCTCTTTTGCTTCTGTGTCGCAATAATAAATAATATCTGCCTTGCGAGGCTCTCCCGTCAGATCACAGACGGTTCCGTTTGCATACTCGGTTTTGAGGTAGGTTAAACCATTCTTACGTCCTAGAGTCACATTGTCAGTGGCCTGGCCAAGAGTATAGTTGTAATGTTTTTTGGAAATCACGAAATACTCTTTACTCTGCCACTCGGGTACAAACTGCAACAAATCCCCGCCCACGCAATACCGGTACCCCCAGTAGCCATCTAGCTTGAATCTGCACCAATCTTTTTCGTTCAAAACATCCACAGCTTGCGCCATGACCTTGTCTTCATCGATTGGCAGAGTGTCAAACTGATCAACAGTGTTCAGCGGGATCTGGCAGCTGTAACGATGTCCACGTAGCATCATTTCGACGGTTTCCACCGGTTCTGTCGGACTCAATGAGTCCACATATTTGATCTCGAATTTCGGAGACGCATTCAATATTTGAGGAGACATAAACGCCTTATCCAGGTGAGCGGCGACTAGCGGCACCACAGCCAGAAATGCCAACGTCATGTAATCGGGAGAAGTGGAAGACGACACGACGCCGGACACAAGACTTGTACCTCAGGCATTTTGGAAACTTGATTTTTGCAATCTGGAGCAGAAAGAGCTGGAAAACCGGGCGGATATTTGCAAAGGGGTGTTAAGCACCTAACATCCTCGATGATAAAAGCGGTTGACAAATTTCGTTCCCAAATAATGAAAAACTCCATTGTGAGAGCGGCCGGGCTACAGATCCGGAATCAGCGCATTCGGGATGCTGTTTTGAACGGAGTGCCCAAGACGGGGCCTCCCACGCTACGAAGCCGCTGGGCGCGGTCTCGTTACGTCTCGCCTGAGGGGATTAATGAGGCGTTCTCGCTTGCCAAAGAGATCGTTGACAAGGAGGCTGCGAACCACAAATCAGCGGCTGGAGAGGTCGAGAAAGAGCTTAAATCTGCGACTGGTGAGGAGCAGCGTGCCGAGCTGGCCAAGAATCTCGAGCATCATCTCGTCAAGTCTGAATTTCACAACCCTGAGGTGCGCTTCAACTTCATGGTGAAAGACTCGGTTGATTTGAACGAACCCATCTACAGATATTTATCTCGCACAGAGTGGGCTGCCAAGGAGATGCTTATTCTTATGCAGCGTCTTGAGCAGCACCATGTGATTCCCGACACCATGCCTACGCTGGATCCCCGGGCTCAGGTAGATGTACAGTTTGTTACTCCGACTATGTCGAGCTTTGAGCCAGGCAGCTTTTTGTCGAACGAGGTCTGCGAGCGTCGTCCTAGGATTTCTATCCAGGAGTTTGAGCCTATTGCTAAGGATAGCCTCTACTCTGTTGTTATTGTCAACCCTGACGTGCCCGACTTGGAGAACGACAGCTTCAAGACGCTGTTGCACTACGCGGCTGTGAACATTCGTATTTCTAATGATGCCCCCGAGGTTGACTTTGCCCAGGCGACAGAGCTTGCTGATTATCTGCCGCCGCACCCCGAGAAAAATGCCCCGGCCCAGCGATTCTGCGTTTGGGTATTCCGCCAGCCCGCGCGGGTGGAAGGAGCTGAGATCTCCCGCGAGGGCTTTGACATCCGTCAGTTTGCTGGTGCTAATAACCTAGAAGCCGTTGGCGCCCACATGTGGCGAGTCCGCTACGATCTGACCACGGACTTTATTCGCGCCAAATACGGCTTGGGCCCTGGCAGTGTGTACTTCCGCGCCCGGACCGCAAAGCCCGAAGAGGCACTTTTACACGTGCGACACCGGCAAAAGTGGGAGAAGTTCGTCGAAACTCCTTCCAAGTAAATGTATATAGAGACAAACGAGTCTGATTTTAAGCTAGCTAGAGTGTTGATTAAGCCTTGAGCTGCTCGACGCTCTGTTCGATGTACTTGGCAATATCGAAGTTGGGGTTCTCCAAATCAAGAGATGCAGTGGCAGACTCCTTTTTGGGGTGCAACTTGCGCCATTCGGCTCTGGCCTGCTCGATGAGCTTGGCCTTGTGGTCGAACTCGGCCTGGGCCTCCTTGGCCTTGGCCTCGCCAGAGAGCTTAGAGTTGTGTACAAATCCGTAGACAATGCCGCTGGCAAAGAATGTCCATCTAGCGACCTTTGTGTTAGTTTCTGCTCGTTGTTTTGTTGTCGAAAATACCTACGTTGAAAATAGGGGATGCCATTGGTGAAATGATATTCTAAGCAGAATTGAAAATTGTTTTCGTCATATCATGTAAGCCGGTAAAGTTGGAGGAAGGCCTTGCCCGTACCCTAGAGCCGGGGGAGGGACGGGGCATGTGGTTGATTGCAGTGATTTCCAAGAGGTTGAGTCGGGCTAGTACTTGAGTCAACAGAACAATTCGAATCACTCTAGCATTATGCAATAAACACTCGGCAGAAATTCGGGCTCTAGAAAGGCCTCATAGGACCCTCGCTGATTACGTACCTCGTTGCTTGAAGACCTGATGCTGTTGACGTTCCTGTGGATAGCGGCCGCTCTGGCGCTGTCGGTGACGGTGCGGGTGAACAACGAGCTTATTCCAAGAGGACGCATCAGCTGGGATGGTAATTCATGGACATTTATTCCCTCCGGCGCTTCTAGCTTGCCTTCTAGTGGCTTGGCATGTGCTGGAATCGAGGAAAACGGTAATTTCGAGTGCCAGCACGTATTTAATTTGGAGGAGAATCTCCGGGAAAGGTATAGCATAATTGCTGATTCGCAAAATCACCTTCGAGTGAGCGCAATGCCCGGTGAGCTCCAAGGAGAAGTGGGCTCAGCCACAGCCATTGCCAGGCCGATCCCCAAGAAGCCTCAAGCCATTGCTACCGGAGAAACAGCCGAAGAGGCTCCTGTGAAAGAAAAAAGCTTTGTGGTCAAATATTGGTACCTGATCCCAATTGCGTTTATTTTGCTGAGCGCCGGCGGAGGTAAGGCACAACAATAACATGTCGTATCCAGGATTTCGGCGACATGTTTGCGCGTCCAAGCCGGCAGAATCTAGTCCACCGGCGGAGTCTGCGGAACCGCCAACGCCCAAGCCCAAGCCCAAGGCGAAGGAGAAAGACCTAGTGTTGGAGGAGCTGCGGGAGCTAGTGCGACAAACGTCGCAACAAGATGTGAACGTGCCGGTTCTTGTGGCTAAGATTGTAGTAGTTTTTGGTATTTTTCTTCTTGACTGGGCCTATCGGATTGGGCAAAGCGAACGAGCGCTAGCCACCGTGAAAATCATAGCCGTGCTGGTGTTCAGCGCACTATACCCCTGGTTTACCCTGGCTCTGTTGACAAGTATTGCAGTTGTTTACGGATTCTCTAAGACACGAACAGTACATTAATTCGTTTTATACGAAGTTACTCTTGCTTATTGTGCTTGCGTTGTTGCTCCTCAAGCAGAGCCTTCCGGCGACGCTTGACCTGAACATTGTTGTAGGTGGAGAGGAAGAAGGCAAACAGCGAGAAGAAAGGAGTCCACGCGAACTTGGGAACGTACTTCTGGGCAAAGGCCATGAGGAAAGGCGAGGTGCACCACGTGGAGCGCATGACCGGCAAGATGGTGAGCTTCCAGGATGCGTAGATCTGCTCAGGGGTGCGGGCGCCGGCAAAGATGGCCATAAACACCAGGAACACCGTGTTTGTGATGGGCGAAATAATCGTCATGCTGGCGAGAATCTGCAGGAGCTTGGCGGTGCCGGATGTGCGGCCCTTGAACGCCCGCTGCAGCATATCCAGCAGGTAGTGCGACAAAGGACCAGACACGAACAGGCCGTACAGACCCATTTTCACAATACGCGGACTCAGATAGCTGCCAGTGCTGGGATCCTTGTCCTTGGCGATAATGGACGCGATAAGCTCACCAAGGGCATTGAGCACGGCTGAAGTGCAGCCCTTCGTCCTAACGGGATTGAGATTGAGTGCAACCAGGTAGTTTTGCAGCAATTCTGTAGGGTCCGGTTTAGACAACATTCTGGTGACACAGAGATTAATCTCAGGAAAGCGGGGTAGAATTTATAGTCCCTCCCCCCCAACTCCGCTTATGTAATGAGGGACAAGTATCAAGACAGTCGACGGCCGACCCCGAGGGTAGTAGCCAGTTGTTGAATTATAGTGTCTGGCGGCACAGAGGGCGCATTGCTGCTGACTTCAGGCCCCGCACGGCACGTGTTGCCGGGAATTGAGGCTGCCGCGAACTCTGTTTCTTCTGCATTCCGCCTGCCTCCCCTGCCCAGTTCTCCGCTCGCCCCAAGCCGAAAAACGAGCTTCGCAGCCAAGCACGAGCTGCAGGGGCCCGGGGAATAACCCGTCCCTGGGGCGGGCTGACTAGCGCAGTGGGAGACCAAAAGCTTGACTAGTCATCATGGCCAAAACCTCCCGCCAAATCCGGAAAGTGTCCATCATCACGTCAGCAGCATGAGCGACGATATGGCGGGTGACGCGTTTGACGGCTCTGTGCAGAACAATGACTTGGCTGGACAGTTCGACGATAACGTTATGGATATGGACATTGAGGGTGCTCTTGCGGACGCCCATATTCCAGAGCTGCGTTCGCCGACGGTGTCTGTGGACGACGGACCCCCCCACGACAGCCAGCCTCCAGAGGTGAAAGAAGAGCCTATTCCGCCGCTGACGGGTGAGACTGTGCCGGCTTCGTCGGAAGGCAAGGGATCTGCCATGCTCGCGGACGCTCCTACTGCCAGCGAACAACCCGAGCCTATTGAGGTTGAGCAAGGGCCTGGCGAAACAAGTGAGAACCAGGGCGCGGTTGAGCAGAAGGAGGAAGAGCCCGAAACAAACATTGTAGATTACGCCGATCAGACACACACGGTTGTAATTCCATCTTACGCAGCCTGGTTCTCCATGACGAAAATCTCCGAGATCGAGCGCGAGTCCCTGCCCGAGTACTTCAACTCCCGCAACAAGTCAAAGACGCCGCAGGTCTTTGTCAAATACCGTAACTTTATGATCAACGCTTATCGGCTGAATCCGTTGGAGTATCTCTCGGTTACGGCTTGTCGACGAAACCTGGTTGGCGACGCATGCGCAATTATGCGGCTCCATCAATTTCTGGAAAAATGGGGCCTTATCAACTACCAGGTGGCTATTGAGGCCCGACCGACTACCGTGAGCCCACCGTTCACGGGCCATTGGCAAGTAAAACACGACACACCAAGAGGCATGTTCCCGTTCCAGATCTATAAGGGGACAGAGGACCCTAATTTGATGCCTAAAGCCAACGGCGAAGAGAACATGTTTGACCAAAATATCAGCGGGGGTGTCCGCAGTGGAGTGAGCTCATCAGAAGCAGCCGCTCTACCCAAAGTTGGTGACGGTATGATCAAAAAGGAGCTGGAAGACGACTGGACCAAAGAAGATATTCTCCGGCTGCTGGAGGCCGTGCAAAAGCACCCGAACGACTGGGATGCTATAGCCGCAGAAGTAGGCCGCGACAAGTCCGCGGTTGCTCTGAAGTTTGTTCAACAAAATACCGAAGACCGATTCTGTGAAGAGCTAGGGCCCCTCAAGTACAACACCACACACATTCCGTTTTCGCAGGCCGAAAATCCCGTAACAAGCGTGCTGGCGTTCTTGAGTGGGCTGGCTGACCCTGAGCTGGTGAAGTCGGCTACCGACGCAATCAAAAAGGTCCAGGCCGAACGTAACCCAGACATCAAACAAGAAGCTGATCCAGTGGCTACTAGTTTAGCGCTGACAGCGGGACGGGCAAATGTATTTGCCAACTATACTGAACGGCAAATGTTTGCTCAATACACCAAAATTGTCGAGGGCCAGCTGGAACTGTTGAAACTTAAGCTGTCCAAGCTCGAGATGATGGAGGCAGCTCTGGACACCGAAAGGCGCGAAATTGACCGCGAGCGCGAACTGCTGTTCCTCGACAGACTTACCCACCGACGGTCGCTTGAAAGAGTCGATACGCTACTACAAAAGGCGATGGATGCCGCCGAAGCAGGCAACAGTGAAGAGTCGGCAAGACTGATCGCTGAGGCCCGCGGAAGCTCGGCTTCTCGGCCGGTCTTTGCTTATAGTCCAGCTCCTGATTCCGACGAGGTGGAACCGTACAGTATCTCGAACAAAGCTACGTTCAAGACGTGGTCTGCTTAGAGAGTATCTTTTGTTAATTATAGTGATGTTACTTTTATCGTTTTTTTTTTTGGTTTAAACCAGAGTCTTACGCGACCCCTTGAAGAAGAGTTGCACAACCGTGACATTAAGAACAGCCATGGCAACCACCAGGCCAAGCTCGATGAGAGAGAACCACCAAACACGTTCGTGGGTAGAGCTGACCGTGCTCTGGTTACGGGTAATACGGGCCTTGTAGTACTGGAGAGAGCGGGAAAGCTCCGCGAAACGAGCATCGAGGTTGTCGATATGACGCTCGACGTCGTCGTTGGCGCCAAGATCAATAGCCTTAGGCAGCTCGGCGCGCAGGGCACTGGTGTCGATGTTGAAGTCAAACTCGACCTTCTTGTCGGCAAAAGTGGACATTTCGTTGTAAAAGCACAGCTCGTACTCGCCGACCTCGGTGGTAGTGAAAGCAATCTCGTCTCCAGAGCTCTTGGACAGCTGCTCGACCACGTTGCCGTTGGGCCGTCGCACCGTCACGTCGATATCAAAGGAGCCGCCGCTCAGCACGACAAACGACATCGATGCCTTCGAGTTGACGTGGTCAGACTGAACGTAGAAGCACGACCGCTCGTTTGCAGGCACCTGCACGGTCACAGGGAACGCCGAAGCGCAAAAACTCAGGATTGCCAACACTAACCAGAACATACGTGTAAATGACAAACTGGGAGTTTGGGTATTTTTATGGGGTAAGCGGACACTGCGAAAAAGTGCTCTAGAGCAGGTGGAGGATCTCAGGTCCGATGCCCGGTTCAATCACTAGATGGTCCCACAGTGCCAGTTGGCAGGGGCAACGAAAAAAAAAGTGTGAGCCCGAGCGACCGGCCTGCTGCCGACGCGCCCCGCCTCGTGACGTGTGAGAATCAAAAAGCATAGCTACGTACCTAAACGCTCTAAAGCAGAAGATTTTCGCGGCGTAAATCTGCATTTCTCTAAACCACCCGAAACCACCAGCACCCGCAAAACCACCAGAGTCGTCCCAATCACAGTAATCCACACCACGAACGCGACCTCACTCAATGGCGACAATGGTCGATCATAACCGATCGCAGGACCCCGAAGTGGTGAAAGAAATAACCACTCTCGAAGAGACGTTCTTTAACCTTCCGGAAAAGTTTTTTCTTTTGGACAAGATCGGTGAAGGAACGTTTTCCTGTGTGTACACTGCGGTCGATCTTCTTCGCGACCATTTCGACAACCGATGGGAATCCAAAATGACGGAAACCCTCTCGGACCCGTCTGTGGTTGCGGTTAAGCGAATCCACGTCACTTCGGCGCCCTTGCGTATCGCAAACGAGTTGGAAATTTTAGCCACACTCTCAGACTCTGCTCACGTCGCCCGCGTCATTACCGCGCTGCGCGACGGCGACCAGGTTTTAGTGGTCATGCAGTACGTCAAGCACACGGACTTTCGCTGTATTTACCGCTCTGGAGATATGGACTTGGTGCGGGACTACATGGTTGAACTTTTAAAGGGCCTGCAGTACTGCCATGACAATGGCGTTATTCACCGCGATATCAAGCCCACCAACTTTTTATTCAACACTGAAACCAACCGTGGTGTTCTTGTCGACTTTGGCCTCGCCGAATTCTGGACGGCTGGCGGAACCTGCCCGTGCACCAGCGGCGGATGGGAGGCCACTTATGTGAATCCACAAGTCCAAGCCGGCTATCGTAAAGATGACCCCCGTCCTGGACGTAGAGCTAATCGAGCAGGTACTCGAGGCTTCCGCGCACCAGAGGTTTTGTTCAAATGCAATGCCCAGACTACTAAAATTGACATATGGGCGGCAGGGGTTATTTTACTGATGTTTTTGTCCAAACGGTTCCCGTTTTTCAACTCGCTGGACGACAGCGAGGCAATTGTCGAGGTGGCGACAATTTTCGGCCGGGTCAAGATGCAAAAATGTGCGCTTTTGCACGGCTGTGTCTTCGAAACGACTATCCCAACCATTAGAGAGTCTGGTCACGCATTCCCTCAGTTCCTGGACTGGTGCAATCATATTCGGCGGACACCCGAGGAGATGATGGGCTCGGATGAGACAGCGGCGATTGATCTGCTTTCAAAACTTCTTGATCCTGATTTCAGAACTCGTCCAAGTGCCCGCGACGCATTACGTCACGACTTCTTGACTGGCCGTTCTCGCCCCCTGACCACAAAGACAGCACTACCAGCGCCCCATAGTCCGTCTACGACGTCCGAATGTCCTACAACAGAGTAGGTCTTGGTTCCGTAAGGGGAACTGGAACCAGCGGGTACATTCAGAGCAACCAAGCTGCCAAGCGAACCGAAGGAGTTTATGAACGCAAGCAAACCGAACGAGCCGCCGCTGCAGAAGCGGACAAACTCATTGCATCGGCAATAAAAAGCGAACGACCCCACGATCCCAGCATTTCAGCGCATGAACAGGCGCGAAAAATCGAATCTGCCCTGTTCGATCTCCGAGACAAGCTTGAAGACGAAGGGCTTGACGAGGCCAGCATCGAACGGCAGATTGCTGCTGAGCGGCAACGATTAACCACAAAATACACATCTTTGAATCGTCCTGTTCCTACAAACCAATTAGAGGTGGACTACTGATCCTCCTCACACATAATTTATATACATAATAGGGACCTCCCCCCTCCGTCCATTTTAATACTCGGCAACACCAAGTTCTACGGGTTTGGCGACCTTCTCGGCGCCCTCTTTCACTAGAATCTCAAGCACCTCCTCGGCAGACTTTGTAGCGATCGGGATCTCCTTTTTGTTACCTTCAGCGTACTCCAGAGTGAGCAGAGGACGCTGGGAGGCGTCTTCAAACCGCCGTACTGAAATCACAACGTCCGGATTGTAGAACTGGATGGGCGGCAAGTACTGGCGCCAGAACTGCTTGGCCCCAATGCCCTGCTCTTTAACGGACTTTTGGAACATAAGGTCGACGCGGGTGAGTGACTTGGGCAGAGTCAAAGCACCAGGACCTGTTGTGAGAGTGTTTAGTCTTTGGAGCTGTTTCTTCACTCCCTTTGGCAGGATCTTGTTTGTCGACATTTGCACAACTTTTCACTAAAAAAGCGCCAACCCTCCAGATTAATAATCGACTTTTCAAGTCTGGCAAAAAAGAAACCCGAAAATTCATGCTGACTCATCAACACAGATTACGGGCTGCACGTTTAACTGCACAATTAGAGGGCGGCAGGTTGATAGTTTCATTAGCATTTGCGGTTGGATTACGAGCTGAATAGCACCACCATGGCCGCTCCAGACCCAGATACAACCCCCGAAGGGGATAGTATTCTTGATATGTACGGGTCGCCGCTGTGCTCCACACCACCGAAGCGGCTATTTACGAATGACGCAGTGGAGGAGCTCGCCTCGTTTGACACAAGCGCGGGCGACGAGGGCTCGTTCCGGACAGAGGGCCCCAAGGTCAAGCAATTACGCGAAATCCAAAAACGGCTAAGCAGTCTTGCTGCCTTGAGCGCCGATGATGTGTCGTTTTCCAGCTCGCGGGGGTCACCAAACACGAGCCTGCAGCCGGTGAAATTGTCGAGCCGGTCGACCAGCATCTCTGTCGGCTACCAGAGCCCGTCGCTAACCCGTCATACCCCAGCAGAGGCTCAGCTCATTGATACCATCAGCCACGCCCGAAGCACGCTAAGACACGACCTGCTGGTGGCTCTGCTGGAAAGAGTTGTTGCCGACACCGTCTCGCTGTACACCGCCGTGAGCGAAGAAGATACCACTGCGAGAGCTGCGGTAGACCGAGTGAGCTTGTCGCTGGCCGACTTTATCACTCGCTACGTTGCCCTTACAGAGAACAAACCAAGCAGTTTAAAGCTAGATTAGCCGACTGGACAGTATATACAGTTTAAACAAAAGCCCTTTTTTACTCCAAGGCGATCTTGCCACCAAGAGCCTCGATAGTTTCCTTAATCTTGTCGGCATCCTCCTTGGGAACGTTCTCCTTGAGCATTTTGGGTGCAGACTCGACCAGCTTCTTGGACTCGACGAGACTGAGACCAAGCAGGTTCTTGACCTCCTTGATGACCTTGGGCTTGGACTTGGCATCGAAAGACTCAAGCTTGATGTTGAAAATCATCTTCTCCTCGACAGGGGCAGCAGCCTCCTCCTCTACGGGAGCGGCGGCAGGAGCAGCCGCAGCAGCACCGCCAGCAGGCATGGCGATATCGGGAATGTTCAGGCGGCTCTTGAGTTCGGAAACCAGCGTAGAGGTTTCGAGAATAGTGAGCTTGGAGATCTCATCAACAATGGCAGAGATCTTGGGCGAAACCTCAGAGGCGGCGGCAGGCTCGGCCGCAGTGGAGTTAAAACGAGCAAACGACAGCGCACAGGTGCGAACAGCAGGTCGTGCAATAGCAATAGCTACGGGAGCGCTCAAAATAGTCCGCTTAACTGCCAACATTATTTGCGTTTGGTGAAGGATGAAAAACTCGCCCAATTTGTCAGCCGACTTCTTTTCACCCCCCACCAACCCCGAACGTGGCGAGACAGCATTTCAAGAGTGCTTTGTGGGAAGGTCTTGAGTTAACAGGCTAGCAGAGTTTTATTGAACAATATTAATGGCCAGCTTTCGGTTTTGTTTGGAGTGTAACAACATGCTCTACCCCAAGGAGGACAGGGTGAACCAGCAGCTTCTGTACTCCTGCCGAAACTGTATGTACACAGAAAAGGCCGAGAACTCTCTTATCTACAGAAACGAGCTGATTTCTGCTATTGGTGACAACGCCGGCGTCACGCAGGACCTTGCTAGCGACCCGACGCTGCCCAGGTCCAATATCGAGTGTCCAAAGTGCCACGAGCACGAGTGTGTATTTTTCCAGAGTCAACAGCGTCGCGCAGAGACTACTATGATTCTGTTCTATGTGTGTGTCTACTGCAACCACATGTTCCGGACGCACTCATCGTAGATGTTATTTAATAGTTATTTACATGGACTAGACATGTTCTAGGCAGTCTAGAGGGGTCTTTTTTGGTAGGGTGTTGCAAGCTGTTGCAAGCTGTATTAGACAGATCGCGGCGCCAGTGTGGCAATCTTTGTGTAGCCCTTTTCTTTCAGCTCTTTGGCCACCACTCCCGTCACACGGGTGCCGATAATCTCGCCGCTCTTCTGGATCAGCACACAGGCGTTGTCGTCGAAGCGAACAGTAGATCCGTCTGGTCTTGAGGTGGGCTGCTTTGTGCGAACAACAACCGCGTGGCGGATGTCACCTTTGCGAAGTTTCTGGGCAGCCGCCTGGCCGGTCAGGTTCTGCGGGATGGGGCGCGCCTTCTTGACAACAACAACCATGCGGTCACCCACTCGTGCGCAGTTGGAAGGGCTTTTCCGCAGGACCTTGATACATTCGACAACCTGGGCGCCCGAGTTATCGAGAACTTTTACCAGAGATTTCAGGTAGAGCATTAAGTCAGCAGAAATTTCAGATCGGTAATGGGAATAAGAGGTGCTGGAGCGGAATGATTTTACATAGGGGTTTTCGTGTCGTAGAGTGAATCCAGCATTCTTTTTTTTAGCCACGGCCCACCTGCCACTGTCCACTTGCTTGGGTGGCAGCGTTCCCTCGCAACCTCCCCGTCTGCCTACCTACTTCTATAGAGTGCCTTTTGGGCACACGCAATATCTATTCAAAGTAACGTGCAAATCTGACTACTTAGTGCTCGTCTTGACTTGTCAATCGTCGGCTTTCTAAAAATAACGTTTGGAGAAAATCCATTAGTTTCACGGGATGTTTTTTACCTAAGCTCAAGCCCCTGAACTCATTCACTTGCACTCGCTATGATTTGGATCACTTTTCTGGCTCTGCTGATGCCAGTGTGGGCTACGTTCTTGCCTTCAGTAGACCAGTCGTCGTATACTGCGTCGGATCAAATGACAGTCTCATGGCAAGACGACGACCAGACGCCGCCCATCAAGAGCTTCACAAAGGGTACGTTCAAAATGTGCGCTATCATCTCGGGCGTGTTCGACTGCCCGGTCACGCTTGGGAAATCTATTTCCATTTCCGGCGTCAGTTCAGAGACTTTCACCCTTTCCGACGTGTCCACCCAGGGCCCCTCGGGATCCTACATTTTGCAGCTTACCGGCGTTGCTCCCGACGGCTCCTATGTTGTGACCTACTCGCTTAATTGGTTCCGCGTGACTGGCTTCACCGGTACTGGTCTTGCGTTGGCTGGAAGCACCCCCAACAACCAGTATTCCGTCGCATCTTCCCAGGTTTCTTGGACTTACTCTATGGGGCCTCTGCCGGCGTCATTGTCATACGTCGTATCGTCTTGGCAGATCCCCTACACCTTTCAAAGTGGGCCTGAGCGTTGGGCTCCGTTCCAGATGACTCCTGGTTCTACGGTCACCAAACCCATGACTCTTACTCGTCGATTCCCCACCTCATACTACTCGACTTACACGACCATTATCAACACGTTGATGCCCTATACTACGCACACTCCTGGTGCTAGCACATCGCCCACGCTATTCTTCAACTATGCACCCACGGCTACCGTGGGTTATAGCGGTGTCAAACCGTCTAAAATCACGGCCACACTAAAAGCGAATAAACGTCGGAGATGGATGGATTGAGCGCACAAATTATTTTATTCATATCTATTTTGATAGCCATTTATACTACAAGCTTACTCGCTGTCGCTTTCTCCAGCCTCCTCCTGCTCTTCCTCGCTGTCTTCAAGGCCACTCAGTCCCTCTACCTGCTCTTCGTCCTCTTCGAGATTTTGTAACAGTTTGACACGTTCCTCGCGAGTTCTGCGACGAGCAATGGCGAGAGTGCCTAATGGCGTCTTTTCCCACTCGGTCTCCTTCAAGAAAGCCGCTATGAGCTCTTTGTCGCGAGGACCAAACGTCACATTGTCACGCTGCTTGACGATATAATCTGAGTTCGAAACAAGACGCTCAATAAGAGTAGCGAGCTGTTTGTTCAGTCGGGCGTTTGTGCTCCGCTTGGTGAATCGCTTGAGAGTGGTAATAACGGGGCTCACAAGTTCCGGGAAGGCAATGCTCTTGGAGTATAAGACAAACACTTCAACAAACAAGTCCACAAGTTCGTCACCAACCGAGTTCTGATATACCTGGGTGCCGATATAGCTGGCAGACGCTCTGATGTTATTGTCAAAGTCGAATTGCTTGAGACTTGATTTCTTTCCTCGCTTGGAAACTGCGTTGGATGCCAACACGTCGACAAGAATAGATCCCAGCGGGATGTAGACGCCAGTGTGGCGCGACAGCCGCACAAGTGACCTGACAAGATAGAATCTGAGTGGGAAATAAGCCGGCGAGGGCACTAACGTAGCCGTGCGAAGCGTCACCTGGACAAGAGGGTGGATCAACTGATGCAAGGGACTACCTTCTGGAGCAGCCGAGATAACTCTTGAGAAGAAATCAAGCGATTGGACGTACTGCCAAGTGTAGATAACTTTTGTGGTCATTTCAGGATTCTTCTGCTTGTCGAGACTCGACTTGAGATGCAGAGCCAGGGTGCGAACTTGCTGGAAAGCGGTCTGGTATCCTACAGTGGGGTCAACCGAGTACAGCGTAGCAAACACATTCTTGGCCAAATTGATAGAGCCCATAGTGTGAACGGACGTACGTCCACATAACTTTACGAGGCTTTCGTAGCTGTATTTAAGCGCCAGCTCGGTGAGAGCATTGGGGTAGGCGGTGCAGCTGTTCTGCAGGACAGAAAACGCTTCCAGCTTGACCTCATCGCTGAGATTGCGGTTAACAATGACGCTGGCAAACGCCTTGACAAAGTCCTTGACGAGTTTCCGCAGCGAAATAAAGTAGGGCATGCTTTTCTGCGAGGCGGAAACGACCTGGGAAATTCTGCGGCTGGAAGAGTTCTTCAGCATATCCGTCAGAACTTGGCAGTATACTTTGAGCGAGGGAGTGTACTCGGTCAAACGCTTGGTCTGAACAGGAGTTTTGTTCTCGTTCAAAGGCAGGTGATGGCGGATGGCCTGCGGGACATTGTGCAAGCCCACCTTCAACAGCAGATCATACGTCGAAGCGTCCGTCACCGAGTCCTCAGCAGCCAGCGCTCTGACAATCTGCTTCATTGGCTTGAGTGTTTTCTCAAGCTGGGTCACCCATCCCTGGATGGTCTCCTTTGACAACTCTTCAGCATCCGACTCGGGCTCGTCGACCCCGTTCCCACCGTTCAGCCATGCAGCTTCTTCAGCAGCGATTTCCGCCTCGTCGTCTTCGTTGTCGCTGCCAGATCCATCCGATCCGTCCTCTTGGCTCTGCTCGCTCTCGCTCAGGTACTGCTCGAAACCAGCCTCGTCCTCGAGAATGGCCAAATTTTGCTTGGGTGCGTCAATCCCATTAGTCTCTGGCTCCTCTGCTGCTTGCACGGCGGGCTTTTTGCCCTTCTTGCGTCCAATCAGCTGTGCATGCTTCTGCTCTTTGCGCTTCTGCTCGATCTTGTCCTTCAAATGGCTCTTGCGAAACTTCTTGGCCTTCTTCACTTTACCCATTGAAAAGTTTCTTTGTAACGATCAGATTTGCCCTAAACTCCAGATATTTTTTTAACCTCCCAGCAGGCAGGCAGGCAGGCGGGCCCTTGGGAGGGAAAAAAAGATGCCCTTACCCTGACAACTGTCACGGATCGGGTTGCCCCCTCTCAGGCAGGGACGCGTCGCTGAGGGGAGGGGGGGGGTGGAGAGAGAGGTTTGCCGGCAAAAACGCGGTCAAACGACCGGCAATTGCAGCAGGCTACCCAATGATACAGACATGTGTGCGGGCTGTACGTGGTAAATTTGAAACACGAGCGGCAGCCAGCCCGTGCCCTTCGAACAACCCCGTATAAAGCAAGGACCATGTCAGTAAGCGCACTGCTACTGCATGTCGTCGACCCCCCTAAGTAAAAACGAGACGCTTTCGTCTCCGACGCAAATGCCGGAGAGCAACACACACATCACGCCGGCTAAACGAAGAACATCACTGCGGCTGAGCCAGACCCCGCAGCAGAGGACGCCGTCACTGTCCGATTCGCCAATACCGGTTCTTACTCCGCCAGCCCGGCCGCCAGAGCACCGCGAGACGCCCAGGAAGACGCCGCGAAGCACACGCACCGCTATTCAAAAGCCTGCGGGCGTCACCAAGGCTCCGGCAAAGCCGCCTAAGTCCCGAACAGTACGGAAAAAGGCCCTGTCGAATGCACTGGCCAAGGACGAGAAATTGAAGCACACTGCCGAGCAGAAACAGCCAGTTGCTGCAGAGACAGAAACTAAATGAAAAAGATAAAGGCTACGCGGGCGTAACTATATACATATTTAAACATTCGATACCCACTTAACGAATCCGGCTCAGCGCACCCACCGAGCTGTCAATGATACTACCCAGCGATTCGCGGTCATCAGCAGCGCCGTCATTAAACGTGTTCACCTGAATATTAACGTCGCCCACGCTGGTCGTCGTGGCCCGGTCAATGCGCATAACAACTGGTCTCTGGTGAGCCGTCTCGGCTCCAGCCGGGATGGGCTCGTTTCGGGGCATCCGAGCAACGAAGCCGGCAACCGCAGCAGGCTTGGTACCCTGCTTGGGCAGGACACGGCCCCGCACGGGCTTGGAGGCAAAAATACCCTCCGGAGTGTTGTGGGCAACTCCCTTGAGCTCGTAGCTCAAACCAATGACTGTGGACGACACGCTGGGATCGTTAGGACCCATGTGTGAGCTTGAGGGCAGACCCATGAAGCTCTCTAACACACCTGGCAGCCGCGATGCCGGGCGATTCGCCGTGGCTGCGTCTCCCATCCGAGTGGAAAACGCAGGACGCTTAGGGACCCGGCTAGCAGCAGTGGAATCGACAAAGTGCTTGTACTCCGAGCGGCGGTCGCGTGCACTCTCAATAACGTGCTTTCGCTCCTTCTCCGACATGCGAGCCAGGCTTTTGGCCAGTCGATCACCGGCTGCAAAAAGAGATGGAAACTCGGGGTTGGGATGCAAAACAACTGGGAACCCAAGCTCGTTGAACTTCTGTAGACGGCGAGCAAACGCTGCATTATAATTCACATCGGGAATACCCATAGGCGTATCCAGTCTGTTAACCGTCATAAGCTTGGCCTGGGCCTTGTCGGGAATCGGCGACTTGAGACCCCAGTTGTGGCGGAACTTGGCGGCAGATGTCGTCTCAATAGCCTGGCGGCGAGGAACATTCTTGCTCCGTACTTTCACGCCCTTTGGCGGCAGCGAAAACAGCTTGGACTGCCGGACCAACTCGCGAAACTGAGCCATGGAAAATTAACTAACGAGAGATCTCTTTGTCAGCGGCGGAATTAAAAAAGCTCGATGAAAAAAAAAGTGGAAATGCAAATATAAAAATCTAAAACTGATCGCTGAGTTCTAAACGAGGTGCAATATTCATAGCCATTAGTTCCTGGAACAGCAGCTTGGCCGCATACGGTATTTTCAGTGTGACCAGGTGCTCGCTGCTCTCGCAGACGGCGCAGAAAGAGTTCGAGCCCATGAGCCCGCATTTCTGGCAAACATCGACCTCGAAGACGTCAGAGGACAGCATGAGACGCTCAAGCAGGAGCTGCGACGCACCGTAGGCAATAACGCAGTCGCGCTCCATTTCGCCCAGACGCAGACCACCGTCGCGCGACCGACCCTCTGTCGGTTGACGGGTCAGCACCGCTCGGGGACCGCGTGGCCGGGCATGCATTTTGTCCATGACCATATGCTTGAGTTTTTGATAGTAGATGGGGCCAAAGAAGATGTACGCTTCCAGCGGCTCACCAGTGATGCCAGAGTACAGCATGTCTTTGCCAGAGTAGTTGTAGCCGTGGTCAATAAGAATCTGGGACATGTCGGCTAGTTTGGAGCCGCCAAAGCAGGTTCCGTACTGCAGGTCTCCGCTAAGAATACCGGCCTTGCCGCTAACCATTTCAATCATTTTACCCACAGTCATACGCGAGGGGAAACCGTGGGGGTTCATAATGATATCGGGGCAAATGCCTTGATCATCGAACGGCAGATCTTCTTGCTGAACAATAATACCACACACACCTTTTTGTCCGTGTCGAGACGAGAATTTGTCACCAATCTCCGGTCGGCGGGTCTGGCGGAGCAACACTTTGATGAGGGGCTGCTCACTCTCACTTGACGAAAGCATCACCTTGTCGATATAGGAAGGCTCGGGCCCCTTGTATGTGACCGGGGTTTCCCGGAAATCGAGAATTTGATTGTTAGCATTCTCACCGAGCATTTTGTCGTCACCTGCCATAGGCACAGCTTTGTTGATATAAACTTGGCCGTTGTCAATGCGAGCTCCGACTTCAGCCAACCCGTCTGGTCCTAGAACCTTGTGGGGGTAGACTGGAACCGGCGGCTCGCCTTCTCTCTGCTTGTAGCTGTCAAACTTGATACCTTCCAAACGATCAGAAGTTTGGTTCGGGTAGCGCTTCAGCACAGCAGTAGCCTTTTTCATTACCTGGCACCGACCAAAGCCTCTATCAATAGAAGACTTGTTCAAAACAAGTGCATCTTCAATATCGTAACCTGAATAACTCATGACAGCAACAATGGCATTCTGTCCGGCAGGCAGCTTGTCATAGTCAATCAACTCGATGGTCTTTGTCTTTACCATGGGCTGTTGAGGATAAACCATCAAATAAAGCAACGTGTCAATACGACTGAACTGGTTGTATGCAATAGCACCAATAGCTTGTTTACCCATAGCACATTGATAAGTGTTACGAGGGGACTGGTTATGGTGGGGATAAGGGATCAGCCCAGCAACTGCACCAAGCACCGTGAAAGGTTCAATTTCGAGATGCGTGGTATCAGCACAGATGTCACGCTCATAGAGTGCAATAAAACTGTCGTTCTCCTCGTTACAGTCCAGGTACTCAACAATGCCAAGGTGGAGCATGTCGTCGAACGACAGATCACCTGCGATCAGTTTGGCGACATGTTCATCTTCAAGAAGTGACTTTCCATTCTCAACAATGATTAGAGGCCGGCAAATGCGACCGCCATCAGTAGCAATATGGATCGCGTTGTGGTGAAAGTTACAGTAGATGCTGATAAACTCGGAAATGCGCTTTGTACGACGTAGACGGCGGAAATTGGCAACAAACCGCTTCTGGTGACGTGTGACACCAATTGGTGTACCATTGAGGTAGATACCAAATACATGTGGTGCGTGGAAAGCACTTGCATCAATCATGCCCACTTCCTCCATACCCAGCTGTAAACATGCTCTGGCTATCGGTTCCGGCTCCACGTCGGTTGTGATATGGGTCATCAAAGCTAGGTTCTTTACCAAACCACAAGCTTCTCCTTCAGGTGTATCTGAGGTACACAGCATGCCGAATTGCGAGGGCTGAAGCGCACGAGGGCCCGATACTTTACGTGATTTTTCGAATTGTGAAGAGATTCGGGTCATCATTCCCAAAGCCGAAATGTACGACAAGCGAGAAAGAACATGAGTGACACCAGCACGCTCCATTTTGAAACGTTTAAGCGACCAGTTGCCCGTTGAAATGGCGCGGTTCATACCCATAGTGATATTGGAGCTGTGGATAGTGATGCTCAATAACGCATCAAACTCGTTGGTACGGTTTGGCTTTTTCAAGACCTTGTCAATATTAGCCTTGAAGTCGGTATTGAACTTCTTAAACAAGTCCTCGAACAAAAGCGACATGAGTTGGCCAGCAAGCTCAAGACGCTTGTTCCCGACATAATCACGGTCGTCAACCATAGTGGGATCGGCAATGGCCATAACCACCCGGCGGGTCATTATGCCCAAATACAACGATTTTTCACGGAAGTCTGCTTTGTCCACCTGCACCGGGATGTGGGCAACAATCGTGGTAGCTAGAGCTTCTAACCCCTCCTGGAAAGGCGTCAGTTTGGGGGCATGCATACGACGAACCGTCTTGACTTTAGTCCCCAGGTACTTGAGCGCTTGATGCTGGGTGTGCACACCCATTTTAGCGCAGATCTCAAAGTTGACCGCAAAAATCTCCTGGTATTGGGGGTTATCTCCACAAACAAGCTCCATAATCTCGTAGTCAGTGACTATTCCAGCTGCCTTGAGAATGAGAACAATAGGAATCTCTTCTGAGACGGAATTGTGCTTAAGGTAGATAGCCCCGTTTTTCCACAAAACATATGTCTTGGATTTACGTTCGTGAGTCGATGAGGTGACGGAGGCCTGAACGATCTGCTTCGACTGGTCAGTCTCAACTAGGATACGGTTCTTTGAAAGCTGTTCCTGGACCAAAATAACTTTTTCTGTTCCGTTTACGATAAAGTATCCACCGGGATCGAGAGGACACTCATTCATGGCGGCCATCTCGACCTCTGATTTACCATTTAAAACACACTTTGAGCTTCTCAACATGATCGGCATGCGTCCAATTTCTAAATTACGGTGAACCACAATTTGTCTACCCCGTGTGTACTCGACATCGACAAAGATCGGTGCGGCGTATGTCAGATCCCGAAGACGACATTCATGGGGAGTGATGGAATTCGAGAACGAGTTGAGATCTTTACGCTGTGGAGGTCCAATATGAATGTCGAGGTATTTTAAATAAAACTCAGGGTCAACGTCACTCAAGATTTTCTCGTTGGCTTTGACGATTTTCCTGATGTCTGTTTCAATGAAATAGTTGAAAGAATCCAGATGCTGTTTAACCAAGCCTTTCACTTTTAAAAAGGCAGGAACTAGGTTCCATTTATCTTTTACAGTCTTAACTTCGTCAGTTAAGGACTTGCCCTTGTAGATAGGCTTCACAAGCTCCTCCATCAGTTAAAATGGAATCGAGAAAAAAATCTCGCTGACATAATTTGTATTTCTCAGGGTCGTGGTCGCGAGGAGTTCCAAAACCTCCTATCCTAGGGGGATCGGCGGTTGCGAGCAACTGGCTTTTAAATGATGTATTTGAACATTTTCCAATGTGACCTGTAGTTCTTTGATGCGTCAACACATAAGCTAGCAGGTCGTAAAATTCCTCAATTTGTTATAATGTACATATGATACTATATTTGACCCCAATCCGCAAACCATTTTGACCGAGTTGAGGATCATGCTCTGACTGGTATCTTTTGGACGTGCGCATACACTACTTAGCATGCACAGCACGTTATACTTTAGGTCAATGATACATCTGGGTGGGCCGATTCAACGGTGCTAGTGAATCAACCGGCCAAAGTGTGTGCTCAGTGACATACGCCGGTGCTCTGCACCGATCTGTCATGAGCATGACATCCTCACCAGCCATCTCCTTGACTGCATATGCAAGTTTGTTGATCACCTTTTCCTGCATAATCGTTAATGTTGACATGTTGACCATGAAACGACTTGAAACTGAACAGCGTTATTCATGCAACAATTTCGGTCCAGCTCATAAAAAAAGCTAAACAAAATCTTTTTATTTACTATAGAAAAAATGCAGACAGATCTTGGGGGTCTGACGGGGGGTGCAAATTGGAGGCAAGGGTTATGCATAATGTACTGCTGGATTCGGTACACGTTCTAGCCCGCCATCTCAAGATGGGGTAATATTTATACTGCACAAGATATGTACGCGTTGTTCGTGCGCTTTCCATTCTTTTAGGCCCCCGCCCCTTGTCACTCCTTACAATCCCAATGAATACACTCTTTTCTTTAGCAGTCCTCGCACTGTTCGACCTGCGTGAAGCTAAAACCGTCATCGTTACGGTAACCGCAGACTATTGTCCCTTTGAGCCTACTGTTGCTACCTCTACTTTGGTGCCAGCAACTTCTTCCCCAGCTGACTCCACACTGGTGCCCGTAACATCATCACCTGCTGCTGTTTCTTCGCTCTCGCCTGAGACCTCAGGTGGGGCACCAACCTCGTCGAGTAACCTCACACTTTCGCTCGTTAAATCGGCTAATAATGATGCCGTGGCTAGTGGTTTGCCTAAATCCTCTAGTCCGGTGGCTGCACCTACTAATTCCAACGTTGTCACTAGCGTCCTCACCGGTCCTACTGAAACTCCTAATTTGATCGCACCTTCTGATGCGACCACCACCACCGACTCAACTAGTACCACTACTATTACTCGCACTATTACGGAGACGATCACTACGTCTATTGACTACTCGAGCACTGCTAATGCAGGCTCTGTTGCACCTACAGCCGTCTCGCCCAGCTCTAGTGCCCTCTCCACAAGCGGTCTTGAAACCTCATCCCCAGCTGTTACTACCAGTTCTGCTGCGGCTAGTGGTTCAGCGGCTAGTGGTTCTGCAGCCAGTGTTTCCGCAGCTAGTGTTTCCGCGGCTAGTGTTTCCGCGGCTAGTGTTTCTCCCAGCGTCTCTGATCCTGTTACCTCTATCGGCCAGTCTACAACCAGTGCTGTCACTTCGGCTGTTACCAATTCTATTGACCCAGTCGCTACCTCCGCTGCCGATCCGACCACCAGCAGTGGCCCAGCGCCCACCACCAGCAGTGACCCGGCACCAACTACCACTTTGACTACAAGCACTCTCCCTGCCGCTCCTAAGCAAACATTAGATGCATTTGAGCAGGATGTTCTTGACTACCATAATAATGTTCGGGCTATCCACCAGGCCCCCCCTATGGTATGGAATGAGACTATTGCAACCTTTGCCAACAACTATCTCGGCACTGTGATTCCCACGTGCCATTTCGCCCACTCTGGTGGCCCATACGGTGAGAACATCGCTCTTGGTTTTGCCACAACTGATGATGCTATGGACGCCTGGTACGATGAGTACAAGCTTTACAACTACACTGCCGGCCAGTTCTCCGAGCAAACCGGCCACTTTACCCAGATGGTCTGGGTTGGATCTACCAGCGTCGGTTGTGCTCAGCAACAATGTGCGGATGGTCGCGAATACCTCGTCTGTGAATATTATCCCCGCGGTAACATCATCGGATGGTTCACTGAGAACGTGCTCCCGCCTAAATAATCCACAAAAAACATATTGTTATGTATTTTATATAAGAAGAAAATGTCGAAAAATAATCAAAGAACACTAATGAGCTGGTCAATCGCAGCAAGGGTGGTCTGGATCTGCAAGGGGCGGTCTTCCTTTCGAGGCTGGCTCTGAGAGACCGCGTCGACCAGAGTGCGCACACTATACATGATTTCACGTACCACGTAATTAAGCTCGTCTGTATTTCCATCGTCGGCTGCCTTCTGAATAGTATGGACGGCAGTAAAGCCCAGTTTACCGATCTCATTGATCAGGTTGACACTCGACGCGGTCAGCTGGTTAACTTGGTCACCATTCAAACAGGTTGTACCCAGCACGTCACGAAGACCCTTGATTGAGGTTTCGAGGGGCTGTAGCGAGGCACGAATTGCATCGGGGTGCACATGATCCGCCATAAACGCCAAACGAACTTGCTCGACCAGGAAAGTGATATCTGCGAACCCATTGGAAATGTTTTTCACACCGGCATCAGTGCTATCACAAGTCGCGGCAGCAAACGAGCCAGCAAAAAGGGCAATTGGTATAGTGAATCTCATGGTGGGCGCTCCAGAATATGCCACGGCCTTTTATCCTTGAGTAGCCATGTGTTATAAAACTTTAACTGAGCTCTATTTCCGTCTTCAAAAGTTTGGCGAGCTCGGAAATAGGAACAAAACGGGCTCGAGGAAACTCGGTTCCGGCCCATAAAGACATATCCTGACTGTTTTTTCGTTCACCAGCTTGCTTGCGAAGGCTGGCCGTGTAAGCGTTTTGAACAGGATAAGGGAAGTAAGGTTTGTCTTTGCTTTCGCTAATAAAACGATTGACAATTCCGCGAGCATGTTTTCCCGAAAACGATGGGGTGAGAGTAGTTGTGTTGCCCATGTTTCCCTTGAGAGCATCAACCCAGGCCTCGGCCAACTCGCTTTCGGGAGCAGCCAGGAATACCGTTCCCAATTGCACGAGCGCCACACCTTTGTGCAAGTAGCGTGCGGCGTCTACACCATCCATAATGCCACCGGCGGCGATAACGGGAACATTAATTTCGGGCAAAACCTGATCGACCAGTTCAGCCAAAGGGATACCCAGGTTCGAGGTCAAAAAGTTCCCGCGATGTCCACCGGCTTCAATTCCCTGTAAACAAATAGCATCGGCACCAAGTTTCTGCCAAGTCAAGGCCTCATCGAGACTGGTGGCCGTGCCGATGACCTTGATGCCATTGTCGTGACATGCGTCGAGCTGGCTCTGGGAGATGATATTGAAGGTGAAACTCAAAATGGCTGGCTTACACTCAAGCGCAGCGGCAAATTGCTCGTCAAAGCTATGGGCATAAGTGGTTGGAACAGCGAAATCGTAGTTGTACTTTGCCGAATAGTCTCTGAGCCACTCGGCAGCACCGCAGGCAGCATCAAACTCCGGATTGTTGTTTACGACGAATAGGTTGATGTTGAATGGCTTAGAGGTAGCCGCCCGGATCTCGCCGACACTTTGGCGAATGGCATCTGGCGACATCATGCCGGCACCCAACGATCCCAGCATGCCATTCTGCAGACTGGCAATGACTAGCCGGGCCTTGGAGACGCCAGCCATAGGCGCCACCATGACCGGCAATTGCAGCATCAATTCATTAATCCACATTACAAAGGATCTAACCAGCGCGATCCCTTAAAAGTGTGGGGAGGCAAAGCGCGCGGACCCGAACCCGGCTATCGGGGTAAGGGTAGTAACACCAGAGATTTTGGCAGTTTTCCATCTGCCCAAACCTTGCATTGAGTCATGCTTCGAGCTGCCCGTAATTATAGCACGGTGAAGACACTGACCATTGGTCTGATTCCTGGTGACGGCATTGGCCGCGAGGTCATTCCTGCTGGACGGGCCATTCTTGAGAATTTGCCCGCCGAGGACGGCCTCAAGTTCGAGTTCCTGGAGGCTCCGGCCGGATTCGATCACTTTAAGAAAACCGGCACTGCTCTGCCCGATGAGACGGTTGAGATGCTCAAGGCCAAGTGCCAGGGTGCGTTGTTTGGTGCTGTGTCTTCCCCCACCACCCGTGTCGAGGGCTACTCGTCGCCAATCGTAGCATTGCGCAAGAAGCTTGGTCTGTACGCCAATGTGCGACCGGTTAAGAGCGTTATGGCTAGCGACAAGATCACCGATCTTGTGATTGTGCGCGAGAACACTGAGGACTTGTATGTCAAAGAGGAGCGTACGTACGAGCGCGAGGACGGCAAGGTTGCTGAAGCAATCAAGCGCATAACTGAGTCCGCTTCGAGACGTATTGGCGCTATGGCCATGCAAATTGCTGTTCAGCGCCATGGTATGCGCCAACTTGATCCTGGTGCGTCCCACCATTCTCCTGATGCGCAGGCTATTTTGACAGTAACCCACAAATCAAACGTTCTTTCTCAGAGCGACGGCCTGTTCCGGGAGACCATCAAGCAGGAGTATGCGGAGCTGCAGTCCAAGGACTCCAAGTACAAGGTTGTTGATCTTCAGGAGCAGATTGTGGACTCTATGGTCTACAAAATGTTCCGCAATCCCGAGGACTTTGACGTTATTGTTGCTCCTAATCTGTATGGTGACATTTTGAGTGATGGCGCTGCCGCTCTGGTTGGCTCCTTGGGCGTTGTTCCCTCTGCCAACGTCGGCGACGAGTTTGTCATTGGCGAGCCCTGCCATGGCTCTGCTCCGGACATTGAGGGCAAGAACATTGCCAACCCGATTGCTACCATTCGCTCTACTGCTCTGATGCTTGAGTTCCTGGGCTACCCTGTGCCGGCCGCTCGCATTTACAAGGCCGTCGATGCCAATTTGATTGCTGGTGTTTGTACCCCTGATCTTGGCGGTACTGCCACCACCACTGAGGTCGTCGAGGATGTTATCAAGCGTCTTTAAATAGGAGTTTATATATGTTTAAAATCTCATGCACGATGCTGATTCATTCATGGAAGCTAAACGCAAATCGCCCGACGATGATATCTTGGAGATTGTTGATATTGCCGACGATGAGCAGCCCGCTTCTGCTCCGTTGGTGAATTTTAAATGCCCCATTTGTATGGATACGCCAGACGTCCTGGTGGTAACCGAATGCGGTCACCTGTACTGCGAAAACTGCGTCTTTCATGCTCTACGGAGTGCCCGAAACTCGACAAAGACCTCTGGACAATGCTCAATTTGTCGAAAAACAGTAAAGTACAGCAACGTAAAGTACTTGGAGATCCGCTTAGCGGGACAGGGAAGTGTCAAGTGGAAGGACAAGCGGCCCAAAAACAAGCGAGAGAAAAAGACCGACCCTGACGGCCGGAAGAACTTGTCAGAAGAAGCATCGACTGCTCAACCGGAATCAAAGCAGGCAGACCCAGAGGTAACAGAACCGGGGGCCGATCGAACAGAGTCTCCAGAAAAACGACCCTAAAATCTAACTATAAATATTTATATGCGCTCAAAGCACGCAGCAAAAAAGCCAATTCCTCCATCTTCTTTGGGATTGACTCTTACACAAGACTCAGCCAGCTCAGCGGCATTTTCCATACCTTCAAACTCTTGCACATAACCCCGGCGGGGCCATCCGGGCAAGACGCTTTCACGCGAGCGCAGCCGCCACTCTTTAGCGATTTCAGGCGTCTCCAGAAGACGACGAACAACCTGCTCGTTCTCGATACTATGAATTGAACATGTAGAGTAAACTACAGTCTCAGCAGGAAACTTGAGGGCGTGGCTTACAATGATGTACTGGAACTCGGACAGCTTATCCAAACGCTGGCTATTTTGGGTTTCTTGTTCTGATCCCAAGCCTGCACGACCAAAAATACCCGAACCACTGCACGAGGGATCAACAACGAGTCCTTTTACATCGGGGTAGTCGCTGGGCTGGGCCTGGGTGAAATCTTGAATGTTCACATTGATCCTATCGCTCAAGCCCGCAGTACCAATCATTTTTTGAAGAATGGCTCCACGTTTGGGGTCTCGCTCGAACGCAGTGACCTTTTTCGCATAGCCAGCCAATTGAGTAGTTTTGTTGCCGGGAGCGGCACATGCATCAATATACTCAGCATCCGAGCTGGGATTCAAGATCGTGACGGGAAAGCAAGATGCTCTATCTTGAATGATCAATTGACCAGAACGATACAATGGCATTTTTGCCACCGGGTAAGAAGGGTGCAACCCATACAGGCCGGGAACAAAGTCGTCTTTGTAAAAAGCCATCTTATGCACTTTGAACGTTTCCACGCGAGTCATGCCCGCAGCAACAAACGCCTTTTCGAGGTCTTCAGGGCTGGCCTTTACCGGGTTGCAGCGAAGCCATCTCACAGGTGTTTCGTCCGTTTCGTCCTGAACCAGCCCGTGCTTGACCTTGTACTTGACGAACTCGGCATTGAGCCGGGTCTTGTGACGCATCACTGCGTCTTTCTCTTTGCATTTACCGCACGCAAGCTTCCCACCTTTCGAGAGTAACAGATCGTGAACCATCACCAAAGCCACGGGCAGCGTCAACGCCTTTTCGTACTTGAGAATGTGCGATGCGGTGATCACTGCGCTCAGCAATGTTTTGTACTGTAACGTCCCATAAACTAAAGCAAACAGCCGCTTAGCCTGGGGACCACTATTTTTTGCGAAAATGCGGTTCTTTAATGACCCAGGGCCGCTGTCCAAGTAGGCTGCAGCCTGTTGGTAGATCATGGAAAAAAAATTGATGGTAATCAAGTGGAATTTAAATATCTACACGTCGTATTTTTTCGAATACCCAACTCCCAGTAGAACTCCACTAAAGTCGTTGTATGCTAGAATTTCAAACACAATGTCCAGACTGATCTGGACCAATCTCAAAAAAACTACTGTAGCATAGCCGTCACCCCCGCTGAGGTAGTGGCCCTGGAAATGCATGAAAAGGAAAAGGACCACAAGATAGGCAGCACCGATTTTTCCACGCGTTCTTTGCAGAGGACAATTGTGACGGGAAAGAATATACATCCATAGTAGGGTTAAACCGACGTATAGTGCGGCAGAGTTACCATGCCAGCTCACCGAGTCAGAAGCGGTTATGTACACGGACAGAGCAGCTGCCAAAATGCGAGCGAGACCAGTGGTTAGAACTAGAGGCGACTTGTCCAGCATGAGCCACCATATTATTACTGATATGAGACTGGGCAGAATAGACACAGCATGGTACAGCTGGATTAGCGATTTGGAAGGGTAGAATGAGGACAAAGCGGACGGCGACAGGGTCGCAAACCGTGAAAGAACTAAACCGCCCGCGTACCCGAATATTCTGAACCCGACTGCCGCTATGGGCGCCAATCTCGCCTGCAGCATTTACCAAATCAGATTGGAGGACGTCGCGTAAGCGGGAGACATGAACTAGATATCTAAAATATACAAAAGAGACTATAGCTAAGAGCTGCGTTCGCGCTTCCAACTTTGAGGGATATCGAATTCGCACGGGCGCCAGCGCCGAGGCGGAAGAGGATACCCAAAAGCCCTTTTAGGGATGCGTAGAGTCAAGGGAGCTAGGAGTTCGGGCGAGTTGTCGCTGCTGCTGGTGTTTGGACCAGGGTTGGGCGGGGCAGATTGCCGTTTTTTGGGCCGCGATGCTTTTCGGGTGGCCGCTGTGGGCGGTGTGGATTTTTCACGGCTACGCTGGCGGTCTTTTTCCCGCTCGCGTTCCCGACCGCGCTCTCGTCGCTTGAGCCGCTCGAATCGACTGAGGAAAAGACCCATCTCAGCCAACGCCAGCTCCCTTTTTCTTTCCAATTCACTAGTATCATTTGTATTGTCGATCTTGACGATTCTATAAATGTCTCGCCGCCAATGCGGCGCCAATAAGACCTCTCGTTGCGCCGTAACCTTCTCGGCATCCACCATGAGCTGTTGGAGATCCAGGTGCTGCATACGCTTTTCATTCCGCTCCATTCGTCTGTGATGGCCAATGAAATCCGATATTGGCAGTACGTCTCCGTCTTGTGATTCCGGCAAAGCCTCAGGCGTTCGATTTGGCGCCAGGGGAGGCAGAAGAGCTTCATGTGGTTCTTTTTTGGTCACCTCGCCATTATGGTGCCGCCGGCGCGGGCTGTTGGCGCTCGGAGCTGCACTGCCGACCAGCACAAGTGGGGCATCGTAGTCGAAATAGTTGAGGTCGTATTCGAAAAGTTCTCCTTTTTGTTTTGGTGCCCTTAATTTGCGACCTTCATCGGTCATAAAGGATGACCTGCTGACGTAGGAGTCGAGCTGATATTATGATCAGATACGATTATTATATTTTGTTATGAATCGCTGCTAATTTAAATTTGCATTCTTTCCGTTCGTTTTAGATCTCTGCGGCTTTTTCATTTTTCTCAAAGTCCTACACACTTGTCAGCATGAAGCTCTTGACTAGACTTCGTTTGAAGGTATTTGGTGATAAACGCTCGTTGCCAATAGCTGTTCTGGCAGGACTCTGGATAGCGCTTGTGTTTTATGCCGAGTGGTATCGTCCGTTAGCGCGGCTGCGGGCGTGCAATTGGAATGATAGTTTGGACGCTACACGTGTTCTGCTCCTGGCAGATCCGCAACTTATAGACTACAACACCTATCCCGGCCGGAGCAGATGGCTATTGAAACTGTCGCAGACAATTGTGGACAGGTACTTGGCCAAGAATTGGCGTGCAATGCACAAAGTTCTTGATCCAGACACCGTGGTGTTTCTAGGCGATCTGTTCGACGGTGGCCGCGAGTGGGAGAATGATGTTTGGCTGGACGAATACGAACGTTGGAATAACATCTATCCGCAAAAACCTGGAATCCGCACCTATATGAACTTGCCCGGAAATCATGACATTGGGTTTGGCGACACGGTTGTGCCAGCTGCTTTAGATCGGTTTAGAGCATATTTCGGTGAACCCTCTTCCCACCACGAAATTGGAGGCTATACAATTGTGTTTCTGGACACAATCTCCATGTCCAATACCAAAAGTCCGTTTATTTACAACCCTCCGCGGGAGTTTCTTGGAAACTTATCTACAACCACGAATCCCAATCTTCCTCGCATTTTATTCACTCATGTACCTCTTTTCCGGCCACCAGGAAGTGATTGCGGCAAGCACCGCGAGTCTCAAATGGACCTTCCCTACTCTAAAGGGTACCAGTATGTGACGCAAACCTCTCCGGAGCTCACAGAGTTCATTTTGACTCAAGTTCAACCCCAAGCAGTTTTCTCTGGCGATGACCATGATGCATGCCATGTTTTACACAAGTACGGGACCAAAAGTGCCGACGAGTTCACCGTCAAGTCATGCTCCATGGCTATGGGAATAGACCGACCAGGTGTCCAGCTGCTATCGCTTAATGGATCCAATGGATACACTACGTCAATCTGTCTTCTTGCCCATCCATTCGCCCCATTCATTTATTATACTCTTGCAGCCATCGCGTCAATGCTGCTTCTAGCAGTGCGTCACTGGCCAACCAGAAATTATCTGCCCGTCGCTGAAAAGAAAGTCCAACCCCTCACAAAATATGCTGTTGTCAAAAGTATGGCACCAGAAACACTCGTTTTAGCCGCCAGCTGGCTGGCCGCGCAGATTTATATTTCAAGGTGGATATATAGCAGCATGTAAATAACTAGTACCAGCCGTAACGATAACCAGTCTTGCCCAAGAAAAGCATGTGCAAATTGCGGGACTGGAAGTCATGTCGTTGACCAACGTACATTTGTAACGTTTGTGGTTTGAGACGGGCGAGTCTGCTGTCTCTGAGAAGCGAGGGGAGCATTTGGACATCGGCATAGAAAAGCTTGGCAATTGCTTTGAGGGTCGCAAACGAGTCGGCGACCTCCAGAATCCCCCAATCGCTCACCACAAGCTGCTCGTATGCGTGCAGATCAGCAGCAAGAATACGCCCGCCTACGGGGTTGATGTCCCGGTACTTTTTGATTTGGGTAACCAGGTCATTATATAGGCCGCCAGCCAAGGACACCAAAAAGTTTTGTCTATTCTCCCCGCTGAGTGATTCTTGCGCTTGCTGGCTTACAGCAGTGAAGCACTCGATCACATAACGGCAAACAGCACTAGTGTTTGGCTCAACATGCTCTTTAGGGGCAAAGTCCCGAGGCTTTTGTTTCTGAAACGCCTCGACGGTGCGAAGATGCACAAGCTCGGTAACATTAGAGAGCAGTTCACTGCAGAGATCTTGTGCCGTAATAATGTACTCGTTGATGGTGGATGCCATTTCGTTTTGCGTCGCCTCCATTCCCCGGACCATGGAAAACAATACTGTTCGAACAAACATCGCCAGCATCTGCACGCAATTAGCGGACCGTCGAACGATGTCCAGGAATGCCCAGTTTATCGGCTCGTTGTTGGGAATTTTCAATATTCCTTTAATGGCCCGGTACAATGCCTCATTGATGTAACTCCCGCCAACTTCCCGGATCAACGTGTTGAAAAGCTCGACGGCATCGTGAGGAATCCGGGCAGAAGGTGACAAGACTTGTTCTCGGCCGACCGCCTCAGCAAATGCAGCTAGCACTGTACGCATATCGTCTAACACAAGTTGAGGATCTTCCCACGGGAGTGAAACACGTTTGCGCACGGTATTGCCTCTCTCAAGACGAACAGCACGCATGAATTTGTCCATTCTCGAGTCTTCAATATCAGTTTCTGCAGCACTTGCTGCTTCCTCATCTGTGTCGTAGCCACTTCCAGACCCTTCGTTTGTTACTATTCTCTGGAGTTTGTGGGGGCCAGGGGAATCTTCATGGCGGTTTTCGGAATTGTAGAAATACTGGAAGGTGGACGAGATAATCTGTTCAAGATTGCGACGCTCAATAGCAAAGTACTTGTCCATAAACATAACGAACGTGTCATTGAAATTCGAATCCAGCATGAGCGAGAGCTCACCATCTGCGTCGATGTTTTGCTTTGACCAGTGGAACTTAAGAGTTTTCACCATCACGCCAATCAAGTGATAGCAAATATACAATACTCGGACATGTGCTAGTGCCGATCTGCTCTCTGCCTCTTCGATGTACAGAGAGACTTGGCCCTGAATACGCTGGGCAAACGTTCGTTGCATGAACACAGTCAAAACTTGAGCCGGCTGAGGGAAGACTTTACGAATAATATCTGTTTCAGCCATAACGGTATCAACCACGTCATCGACCAGCGACGAAATGGCTTTTTCAAACTCGGGGCACCCCGACTTTAAATCGCTCAAATGTGCCCACATCTCTTCATTGTGCAAAGCCGAGTTATCATCAATTTTGTCAATTTGCATAAAAAAGTCGTGCTGGTTCACAAACGCTTGTACAATAGAGGCACCACCGTTAAAGTCGTGCAAGACGTGGGCGATTTCCTTCATGCCTAGCAGGTCGAATGATGCGTAGGCATCTTGAAAGAGTCCTACAAAGTGGGTCTCCAGATGCTCGGCAAACTTATCAATGTCGTTTTCGGCTTTCTCGCTTCCCGGTATATCGCCGATTTTGCGAGCGAGCAATTGCAATTGTCCAACAATCTGAGCGCAATGTCTACGATCGGTAGGGTTCTCCGACGTCCACAGGCGGTGCAACTCGGGACACTCACCTCGGTTCAAAAAACTGACATAGTACTCAACCAAGCGGCGACTGGTGCGGGCCTTCTGGTGCATTGCACTAATGCGTTCGAGGCGGTCACCCACAAAATTTGTGGCTCGAGTCACGTCGCTTACCTGCTCGTCGAGCTGCTTGATCTGGGCAACGGCATTGTCAACATTAGTAGCGAGCCCTAGGACAGACTCGTTGAAGTCATCTCGCAGACCATCGGCAGCGGTTCCTGCGGCATCTTCTCCATGTTGTGCGACATCCCGGAGCCGTTCAAGTTCACTGAGCACTGCCTCAAAAGTACGAATGTACGGCTTGGGATCCAAAACTTCGTCCTCAATACCCGCGTCCTTCTGAGTGCTTCTTAACTGCTTGATGAAGTCTTTAGCATTGAAATCAACCGTCGAAAATCTGTCCAACCTCAGCAGTTGCCGAATAGACTCGTCCAGCCCGTACAGGCTCATTCGGGAGTTTGTGCTGACAAGAACCGAAACCGCACCGAACTTGAGTGAATTAGTTGAAAGATGAAAGAATTAAATACATTATGTACGCCGCTTTTTCGATCCGTAGAGTAGAACTTGAGTTTCTGCATTGAAGTGGTCAATGTCTAGCAGCTGCTCATAAACCTCTCGCCCGCCCTCAAAGTCGGTTTCATACCGGGAGATTACTCGGCCGGTGTCGAGTTTGTGCAATTCGTCCCCGGTATCACCGCTGTTCGCCAAAAGAACTAGTCTCAAGCCATATAATGCAATAAATATAGCGATAGACTCAGATGTATACTCTGTATCCAACAAGTCGCAGGAGTAACATATGTCTTCGATGCTCTTGACTATAGCAGAAACATCCCGCTGATCTATCCGGGCGATAGTGAGCGAGTTGATAACAACAGTGGCATATGCTGGTGTGCAATGCTTGAAAGACTTCAGCAAACACTGGATCATTGTTTTCAATGAAGTCGCCTGAGTGCGAAGAATTTCCCACAAGCTCGCAACTAGCTTGGGCGATACAGGGCCTGTTCCGCACTGCTCATGATATTCAATCGCCAACTGCAGGCCCTCTGGTAGTTTCTGCTCCACCACCGAACGCCAGCGACTTACCATAAACGTGAATGCGCGCAGTGCTGTCTTGGATATCTCCAAAGACTGCGCTGTGGTCAACGCAACGACCGCAGGGATACATTCGTGGGCCTCCACGCGTCCAGATTCAATTGCCTGAGTTAGCAGCCGCACAGAAATAGCAGCAAATGCATCTTCAGATGCCAGTGTGCGTCGAAGAATCGGCTCCAAGTACTTTTGAAGCAGTCCAGCTGCAACAGAATCCTGTGTCGCTTCGGACGAGTTGCTGTGCAGTAAGCTGTCGCCCATTTCTTTTGGGGCAGTTTGTGCTTTGATTTCAAGCTTGTCTTCCTCGTTTTGGAGAAACTCTAGCAGCAACAGAATGAAGATATTCCATTCTTCGCTGGAAGGTTTGACAAGAACCTCGGTGCTCAATATGCCGGCAACTCTGGGCTCCAGAAACATTTCCGGGTATCGTGTACATGTTTTTATAAGACAGACAACCGACGCAAGTCTTAGACGGCTGCTATCAGTCTTGATCAGTTTAATCAGAGTATCAATCAGCTGATCCTTAAGGGGATGGGGATGCTCAGGTCCCACCCAGAATCTTACTGCTGCGGTCATGAGTAGTAGGAGTTGGGACACGACCACTGATGTCTCTGCGCTTTTCAAGTCCTTTTGTTTTGCATAATGTGAGAATGCGTTCTTTGTGAGATTTTTCAATGATAGCAGTCGCGTCTTGCGATCGGTCATGTTCCCATACTGACACAATTCCCAGAGAATAGGACCAGAATACTCGACCTCCGGTTCGGAGAAAATCTGCATTTTGCTCAATAGAAGAGGAAAATAATGAGCAATCACTCGAGGACTGATAATAATGCGGGGTGTCGCACTGAGAGCTGCGTTGAGCATGCGTAACGCAATGAGTCGGTGCTGGGGGCCTTCACGGCTACTACAAGCCAAAGAAAATAAAGAAGCAATTTTACTTGTGGGCACGTAAAATCCGTTAGCTTCCAAAATAACAGAGGCCGCTTTCAGAGATGAAAAGTTTGGTTTACTACCTTCACCAATAGAGTCCAGCAAGTAGCCTACCAGGTTGCGAATATTTTCACGTTTACTTTTTTCAAAAGGTAAAGTCACTAATGTCAGACGTAAGAATCGTTTTAGGAGCCAGGGATACGGTGCTTCTGATGTGTGCGTCTCCAAAAGCATACTAGACAACAGCTGCAACTGCTTTGAGCCCTCGGCGCTCTGGTTGAATACCAGGTCTTGAAGTAACTCAAGTCCAAGTTTTGACACGGTTGCTTCTCCATCTCCTGAAGCTCTGAGCAAGGCCTTCCAAGCAAGGATTTTCAGTTCATTAGAATCTGTCTGTAGAAACACTTCAAACAAGAATTTCGAACAGCGTTTCTTGTATGCGGCTAGCCCGGGACTTGTTAGTCGTGAAATAGCCTTTTCAATAAGGTTGATATTGGCATCAATGGATGTCACAGAAACATAACGAATGATAACCAGCATTGCACCATCACAAACTGAAGGTGGCCCATTCTGGATACAGAAAATGAGCTTTTCCTCAATTCGCTCGAAAAACGACGAATTCGTCTCAACACACTGCGCCATTAGCTTAAGAATTTCAACTTGGCTCTTATCTGCCACGTTGCCCTCGTAAGTGATGGCCAGCATCACCTCCATAATCTGTTCGTAGTAGTTTCCTATTTGCCATGTTCGCAAAATTTTGAACCATAATGACTGTGGTACACGTCTGTATCCAATATACGGCGGAGATTCAGTGGTCAAACGAGCATAAAATTCGAGATAAGAGACCGACTTACTAGGACGGGCACACAAGGTCGAGGCCAAAAAATTAGCAGTTGAGAGCTTCTGCATTCTCACCAGTTGATCAACAACAGTGCCCACTACTGATATATCAGGCTGGCTCTTGTATACGTGGTATAAAGCGCTTTGGACGGTCTTAAGTATGTCCAGTAAGAAAACCATGAATGAGCGCTGTTTCATGTATAGGGGGCTGGCGTGGAACAGAAGACTGATGAAACAGGATATAAATAATTGGCTCGCAGGCCACTCTGCAAAAGGCAATGCTGCTGCCATGTCTTCGACAAGACATTGGGTCAGCACTCTGATGGGGCTAGCTTTGGAGCTTGTGTGACACGCCTCAATAAGGAATTGAGAAAGCAACACACAATACTGAGTTGCCTCTTTATTAGCAGCTTGACATGCTTTCTCGAGAGTCTGTTTGTTTCTTGTTTCTGCGGCACGGTGCCACAGCTCCATAGGAGTTTGGCCGGATTTTTGAATGACTCGCAGAACCAGACCGACCACTACGTGGATGGAACCTGATCCTGGAGCAAAGGAAATAGCAAACCCCCGCCTCCACTTGCCGAGTTTTGAGAGATTATTACAGATGTCGTGTATAATTTCTTTTCTCATCTCGGGAAATGCAGAATAGCAGGCTACAACGAGGTCAGCACACTTTCTACGCGCCTGTTCAAGGACATTGACGCCGTCGTATTTTTTCGGAGCAACGGTCCACGATTGGAAACTAGGAGAAAATATCACAGAATACGCTGCCAACAGTAGAGACAGACTTTGTTGGTCGCTAATGCTCTTGTCTTCGATCAGTTTGACCCAGAAGCACATTACCCATTCGACACCAACAAATGCTTCTAGAGTTCCAGGAATCTCAATAACAACTTCTTTGAAAGCCAGAATAGCAGCATTTATATTTTTGATCGAGTTGAGATGGAGGGCATCGGGTCTTTTGAGGCGGTAGTGCAGTAACGTCTCGCAAGCAGCCAGACACATTGTTAAGTCGCCGTTCAAAAACTTCATAGCTTGTTCAACAATAATTTCAGCGTCTGCAAGGTCAATTGCTTTAGGATTCACGCTATTGAGGCTGCGGTTGAGGTCAATTAGCCGAGAAATAGTTTTTTCAGACAGAAACCGCTTGACTTTGATCTGGTAGAGGTTCGAAGCTACAGTAACGATTTCGCGAGGTGCAGCGGGCCGCAATTCTGGAGATAATTCAGAAGTCACTGATACACCGCAATCTTCATTTTCTTGTTGCGCAATCGGTTCGGGATCAGGTAGTTTGTCCAAAATTAGGCGCGCGAGATTTGGAAGCTCAGCCTCTGAAGCCTCATCTGAATCCCCGTTGAAACACCAGCTGAACGTGGGTACTTGCGCTAAATACCTTTCAGCAAGCTCGTCAAGATTATCTAGTGGTACATCGATGTTTTCGAGATCATAATCAAGAAAATTCACTGCGTGCCAAGTGGCTTCTGTTTTGGGTACTAATAGCGCAGCGGGGTCTAGTGGCAGCCCACCCAAAGGAGTATTTTTCAACAATACCTTGATATTGTCAAAATCAGGCTGTTCTGACATGGCCGTATTGTGGTGTCAGTCTGCGAAATCCTTAATTACACCTTTTTTATTCGAGCTGACGCGTTCTGGTTTCCCAAAAGTTTATTCATCGCATTTCGGCTATGTCTGGGCAGTTTCGAGCCAAAAAGGAACCATTGTTTGGTGCAGTGGACGACGAACTCTATAAATGGCTGGAAGTCATCTACTTGCAATACATTTCAGGTTGGTACCCCAATGTGTCGCCGAATGGCCATTTCGACCAGGACCTTGCTGATTTGCTAGTCAAGGCAGTTTCGGGATTGAAGGAGCGAGGCAAATTCTTGGACAAATTTCAAATGGTCAAGGAACTGACCACGATTCTGGACCACCACATCAGGGACGTTGAGTTTGTGCTGAACAGATCGAGAGTTAGTTCCGAACAGATCCAGACGTACCTTGCGATGAACTCGCACCCGGGAATGGTTGACGGGCAATTAAAACGAGAGTACCTGGATATACTGGCTACCCGACATGTCAATGGGATGTTTAGAGACCTTCCAGAGGGAATTCGGGCGCTGTTAATTGGATTGTTTGGGTTTGTGCTTTGGCAGGTAGTCGACCTTTTGAGCAACTCGTGGACTCTTTATCACCTGTTCATTTCGGTTCGGAAGAATTGTGCAGAAAATAGCAAAAACGATACCCCCAAGAAGAAAACTGAGCCGCACGGCCCGATATACCCAGATCTGGATGCCAACATTACGACATTTTTAGTGCATCGGGGGCACCCGTTGGTCAAGCTCGTTTACGACTCTCTTTGGTGGTTCCACGAAGGCATCAACGCACGCGTGAATGCTCTTGTGTTCAGAAGCTTGGAATCTGTTGACCAGACCCGGGTTGCTAAGCTGTTATGTCGTCTACGAAACAAGGTGTTTCCTAACGGCAAGCTGGTGCATTCTCAGCCACGTCCATCGCTACCGGAGCAAACGGAGCTTGAGATTGAGGCCCAATCCGCAGTCAGCTTTTTCGGAATGCCCCTGTTGTCTATGAAAACGCTACAGCACAAGGCTATTAACCAAAGACTATTGCTCTTCCTGCTAGATTACTTAACCACCACTGTCTGGCCACTCGACGATGTACGAAGCACCTGGAGTGTTTTCCTTCGAACCCCTGGAGAACCAAACGCTGTCTGATTTGTTCTGCTACGGTACGTTGCAAGATTGCACTGTAGATCTCACAGCGGGCCAACGCCGCAAGCTGCAGCAATTAACCCTCATCTCAATGGCTCGCGAACGGACGTGTATATCGTATCCTGACTTACAAACCCAGCTACAGCTGCCAGAGAGTGAAGTTGAGCCATTTTTGCTCGACGCAATGTCAGATGGAGCCATTACCGGATGTTTAGATGCCCAATGCGAAACATTGACGGTGTACTCGTGTGGGGTGCGTAATGTTCGTCCTGATCAGGTGCAAATAGCCAAAGCCAAGGTGGACAACTACCTCGACCGGCTCAGCAAAACGATTGCAACCAACACAGCGCGGCTCACACCGCAGGAGCCTTCTATGGGAGTTAAACGTAGATTAGAGGGCTGACATATTTATAGATAGGGCTTAATTTGCTCATGAATGAACTGCCACAGCCGCTCGCCGTTCTCGCCATTGGCTCCCTTTTCCACGTCGGGCCGGATGCGTCCTTTGGTACCAATGGGAATCCAGTAAGATCCGTTGTCTTCGGTGGTAATTGACGGATGGACGAGAGGATATACTTCCTGGTATCCACCGAAAATCGTTGGGCGACGGAAGTAGTACAGGGGATCGCGCACTTCACGGCAGATATCCGATACCAGGAAACCAGGGTGGACCGAGACGGAAACAATCCCGCTGTCTTGGTGATGCTTGGCCCACTGAACAGCCTGGTACACATTGATTGCCTTGGTCTGGCCGTAAATACCGAATCCGAATCTGTTTGGTGGGTTGTTGATATCGTCCCAGTAGATTCCGCCGTTCGGGGGGGAGACGTTGTGGGCAGACGATGCCAGCCAAATGATTCTTACTGAGTTTTTGGGAGCAGATTTGGCTGTCTTGATCATAATGGGGTCGAGAAGAGTTTGCACGAGCTGGCCGGCAAACGTGTTTACCACAAGAACCTCAGTGTAGCCAATATCAGTGAGGTGGGGGCCATTGTACTCAACACCGGCATTGTGGACAATGCCATCGAGACGGGTCTCAGCGTTCAGGAATTTCTGAATGGCTGGTTTGATAGTAGACAAGTCGGTGTAGTCCATTCTCAGGGCCTCGATCTTGGTATCGGGGAACTCGTCACGCAATTTGGCCAAGGAACCTTCGATTCTGGACGGTGTGCGGCCGGTAATGTAGACGGTGGCCTTCGTTCCGGCTAACAGGCGAGCAGTTTCAAAGCCTATGCCCGATGAAGCACCAGTCACGATGTACACTTTACCGGAGAGATGCGGGTAGTCCTTCTCGGTGTAATTGGCAGGCGGCCCGTAAACAAAGTCACGAGACAGCTCAATTCTAGTCTGAATGAAATCGGCGATAGCGCTAATCATAATGGCGTCGATACAAAATCCCCGCACGGAATTTATAATTGCATGTGGGGGATTTGTACGAAGGGGTGTAGGGACAAAGGACACGGGTTTAAAGATATCAAGGGTACAGGGACCATAGACAGGGTGTAACGAACGAGACACCAAGTAGAACGGTAGGGGCGGGCAAGCGAACAAATAAAGTATATCTAAGTAAATACCATGCTAATAAATGATTTACGCGTTCCAAATCTTCTTAACGGCACCGCTGATGCCCTCCTCCTCAGTCTCGATCTTGTAAACGCCGTAAAGAGCGCCGGCCGAGCCAATGTACAGCAGCCAGTTGCAGAATATGTGGCCACGGGGAAATTTGCGGGTGGGGATGTAGTCGGTGATACAGGACTGGAAGCCGGTGATGCAGTGGGCAATCAGCAAGCCGCCGAACAGGGCGTCAACCGCGGGAGACAGAGTGCCGGTAGCAACAGGCAAAACGGTGAGGGGCACCAGACTAACAGCCACCAGACGCTCAAAGGTCCAGTGGTAAGAGCCGTGAACGGCGTCGGGGGCAGGAGTGGGAACAGCGTCGTTAACCGTGCCAACAATGTTTCCAGGCGGCTGGGGAAGACCGTATCCCTCAAAAAGACCACGGCGAGAAATCATGACGGGAGAGGCGACAACAGATCGCAGAGCGGGGCGAACAGACGAACGCAGAGCAAGCCGAGACACAGCCAGCATTTTTTTATTACGGTTTGGTAGGTAGAAAGCCCTGGGCCGGTGACAAATCTGGGGAAGTATGAACTGCCTGTGATTGGTCAACGGTAATAGAACGGGGTTGGGCAGGGTCGGAAATAGTCGAAATTTCGGACTGGGCAAAAATGGCAAATAAAGCCTCGACGGAGATCAAGAGTCATCCAGAAACGTAGTGCACCGGAAAAAAAGCTTCGTACGCTGGAATGACGGTTCTGGAAGGGTTACCCTACCGAGTTCGCTTACAACCAATCAAGCTTGCGAGTTGGTCATCTTTTCACCAACTTCCTCAAAAATGCTGAGATCGTTTACTCGGGCGGTAGCTCGCCAGTCCGTGCGGGCTCGCGGGATGCAAACCTTCACTTACGAGTCGCCAAAGACTCTGACGACTACCTTGCCTAATGGTCTTACCGTGGCCTCTGAGGCCCAGCCATCGGCCCAGACCGCTACCGTCGGAGTGTGGATTGATGCCGGCTCGCGCGCTGAGCACGAGTACAACAACGGCACGGCCCACTTCTTGGAGCACCTTTCGTTCAAGGGTACCAAGTCGCGCACCCAGCAGCAGTTGGAGCTTGAGATTGAGAACATGGGTGGCCACCTGAATGCCTACACCTCTCGCGAGAACACAGTGTTCTACGCCAAGGCTCTCAAACAGGACGTTCCCAAGACCGTTGAGCTGATCAGCGACATTCTGCAGAACTCCAAGCTGGAGGCCTCTGCCATCGAGCGCGAGCGCGACGTCATCCTTCGCGAGGCAGAGGAGGTCGACAAGCAGTACGAGGAGGTGTTGTTTGATCACCTGCACTCTGTTGCTTTCCAGGGCCAGCCTCTTGGCCGTACTATTCTCGGCCCCAAGGAGAACATTTTGGACATCTCCCAGGTCGAGCTCAAGGACTACATCACCCGCAACTACCTTGCTAACCGCATGGTTCTCGTGGGCACTGGCGCCATCGAGCACCAGGAGCTTGTCAAGCTCGCCGAGCAGCACTTTGGCAAGCTGCCCTCTGGTCCCAATGTGGAGGTCGGTGCTGGCTCTGTTCGTCCCGGCGACGTCTCCAGCTTTGTCGGCTCCGAGGTCCGCATCCGCGACGACACTCTGCCCCAGGCTCACATTGCTCTTGCTGTCGAGGGTGTCTCTTGGAGCTCCCCTGACTACTATGCTGCCTTGGTTTCGCAGGCTATTGTCGGCAGCTGGGACCGCATGTCCTCGGTTGCTAACAACCAGGGCTCCAAGTTGGCTTCGATTGTTGCCCAGAACCACCTTGCCAACTCCTTCATGTCTTTCAGCACCTCCTACTCTGACACTGGTCTCTGGGGTATCTACCTTGTGTCTGAAAACGTCGACAACCTCGACGACCTCGTCCACTTCACTCTCAAGCAGTGGAACCGCCTGTCTGTGTCCGTGACTGATGCTGAGGTCGAGCGGGCCAAGTCTCAGCTCAAGGCCTCTCTGTTGCTTTCTCTTGACGGCTCCACCGCCACTGCCGAGGACATTGGCCGCCAGCTGGTCACCACCGGCCGCCGCCAGTCTCCCGAGGAGGTCGAGCGCGCCATCAACGCCATCACCGTCAAGGATGTTAAGAAGTTCGCCGACCAGTATATCTGGGACCGCGATCTCGCCATCGCCGCCATGGGCCCCATTGGCGAGCTCCCCGATTACTTGCGTATCCGTAACGATATGACCATGAACCGGTGGTAAATGTATAGTGAGTAGATCGCTAAAGTCTAAGTAAAAAGAAAAATACAACTCGGTCTCACGAAATTATTAGTGATTAAGATTATTTAGGCATTATGCAATAAAAAAAGTTATGAGAGTTAGGCCTCTTCTTCCTCCTCGTCGTCCTCGTCTTCGTCATCTCCGTCGAACTTGCTTTCCATGTGCGATCTCCACATGAGATAATGCGGCCGGAACACAGATCCGATTTTTGTCATCCAGCGGGTGCGCTTGTCGAGGGCCGCTCGGGTTGCGGGCTTTTGATCCACGACCTTGGCGACTGCAGTGGTGCTGGGAGCCGGCGAGGCTTCGGCCGGAGCATATGACGTCTTCTTCTTTTTGGATTTGGGCACCCGGAGCCGTTTGAGATAAACCTGATCAACCTGTTTGTCCAGGTCGTCCAAAATAGATGTGTATTCTTGCCATGCCATTTGCTCCTGGACATGCGGTAGTAACCGCCGCTTATATTTTTGGTTTTTTGCTGTCACAACCCGGAGTTTGGCCTGCAGCTCGCGCATCTCTCGGCACACCTCATCATCCTCTGCACCGTTGTTCCAGTCTAGTTCGAGATCATCACTGTCCACGCCCATATCGTTTGACGAATCGATGGCAAGCTTGAATTGGTGTCTGTTTTTCACATCTTGACGTAAAATGTTCATATCGAGAATCCCCACGTATCTGAATTCCCGCATCAATCGCTCTTCTAGACCGCTAAAGCTGGCAAGAACCTGCTTGGCAGCCGCAGCGGACTCGGCAGAGAGCGCATCGATGGATTCGGGGGTGATTTGGGTGATTGACGGAGGCATGGGGGTGCTTTCTTCCTCTCCTCCGTCTTCGGGCAGAATGGCCGACATTAGTCGGGCGGTCAGGGGACCAACCACAACACGACCGGTCTCAACGTTCATATCACTGATGTCGTGTGCAGACCCATGAGCAATGTACTGGTCGGGATCCACGGCCCGCGGTGCAGGGGTCACGTTGTACGACGGATGCTGGTGATGGTGACGGTCTTCCTCAGCCCATACGTCTGTATAAAGCGGCCCAAGTGGAGGAATAACATAAGGGGATATAGTTCTACCGAACGAGACAACTTCTGTGCCCACTGTGCGTTGCTGAAGGAACGCCAGATCCTCTTCGTTGAACAGACGAAAGTAGGGCTCTAAAAAGGCAGCAAATGTCGTTCCCTGGACCTGATTGGGCGGCTTTGCTCGTGTATAATCTTCGTCTGGTATAGGACCCGGCAAGAAGGGGCTCAAATCCTGAGCGGGATACGATGCGACACCATATTTAGCCTTTAGATCGTCGTCGCCGGCTGTGTCGTCGAATAACCCGAGAGCAGAGATAGGCAGCACCTGGGACGCAACAAACTCCGACTTGGGATTTTGAACGAACTTTGAACTGCCGTTTGTGCTCGCCGACTGGGCGTTTTCATCAAGGTTATCCGCGTCGTCCGAGACGCGACTGACAGGTCGGTCTTCGGCAGCCGAATTGCCACTCTCGCCCGCCGGGTCGTCTGCCGGTGGTGCATCTTCCATTTCGACATCCTTGGCACCCGCCGGCAGGTCCTGTTGCTGTCTTCGTTGGCGCTCATGCACGACGGTATTGGTGGTTTTCGTCAACTTGGTGAGCTGGGCGTCGAGGTGCTGGACGTTTTCTTTCGTGCTAACCACCAGCTTCTCCAGGTACTGCTGGGCTTTTGCCAAGACCGATTCCTCAGGTGGGCCGTCGACTAGGCCAACAAGCTGGCCTAGAATATCTGCAACCTCTTCTCGACGACGCTTCGCCATGACTAAGCAGAAAGTGTCGGGGTAGAATGCAACTAGGGACTGCAGGCTTGGGACTTCGTTTTGAGTCATGAAAGTTAAGAATATAGAAACTATATAGAGGCCGAGGGGAAGTAGTAGGTATCGAGCAGATACAGGTAGTCGTGCACAAGCACGCTGAACATATTAAGAAGCGGCACGCGGTTGAGCTTGTTGGCAAACCCAACGATAAACGGCCGGGTCAAGCTATTGTACAGGGGGTCGCGAAGGGCCCAGCTCCAGAGACTGGAGGTCTTGCGTTTGAGTTGCTCGAGCTCCACGCTGCTCACGGAATTGCGGCCGGCCGCAGTGAATCCTTGAGCAGAGAGCTGACGACCCAAAACCTCTAATAGCACGCCGGTCAACCAGGGCGTCCAGGACTGCTTGTTTTTACGGTATTTGTAGGCGAGCAAAGAGTAGATCACGGGACGGAGAATAGAAAGCAGGTCGCCAGCGAACGTCTTGGCCTGAAGCTTTCTTATAAGCTGAGCCGCGGGGCGCAGGTCTTCGGCCTTTAGCATTTTGGCCGCCATGGTCTCGCGGGCAAATTCGACATTGAGCGACGCCTCCAACGGGGGGAAGGTTTTACCGCTGCGTTCAAGTCTTTGCGGGATGGGTGGCTTGGGGCCTTCTTGCAGGGCAGCTTCCGCAGGGTTGTCGACCCCAAGAACAAGCTGCTCAACTGCCTCTGGATCCATTTCCCGCTCGAATACTGGTGGCATGGCAACTGGACGTTGGGCAATTGCAAGCAACAGAAGCCTCAGCACGGCCTTGACACTCTCCACGCCAGTAACAGCCTTCCATCGCCCATCTTCACCGCCCTTCTGCCGGGCCAGCATCTCAATTAGCAGCTCAGTGCACCGTACTGCACTCAAAGTATACGCGACGGCTGCGTATGATTTTGACTCCTCCATCTGTGCCTTGATGTACCTGGCATGCGGGGAAAGGGGCAGCTTTTTCTCTGCCAGCACGCGTGCGACGATGCCGCTGTGATAAACACCCAGACCCTGCAATAGCGAGCCTGCCGCCTCAGACACGAGCTCGACGTCGTTGTTCTGGCCAGGTGCAAACAGCGTCAGCATTCTGACCACATTTTCGGCGTTAGCCATGTAACTGGAGTTGGCCACGAGCCAATTCTCGAAACCAGCCATTCTCTCCGCACTTGAACTGAAAACGTTAATCAGCAGAAACGAAAACCCCACTACCCGCTCTCTAGGGCGTACCCTTGCCCTGGGCACCCCCCCATCCCCCCATTCGGTGTCCCAACTCACAAATCGAGACGAGAATCGCCCTGGCCCCCTCCCAGAGCAATCTCGATTACATAGCGCCTGATCTTCAATCTTCAGTCAGCAGTCACTCCTCGTTTGGGATAACTCACCAGTTTCGTTGTCGCCAACGAGGTAAAAAAAAACGGAAAAGCTGGCATGAATAGCGAATTACCGCCTAGTTCGCAGGGTCTCCCCTCTCAGAATTTCCCCATGGGAGTGCAGACGCAAGCAGTTCAGCCCAATTCGCCTCATTTGCCAGGCCAGGCTGCGCCGCAAATGATGGGCAGCCCAAACGTACAAACAGGCTCGCCGCGGTCCCAAGTGCAGCAGCAGCAGTCAGTTCCCGAACCGCTGGACAACGAATATGTGACCAAGGGCAAGTACGGGATCAAGGACTTTGATATTATGCGCACTCTGGGTACTGGCTCGTTTGGGCGAGTGCATTTGGTGCGCAGCGTGCACAACCAGCGGTTTTATGCCATCAAAGTCCTGAAAAAGAGCCTAGTGGTGCGGATGAAGCAGGTGAACCACACCAACGACGAGCGCCGGATGCTGAAAAAGGTCAACTTTCCCTTCTTCGTGCGTCTGTGGGGCACGTTTCAGGATGTAAACAATCTGTTTATGGTCATGGACTTTATTGAGGGCGGCGAGCTGTTCAGTTTGCTGCGCAAATCGCGGCGGTTTCCTTCGCCAGTCGCAAAGTTCTATGCCAGTGAGGTAGTACTTGCCCTGGAGTATTTACACAGCCAAGACATCATTTACCGCGATCTCAAGCCGGAAAACATCCTTCTCGACAAGCATGGCCATGTCAAGATCACAGACTTTGGGTTTGCAAAGGAAGTGCCCGACGTGACGTGGACGCTATGTGGAACCCCGGATTACATCGCACCCGAAGTGGTGGCCTCCAAGCCTTACAACAAATCTGTGGACTGGTGGTCGCTGGGTATTCTTATTTTCGAAATGCTCTCTGGCTACACGCCGTTCTACTCACAATCCCACATGAGAACATACGAAAAGATCCTCCACGGCGAAGTAACCTTCCCTTCGTATCTATCTCCCGTCGCCATTGATCTTCTCAAGCGACTAATTACCAAGGATCTGACTCTGCGTCTGGGCAACCTCAACGGAGGCGCCGCTGACGTCAAGGCACACCCTTGGTTCGCCGAGGTCAATTGGAAAAAGCTGCTGGCCAGAGAAATTGAAACTCCTTACGAGCCGCCAATCCAGGTTGGAGCTGGTGACGCTTCGCAATTCGAACACTACGCTGAAGAAAATTACAGCTACGGCCAGGCGGGTGACGACCCTTATGCAGCTTACTTTGTTAACTTTTAGCGGAAAATATATACTTCAGCCCTATCTAAATAAAACGGAAGGAAATAAGCGTAATTAGTAGTAGTACAAATATATGCTCATGTGGCTGGTAGAGACGGGGTTGACGAAACCGATACCGCTCCGGACAGGGCGTCTGAGCACGTGGACTTGGGCGCCGGATATCCCTCGGTCGCCGCTTCGCAGACCCGGATGCTTCGGCCCCATTCTGAATTAAGTACCTGTTTCGCAGTGATCCGTCGGGATGGAACGGGGTCGAGGATGGAATAAATAACGTACACGCATTTTTGCGGGGACAATCTCTCGATAGGCGCGTATCCGTCGCTTTTCTTGCGGTCGACTAGATACCGGCGATAGTTGCCATCTTCCTCGGGAGCGGTGGTTCGCCAGAGATAGGCGCCCGTCCGCATCACCATATAAATAATACCTGTGGCCCAGATGTCCACAGCACGAGGGTCGAACGGCTTGTCTTTGAACTCTTCAGGGGCAATGTAGGGCCCGGAGCCCGTGACGCCTTTGCTGAAATGAACATCTTTTTCCCAAGCCATGCGGAAACACTCGCCGTTGCCAAAATCAGAGATCTTGACGGTTCCATTGGAGGTAAGCAAAATGTTTTCTGGCTTTAGATCACAGTGGGCAACGCCCATGGAGTGCATGTACACTACGCCTCTCATGAGCTGCTTGAAAAAACAGTCGGCCTCAGCAGCTTTGAGACCTGTGCCCGACGAGATAATCAGCGAATACAGGTCGCCACCGGGACAGAACTCCATGACCTGGCAAAAGCCGCCATTGGGATCTTTCATGAGATCTAAGGTCTCAATGATATTCGGGTGACGCAGTTGAGAAGAAATGCAAAACTCAGACATGAGGCGGTCTTGGAACGTGTTTTCGGCCTCAGCCGTCCGTTTGCGGAACTCTTTAACCGCATAGAGTTTCTCATGGCCTCGGCCGTCTGACTTGTGGGCCACACGCACCGTGCCGTAAGAGCCCTTGCCGACGATTTCCTGACATTTGCCGTACTTCGAAAACATTGACGCTGTAGCTTCCCGAACCTTGACCGCGTAGTCGCGCTTTCCGGGTCGCACTTTGGTGCCCTTGGAGACGGAAGCGCCATTCACGTTTCCGACCTCCACTTCGCCCTTGGCGACCCGAGAAACCAGGCCGTTCATGAGACTGAGGTCCTGGGCGTCCGCAGAGGCGGGCTCCTGGGCGAACTCGGGCACCGCAGACACTGCGTCGTCACCAACCTTCGACCCAGTGCCCATAATATCCCGGAGCATGCGGGTCAGCTTCTCCTGACGCCGCGCATTGCGCAGAATATGCGCGTGCCTGCCATCGTCGAGCATTTGGAAGCGTCCCGAAGGATCCCGAGTGGCTGGGCGTTTGGACGGGGCCGTCGAGGACGCCAGAGAAGTGAGGCTGGGATTCGGACGCAAGTACGCAGAGCTAGAGGAGCTGGGAGCGACCGAAACGCCCGGCGAGGCAATGCGTTCGCTCATGACCGGTGACAAAACACCGTCTGAGCTGTGCGACGACGCACCCGACCCCAAAGGCGTGGGGCAGTCGGGTCCGGGAGATTCGGCCTTTTTCCAGTTGGTAAAAAGCTTGGCTAGGTGGCCCATTTGCGAATTTCAACAATCTAAAAAGCACAAGTGCTCGAGACAACAAAGTCAAACGCGGAGTTTGGCGTCAAGAAAGCTTGGTTTTACTGAAAAATAAAAGTGAGAGAAAACCTTTTCTGTTGATGCCTTAGAAAAATTAGCCCTCCCCATCGGCTCTGATTACGTACTGGGATTTAGGGCGCACTTGGGTGGGGGCGCCCATTCCCGTTTCGGAGGCATCAGACAAGGCGAGAGCCGCATTGGGACATTCCCGAGCCGACGGATGAGTGATACGGGCTAATAAAAAAATAACAATTAGATAGAATGCAGGGCTCAAAATGGGGGTGTTTGGAGGATGAGCCGAAATTTACAGGAAGAGGGTGTCTTTTTGCTCAATGTTGTCGCGGCGTGCTTCTGCCGCTGGTGTGTGATTCTGAGTGGGACAGAGCGGTCATTTCAATGGCCTGCTCTTCATCAAAAAGCACTTCCTCATCGAACGACTTGCGGGTCTTGATTGGCTGGGGCAAGCCGTACTCGACATGGCCGTAGGACCAGCGACCGAACTTTCCTGGCTGCTTTCTGGGCAGAATAGTTTCCTGGCAGATGTAGAACACGCTCAGGCTGAGGATTGCCCCCGCGATTAGATCGATAAAGTAGTGATGGGTCAAATACATGGTCGACCACCAGATCCACATAACGTAAATGGCAAAAACTGGCCCCATTGAGGGGAAAAGATAGGTCATAAAGCAGGCCTCCATGACGGCGGAGCCAGAATGCAAAGATGGAAAGGCTCCAAACACCTGGGGAGACGCTTCGAACGCGCTGGTGTACATGTCAACCCCCAGCAGCAGATCCACCCGGTGCAGCCCTCCAGCAGATCCTTTCATGCCGTAGTAAGCCTTTTGAAGGCCGTACAGCGTTTGGTACCACGGCGGTGCGGTAGGGAACAGGATCTGAATAAAAACACCAGCAATGTTCATGTATCCAAAAGCGAACATAAAGACCGGAAGCAGCGTTGGGGGGCCAAACACAAAGCAGAAAATGGAAATTACCACTGGAGCACCGTAGTGGCAGAGCCCGTAGGGGATCCAGGCCAGGATGTCCAGAAAGGAGTTGGTTTTAGCCGCCAGCGTAGCGCTGAGGTTACCGCCGTAAAAAATTGTCTCTAAACCAGGCAACACGCGGACAAAAATGCTGGGTCTCCAAGCCGGAGGAATATATCGACAAGAGTAGAACAAAATCAGCCACGTAGCCGTGGGCAGGAAATTTAAAAAAAACTGGCTCAATGCCGGCACCGTCACGAGATATAGCAGCACCAGAGCGATCAAAAGCCTGTATATGGGCGAAGGCGCGTCACAGATAATGAAACAAAACAGAAGAAGCGGCAAGAGGAGGATATACTGGCTGTCGCGGGCCCTCCATCGGTGACGCTTGAACCGGCGCACACCCTCAGATAATGAGAACGATCTCTCAAGGCCAAAAGCAGCATTCCCTGGAGGTGCGTCTGCTAAAAACGCTGCCTTGATTCTAGCAAAAACCACCATGTCGTGGATGAGATTTTTTGTCTTTTTGGAATTTTTTTTCCTGCTATTCTCCGGGTTACCGTTTGCTTACTCAGGACTCCTCTCAGGTCTGCTTTTACGCCGAGTTACGTGCCTTAATAATGACAGCCAGGCAGAGCGGGGGGTGGCCGAGTGCATAGTGGTATAGAGTAGAGCAGTTTGCTACATAGAGTGTTTGGACTTTCGATCACGTCGTAAAATTGAGGGGCTGTGAGCAGAGTATGTGCAGATCAGTCCTGGGTTTAGCCAGGTTGCCATCACGTGCCGGTAGTGATTGGTCACTAGAACCCAAAGCCTAGTGATAATAATAACTGATTAAACTGGCAGCTGAAAACTTGCAGCGTTATTCTCGCCGAGCATGAGTTTTGCTAGTCTCACTAAGGGACCCGCTTAAGCGACCTGCTGCAACTCGATAAGAGCAGGCACCCGCTACCGGTTTGCCCTAACCCATGCCGTTCGATAACCCGCCCTGCCGCCTTGTTTGGTTTGTGACTGAGTCAAAAGACACCTACCGATTGGGTTTTCATAATTCGTATATTCATAGCTAAATGGGTTAAATGACGGATACACCGCAAGCTACATGGGCTACTCCTCTAGCTCGGGGCGAAGGTGCTGAGAATTGGAGTGGCGGCGGGATCCGGCTAGGTTGAACTTGCCTGACTTTTCCAGAAAGTCAATCTCGTCCATTTCGGTCCCCCAGTTATGACGACCAGCGCCATTCTTTTTTATTTTGTGGGGGTCCTCATTGTAAAAGCTGTGCTTGCCAAAGTACTTGGGCAGGCTGCTTTCACTGGCAGAGGAGCTTCGACGAGTACGGGCCATGGTTGATTGTGTGGATTGGGGGGTTCGCTGGTTGGTTTGGTTTAGTTGTTCAGTTTGTTGGGATGGGATTCCCAGCGAGACCCTGGCTTTTATATGCATTCGTATGCAGCGGCCAACGTAATCCGACGTCATCATGGCTACAAGTCCAGTGATCTGCGATAAGAGGAGGGCTTAAGGCCTCAGCGATTATCTGGGGCATTGTTCCGTAGAGCCCATCCCAATTGGCTGCCCCTGGATGTGTGCCTGCTTTCCGCGAAGTCTAGAGGACCCCCAAAGTCGCACGGCCGACTCTCTGCCGATTCACGTGAGCTCACCGATACACTCAGCGGAAGGATTGGGGTTGGGCGCTGCTTCTGACCAGCCCCTGCGTGATGATAAAACTAGCGAATAGATACAATATATTTAGGTATATTCCCACAAAACAATAATTTGAGCCGATTGTATGTAGAGCCCGCTGCGGGGAAAGCGCATATGTGGGGTAACTCCCCAGCAGAGTTTAAATTCGCTCAATCGGCGGTTTCCCAACCCGTACTGTCCACGTCAACGGCCAGTGCTTGGGCGAGTCCCAAAACCCTTAAATCGGGTTGGCTTGGCCCTGCCCTGCCGCGATTCTCTTTACCAAGCTGCCTCGGGACCCTATCCCCTGGTAGTCATTCTATTTGTAATACTCCGGTTCCGCTTGGGACGATTTTTTTCCATCTCACAATGACGGCAGAGCAGAGAGTTCTTTTAGTTGTGACCGCGGACTTGGTGAGTTCTGTGGACAAAATTAAGCAGCTCACTGCAGAATACCCGAATGCAGATGTCCACCAGCAGCTTTTGGAGCGCCTGGAGGTCTCTGCGGTACATATCCCGCCACAGAGCTTCGACTTGGTGCGCATTGTCGGTGCTGAGCGCACCGAAATCGGTGGCACGGCAGCCAGTGCTATTTATGATGCCATGAAGCCCAATGCGCACTTGGTTGGCGCCGTGAAAAACGAGTCCGTGCTTGTTCTGAACGGACTCGTCAAGGAGGGCGACAAGTGGACTAAATACGTACAGAAAGCCCCAACTGTGTTGCTCAGTCGCAAGCCCAAGACCGGAACGTCCAACAATCTATTCAAGCGCAAGTTCGATCGCGCGCCGCCGAGCGCCCTGAATGCCGATTTGCCGCCGCTCGACAAGATGGAGTCATCGCCTGAATCGGACCTTATTGACGAAGATGATCTCGTGGATGGCGCCGATCCCGCGCATGTGTATCCGGCCAAATGTAATCCGGATGGAAAGCGCCGCAGAGCATGCAAAGACTGCACATGCGGGCTCCGGGAAATCGAAGAAAAAGAGGAGGCCAGCGCCCGCCAGCGACAAGCAATCATTCTTACCTCTGACGACCTCGCCGAGATTGATTTTACGGTCCCTGGCAAGGCTGTAGGTGGATGCGGCTCTTGTGCCCTCGGAGATGCCTTCCGATGTGACGGCTGCCCCTATTTGGGATTGCCTCCTTTCAAGCCCGGAGAAGTCGTTTCTCTAGACCAATTTGGAGACGACTTTTGATCCCTCGTAAAACAAAAAGAGCTTAGCTACTATCTATAGTGTATTTATTCTCATTCACTTGACTTCCAAATCTCCACTTTTTGTCATCATGTCCAAGATTTTGCGAAGGTGGATCAACTACTACTCGCTGTTTCCAAAAACATTGGCAGCAGGTCCTCCTCCTAAGGGGCCGTTCGAAATTGACACCAAGTCTCTACGGAACGAATACCTCAAGGCACAGCAGCAAGCTCACCCAGATGTAAACAGTGGAGCCACCGCCGCCGACTCGGCCACCCTTGGCTCGGCGTATCGTACATTGTTGGACCCATTGCTACGATCACGGCATATTCTTGAGTTACAGGGCTCCACCGCAGTTGGTGAGGATGCCAGTTTAGACGACGAGGAGCTGTTGATGAATATATTGATGGTCCGGGAAGAAGTGTCCGAGTGTGAAGACCCCGCTGAGAGAGCAAAGCTCGAGCAAGCAAACAATGAGAGGATTGAAAGCACTATACACAAGATTTCGCAAGCCTACTCTGAAAATGATCTTGAGACTGCCCAAAAGGCAACCATTGAACTAGGCTACTGGATCAAACTTCGTGCAGCTTTCCATGGAGAAGACTAGACGAATTTACGAGATTACAAGGTTCAGGTAAACGTGAGCCCGCTATAATGACTAAAAAGCAATGTTTAAAAACACGACAAACAAGCAAAAACTCGAACGGGCTGTCATTTAGAACCAGCCGTACTTTCCGGTGCAGACCCACTCACAGTCCTCAGGAGCGACAAACATGGGCCAGGAATCTGTACGTTCGCCAAACTCGAAGTCGATGTTGGCCTCTTTCAGGGCAGTCGCAAAGGCGTCGGGATCGCTCAATGTTTCCTCGAAAACCTTGACATCGATACCGTAGGCCTCGGCTTCGTTCAAAGCCGCCTTGAAGAGTTCGACCAATTCATCCACAGGACCATCCATACCAACAATGTACAAAGCCTTGCTGCCAAAGAAGGGTGCCCAGACGGCCCAGGCATTTTTAGTGACGGCGCCATAAGAAGTAACGGGGGCCTGGTTCATGCTGCTGCGGTGATGATCGGCACGAACAAAGAGCTGTTCGTACATTCCCTTGTGCGGGACAACAGCAAAACGGGTCTTGCCGTCAGCCTCAACAAGCTCGTCCACCGTGGTCTTGACTTGGGTGACATGCCTGGGCAGAAGCTTCTGCACCGCCTGGTCTTTAGTGACCAAAGTGACGCCTTTGGCGGTGGTCTTGGCGGGTTTTGCATGGAACTGATCGCAATTCGCACGCTTGTAGCCGAATCTAGCATAATAATTGCCAACATCTGACCACAATGTAACGATTCCGTCTTTTCCGTGCTCTGCAGTTACCCCGGAAAGCAGCTCAGCTGCATATCCTTTGCCCCGATAAGCACTGGGGGTAAAAACACTGGCCACCACGAACTCGGTGACTTCCTTGCCTTGCTCTCCCTTGGCTTTGCGATAGGCAGGACGCTGCAAACTCTCGCACCCACTGACAATGGTGCCCTGGTCGTCCTCGAGTTTCCAGGTGCGGAAGACAAGCCCGTTGGCCTTGTGGCTGTTTTCCAGCGTCATGTCCCGGTCAAGATACTGGTTCATGGTATAATTGTCCATCCATGCCTCGGAATTATTTCTCCTGGTCTGGAGAATGTCCTCGCGGGCCACTGCTTGTGCAAATTTAGTCATGAAAAACCGTTGAGAACGGCGGCAGACATTTCATAAGGTGGGGCAAATCAAAGGATCATGAAAAGATGCATTAGGGGAAATTACATAGAAGATTATAGAAAGAACCAGCTTTATTTTGAAGAGGAGAGCAGGCGTCGGGGAAAATTAACCGACCACAGCCTCTTCTTCAATCGCAGTTGCCGCCTCTGTCTCCTGGGGACCTTGAGACTTGTCTTGGCCAGGGGTCTGGCGAAGCCACTTCATACGGGGACCAGCCCGGCTTTTTTCCGCAATGTTGAAACCAAAAATTTTGAGTTGGAACGGCGGCGACTGTTCCCGGATTCGTCGGCACTCTTGCTCGACTTTGGGGTATGTTTCCAAGAAAAATGCAGGAAAAGATGACCCGAAAAACGCCCCGTCGATATTCAGAAAACGGGAGTTGGAGGGTACGTAAATGTCTCTGCAGCAGGGGCAGTATAGTCGTACGGTCTCAAACCCGGGGATGTCCAGGCGTCCCATGGGCAGGACTGCTGTGTTGCGGCACTGGTAGCGCGGGCAGGTGCCGAAGTCTCTGCAGGCGTATTTGTAGGCCATGGACTGGAGTCCGGGCCTTGTGATGATGAAACGGGCGTGGATCAGCCCGTACAGAAGCTCGCCACTCTCTTCAATTGTCGGGATCTCGGGCAGAGGAACTGGCACCTCCGGCTCAAGGTCGAGAATGAGCTCCAACGCCTCCTTGTACCGGGGCACAAGCGAGTTGAGGCCCGTGAGATTGAACTCGTCCTCCATGAACGACTCGCTCACTTCGCAAAAATACTGGTGGTTCGCCATCTCGCAAAACTGGCTCACCCATGAGTCTTCAATCGAGCTCGAAGACAGATAGAGCTCTTCGTTTTCGGTCATGATGCTGAGTCAGTGGGCTCACTGGAGTTTTTTTTTCGTCCTTTTATGTCACCGACCGGTGCGGATCCCCTCGCGTTGAAACATCAAGTAGATCAATTGAGTTGCTGTAAATAAAAAAAAGTACATGCATTTCCCAGAGGACCGCATGTTCCCATTGCTCGGCCGTGTGGGACCTCAATAATTTCTCCGCCGCCGCTAGATAATCAAGCATCCTCCCACTATGAGCCTCCTGATCAACCTGGCGTTTGTGGCTTTATGGTTCCGGCTTTTGTCGATCCTGACCACCACGAGAGTTGCGGAATTTCTGTGGCAGGTCCTGTCCAAAGTATCTACGGACGAAAAGGTTCTGGAGTTGCGGGCAACTCGGAGCCGACTGGTTGAGGTCCGTCAAGAGCGCACAGAAACATCGTCTAAGGACGAGTTTGCAAAGTGGGCCAAGCTCGACCGCGAATACAACAAACTCAAAGCTCGCATGGACCTGTTGAACGCCGACGTCGGCCGCTCAAGAGCGTCTCTCCAGAACTACGTTCGCACTGCCAGATGGCTTCTTTCATCCGGCCTGAAACTATATTTGCTGTGGAAGTACTCCTCCCGCCCGGTCGTTTGGCTTCCGAGAAACGTGCTCCCCCGTTTTGTCGAATGGGTGCTGTCGTTCCCCAGGGCGCCCATGGGATCTATTTCGGCAAGCTGGTGGTTGACCATCGTCGATCATGGGCTGTCGGCGGTGACCGAGCTGATCAAGTGATCTAGAAAAAATAGGGACTCTCTTTTCAAAAATCAAAAACGTTTAATTATTTACCAAAAGCCATGTTTTTTGCCCCACGTCAAAACATCGAAAGCAGACTTCACTTTGAACGGGCTAAACCGTCGCTTATTACTGATATCAAGGGTGCTAGCAAGATTTTGTAGACGTGTGCGGTAAACATTGTCTGATCTATGCTTTGGAGCCGCCTGGCTCTGGTCCAACTTATCAAGAAGTTTCAATACAATGTAGTGTAACCATAGAACATTGGTTCGGGGCTCGAACAACGACCAGTCCGGAACCCGCTGGTCGGGCGATTCAGATACCAGCAAGCGCTGCATGTATCGATAAATATCAAATTGGTAGTCTCCTTTGCCTCGGAAAAAGTCTGGGTGGTCTAGCCGCGTATAAAACACCTGCTGGTTGGAGGAGCGGGCCCGACTCAGGGTAAAGTCGATGATGCTCGTCTTGAGTCCACTACTCAGCCTTTGGATAACAACATTACCCCAATGCAAGTCCCGATGCTCAAACTCGATCGTACCCTCGGCAGTAGTGAGTGCCCATAGGATTTGTTTGAAAATATCGAACGCCTCGTGAGCACTATGGAGACGGAAGGTTTCCAGAGCCTCGCCTGCATGCTCCATAACGAGAACACAATAATATTGATCGCTTTCGTATCGAGGGCGAGCGTTCTCAGAAATGTTCGCTGCTGCAAACGCGTCCCATGCATCCAACAGAGTGCCGTCGTATTCACCTTGAACAACATGAGCAGCCAAAAGCTTGGCAAACCCATCATGGGCATTCACAAGTTTGCTGATTTGGATTTCTTGCATTAGCTCATGAACAGGCGTTTGGTCTAGGCTTCCGAATGGCACAATTTTGTACACCAGTTTACCAGCAGCAAAAACTTCGGAATATGAGGCTTCACCGATCTTCTCAATGGGCCCGTGCTCATTGAGTTCCGCCTCTACAAATACACCAAACGGCCGAACTGAAGAGTGAGAGCAGATCTCCAAAAGGCCGTCCAACTGGCTTTGGGCAAACTCCTGGTTTTGCCCGTGGGATCCATCCGGCCCGAGAGAAAGCAGCGACTGCGAAGTCTTCATTTTGTTGGTCATTTTCTCTCTGGTCACCAAAGAGGGAGTCGGTAGTGAGATCATCGAGCCTTGAACCCGGTTGTTCTCTTTAGGGCTCTGAGAAAACCTGAACAACGAAGTGCTGGATGATGAAAAAGACACAATAGACCGGCGAATGTCTTGGATTGTAGAGGACCTGCGAGCGGGGTTCGAAATACTGCTTGTGGACGACTTGGTCGTCAATCCCAAAAATGAGCGCCGCGATCCCGGGGTCCGGCTATCTGCGGTAGCTTGAGTCCTCGACGTACTGCTTGTGCGCGTGGACACGGAAGACATGGGCCGGTGGGACAACGACGATGGTGACCGAACGTGATGTAGAGGCTGCGACGGCTCGTGTAGTTGCACCGGACTGCTTGGAAGAGGAGGGGTGTTCAAAATTTCGGTTTTAGCCGCGGCTGCCGGGTCGACATATACACCCATACTACGCAATGGGTCGTAAGATGAAACCCGAGATGAGGTGCTTGACAGCGTCACGGTGCTTTGAGTAGATAACCGGCGTTGTGCGTTACCTAGTGGGCCAACTTGAGGCTGCTTGACATGTGCAGACACCGTACGTGAAGCGCGGCTAGATGCGCGCAGCGGAGTGTTTGGACGCTGCTGTTGGTCCAGAGGCTGAAGAGATTGTCGCTGTCGCTGTTTTAGCACAGCTATTCCCGACTCTTCCATGGAAATGTTGGCCATCGAGGCTTCCAAATTCGAATTGGCGCTGGGCGGACGGTTTTCTTTCAGCGCCTTGGAAGCTAGCGGCAAATTGGCTGTCGCCTGCTGCCAGGAAAGCTCTACCTGGTGCTCACGGTCGTACTGAGCCGGCGGCTTCGACCGCTTGCCAAAAGTGGTTGTTTTGTTTTCGCTGTTAATGGCAATATATGGCATTGATCAACACGAAATCAAAAATAAAGAATGTGACTGCAAACGAGCGAATTATACAACTGATCAAGCGATGGCCAAGAAAAAAAGTGAGAAGAAACAAACCGTTGCTTACGCGACCGCGCTTAGAACGCGTCCAGGGGTCGAAACATACCTGACGAGCGGTTGGACCAAAGTATTGGTCTGACGAAATCAGCTGCATCAATGGACTCGCTGAGACCAGAAAACATGGTATTTCTGGGCCATTTCCTCGAAAAATCCATTTTCGCCAAACACCATCCTCCCGCTATAAACCACACCATTAAACCCCCGTTTAGTAATGGACCCCCAGGCACTTTTGGCGCAGGCAGACAAAAAGGCCACCACGACCGGTGGTTTTTTCACTAAAGTATTCGGCGGCTCGTCGTTCCAGTTGGAAGAGGCGGCTGATTTATATATCCAGGCGGCAAACGGCTTCCGCCTGAACAAGGACCAGACTGCAGCGGGCAAGGCCTTCGAAAAGGCCGCCACGGTGCAAAAGCAAACCGACCTGAAAGATGATGCAGCCAACACCCTGGTTGAGGCGTACAAATCGTACCGGCAGGTTGATCCCGAGCAGGCAGTTCGTGTGCTGGACGAGGCCATCCACCTTTTCACCCTGCGTGGCCAATTCCGCCGGGCAGCTAATTATCAGATGGACATTGGTGCCGTCTACGAGAATGATTTGGCCGATCTGGCTAAGGCAATCAAAGCATATCAGGACGCAGGTGATTGGTACTACAACGACCAGGCTGAGGCATTGAGCAACAAGGCTTTTCTCAAGGTTGCGGATCTTGCTGCTTTGAACGGCCAGTACGACATGGCCATTGAGAACTTTGAGAGAGTTGCCAAGCAAAGTTTGAACTCAAACCTGTCCAAATGGAGTCTCAAGGAGTACTTTGTGAAGGCCACTATGTGTTATCTTGCTGAAGGAGACTTTGTAGCTACCAGCCGGGCGTTGGACCAATATAACGAGTGGGACCCCTCATTTGGCTCAACCAAAGAGTTCCAATTCCTCACTGACATTGCCGAAGCAGTCAAGGATGGCGATGAGCAGGCTTACACTGATAAGTTATGGGAATACGACCGCTTCAACAAGCTCGACAAGTGGAAAGTGTCGATGGGGCTGAAGATTAAAGAACAAATTCAGGGGGCGGAGGATGATTTGCTGTAGAAGAACAAAAAAAACAACGAAGAAACAAAAGGGGGAAAATACGTATCTATACTAATCCATCATATAAATTCAAGGCGCTGAGGATGGTAGGGTCCTTCTTGGAGCCCTCTGAGAACTCCTCGAACGTGATTTGGCCGTCCTTGTCAGCATCCATTGAAGCGAATAGTTTCTGGACACGTTTGTCTGGTGTGCTTTCATCCTCAGGAACCTTCATCATGGATCCGACCATTTTATAGATTGCAGTAACAATCGAGAGCATCTCCTCCTGGCTAATGAGACCGTCTTTGTTCAAATCATATAGTTGGAAAGCCCATTTCAATTTTTCGTCCACGGATCCACGGGAAGAGATACTGAGTGCGGTGATGAACTCCTTAAAGTCTACCGTGCCGTTGTTGTCGGTGTCGAAAACGTCAAAAACGAGGTCGCTGAACGCACCAGGGTCTCCAAATGGGAAGAACTGTTTATATACGCCGCGCAAATCGTCTCGACTAAGTTGTCCGGACGGGCAATCCTTCAGAAAGCCCTTGTACCATTGCTGCAGCTCCTTGCTTTCAAAGTGCGTGATCTCCTTGAGCTCTTTAAGCTCTTCTTTGGAAAGTTTGCTCGACGCTTTGCCCATATCGCACGGCTGACCGAATCGGGAGAGGCTTGGACTGTGGAGACTCAACCTCCACAGGGGGTATTACGGGAACATAGAACGGGGATTGGGCAGTTCATACGGGGGAGGGTTTTAAAATCATCAATTTGCTATTTGTTCGTGAATTCATTATCATGAGTTCGTAAATTTTAGAGTCATTACACAGATCGTGATGCTCGCAATTCTTCCACATCAGTGGCTCCCTGCTTGATCGTGTGCAAGTGATGGTCGATCTGGACGTGCTCCAGCCTCGGGTGGCGGCGAAGGTCGCATAGTATACCGGCGTACTGCAGCGGATAAAGATCATCTTCGTGAACAACGGTGAGCAGACTGCTAACAAGCCCGCCGCCGCCACCAGAGAGGCCGCTCAGGGGGTGAGGGAAAGGCGTGCCATTGGCAGTGCCCTCAGAAGAATAGTTGAGCTCAATAAGTCTGAGATTGGGCAAAACGCTTGCCAAAGTCCAGGTGCAGCTTTCGAAACTGAAAGGCATGGCCAAAGTCTCAAGTTTACTGCAGCGGGCCAGAGGCTCGAAATCTGCAAAGGAAAACTTACACTGCAGAATAACCTGCAGGTGCTTCAAGTTCCGTAACTTGCTGATTGTAGTGAAAAATACCTGGGGGCATTCTTTGACGTGAATCTTGAGCGACTCCAGAGACGACTGGCACAGCAGGAACTCGTTAATTAAAGCACTGGAAGCCGTCCAATCTATTTCGAGTCGCTGCAAGGGCAGCCCTTGAACAATCAAACGAGTCAAGATAGAGCTTTGAGGAAGACGGGAGAGATCTCCACCCGTCAAAGCTAGATTCGTAAGTTCAGACAGGTCAAAACTTCGGACAAGTTCGTCTGCCTCCTCAGCAGAAACCCGCACTTGAAGTAGTCCCAAGCGCTGCAGCTTCCAGCGAGGCATGCCGTAAAAGAATTGCTTAATGGCAAGCACATCTTCACTGGCGACATCAGAAAGCCCCACAAACGCATAGCTGGAGCCAACAGCTGACTTTGCATCAAGATAGCGGCACAGCCACACGTCCTCGAGCAACGGGGCATTGGCGACAACACCACTGAGCCAAATCAAAAACTCGGCCCTCAGGAACGGCCGAACAGTCAAGGATCTCAAGTTGGGCAGTTCTAGAGCCGGATACTCCTGCCAGGGCCGGACGGCGAGATCGACCTCTAGCACTTCAACGTTCACGGAGTTCGGCAATAGGGCCAGCAGATCAATCGGCAATTCGGGACATGCAGACCACCGGAGTACCTTCAGAGACGCCAAGTTGACGAAAACAGTTGAGAAAAGCAAATTCAACGTGTGGTCGCTAAGCTGGAGATTGGAACGGACATCGAGTGCCAAAACAAGGGCGGCGAGTTCCGGATGCTGGGCAAGCACACGGAGGCACTGCTTCACTCCGGCCACCGTACGCACAATTGTTGTGGACACACTAGACCCTGAAACACTCTGCACAGGCTGCTGGATCGCAATGCTCCTCGGACTGATGTCAAAGAGAATCGATCGGTAAAGTCGCGGGGCAACAGCCCTTGACATTATCCGGCATGTGAGCGCGAAGCTGCACGCGTCAGCCTGGCAGCAGTACTCTCCTATGAGGTGGATGAGTTCTGGTGGTAATCGCTGTTCCATTGACAAGGTAGATTGGTCAAAATGCTTCGCCAACTCACAAGACCAAATCCACCGGGAGGCCCTAGCCTTTGTCGGCACGTGACTTGGCGTCGTATTCGGGACCTGGCGACACGACCACCGCCCGACACACAGTTGACAATACCGAGCTTGAGTCGAGTGCTTCGTTTAATCTCTAATTCTTCAAACTATTTATCCGCAGTCGTTTTATTTCGGCAGCCCCATCCGGTCTTGCTGACAACATCACCATGGACGATATCCGGCTTCAGTTGTCGCATTTGCTGTTGTCGTCGGACTACCTGCTGGGCGGGAAGTCCTCTTTTGACAGCGACAATAGCTACATTGAGCAGTTGACACCGATCGTGCGATCAGCCATCCAAACGTCGTCGACAGAAGAACTGCTAGATGCCCTACTGGAGCTTGAGCAGGCGCGGGAAGCCGAGACCAGAGCTATTTCTGAGGATCAGGACAATCCCTTTTTATATGCTCTGGATGAGCTGCATCAAATCAATGCTACAAGCAATTCCGTCGCTCGCCAAGTACAATCTGCATCGACGGAAATCAAAGCCAAAGGATCTAAACTTTTGAGCGAAGCACAACGCCAAGCTAATATGGGACGAACCAGACAAAATATCGAATCCTCAATGGAGGCAACCAAAGTCTGCTTGCAGGCCTTTGAATATACGAATCAAGTGTTCCAATTGCTAAAGTCGAAGAACAAAATCGCGGCTGTCCAGAGTCTTTATGAGCTCCAGAATATGAATACCGATAAGCTTAGGTCCTATGGACTTACGACATTTGTGCAAAGAACTGTCCCGGCTCTTTCACGGGCGATTATGAAGGCTACACTTGACGAGGTAGATGAGTTTGTTGATCGCCTAGATTCGCAAATTCCGAAAATCGGCAACCGAACTTATGAACTGCTTTCGAAACAACGCGAAGCATGGGAATCGCATGTGTCTGAACACCCCCATTTGCAGCCGTTCCGCTTCAACTCGAGTGTTGAGCTGGCCTACCGTGAATCCAGTATCAACTATATGACCGACGCCCAATTGGACCTCGATTTCGGCCCAATGTTCGAGGCGGAATTGATCTTCACAAAGCTTGACAAGATCCCCCAACTCGCAAACCATGTGGACCAAAAGCGTCAGGCTAGAGCACTGGCACTGGTGCCTGAGGGTGCAGAGATCACTGCTGCGGTTCTCGAAAACGTTGCAGGATTTTGTGTCACTGAACGCACTATGTCTTGGCAACTTCCTCGTGTGCGTTCTGATAAACTGGTGGATGATGTCTGGGAGCAGATCATCCGGCGGTTGACCAAGGCGTTGTCTCAGAAAATGCCCGAACTCAAACAGACCTCGGAACATGTTCCCTTCAAAGATATGCTGGCCAAATTTATTGAAACCCTCGAGAACTTTGACTTCAACGTCAGCAATATTATGATGCTCTTGCGCGATCTCGTCAAGTACTTTAGCGATCATCTTGTCGAAAAGTCCCGAGAAAAGTTCCTACACAGCTGGCGCAAAGAAGACCATATGCCGCTTGTCGTGAACAAAACTGAACTTTACGATACAATTCTGGGCGTTGTTTGGTACAGTGCTCCGGATTCTGAGAAAAACAAGGCGTTTCCCCGCGTTTTACCATTTTCTGAAATTTACCCGCTCACTTGTGCAGACTTGCGCTCGCTCATCACACATCACACTTCGTTTTTCGATCTGTTTCAAAAAGAACCCGTGATTGTAGAAGATATGCTTTCCACGGCAATTGAAACGTTTTTGACCGATACCGTTTGCAAGACGTTCATGGACGGTCTCAAGGGTTCCAAGCGTGAGCAGATTGTACAGACCCTTATTGATCTTGAATATTTTGAATTTGCAACCGTCAAAGTACAGGCTATGCTGGAATCTCTTCGTATTTCATCACGTCGCAGTCAGCCCCTCAAATCTTTGGCCGCGTTTGCTAATGCCCGCCGTTTTGCAGAGCGCCGCGTATTCCAGCTCGTTGAAGATGCTATTGATAACTTTGTTGAAGTTGCCCACATTGATTGGAGAGCCACAAGGTCAGAACCTGGCCCCGCTGCCTATGCTCTTGAAATGACTGCATACCTGCTCACAATGACCAACTCTACACTGGCCCGTTTGCCAACAGATATCCGCACCATGACCTACTTGGCAGCTGGTGACCATTTACGAAAAAAGCTGATGGCTATGCTTGATTCCGCACCTGACGGTATTACTCCCGCAGCACTGCAGAATTTCGATAAAGATTTGACGTTTTTGGAGGACTTTATCGGCGGGCTCTCCAAGGCCGATGACAACCCAAGCTTGGTGGAGAGCTTGACAGAGGTTAGACAAACTGTCAATCTGCTCCGAAGCGAAGACCCCACAGAGTACAACAGAGCTGAACTTCGTATGAAGAAATACGATCGCATCGATTCAAATAAAATCTCGGGACTGTTGGCCAAACTGCAGGCCCCAGGTAGTCCGAATCCATCGCTGAGAACCCAACAAAGTGGATTCATGCGATACCTTCATGGAGAACGTCAATAATTAAATAAGTATCTATATAAAATGCACGATGGTATCCAGAGATCATTTGGCCAGGGCAGCATCAAGCTCCGAGCGTTTGGCCTTGATCTGCTCAACACTGGACTCACGAAGATTGTCGAGCTTGATTTGATTTTTCAAGCCAACGAGTCCGTAAAACACTCCACCCGTCACCAAAAGAACTTTGAAGACTGGAAACATATTCAAGACGGATGACAAATAGGTCAGTTGGAAGGATCATTGATATTGATATATAGAAATAAATAAACCACTAAACATGCGGAACACGCTTTGGTGTGGATTGGATTAAAAATTTGCCTAAAGCTGTTTCCGAGAACTTGAAGTTAGGATCACGCTCTGCAAAAGTGTGATTGAGCAGTTCCCGAGCTGTGGGACGCTCGCTGGGATCAATGATGAAGCACGCGTCCAAAAAGTTTTTGCCGAGTGTCGAAACGTATGGCAGGGTATCATCAGGGATAGGTGGGGCTTGCTTAGAGGAGCCGAGTTTGTATAACGCACCCACTGCTTCTTCAGTGGACCAGGGGCGTCGGCCAGCGAACATTTCCAAAATCACACAGCCCAAAGACCAAACATCGACTTTGGCGCTGTAGCCTTGCTTTTCATTCTTGACAACGTTGTGAATGACTTCTGGAGCCATCCAGAAAATTGTGCCTTGCATAGACATTTCGGCATTGTTTGAGTAAATGTCCCGGCTGCGCTTGGAGATACCGAAATCCGAGATCTTGATAGTGCCGTCAAGATCCAAAAGCAAGTTGTCTGCCTTGAGATCTCGATGAAGAATGCCACGAGAGTGAAGGTAAGCGAGACCATCCAGAACCTGTGTATTCAAGTTACGAATAATCTGTTCGGGGAACCGGCCATAGTGATCCAAAATAGCCTTGACGGACCCACCGGGCACATATTCCAAGAACAGGTTATACATATCTTCACGAGCCTCAAATCCCAGATATTGCACGATGTTGAGGTGATCAAGATCCTTCATTGTCTCTACCTCAGAAAACAGCGTATCGATACTGTTCTGGGTTGCGTGACTCTTTGAAAGCTGGCGAGGAGCTTCGACTTGTTTAACAGCAAGCATATCGCCAGTCGTCAAATTAAGACCCAGATACACTTTGCCGAACGTACCACGGCCCAGCAGCTCACCGCGAACCCAAACGTACTGCTTCCGGTCCCGCAACGTGATTGTGTGTCCCTTTTCGACTTCGACAACCTTCTGTCCCCACATCTTGGTTGACTTGCGACGTAATAACGATGTTCCGCCGTGCATTCTGCGGCTAGCTTCGCGAGCGACCACTCGAATGGACTTGATGCGACCCACCTCACCTTTGGGTGATTTGGAAGATGTTGATACATTGGAAGCTGGGGAAGCAACGGTGGTTTTTTCAGCCGATTGGGGAGACGAGAGACTGCTTGAGGAATTTCCTTTACGATGTCGCTGCTGAATCACTGGGCGATCAAGGTCGGTATTAGGGAAGAACTGATCGAGATTTTCGAGCAGCACCTCAGTGGGAGGACGAGCCGTGTAATTGTTGGGTGTTATTCCTGTGCTATGCCCTTCCGAATCAGTAGTCGGAACATAGCTTCCTGTTTGCGGTTTCATTGCCCACAAGCCATCGTCACTACCTTCATCATCCGAGTCCTCGAGCTCAGGGGCAGAGTCCCAGGAGAACGCTGTCTCCTCATCGGTTTCTCTTGGTGCCGTCAATGGCGGATCGGGCTCAACACTGGTCTGAACTTCTTTCCGCGGTACTGTTCTTTGTGGGCTTTGTGCTACAGGGCTGAGCTCGGGACGGTACCGTGCCGAGTTTTGGCGAGCCAGCGGAGGTTTGGGGGCTGTTCTCATGGGCAGGAGTGATGCATCGGAATTCTCACGGGAAAGAGACGGCCCCTTGCGACGAATCGAAGCTATACGTTTGAACGGAACGTTATCTGGCGTTATTTGGGGCAGGTTCTTGGACCCAGCCGGAACAGGAGGAGATGAAAGCAAGGGCACCCCGCTTTGTTGAGCAGCCTTGGATGTCACAAAATGTCTGGTTGGTGCAGGGGATGCAACTGGTTTCGATGCAAAATAGTCTCCAGTAGGATTAGGAATACTCAAAATAAGGTGAGATGGCGTCTGCGGGTAGGGCAATTGACGGATCTCCCCACTAGGAGACAGTACATCGTCGCTAGATCCGTAAAACTTGGCCGGAGACGGGTCGAGCGATTCTAAACCGATATACAACTTTGCAATATCACCTGCAGCAGCCGACAGTACGTCCCACAACTGCTTATCGCTCAGAGCTTCACCGGGGACGCAAAAGTAGTCTGTCAGGTGAACACTAGCTCTGAATCCAGGAGAGTTGAGTTGCAAACGTTCTAGTATTCGCATCCGTACCTCTTTCGCGTTCTGGCAAAGCAGAATATTCACTAGGGTGAACGAAATGTTGTCAGTAGTAACGAGAATACTCGGCCCGTTACTTTGGCCCCGCGTCGGCCGTAGTCGTTTGTCCAAAAATAAGAACTTTTCCTGCGTTCGCTTAGGGAAAAACGTTCCTGGTGGCGATGATAAAGAAGAGGAGGACCAAGGAGAAACCGTGGGCGCTGTAGGGTTGCCATTGCTGAAGGGGCTTGAGATTGCAGTATGGGATACGGCGGGGGACTCTGGGAGCTGTTCAGTGGAGAGCGTTGCCATGAGCTGGAAGAAGCGGGAGGGGGAGTCGTTTATATTAAAGTTGTATTTCTGGAAATTCTTGGGGTTTGCCAGGGCCAAAAACGTCTCATTTTCTATGTGAGCGGCGGCAAAGGCGTCAATCCACTCTGCTGAGAAGCGGTGCTGTTTGAGCCACGAAATAACTCTTTCTTGAGGCCAATCCTTTGTAGACAAGCTGTCGTTGCGCGGTCGGCTCATGTGAGAGTTCGATTCTACTAATCTGCGACCAGACGTCGTCATAGATTCGTTGGTGCGGTCGAAACTCGTTTGACTAGGGGACCCAGCACTAAAGTACTCCATCGAATCGTCGCCAGTTTTTTCAGTGGATTTATCGCTTAGATGACGCACCATTGCTGGATAAGGGCCGAACGAACTGTTCGGGACTCGCGGAGATTGGCTGAAATCCGGTATCAGAGAATCGTCCATGAACGTCTCCATAATGTAAGCGATGGAGACAGCCGCCGGTTGCAGGATATAAAGCAGATGCCAGTCCAAGACGCACACTTTAGGGGCTAATTTGAAAGTTGTTTTGTGTTTTGTGAGAGAATATTATGTACATTAGGCGACTTGGATTTGAGAAATACGAATCACGGTGAGGGAGTTGTTTGCAACAACATTACGGACGTGGCGGCGGCGGCGACGAGTTTTCTCAGTAACCGAGCGCTTGACACGGGTCTTCTCGAGCACCACGCCCTTGATGCTGAACTGCGAAGGATCAATACGCTCTCCACTCAGCGTGTGGTTGCGGGAGCCAATCTCGGAGACCTGGTCGAATTTGAGCGTGTCGCCAATCTTGACGTCCTTCATGTTGGCCGGGATTTTGATAATGTCTCCCTCAGTAACTAACATCGTCCAGTTGTGAATGTGGATGCGGGCATAGAGCTCCCGGGCCTCTTTGAGAGGAGTGCGGTCGCTGGCTTGGGCGTACTTGGCCTTGAACGAAACAATATCATGCACCTTTGCCGGCTCCACGGCGCGTGGAGTAATTTTAATAGCGTTCATCATCGGCTTGGCCGTTGAAAACGACCTCACTGTCGGACGGACCAGCGCCAGGAGATTTTTCATGATGACAAAGGAACCCAAACTCGGCTAAGTGATCTTAGTTTTTAAGATAGATAGAAATACGTTAGTTAGATAAAACGCCCTTAAGCTTGAGGAGGCGGGTTTCCATCACGCGGATAGCCTCTTCGATGTCTGCGCGAGCAAAGTCCTGGTGGCGGACCGATGTGACCGGCATGCGCCCATCGATCCATTGCCAAAGATAGTACTCTTCCTGGATAGAGCGCAGTTTATTATCAAGGCCACCGGCGTGACGACCGCGGAAGAACATAACAGCCAAGACAATGACCACAATGAGCAGGAAGATCGAGATGTAGAACCAATTGAGATTGCCCAGCACGCCCGGCGATTCGACATGCTCGTCGGCTTCGGCAATCTGGCCGGCGTTGTCCTCTTTGCCGGACATTTTGATTTTCATAGACTTGGCCTTCTTGCCGCCCATCAAAGATGCGTTGATCTCTTTGACCAGGTTCTTGGCATACGAAACCTGTCCGTCAAGGGCTCCTTTTTCAATCGCACCCTTGATCCAGGACTTGCCGGTCCACTCGATCCAAGTGGACATCCTGAACTTTGTGGTGTTATTTGGTCCCCAAGCAAGGTTCACACGGGACATTGTGGTGAAAGAATTGCCCGAGGGGACGTCCGGCGTACGGGTCTCAGTGATGACCGTGACCAGGCCCTTGAGGTTCCAGTCCTCGATGGTCTCTGTGGACAAGCATTTTGTTTGCTTGGGGCCCACTGGAGCATTCAGGGGTTTGATATACTCGTACTTGCGCTTTTCCTTGCCACCGTCAACCTTGAATTGCGGGATCTCGGGCACGTCGCGGTTCTTTTCTACGTCGGCCAGCAACCTTCGGTACCACTTGGTGTCTTTGCCGAAAATAAGATTGGCCACCACGCCGACCGGGGCGTTGATACTCTCGTTAGCAACAATTTTCTCTTTGGGGTCAACGTCGGGCAGCTCTGTGGGCTTGTTGGTGCCCGGGCCCAGATTAGCAACCGGCCACTTGTTGCTGCTAGTGCCGTTTGCCTTGCCGTCGCCGTTGGTGTCTTCGTTGTCCGAGTAATCACTATTGTCCGCCATGTTGTCCTCTCCGTTCGACCCGCTCTGGTTTCCACCTTCTGGCGTCTGTTTATTTAACGGTGACTTCCAAAGCTTGGTGATCAGGTCCACTACCCCGTCACGACTAAGCAGGCTTGCGAAAGTATGCCGCTGATGCAGCGTCACAATGGTCAGGCCATTAGGGAAAACGCCAAAGGTTGATTTCGCTTGCACTTCAACAACTTGGCTCAAATTGATCGTCTCGGAAACTTGCCATCCTAAAATATTAGAATAGAAGCAAATGTAGTGGGGGGAAATGTACATCTTGCCCTGAGTCAAGATATCTCGCGAAAGCGCGCAGGAATGGTCCTCAATCAGCGGCTCGCTGGCGGGAATTTTGGGGAAAGCCTTGTGGAACTCGGCATTTCTCTTGCTCGAAGCCAGCTGCTGCTGTGGGAGCACGTCCTTGATCGTCAACGGCTTGCTACTGCCACCTGGCTCGTCGCCCTCGCTCTCGCTGTCGGCCGTACCTTCATCCGAACTGGAAAAATCGTCCAATGTCGCATCCCCGTTACCCATTGAATTGATTGCCTTGGGCGGCGCCTCTTCTGAGGCCTCTTCTGGCGCCTCGTTCACCTCCTCTCCTTCGCTAATGGCCCCAGCCTCCTCTTCTCCATTGTCCCCAGTGTTCCACACCGACGACAGCACAGAGGAGAATTTTTTGAACACTTTCTCGTTGCCTGCATCCTCGTTTTCCGGCGAATCAGACTTCGCTGGAGAGTCCTTCGCCATATCTGCTCGTAACGTTTGGGTCGCACAGTGACTTTGTAATATATATGCAGCACCGGATTTGGCGGTTCGGGCGCCCTGTTGCTTAGTACCAAAAAGGGTTAAAAAAGGAGGGGAATAAGAAGCCAAGCATTTGATCTTAGATCTATATTATTAGTTGTAGTGTGATTTGAAGTTTGCAGCTTTAGTGTCAAACGTACCGTCCTCGATTGCGTTGCGGATGTCCGAAAAGAACTTATCGACAACTTCTAAATTGTGTTTCTGTAGAGCAACTTGGGCAGTCATTTCCCGTGCGTTGAGAAGATGATGCAAATAGGCTTTGGCAAAGCGGGTGTCGCCCAGAGTAGACATGTCGGTGGTGTAGCAGCTGTCATTGAGATCAATGGAAAATTGCCGAGAGGTACAGTTGAGATCAAAGGTCAGGGCCACGCCTGCCTCGCTGTACTGGTCGATCTGGGTTTCAAGCACATCAATGCCCTTGCCAATCAGATCGAGCATATCAAAGTACGAAACTTTTGCTCCGCAGATTCTTAGTTTTGTAGTATCGGGCACCGGCACTACGTTGTCTGCAAGGCGGGAATCGCTGGGGATCAAAAAGTACCCGTCAACCATCGAATCGATGCTGCTCAGAAACGCAGGCGTGCTGAGTTCCATATTAATTGTCGCAACAACCGGGGTGCCGGGGGCATTTTTATCGACGGTCGCTCGGAACAGCTTGATCCACTCCAATGTGCGGGTTTCCATTTTGCGCACTCGATTCTTGCCTATACGCGAGCCCTGCGACAGGGAAGCACTGTCATGTGGCACGACGACAAAATCAACCTTGGTATTGACCATGTCATTCGCCAACGCGGACACAGGGTGACTGTTTCCGCCGTGCATGGTGTGCAGGGTGATCGCGAAGTTGTTGTCGACATCGTTCTTCACCTTCTTTTCTCGGTCGCCGAAATGATGGCTCGACAACGAAAACACCCCCTTGGCGTTGAGGACGAGGTATTCACGCTTCATAAAGCACTCAGATCGTTTGGATGAAGGGGAGAGTGCTTCATGGAAGTCTTCGTTGTATACAGTCGCTAGAGGTACAGCGGGGTAATTATCCGGCGTCAGGTGGGGGATCGCGCCTCTTCTTGTTGATGCAAAATATGTCGGAGTGATTAATTCACTGCCATTAATTGTCAAAATGCCACTTCTGGCCCCAGGGCCGCCGGCGGTTTTGAACATGGGTTTTTTTCGCTTATTAAAAGGGGTGCAAATAAATAGTCTTAGGAGGTCATAATGGGACGGGCCGGGTCCCAGGGCCCTTTAATTTGATCCTTGTACTTTTGTAGAGCCAAAAATAACCCAGGCACGCCTATGACAATAGCCAAAGCAGTGAACCACCACAAAAACACCGCTGGCCATCCCATGAGCACGTACGATGCCCCGCTGGATGCCACCATGAGACCACTGAATAATGCCCAGTAGGCCCGCGACGAGTTTCGCCTCAGCCAGCGAGCCACCGTCGGTAGAAGCACGTACACTTGTATGCTGAACACCATGAACCAGAATACGGCTTCGGGGGTATGTAGACGGCTAGCCAGAACAATAGCAGCACATAATGCAATGTTAATCGAGAGGATCAACACCGAGGACGATTCCGGTAAGGGGCGCGAAGAAAACGCGAGATTCACCGCACACAGCCAGGCCGATATGGACCAGATACTGTCGCTCGACGTCGACCTGGTGAGTGATGTGAAGATCGGCGTGAGGGACAACACAGCAAACAGGATCAGAATAGCCGACTTGACGCTCGTGAAAAACACCGTGGTGTCTTGGATGTGGTAACCATAGAGCATTGCTAGCCCAAACGACAGCAGCGACGAGCCCAAAGCAAAGTACTTGGGATCCCATTTGAGCTCGTAAATGGCTACAAAAGAGCCGCAAAAGAACAACGTCAGGGCTGCGTTCCCCAGTAACACCGTGGTGTCGCTGACCACCGTCCAGAAATTGTAGGTGCCCACATTGGAATTGCGCTGCAACTGCGACAAGAAGGACTTGTCTACATAATTGTCCGGATAAGGTTGTTTAACCCACAAAAGCTTCTTCCAAGCTGGCTTCCCCTTGGTGTTTTTGGCCGGCATACTGTCCAAAGGGTCTTTGTCAGGTACTTCCCAGTGATGGACGACCAGGAATCGTTTCAAACCACCATAGATCGGGTGGTATCCGAGGTGCCGTCGGTGTCGGTCTCTACAGTATTTAACCCGCCGTCGTTGACCAGTGCTGCAGATGAGTTCCCGCAGGCAAAGCCCTCCATCAACCGGCACGACGCGCTGTGGGCCACCATGGGTGCTCTGCAAGACGACATTGAGCTGGCGCAGGAAGTGCTGAAAAACAAGGCGTTTCTCGGTCCGCTCAGAGCAGAGCATGTGCAGCGGATCAAAAAGGCCCAGATCGAGTTCGCCCAGCGCATGTCGAAGGAGGAAACGTCGCTAGGCATGAACCACTATCGAGAGATATGGACCAACTCCAATTCCGACAAATTGAGGTCAAGACTGTTCGACGACCCTTACTTTGACCTGCTCAATGACCAGGTGAAAAAAACCGAAGTTGCCTTGGAGCAACTGGCCGGCCTGCTGGACATGGAAACGGGGCAGAACAAGTAAGTTGCTGGTATGTATTTATTTTATATATAATCACAGTATTGTGGAGAATGGTTCAGTGGCAAGACCTCCCCGAAGAGTTCCTGGGATATCGGATGCCACAGGTTTGGCGTGGCGGAAAGTGAATCCAATAAAGTCTCTTGAGCTCAGGTTCCCCCGGTCTGCCAGGCCCTCGACGTGGGCACGTTTGTTTAGGACTTCTTTGTATTTGGCCATATCTGCCTCGTTGTCAAAGTCGTCAAAGTAGCCTGCGTCGTCTTCGCCGTCCAGGTCAGGAATAAATGGCGGCCGCTGGTCTTTGATATTGGCCCAGTCCACGTCGGCAAAATAGGCGTGGCTGCTGACTTCGGAAAACGACCGCAGTCTGTATCTCTGAGAGGTGATCAGGCGTTGAATCAGATCCCACGTACGGTCGCTGAAAACGTATTCGCCATTCTCGTATTGGGGGCGCCTCAATGCCTTTTTCCAGTTCTGCAAATTGGCGTACGTCTCTTCACTCGACCGACCAGAGAACGGAGGATATCCTACCAATGCTTCAAACAGCATGCAGCCCATCGACCAGTAGTCGATTGTATAGTCATAGTTGTGGCCCTGGAGCACCTCGAGGGCCATATAGTCGGGCGAGCCAACCACCGAAGAAGCATAATCAATCTCGGCCATGCGGGCGGTGCGATAGGCGTCTTGACGCTGTTTGACCGATAAGTAAGGAACGTTGAATTGCTTGGCTTCGTCTAGTCTCTTCCGGAGACTTTCAATACGGTGGTCGGAGATCTTTCCTGCGGCAAGGCCAAAGTCTGTGAGTTTGATGTGGCCCTCGGCAGTAATGAGAAAGTTCTCTGGTTTCAAGTCGCGATGGATGAAATTCAACTGATGGAGCGCGTCAAGAGCCAAAAACATCTCTGACATGTAAAATCTAGTGTGGCGAGCATTCAGGGTGCCAGTGTTGTTGAGCAGAGTGCGGAAATCACCGCCAGGCACAAACTCCATGGCCAAATAGAGGTTGTCTGGGTCCTGGAAAGAATACAGCAGCTTTACCAGCCATTCGGATTGCGAGGCCTGCGTAAGAATATCGCGCTCGGTCATAATGTGGCCAATTTCGTCCAATTTGATAAGTAGCTTTTTGCTCAAAACTTTAAGCGCGCAGACTTCTTTACTATCCCGCTTGCGAGCCAAGTAGACCTGGCCGTATCCGCCCTGGCCAACCTGTGTGAGGATGTCAAAGTCACCGTAATGCAATTTTGTTCGGCGCTTGCGTAGCAATGCCCGCTCCCGGCCGTAATAAGAGCGCAGGGCCAATGGACGCTCGGCCTCCGCCATACCGGGCAAAGTGACCTGGTGCATTTTAGCGTAACGGCCCCGCCGCGCCTTGATATAGTTTAGCAAATCAAAATAGTATTCCAGAAAGTACATTTGCGTGACCCGAGCAAGCCGCGTTACTTTAGGGTCGCTGAGTTTGCGCCTGTCGTCCTCGCTGAGAGTCGGGAGACCTGCGTCGCCAATCTGCAGCGAAGACAGCGCCGAAGACAAATCGTCGCCTTTCGTGCGTGTCTTGAGCGATTTCGGGCTCAGCCCAGACATAATTCCGCCGATTCGCGAACTGAACGGTGAGCCCGCTTTGGTTCGGTCTGACATGATTGTAAACAAAACACATCGCGTAAGCGAAGGAGGTATTTATTCGGCGGACGTGGCTGGGCGCACTATGGCGGGGGCACGGAAAATTACATTAGTACATTGCTAGCTGTGTATGCAGCAAATTGAAGTGGGCGTGCTGTTCGATTCACCAGCAGTGGTCTGGCCCGTTGCAGATCCATTCCGCCAACCCGCATGGGCGCTGTCCCATCTGACAAAACATGATGAATCGGAGATTTTCAGGCGAGCCGTCAAAGGTTCGCAAGCGAGGCCGGCCACCGGGGTCTCGGAGCAAGAAATCGCGCTACGAGTCAAAGAGAGACAGCCTGCGGCAGGATGTGAACATTGAACGCGAGATCTTCATGTACCAGCAAACGACAGACCTCCTGGTCAAGAAGATTCCCTTTTACAGAGTGGTTCGCCAGGTCATGATGGAGACGTACGGCGAGAACTTCGACTTCAATTGGGAATCAACAGCGCTGCTGGCGCTGCAGGAGGCCTCAGAGTGGTACATCTGTGGGCTTTTTGAGCACGCCAACCTCTGCTGTCTCCATGCCAAGCGCGTCACCATCATGCCTAGTGACATGCATTTGGCGCTGCAGATTCGAGGCAGGGAGTTTTAAGTTATTTATCTTAGTTTGTTTATTTTAATATGGTGCCGCTTACATGGCATTCAAGATACCGGGAAGAGGGCTGTTGCCAACGCTGACCATGGCGCTGACGCCAAACACTGCGGCAAATACAATGCCCAGAGTAGTCCATACAAGTAGATTGAACTGCCAGCTAACGTCACGCTTCGAGCAGTCGTTTCCGCCCCAGTAGTAGGTGTAATCATCCTTTTTTGTTGCCTTGCACGCGCACTTGAACCCGTTTGGAGTCTTTACGCACTCGCCGCGGCCCGAACAGCTGTTTGTGAGCTCTTCACACTGCTCTTGTGAACCGAAAAAGGTCGGAATAATCGACGGAGATGCAGACCGCGCCGCCTTGCGGCGACTGATGCGAGTGTAGTGGAGATCAGGGAGGGGCTCGCCTGCGGGAACGCCAATGACTAGAACCTTTGACTTGAGATCGGCAATCGCTCTGAGAGTGTCGGACGCGCCGTTACAAACAACAACAGGCCACTCGTCGTTGTCGATAGCAGATATTTCGCTGGCAGCAAGCTGGCGAGGTACGCTGCTCAATTCAGGACCTGACGACTCAATTGACAACAAAGGAGATCCAAAAACCTTTTCGGCAACATCAGCCTTGAAATCAGTAACAACCACAACCGCTGCGTTACGGTCGTCGAGCAAGACTGACGGAATAAACTGGGCCATCGCCAACGCTTCCAGAGACGCCTCCTCGACGCCAGCGCCAATGAAGTGCGATGCCAGGATTTGCGGTGCGTTGCTACTCTCCAGCACCAGGTTTGCAGGAGCTACCGACTCCGCATTCAGTACATAAACAGGCAAACCTGCCAAAGCCACCCCGACCAACGCCAGGTAACGAAGCATGACTAAGAGAGGAAGGCCGGCCCGCCCGGGTTATAGGAGAGATAAAAGCTACATTAAAAGTCATTAAAAGCGCTCGGCTAGGAAAATGGCGCCGCGGCAGCCATTCTTGATGGCCTCGGTTAAAAGCATATAAGGCACGGCCTTTTTGGCGTCGTTCTCAATGGCGGTTTCCAAGTGCTCGAGCTCGTCATCGCGGAATTCGGAGATCAGCTTGCGAAGTTGTACAAACTCCTCGGTCTCCGGGAACTCTTTGCTCAGACGGCGAAGCTGGTCATTGTAGTGGCCACCAATAACGGTCTCCACCGCCTCGGTGCAGGCCATGGCCGCCTCTTTTCCGAGCAGTGCAGTGCCCATTCCAAGCCCCAGCGCGGCAATTTTCCATACCGGCGTGAAGACTGAAGGCCTGATGCGGCCCTCGGTTTGAATAGTGTCGAATGTGTTATGGTGATGGATCTCCTGATCCCACATGTGACGAATCAATGGGGCTAACTTAGGCAAGGTCTGCTTGAACACGAAATGCTGGCCCATGTAAATGTAGTCTGCACCCAGCTCGCCAGCCTGGTCAACGCGAATCACCTTCTCAAGGTACTTGCGCTGGGCTGGCTTCAGACTCTTGTTATTGACGGCTTTGATTGATTGGCGGAGCATGACGAATCAAGTAATTATGGTAAACGTCTGCTAAGCTATATAGTGCGACGATTTTTGCGGGCGGGGCTTTCGTAGGAAACGGATTCCAGAGGCTCCCCGAAATCGTCCAAATCGTATTCATCATAAATAAAGTCGTTGCGTTTTTCAATCCGCGGAGGCTCAAGAACGAACTCGAACTCCATGTACACGATTTCTAGCTCGGCCCCGTCATGGATATACTCAAACGGAGTGATTACGGCGTGTGAAGAGCTCATTTTTTCTTATCTTTAGACTTTTCGATTTCCCTTCTAGTACCCTTAAGGAGCTCCAAGTGCCCGACACGAGAAGACAATAGCTTTTCTGTAGCTGAAGTGAGCGCTGCTGAGTGTTTCTTGGCAATCTGTGCGTCCTTGCGTGCTGCTTGGCGTTTGGGCTTGAAGGATTTGGCTCCTTTCTTCAATTGCTGCTGCGACTTTGTCTTTTTACCGGTGCCCGTAGAAACTTTCAATTTTCCCTGGGGCATTTTCTGAAGCTGAGTAAGTTTTGATCCAAGTTTTTTCAAGGGGGGGGGCAGCGGGAAACCCCCGGTCAAAAACCGTTTGGGGTACTAACAAAGCTAATGTAGCACACTACACTCTATCTATTCAACTTTAGAAGCCCGCTCATGCGCAATTTCACCGTTTTTGCCTTGATGCGTCAGCTCCAAAAAAAACATATTGAAAAATTTCGTGGAGCCAGGGTTACTCATCTACAACTCATTTTTTGTACGGGTCCAACCAAATGCTGGTAAAGTGCGGTTCTGTGGCCAATTCCCCGTTCAGGGTGAACGCCTACATCAACAGCATGAACAAGACTCTCAATTCGTCTGCAGTGGTTGCGCTGCGCAGTGTCTTTGTGCACTACATCCAGCCCACAGCCACCTCGAAACTTTGTGAATCAACCGACCGATTACAGCTGGTAGACAGCATTCTGTCCTACGGCAACGTGGTTCCGGCTGACGACTCTTTGGGCCAGGCGCTTGTTGCGGCCGTATCTAATCCCGACTCGGCCTCGCTGCCGGACTCTTGCTACGTCGTTTACGTTGTACCGCGCCCGGGAACGATCTCGCCTTGGTCGAGCAAAGCAACAAACATCTTCGAGAACTGTAATTTCGGCGACGATATCGAGCGTGTCGAGCGTGGTGTTGCATTCCTTCTCAAGGTCCGCAAGGGCTTTCCCTTTGACGATTATTTGAATCAGGCTTCCTTCCTCGACACTCTTCATGATCGCATGACCCAGTCCGTGTTCTTGCACAAAGTTGACGGTAAGCTGCTTTTCCAACATGGGAAGCCCAAGCCTTTGGTTTCAATGCCCCGTTCTGGTATCGCTGAAGCCAACAAGCAGCTGGGCCTCGCCCTGGACAACGCAGAAATCGACTACTTGAACCAGGCCTTCCCCCATCGTGATCCCACCGATGTCGAACTCTTCATGTTTGCTCAGGTCAACTCAGAACACTGTCGCCATAAGATTTTCAACGCCGACTGGAAGATCGATGGTGAGGCAAAGCAAAAGTCCCTGTTCCGCATGATTCGTGACACAAATGATGCCAATCCTCAACATACCATCAGTGCATACAGCGATAACGCTGCTGTTATCGAGGGCACTTCGGCATACTTTTATGCCCCTGATCCCAAGACCAAAAGCTATACTTTAACCAAGGAACAGGTGCCATACCTCGCAAAGGTCGAGACCCATAACCACCCCACCGCCGTCTCACCTTTCCCCGGTGCAGCTACTGGTTCTGGTGGTGAAATTCGTGACGAGTGTGCCGTCGGTCGAGGCTCTCGTCCCAAGGCTGGGTTGACTGGTTTTGCTACCAGCGATTTGTTGATTCCAGAGTTCTCACAGCCATGGGAAGCTGATGTCGGCAAGCCTAACCATATTTCCGGTGCGCTCGATATCATGCTTGAAGCTCCTCTTGGCGGTGCTGCATTCAATAATGAGTTTGGTCGCCCTGCACTCACCGGTTACTTCCGTACCCTTAGCACTACGGTCGCTGGCACCGGTAAAGAGGCCGTTGTTCGTGGTTACCATAAGCCTATTATGTTGGCCGGTGGTGTTGGTACCGTTCGTCCTCAGTTCGCCTTGAAGGATCATCGCATTGCCCCCGGTGCTTCTCTCATTGTTTTGGGTGGCCCAGCAATGCTCATCGGTCTGGGAGGTGGTGCGGCCTCTAGTGTCAACTCCGGTGACTCTTCGGCTGACCTGGACTTTGCGTCGGTTCAGCGAGATAATCCTGAAATGCAGCGCCGTGCCCAGCAGGTTATCGACGCCTGTATTGCCATGGGTGACAAGAACCCTATTGTGTTTATTCACGATGTGGGTGCCGGTGGTCTCTCCAACGCTTTCACGGAGCTCATTCACGACAACAACGTGGGTGGTGTTTTCGACATTCGCAAGGTTCCTTGCGTCGATTCGAGCATGTCACCAATGGAAATCTGGTGCTGCGAAGCTCAGGAGCGTTTCGTCCTTGCCGTTAATGCTTCTGACATGCCGGTGTTTGAAGCCATCTGTGCCCGTGAACGTGCTATTTATGGCGTCGTGGGTGAGGCCACTGCCAAGGAGCACTTGTTGGTTACTGATAGCTTGCTCGGTGGCTCCCCTGTCGATCTTGATCTTTCTGTTCTTTTCGGCAAGCCCCCCAAGATGTCTCGGACCTCCTCGTCGAAGCGCCCCAAGATTGACGCTGTTTCGATTCCTAAAGGTCCTACGGTGTTTTCAGAGGCTCTCGATCGTGTTCTGTCTTTGCCCTCTGTTGCCTCAAAATCTTTCTTGATCACTATTGGTGACCGTTCTATTACTGGTTTGGTTGCTCGTGATCAATTCGTTGGCCCTTGGCAGGTTCCTGTTGCCGATGTTGCTGTCACCTTGGCTTCCTACGGTGAGGGAGTTCATGGTGGTGAGGCTTTCGCCGTGGGCGAGCGCCCCTCGATCGCTATTTCAAATCCTGCGGCTTCTGCTCGGGTAGCTGTTGCTGAGGCTTTACTGAACCTATTTGCTGCTGACGTCCGCTCTCTTGATGAAGTACGTCTGAGTGCTAACTGGATGGCCTCTCCCAATTTTGATGATGATGGCGCAGATCTCTATGAGGCTGTCAAGGCTCTCAGCGAATTCTGCATTCCTTTGGGTGTCTCCGTACCTGTGGGTAAAGATTCCATGTCTATGTCTATGAAATGGGACAAGAAACAAGTCACAGCACCTATTTCGGTCGTTGTTTCCTCGTTTGCGGCTGTTAGCGATGTCCGCCGTACTTGGACTCCGCAGTTGGCTCGTGACTCTTCAGCCAAGATTGTGCATGTATCTCTTGGGCCTAGTGGGCATCTTGGTGCCTCTTCCCTTGCTCAGGTTTACAAGCAGGTTGGCTCTGATGTTCCTGATGTCGATAATAAGGTCCTCGGTGGCTTGCTAAAGGCCATCATTGAACTGCACGCCTTGGATATCGTTCTCGCTTACCACGACGTGAGCGACGGTGGTATCATTACCTCTTTGGTTGAAATGGCATTCGCTGGTCGGACTGGTTTGCAAATTGTTGCTCCAGGTGCAGCAATCGAGCTGTTTGGAGAAGAGCCTGGTGCTCTGTTCCAAGTCCGCGATGTTGAAGGGTTTGCCAAGGTTCTTGCCAAGCACGGTGTCGCTGGTCGCGAGATTGCCACTGTTGACTTGAGCTCTGAACAACTAATTACTGTTGTCGAAAACGGTTCTGTTGTTTTGCGCTCGACTCGTGCAAAGCTCCAGAATACCTGGTCTCAGGTCAGTTATCACATGCAACGTCTCCGTGACAACCCTCAATGTGCTGATCAGGAGCTTGCAAATATTAGCGATGACGCCGATCCTGGTTTGCTTTACAAGCTTATCTTCGATCTCCCTGAAAGTCTTGTTGACTCTGAGGGCCCTAAACCCCGGGTTGCAATTTTGCGTGAACAGGGTGTCAACGGTCACGTTGAAATGTCATATGCTTTCCGCCAGGCCGGATTTGATGCAGTTGATGTCCACATGTCAGATTTGCACGGCAAGCGATTCGACCTTAAAGATTTTGTTGGGTTCGCTGCCTGCGGTGGTTTTAGTTATGGTGACGTACTGGGTGCTGGTAATGGCTGGGCTTCTAATGTCCTTTACAACCCCGACCTCCTTGAGATGTTTACTGAATTCTTTGCACGTGAAGACACATTTGCCCTTGGTGTATGCAATGGATGCCAATTTTTGTCTCGTCTGAAATCAATCATCCCTGGATGCGAGAACTGGCCCGCATTTGTCCGCAACCAGTCCGAACAGTTTGAAGCTCGTACCGCCATGGTTGAAATCGTAGGTGATGATAGCGATGAGTCCCCTTGCATAATGCTAAACGGCATGCGGGGCTCCAGACTTCCCGTTGCAGTCGCCCACGGTGAAGGCCGTGTGGAGTTTGCCAATGCTGCTCAGCAACAAGCGTTCTTACAACAAAATCTTGTTGTTCTAAGATACGTGGACAATTATGGTAAGCCTACTGAGCGCTATCCTTTCAATCCTAACGGTTCCATCCAAGGTATCACTGGTATTCGTAGCCCTAATGGCCGCGTGGTTGCCCTGATGCCCCATCCTGAACGTACTACCATCGGTGACGTTGGCTCATACCCATCAGGCTTTGCTGTTGGTCCTTGGCTGCGTATGTTCCGCAATGCTCGTGACTGGGCTAGTAACTAGAATATGAATATAATATAAAAAATGTCGATTCCCCTAGCTTTTTTTGTCTGACTAACCATGGATTTTATGGCTCTGGCGGTCGAGCAGGCCAAACAGGCTTTGGCAGACAACGAAGTGCCGGTTGGGGCTGTTTTTGTTCATAATAATAAGGTTATAGGCCGGGGTCGAAATGATACAAATCGGAGCCTGAACGGTACACGGCATGCGGAGTTCATGGGGATTGACGAGATCCTGCAGTCGCACCCTCCAGAGATTTTGAAAGAAACTACATTGTATGTGACAGTAGAGCCATGTATAATGTGTGCATCTGCTTTGAGGCAACTAGAAATCAAAGTTGTTTATTTCGGTGCCGCGAATGATCGTTTTGGTGGCTGCGGATCAGTACTTTCAGCTAATAAAGATCCGGGACCCTTCAGGCCTTATCCTGCTTATCCTGGTTTTTACAGAGAAGAAGCAATCATGCTGTTGCGAAATTTTTACGTTCAGGAGAACCCCAAGGCGCCGGTGCCCAAAGTAAAGAAGCAGCGAGTGCTAAAAGACAATATCGCGGAACTCGACTACACCAAGTATGTTACCAAAGACGAGTTTGTAAGAATATACGGGCAAGACAAACTTGATCTGTTCAAGAGTATTTAAAAAGGTATATAAAGTAGGATTGCGGACATGTTAATCTATTTAGAGCTTAGACTTGGAGTCGGTAGGAAGCTCGATGGCAGCAGCGGAGATGGCAGTGGTGCCGCGCTCCAAGACCTTGGTCACAAAGATGACCTTAGAGCCCTCCTTCCAGGCATTAACCTGCAAAGTCTCACCGGGGAAGACGTGGCCAGAGAAACGGACCTTGATGTTCTTAAAGACGCCATACTTCTCGACCAAAAGACGGCCAGAAACACCAAGAGTGGCCAGACCGTGCAAGATAGGACGGTCAAAGCCACCGACGGCAGCAAACTCGGGGTCAATGTGAAGAGGGTTGAAATCACCAGATAGACGGTAGATGGCAGCCAAGTCCTCGGGGGTCTTGTACTCGACAACGTAGTCGGGCTGGCGGGAAGGAGGCTTGTTGGCGGCAGTAACCGCGCCGTGGTCATCAGCCTGCTTCTTACCACCGAAGCCACCAGATCCACGCAAGAAAGTGGACATAACGTTGTAGAATAGGGGCTCGCCGGTCTCTTTGTCCTTGGTGGTGTACTCAACCATGGCAACAGCAGCCTTCTCCTTGTCAACGAGGTCCAGCAGCTTGCCCTCGGTGACAAGAGTTGCCTCGTTGGGGATAGGCCACTTCTTGATCTCCAAGAACTGCTCACCGTGCAACAGCTTCATGGGATTGAAGTTTTGAACGACCTCCTCGTAAGGGAAGTGAGCGAAGAACATGGGAATGACACCAAAAGTGGGCACAGGGCCAAAGTTCTCATTGTTCTCAAAAGTGTACTTGAGGTCCTTAGCAGAGGCACCAACACCCAAGTTGTAAAGAGAAATAGTCTTCTCGTCGTATGTGTACTCACCGGTGGAGGTGATCTCACTGCCGGAGCCCTCTTCGCTACGAGACTGGGCAGCCTCAGCAGCCATCTGGAAGATGTACATGTTGGACTCAGCAGCAGTCTCGGGGTGGGTGGCACGGCCATCATCGAAGTTGGTGATCGCGGCCCAGTTGTCGCGAATCTGCTCGACAGTCACACCGTCCTTGCCAGGAGCAATGGCGACACCACCGGTGCGTTGCCAGCGGGTCTGGGCGACCCAACCGGCGCCAGACTCGAAGCACAAACCGCTACCAGGAGCCTGCTCGCTACAAAGCAAAACGGTAATAGGGGCGATGTACTGGGGCTTGAGGGCCTCAAGCATTTCCTCAGTGAAGACACCGGAGGTCATACCAGTGCCAGCGGTGGGGGCAATAGCGTTGACGTAGATGTTGTACTTGGCACCCTCAATGGCAGCAGACTTGGTGAAACCAAGAATACCAGCCTTGGCAGTAGCGTAGTTAGCCTGACCAAAGTTACCGTAGATGCCAGAAGTGGAGGTGGTGTTGACCACACGGCCGTACTTCTGCTTGAGGAAATAAGGCCAAGCCGCTCTGGTGACAGAGAAGGTACCAAACAGGTGGACCTGCTGAATGACCTGCCAAAGCTCGTCGGTCATGTTCACCATAGACTTGTCGCGGATAATACCAGCGTTGTTGACAACAACGTGGACAGCACCGAAGTTGTCAATGGCAGTCTTAACAACGGCAGCACCGTCGGTGACGTTGTTCTTGTCGGCAACAGCCTGGCCACCGGCCTTCTTGATGAGCTCAACGGTCTCCTCAGGGTTACCTAAATCGTTGCAGACAACCTTGGCACCAAGCTTGGCGAAAGTCAAGGCGTACTGCTGGCCAATACCAGCACCGGCGCCGGTGACAATGACGACCTGATCCTTGAAGCTGACTTCGGGGCCCTGTTGAGAGGGCTTGAGGTCAGCATTGCGCTCGACAACGGACATGAGGTCCTTGGAACCAGTGGGGTGGTCGCAGTTTTCATCAAAGTTCTGGACCTCGTCAATACGGGCAAGCAATGCAGAAGGAGTGAAGGTCTCATCAGCCTTGAACTCAGCACCGTTAGAGCGCTCCCAGCGGACCTTGGTGACGACACCGGCAGCAGTCTCGTAAATACCGTTGGACTCGGTAACTGACTCGTGGACGAGGTAGCCAACAACGGGTACAATGTACTCGGGGGCCAACATGGCGAGAACGTCAGGGGGCAAGATGGTCTCGGTCATACGAGAGGCAGCAAGGGGCACAATGACATTGGCAGTGATGTTGTACTTGGCGCCCTCCTTGGCCAAGGTCTCAGTGAAACCAACCAAACCCAGCTTTGCGGCTGAGTAGTTGGTCTGACCAAAGTTGCCGTAAAGACCAGCAGCAGAAGCGGTGTTAATAACACGGCCAAACTTCTGCTTGCGGAAATAGGGCCAAGCAGCCTTGGTAACCTTGTAGGAACCGAAAACGTGAACCTGCTGAATGAGGTTCCAGTCCTGGTCGGACATGTTCTTGAGAGACTTGTCGCGCAAGATACCAGCATTGTTGATGACAATGTGGACGGTACCGAAAGCCTTGATGGCAGTCTCGACGATCTTGTCACCATTCTCAACCGAATCGTAATTGGCAACGGCCTTACCGCCGAGAGCCTCAATCTCCTTGACGACGCCGTCGGCAACGCGAGCATTGCCATCGCCGCCTTGGAGGGAGCCACCAAGGTCGTTAACGACAACGGAGGCACCGCGGGCACCAAAGAACAAAGCATAGGCCTTGCCGAGACCGCCGCCCGCGCCGGTCACAACAACAACCTTTCCATCATAACGAAGTTTATCACTCATAGTTGTGGGTAGAAAGAAAAGGTGGGGTTCGGCAAGGGACCCCACAATAGTATTATAGTGCAATGGGTTAGGGCGTGTCTTCCCCGGACCCAGTGACGCAAGCCATGTGCCGAGGTCTGCTGCAGTGGGGGTGTTGCATTCGGTTGGACAGAGGAAATCCACCGAACGTGACGCAATGGTTTGACTAATTGACTTAGTTGTATACCAATACCGATATCCGTTCAGAATCACAGATATCTTGGCCTAATCTCTTGTGGCTATGGGACTTTTCGGTTGCAATCACGTGGAGCTTTTTGCCCTTCGGGTTGGGGTACGTTATGGTGGAAAATTCACCCGGTCGCCGCTAACGGTTATATCTGAACTACATTTGGAACGATTGGTTAAAGTTTGGCAGGTTTGGCGAATTTCTGGGCGATAATGCGACGCTGAATTTTGCCAGTAGCAGTTTTGGGCATAATATCGGTGAAAAAGATGCGTGTGGGCACCTTGAAGCTCGACACTTTTTCGCCAACGTAGGACTGGAGCTCTTTTTCGGTCGCCTTTTTGCCGTTCTTGAACACTACAACTGCATTGACCTGTTCGCCATACTTTTCGTCGGGTGCTCCGAACGCAACTGCCTCAGCCACCGCAGGATGGCTCAGAAGAACACCGTCGAGCTCAATGGGCGAAATCTTCTCACCGCCACGATTAATGAGCTCTTTAATACGCCCGGTGATGATCAAGAGCCCATCTTCGTCGAATTTACCCTGATCGCCAGTCCGGAACCAGCCATTGGTGAATGACTCGGCGTTGGCTTTGGGGTTGTTGAGATAACCGGGGGTAACGTTTGCGCCCTTGACTGAAATCTCGCCCTCTTTGCCTTGAGCCAGCACATTGCCCTTATCGTCGAGAATGGCAATCTCTGTTCCGTGTCCAACTCCCACCGTGCCGGGCTTGCGCAGGTCGGGCGGGTAGCTATTAGAGGTCATTTGGTGGCAGGCCTCAGTCATGGCATAGGCCTCAAGTACTGGAGCTTTGAAAGTGGTTTCTAGCTCATGGAAAGTAGACGGTGCCAAAGATGAAGAGCAGCTACGGATAAACCGGATGTTGGGGAGAGGAGAGGGCACCGGTGTGCGAAGCAAGATCTGGTGAATGGTAGGAACAGCCGTGTACCAGGTGGCATTGTAACGAACAAAATCTTTCCAGAAAACACCAGCAGAAAACTTGGGTGCAATGATCACCCGGCTACCAGCCCCCAATGGCGCTAAAAAGCCTGCCAGAAGGCCATGAACATGGAACAGGGGCATCACAAGATAGCTGGCGTCGTTGTCGGTCAAAAAGTAAGTACCAATAATGTTATGCACTGTAGCAATCATATTACGGTGCAATAATGGAACTGCCTTAGGTCTACCTGTCGTACCACTGGTGTGGAGCACAAAGGCGGTTTGCTCGGGTTTGGCCGGAGGCAGCCGAGAGCGACCCGAACCAATTTTCAAAGCCGCAGGCTCCATGACGGTAAGAATAACGCGTTTGCCATTCCATTCAACCTCGGCAATCGCGGCATTGAACTTACGAGCTGCTTCAACCGCCGGGTATTTGCTCTTGAGGCTGCCACTGGGGACCAGAACCAACTTGGACTTGATGTCTTCAATGTAGAATTCAAACTCACTCTGACGGTAGGCCGGATTGAGAGGAGCAGCAATCAGACCTGCGTTGGTAATTGCGAGAAATGTCGCTGCAAACTCCAACGTGTTTGGCAGCGAAACCGAGACTGGGTCTTGCGGCTGCAGCCCGAGGTCTGCTAGTTGCTGCTCAACGTCCTGGATCACCGTTCTGAATTCATCAAAGCTCAGTTCGGGGCCATCAGGAACAGCTACAGCTTGATTGCGACCTGGAATTTGTGCCAGCAGCTCCTGCAGTGTTGTGGGCATTTGGGTGAGGAGAATAGTACATCACAATGAATCACCGGCTCCAAGGCCGTTGAACTCATCACGTGATACTCTTCCCGGACGCGGATTGCTTTAGTCATCAGGCGATTCCTAAGCGTCCTGCTCGATCAACCTTCCGCCCTGGTAGTCCGCAATTGAGTCCGATGTTTCACGAAGCATTTTGGACACATGACTACACGAGTGGTGTGAACGTGCTGTTCGAGAAATTGAAGCAGGGTATTGAAGAAAACGCACAGGTTCTTGCGTTCATATCGGGCTGGATGCGGATCGAGAGCCGCCTGGCATCGGACTTGGGTCAATTGGCACGCCACGCTGCACCCAGCTCGCATCGAGGGTTCTCGCGTGACGACGGTGCGGTTTTGAAACAAACCTTCACTAGCTACCTGGCTGAGACAGAGACAACTGCCATTCTGCATAGCAGGGTGGCCGAAAACCTTGAGAACAAGGTGCACAACCCTCTGGAAAAATGGTGTCAAGGTCACGCAAAACGGGTCGTTGACTGTGAAAACCGGCTCAAGGCGAAGCTTGCAGAGTATACACGTTTGCTGCAGCACGTTTTGAAACAGCGCCAGGTTTACTATGCAAGAAGCCGCCAGCAAGAAGATGCCGTTGATGTAAAGTTCGAGCCGGTAGCTTCAACCATAAGAATATTCCGTGAAAACTTTATGCATCCACAGACTCCGATGCTTGACAGTGAGGCTGAGGCTTTCGAAATCGCCGGACTTCAGTACACCAGAAGTCAGCTTGCCAAGCTCATGCAAAAACTGCTGAAGGACGTGACCATGCAGGAGTACAAGGTGCCGTTGTTTGGTCCCTACGAGCATGTTTCCAGTGGTGCTAACATTGCTGCAAGTACACGGCGGCACCTGAAAAACGACAGCATCGCTTATTCTGAAAAGTTTGGTCAAGCACTAGTCGACCAGGGCTTTTTAAAACCAGTTGCACAAATATCAAACAAGTTTGAAAGCTCGCATACTTGCTATTACCAATGGCAAGACAATGCTTTCAGTCTAGGTGTTGTAGCCCAAGTTACTGAATTGCCAACCGATCCTCCTGAGCCTTCCGTCGAAAAGGCACCAAGTGAAGGAAGCGAGAAGGGAGCTCAAACTCCAGATATGATCACCGAGGGCGAAGAATACTTTCAACAGGTTCTTGAGCTTGATATTTATCGTTGTGAAATGGAAGTGGAGATAGCAGGGGTTTACGAATACATGGAGCGCTGTGAAACGGATAGAATCAGCGCTATACGTCATGCTCTCGGAGATTTTGCGTTATTTTCCCAACGCCCTGATGATCATCGCGAAATTTTGAGGCGACTGATGAATTCTAAGGCCCTCGTCGACCCCGCACAAGACGTTGCAGAGCTAGCGGCTCAATACCGAACGGGCCCTCTCGTGCCTACCGTTACAGTTTATCAGGGTTATAATGGCGCTTATTGCCAAACTTTTGGCGTAGAGATCAAACATTCTGGATTTTTGGTGCCGTTGCTGCTGGATTATTTGGCCGAACTGGACGTACCGCTGACGGCCTGGACAGAACCCTACAAACTAGAGGATGTTTACAAGCTGCGTGGCCAAATTAACACGGGGAAACCTTTCAAATTGGAATCGCTAAAGCACTTTTCAGTAGAGGTGGTGGTGGGGGTCTTCAGAGAGTTTTTACTGGAATTGCCTGAATCGATTCTCCCCTTCACTATCTACGATACTGTGAAAGCTCTCTACGAAAATGATGTCACTGATCAGCACCTTGTATCGGCATTACTACACGTATCTAAGCCGTCCTTGGAAGCCCTCAAACACATCACCAAATACATGACTGAACAATACCCAGAAGACCTCGAGAAATTGGCCAAGGCGCTCGCACTATACCTGTTCCGACCCCGAGCTATTTCTGCCATCTGCCTTCATGATAAGCACCCTCAACTTTTGATTCTAGAGCTTCTTAATCGTGGGGATGATATTTTTGAATCGGTTGAAGATAAAGCCAAGGTTTCAGTCCGAAATAAAAAGAGCGCGCCCGTCGCTGCACACCCTTCTTCTCCGGCCGCTTCCCGCTTATCTCCGCCTCGTTTTTCTACGCCCAAGCGTGATGTTCAACCCAATCTTATACCACTGTCTCTGACCCCTGAAAGGCCTGCCAATGATCGACCGCGATCCCGCGGATTCAACATCACGAAGGGCCTGGGTATCCAAGGTCCAAACGCAAACCCAAATTAATATATACATGCATTCTATGCTAATTTATTCTCCAACAATTTCCCTAAACAGCCTCGAACACGGAACTTTGGCTTCCATACGGGCACACAGCAAAAAGACCCCGCTAAGCTTGCGATGCAGACCGTAGGTTTCTTCTGGTGGGGGAGTCAATCGCTCTCTGAGCATGACCCCTATGTTATCCCGTACTCTATCAGAAACAGTTTGTTGCTTGAAATCGTATTCGCCTTCCGCACAGAATGGTTCGGCAAGAACCATGATGGAGTCAACATGTGCACTTTTCATGGCGGCAGATTCATTGCCGGTCAAGTAGCCAAGTTTGTAAGAGAAGTCTTCAACTCCTTGGCGGTCACCTTTAACAGCGGCACGCAAACAGCCAATATAGTTTGTTATGAAGGTGTCACCATAACTTCTAGTTGCGCCAAAATCTAGTAAGTTGAGCTTCTTATCGGGGGCAGAGTACAAAAAATTGGCCCAGTTGGGATCAGTCTGCATACATTTGAACTTGGCAATTTCAAGCAAGCATAACCGCATGATATTGGTGGCGATCCAGTTGGCCTCCTCTTGACTCCATTTCTGCTTCGATACTTCGACGCCGGGCATAAACTCCATAGTAAGAACCTGACTCGTAGAAGCTTCATCATAAACTTTCGGAACACCAAAGACCTCGTCGTCTTTTAGAAATTCTCCAAATTTCTTGGCCCCGTCTCCCTCACGTGTATAATCGCATTCCCACGCCAATTCAGTGCGAGCGTTTGCAATAGTTTTGTCGAGAAACATGCCCTCGGGAAGCATTCTTGAACCTAAAAGTAGTAAAGAAATCGTGTTCAAGTCTGAATCGATACTGTTGGCAACCCCAGGGTATTGAACTTTTACGGCGACCAGTTCCCCAGATTTCAATACAGCCCGGTGAACTTGACCAATGGATGCAGCGGCAAATGGCTTTTCGTCGAATTCCTTGTACATGTTGCGCCAATCGCCACCCAAGCTGCTTTGCATGACTTTTTCCAGCTGTCGTTTGGGCATATAATTAGCTCTGCTCTGTAAACGCGCCAGCACCTGATGAATGGCGGGTGGAATCACTTTTTCGTCCTGAAAAGAAATGAGTTGACCAATTTTAAGAGCAGCGCCCCGCATCTGGCTCAATTTGCGTACCATTCGCTCTAAATTGGCTTCGGAAAGCAGCATAGATCCCGATCCCCCAGAACCCGTCGCTCGTCTCAGACCCTCTCCTAAAGCACCAAAACCGAGAGAGCCGACCAATGACCCGTAGTGGTAGATTCGCGAAATCTGGCTTTCTGGTACGTGTGAGCTGGTCATTTCATCTTTCTTGTGCGAAAAAAACCGCCTAGCACCGCCAAACACTCTCCTTTGACGATTGAACATTTTTCTGACAAATCGCCAAAGTTGATTTTTTATTTTTTTCACTTGGATTGGAAAGCTCGCATTTAAGACAAATGGAGCCAGAAAACAAACGGGTTAAAATCAATAACGACAGTCCGCAGAGTAGTATGGTAATTGATGTGGATTTCGCGGCGTTGGCTGGCCCATTGAATCAGCACGAGTCAACGGCCAGCCAAGCTAACGAGGTCGAGGACGGTCCTACTAACGTTTTCACAGGTTTGTCGCATACCGACCGTTACCGAGAGATTCTTAAGGTCCGTCGTGAGCTTCCTGTGCATAGCCAGCGTGATGAATTTCTTAAAATGTACCATTCAAGCCAGATCATGGTGTTTGTCGGTGAGACTGGTTCTGGTAAAACTACCCAGATCCCGCAGTTTGTGGCCTTCGATGAGCTTCCTCAGCTCACTGGGCGGCAAATTGCTTGTACTCAGCCCCGTCGTGTTGCCGCAATGTCTGTTGCACAGCGTGTTTCGGAGGAAATGGACGTCGAGCTAGGTGCTCAGGTGGGTTATACGATTCGTTTTGACGATACTACCAGTGATAAGACCTTTTTACGCTATATGACTGATGGTATGTTGCTTAGGGAGGCAATGACAGATCCCGAATTGAGTCGCTATGGTTGTATTATCCTTGATGAAGCCCATGAACGTACTTTGGCCACAGATATCCTCATGGGTCTCTTGAAAATTATGTGTCAACGTCGCCCCGACCTCAAGGTTATTATTATGTCTGCTACCTTGGACGCTGAAAAATTCCAGAAATACTTTGGTGGTGCCCCCTTGCTTGCAGTTCCGGGTCGTACCCATCCCGTCGAAATTTACTACACCCCAGAATACCAAGACGATTACCTGGTTTCGGCGGTAAGGACTGCCCTTCAGATCCATTCATCGGAACCTGCAGGCGATATCCTGTTATTTTTGACTGGTGAAGAAGAAATTGAAGATGCTTGTCGCCGGTTGTCCCTCGAAAACGACCAAATGATCCGCGAACAGGGCGCCGGTCCTTTAGCTATTTATCCCCTCTACGGGTCACTGCCTCCTCATCAACAACAAAAGATTTTCCAGCCTGCTCCTCCCCCGTTCAAAGAGGGTGGCCGCCCTGGACGCAAAATTATTGTTGGTACCAACATCGCTGAGACGTCACTTACCATCGACGGTATTGTCTATGTGATTGATCCTGGATTCAGTAAGCAGAAGGTTTACAATCCTCGTATTCGTGTGGAATCTTTGCTTGTGTCCCCTATTTCGAAGGCCTCTGCTCAACAGCGGGCTGGTCGTGCAGGCCGTACGCGTCCGGGTAAGTGTTTCCGTCTCTACACTCAACAAGCCTACAAGACCGAACTTGTTGAGCAAAGTTATCCGGAGATTTTGAGATGCAATCTTTCCAATACTATTCTCGAATTGAAAAAGCTTGGTATTGATGATTTAGTTCATTTTGATTTCATTGATCCTCCCGCTCCCGAAACCATGATGCGGGCTCTTGAGGAATTGAACTACCTAGGGTGCATTGATGACGACGGGCACTTGACAGAACTTGGTCGCATGTGTTCAATATTCCCCCTGGATCCAGTGTTAGCAGTAACTCTGGTTGCAAGCTCCGAGCACAAATGCTCGAACGAGATCCTATCCATTGTGGCTATGTTGAGTGTGCCGAACGTGTTTGTGCGTCCCCACAATGCGCGGCGCGAAGCAGACGATATGAAAATGTCTTTTGCCCACCCCAGCGGAGATCATTTGACCCTGCTGAAAGTCTACGAAGACTTCGAGTCCATTATGCAGGGCGGTGACAATGCGTCAAAGTGGTGCAGAGACAGCTTCCTGAACTACCGATCGTTGACAAGCGCACGCTCAGTGAGACAACAGCTCAAAGGCATCATGGAACGTTGCAAACTGCCCATAATTAGCACTCCGCCTGACCATAAGCGTCATGAAGACCGTATCAAAAAGGCGCTAGTCCGGGGATTTTTCATGCAGGTTGCCAAAAGGCAGGGCAATCGCAAGGGCTACCTAACGGTCAAAGACAACCAAGAGGTTTTGCTGCATCCCAGCACCGTACTTGGCAAAGATAATGTGTTTGTTTTGTACAACGAATTTGTGTTGACCACCCAAAATTATATCAGAACCGTGACCTCTGTGAAACCGGAATGGCTGTTGGAGCTTGCCCCCAAGTACTATGACCTCAAGCAGTTTGCCAAGGGATCTGCAGATATCAGAATGGCACTAGAGCAAGCCGCTCGCAAAAAGAAAATCAAAAACTAATCGGGTCCAACTACCTTAAACTACCTCATTGAATCGCTTGCAGGCTTCAAAAACATCGCAGCCCTCCAGTAGCAATCATACCGTCTCAAGGAGGGGATGACACACTCACAGCAATTGGGCAAGGCAACTTGCTAGAAAAGCTGCGTGCTAGTCTAGGTCTAGCCCAAAATAACCCAATTAAATCGCAGAATTCCTGGTTAGGATTCAAGATATAGCAGCCATTCGGGTCCTGGTGGAAGTGTTAGTCTCTTTATCTGAAACGCTAGTTAGATTTACTTATAACAAACGGTCTCCCGGCATGCGTCAACAGAAAAGTACCGCAGATCGCGCGCAGCCACGTAATGTAATTCACTCTGCATGAAGCAGGATTACCAATATAAAGCTCGAGGTTACCATCCCAAGATATAGCAACCGTTTGGTAACCTACCTGACATCGCAAAGAATTGAATAAAAAAATGTCTGCTCTCGCTGATATCGGATTGATTGGTTTGGCCGTTATGGGCCAGAACCTTATTATGAACATCGCTGACCATGGTTACGATGTGGTCGCCTACAACCGTACTACCGCCAAGGTTGACCATTTCCTCGCGAACGAGGCCAAGGGCTACAAGAACATCCACGGTGCTCACTCCATCAAGGAGCTCGCCGACAAGCTCAAGAAGCCCCGCCGTGTTATCATGTTGGTCAAGGCCGGTGATGCTGTCGACAACTTCATCAACCAGTTGCTCGAGCACTTTGAGCCTGGTGACATCATCATCGACGGTGGTAACTCCAATTACGTCGACTCTAACCGTCGTTACGAAGAGCTCAAGCAGAAGGGTTTGCTCTTCGTAGGCTCCGGTGTCTCCGGTGGTGAGGAGGGTGCCCGCTACGGTCCCTCCCTTATGCCTGGTGGTGATGAGCGTGCCTGGCCTCACATCAAGGGCATCTTCCAGGATATTGCTGCTAAGGCTGACACCGGTGAGCCCTGCTGCGACTGGGTCGGCCCCGCTGGTTCTGGCCACTTTGTCAAGATGGTCCACAACGGTATTGAGTACGGTGACATGCAGATCATTTGCGAGGCTTATGATCTCATGCGTCGGGTCCTCGATATGTCCGACAGCGAGATGTCTGACGTTTTTGCCAAGTGGAACAAGGGTGTTTTGGACTCTTTCCTTATCGAAATCACTCGCGACGTGCTCAAGTACAATGACGCTGACGGCAAGCCCATGGTTGAGAAGATCATGGACCGTGCTGGTCAGAAGGGTACCGGTAAGTGGACTGCCATGAACGCTTTGGACATTGGTATCCCCCTCACTCTCATTGGTGAGGCTGTCTTTGCCCGCTGCCTTTCCTCCATGAAGGAAGAGCGTGTCGCTGCTTCCAAGGTTCTCAGGGGCCCCTCTGGCGCCAACGTTAAGGTTCACAAGGAGAAATTCCTCAGTGCCCTCGAAAGCGCTTTGTACGCCTCTAAGATCATCTCTTACGTCCAGGGCTTCCAGCTCTTCAACGAGGCTGCCCGTGAGTTCAACTGGGAGCTCAACAACGCCGGCATTGCTCTTATGTGGCGTGGTGGTTGCATCATCCGCTCCGTCTTCCTGAAGAACATCACTAACGCTTTCCGTCAGAACCCCAAGCTGGACTCTTTGCTGTTCGACCAGTTCTTCATTGATGCTATCCACAAGGCTGATCAAGGCTGGCGCGAGACTAACGTCACCGCTTTCCAGGCTGGTGTCCCTATCCCCTGCTTCTCCTCTGCCCTTAGTTGGTACGATGGATACCGCTCTGCCAAGGTTCCCGCTAACCTGATCCAGGCCCAGCGTGACTACTTCGGTGCTCACACCTTCCGTGTCTTGCCCGAGTATGCTAGCGATACTTTGCCTGAAGGTAAGGATATCCACATCAACTGGACCGGTAAGGGTGGTAACGTTTCGTCTTCTACCTACAACGCTTAAGCTTTTAGTTTTTTGCTATTCCCGTTTCTAGTTAAACAACCTCCGATGAAAACCGCGATGCGTCCATTGTAAGAATGCAATTGATCACGTCGTCCAATGTTACTGCGCTGCTTTCACCACCCACCAATACGCTTTCGTTTTTTCGTTTCGTAATTGCTCCCTTGTGTGCTTTGACAATTTGTTCAACCACCTTGGGCCCGCCTTTTACATCTGGAAGTAAGCGAAAGGTCAGCCCCGAAAATAGCCCCTTGTTGTTTGCTCGCAGATCTGCAGATCTCTGAAGTGCTTCCTGGAGCGATTCGCTTTCGATAGCATACTGTTTGGGGTCCGCAGGGTGGCCTGCATTGAAACTGGCTTCAAGCCAATCCGGGGTAACGCATGATTCTACCTCGGCAAGACTTGACAAGAACTTGGCAGTTCTCAAAATACGCGGGGCTACAAGAACACTAGCCGGTGGATTTTCCGTCAAATGAAGATTAGCTTTGGCGCATTTCTGTCTCGTCGGTGGGGTATCGAGACCAGTCACCATGATTCGCAGCATCGGTTCCGGTGAGGCGCATTTTTTCGCTCGTTTCACCTGCTTTTCTATAATCTCGCTCCGTTGCGGCTCTGGTGGCGTAGAGTTCAGATCAGTTAAATTAGGGCTATCGTTCGATGGTAGATCAGGGAGTGCCTTGTAGCGTTTTTGCTTTTGGAACTGGTTTTCTTTTAGCACACTTTCATGAAGACCTTCGTTTGCTTTGGTACGAGCAGCCCGTGACGGTAACGGAAATCTTTCTGGTTCATGTTTGTCCGAGTAGAACTGCCGTAGAACTTGCGGAACCAAGTGAGTGCTGCCTATGAGAGTGGTCATGTCCAATCTCGTAGGCAGATGAGTATAACGTGGTAATGTTTCAGGTTGTAGTTGCCACATAGCATATGTTTCTTCAAGCCATAAATGGTTCATGATTTTAATCCCCCAAGACTTTGCCGCTTCGTATTTTGGACCGCCGGCATACGCTGCAATCAAATGGGTGGTCGTGTTTTGTATTAAGCTGCCAGTGTACTTCGCTCCAAGTGAATTGGTAAGTGTTTGTAAATACGTTCTGGAATCACCAGTGTAATTGGTGATTGCAACAGTAACGTGAACCATATCGGGGAGCCCACCTCGAACCTCAGGGTAGTGCAAAAGCCATTTCAGAGGTGTATCCCATTGTTTCTGTATGATCATCCAATAGAGCCATGTCAGGTTTCCAACAACTAGTTTATGGTTGCTGGCGTATTTATAGCCCTCTCCTTCCCGCCATTTGCCCAAGTATACTCCCGCATCCTCAAGGTTTTGAGTGATAACACCGCTGTTCGTCTCGATCAAAAAAATAATTGTCTTGAGAAGCCGTTCACTCAAGTCCAGGTCCTCGTTTAAATAGAATACACGCCCCTCAAACAATGAAGAGCCTAGATCGTGACGAACAGATGACTGAACAGCGAGCCGAGGAGTCTGGTCCATCGAATATGTACCGGCTAGATCGGATTCGGCTGAATCATGGTGTCCTTTTGGCTTGTTTGTTAATAAATAAGGATCCTCATTAAGTTTGCAGCGTAACTTGATGCAATCGTCAACCCATTCAGGGCTCACGACTTTGATGTCGAAACCACAGGCGAGGGCTGTTTCACATATGTCGGTTTTTATGTCTGTAGCAATGACATGTGTCGTATACCTGTTGAGTTCCTTGTTACAATCGCCTCCTACAGCGCGTACACCAGCGCTAATCGCATCTGTATCACCTTTTGAGAGCCCTGAGCAGCATATTTGAACCTTGGAGAGGAAGTTTCGAGGATCCGGAGAGTAGGGGCGCATTGGTACTTTTTTGCCTACTTTTATTGATTCTTTGATCCAATCTGGAGTAACTGTTGGAACCATCAAGTTTTGAAGCTCATGGAAGTGTGGAAAATCAACATTGTCCGCGACCATTACGAGTTGTGGAGTATTATCGCTTTCCAGTCTGTCCTTCCAAGATATGATCGTTCCGCCATACTCAGAAATCTCCTTTTCTAGTTCCTCTATCTCTGTTTCTGGTATACCTGCCTCTTCGACGACTATAAATTTACGATCAGAAAAAAGATACATCGTGTGAAGTCGCGTAATCACTACGCGTCTTAGCTAAGAGACATAACCTGGTTCAGTTCAAGACCCAGATGAAACATATAAAGACGTAAGCCAATATTACGGGAATAACTAGGCTCTGCCTAAACTGACTGATTGTATGCCGTGTAAAAGAATGGGTACAATACACAAGCTGGGCATCCAAATTAGAGAGCAGTAGTTGAAAATATATGTGAAAGAGTAAAGAGTACAGCATGGAGTTAGTAGTTGCTGCAGTAAGATTAAAGACAGCTAGGAAAGGCAGCTGAAGGCCAAGCTACGTATGTTTACGATCAAGACATTTCGACAGAGGTTACAACCAGCTACACTCGTCAGCTGCGAAGCTGTAAAGTGGGGATTAGGATAATCAAGTTGAAAGCCATAGAAAACCAAATTGGGCAAAAAGACTGGGTTACGAAGCGCTATGAACTTTGAAACATATAATAGCAAATAATATCTTTAAATCACATGCATATTTCACCAAAACAGAGAAAACTCCAAGAGTTCGAGTCAAAATGATTATTGGGCTGAGTCGATCGGCTGCGGCCATATCCAGATGAAAGCAAGACTTCCCGTCCGATCAGTCCTATTGAACCATCTGAGAGCCTTACCAAGTATTACAGTGGGAGACCATGTGAGAACAGAAGGTGCTGCAGTTTACTTTTCTAAATTTTTTCTCTTTTTTATTTCCATTTTATTTTATTTTTAATGGAGGTCACAGTGAAGTAGCGACCTGATGTCATGGCCGTGTGAATTAGTGGAAGATCATCTTTACTGAGCATTCACACGGCGAGAGCATGCTTTCGGTCCTGGCCGTGTGAGTCAGTGGGAGACCACTACTAAGCAATTTACACGACGGGGACCATTTTTCAGTCCTGGCCGTGTGAGTTAGTGGGAGACCACCTCTACTAACTGTCACACATGGCGAGAGTGTGCTTTTAGCCCAAAAGCAATTGGTCAAGATATAGCAGTTTATTACTTTAAAAAGTTGTTCGAGAACTCCATTTCAGCATCTCTGGCCAAAGCATGCTGTCGCCGTGAGTTAGTGGGACGACCACCTCTACCAAGCAGGTTCACACGACGAGGACCATTTTTCAGTCCTGGCCGTGTGAGCTAGTGGGAGACCACTTCTACCAAGCACTTCACACGAAGGGGACCATTTTCCGGTCCTGGCCGTGTGAGCCAGTGGGAGACCACCTCTGCTAAGCAACTGACCCGGCCACAGCATGAAAAATCCATAAGACTCGGTACAAATTATTTAGCGCTATAAATACCGATTACAAAAGTCTGACTTCAATAAAGCCAAAATGACCTTCATGAAAAGAAAACAAAAGCTTGAAAAAGCAAAAGATGAAATCGGAAACGGTTAGTCTGGTTTCTTTTCAAACGCAGCCGAGTTTGGTTGTGAAAAGAGTTGATTCGTTTAACGACGAAATCTCAAGCACATCCTTACAAAGGTGTTTACCTAAACGGTCTTTACAAGCACTGCGCTATGTAAAGCACTGATGGGTTCTGTGGATTACTAGCCGATGGCAAGAATTTACAGGGAAACACTCGGGGGCATGCTGCTACAGATAGCCGACTTTAGTCGTGATTTGTAGACAGAAACCTCCTCTCAAGTTATTGATGCTAAGCTCTGCTTAGCGGACTATAACTGAGGAACTCAAAAAGGCAATTGGATGCAGTTGATGTGTCGACAGTGTAACAACTGCCAATGCAAAGACTGGGTGGAAACACGAACTTTGAAAAACTATGTTTCTTCGGAAACTAGACAGTCTCTTGACTGTTGAAGATAGTTATCTGGTTGATCCTGCCAGTAGTCATATGCTTGTCTCAAAGATTAAGCCATGCATGTCTAAGTATAAGCAATCTATACAGTGAAACTGCGAATGGCTCATTAAATCAGTTATCGTTTATTTGATAGTGCATTACTACATGGATAACCGTGGTAATTCTAGAGCTAATACATGCGTAAAATCCCGTCTGGGATGTATTTATTAGATAAAAAACCAATGTCTTCGGACTTTTTGGTGATTCATGATAACTTCTCGAAGCGCATTGCCTTTGTGCTGGCGCTGGTTCATTCAAATTTCTGCCCTATCAACTGTCGATGGTAGGATAGAGGCCTACCATGGTATCAACGGGTAACGGGGAATTAGGGTTCGATTCCGGAGAGGGAGCCTGAGAAACGGCTACCACATCCAAGGAAGGCAGCAGGCGCGCAAATTACCCAATCCTGACACGGGGAGGTAGTGACAATAAATAACGATACAGGGCCTTTGGTCTTGTAATTGGAATGAGAACAATTTAAACCACTTATCGAGGAACAATTGGAGGGCAAGTCTGGTGCCAGCAGCCGCGGTAATTCCAGCTCCAATAGCGTATATTAAAGTTGTTGCAGTTAAAAAGCTCGTAGTTGAAACTTGGGATTGGAAGTCTGGTCCACCTCACGGTGCGTACTGGAACTTTTGATTCTTTTTGCCTGGACGTCTGTTGCGTTTAACCGCGTGGCAGAAAGGTCAGGCCATTTACTGTGAGAAAATTAGAGTGTTCAAAGCAGGCGTTTCGCTCGAATATATTAGCATGGAATAATAGAATAGGACGTATGGTTCTATTTTGTTGGTTTCTAGGACCGTCGTAATGATTAATAGGGACAGTCGGGGGCATCAGTATTCAATAGTCAGAGGTGAAATTCTTGGATTTATTGAAGACTAACTATTGCGAAAGCATTTGCCAAGGATGTTTTCATTAATCAAGAACGAAAGTTAGGGGATCGAAGACGATTAGATACCGTCGTAGTCTTAACCGTAAACTATGCCGACTAGGGATCGGACGGGTAGTTATTTTAGCTCGTTCGGCACCTCGTGAGAAATCAAAGTTTTTAGGTTCTGGGGGGAGTATGGTCGCAAGGCTGAAACTTAAAGGAATTGACGGAAGGGCACCACCAGGAGTGGAGCCTGCGGCTTAATTTGACTCAACACGGGGAAACTCACCAGGTCCAGACACAATAAGGATTGACAGATTGAGAGCTCTTTCTTGATTTTGTGGGTGGTGGTGCATGGCCGTTCTTAGTTGGTGGAGTGATTTGTCTGCTTAATTGCGATAACGAACGAGACCTTGACCTACTAAATAGCTGGGTCAACAATTTGTTGAGTATCAGCTTCTTAGAGGGACTATCGGAGACAATTCGATGGAAGTTCGAGGCAATAACAGGTCTGTGATGCCCTTAGACGTTCTGGGCCGCACGCGCGCTACACTGACGCAGCCAGCGAGTACATAACCTTGTCCGAGAGGATTGGGTAATCTTGTTAAACTGCGTCGTGCTGGGGATAGAGCTTTGCAATTTTTGCTCTTGAACGAGGAATTCCTAGTAAGCGCAAGTCATCAGCTTGCGTTGATTACGTCCCTGCCCTTTGTACACACCGCCCGTCGTTACTACCGATTGAATGGCTTAGTGAGGCCTCCGGATGCGAATTCACTTGTGGGCAACCGCAACGAAGTCGCAGAAGCTGGACAAACTTGGTCATTTAGAGGAAGTACAAGTCGTAACAAGGTTTCCGTAGGTGAACCTGCGGAAGGATCATTATTGAGATTCATATTACACCTGTGAAACAACTAAATTGCTTGGCCGAAAGGCCAATGTAACAAAAACTATTTTACCTATTATATCTGAAAAACGAAATCAAAAGTTTCAACAACGGATCTCTTGGTTCTCGCATCGATGAAGAACGCAGCAAAGCGCGATAGTTAGTGTGAATTGCAGACGTGAATCATTGAGTTTTTGAACGCACATTGCACCTTCTGGTATTCCGGGAGGTATACTTGTGCGAGCGTCATTTCATCTTCATAAAGCGATTTATGTGTTGGGGCTGTAGCCAGCCTTGAAAAAGATGATAGAGTACATGTTAGACACAATGTGCTTTTCTATATTTTTGACCTCGTATCAAGCAAGATTACCCGCTGAACTTAAGC